TTTCTCTTATTCTAAAAGCTATTTTCTACTTATATTTTTTCTTAATTTATATCTAGTAGTACTCTTCTTTAATATTAAACTTTATAAACTATTATATTTCCGCAAGCTAGTCTATTAGTTCTAAGATTATAGGTAATAGATATTAGTTCTTTTAAGTTATCTAGTTAAGCTACTAGTAGTTAATATATAGTCTTAACTATCTATTCTTCTTTAGTATAAATAGTACTAGTAAGGCTATTAGACTCTAGCTTTCTTAAATATATTCTTTTTATAGAAGTCTTTCTAGATATTTTTAGAGTTTCTTTCTTTACTTATAGCTAAGTAGGTATATTAGTTCTAGTTTTAGTATAGCTTTATTCTCTATAGATATCTTATAGTTCTATAGTTTATATTTAGGTAGAACGTTATTATTCTATCTATTAAATAGTAACGTAAACTTCTTATAGTCTTCTTTAACCTTCTAAGGTAGTTACTCTATATTAGTTTATAGCTTCTATATCTATATAATACTAACGTCTTAAGGTTATTTCTTTACCTATTTTATTAAACTTATAGAGGATATTCTTCTAATCTTTACCTCTAGCTTTTAGTAAGCTCTTAAGTAGTATCTTACTCTAGCCTTTTATGCTACTTTTAGCCTTTTTTAGAGTTTTAGCCTAATCTAACTAATATTAGAGCTATGTCTTTATAGCTAATCTAGCTCTAGAAGTACGTTTATATTTTCTAGTTCTATAATATTATAGAACTATTATTTCTATATTCTCTAGATATCTAGTACCTATGCCTTAGTCTTTAAGTAAATTTATTCTTAGCTAAAGGTAGGTAGCTAGTTATCTATAAGTTATACCTAGTATAGCTATTATTTCTCTTAAAATAGTATATTCTATAGTTTTACTAGGCTAGTAGAAATATATATTTTTACTACTCTACTATCTATATAAGCTATAAGTTTTTTATTTTCTAATATAGCTTTTACGCGTAGTATTCTAGATTTTAGAGTAATAATTTTACTTATAGTCTAAATAGAGTCTTTCTAGGCTAGACTTCTACCTTAGAGGCCTACTAGTTTTTTAACTTTAAAGAGGTAGCTAGTGTTAATCTCTATTTCTTTTCTACTATATATACTAGATATCTTTCTAGTAAGTATATAGTCTAGTAGAGTTTTATATATTTATTCTTAGCCTTTTTTCTATAGTATAGGTATTTCTATTCTAGAAAGTACTATCTATAGTTAAGCGTATAGTAGTTAGAGTATTAAGCTATCTATTCTATAGTTTAGTATTATTCTTAGTAGTACTAGTATTCTATAGCGTACTACTTCTATAGTTTAGCGTAGTATTCTTTACTATAGACCTTCTTAACTAGTTCTAGTATTACTATTTAGCTAGTATCTCTAGAGCGTAGGTCTATATACGTAGCTACTTAGATTTCTTCTTTATCTAGTTCTTATATACTAATAGCTATCTTAACTACTACCTTACCTTCTTCTCTATAAACTACTAATAGGTAGGTATAGTAGACGTAGTTATAACCTAGGTAGTTACCTTTATATAGCTAGTATAACTTCTATTATAGATATACTTTAATTTTCTAGTTATATATAAATAGTCTAGAGAGTTTCTTCTCTTATAATAGTTTAGTTAGGTATATCTTATAGAAGAGATTCTTATACTTACTTCTTTCTATATACCTTAGTTACTACTACTTAGCTTTTTAGGCTCTAGAGTAGTTTATAGAGAAGCCTTAGTATATCTTCTAGATATACGTATACACTTCTTTATCTATAAGGTATTCTACTAACCTAGCTACTTTTTTAAGAGCGTCTAATATCTTCTAGAATTTATTATTAGTAAACAAGATATTCTAGTATACGTGCTAATAGTTCTATATATTATAGAATTCTATATATATCTAGCACTATTACACGTTAATACGTTATTAGATAGTATCTAGAGTAAGGTATTTAGTATATATAGAGTATTCTAGTATAATAGCTCTAACTCTTATTAGATACTATTCTAAGTTAATCTTATCTCTCTAGTATATTATATAGCTATTATTATAGCATACTATTTATATAAGGCTATTATAGTTTACTTAGATTATTCTAACTATTTTCTTCTTCTTTAGATATTCTTGCGTAAAGTATTCTTTTTCGCTATAGATAAGGTATAATTCTTCCTTAAAGTATTATACTTTTTTCTTAGTCTTGTAAAGTTATTTTCTCTTCTATAGAGTCTTAACCTAGTCTAGGTCTATAGAGTTCTCTTAGAATAGAGTCTATAGTTATTTAGTTCTAACTATTAGTAGCGTAGAGTAGTCTTTACTCTATTAACGTTCTAGGTTTTATTTATATTATTAGTTATTAATTTTTACTACTATTTCTATTATATTACTTAGATTCTCTAGTTGTTTAGTATGCGTAATATTATTCTTAACTAACTTCTTTAGTTCTTTATAGAAGAGTTCTGCTAGCGTAAGGTTATTCTAGTCTAGGCGAGCGCTTAGCTACCTAAACGTAGCTATATACTAGAATGCTAATCTAGTCTAACGTAGCTAGAATAGCTTCTTCTAAGCTATTTTATATACGTTAACTTTTCTAAACGTTTCTCTAAGGTATTTTGTAAACCTAGTCTAGCTTTTAAAGATCTTATCTATAGACTATTATATTCTCTTTATATTACTCTTGTTTTCTAGCTAGTTAGTTATATAGAGTTTAGTCTACGTAAGAGCTTTCTCTTCTATATTTATTATAGCTTCTAGAATCTTATTCTTATTCTATAGAAATACTATAGTATTGTATTATAGATAGAGTTCTATAACTACTAGAAATATATTAAGGTTTTCTCTCTTACTATTAAAGTGCTGTAGTATAGTAATCTTAGCCTAGACCTATTACTTTACTATAGCTAGCTCTTCTACCTAATAAACGCTTATCTTCTAGAGTACTATAATAACTTATTAGAGTTCTATAATCTATTTCTCTATAGTTAGCTTTTAAGCCTAGGTCTTTCTAGATTAGGTTCTAACTATTAATATAATAGTTCTACTCTTTAACGTTAGGTAGTTATTTTATTATAAGCTATTCTCTTAGCTAAGACTAAGGCTTACTTTTATAAGAGGAGATAAGAGGTATACTTTAGGCTAGAATCTTTAGTAACAAAGAGGTAAAGGTAATAATACTATAAATCGCAAGTCTCTATAGTAATTTAATAACTAAAGTAATAACTATAAGAAGCTATAAGAAGTAAGCTTCTTCTAGTTATATATATATACTATCTTAGCTAGATTAGGTACTAAGGCTCTAGCTTCTATAGATCTTCTAGATTAGAGCCTAATTCTTTAGATTAGGTTCTAATCTATCTAATCTATTTAATCTATATTACGTAACTCTAATTATTCTATAACCTTGCACGTAATCTCTTATTCTATAACTCTAGGCTTAGCTCGCCGTTTTCTCTGTTCTAGCTAGCTAACTCTATTTTTAATTCTATAATTATAATAAGTAGCTATCTATTAAAGTTAATAGTAATTTAGAGTAGTCTATATATAAGATACTAGATAGCTACCTTTATTAAGATTATCTTTAATACTAAGCTATATAAGTTACTTATAACTCTAACTCTATCTAGTATAATACTATAGGCTTTATTAATACTTTCTATAAGGTAAGAGACTTTTATATAGTATATCTAGATAAGCTAGAGCTACTATTATAATTAGATACTTAGATTAAAATATATAAAAAAGAGAAAACTCTATAGAAAATAGTAGAGAATTTAAAATCTATATAGATAGAAGATAAGAAAGTAATATAAAGGCGCTACTAAGTAGAGCTAAGAGTAATTTAGTAATAGAGTTAATAGCTAGAATAATCTTAGAGATATACTTTAAAGCTTAGAGATAAGCTTTCTCTAAGAGAGAGAGTAATATAATAGTCTACCTTAGTATTACTAGAGTTATATAACTTTACCTAGTATTTTAGTACTTAGCTCTCTATATATAGAGTCTTATAGAGTCTTTCTTTACTTTTTATCTTTAGATAGCTAAATTTAATCTAACTTACTCTACTTATTACTCTTATTCTTATAGCTTATAGAGACTATATTACCTATAATTAACTTATCTAGCTAGATATTCTAGAGCTTAACGTATAGTAGTAGAGACTAAAAGCTAGCTTTTATAATAGTTCTATTTATATTTAAAATTTTATAGAAAAATATTAAGATTTTACTTAGTTATTTAAGAAAAACTTATAAATTCTTATTAATTTTTCTTACTAAAAGATAGTAGCTAGCTTACTTATATAGCTAGCTTACTTATAAAGTATATTATATATAGTTAGAAAAAAAAACTCTAAAAAAATTATTTTATACTTCTATCTCTTATTACGCTATATCTAGAAGAGCTAGCTTTATAGAAATTTTCTAGAATTCTTTATTAGATTATAAATACTATATACTATAAGTTTTATAGATTATTATAGAGATATAATAGTACTTACTAGAAGTAAACTAGATTTTTTTTAAAAGTTAGTTAAATATATAGCTTTTTAATTACGTAATATATCTTAGTATAACTTTAGTATAAAGTATAATATACTATAGAGAATATATATAAATATTTTTATAGAAATATATTAAGGTTTTAGTTATTTAAGAAAAACTTATAGATTCTTATTAATTTTTCTTACTAAGAAATTATAGAGCGTTTAGTAATATAGAGTATTCGCTAATAAAGTACGTTACTATTATCTATATCTAGATTAGCTAAGTAGCTTTATGCATGTATCTAGTAAAGCATAGCGAGAAGAACTAATATATTATATAGGCTTAGAGATAGATCGTGATTTTTCGTAGCGCCGACTAGCCACATAGCTGTGCAAAGAAGCAGCCAATCAGAGGTTAGTATTTCGGCCTAGTTCGTAAATCTTAGAGTGGAGGGGCCCCACTAGGCTTTTAGGGGGCCGCGAATGTTTTACTTCCTCTTATGTTCGCGCGATGGATCTTAAAAGTCCAGTAGGACCGCTCTGGCAAAAAGCAATCACCTTCCTAGACTTGCCGCTGCTCGGTCGCCCAATAGCAATCTACGACGGCCTGGAATCAGCGCTTCACGATGCGGCTCGCCACACTGCATTCCGAGCCACTTTGTCCTCGCCACAGGTCGCGTCCTTTCAGATCATCCAGGAATGGTGGAACTGCTCGATTGAGCAGGAAGAATGGTTCGCAGAGAACCGAGACAAGGCAAAGCAGATGGAGATGCTGAAAATGCATGTTGTGCTAGACAACGCACCACCTTTAGTCATCAGCATGGTATTTGGGATTGGGCCTAGGCCACCTCGCATCTCGACATATCGGCTGGAAATCTATCGGCTGTTCGCCATGGAATTCGATCCGGCGGAATACGACGACGCGCTCGAGGAATCGGCCTATCTCGAGCGACTCCAGCAGCTGCGAGAGAGAGCAGCCTTTTATGCCACCGTCCAGAGAATAACATTCCCGTTCCGAGCCATAACAGGCGCAACATTACCAAGCACATGCTCGGACGGGCTGTTCGGAGCAACGGGCCTAGCTGGACGTCCGTTGGGGCCGAGCATCGATCCATGTCACTGGCTCAAATTCCAGAAGAGTCGCGCAGGGTACCCTTACTTTCTATGGCATGTCGACGCGAGAAGGACTGTTAAGACCGAGGACTTAGCTGAACCACCACCGTACCTCTGTATAAGCCACACCTGGGGAAGGTGGCGAGATGAGTCGCAGCCACCATTGAGCATTCCTATGGTACCGTGGGAAGTTCCGGCGAACACCAAATTCCGTGTCCAAGACTTGCCAGAGCGGTTAGCGAAAGTTTTCCCAGGCAATTATATTTGGCTGGATCTCTTTTGTATTCCACAAGACCGTTCTGAGCGATCTTTGATCGAGATATCTCGACAGGCAGATATCTTTGGGAATGCGACTGTGGTTATTGCATGGCTGAATGACATACCTCGCTGGGACGGACTGCGAAGGGTCATACGCTGGCTCAGCGAATTTTGTCTCGAAAATTATACAATTGTCAATGCAAGTGAGAAGCTTCCACCAGACCTGGACGATGAAACCACCGGGTTGGTCGAAGAGGATCCGATAGATTGCGACCACTCGAGCATCACTACGCCTTGGTTCACGTCACTCTGGACTCTTCAAGAAGCGTGCCTGAGGCCCGACATGATGCTCTACAACAGGAATTTCGAGTGTCTCACTGTAGGACGTGACACGGTTGTGACGTTAGAAAGTCTAGCAGCCTTGCTGAATTACACAGTTGGCAGCTACGACCAGAGTCCCTTCGAGACGATTGTCAACGCGAGCAAAATTCCAGAGAGCGCCAGGGCCGGCACGGTTCTTGACTACGAAGATCTGAACTCGGCGTCTTCAGGCCGCCAGCGGCGTATCCTCGGCCAACTCCCAAAGCAATCGAAGGGCATTCTGGAGCTGTGGGACGCACTGTTTAACTCGGGCATAAAAGATGTGTATCGCACCACACCCGCATCCATCTTAACTCTCGGTCACTACCGTCAATGCACATCTAGCCGCGCTGAGGCCATCATGTCAGTAGTGGGCACCACTGACTGGTACAAGTCATCCGTGCTCCAGGCCACGCTGAACAGCGAGAAAGAGGTTCTGGTCATGGGCTATTATCCGACCGAATTTCTAAACGAGGTGGTCCGTAAGGTCGAAGGACCGTTCTTTGCATCAGTCTTCCCAGATCTAGATATCGTCGAGTCGGTAGTCGATCTGGCGAGTGGGAGATGGGTCCCGCGCAAACCTTGTTCGGCAATAGGATCCATGCTTCCCTTCACATCAATCCAAGGGCCAGTTGTGGGGCCGGTGAATGGGCATGGCGAGGCCTGCAGTCATGAGTCAATTCGCACGTGGCTGGTCACTGAAGATGGGTCTGTAAAGATAACGCAAGCCGGTATCGTAGCATCGTCCACGCGGCCGTCGACTGTACCCATTCCGGCAAGCATTATGATCCCGGGTATTTTCTCGACCGGGATGGATAAAAACTGCGACCTGGGCGAGTGGCTTTGTACATTTCGAGCTGACACCGGTTGTGCAAATTTTGCTGTCAGTCTGTATCAAGCAACGCGGAAGTTCCACGTCGGAATTCTCCTGAAAGTGGTTGAAGCAAACAAGCTCGTCAAGATCGGAACCTTTGTGACGCATGAGCGCAAGATGGCGGAGGTCGAGTCTGGGCATGTAGACTGGATTGTTCTGTAGGGTGGACCTAGATGGCTAAGTCGGTTTACAGTAGTGTTAACGCAATTCTCCAGCCTTGAGCTTCTGCACCCATTTTCCCCTCCACCGGCGTGCAACTCTCTAGCATGGAAGCCCGGAGTGAGCACCATATACAGGCCTATGACGAGTACGTGCAAACGGGCCCTCTCTGAAAAAGGGTCCAAACCCTTGTCCAGGACGACATGCCGGCGAAGGCAGGCACATATCGTGGCGCAACAATCTTTATACTTCTAATCGAAAATTTGAACGACCAGACCACTCGGGATACGTTCTAAAAGTTGCTCACATGAAGCTAAAACATGTTTTGGAAGATGCTGGAAGATTGGTGGCATGGGCGGTACCAGCACACCTAGGAAAGAACCTGTCCAAATCTGCTTACGACTTCCTTTATTCGTGGCTTGCTCGGCACCGACATCGGAACGGCCTACTATTGGTGACTGCCCAGGCAGCAAGGACAGTCTCTACAATTCCACGATGCTGAGACTATTCAACGTAGAATTCGAACCAATGGCTTGTCAATTTCGGAGATGCGTCCGATGAAGATGGATGTGGCACGTGGCCCGATGTTGCGCAATGGATTCGGCACACACGGCTAGATGCTCTACTTCATGTAACGGCTCAGAGGATTGAACTCCATCATCTTCCCTGTAACCCTCAACTGAGAAAGCCACAAAGGTGCTGCATAGCTCGACCCTCGAGCTCTGTGCATGGCTACCTAGTTACCGGATGCTTGGGAGTCTGGGGAAATGCCATTCTACCTGTGGGACAGTTTAAGTAAACGTACCGTCGTTGCCAACACCTTGGAAGACTCTCCTACGTGTAAGTGCATCAGCTACCCAAGGGGCAGTTGGCGCATCAAGAATGCTGCATTCGACATAGAATGCGTGCCGTGGCTAGTATCTGCAAAGACAAGGTCCAACATAAGAACGCTTCTAGATTTGTTCTTAGAGAAAGTGTGGACTAACCCTACATATCGTTCGACCTCTTCAGGTCGGCTTCGAGTTCGCAACCACCGAAATTGGCCGCCAACACATCATCTTTCGGAATGCGAGTCTGGATGCGGCGTGGATCAATGGAATTACCGCCTGGGATAGCTTATTTCGGGGTATTGAGAGGTTATCATTGAGATATCTTCGGTCAACCTCTTCTTCGGGCATATACGACGTTAACGATGCCCTCCCACATTCACGGAAAGCGGCGAACTCTGGTATTGCAACGATTGGTGAACAAACACTTATAAAGGGAAGAAAGCTCCAAGATTTTCAAACATCTACGCAAGCTCTCTAAATCTTCAATCAGGGCTTAGTTTACCTAGCTTTGGAGGTTTCTAGGGGTTTTCTTGTGCCCAAATATTATCCTTTCATCCTGTGAGTGGGCGTCCTTGAAGGAGAAAGCGGGCTACTTCATTACTCTTGACAATCTAATCGCACTCGAGCAGCAAGCGCTACAATATATTGAGATCTCAGCCTGTTCTGGATTATGCGACTTCAGCGATCCAACAAGCTACGATGCAGAATGATCCTGCAGAGACTGAAAACGCCGGCAAATGTACAACCAGACTTACTGATCAGCGTTCTGGAGATCCAGTATCTTGTAGTTACGATAAAAAATGAGCGAACTAGGCACGCCCTCTCCAACATCAGAACTTGTGCTCAGCAACCTACGACACTGTTCGGAGAGTCGAGCACAGGCCGTCATGTGCATTCTCAATGCCACAGACTCGTATACATAGTACGTCAATCAGCACGGCTGCCCGCCGCCCGAGACCAATCTAGTCTTCGGAATGTATCCATTCCCATTCCTCAAAGAAGTCGTCGGTAAATTTTGAGCTGTCTTCTATCTCACTGCGAAGCCTATAGGGGGCGGAGAGGTCTTTCTTCGGGCGATCCTTTCGGGATAGGCCACGGCAGGCGTTACGTGCTTTCAACACATGAAATTGAAGAAACAAGGAAGGTCATCCCGAAGTGAAGTTGGGGGACATCCAAACGAATGGTGCAGTGTACATTTCGAGAGCAGGCATTCTAGCCGCAAGTACCGACTCGCCCCATCCATGGGACGAAGCCGCCTGGATATTAGACTGCCACCGAGCTAGGTCATTCTTGAAGGAAGCCAAAATTTCAGATTGGTTACAACAACAATCTAGAGCATGATTGGTTTACCGTTGCTCTGGCGCATGATAGCTTCTATCTCCACGGCATAATCCTTAAGGGAACACGATTCAGGTTACTGGAGCGCAAGCCATGGTCAACACAGGATATTTCATTACGTTTAACAGAGACTTTCCTAAGCCCAAGGCTATAAACTTAACGGTATTATAACGCGCGGGTGGAGGGAAAATGGTGGAATATGGGACCATACGCGCGGATCGCAGCTCTATAGAAATGCCGACGTTGACGGCTCCGCCATCACCATTATCACCTGGAAACTGGGCATTTTCTAACCCATCTCTCCATAAAGACCCCGAACCATTCTCCACAGGTACCCAGCCGCCTCTAAAGAATGTTTCAGCGCTTCGCCTTCTTCCGACAGAACAACTCCGGCAGGAAGAGCCTTCGTCTCCCACAGGCATACTCCCAATCTCCGCCAAGCCTCGCCAGTTTGTAGAATCACTATGCCGTACATCCTGCAGGACCAAAACCCTCGGGAGAGACCGAGTGCTAGTACATGGAGGTTGCCGTTTGGAAGAATCGCATAGATTGGCATATACCACGCCTGAGACCCGAGTATCTCTTTCAAGTCAAGGGCCTGCCAGACATATTGTCTCGGGTGCCGATGCCGACCCGATACATATAGTTCGACCTAGTGTGCGTTCCACAAGATAGTCGACCACTCCAAGATATAGAGATAGGACGACAGGCAGGAATATTCGTGGCGGCAAGGTTCGCGGTGGTGTGGCTAAATCAGGTTCGAGGATGGCGCGGACCTCAATCCGCGGTGATGTGGGCTGCACTGGAATACTTGAGCCATAACCAGAATGATAAGTTTGGAACCGCGGATTTGCTACCCCATTTGAAGGATGAGGCTTGGCTTGGCTTGAACTCATTGAATTGACCTGGCTCTGAGAGCTATGCAATTATTCCACAAATTCTTTCCTGCAGGGCAGATGAAGGAAAACCACGCGAAGTGATGAAAAACCTCCCTCTTTTTGCCTTTGTTCTTCAAATTTGAAACTGCGTAAGGAGTGGGTCGCTACCCCTCATCATGTCGATCTGCATGTCCTTGCCTTTTTTGAAGAAGGATCCTTGTCCGGCAATGAAAATTCTGCAGCGTTGAAGGCGAAAGTTGAGAGAGGAGCAGGATTCGAACCTACGCTTTCTGCGGCGACGGCGAACCGTCGAGCAAGCCCCAGGTGTAGCCGCCAACCATCTACACCATCCTTCCTGAAGGATGAGGCAGGTCAGGCATCGGGCTTGACGATACCGGCACGAGAGGAAGACGAGGGTACCCCTGAATCTGCCTGGATATTCCAGGACCAAAATGACAGAACAGTAACACCAGACCGATGGTTCACGTCCCTGTGGACACTACAAGAAGCATGCCTCCGGCCTGATATGATACTCTGCGATCGAGAATGGAACGTCTTGAGTGTAGGTGAAGGTGAATGCCAGATGCCGATTCCACTTGATCACCTAGTCGTGCTGTTTGAAAGACCGCACCCCCCAAAGTTGAAAGATGTGCCTGCAAGTGTACACGAGGCCAAGCTCCTTCTGAGCTCGAGTAGCCTTCGAACCTTGGTCAACATGGATCCCATCGATATCATCATACTCGGCGAAATGAGATACTGCGAAGATACCAATCGAGCTGTGGCAATCATGTCCACTCTAGGGCTTGTGGATTGGCACACAAAAAGCTCGCCTGATAGTATCTAGCGCGACCCGAAAGAACTTGTGCTCAGGAAGTATCCCCTAGTTTTCCTGCAAGAGTGCCATCGCCGGTTTGGTTCGGTTCTTTTCTCGTCCTATGATGTGCGCAATTTGGACGAAACCTTTTACGAGGTTCTTGTGCTAGACCAAGACATGGTCGATAGCTTGAGAGGATCATTGTTGCCATTTTCGTTGGGTGTGCAGGATCCGAGGTTCATGGCTGTGTTCATGTGTATCGAGGATCATCCCGTAGTAGCTACGTGGCTTATCGAACGCGATGGGTCCACGCAATTACCCCACGCCGGATTAATTGCGTCCTACTTTGGTCCAACTTTGAACAGCGGGCACGTTGATGCCGATATTAGGCCTCGCCGGCGGGACCTTCTCAACCCCCGGTCACTTCAAGATCTGAATGATTGGATGGGTTCCTTCCGGCCGAATTCCGAGAAGCATGCAGTTTGTTTGTTCCGAAACCTAACGAACAGTTGCTGGGGAGTGATTCTGGAACGGTTGGATCCAGGAGGGAACAATTTTTTGAACGTGGGCACCTTTGACACTCCAGAATATCCAGTCGGGCATCCGCGTCGACGTTTTATGTTTCCAGCAACTGTGCAGGTCAATTGGCGCGTCATTTAGGTTTTAATTCTAGAGATAAGTCTCGAGAGCTGACGCCTTGCAGTCCAAATTCAAGGCGAAACCTTGACCTATGAGCACTGTCGTCTACAACACGCCGTGTATGAGGTGGCTTAATACAAACCTAGTAGCCTATAGATATGATCTTGGGATCATGAACCACTCGTGTCTAAGCAAAAATCGATTGAACCTCTAATTTATCACGTTTACGGCAGGACTACCTTGGTGTAGCCCACACTCCCATGGAGCCCGACCATGCAGACCCACCGAGACCATAAACAGCTCATCTAAATCCTCGAGTTGTCGGGCGCAAAAATTTGTCCCCCACGTTATAAGCCTACTCGCTTGGTAGAGAGCAAATGCATTCTTTCTTTGTTGAATCAGCCAACATTTGTTGGGGGAGCTCAAGCAATACGCCCAAACAGGCCAGCGCTTGTTTCCCATCCAAACCCCCCCCCAGTCAAGTAATCATATTGCAAAGAGACCATGTCGCTCACTTGCAAGTCCGAAACTTCCCATTGGCACAAACCCAATCTGGTCCATTCTCCGTTGCCGCAGTCAAGCATCAACATGCCGAGCATATATGCGTAACGCTCACCTGATGACGGTCCTAGGAGAAGAACTTGAAGTTTTGCTGCACCGAAATGGCCAAGTAGCCATTTGCTCAGCTGCTCTTGACCGGGCCCCGGGGGAATCAGCCGGTAGCCTGACGCTTGAAAACCCGGAGATCCGATAAGCTCGTCCACGACATCAGGGACTATCATGAACATGTCCTTGTTCCTGCTCAGCTCGCTGAATAACCTTTCATTGGCAACACGTCTGCATGCATCAAGTAGACTTTGCAAAGACGCCAGCTTGCCATGCCACCAGACACGCTTCGACCCCTGCGCAGTACTGTCAACACTGAACGAGCAACACGGCTGATCGTCCTCCGAGGACTCCCATACCGAATGCCCTTGCCTGCTCACATCAGAGGGTATTGCCGAGCATGCATTCACGCGCCAGCGCTTTTCGCGTGGCACATGCTCGGTGAAGACGTGAAATTGGCTCAACACTGGATACTTCGTCATAAGCGCCTCGCCAAGCTGGTCTTCAAGCTCAGCAACGGTAAAAGAACAACCAGACTGCACATTAAGCGCAGATTTGCCGAGGCGAAATTCAAAGATTTGCTGAATACCATAGATGCGATCTTCTGGGAAGGTCGTTGTTCGTTGCAAGGCAGCCGCATACGTCGACATGGCATTCATCGATGCTAACGCTTTCAGCCCACGTTTTTCGATGGTTTCTTTCGCTTTCGAGTACATATCGGACCTAAGGGAATGGTTGGCTGCCCTTTCCGTACAAACGGCGCACCATCGCTCGCCGTAGTCGAAGATATCAATGAGTGAAGGCTCGCCGGGTACTTCGGTAGATGCTGGGTACTCTAAGAGCTCGCCATCCCGGTCTAGGATGAATGCGTCGTGGCGAAGGAATGCTTCTTGTAGGGTCCACAGCGACGAGAACCACGGGTCCGCTAAGAAGCTAATGACATGGTCGATGGCTCGCGCATCCTCAGATAACTTCGTCGATGTCGACGCGGCAAAGGTGGACATGGATTCTATCCCTCGCCGCAATGATTGCATGTCCTGAGTTGTCAGCCAGACGCAAACGGTCTGCGCACCCTTGAAGATGGCCGCCTGCCTTCCAATCTCAGCCGCTGACCTAGGCTCTGACGCTTGTTGATCTATACACGCTACGTCCAGCCAGACAAACGCCACCGGCTTCTTTCTTCGCCCATACAAATGGTCCGCAGGCTGTAGGACTGCAGCCTTCCTGAGAACTTGCTCCAACTGCACTGCCGTGAAGTGCGACGGATCTACTCTGGGAATCGGCCATGTTGTGCCTACGATGGGGATGACCGTAATGTCGGGCCTTTCGTGCGGATTCTCGTCGCGTAGTCTCCACCTTCCCCAGGTGTAAGTGATGGCGTTATATTCGGGCTCCGCGATGCCGCCATATATGTTTCCAGGCTGCCACTGGTAGGACGTGAGGCTAGGCACATGGAGGAGCCGCCTTGGCCAGCGCCCTAGCGCAGCCTCTTCCCTTGCCAATTCATTCATCGTGCCTGGTGAGCGATGCTGTGTCCTCGTGAGCGAGACAAGCACTCGCACGTGAAACGAAGCCCCTGTTTCCGCCAAGGGCACTAAGATGAAGCGAGAACATCAAAGCACGCTCGAAACGATCACGTGACTACTTAGGTGCAGTGCCACGTGAGTGCCACGACGTGGACGCCAGTCCGCAGTGTGCCAGCCATGCCAATGCAGCACATCGTGCGGTGAGCTTTTGTTGGGGTATTAGCTAACGACGAAATCGTCCAGTATAGCGGACGCGTGCACCTCCGACGCTGACTTTGACGATGCCTGTCCCTGGCCACTCGTTGTCGCACTGCATGCCGGTCTTGGCGGCTTGGCACACGTGCTCTGAGTCCATCTCGGAATGCGGCCGTATCTTTCTCCGTCCCCTCGTCTGGCATGCTACCCATCTTTCTGAATCACACCAGGAATAGATGGTTTGGAACTAATGGGCGAGCCAAGCCTGTAAATGGGGAGTATATATGGATTGCTGCTGCATCTAGGTTCGTATTCACCACCCCGACCTAACCCCCGTCGCTCAAGCACAGTAGAGACCGCTGTCGATATATCAGGCCACCGTGAAATGGAGCACTGCCCGCGGCGTCTTTTCGCTTCCTTCGGGCATTGCATAGGTAAAGTTCCAGAACTCGAAGTCACTACAGCAAGTCAACCTAGATCCCCGAAATTTGCTGCTGCGGCAAGCCACCAGCACTCGAAACAATAAGGCCGCGCGATACATCAGGCTCCACGATCCCTCCACTGCGTCTTTGCGACGCATATACTAGGGGTATAAGGAAGATGACACTTACTTGATCGTCTCTCCCGCTCCGCCTACCAACCCACTAAACGTAACATTATACCTCGGGTCTACTGTGCCTTCCACCGTCACCTTAATGCCCTCGACGTCCTCCCAGCTCGCCACGTCCCGTTTTCCTGCTTTAGAGTTCGTGCCGACAAGGAACTGAAACGTGCTCGTGCTATTCCCGGCCGGATACGTCATGTCGAGCGTCCATTCTCCGGCCACCGCAACCAACTCTTTGACCTGCGCATACAGTGTCAACCATCCCACGGTCCCGTCCCTCCTGCCCCACTGCACTACTGCGGGGTTGAAGCTATTCGGATTTATGGAGGGTCCACCGATAACGTTCTCTGAGAAGGATTCCGCGCCAATGGTCAGGTTGGGTGAGAGCCAAGTGGTGATGTTGCGCGGGGACGTGTCATAGGGCGGGGAGAAAGCGGACGTGGTCACTGTGTGGCTGCCCGGGAAAGTGGAGAGTGCTGAGAGTGTAGAGGCTGTGAGGAGTGTGTTGTGATAGGGTGCGAGGATAGCGATTAACGGTCCGATGGCGAAGTCGTTTTTGTGGCCCATGGCGTACGGCTATCCACCATCTGTCAGCTCCCGTTCCGTTCTGCGCTCTCGCCGCAGTCTCCGGGGATGGGTTGGGCCTTACCTTCGCATTAACAGGCGTCTTCTCCTTCCCCACGATGGTCCAAATTTGCAACGCCAAAATGCTCAGATACCGATTCATATCGTACCCATAGCTTCGGTCCCACGGCCCCGCTACGTTTTTCAAGTTTGCATTATACAGTTCGCCTAACGTCTTCCACGTCTCCGTCACCATCTTCGCGCCATTCTGCCCCATAACCGAATCAGCCGGCATATATTTCGCCCACAGCGTTAGCGCAAACAGCGACACCCCGGCGTAGGTCCCGGAGTTGAACTCGGAAAGCGTGTTGGCGCGATTAAACAGGTCAATGACTTCTTGTGCGTACATCTCCCCCGCAGCCGTCATGTTGGAATCATTGAGGCGTCGGCCGACCCAGCCTGAGACAAATGCTCGCATGATGGAGGGGTTGCTGTAGGCCGCGTAGAGATTGTCGTCGTCGACGCCGCCTACGCGGTAGCTGTCGCCGATGGTTGTGTTGTATAGGCTCTCGAGCATGCGGTTCTGCGTATCGTGTGGAATGAGGTCCGGGAATTCTTCGAGCATGAGGATAAAGGTTGTGCCGACGAAGCCTCTCCAGTTTGGATCCCAGGAGTTGTAAATCACGGGCGGGTATTGAGCAGTCCCTACGGTGGGCTCTTCGGGGTAGATTTGGTAGTCTCCGAACCTGTTTAGCGTGAGCGGATGGAGAAGGTATAGCTATCATAACAGCCATCTAAAGCTCATAAAACGAGCTGTAGCTTCAATCAGAGCACCTTACCACTGCTCACTCCGGTTCTTATGCTGCCCTAATATTACATTCTCCACAATCTTAGTCGCCTGTTGAGCGTTGTCCCCCTCGTTCCTCGCCAACAGGCCTGCCGCGTACCACGCCGAAGACCTCGTGTCGTGTGTTAGGGCCCTTGCGTCCAACGAATAGAGGTACCCAGCTTCAGAATCATAGTACATGTCCATCCAATTCATCGATTCTTCGAGCAAGTTGCGCGCGAACCCATTGCGCCTTGTGTGAGAAGCGGCGCATTCGGTCACGACGCCACGGAGAAGAAAAGGCGCAAGGGACCATGATAATAGTGGAACGAGCATTTTGATCGATGCCCACGAGACTTGGGTGGAGGGCGTTCATCGTGGGTACTTCTGTGTTTTTATGTTGACTGGTGGGATAACCTTCGGCGATGACTTTACAGTATTATCATGCGGAGCTCGCTTGCGGATCAAAACACGAACTTTTAGAGAATGCTCCGCGCGCAAAAGTGGAATCTTGAGGCTAAGGTCCGTCGGGGAAATGATCCGAGGGGTAAGAAACACCGGCGCTACGTCGATCTCTAGTAGCTCGGGCCGAATAACTGCAGGGGAACCAATAGTAGATCCATGGCCTTTTGGAAGCATGCGACAAAAATTGCGGTTCCACTCACGCATCTCTAGCTGCACCAAACGCCAGGCTCGGAGTATCCATTGCATCCAATTTCGCTATATCAAGAGAGCCTCTAGAGGGTGGTTCTGGAGGGCATCAATTCTGACACATCTTCCTCAGAGCATTGTCTCGTCATCTTCATGACGGTCAAAACGCAACCTAACGATCGTGAGTCGTTAGATACCCTTTAGATGGCCGGACCCCTCTCTACGACGTAGCTCCCTATGTAAAACCTAACTCAATGCCTTAGACGGCATCAGTCTTATGCTCTGCCATTACTCCCTTCTCCTTCTCGATGACGGCGCTAATGCTAGCCCTGGCTTCTCCCTTGGCCTGTCCACTCACGATCGCTTCTATCTCCTGGTCGAGACGAGAGTGTCCTTTGTGAGTCTTCCAGGCAGGTGGGCCATCCTTGCTGAAGAGCAGTTCGATTTCTTCGATGGTCTTGCCACACGTCTTGGTACGCTGTTAGCAATGCTCCTCGATACATGGAGCTTATGGCTTACCTCAGGGTAGGTCAACCAGAACTGGATGGCACCACCAAAACACAGAGTGCCGAACACGATGAACAGCTTCCACTTGATGCTTAAGAAGGCGGGCGGAATGAACAGACCAATAGCTAGAGGAGTTAGTCACATATTTAGATACGTGAAAGGATATTCATACCAAAGTTGAAGAGCCAGTTACCAATCGCCGCGATACCCATACCCCAGGCTCGGGTTTCAAGCGACCATACCTCGGCAGCGTAAACCCAGCAGATGGGCGCAAGGGTTAGCGCGTATATGATAATGAGGAGGTAAGAGAACGCAATGACCGTGTGGGAGGCCGCTCCTGTTACCCTCATGACGACGTTTGCATTGCCGGCGACACCATCTGAGTAAAGTTAGCACAAAGAGCTGAAACGCAAGAACCGAGAAGCGGGCTCGTACCAGGCACATATTCGTAGTATGTTCCCAGAACACCACCGACAACGTAGTGGCAGACACCCATGGCGATGGCGCCATACACGAGCAGTGGTCTGCGGCCGATCTTGTCGACGAAGAAGAACATGATGGTGGAGAAGATGATGAACAGTGCATACTGCACACCGGACGAGATGAGGTTGACGTTCCCCTTAAGGTTAGCCATGTAGAAGATGTACACGACATAATAGGTCATGACATTCGCTCCAGACAGTTGCTGCCACGCCTGGACGGAAAAGCCGGCAAGAGTTCTCTTCCACATGCCGTTCACAACGAACTTCCTCCAGCCGGCGGGTGCCAGCCGCTCCGCGATGAGGACGGCCATGATCTCCTCATACTCGGCAATAACATATGGGTCTTCGAGATTTCCACCGGCTTGAATGTTGGCGAGGACGTGGACGGCTTCATCCTGACGGTCGACCTTGGCTAGCCAGCGAGGAGATCGGGGAAGGAACGGCAGGCCGACCATGAACAAGACACAGGGGACAAACTGGATGCCCCACGCCGTCCTAAATGACGCAGTCTTTCCAGGGATGAATTTACAACCGTAGCCAATGAAGTACATGATCAGGATACCCCATTCGATGGCCAACTGCTGTATGATAATAATGGCCCCACGTTGAGAGTGCTTTGAGATTTCGGCAAGGTAGACGGGAACTTGCGAGGACGTGATGCCAACAGTCACCCCGTTAAGCACGCGTCCGGCGATGAGCATGCCACGGCCATTGCACGCAACCTGGAGGGCCGTCCCCAGGAGCCACCACAAGCAGGCGAACATGAGCGAGTCTCGACGGCCAAATTTGTCAGAGATGGGGCCAGCGATAACTGAGCCGACCACCGAGCCTGCAGCGAGCGCCGAACCGATGGCGCCCTGAGCAACGCCGGACGGATTGTCAAAGTAGTCGCTTGGGCTGTGTTAGACCTGTCTACGGCTGAAGGGCGAAATACTCACAGATACTGGTCCGTTCCGATAATGGCGCTCATCGAGGAGATATCGAATCCGAAGAGCATGCCTCCCATGGTTGCGATGATGGCGAGGAAGTAGACATTGTAGATCTTTGGCAACGTTGGGAGCCCCATGGTGATTGGCAACGCTCTTTGCAGTCGGTGGAGGGAAGAATAGTACGGCTTGTCGCACGAAACTTGCGGTGATAGCTCATATATACGCCACGAGAGGCCGCTTGCGCGCTGCAACGGTGCCCGCTAGAGCTATTGCTCCGATGGCTCTTCCCGAGCTGCGAGTCTCCCGCGGTGGCTAATTCGGCAGGCCGATGTGCAGCCTTGGCTTCCAACTGTTTTTCCAGGCTATAGAGACGATGGCCCTTGATGCCGGGGTATCACAGAGCGAGACGCTGGCTGCGGCTGTTCCATTGGTGGAAATTTGGTGCGTGATCTGGGGAACCCGCACCGGGGTGAGCTAAGCGTCGTGGAGGCCTCCTCACCCGCGTCGAAGAGCCGTAAGTGGCGTTGCTGCGTCGATCTTGTTTCAACGGCTCTCGATGTGGCGTCCGTACGGGAATAATGCTTCGACGTCGTGGTTGCGTTTTCGGGATTAAGAGTTGTTGGGAGCCTTGGGTCCAGGGCCGAACCGCACATCGAGCAGGCAGAGGGGGATGAAAGGAGAGATAAGCACATGTCAGCGGTATGTGGGATGCGAGAAGGTGCATCGTGCCGCATCGGAGTATGGCCGGTTGGCGTCCGGCTAGTCAAGTGCAATAGCATCATTTCATCTCCTGGAAGGACTGCCCAAAAGTGAAGCAATCCCGCGAGGGATTCCCCTTGGCCGTTTCTGTTGAAGACGTCGGGTCAGTAGCACGAATTTCTAGGTGTCAAGACTACCTCTACCCAGAGCCACTGCTCTTCGTTGCTGGAGACCCGATACGACGTTACAACGGCTCCTGAGAGAACCCTACGTCTCTGTGAACGTGGCTTTGTGCGTCCGATTATTCCCGTATACTGCACCGTTCCTGTGAACGAGACCCATCTGCGCCGAGTCTTCTGGAACTTGGAGCTGTCCCCGGTTGCGGGAAGACGGAAATGCATGCTGCATCTCCTGTGATCGCATATCGGAGCATTGCCAGCGTAGCGGAGACTGCTGATCCACGATCAGACCTGCAAGGCACGGTCAGCGTGGGTACTGAAGAGATACGGCACGTGGTCCACCCATGCCAGTAAGACGCCTTTGCTCTTAAAGCACTCCGTTTCCTAGAGGGGTGTTCTCTCAAATTGCCCATAGCGGCTTTTCATTCGAATTCACATAATCATGATCTCGGCAGCCTGCATACCGCATACCGCCAAAGTAAAAGTCTTCACCGCCTTCAGCCCGTACCTTTCCACAGCCATCGGCACCCAGAAACGATACAGCACGCAAACCCACGCATGCACACACGCTTCCGTTCTTTTGTAACCTTTCGCCATCGTATATCTATCGGCTAAGCCTTCCTTACTCATATATTAGTCAGCAATGGCCTTTTGGTCTAGTGGTAGGATACCTGCTTAGGGATTTCTGTCCTATAATGCAGGTGGTCCCGAGTTCGAACCTCGGAAAGGCCCGCCTTTATTTGCACTGTAGTTTGGCAGCCGGTGTACTGGAATGCCTCATCTTTTTGTACTGGGTTAGCCTTTCTCAGTCTTGACGGACTGAGGACGCATCTTGTCTCGTCTATCACGAACAGGTAGGTAGTAGCAGAAGCTTCACAGCACACGCTCAATATATGCCGTACTGTGTGATGGTGCCTTTGCGTGCGGTTGGCGGTTGGGAGTTAGCGATATGCTCCCCATTTGGGCCTAGCACAGAATCCCATTGGCCATAGCTCCTTCGCTTCGTCTCGCATCCCGCGGGCTCCCACATCCACTCCAGAGTCCAGGCAGCAGTCCCCTTATCCACCGCTGTGTTCCGCAACGCCTTTTTTTTTTCTTTCTCGTTGGCTTGCTTGTACGATATGTTTCGTCTCCGCTGGCCATACCTGGAGAGCCCTGGGTCGGGGGCCTGGGGCATGCCGACTTCAAATCAAAAGTGAGTCCCGAGGTCTGATATTTGCGGTTTCGATGGCTAGTTCGGATGTGGGCATGGTTGCTGATGGTTTGTAGTTTTTGCGAGGAGGTATGCACACGCATGGCTTTCTGCTTTCCGGCTAGGGCTTACCACTCATAAAGGACTACATAATAACGACGTACATTGCCGAGTTCATCAACACGCTTACGAACCTCACATATGGTATGGCCACAGATTCCACTTTGCCCGTCCACATGAGGAGTGTTTTGAAGATGACTGACGATCCCAACAGTCATTTACGGTGCCCACGGCCTCCGGAGAGTCCAACCTCGCAAAGACGGAGGGCTGTTCTCAACTCTTGCCTTTCCGTATTGGGCCCTCATCGGCGTCGGCGTACTCTCTGGTTGGTACCATGCTACGTTGAAGTACCATAGTCAGATGGGTAAGAATTGTTGCATTCTTTGCGGAGGTACACCTCTTCCACTTGGGATACTCCCGTGCCGCCAAATGACAGCCTGGAGAAGATCAAGCCAGGCGTAGCGAGGCTTCAGGCAATGCTTATTTGGCAGCATTGAACATCCCGGGGGCTCCGGAATGGTCGTCTTTGCGCCGCCTATCTCTCCTTACTTCGCGTCTCTGCCGTCCTCCGCGACCAAAGCGTCTCCTCACTAATGCTTGCAGGCGATGACCTTTCTATGTTTCTCGCCGTAGGCGCTCTCCTCCACCAACTCCTCACCTTTGAAGCCTCCCAACGCCAACGGCTCATCATCACCGCTGCCATCCTGGGCACCCTAATCCCCGTCTCCATCTACCACTGCGTGACGGACGAAATCATCGTGCATGAGGTCGCCTTCGGCGCAATGGTCATCATGGTAGGGCGCAAGATCCGGGAGCTCATCCGCGAAAGGATCAAGAATGCAGAGTCGCAGAGGAGGCTGCGAAGAATGGCGAGTTTTGGCACGGGTACGAGCCCTTAGCCTCGTTTCGTTTGACCGGGAAAAGGTGGTTGACTTTATCGCAGGTAGTGGCTTATTCGGCTATTTCCTCTGGAACATTGACTACCACCTCTGCTCCTACGTCACCCAATTCAAGCGCTCTATCGGACTCCCATGGGGTTTCTTGTTCGAGCTGCATGGCTGGTGGCATATTTTGACTGGCATTGGCGCATACGTCGGTATGGCGCTCGTAGAGTATCTTGTCACGATTGAAGAAGGGAGGACAGATCGGATTGAGGAAGGCTTTGTGTGGCCCGTACGGGCTGTCTTGCGAGATCTGGGGCGCTTGGAGGGAGAGAGCGAGGGGAAGAAGGCTCGGTAGCCGTTGAGGTAGGTCTCGGTGTAAGTCGAAGGGAGCTAAATAGCATGGCAATGTGTGTAGATAGACTAGAGATTCAGCTTAGACGCCATCTCATCAATCGTATTTCCAAACCTTTCGCACCTATTGCCGATCCTCGGTACATTCACGAACAACATCTGCATTGGCCGCGAAAACCCTCACGTCGGTCCGGCCATATCCACCAAACCGCAGAATCTCCGGCGACCCGACTCAACACACCACCGGCCCGGAGCAAAAAGACACCTGAAGATCCGCCCCGTTCACGAACATTCACCAAACGTAGTAAACGGGTTCCGGCTTAATCTGTCCTCCGCTTCGCCTATGTCCACCGTTAACTCCATGTAGCTGAGATGGGTGGTTGTGATTGGCCGACGGCGGTATTGCTTGTCTCCGAACGGCGAGGTGGGGCGCTCGCGGCGCAATAACGTCAGGGAAGTTGTGATTTTGACGAGACGTACCAAGGCATATATATATACCCAAGGCATAAACCATATAAATACTTGGGTGAAGGCACAGCCCAAAGAGTACCGAGTACAGCAATTGCGAAGCATTCAGCTCTTCACTACCCGCACGAGAGCACTGAACGAACTCAGGCATCAAGACATAATGGTCAATCTCGCAGGCAAGGAAGTAGGAGACATTGGGTACGGCCTCATGGGTGGGTTTTCAGTCACGACAAGTTACCTTCCTGGGCTAGGACTGATGGAGTGAGCAGGCCTGACATGGCGGGCAAATCCACCTCCACAAGAGCAAACCTATGAATCAATGCGCACCGCCCTGGCGCTTGGAGCCAATGCGTGGAACGGCGGCGAGATTTATGGCACCCCTCAGCGCAACTCTCTGCACCTCCTCAACGAGTACTTCACCAAGTGGCCAGAGGATGCCGAGAAGGTCGTGCTTTCAATCAAGGGCGGCGTTGTGCCTGGCGGGCTCCAACCTGATGGGAGCAAGGCGAACGTCACGCGCAGTATCGAGGAGTGCCTGGCGGTCTTGGACGGCAAGAAGTTTCTCGATCTGTTCGAGTGCGCGCGGGTCGATGTGCGGGTGCCGCTCGAAGAGACTATTGGAACGATCGCGGAGTACGTAAAGGCGGGCAAGGTGGGCGGCATCAGTCTGTCCGAGGTGGGCGCGAACACGATCCGCAAGGCGCATGCTATCCATCCTATCTCCGCGGTGGAGGTTGAATTTTCGCTGTGGGCCACCGACATCTTAGAGAATGGTGTGGCGGCGACGTGTGCGGAATTGGGCATTCCCATTGTCGCATACTCACCCCTGGGTCGAGGGTTTCTGGTACGAAGACCTGCCTGATGGTGTAATCTGCACAGCTGACGCTTGCCAGACCGGACAGTACAAGACGGCCGGCGACGTGCCTGAGAACTCGGTTATGAAGATGTTGCCGCGGTTCCAGCCAGACGTGTTCGACGAAAACATGAAGCTCGTACTCGAGGTCGAAAAGATTGCGACCAAGAAGGGCTGCAAGCCAAGTCAGATCGCCATCGGCTGGATCCTCGCCCACAGCGGGCAGAAGGGAATGCCCAACGTCATTCCGATCCCGGGAGCGACCACCCCGGAGCGCATTGCGGAGAATATGAAGCCCGCGAAGCTGGACGACGACGAGATGGCCGCGCTCGAGGAGATTCTGAAGCGATTCCCGCCGATTGGTGCGCGGTACCACGAGGCGGGCATGAAGCACGCGGAGCTGTGAGGAGGGGGGGCAACGGTATCGTGGACGCCTGTAGCAAGCCGTGTTCGCCTGTAGCAAGCCGTGTTAGCCTTGTGCCGCGATGTAGAGTGTGAACGAACGGACGGCGCTTGAGGAAGGGGGTCAGATCAAGTGTAGTGAATAGAGCAGTCCGCATTCGGCTTCTGTGAGCGAAACCGTTGGCATTGCAGAACTCGATGCTTCATCAGGAGGGCGGGGAGAGGACTTGGCTCAACAATGGCTTACCGTGTGTACTCTCGCGCGTCGCGATGGGCCAAGCTGGCGGAGTGGTGGGAAGTCGGGTAGTAATGAGAAAGCTGCCATGTATTGCTGCAGCTACAGTGCCAGCCAGCATCGCGGCCCGTGCTCTATCTGACCGACCCGCGCAGCCGCCGCTCCCTCCTCCTCGTCCTCCGGCCCCCCCAACCTGCCCATCGAGACGCGCGCATTTCCCCCACCCGCCGCCGCAATGGACTCGCCCAACTCGGACCTCTCCGACTACGCCAGCGACGACTTCCCCGACGACGTCAAGATGCGGCGCCTCTCCATCGAGCACACGCCCGACCACGAGCCCGCGGCGCGCCCCAGCAAACGCCTGCGCCTGCACAACCGCGCGCCCTCCGACCCGCCCGCGACCAACATGCCGCCCACCGACGACTTTGGCGACATCTCAGAGGACACGGATGGCAGCGTGCCCGCGTCGCCGCACCACCCCGGCATGTCGGCCGACGACGACTACGGCCAGGACCAGGTCAGCGTGTGCAAGTGGGAGGGCTGCGAGGCGGGCGACCTCGAGAACATGGACAATCTGGTCGAGCACCTGCACGAGGACCACATTGGCACGCGCCAGAAGAAGTATAGCTGCGAATGGAGCGACTGCTCGAGGAAGGGCATTCCGCATGCTAGCGGCTATGCGTTGAGGGCCCATATGCGCAGCCACACGCGCGAGAAGCCGTTCTACTGCACGCTGCCGGGTACGCCGTGCCTCACCTTGCTGCCTCCTGGCGCCGTGGCTAATCTCAGATGGCGTAGAATGCGACCGCTCCTTCACCCGCTCTGACGCCCTTGCGAAGCACATGCGCACCGTCCACGAAACCGAAGCCCTGCGCCCCTCCGACCCCGTCCCCAAGCACCACTCCTCGAACCCCTCCAACAAGTTCCAGCGCATCAAGCTCGTCCTCAGCGAAGCAAAAAGACACGCCGAGAAAGGGTCCGCGCCCGCCTCGCCCTCCTCGCATCCACCGAACAGCGCAACGGCCCCCCTGAGCGCAGACGCCGAATACGCGCACAACAACGTCGTCTACATGCAAGACCTCGCGTCGCCGAGCGCGCCGACCATGGTGCAGTTCCCGCCCGACGTGGCCTTCACACCGCACGAACTGGCGCTCCCCGCACCAGACCTGTTCCGACTGCTCCGCCGGCAGTTGCACTGGGCAACGCAGGAAGGCGAGCGACTCCGCGCCGAGGCCGAAGCCCTCGAGAAGAAGCGCAAAGAAGAATGGGCAGCCAAGGAGCTGCTCATGGAGAACATTATGGAAGCAGAGCTAGCCACGACGCGGCGGAAACGGATAGATGCAGGTTTGGCACATGAGCCCGAGCATATGGCACTTCTAGCGAAGGACGTAGCGCCATCGAAGAAACTGAACATCGAGCCCAAGGCGGGAAAGATGCCGTGGTGGCGGGAAGAAGCATGGTTGAACCGGCATGCTGAAATCAAGGAACCGGCAGGCGGGGCGCTATTACTGGAGCTGCGGCCGGGTGACTTGGAGCGAGAGGCGCTTGCCGTTTCCGAGGCGGTGTGATTCAGCCTGTGGGACTACTTCACATCTTTTCTTTGCTTGTATTTACTAGCACGTGGTGACTCTGGACGCGGGCGCGCTCTAGGGACACCGCAATCCCGACTTCGACCGCCTAAAGGCTGCCGATCAGCAATCAAATGGCACATTCTCTTTGCCATTTGCGCCTTATATCGCTTTTATCATCAAAGACTTATGGATACCATTGCAATCCAAGGTTTGGTAGTGTACAGGATCAGCCAAACTCCATTCCGTTTTAATGTTCCGCCAAACGCCTTGCTGTGGCCCCATGCGTCCTGCTTGATGTGTCGAGTGCTCTTTGCTAACCACAGCCAGACCATGTCATGCCCCAGGGAAGGAAACCTCTTCACTAGGTCCAGTACTTTATCTACCCTTCCTCTTATCCGCCTCTGTATTCTTGAATGGAAACCCACTCGTCCGCTTATCTGCCCCAGTCTTCCGGCTAATCCTGCCATCGCTGCTGGCAAACAAGATGCACCACAGCGCGACGGCGCACAGAAATCCGCTTCCGATGGTGCCGAGCCCGAACGACACAATGCCTATTTCAGTCCATAGGCCGTATTGGTAGAAGCCGCAGGCGGCGTGAAAGAAGGCCGTAATTGTCAGGGTGGGGAGTGCGTACGGCGCTTTGGGGTCTGAAGCGGATGTTGTTGCTCCTGAAAAGATGAGTTAGTGGCATGTGCGAGATTGATGAAGGGTTTGCGGATAGCATGGAAAAGGAGGGAGTAAATGCACCTTCGGATAGGCGGCTGGAGAGTGGGACGGAGCCGGTGAGGAGCACATTCATACAGCCGATCGTAAGGAGGGCGAAGCCGAGCAAGCGGGAGAAGTAGACTTCGAGGGCTGCGCAATGTCGTCAGTTGATTTGAGAGTGCTCCAGGCGTGGCTTTGCATACTCGATGCTTCTCGGACTTCGGGAGAGAGGAGGGCTACGATCATGGTCGGCGACGCGATCAAGGGCGCCGCTTGCATTGCTGTCCCTTTGATTTAGCCGCGATGACATTCACGAGAGCTCATCAAGCTTACCCATCCATGCCGCCGTTCCATAGCTGTAGAAGTAGTAGACCTGCACACGACGTCAGCTGTCCTTCTCCTGCCCCCGCTGCCACTTCTTAACCCCGGACGCCTTACATCCATGGTGTCGACGGTAGTCAATTGAGCTCAGAGGTGTTATTTGCTGGGATCTTCGAAGTTTGCAGGTGTGTTAAGATCAAGGAAGGAGGATGTGAAGGATTTAAAGGGTTGCGTGCGTGAGCTGTACCGTGCCTGGCAACAGCTACGTCATTCCGATCGCATGTGCTCTTTATGGAAGGATCAAGGCCCGCGCTAACCCTAGTCTAGCGTGCGCGGTTCCAAAGCAGGCCGGCCTGCCCAGGTGATCGGCAGCGAACTGAGCCGCTTTCTTGTACTTCGTCGCTGCCAAGTTGGAGTGAATTGCTTACTTCAATGTATATCCCAAGAGATGTCACTAAGCCTTAATATCATCCCACCCAACCCCATACATATAGTGAAGAGGAACACAGCTTTCAACGCCAGCTCAAGGCCGTATCAAACAAACCTGAGCTTTCTACAATGCGGGGTATCCTTTTCCATCGACAATTATCTCCTCCCCGGTTCAGGGAAGTCTTCTATAATCCACTCCTCGCTACCGCCGTCATCCTTACCGCCGCGCTTTGGGCTCCCAATCTCCTCCTCCCTTACGACCACAGTCTTCACTACTATCGTATTATAGGGCATATCAGGATGGTCGTCGCCGCTGGAGCTCGCCCAGGCAAAATTCCTCCGCTCCTTATCCTCTGGGTTCATCTCCGCAATGGAGATCGCATGCTCGTATTGCTTGTCCCGGGCTTTGCTGGAGCTGTCGAAGAGAGGTTGGAACGGGAAGGATTCCGGGTGGGTGGCACGTCCTGTACGGCCGTACGTCGCGGGGCGTGTATTGGACTTATAGGAACTGCCGAAAAGCCGAGGGAAGACGACGGCCATCACGGGCTTGACACCAGAGAGACAGCCGCAAATGATGCCAATGTTCATTTCGGTGGTGATGGCAGCGTAAACGACACAGGCGTTCCCTTCAATTTCTTTAGCAACACGCCTCCTAAGTACCATCACAGATGCTTACAAAGAAGGTCATAAGATTTGAAGTAGACTTCCAAGTAATACATCCTACGACAAGCCATGAGCAAGTCGGGCCACTAGACACCGAAGGGGGAAAGGGGGAGGGGGACAAACCGAATGATGCCGGCAACGCAAACGAGGCAGCCAACGGAAAAAAGGAGAATAAGTCCGAGACGCTGCTTCAGAGGGAGCTGCAAGCTCCACAGTGGTTTGGCCGGCCATCTGGAGGAGTTAGCTTGCTCCGTCTGAATCGGATCCTTTTGCACTTACAAATAGACGAGGAAATCGCTTAGGCTGTTCAATGCCGCAATAGAGATGAGCGTTGCACGCATGTTGATACAATGTTGCCCCGCTTGAGTGTCCCAGTACCCCCGGATTGGTGTGCACCTGTAGTTATTAGCTGGGAGCTCTGGTGTGTAGAGCTTAAGGCATTACTCACTGGAAGAGCATGAGGAAAATGCACGCAGCCGTGTACAGTGTCACAAATGCGCCGAGAACGTAACAGAATATCCTATCCTCCCGCGATGGGAACAGGCGAAGGTACGTCAAGCACAACGATATCTTAGTTAGGGAACACGATATGGGGAAGAGAATGTCCACGACAAATCCCATCTACAATCCCTATTAGTCTTTGAGCATGCGAGTGAGAGCATCACCTATCGGAGAGTGGGGAAAGAGGATAGGAAAGCACCTTATTGTACGGTACGTGCCACTCTGGTTTTTGGTCCCAAATATGGAGCCCAAGGCCAAAATTTAGAGACGCAATAGCCATTACTGATACTGGTAACGAGAAGATCTAGTTGATCGTCAGCAACTGATAGCAGACATAACACGTTGAATGCTTCGCTGGAGAGTTCCCGGCTCATTGGCGTGGTGTTAGCGCGCAATGACCGTGGTGATGGGAATGAGAACTTAAAGCCACATACCCCAGCGGCGAGCATGACCCAGTCATCTATCCCCAGCGCCTGTCGAAGCACTCCTTTACCGTAGAATCGCATGGCGGTGAACACGACAACGAGAGCCATGAATGGGGCAGTGAGCCCCAGCAGGATCGGACCGCGATTCTCTGGATGGTCGAAGTTCGGTGCCGGCCAGGAGGCGATCTCTTCCGGCGTTGCGGATGCCATATCCTCCAACTCATGTAAGATGGCCTGATGATATGAGGTAGGGAAAGAGTAAGACAGTAGGGAAGTGGGTATACAGGGTGACGACGATCGTGTATACTCAGAGGGGTTAACGAAGGTGGAGATCGCACGCAAAAGGGGAGAATACCTGAAAGGAATGGTCCAAGATAAAGATGAACACGGTTCGGCAAGCTTCCCGTGTCTCGAGCCCTTCTTTGTTTCCATTGGGTGCGGAAGTTTGGGAATGCATCCGGCGTCTCTAGTCTCATCCTTGGCGGCTCGTGGGAGTTGTTGCACCGTCGCGGAGGATCCGGTCTCGGATCAATGCGTGAGCTGGGTTGCTGCCACCCCATGGGGGAGTGAGGCTAGCTCAGCCTAACCGCGCGCCACCATGTCATTAGGGCAGCGCCACTAGCGCCATCGGGGAGCTAGTGACACACCTTGCTGCTAGCTAATTTCCTAGATGGTAAGTTGAATGTATCGTTGTCGGGCCTTTTCAATTCATTGCATGACTCTAGGTCGCTCTGTGTTATTGTTTCGAGTCAGGATTGTTGCAAACATGGAGACTTGACATGCGCATCAGCAAGATTAGAGCCCAGTGGAGGGTAGTGAATTCAAAAGCGATTCTCGTAGGCACTCCCAGGATGCGGAAGCGTGTAGGAGAAACGTGGTTCCGGAATCAACTATTAGAATGGAGATGAAGCTAGCCAAAGTATCCTTAACGCTGGAAATGCCGGACGCCGTGGGCTCGCAGGATTTGCGGGGCGTTCTTGGAGAGCATGATTCTGATGCCCAATGTTAGCTTGGACGTGTCTCAGATGTTCACAGCGCGGACGCGCCGAATGCCCTCTCGACGACCTGAAGCGTCGACTCGAGAAAGGACTTTCTTGGTTCGCGTTGCCAAAGGGATCGGACAACAGCACACATCATTGCGGGAGTAAGTTGTGCGGAGGCCCTAAAAGCGCCCTTCGACGCTCAAGGTGGAAAAGGGACGATTCCGCATATCGTTTTCCGAGAGCTGCAGCCACATTACACCGCCCCCATGCGCCACAATGCTATCAACCTTTCGATCTCGTCTGTTGTTTTCTGGAGGCTGCAGAGACGAGTAGTTTGGAGGCATTGATTAAGAAACGTTGGCGCGGGGTGGACGACTACGGTCTTTGGCCTCCTAGTTATTCCTTCACTCCAATCCTTCCTCCCCCTATGGCCAAGGTTGGGAATTCTATGATATATTGAACTCTGTTTTGGATCCGACCCGAACGAGAGTCGGAGGAGGCCATCGCCAGGCTCATCAAGCCGAAGATACGGCTCGCTCTACTCCTGGCAGTAGTGGATTTGCTTCCCTTGACCTTTTGTGATCATTGGATCAGCCCAGAATACACAACCGCTCTTCTAGAAGCCCACCCTGCCAGCACCGAGCACCTTCGCAGCCTTGAGGATGATGCGGAAGCACATTCCCACGCCAACAACCCAAAGTCCACTCCTGATCGCAGTCGGTCCTTGCGTCGTGTGCGTGAGGTAGACAGCCGTGTATGCGAGTCTCAGCGAGGAAAGACGCCGCGAATCCCGTCAGACCGCCGATGCCATCTCACTTCAAGCCCGCCATATTTCCCAAGACCACGGCCGTAGCAAACAGCGGAAGATTCTCCATCCCATTGGCGTGGCATGCCTCAGCGCGCTCGTACTTGGCGTAGGTCTCGGCGTCGAGGCGGTCCTTAAGCTTAGCCTTCATGTCGGTAGAGCGCGGGTTGCGGTTATCCCAGTTGCTGAGCTTGCCTTGCGTTGCGGCGTATAGGGCGTAGCTGTGCGGGAAGACAGAGAGGATGTAGAAAGCCGGAATGGCGAGAATGGAAGGGTTGTAGGTGCCGAGAGTTGAAGACATGTCTGCTTGTCTAGACTAGCGTTCGCTGGCTCTAGTCGTTGGCCGTTATTTTGGTGGTTTAAGGGAATGATTTGAGAAGAAAGGGCTGACCTCTGGCGAGAGACGGGATTACTGTGTTAAGTATATGGGGTGGAACGCACGACCTGAGCGCCATGACGTCATTGCTCTTTGGGGAGCTCCAGCGCTACCTTCCACTGATACGCACGTTGAGCGGCTCAGGAGCATGGCTACAGTCTCTATCCCTAAAAACCATTGTACACAACGTGCCTAGTATTTGCTGCAGGTAAGCTTTTACCTAGGTATGTCCGGCCTGGTGTCTTGTGATTGGCCGCCATCTGAAAGCGGTATAGCGCTGAGAGCCCCCCAGGTGGCTGCCGACCAACTTTGGAAGTGTGAAGCCGCTGATTCGTCTACGCAGCGTACGGATAGATTACTTGCGAAGGACGCCCGGATCACGAAATAGAGAATCGAGATAGCCTTCTTTTGGAAGATTGAGGGCCCTATGGATTGCTCAACTAGCAAGGATGCCACTTCAGATTGGATGACTGCAAAGCGCCCCGAATTTCTAGAGCCTGGTTCTATTCTCCTCACATGAACGAGGTGTTGAGCCCTAGAAAGACACTGTCCCAGTCGAAGTTGTCGAGAGTGCCCTGCTCAATGCCCTGTACAAAATCGTTCATGTAAGACCAATCCTCTTCATTTGAAACTCCCTCATTGGTTTTACCAGTGGTACTGCCCCTATTGCCTGCGAGCATATCCGATAGCACTGTGGGGATAGGTGCTGAGGTAGAAACGCTGTATAGGTGGGAGCCTGAGTCATGAGGCGCTGATAGAGGCGACGCAGTCGGAATATGTGGCACCAAGTGTGGTTGAGCAGCGGGTTTTGGCGGCGATATTTTATGCTTGCGGAAAACGTGCACTAGCGAGTCGAGAAATCTGGCAGCAGTCGGCGACTCGTTCTTGGCATCTTCGAGCATTCTAAACGCCTGCGCAAGCTCCCCTCGATGGCTCTCATGATGAGGGGACGATTTATTATGGCAAAGGTCTATGAGAAGTACTATACTGGCCATGGTAACCGAGACCTTATCGTAGATCAGCTCATACTCCCGTGCTATGATACCTGCTAGCGCACTTACTAGGAGGCCTAGGTACTTGTAACGGCCCGCTACAAATAGCCCAGAGCTTTCCAGTTTCGATTCCGTTTGGATTATGAGGCAGGCGGATTGAATGCATATCTCGCGGGATGGAGCATATTCAGGATCCAGAAAGCCACGACTCACGAACGGGAGATGTAGCTTACACCGCTGTGCGTAGAATAGCGAATGAAACATGTGTCCTTGGCGAATGATGCTTGCTGCTCGCGAAGGATCGACGCGATAAGTCTCAATCAAGTCCAGAACTGACATGGAGAAGAATGGTGGGAGGTTGTTCAAGAGTAGTTGTAGCTCAGTGTCGATGTCCATAACAGCGTCATAGCTCAGCCCGCCGGTGTTTGCCATAATGAGAGGAGTGCGGTCAACAATGTTACGGGATATCTCTGCAAGGCGGATTCTCTGCAGGGAATAGGACATTGCAGTGGGTTGATTTATCGGTCGCCCGATCCGAGTCATGCCATCCACAAGGTCTTCATCGTCCAGATTAAGGGGTTTGTTCGTCATCATGTGACGCGGATGGCACTGATATACCCCCCGAGAAATACCGCTAAACCTCGCAGCTAAGGCCCTGATGAGCAATCAGTATGATCAGTCGTTTTGTGCAATACGATACGTTTACCAGTCAGAAGCGACGAGATACCACCACACTCTGCGTCCAATCTCCGCCTGGGCTGAATTCGCAAGGTGCGCGTTGCTTGGGTGGTCGATGCAATGTAGGCTTAGCTCTCGTGCCAGCATAAGGGCCGTGTTATACAAGGACTTGCATCTTCGAAGAAACCCATCAAGATTTCCGGATATGAAGGAGGCAATAATAATCCCCTGTATGCCCTCTATTGATACCCGAGTTGTGCGATGCGCAATATCAAGCACATCTTCCGTCGCCTTGATCCACATTGGCGCTTGTCGATTCGCTTCCCCTGGCGTAGAGAACAAGCCGCGTTCGCAGCAGTCGTGATGCATCCAGACATAGGTAGCACTCGCAAATATGCTTAGGAGTAAGATCATCTCTCCCGACCTAACGTGGCCTTGCTGGTTCAGACGAGAATACACTTCATCGAGAATAGATAGAAGTTTGGGCGCAATGATATGATGAATGTGCTCGATGTCTTGAACGAATTTGTCCAGAAGAATCTTGGCCTCCGAGTATTGTGGCAGCCAGACACACCTTGACGGGCCGGGATGGGTCGAATAGGACGAGCCGTTTTGGTTCATGTACTGTGGCGCGTCCATGATCTGCTGAATAGGGCAAATTTTGAAGACTACCCTATAAGACGGCATCGTACCCTGCAACCAGTTGTTAGCTCCCGATTACCGCGGTAGGGCGGACGGGGCATACAGAACGGTCTAGCCCATTGTAGATACTCTCCAAGAAGGCAACATCGCTATCGAGTTGCTCCATCTGAGGTGGTACGTCTAAGCTGTGTGCTTGCTGTGTGGGGATATCAAAACCGTCAGGAGATGGCCTGACGCGCTGATGCTGTTGTGACTTCTGTTGCTCCAAGCGCTCTTCGAGCCTGCGGATCCGTTCGAGTAGTTCTGACTCTGAAGAAGTGCGGGCTCCAGGGGACTGTCCATTGGGGGCTTCTAATTCGCATTCGATGCCGCGAGACACGCAGTTGGAGCATGGCGCTTCTCTGCTGCAGCGTAGCTTGCGAGACCGGCAGAAGCGGCAGGACACAGGCCTTTGGCGAGGGCCAGTATGCATTTGCGACTCCTTGGGCATTCTGGGAACGGGTTTTCCGCGGGGATGGGACGAGGCAAGGCCAGGTTGAGCTTTGTTCCTGATATTGTGTCCAGACAGAGGGCCGCGGACAGTCCGCGGGGCCGCAGGAGACTATGCAGGGGGACGGCTAGAAGAGGTAGGGCGGCTGCACAGGCTCGGTGCACAGCCCGCGTCCACAATATTTGGGTCCAGCATGACCGGCGAGTGCGAGTGACCGAATGCGCGAGGAGAGTTTGGGCGATGGAGGGAGTTCGCCATAGCGGTGCAGGGGCCGGTTTCAGCTGGCAGCGGAGCTTACTAAGCACGCGCCAAAGTCGCGCCAGTGCCGACGACACGTCAGATGATTCTGGACCCTCCCGAGCATGATCTAGGTCACTGACATATGGCAGCCTTCAAGCCGGCCCAACGCCGGTTCCGCTGCGAGTTCTCCTGCAGCCTTCGTTCTACCTCAAGAAGGAGCTGAGATTTCGATTGTTAATCCGTCCTCGTATCGCTGCGTGGCCTTGTCCCTCATGCCAACGGTAGTATATTACAAGAGGTCAAAACAGACAAAGAGAGCCCAAGGTTCGAACCAAGGTCTGCCGTCGTATTTGTCCCGGTTCCTTTTCACCCCATACGAAGATTATCGTATATTTTGAGTCACTGAGCTAGGTGGTCACATCGGTGACTCAAAAAATATGACAATCTTCGTACTGCGGCTCTTCGGTCAGAACTGGACTTGCGCGAACCTACTTTCTCGGATTCGCTGGCCGAACATCCAAAAGATTAGAGGCACAGGAATGAACGCCACCGCGATGAAGCCCAGGAGCGATGTACCCCATCCCACGTCTAGAGCGTCGTACATACTGTTACCGGCCAGAGGTAACAGGGCGCCGAGGAGGGAGCGGAAGACTGTCGCTGCCGCTGATACAGACGCAGCATACACTGTGTAGGCATCCACTAAGTAGCTACTGGTCGGCAGCTAGCCAAAGTCAGTGTTGTCTTTTGCCGCTGATACTTGCGACTTACGAATATCAGGAAAAGCCCGCTGCCAAGAAAGCCTGTGCCAATTATTGGCGCGATCCAATGCACCTTCTTTTCCGCCGTCCAGCCGTACAAAAACAAACCAATCGGCACTGCCAGGGACCCAATAAACATAACCGGAAGGCGATATTCCGGCTTCGCTGTTCCGCCGTTGCGCTTGGTCAATGTGGTGACGATCCGGTCCGAGGATGCCGCACACAAGATCAAGCCGATGAAGGACCCGATGCCCACGCCCATGTACGTCAATCCGACGCTCCCTTGCGAGAAACCGTACTGGCCTTCGAAGACGCGAGGAAAAGTTGTGAAAAGCAGATATAAGTAGCCATACACTCGCCGGAAATCAGCTTCACACCTTGAAGAGGGTAGCGTAGCTTACCTATTGCTTGATAGAGGCTCATTAATAAGACAATCGGAGACAGGACAAGCATTTTGATTGGTCGCACGATAGAGAATTTGAATAGCTCGGCAGGGTCTCTACCAGTATCCAACGCAGACCGTAGTTGCTGGTTCCCGGTCTCTTTCCGCAAGCGCGTCGTCTTCCGTTGTAGGATCACATACGCGTAAGATTCGCGAATGAAGATGAGGGTGACTATACAGACAACGCCAGCCTGTAACGACGTCAGGACAGTCTCGGTTTTCTGAAGCAGCAACTTACGCATATAGATATCACCCAGAAAATCCAACGCCAACCTTTGGCTTCAGCGAGATAACCCCCAGCTGCTCATGGTTAGTTGGAGGTTTTCAGAATAGCTAATGCGAAGCCATTCCGCACGCTACATACCTAGCGGCCCGCAGGTGGGCCCCAACAATGGTCCCAAAATCCATAAGGCCATGGCGAGACCACGCTTCTCCAGAGGTATCATATCCGCTATCGTCCCGGCCCCAAGAGTGATAGGAGAAGACGCGGCGATACCGGCAAACAGCCGGAACACGATCAGGGATCCCATGCTGTTGGCGACTGCGCAGGCGATGCTGAATATCAAGAAGACGAAATTGCAAACATTGTAAACGATGACACGGCCATAGAGCTCGGAGAGAGGCGCGAGGACTAGCGGTCCGCAAACGTATCCGAGGAGATATACCGTTGTCACAAAAGCGCCCATGGTCTCGTTTGTGGAGTGGAAGGTTTCCATGACCTCTGCAGTAGCTGGCGAGATCATAGTGGAAGCGAGTGGCCTTTCTGCCCTTAGTCATGCTCATTCGGCTGACGGAATGGGAGACTCACGATAGCAAGGTGATGAAGGAGACCACCGCTATAGCGCCGACCTTTTTCACCTTCGGCCAGTTCATGGGATTTGCAGGGTCGTCTGGGCCGTCCCAGCCGACGACATTCAAGTCTTTGTGCGCTTCAGCGTCGGCAGCAGCGCCATCTTCGACCTTGTTGTCAATGTGTTGCTTTTCCACATCTTGCTTGTACTCAAGGTCGTCTTGTTGGTTTGTATCCTCAGAGTGGATTGACGGGTCGCCTCCGATGTCTTTCGAATCGTCCATGCCAGTTGGAGGGGAAAATCTCAGCTTGAAGGCTTTCAGCGGGTAATGACCTAGGGCTAATTGCGAACGGCGGAAAAGAAGGGTCGAGGTGGATCGAGTATAGAAGCAAGCATTGGCAAGAACGGGCCTGGACGGAGAGTGAGTTCAAGCTGTCGAAAGCTCGTCCTGAAGGCGTTGAGCGGGTAACAGCGCGGAAAAGAAGGATCAAGGCGGAGGGAGTGTAGAAGTAAGCATTGGCAAGAGCAGACCCGGATGAAAAGTGAGAATGAGGGTCGTCTTGTTTGCCTTTTAACGAACGGTGTGCGGGCTGCAGGGCTGAAGAAGGATCGATAACGCGCGCCGCCCCGCGGACTTTCCGCGGCCCTCCACCGCATTGGGAGCCGTCGCCGCCTATCGTTCCTGCAAAACACTTGCCCACGTCGCTTTCTCGGTGCGCAGCGGAGTTACGATGCCCGAGTCCGTCCGGGCCTGAAGGCTGCCGGTGATTGGCGGTTACACGTGCAAAAGTGGCCTAGCCAAGAAAGGTCCTGGGGCCGTTTCTGCACACGCCCTTGCCCTGGCACCGAAAGCGGTCTAGCGTGCGCCAAGCCATCACCTTGGACCTCAACCCCCGGCCTGGCTGCTCTCCTGCGCGCACGCTCACACGACTGCTTTCCATCCCGTCACTCGCTCCATCGCAACCGGCGACACAGTGTTGCACCGCCGTGCGCTCTCCGACCGAATGGTCCGCCTGGGCACTGAGTGCGACCGCTGTGGCTTCTGCCTGACAAAGCCACGCGTGACCAGCCCCGTGAAGGCCGTCGCACCTGGGTAGAATGTCTGAGCAGTGCACGAGCTCGCGTCACAGGGGCTTATGGCTGCAACTCAACATTTTGATCAAAAAGCCCCGCGGGCATCTTCTTGATGATGACACCAACGAATACTCACATCTCCAACCACAGCGGCGGAGGCTATGGATGGACCTTTCCGTCCCGCATCGCCTGCGGAAGAGCTTCCCGCGTACTATCAGGACCTCCGCGATGAGGACATCCTTGCATCGTTCAGGGACTTCGATAACGAAAGGAACTTTGACCTGTTCGACAGGCAGACGCGGAACCCGCGGAGCAGCAACTTCTGCATCGACTTCGGCGACGACGAAGCATACTGCGCCTTCGACCTCGGATCTGACTCGTACTCCAGACTGCTTTCATCGCCACGGCCTCCAAACCTACACACGCGATGGATCAACCTGTGGCTGCCATACAACCAAAAGGATATATTGCATGCTCTGGCAAAGCACTTCGACTTCTCCCCTCGACTGCTCGGCCTGATGTGCTCTGATCCCCTACCTCCCAAACGCAGTCTTCTCCACAGCAGCGCTGCTACGCTGGGATCGAGGAAGTCGCACGGATCGAAAAGATCGGGAAAGTCGTCAAAGTCTCGCAAGTCCAAGGAAGAGTCTTTGGATTCAGAGGAGAGCATAGGCATGACGGAGCTGATGCATTCTACGCAGCTGGAGATGGTGCGCGATCTGAGCCACTATACGATTGTTGATGAGATCTGGCACTGGTCGACAGTAGACTGGGGTCGACGCTGTAAGTCTTCGTGTCTAGGTTTAGGGATTCCACTAAGGCTATAACGTACCAGTTGTCTGCTTGGGCTACAATTCCTTGCACAATATTCGCTCTAAGGCCTCTGCCGAACACGACGATGAAATGGACAGGAGCCGAGACATTCCACGCGGAAAGCGGCTATGGAACTGGCTTCTTCTGACAGAAGACAAGACCGTCATCTCCATCTCCGAGGACCCGTTTCCGTTTAGCAATGGCACTCTGAGTGCACACGAGCTCAAGACGCTGTACACGACGCGGAGGAATCTAGTTAGCGTGTTCCGTCAACTGACTAAAGCGCCTACGCCGTTGAGAGAAAGCTCGCTCGTCATGCTTCCTGTTCGCCATCGCATCGGGAACAGTGAGGAAGAGACGGCACATCGGCCGACCGACGCGCCGGGCCTGTTGTTCTACTATCTGTTCGAAGACTGGTTCACCACTTACAGCCTCGTGACGCGGCGCGAGCACGGCTATGCTGCTGAATTAGACCGACTGAGACGAGAGATGCTTGTACGCGCCAATCTGGAGCACGTTGACCAACTGCACCATATTGGCTGCCAACTCGCCGTTCTCAAGCGCGTCTACCAAAGCTACGAGCTCATCATTGAGCGCGTACTCAAAAAGCAAGAAGCAACGCTCGCTTCCCTCAAGAACTCGCACATAGTGTCTGGCGTGGACTCGCTGGCCTCTTCCATCCCCATGGTTGGGCCGCCGACGCAGATTCCCGAAGCCGACAGCTTGCTCGGTGTGTCGCTCAGCTCAGCGGCCAGAGCACGATTCGAGAGGCTGAAGGACCGCATCATGCTATACGCGCTCAGCGAAATCCAGGAATGCATCGACCAGAAAGAATCCTTGGTGATGATGAACTTCAACCTTATCGCGATCAAAGAGTCATTCAGCGTGGAGCGGCTCACCCGGGTCACCCTCCTCCTCGCCAAAGTCACCATCGTCTTCATGCCCGTCACGCTCATGACAGGCTACTTCTCGTGCCAGTTCGCGGGCGTCGAGTTTACAGTCAAGAGCTACTGGTGGGGGTTTGCAGTGGTGCTGGCTGTGAGTCTGGTGCTGCTTGTCTTGTTCAGCTTCTTTAGTGGGACGTTTGAAGGGAAAATTATTACGAGACCGTGGAGTCGCACGGCGTATGATAAGTCGCGCAAGTGGTGGATGCATCGTAGGAAGAGGGGTAAGACGCTTTGATGGCGATACGAGAGCGATGAGTCTGGTGATGGAACGAAGCGTGACCTCTTATATGACATGAGTGTACTTCTGGCTTTCAGATGCATAGCACGGCGGCGTTGGTTTCGATTGAAATGGACAGTATAGAAATTATCACCAATTGTCTTTGGAAGGCGATTCGTCCTTGTCATGGCAACCCTTGGCGTATTCTCTTTGGGCGACCTAGTAACCCTCCGATCCAGCATGACCTTGCCAATCTGTAGACTTTGACAAGCATCTACGCTCGCCGTATCTCCCACTTTACGTTTGTGATACTGACTTCTTCGCCTTCCTTCTCGTCGTAATCGAACCATTCGCCTTCGGAAAGGTCAATGCCGGTGAACTTGGTGTTCGATTCAGTGCCCGTAGCTAGGAACTCCCCCTATGTATCCAGTCAGCCAGCCAGAACGCTGCCGTCCGCACTGCGCTTAGACGCACCTCCGCCTTGAACTCGGTGAACTCGAGCCCTCTGCAGTCGAACTCCAGTATGTTCACCGTCTTCGGTGGGTTCGTCTGGTCATAGCTCGCCGGCGCTGCCTTGATGTTCGCGGAATGCTCTCTCTGTTCCTCATCAGGTCCTGTTCATATAGCGAAGCAAAGGGCGTATCGACTTTACAGTTCTTGCACTTCCACACAAAGTTGGCTTCGCCTCTGCTGCCGCTCACATCGTGCATTTCCTAGCAACTCCCGTTAGGGAAGGCACGTCGTGGAATGACAGCGGGGCAGGCGTACGAAGCGAGTCATGGTAACGTAGTTCGGATGTGTCTCGCGACATGATGTGCACTGGACCTTGAAGGTGTAGTGGAAAGGCGAGTCGTCGGTGTCGAGGGGGCGGAGGCCTGTCACTCTGTCTATGGTCAGTAAGGCACATATGAAGAGGGCAGGCCGGGGGGGGCATTACCCACTGAGCTCAGCAGTAAGAGCAAGCGCGAGCACCATGGTGGTGATACCTAGTCAGGGCCGGGTCAAGGTATGAGTAGCGGTAGTGAGACGGGGCTACCTCCGGAGGTATGTCCAGCTTCACGCTCGCGGTTGCGGGGGCGGGGAGGCGCTCGCATGATTGGCTAGCCGGAAAAACTGTTTTGCCGAGAAACTTCACTTTGATCCTCCGCACTCGTGCAGCTCACGACCGACCCATCGCGACCCCTCGCTCTCGCGCACACCATCTCTTTGCCCGCCGAAAGTAGGTGCTACTTCATTGCTTCTGCTTTGCCTTTCTCGACGACGCGGGCTTCCAACCACGCTGTCCGAGGGACTTCGCAACCGAGTCCCCAACTTTGTGACGACAAGGTGCACTGGCGGCACTCAAGACGGAACATCGATACATATCTGGACGCTCACGCGACCGCGAATCATGGCTGTAACGGATCCCCCAAGCTCCGCATGGCCTCGCAAAGCTAACCCTCATCAGGCTCCAGTCGCACCCTTCAATCCCCGTCCTCTGCTCCAGAGCTTGTACGTACCTTGCCATACGTCCTTCGAACTTCGTCGCGCGCACCGCTGGAGCAGATACTGATGCATTGCAGGGTCGACAAAGACATCGTCGTGCGCCTAAAGTGGGGCGAGACCGAATACAAGGGTCGGCTCGTCTCCGTGGACCTATACATGAACATCCAGCTCAACAACACGGAGGAATTCGTCGGTGGTGTCAGCTCGGGGCAGCTTGGTCAGGTGCTGATAAGGTCCGATTTCGCTACGTCTCAGAACGCTTCCAGGGCAAGTGCTGACGGTGTAAAGGTGTAACAATGTTCTCTGGATCGGCCAGGCGGACCAGGTGCAACCAAAGGCAACGAAAGACGTCGCTATGGCGGATTGAAGAGCGCATCGCTGGGCGTAGAAACACATGCCAGCGGAGGCTTTCGGATTTTGGGGGATGAAGAATTAGTGCGCATAGGCAGACTTGCGCGAAAGCGGAAGAGCGCTGCAGAGACGCCTTCTCACCGATGATACCGGGGCGAAATTCCCTGAAAATTTTGTTTAGATGCCAGGAGGACATGGGCGCAAATCGACCGAAGCTTTGGAAAAGCCGGGCGTCACAGCATTCGACTTCTTCGAACGACGAATGAAGTTACACAATCTCCTCCACAATTGGGCCTCTCCGTCGCTTCTCGTTGCCTGGTAGACGGTCTACACCTAGTCCCCGCAGGCTTCCTTCCAAACCCAGATCGGGTCCCAATCTGAAACCCCCGTCCCTAATCTTGTACAGCTTCTTCATCCTCAGTGTCTCCAGTCCCTCAACCACACTGCCAGCATGATCTCTCACCAACCCATCTACATCTTCATCCCTCACCCACTTCACCACCCTCTCCACCTCCTCTGCCGGCTCCATTCCTAGCCCAACAGCGCTCTCCTTACCCCCTTCTAAAGCCGCGTCTATCCCCTTCAACAAACCCATTACAACCAGCACGGCTGCTCGCCGCAAGATCCCTTTCGCTTCCCCAGTCTCCACGCTAAGTATCATGAGCACCATTTGCAGCCCCGCATCTACCGTGGCTTGACTCAGTAGCCCTAATCGCTCCTCCATGATGCTACCCAGGATGCTCAGTGCAGAGGCACGGATCCGCACGTCTTCCTCGATGCCCGTTTCTTCCCAGCCTTGCAAAATTTTGAGCAGAGCATCACGCTCTGCCTGTTCGACTAGGTTCTCAGCCTCTGGATCAAGAAGGTTTGGTATTGGACCGCCCCACGCTGCTTCGCCTTCTTCTTGCTCCTTCCTCTCTGCTTCGACGAACTCCATGCGCTTAGCGAGGGTCTGCTTGCGCTGACCGCGACGGGAGGCAAGTGATAAGGTAGCCTCGACTACCAATTTCAGGCTCGTGTATCTCGCGGCCAAGGCACGGCCTGTTACCCACAACCGGTCTTCCAAGACAATATCATTCAGGACCTCGCCAACACGGAGTCGAAAGTTTAAAGCTTGCTCTATTTCCTGCTCTTTCTTTAGCTGAAGCGAACGCTCGTCGACGTCAATGAATGCGTCGATTAGGATGCCAATCGTAGGGTTCGGGGCGCGCACCGCGAGATCGACGAGGACTGGCATTGCGGCTAAGTGGACGTATGATTCTGGATCTGGTATTGACACAGAGAGAAGCATTTGCGTTGTGGCTGGGATGTCAATGAGTGGAAAGGCAGTGGGGTTTTGGATCAGGTTTCGAAGGGTCGAGAGCGCCCATGTTCGGTTTGGTGGTTCCGGGGATGTCAGATCAGTAAAAGCTGATTTTAGAGTCACGCGGTACTGCATGAGAGGGTCGGTGGCGGGAGTGGAAACGGGCGTGGGACTTATGATTTGGACAAGGTTCGTTGCGGCGTGGGCGATGAGCGGTGGGACGGGGAGGGCATGACTAGGTTGAGAAAGGTATTGCAGTGATGACTGAACGGCGTTGAATAGCATGGACGTTTCCGGTGTGCGCTTGAAGTCCGGTGATCCAACGACGGTGGTAAAGATGCTGAGAGCAAAGGAAACAAGATCCTCAGACTCTCTCTCGCTACCAACAGCGGCATTTCCTAAATGAGGCTGCGCGAGGCTGCCTAGGGTAGCCCGGCTGGGCTTGTTCGCGTCTGCAATGCTTCTTGATTTAGTTTTGTGCTCATCGACGAAGTTTTGCAGCAGTTGAGCCATGAGTTCGATGATATGCTGCGGACTGCGAGCAAAATTGGCTTTGAACGTTGCCGCCATAGCTTCGGAGAGCTTTGCATAGGTGAGCATTGCTAGAGGATCCATGTCAGGTTCTTGGGTTAAGGAACGCTTGGTTCCTTGTCCGGGCGAGAGCCATTTCCTCGTCGTCTGTAGAAATATGGCACCGGCGATTTGGTCTTCGACATTGGCATCTGCAAGGAGTGACAATAACATGCTCACACGTTCGTCAAGGTATCCAATGCGTGACAGGATGTCTCCCATATCCGCTGAATCGTCGCCATCATGCGGTCTTTGACGGATCTCGATGCCTCCTCGAGAGCCAGGTGCGAAGGTCCATGAGGACTCTCCATTCCAGAAAAGGTTGTCTGCTATGGTATCGATCCGTGCTGGCTCGCAGGCTACAGTCATATACCTTAATATGATAGCGCGTGGAAGCTCGGTCCACCCTTTGTCTAGAGATGGCCGTGATGTTGCATGAGCGAACAGGCCCCATAAAGAGAGCAGTACCGGGCCGACGAGGCGTTTGATAAGGCCGGCATGCGAGTATGAAGAGGCTATCGTGGCCATCCGCTTCAGGGAGAGCTCCAGGTCCTGCTCACTCACGATGACCCTGTTTGCTGTGCTCTGTCTCACCCTTGCCCCGACAACAACTTTGGGATGAATGGCCTTAAGGAGAGGAGCAGCGAATAGTTCCCATCCAATCGTTCCTGGAGAGCCGGTGGTCTTCCGATTTAGGATACCGCCAGCGACGATTTGACCCGCCGCCCGGCTGAGCTCTTTGCCTTCTGACCCGTCTAATAAAGTCCATAGCTGCGGTGCGAGCTGAGTGAACCAGTCATCCTGGCTCATGCCGCTGGGGACCGACACAAGCAATTTCGATGCTTGTGTGATAGCTTCAAGAGGAAGCGGCAATTGCGCTTGAGAACCCGACGCATCTTGCGGTACTTGAGAGTTCTTCGATAGGTATGATAAGGAGAGGAATTCGATGGTATGTCGAACCCCATGAGGGCGAAGAGGTACCATTGCAAGCTCTCTGGAGAGTCCTTGCCTTAGCCATGGTGGAAGGTCTTGCTGGAGAAAGGAGGCCAAAACCGGCAGTAACCGCGATGTGGGCGTAGTCGCAAGAACCTTGCCATAGACAGGTTTGTACATTGAGCGTGACGCTTCGCTTGTGTGAGGCGAGAATGAAAGCTCTGCAAGCGCAGATATGATGTCTGGCAGTAGTCGTTGGCTCAGCAGCGGCTGAACGCCGGTACCGTTTTGCTCCGAGATGGGAATCAAGGCCTTGGTGACATCGGAGAGCAGGAGTTCATCGCGGCGTGAAGAGATAGATAACGATGGCATTAGAACGGAGCGTGGGCGTTTATTGAACAAGACGCCAGGAGAAAGGTGCGGGAGAATTCCTAGGGACGCGATGAGGTCGAGAAGACCGTACATGATCCCGACGAGAGATGCATCGTATGGAGCATCGGGGTCGGAGGCCTGCTCGGCGGTATTTATGGCTTGGAGATGTGACAGTGCTTCTTCCACAAGCTGGCGTGCCTCGAAGCCGCCTTTGCCAGCATCAGCATGTCGATCCGAGGCCTGGTCCAGGAATGGGCTAACGAAATGGGCGGCGGCATCTACTGCATCCTCCACGGCTCCCATGGCGTGCCTTTTCTGCCTTTTCGACGAGGACGGCTCTGGAAAGTAGAGGGTGGCGGTGGAGGGCAGCCGAGCATGGGCGGCGCAGAGGATGACCATGGCACGTGCTTGGGAGAGCGTGATGACGCGAAACGCGCTAGTCCCCAACTGATTAGCGTGTTTTGGCCTCGCGTCTCCAGCCACCTCTTCTTCAGGCTTGCCGCGTCTTCTCCCTTCCTCTCGACAGTAATCCCGACATTTCCGCACCGCACAGAGTCTGTTTCCAACCAAACTGCTGCCGCTATTTCGCCCGCACTGGGGCTGGATTCTGGACCTCGACAACCCGTTGACAACCTCTGACCATGTCGACGACGGCGGGACGGTCGCGCAACGCTCTCTTCGTTCACCATTTCTCCTCTCGCTTGCCCCGCGAGCTCTACACGCATGTCACTTTCCCCACAGTTACCGAAGTCTGTCTTCCAGCTGGAATGCCTCACGGCGCCTCGCGCACGTGCGTTGGTTGGCACACACCCGAGCCTCTCAGCATGGTCTCAATGGGTCGTTTGTATGCTGGTCTTTGCGCCCTGGTGGCAACATCGGGGTAGTGTGTGAGGAGGGCAGTCTCGGATCTTAACCCTAATCTTCTTCTGGTATACTTCGCGTCTTCGCGCGCGAACGAACAGCATCGCGGTCATGTCGCCGACCTTCCGACTAAGCACTGGACGGCCTGCCGGCGTACCTTTAGGTGCGGCGACTCGCAAGGACGTGTCCAAAAGGGAGACTCGAGGTACGGGAAGCACTGCTTCAAATTGAGGTTTCATGTGCCTGTCGGGGCGTTAAAGTTCTCATGCGAGAGCCACGTCGACTCCTCATCCGTGCAACAGACTCTGGCCCGTCATGGATAGCTTCCGTGGACGATTACGACGGCGCCGCCGAGGAGAGACCTGGAGGGAGATGCCGGGCACCTCGGTAGAGGGTCGTCTCTGGGATTTTGTATACCGTTGGAGCACTTGTCACTCCGTCGTGGAAGCTGTATTGGGAGCTGCAACTCTGGGTACCAACTTCAACCACGTCCCTTCTTATTCCCCTTGGATGTGTTCGGATAGGCAGAAGAAGAGCACGATCTTGATCTCTGGTCGAGTCCTACATACAGACGTATCACTCTTGGTCGGCTTCGGCTGTCGCAGAGATCCACTCGTCGGAAAGGCCATGTGCCCAGCGAGGTCTCAAGGCGTCTCAAGTTGATATTGTCTCGTGCTTCTGGCATGAATATGACAGACCGTCACGCTCCGGATCTGAAGCCTTGAAGATCTCGCCGAGGAGTGTCGGGAGGCTCCACGTGTGTTGGACTCAGTACGCAGCGCTATTACCTTTCGGTGACCACTTCCGAGCCGGCTTGTTGCGACAACGACGGAAATACCCGTGCATCTAGTTTCTAACCCCAACAAGGACGCAAGTCCTAACCAGGTCTCCAACCTTGCCCGCTATCCACAACGTCACGAAGCCTGTGTCATGATTTCGATCAAACGACGCTTGTTACCCCTGGTAATATCCGGCCAGTCGCGTTAATTGTCAACCTGTACGTTCAGCGTACAGCTGTATTGGCAAGCGTTTACCCTTCCTGTCGTTCGCATGGCTCTCTCGCCATTACGGATGCCACCATGCGGTTTTTGAGGATGTACTTTGACCGCATTACTTACCCTCCGACACCTTAACAGGGACCGGAGCGGAAACAAAGACTAGTCTCAGAAGGCCATGCTACTACACACAGAGAGAAGCTTCTGCGGGTTGCCAACCCGCCGATGATGGTGTTCGAAAGAGAAGTGCGCAACAGTTGTGCTGTTTCGACTAGGATCTTGTCATTGACGTGTCCTCGTCTACGAAAGCGAAGGCCTTTGGTACGGCGAAGAGCAAGGCAGGGCGATGGAGACGTGATGAGCGGCTTGTTCTGAAGCGCCGCGGCCTTGCGAGATCGATATCTGGGTTCTCATCGACCACTTTTCTGGGAAAACGCTATCACAACAAGGGCAAGTTGCGGGAAGGGAGCGGTTGGTCAAACACAACGGTCACGGCAGGGACTCGCAGTTTCGGAAAGGGAGGCACATTGCACATACCAAGGGCTTTGGCGACGGGACCTCTCTAGAGTGAGGATCAAGGCTTCGGCCTGTCCGTCAACACCGTCTGCAGTACTGTGTAGTCGCTCGGACCGATCTGTGACGCTTCTGGATGAGACTGTTTGCTGACCGGCAGACCGTCTTCTTTGCGGCATGCTCTTAGCTGGACCTGGGGATGTGCAATCGGAGTTGAGCTGGACTGAAGCTATGGCGAGGTTGTTGGCGTTGATGAGGGAGTCCGTAGTGAGGGAGTGTTTGCGGGTTACTCACATAGCCGTCCTTGGGGCGGCCCATTCTTTTTTTATAAGTCGCCCTTTTCGAAGATCTGGTACTACTGTTAACCGAGTGCTAGGTTCGACATTCTATGATTAGCAGCGCCGCCTTCTGCAGCGCAGGTCACTTGGCCCTACGACGCTTTGAGTCAGCGCTCCCTCGTTGCATCTGACTCCATCCGCCCCTTTATACTCAGCACTTTCGACACTCACCCGAGATTCCATTGGTCTCCTTGTCAATACGCAACGCAGTCCTAACGCTTCCACCCTCGGTAACCTCACCACTGAGCCTGAACGGAGTAAAGATGTTGAAGTCAATTGCAACTATCATCGGAATTGGTGGTATCTACCGTAATAAAGCCTCATTATCCTTTCTTCCCCACATTAAATTATCGCGGATCATGAAGAGTAGTCCATATACAACGTAGTTGAGCTACGAGATGATACCGAACCGTGAAAACTCCGTTATGCATTAAATACCCACGAGCAAATCCGCCTCCACCCTATACAGTCCAAGCCTAGACGAGAGTCGCCTAGAGCATCAGAGCAGCCGCAGCAGCAGCGATCACGGCACCGGCACCGGCGGCCGCCTTCCCGGCTGAGTTGGCTGGCGCGCTAGTCTCGGCAGGTGCAGTGGGCATAATCGGCGATCCAGTGGACTCGCCCGCGCTGCTATGGCCGGAGCCGGTTCCCGTGGCGGTGGACGTCATGGTCATGGTCATGGTGCTGTTGTAGCCTCCAGTGCCAGTTGGCATGGCGTGGCCGGACGACGGACCGACAGGGACTGGCATGGATGAGGACACGGCGCCGACGGAGTTCATGCTGAAGTTTGCGCAGGAGATGCGAGTCTTGTTGGCGAGATGGACAACAACGGAGAGGTTACCGAAGTATGAAGGGTCCGACATGGAGGTGGCGACATAGAGATCAGTGTACCTATATTCAGGTCAACTCAATGCTCTGAAGCATTCTAGGAAGTGGTAAAGGAACGCACTTTGCCGTAAAGCTCTGGCCGGGGATGGTGCCATGCTTGCCGCTCAAATCCCCGGTCTGGCAGGACTCCGGTTTGGTTGCATCGCAAGGCGGTGTCTCGCCGCGCTTGTAGGGGTCGAGGTGAGCGCCGGTGCCGGTGCAGTTGCCATCAGTGGGGACGGGCTTCTCGTGGATGTGGTACACTGCTCATTGTAAGTACACCGAGTCAGCTCAAGGCAAGTGAAGGGAGCACTTACAGAATGGGCCGCCCTCGGTCGGAAGTCCACTAAGCGAAATGGAGAACAGCACGCCCTTGCCATCAGGTGCAGACTCGGCCTGGACGCTGCCGCCGAGGCTGCTACCGGCCTTGATCGGAAGGGTGGCGAGGTACTGGGCTCCAACTGGGTTGCCTTGAACGACAGGTGCGTCGGTGGACTGGGCGCTGGCAGCCGCAGCCGCAGCGACGAGGGAGAGGAGCGAGGCACGCATCTTGGTGGGCGTGGTTGTCGAATTGATGAAAAGAATGAGTAGTCAGGCTGGTAGGAGCTGTCTCAGCGAGCGTTCGGTAGGAGAGAGTCAGAAAGCCAGAAAGCTAGAAGAGCCAAGAGAGGTGTTTGTGAGGAGAAACGAGTGTGTTGTTGTGGGGAAGTAGAGACGGTCCGGGTGACGAACCTTTATGGAAGGAGGGTGAGTAGGTGAAGTGCTCCTGGCCCCGGTTGCCCTGTGCACGTGCGGGAGCAAACGGTGAAGCCGACGTCACTCGACACGCGCCCAGTCTGTTGGTCGAATCTCACGCGGGAATCCAAGACACAGTGTGGTCGCAAGCAGCAGGACCAGGACTGTGTGCAGCGGGCGGCGACAATCGACTATATACGGGCGCGCGGGGGGTTGGGGCTCACGTAGTACAGGGGAAACAGAAGCGCAGCTGCCATGGGCCTGCGCCACAGGCAGAGACTCCCATTCCTGGTCGATTGCACTCTGCAATTGGCGGGTGCCAAACGCTTTTAGCCCGGCATGCACTCTGTGCCCAGATGAAGAGCATGGTTGTTTCGAGGCGCTCGTCCTTCGCGCCCGCCCTCGGGCCACGCCACGCTAAGCTTTTGCGCAGGGGCCAGTTGTTTTGAAACGCTCTCTGCTCCGGCCAACCGCTGTCAGAGGGCGGCCAGGAACGCGGCGGTGCACCGAGACAGCGCGAAGAAGGCTGGCGTGGAGGCGCATTTGCTGCAGCGGCGTCGGCGGCTCAAAGGTAGCGCGGGCGCTCCTTGTGCGAGGCGGCAGGGCGGCGGGCGGGTCGATACTGTGAATGTGAATGTCCAAAACCAAGCTTCGGCTACGGCACGCTAGCGGGGCCCCCAAATCTACCCCAGGCCGATCGCCGTTGGCTCCTTCCTCGTGCGCCGCCCGCACCTGCCCCCCTGCGCCCCTGCGCCAACACAACCGCGAGGCCGAGCCGTTTCGGGGGACGCCATTCGTGGTGGAGCTCTGTTCCACGGCCGCATACCTAGGTACAGTAGCTCCTGAGTCCAGAGGCACAGCTTCTTGCACGGAGCTGCCACGAAAAAAGACGGAAATGAAGGGAACGTAGCAAGAGACGGGATCCCGCATCTAAGTGACGCAAACCAATATCGGCACCACGTCGTCGGCCTTGCCCCTATCCACTCTGCCGCATATTGAACCTCAGTCACCGCCAGCCTTTCTGGAAAAACACACACAATATTTCTCCAAATGGAAGCGGCGGAATGTGGAAATGCTGTGACTGCGGATGAAAGCGGAAATGAAATGGAAGCCGTCATCGCTTGGGGCTGGAGGAATGCGATGACGTCGCGTGCAATTGCTGTTGACGAGAGTAGATGAAGTAGGTAGGAAGATGCCACCTACCACCTGGGCATGAATTCGATTCTGGTAATGTGATCCTCGGAAACTCACCCTGCACTGTCTTGCCAATGTCGCCAAGCAGAGAGAGGGCCCTGTGGTCCTTCAACGCCGCTCATGCCTCACCTTATAGCTCACCCGCGCCTTGCACCAACCCACAACCTCCGCCACGCCTTCCCTCACCAGATCCTCACCAACGGCGTGGACGTCCTTATATGCATCGGGCGCCTCCTCGAAGACGAGGTCCTTCTCGTCGCAGACTACCCATGTCCCATCTTCTGCGCCGGACGGCTCTAGCAGATTCCGATCCCGGTACTTCCGGCTAAGTGATGAGAGTGCCTTTGCCCTTGACATGCTCCTGCCCGCACCATGCGCGAGCGAAAGGGCGTTCTTGAGGCCCCAGCAAGTCTCCGCGGAGAAGACTGGTTTGAGCATCAAGGTCGGGGTGCCTCGCGATCCGGGCAAGGGGAGGATATCCAGTGGCAGATTGGTGCTGGCATTGTACGTCGGTGCAGCTCCTTTGCGATGCACGTAAACGTAATCTTGGAAGCTTTCGCCGCCTTCAATCAATCCTGTGCTTGTCTTCTTGGCCGCACCTGATGTCGACCCAGTTGGCGGGCAAGGAGGCCACTTTACCCGCTCCACGTTGTTGTGCCAGATGTCCACCACTTTCCGTTGGAGCATCTTCGCCCTGACACCGGATATAGCGCTGTCAAGATTTACGCTGTTTGGAATGTTTCGGCCTAAATCCCATGCCTCTTCGCCAGGCTCAAGACAGGAAAGAAAACGTAAGGCGATTAGATCCCTATTAGCCTTGGCCCATCGGCAGGCCTTGTCATGCTCTTCCATGTACGCTTTCATCTGCTCGCTGTCCTCTTCGAAGCTGATGTGCGATTCAGTCGTATATTTCTTGAGGATGCTGCCGCCATAGCCTCTGGATCCTGAGTGCACCAGCAGAATGACGTCGTCTTTGTGAGGGCCGACGCCATCGATAGACGTGCATGATTCCTCCACAACTTGGATCTCCGCAAAGTGGTTCCCGGCACCAATAGTACCGACAGCTTGATCCCACTCTTCCCCGGCAGAGCAACTGCCGGCGGCATCTTGTAGCCAGGCTTCGCGATCTGCCTGTGTGCGCCAGGGACCCTCGAGGCCCCGGAGCTTCTCGGCAATCCTCTTGCCTTTGTCGCCGTCGACTTGGTTTCGCGATAGAGTTGTCTTATACCACGCCATGCCGCAGCCGATGTCTCCACCGATTAAGGGCGGATGTACCCATTTCCGTGACACGAAGACGGCCCCAATCGGGAACTTGTTGCCGGGGTGTAAGTCCGGTTGGCCGACAGCGTGAATAATGCCTGGTAACGTGTGCGCGGCGGTCGCGAGCTGGGTGACGGAAAGTTCGTCGACGTGCGCTTTCTCCGCGAGAACATGGACGGCACATTCCGGGTTTGCTTCACCTGTGCCATCGTGTTAGCTAGCTGAAGGGCTTCAAAACGTAGGATGCGAACAGGCGTTCATTAAGACTTGTCGAAGGGAGCGTGCATTTGAGGCCTTTTGCGCAAGTAATGTCGAGATTACTCACCAGGTGTGACCGACTCCTTCTTCACACCAACATATTCCTCCCCAGCAGACACGAGCAGCGTAACGTCACGGCGGATTGTGCTCTTCCAATCCGCTTCGGTGATCAGTTCCTCTCCCGTTCCACCAACGTAGATGCGGGAGGGCTTCTTGAGTCGAAGCTTAGACTGAGCGGCTTTGAAAACTAGTGACTGAATCGAAGCCGCGGAAGAAGGATCAGGAGAAGCAGATGCGGGGACGAGCAGTGGAGCTTTCTGAGATTGTTTGGCGTTGAGAGCTACCGTGACGCGTGTGGCTGGCATCGTGGCGCTAAACCGCTTACTGTGGGGTTCCGGTCCGAATCCGACTCGACTACGTCCACGAGGTGGTCTCTAGACTCGAAATAGAGGGTTGAGGTTGGCTCTCTGAGTTCCTTCAAGCGTAGTTGCGAACTTGAGTCTGCGGACTCTGTGCATTTGGGAAATGCCAGAAGGAAACGCCTTTTCAAGGTTTGGCTGAAGCGTTTGCTCACTTCGACTCATCGTGTCGTTATTACCTAATCGTCACCAGCCAGGTGACCACTACACCACAGATCCTTCATGGGAATGATTCTTCACTTTCTCTAGTGTTACGCGAAGCAACGAGGAGTCAATGGACGTCAGTGAGTCCGGCTGGCTCTCAAGTATCCTTCCTAAAGCGGAGGTCCAGGCGCCACCACCACGGGCATTCCCCCGTTTACTGCTCCCACAGCTCTTTGAACTCTTCGCTCGAAACCACAAAATCATCGAAACTCCTCATCTCATAACACTCCAGAAACCTCATCACCCTCGGCGTCTCCCGGTTCCAGGCGTGAACATACTCAATTGGCTCCCCAGCCAAACCCAATTCGTCGGCAATGAATGCGGCAGGCCCGCGTCCACACTGGGAGGAAGCCGTCAGATCGGCCGCGATCTCATAAACCGGTGCCGCGCACCGGCATGTCATGATAAAGGTGCTCTCGTCGATGGCGAGGAAGCCTTCCGGATCGTTGATGATTTCCATCGGGATTTCGAGCTCAGAAAGTATCGAGCGGTCCGTGTCGGTGTAGCCTGGGTCTTGAGCCAGAATGCGGATTGGAGGTCGGTCGGTAACCTTCCCGTAGACCTCATTGAGGGTAGCTGCAATGGTGACGGCCCCAAGATGCTGCAGGATGTAGTTGCGGGTTGACATTCGAGACAGCCACCCAGGGTATTGATCCCCGAATCCAGGGTACCACTCAGGAAATGAAGAAATCGACCCAAGTCCGAAACAGATGATCTTCTCAATCCTCGGCATCTTGTCTGCGGTTTTGCGGAGAAGCTCTCTCAGTTGCGCGCACATCTTGCTCACAAGCCATCGCTGCTGCAAATCCTTTACCAGCTCGGCCACAGACTCGGCGCTTCCAGCCGCTCTGCGTGACGGGACTCTGGCGAGCGGAACCTGTTCTGTGGTGTATTTTTCCGGATCCTTGGACATCTCGTAGCTTCGTCGCCAATCCAAGGCCCCTCCCTCTCTGCACTCGTCTCGTCGTTTAGCTGCGGCTTCGATATACCCACGGGTAAAAAGAGGCTTCCCTTTCAGCTTCTTCTCCTCAAAATCCCAGATGTTAGTCCGCTCTTTGACGCGATAGAAGGAGGCGGGCTTTCTTGAGTCGATCTGACCGCTCCGAAAGCCACCAGCATCGCAGTCGATGTATTTCATAGCTCCTGGCATGATTTCCTGGCCGTTGAATGGCGTCATACTGGTGAAAGGCAACTTAGACACCAACAAGTTAGAAAATTTGAGAAATTTGAGAAATTGAGTTATTGTTCCTTGAGGTCCTTGTCCGTTCACTACAGGAGTACGAGCCTGCAGGAATATATACCTGATCGTTCCATTCACGTTTCCCGTCGTTCGTAGCGAACCATTAGAGTGAAGCTCTACATTTCCATATTTCACTATTGCGCGTTTGAACTCCTTTCCTTAAACGCGTCAGCCCCTTCACGACCTCCCCTCCTGTTTCCTGCGTGGAACCAACGAAGCCCCTCTCACGAGGTCCAATGAGGGACCTGTGCCTTGTCTCCCAGTACGCCCTCGTTTACTTCCCCAGCTCCGTTCTCAATTTTCTTCGGTGTAGGTCTTTTGAAGTGCGGCTTCAGCGGCTCCCAGCTCTCTGCGTTGTAGTCTTGTTGCACTTTCTGGCACTTCTTCAGTCCCCACTCCGTGACGCCCACCATTAAGCAACTCTCAAACATGAAAGCCATGCTACCCTCGCCGACCTTGTTTGGCTTCAGCTCCACATTGGAGGCCTTCTCGTGCGTAGCAGCGTCGGGGCCGTGACCGGACATTACGTTATGGAGAGAAGCGCCTGCAGGCTGGAAGCCACCTCCAGTTTTGGCGTCGTATTGACCTTGGATGAGGCCCATGAACTCGGACATAGTGTTACGGTGGTACCACGGCGGACGGAAGGTATCTTCGGCGACCAACCATCGCGGCGGAAAGATGACGAAATCTGCTACTGCGGTACCTGGGTGGTCGGACTGTGCGGTCAAGACGGTGTAGATGGAAGGGTCAGGGTGATCGAAGGAGACGCTGCCCATGGTATTGAAGCGGCCGAGATCATACTTGTAAGGGTAGTAGAGGCCATGCCAGGCTACAACGTCGAAGGGCGTGTGAGTTTGCTTAGCCTGGAAGAGATGGCCGGCGAATTTGCACAAGATGTGCCATTCTGATTCTGTGTCTTCATCGAAGTCGGCGACAGGAGCCTGGAAGTCGCGAGCATTGGCGAGACAGTTTGAACCGATAGGCCCGAGTTCGGGAAGCTGGAAGTGGCCTTGGTAAAGCTCGAGTATGTAGCCTCGCACGGGACCTTGGGGCAGGGTGACGCGGTATTTGATGCCCCGCGGGATCACGCAGATTTCGTTCGGGCGGACGAGGATGCGACCCATTTCGGTCCTGATGTCCAAGACGCCATGCTGGGGGACGATCAGAAAGTCGCCGTCGGCAGAGTAGAAGGCCTCGTGCGGGTCCATGTCCTTCCCCGCCGCGAAGATGTACATGCCAATGCCGGTCTTCATCGTAGGGTCGCCGGCACCGGCGACCAGATGCAGCGAGTGCACCCAGTCGACGGTCTCGTCGAGATCGAAGGGGTCCCATCGCAGCTGGTTGGGGATGTGGTGGATCTTCTCGTAGGGCTTGTTCTCGGGATTGGTGTTGTAGGTTGACGATTCGCGCGGCTCGAAGTTGCTGTGTCCACACGAGGGGAGGATGCGGTACAGCCAGGTCTGCTGGTTCTCGTGGCGCGGCGCGGTGAAGGCGGTTCCCGACAGCTTCTCGGCATAGAGGCCGTACGGCGGCTTCTGGGGGGAGTTTGCGCCGACGGGGAGCGCACCGTCTACTGCTTCTGACCTGGCGAGCTGTGAGTGGGCGAGACGCGGGTGCGGTGCTGGGGACGTACTCATGGTAGGAGTTGAAGCCATTCATGTACCGATATCTTTCGCTGTGGGCGAACTGGGAGGAAGGCATCGTGGATGTCGGTGTAGTCGGGGTTGTGGAACTCCTCGAGGTTGCGCCTGGTGAGTGGAATGGCGCTTTTGGGGATTTTCTTGTCGCGGTCGGTGAGTTTTTTAAGTAGGGCGTGGAGCGGCGGCTTCTTGGGATGCAGCGGGGTGTGAGGGTCAGCATAGGCCTGCGGTTGCTGCGCGGCCATGGCTGCGGTGCGGTGCTGCGCGGTAAGGGACGGCGGCTTGCGATTCCGCGTCGGCACAAAGGCGGAGGTGGAGGTGGAGGGTGGAGGTGGAGAGGACGAGTGACCAGTGACCAGTGACCAGTGACGGGTGACGAGGGCCAGCAGGGAGGCGCACTGACGGCGGAAGCGTTCCGCCTGCCGCTCCCCAGCTTCGCCGTCTCCGTCACCAGCCGATGGGAAGCATCGATACGACGATAATGCTGTCACCCAGGCCTCCCTGAGCAGGCACCACCATCCGATCGCCTCGCCATGTCTGCACGCCCGTCGTGGTTCAGCATCCCCCGCGGCTCGCACTTCTCGCTTGCGAACATCCCCTTCGGCATCATCTCCACCGCGTCGTCCACGACACCGCGCGTCGCCGTCGCAATTGGAGACCACGCGCTCGACCTCGCGGCTTTCGCTGCAGGCAACGGCTTCGCTGCGCTGTCCACGATCCACCCGCATCAAGCCGTCTTCTCCCAGCCGTCGTTGAACGCGTTTGCAGCCCTCGGCCGGCCCCTCCACTCGGCTGTGCGAAGCTACATCCAGGCCGTGTTCGCCGCAGACACCCCATGCCCTGAAGCCCTCAAGACCAATTCGGCGCTCCAGAAGCAGTCTCTGCTGCCGCTCACCGACGTCCAGTGCCATCTGCCCTTCAAGATCGGGGACTACACCGACTTCTTCGTCGGCCTCAATCATGCCTACAACTGCGGCCTCATCTTTCGGGGGCCCGCAAATGCGCTCCAGCCAAACTACAAGCACCTCCCGGTGGGCTATCACGGCCGAGCATCGTCAGTAGTCGTCTCGGGAACGCCGATCCGCCGCCCTCATGGCCAGATCCTGACAAACCCCTCGGCAGAGAACAAGGTTCCCACCTTCTCGCAATGCAAGAAGCTAGACTTCGAGCTGGAGTTGGGCGCCTTTGTCTGCAGAGCGAATAACCGGGGAGAACCGGTGCCCATCGGCAAGGCAGAAGAGAGTCTGTTTGGCCTCGTCTTGCTGAACGACTGGTCAGCGAGAGACGTACAGGCATGGGAATACGTGCCTCTGGGCCCCTTCAATGCGAAGAACTTTGGCACGACTATCAGCCCCTGGGTTGTGCTGACGGATGCCCTGGAGCCATTCAAAGTCAAGGCTATCGAGAATGACGCCCAAGTGTTGCCATACCTTAGGGAGAAGGACGAGAAAAGCGTCTACGACATTCAGCTGCAGGTTGACCTGAAGAGTGAGTATGTTCTTGCCTCATCTGGCCACTCAATCTAATCAGCATCAGCGCAATCTGGAAACACGTCTACAATCACCAAGACGAACGGTCGGCACCTGCTCTGGTCCTTCCCTCAAATGCTGACGCACCATACCATCACTGGCTGCAATCTCCAACCGGGCGATCTGCTCGGTTCTGGAACAATAAGCGGAACGTCGCTGTCGGAATGCGGCAGTCTGCTTGAACAAAGCGAGAATGGGAAGACCACAGTTCACATTTCGGGCGGAGAGGAGAGAACGTTCCTCCAGGACGGCGACGAGGTTACCCTTACAGGGGTATGTGGATCGGACGAGGAAGCTTTGGTTGGCTTCGGTCAATGTACCGGCAAGATTGAGCCCGCGCTGACTCTCGATTTTTGAGCGTTCGAGAGACGCAAGCGTCTGGTCCGCAACGAGTGATAGGATCAAGGAGGGGTTCGATCGGTAGAGGTAGCACCAGCATCAGCACCAGCATCAGCACCAGCATCAGCATCAGCACACCACATGACAGAGAGATACTTTGACTTGAAACGACTGGTTAAAACCGCCCCTAAAACCGCATCCCAGAGTGGAACTGCGAGCACCTGCTGGCAATGCATGTACCTAAGGTGATGTATGATGCTGGGTGCCACCACAGCGGTTACCCCAGAATTCCGCTTCTCTTGGTCCTTGGGCGGCGGAAGCTTGGCTTCCACACAGCGCTACCGTAGCGCCAGGGTCGAGGCGAACACCTGCATGGCGGCCTAATTCCGTCACCAGCGCCATCCAAGACACGAACGCTCCTCCACGACAACCCCGCCCTGCGGCGGATGTTCGGCCGGGGAGAATCACGAAGCATGGTCTATCGGCTAAGGGCCAGTCAGATGGACGCTAATTGCTGAGCGGTATGCAGCGCGGAGTGGAGTTTTGTCTGCGACTTTGACATCGATCCGAAGGCAATGCTGGCTATGTATAACTACGCAGCTCTCCTTTGCGTTTAGGCCCAGCGTCACTGCTCTTTCTCCTCATCGCCACGTCTTCGTCTTCGTCTTCGTCTTCGGTTTTCTTCTTCTTTCGCCGTCTATTACAGTGCAGCTTGTAATCATGACACTTCCCATCATCCCGATTGCGGGGGCCCTCGTCGTGGTCTATTTCGCGTACCGCGTCCTCTACGGCACCGATACTCCGCACATCAAAGGCCTGCCCGAGGTGCCAGGCCTACCTCTTTTCGGCAGCTTGCTAGAATTGGGCGTGGACCATGCCAAAGTGGCTCAAGGATGGGCGAAGAAGTACGGGCCAGTCTTCCAAGTGCGTATGGGCAACCGAGTAAGCAATTCTTTCATTCTCGGGAAAAGGTTCCGGATGCTAATGCTTCAGCTAGAGGATCGTATTCGCCAATTCCTTCGAATCTGTCCGGCATCTTTGGATAACGAACCAATCCGCACTCATCTCGCGTCCCATGCTCCACACCTTCCACAGCGTCGTCTCCTCTTCACAGGGCTTCACAATCGGCACCTCGCCATGGGATGAATCCTGCAAGAACCGCCGCAAAGCTGCCGCCACCGCCCTTAACCGCCCCGCAGTCCAGTCCTACATGCCCCTCATTGACCTCGAATCCACCGTCAGCATAAAAGAGCTCTTCCACGATTCGAAAGGCGGAGAAGTTGATCTTGACCCGCGCGCATACTGGCAGAGATATGCACTCAACACCAGCCTTACCCTAAACTACGGATACAGGATCGACGGTGACAAGGACGATGCCTTGCTGAAGGAGATCACAGATGTAGAAAGGGGGGTGAGTAACTTCAGGAGCACCAGCAATAACTGGCAAGACTATATCCCCATGATGAGGTTGTGGCCAAACATGAACACAGAGGCCGTCAGCTTCCGGAAGAGGAGGGATGTGTATATGGATAGATTGCTCAGGGAGCTGAGGGAGAGGATTAAGACGGGGACGGATAAGCCGTGTATTACGGGGAATATTCTTAAGGATCCGGAGGCGAAGTTGAACGAAGGTTGGTATCTTATCCCCTGTGTCTTTGTGCGTAGATGTTTCTCTGCGGGATGCTAACACTCAGTCAGCGGAAATCAAATCCATCGGCCTCACCATGGTCTCCGCAGGCCTCGACACCGTTCCCGGCAACTTGATCATGGGTATTGCATATCTCGCATCTCCCCAAGGCCAGAAGATCCAACAGCGCGCCTACGAAAAAATCTTGAAAGTATACCCCGAAAACGACGCCTGGGAACGCTGCTTGCACGAGGAGAAGGTGCCCTACATTACAGCACTATACAAGGAGATCCTGCGCTACTGGACCGTGATCCCCATCTGCTTGCCCAGAGTCAGCATCAAGCCGATTGAATGGAACGGCGTAATCATTCCCGCAGGAACAACATTCTATATGAACGCCTATGCAGCGGACTATGACGAGACACATTTCAAAGATGCACATACGTAAGTCACGGACTCGCAACTTTCAAGACTCCAACTAACCCAGCCTGCAATATAGATTCAACCCCGAACGCTACCTCAACGTGCCCGACGGTGCCGGAACTCCGCACTACGGCTATGGTGCCGGGTCGCGCATGTGCGTCGGCTCGCACCTCGCAAACCGCGAGCTTTACACCGCCTTCGTGCGGCTCATCAGCGCGTTCGAGTTCACGCCACCCAAAGACCCCAGGGACATGCCGGTAATGGATTGTCTGGAAGCGAATGCGATTCCAACGAGTCTGACGATGGAGCCCAAGTACTTCAAGGTGGGGTTTAAGCCCAGAGACAGAACACTGTTGGAGAAGTGGATTCGGGAGAGTGAGGAAAGGACTAGGGAGTTGTTGATGTAGGGGTTTTGGGGTGAGAGCAGGGTGGAGGGAGGGGAGTTGGATCGTTGAAAAGAAGTCATAGCTAATACTTCACGTTCCGCATCAAATACTTTGTATGGTAATTTTTCGCGTTGTACAGCTGGGCACCTGCACGGATAGGTAGCCTTTTGAAGACGGGCACAGCAGAAACTAACCTCTAGGGGTATGCTTAAATCCTACAGAAGCTAATGCACCCAAATCCCTAATATTAGCTCCACCACCAGAATTTAACGCAACTAAAGAGAGCAGCAAGGAAGCAGATCGTGGGTAGTGATAGAGGCGTCTGATACGCGGCTCCAATATCCTCAATCGGCTTTCGACGAGGGTGCTAATTCTATTCGTCTTCGTCATCGTCCTCGACGACTCTCCTTCTCTTCGGTCGATTGACTATCACCTCCTCGTCCTCATCTTCGTCCCCATCCCGATTCCTTTTCGGACTCTGTGTATCCCGCGCACGATGTCTTGGCTCCTCGATAATACCGTCGTCATCTTCATCGTCGTCTACAATCTCGGGCTCTTCTTCGCTAGGGGCGATGAAGTCGTCTTCCTCGTCGTATTCGTCTTCCCTTGTAGGCCGTCCACGGATGCCATAGTCCTCATCGCTGCTCCAGTCACGCTGCGAAGCTTTCAGTCTCGCTTTCTTGGCCCCGGGTCTCCTGCCGCGCTCCTCGCCCTCGAGCATGCCGACGTCGAGACCGTAAGTGGATCGGTGGACACCACTCCTATTAAAGGTGCGGTTCGCCCGCTCCCGCTCGCGCAGCTCATGCTTCTCTCTTGCACGTTGCTGCTTAAGCTTCTCCTTGTATGATTGCTCCTCCCTCTGGCGGCGGAGCTCGGGGTCTTCGTTGACGTTGATGAAGGAGATGGCTTGGTTCGCGTCGTCTCGACCACGGGCTGCGGCTGCTGCAAGGTCGTTCTGCAGCTTCTCAAGCGCGCCGTCCCGCGAGTTTGCCGCCGGCACGACTTGGATGCCCGTGGTGAACTTGTTGGTGACGCGCATAACATTGGCCTCTTCGTATGGCGCAACGAGGTAGGTATAGCTCTCTTTGAACTCGGTCCTCGTCTTCTTCTTGACGGAAGTGGGCGTGGGTATCTTCGGATCGACTTGCGGCGGCGCGAGCGCATTTGCGTTGACCTGGTATTGGTTCACCGGGTCGTTGGCGAACTGGAGGGTCAGGGAGCCGTCGGACCAGCGCAGCACGCGGGCGTTCGACTGGAGCTGCGAGGGTTTCGAAGGCGACCGGCGCCATCGGATGGTCGTCATAGCCGTGTTGAATGCGGAGAAATGCTCCGAGGGCGCCGTTTTCCAGTGATGGTCCGTCGTTGGCGCTTGAAAGGTCTTGTGGTTGAAGGCGGTAGGCTCGATGGCTAGGAAGCGCGGGATCTTGAGGAGGTAGAGCTCGCCATCGCTGGGTTCGGGCACGGCATGTCGCGCAATGTCGGCGTCCATGAAGCTGAACGACTGCAGCTCTTCTTCCTGCTCCTGCTCGGCCTCGAGCGCCTCGACGCGGTCGGCGCGGCCTTCATCGTCGCCTGAATCGAGGTCCTCGTCGTCGAGCTTGCGCAGCCTGCTGTGGACATGTCAGCGCCGCCAGGCTGTGGACAAATGGATGCCGAAGCAGCCTACGCTGGGTCCTCGTCGCCCTCCCCGCCTTCCTCGCCGAAGAGGTCGTCCTCGTCCTCGCCAAGCGCACTCTCTGCGGCGTTGCCCGGGAGCTCGTCGTCGTCGGAGGCGTGCGAGAGGGCGGGCGCGGCGTCGACGGTTGCGGCCATGGTTGCGGGCGTCGTGGCAACTTGTATTGCGGCTGCGCGACGAAGCGGAGTGGGTGCTTGCTCAAGTCCACGGGTTGACCGAGTGAACAAAGTGAGGTCGCGCGTCCCAATCAGGCTAGCGCCTCCTCCGCCGTGGGCCCCGACGCCCCTTCTCCCACACAGCTGGCCGCGCTGAGGCGCATCACCGACACTCTCCGTCTCCGTCCCACACTCCCTTCCACGCCGCCCCGCTTCCAGTGCACTCCTCCTCCTCTGCTCGCCACTCCGGACACAGCGTCGCCTACTGCGGGCGGGCATGGCGTCCTTCTTCTCCAGCGTGTGAGTGCTTGGCAAGCTGCCCCCAGTTGCTTGCAGTAATGCGCCTGCGTGCCCCCGAGCCCCTCAGCGCGGGTCGTTTCAAGGGCCCGGCTGCCTTGTGTTTCACCTTTTGTGTCTCCTCTTCTTGTCGCCATTCGTCAAGTCTCTCGTCTTTTCCTCTCCTTATATATGCCTTGCGGCGCCGCCTTGCTTTGCTAACGCCTCTATATCAGACGCCAAGGATTGGCCGGCCGCTCAAATAAGAGTAACCAGCAGGGCAAGGGGAACAGCACGCCCTCACCCACTGCGCAATCGCCTTACTCCCCATCTGCGGCTTCTGGCCTGCCTCCGAACATCCCTCCCATGCCCCATTCCCCTGCGCCTTCCTCCGCAATGTCGTTCGACAGCCAGGGTGCACCCGAGGGTAGCATGCCGTCCAGCTCGCGCCGGCCGCCCTTCTTCTTCAGGGAGGAGTACTCTGGCCTGATCGTCAAGGGCAACTTCATGACCCTCGCCGCGAAACCGAAGCTCGTCGAAGAGGGCGAATGGCTGGCGCATCAGGGTACGTTGACTACCCCTGCTTCTTGTGGTGGCCCGTGCTAAAACACATGACTAGTTGTTGAACAGTACCGCCTGTTGGAGCAGATGATTGAGATCATCAAGGTCCCTGACGAGAGAACTGGCAAGCCATGCTGCAACCCGGATGTCTGCCCGACCATGTCGGCGAGCGGCCACACCTACACCTGGCTCGACAACAACAAGAAGCCCATCAAGATCCCTGCCATCCAGTACATCAACCTCGTCCAGAAATGGATCGTCGGCAAGATCAACGACCCCTCCATCTTCCCCACGGACACCACATCGGCCGCCTTCTCCAACTCCGCCTCCAACTATGCTTCTGGCTCTCTAACTCCCATGTCGACTCCCCAGCCACTTGGGCCCACCAACCTCAACGCCCCGCTCTCCCAGCTCGCAGGCCGCGACTGGCTCGGAAAGTCCTCCGGCTTCCCTGAGACCTTCGAGTCCGACATCAAGAGCATCTACCGCCAGATGATGCGCTGCTACGCGCACATTTACCACGGCCACTGGCTCGATCCCTTCTGGCACGCTGGGGCATACAAGGAGCTCAATACATGCTTTGTCCACTTCATCAACGTCGGCAAGCTGTTTGGTTTGATCACCGACAAGGAGATCGAGCCGATGCAGCCCCTCGTCGACCTGTGGTTTGCGAAGGGCCTGCTGCCTCCGGCGCCGCAGACACAGACACAGTCTTCACAGCAGGTGAAGGAGAATGTCTCGATGGGAGGCACGCCGCAAGCTGCTCCGGCGTAAACTTGTTTGGATGGATAGGAACTAGTTGATGTTGGAATACGTGCAGCAAACTTTTGTCGACAGGCAAGCCACAGGGGTCTTTTCCCCCTAGAATACGCCTTATGGGCTTGTTCTTGTTATTGCGAACTGCCACTGCTGGGCGTACGATTGGAGGACAATAGAATATGGAGACCGATGAATGCATGATATGGATGAATGGAGTGCACGGCGTTTGGGTTACGGGGCCATATTTGCAAGCTGGGAATTGCACGATGCTATGCGTGCTATGACCAAATATAAGCATTCCCTGGAAAGTGTGCCTGGTTAGCTTCCGCCATGAACATTTAACCCCTAACAACTTACTAGGACATTTGGGGTCTCCTTCTCTTACCTGCTCGTGAACGGTGTCGATTCAGCTGTAACCATAATCAGGATGGACGCCATAAGCCACTGGGCGCGGCCGTGGTAAGTCGTGAGTGCACGTCGCTTCAAGGAAATGATGATGCCATGGAATTACGTGATCGGCCATCGGGGAATTAAGCCCATCCCCGTCATGAAAAGCGGGACATCGATACTTAGGTAGCAGACGAAGCTCGCTCTGGCATTGAACGGAATAAGGTAGGTGTTTTTTGCACGCCAATTGTACTGTGGTAATGTTTGGAATGCGTACGCGAGGCGAAGACATAGCAGCCGCACAAGGCGTCTATAGTAAAAAGAGGCTCAAATTGGATAGTAGCACTGTAAAGTAACCAGAGAGACTGTTTCCGTTTGAACCACCAAAACAATCCGTGAGACATTGTCGATGTAGCGGTCATAGCAGTTCACAAACTCCGTTGGTGAAAAAAGAAATGTGTCCGCTCCACCACCATCCATTTCGAAGACGCACACCCGTAAGCACACACATTTGTAGAGGATCCGTGAACTGTAACTGAGGGAGGAAGGGTCGGGGTTGGAGAGAGATTGGTCGTCTGAGCTATGATAGCAGACGTTGACGGGCAGTCGCGTAACGACGTGTGGGGCATACGCTTAGTTGTGACCCGCCTTGCGGAGCGAGTTGCTCAACCATTCGAGACCCTCGTACAGACCGTCTCCACTCGTGGCGCAGGTGGACTGGATGTACTATAGATGCTGTTAGCGGAGCGCTCGAAAGAGCGGGGCAGGCCTCAACATACCCAAGCGCGTTGTCGGAGGCTGTGGAGACCGAGCTTGTCGGTGATTTCGGCGGCGTTCATGGCATTCTGCGGACCCGGTTAGTCACCTTTCCTTTCGCAAATTTCGATTCATTGTGTGCTTACAGGCAGATCCTGCTTGTTGGCGAAGACCAGGAGGAGAGCGTCCCGCAACTCGTCCTCGTTCAGCATTCGCTGCAGTTCCTCGCGGGCCTCGACGATACGATCGCGATCGTTGCTGTCGACGACGAAGATGATGCCCTGGGTGTTCTGGAAGTAATGCCTCCAGAGAGGTCGGATCTTGTCCTGGCCTCCGACATCCCACACGGTGAACTGGATGTTCTTGTACTCGACTGTCTCGACGTTGAAGCCTGGTTTAACCTGTCAGCCCTATATCGCGATTGTTATTACGAGCAGAATGGGCACGCACCGATAGTCGGAATAGTGGTGACGATTTCGCCGAGCTTGAGCTTATACAGAATCGTGGTCTTTCCTGCCGCGTCGAGACCGACCATCAGAATGCGCATCTCCTTCTTTCCCCATAGCTTGTCGAACAGCTTTGAGAATGTGAGACCCATGGTTGCGGTGGGGGCTGCTTGTGTTGGGAGGTGTGGAGGTGGCCGAGCGCGCGGGAAGCGGTGAGTGTAGGCTCTCGAACCTGCGGCGGCAGAAGCGTCAGAAAGGGGTCAGGTGAGCTTGGTGGGCTGCATTGTGGGAGCGCAGCTGGACTTCGTATTGGCGCTAGAGACGGCGAGCGCCTGATGCGAAATCGAGGCCGACGGGCCTGATATCGTGGCGTAGGGCGCTCGCGGGAGGGTGCAGGGAGGAGGCGGCCGGCGGAGGAAGGCCTGCAGTGGAGTACTTACGGGATGGGTCCAAGAGGCCGTGTGCTGGTTCGAGATGGCGCGGGCGGGTTGTGGATGCAATTTAATTGATGTACAGGAAGCGCTGGGTTGAAGAGACGTTGTGGGAGGCGGCGAAAAGTCGGGGCACCACCGATCCTGGGAAGGCAGGAGCCACTTCAGACACGTGACCGTGGCTGCGGGTCGACGATCGTGGAGAAATCTTCGAGGAACTGTTGCGAAACTGTCCCGTTCACTATTGCGACCTTCTTAAAGAAGGACGGGGCCGTTATTGACACGTTTTGGTTCCGTGCAATGCGGGCATCGGATGCGCAGGCAACCACCAATACTTCGATCATGGCCAGCGCTAGACCACCACTGCCCACCAAGAGCCCACTTACGTGCGCCGGGCTGAGTCGGTCGCCACAGCTTCTTGTCGCCTTGCCGCATCCACTCGGAGCTGCGTTCTCTCAACCAGGCGGGGCGTGCGCGAGATGTCTTGCGCGAGATGTCTTGCACGAGACTCGAATACTCTTAGTAAGCAATTCTCCCAGCGCAGAGCGTCAACCGGCGTGCGTGCAACGTATGTACGATGATAACCCATTCGATGCGGCATTTGAACATGAAACAGATTCATTGCGCTGCAGATTACTTACTTCCTCGCAAGGAGAAATACGGCATACCAATTAAACGAAAGAGGCAGACAAACCAGCCCCGCGGATATCAACCTCAAATGCACCTGCATGCTCATTTCTCCCCGACGACGGTAAATGAGCAGCGTCGGCCTTCTCTGCTTTTCTCGCTAGCACAAAGGAAAAAGGTGATATGCCAGAAAGGACTGCGCCGGCGCCAGCAAGCAATGCCGACGAGGTACCTTGGCTTGAGAGCGTACCCACATCAGAAGTCAACTTGGGTCGCAGTTACTGCTTGCCCCATGTAATCTCCGTCGACGGCTTTCCCAACTCAATCTCATCCGCCGGCTGATCCCTCTTCCCCCAGGTAATCGTGGTGGACGGCTTGCCAAGCTCAATCGTATCCTTGGGCTTTCCGAAATCAATCCCGGCGTCCCTCTTTCCCCATGTCACGACAGTGGTCGGCTTGCCGAGCTGGATCGTGTCCTTGGGCTTTCCGAAAACAATACCGCGCTTCTTACCCCAGGTGATGGTAGTCGACGGCTTGCCGAGCTCAATGGTATTGGGAGGCGTCTGGTCGCGCTTGCCCCAGTGCGTTTCTGTCGAGGGCGGGCCGAGCTGGATGTCATCGGGAGGGTTGCTTTCTGTGCGCTTCCCCCAGGTGATTTCCGTAGATGGTGGTCCCAGCTCAATGTCATCCGGCTGTTCGTCACGCTTTCCCCACGTCACGACTGATGATGGCTTGCCGAGCCAGATGGAGTCGGGCGGAGTGGGCGGCCCGGCCTCACGCTTGTCCTTTCCCCAAGTGACGGTCGTTGAGGGCTTGCCGAGCCAGATGGAGTCGGGTGGATTCGGTGCGTCACGTTTGTCTTTACCCCAAGTGATGACTGTGGACGGGGGACCAAGCTGAACATCGTCGGGTGGGTTGGTGGTGTCTCGCCTGTCCTTGCCCCAGGTGATGGTTGTTGATGGAGGACCAAGCTGGATACTGTCTGGTGGGTTCGGCGACTATTGTTTGTAAGTACACACCATGACAGACAACAAGATATGAAGTCAGAATAGACTTGGGCCAGTGCGTACATTTGGCTGCGCAACAGGCAGAGCATAGACATTGGCGACCAAAGCGCCAGCGGCAATCGCCGAGACGAGTCTGTACTGCATGTTCTTTCCTCAATCAACCTCAATATCGAGAGTGGATACTGATCTCCGGCAAGGATGAGAAGAAGAAGCTTGAGTTAACGATGGGATATAACAGTGCAAGTATGGTTCAGATAGACCGACCAAGACAGGACGGAAAGGTCTTCATATAGTCTCCAGACTAAAGAGACACGGTTGCCACCTGCTACCAAAACAAAAGTGACCTACCCAAATACGGTCCTTTGCGTTGATCAGCGACGGCGCACAGCGACCCCCGTATAGCTAATCTGGATAAAGCATGATGCAGCCTCCGTCATAGCGTGGTCGACTGGCGACAGAGACTGGTCCATTTCACGGGAGGGCATATTACATGGTGTGAACGGCGTCTAATGGGGTGATGGAGTCAACGGAGAGTGATCCGCAACCACTTTGCTACCGGGTGGGTACGAGGGGTGGTTGGTGGCGAGCTGGCGAGCCCATGTCCTGTGGGGTGTCCTGGGCTTGTCCTGGTGGTCTGCACCGAAGCCGTTGGAAGCTCGGGTGCAACGGCTGCTAGATTAGCATTTGGTTGGGCTAGGCCTGTGGTTTGGGCGTCAGTTTCTATCAGTGCGTCGCCAAGTGCTACCAAAGAGGAAACATGATAGGGATCGTTTTTGGGGGGCCCATGCTGCACATGAGAGGGTGGAAGGCACGGCAAATGCATAGGCGTTATGGGCCTTGCGTCCTATGGTTCCGAGAGTAAAGGCGCTGGGGGGATCGAACATTCCACAAGGGTCGCCGCGTCGGAAAACGAGGCCTGGACGTGCGGAATGGGATATCCAGGCGATTCCAGACGTATGTACGGCCCATGCAAATGCCTTAGAACTCTCGGCCGTGCGTCCATCGGTCGCATTGTTACCTGGTGACCCGGGGGCGGATTGGACCGGACCAGACGGAATGTCGTCTATGCCGGATCTCCATTGCCTATGGTTAGGCTTGCATTGATACGGTTTTCATATTCAAAAGTCGCTATTTTCAGCATCAGCAGCCGAGAACGGGGTATAAGCGAGGTGAAAAATTGCATCTAAGCGGTTGTTGTGGGATACTAAGAGCTTGGATTAGATAGAGACCCGGAAGATGGAGGTTTGGAGATGCTTCGGATGGCTAATAATAGAACCTCGTGCGAGCAGACGATTATGAAATAAGAAGGACCTCGAGATACAAATGAACTCGATGTACCAGAAAGATAGGATGTTAATTTGGACGAAAACAGCGTTGCATTCTCGACTCTCCTCGAAGGTCCAACGGACAGCTGGCAAAAATGACCAAAGTCGGCCTCGCCGCAGAGCATCAGCAAACATCCCGTGCTTTTCCTCTATCAGGCCTTAACGGCAGAAAACCAGTGACTGTTGGAAAGTCGTTGACCTTGAAGCGAGCCTGATAGATTGCGGCTAATCTAATTAGACAGAACTGAACGAGCTTGGCGGTGCCTCGATCAGCTCACGATGGCGCTATACCGAAAATGGAAATCGGCTGGCAATATCGATGTTCTGTGGACCGCTATGTCACTCGTTATCGGGCCAAAGGCACCTTGCGGCCTTGTGAGTGTGCATGCACGTGACCGTCAAACCACAATCCTCTGAGGTCGCAGGAACCCCCACCAGCAGGGAGTGGCAGCTTCGCACATATTTGCTGATGAAAGATACGTTAGAGACTTCGAGGATAAAGAGTTTGCCTCTACGGCAGTTGGCATGTGGAGTGCAACTGGCCGTGACACTACCATGAGCTCGCCCAGCAACAGTGCCCAACCAGTCTTGAGTCCTTCACGGGCGCATCTTCGCATGTTCTAACACGCTCCGGTGACCTGACAAATGCCTAGTGCTGTACACATGCTCGTCATATCTTTCTAGATGCCAAGTTGAAGTCCGTCTGACAGTGGGGGAGGACGGTATTCGGCACGATGGTCTCCAGTCATCGAGGAGCTCCGCGGTGAAAACACTCTAGATGGACACAAAGCCTGGTGGCTCTCTCGGTACCAGAGTTTAGTGGCATGCAAATCCCACATGGGCGAAGGGTTAGGTGATCATCCACCGAACCCGACCATCTGCCCGTCGCCTTCCCAGTCTATCCGCTGCAAGATAATCTCATGATGTCGAGGTGTTCGCCAAGAGGGGACCGTCACCTTCACTGGATCGGCCGTGCACGCATGACTTGCTGCTGGAGTTGTGTCGTTTGGACAGGGCATAGTCTTTGGGTCTAGATCGGCGAATGAACCTGCGGTGTAGATTTCTGTTGCAGATTGATATGACGTCTCTTCTTGAGGCGCTTGCCGCGAACGAGACCGGCTGGGTATGGTTGCTGGGTTGAGCTAGTGGCATGTTGGACCAGTAGAGCGTGACCTACTTGCCGCTGAGAGCCTGGGTACGGTGGCAAGTATGGCTGACGAGAGTATAATCGCCACTCCGTAGGACAGGAAGCAAGAAAGCTTCCGGACTCATGATGCGCCTACATATCCGTGCTCGAACGGGATGACGGCGAACGTGCAAGCCGATGGACAGCCAAGCTCTTGAGAGAAGGAGGGATCGCCACTCAAGCATGCCCGAATTGCGTTGGCCTGTTGAAGTTCCTGGAACAGTATTTCAGAATGAAAACCAAGGCATGCTGGTACGCGCCACCACGGCGGTACTTTTGGGAAGCCATTCCAGCAGGTTTTGAATCAGGATCGAAGTAATTGCTCTGGTAAAGGGATGACTGGATGATTTGAAGACTAGAGAGAAGTAACAGTATGGTTCGGCGGATTCCGCTCCGCTGCCGAGGCCCGCGCTATCGGCGACTTATGTAAGCAAAATCGAACGACATCTCGAGAAGATGTCGCGCAGGCTTTTAGAGGCTGTCAGCGCCGAGCGCAAGCCGATATCCCAGTCAATCGTGTTCGCATACTTAGAGTGCTAAACACGGCGACTGAGCCTTCCAGGAATCAGACAGAGCCGTCAACCGTCTTCCTACGACCCGAATCCACCCTCCGCCGTGCCGCCGTAACTCGAAAAGCATGTCCCGGTAGCAATGCTAGCGCTTTGGTCCCGGGCAGCGCGAAACCCGGGTACCTGTAGATGCATATCATGCGTCTCCAATGCCTCCGCCGTCGGCAGCCGAGCCGGCGTAGCCGTCAAGGGGCCTTGGGCTTTCGGAACCCCAACATCGACCTTTTTCTACACTGCTATATTCGCCGCCGGCATTGCGATTGACGCAACAGTGAAGCGCAACAGGAACGAGCAATGGGATGCGGCTTTTGCGCTTCTGCGCGAAGAAATGAGCCAGCCGGCCACGAGGCGGAGGAAACAGCTGGTTGATGATGAGCAACACCATAGCATGGGCAGCGCAGACTTCAGACCAGTTGAAGAGCTATTCCCAGAGGGTGTGCCTTGGGACATAATATATCGGTCATCGGGGACGCAATTGGTCGACGACCGAGCCTCTCATAATCTTCAGTCCGATTTCGATCTCGAGCACATTTCGGAGAGCTTGTGGGGCCTGTTGCCCTTCGACTCAAGATTTCCTGGAACGCCGGCCCTGGAATGGCCTGCAAATTCCGGCCGCGATCTCGTCAAGCACTACCTGCCACCTCAATCCCTGTGGTCGCCGGAGCACATGCGTTGGACAGCTATACGCAAAAGACAGACGTGGAAGAAATTGGCAATTCAAGAGCTTTCGGTGGGCATGCTCATCTATGCCTTGCTCGAGCATGCCAATGTTTCTCGGCTGCCACAAGATGCCTTGGCATCGCTGTCGCCACATATTAGAACAGTGGCTTTACTAGACGAAAGGTCGAACAAGAGCAGTCGGCGCGAGATTCTCGAAACCGTTGAGAAACTTCAAGCGCTTCCCGTAGATGCTTCGGCTGAGCAGATCACCAATGCCAAAGTCCACCCGAACAGGCCTGCAATACCGCAATACTATCAGGACAGCGACGGTGACTATCACCATATCTGCCAGCAAATGAACACAGCCATCAAGTACCTCCTGAAGGGGAGCGAGGACCCGGTAAAGAATGATGACCAAGTAGCTGCAGCTGCCGCCAAACTTTGTCACAATCTTCTGGTGTCTTCAGCAGCGCCCGACCTTCAAACCTTCAATATCTTGATTTCTGGTTTCAAGCGATGGAGACGTCCAAACCTAATCGACGATGTCATCGCCGCGCTCTACGCATGCAAAATCCGCCCGAATGAGATCACTTGCGCTGCCATTCTCGACCACTTCATCCAAACAAACCGTCCTGACAGCTTCAGTCGATTTGTGGCCAAGATGAGAGGTGCCGATGACGCTCTCATGTTAGCTAATCCGGAAATCACAATCAATGAGAAAGGGCAAGACCGCCTCATCCGCGTCAATGAGACCAAAGTCTACCAGAAGGTCCATCCAACGCCTATGGTCTTCAACGCCCTCATGCTCGGCGTGCTCAAATTCGCCGGGTTCGAGCGCGCTCTAGAGATCTATTACGAGATGAAAGAAGACGGCTGGGGCCTCGATGTCCTGGGGCTCGCCCACTTCCTGGACGACTGCATTAATCGAGTTGACTGGCACGGCGGCCTCTTCATCTGGGAAGAAATAAGCAGCATCAGGCGCCGCGTTCAGCCTAGCCATATGGCCATAGCATATTCCAAAATGCTGAGCCTGTGCTCCGTCACGGGTAACACGGTCGCTTTCAATCGCGTATTGAACGAAGTTGTCCGGCGCGGATTTGATCGGCAAAGGGTTCTGAGATCGGCCATGAAGCTGACGCACATTGCACAGAATAAGCCAGACTCTTTGGCTCCTGCTTGGACGGCGGATAATCTGCTTATTGCTGTATCGGGATACGTAGGGGATGGTACTTCTTCAGAACCAGAGGGGGGTCCACTCGAAGGAGCCGATCCGTTTCAACCAATGCCGGAGAGCGAGGCCACAAAGTCCGAAGACCCAATATTCAAAGATCCCGACGAAACGTGGGCAACATGGATGGAGCATGAACTTGGAGAACCGCTGAGAAAGAGCCCTTGAAAACATGCTGCGTCCAATGAGGTTGTCTACAGCGAGAAGCTGAGAACCGCCGGTCAATGAAGCCTAGGGGTCCTTGAGGTAGTCTCAAATAGGGAACGAACGCGGGTCAGACCGGGGTCTCCATTGGGAAGAGCATTGCCGCCTCCAGCCCCCAGCCAACCCCATCCGTCTTCACACACTCTCGCCCATAGAAAGCTCGTAGCCATCAACGAACCAACCGCGACATACGACGTCCGAGAATTGCCAACCAGCGCTGAAGCAAGCAGGAACCCAAAAACTTACTGTGTCGCTCCGACTCATGCGGCGAGACTCCGTGGGCATCCCCACAAAACCTCGCGAGTCAGCACTTCTGTGTAAATAGGAGCTTTTGTATACCATCTGTATATATCCTATGTAAATACCGACAGGTAGCATTGGGTTGGCACTCGCGTCCATTGAATGGCGAAACGCCAAAAGGCATATGCGTGTCACTGGATGGTAGACAGCTGTATAGACGTAGACGCCCTTACAGGGGACGAATCTGATATATCACCATTCCCAATACGGTCCTCTTCACACCCGGCATTAGGGAGCGATATATAATTGTTCACCAGGCCATCGTTTCCGTAGTGACACTAGAATGACTATGTAAGTAGTGGTAGAGTGAATTTAGGCCATTTTGTTCTGTCATGAACAAGGAAAACGTCACGGAAATTGGGATAGGGAAATATGCAGTTGAATAAAAGCGCTCCGTTGAAAGGAGCCTTGATCAGATCTCATATTGAGTTGAAAGGGTATCAAATCATAGCATCTCCCCATGACTCCATAAACCCAATGCCATAAGCACCCCCTTTTTATCCAGATAAGTAAAGAAAAGCAGTCGGCTCAATCCCGAAAGAGAAAATTAGCAACATGGGAAATCATCCGCATCGATAGGAAACGCACGAGATGTCCGACCGGACTCATCCGGGGTGTACACGGTGTATCCGCCTACTCGCTATCATCAGCGTTCTGGTTCATGAAGCGCTCGAGACGCGCTACATCGTCCTCGCTGTCGGATGCTCCGCCGTGCGCGCTCTTCTTGAACTTGGGACGGTCCTCGGCGATGCTAATCTGGATGCGCTCATTGTTGTATTTTTTGCCTTGGAAGCCATCGCGGAAGTCTTCAGCGGCCTGGAAGTCCTTGAACCGAACCGCGACGATGCCCTCAGGCTCCTTGTCATAGAGGGTGACCTTGGTGACCTCGCCATACTTCTCGGCGGCGCCGCGCATGTCCTCCTTGATCTCGAGGATAGCGGCATCGTCGTTCTCGAGCTGGTGGAGTTCAAAGACCTTCTTGATGATAGCAATCTTAGCCCACTTGTTCTTCTTCGGCGCGTACGCCTCCTTGACTTCCTCCTCATTATCAGACCACTCGGCGAGTTTTCTGAAATACTATTAGGCTAGATGCATCGATGAATGGGCAGAGGATGTGTACCGGTTCATCTCCGCGCGGTTGCGCTCAGCCGCCTTGCGATCCTTGCGCACAAGCTTCGATGCAATAGCCTCACCATCCTTGTGTTTCTTGTACGACATTTCGGCTGGCTGGACATGGATAGGACCATTAGAGCGCGGGCCATAGCAGAACTCGAAGCCATCCATGAGAGTAGTCGCGAGGTCTACGGACTCCTTCTTGAAATAAACGATAAGAACCTCTCCGTTGAATTCGCCAGAGTCATCGGTGTACTTCTTGATACGGGGCTTCCCTTCCACACCCTGGTCGATGATGCCATACTTCTTGAACACTTCCTCGATCTCCTCGACCGTGGCATCGCGAGGGATGTTTGTGACATAGACGGCGCGGTTCTCTTGAGCCTTCTGCTGCTTCTTCGGGTTGCCCTGCGGTCAAGGTCAGCCGGAGAAGATTGCTGTGGAAGCATGACTTACATCCTCGGGGCCCGGCGCCTTCTTGCGCTTCTGCGGGTTGATAGCCTCGGCTGCTCTGACGTTGTCAGAGCCTCCACCTCCCGCGCCGCCGTTCAGCTGCGCCTCGAACTCGTCCAACTCATCATAAGACGTCATGTCGACGGTGCTACTTTCAGAAAGCAAGCCAGCAAAGGCTAGCAGGAGTGCCAGAATGTAAGCGTAGCAGAAAGGTATCACTAGACGGTGTCGTGATCCTTCGCTCCCCCGGAGACCCCAGTGCTTGGCTGCAGCAAGCTGCTCTTTGGACGGTATTTGCACGGTGACAGAAGCCCTTAAAGGAGGGGTGCAGCGGTACGAAAGCCCTCCTCGCTTCAGCAGGGTAGACGGCGACCGGCGTGAAGGAATTGGAGGTCGGGCGGGCTGAGGGGTGAAGCTCGAGGGCTCGTTGCGTCGAAAATATGCGCACGAGCCTACGGCAGAAACGCGGGTAGGCTAGGCGGTAACGCGCACCTGACGCGGAGCTGGAGACTAACGACGACGGCCTTGGAGGGTGAGTATGGCACAGCAGAGCCTGGGGGCCTGAGGGGACTTACTGACGCGAGTCTTTCAGTGTGCTGCTACATGGCGATCCTCCGGCGTTAGTGAATTGAAGGGTGCATGCTCCTCAGCAACGCGGACCCGAGGGCGCAGAGGGACCTACACAGAGACATCGGTTGGCTGCAGATGGGCTGTCGTTGCTAGGCGAGATGATGCAGAGTGCAGAGCGTGGTCGTGTTGTGCTGCAATAATGGTGGTGGAGGGAGGAAGTCTGCTCTCGCCATGCTCTGTCCGGGCCCGCCATTTGTAGCACCGTCACGTGCCTGCGATACCCCACCGTTCCATTCGTGTCAGGGATCAGCGAGGGTGGCGGCATCGCAGCTCCCGAGCACTTCTCAGACAACCACAGAGTCGAGTCCGGGCGGCCAGCGCTTCTCCTGCAGCCCGACCCTTGTTAATCATGCAGTTACCACCGGAGCATGTCTCTCCCTTCTCCCGCTCCCTCTCTCCTCTCCGCTCTTTCTACTGTGTACTGTTCATTTCTGGCCCCTTCTCACGATGCGAGACCCTATCCCCGCGCCGGCGCCCATCGTCGAGCTCACGAAACCGCTTGCCGAAAAGCTCTCGCTGAGCACCCTGCCCAACCATGCGCACGAGATCCTGATCGGCTTCCTCTGGTACCACTTCATACTATACTACCTGTCGCCAACGCTGTCGCGCGCTATATGCCCGAACATCTACAACAGCTTCAACAAGCGGACGCGGTTGAACTGGGATATTCACTGGGTCTCGATGATCCAGGCCCTGCTCATCAACAGCGCTGCGCTGTATGTCATCTTCACCGATGCTCAGCGGAAAGAGATGGACTGGAAGGGCAGGTTGTGGGGATACACGCCCGCTAGCGGTATGGTGCAGGGCTTCGCGGCAGGGTACTTCCTCTGGGATCTCCAAATCTCATCTCAGTATATTGCATTATCTGGAGTGAGCGCACTGCTACATGCTGTCGGTGCTCTAGCTGTTACATGTATTGGTTTCGTACGTAACAGGGCAGATTGTGTGGGGCATGGTCACTAACGATGTGGCAGAGACCCTTCGGAAACTATTATGGCCTCTCCTTCGTCCTCTACGAACTGTCAACGCCCTTCCTCAACATCCACTGGTTTTGCGACAAGCTAAATCTTACGGGGTCGAAGTTCCAGCTGTTCAACGGGATCGGCCTGCTCATCTCCTTCTTTGCGTGTCGGCTCGTCTGGGGCACCTATCAGTCAATTCTCATATACTCGGACATATACACAGCGTTGACGACGGCATCCTCGAGTCCCATGCGGTCTTTGCTGGACGATAGCAAATGCGAGGGGAACGTGAGCGGTGTGGGCATTCGAGGCCCTGCTAGCTGCGAGGTTGGCGAGCTGCCCATGTGGTTAGTCACCATATACTTGATCGGCAATACTTCTCTGAGCCTGCTGAACTTTTATTGGTTCAGTCAAATGATCAAGGCTGTGAGGAAGAGGTTTGTCCCTCAACAAGAGGCGAAAGCGAATGGATATGCAAAGAAGAGCCAGTAGATGGCGGTTTCTCAAATGCGTTACGAGCAGCGGGAGCACTGTGGTGGAAATTCGAACCTAGAGAAGTAGGGTCCAGTCAGCAAATCTCCAAGCCGAAAGAATCGAATAGCGTGGTTGAAGGACCATCATCCAGAGGCCCCTCGGTTGTGTCGTCGCAGGATCCTGGGGTAGGTGGAAAGCAGTCAAGAATTTTATTTTTTTTAAATGCCCAGGTGCCTAGCCAATGGTCATTGAATGCAGCTCTCTACAAGCCGCCCACAGCGCCCTGTAATCGGAGACATCCGAAGGCCAGGTCAGTGAAGGTCGTTCTCGAAGGGACCCAATACCCCGGGTTCAACTCGGAGCGCATTCGCGCCCTTTGACAAGCGGGAGAGGCCCGAACACTTGGAAGACCCAAATGGGGGTTGGTGGCATGGTATTCTTGGGCACAGACCCCCTTTACCGTATAGCAAACTCTGGTAAGCTAAAAAGAACGAAGATGTGGCTTTTGTCTCTCAGCTGGGGTAGAGCCGAACCGATGGGAAGCGAGAGACAAGAGATCTGGACTATTCTCCAGGATCGTATCAGCCCATACGTCGTACGATAACGAGGTGAACTCTGGTTCACTTGGATTCGCATTGCTAGGGCAGCTTTTCAGTGCTTCAATCGATGAGAAGGTGGATATCTTCAATAAACTTAGCCCTCAGCAAAGTTCAATAGTACACTGCTCCCCCCTCTCGTTGCTCAAAAGACACCCGTATTGCTCCCAAGCGCGCTACCAAACCCGAGTGCTCTGACCCCATCTTCCAACATGATCTGATCATCCACGCTCTTCATCGGGCCGCCCCACTTCACGATTCCCCGATCGTCCACCGCGTAAGCGCCTCCAGTCTGCCATCTACAGCCTCCCTCGCCAACTTGCTGTCCCCAGACGCCTTCCTTCTTTCCGAGCAGATATTGATTATATCCGTTCCGCGGATGTAGGAGGTGGCCCCAATTTGAGATGCCGAGACCCCAGAGGGCGTATAGCTCGCGAGTCTGGTCGACTATTACGTCGACATTCCATGCGCCGCCGAGTTTCTTGAGCCATTCGTTTGTCGCGTCGGGGGTGCAGTGCGAGATGGCGATGAAGTGGATGCCTGTGTGCCGATTGGCCAGAGATCGCATGTGGAGGAAGAGCTTCTGCGTGACTGCGTGGGTCCGTTAGCTGGTGTTCAATCCTCACCGCCAACATGGCAGCGCCTCAGGGGCAAGCCTACAGGGACACCCGCAGAATCTCATGAAAAGAACTATACACGGCCGCCCGTCTATAGCCGGAAACTTCAGCTTCACATTGCTCTGCGCCTTATCGCCCGCTACCGGTGGCTCCCGGACCGGGTTTGGCGGCGGCGGAGGGGACTGCCATGATGCAAACGCTTTCCCCCATTGCACGGTCGCGAACGGATTGTTGAAGCCTGCACCCTCTGATTCGTCACCGCTCCGATTCTTCGAATTTCCACCCGTGTAAGTGCCCTCTGACTTGGTGAAAGAAGGTAATGAGACGTTTCCGAGGCCAGCCTTGTGCAGTGCGATTTTGGTGCCGATTTTGCTGAACATGGTGAGTAGTGGGCCGCTGATTGCTTGCCGTTGAATTGCGCGGGATGAAGGGTTGGGATGGTTGAGATGGCGAGCTGAGTCTGAGCTGAACGACTTACGTGCATGTGTTGGCAGAGATGGGCTGAGACGATGTAGCGAGGAGGCGTTCGTGAAACGGGGCGTGTCGCATGCACGGATTCTGGAACGCCAGGAACGGCGACGGGTGTTCACGTGCGATTGCGCGCTACCTAGGTAGGCTCGCTGCTGGGGCCGGATCTTCGGTTCGCGATGCCGTCAACTCCACCGCCACGATCTGGGATTTGCATCTTGTACGGTATTTCCGTGGCTGGCTATTTTACATAGGAGATGAACCCTAACAGTGGTATCATAGAACACGAGGAGATCAAACGAAGGGTATTACAGTCCAACGGCCACACCCGCACGCACCGGTTTCCACCACCGTTCCCGCCCAATGAGCATATCCAATATACACGATTGATCAGGGTTTGTACGCGAAGATCGCCCCACACTCAAAGACAGTGCGGCGCTCCAGGCATTCTTGCGCCACCTCTGCATCTTCCCACCACCATCTCGGCTCGTCGGGGTCGTCGTCGACGAATTGACCCCAGATATCCTTCCACAGCGCTCGACCCACTTGCATGGAAAGCTCGGCATCCACGTCCGATGAGTTCGTATCGAATGCGCATGGCAACCTCATCATCGCTTGTCTTTTCTCGCTTGCAGCCGGGAGCTCGAAGCCAGCTTCCGCGAGCCATCCCGGAACCAGCATGCAAGGCTTCGAGCAGCGGAATCGTCTCTCCAGGTTCAGTGATACCCTATCTTCGATCCAAGCTCTCATCTTTGGGCCGGCGCTTTTCCGGACTGGAGCGGCGTCCATAATCCTAATCTCGAGCAAGCCTCCCGGCGCAAGCAGCCTATAACATTCGCGCAATACCTGAGGTAGCTTCGCCGATGGTACGAGGGAGGGCAGCGTGGAGGCTCTTATGTGAGAAAAGGAAAAGTCCGGCCAAGGGAAGGGGACAATTCCGGGCTGCGGTACCGTCAGATATGATACGTTTCCAGGCAGCGGGATTGGTCTTTGAGGATCGGTAGTAAGGTAGTGCACCTTCTGCCTCGGGTGCATGGCCGACATTTGGTAGACCTCCGCTAACGCTTCTGTCAGACAAGGTCATGACAACACAGCTGACGAACGACTTACCCAGATTTCCATAGAGCTCCAATATCTTCCCGGTATTGCACTGGGGCCTCGGAGCAGTCCTCGACTGGCCCAAGTTCTGCAGCTGGAAAGCCGTCAATACCCAGAGCTGCTTTTCCAATATCAACTCTTCGTCCGCCTCCGCGTCGACCGGGTCATGCCACTCTTCCTTCATGCGATCGAGGATGATCTTCGGACCCGCGCTCTCCATCCTTCGAATGAAGCGCTGGAAGCGAGTGAGCTCGATCGGGCTATCGCGGGCGACCGCCACTTCCTTCTCCTCGTCCCCAGGCGTCGGTGGGAGCCGCTTGTCATGACGTAGGCCCCCAGGTAAGACAATGTTCCACTCGGGCGGTGGTCTCCAAGCTACAATGTTTGAATCCGGAAGACCGCTTGCGTATGAGGGCTGCTTGTCGATCGAAGGCAGCGCTGTCACATCGTCCGGCTGGTCTTGCAACTTCAGGGCTTCGAAATCAAGACCTCCTTCGATTTTCACTGAATATGCCCTTCTGCAACCGGGTAAGTCATTGATGCGCTGAGAAGTCAAGGTAAGCTTACTTCTTTCTCTTCTCGCTGGGAGCAGAGACTGGTACAATGTCCTCAGGTTCAGCGGCTTCGGAACTCATTCGCGTCGTGCGAGCGATGAAAGAGCGGGGGCTGAGTTGCTGCACTTCATGGACTTCATCGATGACTTTGACTTTCCCAGGAGACTTCACACTCCATTGTCGTTCGTCTAAGAGTTCGGTTAATATCCGCAGTTCAGCGCGGGGGTAGACTTACGTGACTTACGAGAAGAACGAGATCCGGTGGAATTGGTGCCACGTGAGGACAAGTCGCCTTCCAGCTCAGGTACTTCGTACTCTGGTGGATCCAGTGGCGCCCCAGACGGCAGAGTCGGGGAAAGTGTCGATGAGTATGTCCACGCTGGCTGGAGGGTAGGATCGCGCAACTCATGCGGCAGCTCGATCTCAAGCGTTCGGGGAATCGAGCTTGATGCCTTTCTCGAATGTTCGGTACCGGTACTGCGACTGGTGCCGGGTCGCCCCTTCTTGTTCGGTTTGATGCTCTTGGCCTTCCTCAGACTTGAGGTCCACCACAGCTCTTTATCATCGGCAACGGACGTCACCGAAGTCTTCGAGCTTCTGGAGCTTTTGATCGAAGGCGCTGCGGAGGGACTCGACCGCTCTTTCGCGATCCTCTCCCTCCGCTGTCCCACCTTCTCTGTGTCTGGCTCAGTCCAGGATAAATCGGCGGCAAACATGGTCGATACAGATGAAGGGAAGCTGGCCAGGTGGAGGACACACGGCTATACCAAGGTACAAAAGCGGAAGTGAGAATGAGGGATGGATCGGAGTATCAGACAGATAAACAAACGCTAAGATTGCTATCAGGTACAAGAAAATAGCTAGACGCCGACCAGGGAGCTGTGATGGCGCCGCGGGTGTGAAGGCGGGCTGCAAGGCCGCCTCTTTTTACAGCAGCACCTAAGGCGCGAATTGTCGCACACCCCGTTCGTGGCTTTATTGGCCTATGAAAGGATGCGCAAACGCCTACAAAATCTAGGACATGGGCAGGCTAGTACCGCGCGACCTGCCGTGCCACGATGCAAGGAGAGGGATCCTAGCGCGTGGGGCCTGCGGAACTCTCCACTTCACTAAAGTTTCAGCCTACACGTGGACTCGGCGGTGGGAGTCGTGCAGATAGACTCGAATCGACAAAAGCCTTTGTCGAAAAAGTAACTGCACAGGTCGTACGACATCAAGTCGGTGGCTAGCATGTCGAACGCCGCACCTATCCATGTCTCTGCCCGAAGTCGCCATGGGTTCAATAGCACAATTCTTGCGGTGATGTGCAGATGCTCCGCGGTTGTGAGGTCAGGTGTACTGCACGGAGTCACGCATTTGGTGCGGCCTGACGCCGCCAGTCGTGCCTAAGGCGCAGAGGCACGCCCTAGTGGAACGATCTGTTTGGTGTTTTCAGGGTTCACGTCTGCAGAGAGAACTACCGGCCATCACATTCCCCCCTTCACAAAACAAACAGAGAGCGGAAGCTGACGAAGCCGCTGCGGCGTGGGCCAGGCCTGTCCGACCATCACACCCCGGCTTCGGCGAGATCCCGGGTTCGCCGTTTCGCGAGGACGCACGTCCTGCGGGGGCTTGATTTCGCCGTGGATCAGCGCCATAATTGGCTGAGATCGGCACCGGCTGTTCCTGCGCAGTGGTTGCGAGCAAGGTTCACGCGGAGCGACCCCTGACTCGCTACCCGCCGCCACCAAACAACGCCTCTCCACTCTCGATCAGAAGGTCCGCGCTCAGGAAGGAAAATCTCCACCCCGTCACACCGGAAGCACCTGCAGGCCGCCGACATGGAATGGCGTCGTAACACGTTGATTATTCGCAGGCGACGGATCTGTCAGGTACGATTTGACAGCTCGCCAGGGCCGCGCTCTTCTGTCCGCTTCTCAAGGCTGGCTACTGCCTGCAGCATCTCCACCCGCTGTGCATCCTCTTCGTGTATTTGAAAGGTCGAGAGCTCGCTTTCTTTTCTTGTTTTCAGCTTCCTAAGGCACATACTTGCATAGCCTAATACCTGTCACCGCGCGTTGACTGCTTCAGTTCCAAGGTCCCATCCACGGGGCGCTGCATGTTTGTTGCAACCGCCTGGAAAGGATTATATATCCAGTCTTTCAAGCCAAATCGTTCCCTGAAGCCCTCTTCGTTCCATTCTTAGTTCCACGAAAAGCTTGAACTCTCCTCGTTTGCTCTTTCAACGACACCATGAACGCAGCTCGCAGGACGGTCGACAATTTCAATGGCGCAGTGGGCGCGTCTACCTTTGGACGCATCTTCCGCCTCGAAGGCTGCGGTCATGTACGTTTCGCCCTCTAAGCACCCCAGAAACCACCGTGCTAACATGGATCAAGGAGAAAGAAATCAAGAACACCAAATTCACCACTGAGATCCGTGCCGGATTAACGACATTCTTTACTATGGCCTACATCATTGCCGTCAATGTGCGTATTCCTGTACCTCTATTGAGTCGTACCTAATTTCAAAAGGCCTCGATTCTATCTGACACGGGCGGTAACTGTGTCTGCACCGACCCCGCCGGTAAAGACCCCTTATGCCAGAACAACGCGGACTACGCCGTGTGTGTCCAGGGTAAATTGTTCTCCCCATACTCACTATCAGCAGCACATACTAACCGCGTTCCAGACTTGAATCGATCCTTGATTACTGCAACTGCCGCCATTGCTGGTTTCAGCTCCTTCATGTTTGGTTTCGTCACGAACATGCCGGTTTGCCTTGCGTACGCACGCCCTGCTTAATCCTCCCTCTATGTCTCTACAACCCTTGCTGATCCTCCCCACAGACCCGGTATGGGCTTGAATGCATATTTTGCCTACCAAATCGTTGGCTTTCACGGCAGCGGGCTTGTTTCATACAGCCTTGCGCTCACCGCCGTCTTCGTGGAAGGTTTCGTCTTCATCTTCCTATCGTTGATCGGCATGCGCCAGTGGCTCGTGAAGGTCATCCCGGTTTCTTTGAAGATCGCAAGCGCTTGTGGTATTGGGCTGTTTCTTTCTGAGATCGGTCTAAGCTACTCTGCAGGAATCGGCGCGATCACTGGCTCCACGGCCACTCCTCTCGAGATCGCTGGCTGCCCACAACAGTATCTAGATGAGAATGGCTTCTGTGCGAGCCACAAGATGACTTCCCCAACCGTAAGTTGAAGCACCTCACGCTACTGCAGGTTAAATTGGCCGCAGCACCCCGCACGCATGCTAATCGGCTGAATTACAGATGTGGATTGGTATCTTTTGCGGTGGCATACTAACAGCATACCTCATGATCTACAAAGTCAAGAGTGCTATGATTGCCGGCATCGCTCTTGTCTCTATCATGTCGTGGCCGTAAGTGAAGCAGGCAGGCTGAAGTGCTTCCACCACTGACCTGCATGCAGACGAGGAACATCCTTCACGTATTTCCCACATACGCCCATTGGCGACGACCGCTGGAACTTCTTCAAGAAAGTTGCCGAATTCCACCCTATCAAGGACACGCTCAACGTGCTGGACTGGGATGTTTCCAAGGATCCCTCCCACTTCGTACTCGCTCTTTTCACCTTCCTTTACGTGGATATCATTGACTGCACGGCTACGCTGTACAGCATGGCGCGCTTCTCCGGGGTGGTAGACCCTGATACTGGGGACTTCCCCAGGTCGACACTCGCTTACTGCACTGACGCTTTCTGCATCTCGGTCGGAGCTCTGTTTGGCTGCTCACCAGTCACTGCCTTCATCGAGTCCGGAGCTGGCATTGCCGAGGGTGGCAAGACAGGCTTGACGGCTATGACTTGCGGTGCCTGCTTCTTCATTTCTATGTTCTTTGCTCCTATCTTTGCATCCATCCCTCCTTGGGCCACAGGATGCACCCTCATACTTGTGAGTCCCCCAGCACGACTCTGCAGACAGCTTCTAACGGCGGTGCAGGTGGGTTGCTTGATGATGCAACAAGTGAGCATGATCAACTGGCGCTACATTGGCGATTCTGTCCCCGCTTTCGTCACGGTCATGTTCATTCCGTTTGGTTACAGCGCTGCCTATGGCCTCATTGCCGGCCTCATGGTGTATACAGCCCTAAACGGGCTGATCTACCTCACGAAGATGATCTCTCGTGGCCGCATCGTTCCACAAGACGAGGATCACCGCGAGTACTGGACAAGTAAGCGTTCAACCTGGAAGCGATCATCAATGCCGAGTTAATAGTTTCTGTAGTCAAGCCACACGGGAAGCTTCCTTGGTTCATCACCGCCACTCAAGCTGTCGCTTCCCACTTTGGGCACGGAAGCAGCCATGTTCCAAAGCAAGACGCCGCATCCACCAAGAGCGGTGAGTCGCAGGAGCGGTTCCGTTCTGGCTCGAAGAGCTCCAATCAAGAGCTGGATACGGTAGTGGTTATTCCAAGAGACCCGCGCGACGAGAAGGTGCTTCGGAAACTGTGAACAGGGAGTGTGCGGTAATGATAAGGGTACTATTCCTGTTCCTGGAGGGGGTGTCGGTGCTTCTTTTCCCAGGCGGGGCCGACAAGATGTATTACTTGAGGGGCTCAGCGGCTAAGTTGATGGCCTCTGCAGCGCTGTATTTTTATCACTGCCATCCGTTAATAGCGCGACCACCAACGGAGTTTCTTTCGGTTGAATACAACAGTCACTTCTATTCTTCGCCACGGCGCTTCATGCACAGCTTGCATCCCGCTCTTCGGCTGTTCGCCATGCCTCGCTCCCGGACGATTGTCCCGTGAATTACATGCTCGACGTGCATGCCTGATTCAAGGTTTCGACTACGGCAAATGTCGCGAGCCCGCTAATCTGCCTCAGCACATGCTGGCATGACTGTGCGGCGTCTGAAACTTAGTTGTCCCAGACTTTTTGGACGGCGGGAGCTGGTTAGAAGCGGGGGAGACGAGTTCTCTCAACCCCACCTTTTCCAAGCTTCCGTGTCTGCGAGGCTGGACGGGTGAATTTCGGCGTCACGTGGTCACTTATCTGCATCTTTGTCACGCCGTCCCTGGCCCGATCTGAAACACGCCAGAACTAGGGTGTGAAGGGCGGCGATGACTGCATGTTGGGGTGCGGGCCAGAGTCAGGTTTATCCACGCCCCTGTTGATCAGGAGCGCTAAAATGATTTGCATGCGGGGGTCTGGTGCGGAAACTTTCTCCTCTGCGAGCCCATCACCATCACCATCTCTCCCGCCCCGCCGCCGACGCTAAGCTTCCACCGCGTCTCACGCGGGCCTGTACGAGTAATGGCACCAAGTCACATACGGTGCCGAGGCTACCCTCATGTTGTGCAGCTCTGCTGACATGCAATCACAGTGAATGGAAAACGCAGTAATCCAACGATCCGTGATCTCGCACCTATATCCAAGTGCCCGTAAATTCCAGCGAGGTCGACGTGCCTTATTCATCCTCATCCAGGACCCGATCGAAGTGCTTCGCCGTGTCACCAGCCCGAGCCTCAGCCTGCTGCCGATCGCGGACATGGACCCACTTCCAAAATGCAGCAACACCGTTATCCCTCGGATTTTTCACAATTGTTCCACGCCGTTTCCATGACAGCCAACGAGAAGATGGCTCCATTGTTAGCATGCAGTTCGAATGCCGCGCGTCCGAACCCTAACGCGGCTCCCTGACAGCGATACGTTGACCCCGAATGGACGACATAATCAGCAGACAGTAAAGGCAACAGATTGTGTCTCTACTTCAAAGTGCACTCTATCGCCTCGAAAACCACCAAATTTTGCAGCATCCCTCCTTGACGGCTTTGCTGGGGCCGCCGATGCTAGTCCAGTGGTTTCGCTACGTCTTATGGCTTTGAACTCACATGCTAAGCGGCTGCTTCACGGCATCGAAGCCAAGCGGACGGGAAAGATCACAGCTCAACGGCCACGCATCAGCGCAGCAGACCGACTATCCCCACTTAGCAGCCGTTCCGTACCACCACGTCGTAGTCATCCTGACTCAATCCGGACAACTGCCTTCGAGATTCCTTCCTCTTTTCAAGGTCATATGACAGTTCAAGCTCTCCAAATCAATCCGGGTGCATTTGTATCACACCGGGACTTGGGCCGTTCTAGCCTTGCCCCCGATGAGGTTATTTTCGGTACGTCGTACAGGCTTTGGGCGACCTTCCAGAACGCTACGCCTTGCAGCCGCCACCTCGGAACCACTGGCGTACCTTCCATGTCGGCTCTGCCGCTCCAGGAAGGCGCAGTCTGTGTTCTCGGACGGCGTTACGCAGAGTAACGTTGTGCTACAGATTCGCGAGGACGCCGAAAGCAAGGAGCGGTGAGAATGCTGGCTGAGCCCCTCGTCCTCCTCATAACGACGCCGGCCTCACGCGCTTCGCGGTCCTACGGAACTTCTTCTAGATCCGATATGTAAGGCATAGCCGGGCTGAACGAGATATCTCCTTCTAAGCTCTGACACATCTGTTCGGTGCTTGGTACCTCTTCCAGCCGCGGTCTCATCGCCTAATCGAACCATTGTTCATTCCGCTGCTTGCTCAAGGCGCAATAGGGCAGATAGCATGGCTCGGCCATGAGCTAAGTCCGCAACAGATGGGCTAGAGGACCACGTTCTTGTGGTTGTTTCTTGCCCCAGAATGTGAGAGATATAGACCGCATTGCCAGAGCGCTGGGTCTGGGCATGGCGGTGGATGGGATGATGGTCGCCTACAAAAGCCCGGTGGCTCATCTGCAGGGAGCGTGCGAGATATAGGGATGGTTCCTCTCAGTACTGCGTCGGGAGCTCCTCCGAACAGCCCGCGTCATGATGCCACCTACACAAGAGACGAAGCACGTTGCTTGCGCGCGATGCAGAGACAGGAAGGTTAAGTGCGATGGAGGAAGGCCGAGCTGCCGCCGGTGCCAGAAGAATCGGGCTCGTTGTCAATACATCAAAGGCCGGAAGCAACAGGCTAAGAATGAGTGGATACATCTTCTGCGGACGTTCAGCTTTCAACCAGGTACGAACTTCGCTATTGCTTCAACGCTGTAGCATGCTAACCATTATCACTAGGCAAAGCCCACGTTACTCGCAATCCAGCACCACGGTCATCGCAGCCATCGTATTCCCAACCCACGAGTATCTGTCATGCAGGCTGCAGTACACCGAGCCGTCTTTTCGCCGAAGGCGCCGCTGCCACCCTCAACAACTCTAGTATTGCGGACGCTAGCAACTCTTTCAGCAGCTATGGAAGCACCGCAGATGAATGGAACACTGCCTGCACAGCACCTACTACCGATACCGACCTCCTGAACCCGAGGCTTTTCACCTTCAACTCAATGCCAACGCTCTGCAATACCAACTACACCTCAGAACTGCTTACCACAAACGGCCAGGTGCCAATTCAGATGGGAATTTCTCCTCTGCGGCCCAACACCCCGGTGTCTCAGACTTCAGACGCTACCTCATCTCCCTATGACGCCTTCCAGGACCAGTAAGTAGCACTCATGTGCCTCGACGAAGACCAACAGCCTAACACAAAGATAGGTCTTACTCCTATAACGACGAATTTTGGAATACAGAAAGCTCTTCGGACGCTCTATACTGGGGCCGCGAAGCCTCCAGTTACCCGCACAGGAGCCAATACTCTTGCTACGCATCGACACCCTAGTTCTTGATGCTTTCATTTTCAAGCTGTATCCGGCTTCCTATCCTTTTGCTTTATCTCGGGGCTCCATGAGGTATTTTCTGCTAGTTGGATACCCTGCAGGTTTGGTACGGCGCGGTCGGGATGGATCCAGTAGGCCTGCATATACATAAACCGTCGACGCGTTCGGTCCGTAGTCTCTCCTTTCGACGAATGGCGTCTTAAGCTGCCTCTGAAGGTCCTTTCTCTAGTCATCGCTTCCACGCAATCGCCTCTAATCTGCTTACAAACACGTGACGATACAATGTCCTTCCCCCCACCCCTCTTCCCCGCGAGGGGACCAAAGACGCTCCTGAAGGCTCACCGGTAGCGCAATATACTAGCTCCCTTTCGTTTCTCGTCAATAATGATCGTGTCGATGCGCAAATTCAATGCATTCTTGTTCACGGGTCGCTCCTCGCAGATGGAGCAAAAGACAAGGAGTTGCAAGACTCGCCGTTAAGGCTCCTGCCTTTACTCCTACGCTTGCGATGCGTATGGTTCACTGGGTTGCCATTTCCGATTCGCTCCTGTTGTCGTTGCTAAGACTCGACAGAATATCTCGAATCGTCTCTTTCCGATTACCCATCCAGAGGAGCTTCGCTTCCAGGAAGCAGCTCAAAAGCTCGAACATGAGGTCACGCTTTTCGTGTGTGCGCGCCGAGGTCTTGGGTGATACGTGCATACGTTACACCTTAAATCTGCTTCTCCATAAGATTACATGTCTGGGAGCGCTTCGAGTGGGCATTCTCAATGTCTTGGAAATTCCAAGACATGGTCGGCCAATATATGCCACGTTTTGATGACATAACTTCAAAGGATATCGCAAGAGTCTATGCCAGAATCCGGGGTTGAAAGACTTGCGTTTGGACTGCATGCAGCGATAGAAAGAGGACATGCACTGGAGAGAATAGGGGAGGGTATGCATTGTCCCAGGCCGTTGACTCTTCGATGCAACCTGCAATTTTCGGAAAGCGCTTGAGATGCCAATATGAGCTAGGCCGACCCGAGCAGCCTTTCCGCCGTCACTGAGCCCCCGTAGAGGAGGTTACGCAACGCCTCGCTGGACGCTGTTCCACTTCGCAGTCACTGCGCCTCGATGCGAACCACATCTTCTCGCACCATCAACAGGTCCGGGCGCACCAGTTTTGAGCCGATATTAGGCCGACCATCTCTTCTTTGACCAGCCTCTCCGACCTGTCACACTTAGGGTTTCGCCCAGAGAACCTCTCAGCTTTGGAACAGAGCAGTTCAGGGGTGCAACTCCTCCTCTTCCGCCTTTCCCACGAGATCGCCCGTGTGGGCAGCACATGCATTCTTTAGGGTCTAGTCTCTTCGAAGCTACATGGACGTTCTTCCCTTGCCTCAGTACCTTGAGTTTCTGCAACGGGCATGCCTTCAGCTTGACTGGCTCGCAGTCGACGCTCTTCTCTTCCATCTCGATGATGACAATGAGCGCAAAGAAAGGGTATGCGCTCCCATCTCTGGTCACACACTCTCTCCGCTTCAAGACTCCATACAGCGTACTATACTCTAAGAGCAACTCAATGCGCAGACTATCCTGCAGCTACATGATGGACAGCCTCAAGGCCTAGACTCGATCTTCATGTCTGTCTCGTTTCCACACCACCCGTCACTTACGCCTCGTTGTCAGCAGCGTACCTCTTGTAACTTGGACCTTCAGCCTACACGTCAGGATGCGACAGCCGCATATGATGGGCACGGGTAGCCCATGGATTCTTGTATGAGCTGGCAAGGGCAAATCATGTAGGCTAGAAGGGCGGGAAACAGCTCCATGGGAGGTATTAGAATCCAGCGACTCTAAAGTCCTTGAGAAAACCGAGAGAAGAGACCTGGATAACAAAGAGAGCTTTCTAGATCGGTGGGAGCGATTGGACAGGGACGGATTTATCGTGCTGGTTGGATGGCCGTAGATGCAGCAGGAGCTCAATATAACCATTTTTCGTATCCCTTCATCCCTTCCTCTATCCGGTCACTATCTCTATTTAATGGTGAACAGACGCTGGCGAAGTAGAGAGCATGACGTCCCATATCGACTTTCATAGGTTTACGAAAGGCCCCGAGGTACTTTATGGTATCTCAAAACACCTCGTATTTTAGATCCAAAAGAGCACTTCCTTCATATTCCTATGTCTACCTGTATAGGGAAAAGAAGAGCCACAAATTCTAATGAACATAGATGCTCGGACTGTAGCACGTCAGAACTGAGCAATAACTTCCAAAAAAAAAACCCCCCCCAAAAAATGAAAACCAGAAAGCATAAACGAAGGAAATCGACCAGCTACCGACACAACCGGCAGCCCTCCATTGGAGTAATATTCGAGGAAAATAATATAGCATATATACGACAAGTTCGCGAAGTGATGTCGGGTGAAGGTGTCGAGAGCGGGCACAAGCGGTCACGGTGACTGCTCAACGCTGCCGCCTTGACCTTATTTTGCTCTCTTCTTTCTGATTCCGGCATATAAAAGCCGGCCTGATCATACCGGAGATGGTGGAAAGGAAAGATTGGCCTTGAAACCCTTCCCACTGCGCACCGCGTCGCTAAAGAAGGCTGTCTCCCTTTCCCACTGCATTCCTTATATAGATCAAACCACTAAGCGCTAGCTTATGAAAAATGGGTCTTTTTTTCTATCCAATGCACATTATGAGCGGAACCGCTACCGGCCATCATACCCCGACCCCTTCTGTCCGTCACCCTTGCCACTCGCAACAGCAAGTGTCTGGCTGAAATACGCCGGAATAGCAATCATATCCGCAGCAATGCTGATCATATCGAACCCGCTGTCCGCACACTCCTTGGCTTGCTCTCCGCTCGTGCAGTAGATACCCACCTTCTTCCCTTCCGCATGCGCCGCCTCCTTGATCTTCGTGATTGCTTGCTTCAGCTCTTCGTGCATCTCTCCCAGGACAGGTCGTCCGATGTTGTTTCCGAGATCGAAGGGCCCAATTAGGAGGCAGTCTACGCCGGGGATGGCTGCAATCTCGCGGACGGATTCGAGCGCGGATTTGGTCTCTATCTGAACGATTGTGATAAGGGATGAGTTGGCGTTTTGTAGATAGTGGGTTAAAGGCTCGTTGGTGAAGGTTTGAGGGCTAAAGGGAGAGCCGAAGCCGCGGTGGCCTTCTGGAGGGAATTTCGTTGAGGCGATAAGGCGCTTTGCGTCGTGGACGGTGTATATTAGCGGGACAACAATGCCGTGGGCGCCGGCGTCAAGGGCTCCTGAAAGGCATTAGGGGAAGACAAAAAGGGATACAGGTAGAACACACTTTTGACCATCCACGCTTCGTTGGCCGCGATGCGGACCAGGGGACTGACGCCCGTGGCTGCAATTGCTGCTACAGCTTCGTGCATTTGGCCATCTGGCACATTCGTTAGGATGGTTGTCCATTGATTAGGCTTGAGTAAGCTATCTACCGTCAACGTTGCCGTGCTCGCAGTCGACGCATATCCAATCAACGCCTGAGCGAGCGATTGCACGAGAGTGGTTTGTTCCAGGGAGCATCTGCACTTGAGTCAGCATTTGCGGCATGCAAGTCCGGTATGGAGGATGCGGTACCTGCCATGCCCCGAAGCTCGGCCCGCCTTTCTTGAAAGCTTTGTATATCCTGCTCGCTTCCTGAAGAGAATTCATGTTCCTGCTGCGAATTGAGGTCGACTGAGGAGTAAGAAAGTGTCTTGAAAGGGAGACGGATGTTCTGCCTAGAGGAAACACGTTTCTAAGCACCCGACGCGACATCGTCATAGCTGTTCGGAGAGAAGGCCAGATACCCCTCCCCCGATGTCTCTCCAACGCAGGAGCTACCCCGCCTACACGGCGCTAAACCTGGAGCTCCGGCCGTCGTGTAGCCTTCCCCCCGAGGTCATCGGACGCCTATGTCCGTTCGGCTTCGTCCATGAGCCTCATGACGTCTTCTTCCTTGAATCGATGCATAAGCTTCAGGGCGGAAGTCGTCGTTGCTGAAGAGTCGGCTTTATCGACGTGGATCTGACGTCTCAGCATGTCGGATGCAGACACTTGATGCTGGGGCTTACCACGGGTGTGTCGAACTCATACACATTCTTCCACTTCTCCTGCCCCAGCTCCATAACGTTGATCTCGTCGTACTTGAAATTCCTCTTCGCCTTCACGTTCCGGACCACCGATTTCGCTGTATCACATAATCCGCACGGACTCCTGGTGAAGAAGGTGATCCGACACTGCAGCAGCCTGGACGTCGCGCGATACATCTTCGAACCACAACAGCGTCGGTGAATATGCAGCACAAGACAAGCCTCGGAGATGATTGGTGAAAGGGGGAGTGCAAGTAGGCAGCTCACCGCCTGCAGAAAGCCTTCTTTTCTGCCGCGCTCGGACCCTATGACATGCCCGCTACTCCGCGACTTCCAGAATATTCGGCCGCTGGGAGAAATCGCCAGGCACAAACACGCGACTCAATCAGACCGTATTCCTCCGCTCGTTCAGCTTGCTCGACATCGTTATACTGCTCTGACAGCCGGGTTGAGCTATGGCGAAGAAGTGCGTGCACAAAGGCTGCGGCAAAGAGTATGAGGATGAGAACGAGGAGTGCGTGTACCATCCCGGTCCACCAGTCTTCCACGAGGGACAGAAAGGTACTCAACTTTCCTTCAATTGGCTGTGCGCTACCAACAGGGTGCTCTGCCCCGGCTTCCTCTACTCTATGCTAACCAAATCCCCTTACCAGGCTGGAAATGCTGCAAACCCCGCGTCCTCACCTTCGACGAGTTCCTCAACATCGAGCCCTGCACCATAGGCAAACACTCCGAAGTCGACGACACACCTCAACCCGAAAAGGTCGAAGCACCCGACATCCCCAACGATACAAATGTCTCGCTCGGCAGCTTAGAGGCTTCGCTTCCGGCGCCTGTTCCCCGCCTTCCCACACAAGCGGCCGTCGAGCGACCCGCAGCCTCACCCGCGCCGCCCGAATCCGAGGATGACGATCCGAGTCTGGAGCTCAAGGAAGGTATGTCATGTAGGCGGCGCGGATGCGGGGAAATGTATACGGGTGGGCCGAGAGAAGACGAGAAGTGCGTTCATCATCCCGGCGCACCCATCTTCCACGAGGGGTCGAAGGGTTGGAGTTGCTGCAAGAGGAGGGTGCTGGAGTTTGACCAGTTCATGAATATAGAAGGATGCAGGACGAAGGATCGGCATCTGTTCGTGGGCAGTGGGAAGAAGGCGTCAGAGGAGAAGCTGGAAACCGTGAGGTAAGCATTCTGCGGCACCCTACCCGACCTCTTGTATAGGCGATTGGGGATGCTAATGCATTAGCAGGCACGACTACTACCAAACCGCAACCTCCGTAATCGCTTCGCTCTATCTCAAGAAAATCGATAAAGAGACTGCGACCGTCGAGTTCCACTCCGAACACGTCAACCTCGACCTGCGGACGACGGACAGCAAGCGCTACGCAGCCGACTTCCCACTATTCGGGTCTATTAAGCCCAACGAGAGCAAGTACAGGATTCTGGGTACGAAGCTGGAGTTGACGCTGGCGAAGGCTGATGCTACAACCTGGCCGGTGTTGAGATCAGACGATAAGCTCACGGGTGAGATGATCCAGGTTGGGAGGGCAGGTCGGGTATGAAGACCTTGACATCGCATCCGGAGCGAAGGGTGGTTGGATGTAGTTCAAGATACCATTTCAAAACAAGAATCCATTTCCATGACTTCACGTTTGCTATGTTCGGCTCTACCTCTAATTCGAGAGGCAGCAACACAATCTTCCTTCGCCCGGCGCAAGTGAGGGCAACATAGCTTGGGTTTGTTCCTGCATGCTTCTAAACTACGGACGAACCTCTCTATTTGGCGGTGGATAGAGAAATGGCCACCACTTCGACCGCAGAGCAGATGAACACTATCAAGACCTCCTGTCGTCTACATGGCCCTGTATGATAGGGCTTGCAGACCTGACTTACATGATTTGATCGAAGACGGGCAATGAAATGAAGCGCATTTCCAACCCCTTCGCACTTCAGCGTAGAGACTCTCTACCCTGAAAGACCCCAGTGTTAGGCATCCGCCAACACATTTCCCTTGAACTGTCATCATGCTCGTGGCTATTAACACTCCACGTGGGGATGTTGCGGCACAGGATGGCTCCTTTGTTATGCAGACGAGGACGCTCCATAGAATCTTCTGTGCTCTGCATAAGCATTGGTGCAGCCGTGCGAAGAAGCGCCGTAATACGTCAGCAACTTGAAAGCAGTAACATCCTGTCGATTATACTTATGTGCGTCTGATAGACGTGCATGGCTAGTAGGGACCGGAGTTGTGATCTTTACCTGCTGTACAGACAGCTGCCTATTCGGGAGTGGACGCTATCGTGGGGTCGGATAATCGTATAGTATGTCTCGGGAATCACTGCTGGTTCCCAGCGACGATGTTATAAGATCAACGCTTGTCGGGTGGTATTAGGGAGGTATTGTGCTTTTAGGTTGTGGGTAGTCGAGATGTCTAATATGAGGATCGGCGAGCTGTCCTCGGCATCGCTGTGGCGCTCGGTACCTGAAGCAGACCAGTCAGCATTGTAATGCTGTGGGTGGATTGTTCCTATTGGTAGCATTCAATGACTCTAGGGATTAAATTTGGGACCATGCCTAGAATGGGGGTTGTACGCGGTAGGCGTGGTTCGGCCGGAAATTATCAGCTGTATCGTTAAAGCTATGAGAGCTGGTCGTAAAACTCCATGCGTTGACTGCAATATCATTTCCGACGTAGCGAAGGAAAACATGAAGAGATGAAGGACTCGGGGTGGCATTTGGAGGATCGCCGGACCCCGGACCCCTTCCGGTACGGGGCATCTGAAACGTGATATTTCAGCTTGCGCATCCAATCACATACTCGTACACAAATATGGGCGTTGAGGTACGGACAGCTTGAGGGCGTGTCCGGAGCGGAGCGTACCGGCATCAAAGGGAGCAGGCCACAAGTTCTTCGGAGTGTTTTTGTACACCACGTGTATAGTGTCGTACGGCAACGATTCAAAATCGGCGATTGCTTAGAGTTTGCTGCCTCGATGGCATGCCTTGAGGGGAGGGATTGCGTACAAAGCGGAGTGCAAGGGCGCGAGATGATGGTTCCGGCGGCTCAGCAAGGGAAGCCTTTAGAGGGCGATCCGGCTATTACCATCCTCCAGAAATACGCTGTTGGTATGTTCCACCACAGATGATGGCAAGTCGTAGCGCGAGGTAAGGCTGAGGAGGCTGATGGTGGCCCAGTGCTGTGAACCATTCTGACCTAAGGCGTCCGAGATCTGTGAGGCTGAGGGGCGAGACCAGCGGCGTCCATTCGTGAGATCGTCAGCGCCCAAGTCGGCCCGGAACGGGACACCCGCCCGCGGCCTAACAACGGCATTTTGCTGAGGAGTTACACAAGGAGGATGATCGGACCTAGTATATTAAATACGGTGTTGGTCTAGGATGTGGTCAGCACGACGCTCCCAGTTTAGAATTTACCTACTATCTTTGGACAAGAGGTACTCAGGCGATGTTAAGCACGGCCAAAGTATCATTGATAGTGTGTCTCCTAGGAAACTACCTAGCTTTTACACGTGGCGCGGCCGATGGGTCGTCTCTCCAGTAGCATGGACGGGTTGGTTTGTGACCTGCGTAACTTGACGTAAGTCGACATGTAGCCTCGCTCTTCAGCGACTGACGGGAACACAAATCTACCAATCGCAGGCCTGGTGGTACACGTAGTGGAAAAGCAGCTATGGGTCGAAGGGAGCTTGACGGGCACCTCTTTGACAGCCTACCGTAGTTGCCACGCTGAGCAACGCTTCCTCCAGCGCTAGAAGCGGGTGGTCCTCAGGGTGGCGTAAGCTCCATCGCTGGTCTGCACCGCAAATGTCGGTAGGGCCGAACGTCGCGGGCTTATTGCAAAGTTCGCGACGAGGAATCCCGTAGTCACAAAACGAAGCGTCAGGCGTGGATCCTTCCTTCGCCCACCGTAATAACTACTCTCCCAAAGTGACAAGCAAGAAGTTCTGCCATCGGTGGCACTTGCCGAGGTGGTGGTTCGGTAGGTTGACGATGTGCAAGGATGCTGCTACGAGCTGGAGGTCTAGTTGGTCGACTGATAGAGGGCGTCGGTCCATATACCGCAGATGCGATTCTCCCCCTGTTGTCGAGTAGTTGGACCTTGAAGGACAGCGTTGAACGCATGGGATTGGGCGATAAGACCGTTACGGCAAGGCAAAATCATCCATGGCGATTGACCGCATAACGAAACACACGATAGAACTGGAAACTGAAACAGGCGTCATTTTGTTCTAGGCCGGGCCCCGCATATCGAAACGTGGAGCCCTCGTGCTCGCGCATAAAGGAACAGGTGGGTTCTGGAAACGCAATGCTTGGAGGAAGAAAATGGAAGCATAAAAAAAGACCATGCAGGTAAGAAGCGAGATGGAGAAGCTATTCTTGACATGTCGGGAAGAGCGGCATGGGTTGAGCTTCTCCTTGGATTCCACGGCGAAGGGAATACCTACTGTACTGTGGTACTGGATCAAGCAACGCGGCCGGCGTGACAGCGGTTTGGAATTTGGAAACGCTCGCTTCTCGCGATGGCGTCCCCATGGGCTTGGATTGAGCGGGCGACACCTAAGCTCGGCGGGGTCAGACTCAGATTGATGGGGGTGCAATATCGGAAGGGCAGCACTGGAGCCGACAATTGCCCTTCTGGAATGTATCAGGCTGACGTCGCGATATTAGAGTCCGGCGCGGACTGCTTTTGGCGGTGCACCTGGCCGTGTTGCAAATGAAAATAGCTGCGGTGCGACGAAGGCGGTGGTCGCGAGGGTAAATAGGAATAGGATGGCTGCAAGAGCGGTGCAGATAGCTGGGAAGAGGCAGCGGGGTGCTTGATACGTCGACACTTTGACGGCCGGTGGGGTGGTCGAATGGGATGGGTGGAGGATGCGTGTTGGTATGACTAAGGAAGGAGCGAACCAGGATGGCCCAATCAGACGCGTGTTGGTCCGTTTCAGGCGTCGGTACACCCGCTCTGCAGCCCTGGACCTCTCCGCAGGCCGCCTCGCAGACCACCCGGCAAGGCGAGCGCGCGGCTCCAGCGCGGTGATGCGAACGCAAAGGGTGCGAATCAACGGCGCGAAAGGAAATTGTGCGAGCGTGATGAGGCGTGACGACATGGCCGACCACAGCCAGCGGCGGCTCGCGACGAAAGCGGAGGACGAGATGGTGAAGACACGACGCCATCACACCAGGAGCCCGCCCGGCGCAGTGAGTGGTCTGGCGAAGATTCGTGAGGGCAGGAGCCTGGAGGAGCGCAGACGGGATATGATGAGGGAACCCCTGCGCTCCCAGTCACGGCAAAGTTTCACGACGAAAACAAACGCTCATACATGCCTCTTTGGATGTGCGCACACGCGGCCGGCTCGCCCACGGCCTCGTCCAGCTGCGCCGTACTCTCCGTCTGCCGGCGTCGCACACAGCTGCTGGAGCCGCAGCGCGATGCTGCTTCTCGCTGCAGCAGAAGCCACCTGGGCGGGCGATACTGTACACCTGGGCCGTAGAGGGCAGCTAGCACAGAACAGGGGCGGGAGCGGTGGCTGGCGTATAGCGACCCTGGCGACAGGGACGCCGCCGCCGATTGGCCCGTTTCACCGCCTGCCCCTGAGCGCAGCGGCCGTGCAGCTTCGCCGTCGCTCGTGCCGTGCACCGACTAGCCCGTTTGGCTGCCTCCCCCCCAGTCGCTTGCCCGTCCCTGCCCGTCCCTGCCCTTGCTCAGGGCCCTTCCCGTGGCCGCCGGACCTCCTTCGCTCACACTCGCGGCCTCTCCTCCCAGCCCTCGCCCACGAGAGCCTGAACAGCCTCAATTCACCGGCGCTCCACATCCGCACACCGCTGTGCTGTGCTGCTTCCTCTCCTTTACCTGTCCGCTGGCACGCCTCACCCGCCTCTTTGACAGAGTCTTCCCCCGTCGCTCTCTGTGCTAGTGCCTGGCTACGCTGTCTCGACCTGGACCTGCCTCTGGAGTCGCTGTCTGAGCCACCGTCGCTCTTGAAAACCGTCTTCGATTCGAGTAGGTCGCGCTTTCTCGCCTTCGCCGCCTCTCCACTTACGCCTGTCGACCCAGACTGCCCTTTCGACTTGCTCGCGCGCGACCCGACCGTGTTGCCTCCCATTGTCGTGCTCGCCGACCGTCGGGCAGCTGAAGCAAACTAGACACGCTGCGCTCCAGCCGCTTCCAAAGTTTGTCCGCACCGGAGTACCTTCCAAGGTTGAACGAGACTTCTAGAGCTCGCGTCCGTCGCTCTTCGAACACAGGCGCCCGCTGCTGGAGGGAGCCGACCATTGACATTCACTCGAGAATACCCCCCACGACCCCACGGCCACTCGTCATGACCTTTCAATCCAAATACTAGTCCATTGACCATCGCTCCTCCTCGGTTCTTGGGTTAGTAGCTCGAGTAACACGCACCTTCGTTTGCTCCATCGCCAGCCGGACTCTCCTGTCGATCTCTTCCTGTTATGGGCCTGCCAGAACCCATCTTCCCGCTGAGCGGTCACTGCTCGGCCGTCCACGATGGCACGCTCTACGTGTATTCGCCCGCTGGGTTCCAGTCACTGGACCTCTCGCAAGGCGCAAAGTGGGAGGCATTACCAATGGACATCTCGTTGACCGGCGCGCAGTGTGTCAAGGCGGTACCTGGAGGAGATGCGAACGCTGCTATGCTGTATGTGGTGGGAGGATCGGTAAACGAGACGGCGTCAACGTGGGACTACCCTGGATTGATGCATTATTCTTTCGTGCAGAAAAAGTGGGACTGGGTGCGGCCGGAATCTTGGGTCACGCAAAACCGACAGAACCACGCTGCCGTCTATCTAAACGACTCGCAATCCCTCCTTGTCTACTCCGGGTCGCAGACAACGGGCGAAAATGGGCCCTCATCATCGACCTTCCTCATCTCCACGGTGCCTCCCTACAACGTGAGGAGTTCACCATCTGCGGACGCACCACCCGGCGTTAAACCGCTGCTCATGCCCTGGGATTCGAACCATGCAGTGATGATCGGAGGCAGTGCTACGAATACCGCCGTGTTCACGTTCGGTGCGGACGAGGGTTGGCTAAATCTGGGCGTCGACCTCACGCAGCCCATCACTAATCAAGATGCGGTTCAGTGCACGCTGGTTGCAGGAGACGATGGGAGCAAGGTCTTGGAAATGTATGACATGAGCGTGTCGCCTAACAAGGTCACCCGCATTGCTCTTCTGAACCAGGGTGGTACTGTGGCGGCTCCGGGAACGACTGTTGGCGAGAAGGCGAAGCGACTGACCATTCAGGACTTCCCAGACTACAATGGGACCTTTGCTCCAACTGCCACTCGAACGGGCTACTCTATTGCCCAGGGCGAAAACGGCTATGCCGTCGTGACAGGAGGGAGCGAGGAGGACCCATTATGCATTTTCGACCAACACGACAATGCTTGGATCAACGCTACGGAGCTATTTTCTGGAAAGCAGCAGCAGTCCGTCCTCAAACCGACCTCTTCAGCTACAGGAACACCCACCAACGTCCCGGCATCTACTTTACCCAGCGCATCGTCTTCGGCTTCTTCCACCGCAGCTGCCACAGCTGCTGGCCCTGTCAACAACAAGGACAGGATGCTGACAGTACTGGGTGCAACGCTGGGAGCAATCTTTGGCATTGCTGCAATTCTCATCCTCCTCCTGTTCTGCTTGAAGTACAAGAAATCAAAGAACAAGACGCAGCAATCCGGGTACATCGAAAAAGATCGCTTAAGTTTTGCGGACCGAGGCGCCGAGTTCATGAGCGAAGCTGGGGGAGCGGTTGGACCCAAGTTCTCATCATCGATGAATGCATCACAAACATCGCTAGCAATCGTGAGCGGCCGAGTAGCAACTGGACATAAGAGGGGCGTGGCGAGTGATGCCAGCACTGCCGGATTGGTTAAGAAGACCAGCCCGCTGGGATACTCGGAACCAGTCGAAATGTCGAAATTTGACTTGAAGCCTGTGCCGGTTCAGGAGAAGATGGTTCGTCAGAACTCTGGTCGCATACCGACCCAACCTCGCGCACCGAACATCGGTCGAAGCCGCAGCTCTGGATGGAGTCGCTACTTCGCGAATAATGAAGCCACGAATCTAGCACACATGCCTTCCAATCGGTCAACGTTCGCGTCTGAGCGGACGAGCACCGGCAGTCAGTCAATGTACACCGATTCACGAATGTACAGCCAGCCATCGCAAACGGTCCCTCCGCTTGAGATTCCGAACACCAAATTCGATGGACAGCGCATCAGTAAAGTAGTCACCGGGAGTCCAACACTGGGTACCTCGCAGGAGACCTTGCCCCTTCAGCCGATGCAGGCGGAACTGGCACGGGCAAACTCGAATGGAAGCACCCGCTCCGGCATCAGTCACGACGACCACTATCTCAGAGAACCCGTGGAGAGCTGGACACCTGTAGGTGACAATGGTCATCATGACCGTCCTCCAAGCAGCAACTACACTGGCAGCATCGTTATCGACAATTATCGAGATGGTGCTAGCTCTTACTATGCCGATGGCGCTAGTTCATTCTACCCGAAGAGCAACTACAGCTCGTTCTATCCTGGCCAACCAAAGCTCGGCGCACCCGAAGGTCGGGAGAGCACCGTCACAGTCTTCCCGGGCGGTAACCCAGCAAGCAATCCACCAGCTGGCCAACCACAGACCAACCTCAACTCGTTCTACCCTGCGCCACCACGGCTTGGGGGACCCCCCGAAGATCGTGAGAGTACGGTGACGGTATTCCCACGTGGCACCGCAGACAATGCACCTAAGAACGGACAGCAAGACATGTCTTGGTTAAACCTGGGCGCCGGGAAATGAATAGCCACGCCTTTGGGATGATTTAAACGCTCTCTAATCGGCGATGCGCCGAGGGGTCGTAATTCCCTTTTTCTTCCAACTATCGGCGGTTTTCTGCATACGGTCCGGAACGCGCAAAAGCCCAATGAGTCTTCATTTCATGGCCATCTCTCAACATCCTTCGCCGGATCTTTTTTTCTCATCAGCGTCATGCATGCATGCTAGCGGCCGGCGTCCGAATCTTCTGCCATTTTGCCTCCTTTGCTGGATCTTTCTGGAGCATCTCGTGCGCGCCTTAGCCCGCGCCCATATTTCTCATGTCCCTTCTCTTATTCTCTCCCTTTCTTTTGTACGCCGCATCATCGAAGCACACAAGCTACTTCGCTACCGCTCGCTACAGATACCCGACGCTCACCGGCGTCAACACCTCCACCTCATTCCGCCCTTGTATATAGCCATCTTCTCTCCGCGCTCTCTACACGGCGGTCTAGACTGCGCGGCTCCTCTTTTTTCTTGCCTCTCCTTGGTAACTCGTTTCCTTCGATTCTCTATTGTTGCATGCCCTTTGTTCATATCCACTCTCGCGGCTGCATTTTCTGTCATGGCGTCTGCAGATGGAAAGAACTTTGTAGCTAATCAGCGAGCTGCGTTGCTCGCAGCACCATGTCCGTTGTGGACGCGTTAACTCGTAATGAACCGATTGAGATCTCCAAACCAAAGCCAGCCGTACAGTTACCTGACCGTGATGTAGAGCAAGTGAGAACGTTAAAAGTCGCGATGCGCGCTTGAACGGGCTAGCTCCCTGCCCACTAGCGCGTTCGTCGATCGACGCCGCGTCTTCCATGCACCCTTATCTTTATCTCCCCTCCAACCCTCCCACAATCTGGACCAGCCGCCTCCCAAGACACTCCTACCAAATACCAGCGGAGCTTTCTCCGCGGATAGATACGCTGCAGGGTTTAGACACGCTGTCGCTGCAGTCGTGCGTCACAGCCTAGCTTTTGCTATCTCAATCCAATCTGCACGACGCCCCATGGCATTCTCTTCTTCTCCATTGCCCTTCGGGCGCGAGACTCCCTGCCGTCGGTCGAAAAATGCCCGTAGACGCGGAGTCGGCGACTGAGCGTACTGCTCTCCTCTACCATGTAGCCAACGACCGGCGGTTATCGCAGCTGCAACATGAGCAAGATGCGGAGGCTCAGAGTATCATTTCGTCCGCCGTGACGAAGGAGGAGCAGGCGATGGCTGGGAGTACGGTCGGAGAGAGGCTGCCGTACAATGATTATACGACCATTGACTGGTTACACGACCTGGTGCCCATACCCCTAACCCCATTGCTTTGCTAGGAGCACTTCAGGCAGCGAACTGATGGCCCGTCCAGGTCAAAGACTCGTACCGCTTCCGCTATATTCAATCACGCAGAGGTCTAAGATACAATGCAATTTCCATGTTCGAAGCCTGCTCGGGCTGGATAGCGGTTGTCATTGTTGGCGCATTGACCGCATGCGTAGCCTTCGTCGTCGACGTCGCTGTAGCTACGGTCTCAGATTGGAAATTGGGATATTGCACTAAAAACCCATTGCTCAGTCGAGAAGCTTGCTGTGAGGATAGGACACCATTACTTGCTACTAGATCTGAATTGGCGGACCAATGCAAGGACTTCCATCTCTGGACAAACAACTACGCCGGTTCATTTGCGATATACGTCAGCATGGCCTTAGCGTTTGGGATCATCAGCTCCTCAGCGACTTTGCTCACTAGTGGCTCCCTACCCGCTGCATCGTTCGAGCCCTCTCCTAAAGACGATTCCTCACGCACTTCGAAGCCAGCAGCAGCTGGAAAGAAAATGTACATGGCAGCGGGCAGCGGCATCCCCGAGATCAAGACCATCCTCTCCGGCTTCGTTATCCCGAATTTCCTCTCCCTCCGCGTGCTCCTCGTCAAAGCCTTCGGCGCCGTCTTCGCGGTATCAACAGGCATGTGTCTGGGAAAAGAAGGGCCCTTCGTACACATCTCGACATGTGTGGGATACATTGTAGGAAATTGGTTCCCCAAATACAAAAACAATGGGCGCAAGATGCGGGAACTGCTCTCCTCGGCTTGCGCCAGCGGTCTAAGCGTAGCCTTTGGTGCTCCGATCGGCGGCGTGCTGTTCAGCTACGAGGAGATCAGCACCTATTTCCCGCGGAAAGTGCTCTGGCGCGCATTCCTCTGCTCTCTTTTCGCCGCCATCATTCTGAAAGCACTGAACCCGACTGGGACGGGCAAACTGGTCCTCTTCGAAACGAACTATGGCACCGACTACCAGCCCATCCACTACTTCGTCTTCATCGTGCTTGGCATCGCGGGCGGCATCTTCGGCGGCCTCTTCTGCAAATTCAATTTCCTCTGGTCGAAATGGTTCCGCTCCTTCTCCCTCATCAAGAACAATCCCGTTCTCGAAGTCTTCCTTGTCGTTCTGGCTACCACATTACTCCAGTTCCCGAACCCACTGACCCGCGAACCGGGAGATGTCATCATCAAGAACTTGCTCGTTGACTGCAACGCAGGCAGTGAGTCTGCGCGCTCCTGGGTCTGCCGGAACGAGGACACAGGCGTGGATGTGGGGAAGGTGAACTGGGCGTACACCGCCTACCTCATCTACGGCACCATCACCAAGCTCGTCCTAACGATCATAACCTTTGGCTGCAAGGTCCCCAGCGGCGTCATTATCCCCGCGCTAGACGCAGGCGCGCTGTTCGGCCGCCTCATCGGCCAGTCTATAACCACCATCTCTCCCGGTATCTTCGCCATGGTCGGTGCCGCCGCCTTTCTCGCGGGCGTGTGCAGAATGACAATCTCCTTGGCAGTGATCATGTTCGAGCTGACGGGGCAGCTTGAATACGTGGTCCCGCACATGATCGCTATCCTTGTTGCGAAATGGGTCGCGGACGCTATTTCCTCGGAAGGCGTCTACGATCTCGCGCAGACGGTTCTCGGACACCCGTTTCTGGACCCGGATCTCGCCATCTCCATCGTCCGACAGAGGAATCTCCTAGTGGAAGTCTTGATCCCACCGAAGCAGACCATGGACGAGGTAACCGTACACGTGCCGCCTTCTAACAAGGTCCCCTACGCCCTCCTCCAGCACAAACTCACGCAGCTCCACGCGCGGGGTCTCATGGACGCCGGCCTCGTGCTCGTGCAATCCCACTCCTCGCACCACCATCATACTTCGCTTCCCATGCTGCAGGGCTACATCTCGCAAGCCGAGCTCGAATTCGGGCTCACGAAGCTGCTTGCTCACCACCCCCCTTCTGACCCACCTCCTCACCACTCGGACAATGAGTTTCAGATCCGGCTGCTCGGGCACCTGGTGGACGACGATCCCGCGCCAGAGACCTTGGAGGTGGACCTGACGCCGTTTGTGGATAGGACTCCACTCAGTATTTGCGCCAAGGCGCCGTTGGAATATGCGGTCGAGATGTTTAGTAAGTTGGGATTGCGGTATTTGTGCGTTACAGAGGAAGGGACGGGAGCGTTGGTGGGCGTTGTAATCAAGAAGAGGTTAGTGGGATACTTGGAGAAGTTGAAGGAAAGTCATGATGAATGAGCGGATTGGAAGGCCGATTGGGGCCCAAGATACCATTGTTTCCACCGTTATTCTTCTCGCTCAGCCTTTTCGGATACGCGCGCCTCAGCAATGGAAGCAGTTCATAGCAGCTAGGGCCATCACAATAATTGTGGCATTTAGTTCTACATGGTACCCTACAGTTCCCACATGACTAGAATGTGCCAAAAACCCAAGACAAGGACAAGGCGTTACCAAGTCTTTGCCCTAGCGACGAAACGATCCATGTCCAGACATTTCCCGTTCGTCTTCACGCTCCGACTCATACACCGCGTCGCGGAACACCCAGACACCCAAAGACAAAGGGAAGCCGCCAGGCGAGGCTAAGCTGAGCATGGACAAAGATCCGCGCCGGAACCGGTACGACCACCAAGAGACCAAAGGGCTACGGCACATGCGCTAAGGAGACAGTGATGGCAGGGAAAAGGGGGGGGAGAAGAGGACCGATCACGCCGCTGGTGCATGGCCGTACGTGCTCTGGTACTCCTTCTCGTATCTAGCTTTGTCGGCAAGGTACACGTCCTCGTATTTCTACAACGCGGTTAGCAAGACACTCAACTAGTACAATCATCCGATCTCACCTTCTTCTCGCTCGCACTCAGCGCTTTCCATTCCTGGCCGCAGAGCTTGGCGGCGGCACCAATGGTTATGCCCTTGAAATCCCCACTGGAACGGCGCTCGACGGTGAAAGCAGCGAATGGCCTAATGGCCGGCTTGACGAGCCGGTCATCCTTCAGCTTCGTCGTGTAGGAAGGCCGAGACTTGTATACGCCCTTGAGCTTCCGTCGAAGGTAGCTGCGTGCCAGGTTGGCCATGCGGATCTGCTCGGGCGTGTGGCTGCGGATCCAGGCGGCGTATTCTGCTCGCCTGGCGGCCGTCTTCTCGTTGGCAAGGTGGTTGTAGTGCTGTAGCAGCGCGTGTCAGTCACGAACTGTATGCGCGTGGCCCCTGGCTTACCTCCTTCTCTGCCGGAGTCAACGCCTTGTACTTGGCGGCAGCTTCCGCAAGCCTCCCTCTGTCTGCGGCCCCGGTTCTACCGGCCAACGCCTCGCCCACGAAGACCTGCCAGGCTTGCACCGCGTGCGGCGTGCATGGCTCCTTCAGCGCTCGCTTCTTGTACTCGCTGAGGGTCGCCTTCTCCTTTTCCTCCGCGGTCTTCTTCACACGTCTAGGTTTCTTCGGCGCGGCCTTTTTCTTCGCGGCGGCTTTCCTCTTCGGCTTCGCCTTCGGCTTCGCCGCTGCAGCCTTCTTGACGGACTTCTTGGCGGGCGTCTTCTTTGCGGCTGTTTTCTTCACGTCGCGCTTCACCTTTGCGGTGGGCTTTGTTGCGCGCGCCGCCGTGGCGTAGGAGCGGCGGGATTCGTACAGCGCAGCCTTGTAGGCGCGTGAGAGGGCGCAGACGGTCGGCGGGGCGAGCCCATTGCGAGAGAGCGTGCTGCGTTGGAGAAGGCGGGCGAGCTGCGAGAGGTCCTGTGTTGATGCTTTGGGTACATCGGCTGCCAAGCGGCAGAGAAGGCCGCGAGCCAGCATCGCGATTGGTGCGTGAGGCGTGTTGTTTTGCGCGGGTCGGGTCGCGAAGATGGTCTTGCAGCTGGGAGCGGGCAATTGGGCGGCGTTGGGCGACGGTGGTGGGGATGGAGTGCGCGTGATGCGCGATGAGACAGCTGGGCAGGAACAGGAAGGGAGGCTGGGAGCTCGGAGCTTGGGGGCTGCCCCGTGCGCCTCTTTCCCGATTGGGCTACGTCACAGCAAGCCTCAGGCACGCTGCAGCGCTCGCGGGCACAGGCAAAGAGGAAGCAATTCTGACCAGGCATATTCCCTATCAAGTGCCAGGCCTCCTCTGAGTATACGCTCTTTCGCTGGAAACGTCCGCCCGCTTGTACGTCGCTCCACGTGGTATTTTCAGAAATGGAAAACCTTCTCCCGTCTACAAGCCCTACCCTCCCCGACACGACGGGAGCTGGAGGCGTCCCCTCGTTGCTCTAATGCTGCAATCTATATGCGCTGCCAGCCTCTATTGGGGCACTGTGTAGCTACTTCAAATTAGTAGCCGTCCACAACAGGAACCATTTGGGCACGCTCACCTCCAAGGATGCTTCTCATCACCATATTGAATAGCCTCTATCCAGTCCTTGACCTGCTGGGTAAGTGGGCCGCACTCGACATGGTCCGGAAGGCCACACTCAACAAGACGCCCTTTCCAGCTGATTCGTCGCACAGGGCTGACGATTGCGGCAGTACCAGCGCCGAATACCTCCATCATGCGTCCCTCGTCGGAGGCATCAGCAAGCTCCTTCATCGTGAACTTGCGCTCCAGCACCTTCCAGCCCTGGGGCTCAAGGCGCTCCCGCGCAAGGCAAAGGACAGAGTCTCGCGTGACGCCTTCCAGGATGGTGCCATCCAGCGGCGCAGTCAGCAGCTCCGGCTGCCCAGTCTCCTTGTTCCTGATGGCTGCGAAGAGATTCATGGTGCCGACCTCAGTCACATATTCCTCCTCTCCGAACAACCAGAGGTTTTGGTGGAAGCCCCTGCTGGCTGCCTGCATCTGGGGGACGATGCAGGGCGCGTAGTTGGCTCCAAGCTTCTTGTCTCCAACCCCTCCTGGCCATGCTCGCACAGCATAGTCTGTAGCTTCCAATGACACAGCCTTGAATCCAGTCGGGTAGTATGGGCCCACGGGCGATGCAATCACGAAGAGCAGGGCGGAGGCAGGTGGACCAACGCCGAGCGTGCGCTGGGTACCGATTAGGGTCGGGCGGAGGTACAGCGAGTAACCGCGCGCTCTGAGACGTCGTCAGTGGGCAATGTGGAGAAGACGCAACGCCACACTCACTGTGGGATAAATCGCTCATCCAACTTGACAAACCTGCCAATGAGGTCAATCATGGCATCGCCGTCAAACGTGGGTAGCGCAATCCGTGCAGCGGACTTGTTCAATCGCGCCATGTTTTTGTCCGGACGGAACAACCTGATACCACCATTCTTGTCCTTGTATGCCTTCATTCCCTCGAAGCACTCAAATGCGTAGTGGAAGACGCAGGTCGCCGGATCGAGACTAAGGTTCTGGTACGGAGTGATGCGGGCTGGTAGCCATCCTTCTGATGCTGTCCATTCAAGCGAGAGCATATGATCTGGGTGCTGTTAGTCGCACACTGTGACCCGCTGTTGGGGCTCCCACCTGTAAAGTTGCGCCCAAATATCAGCTCCTCCGGGGGCAGCAATGCCTTGGGTGTCGTGGTCTTGGTGATGGTGAGCTTTGAAGGGTCAATATCCTGAATGGTCGTCCCGACTGAAGCGTCAGCGTGGATGCTGTAAGCTCGCTGGCTCCGACATCGCAGTGATGCGCCCAGGGCGGCAGCAATTGAACGAGAGGAGGAATGGGACAGCGCAGAAAGCAACCGTAATGACCTTTGCTGGAGCATTCTGAAAGAGTACACTGAAAGACAATTGCAGCAAAGGTGGCGTCTGGGGGAAAACGAGAGCAGAAGAAGGTGATTGCCAGGGGACAGATTATTTCGAAAACGAAGCCGAAGCTGACCGCGCGGAGACGTCAACTGCTCCCCGATAACGGTTGCCCCCAATCGGACGGCAGCAATCAATGCGAAAGGGCGCAATTGATTACTATACGCATTCTGTGCGGATACAAGAGGTTATTCACGTGTGCTAGTTCAGGTACCATTGCTGGTGCGGGTCTGGTCGCAGAAACGGCATTTCGCACCCGCTTAGTCATGCAATGTGGCGGCGAGGGTCGTTCGTCGAACACGATGTCGCGTGGGGCTGGCAGCACCGCTTTGTTATTCTTTTGCCGTTCAAGGCCATCTTCGAACTCCACACAGCTACCCAGCTGCTATAGCAGTGAACCCAGTGGCAAGACAGATCCCGAAAACGATGCCTTGTGTTGGATAGACTGAGCCTGTGCGCGACTGCTCAGCTGCTACTGTGCTACCGTGCATGGTCTCAGAATCCCCCTACGCAACACCTCCCTTTCGCGCATCCGAATACCGGTCCATGACGTCCCCGCTTGACGCCGCAAGCATCGTCGCGCGGGCGACTCGGACACTATGTTCTCCAAATTCGCGTCCGACTTATCCAAGTCGCTCTCTTCGAATATCTCGTCCAACTACTCGCTGAGCCAGCAACCGACAGGACACTCAGGGCCATGGAAGATATACGATGCGAAGAAGAAGTCCACAGGCAAGGCGGCATCCGTGTTCGTCTTTGAGAAAAAGGCTCTAGAGCCCCCAGGAGGCGGAAGCCTCGGCGGACGGTCTAGCGGTTCTGCGCTCAAGAGAGCACAAGAGGAGGTGGTGGAGAGACTCAGGAAAGAGGCCAGTTCGCTGGCACGGCTACGCCATCCCAGCATTCTAGAGCTGGTGGAACCGATAGAAGAGACACGTGGCGGAGGACTGATGTTCGCTACGGAGCCCGTCACAGCGTCGTTGGCCGGCTTACTCCAGGAGAAGGATGAGCAAGAGAAGGCCGGAGGTGTGGGGGGACGCCGCAGTCGATATGTCATCGAGGATGCTGACGGGCAGAAGCGGAGACGAGAGCTAGAGATTGACGAGCTCGAGATACAAAAGGGTCTGCTACAGATTGCGAAAGGGCTTGAGTTTCTGCACGAAAGCGCTGGCTTGGTGCATGCCAACCTAACACCGGAGGCTATCTTCGTCAATGCTAAAGTAGGCAATACCACGTCTATGTTCTTGATACGGTACTGATCTTCGTGACAGTCAGATTGGAAGATATCTGGACTCTCCTTCTGTACCCCGCCCGAGAACTCCACCAAACCAACGTCCGTGTCACCCATCTCCCTCGCCGAAGCTCTAAACTACGACGCGCGATTGCCACCATACGTCCAGTTGAATCTGGACTACACATCTCCGGATTTTGTCGTGGATGGAAATGTTACACCAGCAGCAGACATGTTCTCGCTCGGCATGCTCATCATCGCCCTGTACAACTCGCCGCACAAGAGTCCTATGGAGTTCCATGGAAGCCAATCCTCCTACAAGCGAGCGTTCTCATCCTCAGCATCGGTTCCAAACAGAACCAATAACTTCATGTGCTCGCAGTCGATGCCGCGAGACGTTGTGACCGGCGTGCTGGATCGACTGATAACTAGGCGGCCTGCACAAAGATTAGATGCCCGAGAGTTCCAACAAGCTCAGTACTTTGACAACATCCTTGTGTCGACGATTCGCTTCCTGGACTCGTTACCCGCCAAAACACCGAATGAGAAGTCCCAGTTTATGCGAGGACTGCCAAGGATATTAAAGGACTTCCCCAAGTCGGTCATGGAGAAGAAAGTTCTGCCTGCGCTCCTAGAGGAGATGAAGGATCGCGAACTGCTTGCATTGGTCCTCCAAAATGCGTTCAAGATTGTGATAATGCTTCCATCAGGGAAACGAGCATTCACGGAGAAGGTCGTCCCGAAACTGCGAGAAACATTCTTGTCACATCCGAAGGGCCACCCGCAAGAGAGAGACAGCCTGAAAGAAGCGGGTTTGATGATTGTGCTTGAGAACATGACAGTGGCCGTGGACAACTGTGGAGGGAAAGAGTTCAAGGACGACATACTCCCCATTGTCAATTACGCGCTCGAATCTCCCACTCACTCTTTGGTTGACGCTGCTCTACGAACGCTTCCAGTCGTCCTCCCCATTCTGGACTTCTCCACAATAAAGAACGAGCTTTTTCCAGTCATCGCCACGATATTTGCCAAAACTAGCAGCATGGGTATCAAGATTCGAGGCCTGGAAGCTTTCAAGACTCTTTGTGGAGGTGCTAGCAAGGAGCATGATGGTATGCAGGGAGACGGCCTCACAGGAATGGTTGAAGCACCAAAGGCAAAGAGCAACGTCTCGATCCTGGACAAATATACGATACAGGAAAAGGTTGTTCCGCTGCTTCGCGGCATAAAAACTAAGGAGCCTGCTGTTATGGTAAGCGCTCCGGAATTCTGAGTTTTGCTCGCTTACTGATATTCATTCAGATGGCTGCCCTCGATGTATTCAAGGCTATTGGAAACCAAATCGACAGCGACTTCCTCGCTATTGATGTCTTACCCATCCTCTGGCAATTCAGCCTTGGTCCTCTACTCAATCTTTCGCAGTTTCAAGCTTACATGCTGCTCATCAAGTCGCTTTCTGCACGGGTGGAAAACGAGCATACTCGGAAACTCCAGGAGCTCGGTGCAAGCAGCGCTCCGGCCACGTCGCGCAACGAATTCATGAGCTTCGCTGGGATCAGTGGGACCAATGGCTTGGACGCGACAAATGGCACTGGAGAAGCCGACTTCGAAGCTCTTGTCCGTGGCAACGGCGGTACGTCCAAGGGAGCTGACATGCTCGGTGGCGATCCGTGGGCTAATGCTCCACCGTCTGCCTCTTCGTCTACCACCTTGCCCTCTCGACCCTCCAACAATCGTGGGCGCTCCGCCAACAATGCTTCTCCCGCACCGGCCTTCTCGTGGTCCAGCCCCCCTGTGTCTCCGCCGCCCACGAACCTCGCCGCGCTGCAAGCGACGGGCAGAACGATCACACCGGACAACACAATGACCTCACTCAACTCGGCCTTCCCGGCTATGGCTCCAGTCAATCCTGGAATCGGAAGCTCTTCATTCTCTCAACCACAACAGAAGCCAGCAATTGGCGTGAATAACATGGTGTCCCCCACCGCAACTACACCCTCTTATAACACGCAAAGCAGCAGCATCGGCTGGAGCACAACCGCCGGAGCCTCATCACGCACTTCGAATCCTTGGGGAGGAACATCAACTACTACTACACCATCGAGTAATCTCTCAAATTTCTCGATAGCTCCGCTGGCCTCTCAAACGCAGCCACAGCAACAAAGTAATCCATACTCAGCATTCAGCATCGCGCCACCTCCCTTGAAACCCACAAGCTCATTCGGCATCGCACCTCCACCTAGCTCTGGGAATAACTCATTCAGTATCGCGCCGCCACCAAGTATGGGGTCCCGGATGGGGAGTGCGGGTAGCGGGCTGAACATGAGTAGCATGGCAGCCCGAATGGCGCAAAATCAACCCCAGACTCGTCAGAACCAACAGAAACCCAACAACCAGGGCTGGAGCACGGGAGACAGCCTAATCTGATATTTCAGTTTTCCAGCTTGCGCTTTAGCGGCAGCATTTTGGCGTTTTGTGATAGACTTTGGGATAGGGTGGGATTGGGAAAGCGAGCCTTAACTGGGTTGCCCACCGAGGGGTAGGTGCGGCTGAGGGGAGATGGTGGTCAGATACGCGAATTCCTTTCTATGATACCAAGCTGTTGACTCGCGCAGTCGTAAGCCTTATCCTTCCTCCGCACTGCGGGCGCAAAAAGCAATGAAGCGGCTGCTCGCGTGATTGTGGGGATGCACTGTCACCCTCGGGAGTAACGGCCTCCAGAAGCTAAGGTCCTGCCGCTCGATTGCGTTCTCAAGCTGACTGGCATGGATACTTGGGCAATATATGGCAGGAGGTGAAGCTGATCGAGTACGCTCCCTTGAGCACTACTCGTCGCACTTGTCGTCGCTCGGCCCATCGTGCGAGCAACCGAGAGCGTTTGCGGGGATGGAGATGGCACATGGTCTATCTTGGTGGCCTCGAGGAGTTTTTGAGTGTTTTAGTTCCCAGTCTGTGCATCCGGAACAGGCGGCATATGGCTCCCCAGTGAACTTGCAGGTCACGCGACAGCCCCTACGTGCATTCTGCGACGCCGCTGTGCACGACCAGAGGGAGGTTCCGCTGTCGCTAAGTCTTCCTTCTAGACTGCGTAGAAGATGCGCGGGGGACATCATCATGGCCCGGAATTTACGACACAGCACCATTGATTGCAGCTCGCATCTGGCCTGCGCAAAGGCCTTGTTCGCGTGATGCTCGTCCATCATGGCCGGAGAAAAGCAAAACAATGGGCTGAGGATTAGCATGCGGTAGCATCGCATTTGTCGAAATGGCCTAGGGCCGCTAGATGATGCCATCCAAACAAGCAATAACGCCATGGCAAAGCGTTACGGAACAAGAACAGCCAAGTTGGGTAAGCTCACAGTCCAAGATTCTCGGCTGAGCTTGGATGCGCCGCATGCGACGTCACTCAACCTCGCCTTCTCGACAAATTCTCACGTTACCGCTTCCGGGGCGGCACTGGGAGCAAGGCGGGCCTTGGGCAATTGAAGGGCCGCGTCGCAGCCCTCGGTCGGGGGCCTGGGGGCCGGAGAGGTCGTCGTCGGGGTTTGCTGATGGCGGCAGACGTGGGTGTTTGCGCCTTTTGGGCTGCTGGTGCTCACCGAGGTATACTGCCGCGCGAGGAGTGCTAGAGATGACTTGACGCCACGCAGACGCGGCCTGCTGTCTCCGGCGGCATGGACGAGGCGCGCGCGCAGTTGGTTGAGCAGTTCGGAGCAGCCGAGCCTGCGCTGAGCGGCGCCACGATGATGGCACGGGCGAGGCGTAGCGGTCATCCGCGCGGGCGCAACAATCCAGTGAATGGGCTTTGTGCGGCGCAGGCGGGCCCCGATAGGCCGTTTGCGAAGCCGCAACCAGGGAAGGAGCGGCCCATCTCCACACCTTCCCAGGTTCGACGGCCGTGCCCACCCATGTGCTACAGTACAGTGCTACTTCGCCGGCGCCCGCTCTCCAACCCGCCGCCTTGGAGCTAGGCGGGACAGGCCCTGCACGTCCATCTCACTCTCGCTCATATCTAACATCCTTCACCCGCCCATTTAAAGCCCGCCTGTGCTACCATCCTTGACCGCCCCCAACCTGCTTGATCAACAGCCCGCACGCCGAGTGGATCCCCTCGCTGCGCGCACCCCCTCCACCACACAGCGGCTCAACAACAGGCCTTTAATGCTACCAGAAGCAAACTCTCGCCGTCCCTTCTACTACACTCCCTTGATCACCACGATCAGCACCGTAAAATGGCGCTAGGCTTCGGTTCCACGGCTGACAAGCCCACCGACAGCGACAGCAACGACGCCAAGAAGCCCGACGACTTCCAGGATGCCGAGAAGCAGGCGTCCATCGACGCTGAGCGGCGCGGCAGCAGGGTCGGCGGCGTCAACCGTCGTGACATGACCTCCGACGACGAGGCCAGCATCTCGGTCGGCAAGCAGATCGAGCTGGAGGCCGGCAATGCCATCCAGTACCGCACCTGCAGCTGGCCCAAAGTATGTTTCCTTACCCTCCGCCTATGGCGTGGTCTACTCTGAGTCTGTCATTCTTTTGGTTTTGACCGTACTGATTCCCCCTGCAGACGGCCGCTCTGCTGTTCTCTGAGTACATCTGTTTGGCTATCATGTCATTTCCATGGTCTTACTCTGTGCTCGGTCTTGTGCCGGGCTTGATCTTGACTGTCGTGGTGGCAGCTCTGGTCCTGTATACGTCCCTGACCTGCTGGTGAGCATCCCAATCGCAAGACTGACTACCATGTCTAACTCCCTACAGGGAGTTCTGTATGCGCCATCCCGAGATTCGCGACGTCTGTGACCTTGGTCAAATGATCTTCTACAACCACAAGGCGGCCTTCTGGTTTACCGCCGTCATGTTCATCCTGAACAATACCTTCATTCAGGTACTATTTTGCTCTACGGCTAACGGCCAAGAACTTACGTGTTTCAGGGTTTGCACTGTCTGGTCGGCGCCAAGTATCTCAACACCATTACTGGGCACTCCGTCTGTACCGTGGGGTTCTCCGCCATCGTCGCACTCATATCGTGGGTGTGCTCTCTGCCGCGAACCTTCAACACGCTCGCTAAGGCTGCCACTTTCTCCGCCCTCTTTACCTTCATTTCAGTCATGTTGGCTACTATCTTTGCTGGAATCGAGGACCACCCGACTGGCTATCCGGATCAGGGCGAGCCGATTGTTCTCGCGATCCCGGCTGCTGGAACGGGTTTCGTGATGGGAATGAACGCTTTCATGAACATCAGCTACACGTTCATCGGTCAGATTACGCTCCCAAGTTTCATTGCTGAGATGAAGGAACCCCGCGACTTCCCGAAGGCGCTCTGGGCCGTTACCATTGCCGAAGTATTCGTCTTCAGCTTGGTGGGAGCCATCGTGTACGCCTACACCGGTACCCAATACAACACGGCCCCAGCTTTCGGTTCGCTTGGCAATGAGACTTACCTCAAGGTCTCATTCTCTTTCATGATCCCGACCATCATCTTCCTGGGGGTGCTGTACGCCTCGGTGTCGGCTCGCTTCATCTTCTTCCGCTTCTTTAGCGGGTCGAAGCACATGAGCTCCCATACCGTGGTCGGCTGGGTCTCGTGGGCGGGCATTCTGGCCTGTCTCTGGTTCCTCGCGTTCATCATCGCCGAAGTCATTCCCTTCTTCTCGGACCTGCTGTCGCTGATGAGTGCGCTGTTCGATTCATTCTTCGGCTTCATCTTCTGGGGCGTGGCATATTTCCGCATGCGACAGAATGACTACGGACGCACCTACTTCAAGACCCGGGGCATTAGGGGGTGGCTCGGATTCCTCTTCAATGTGTGGCTCTGCATGGTTGGTGTGCTGTTTTTGACAGGCGGCACATACGCTACGGTCCAGAGCATCATCGACGGGTACAAGGCGGACAATTTCGGAGGAGCGTTTTCATGCGATAACAATGGGTTCTAGAGGATAGACGGAGATACATGGGAGGTTTTTGATTTTCTGTCGAAGACTATAGACCGTCTTCGGGGCTATTGGCGGTTGTCTTCGTTTTCGTTCCTTCTCGGGAGACTTTGGACTGTCTTCGGGTTTACGACAGCAGGAAGATCAAAAAAGGATCTACATGATTACAGGCGTCTGGGTGCGATAGAGGAGTCCACACCTACAAAAGTGGAATGAGGATACATACGGACTTGATGCTTCCAAACTCGGATTTCAAAGCTCTCAATTGCCGATGTTTCTCGATGCAGGATGCAGTTTCTGCCCGCTTGCCGCACCCAGACGTCGGGTGCAGCCACATGTCATGTGAAGCTATGACGTTTCGCTAGCGCGACTGCCGAAAACACCAAGCTTCCCCACGTTGGTGCATCTTCGACTTCGAACCGCTCTTCCTCCAGTCCTTCTTCGCACCTGTGCTTCCGTATTACGTTTCTCAGGTCTTGTGGATTGATTCGGCATCATGAGTAACCTTGTGGATTTCAGCCAGTCCAGTTTCTGGAGTAAGTTTCCGTCTGCCTTTGTGGAGCTTGAGCTTTGGGGGAGCGCAGATGGAATTGACATTGAAGGACAGTTTCTGCAGCGTCAATCGTGTTCAATCCGACATTCTGGAAGTATGTTCGCATCATTCTTCTTTTTTTGAGGCCATCGTAGCTAATACTTGGTTCTAGCATCGCAGCGCGGCAAGGTACGAAGCCCCACATCTGGTGTTTGCGCCGAGGAATCAGAGAGTAAGGCTGATGAATATGCGGCGGGATAGAATACCACAACAAAGTCATAACGAAGCTCTTCGGCGGAAACTCGCGCCTAGGCTGCTATGCGCTCGCCGTCACCATCTTCTCGCTCGGCATATTTAGAGACTACCTGTACGTCCGTCTTCTGCTTCCCCACCACTACCCTACCCACTAGTTTCCTACCCCCCCATCAACCCATCACGATAGTCTGCTAACTAGCTATACGCCTCACAGCTACTCCGAAGCCCTTGCCGCCCAACCCACGCACCCAACCCTCCTCTCCCCCGCCATCCACCTCTCCGCGATCCCGCTCTTCCTCAGCGGCAACATCCTCGTCCTAAGCTCCATGTACGCGCTCGGCGTCACAGGAACCTACCTAGGCGACTACTTCGGCATCCTGATGGACGCGCCAGTCACCAGCTTCCCCTTCAACGTGACCGACGCACCCATGTACCACGGTTCGGTCATGTCCTTCCTCGCGACCGCAATCTGGAAGGGAAAGCCCGCCGGCATCGTACTGACGGGGCTGGTCGCGGTCATGTATACGATTGCGAGACAGTACGAGGATCCGTTTACGACTATGATCTATCAGAAGAGGGATGAGGAGAGGAAGAAGGGCGGAAAGAAGGCGCAGTAGACAAGCGGCTCGGCGATGGAGACGAGAATGGGGTCTGGTTGGCCCGCGGAGAGGAACATTAAAGGCGGCGCAACTCCTACGACGGTTGAGCAAAGTAGGATAACGGGACAGCACTCTTTGAGTTCGTTCCGGATGGGCCAAGGTGCCTTTGATTCAACATATCAGTCATGCACAGCGACGGAGTTCATGGGTTGCGGGTATTCAACTGCCTCCGCACACAAGCCTTGCTACGGGCGCAAAAGTTATTCGCTTCGCATCTCTTTCTCTCATCGTCTACTATAGGTAGATAGATATTACAGGCTTTATTGCACATTTGACGTGACATTGCCAGCCCAGAGCGACAGAGCCCGAGTGATACGGAGTCCAATCAAAGACCAAGGGAGGCATATTAATGACGGCAAACATGTATTGATTAGGCAATCTTTTCCATTAACAAGAGTCTCGCTCTACACTCCAAGACATCTCTCAAGTTGCATCCTGCACAACCGATCCATCGCAGGAAACAACATCTGTCGCTCCCACCCAGTATCGACTGTTCGAACGCAACCAAGAACACTTAAAGCACGAATCGTAACAGCGTCATTGACCAAGGTTCGACCGCTTCACAAAGCTAGACCCGGTGTTCTGTCACCGTGTTAGCTATGGCGCAAAGCAGCCGGGAGTCTCCCATGGGTCGGGACACTACTCCTCGCCCTCGACAGGTGCCTCCTCATCATACTCCTCCTCGCCCTCAGAAATTGAGGCCTCTTGGTACTGCTGGTATTCAGACACCAAGTCGTTCATGTTGGACTCGGCCTCGGTGAACTCCATCTCGTCCATACCCTCACCAGTATACCAATGCAGGAAAGCCTTGCGCCTAAACATGGCAGTGAACTGATCACCGACACGCTTGAAGAGCTCCTGGATCGAGGTGGAGTTGCCGACGAAGGTAGAGGACATCTTGAGACCACGCGGGGGGATGGAGCAAAGGGCGGTCTGCACATTGTTGGGGATCCACTCGACGAAGTAGGAAGAGTTCTTGTTCTGGACGTTGCGCATCTGGTCCTCGACCTCCTTCATGGAGACCTTGCCGCGGAAGATGGCAGAGCAGGTGAGGTAGCGACCGTTGCGGAAGTCGGAGGCAGCCATCATGTTCTTGGGATCGAACATCTGCTGCGTCAGCTCAGGGACGGTGACGGCACGGAAGGAGTGCGCGCCACGGCTGGTGAGAGGAGCGAAGCCGACCATGAAGAAGTGCAGACGCGGGAAGGGGACCATGTTGACGGCCAGCTTCCTCAGATCGGAGTTGAGCTGACCAGGGAAGCGCAGGCAGGTGGTGACGCCGGACATAACAGCCGAGACAAGATGGTTCAGGTCACCATAGGAGGGGTTGTTGAGCTTGAGGGTCCTCATGCAGATGTCATAGAGAGCCTACGGAGCTGTCAGCTGGTCACAAGGAAATATATGGTTATACGCACCTCATTGTCAATGCAGAAAGTCTCATCGGAGTTCTCGACCAGCTGGTGGACTGAAAGGGTAGCGTTGTAGGGTTCGACGACGGTGTCGGAGACTTTAGGAGAAGGGACAACGGAGAAGGTGGCCATCATGCGGTCCGGGAACTCCTCACGGATCTTGGAAATCAAGAGCGTACCCATACCAGCACCAGTACCACCACCGAGAGAGTGGGTGATTTGGAAACCCTGCAGGCAGTCACAGCCTTCAGCCTCGCGGCGGACGACGTCGAGGACCTGGTCGACTAATTCTGCACCCTCAGTGTAATGGCCCTTTGCCCAGTTGTTGCCAGCGCCAGACTGGCCGAAGACGAAGTTGTCGGGGCGGAAGAGCTGTCCGAACGGTCCAGCGCGGACAGCATCCATAGTACCGGGCTCCAAGTCGACGAGGACGGCACGGGGGACGAACTTGTTGCCAGAAGCCTGTACAGCATCAGTAAAGTATCCTGTTGGGCGCGTCCGGGCAGAGTCGCGTACCTCATTGAAGTAGACGTTCATGCGCTCGAGCTGGAGGTCTGAGGTGCCATTGTAGCTAGTTCAGGTCAGCGAATTGTGGCTCGCAGGTCTCAACCCGACGCGGGGCGGAGATAACTTACACGCCGGAGCCATCGAGACCATGCTCGCCGGAGATGGTTTGCCTGTTCGCACGTCAGGTCAGTTTTTGTCCCTTGGAGCGGAGCCGTTCGACTAGCGGACGCACCAGAAGGCAGCACCGATTTGGTTACCCTAGGACTCGTCAGAAACAGTCTCAAAGGGTCAAGTAGAGCAAGACTTACGCATTGGCCGGTCTGGAGGTGAACCTATCGCACAGAAAGTCGACGTTAGCAGCTATTCTTCAGGTTGTGTTGTCCCTGAGCGCAACGCGGGGCACAGGGGACGCGCGACAGCAAATTTGCCGGGCGGGGCAAATACGTACAATCTCACGCATGTTGGGTGGTGTCGAGAGGGTAAAGGCGATTACTGGAGCTGAGAATGGGGTTGAGCTGAGTCGAAGCTGGCTGGGTGTGTCGAGAGTGGAGCGAGGACGAGGGAGAGAAGTCAAGCGGTGAGGGTGTTGTGGGTGGCTATTTACCGCGCTTGGGCTGCACGGGCCAGGCGCGCTAGTCCTGTTTACGCGACCCGTGGGCGACTCTGGAGCGGCAGGCACCAGCGTTTTGCACACCGCGACCAATGGCTCCCTCGACAACAGACCGCATTTGGTGCGTGGCGTCCGCACCGGGCACGGAATAAATATCGACAGAGTTCTATCAGACCTTGCTGGGCTATGCGTAAATCTCTGGCACGGAAGCTCTATCTCTATCGCCTGGCAAACCCCTGGGGTATCGCGACGAAAAGCTGGCGCACAACCATCTCCCGCTCGACCGCTGCAGGCAGCATCAATCACAGTCCCTTCTTCGCCGAACCGTTCGCGTGTCCGTTGGCATGGCCATTGGCGTAGCTATTGGCGTGCCGGTTGCGCTTGACCACCACCGGCACCGTAGTCATCCGAGGCCAAACCAACTCGTAGTCCTCCTGCTTGTAATTCAAGCAGTGTCGGAGCCAAATGCCCCACACGATGTAGAAGTACGCCCCAATACCTGTCATCAGATGCCTGACAATCTGTCAGTCCGCGGGCTCTGTTCGGAGAACTGGGTTACTTACCACCAGCCGTGGCCCTCAAGGAAGAATCCCCATGGCATCCCAATCTGCCGTCTCCATCTCCTCAGAGTCGTGCAGTGTACGTTGTCCAGGTGCCAAAGCCAGAAACCGCCGAGGAAAATACCCAAGCCACATGCGATCATCATCCACATCTGTCGTAGGATCTCCCGATCTCTCGAATCCTCCCTCCGTTGCACAGACTTTACTCCTCCGTTTGAGTGTGGGTTGGCTGCTTCTCTCTCCTTCGAACGCAACCTGGGCCGGATGTTGACCTCCATGACATATACGGCCCGGAAGAACACGATAACCGTCAGAAGGGCGTACACAGTCTGATGAAACGTGGGATCCTGGAGATAATGATAGTACAGCGTGATGAAGAGTGCCAGAGACACCAATAATATGGCGAGTATGGTGCGGTATTTCCTGGTTTTGTTGTAGGAAAAGGTGGCATACACCATGAGGCAGGTGGTGTAAATCATCGAAAGTTCGTCGACGAGTTGCATGGGATCTGTCCGCGGTTAGTCAGAGAAGGCAAGATCAAGTCACATCTCCCAGACGCACATTTGAGAGTTGCATGGAAAAGAAAGCTCCCGCTGCCCACAAGCAAGTAGCCGACGTAAGCCACGAGGAAAACTGTGTCGTGTCCGTTGGTTAAGCACATGTGGATGCCCTTAGCGGCGAGATACACGAAAAGAAGGTTAGTGAGCGTGTTCACGATCTCCGCAGAGTATATGGTTAAGTAGTAGTCCTTCTCTAAATTAGCTATATGCAAGAATTGACTTATATAGACGTACCTCTTCGCACCAGTTTAGTGTAGACGTGACGGGCGACCAGCGTCCATCCTGAGCTGGCGGATAGGGAACGGAAGGTAACCACGAGAAGAACCTTGCAGCCATCTTGGTTGTAGAGTGTGACGAAAGAAAGAACATGGAGGGGTGCTATGTGGACGAGACCGCCTGGCACAAGTAGAAAGCGCTAGATCCGGAGTGTTCGAAATGCAAGGTGCTAAGAGAACTATCGATGCACCAGCGCTGTCATGCTTGAGCGGGGCAACCCTCTGTACCTAATCCACGGTTCGAAAATCGAAGATGCGTGAAGAAGTGAAGGAGTGAATGACAGTGAACTGTAGGCGTGGCGGTAGAGAAATTCTTGTTCACAGGCCACATGCCCAAACGCCTGCTTCGTCATTTCCAAGGGTTGCCTCGCTCGTTTGGGGACCCTGGCCGTTGCCAAGGCAAGGCAAGGCTAACCGAGAAAGCTAGACTCGTGCACCACAGAGCACACTCACCACTAGACTACCACATACCTCCCACGCGCCCCGTCATGTCAATACCCAACGAAGCTCTGCAGAAGGTACGTGATTCGCCTTGCCCTAGCTACGCAGTACTGACTGAGCATTCCTTTTCAGCTTCTGCAAGAGATAGGCCAGAAGAGGGCCTTTGCTGAGCAGCAGCTCGGCATCGTCAAACAGCAAAAGGCCATCAAAGGTCGAGAGAGCCGGATGCTGCAGCTGACTGCAAATGAAGTCGAATCTCTTCCAAAGGATACCAAAGTCTACGAGGGTGTAGGCAAGGTGTATGCTCTAGCAGTCTCTCGTAGCAAATCTAGTGTCCGTCTAACGCTTGCGCAGGTTCGTTTGCACTCCTATACCGGACGTGCAGAAGAGACTCGCATCAGAACGGGATGCACTCAAAGCCGAGATGAGTAATCTGGACAAGAAAGAGGACTATCTGGAGAAGACGTACGAGAACAGCAAGAATAGCCTTGAGCAAGTGCTTCGTGGTGGAGGGAGCTGAAGAGATGGATATCAAGGACGAGTGAGAGGAAGATTGACCCGAACCCCCGTCGCGGCCACAGGTTGATGACAAGGAACCCGCAACTTGCGGTCTCGTCGGCGCTCTCAGATATCTGGAGGGTTGGCAGCGTCGTGACTCGTTAGCCTCTGGTGTTCGCGCGAGAGAACGCCATGTACAGACGACCTAGACACTCTTTCTCGGGTTTACACAGTGAAAGAGGAAGGAAATGTCTTCTTGGCTATGAGAAATCAGCCCTGATCCCGATTCATGTGTCCTGAAATCCCCAATCTAGGGCTCGCCGTGTAGGCCATCTTGCCTTTGATGTTCTCCGGGCGCAACGACGATTCTGCCCGTGGGCACTTACCGCTTTCAAGAGCATCCGATAGACGCCAGGTCTGATTATTCGTGCAACGGTTGTATTTCTTCTACCAGACATGTGTGGCTTCTAGCAAAGCACTGGAGGCTACTGATAGTTTGCAGACGACAGAACGAAAGCCAAGACGCTCAAGAAGACCAGCATAACAACTACGGACTCCCTTGGCTCCACTGGCCAATTCACAGAAGCCGAAGTAAACGCGAAAGACCGTTTCGAATACGCTTCGAGCAATCAACCTGGCCAACCATGCCCTGGGTCCTGCGGATATAACCATTTTGGCCCCCAGCGGAGCAGGCTTAATATAGCAGTAAAATGCACTCACACATGTTGGCCTACGTGAACGGCCATGGAAGGTGGTGTGTCGGCGCGCTCTCTCTCTCTCTCCATTTTGCCTTACCCCCGGTTCTCCAGCAGTGCAGGAGCCCAAACTGCGGCTGAGGCGCTGAATGCGCGTCTTCACGACAGCTGTGCCGATCCCACCAGCTGTGCCATGCCAAGCCTGGATGCGAGGAGAACTCCGATGTCGCCTGGGCATCGTGAGCTCGGCCGAATGAGAAAGGTCACGGTGTGCTGGGCGGCAGCGCACACGAGCACACTGCTGTCTCGACAGCCGCTCCCGTGCTGACTTCCGCCTTGAAACAGTGTCGCAGCGGCGCGCGCGAGAAGCGGACCGAATCACATGCTCCCTTTCAGATGTCGATGCTGATGGATGAGGCTGGAACGATTATCAACTCGTCTGACTTCGCGCCCCGGCCTCCCCAAACAGGAGATCGCTCGCTCGCGGCGCGGGACGTGTGACAAATTTAGAGTGCCCCTCCTCGAGCCGCTCACGAACAACACTGGGTCGTTCCGAAGCAAAAAGCCAGCAAAAAGCCGGCAAAACAGCAGGCAAACAGGCCCGCTCACCGCTCTCGCGTCCCGCAGTCGAGCAAGGGCTTGTCTCTGCATGCGCGCAGCCATAGCTTCTGTTGCGCAAATGCACCATGCACCATCGGCCGGGTCCACAAGACCAGCACATCCTCAGCCCCAGCAGTTGCCTGATGACAAGCTAAGGTGATTTGGCCCCCAAGCTGGTCGGCTGGCCTCTTTCCTTCAAATCTCTGGTCCCCGCCGTCTTCTCTCTTCTGACATCTTTTCCTGCACTACCTTGCTCGCGCGCTCCGTCAGACTTGCTTTTGCCCGACCGCAGGAGTCACCTTGCTCCACCACCCCACTTTGCGCACCCCGCTCCTACACTCATACCACTACGCCGCGGACACATTTGACTTTCGCCCGAGTCGCCTCTCCAATCCCTTATCGCACCCCTTCGCGCTTAGCAGCCATGCCGCCGCCCGAGTACTGGGACGAGGAGGACGAATGGTACAGCGACCGATACACCAGCGGCGCCCGCCACGTACATCCACCTCGAAGAGCTCGAGATGACGCCTACGGTCGTCGCACCACCGAGTTCCTCGCGCCCGAACACCACACCTACACGACGGGCCTCCACCGCACCCGGTCGCAAGGCCATTCTCCAGCGCCTAACGTGACCATCTACAATACTAGCCGCATGGACAACGAAAGCAGCCCAAATGTGCGCACCGAACAGCGTAGTCCCGCCCCAAGCCCTCGATTGGCCCCACGAGGCCGCACCCGTAGGCTCGCTGATGATTGGGCACTTGAGGATGAACTCGAAGAACTCAAATTACAAGTCGCAAAGCAGCGGTCTCGCTCTCGGTCCGTGCACTACCATCGCGACGACTCTCCTAGCCATGAGTACGAGCGCTGGAAGCTTCAGGACACCGAACGACGACTTAAAGAAACCGAAGACAAGCTGGAGCAGGAGAGGCGCGAGGAGCTGCGCGACGAGCTGATGAAAAAGAGAGCCGAGCTCAAGTATATAAAGGACAGACGAGAGCGTGAGGAAGAGGAGGCGCGGATCAAAGCGCAAGAAGACCGCCTGAGAAAGGACTGGGAGTTAAAGCTCAAGAAGGAGGAGATGAAGAGAATTGAGGATCAGAGGGAGGCTGAGGATGACAAGAAGCGAATCATCCTAGAGGAACAGGCAAAGCTGGACCGACGCGCGAAGGAAAAAGAAGACGAGCGTAAGCGGATTATTACGGAGAACACGCTGAAGATGGAGAGGGAAGAGCGGGAGCGCAAAGAGGCACGTCAACGAGCCGTGGACGCGTTCACTCGCGAGCAGGCCGAGAAAGAGAAAAAAGCAAAGGAAGAACGTGATCGCATTGTCATGGAGTATGAGCGCAGGAAAGTGGAAGATGAGGTGAAAGCAAAGAAGCAGCGCGAGGAGCTCATCATGCAACTCAAGATCGAAGAGGAGGAGCGAAAGCGAAAGGAGCAGGAGGAGTGGGACCGTTTCCTCATGAAGCAGAAGAAGAAGGAAGAAGAGGAGAAGACTGCAAAGACGAAGAAGGAAAAGGAACTAGAAGAGGAAATGCGCAAGAGGCTCGCTCATTTCGGCTTTCAGGACAACCAGATCCAAGCCATGATCAAGCCGGAGGATGCCGCGAAACTCCAGCAGGGCATGGCACCGAGTAACCCATTGCGCTTGACGCACCAACCGACATATGTCAAAGTGCACAAGGAGCATCTGTCTGTTGAGACCCTGCTATACTACGATATTCCGTACGAGATCGATAGGGTAAGTGCTCGTTAAACGAATCCTTCAGGCCTTAAGCTAACCACTCCGCAGGCCGATCCTAATTACATCGTTATCCTCCGAGAGATGGAGCCCCGAGAAACCGAGATTCTCTTCGAACACACGCGTCGCCTCCGCACCCGAGGCTCCTCCCGTCTCCTCATCGAAGAGCGCCACGACCACGGAAAGCCCGAATACGCTTGGGTGCGTCGGAGGAAGCCCTCGCGATCCCCGTCCCGCCGCCGAAGCTCACCAAAGAGGGTTGTTGGTATCAAGGAGATGTTCTTTTGAATAGGCAACATAGATATCGGGTCCCCATATCATTTGTATACTCTGGCTTGAGCAGGAGTGGCGTCTTGTTTTTTGTTCTTTCTACCAGACAAGAGGTGAGGCAAATTCTAGCCGCATCAGGAATGTTTTCATACCTTCCATACCTCTACTCTGTGGAACATGGCAGAAGGGAGTAACGGGTCTGTCCCTAGATAGACACAGTATGTCCTTTGGAATTTTGAACGTTTCAGCTAGCTACACAGACAACACATTCAAGTAACCAAGCCCGGTCGTACGGCAGCAGAAGTCGCACCTGTTGTGGAGCTGAGCTTCGTTGTCCAGCATCTGCGCATGCAAGTCAGCTTTTGCTCACCGGTCATGTGCCACCAGCATCTCGTTCCATCCTCCTGTACCACTGGCTTGTGAAATCAGATGACGCCACCCAGCTTATGCGCCCGGAACTCGGATAAAGGACAGTGAAGAATGCAGCACGTGCTTGCTTAGTAACGACCGAGCCGCTGGATCGGACCGGCGACTGGGGTAGTCGCTGCCTCGGCATTTGATTGCACAAGGCGGGACGCTTTCCCGTCGCATTCCCTCCATTCTCCCTTGCTTCTTGTATTTGTGCATAGCATGCATTGATTCCCTACATTTTGTAAATATGGCGGACGCTCTTTGTGGGCCTTCGAACGCCCTCCAGAATTTCCAGAAGCATACGGCCGTCGACCGGACTCTGCAGCAGGACCGTTTGACCCGCCGTCATTCGCCTTCACAAGTCAGTATCCACCATGGGACATGCTGCACGGCTCTGACTTGGATATAGGGCTTCAGATCCTCCCCCGGGCCGACTGCAGGCGCTCTAGACCCCGAGTTCGAAGCCTTCCAAGCCGGACATGTAGGGCCGCCTCAGTCTGACTTCCACCACCTTCCTCCTCACCTCGCTCGTCCTCCACCTCCGCCACAGTTCGCGCAAGCGCCCCAAGGCCCGGACTGGGCCTCGGATTTTCAGCGCTTGCACATCTCTCCCACGCATACCCCGCCAATACCGCAACATGGTGCGCCAGTCGCAACTGCGGCATCAGCATGGCACCAGGACTTCGCGAGACAACAGGCACCCGCGATGCAAACACCGACGTACCAACAGAATACCTTTGGAGGCATGTCGGGGTATGGCATAAGCGGATACGCTGGCTCAACTTTCCAACGACCGGACTTTGGTGTCATGAATGGCAATCCGGCGTCAGAGGTGGCACAAGGGAAACAGCGAGCGCTGGAAGCAGTGCCGCAATTCGATGAAGCGGCCTTCGAACAGGCTTTTGCGCAGGCTCACCAGGATATGCTCGAGGAGACAGCCGGCCAACAGGGGAAGCTGGAAGTTGAGCGGGGTATGGGGGACGATATGGAGAGACTACGGCGTGCACAGCAAGAGATGCAAGCTAGAGCGCAGACAGAGCAAGCCGCCGAGATGGATGGTCCTGAGCTGCTGCGCATACGAGAACAGCGACCAGGTGAGCTTGACTTTCCGGTATTTAACGGCGGTGCTGATTAGCCATCTTCAGCGGTTTACGCCGCCCTCAAGATACGAAGCGCAATCGATCTAGGGCAATCTGTGGACACATCACCGTTTTTCACCTTTTTGGAGAACATGGAGCCCACAGGGAAACTGGTTGAGGATGCCAGCGAAGCAAAATGGGTCGTTGACGCGCTGCAGAGGATAGTTGACCGCGGGGCTCCGCAAGAGATTAAGACACGAGCCGAAAGGCTGATTACTGAGATTAATGAGAGGCTCATGTCGACGTATCCGCTCCTTGCGTCTGGAGTACCCATAAGTCGAAAGAACATTTGGGAAGAGCTGGAGGCCGCGGGCTACACGAGGAGCCCAGCCTCAGAACTGCTTGAGCAGCAACCCGAGCAGAAGAGGGACGAGTCGCAACTAAAGAACGATGACGACGAGATGGCAGAGACAGCCGGCCGGTTACTAGAAAGAGTCGCCGATAACACGAGCGAGAAGTTCCAAAACAGCCAGTTCCTCGAGCTCATGCGGCGCCTACGCGACCGCGAAGTCCGTGTCGAGGGCGACAAGATGGTCGAAGTCAGTGCTTCTTCCCTTTTACAGCAAGCATCAGCATCGGCTATACCTGAAGTCGATCCTCACATTCTCGACCACGCTGCCACAGACTTTGGCATGCCGGTCTTCTCAGAAGAAGGGGACCAGGAGTACGATTTATCACGCCACTCTACCAGCGAGCCTGTTACTGATGAGATTTCAGATCAATTTAGCTACTACAATGTCCGCGCCAGCTATCATAGATGAGGGGGAGAAGATTCCTATCTACGAGCAGGATTTCGACCTTGGGAGGGAAGGAGTGCATGGCCTAACGAGGAATGGGCTGCATCCGCCGGTCGAGGGTTATATTCATTACCACTGAGGTGACGGACCGCGTCTACTCAGCTGATATAATGCCCATACTCGATTCGTCTATTCAGCCTTGTGCTGGAGACGACAGCGACCTCTCACGCCCATATTTGCAGACTGCTGCTGTCCCAGTCGCCTGATACACGTCTACGAAGCCCAGTGGGATGGAGAAGTCAACTCACTAACGCTCAACGCCGAGCCAAGCCAAGTCGCAGAGAGATCAGGAGCAGTAGTATGCCGGCGGCCTTGTGACACTTTTCCCTGTATATAGTAGAGTATCTTGGGTAGATGTAACTACATCCATGTAGCGTCATTCAATGAGGCTTCTGGCCAACTTTTGGGTATAATTATTCAAGAGTACCGCTTGATGAAGATCTTCATTATCGTTGATTGTAGCTCTGTACCCCCTGCAAGAGCGGCTATTGGCTTGGGCAGGGTGTAAGCCAGTTCCCTTCATACTTTACTTCGATTAGGCTTTCAATCTACAACATTTTCTATTTCTGGTCGGGCGCGAAGGAGCATGTGCGAGATGGACTGAAGGCAATACTTCAAATACTTCAGCCGAAGAAAGATTTTTTCTATACAAAATCAGAATACCTGACGATCTAATCCAAAAACAAAACCGTATTCTACGCGCCCCCAGCATGCACCAGCTTCTTCCCCTTAACGCTCCTCATCTCCATCCCGAGACTGACACAGAACGCCAAGCCCGCCGTCGCAATCGCCAGTATAAACGCACTCACAATCGCCTTGGTATACGCCTCCAGCGTGCCCTGCAGCAGCGCCGGCGGCACAACCTGGCGCACATACGTGGCCCCCGCATTGATCACTATGCGCGGATCCAGGCCCGGCGCGTATTTGGGGATCTCGCGCGCGAGGCTGTTGACGAAGATGTTCTGCGCGATGCTGATGGCGATGGCGCCGCCGAGCGAGTTGAAGAACATGACCATGGCGTTGGCGGTGGGCATGTCGCGCGTGGAGGTGACGACCTGCACGGCGATGAAGGGGATTTGCACAGAGGCGCCGGCGCCGATGCCGGCCAGGATTTGGTAGCCGATCCATGAGGCGGCCGGGGAGGAGATTTTGAGGGTGTACAGCATCCCTACGGACAAGATTATTAGCATGGTGAATTAGAAAAGGGGTTGTTGATTGATGTTGCTAAAGGGGAAGAAAAGGGGGATTTACCTGCGCCGATTGTAAAGACGGCGCTCCCGAACCACATAAAGGGTGTATAGTAGCCGAGGATGGTGATTAGGCCGCCGATGACGATGGAGGAGCATGTTATGCTGACTAGATAGGCGATGGTGCGGATGCCGGATTCTTCGGCTGTGGTGCCCTTGGAGGCTTGGAAGTAAAACGGGAGGTAGAAGATGTGGCTGCGGCGGGGGTTAGCGTTGGGCTTTTGGTGGCTTATGGATGGTATTTAGGGAGGAAGAGGGTATGGAGAGGGAGGGGACAGAGGGATGGAAAGATATAGGATAGGTTGGTAAGGAATAAGGGGATAACAAGATAGAAAGATACTAGGAATAGAGAGAGATAGAGGAGTAACAGGATGGCAGGGTACAAGAAGAGAAGAAAGAGATATACTTACGTATACAACCCCATAGACAGCAGCGCCGAGAACACGCAGCTAACCAACACAGTTTGTTGCTTAAACACCCTGACCGGAATCGTCGCCCTATCCTTCTGCCTCATCTGAATCGCAATGAACACACTAATAATGAGCCCAAAGCCCAGCAAAGTCCCCCAAACCTTCGAATTCCCCCAGGGATACGTCTGGCCACCCCATTGCAGCGCGAGCAACAAACACACAATGGCGCAGATCAAGAAGACCGCGCCCAGCAAATCGATTTCCTTGATGCGCGATCGGAAGGGGGTGTGGCTATACTGGCGCTCCGGGTTCGAGAAGAAGAAGCCGACGACGAAGAGTGAGACGGCGCCGAAGGGCAGGTTGATCCAGAAGCACCAGCGCCAGGAGACGCGGTCGGTCAAGGCGCCGCCGAGGATGGGACCAACGACGCTGGCAATACCGAACATGCTGGATAGCGCGGCGATGTAGATAGGTCGTTTGCGCAGCGGGACAGAGTACCCTATAATCGTCATGCCTCCTGAGAAAAGGGCGGCAGCGCCAGCTCCCGCAACTGCTCTTCCAATGATGAACATGGGTGAATTCCTGGCAGCGGCGCAAATAATCGATCCGATTTCGAAAAGGAGAAGCGCGAAGAGGTACGTGTACTTGACGTCGAAATATGTATACACTTTCCCGAACGAGGGCTGAAGGGAGCAGGTCGTTAGGAGGTAGGACGATCCGTACCAACCGACATCTTCGAGACTGTTGAAGACGGTTGTTATTTTGGGGATTGCGGTGGCGATTATGGTGTTGTCGAGGGCGATGACGAAAGTTGTGAGGCAGAGACCGAGGGAGAGGATGCCGAGTTTGAGACCGGAAAGATAGTTGGATTCATCTTCGGCTTCTTCGTCTTCCCCTGTAGCAGCGTCGGCTTTATGGCTTGACTTTGAAGTCGGGCGACCGTTTTGTTCCGTCTCTTGTACGTTGCCTTCATAGTTTACTTCCCGACTCTGTTCATCCTGGCTCGCTCTTCTCTCGCTTTCCAGATCCTTCTCTTTGCCTACTACCTCCCCATTCGTATGAGTATTGTTTGCGAAACCCTCATCTTCCCTTGTTTGCTTCTCATTCCAAGTCTGTACCGTGCGCTGTTTGTCCTTTTCGTAGTCGGTAGCACGACCATTGACGTTTGTGGTGTCCGGGTCCTGCATCAAGGAACCGCTTAATAAACGCGGGTCTAGCCAACCGTAACGCGGCTGATGGAACTTGCCGAAACTCGGGGCGCACAGGCGGGCCGCAGGAAGGAGATTTCCGTGTCGGACGAGGCAAAGCGGCGGCTATGCCTGATATTAGGGTCGCTCTAATTGCTCGAAATGCTTCAAAAACGATACGAAGCAAAAGACTGTCGTTTGCGCGGTGAGATGGAAGAATATGAGGAGAAATGGGAAGGCCGCGCACTCGGCGGCGGAAATGACACCCTTTTCTTCGAGCCCTCCGCGCGCGCAACCTGACCGTCTACTCCTCCTCTCGAACTACGCTCGAAGCGAAGTCCCGGAATTCCCACCTCCCGTCCGAGCCTTTCACGGGCCAGGGTTGCGGCTGCCCAATCAGGAGTTAGTCGAACCATACCTCTGGTGACTACCCTTGTCCCGTCGCTTCGAGCAATTCTCGATGATTGCATCGATTTCCCATTGTCTCTCACGGAGAATTTGCTTTTCGGTGGGCAAACCACGAGCCCACGTTTCAGATCCGAGGCGTAAAAGGGCCCGTGACGAGAATACTCTGGGATGCTGGAGGAGAGATGGTTTGGAGTGGCTTTTGCGGGGAGAGGGAGGAGAGCTCGGTTAGACATACTGCGAGATGGACCCTTGTCCAGAGGCGGCGGTGGGAGGCGATCTTCACGACAGAAACGCGAAAGCGAACACGTGCCTCGGCACTTAAGCGCATAACAGCACGAGTAGTAAACGAAGAGCCTCTTCCACCTCAGCACTACCAGTGTTGCATCGACTAAACAGGCAGTACAACATCGTCAGCTAACGAAACAGAGACCCAACTGAGGTTTGGGAGAACTCGTCATCGCCTGGTTGCCGGAAGCTGAGCCTCGAAAGTGGTCTGAGCGGATGCTACCGTATCCACCGTATAGGAGCACATCACGTGCCGGAAGCCTAGGTAGGGCAACTATAGTTTGCCTATCGGGGAAAGTATCCACCAGGATGGCGTGGACATCCATGCAACGGCCCGCGACGTCCCGTAGACAACATCCGACGTCACTCCATGGTCTAGACGGCATTGCAGGCAACAAGGACGAGTTCCGGCGGAGAGGCAGTGATAACGTGAATTTTGGCCGAAGCATTAATTATATACATGGGGAGGGTAGGATGAGGTTCTGCAGGAGAGAATATAAGATGAAACGTGAGAGAAAAGAAGAGCGGAAGATCGATCGAGCCTAGCTTTTCTTCAACGCCGTCTCCTCTACCGTTGTAAACATACTCCACTCTATCCCACGCCGACGCTAAGACGAGAAATCCCATTTGGAGCTCCATGCCTCTGAGGGTGGGTCACTTGAGCAGAGATTTAGCCAGCTGCAACTCATCCGGCTCGTGAAGTGGTACGTACTTTTTTCGGGCAAGCGCTGCAGGGATACTCGACTTTCACCGTTGTGAGAATGATGCCTTCTTGACCTCGAGCACACTTCTGCTGGATCATCTGACCCTTTGCGCAGAGCTGCTGAAACACCATCTCAGTGTGGCCGCACCGGTGAGAGTAGGCGTGGTAATAACACATTCTGAACAGCCGTGGGCCAAGAGTACGTTGTAGCCGCGAAAAGAACGCTATGGTGGATCGAATAGGTTGGTGATGGTGCTCCACAGATTACGATCGAGTTGAATTGGCTAGGCGGTCGCGCTGGGATCGGACTACAGCGCATCAGCAGGGGCATGATCAGTAAGAGAAATGTCTACCTGAAAGTTCAGATGACTTGATAGCTATCAGCTGGCTTAGCTGGCTTAGCTGGCTTAGCTTTCGCGGGGAGGTGAGTGTTGCTGGCTCGAGGCGAAGACGGTTGACGTATGAATGTCCGTGTGATGAGCGAGACCTCGTGTCTCCGGCTCCTTATATGCTCTGCTTGTCATGGTTCGATAGGTGTGCACTCCCTTTAGGCGACACAGGCGAGCGGTTTGATTCTGGCATAAACAAGCAGTTGCAACCATAGCTCTATCGTGCGTTACTGACACTCGAACCCGCCGGGCATAATTGCTAAAAATGCCAACGGAAGCCAAATTGAATGGTATGACTGGGACTTCTGGGAGCGTTGCACTGGTCTATTTGTCTTCGAGAGGTGTCGTGAGATCTTCCTTGGTGGCGTCAGCCTTGCCAGGGAGAAATGCCTCGCAAACTACAGTACAGAGCGCTTGTTGAGGCGCACAACGCGGTAATGGAGGGATTAAAGTAGCACAACCGCGTGGTGGCTCGGTCGCCTGCATCCCGGGGAAGACGGCTAGCTCTGAAGCGAGGGAATTTCTGGAAGCTACGACTCAAAGTGGTAAACTAAAGCATCTCTGCCTCCACCGTCGGTGCTGTTTGTCTCGATATTGTCTGTTGCCGTTCTTTGCGAGAATGCCATTCATGGAAGTCTCTGCTGCTCAATACCCGGCTAGCCGTCGGAAAGCTGCAGAGCCCTGTGTGAACGCTTGATCGTCTGCGACGTAGTACTCGGTCTGCGGGTTTGAGACATACGACTCGCTTCTGGCAGAAGCATGATTGCTGCTGTTGGAGTAAGCCATGTCGCCAGGAACTGGAGGCTCAATTTACTATACGAGGAGGAATCAATTGGCAAACTAATGCACCTATGGCGTCTGCTTAGTTCGACCTCGAGCATGGGCTCACTGGAATGCTGAAAGGCAATTGCTGTGTTCAAGGGTGGATCTCGAAACCCACCACATTGCAAACCAGATCTGATATCCAGATCGGGAAGGGTCTGGCAGTCAGCATGCGATTGTTCCTCGCCCTGCGCCGTTGCGCAGTCGTGTAACCCTGTTCCTGCACATTATTGTGTGGGGCGTAATAATCCGAAGGCTTGCGGAGGATGGTGTGTTGGAGTTTGCAAGTTCAATGCCGCGCTGGCAGCAATACGGAAATGCCGACCAATCACAGCGGACCTCTCACCGCTGGTTGACGTGACGGGGCCGTCGATGCGAACCGCTGCAAATGCTGCATGTTGGCGCTTATGACGCAGCAGAGCGGTCTGGGTGGAGTCTCCCACCTCAATTGACGTCGAAATCGTGAAGGAGGGCCTATTTTAGCTCGGCCAGGACGACGTGGCCGACCTTCGGCTCCCTTGTATGTGTGTTGTCGTGGAGAGAACTTGCAGATGCTCCACCTCGCAAGGGATTTGGACGTGCAGGACGGTAGACCAGGCCTGTAGTTGATTGATCCAGCATAACCTTGCCGTCAGCCTGCATTTGCTACGCTCCGTACCGTGGGGTCCAGCTGGGGAGCGTGAGGATGTCGCCAAACTACGGCTCCAGCCGGCCGCTGGTGGCTGGACTTGGGAGCGCCGTCTGTGGACTTCGAAGCCTTCTTTCCCGTTTGGAAGAAGCAAAGATGGATTGATGCACCCCGCCGAGCCAATGCAGCGCTGGCAGTTGATATGGGTGCGGCTGGGGACGCAGAGACGCAGCCCTGTAGCTGCATGCGCGCCAGCCTCGAGCGCCCGCGATATCGCTGAGGTGTTGTCCGGCGATCTGGAGAAGACGATATGGCTCCTCTAGGCTCAATGCCAGCTGGCAATGACGCCCCGTCTTGGACCTCGAACGGACAAGCGGCCATGCATGAGACAGGCGTGGTTAGCGGAGCCCTCGACGCTTGACACGTCAACCAACGTATAGCTCGCGTCTGCATATTGTGACGCAGGAGCTCCCACCTCCGGTTCCCACACGTCTGGGCGCAGATTGAGTGGGATAATAGTAGCACCGATTGCCTTCGCGGCCGCCCTGCCAATTCTCCTTTGCTGCTGTCGCTGTCGCTGTCGCTGCTGTCGCGCGCAATTGCCGTATGCGCTCTTCGCTCGTTCCCTCACCACCACGCCGGCTGTGTCGCGAGACGGCGACGACGCCGCCGCCACAGCGGAAACGCGCGCTCAAACGCCAGTCCCCGTGCGAATCCGCGAAACTGAAGGGCCCTGGTTGTGTGTGCCGAGCCAGGCCTCCTCGGCCTAAATAGCTTTCGAACAAGTGCACTGACCGCTCTACACCGCCTGCCAAACGTCACGGCTTTTAATCTCGTCGCAGAACTTCGCGCGGGCGACATCGAGGCTGGAGGAGTTCGCAATGCGCTGTCTGGGGCTTCAGAATCCGACCTGCCCGCCACTTTGCATCCTCCGCCTCATTGACGTCTGCTAGCCCGCCGTAAGAGGCTTCCCGAGTGCCTCATCCGTCAGGCGCTTCCATTGGCCCACGCGCAACCCCAGCCGTCGAATGGGAGAAAAGCTGCGCAGTTAAGCAACAACACCGTCTAGCCTTGTCCGTTTCGAGGTAAATTGGAGCCCAGCAAGCCCATCAGATGCACGCTGTGCTGTTACGTCCTCTGGCGATGCGCCGCTGACAGCTGTGCAGATATCCCGAATTGTGCTGGCGTTGGGATCCGACCGTCTGCATATCATCGGGCCCATCCCAAGCTCGACCATTCTTCGAATACTTCTGCGTTGTACCATATTCTCTTCATCAGCATTTCCTAATACGACAAATCTCCGAGTGGCGTTGGAAGATCACTGGAGCCTCCTCTCGTCGAATAAACAGCCGCCGGCCGGGGGCCTGTCACGAGAGGTGCTATTCACTTTCCGAGCTTCCGTGCGCGGTACCAGCTCTCGAAACACATCAATTGGCTGGTGCTGGTTGCGAGGTTTCAGACGCTCATCTCCTCGGCGGCATCATTGCAAGGCGTCATCGGTCAGCTCGGACCGAGTTGCACTGTGTCTGGCATCAAGATACAGCGCGGCGGTCCGAGGCGGGTGTTGATGGTGAGTAGCCTTGTATTTCGCTTCCGGAATCAGTCGAGCAACTTCATCTCCGCCTTGCGGAGCTTTCATCGAAAGTACTCTCGAGGCCGACAATGTGAAGGGGAAAAACGGTTGGCGACATCTTTCTGGGGGCGCTCGGCCACAGGAGCTGGCAGCAGTGTGGCCCTCTCCTTTCCGTTTACATCTCACCAGTCGTGCCTTCCCTCTCTACATCACCCGTTGTCGCTCCTTCCCAACACCGCCATCCCGCTGACGCAGCGCACAGCGGGCTAGAAGATGGCATCATTGGACTTCGACCAAAAGTTCCTCGGTCGAATAGCCAAGCAGACAGCCGACAGCAACCCATTGCTATCCAGCTCGCTCTATCAAATTCTCGGCCTGTCCGTCCTGCTCTCGCGAAGACTCGTGCGGGCGAGAAAGCTACGGAAGCTTGACACCAGCCGCGACACGCCCTCCCTCGCTCTCTACCAACACATTCTGTGGCTGTCTAGGGAAGGGCTGTCAATCCTGGAGCTCTACGTCCTGCCGTATGCGCAAGACAATCAACATGGGCCCGAATGCAGGGTGCTCAGCGTCAAGCTCCGCGCGAGCTTCTATCACATCTTCTGCCTGTTTCACAACCAGCCGCCGATCACAGCAACAGGTATGCCCACGAGCGACCCTCGAAACGTCGGCGTGCCTCCATTACCGCTCTCCGAGAGAACAGGCAACGGCCAAACCCGGCACATGGACACCTCTAGTCTCTCACCATCCTCAAAGCGCGCAGGAAAGCAGCCAATGCTTCGCGAGCCCATCGACTCCATTGTCTCGGAGACATCCTTCGTCACGAATCCGTATGCGACAGGAGGTCCGGTGGCCACTCCCTCACCTGGGCCTCCAAATGCGCCTCCTGGACTCCACCCAATTCCAATACCTCAACCCTCATCATTCATCCTTCCGCCCTTGAACTTTGTGCCACTAGCTGGTGGCTACTTCGAGACAGCAAGTGCATACGCGACGTCCTTCCTTCCTGGGTCGCATCCGTTGCGGTTATCAGTTGCTCTAGAGCACAGCGCCTTCCTATGGGATTGCCTACACGACCACGAGGGGTCTCGACGTATAGCCCGCCGCGCGATAAAGGACGTGTATCGCGCACAGGAAGCAATGGACGACAGCGAGTTTGAGGATGCAGCGGAGCTGGTCGGGATCCTGGGTCGCATGATGAAGCGCAAGAGCTGGGAAGGGACACCTCGAGTTGGTGGGCTTGGGACGCCCGAACCAGTGGCCCCCCCTGCCGTTCAAGCTGGTGCCGGTTTACGAAACGATAAAGCACTCGTTGCGCCCACTCAGGCAAGCCCTCAAACAAGTCGGCGTGCTGCGGGGGCGCCTCCAATCGATAATTCTCCTACAGAGACTCAAACGCGGGGCACCGCACGTAGTCGCTCGAATTCTGCAAACAAACCAGGGACGAGGCAGAAAGAGGGTGGCAGCCACGAGAATACGCCACGGTCAGATACGCAACGTTTCACGGGAGGAGGAAGCCAGGAAACTACACCACGTGCGAGGCATATCAGTGTGGAAAGTGGAGCGAGCTCGACGCCACGCGCTCCACAAGGAGCTGGTGGGCGCTCACCTGCGACGCCTTCGACGGTCCGAACGATCCAACAACAACCGGGCAGTGGTGGATCCGCCAAAGGCACACCTGTTGTTGGGAACTCGACGCCAATCTCACCTAGCGCTGCTGCGACGCTTGCCTCAAACGCTGTTCGAGCCTCGCCTACCCTACGCCGATCACCGCCCATACGAACATCTCCGACCCAGGAGAGCACCTACGCAAACCAGCAGCGATGACAAACAGAGAAGGGGCGGGGTAAAGCAAGGAAGATGGACGTACAGTGGACGATACCCGACTACGAGGCGCAGATTACCCTGCGGCCTTTGAGTCAGTCACCGGCGGGCTCGTCGACGCCGAATCGGTCATCTACATAGGAGTCCGATTGTTTCCTTGCCGGACCGTCCCCTTCTCGAAACTAGCTTACAGATAGATCCGCATCACTGCCATTCAGTCATATGCTCTTCCTTTTTCTCGACCGTGTACTACCACGTAACCACGGTACGACCGCGACATCCGTAACTGCACATCGCGGTACCGCATCGTAATCCCGCGCTCGATTTCCTCCTCGCCGAATACCCCCTGTATCATACCGGCGTTAAAAAGGCGTACATATCCCTTTTCCCATATCTCTCGGTTCGGATCTGCATACCTGCATTTTGGATACCAAAAGCCCTCCCTTCCATGGGCGGCTGTCTCGCTACTATATTATACTCGCATAATACTGGGTTGATATTTGGAACTCTATTTTGGACCTATCGCATCGTATTCATCACAAGATACCACTCTGTTGGTTCGTTTTCCCTTTCGGCTTGGTTCTACTTTGGAGGGCGCAACGCTAGATAATCTTGGATCGCACCGCTTGAATATCAAACATCTTGGACTTTTGGGTACTTCGTACTTCGAACTCGCTGCGTCTTCCTGACGTCGAATGCCGCGCGGGCTGCACATGTTTTCGTTTGCTCCACTAAAATAATAAAGCGTGCTAGGTGACGCCGACGCGCTATTGACCTTCATCGACTATGTAAGAACCCTTGAAGTAAACCAGCCTCCGCAATGTTCTGGCAAAGGAAATGTCTAAGATGAGACCTGTGAGCATTTGGACCAGATTACAGAGTCCAAACCCTACTAGGTGAAGACCCTTGAAGGTCTTCGCGCTCCTCAATGTTTCGGCGAAAAATAATGTTATAGTGAGTGAAGTGGGTGCTCAGACCAGCTTACAGCATCCAATCTGCTTTGCTAAAGTTACTTGAAGGACTTCACGCTCCCTGATGTAAAATCTAAAAGGTGAAGAATTGCAATGCTAGGCTAGCTTCAAATACTGATGCTGAAACCGATTAACTTCATAATAGACTTTTGGAGATAATTATATCGCTCCGTCTGTCAGAGATATCTGAGTTGAGCGACTTGTAAGATGAGAAGCTCAATGACATACATCACTTCCGCAAAGCCTAAAATGAGATGATTTTCCTCGATTATTCGAAGCTTTCTTTTCCGGCTCCCAGGTATAGCTTGACCGAGCCTATGATATCGTGCTAACCCCACGAAACGCCGCCCAATGCTAGATAATTTCACCTAAGCGCCATAGATGCGATCCCTCTCTGAAGCTCGATGGGTATCTTCCCGTTTGCAAACAATGCCCGTCTAACCTTGCTTCTGCTTCTTATTCGGCAACGAAGGCACTTTGAACCCCGCGCTGTCCACCTTCGCCGTCGCAGACCCAAGCTGCGTAAACGTGCCGCCCTTGAACCACCGATCATCTTCCGCCTTCCTCTTCCTGTTCATCTCCTCACGCGCCTTCGGATCAACCAACTCAAGACCCTGCACGGGCGTGAATGCGATGGAGCTCGTTCCAGCCTGCGCGCCGACACCACCAGTCCTGAGACCCTGAGCACGTAGACTCGTTGATGTGCCACCGGCGCCAAAGCCCTTGAGTGAAGTATTCGCGCCGAGCGTAGTATCGCCACCCCAGCCGGGGTTCTTTCTTGATAATTTGGCGCGTGTTTTTGGGTCGATCTGGTGTGCGCGGAGGCGGCCTGTGTCTGTAGCGCCGATCATACCAAGACCACGCGTCGAGTCCCCAGTGCCATAACCGACCTCCTTCTCTTCCTTTCCGAATGCCATCCTATTCTGCGCCTTCCGGATCTCAGTCATTGCGGTTGCCTCTTTAGCCTTTCGAGCGCGACGGCCACCGCGTTTGCGCGACGGCTTGTCGTCTGGTGCCGGTAGAGCACGAACACCCTTGTTTGGTGGTGGTTCGGTGAGCTTGTCGAGACGGCGCTCGCACTCGTCCTTGAACTGTTGGCCAGTCGATCCATCAGGAGAGGAATGGACCATGTCGACGCGGGCGGCTAGGATGAGCTTTGCAGACACGATGCGCATCGCTTGCTTCTTGAGATCCTGCCGAATGGGCTGGATCATAGGACTATGGTACAGGAATCCCTGATGTCTGATCCCAACATTAGTGGCGAAACCAAGACCACTTGCTTTATTGGAACCTAGAGGCGGAATGTTGCACGCTGGTGTTTTCGCCAAGCCAGCTAGACCTCCAGCATAGTTGATCAATTGGGCTGCAGTAAGCGATCCGACGAGCGTGGTAAGATTTGGTGCAAAGACGTTCATGCGGGACTGCACGTATTCGATAAGAGTCCATTTCGCTTTGTCGAGGTCCAACAACATAGAGCAGGCATTGAGAATAACCTCCAGCTCGGCATCATTGAGGTCCCGACCCGCAGCTCGCGTGGCTTCGACCGTGACAACCATGAGAGAGGGAGCGTCCAGGATGTTCTTGAGCGGAACTCCAACCAGATTATCAGCGCTTTGGGAGATTGCCTTGATGTCGTCCAAGGGTCCGTTCTTGATGATGGCGACGGTCTTCGCATAGTCTACGGGGTTCTTAATGAGTTCCTCGAGGTACGGGAAACGGATCGAGTAGTGATCGCGAATGAACTTGTGCACGGCCGTAATCTCATCATCGATCTGCGTCGAGAACTCGTTCGCTTCCTTGAGGAGCTGGTACTCCGGGTTGTCCTCGATCGACTCTCCATCTAAAACCTCCTCCATGCGATCCTTGACCTCGTCAATCTTCTGCAGCACGGGCTGCAGCTTCGCCAGCAAGCTCGCAGGGCCACGGATGTCGGCTGGTCCCTTCTGTTTCTTCTTTTTCTGCTCCTCTGCGTATTCCGCCTCCTCATCTACCATCTCTTCATCATCATCCTCCTCCTCCTCCTCCTCCTCCTCCTCCTCCTCTGCTGAGGCTCCGCCGCCGAAGTCCTTCTCAAGATCGGCTAGGTCATCTCCGCCGCGGTCCGCAAAGCCCTCGCCTTCGTCGGAACCAACATCCGCGAAGTCGGCCAGCAGCTCCTGCTCGAGCGTGGCCATTGCGTCTAATTCCCAGTGTCCGAGAGCCTGCGAGAAAAGGAAAGCTAGCGACGGCTAGCTGCACGTCTCCAGTCGTTGAGGCGGCGACGAGAAAGTCGGCGGGAGGATAACCTCCTAGTAGCGTTTGATTGAGTGTTGAGCTCAGTGAATGCAGTTGTGAACGTACCTGTCGCCGAGTGTGGCCGCCGATCGAGTTGTTGTTGTCAGCGGACGAGGCTGTCGTGGAGGCAAGTAAAAGAAGCAGTGACGTGCAGGCACGAAGTCTTGGCGCGGATATTTTGCCGGGCGGTGAAAGGCTACGGCCGTGAATTTCACCCCAGCTCGAAGAGCTCCACCACCACTGTACACTCTCTCGGACGGCGTGCAACGCCAACGCGAAATAGCTCCGCGAAGCAAACCAACCTCGAACTTTTTCTCTCAACGGCGCACAGCATCATCGAAACAGGCCACCCGAAGCCGCTTCCTTCCTACAGATCGACCATGGAGAGCTCACGGGGACCCCCGCGGGTCAAGAACAAGGCCGCCGCGCCCATCCAGATCAGCGCCGAACAGCTGCTGCGAGAAGCCGTTGACCGTCAAGATGAGAAGCTCAAGGCGCCGACGCAGCGCTTCGCTGACCTGGAGGAGCTGCACGAATTCCAAGGGAGGAAGAGGAAAGAGTTCGAAGACTACGTCCGAAGGAACAGGATCAATATGAATAACTGGATGCGCTACGCGCAATGTAAGTTCCTGCTGGCACAACGAGCGATCGGACGATGGCTGACTTGGTACAGGGGAGCTGGAGCAGAAAGAATTCCGCCGCGCGCGATCGATATTCGAACGAGCGCTGGATGTCGACAGCACCTCGGTCCCGCTATGGATCCGCTACATCGAGGCGGAGATGAAAAGCCGGAACATCAACCATGCGCGAAATATCCTTGACCGCGCTGTTACCATACTCCCCCGAGTTGACAAGCTATGGTACAAATATGTATATATGGAAGAGACTCTCGGCAACATCGATGGCGCGCGCGCTGTGTTCGAGCGATGGATGCAGTGGGAGCCAGAGGAGGCGGCATGGTCTGCATACATTAAGATGGAGAAGCGCCACGGCGAGTTCGAGAGAGCGCGAGCTATCTTTGAACGCTTCACCGTCGTGCATCCAGAGCCGAAGAATTGGATTAAATGGGCGAAATTTGAAGAGGAGAACGGCACCAGCGACCTCGTCCGGGATGTCTTTGGAACTGCTGTTGAGACGTTGGGCGATGAGTTCACGGACGAGAAGCTCTTCATGGCATACGCCAAGTTTGAAGCAAAGCTGAAGGAGGTTGAGCGTGCCCGCGCAATCTACAAGTTCGCCCTGGACCGCATGCCACGGTCTAAGTCCGTCAACCTTCACAAGGCCTTTACGCAGTTCGAGAAGCAATACGGTGACCGGGAGGGAATCGAGGACGTGATTTTATCGAAACGAAGAGTGCACTACGAAGAGCAAGTCAAAGAGAACCCGAAGAACTACGACGCTTGGATCGAGTTTGCGCGGTTAGAGGAGACGTCAGGAAACATAGATCGCGTGCGGGACGTGTACGAGCGAGCCATCGCGCAAATACCGCCGACACAGGAAAAGCGACACTGGAGGCGCTACATCTACCTCTGGCTTTTCTACGCTATATACGAAGAGACGGTATCTCGAGACATCGAGAGGACGCGGCAGATATACCAAGAATGCCTACGGCTTCTCCCGCACAAGCGCTTCACATTTGCCAAGGTCTGGCTGATGGCCGCTCACTTCGAGATACGGCTAGGCCAGCTAACCGCAGCACGCAAACTACTCGGCCAGTCAATAGGCATGTGCCCGAAAGACAAGCTTTTCAAAGGCTACATCGAGCTCGAAATGAAGCTCTTCGAATTCGGCCGCTGTCGGCAGCTGTACGACAAGTACATAGAATGGAACGGGTCGAACTGCCAGACCTGGATCAAGTTCGCTGAGCTCGAACGTGGGCTAGACGACCTCGACCGCGCGCGTGCTATCTTCGAAATCGCTGTTGAAGAACCCCAGTTAGACATGCCCGAACTCCTTTGGAAAGCGTACATCGACTTCGAAGAGGGCGAAGGCGAGTACGTCAGGACGCGCGCGCTATACGAGCGCCTCCTCCAGAAGACCGACCACGTCAAAGTTTGGACCTCCTGGGCGCAATTCGAAATCGGGGTCCCTGACACGGACGAAGAAGCCGCTGAAGACGAAGACCGCCCCGTCAGCGAGCTCGCCAAAGCACGCGCCCGCGCTGTCTTCGAGCGCGCGCACAAGCGCATGAAAGAAAACGACCTCAAGGAAGAACGCGTCGCGCTGCTCAATGCATGGAAATCGTTTGAAACGATCCACGGGTCGCCCGAGGATATCGAGAACATTGATAAGCAGATGCCGCGGAAGGTCAAGAAGCGGAGGAAACTGGACGATGATAGCTTTGAGGAGTATGTGGATTATGTGTTTCCGGCCGATGATGAGAGCGCGGCGAAGTTGGCGAAACTTATGGCGAATGCGCAGAGGTGGAAGGCGGCGCAGCAGACGCAGGAGCAGAACGGCAGTTAAAGCGTCGATATTTACGGAAGAAAAGGTTGCGCGCTATCGGGTTGGGGCGGCTTATACCAGGATATTTGGGAGTACTTGGGGTTTCGGCGTATACAGCAGAACCCAGCATTACGCCAAGGCAGACCCACTTCCAGACCGTAGTAGAAGGGGCGACAACAGGGAGGATGAGGACAGCACATGGACACTAGTATTCAGGACCAAACAATGCGAAATAGCGTTCGCCCTCACGAATCAGCACACCTTCTCCCGAAGGCATTCTGGGCGGGTTAATCGTCAAGTATATTGGCCTCCCCAAACACGCTATAGTCGAGAGGACTGCACTAGGCTCTCGAGTAAGCGGCACATTGTGTACATACCAACATACCTTAGTTTTCATGTCCCACCCGTGGAAAACCACTCCTGGAGGCCTTCAGCAGGTGAAGAGCAAAGATGTACCAGCGTGTTAGCTTGGCTTTCAAGGTCGATTCGAAATATACCAGTAAGCCAGCTCCTTCAGTCTCTCTTCCCAGTCTTCACTACCGCTCCACTTGAAACGCCCAGTGGCCCCTAGCAGCGCTCACCAAAGAAACACCGCTTATAGGCCAGTCTCGCCTTCTTGTAGGATTCCAGCGCCCGCCTCGGCCACTCCTACATATCTTCCACGTGCGGAACGATAAGAAGCACATGGATAGCGCAGGAGTGGCGGCCGCGCCTAGCCAAACACGTTTGTTGAAGGTAATCCCAGGGCTCAACGTTGATAGTAAACATGTACTCTTCGCCAGCCTACCCGAGACACCTGCAACTGTTCAGGCGCAGTCAGTATTGCCCACACAGTTTAACTTGAAAGAACCCGTGGCGCGAAATCCACGTAGGACGTCACGTCGAAGCTCGCAAGGAGCCGAGAGATCTAGCCCGTAGCTGCTGTCTAGTGCTTGGGTGGGGTCCATAATAACGTCCATGGAAAGAATGTCCCAATCAGTCAACAGGTTCTTCCAGATTTTGAACAATGGCTCTTAGATCGCTAGACAGCCGACGCATCCAACACAGGATGTCCCCAACAGCTTGTATGCAGATGCTTCCGGATAGGTATTACGACGGTGCATGGCTTCAACAAAACGAGTGTCGTTATGAAAGGGTGCTCGTTATCCAAGCGCCCTCGCGCGATGAGCCGCGAGGAGAGTGCCGGCAACCTAGAACGCGGAACCCGTCAGTACAGCGATCGCGGTGGTTAGGACCTAGGGAGACGTGCCGAGCTCTCAAGCTTCCGCAATTAATTCGGCACATTCGGCGACGTAGTAGATCCTAAACGTAAACTTGTTTGCTGGCACGGACGGGCTAGGAAAACGGTTGAACATCTCCGACTTTTTCTCAACCGCTTACCACAACTCCCCTGAGATACCGGCTGCACGTACATTTCCGTCCAACTACCACCCGGTCCATATCACCCAGCAGTCTCTCTTAGATCTTGAACTAACGCCGGGATCCCACGTGTTATCACTGCTACAAGCCGTACGCACATCCTACCTCGCCCTGCAGCGTGCCATCGTGGCGGATGAAACGGTTGACCTCCCACAAAAGCTGTCGTCGCAACCTCGCGCGCTAGAACTATCGGCAACCGAATCCAGTCGGAGAGTACTCGTAACGTTCGGCAAAAGGAAACGAGGCGGAGTAGTTGCGCGCTACGTATGGGGCCGTGATCTTTCGTTGGCGCCCCGTAAGGATGGGAAGGGAAGGATTGTTCACCGGAATGGCCGAGAGCAAACGATTGGCATCCGGGAAGACGGGATCGTAGGGTTGATGGAGCGGAAAGGTCGGTTGGAGTCCATCGGCTTGGGTAGAAGTGCTGTACTCACAAGGAGAAGGAGCAATTGGGCCTTGAATATATGGAAGGCAGGCGCGAAGGAGGGCGCTCCAAACACCTGAACGGCGCCACGTAAACAACTGTACCACGGCGCCTCAACATCCACCTGCATTTCGGAGATTTACGAAACAACAGCAGCAGCAGAACCCCGGGCAAGAAAAGTGGGTGAGCCCACTCCTTCTCGGCACATTCGGAGTTGTCAAGCGCAGACTGCGTATGCCGTGTCCCTTGCTATCTAATATCACGAACCTACCACAACCGGGTGTGCGCTGCACAACAGCACCAGTTCAAGCCGCTAGTGGCAACCGCAGCACACAGACCGCATGTTCGCGTCGCAACACGACAGCAAACGGCGCTCCCGAATGGCTGAACCGCTCATCGGCATGTTCGCTTCCACCGGCGGAGGCGTGCTTCGTGCAACTGCGCTTTGCGGGATCATGTACAGCGATGAACTGCACTGCTCGTCACCCTCGCTTCCCGCGCATTGCACACGCAAGGCGTTCCGCGGTAGTGGAAGAAATTCTCCGAACCCGCGTTGTGCACCGCGTGCTCCTTCGCTAAGTGGTCATAGATTCCCCTTTTCGTCTCTTGCGGTATGTATTGAAGCTGGCAAATGCGCACGATGCCGAATGCGCGCACCCTGCATCCGGTCGTGAGCTGATGTGCGTGCCACTCTGATGAGAGTGGCTTGGGGGAGGGAGCGATATCTCGAAGTGTTGTGAGGCTGGAGGTGGTACCAGAAGAGCGGTGAAGCGAGCAGTTCTGGGTTGGTGGGCTGAGGGGTTAAGAGTGGGGATGTGTTTGATTAGCGCTGTCCTTCAGGGAGGAAGTGGTAGTTTGGGGCTTCAAGCTCTGTTGTGCAACGACGTGATGGCATCACCGCACTGGTGCGGAAAGAAGTTGCCATCTCGCAGGGATATCCTGCATTAGGAGAACAGAAGTCCTGTCCCTTGAAACAGGATACGCGAAGACGTTGTGTTTAGCGGGCAGGATAGGACGACAGTGTTATAAAGAAAAGAAAGTATTAGCTGACTAAGTTGAAAGAAGACCGGGAGTAGAAATTAGAGTGTGTTCATTCTAGTACCGTTCAAGCGTCCATCAATCCGTGCGGCTCAGAGCAGCCGTGGCCTTGGGCCTTCCCAACACCTCGCTAGATCTCCGTGTGGTGTACCAGCACATCAAGAATACAAATTACTCTGTCCACGGAAAGCGGGACAAAGGGGGCGTGAAATAAGTCGGACCGTGGATATCTCGCCGTGTCTGCCTGATGCTGCTATCGCCCTCGCTTCGCTACCCATGCAGAAAAAACCAAAGTAGATGAAAAGAATATGGGGGAATCCCGAAGTCGTGTACAAGTGCCTGCAAACTCCAACGGGAATGCTCGCGAGCGAGGGAAAAGAAGCGAACCAGTCGAGGACAAGGTGGTGCAAAAAACTCCGGCTCCAAAGCATGCAATGATGGGTTCCATAGTGTTACAAGGACACAGTCTGCCAGCTTGGAGGATGAAAAAAAAAACCATGTGACTTTCCAGGATGTTGGGCCGCACGTAGTGTGCACGGAGCGTATCCGCAATCGCGCCAGAGACATCAATGCAGAGGCCGAGGGAGAAGCTGCCAGGTCGGGCTTCGGTTCATGAAAATGATAAAGCGAGGCCACATATTATGGTGCCCTGCTTACTGTCCATGAAAGCATAGCCATATCGCATATGCGAGCAATGACTTGCTGCGAACCGCTACGGCACTCGTGACTGATGAAAGACATGGCGACGTTGAGCTTGGTGAGGTCGTTCTCTGGGTTCTGGTCGACCGAAGCCGGAAGGGCGTTGGGGAAACCGCGAATCCGATTGCCGATATGTCGCGCAATAGCGATAGAATAGATCGTGTCGCGCACTTCATGCGCGTTCAGTACGTTTCGCATCCTGCCCAGGGCGTAGTCGGTACTACCAGGTGGTGCAAATTCACTGTCGGAATGCACAACAAATTCGCCCAATTGCTCCCAAAATTCGACTTCCATCTTTTTGTACTCCGGAATATCGGCAGGATAAGATACCTGACGCAACGGATTAGACTCCAGGTTTTGGTTGGTCAGGAGAGCTTCCAGAATGATGAACCGCGCTCGGACTTCCTTTAATGAAATGTCTTCGTTTTCGGCGCTGGCGGGTGCGGTTCCGTTAGTGCCGTTCGTGGCCGGGGCGGCATGTCTGCAGCAACCCAGCAGGTGCCAGATGAGGCGGGCTTCTTGACTGAAGACTCCGCTCATGTCGCTTGTGCCAGACCTATACTTGACGGTCTCGGTGAAAAATATGGCTTCTTCATGAAGGCTTTTGTCAGCAAAGATCCTGCTCAGTGCGTTGTTGTTCGTCGAGAACCATTTCGTCTCGAGCATGACATCCAATCCGACGCAGTAATCGTTCGTGAAGATCGTTGAGAACTCATCGTCGAGCTCCTTGGGTATTGATGCGGGACGCGGCGGTATCTCAGGAGGGTCTACAGGTGGGGTACGAAATTAGCGTAGCTCTCAAAGTACGTGGTGGTTTATCCATATCTCAGTCAAGTGAGTATATCTCGCTGCGAAATGCCATTTAGGGGGCAGTCGGCGAAACAAAGGCCCACACCTCGGCCAGAAGACAAGAATAGTGATAGGGCGTTACTCACGATGATTCGCAATACTGAATATGTCGGAAATCTTCAACTGTTTGCCTGCCATTGGAATTAGCATGTATCGATATAAGATGAATCATCAGGTGCAACAGCCCTGGTGCGTTGGTACGTACCCTTGATCGGTTGGCCGTCTGACGGGCCCGACGAATATGGGCTTCCTCGCAGTGCGGGGTTGAGCGCATGCACGCCATTATACGGCGTCTGTCCATGCATTGCTGGATCTGTGGCCGCAAGGGCGGGGTCAATGGCAGAGCTGTTGAAGTTCTCGTGTGGAGGGTGACCTGAACCGGTCGCAGGCACCGGCGGCGCGTAACCGGCAGTAGCAGCAGGGGCGTATCCTTGAGGCACCTGGCTGCTATACGGCGCGGTCGTTGGAGGAGCAGATGAGGGTGCGGAGGTGGGATGGGGAGCAGAGTTGGGCGCGGGTTGGATCTGCGCCGGGCCTGGCTGTTGTTTGAAAATGGGGTCGTAGCCAAGGCAGTCGCGTTTACTCTTTTGGCAGTTGCGGCAGACCGGGTGAGCTTCGTCGCACTGGCAGACAGAGGTGGTCAGTGGGTGCGCTGCGGAGAGGTGAGGTTGAAATAGAGGAGGGAAATAGTTTGGATCGCTCGCTTCATGGTGGCTCGGTTACAGACAACACCGCGGTCTCCACGAGGGCGTGCGTGCCTCGCGCACCACGTCGCGCCTGCCAATCGCGTACCATTGAGCTCCGCACTCACCTTTATTCTCCTCTTGCGACACGTCAGGCACCCAGTCTTGGTGCGCCTCTTGATTTCCTTCTTATGCCGCCCGCCCGACAGTATTCTCTGCTCGCCCGGCTGCGGCGGCAGCTGGTATCGCATCGCAAGGTGCTGCGAGCCCATGTTCATCGGCTGGCCGGGCGGCGGGTGCGCTGGGTGCGCGTAGTACTGCGGGATACCGTGTTGCGGCGGAGGCAGCGGCGAGCCCATGGGCGGCTGTCCTTGCCCTGGCTGAGGCTGGGGCGGCGGCGCCTGTATAGGAGGCAGATTGAGCGGAGGGAGCGATGGGAGCGACATCTGGTTGCCCTGCGGCGACCGGTACGGCTCATTGCTCTGGGGGTAGGCGTAGGCAGAGTTCATCTGGGGCGACGGGTAGCTCTGCTGTCGGGTGTGCTGATCGGCCATTGCGAAAATCGCGACACGGCGCGGAGGCGTGGGTATAAAAATCGAGGTGTGACGCTCCCTGTGAACGAACCCGCCCGGGAGGGCACACGCGAAGGTCCGGACGCAAGCAGAAGGAAGAAAGCGAGCGAGGGAAGGAACGACTGGGATGCGTCGGCGAGGCTTGAGATCTGGGAGCTAACAAGCCCCTGCCTCGGTTCGGTCTGCAGACGGGACTGGCCTGCGCAACCTGCGCACCTACGTACAGCGGGCTGGGCGGTGCTGTGAGGCAAGGCAATATGCGTGATGGCTGGCTCGTGGTGGCTGGCTCGCGCGCCGGGGCCCTCGCCAGGCGACGGAATGCTGTGCGATGGGAGGGAAGGGGAAGTGGGAGCTAGCAGGTATTGGGCATTGGCAGTGTGAAGGGCGGAACTCACGCTAGGATGGATGGCGGACCTGCCCAGGTGGAAAATGGGAGAAAAAGCACCCCACTAGCGCCGATTTGCGGTCACGTGGCCCCGCCGTCCTTTCCAAGGTTGACAGCTTCCAAGGTTGCGCCCGATGTCTGCTGTCGACGGCATCTTCTGCTCGACATCTGCGGCCGCCGGCAACGAACTGCACTCGCGACGCAAGCTGACGCATCCGCATGTCGGTGGTCAAAATCGTCCGCCGTTACGCCCGTTTTCAATACACGGCGCTGCAGCACGTCAGCGCCTGCCTGCCGAGTTTGTCCTCCTCTCCTCGTGAGCTCCGCTTTAAGGCTGATTGCTGCGGTCCCTGGCATCCGAGCACGGAACGGCGCGGCTTCTTTCTCGAATGCTTGGGCGCTTCTTCTGATATGCTCGCAGACCTCGCTTCGCCTGTTCGGATATACAGGGTGCAATGTACATGCGCCGGCACGACTAACAGCATCGACGAACTCATCAGGGCATCATAGAGTGGTTGGGCACAGCAGCAGGAACTCGTCTCGCCGGGCCGGTTACCGATTGCTCCATCAGCCCTGGAGAGGCTCTGAAGACGACAGCTGACAAGCGCTGCGTTATTTTCAACTCCCCGGGCACGTCATTTTACCCGCCAAAGACATCTCAGAACGGGTGGAATCGATCCCACCACGACGGATCGGGGTGAGAAAGACGGTGAGCGCGTCGCGCGTCATGATGTTGGTGTCGCGCTGCGGAGGAACTACCTAGACTGCTAGACTCAGCCTGATGCTAACAACAGCGTGTGTCACCAGGGGCTGTCAACGGCTAAAGGCAGCGAGTACGGCCGTTGGAACCGCGGCCTGATAAATGGCGATGTGACAATTGCTGTGTTGTCCGGAACATACACAGCACAGGTAGGGAGGAATGGAGCACCGGGTGTAGCGAGCTGCGAGTTCCTCGTCTTTCGGCTCATCTCCCAGCTCCCTGGAGTCCCCCTGACGCGAGCATGGGCTGGAGACGAAATCGAACCAACTCCTCTCTAATGTCGTACGAGCGGGAACCCTGAAGGATAACGGCTGGTTGGGGGCGCTGGCCATTCACCGTTGCGACGACAGGCAGACCCGCGAGCCTTCGGCTTTGCCTTTGCGCATGTAGTGTCTCGCTCTGTGGTTCATTGGCTCTGCTCCGGCTTGGCCTAGGGAGGACCGGGGACATGAAGACGTAACGTTCGGCTCGACCTGTTCGTCCCGTCTCGTGTCTGGGGCTTCCCTGCGCGTAATATTTTGGCGAGATTTCTGGAATCTTTCTAGGCCGCTCGCTAGGGAAGGAGCGAGCGAGCATGTGCATCACCCACCAAGCATCCACGGCAACTCCACCCCCAGGTTTCCGTCCTCTCATCAACAATGTCTCTCTCTGTGTGCTTCCCTCATCTCTGTGAACTGTATCACATTGCGTCTCGCTATGCCGCCGTCCGGTAGCCTAGCTGCCCATTCCGGTCCTTGGAACAGCCTGCGGGTATCCTTCACTGCGCACTTCGTTGTCGCAGACAGCTAAGCCGCATGACGCTATTGGTTTGGACAGCCTGTCCACCCTATCTGCGGATCGCATGCTGCCCGACGGGGTAAAAAGCAACGGCACGATGGGATTGACTTTGGCAGAAAGCTCTGGCAAACCGCGTCGCATGTGACAAAAGCTGGTGCCATCGGAGGCTGTGGGAAGGCACTGTCGAATCGGCTGCTCTCAGCTCCTCATTGCTTCTTCGGACGGCGTATCGACTTTGCAGACTTTTCGCACCGGCATATCCCAGTGCCATCTTGGATGCTATGCATCATGAGCCGATCGCTTTGAGGATCGCCTGGAGAAGCGCGTCTGAAGCTCGTGGGAGACTGCAGGTAAGTAAGAGGACTTTTGCATTCTATTTCTTTTCTTTTGGTCTTAAGCCCTATCTATCATTGACTCCTGAACCCCCGATAACAGTTTGCAGCAAAAGCAAGCTGCATTCAATCTCGCTCGAGCCCTTGAGGAACCATCTCAGAGAGCCGCATGCTCAGGAATGACACTTCGAAGAGCCCCTGTCTCGATTGCTGCTCGCACGTTCGAAATCGTCCATTCCTCCATCGCCGTCTGAGTCTAAGTTCCACAAAGTCAGCCTTAAATTTCGCATGGTGACTCCCTCCTTCTCATATGGGAAGCACGGGAAGAAGTCGCGCGCTTGCGGCATTGAAAGAGGAAGGTCGGCGTGCTGGTACATCCGAAACTCCCAACATCAGCCTAGCCGGTCCCTTTGTGCCTCCGCAGGGCTGCATTGGCGCAAACGCTTTTCACCGGCAGAGCCTGCGCTCCTAACGGTCCACTGTTGCGGCTGAGGTGGTCCAGCTCGCCGACCCCTTAACACTGCATGCGAGCCCACGCTGTCTAAGACAAGACGGCTATGAAGAGGAGCGACCGGAGAGACGGATAGAAAACTCACCTCGATCGTCCACGTCCCCATATGCGGTAACAGCATGACATAATCATTGGCAAGTAGCCCAGGGTGTATTGACGGCTCATTTTCGTATACGTCAAGCCCGACAGACGCGACGTGTCCGCTATCCAGCGCCTTCACTAAAGCTTCTTCGTCAATGATCGCGCCGCGAGCGGTATTGACGATGACGACGCCCTTCTTCATCATTTCGAATTCCCGAGTCGAAATCTTATGCCGGGTCTTGTCGTTGAGAGGCAGATTTAAGGAAATGACGTCGCTAGTCATCAGCAGCTCCGCGAACGATACGTACTCCGCGCCGCCTGATAACTCGTCGCTGAGTTTTTCGCGGTTGTGGTAGATCACACGCATCGAAAAAGCCTCTGCCTTTCGACGCAAATTTTTGCCGATACCGCCCATGCCTAGGATACCCAACGTCTTGCCTTCTGGATCCCTACCCAGAGGCGGTGGAGGATGACCTCTCCACTGTCCCCCTCGCAGCGCTCTCATTGAGATATTGAATCCTCTCAAGGCCCCCAATATAAGGAACATAGTGACGTCGGCCGTAGCATCGTCCACGGCGGTCGGCGTATTCGATACCCGGATACCTCGCTTGGTGCAAACATGGACGTCTACTTGATCATATCCCGCTCCTATTTAATTCAGTCAGCCCTTCCGTATAGATCTGCCACCCAGGGCTTCCACCAGTGAGGCAGGATGCAGCCCGCGCACCCCGACCATGCTTGCGGCGCCATTCAGACATCTGCCCCTGCCCAGCAGACGTCGCCCGCAGCCTAAGAGCTACCAGTATGAACGGTTACCCCCTTGCATAGTAAGGTGCTTAGCAACCGTCCATTTTGGACTGATGCAGAAACTTGAGGGGGTGGACGCCGCCTCGAATCCCGATGCGTTGACCCTGTCCTTTATCTCGTCTAGGGGGCATCTTTTCAACCACGACTCCATATTCGTGGCTGATAGGAGAACAGGCTTCTATCTATGCTGCGGGGTCAATTCCGAAAACGAACAGCTGCAGATAGGTTGCGCCAATCCGGACTGCGGACCCCTGACTCGCCGAAAGAAAAGAGAGTTATCTGCCGACTTACCATTATGACATACAAACTTCACACTGGCCGGCAACGCAGGCACCAGCTCCTCATCGAATCTACCAGTATAGTCCACGCTGGCGAAGGTGCGGTAAATGGCGACGACTCCATCCAGGTCTCCGCTTCTGCATTCGTCTAAGAATTCGGCGCGTGTACGGGCTCGGGGATAGACCAGTTCGGCGATGTTGGAGAGCGAGTTCCACGATTCGTGGGCGCTGCAATCGGAGATCAGGTCAATTATGACAGGGGTCTACCGCACTATCGGCATGGAGGGAAGCGAGTCGGAAGTTGGAGGCTGAGAATTTGACAGATTGGACAGCGGGAGAGTAGTCTGCGACTAGGCTGTTCCTAGACAACGACACAGATGCTCCGCTCCCGACTGTCCACATTGTGGTGCCGACGGCCAGACCATCCTTTCGCCGGTTTACCACGCTTTTTTCCGGTAAAGACGCTGGAAATCCGACATCGGCGCAACCTTTTTGGGCCTCGATTTGGGGAAGGAGGAGGGAAAAGAAGTGTTTCGCAACTCACTGTTCGATTTCTCCTAGGAGCAGCACTTTTGGCTTTGTCATGCTGCTTGTCTGGACCGACGGGACTGGACCGGAATTGACGGCCACAATGGGCTGGAGGAGAAGTGAGCAAAGTATAAGATGCCTCCGGCCTCCGGTGAACAATTGGGCTACTGCGATACGTGTCAGTCTAGTGCCAAACTAGGTGGGTCATATAACGAACCTTTGGGCTTGATACAACTCAGTTGTAACCGCCTTGTGCGAAGGACAAGATAAGTCAGAATTCGGAAGGCTGAAGAAAGTGTCCAACAAAATTCTTCCTCGAGATACTGCACGATTTCAATCCTCGAAAGCAGTCTAACCTCCGCAGATAAAGCGTCTCCGGTTTTGGCCTGTACGACAAGAACTCGGGACAGACATACCCCGCCCTCGTCGTACGCGACCAACACCCCTGCCCCGCCAAATTCACTTGCTCTTTCTTTCCAACAAATCCGCTTTTTCCTGCGCAAACGCGAAGCAGCGACGTAGCGGTGAGCACGTCGAGAAGGATAATGTGCAAGGCAGCAACAGCAACAGCAACAGGCTACGCAAAGTAGCTCTCGCCCGGCTCGGCTGCAGTTCCACGGCAGTGAGCGCACTTGTGGGCGTTTTATATCTGGCTCGAACCAGGTTAGGCCAGCATGCTGTGCTGGCTCGTTATCGCGGGTCTAGAGGGCCAATGGGGTCGCCTGGTGAGCTTCTGCGGCATACCAGGTACCGAGGGAATGGATCAAAACGGATGGGATTTGCGTGCGTGGATCTGCCGCAGGCGTACGTGGGCCGCAATCCGTTACGTTTGGCTTTGCGCTCGGTGAGTACCCTCGTGGTGAAGATGCGAAGATACCGTTGTGAACGGTGAGCAGGCAAGGAAGGGCTGACTGCAGGAAGAAGGATCAGGTCGATTTCACGCCATGTGCCCTCAGGCCAGAATATTCAGCCTGGCAGTATACTCGAAATTCACTCTGCCGTGCAGGATCGACACGTATGCCTCGCACCGAGCAACTCCGCGCTTTCGCCCATCTAATCTGCAAGAAAGCAAAGCAAAGCATCACCCTAACCACCGTATCCGTCACCCACGCATGTACGTAGGTACCTTCCGTGCAACCGCCTTTACAACCCTGCAGGCCACGAGCGTAAGCGCAGCAAAGTGCCGACCCTGCAGCGAATCGTAAGCGGACACGGGTGGGACAAGCTGTACAGCTCCGATGCCAGGGTCGATTCCTTGCTCCTGCATCAGCGAAGAAACGGCCAACGACACCGATTCACTAGCGTAATCAGCCGGTGCTAGAACTCGTGCTTTCTGCTGTCAGTGGCGCTAGCTGGCTGCGGGGTCAAACGAAGATAGACTATCAGATCTTGATGCCAACGACAGCTGCTGTGCGATCCAATGAGAGGGGAGCGGAGTGTGAGATAGATAATGCAGGTTGCGGGACAGTGCGCCCGAGATAGGGAAAAGTCTGCACAAGAGGTAAAGGCTGACTGCTAGTGACTGGGCTTGAAGCCGCATCTTGTACTACAGTGGGGGTTGTACATCTGAGTCGAGAAATGAGGCGGAAATTTGCTCTCTGGTTGTCGGATCATCAATACGGCACGCTTCTCTTATCAGGTGAGATGTAGAGCCTCAATGATACGCATGAGCATCGAGAGCCGAGGCGGCACTCTCAAGGTATGTAGGCAGACTTGAGCGTTAGGCAATAACCAGAGCACATGACCCAGGCCTCATGCAGGTGTGGTTCACAGGTCGTCTACGTTCATCGCTTCTTCCTAAACATTACTGCTCTGATCACACTGACTCACGCACATTTCCAGAGTACTGATGGCATCTTCATCAGGAGCTCGGTGGAGAACTGCTGAGAACCCGTTCAATATCTTGTACATGAAGTATTCCACTTTTGTCTATTTTTCTATGCATCTGCGCCCACGTTGGATCGGCAGCAAGTCAGCGATTCCGAAAACGAGTCTCCTAGATCCCGGCAAGTATCTAGATATTGCACAGCAACGTTGATGCTCTGCAAATGCCGATGCTCGCTCTATCTTGCTCACCGCTCCTTAATAGCGCCGAGTCCGGTCGTTCGACTTCGGTCAATCATGCCAGGGTCGGCTTGCGGTGCTCAACGGCCACCATAACGGCGGTATCCCGAATCATTCCCGACGTTCTCGCGCATCCTCCGCTCAGTAGCCGCCTTAAAGCCAGCCAGGATCTGCTTCCTGACTGGCGTCTCCTCGCCCATAGTCGCCAGCGCCGCCACATTGCCCGCCTCATCCCTCGTCATCCCCTCGACGCAAACGCGCTCCATAATCGCCATCCTGAATCCTAGCAGCTTCTGCTTTCCCTCTTCCGCAATTGCACCTGCGAACGCATCACCTTGCATATTCCCCGCTCCCATCTTCAACGCGCTCTTTCCCTGCGGAAGGAACAAGTTCCGCCGCTCCTCCATCCGCTTCTCCAGATTCACTGCGTCGTTGAGAGCTGCCAGCGCGCTCTGCCATGCATCGAAGTCCACCCGCGTGTTGGTGGCGTTGTACTTCTGCGCTGCGAGGAAGACAACGCGGTTCAGATGCGCTATCTTTTGAGCTTCGGTGCGGATCCAGGCTTCACGGATGGTTTTCCGGGCGTCGAGACGCTGGCGCGCGGCTGGGGTGTGATGGAGGCGGACTGCGATGCCTGGGAGGGGCGGCGGTGGGATGGGGAGGTCTTGACGGGCTTGGGCTTGGACGCCAGGAGACGGGTGGAATTGGGGGTACGATTGAGGGCGAGCCGGGCTATTGATCGGCTGGCCTAGCGGACCGCGTCCGGGGGTCACGGGAGACTGAGCAGGCCGACTGTCCATGAACGGATCGGTGAGATGACGGGTGTGGCTCGGACTCATGGTCGGGGCGAGGTGGCTACTCATCCGAGTTGGGGTTGTAGCGGGCATATAACCTGTGTTGAGGTTCTGGCGCTGGTTGCGGTTGCGGGGAGCTGGAGAAGGGGACACGAGCAAGCCAGACCTGTCCGCTCCCAGGTCATCATTGAAGTGACCTGGCCCGAGTGGTGAAGAGATTATGGATGACCGTGAACACATCCTCGCCAACCGCTTCGGGGTGACCGGGCCCTGGGCGCCACGCGTGTCGCCAGCAGTTCCGTTGCCCATTTGTGCACTGGACAGAAGGTTATGGATATCCTCGCCTGAGGCACTGCGGTATTGACCCGGCGCTGGTAACCCTTCGGTGAAGATAGTGCCGAACGATCTAGCAGAGTGGCTTGCCGGGCCTTGAGAGACGTTCTGACCTGGGACAGCAAAGCCATACTTCACCGGCTGGAAAGCTGGGGCTTCGGCACTGAGCTTGCCTGAAAGACTACTGTGACGGGTCTCGCCACCGCTGCTGCTGCTGCTGGCGACAGCCGTAGAGTCCGAACCAGGTGAAGAGCGTCCCTCGCCGCCCGAGATCGCAATGCCGCCGTTGCTGTCTTGCTCGCCACTCGGCCTGACCGTCTCGTCCGAGAGAGGAGAACTCAATGGGCCATTGCGGTCCGTATCGACGGACTCTCTACCGCGAAGGGGCGAGCTGTTGGGGTAATCCGAGCCATGGAGGCGAGAGGTGCGCGATTCGGTTGGGCTTGCACGCAAGAGTTTGTATTGCGGCGAATTTTCGATGTCCTGGAGTATTTTTTCCCAATCCTGCTCCTGCTGCTCCTCCTCCGTCTCGCAGCGGTGCAGAAGCGGCATCGACGTGGATCGCCCGGAGGCCATTTTGGTCGGGTTCGCTAGGTGTTGGTTGGGGAGCTGGGTCGGGGAATTAATTGGTGATGCGCCGCCAGTCAAGGTGTCGAGGATGGTAGAGAAACGGCAGGTGGCAACTTAAGCCGATTGACGTGTTGACCAAGCGAAATGTTTTCGTAGAACGGGTGACGGTCGTTGTTATGACGACTTATGCGGCGGAACGGCTCGTAAACAATCGCTGTGGTGAAAGTGAATTCGAGCTCTTTGAAAGGACATCCGGAGCCCTTCACTGCGCGTTCGGCTGGTCCTTTTTTTTAAGAAGGTCTTGGGAAGGACTGATATGCTCTACCTAGGAGCCATCGTAAGTCTCTAGATTGCCCTAGTAGTGAGAGCAATGACTCGGGACCTAATGAAGGTGCTTTGTTCTAAGAGCTAGTGACGTATGTTGAAATGCTTCTCAGCGTCAGTATGGTGCGGCCGCTGTTTAGCAATGTTGACGGTCCAGCGAGACGATGAAAACGTGGTTTTGAGTTGCTTTCCTTAGTGATCGCGTTTAGGAAGGACTTACGAGCTGCACCTGCCTCACAGCAGCTCCGCCTCGTCAACATGTTCCCCTCTCCTGTTCGCCAAATACACCCTTCCACTTTCATAAACACCCAAATACAGCCCACTACCAATAAACGTCCATATACCTCTCAGTGCACCGCCTCTCCAAAGGCCCTTCATGCCCTGTTCGCTCACAACATCCGTTCCAATCTTCCAGGCGCTCTTCTTTCCCTTCTGCTCCGGACTCAGCATGGGATTGAGATTACGCGCCGCGTTCTTCGCGGTGGCCTTCGATGACTCGACCGACTTTCCAAACGCGTCCACCAGTCCGTTAGAACCGGGTTTTGCGCTGGTTTGCTTCTTTGAAGCCTCGTTGGCGCCGTCCCCCGCAGCGGAGAGCATGATTCTCGTCTTGACCACATCCACAGGCGTCGTCAGTACCGCCGCGACCGCTCCCGCGCTCCCAGCACTAAACGCAGTAATCATCCCACTCTCAAGGATCGTTCCAGTCGTCAAGCCCCTCCTATCCCTATCGGCCCTAATTGCCTCTTTCAGCCGCTCAAACATGGGGAATTGCAGAGCCGTGAATGGAAGGTTCCTCCCCGCTAGTGCTGTATAGCCCCGCCATAGCGCTAGCGGATTCGATTTGAACTTTGCGAGCGTCTGAATCGTGGCATTTGTGGAAGAGCCTGCGGAGACCATTTGAGCGTTTTGCTTGATGACCTCGGCTGGAGTGAGTATCGCGCAGGATACCAGCTCTGCGATTGAAGACGCCGTCGCGTGTATCACCGGCGCAGGAACGAGGCCATTGGGGTGCGCAGATGTCGAAGGATTGATGTGCGTGAAGAAAGCTTTTGTCCGCTCGTAGGTCGTAAAAAATGCTCCTGCTGTTCAATGTTAGTCGCTGTCTCCTCTTTGTCGTCGCTCACTTGTGAATTGAGCGCTCAATGCTTAGGGTTGGTGGTGTTTACATGAAGGCAAAGTCGCTATGATGACACTCCCCACGCCCTGATACAAGCCACGGAACAACGCGGGATTCGGCTTCCCCGTCGCGACATTGGTATAAAACCTTGCATAGTCCGGGCTCTGAAATCTCGTTTTCAAAGTATCGAGTGGGTAGACAAGTAGATCGACAGAGAATGCTGCGACTGCGCCGGCCTAAAGGAATCATCAGCGCTCTATTCATTCTAGAATTAAAACAACCAGAAACAGAGATGTGCTGCAGTAGCTTACAAGAAGGATATCGGTATTCGTGTTACCGGACATCGATACCTCGAAATGTGATGTGTGGGAGTGCCATGATCTGAGCAGAACAGCGTTTTGAGGTCGGGAGGCGCGGTCCGAGGTCGGCTCCCAGATCAATGGACGGGCAACGTCACCATTGATAAGCGCACAATGCGCTATCACGTGTAGCAAAATTCACTGCGAAAAGCGGACGTAGTTCGGCGATTCGGGTATCTTATCTGATGTAAGATTGGTGGTTTCCTCGCATACGTCCACGCTGTGGTGAGACCTCTGCAACGATGCTTGATTTCGGTATAGCTTGATGACTGCTATGCGTTAGGAAAGATTAAGAGCCTACCCTCACAGTGTGGACATCTCCGGATATAACGACGCACGTAATAGCCACCCTGGAGGCCTTCCCAGGTGTGTAGGTAGATAGCACGTATAGTTAGCTGTACGAGCGATCTCGTTCGTACAGCGAGCCCTTGATCCGGAGAATCCTCTACCACAGGAGGCTTACAGCATGTGAAGACATTCTCAAGGCTCTGAAAATTCAGATTTACTCTCACAAAGCTCGCTGAATCCTTCCACGCACTCGTACGTTCTAGCAGCTTTCCGGAGGGATGCACGACGCTTGCAGTAGCCAGGCACAAAGTCGCCCGTCCCGCTCGCCTGTGAACTGCCTTTATGCAGGGTCATATTTATTCAGTCAGAAAAAGCCACTGGGGTCCGCGCGTGGGGTAGCCATCCTTCAGGCGCCTATCAGGAGATCACAATGCAGCATCCTCCCAGCCTCGCCTCGCCTCGTGTCTTCCCCGCTCGATGCATGTTGTTCTCGCCCCCCAACCTCTCGCCTTTCTCCAGAACATTGTTTGAGCAGCTGCCCAGAGTTCACCGCTTAGGACTGCCTGGCTAGCCGTCTTTACCGCCAGCCATTAAACATCCTTCTCTACATCCTTCAGCGCCTCAGACCACTTCCTCTCCGCGCCAATAATGGAATCCCCAGAGCCTGCCGGCCCCAGCACTCCAGCAGGCGACCACTCCGCCCGCTATCTCGAAGCTCCCATCAGTCTCGAAAGCCTCCGCACGCTCCTCGGCCTGCCCTCCGACCGCGAACGACTTCCGCCCCCGTCGCACCTCCCCCGCTGGTGGCCCACCTCTCTACGCCCGCAATACCACCCACTACCCGACCCCGAATCTAACATCGGCATCTACCCCAACATCCTGCACCAAGAGCGCATCGCCGCCCGCCACTACCGGCTATTCAAGTTTGTACAGTACGGCGGGCTGATCACGCAGCTATTGTTGTCTGCCCTGATAATCCTGCTCGCGGCCGTTCCGTGGAACCACCGTGTCGCGATTGCCGTGTTTGGTGCGCTGAATGGCGTTATAACGGGAGCTCTGGCGTTGATAGATGGGCAGGGGCTGCCGAGTAGGTTGGTGCAGTATAAAGATGGCTTGAGGGAGTTGAGGGAGAGAGTCGAGTGGTTGGAGAGGGAGCTTGAGGCGGGGATGAGAGAGGTCAGGTATGGCGAGGTTGTGGCATTGAGGGAGGCCTACCGCACCATGCGCGAAGACGAGTCGATCAATCGACCGGAATACTGGCTGAGTTTTAAAGGCCCGGATAAGCAGTAGGGTCTGGGAAGATCTTGAAGCCGCGGCTCTATGACCGACCGTTGTTCTCCATGTATTCCATGTCGGGGACGAGCGGACTGCCGTCGGATTCGGGTCAAAGCCACAGGTACCGGTAATGAATGCGGGGCTCTATTCTTGTCATACGGTCATCGGGCATCGACGGAATGGCGTGGATTGAGAAGTTTAGCCTGTCGTTTATGCTCTATACCTTGTCAGTCAGATTTAGTTATCTTAATTGAAGAATAATACATACTGGTTTGCCCCAAAAGCCCTTTTATGAAAAGAGTGAGTTCGATATCATCCAGAAAACACCGACCGGTAAACCCCAGCGTAGGTACGAGCCGCTTGCAATCTGGTCGGTACAAACAACATCCTGTAGGTGAGCAGAGCTGAGAACCAAGGCTCAATCGTCTGTGGACAATCAGAGCGCCGACGACCATAGAGGCTCCTCTGCGCATAACCATCAATGTAGGGAAACCTGGAGGAGTGAATGTACAGCGTGTCAAATAAGTCTTGATCTCGAGTATGAATTAGCTCTAAAAGAAATGATGCAATACCACCGTCGGCACACTAAGCTCCGACACAATCTGAGAGAGGTAAATGTTAGATATCATCCTCCAGCCCACGTTCCTTAATTGCCTAACATGCAGCAGTCGGCCCGCTCACAACTTCTTATTGGCGACCTTTGCAGCTTCCTCCTGTAGTTTCTTGATTGTGTCCTCTGACGCCTCCACTTCGCCTCGATCCGCCTTGACCTGCACAACTAGTCAGTACCCCGTGCCCCGTTGCCCAAAGCTCCATTGGGGCCTTATCGCGGGCTGGACAGGTGACGTACAATACTCTCGCTGTCCGATGCAAGGCTCTCCTCCCAATGGCCCTTGCCCTCCTTCTGCTTCTTCAGCAAATCCTCTTTCTTCTCCTGCACCTCCTCCCCACGTCCTTCGCTATCTATGCAACTCAATTAGTCCTCATTCAAAGCAATGGCAGAAGCTGCCACGAGTAGCCGGTCGGGCTTACGGAGATGTGTCTCTTTGCCTGCGGCGCGGACTATTGAGTAGTGGAAGCCTGCGCGCTTCGTAATGCTAGAAGAAACGAGCGGAGTGCGGCGAGCAGCTAGGGCGCGAAGGGCGGACATGCTTGCGGTACGGTCGTTGAGGAGCGATAACAGAAGCTTCGGTGATCGAAGGTCGGTCGAGCTCGTGCGGGGTCTGATGTGATCGCAAAATACGTCTCTGCAAACGCAAACGGAATGTGTCTTGCTCGCTCGGGTCTCTCTCAATTGAGTGGCTCCGAAAGGGTATTGCAAGTCAACGTAGCTGTGCAATGGCTGATGAGAGCCGGAGATGTAGCTGGGCAATGCTGTGAAGTTTTCCCTCGGCAAGCGCAATGTGCCCATGACGTCAGTTTCCCACGAGTTCACCATTACGTACAGCCATCGCCCATTTGGAACCCGGATATTTCAAAGCATGCTGGCGACGGACACAGTGGTGAGATATTTACAACATTGAATGGAGCTCTCCATAAAAGTAGCCGTGGGCGAGAAAGGGTGGTGTGGATTGGACAAGCTCCCGCGGCCGTCAGCTCTGCGGCTACAGCGGTAGAAGGGTTCCAGAATAAAGATGCATGATTTCTGGTCTGATTCCTGTAGTCATCCTTTGGAGATGCTCATTCGCATCGCTCCCACGAGTTCAGACAGGAATAATTGCGTGTTGTCCAGCTTGTAGCAGCTACGACAGCTCGCTGCCGCCCTCGGCGAAGCTTGCGGCGCAGGTGCGGAATGTGAAACTCACCAACGCTCCTCTGCGGCGAAGAGCGGGGAGCGTTGTCGCAAACATCACTTGGCATTCAGCTGAGAAGGAAGACGATCTTGAAGGTAGAGTTACGATTGCTTGTCCAAAACTCACTGCCCTCGACGCTGATCGAGGCGTGTAATTGTACGAGGAATCGCCCCAAAATAAAGGAGATAGAGCATCCAAAAGACATCCAAGAAGCTCGCAAGATTGCCCCTCCCTCAACCCTAGGGAATAAGAACCTCGTACAATGGAGAAGAAGAAATCCACACACGCTAGACGTGACTCATCCCAGCCGTACAGTATCAAGAGACAACCACAGAGATATGGAGATATGCAACCCAACCGATGACCCGACACCGCCGCTTCAATAAACTTTATCGCGCCGTGGTATACCAGCCTCCTGAACCCACACAAATGAAATCTACCCTTTGTAATGGCCCCATGACGGGCGGCCGGGTGACAATAAGTTAGACATCCAACGCTACAGAACACCTATATCTGTAACCGAGAATTTTCTGATAAGTCTTAAAACGTCGAGAGAACCCAAAATGCGACCCAGAACACCCATGTTTGCAGAATCGCCGTCAATGCGTAGCGCTGGATGACAGAAGACCAGAAGCGCTCTATTCGGAATGATGCTTTCGCTAGTGCAACGCCGTCGCCCGTTCCAAGTGGTATACCCAAGATGGTCGAAGGAGATATCGTAGATTTGTACAAGGAGAGTCGATAGTATAGACGTATGATCCTCCGGAGGATATCGGGAAGAAGAGTATTAGATCCTGGAGACACGCCAGATCAAAGCAAGAACTGCTTGGATCCACCATGTGGGGGTAGCCACTAGTCTAGCAACGAAGAGACACCGCAATACCAACCGAACAGATCGCCTAGCCTCGTGCCAGCCGGGCTTTTACCAGCGTCGGTACTGTTGCTGCATCTGTCGGTTGGGGGACACAGATGGGGGCGGGCTAGCAACAGCGCGCGTGGATGGGTCGACGATGGGAATGGCATTGCGGGTTCGTTGAGCTAGTGGCTGGTGGAGTTTTGTCTGCGACGAGTTGTTCGATTGGAAACCCGCCGGCGTGTAAGGATTGGGAGCAGAAGACAAGACGAAGGAAGGAGTCGGTTGGAGCTGATGCTGGAGCGGAGATTGTTCAGGGGAGCCGCTCGACAACGACGAGCGATCGGAGCCGGAAGAGTGAATAGATTGAAGCTGTTCGTCGTAAATCAGCGCCTGTTGTTGCGATGACATGGACGGGTGGCATATATCTGAGGGCGGAAGCGCAAGCGCACTTACATCGTCTTCCGTGAGCAGATGGAACGGGCAAAAGAGCTCGTCGTCCTCGAGATCGAACGACCTAGCAGCCTCGAAGTCGCGACGGAACGCGAGCATGGTTGGCGGCTCTACGACGAACTCCTTGGGTGTGCGTGCTTGACGGAACTGCTTGTGGTTCTGTGATGCCGAGAGCCGGGGCGCCCTCCGCGATCGGCCGCCATGGTGGTTGTGTGTATGGGCGTTAAGGTGCGATGCGTGGCTGTTATGTCCGTAGCTAAAGAACTGCGACATGATTACGGGCTAGGGAAGGGTCGGTTGACGGTGGATGAGATGAAAGGGCCGTCCAAGGTTGGCTCTGTTGATGAAGCTTGGTAAGCGGTGAGCGGTGAGCCAGCCTTTGTTTTGGTAGGTCGACGCAAAGGGGGAACAGTTCGTGGGATACAGCGCTTAAGGTCGCGGGAGAGCACGATGGCAGCGGAGGGGGCGAGCGAAGGGGGGAGAAGTCGGTATGTACGGAGGGATGTATCGTGATGTGAAGGTGGTCGGCGGAGACACAGGATGCTGGTGAGCGACGGAAGGTGGGCTGAGGGCTGCTGCCCTTTCAAATGCGACAGAGTGCGCACAGACCAGGGCAGGATCGCACGGACACTTAGCTGCACCCGCTGCGCTCTTTCGGCGGGCGCGCAGGCCAATGGCAGGCCCCGGTGTGGGCAAAAGTGGGCCGTGTTCGCCACCTCCGGCCCTTGAATCGCCTCCGTCGTGTGCCAGCGCGCCTTGGACGCCGCTGAGGGCCGGTGGGCATCAGTAGTGATCTCGTTCCTGGCCTCGGGACCGCCCACGAGCGCAGCAGTGACATGCGGCAGCCCCTCCACAGCGCTCTGGGTCTATTCAGAGCCCCAGAGGGCCGTGTCGAGAGGAGGCGAAGCACCAAACACTTCATGCGTGGCGGCTGGGGTAATTCCTGCCGGCCTTCTTGGCCAGCCACGCTACCATCGTGACCCCAATCACTGCGAGTGTCTCTTGACCGCCTCTCCGCCTGCAGGTGCGAGCCTCGCTGTCCCGCCAGGTGCTTTCCACCTACTAGCGAGTAAGCGTGTGGCTAGCACAACCCATTAATTCCCGATTTCTCTCGAATGCGCATCTCAAGTCCGGGAGCTGTCGAATGCGCTGGGGTAGCTGCTGCGGACAGCGCTAAAAGCAGAACACAGTGGCTGGACGACGGCCGACCGAGTCCCTTGCCGATAGCCTTTGCAAATCGTTTCTTGTTACAGCAACGGCGACTGTTCTGGAATCTGCGTTGTGCTGGTCCAACAACCGCAACTGGCCTTTGGCGCCCGTTGCGTGCGCGTGTGAGATCATGAAAGCGCCGGCCCACGCTGCTCGACCCAGCGATCTTCGAGACGCTGGCTGTGTCTGACAACCGCTCCCGTGGATTGCGAAGACCCTTCATGTGCCCTGCCAAAACGTCCCACTCCGTAGGGGCAGAATGCAACGCGCAACCAATGGCGCGGCCGCACGCAATGTCCCATATTTAGCAGATCCAAAACGCTGCGCTTGCTCGTGCCCTCGCGGCAGTTTCGTAGAGCGTCAAACTGCTCGTTGACAGGAAGCCAAGCGCCCTTGCATTGACGCTTGCGATCGCCTTGTCGCTCGCCCAAACATGTCAGCTCAGGCTCGGTCCACCGAGGAACTGCCTGGGGCAGCTGCTCATGCCGCGCAGGGTTACTCTATGTGAACACAGGCGAAATCGCTTCCCCACGGTCTTGGGGTATGTAGTGGCCCGCTTACTGTACTGCATTTAAGTGCTGAGCATAGTGGTCAGCACCCAAATTAACGAGCACAGCTGGTGGCGCGGGGGTGGTGGTATTGATCCTTCGCATTGCGCGCGAAACCAGAACAAAGGCAAGGTCGCCTGAGTATGGCGCAGTCCCGTCGACAGCCAGAGAAGAGCCGGAGACTGACGCAGAAACTTGATGCTTCTCCCATGCTCCCCCGTCGCATTTTGAGAACGTCCGTCTGATGCGGTAGTCCGCAATATCGGAACCCCGTCGCAATGTCATCATGGTCCTGCGGTTCCAATTGGAAACGCACCGGGAAATCCGAAGCTTACCGCGCTTGCTGTCCGAGGGAACATCGCCGCACCTGGCACGCACAGCAGCGCCAGGTTGACGCGAATTGATCTCCTCGACCTGTGGCCAGAAGTATCGGATACGGCCTCATGTTAACAACCACTCTCATTTGTCCAATCCTCTTGCTTTGACAAATTTAGCAATCTGATCTTTGCACGTCTTATCCGTGTAGGACTCCCATATCTCATAGAGCGAGATAAGCTCCTGAGTGCACTCGACGACGGCTTCAATATCGACTGTGCTTTCTGCCAGCCAGTCAACGAGCTTCTGCACCCTGTTTTGCGTGCCCTGGGCAGAACCACCGCGAGCATTGCCCAGAGTCTGGAGTGCATTAGCTACCCCTGCGGCATGCATCTGGAGACCACCCTGCGTGGGTTTGAGCACCACCGCAAGGAACATGGCAGTGATGGCGATCACATGAGGGGCGTGGAGAAGAGGAAGGTCCGTCAGATAATGGTCGTTGATGATTGACCAAGCCAACGCGTTTTCTTCTTGCGTTAGCTGGAACTGGGTCTGTAGCTCGGCAAGGCTGCGGTATGGGTGGTGAATGATGAGCTGTGAGTTCATCTCCGAGATGAGGGTGAATTCGCACTCGCCAATCTTCGAGACGTCGTTGAAGGATGTATCTACTTCGTTAGCCAGTCAAATATGCCTGGAGCTGAGCGGCAACGTACCCAAACAATGGCGAGCCTCCGCCAGCACCATCCTGATGTGCTGCGGGCATTCTTCCATTTTGCAAGCTAGATACAGAGCTGTTGCCAGAACTAAGGCAGGATTCGTACGTCGAATCTCTACTTTCAGATAGAATCGTCGGACGTAGATCTGAGCGGTGGCCAAGGCTTGCTGCCGGATGACTAGTGGTCTAGCCATCTTTGATAATTCTGGAGTCAAGTTAGCCGACGATTAGCAAGCTGCGGCGAACACCTACGATGATAGAAGTAGATGCTAAGATGTCGTCTGTCCGGAAGTGGGTACATGTTCACCAGGTTCCGTTCTGACTCTTCAAGCTTCTTCCGCTCCAGCGCCAGCTGCTGCTTGGTGAAGGTCCAGAACCTCCGCTGTGTCGAGTCCCAATAGCTGGAAGCCATCGTGCACGAGCGAGCTCCACCGTAGAAAACACTACTTGCTCGTCCGTTGCTCAAGTGCCTTCGGAAGCCGCCTTTTTGAGGCTAACGGATCCAAGTAATAAAGAATACGGAGAGGTAGCCAGGCATGTGACTTGCGAGTGAGACAGTGAAACTGATCTGCCACCGCGTCTTCAAGATGCTATTGATCTTAGCGGGCGGATCGGTGCCTTCGTTGGTGAGGGGTGAGGTGAGCGAGTTTCCGGAAGCCTGATCTTGCGCTGCCGAGATTCCGATACGGAGGGATTTGTACTCCGTGACTTTGGGGAAGGAATAACAAGTCTTGCCGCGAGGTAAAAGGTAAAGGAAGAGAAAAGAAATTTCAACTAGCGACCGAAGTTGATATTGTGGTCGGCCATGGTTGCCCTCCAGGCCCGGTCCGGCCCAGCTGGTCACGGCTAGCCTGTTTGGGACTGCTCAAGAAGCTTGAACAACATCATAGCGCCCCGCTGTCTTTCATCATCCCGCACGACGATACCTATGTGCCCGCTCCCCGCAGCCATTCTTCCACCAATTCACCTCGCCCGATCGCGCGCCGACTCCCCTCGCGTCTCGCAGACCCCAGCCATGATAGACCACAGATAGCGGGACGATGAACACAGAGACGGCGAACGCCCAGGATGCGCGCGTTGACGCACTATGGAAGACACTCGACACGCGGAAACAGGGGGCGCTGGACCTCGCAGCCCTTAAGAAAGGGCTGCGCAAGCTGGATCACCGTACGCCTTAACATTGTGTTCCTGCGCGCCGCGCACTGACAGACGGCAGCTCTGAAAAATGCGGATCAGCTCCTGGCCGAGGTGATGAAGGCGGTAGACACGGATGGAGACGGGCGGATCCAATACAACGGTCAGCTCTCGCGAATGGCTTTCACTCGAGCTTTGCTAACCTGCGCGCTCTCAAGAATTCCGTACCTTCGTCAGAGAGACCGAAAAGGAGCTGCTGGCGCTGTTCAACAGTATTGATTACAACCACGACGGCAAGATATCGAAGGAGGAACTCCGTGTCGCCTTCGGTCGTGCTGGGCTTGCGGTTCCCAACAGCAAACTGGATAGCTTCTTTGCAGAAGTTGACACCGATAGTGACGGGACTCTCAGCTTCGAGGAATGGCGGTAAGTCCTCGCGTGGTCGCTGGTCGCTTACAGTTTCCTCTCCACCCCTTCACCTTCACCAGTCTCCATGCCCTGCCCGCAGTGAAAGCTCAAGGCCAAGTTGCTAACAGAGTGCAGCGACTTCCTTCTTTTCATTCCCGCGGGCGCACCGAACCTCAGGGCTGTCTTAACCTACTTCCAAGCCTCAACTCACATTAACCCAGAGGGTGACGTCCTTATTAGCGACGACACTATCCATGGTCTAGGTATTGCACAAAAATTTCTTCACGCTCTCTTTGGATCTATTTTCCTCATAGCAAGAACCCCGCCCCACTCTTCTCCTTCGTCCGATTACATTGAATCGTTCCAAATGGTTTCGCCGGCCGAAGCTTCGCGTTCTGCGGTTTCGCAAACCCTCCCGCCACGTTACGATGTTGAGGACCTGCATGTTCCCATTGCCGAGGCCCAGAAAGGGCTTATTGAAGGCTTCAAATCCGTGCTGATTGCTTGTGTTCCCAATCCAGGCTATTTCGTGGCGGGAGGCGTTGCAGGAATTGTATCTCGCACCTCGACCGCTCCCCTCGACCGTCTCAAAGTCTACCTCATCGCCCAGACCAACGTTACCAAAGAGGCCGTCGCCGCTGCGAAATCAGGCAACGTATTTCGCGCAGCGCTCAATGCATGGCGGCCTCTTGCCGTAGCCACGAAGGAGCTATGGCAGGCCGGTGGCATGCGCAGTCTTTATGCTGGTAAGCTATAGCGATCGGTGCTGACAGCGGGATCAGCTGATCAGATGCAGGAAACGGTCTCAATGTGGTCAAGGTGATGCCGGAGTCAGCGATCAAGTTTGGATCTTATGAGGTACATATTCTCGGTTCTTAAACCCAAAAATATTTACATGTGCTAATTAATGAGTTCAGGCTGCCAAACGCGTCTTTGCCAAACTTGAAGGCCATAATGATCCCGCCATCATCCATTCCTGGTCGAAATTTGTAGCCGGTGGGCTTGCAGGTTAGTAGTTGACTGTACTCTCATCTTGAATATGCTGAATCATTGCAGGGATGGTGTCGCAATTCGCCGTCTATCCCATCGACACACTCAAATTGTAGGTTTTATTGACCCCAGCTAGCTCACTCCAAGCTAATCTCCTACAGTCGCATGCAGTGCGAAACGGTTTCCGGCGGACTGCACGGCAACCGGCTCATCATCGCTACCGCCAAGAAGATGTGGCGCACTGGTGGCTTCGTATCATACTATCGCGGCCTGCCAATGGGACTTTTCGGCATTTTTCCATATGCCGCCCTTGACCTCGGAACGTTCGAGTACCTCAAGCGGACTATTGCAGCCCGCACTGCCCGGAAACGAGGCTGCCACGAAGAGGACGCTCAACCAGGTGGCTTCGTCACCGCAGCCATTGGCGGGTTCTCTGGCGCCTTCGGAGCAAGCGCCGTGTATCCACTGAACCTCCTTCGAACCCGTCTTCAGAGCCAGGGCACTGTCCTCCATCCTCGGACCTATACTGGCATCATGGACGTCACCCGCCAGACACTCAAAGGTGAAGGCGTGAGAGGTCTGTTCAAGGGTCTTACACCGAACCTTCTGAAGGTTGTTCCAGCTGTATCTATTACCTACGTTGTCTACGACAAGTCAAAGAAGGCTCTAGGTCTCCGATGAGAGTCTCTCCAACGCCAGCGGAAGACCAGCACTACCCCCGGATCCTAATTCTATTCCTCCGACGGCAAAACCTAGACCATTCCTAGCATCCCTCCACGACATCCACCGCTATCCTATGCCGATTCGAGCGCCTCTCGAGCTTTTCGCTTTGCATATATATAGAGATACCCGTTTCCACTCATGCTCCAGCAGCGGGCCATGACGTTTTCGACACACAACTGCATTATACTACTTTCTGGCTTGGGGCCGGTCTTTTATCCATGATTGCATTAAGGACTTTGGAGCGTGGCGTTCAGATCAGGATAGATCATGAATCAATCGGGCAGCCTCGTACGATCTCTCGAAACAGCCAAAAGAAGTTGAGCTGAGAGGGATGTCGGCCGCGTGGAGTGTACTGTAAGCGACGAATCGAGAAGATTTGAAAGATGAAGGATCAACAGCATGTGAAAGGCGTAATGTGGTCCCATTCGTCTTGCCAGACCGCCTATGTGATAAAAAACAATGGCGTAGTAGATACGAGTAGTAACAGTGATGGCGAAGTGAGCCTACTCACGTAATACATATGAAACAGCGCTGAGCCTAAGAGAAAGCAGCAGTAACTGGGTGACGTACAAATGCCCAGCCATATCATACACGCTCCAAAACGCCAAATATGCTCCGATATCCCTACACCTCTTGGTTCTTCCCTTCTCTCTTTCTCGCTGCCCCAGCTCATTTCGTGATGACAATGAGCAGCACCAGGATAATGATCAGCACCACAATCACCGTCAGACTCCAATTCTCCTTCGCCTTCTTACTAAACCGATCCAACCTCCCTCTCGCTCTTCGGAACTGCGCCTGGTGTCGATCAACCCCTTCTTCCATCTCGTCTAGCAACAACGCGTGTCCGTCTAGCTCATCTCCAATCTGCATACCGAGTTCCCGCTGCCGGCCGATGCTCTGGCCGAGCCGATCCAGCTGGTCATCTTGCTCGCGGATGACTTGGCTGTGGTACTCGTGGATCTGCTGGTTCGACATGTCGCTTTGATCAGGGCCGGAGTCTTCGGAGGGGTCGTCGCGATAGGGGAAGAGGGCTGCGCGGTTGGGGTCATCGTCGGCGGGGGCGGCGTTTCGGAAGGTAGAGGGGTCGTCTGTGAAGCGGACGGATTTCGAGACTTGGCGCGGTTTCTTCTGGGCGGCGGCGAAGTCGGAGGTGAGGGAGGGGTTGTTGGGTTGGGTGACGGTGGGAGAGGTAGGCGAGTTGGAGGTGCTCGAGGTGAATTGTGAGGTTAGGTCGGCGAGTTGGGAGCGCAGGCGGGGGAGCTGGGATGTAATGGATCTGGGGGGTGTTAGAATGCGGGAGTATATAGGCAATGGGCATAAAGGAGACATACTCGTCCTCGTTGTCTGCCACCTGCGACTCGAGAGACTCGATGCCTGAGCGGAACTGCTCCAGCGACCGCGATATCTGGCCATCTTGCGTATTTGGCGAGAGGTTGAGGGAGATTGCTCGCTGTCTCTCAAGCAGGGAGAGCTTGATGTGGTCCGCAAGGAGAAACAGCTGCGGTGGATTCGTCGTCGACATCGCGGCGGCGGTGATTGTGGAGGGAGGGATGTGTGGTCTAGGCGGAGGTGATTGCGGAGGTGGAGGTGGAGTACCGAAAACGGGCAAGAGCGAGCACAAGTGAGAGACAGAAGGAGCGACGTGGAGCCTAGGAGAGCAAACAGTGGAGGTACAGGACTACATGCAACAGAGAGTATGTGCACCTGCGTCGAGATTCACCGGGGATTGGTGAGGTGCGAGAGGTTCCGATGCCGACTGACGCCAGCCCTGCACCAAGGCAGGGCAGGTGCCTCGTGCTTGGCTCGGGCCAACTTCCGAGCCTCAGCGTGCGGAGCACCTGGAAGTCGCCGCATACCTTTCATGTTTCTCTGTCATACACAACAAAATAAGCAAATGACTATTTAATCAGCGGCCTCCCTGCCGTCGCTCTGGAGCATACCAGGGCGACCACCAACCCGACTATCCCATTACACCCTCCGAGAGGGCCCCCACAGCTGGCGTACGCCACGGACGAAGCTGGCGCAGCTCAGATATCTGATCCCGCTCCTCGACCTCTTTGACAGAGCAAAACACACTGCTGCAGCCTAGTTTGACTTGTCTTGGACATCGTTGTCCGTCATGTCGTCGCCGGAGCCTATCCCGCCGCCCAACGACCGCCGAAGCTCGAGAGCCTCCAGCGAAGCAGGCACCACCGTCCCCTCGCAGCCATCTGACCTGCTCGTAGTCGGTGGACCTCCCAGGGCGGACCCTTCTCCCTTGGCGCTTCGAGCTTCCAACTCCCCGTCTTCAAAGCGCCGTAAGAGTCGCGCGGCCAAAGTCCCGCCCGACGTCCATCTCCTCGAATACGTGTCGACGACCATCGATAACAATCTCATTTGCCTTATCTGCCATACGCCATTTGACAAGCCTGTTCAGCTCGCCTGCGAGCACTACTTTTGCCGAGAATGTTTGGATCATGCCTGGCAGGCCCAGCAGGACGGCCGCAAGACGTGCCCTACGTGTCGGAGCACGATTGATGCAGAGAAGGACCCTCGGCCGGTGCCGAAAATCATACAGACTATGCTAGACGAGCTCATGGTCAAGTGTCCAAATGGCAAGTTCGGCTGCGCCTGGGTGAACCAGCGGGTCAATGTCCACGACCATGTCATGCTGTACTGCGAGTACACGCTTGTGGAATGCCCTTCGTACGATTGCCGGCACAGCATTTCCCAGAAGGACTTCCACAAGGGCTGCTTGCACTACACTGTGAGCTGCGAGGACTGTCACACCTCCATGATGAAGAAGGATCTTGAGGTATGTAATACCGTTTTAGCGTGCGTCAAAAGGTTCCTGACATGTGGTTTGTAGGAGCACCAGAGAACCACCTGTCCGAACCGGGCTACGACGTGCCCTCATTGCTCAAACGAGGTTCTGCGAGTCGATCTCAAAACGCACATCAAGGACGTTTGCGGCAGGGTCGTCGTTCCATGCTCGGGCGCAATAGTAGGCTGTGCCTTTACCGCTGAGCGGACAGAGGTTGTAAATCACGAAAAGAGCTGCCCCATGGCAACCATGGCGCCCCATTTTCGGGAGCAGCAAGCCCGAATTGAGAGGAACGAAGCACGGCTGGAGCCTTTGGCCAGGAAGGTTGGCATACTTGAAGACGGACTCTCGAATATCACGGACATGCTCTATCCAGCCAACGCGAACGACTCGTCCTTCCCCGTCACCAACCCCTTGGATCCCAACAACTCCGAATCCTTCCCACCAGCAAGCCTTATTCCTACACCGGATTTCCGCTTACCCCCGGCCTCATTTCCACCCGTTCCACCAAACAACGACCCCTCTCAAACACCCTTCAACAACCCCACCCAGCCTCCCTTCGACTCGCAAGTCCACCACCTCCTCACGCTGCACGACTCTCTCCGCGAGGAAGTATCCCGCATCGCCAACGCCCTAACCGAGCTCGAAGGCCGCACCAACATGATGGTCATCAACGAAAGCCAGCGCGTAAAGGACGAGATGCTACACACCAACGCCGCCATCAACGGGATGCGCATGCAGTTGCATTGGCTGATGAGTGCAACATTGCACCAACGGAACACATCTAGTAGCTCAACGGCCAGAGCGGGCGCGAGCACAAGCGCGAGCGCAAGTGGCAGCAGCGCGACGCAAGGGGCTAGCGGGAGTTTGGGTAGCAGGTCAGGGGCGAGTGGAACGTTGCATGCGCCGATGCGTAGGCTGAGCGATTCAACGAGGCAGGACACGAAGCTGTGAGGCACACGACGCTCGCTTGCTGTTCCGAGTTGGAAGGATTGTTCCAGCAGAGCTAGGAAACGAAAAGTGCTTCTTTCGAAGTATCATCGCAGGGCGATTTTACGACAGCATCATCTAACGCAAATTGCTTTCACGATTGGCGTTTTCGGCGAGCCGAGCATTGGGATCTATGGGAATCTGTCGGCTGGATACAGGAGTTCATGGTCTAGACGTGGAAAGCTCATGGAAATACCCCATTTACTTACCATGATATAATAAGAAGGGTAGCTACGGACGAGTTTGCGTCAATGGCGTAGGTGCAGGAAGTGACTGGTAGGTAGCGTGGTCCATGGCAATACAGCTAGCTAGCTAGTGTTAGATACCTCACAGAATGGATCATGTAGTATATCTCCACTGGGGCCGCATGTCAAGTTTGACTCCTAGCACGCGTCATTTTGTAGTTCGAGATATGGGATGCGTACGTTAGGTATCTTAATTCCAGGCTGTCTGCAGCACTTGTCTATAAGTGTCAACTGGTGGCTCTGACTTCCTCGAGGAAGCAGTATTCTTCATCCGCCAGAGGCCGATCGACCCGTCGTTTCGTTTTTGCTTTCCTTCTTCAACTTGAAGGTAAATCCGAGTGCATCGGCTAGCATTCCTTCATCATCCGCCTTCTCGATCGGACTTCGAAGGGATTCGCCTCTCGTTGTCTTGCGACACAGGGCCCTAGACCGACGGATCTTTAGCGCTAATTGCGCAGGGCGGTGGGGTCCTTCCTCTTGCGCTGGGGGCGATAGGTAGCCGTGCCTCCTTCTCGGAGGTGGAGTTATGTGTATCTCGGCGGTCGTTCCCAGGAGGTCTTTGATATCTTCACCTCCCTCTTGCTCTGCCTCTGCCTCTTCCCCGCCCACCTCCCCTCCCTCGTCCACCTTTCCCTCGCGGCCCCCTGCTCGTCTGCTCATACACTTTCTCTTCGCTGAACGGGCAGTCCGCCACTCGAATATAACTCGGAATCCCATTATCCACAACCGCGAGGATTACATTCCGCCTCCCATGCTTCAACTTCTGATATATCTGACCCGTACCCTTAGGCGGATCATCCGGCACCGTAGCCATTAAATCATTCAGCTGCGCGCCTGTCGGGATAGATGTCTCCCGCGCGTTGATGACGCAGATGCGGAAATCGGGCGATGGACGCTTCGCTTTGCGGAATCTTTGCGACCCGGCCGTTTTCCAGACATCGAAGTGCAGGCGGAAAGGATTGTCAGAAGATGAAGGGAGCAGGAATTGAGGGGGAGAGGTGCGGTCGTGCGTCGGGATTATTTGGAGGAGGCGGTAGATGTCGGCGTAGGTTCTGAAGAGGCCGGGTTTTATGAGGGGCCCGAAGGCGAGGTTTTGCGAGGGGATGATGTGGGAAGGCGTGCTGATGCGGCGCCAGAGTTCGGCGAAGAAGTGGCTTAGGTATCCGGTTTTGGGTTTCTCCTCCTCTTTTTGGGCGAGAGGTTGGATGGGTGCTCTGTCGTCGTCCCAGCTTCCGTGTCGGAAAACAACGTATCCCGACCTCTTCAACCCAGCGTAAACTGTGTACATCTCCAGGGTCAGCTTGCCACCCACACCGCCCTCAAACCCTATGAACGCCGCATAGGCTCCTTGTAGACTCATGGGCGCGCCGACCTCAGCTCCCTCCCCATCTTCAAGGTCCACAGGCCATCTGCAATCCATGCTGCCCCGCTCAATCAAGAACAGCGCTTCTTCAGGCAGCAGCCACTCCTTCCCGCCCTTCGCGCGTCCAATTGTTAGAAAATGCTGCGTCTTGACCTTCTCCACATATGCCATATTCGTCTCGGGGTGGTACATGCCCAGGATGTGATTCTTCTGCGTGTGCGTACGAGGGATCGAAAGGACGCGGTGCATAGCCTGTCGCGAGGCTTCGAGGGTCTCGAGCTGCAAGTTCGTGGAGTGCGATTCGAAGTCCTTCTCGCCTCGTTTGGGGAGCGAGAGCGAGCTGGTATCATGGTGGGCTAATTTGTCCAGGAAGCGGAAATCTTGGGTTTCTTCGTCGAGGTCGATGTCGGCGGCTTCCGGGGCGCGCAGATGCGAGAGGTCTTCGTCTTCGTCGGCCATTGTGAGGGGCAATTGTGCCGTTGTTTAAGTCTGGAAAGGGTGTGAGTGTTGGTGTTGGTGGGGTTGAGAAAGTTGGAGCTATGACTCTGCTGCTCGGGTAAAATTGCCTTTAGAGAAGGTTGCGGAGGAGCAGGGACTTTCAGCAGTCCGTAGACCATCACTTGCAGTTCTCAGTTAAACGTCCATGCGACATATACTGCAGTATTGCATATCCGTAGCTCTATAAAACTATCGCGTTCTTCACCTTCTCCGCTTCCCTCGTTTCCTCCAGAGTAGCAGCCTCCCGCAGCCATCTCTCGCCCTCCCACCTCTCCCAAGGCGTCTTCTCCACAGTCTCTCCCCAGTCAACTCTCCGTGGTGGGTAATAAAGTCCCATCTTCCACATTCTCACCTTCTCCATCACCTGTTGGGCCCGAGCCGTGTCCCCTTCCTCCCTGTCAATCCTCTGCTTCTCCTTGAACTCCTCCATAGTCTTCCTTTGCTTCGCTGCTTCCTCTTTGGACTGGGACCATGTGTCTTTCTTATCGTTCTTCCTAGGTTTCCAGTTACTATCATATCCGCTGTCTCCCTCAGGGGCTTCCATCTCCTCCAGTATACCTAACCTAAGCCTCTCAGTCTCCTCGGCGAGGGCCTTCTTCTCGTCCATGAGCGTCTCAATCTTCCGATACGCAGTCTCTCTATCTCCCTTAACCCTCGCCAGCATATCCTTCACGTCAGTCAACTGCCTCTCTACATCCTTAATCTTCCTCTGCAAGCCTTCCATGGCCCACCAGTCAGGATCGTTCTCTGGCATGCAGTCGTGGTAGTCTTTGATGTACTTCAGCATCTCTTCCTTTTGCATCTCGAGCTGGCTTTCGAGGTGACTGCGGTGCTTCTCGCATATCGCTTCCTTGGCTGTGTATTCGGTTTCCCAGTGCAGGGCTTGTTCCTGCCACTTCTGAGCTTGTTCTTTCATCAGGTTGCCGTGGTCTCGACAATCGGAAAGTCTGCTGCGCAACTCCTTGTTCTCGTGCCGTAACTCCGGGACCGTCTGGTACAGCTCCTTCACTTTTGTCTTCAACCTCTCACAGGTTGCCTTCAGCCTTTTGTGCCTCATTTTCTCGTTCTCATATAGCGGCTTCCACTTCAAATGCTGTTCATCCGTCATCTCGAGCTCCTCTTCCCGCTCCTTCTCTGCCTGCCGCAGTTGCTTCTCGGATTCCTGCATTTCCTTGTGGTACGGGGCAATCAGTCCTTTCACGTTGCTCAGCATCTCCATGTACTGATCTAGCAGCTTCCTTATCGACACGCGGATCATGACTATGCGCTTAGATTCGCCCTCGTCACTGGTATCAAGGATGTCTCTATACGCCTCGATGTCCCTAGTATTTCCGCGCATCGTCTGCCGAATCGTATCGATGTCTGCTTGGAGCTGCTGAATTGAGCCCGCATACGAATCCGAAGCCTCGTTTGTCGCTTCAGAGTTTGGCACGCCTTTCTCTACATCAGAAATCGCTATCTGGTAATCCTTGGTATCTCTTTCCAGGCACTTTATCTTCTCCTCCGCAGTCTCGCGAAGCGCTTTCTCCGCATCAACTAAGGCTTGCGCTTCAGCACACTGCTGTTCGAGCCACTTGACATGGTCTATGAGTTCTCCTTCCTCCTTCTCCAGACGCTCCTTCGCTGGCTTTGTGATGTCTAGGTCGTGCTGGAGTTTCTGTCTGGCTTCCTCAACGGAGGAAAGGCTCGTCTCTAAGGTGTTCTCCGAGTCGTTTGACTGACGTAATTGTTCTTCTAGTTCGGTGGTGCGCAATTCTGCTCGAGCGTTGGCTTCTTGCATCTCTTTCCGAACTGCGCTCTCGGAGGCCCTCGCTTGAACCAAGTGTTGTTCGAGATCTCGAATCCGTTGTGCTTGGCCCGTAATCATCTTCTGATCCTCGTTCATTGCGGCCGGTTCATCCGTTCCTCTCATGGGACGTTTCATCTCTGCAAGCTCACCTTCCGCAAAGTTCTTCGCTTCCTTCTCCCTTACAAGCTCATCTTGCAAACTCCGTATCAGACCTCGTAACTCTATCAACTCCGCCTCCTTGGCTCTCAGCACATCCTCGTGCTCTCGCTGGATTTGCTTGACCTTGAGTTCATACATGTTCCAGGCCTCCTGCTCGCTATTTTTCAATCGCTCAATGTCTTTAGTTAGCTCTCTGATTCTCGTTTCGCACCGCTCCACTGGCTGCGGCTGCGGCCTGAACTCGTCTTCCAGGGTTGCTGTGTCGGCTTGCACCCGGGACGTTAGCCCTGCTACGTCTTCGGATGTTTTAATAGCTGGGAGCACGCTGTTACGCTTCCTCATCAATGAGTTCGCGCTATTTGGTCTACCGTTATCCTGCGAAGACGTTCCCGATGCCAACGATGTGTATCTGCGTCCGACGTACGGAGATTTCTCAATCCGCGTCTCGACTCTCCCAGTAATCGAGTGAGACCGCTTCAACGTATCTGGCGCCTCACTCCGCGCTCTAGAAACCTGCCTACTCAACGGGCCCAGCCACGAGCCCTGCCGCGAAACAGGTCGACTGGGCGACGTGCTGCTAGGAAGCCGTTCCTTCGGCGTTAACGGTTGTGTGCTACCTGGCTTTGGCGGATGACCCGGGGGAAGATCAACTTTGCTACTTTGCTTCATCATGGAGGCTTTGGTCGGCCGCAGATAATGTTTGAAGTCCTTTTGCGTGCCGACGCTTCTTTGCTGGTTGAGTAATGCGGAAATGTCGTCTAGATTCCCCCCGTACGATCTTTGCAGGAAAGTTTGTTGGACCATGGGGCTTATCATTTCGTAGATTCGCACGGCGAGCTCCTCGTCGTTTGGGATCGCTGCCATTAACATGCTCAATGCGTCTTTTAGGAGAACTTGAGCACCTCCTTCGGAGGACTCTGCATCGGATTCTTCTTCTGTTTCTCCTAGTGCTATGGAGGTGGGTGGATGTTTCAGTGTGCTATCGAATGCTTCTTCATTGTCGCTGTCTTCTCCGTTCGATGTATGTTCTCCAGGGCTGTCGGTGTCAGTTAGGCTGGCCGGTTTACTTTCGTGGGAAATCTCGCCATCCGAGCTGTTGTCACTACAGAAGGATGCGCCATAGTCCTGATCATACGATGCAGGGTTCTCGTCTATGTTGGACAAGGGCCGCCTTCCGCCTCTGCTGACTTCACTCCGGCTCGGGGGCATTGGGAACGAAGGCGGTCGCCGTGGATTTTGGTTAGGTGGGGACATGGCGTGCACGCATTCAGAATCTCACAGTGTGCTAGGAGATCTTAGACGAGAGTGACTGTATGATGTCTCGAAGCACGGTGCAAAAGCATTATTCGCTGGAAAGTGTCAATATCGTTACGTCTAGAGAAGGGGACATTCATTCATCCAGCCCCAAGCTGTCGCATGAAGTTTCATCCCTCTTTCAAAGCTATTGTTAGGAAGTGATGCCTCTTGTCCCAAACCGTGAGCCGCCAAGGCAACAAAGAAGCACGTTCCTACTCTTTGTCGCTTACTACTAGAGCATTCTCTCTCGGTACCGTCCCCATGGCTTATTTGTCTCCACTGCCCAAGGCGCTACACGGCAAGATCCATGCCCCTTGCCGCCATCATCCCTCACCTCACCCCACTAAGCCCCCCTCCCGCCGCCCTAACCCTCCCCCCTCACTTCCTCTTGGCGGCCTCAATATTCGCCGATCTTCCCCAGGCACTCCCCTCACCTTCGGGAAATAGTACTTCCCAAACCATCTATTCCTACCCACAGCATACCCGCTTGTCACAGGCGTCCTATCCAGCATGCCCTTCATCCAAGCCTTATAGTCTGCATCCGCCTTGAGCATCTCGTATGCAATGCCGAGCGGGAACAGGAAGAAGAGATTGCTACCGCGGCTCTTTTCGGGCGCGTGCATTTGGAATTCGAAGGCGCGGCATATTTCGATGGCGAGGTCCCGTAGCGTATCCACGTCGTCGGGGAGGAGGAGCGCTCCGCGGGGATGCGTGGACAGCGGGAAGGATGTTGCTGTAGCGGCGAGGAAGGCGGTCTGCTGGGCGATGGTGGTGTCTGCTGCGGTGGTGGTGAGATCAGAGAGGGGCTCGATCAGGCCTAGGAGAAAGAGCTGGATGGCGTTGTAGAGCAGTATCTCGGCGGCGTTTTCGTGGCTCCCGCGGAAGTGTAATCGGCGAGCAATAACTCGTGTCTTCGCTTCCGCCGCTGTGGGTTTAGTCTCGTATGCCGCGTCCGGATTGAGAAGCTCCCAGGTGTAGCGCCAGCAGTAGAGGAAGAAGAGAGTTGCTTTCACGCGCTCGAGATGCGCCAAGCGAGCCGATGGGTCGTCATTATTGTGCTGTAACTCGCCGGCGCGGAAGAGCAGGCCGGGGATGTCGACGAGGATGTCTGTGAGGTGGTTTTGCTGGCTTTTTGACGCCGGGTCGAGGGCCCAGGGGATGGTTTTCCACTCCTCGGAGGCCAGAAAGAGGGGTTGGCGGGCGAGGATGAAGGACGTCGCCTGAGGCATAATTAGTAGATGAGTAAACATATGGGTGGAAGGTGATTACTAGAGTAGCTCCAGCGGACTCGAACGCCCTACGCACTGGAACATTCTGAAAGCGGAAGGGTCCCGCGACCTGCAGCAGCATGATAAGCCCCTTTACATGCGAGACTGCGGCCGCTTGATCTTCTTCGTATGACTACAACTACCGTCAGCACCTCTGTAAACCAAGCCAAACCAAACCACTTTACTAACTCGCAAAGAAAGTTGACTTACAGCATGCATCAACAGCACCAGCACCGGGATTATCATCCTCTCCACCCCCTCCCCGCTCGGCTCCGCCAATCTCATCCGCAACTGTGCAAGTACCTTCCCATAATGCAAACAAGCCTGTAACTGAATATCCTCCTTATGATGGAAGATGCCAAAGAAGATGCCCGACAGCGCCCGCACAGCCTGCGTGCTCAACTGATCGAGCAGCTCCTGCGCTGCCGGTTCCAACCAGCCGTTCCCGTACGTCTTCCACACGAAATTGTGCAGCATAAACGCGGTGCAGACTTCGGATTGGAAGGCTGCCAGGCTGAGCTCCATGGGCAGCTCGGCAGTGCGTATCCGGGGCACGACTCTGACGGGCGTGTTACCGACGAGTTGGATTGGTGCGGATGATTGGTTTGATGTGGGCTGATTGAAGGGCGCGGTTGATGTGTTAATGAACTGTAATCCGGTACTGTAACCAGCACATGCGTAACCGCTCTTCTTGCACCTCTCGCACGTCGGCTTGCCCTCGTCTAGAGCCGGCTCATTGTCAGTCAAAACCCAGTTAGTGAGATGCTTTGGGTCTGTAAATACCACACTTGATCCTCCTCTTCTTGCACGTTCTGCATGCTTTCGACTTGCCCGCGACACCAACCATATCGTAGTCGTGTGCACCTCGAAAGATGTTGCCGAAAGAGGAATGGTCGGTCTAGGCAATGAGCACGGGTGCGCGAGAGGAGAAGGTCAAGAGAATGAGAAGTAGAGGGTTGGGTCACGTGGAGTGAGACGAACCCCTGCATCGCAGGGTGAGTGGTTGGATAGATTGTATGGCTAGCCGCTTTGGGGTAGCCGGAGGATATCCGCGTTCAACCTCACTTCAGTGGAGATGATTCCGGCGTGAGGATAGTGACAACAACCGTCTGGATACAATCTGGTAGTTTCTGAATACCAGTCGTAAAAGGGCGTAGGAAGGAACTATTCGCCAATATCTTGCACGAAGACCACCTTCGTCAAGGCACATATCGAGTGCTACGAGCATTGAATGTCCACCGATACGGGAAAAGCTGAACGGTACGTTGAAGAGAAAACAAATTCGAAACACATGTATGCAACGCTAGGCTGCGGGGCGGCGGGCCGGGGTCAAAGCTTCGAACGGCTGAGGTGCAAAGATATGCCCCTTCGCAGCTCTGCTTTAGAATCTTGCCATGACATCCGACGGTGTGTCCGACCTTGCGGATAGACGAGTGAGGCTTACCTTGCGGCTCAATCCTGTATATGTATCTCAGCCGTCTGGGGCGTGGTTCGGTTCGGAAATAGCCTCCCTCGGGATCTCACTCCTAATTCTCCGTATCTGTGCGCCCTGGTGGGTGGGCATTTGGGAGTCGAGATCGACAAGATCAGACCACACGTGCATATGCAAGCCAGATCCATATGCTGCCATATTCCTGTTGGAGTTACCCTCAGTGCGGCGCGGTGCTGACACAACCACAGCCGTTGAGCCACCAACGCGCCGCACTAGCGTTCCAAACCTTTATTCCAACCTACCCATATGTAGTATACGTTAGCCCCCTAGGCAGGGAAGAAAAAGCGAATATCCTGGTGCGCAATGTACGCATTGACTTTCGTAGAATCATGGTTGGCACTATGCGGGATGGCACTCTGCGGGACAGCCGCTCGGCGATAGACGACGTAAATCCGGGGTGAGCGAGCGAAGGCCGGTCAAGAGAATGGTTCGGCTCGGCAGGGGGTGCAATGCGCAGGCTGGACTGGGATTCCCGTGATGGTTCCGACCATGGTTAAGCAGTTCGTGATGTGGAGATGCTAGGCCCAGCCCCCCGAAAAGACGAGCGGTTTACGTACCACTCGAGCATCCGTGGAATTGATATCAGGATATCTTCATTGGCCAAGACGAAGGAGTCCCGTAGAAATGGACAGAGATGGCGAGCAGTGCGGAGCCGCCAGGGGCGCGGAGAGGACTGCTGCCGGCGACAGCAGACGTAATGAAGGGAGGCGCCAACGAAAGCTAGATGACTAGGTCAATGCCGGAAGGTATCATTCTATCGGGAATTATGAGGACGTACGAGCAAATGTCGCGAGATGGACTCATGCACGCTCAGGTGTCTGTGATGTTGCTCAACTGGGCGATCGATGGACTGGTGCACTGGAGATGTATAGTGGTAGTGGTAGTTTCTGATCGCAGCGGCTTCTGGGTAGCTTCTCAATGTCAAGTGCATAAACCACGTTTCCCAGAAGTAGATATTACTTAAGTGCCACCTAGGTCGACCGTAACCCCCTTGTAACCCCTTTGAAGCTATGGTGCTGTCGTTTTGAGGGCACTATTATGGGGTTCATCGGAACCGAAGCCCTACCCGCCCAGCGAAGCATCGTGATATTGATGTGTTTGCCTTATGCTTAGGGCGCTCCGGTCAACACCGTTGCCGCTGTTCACCCCACGGAGCAAAACAGCCCCTGATTCAGACCCGCAATCAGGGCAAGCGATGGAGTGGCAACCGTCTCATTCCTCGCTTGCCCAATCCAATCATTTGTCGCGGCTCTCAACCTTGGTTACACAACGTCGAAACAGTGTTTGGTTGTCATCCCATTCGGGTCATAGCGTGCATTCCTAAGGCAGGGCCGGACAGGGAAAAGCACCCGGGACGCATATTGGAATGATCGGCCGGAAGCAACCGAGCTTTGGCTGCATGCGACGGGCATGACGCTGTGCCATGACGAGCGCGGCATCGCGGACTGTAACGGGTTTCCAAGGTGTGTTAGCCTACCATGACGGGGATGCCGAACACCGAAGACGCTCTGGATGAGCTCTAGAAACATGAAAGCAATTTCCAAGCCGAAGATCTCGACGCGTACTGGTGAGAACGATTATCGTCTAAAATGCGGTGAAATGAGACGAGGACGTCGCGACGGGAGGGGCAGCGCAGCCGGGCCGGGTATTGCCTGCATCGGACTCACTGACTGCAGGTCAAAGATGTTGGGTATGCTGGGTATGTCGCGCCAGCCGTGCAAGTAGGTGACAATAAGCTGTTACAGGTAGTCAATTTAGACTCTCTTAAAGGTGCTCTGGTGCGGTGACCTCAGATCTGAGGTACCATCCTCATCAGAGCCTTGCCACGATTATCCAGCGTGGTGACCTGACAGCGATGCGGTTACCCGCTGCAAAAAGGACGCTTGGGCCAGGCTGGACATCCATGGGGGGACACGCTGCGTTCGACTGGCTGAAGAGTAAGACAGTAGTCGTGCTAGTCCCTTCCTGTTGGCTTCGGATGGGCAGATGTGGTCCCCAGCGAATGGGAGGAATGTGGGTCTCGAATTTGGTGCGACGGCGCACTCTCTCAGTGCGCACGCCAACGGCTAAGGCTACAGCAGGGCTTGCAACTTGCCCTGAAGGGTCTGGAGTCCACATGACTACCATGGGTGATTGGACGGGCCTGGCAAGATCGGCAGACAGCCACAGCTGGGCATGGAGCTCGCAGTCGCTTTCTCTCCCGTCAGGGCCGAATGAAATAAGACCTGACGGCGGGGGGGATCGTGGCGCTCATCGGCCATTGCTTCTCCCGGGAAGGTATGGGCAGCCGTTTTCAACCAACCGTTTCGAGCGAGGTCTGATACCTCGGACTCAGGAACGATGGAAGGCCCCGCGGATTAGCCTCTTATCTTCACACACACATCTGCCTCGACAGAGTGTTCCATTCCAAAAGCAGCGTTGGTTACCAAATGTGGCAAGCTCCAGAAGCCATCACGGATCCGGTGTTCTTTGTCCGTCTTCAGCGACCAGGTGAGCTACAGTCTACGTGAGCAGTCGGCCTCGAGCCTCAGCAGTCGCTACAAATACCTCTTGGGGACTCAGGTCAACAGACAAAGAACTGCTGCCCATCGATTCGCCTCCTCGCGACTCCCAAAGTGGGACCCCTTCGACAAAGAAACGCGCGAGCCCATCAAATCTCAGACACTCCACGTTCTGTCTGAGGTCAACTCCTGCGTCTCCCTACCATTTGGATTGATTGCCTGAGTACCAAGGAATGCGCCGGTGAGAAGCGGGTATCTGCAACAGGTTCGTCGCTGAACTCTTTGCGAACTGCCGTGCATAATTGCGGCGGAAGCAAACCCATCATATGCAGCAACGTACTATGTCCCCTTACTGACACATGTTCAGGAACACAAGTGGCCCGAAACATTCGTCCTAAAAGCCTTCCAGAAGCGCGATAGAATCGGTTCTTCGCGTAACAGTAGCGGACTCCTGCGGGTCTATCTTTCGCCGTAGAGCAGAACTCGCCACCGCCTACAGAGCGTTTGATATCCGTTGCTTTTCTTCCTCAGCTGTTCTTTGAGGATAGATCATTCCGGTCGCCAATCGTTTCGCATTGAGTCCGGAAGTTGAAATCGAGATTGCATCGTTAGAGCATCGCCACACTTTCGTGCCGTTGAATCCGTGCGCCGGCGCGCTTCATCGCTATGAAGGCTGAGACTCTCGTCCAGCACCACCCTCCTACCCCACCCAATGCTAGCATCGAGCTTCAACCAGGCTTTCACCAGATCGCACCATACAATGTCGACCGCAATTACGCATACAATGAACCCCAATCGCTAGGGACATATGGATCTCCAGGAGCTGCGGTGCCCGAGGGACTCTCCCACCACTCGTCGCAGGTTGACAGTCAGTCTGGCGCAGGATTTGGATTAGGTATCCAATATGTAAGGAAAGCCATCCCCGTTAACCGACACATTCAGCTAACGAATCCCCAGGATGGATACAGCGAAGACCCGGCATACTACCAGGAAGGGCAATACAACGGGTTGCCGGTGAGTAGAGCTTCGTATGGAGGGCAAAGCCCGGGTACTGACGAAGAAAAGACCGACCAGACGATGCTCTCGGGATCACCGCCGACACCGCGATCCGCGACCGATCACGACGATTCCGGTAGACGAACCCGAAGTGGCCGGACTATTGCACCATCCAGCTCACCCCCGGAAGCAGAGAAGCCACGCCCCAAAGCCACTCCGAAATCAAAGAAGTCCAAAGCCGGCAAAAGCGAGAAACCGAAGACGCCGAAGCTGACTGCTCCACTAAGTATCTTGACGAAAAACATGACCGCTATACCGGTCAAAAACATGGAGGAATGGGTGAACAGGCCGGCAGAGGTGAGAAGGAGAGAAGTTGAAAAGCGCAATGGATACGTGACCAGGCCCATGAACTCTTTCATGTTATACCGGTCCGCGTATGCCGAACGAACCAAGCAGTGGTGCCTTCAAAACAACCATCAAGTCGTGTCCTCTGTCTCAGGGGAAAGCTGGCCGCTTGAGCCTCCCGAAATCCGAGAATTGTATAACGAATACGCGAAGATCGAAAGAATCAATCACCAGAACGCGCACCCGACCTACAAGTTCTCCCCGAGCAAGGCTTCACCGCCGTCGCGTAAGCGGAAAGGGGACTATTCCGACGAAGAACCAAGCGATCTCGATGACGGGGAATGGAACCCGGGACACGGCAGATTCAGAACCCGGCACTCCAGACGGCCGGATAGAAATCTTGATCGTCCGACAAACATCGTGAATACCGAGTACTTCGACCGCTCGTTCGGGCCGAATGGTGCTGCTATGAACAAGTCCAGCTGGGAAATGACCAACGAAGGAAGGCCTATGCCTATGCCGATGACACAGGGCGACCTCTATAACCAGTATTTCCAGACGTCAGTCCATCCGAATATGGGCATGGGGCCTGGCGTAATGGAAGACTTGCGGTTTCGGCGAGTCGATACACCAATTTCGTCAATGCAGTTCTCAGCAGGCCATGCGTTGCTAGGCCTCCCCGGAGGTACCACGGAAGATCTAATGCAGCTGCATTCGCATGCAAGTACGCCTCTAGGAGATGATTCCCAGGTCGACCCAATGCTTCTGGCGTTCGATGGTGGCCACCATCACGACGTGGGGCCTGCCGTAGCGCAGCACCCTGAGTTTCGGAACGGGCATATCGGTATGATTGAGAGGGAGCTGGGCCAGGACAGCGTCAACAATCTCCTCGTAGCAGCAGCGGCACACGAAGAGTTCCACCCCGAGGCATGGCAGCATGACCCAAACATGGCCCCGATGGAGGAAGAGTCGGAATTCGAGAAATGGATGGGCGATCATTAGCCTGGATGGCCGTCAGCGCAGAGGCTTTAGGGAGTGCGGTCGAGCCATCGACTGCCAAGGCGTCCTGCCTAGAACCCTACTGCTGTGGTATATGTACAGAAAAGGATCGTCGGACTCCCGTTCTGCTTCGGATGTTTATCGTCGCAACGGGGGAGGGAAATACCCATTGCGCAGCCAGGAGTTGGGAGGCAGTCTGATAAGCTTTGTTTGCTCTTTTTCTCATTAGTACTTAGAATGTCAATCAATTATAGAATCTTCAACCCATGCCAAGTGAGTTCAGGGCTCAGTGGCTTCCTCCGGTCCTGGTTGTGGTCCGGTGCGAGAGACAAAGGCATTGCTTTGTTGCAGAAGATGGTCAAGCGAGCGCCCTGAGTGAAGCGATTGGCACCGTCGGAGGTGGGTGTTGCGAGTTTGGTGAAGAAAGTGTGCTGGAGAATCGGCGGGCGATGTGTGAGAGGGACTCGGTGAGCACGGACCATAACCCCACTCATCTGGCCTAGCGCGACGCGGTAGAACGCGCCCTTGCTCGGCGTTGTTAATTGTCGATTGTAGGCTTCTTTAATGCAGAAACCGAATGCACAGCTTCGACGTCTGATTCCTTGCTAATAGTCCACAATCGCCATGTACGGAGAGATCGGGAACAAGCTGGTATTTCCTTCGTCCTCGAAATGGACAGCAGGCCATCTGACAGTGTCCCCAGGTCCAGCATGCAAAACGGACGCAATCGCTTGCCCACCTTCCGCCGTATCAAACAGAAATGGTCCGCGCTGTCGCCCGAGAGGCTCGCGACCTGGACAAAGATGTTGCAACCATCCTCGAGCCCTTCGCGGGGTCCTTCAACCCCTCCGCCGAGCCTGCTACTGCCTGCGCGCTGTTAGTAAATCACTTGTGCATGAGGAGAAACAAGCGCTGCTTGCTGGCTTATCATCGCGTGCGGACGGACAAGCTGGAGGAGATGTGCTGGAGCGGCATTGACGTGCTGGAGCGGCAGCAGCAGCAGTCAAACAAAGCCGGCGAGGGAGTAGCGTCAATGGGGCCGGATAGCAATTCGAGCAGCTTGAGTCCTGAAGAGGAGGAATATGTTCGGCAATACAGCGACTTGCTTGCTGCATACAAAGGGCAATGGACAGACATTGATCTGACTGGCAGCCTTGAGCCACCAAAGGACCTGTTCATTGACGTCCGGGTGCTCAAAGACGCTGGCGAAATTCAGACTGAATACGGGTGCGTATTTCGTCGTTCCCGTGCCGCAAATGTCGAATCAAATTGACCATGATCAGCGCGATCACTTTGACCAAGAATAGTCAATTCTACGTACGCCAGGGCGACGTAGAGCGACTTATTGCACAGGGATACCTCCAGCGCTTGAGCTGAGTCGGGTATTGAGTGCACTGAACTGCGGCTCCAGGCCGTCTTCCGATGCGTACGAAGCGTGGCCTCTATGCGAGCACCCTTTTGGCCTGCGTCCGTCCGCTTCCAGAAGTGCCAATGCCTCCCAATCGACGATCATGGCCGAACATCGGATGTAAAGTACGCATTATTGTCTTTGCAGGCAGATGGAGCACCGCGGATTCGTTGCTCGAAACATAGCCGTGGGGGTTGATGCAGGATACAGATCACGCGAAGACCAGATCCTAATGGCGTCTTGCAGAACTCGGCCATGATTCGACGACGAAGGCCCAAGATGCGGAGACGGAACCGATGAGCTGGTTGCTAGGTTACTGATGAGGGGCTGGCCTGAGCGACTTTGACTGATGACCTGTTGAACTGCAGGTGGAACGAGAGGCAGGGCTCTTGATGCAGGATCCGCAGCACGAGCGTGTTTGGTGGCACATGAACCTCCGGCAAGCTGCAGCCTCGCCAGTTCTCACTGCACGAACGCGTCCCGACTCTTGTGATTTGCTGAGAAGGATTGCGGCGCATTCGCTAATGCACTAAACGGCGGGCCGGGGTATCGGATATGAGTGAGGAGACTGCATCTCACATGTTTTCCTCGACCACTCTCGTCGCCATTGCTAGCCAGCGTGGTGTGATGCCCGCAAATTTCCAATTGACTGCTTCGGCGGCGCTGCGAGGAGCTGAATCTGGTGAGACGGTAGTATATGCAGCAGTAAATAGCCGTGAAATGCAAGCCCTGGGGCGAGAGGCGGGGCTTGGCAAATGACGTTGGCTGGATGGTCGATGGCAACGCGCAGCAAAAATTTCACTTCCATGCCCTCGAGCCGGCCCACGCGACTCTAACTAAGCCCTGCCGCCGTCGCTATCATGCGGGATCCAAAAGCTGCACTACCCATATCTTCCGCCAGCCGCTCCCTGCTAGACCAATTGGCCGCAACCGATCGACCTGCTCCGACCTGCGATACACACAACCGCTAGCTATCACAACTTTGCAGTCGCCTGCCCCTCGCTCCGTGGCGACCTTTCCAGCAGACTTTTGGGCATGCTTCATTGCATTGCTAAAGCCTCTCCTGAAGCATCATTATGCCGCCTCGTCTGCTGCCGCGGCGCGCAGACTCGAGCTCCCCACAGCAGCAGCTTCCGTTCACAGGCGACGACGTCAGCGATGTCGAATTCTCGCAAGAGCAGCCCCAGACTGTCAATGGCGCCAATACCGTACCTCGATCGCGTCCCATAAGGGCTCCGCCTACTACCGCCAATATACTGTCCGGCTCATATCGAGAGAGGAATCCGGTCCGGTCCTTTGCCCATCAGGCGTCACACACAGTTGCTGGTAGGTGCTCTCCGCGTTCGTATAGTTTCTGCTGCATATACGGTCGAATAGAGCTAGCATGGGTCAAGAATGCTTTGCGATCCAGCCCCGATTTCTGAGGACGCGGGTTGGTGGTTTGCTCTGTTCGGATTCGGTCATGCTTCATGCTCCACAGCGTAAAGGCATCGCACAGCATGTGGAAGCTTGTACGGCGCACAACTGACATGTGTACAGGCAATCCCCAATATTCATCGCATGGTGTTCGCGAGAGGACCGAGGAGCTGGCTTCGTATGCCCTCAATTCCGAGGCATACCAAGGGCCCCGCCACCGACAGAGCTTCACCGATTCCGAGACTGCTTCCACGAGGCGTACGATACCGACAGCAGACCCCATTGAGGGAAGGACATCTTTGGACTCGTTGGAGAGGGAGGCGATAGCAGAGGACAGTGAAGCCGAGCCGCCGGAGACGGTCATAGCTCCGGCACGGCCAACAAATCAGAGCTACTTTAGCCCGAGATCAGGGCCCCGCGATGGGTGGCAGAGCCCAGGAGCATATGCAAGGACCCCGAGCCCAGGGGTGCAATTGCCGAACGTCGTGGTGCAGGACACAGAGGAGACTCCGTTGCTGCCCAAAGCTAGACTTCCTCGGACAGGGTCCGAGCCACAGCAGAAAGCCTCTAAGATACCTTCATCCTCTCGATCGAGCTCGCACAGCTTCAAGATACGCGTAGGAGAGACTTTTACAGCCGGCCGAGAACACCTCGCCCAGATCGGACGCTCTGTAACCAACCGGAAGAACTACACGAAAGACACCGCTGTTGCCGGCGCGGTGGCGGGCATGCAGATGCTCTCTGCCGTTTTCCTCGGTCTGCTCTTGAACATTCTGGACGCCCTCTCGTACGGCTACATTCTCTTTCCTTTGGGGAGCCCTCTCTTCAGCCACACCGGTCCGGATGGCATATCAATATTCTTCGTCAGCTGCATCGTCTCTCAGCTGTGCTACTCTCTCGGACTGTCAGTCTTCAAGGGCGGTGTAGGGTCCGAGATGATCGAAGTTGTGCCCTTCTTCCACAAGATGGCATACTCCATCATGGCTAGAATGGAGGGCAAGAGTGATGAAGCCATCATTGCCACCACGATAGTGTCGTATTGCCTCAGTTCCGTCATCACCGGTCTAATCTTCCTCGGACTAGGAGGCTTCAAGTTGGGCAATCTAGTCAGCTTCTTCCCGCGGCACATCTTGATCGGCTGCATTGGGGGAGTGGGATTCTTTCTCGTCGTGACTGGGATCGAGGTCTCCGCAAGGTTGGAAGGTAACTTGAATTACAATCTGGTTACCCTGCACAAGCTGTTCGCTCGAGACACTGTCTATCTCTGGGTCCTTCCACTCTGTCTCGCGGTCACCGTCCTAATTCTCCGACGCGTGATAAAGAGTCCGTTTGTTCTGCCGGCATTTTTCATCATGGTCTTCGCTACATTTTATATCATCGTGAAAGGTATTCTGCGGCTGGACCTGGAGCCTGTCCGCGGCTCCGGCTGGATCTTCGAGAAACCTGAAGGCGGTGTCCCATTTTATCGATTCTATTCCTACTTCAGTAAGTTACCTACGCAGTTTTGGAACTTTGAGGCTGATGCCATGCAGAATTCAGCCAGATCGACGGAGCAGCTCTGGTTAGCACAATCCCGACCATGTTCGCGCTGTCGTTCTTCGGCATCATCCACGTACCCATTAATGTTCCGGCTCTGGGAGCTGCCGTAAAAGAAGATAATGTTAGTGTTAATCGCGAGCTAATTGCCCATGGCATCTCAAACACGTTGTCTGGGTTGGTTGGCAGCATTCAGGTAAGTCCAATCCCGTCGATTTTTCTATTCGCAAGCGCGAACAGGGCGCATCCCGCCGTTCGGCAGTCACCGCTTGTTAGATATCACCGGCTTCAGTGGGGCCTGCATATGCTTCTGCAGCCGGTGACGCACCAGTAATGCATTCCAAGCCCGATAAGACGATGCTAATGCTATAGATAGAACTACCTCGTCTACGCCAACAGCATTCTATTCATCGACAACGGTGGCAACAGCCGCCTCGCTGGTGTATTCCTCGCCATCGCAACCACCGCTGTCTGGATGGCCGGTCCGGCTATGATCGGATTCATTCCGGTCTGTCTTGTTGGCGCTTTGATCTTCTTGCTCGGGATTGAACTAATGGAAGAGGCCGTGTGGGATACCCTGGGCAAGTGCCACAAGCTGGAGTATCTCACTATCATTGTGATCGTTCTTGTCATGGGGGTCTATGACTTCGTGGTGGGAATCTTCGTCGGCATCGTCCTAGCCTGCCTGAGCTACGTCGTTCAATCGTCACGTACACCAGCGATTCGAGCGACTTATAGCGGCGAGGTCGCGGAATCGACAGTCCGTCGTCCTCGCGCAGACCGCCGGTACCTCAACAAGGTCCGCGCCCAGATCCAGGTCATCAAACTCAGCGGCTTCCTCTTCTTTGGTACTATTGTCTCGGTGGAGGAGTACATGCGCTCCCTTATTGAGGAAACCAACTTCCAGAAACAGCCTATTAGTTTTATAATCGTGGATTTCTCCCACGTCACGGATATCGACTTTTCCGGTTCCGAAGGGTTTCAGCGCATCAACCGCATCCTTTGCCGCAAGGACGTCAAAATGATCATCGCGAGCGTCTCGTTTGCCAGCAAAGTGGGGCAGTCTCTGCAGAATGTGGGTTTGTTGGATGCCGAGAAGGGCGACGAGGATTGCCCTCCGCCGCAGGTGTTCGAGGACTTGAACACTGCATTGGAAAGCTGCGAGAACGAACTCCTGGAGGTCTTCTACAAGCATTGCAAAGCCCCGTCCCCGAAGCGGCAGAGGTCTCCACCGAAGGCAATTACTTCCTCGCACAATCTTTCCACCACCGGCCAAGATATCCTTAGTGGCTCGCCCGCATCCTCCTTCGATGTTAGCTCCCTGAATCCCGACTTCTCCTCCCCGCGCCGCGGCGCCCAATATCTAGCTGCTACCAGTACGATGCGGGAGCAGGGCAATGAGAGATTCTCCTTCGGCGAAGCTGATCACGACACAGCCTCGGCTCTGCCATCCAAGTGGAAGAACTTCGCTCAGCCCATCAAGATCATGCTTCAGACGTTCGAAGATGTTTCTTCCAAGAACGAGGACTTTTGGCAGGCCGCTGCTCCCTACTTCGAGCGGCGAGAATATCCTGCGGGAACGGTCTTGTACTCTCGTGGCGACGATCCTGATGGCTTCTACATCTTGGAGAAGGGTCGTTTCAGGGCAGAGTATGAGCTCGAGCAAGGAAATTTCTACGAAGTCATCCTTCCCGGCACGACATGCGGCGAGCTACCCTTCTTTTCCGAGACCGATCGCACAGGAACCGTGGCAGTAGAAAATGACAGCGTGGCGTGGCTTCTTACGCTACCCAAGTACAAAGAGCTAGAGGAAAAGAACCGAGATGTGGCCGCGGAGCTACTCAAAGTTGGGCTAAAGCTCACAAAAGAGAGGATGGATGCTATTACTTCGTATGTGTTTTGCCCAGCGTAGCTTCTCGGCCAGAGGACTGACAAAGACCACAGTTATGTTCTTGTAACCGCTTCTTGATGAGCGGCTCGTTTGTAGCTCGTTGGATTATATAACGCTAATGCGGGATGGGATGGGATATGTCGCATTCTGTTCGCTTCTTGGAGGTACTGTTGCATAGCATGCACGGGTTTCAAAAATTGGGTTGGGCTTCCCACTTGTTGAGAAAGGTTTGCATGCGCTTGGGTGCGCACGCTCATTTGGCAGCATTGGGCGGTTCATGGGCTCGACACTGGCTCCTGGAGCCGAAGAACCAAAGATTCTTGAACTACACAAGAATTTCTCACATTTTCTCACTCTTGCATCTGACACACTCCAGCCTCCAGAGAGCATGGGCGCCGTCTTCGGGCTAATATCTCGCATTTTTCGATTCTTCTGCAACTTGCTCGTCGCTCTTTTTGCCTTCCTCTTCTCAAGGAAACAGCAGCGAGGGAAGCCCGCTGCTATTCCCCCCGAGCATACCGAGTCGTCGTCGATCGATTCAATGGATCCCATCGACGGCGGCCCTCCCGCCGACCAGTCTACTGCATCAGGCACAGATATTGAATACGTCCAGGCGTCCTTCACCTCAGACTCACGGCCTGAATCTCCCTCGGTGCTGCACATCGAATATGTCCCGGGGTCAGGTCCGCGGCCTGAATCCCCCTCAGTCGTCCACATCGAATACGTCCCGGGGTCGCAATTAGACCCGCGACCTGAATCCCCTTCAGTCCTGCACATTGAATACGTCCCGGGGTCAGGTCCGCGACCTGAATCCCCCTCGGTCCTCCATATCGAATATGCCCCCGGCCCACAATCTTCACACCCGCGGTCTGAGTCCCCCTCAGTCCTCCACATCGAAGACATCGCAGCCCAAGATCAAGAGCCCCTACTGCAACCTCACATATACACTCCCCCACAGCACTTAGCATATCCTCCCCCCTCAACGGCAACGTCGAACACCAGCATCCCCTGGACCGCGGACATAGAGGACATACCCCCCCTTATGCTGGACGAGCCACCCAGCCTCACGTCACCGCACACCTCCAGCTCAGGCTCAATCTCGACAACACAGCCAACACCCGCACCGCCGCGACCCCGCCCCTCCCTCCTTCGGGCCCAAACCTCAGCCGCCCGCCCACCAGCCCCCCTCCTCCGCCGCCGCAACGACGTCACACCCAGACGACGCTCGCAACTCCCCCTCGGCAGCCTCACCCCCGACCACGAACTCCCCAGCTTCTCGCGCATACTAGGCGGCACGGCGCCTAGCCACGCACTATCCGAGCAAACCCATCGCGAAGCCGAAGACCAGGACCTCAGGCCCGCCGACAACGCAGCAAAAGGGAAGCAGAGCATGCGGGCGCGCGAGGACGAGTACGAGGAGGTCGTGTATCTCGATGGGTTTGTGCTGGATCCGGGGAGCTCGAAGTATGCGCAGCGGATTCGGGGTGCGCCGACGGGGTATTGGTTTTGGGAGAGGAGGGCGCTGGTCAGGAAGGGGGAGTGGTGAGTGACGGGGGCTGGAGTTGGAGTTAGAGTGGGAGTGGGGGGAGGATGTGGTAGGTAATCTGGTGCGTCTGGGCTTTTTAAATTTATTTATTTTTGCTTGCGGGAAGCCACGATTGAAGGCTTCTATTTTAGCAGGGGAAGATAAGGCGTGCTGGAGAGGTTGTAACTCACCACACTCAAATGCGCGGTTGCTTTTGTTGGTTTGAGGCATGTACAGTACGAAGTGTATGGTCGCTTTTTGCAGGTATGGTAGGCGGGGGGCTTGGATGGGAGGAGGGAAAACGGGGGATGTGGGTTTATCGATACGGAGATGAGGGAATTCACGAGCTCGTTTGCGAAGTCAGTAACATGGAGATTATCTATACCTGTCTAATGTTTCACTACTATTACTGGGTCTCATCGAGCAAACACATGCATTTATATCTCCCCTTTCTAGCCTCCGCTGCACTCTCTTTCCTTCAGCCAAGAAGCAGTGGTACTCAGCTGATAAGCGGAAACAGTAGAACCGACGCGGCGAGTACTTGTTTGAACTCAGGTACAGTTCTGTTACAGTGAGGACAGAGTAGGAATTAGCTAGCTAGAGGACTCTACCCTGTAACTGCGATGTTCCCATAGTCGTCGTGGGCACGTGTCAAGCATATTAGGGGGACGACATCCATCCCCTCTCGAGAGAAATTAGAAAATGAACGGGAAGGATTACAAATTACTCTACGGTCGAGGAGGATGCCGTTGAAAGCTCCCATACCATGTGCGATGCTATGCTAAGCCCTTATAAGCAGCGACTGAATACAACGTAACAAACTCCTATGTCTCCTCGCATCCTTCGTGATCCCGAAGAGAACAGATGGAAAAGGGGGTATCTCAAAGCCTTTTCAGAGCGCAAACGTCGTCCCGGCTCAATTCTATGAGCAACATCTTCCAGTACGTTCGAAATATATCGCTATCGGAAGGTCTGGCGTCATCAGCCGGCCTCCTCTGTCCGTATACGTTGACCATAACATTTACAATGATGTATATGAAGGTATTTGGGAGAATATTGGGAGCGGTTGCCGAGGGCAGTTACTCAAACACCATGGCAATAAGCACGTGCTTGCTCTCGTAGCTCCACATCGGGTTCGATTCGAGCGTTTGGTTCTCGTCGTAGATCTTTCCGGCGTAAACAATTCGGACGGTAGCGAAGGGATTGAGCTATGCATCTCGTCAGTATGACCGGTCGACTGAGGAGGGTAGGGCCTGAAGCGCTTCAAGCCACTATACACACCTTGGCCTTAGCCTTAAGCTGGTTAACAAGCCTCCCCACCCTTTCCCCTTTCCGTATCCCCACCACTACATCCTGCGCATTCGAGCTCAGCCGACACTTCACCTTAACCGGCTCGCCCAAGCTCTCCACCTCAAGCTCCTTATCCTCATTCGCACCATCTATCCCCATGCCCCCGTCTTCATCTTCTACCAGCCCATCGGGCTCTATGACGATCCACTCTGGGACGCGATACCACTCGCCATGCGCATCGAATATCCCCTTCCACAGCTGCCCATTCGGGCACGTACACTCCGTCGCATCGAGCAGCGCCTGCGCCTCCCCTAAATCTCCCTTCTGCAGGCTCTCCACCATTATGCGCAGCGCACTCCATATCTCAGGCGAGCCCGTCGTTCGTGTATCCCACCAGTCATTACGCTCCTTCTCTAGCCTTGACCGCGTCCATTGCCCGTGTATCGAGTCTGTTAGCGGTGTGACATGGTTTCTGTGGCTGCCGACCGTGGGGGAGGCGAGGGTATTCGGGAGCTTGGAACGATCATTAGGATCGATAGGTTTGAGAGGATGATTGGGCCGGCGCTCGACTTGTGGGTGTGATCGGGAGGCATGCGAGCCGCGCGGAGAGGCTATTGAGCCAGGATGAGGTGGCGAGGATGCGGTGATGTTGCGGGAGGAGGAATCTGGAGCTTGGGTTTGGGCGTCTACGACGGCTGGGTATGGCGACCCGCTGTCTGAGTCGGTCTCGCGGGAGAAACAGCAGCCCTAGACAGTGTTAACACGAGGAATCCTCTGCTCTAGAATCCAGAGGTGCATGTGGGCAGTGGCTCTGGCACATGCGGCATACGGACGGGCGAACGACAAACGGTCGTGAAAAGCTGCCAGGAGCTTCGCAAAGTAGCGAAGACCGTGGCAGGAGATTCCTGCTGCTTGTCTCCTTGCAGTGCCCCTCATTTGCGCCGAAGAAGACGTCGTAAACTCTCGCTCGCCACCCAAGACATGACCCAAAGCCGCCCTGGCGTGCTCCCAATTCAACTCACCATCGTGACCCTTGACACCTCAACTCCAGCTTAAGATAGCAATACACCCGAAACGAATATCGAGCGAATGGAAGCCTCGTCGGCAGGATATCGACATTAAGAACGTATAGCCGGAGTGGTGGGGTGGAGGGGCGCAAACATGGGCGAGGGTGAGGTTCGTGTTGCGGGGAAGCTCCTTCTAGGATGAGCTTGATAGAAGGCGCAGCAGGAGCGATGGTGCAGGTGCGACGCCTTCACCTCCTGTGCGGTAGGCTGTACCGCGGCAAAGACGTTGTTCATCGAGACTCCGCCACATCTGCAGCTAGGCGAGAATTTGGCCATAGTCTGCCCGCGAATGGCCATGAACGGCTCACACGGTTTTCGTGCACGTCATGCCACCTGAGATGAGCCAAACAGAGCCCTTTCGTCAACCACTTCTCAGGACGCTTGCGTAAATGTCACAATCGAACACCTCGCACGCAAGCAACATGCTCACAGTTCAAGAAAACCACATTTTCAATTAGAGATTATTAGGTGGTGGTGGTGGTGGTGGTGCCCTAGCGGCCGCTTGTACATCTCCCAATAAGGCTGTACGCAGGGTATCAGGGGGTATTGCGCGATAAAACCAATAAACGACAGCCAGACCAGACATTGGTATCAAAATGAGAGAAAACAAGTGCAGAGTGGTATCAATCTAGACAAAAGTGGGCATAAGCACCGAATAGGCAAAATAGACACCTCCAAACATGTCCATGCCGCAAATGGTAACCCACGATGAGAGCGAGCGACGGGAGTTGGGCGAATGAAAACGGTGTACGCTGTGTACGGGAGAGGAGATGCGTGGGAAGCTCGGTCCAAAACCTGCGCCGGAGTCCGGAGAGATCCTGGGGGTATTTGTCGTGGTAGCCGTGCGGTCAAAGGAGGGAGTTGCGGTATATTTGCTTTTCCGTCATTCCATCATGGCTGTCGTTCATATACGTGGGGTCTTCCCACCATACTTTATGCAGTGGTAGCGACTTCGGGCGTGCTTTTCGGAGCCTGCCCTACTTGAACCGCATCTGGGACGACGTCGCCGATCGTGGCGGGCTCAGTAGGCGCAGCGGGAGTCTCCTCCTTCTTCGCCTCGACAGGAGCAGGCTCGGCCTTCTCCTCCTTGGGTTCAGCGGCCTCCTCGACCTTGGGCGGAGTGGTGGCGGCCTCCTTCTCTTTCTTGGACTTGCCGGCCTTGCTGGCATTGCGGAAGAGGCCACCGAGACCCTTGTGCTTCTCCTCGCCCTCCTTGTCCTTCTTGACGGAGCCACCAAAAGTACCGAAGATGGAACCACGCTTCTTCGTAGCTGGGGTGGACGCCTCAGCAGCAGGCTCCTCCTTCTTAGCCTCCTCAGCGGGCTTCGGGGCTTCATCGACGGCTGGGGCAGCGGGCTCAGCCGCAGCGGGAGTCTCTTCCAGCTTCGGGGCCTCGTCGGTCTTAGGCGCCTCGGGGGCCTTCTCAGTGGTCGGGGACTTCACCTTCTCCTTAGCACTGCCCAAGAACTTGCCGAATGAGAAGTGCTGCTTCTCTTTGTGGGGAGTAGTGGCAGAGGGCTTAGCCTCCTCAGCCTTGGGAGCCTCAGCACCATCAGTCGCAGGAGCAGCAACGGCGGGCGTCTCCTCAACCTTCGGGGCCTCCGCGGTCTCCGGCTCCTTTGGAGGAGCGGGAGGACCAACATCTGCCTCCTTCTTCTCGTGGGTCGGGCTCTTGAGCTTCTCAACGAAGGTGCCGAAGATGGAACCGCGCTTGGTGGGCTTAGGCTTCTCCTCGGCCTTCTTATCCTCCTTCGCAGCCTCAGCAGGAGTCTCCTCAGCCTTCGCCTCCTCGGCGGGCTTGGGAACGTCCTCGGTGATGACTGGAGCGGCGGTGGAAGCTGGACAAAGTCAATTTCGAATATGCAAAATACTCAAACAGATGTCAACTTACGTTCGCCGGCGACAGCGGGAGTCTCTTCCTTCTTGTCCTCCTCTTTCTTTTCCTCAGCCTTCTCCTCGGGCTTCTCCTTCTTTCCAAGGATGCCACCGAAGATGGAGGCACGCTTGCCGCGGGAGACGGAGCGGCTCTTGCTCTTGGCCTTCTTCTTCTTCTTCTTGTCCTCGTCAGAAGAGCTGCTAGACGAAGATCCAGTGCGGGCCGGAGCGGCCTCAGCGGGGCCGGCCTCACCCTCCGCGGGCTTTGTGACGTCGGTGCTCTTCTTGGGGGTGGAGCCCTCCTTAGCGGTGGTGGCCGCTAGCGTGGCGGGTTTGCCTTCGCTTGATGTCAGTGCACCTGCAGCGGGAACAAGCGAATGCGGCAATTTGTTTTTCGACGACGCGACGCGCCTCACATGAAAAGTTACTTACCGAGCTTCTCGAGCTGCTCCTTATAGGCCTCGCCGGAGACAATGCCTTCCTTAGCAGCGACGGCCTCCTCGATAGCCTTCTCCACGGCGACGAACCATCCGTTCCGCTCGGGGGCGGACTGCGCCTCGAAGGTGTGCTTGCCGCCATGAAGTTTGAAGTGGAAGGCAATGGTGCCATCCTTGGTGAGCTCAGTTGCATCAGCCTAGTGATGTTAGAAAACTTGGCCTGCGGAAAATTTTCTGGTCCGTGCATACCAGGTTCAGGACACCGGCAGGCGTCTCCTTCTGGTCGGCGTGCTTGACGAAGTAGAGCAGGCCCTTTCCGGTGACGCTCGACCAGGCAGCAACCGGGTGCGCGACCTCAGCCTTCTCGCCGCGCAGGTACTGGCCCAGGCTCGAGGCCGGGACCGGCTCCTCGCCAAACCAGAAGTACTTCTTGGAGAAGCGGAACGCGCTGCCAAGTTGTTAGCAAGGCTGATGTGACAGCTATCAAGTACGCCAAACTCACTTCTTCAGACCGGGGGCCTTGTAGCCAAGCGCGCCGCTGTAGATGGGCTCCACGGGCTTCTCCTCCTTCTTGACCTCAGCTGGAGCAGCTGCCTCGCCCTCCGGCTTCGCGGCCTCCTCCGGCTTGGGCTCAACAGCCTCGGCGGGCTTGTCCTCGGCCACGACGCCGGCAGGAGCGGGCGTGGGCTCGACGGTGCCGGACTCGGCGGTAACGGCGGGCTTCGTCTCTTCGGCAGACATGGTTGCGGTGTTGTGCTGGGTATCAACGAGTTGCGAGCGCAGAGCGGGCGGGCGTGTGCACGCGGTGGAAAGATAAGGGGCGTGGAGACAAGCTCGCGACGGGAATTACAAAGGCGTACGGGAAGAAGAAGGCTCTGTGCCGGCAGGTGACAGCGTGAGGCAATGGCAGGCTCGACCTGGAGTTGCAGAGACGAGCAGGAGTGGTGTGAGAGAGAACAAAGGAAGGCGAGCGAACGGGCAAGGGCCGCGAGAGCTTTAAGCTGTGTGGGTGGTTGCTAGGGGCGTCGCGGCGCAGGGATTAATCGAAATTGGAGCTCAGCACGGCCGGCCGCTGGGCAGCCGCCGCTGGAGTCGCTGGGGCCGGCTCTGCGCGCTGCACGACGCCTGGCCCTCGCCGCGGGCGCGCCGCCGAATGAGCGCGCCTCTCCTGTGTTATGCACTGCTCCGGGCCTGAAACAAAGGCGTGTGCAGCCCGCGAGTGCGCAAGAAGGCAGCATCTCACGCCGTCGGATGGTAATAGTGCGGGCTGCTCGATATCGCGCCGCAGCAGGTCGCATGACTGCTGCCCCTCCTCCGCCCGCTCGTCTCGATCGCCTGCCATCTGTACCTCGCCCTCACGAGACTCGCAAAGCCGCGCTCGATGCCGCGCTCCAGCGGCCTGGGTTGCCAGATAGCATCGCGCCGTGCAGCGAGCGGCAGTTTCTATGACATGCGGACGTGACTGTGGCCCCTGGGCGCGCCTGGGAATCTGCTGTACCGTTCTGCAGCGCGATGCTCTCATCGTATCTCGGTGCGTGCGTCTGCTGCCTGGGGAGTCCGGAGCATCTTGCAGCACGATGCGTCGTCTGCCAAGGCACTCTCTGGAGCCTCTGCTTCCCCTCCCTTCACACGCAGCAGCGGCGCGGCTGTACTGTCGGTCCCCAAGCTGCCTCTCCCTGCTCGCCACAGCTCTTGCCTGCGTGCAACACCAGCGCATTTATCCCAACCATCGCCAACCTCTGCACAACTCCACCATCTGGCACACGCCGCCAAGCCGGCCCACCTCGCAGGGCTAGACAGCATTGGAGCAGCGTTGCGCGCTCTAGCGCTGCGTCCGCCAGCGAATAGGCACCCGCTCACGTCGCCGATCGCCGTTTACAGCGCGAGACGAGGACCCCTGCGCCAACGCCCTTTGCTGGAGTGGCCATACAGGCGAATTGTGGCCGCCCACCTCACGCTATCACGAGAGCGGCCTCTGTGTGGCCTAGCGGGAGATGGGTGCATCATTAAACTCGCGCTACCCTCATATTACCGAGCATAATTCCGCCCACCGCTGCCGCAAGCTTTGAAACAAAAAAGCTGACATGCGTGGTCGGCCACACACGGCGGACCAGCCTGTCAACTGCAGCAGTGCGCGCGCGTCCCGTGGAAAGTCTGGCGAAGCCTCTCGCGGCGAGGCAGAGCAACGCTGCAGTATTACGAAAACGTCTGCCGATTTATTGAAGATCGAGAGGGGCACTTCCCAATCGGGCCAATCTGGGAGCTTTGAACGCCGATGCTGATTGATTCAAGGTTGCAAACGCCCCGGTCCATGTCCTCGGCTGATCTAGAGACGAAGACAGGATGGACCAGAGTCAGACGAGGGCCTCTCACGTGAAAAAGGGGTACCTCAACCACCAAAGACTTGTTTTGACAAACCGCAACCATGGGCCAGCCTGCTGCACTTCTCTTGCAAAAGACGGCTCCGCGTATCACATCCATTCGCCCATTGCTCCATCCACTTTTTGCCTCCCCGCTGAAGGGTCCAGACACATGACAACCCGTTCCCAACGTCTCCTTGATCGCATCTCATCGCGGTTCACACGGCAGCCGCGATAACACCCACTGAAGATCCCTAGACCATTCCAGCGAACCAATACCCGCCCGCTCTCACCGCCACCAGGGCCTCAAATTGCAAAAATTCAACATCCTGCCGCAGCACAGCGCGAACGGCCTTGTGTTTGAGGTTGTGCCTCGACTTGCGCATGCAGCTCATGGCATAAAATCCATGCTACTAGCCGCAATCTATCTCGCACAGCGCCACATGGCCCACCTTAAAGCCGTTCAAAATCCGCCAACTTTTTTTTCTTTTCTCTAATTTTGGACATGTTTGAGAACGGGCAATCGCCTTTGTGTTCGTGAGATGGCAAAGCTGAAGAGCGGTCGATCGCCCGCCACTGGGATTTCTGGGATTCGAAGAATCGCGTGCCGAGCCGTTGATTGGCAATTTGACAGCAAAGCCACGCTCCCCAGCGAAACCATGTTTCAATAATGTATCGTGACAGCGAGTCAAGAGTCTAGCGAAGATGTTTTCTTACCTTGGGCGTGATGGGATTCGAGATTCCGCCGCGTCGGATTACTCGCCAATCGCCATTTCTCGTCCCTGGTTTCATCTACTCGCGCTCATGGATGATGGAAAACCTCTCCGCACCGCGATGCCGGACGATGACGATATCCTTCTAGAACGTGCGTGTGCCAATAATGTACACGAGACGCGTCTCCAGATTTGACTTTGGGAGTTTCTCCCTCCCGCAGTCCTTTCTTCTCATCTCATACATAACGCAAGCCGATATCCACCAATAGATCTCCAGATACAGCTTGTCGATCAAACAGCCGCCTCCGTCGTCCAGATTGGCCCTGACACGGACCTGGGGCCAGGAAACGTGTGGTCGAAATAAGCTCCCGTCTCGCCTTCGGAAGAAGGAAAGAGCGTACGCGTGGGAAGTGCCTTCCTTTTCCGGCAGAGCGTGACCACAGCACTCACCATCCCATCACAAAACATGAAAGTATGCATGTGCATTTCCTCTGCCTACATGCGACTCTTCTCTTCTCTTCCAAGTTCTCGTTCAAAAATTGCACTTCGTCTTCATCCAGCCAAGGCTAAGGTTGGGCATCTACTTACCCACCCACCGCATCAACTGCAAACGAGGCAATAGTCCTAATGCTCATGGATCTTCCCTTTCATGTCAATGCCTGTTTACACTGAACTGGATCTGCCCCTACCTAGGATATCTCTCTATCTCGACCGTCAGCCCCAGTCCGCGCGTATCGACAAGTACGTAGCCGCTAAGTCCAACGCTCAACAGGGGCATTCAAGCCGTCTAGGTTCGGTCCCGTGTGGATAACATGCCCATCCATTCTCCGCAATACACGTCACGACCTCCAGGGATGACGGCATCCATAGCAGGTTGATCACCAGCGCGCGGGTCGTAGAACGTAGATTTCATAGATTTCGCGAGTCTCCTCCTCCAATTGTTTGTGGTCTGATTGCTTGGACCGCGCAGGCAGGAAAGTAGAAGCTAAGAAGATGGATGGTGCGTCTGAAATTATTTTTGGGAGAATTCTCTCAAGATAGCATTCCAACCTTGGAATGCTAGAGCTTCTTCCTCTCCTACTATCCCCTTTCTGTTGCTCCCCTGGACCGCCAACGAGCTCACAGTGCCCCACTGCCTCGCCCATTCTCATTCGTAGTTGTCCTTTCTTTTCATCCAGGCTTTAGTAAATCAACGATAAGCATGGCGTTCAATATGCGAGCGAGCGAACGCTTCCGTCCGCCGTACTAGGGCAACGCAGCTAGCCACACGCAGCCAACACTCACTCACTGACTGAAAAGCCCCTAAACCAGATTCCACGGCCACACAACCAACTTCGACTTCTCACCTTTCGCACGGAATTTTGGACAGCTTTCCCATCACAAAAAGGTGCCGCCGAGGAGGATGGCTGTGGGCTGGCTGGTTTCGCCGGTGTCAAGCTACTTCGAAAGGCGCGAGTCCCAACACCACACGCACACAAGCACACAGTGGACTGTATTCCCAGCTAGCAAGCAACGACAGACGCACGCATTCCCACGCACAGAGGGTGACTGCTGCGGCAGGTAGCAAGAGTGCCTGTGTAGGAGGATGGTTAGCGCAACGGGAAGTTGGATAGGCGGAAGCGACGGTTTCGTCCACCTTCCGTTTCCAACCACTGGACTATTACCTATGTAGGTGTCGAAGGCATGCCGTTTGCCAAGAGCCGGGCAGATGAACGGTGGCGAACGAGGCTCATGGTGGGCTTGGAGAGGAAGGAAGCACGAAGGTCCCGCATACAGAACATTATTAGATCAAGAGAGTAGCTGACCCATTAGTGATAAAGTAGCGTAACGTAGCGTGTAATCAATCGATGTAATCACAACATCTCCGACTCAATCTCCTCGAACATGCCACCCAGCTCCCCGAGGTCTTTCTCCCGCTCTTCCTTCTCTCTAGCCTCCCTCTCCCTCTCCCTCCTAGCCTGGCACCTCCTCCGCGCAACCGCACTCCTCAGCAACCTCGGAGACACAATCCTCCTCTGCCCTCCCCAGTCCTCCAAATCCATAGCCCTCTCCATAACCGTCAGCCCATCGTCCGTCGTCCTGCAGCCCAACTTCGCGCCGGCCGCCACCAGCAGCTTGGCCACCTCCACATCACCACTATTCACCGCCTGGTGTAGCGGCGTCCACCCATCCTGATCCGCATAATGGACATCAGCCCCACCCTCGATCAGCTGCTCCACGATCTCCGGGTGTGAACAGCAGCACAGCGGCGTCCAGGTCTCGATGTCGGTATCCGCGGCTGAACAGACGCCGCTGTCTTGCAGGACGCGTGCTACGCGCGGAAGGCCGTAGTCGGCTGCGAGGTGTAGGGCTGTGCGGTTTTTGGACGCGCGGGCTGCGGTATCGGCGCCGTGCTCGATGAGCAAGAGGGCGATGTCTTCGTTTTCGTTGATGAGGGATACGTGCAGGGGGGTGTCGCGGTTGGGGAGGGGACTGTTGATTGACGCGCTGGCGGCGAGGAGGAGGGAGACTGTGTTGGGGGTTCCGGTTGCGCAGGCCTGTACTTTTATTAATGAAGGTATGAGATTGGGGAGGGTGAAGCCTACTTCATGCAAAGCCGTCCATCCTTTCTCGTCTTTGGCGTCGATGTCGACGTTCTGCTTCAGAATCTCTTCAACCACGTCGTCGAGCCCGTTTCTAGCGGCGAAGTGGAGAGCAGTGAGATTGCCCCGCGTCTGAAAATGAGCGCTTGCGCCTTGGCTCAGGAGGCAGAGAGCTGCTTCTTCCATGCCCCAAGTCAAGGCGCATGCGAGAGGCGTGAAACCGTTCGCGGTCTGATCTTCGATGTCGAGACCCCAATTTATGAGGAATTGAAGGGACTCAATGTTGCCATCGGCAGCAGCGGCATGCAAAGCGCCGGCGTTAGCCTTGTAGCGAGCATGCACGTCGGCTCCTCGTTCGATGAGGATGGGGATCATGCTCGGACTCCGCTGGCTCGAGAGAATGAAGGGAGTGTAGCCAGACGCTGCAGTGGCTTCTATATCCGCTCCTTTGCCGAGCAGAATGTCGATGAAATCTTCTCTTTCATGGTGCAAGGCCGCGTGGAGAAGCGTGCATCCGATATCGTCTCTATCGGCATTGACGTCGGGGATAGAATCGATCATACGGATAGCGAGGCTTTCCGCGACACCTGGTGCCCATACTTTTGCTTTGCCCAGGACGTAGGAGAACGCGGTGGAAGCTGGGTCCCGTCCCTGGTTGATATGGCATCGACCGCTTTTGAGGAGAAGGTCGACAACTTCAGTGTCGAGGCCGGTTTTAAGATGAATGATGGCGGTATCAAACGCAGTGTAGTTCATTTCGTTTGGCTCAGGCAGGCGTCGATTAGGGTCCGCGCCGGCATCGAGCAAGGCATGGATGAGCTCGAGATGGCGATGGCCGACGGAGAAGGAGAGAGGCGTGTGGCCAGATTCAAGACGGCGGTTCATATCGCAGCCATGGCGGCCGAGGGTCTCCACTAGATCGATATCACGGTCTTCCAACGCGGCGTGTAGCATTCGTGACATCGCCATCTGTTTGACGAGATGGCCGCCTTGATTTAGGACCCAGTCGAGCCAGGCGAACTTGTTGGGCTCGAGCTTATGGTCCACGTATTCCATGTAGGAGTACATCAAGGATGCGGTAGCCATGAGTGATCTGATCATTGTATGTCCATTCGCTAGGGCAATCTGGAGAGCGACGCTCTCTTTTGGGTAGTTCTCGCCGCCCATAGCGTCGAGGAGGACTCTAACGGCGTCTGTTTGCCGCTCGAGAAGTGCGACGTCCAGAACGTTATCGCCATGGCCAGATGTTAGGCTGAGATCGCAGCCGTGAGATATGAGGGTTCTGAGGACGGCGACGGAGTTTGAGCATGCAGCTGCCATGACTGGCGTGCAGTCCTGCAAAAAGGAGTGGTACACTTAGCAGACGCCTTAGATTGGGGGAATGTCTCATGCCATTACCCGCTGAAGGCCCTCATGAAGAGCCTTCCGCAGGCAAAAGCTGAGATATAGTGGAGTGTGTACCGCGACTTACGTACCTTAGGCTCGTCGCTGCGAGTGTCGATATCGGCGTCGTGGTCGAGTAGCAGGTTGACGACGTCGACGTAGCCGAAGTGACTTGCTAGGGAGAGCGCAGCTATGTCGTCGTCAGCTAGCGTCTCGTTTGAAGAAAAGAACGGAAGACTTACTATGCCCCTTCGTATCTCTTAGGTCAACTTCTGCGCCCTGCTTTAGCAAAAACTCAACGACCTCCACACGATTATTGCACGCGGCCCACGTCAGAGCCGTCCCGCCATTATCACTCCGAGTACGAAGATCCGCGCCATGCACCCAAAGTATATTCGCAGCGTCTGTGTGTCCGAATTCGGCGGCAAGGATCAAAGGCGTGCGACCCTTTGAGCATTTCGCTTCCATGTCCATTCCCTTTTCGATGAGGAAGTCCACAGCCTCCGCCATGCCCTCCGCAGCCGCCCAGTGCAGGGCAGTTCTCTGCTCGGGCCCAGATATTGTATTTAGGACCGCGCCGTGGTCTAGGACGAGCTGCATCATTTCGCAGCCATGATCTGATCTCATGACGGCGTGTACTAAAGGAGGCATCCGCTTGACGCGATGGTTCGCATCAGCACCCCTTTCGAGCAGCAGTCTGACGATGTCGACTTGCTCTTCCAGGATGGCCATGACGAGGGGACTGAAGCCATCGTCTGTTTCGTCGTCGATGTAAGCGCCGAGATCGAGCTGGTACTTTGTTTCCCTTTGGTCTCCAAATATGATAGCTTGGTAGAGCTTTAGGTAACTGACTTCGGGTTCGGCCGGGATTTCTTCGACAGAATTGGCGTCACGGACCTGGGCTTCGACTTTCTTCTCCTCGTCCGAGTCGGAGATGGCTTCCCAAGAGCCGCAGGAGCTGGTGTCGTCAGAAGAATTCTCCTCAACATCTTCTGTGATGTCGTCCAGCCTTGTTGGATGATGACGTATAGGAAGCTTGAGGGCCGCTTTCTTCCCCGGTATCAGCTCTTGAGTTCGCTCCCCCAGAGCGGTTGTGTCTTCAATTGACGACTTCGGGTCCATGTCGGCTGGAGGTACCTGAGCCGTCAATACTCGCTATGGGACCTAGTCTTCTCCTTCTGCCGTAAGATATCCGGAGAGTACAGATACAATTGAATGGCCGTTTAATGGCGATATATCTTTCGCCAGGCTGAACAAAGCGAGTCGTTTTCTGTCACCAGGCTGTAATCTGCTGGGAACCTAAAGGCTTCAAGAGGAGTTAAGACGAATCCAACAGGTATCAGACGTGAGAAGGGATGCGAGAAGGACTGGAACCAAGATTCGATGATGGACAAGCTCTTAGAAGCACGCATGAAGCTGAAGATAGCAAGGCAGCAGCAGGCGGCCGCCCAGAGGTGGCACGTGACGCAACTCTGCCCACGGGCCAAGCTGCACCCGTTGGACTGCATCGGATTACTGTAGTCTGACTGGACTGGTAGGGTGTTGGTGAGCCGCAAGCAGGGCCCGTTTGATCCGAGTTCAGCTGAAAGTGCCCCTCGGCGGGGTAGCGCTGTGGCGCAGTCGAAGCGTCGTGTCCTGCACAAGCAAAGCCTCGTACAATGACGCTTGTTCTGGTATGCCGCCGCACCTGTCGGGGCCCCTAAAGTAGCAAATGTGAAAGCGAGTGTACAGTGTTTGACGCAAGCTGCAAGTCCTTGCAGGTGATTGTGGCGTCATGCACCGCCACTGAGTCAGGAACCCAATAACGTCACTCTACGGCTGACTGGTCAGGCGCGAATGACCCCAGTCTTCCAAGGGCACCCTCTTCTCTGCTTCTTATCCACATCGCTCTCTCTCACACCATCGTTCGCTATCGACATCATGGCTTCTTCAACGACATACGTCCTTCTTATCGCCGTAGCTTTGCTGGTGCTCCTGCCAGGCAGAGCCGAAGCTTTCGGCGCCGGCAATATCGCCTCTATCTCGGCCATCGAGGGCAAGAACTGGCGCCATGGAGACATTGAGGATATGTTGGCGACCGTCGCCTGCTTGAAAGGACACAAATGGAAGTCTATGATGATCAAGGTATTCTATACAAGCCCGACTAATGGTCGCGCGGCAGCTGATCGTGTCAATAGCGCGTGTACTTTGGCAACTGGCTTCGAGACTACTCCCAGGTATGAACATTTCCCGGAGGGCCTATGCTCACTCATACTGAGATTTCTAGGCTGTGGACGTTGGGACTCTGAGCAAAGTTCAAGTGAGTTTCCTACTTGCGTGTGCTGCATACTTAGTACTAACGACCGCTAGGCCGAAACCATACGCGTCCTCGTCTGGATCCTGTCGTTCATGTCGTTTGGCTATGCAACTGGCGAGTTTGAAGTCACTTCGGAGCGACTTGGTGTGTACCGGCCAGAAGAGCATATCGGTAAGTGGTTCCCGAGGTCGATCTGCTCAGCATTTGCCGGGGCTAACGTTTGCGGCAGATAATCCTGTAAAGTCGCACTTGAAAATGCCACGACGACGTTGAGGACTAACCGATCATGTAGAAAGACTACGCCGATAATCAGGATGCAAGAAAGTACGACCAACGCCTGCGCGGGCCTGTCACTGACGCCGAGCTGGCAATCGATCCAGAAACAGGTACACCCTCGAGATAATCGATAAGGCGATCCAGAATTCTGACTGTAACTAGGGATGAAGAACTACATAGCTAATGAGCGAGGACCATGGGCTACTTCTGCAGGCTACATCAAGTTCTCATTCTCTCGCGCCATCCACTTCGGGCGCATGTATACGCATGGCCCGTCCGGCGAGCGCGGAAAAGAAGCAAACCTATGCGAAGCACTTCGGTGTCTTGGACAGGGTCTGCATTGCCTGGAAGATTTCGGAGCCCACAGCAACTACACTGAGCTCGCGCTCCGAGAACTGGGCTACACGAACGTCTTCCCGCATACTGGAGTTCAAACCCAGATTAACCTCCGTGGAAAGCACGTATTCCCCATCGTTACCGGCACGTTTGGAGGCGTAGATTTCTTCCACTCGGTGCTCGGAGAAGCGACTGACCATTTCACGCAATCTGAGATCGATCAGATGAACACTACGCTCTCTGATGCTCTCACGAGCAACAACAAGGGCGGCCCAGGTGGGAGCAGTTCGTGCTCGCAACTCTGTGACGTGCTCGGAAAAGTCCCCGGAACCAGCGGCCTTGTCCAAGAGGCGCTCTCCCTTCAGGCTGCATCGGACGCTCAAGCTTCCGCAAACGCAGGTCATGGATATCGTAGCGGGGGTTATGATGACTATAGCGGCTCCCGGGCTGGCGGTCCTAGCCAACAACCTGCGCCGCCGCCGACTTTCGACGCACCTCCGGGCTCTGTCGGAGGACCGCCAGGACCAGGCATTCCCGGCATGAACACAGATCCAGCCACCATCATCCCTAAGATCTATCCGATCCTAGAGTTCCGCGACAAGGTTGTCAAGTCCATCTCTGCGATCGTCTCTAAGATCCCCGGCCTGGAGAAGCTCATCGAGACCATCACTGAGCGAGTCACGCTGTTCGTGTTCTCGTTGCTGGCTCCGTTTATCATGCCCATCATTAAGTCAGCATCAGAGCAGCTAAAGCAGGGTTCTTCTGCTGTCGTGGAATCTGCTGCAAAACATCAGTTTGAGGTCTGGACAAACCCTCACTCTACCGATCCCACCCACAGCATGCTCTCGAAGGACCACTTCTCGAACATCCTCAATCAGCCCGCTGGTCAGATTGCCGTCGCTACCCTACAATACTGTGCCCCACGCGTCGTATACGCTTGGGATCACCCGGACATCCCTGTCGATCAGATTTTGAACGATTGCATGCAAGCCTTCCATCATCCGGCCATCCGCAACCACCACAACGAAATCCACAGGAACATGTTTGCCGTCGTCGAGAAGTGGGCTCATAGCTACCGTGGTCCAAATCTCAACGACATCCTGAGCTCTGACTCCGTCCGAGCGGGCAAGAACCACACTGGCCAGAACGACCACTCTCAAGGCGCAGGGCACGGTGCTGCGGGGGTCAGCTCTTTCCAAAGCCACGGCCATGGTGGCGGACACTCCGGTGGCGGCGGCGGCCATGGACACTCCGGAAGTGGTGGTCCTGGTGGCCTGTTGGGCAGTCTTACGAGCAACCTGCCGGGCGGCCTTGGAAACAAACTCAACCTCCCCTCAAACTTATTCAGCAGTTCGCGAGACCTGGATGACGGGCGACCAGGCTCATCTGGCGACCCGTATCGGTCTCACTCCCCGCAGCCTGCCGGTTGGGGTGACTTCCAACCGTACCAGTCTTCGTATGCTGGCGGTGATACTGGCGGGTACAGCAATCCTCCTGCTGAATATAATGCGCCTCCGCCTGCTAATCAGTGGGGATATGGTCAATATAGCGGCGGTCAGGGAGCCGAGCCCGCTTACACAATGCCCACTGCTTATCAGCAAGGCTATGAGAATTACGACCAAGGCGGATATCAGCAGCCGCCTCCACAAGCGCCGCAGGGAGGGTATGGGGGAGGATACAGCTATGATCAAGGCTCTACGGAAGGTGGGAGGCGTTGGGGCGAAGGCGGCGGGAACTCCGCGTGGTGATTGAAACCTTTTACGAAGCGGCAATGCCTGGGTACGGCTTGCGGCAATTGGGCTGACAACAGATTGGGTCTTAGAGGTGATTCCCTGCAGAGGGAGGCGTGGACAGATATTCGGTCGATAGGTAGTTCCCTAAACAGGTCATGATTCTTTTGATAGATAGGTCAATGTAAAGTTCCCCAACTTCAACAGAGCAGAGATGTTTGTATTATTCCTAGACCTCCCTATCTTGCTGTTGCAACTACACACATCGAAAATATAGAACGCTTCCAATACAGATGGCCCAATCACAAACAAGCCAATTGAACGCCGGCAGATGCTAGCGTCTCGTCGAGGGTTATAAGGGCGGCGGCGGTGGTGGTGGTTGGTGTTACAGTAAAGATACAGGGGGAGGTCGCGGTTCGCTGTTCGGAAGGCGTCGTCTACTCGTTGATCTTGGCCAGGAGCCTGCGTACGGACGTCAGCTGCGAGCATACGAGAGTAGGGAGAGAATGGAGAACATACTCATGGTCGCGGAAAAGCGAGTACTCCTCCTCGCCAACCTTGATGGGGCTTCCACCATACTAAGCAACCGTTAGTATTCATTCATCCGCATCTCAGACCACCTCCTAAATCCCATCTCCTATGAAAGCCTCCCAATTCTCCTTACGCTCCGCCTTCCTATGTCTCCCGCCCTCCCTGGAGATCAACGTACCTGAGGAATCAACACCTTATCGCCCGGCGCCACGCTCGGCTGGATCCTCTTCCCATCCTTGTCCAGAGCGCCGGGACCCACGGCCAGCACCTTCGCCTCGTTCAGGTCCTTGACGGCGCTGTCGGGCAGGAAGATGCCGGTTGCGGTCTTGGCCTCGGGCTTTAGGCGCTGCACGAGGATGCGGTCGAGGAGTGGGGCGATGCTGCGGATTGACTTGATGGCGGACTGCTCTCGTATGATTAGCTATGTAGCTCTGGATGCAGCTTGGGAAGCATGATTGCGTACCATTGTGGCTGTGGGGGGGTGGGATGGAAGGTGTAATAGAGGGGGTATCGTGGAAGGTGAAAGCTGGGGATATGCGAATTGGATACAGTGAGAGGTGAGGAGGAAGTCGGAGGAGATGTTTTTCTGGTGGTCTGGAAAATTCGATGGAGGTGGACCGTGCGCGACCTCCGAAGCTGCTTGCTAGAGAACCTCGGAAGATAGCCGACGCGCTTGAACATCCTCAATCGCGGATTTGTATTATACTGCTTTCTTTCTTCCGCCACCGTTGTTCCCTTAATACCTGATTTTCATTCTGAGTGCTAAGCGCGGTCAATGCCACGGCCTTGTATATGTGGAGAAGCAATGTCCTCCGCTTGAGGAGCTGTTCCTCCACCACCGTCCGGAAGCCTGGATTGAAGAAGAGATGGTATAGCTCTGAGAAGGGGTTGCCGGTGAGCGGGGACGAGTTTTTGGAGGCATTGGACAAGGTGTATTCGAGGAGGAAATGGAGACCGAATTACACGCTTGGTACGGAGCTTCCTTTCGCAGATGCTGAAGAAAGGGAACTAGCTGACTGAATGCAGGTTTGGCGGTTAGCGGAGGCGTCGATTCCATGGCGCTTGCTACGCTGTATTCCCAAGCGGCGGCGACGGTGCCTTATATGCCGAAGTGCCATGGGCTTATCATTGATCATAGAGCGCGACCGGAGAGCACTGAGGAGGCGGAATGGGTTGCGCAGCAGTTGCGTTGGAAGTGTGAGATCTCCAATCTTGTAAATATGGTCTTTACTTACAGCATGTAGTGGGCATGGAGGCCTCCATAATTCCCCTCACCTGGCCAGAAGAGCACCATCCTGCCGAACGATTCGAGACCGAAGCCCGCAAGCTCAGATACCAAGCGCTCGGACAAGCGTGCAAGGAGAAGAGGATCAAGTTGCTGATGTTGGGACATCATGCGGACGATCAGGCGGAGACTATCATGATGCGACTCATGAACATGCGGTTGAGGTCGGGACTGCGAGGTATGCAGGGCGTGGAGTGGATACCTGAATGCTATGGCATGTATGGGGCATACCACAGCGGTGGTCTACACGCTGAGAATACGAAGGCACCAGATGTTCCGAATCTGCCATACCCCGTGGAAAAGGGAGGCATACAGATTGTGCGGCCATTGCTAGGATTCGAGAAGAGCCGCCTTATAGCAACATGCGAAGAGCACGGCACGGCGTGGGCTGAGGATAAGACGAACCAGAACCGGACCCTCACATCGCGCAACGCCATCCGGCACATATTCAAGAACCACCAGCTTCCAGCCGCACTCACTATAAAGTCCCTTATGAAGGTTTCCCAGCGTATGCAAGCCCGGCTCGAATCGCACAAGAGAGAGGCATATAAACTTATTGACAATTGTCCGATGAAACTCGATATTCAAACGGGCGCTCTCATTGTGCGATTCCCACCTACCGAAGCTCTCCTCGGCCACCCCATCGTCACCGACTCTGATAAGTACCACGCGCGAAACACCGCGTACTTTCTGCTCGAACGCTTCGCCGAGCTTGTCACTCCACGAGAGCGAGCGCCGAGAAGCCAGCTAGCCAACGCCGTCCTCCAAATATACCCCTCGCTATTGAGCGAAGACGAGACTGAATTAGGAATCGATCCCACCAGATCCGGCATCAGCAAGAACAATTTCTGCGTCTTCGGCGTCTGGTGGCGCCCGTGGAGTCAGCCGTCCCCTTTCGACGGCCTGACATCGCAGCCGCATTCCCAGGACTGGCTCCTCTCCCGGCAACCGCTAGATCCACACGAGAAGGACAGCCCGGAAGCAAACATCGCCTTCCCGCCCACTGGCGGGCCGTTATCGCTCACCAACACGCCCGCAGGAGGGGATTGGCACCTCTTCGACGGCCGCTTTTGGATCCGCGTGGATAACCGCACAAAGTGCGAGATCATCCTTCGCACTCTCAACGACTCTGAACTGCACGTGCTCGCACACAACAAACCTCCTGGTCGGAAATTTACCGTGCAGGAGATATCCCTCGTCGCCAGCAGCCGCTACCACAGGGCTGCGCTTGCACTCATCAACCCGACTGAACTGCGTCGCCATCTCCCAGCGCTCTTCCTCAAGGCCGATTCCGGCGAGGAAATTCTTCTCGCTCTGCCGACGCTTGGCTCACGCTCTACTAATCTCGACCCCTCTCTCCTTCCACGCGCCTGCTCATGGGAGGTCCGCTACAAAAAGTGTAACTTTGGGCGCCGCTCCGTTGAGGACATCGTCGTCCCTGGTATCCGCAACGTGCACATAGAAGCAGAAGAACAGCGCTATCGCAGAGAAGCAGGAGGAATAAAACGACTAAAGCTGAGAACGGATGCCCTGGCTGGGGACGAGGGTATGCGCGATGCGTTTCCCGGGTTCAAGAACGCAGAGAAGGAGGTAAGACTAACGAGGGAGGGAAGACCGCGCAGGGAGAAGAAGCGCGGGCCGTTGGAAATGAGTGAGAGCGAGAGGGAGGGATTGGCGACGTTCTTGGAGGAGGATTTGCAAATACGGAAGCGAGAGAGTTATAAGCTCTTTGAGGAACCGAAGAAGGAGGGGAGTCGGAGGATAAGTTGGGCGGACTTTGAGAGTAGAGTGTAAAGATAGGAGAGAGGGATACCCACTGTAGGTACCATGTACAAATATACACGAGTCACTCGTGCGTCAACTACGAACCTTGTGTATAAAATTTGGGGCCGATAACACGCTTGGCCTAATGACCGACGGATGCTTGTGACTTTGGTTCGCCGGAGCAATGCGAGGATTAAATGTTGTCTTTGCGCTTTGGGGCTTCGATTGCGCCCATCGGGCTTTGGGGGCTTATGCTATGTACAGTTCCTCTCCCTCTCTTTCTTTCCAACCTCATGCGCTCTCCTATCCTCCCCTCTCGTCCTCCCCTACGCCAACTTCCCCGGCACAAACGGCAATCCAGCCGACAACCCGCCATCCACCGCCCACGCCTGCCCATTAACCTATCACTCTTATTAGCTTCTTCCATGATCACTACCCTGGCCAACGCAAATCAAAAGCAAAACTCACATAACTCGCCTCCTCACTCCCCAAAAACAGCACCACGCGCGCAATCTCATCCGCCTGCCCCCCACGCCTCAGCGGATTAAGCTGCCCAATCTTCCTCTCCGTCCCGCGCGCTCTCGCCGCCTCGAACGTCGATTTCGTCATGCCCGTCTCGATGAGCCCGGGACACACGGCGTTGCAGCGGATGCCGCTGCCGGCGAGCTGGTACGCGCACGTCTGCACGAGGCTGATAACCGCCGCCTTGCTCGCGCTGTAATCCGTAGGCCCGGCATTACTGCGCAGCCCCGCGACGGACGCCGTCGCTATGATACTGCCGCCTGGATACGGTTTCCCGGGCGAAGTTTCCAGCATAGCGGCGCGGGCGTACTTGACGGCGAGGAAGACGCTGAGCGCATTCGTCCTAAGCGTCTTCATAAACCCCTCTGTATCCTCGTCCCAGAAGACCTTCCTGCTGCTTATCCCCGCGTTCGCGAAGAAGACGTCGAGCCGCCCGTAGGCGGACAGGGCTTCTTGGACGATTTGCGCGACGGCGGGCTCGGAGGCGGCGTCGAATTGGCGCGTGTGGATGTCGACGGAGGGGTAGAGGGAGGAGAGTTCGCGCTTGTGCGTTGCGAGGTGCGTGGCGGCGTAGTCGCAGAGGAAGAGGGCGCGCGCGCCGTGGCGGGCGAATTGGTGGGCGCTTGCGCGGCCGATGCCGATGGGGGAGTTTGCGCCTGTTTGTTCATGGGGTTTAGTATTGGTGCTGTACTGTACACGGCGGGAATGGAATGGAAGAGGAGGGGAGGGAGACGACGTAACCTACCAGTTATGATGACGACTTTGCCCTTCACACGTCTATACATCCCCACCCATTCCGTCAGCGAAAGCTCTCAATCTTCTTCTAGTTTGGACTGCATTCAGGACCCCCGGCCAGCATACTCACTTATCCCCCAAATCCCCCGCTATACTCCTCACTTTCGGTATGTCTTCGAACGTGCCCGGGTCTGGGAAGGGCTCGGACAGCTCTTTGCTCAGAGCTTGCTGTTTGATTTTGGGGTCTGCCGGCATCGTGATGGGTGAATGGGTAATTGGTATAGTAAATTCGGAGAAGAGGGGAACGCGGTAGAAGGAGGTAAGGTATTGGAATAGAAAGCCGGCGTTGAGAAGGTCGGAGCTGAAGGGAGCTTCGACGAGGGGTTGCGGAGTTCGCGCCGGAGGTTTGCAGCTCTGGGGAAGATGCCGAGGTAACTTTTCGGGGTCGTCTGGGGATACATGAGAGCGAGGTATTCAAGGCACGGTGTATAACAGTTTTGACACTGATTCGATTCTACTGCTAGTGCTTACAATATACAGAATGCCGACGTGTCCTATCCACACGCATAATTTCAGAAAGCCAACCACGCAAACGCCGTACCATGCCCCTATCTCAATTTCGAATCGACAAAGAATCCGCCTGTTGATAAGAAAAGCAAACGGAGTGAATCAATACTTGTCTTGCGCAAACTCCCAACACCGCGTCGGAGAGGCCATAGTAGTCGAAGAGAATGAGAGGAAAGGAAATGGGTACTTCCCAGAATATGTACGTGGAACGCCATGCCATGAATGCAAAATGCCTCCTCTTATGCAATCTCTCCTTTTGGAAACACATTAGATAGAGCAAGTTCAAAGGCTGACGTACCCAAAGTCATCGTTGTTAGGCGCGTCCATCCATCCAGGGCCAACCTCGCCCATGCCAGGGCCGTGATTATGATCTCTCGACATTCCCTCGCCTTCACCACGCTCAACCCAATCTTTCTCGTTAATATCGCGCCAGATGCGCTGGAAGTAGAGTCGAAGTGACCTCAAACCACGCAGGTAGCCGCGGTCGACGCCGTCGGGATCCCTTGGCGGACATGAGACATGCTCGGGTAGCCGATCCTCAGCTGTAACACAGTTCGCAAAGTCGACGATCTTTAATTTAATCTCAGGATGGCTCTTCGGTGTCGGGTTTGATGTCGGACCTGTCAAAGGAGACGTAGGTCGAGAAAGGTCCTCTGTGCTGGAGTTCGAGAAACCATTCGGTAGGGGCGAAGGCTCCTTATCCTTCTGCTCTCCATCCCCGCGGTCATACAGCATGAGCAGGCTGCTAGCATAGAAGCGGTAACCTGGCAAGCTTCGAATCATCCCTTCTAGTGCGCTGATCTTCTCCAGGATAACAGGAATATGGCGGATTGCTGCTTTGTATCCATTACCGTCCCAGAAGAAGCGCTTCAAGGCATCCTGAAACTCCTTTCCGGCTTTTAGGTCGCGGCCATAGTATTTGTCTTCGAACACGTAGCTTTGCGATTTGACGTTCCAAATCTGCATACCACACACCCTGACACCAAGCTCACGACTAGTCGTCATCTGGCACTTGCGGCGCTGTGATCGTTGCTTCTTTTCGTCGGCCTCAATGCCGTACTGACGAGTTCCCATCTTGAGATCGAGCACGCAAGGCTTTGACATCCCCGCCGTAAGATCTTCAAGGAGAAGAAAATGCTGGACACGCTCGTCAGGCTGTTGTTGAGCTTCTTCCGGGTTGCCTGGTTCTGGGGTGGCCGGTGGCGTGTTTTTCGCCTTTGGAGTCACGGGGGCAGGGAGCATTGTGCCTTCAGGCGCACTCTCCTGGCCATGCTGGATTGCAACTTCGCGAGTCCGATCATTATTACCACTTCTCACTTGCGGGGGAATCTTAGCATCCTCGTCCATAGCGAAGACCTCCTCTTCCCCATCGCCTCCGTATCCTTCTTCCTCATAAAACTCCAAATTAGACCTCCGGTCTGAATCAACGCCACAAGGTCGACGTGTGAGACCACCACCGGAATGACGACGTCGAGGAAGCGTAGAGGATGGCGGTGGAATAACTTCCTTCTTCACGATATAGCTAGCCTCATCGGGCAGGCTTTCTGCATTTGTGCCGGCCATCTGACGGTGAGCTTCGGCTTTGAGCACCTGCTTTCGCGTGGATTCTTCAGCAGGTATACTGACTTCGGAAACGTCGGCGCTGTTTCTACGCATCGATGGCGCCGATCCCGCAATGCTATGTGAATCGACCTTCAATCTGCGCGGTGGCATGCCGTGGTGGTGATGACGGTGACGGTGGTGAATAGGTGGAGGCGCAAACACCTGGCGCAGAACCTCCTCTTGCAGTTTCCTGTTGATGGTGGTAACACCCCAGCTGCTCTGCTGCTTCATTTGAGGCCGCGTTTGATTCTTTCCGTAAGTGAATCCGATATCACTCTGGTTCCTGCGGTGGTATTGCGAAGGGAAAAATGAGTTGCCTGTCCATGGATCGGGAGTGGCAGATCGTGGCGGCACCCGAAAGAGATTATCCGGGATGATGTGGCGATTGTTCTCGAAGACCACCTGAGGTATGGGCATGCTTTGCTGTGAATGGCTAACCATTCTAGGTAAATCGTCAACTGTCCCACCGTGGCTCGGCGCGGTTGACTCCGGTCTTGACGATGCAGGGTCGGCAGTAGTCTGGGAAGCGGAAGCGGAGTTGCCCGCATCGACCTTGGCTTTGTCCTTGTTGGTCTTCTTCCGCTTTGGAGCTTTGCGATAAGTTACGTTCAGAACACCAATGTACCTAAATCGACAGCACAACGTTAGCGCAGTTCTAGTAGGGGGTGTCCGCGGGGCGGGAGATGATATCTTCGCTGACGTCTCAGCTTCAAAGCTATCGTAGACATGAACGAAATGTTCGTACCTTGGTAAGAACTCTAGCAGCTCAGGGTGTTGCCGCTCGACTGTCTCGTAAAACTCGTTCTCTCGGTTGTTGAGTTGCTTGCACACAGCTCGACGAGAAAAGCGATACACCGTTGTATGACCGCCAACCTGATGATCGTACGGCTTCAGCTCGACTGCACCAAGCGGGGCAGGCGGCTGAGCCTGAGTCAGAGTCGAAGTCGGAGTTGGAGGTGGAGGCTTCTTTCCCTCTTTGCGCGGTGTTGCGGTGGGCGTCGTTCCTAGATCATCAGTCGCACTAGATTCATAGTCCCGAACGGATCTTGAGGAATCCGCGAGCGAATCATAGCCAGATTCGGCGGAGGTAGTCGCTTCGACGATAGGAGAAATGAGCGACTTGCTTTCTTCCTGTGAGATAGTAGCTGTGGTTGAGATGTCACCATGCAGGCATTGATTTGTATCTTGAGACTGTAGAGAAATTTCTACTTCTTGGGGAGTCTTTACAGCCTCTTCGTCCTTGGCCCAGACCTTGGGCGCTTTGCCTGCGCTGACTGAGGGTCGTTTCCGAGCACTTTCGATCTCTGCCTTCTGAGCCTCTACTTCGGAGGGAATTTCCTCAGGCGATTTCAGCTGGCGATGAGGGAAGTAGAGGGCCGACGAGATTTGCTCTCGTTCGGATTCATCGTCTTCAGAACCGTGAGAGTGGTCGGCACTCTCATCGCGTGTGACTTGGAAATACTCTGAGGGCTCGTGCACTTGAGAGACTGGTCTGCCTTGTGGAGCATACAAGCGGATCTTCTCGGCGGCAGCAGTAGGGAGACTCCTCGAGAAGGACGATCCTCGGTCAGCGCCTGGAGTAAGATTGTGAAAATTCCGAATTTCTTCGAGGAGTCGCGCAGGAATCTCGCGTTTCGAGCGTTCTTCATCGGCTTTTAGTGGACCACCCATGCCTTCCTGGGTCGCAGGAACAGTGTCAAAATATGAATCAATTGGACCGTTCTGAGGCGACTGCACAACAGACGAGGCACGAGAATGCCACTGCAGTTGCTCCACAAGAACACTGGCTTCCGACTTGACAGATCCGTCCTCTTGATGTGTGGGTAGGCTCCTCTCGGTGGGACGGCGCTCCTTTGGACGGCCCTCTCGTTTCTTTTGTTCTTCTGCGGCATCGTTCTCCTTGAACACGCGCAGGTAGTGGCTTGCTTTCCTGCTCCTCGCAGTTGCCGGCTGCTCTGTTTTGGCGAGCGTTGCCTCGATCTTCTTATCGACGTGACCGTCTCTAACCAAATTCTGACCTACCCCCTTGTGGTGGAGGTAGGGCTCAGCCTTTCCTTCTCGCCACAGCCTGTTCTTTATTCTTTCTTCGTTTTCTGCAATTTTATCATCTAACGGCGCGGCAGACTGCACGGGGTGGTGGGGCACGGTGGGTCGATGCACGGGTGAGTCGACGGGGCTCATGAACGGCGGTGGACTCTGGCGCAGGTGTTCAGAGCTCATGCTCGATACGTCTCGTCCGCTCGAATTGAAGTGGGTCGAAAGGAGGCCCTGGTGGTGCTTTAAGGTGGCGTGTAGTTGTGGGGGCCGCCGCTGGCGGAGGACAGGCGCGTCTGTCAGTCGCCGCGGAGGTGACGCTGATGCTGCCATGTGTGAGGGGCCATGGTCGGAAGAATTGTCGTTTGTGTCTGGCGTTGGCGCGCCGGAGGGGGGGGAGGACGTTGGACTGTCGGCGGGCAGGTACGTGGTCGCAAAAATACTGTCGCGCTCAGACAGCTGAGGCTGGTCGACAGTTGGCGTCCACAGCTGCTCCAGGCCAATGGGCGCCGTCTTGGAGCGGCCCGTCTGCGAGAGGGTCTTTGGCGTCACCTCTTCGGGAGCGGGCCAGGAGGGTTGGGCAGCTCCATGGCCGGGGGTCGGCGGTGGATTTGATCTCACCGATGCGGGGGGTGAGACACTTCTCGGGACGTGCGAGAGCTGTGACATGGAGTCGACATTGGTCAGGCTGAGCTCCTTCAGCGGCGGGTGCGTGGTGGAATGTTTGGCAGATATTGCCAGAGGGCGACCGGGGGGCGGCGTGAGGGCCAGGAAGACGGTCGATGGGCGGCGCGCGGGCACGGCGGGAGCTAGCCGCGGCGGCTTAACGTGTGTGCGCGGTCGAGCCGGTGGCAGGGCGTGCAGGGCGTGTAGTGTGCTGGCTACAGGGGCAGCGGAGGGTGGACTGTTGAAGGCCAGTGATGGGTCCACGTTCTGGTGTTGTGTGGACAAGGCCACACCCAGCGGTGGCGCAGATATTACACAAGCGAGAGCGCTCGCCGATGACGTCTGGGCGACCGCACGGCTCACTGCAGGGCGCGGGGCCGGCGTCTGAGGCAGCGATGGCAGCAGCGGGCGGCTTTGGCTCCCGGCGGTGTTTGTTTACGGAGCGTGCAGTTGCTTTTTGGCCACCTCGCGCGCCCGCTGCGGTCCGTTATCATGGACGGACGGTGCTGCCGATGCACCAGATGGCCAAGACCGGAATGTTTCTTAGAGTGACAGGAAAACGCGTCCGTGCACCGTTACTCGGCACCGCGCCGTGAAACCATCACCTTACGTACAACCATTCACCGCGATATTGCCGGAGCACCGGCCGCGCCTGTCACGGAGCCAACGTGGTTGAACATCACAATTCATTGGAAGCCGTCCAGTTACCAAGCGCCTGTAGCAGCGCGGTCGTATACAGGCTATGATTCATGCTAAACCTTGACCCTCGTGCGACTCATGGCCACCAGAGCCCCTTCCCCAGAATTCCCTCATAAACCGGCCGCTCTCTCCATGGCCTCAGCTATCCATGATCGTGCCATATCTGATGAGGAGTCGCATCGTCCGCCTCCGGCCTCTGCAGCAATATGCAGAATACCCAAGCTCTTGGTGGTTATCGTCCAATCACTCCGGAACGTGGCCTCCTCACCGCAGGACGACGACCAGGGCCTCTGCGTCCACAACGCAAGGAGCCTCGACCATCATACTATTGCTCGAGTTGACCTCAGAATTCCGTCCACCTGTGGAGTCTCCGCCAAGCCGCTCCAAGAAGGCCAAAGTCGAACCAGTAAAGGAGTGCGGGTCTAGATAGGCACGGCATGCACTTCAGCAGAAGAACTGCGTCTCAAGAGCTCCATCGCAGTTCGCGGGGTAGTCAAGTCATGTCATTATTCAGATTGCGCAAGAATTGATCCGTAAAATCAAGGTCGCCGTTCGGACCTGGGCCATCCAGTGACGTGGGAAAGTCCTGCTGAGGAAATTCAACGTCTTGTCTCAAAAGCTTCGGTCCCTGGAACGTCGACGGGGTCTCCTGGGATGCCTTTTCCGATGCGGTACCTCGGAAATGCACTTTTGAGTTCCTCTCTTTGAGCGGGATCCGCTCAGCGGAAGGCGTCGGACTCTTCGCACCGTTCTCATGGCCAACATGACCATTTTGTTCGCCAGTGGGGAACACGGCAAATCTCAGACCGCTGCCGCCTTGCACCCGGGGGGGTTTCTTCTTTACTGTACTGAAAGCGAAAGGCGATGCGGCTGTGAATAGGTCTTGCGTGCTTATCGGTGGTTCTCGAAGGACGCTGTCTGGCGAATGTAATTTCTCCAGCTCCGCGTTGAACGCATGGAAAGGAGTAATCGCAGGGCTGAGCTCCATCGCGCCCTGTTGTGGCCTTTCATTCGAACCATGTTGCCAACCACCCGGAGTTGCTGATGCTGGAGATGGAAAAGTCCCTTCCTGGAATTCCAATTGCGCAAGCATTATGGCTGCCTGCGTTGAGTATTCCGAATTTCGGCTGGATCGGAAGCTTTGCTGTCGCTCCTGTTCGTTTGTTGTCTCTGTGGGCACTTCGTACACATCAGGACGCGGCGTTCTACCTTCGTCCGGGGGAGTCAAATTCTGTTGAACCTTTTTAATAGTCTTGCCTGTGTCCTTCCCAAGCGCCGGTGAAGAGCTGAATTTCATGGGCCGCGGCTTCGATTTTCTAGCGCCCGTGCCTTTCGGCTTAGGAACTCCAGGTTTCCTGTACGTGAACCCCTTAGATGAGGCGGGAGTGGGTGACGCAACGAGGTCGTGGTGCGGCCGCTTTCGTGATGCGGGCTCCTTTGAAGCTGTGCAAATCGCCTTTTGGCTGTGCCCAAGCGTAGCATTTGACGGGAGATCCCTTTGTAGGCATCGTTCTGCGGAATTCTGAACATCTTCTCTCGAAGGACGGCGAATGATTCTCCTTTGGGCGCGTGCTTCTTCGACGGCGCGCAGCGCAAGCTTCGTAGCGGAGCGAAGCCCTTCCAAGATCGTAGGATCTGCCTCATTGAGACATACAACGGCTGAATTAGCGATGTGCCCTATTGGATTCGCTGGCCCGATAGGAGGTGTCTGGAGAACAAGCCGACCCTCTGTGGAGCCGACCTCGTTCGTCATCCAATCACTCGGCATCAGTCCTTCATTATGCGTTGTAGGCTCTGTGGCAATATTATCCACTTGCGCATACTGAAGGATTTCGCTTGCATCGTTCGCTCCATTGATTCTTTCACCACTGGAGTTAACCTGGGTACGCGAAGGGTTGGGGATGTTGGCTGGGTCGTGCGGAGCGGTGATAGTCGTATCGTTGCTGGTAGTATGTTTAGTCGTGCCCTTAACAGAAGAGCCATTTCTTCTTAGGAGTGGTATATCGCCTCGTGTGGTAGACATGGCGGTGACGGGTTTCGCAGGAGAGGATATGACCATGGATGCAGAAGCGCTTGAACCCCGCTCAGCGTCCTGCGCCTGGATTCGGGATGGAGGGGAGTGAGCCGCGCTTAGAGGAAGCTTCGGCGGTGCAAGCTGAAGCCCTCCTTGTGCATCTAGCTGGCGGTGTCCACTTTGCGCGCGCGTTGGTGAGGGATCATTGTGGTTATCCTTAGGTCGCCCAAAAGTTACTCTTCCTTCCAATACAGGGCGTCGTAGCCAATGTAGGTTGCTCTCCGAAGTATCATTGAGTGTTGTTGTATTGGCTTCTGCGCTGAAGAACTCTGTAGCCCCTGAATCATCTCGCTGTGGTGGTGGGAGGCCTGGGGGCGGCGCCTCCGCCTGATCTCGAAGCTCGACTGCGTGCCCAACATCTTCTAAAGCATCACCGACGGCCCGTGACGTCTCCGGAGATGGGAGCGGGGACAGCTTGCGGGTGCGCGCGACTCTTTTCTGGGACACGTTTTTCGAACGCACATTTTTCGGATTTGTGCCCTGATTATGATTAGAGTCCGCTAGAGTTCTCTTTCGTGATGCTACTTTCTTCTCCTCCTGCTTCGCTTTCGCCCAGGGATTCTTCCAGCCCTTGTTGAATGGCCCCCGCAAGCTCGCAGACAGTATGAACGGTGTCCTTCCCCGCAAGTACTGGGTCGCGATTGTCTCAATTCTTCGCCGTTTCGCGGCTCGCTGTTCGGGACCATATTGCTCGTCGGAGATATCGTCGATGCGGTCTTCGGGCGTCGGAACGATGCTACCGAAGTCGATGCCATGCCTCAGCTGGACATGCAAAGAATGGTGCATGGCTTTCGGTCTTTAGATAGCGCTCCGTCGGTCTCGCTCGTGCAACGCTAGTCGAACGTTTCGATTCTGGGTTCCGCTTATAATAAAGAAGAGCCTGCAAATGTAGGTGCAAATTAGTAAGTGCGTCGGAAGGAGAAGGGTAATCAGCATCCAAGGCATGTCTCAGCCATGTCTTTTGCACACCTCAGCTTAAACTCTAGAATGCCATACCTGAAGACCCTTAGTGTCTGAAGAGATTTCGAGACACTTGCCTAGGTGTACCGCCACGTTAGGCATCCGCACATGGCTTCGCATAGAACTGAGACATGCTGGTATGAGTACCCAGCCTTACGTACCAAAGAAGAGAGCGCGTTTCTTTCCGTACTGTGTCTCCAGTCGCGGTTGTTGCGCGGTAGATATGAGGGTTGGGCAGTGCGTGTGGCATATCGGTCTCGCTGGGTCGGTCGTGCTTTCCGTCGCGGGAACAATAGGAATCCAAGTAGTTTCGTGGCCCTCTAGCAGCTTGCGGACGGCAAACGGCTGGCGGTGAGGCCGTTGCGTTCACCTCTCCCAACCTTCACCGCTGCGCGCTTCGCGCGTCCACCGTGAGCCTCAGTGTCGTTGTCTGGGCGACGGCTTATCGATAACACCGCCTCACGTGCGCACACCTGCAACACCATAACCCTGCCACTTTTGGGACTCCAATCCTTGCATATTGATACACCGGGCTCTACACGCGTTATTCGCTACACCGACTGCCATTGAGGTACCCCAAGCACACATTATGCCTTCTGCGCCCGCATAGCTTCCATCTCGACGCGTCTTGCCGGAAAACAGCACCGTCAACAGCCTCCGCGAAGAATACACCGACCGCAAACATGAGCCAGCCATGGCTCGAAGACCTCTCAGAGGAGTGGATTCCCCAGCCCACTCCTCAGTCGATCGAGCACGATGCGAGCAGTGCTATGGCGCCCCAAACCTCGCAAAGCGTACCACCCAGGCCGCAAAGCCGCCTTCCCCGCATGAGGAACTCGTCGGGGTCCTTCTCTGAGATCCAGGTCCGACATGTCGCCAAAGATCTTCGACCCCCAAAGCGTAGGAGCGCTCTAGCTGAACGGAGCCTTAGCGACAACAACATTCCGCCCTCTGCCTCTGCCGACGCGTCGTATATTACATCGTCCCGGTGCGCCTCGCAGTCTTTCCCCGCCGCGTCGCTCGACTCAGTCGTATACAACGGCACTGTAGCACAGAAAGCGCCCACACAATCGCCAGAGAAGGACAGACCGGTCCATGACACGCCGGAGTGGAGAAGGAGGTTGCTGAAGGGCGAGATCGGATATGGCGACCAGAAAGATCTTTTCAGTCCGATGGGGCTCGAGAATATATTCCAGAAACCCGCTGGTAGCGCTTCAGAAGAAAAGCAGCCTAAGCGCAAACTTGGTATGCTCAAAGTGCTTGGCGCTATACCATCGAGCCCGCCGCCCTGGCCCTCGGCGGACCGTGAGGATACATCGGTGGTAGACGAAGGCGACGCGCGGCATGACTTGAACGAATACCCGGGCGAGCAGAACACTGATCAGGAATATCATGAAGATCCTTCAAATCAGCGAATAGGCGAGTCGTTCTCTACGAACGCGCCAGCAGTCGGCAACGAGGGACCCCCCCGAACAGTGAGCGGCCAAATCGAATTCGAAAACGAGAATTTCAGTCCCGTCTACCTTTCCACGAATCTCAAGGTTGGGTCTGGCCCTAGTTCAATTCCCAATTTCAGAGGATCCGAACTTGCCAATAGGCTACGGCACATTGGCTCACCACCGCGCAGTCAAGGTCCCATGCCTATCCCGGAGGACTCTCTCAGGCAGAGTCAAGGGGACTCGTCTTTTGCACGACTTCAGGATGATTCCCTGCCTGAGGATCTTCCAGCCGGGACTCCCGACATCGTGGACGTCGGGCGTTTTGTGGAAGTGAAACGAGGGGGATACTCAAGAGACGGTTCTTTTCGAAGAAGACCCCTTAGCCCATCCCCCCAATCGAAAGCCGTCGCGCGGAGCAAGATCGAAATTGAGCTCGGTTCCGAAACCAACCTAGCCGTAGGTACCCAGGCGGAGGATGGTGTTGATGGAGCTCCAGAAGCTGTTATGCCAAAGACCCCGCGTCGCCAGGAGCGCTCGAAGCACCCTAGTCCCGAACGAACCAAAAGCTCTGGGAGCCCTTTGAAGCTATTCGATGCTCACGATACATTCACAAGCAACCGCCTCCAGAGGCGGCTCAGCCAGCTCGAGCGCAAGCCCAACAACACCGCGTCTAGCAGCATACAAATGAATCAAAACGAGACAACGAAGATTGTCCAGAAAACATCGCGGTTAGGTTCGGTTGAGGAACTGAGCATACGGAAAGGAGCTGGCCCAGCTTCAATTTCGAATGATCAGTGGAGACAGCAAAGAGTGGAGACTTTTGGACAAGGCCAACTGAACGAATTCCGATTTTCTGGAGACTTCTCCGTTCTCTCTTCCCAGGAATCAGAAGGACAGAGCGCACCGGACGAGTCACCTTCCACAGACGTTGCCCCACCGGGCAGCCGACAACCTCTCAACTTCCACTATGATACGTCTCCGATCTCCCGAGAACCCTCCAGAGCTAAGAGGCAAGGCCTCACCCGAGTAACGAACCCCTTCCGAGGAACGAGCTATACCAGACCGCAGGCTCCTCAGCGACCGTCTACTACGACCGAAAACGAATTATTAGAAGCCCAGCATGAGTACGCCGAAGGTAAACGAGGCCCAACTTCTCCGTTCAAGAACCCCACCCCAAAGCGCAGGAGAACGATACACTCAGTCGATGAAGACGAGGATGAGGTCAATGATACTGGTATGAGATCCGTGAAGGACTCACACATTGCCATGCAATCTGTAATTGGAAGGAAAAGGAAGGACGCCCGTCATGACCATTCCAGCAACATTGCAGACCCCGAGGTGCTAGCTCGTCGACATATTCTACGACCTCGAAACCCCACCCCAAGTCAGAGGAGGTTGGACGAAATACACGCAGAAATCTTGGAAGCAACGGAAGCATTCATCCACTCTTCACCAAAGATGAATACTATTCGAGAGCACATAGACCCTCCTGAAGAATGGGACGCCCCTCCAGAGGAGACTCGCGCGGCCATCATCGCAAATGAAGTTGCTGCTTTTAGTATGAAGAGGCAACAAGTCATGCGTGACGAGAGCCGTAAAAAATCTGTCACAACTCAGGACTTCTTGGACGAAGCAGTCAAGATCATGGATTACATCCGCGCCAAGGGCCGGCCGTCGAGCGGCTTGGGTAGCCTGGAAGAGACAGAATCGGAGACGGCAGACATACTGGACAAGAATGGGTATCCTTCAAGTTCGTTGACCTTTGATCGACCGCCGAGTCGAGAGGGGCGGTTGTCGGCATGGAAAGAGCCCAACAAGTGCGAACTGGATCCCAGAGTGATCAACCACCTGCGCAAGTTCCAGGAGAAAGAATCGGATGACATTCTGGGTTCGTCTTTCCACTCCTTACGCTTCTCGCGCATGAGGGGGCCGGCGTCGCCAGGAAACAGTGTCATCGTCGAACAAGACGACATCCGTATAACAGACAACCTAGACCGACACAACGGGGACATCGCACCCGAGGACGACCGAACCAACTCACAGCCAAGGACTAATGGGACTCACCCATCTACCGGTTCGTCCATGGGCCAAACTATTGCCACCAGCGCATCGCGTCGATCGGATCACGTGGCAACATTAGCACCGGAAGCAGTCGCTCATTTAATTCCTAAGGAAGTAGCAGGGATGAGCTTCGATCGGGAGAAGAAGATTTGGGTCCGTCAGAAAAGTCCATCAAGAGAGGTTTGCCCAGACGAGGGTAACAGTGGCGCCGGCGAGAGTGAGGACGATCCATTTGGCAATATTCCGGACCTTACCGTGGACGAAACAGCAGAACGTCTGATGAACAGCGGTTCTCCGGCCCGGCCACAAGCCACTGCTGAGACGTTCTTAGAAGACTCTGAAGAAGCAGGAGTTGGCGACAAAGTGCGCCCGGTCACCCGGGATGGCAAAGATATCCCCGTCGCTGATACCAGCTCTGTCCCCTCAAAGGTATCAAATTTTGCCTGGAGCTTCCCAAAGACTGAAACTCGAGCCACATCCTGGAGTGACCAAGCAACGAGGACCGTCCGTTCTCAGAAGGTTCAGCATATACCGATGACACATGCTATTCCGGAATCTGACGAGGACGATGTAGAGCATGAGATTAAGTACTTCGAAGGCCGTGGCTCGGCCAAACCTGTAGTAAATGGCAGGCTCCGAGACATCACGATATCTATCGCCGAGCGAGATTTTGGGGAGATGAATGAGCATCAGCATCACCCAGCAAGCCCGCAAAAGAGTACTCATCAGCATTGGATTTCGAATCATGATCAGAAAACCCAGGCAAGGGCAGCAAGATGGAACCATGCCAAAGGCGCAAAGTCCCTACCGCACGCTCCAAATACGCGGAGGCCAGTGTTTGGGGATGATGGCGAACTCTCGATTCTCGAAGACCTTCCATCAAGGAACTATCGGATGCAATTGTCAATGAGCGTCTCCGCACCCGTTCTATCCCAACATGACGCGTTAGTACCTGCTCCATCGTCCCCAGCCAAAACGGACGTTACTTTCATGCTCAGCGACTTGCCAGAGTTTACTCTGAACCAGATCGACGAGTGCGAGCTTCCGAACCGCGTCGTCGTCAAACACGATGGGCACAAGTTTTCGAAAGCTCTTGAGGACCGTTACGCTCTAGGTACAGCGGAACTGGTGAAGGCATTGCAAGATGTTGAACCTGATGAGCCATACTGGGAAGACCTTCGCGAGGTGGACCTCCATGACAAAGCTTTGACTAACCTGCACCGCCTTGACGAGTTCTGCTACCGATTAGAGGAGCTCAATGTCTCCAACAATAGCATAAGCCAAGTGAAGGGGATTCCTTTCACCATGCGGCGACTACGAGCGCAGAACAACTGCCTCACTGGTCTGACTTCGTGGTCGACTTTGTTAAACTTGCAACATCTAGATGTATCGAGTAATAACATCGATAGCTTGGATGGGCTGAGCGAACTTGTTCATCTTCGCACTCTGAAAGTCGACGACAATGAGATCAGGTCACTCGATGGTATCCTCCACCTTGATGGCTTAATGGAGCTCAGCGCGGCAAGAAACCAGATTGAGACTATGGACTTTGCGAAAGCCAATCTGTAAGTCTCCTTAGATTTTGAAGACCCCGACAATAGATGCTAACGCGTGCTCAAGGAAATCTCTGACGGACATTGACCTCCGCGGTAACCGGCTAATGGAAGTTCGGAACCTGCAATGCGCACCGCAGCTCCAGCACCTCAATCTTGGTACGTCGGGTTTATCTGTCATTGTTCTCAACTAACGAGAGCAGATGACAATTGCATTGAAGAGTGTCCCGTATCCGACACGCCGGCCAGGCCATGCAATATGCTGCGATCCCTCCGCATTTGCCGGAACGGGTCTACCTCTCTCGACGTGAACAATCATTTCCCGAAGTTAGAGTCTCTCTACGTGGACGGCAACGCGCTCACGGACGTCTCCGGACTGGAGCACCTCCGCCACCTGCGGACCTTCTCAGCACGGGAGCAAATGCTAGACACTGATTCAGATGCGGAGACTTGCGTCGGCAACCTCGTGAGGAATCCGGATGTCCGAAATCTCTATATCTCCCTGAACCCTACGCGCGGCCTGGAGATTTCACAGCACCTACTGAACCTCCAACGGTTGGAGCTGGCCTCAATGGGCTTGAAGGAGCTACCGAATGACTTTGGACAGTTGACACCCAATATCCGCTCTATCAACCTGAATTTCAACTCCATCAGAGATCTCCGGCCACTCCTCAACATCAAGAGACTCAGCGAGCTGCTCGTTGCAGGCAACAAGCTCGAAAGGTTGCGCGCGAACGCGATGGTGTTAGGCAAGTTGCCTACTCTCTCGAAGCTTGATTGGCGGGACAATCCCCTTACGCTACGATTTTATCCTCCAGCGTCCGAGAACCGCATTATGTCACTCCGTCAAAAGCCTTCAGATGAACAGACTACGGACCGCTTCGTCCTTCCCAACGGAGACGCCGATGATGATCAACAATACCTCTCGCGCCTGGACTACGAGACGCGAATCAGACGGAGAGTGTCGGAAATGATGCTGGCCAACTTCTGCAGAAATCTCAGAGAACTCGACGGTCTCCCTTTCGACAAAGCCCGCGTCCTCGTAAAGGACGATGTGTGGGAGCGGCTCCTCTACCTTGGTGTCATCCAGCGCAAGCAACCGGACACTACCGATGAAATTACGGAATGACGAAGATGTGAGAAAGGAATCCCAGCAAGGCCGGGAAGGGGATGCGGGCAGATGATCACTACGCGTGGAAGCGGAAGTGCCCGCCAGCGGTGATTGAGTTTATGTCATGAATAGAGTGGGTCTTTTCGCGGTCACATGGAGTTTGGTTGCTTTTGGGAAGCTCGCGTGGAGTATCAGGTACCCGAGCATTTTTGTACGATATCACGCTTCACAGCAGAAAGTGGGGGTCCACAGCGCCTCAATATGTCGTGATGAAGTGTATTAATAATGAGAAGAGATCTGCATGATTATATCTCTTGCATGTTGTGACTGATGAGAAGAAATGGATCCGTGAAACGACAGTCGCAAAAGCTGAAGGAGGCGGCGAGTCTAGAGCCGCGGAGTGGTCCGGCTAGAGTAGACGTTGAAACGGTCTTGCCATGGCCCGTGCGCCGCGTGCATATCAAACGACCCTCCCGTGACATACCTGCCCGATGTTAAAGAGCCCACCTGTTCCTTTCTCCTCCTCCTGCCATGCACACCAAATACTACAAGCCCAAACATGTCTTCCTCCCCCAGCGAGGCAGAGCAGGCCGTCCACCTCGCACAGCGGGCTATCGACGCCGCCAAATCCGGTAAATTGTCGGACGCCGCGCAGTACCTGCGACAAGCGTCGACTATCGCCCCGCAGCACCCATTGGTCAAGCAAGCATGGGTCCAGCTGAGAGAAGAAGAGGAGAAGTCCGAGCTACTTGCTGTTTGTCGGGTCTGGGTACGGACGCGAGACGAGGAGGATGGAGAGAAGGCATTAAAGCTGGTTAAAGGGCAGAGTCTGAGGGATAAAGAGGCGGAGCAGGCAATGGATATTCTGTACGACTTCAAGGGCGAGGATGATGTGCTGGACCATGTGACGGGCGAGTTGCTGCGGTTTCCGGGGCCGCAGCGGTGGCTGGCGAAGCTGATTAAAGAGCACCCGACGCAAGCGTACTACGAGTTGTTCGAGCGCGGAGACGACAGTATCGATGGGCTACTGAAAGTCTTGCTCAATAGGTCGGTGTGGCCGACCGATGAGGCGTTTGTGCAGGGCCATCGGGATTGCTTTATGCTGAGTTTGGCGATGATGATGGAGGAGGCGCTTGAGCATCCGGAGCGCGCTATGAAGGGCATTGCGCAGCTGCTTGCTCATTATGCGGAGCATCTCCATGGGATTATTGATGCGGATAGCTTCGATGTTATTCTCTGTTCGCTCGACCTCCGGCTCCCAAACAGCCTCCGAAGCCACGCAACTCTCGCTACCATCAAGCTGTTCGAGCTCGCACCCAGCACCGCGCAGGATCTGGTCTCGAAATTCGTCACGAAGCGCGTCCAGGATGGGATAGCTCACGAGCTCGTCGTCGCTTTCTCTGCGGCAGCTGCCATCTTCCCGATCACGACGCCTGCAGCTGCAGCGCTCTTCCTCACAGACGGCTTCATCAGCACGCTAGTGCCCCTCGTGCAGAGCAAAAAGAGCCAGAAACTCGAACAAGCAGCCCTCGAACTCATCAGCGCCGCCTGCGTCGAGAATAATTGCCGCGACGCGATAAATCGACACTGCAGAATGTGGCTCGAAGACCTCGTAGCCTCCTCGCCCGACAAGAAGCGCTCGAACCTTGCCGCCCTCGTTCTTGTCAAACTCGGCGAAGAACCCGCTCCATCCGAAGGCCCAGTGATCATCACCCCAGGCAAAGTTGACCAAGACGACCTAATAGCGAGCTTTAAATCCATGGTAATCTCCTCCGACAAATCCAGCAAACAAGACTCCATCGAAGGCCTTGCTTACGCCTCCCTCCAACCCAAAGTGCGCGAGGACCTCGCTAAATCGCCCAAATTCCTCAAGCGCCTCATTGAATCGATGAAAGATCCCTCTGGACCCGCGAACATTCTTTTCGGCGGCCTGACTATCTTCTCGAACCTGACTTCCTTCCTCCCCATCCAATCCGAAGAGGAAAAGCGCATGGCCCAACTCAAAGCATACGCGAACGTGCAGAAGCCCTCGGACCCAGACCCGCTGCTCGACGAAGCACATGTCACCGCACGTTGTAAACGCGTCCTTGACGCCGGCATCGTGCCCCTCCTCGTCACAATCTCTAAAAAGGCATCGCCCTCCGCCCTCGGACAAACAGCTTCCATCCTGCTCTCCCTCTCCAAAGATACCAAAACTAGAGGCATAATGGCCCAACAAGGCGCCATAAAACTCCTCGTCCAAATCTACGACACCATCACCTTGGACAAAGTAACCCCCTCCCCCTACCCACCAAACATGGCTCCGCAAACCGCCCAAGCACTCTCCCGCATCCTCATCTCAACAAACCCAGCGCATATCTTCAATGCCGCCCTGCCGCCGCAATCTGCAATCCGGCCCTTGATCTCCCTACTCATTCCGAGCGAGTCCTCCGCATGGCAACTCCACGCCTTCGAATCGCTCCTTGCGCTCACGAACCTCGCGTCCATGGACATGCAGACGCAAAACCACATTATTCGGAACGCCTTTGATATCGTCGCCGACGACCTCCTGCTCTCCCAAAATACGCTGCTGAGACGCGCAGCCACCGAGCTCCTCTGCAACCTCATGGCCGCGCCCCTCTGCATCGAGCGCTTCGCAGACGGCTCGCCCCGCGCAACACACCGCTTGCACATCCTGCTCGCCATGACGGACGTCGACGACGCGCCCACCCGCTCTGCGGCCGGCGGCGCCTTGGCCATGCTTCTCTCCGTCGACCCTGCGATCCCGGAGCTGCTGAAGCAAGAGCGGGGCGTGGAGTTCTTGCTCGAGCTGTGCAGGGATGAGAACGAGGATATTCGGCATAGGGGGGTTGTGTGTTTGCGGTGCGTGGTTAGTACGAAGGAGGGGATTGAGGTGGTGAAGGCGAAGGGGGGGATTGAAGTGCTGAAGGGCTTGTTGAAGGAGTCGAGGAGGCAGGAGGTGCTGGGGTTGGGGGTGGAGACGCTGAAGATTTTGTTGGGGCAGTGAGGGATCGATTGATGGGGTAATTTGTGTTTAGAGGGGATGCGAGGGGTAGGGATGGGTTCGCAGATGCTAGCTTATATGACTATGGTCGGGATGGAATGGAATGGCGCGATTGTAAAGGTCGGCGGGCATTTGTCATGGATGGAAATGGCTTGGCTGTTTGTTACACACCACATTTAGAAAACTATGAATTCTCTCTGTAGCGAATCACAAGAAGAGCGTATCAAGTCTAGGATCATATATATCGACTCATTGTATTGCGCTGCACCAGCTATAACCACCCATGCCGTAGCGCGCGGTCTTGACGACGAAGCAACTGCTTATCTTCCCAAGGTACCCAAGCAGGGCGCCGGTATCGCGAGATTAGTCAACATTCGCCGAGTAAAGGTCTAACACACTCCATCTACCAGTCGCTACCGTACTACGCCATTCGCCCTGCAGTGTAAGAGCCTAAGAGACGGAAATGCGGAAGTGGCGATCCCCTTAATCGAGCAGCGTGACTGCTGCTATGAGCAGAGCTACTAGGGCAAGAGATGACGGGGACAGATAGGCGGTGGACGGAGCAGCCACTCCTTTCTTTTGGTCCTTCTTGGGCTCGTCTTTGGGATCGTCCTTGGGATCCTGCGGATGCTCAGTCTTAGGGCAGTTGCATCCATCCATGACAGGAAAAGCGTCCTTGCCCTTATCAACAGGAACAATGTTAGAGCCGCAATCGTCTAGCTCGCCGAACCATATGGCGTAATTGGCCCAATCAAAGGCCATGTATGCATCATCTAAGATGACAGATCCAATTGCATAAGTGTCCAAGTCTTCGGGGTTCGTTGCCGTCATCGCGAGAAGGCACAGCGTTCTAGTCTGCTGAACAACGAAGCTGGACAGAGGCACCGAGATATGGGTCGTCTGGCCGAAGGTGAAGGAGATAGTGCCCTCGAGGCTTGGAGAACAGGGTACGGAATAGCCGACACGCGAGAACGTGGTGTTATCAACCGTAGTGGATTTGCCCTGTTCTGAAAAAGCGTCTTGTTCGTACTGCGCGCCCGGGATCGACTTTCCGATCGCGTGGAATAGCCGTGCGGGAAATGCGCTGAAGACCGTCTCGCTGCGAGTTACGTAGGGGATGCCCCTCGGATATGTATAATTGTAGGGGTTCACTGATGCTGAGTCGAACGCTTTGTAGGGCATACCAGGTAATGTCAAACTAGCACCCGTCATCTCCACACCAAGGAGGATCCGGTCACGACTATCTTTATCAAGCACTGGGTGCTGGAACCTTTCCAAATGGCACCTGTATTTCTTGGTGTCGATACCACCAAAGATGAGCGACCCTTGCAGATGTATTTAGCTTCTGCGCACACTCTGGACCTTAGGGTTGCAAATGAGAATTACCTGTTTTGTTCATCAGGCCAGGATTGAAGCCGAAAGCGTTGCTATTTATCACGCCTCTGGCCACGAGGTCTGACGCAATCGAGTCCTTGTTGTGGGCCAGGCCCAAACGTCCAGTAAGTTGCGTAGACTCGGTAGCTGTTCTCACGAAGAAGTCATACTTCTCGAGCGTGAGGTTCCCAATCTTAACGTTGTCTGCGTACTTCGCAGGAGTACGATCTCGGGGAGGGTTCAGCAGCTCAGACGTATCCGAAGCACCAGGGTCGTACTTAGGGTACTTTCGGCACATATAATCGGCCACAGGGAAATCGATTTCACAGTCGGAGTTCACATACATGGACGACGTCGATGTGTCTAGAGAGAGGATAGCGGACTGGGAGTTGCCTCCGATGGTGACTTGCGGCGTTAGCACTGTAGTCTTCAAGGCCAAATTTCGACTTACTATTGACCATATGGAAGGTAGCATTGTCAAAAAGGATCCCGCGTCTGGTTACTGAAAGCACAACGACACCACCTGTAGCGCCCTCCGCCTGCGGCACGAAGTCGCCAATATCGCTAGCCACGGTCCCCACCATCGCGAGCGAGGCTACGGACAGGAAACGCGCAATGGTCGCGCGCAGCTTCATACTGATCAATCGATCGTACAAGGGACCAAGTGGAAAGCTCTTGTTGGTATAAGTCGGTGAAGGTATTCCGGGTAGTCGACTGCCATGCGAAGTTGAGGAGGTGGGAGACAAGAGAGGGCTGAAAGGCTTCGTGGTGAGAGTTGAAATTAGCCTCGATGCGCAAGCGGGGCATTCACTTGATGTGAAAGGGCACTTACGAGCTCGAGCGCATGCGGGTGGTGCTGGTGAAACGCTGTAGGTACAGGGTCCGATGAGACGTCATGATGGAGACGGCACAGCGGAGCCCGAAGGTCTTCAGTGTGTGTTGAACAGATTCGAGGGAAAGGCGACAAAAAGGTGGAATGGCGAATGGCGTCCACTCTAAGAGAGGAAGTGCGCACCGTCGCCCTTTCTATGTTCACTCCGTGGCACATACCATCACCAAATGCGTCGCTGTCAGAGCAAAGATCGACGTCCGGTCCCTTCCACAGTATCTGCGAACGTAACGAGCTTCCAGAAATCCTTCAGTCCCTCTCCCTACCCGGTAGATGCTGCTCGCCGTATCCGATTCGAGCGAGTACCATATCTGCGAGAATCTGCGGGATGTGAACGCTTTCTCAACAAAAATTAGTCTTTCGGCCTAGATCCTCGACGCAGGGCAGTGTTGAAACGCTACCACGCATCAAAGGTGGGCGGATGGTGGTTGTGCCCAGACGACGCGAGAAGAGGAGAGAATGGGACTAATAGTGCTATTGCGTACAAGTTGGGTATGGGTCTGAGGGATTGAATCTTATGTAATATTGGAGGGGTTCATAGCTACAACAAGTCCGTGAAAGCGGCAGATGACAGGGCGGGAAAGGAGAATTGTCAGAACCGTAATTATTCCATGCCAAGCTACTGCAGGTACCATCCTGCAGAATCCACGCAAGACTAGGTAGCGTTATACTTACTGCTAAGTTCGGCTCTCTTAAGCCAATATGTGCCGAAGATAGCGTGATGACCAACTGCTCATTCATCATCATCATCGTCGTCGTCGTCGTCGCCAAAAATGGCTTTGAAGACGTCCTCGGGAGCGCGCTCCTGAGTCAACGCTTCATTGGTGTCAACATCGACAGTTGCATGCTCTGTTGAAGGCGCAGCCGGTGGGACACGTTCTTGCGCGGTGGGGTTCATCCATGCAGGGCGCTGCAATGTGGGCGCACCCTTGGTCAACACCTCGTGCAGCATTCTATCCATCGCTGACTTGGACACAGCTTCCTCGGTCCTACTCTTCGAGCTGTAATCACCAGCGTCAGGTGCGGAGTCACATGGAACATCCGGAGGAGGCTTGACGTTGAATCGCTTGCACAGCAGCCGGGAAGGGTGAAATGGAAAGCTGCTTCGTGTCATGGGACCGTACATACCCAATTTCGCGGCTTGATCTGCTGGATCCTCTGGCTTCGCGACCGGCTTTCGAAGAAGGGTGTTGCCGCTGTCTGTGCTGCCGATCTGGTGGGACGCGGTCGATGAGGTAAAACGCGATGCCATGATGCCCGTTGTTGGCTTGAACACTTCTGCAGCATGTGCAAACTCTTGGAGTTCTTTAGCCCAGTCAGAGACAGGCATCTCGTCGGGTCTTTCTGGAAGGTCCGTTTTCTGTCCAGCACGGAGCTCCAGAAAGCCGACGTATCTGGCACGTTTCTTCAAATCTTCGGCGTAGGGCATCCATCCAGTCGCACCTTTGGCCAGAGCAGCGGCGGCGGTCCCTTTATCCAAGACCGGTACGAACGACCATAAGCCTTTAGGTTGTGCCTTAGCTGCGGACTGCTGCCCCTCTGGAGCTGTTTGTCCTAAGCCTTGAGGAAGATTGACGTTCCCTGTAAGTGTAGCAAGACGATCTCGCGCTTCTTTTGGGATGAAATCAAAGACGGATCTGCCGGGGAGAGGTGACTCGCCTAGGAGCGATGCCCTGGCATGTGCGTCGAGTGTAGAAGATTTGGCCACATCGGCGACGGATTGGTAGTTTTGGGCGTCCGTAGCGGGAGCGCCACTCTTCGAGGATTGCCATCCCGGAGGGATCATGGGTGGTGGAAGCTTGCGCTTGCTGGTTAGGTCGACAATTTGCGTGGCTAATACAAAGCCTCTAAGTGGAAGCTTTCCGTCGTAGGAGATTCCAAGAGCGGCTTTCCCATGTGCCTTTTTTGACACAAAGAGGTGCCTGTCCCCTGCTTTCGCAAACTTGCTGGGCTTCTTGGGCTTCTTTTCCTTCCCTATGGTCTTGTTGAATGTGATCTTAGGGCCGAGTTCATAAGGATCCTCGTCGTCTGAACCGGTGTCGTTCAGCACTCCGACGCCGAAAGAGGACTTCTTTGGGGCAGCCTTCCTGGGCGCTGGGGATTGGGCGGAGCCCTCAAAGAATGGAAGGGCTAGCATTGGACGGTCTTCCTTGTCCTTTGCGTCGATTGTGCCTAAACGTGCTTCGGATTTGTAGCCCAGCCCTTTGCGATTCACCTGCCCCTGAGCAACGGACATGACACGACTATCCTTCGGAGCAAACATGTGGGCGGAGGGAGCGTCCTTGGAGATAGCGCTGCCATCGTCTACGTGAGCCAGCCGACGAACTTTACGTCCAACGCCCTGGTCTCGTCGCCAGCCCATCTTCTGGGCTATCTTAACACCCATAGTTTCCTCTTCCGTCACGAAGAGCCCGAATAAGGCATCGTTTTGAGTGTCGCCGATACGACCAATTGTAGCCACGTTCTGAACGGTCTCTAGCTGGCGAGACTCGGCGGCTTCAGCTAGATCCTCCGTGTCCATAAAATCTTCCGGTCGTTGAGTAGCATCCTTATTCCGGTTCGAGCGTGAGGATACGAAGGCCTTCGGGGTCCATCCTTCCTTGGACCCAACTGTGTTGAAGTAACTTAGCAGAGTCAAGAAACCACGTTCGGAGCAACCAGGCTCAGTAACTTACCCTGCACTAAAGCCACCAGTGAAGGCACCATGCAATCTCCTCCGACCGCGCTCGTCGGTCACGGTCTGCTTCCATACCGGGACAAACGAGCCGTCGTCATCTTCTTCTGGCGAGAGTTCGGTCCCTAGGGCAATATATTTGCCTGGCCCGCCGGCTCCGCGGGCGCGCTTTTGGGACGAAGACGGAGAGGAGGCGCGCGGTCGTTTGAAAGACATGACGTTTGCTAATTCTTCGTTCCGCAAAGTATCGACACGCTTGTAACCAACAGTAAATCACAAGTTCCGGTTGGCGTTCATTACGTTGGTTGCATGATGGAGGGTTTGGTTCTGAAGAACTTTCGCATGGTGAGGTTATCAGTTCGGGGTCGGATGCCAAGACTCCGAGTGTGATGACTAAGATGAATACAGATGTACTATACATTCCGAGCTTCGAATGTTGCCAGCCTGTTCATTGATGCGATGTGTGTGGATATCGAAAGTAATTGCTTTTACTGTTTTCCTTATGCACTACCGATGGTGAATGCCTTCATAGGCGTGCCCAGCGCTGAATGTGGTATATCCATGCTGACTCCAGCCACAGCTGTAACGTGATATCGATCTCGTAAACCTAAAATATCTGATTCTCGGGTCCATTTGAGCTCCTCGTATTACCCAGCGGATCGCTTCATGCGTGGAGGAAGGTGAAACAAAGGGATGATCGTTGGGTTGGAAACAGCTCCGCGCATCCAAGGCATCTGGGCGATCATGATGTGTGCCAACCTTCGACGGCCGTACCTGGATTAGCCCTTGTAGCAACCAGGTTCCGTGTTTAGAGGTGCAGCGACCCTGAAGCAGCGCACCGCGGGCGGGCAGCTGACCATATGGCGCGGTACCCATAAACTAAGACGTACGAATCTAGTATGCCCAGGTGCCCCGCCGAGAGTGGTCGAGATGCGGCCCGCTAGCTAGCTCACCAGCGCGATGGAAGCCATATCGTGTTCCTCTCTCTCGCCTGCACCGAGACAACGCAACACGCCGCTGCTCATACACACCCGGGCAGTACACATTGTCCCCAGTGATTGACTCCCGACTGCCCCCGTCGCCGTGTTGATGCCCGGCCGCAGCCCCGCTTGCCCTGCCTGAGGCTCCGCCCGCCGTCATGCCGGCCTGAAATCGTGCTGCTGGCTGCCAACTCCGCCGCCAAGTGCCATCGCGATCAACACGCGGAGCTGGGCCCCCTTTCACCACCTCACTCCACATATCACATATCGCCGTCTGCGCTCTCTGTGCGGCACCCTGAAGGCAGTCCGCACCTCGTTTCCGCTGGGCGCTTGGTGCGCCGCCAAACCCGCCAGGCCTCCTTCTGCTCCTTGCGCAACCTTGGGGCAGCCTCGCCATGTCAGCCTCCGTCGCCCGCTCCCATTCCTCTTCTCGCCGCCCACACGCCCTGAACAGCCCCTCCGATCGCCCTCATCGCTCGCAATCTACGACTACACGCCCAACTACACAGTCGCACGCGCACGCTCGCCAGCAGCCCCCGCAGCCTGACCTGGCCGCGGTTGCGCGTCGAGACTTTGAGCGATCCAACGTTGCGAACCCGCCCACCACCCGCCGCTCCGAATCGAGGGATAGGACTGCGCCCGCACCCTCGCGCACCGAATCCAGCAGGAGGGGTCACACGCGCTATGCGTCCGACGCGTCAACTGCCTCCGCCATGCCCATCAACGGTGTAGCGGCCGATAGCAGGGCTGCTGCCCCAGCGCCCACCACGAAGCGTAGAACGACGATCCGCGGGCCGTCCACCGGGGAATGGTCTCTCGGCAAGACGATTGGTGCGGGAAGCATGGGAAAAGTCAAGTTGGCGAAGAGTGTGGAGACTGGCGAGCAGGTGCGTATAGGGCCGTGGAGGCCGGACACAGCTTGCTAACACACCGATAGGTCGCCGTCAAGATTGTACCGCGCCAGTCCACGGACCAGCACCACAGCCAGGCCGACCGCGAGCGAGCAGACCATTCGAAGGAGGTTCGAACTGCGAGAGAGGCCGCTATTGTTAGCCTTCTTAACCACCCGTATATTTGCGGCATGCGCGATGTTGTCCGAACAAACTACCACTGGTACATGCTCTTCGAATACGTGAATGGAGGACAGATGCTCGACTACATCATTTCGCACGGCCGCCTGAAGGAGAAGCAGGCACGCAAATTCGCCCGCCAGATCGCCAGCGCCTTGGACTACTGCCACCGCAACAGCATCGTGCACCGCGACCTGAAGATCGAGAACATACTCATAAGCAAGACCGGCGACATAAAGATTATTGACTTCGGCCTCAGCAATCTTTTCTCTCCCAGGCACCAGCTGAAGACGTTCTGCGGCAGCTTGTACTTTGCCGCCCCGGAACTGCTGCAGGCGAAGCAATATACCGGTCCGGAAGTCGATGTCTGGAGCTTTGGTATCGTGCTCTATGTCCTAGTCTGCGGCAAGGTCCCGTTCGACGACCAGAGCATGCCGCAGCTGCATGCCAAGATCAAAAAGGGGCACGTTGACTACCCGCCGTGGTTGTCTGCCGGTATGTCCACACCATTGGAGAGGGCTTTCCTCGCTAATTCTGGTCAGAATGCCGCAACCTTATCCATCGAATGCTCCAAACCGATCCCTCTCAACGTATAACGCTCGGCGAGATCATGAACCACCCATGGTTGACAAAAGGGTTCAACAGCCCGCCCGAAAATTACCTGCCCCACCGAGAACCGTTGCAACTGCCACTCGACGAGGAGATCATTGAGAAGATGACCGGGTTCGACTTCGGTTCCCCCGACTATATCCGGACGCAGTTAACCAACGTGATCCAATCGGACGAATACCAGCGTGTAGTGCGGCTTGCGGCGCGCAAAACCACGGTGCAAACTCCAGAGGCGGAGAAGAAAAGGGGCATGTTTGACTTTTACAAGAGGAGGAACTCAATTTCGAGTCGGGAGCAGCTAACCGCTTCGTCTTCCGAGGAGGTACAACGTGGGCTGGATCCGGTGAATGCTTACAGCCCACTCATTTCCGTATACTACCTTGTGCGTGAGAAGAGAGATCGTGAGCGGCTCGAAGTCAACCCTGGCGCTTTGGCTATGCCTCACAGCCCGGGGGAGAAACCTCTAAAGATGCCCGATCTTCCCGCCCCTGAAGCGGCCTACACCAATACTGCGGCGTACGAAATGGCCGGCGAAAAGCCCACCGGAGGAAGATCTCGGCCTAGAGCCAGAACGCACGGAGAAGACGAAGTGACCGAAGGATTGCAAAAGTTGAATCTGAAGGAACCGCCTGGTAGCGTTTCCCCAGCGATTATTTCTCCAGCTGTCGAGCAACCCAAGCAAGAGAGTAAGGCTGCAGGTATCCTGCGACGCTTCAGCACCAGGAAGTATAGGAACCCCGAACGTGACCGCGCGGAGCATCCACCTACGCCATCCCTTGCTGTATCAGGCCCAGCAGAGACGGTCAATGCGCCTCGAAAGAGCTTTAGTGTTAGGCGCACGCGCGAGAAGGACGACCAATCATCCTCCCACCTCCACCCAAGCGATGCAAACCAACCGGAGCTTCTCTCTCCGCCGAGTACTGCTAGTAGTGCTACACGAAAGCTGAAGGCTCTTGGCCGCTCCACGAGCGTTAATGGCGCTGACCTACGAAGGCGACTAAGCCGCAGAGGAAGGTCATCAGAAGATCCCGGCAATCCTCCGCCAACAAGCGGGTCTGACAGATCGAGCATTCAACAGACAAAAGCTACAAACGATGCCGCCTCAGAAGATCTATCTGCAAGCCCCCGCCGGGTTGCAACGTCCCGCACAAAGTCACTCGGACATGCACGGCGGGAAAGCATCCAGGCTCGACGCGCACGGAGGGAACAGGTCAAGGAAGCTAACGTTCCGGAAGAGACTGATGCAGACCTCGTCGAGACCAGCGCGGAGGCGAGCCGCAGCCCTGATGCTGTTAAGCCGGTTTTCCTGAAAGGACTCTTCAGCGTATCCACGACCAGTAGCAAGCCGTTGTCGTATATCCAGTCCGACATTATCCGCGTGCTGGACCAGCTTGGTGTTACGTATCACGAAATTAAGGGCGGCTTCAAGTGCCGTCACGCCCCCAGTATCGACCTAAACAAGGTCGTCGATTCACCCTCGTCAGCGAATCCTCCTGCAAGCGGTCATAGACGGAAGATCAGTTTCGGCGCCTTCAACCGGGACAAGGACCGAGACGAATTTAGAGAACAGCATCGCACTCCCCAGACGCCGAGATCCGGACGAGGTCGGCCATCAATGGCGGATCGCAGCTACACCAACACGGACGAGTCTGATGCGAGTGGCGAAGACAAGGAAGAGAGGCGACCACGCACCGGCCGCGCGCTCCCACCTGGAGAGACGACGACGCATGTGCAGAGTGACCTCGGAGAAAGCATGGTTCTTGTTTTTGAGATTTTGATTGTGAAGGTGCCGCTTCTGCAGTTGCATGGCATTCAGTTCAAGAAGGTGGATGGTGGCATGTTGCAGTACAAGAATATGGCTCAGACCATTCTAAGGGAATTGCGATTGTGAGCGAGCAATGGCGTTTCTGGTTTTTGGGCATTTTGCGAGACAAAGCAGAGACGATCCTCCTTCCAGACAGTGTTGCATGGCGGCATTTTGCGGGACTGTCGGAGAGAGAAGTTTGCAGGCAACAAGCATGACGAACGAATCTCATTTGTTTTATCTTCATCGCTTGAGGGAATTGGGCCGTGGTTTGGAGAGAGGTAACGCTCGTTTGGAGACGTTTGTACTGTTCATAGACACCTGTTGTAATTCCGAGAAGCTTCAGAAAAGCGAGAGCGGCTCGATATCTTGCCGTCTTTTACGTCCCTGTGCGAGAAGAAGCTCGAGCTGACTATCTCCCGTGCCCGTGTCTTACCTAACCATGCAACGTCGGGCGGGTGCCAGCAGATTGCCTCGAGCTCGGGCCACTTTTATCGGCGCCAAGAGGCGCGAGCCATCAGTGGGGTCCGCGTTTCGCAACTTCACCTCTCGAGTGCGCCAGGACAAACACACAACCGCTTTTCTCTCTCCTCTCCGGAACACGCTTCCCCCACCGCCGATCCGTCACCGACTCGTTGTGCTGTCTCTATTAGAGCTCTGCTTAGTTTTACTCTTCTTCCCACACCTCCTACCTCAACCTCGACAATTGCAGCCGCAAATGCAACACATCTTCGCGCACCAGCAGCAGTACCCGGGCGAGTGGTCTCAGGGCCACCACCAGCATCCAAATCAGCATGTAGCCCAGCATGGCCAGCTTCACGCGCAAGCCCAAGCTCAAGCGCAGGCTCAGGCCGCCGCTGCCGCCGCCGCAGCAGCTCAACAGCAGCACTACAACCGGATTGCGGGTAACAACGGCACTGCCATGCCCGGCAGCGGAATTATCCCCCGCGGGCCTGCCAACGATATTCAAGGGCAGGCCGAGATTGGCATGACAGAGGAGAACCGACGAGTGCTTGAGTGGATCGCCCAGCTGATGAAGCCGCAAACGAGGGAGACCGCCCTGTTGGAGCTCAGCAAGAAGCGTGAGCAGGTGCCAGAGCTCGCTCTGATCCTCTGGCACTCATTCGGTATTGCACCCGTTTCTATTACCACCACCACATCGTAGTTAACACTCTCTAGGCGTCATGGCCTCGCTGCTCCAGGAGATCATTTCCGTCTACCCGCTCCTCAACCCCTCGCAGCTGACCGCCGCTGCCTCGAACCGCGTCTGCAATGCCCTTGCGCTTCTTCAATGCGTCGCTTCTCACACCGAGACCCGTGGTCTCTTCCTGAGCGGTATGTCGACTTCGTGTGTGCTCATGCGCGCAGCTAACCCAGCAAAGCTCACATTCCGCTGTTCCTTTACCCGTTCCTCAACACGACGTCCAAATCTCGTCCCTTTGAGTACCTCCGCCTTACCTCGCTCGGCGTCATCGGCGCACTCGTCAAGAACGACTCCTCCGAGGTTATTAATTTCCTCTTGACGACCGAGATCATCCCGCTCTGCCTGCGCATAATGGAGACGGGATCCGAGCTTAGCAAGACCGTCGCTATTTTCATCGTACAGAAGATACTACTGGATGATATTGGTCTCGCATACATCTGCCAGACCTACGAGCGGTTCTATGCCGTTGGCACCGTCCTCAGCAACATGGTCAACCAGCTGGTCGAGCAGCAGACCGTCCGCTTGCTCAAGCATGTCGTCCGCTGCTTTCTTCGGTAAGGACATTTACATGCATCCCCTTTATCATATCTAACGGACCATAGTTTAAGCGACAATGCCCGCGCTCGTGAGGCTCTCCGCCAATGTCTTCCGGAGCCCCTTCGCGATGCTACCTTCTCCTCGGTCCTGCGTGACGATGCCGCTACGAAGCGCTGCCTCGCCCAGCTCTTGATCAATCTCTCGGACAACGTTGTCGAGCCGAGTAATAACCAGCAGCTCCTCCACTAGGGCGGTCAACAACTTCATATGGGACACGCTCCGGCTCCGTCGATTCCACTTTGGGCTCGTGTGGATACCTACTTCATGCTTTGTATCATATGGCTTTGGCTATTTTCGAGGCGGCTCTTCTTATGGCGACTACATACCCCTTTTTTCCTATGGTTTCTTTCAAAAGTAGGTGCATCGGCACGACTCGATTGGGCGCTGGGCACCTCTGATGCGATACCCCGTTGCGACAGTATCTTCAGGATCTGTAGCATCTTTTCCTTCTCAGGCTTGCATCTAACTCCATTTCACGAGTGACGGACATGGCTCGGAGTTTTGGGTTTCTCTGCATAGGATCGGAGTGACTGGTCTCTTGGAAAAGCGATACTGTATACTAGCTGGGAGGGTACGTGAAGCGATGTACAGAATACTTATTCTTGTTTTCGAAGGTGCACTGCCAGTATTCCTCGGACATGCATCGATGGAGGGAGGTAGTCTGCAGGGCAATGGGTGCAGCGCAAGTACGCCATGTAGCGCGCATGGAGAGGATCACTGCCCCCTTCTACCACAGAAGTCCGCCGGCAGAACATCAGTCACTAATTTTATTCCAAGCTTTAGAATGAGCTACATTTGTATACTTCCCCAAAAGAAATGCCAAGAGATGTCGCTTGAACTAGCCTAGCGCCATTTTGTAAGCGAGGCTCACCACCACAAAACCTCAGTTCGCCGCTCGAACCTCCGCCCCTCCAAAACACCCATCGCAACTAGAGACCACCAACGGATACCACATCCTTTGGGAGACAACAGCCACAATGTAGGCGTCGTCGAAACTTCTCTTCGTTGCGATTCAGTTCGTCTGACCCTTTCGCTAGGTCGAAAATCTCAGTTGCCGGCGTCCGCGCCAACGTCAAGTGAGTCTGATCATGGAGAAGAGGCAATAGTTGGGAAGCTGACAACGCCGCGTTAGGGAACTGCTCGAGTACTCGAACGAAACCAAGAAGCGCAACTTCCTCGAGACGGTCGAGCTCCAGATCGGCCTCAAGAACTATGATCCCCAGCGTGATAAGCGTTTCTCCGGGACGGTTAGGCTCCAGACGGTGCCGCGCCCACGCATGGCTCTCTGTGTGCTTGGAGACCAGCACGATATTGATCGAGGTTGGTAGCGTCGTCCAGGCAGCTTGCGCAGTTGCTAACCTTAGGCAGCCAAGCACCACGGAGTCGACGCTATGTCCGCGGACGACTTGAAGAAGCTCAACAAGAACAAGAAGCTCATCAAGAAGCTGGCGAGGAAGTACGACGCCTTCATCGCCTCTGATGCGCTCATCAAGCAGTAAGACCACCCTAAAATACGCATACCGAACATCTCGTGTACTAAGTACCGCGCTTAGGATTCCTCGTCTCCTTGGCCCGGGCCTTTCGAAGGCCGGCAAGTTCCCCACGCCCGTCTCCCATGCCGAGGATCTTAGCAACAAGATCACGGAGGTCAAATCGACCATTAAGTTCCAGCTGAAGAAGGTGCTCTGCATGGGTGTCGCTGTTGGAAACGTTGGCATGACTGAGGACGAGCTCATCTCCAACATCATGCTGGCTATCAACTACCTCGTCTCGCTTCTGAAGAAGGGCTGGCAGAACGTTGGAAGCTTGACGATCAAGGCCACTATGAGCCCTCCCAGGCGCCTCTACTAGACAGCGTTCTCCACGTCTGTCGGATTGGTGTTGTGGGTGAATGTGCTTGGCTTTCTGCAGTGGGAATCGTTCGCTCGACAAACCCAACCGACATCTGAAAACATGGGCAGTAGTGTAGCTAGTCAATGAAATCATGAAGCCCACAAAACGAATCTCTTTCCCACACCTGATCGTGAACCCCAGATTCCCTCTCCCAATTTTTTCTTGCGTACCTGCTTCATGGATTTGACGCCATTCTTGCCAAGTCCGGGCGTTACCTAATCTCCGTGCACGGTCCCCACACCTCCGAGAATAAAATCTTGCGGCTCCCGCGTCCCTCTTCTCTTCCCCATCATCAGAAGGTAAAGTTTCTATCCTTTACCATCGCGGCTCCGCTTCGGCGGCTTGCTGAGGGTTATTCTTTTTTTCGATGAATAGTCTTCCGTTCCCGGCCTCGTAGAGTAGTATCCAACCGTTCTTCCTTACCAACTGCGTTCGTCCGTGAAAAGATGGATCGGAGTTGTGGGATGGGTGGGACATGCATAAGCGATTTTTCCATTAGGATGGATGATGAGAGTGATGTGTGATGTGGGATTGAGGAAATCTTGTTGCTGACGTCCTGCTGTTGCGTTTGAAGTGTCCAGAAAAGATCTGGGGGTTGCGGATTTTGCGGGATGCATGCTCGAACTCATCCATGATGGTAGAGGTTGTAGTTGCACGTGTGCTAGTCACCACCTGGGCAGTCTGCGTGGATTGGTGCGAGTACGCCATTGAGCTTCAGAATGGAGGATATCTCGTGGAGGTGTTTCGTTTTCTTGATACAATATCCTACAAGATTTGGTACAATCATTAGATGCCATAAGAATGCTATGTAATCGCTCAACAATGCTTTGTCCTTGTATCCTGAAAGCCTTCAAGCCAACATCCACAGCCCATATCCGCCTCACTGCTTCGGCTGCCTCTGCCTCCACTTATCAAACGCCTGATCCGCCGTCTCGCTGCTCATGCCACAACGCTCGCCGAGCACGCTCCATGTCCGACTTCGAATGATCTTCTCTACAGCCCGTTCGTTCCGCATCAGCATGGCTAGACTTTCTGTGCGCGCTTCTCGGGGGAAGAACCGTCCTGAATATGGATCTAACCGCTCGTCGACAACGCGCTCTCGCGCCTTGTCATCTTCGATTTGTCGGAGGATACTGTCGGGATCGTCTGGATCGGGGGAGGTGGCAACGCCCGCGCAGTAGTCCAGCACATCTGAACGTACCGCCCATGACGGGAATAAGACTCGTTCTTTGAAAGCGTCGCACTGCTCTGGCGGAATCATCCGACTCGTACCAGGCGCAGCTAGTGAGCGCGAGGACGTCGAAGAGGGATCGAAGCCCCGCCCCGCGGGCGTCAGCAGCGCATTGAGGTTCTGGGTTATCGAGTCGTCGATGGTGCCGCGCGATATACGGAGGAAGTCTGTTGCGGGGCGTCTGATTAGTTAGTGTTTACGATGGGGTGGAAGGGCCTCAGGCTTCGCGTGTGTACGGACCTCGGAGGGCGGTCTGGTTGAAGCAGAATTGGGGTGTTAATCGCGGGCGCTCTGATGGCTGTGACATTGCCGACGGTGGAGAAAGGTTCTTCGGCTCAGCCGGAGGCCGTTGCCAGAAGAGGTGCGCCAGGTCGGACGGTGGGGCGTTGCTTGGAAGGCGTGTGCTAGGGTTCGCGGTGTAGGCGTAAAGCTGCTGAAGGCAATTCAGGCTCCTGCAGCCTCTCTGATGCTGACACAAGTGGGCGGCCTGCAAAAAGGTACAGCTTTCGCAATTGAGTCCGAAGTGTGACCAGAAGTGACCGCAACGATGATTCTCGAAGGTGAAGTTGTGATGCAAGCTAATCCCTGCTCGATGATGTCAGCACGCTCACGTGAAGATCTCGCCGCGACGCGAAGGCGCGACTCAGACGCGTGCCTGCTGTGCTCACTTCACCCTTGGCAAACTGATTGCCAGAGCATGCTCCGGCGCTGCAATGCTTCTGCCTGCTCATCTTTAGCTCCTTGTAGTCTCTCCCGCCCCTCTTCCACCCTTCCACTTCGCTGCACTGCATTGTCCGTACCCGGCCGCAATTCCCTCCGCCAACAGCACTGTGGACCACGTTTTCACCGACCAGTAGCCATGGCGCCTAAGCAGGCTACTCTGGGGTATGTCAGGCCTTCTCAGACTACTTTAACGTGCGGGCATCACCTAGAATCGCCGTGATTGCTTATTCGTAGAGCTAATGCGTCGCGTCATAGAAAGTTCTTCGGGAAGCCGAACGGCACGGTAGCATCGAAGCCGCAGCAGTCGAAGCTCTCATTCGCTACGAAGTCGAAAACTACAAAGAAAGATGAGGAGCCCGAAGAAGAGCCCATGTCGTCGCCCGAGGAATTGAAGAAGGAGAATGGAGATACGAAAGCCGGTGCGGAGGTCAAAGAAGAGGCGGACGTCAACGCTATGGAGCTCGACAGCTCTCCCTCTGAAGCCGGCAAGAAAAGGCAGGTAGAAGAGGAGGAACAAGACTCTGATGATGCGCCGCCGACCAAGAGGCAGCGCAGGAAGCCGGCCAAGCCGAAGGCGGAGAGTGCGAAGAAATCGAAAGCTGCGCCCAAGAAGACGGAGAAGGCTGCTCTGAAGCAGAAGAAGGCGCCTGTAAAGACTAAAGTTGAAGAGCCTGAGGACGAGGAGGAGGAGGTTTCGGCGCCACCTAAGGTCGCCAAGGGCAAGAAGGAGGTCGAGAAGTCTCCTATCGTGGAAGAGGATGGAGAGTCAAGCGCAAAGGAGGATGAGGAGGTTCTCAGCTCAGACGAGGAACCTCCGGCAGCGAAAGCTAAGGCCCGCGAGAAGGTTCAGACTACGCTTAAGAACACGACGAAGGATCCATATCCAGATTGGAAACCTGGCGAGCCCGTACCGTACGCCGCGCTCTGCACGACGTTTTCGAAGATCGAGATGACGACGAAGCGGTTGGAGATCCTAGCCCATTGCTCCTTGTTCCTCCGGCAAGTTCTACGACTCACCCCTTCGGATCTTCTGCCGACCATTCTGCTTATGATCAACAAGCTTGCGGCTGATTACGCTGGTATTGAACTTGGCATTGGCGAGTCCCTGATCATGAAGGCCATTTCTGAGAGCACTGGCAGAAGCCTGCAACATATCAAGAGTGATCAGAACGAGATCGGTGACCTTGGTCTCGTTGCGGCGAAGAGCAGATCTAAACAGCCGACCATGTTCAAGCCAAAACCTCTCACCGTTGCGGGAGTGCACAAGGGTCTCATGACCATTGCCACCACTGAAGGACAAGGTGCTCAGGGCCGAAAAGTAGATGGTATCAAGAAGTTGATGTCTGCTGCCGACGCGCATACTGCGGGCAAGGCTGTCGATATCGAGAAAGACAAAGGTGGGCCTAGTGAGGCGAAGTATATTGTCCGCACGCTGGAGGGTAAGCTGCGACTCGGTCTCGCAGAGAGGACGGTCTTAGTTGCCCTAGCACAGGCCGTAATCTTCCATGAGATGTCGCAGGAGGGTAAGGTGCCTTCTACCGCAGATCTCGCCAAGGCTGAATCGGTCCTGAAGTCCGTCTACAGGTATGCTGGATCCTCTTCACTCTTATCGGAAGGAGGACTAACATTGTTCAGCGAACTTCCGAGCTACGAAGTCATCATTCCAGCAATGCTCGAGCATGGCATCCTGAACCTTCGTGAGAATTGCCAACTGCAGCCCGGTGTACCCCTCAAGCCCATGCTTGCAAAGCCGACAAAGTCTATCACCGAAGTTCTCGACCGCTTCGACAACAAAGACTTCACATGCGAGTACAAGTATGACGGTGAGCGAGCTCAGATCCACTTCGTTGCGCATGATGCATTGGAGAGCCTTGCTACTGCTGCGCCATTAGCAGGAAAGAGCGACAAGGGTGTCGCGAACATCTTTTCGCGGAACTCTGAGGATCTCTCGAAGAAGTACCCAGATATTCTGGCAAAGCTGCCGACATGGGTCAAGGAGGGGACCAAGAGCTTCGTTCTTGATTGCGAGACCGTAGCCTGGGATATGGTTGAGAAGAAGGTTCTGCCTTTCCAGCAGCTGATGACGCGGAAGAGAAAGGACGTCAAGGTTGAGGATGTGAAGGTCAAAGTCTGCGTCTTCGCATTCGATATCCTCTACCTGAATGGCGAGGTCGGTTGTCCTCTGTACCACATCCCATGCGACGCTAACCTTGCCAGGCTCTCGTCAACAAACCCTTCCGAGAGCGACGTGAGGCCCTCACTAATACCTTTGTGCCTGTAGAAGGCGAATTCGCTTTCGCCAAGTACGGCAACATCAACGAGCTCGAAGAGATCCAAACTCTTCTAGAAGAGAGCGTCAAAGCCTCGTGCGAAGGGCTCATGGTAAAGATGCTGGACGGGCCCGAGTCCTCCTACGAGCCCAGCAAGCGCTCGCAGAACTGGCTCAAAGTCAAGAAAGACTACCTTTCCGGCGTTGGCGACTCTCTCGATCTCGTCGTGCTAGGAGCCTACTACGGCAAAGGCAAGCGCACGAGCTGGTATGGCGCCTTCCTGCTCGCCTGCTACAACCCGAACACCCAGAATTACGAAACCGTCTGCAACATCGGCACCGGTTTCTCCGAAGCCATCCTCGAAACCTTCCACAAGCAGCTCTCGGAGATCGTTATCGACCGCCCGAAGCCCTTCTATACGCATTCCGCCGGCAATAAAGACCAGCCGGACGTCTGGTTCGAGCCGCGCTACGTCTGGGAAGTCAAGACGGCCGATTTGACGCTGTCGCCGCGGTATAAGGCCGCCGCTGATGAGGTTGGTGGTGGTGGAAAGGGGATTAGTTTGAGGTTCCCGAGGTTTATTAAGGAGAGGGATGATAAGAAGCCGGATCAGGCGAGTACGTCGAGGATGATTGCGGAGATGTACCAGAGGCAGGAGAGTGTGGCGAAAAATAAAGGGCCGAGTGTGGATGATGACTTTGAGTATTAGATAGGATGGGGACGATGGCATGGAACGGGTGGATGGGTGGTCATTTGTGCATGATGGATATGGCTGATTCCTGGGAGTCGCGCTTGAGGGCATGGTGGAAAAGGCCATAGGTTAGGGATTGCATAGGCCAGTTCTGAATACTCCTTCCGACAGTTTCTGCTAGACATCCTCCCTGGACGAAATGAATAAACAACTTGAAAAGTCGGCGGCCTTGACTGTTGTTCAAATCGGCACTCCGTGTATCTCAGCTTAGGGGGCGAGGTAGCGCTCGTGTGATTCGTGATTGGTGAGTAGTGGTGGTGTTCGGATGGCTTGGCCGACGTTGCAAACGTCAAATGTGTGCCTGCCCTTCGAACGCCACCATATGTACACCTCTCCAGAGCTAGCCCTGGAGAACAGCAATACACTAGTCAGAACGCTTAGTTGTCAAATGTTTCTAGGCTTAAGTATCCACGAAATGTGTACGGCAGGACACTGTTAAGGATATTTGCAAGACGCAAGCCTTATTACACTAACCGAAACTGATTGAATTGTCTGAGGATGACTACGAATACAATTTACTTTACACGGCACTCTCAGATCGCCTGGATTTTCCTCGCTGGAATAGCTTGGCTCTCGTTCCGGGGGTTGGTGCTCCTGCTGTAGGTACGGAATCTGCTGTAGGTGTTGCTGCTGCTGTAGGTATTGAACCTGGTTTAGGTACCCCTCCCGAGCCTTGAACAGTACCTGCCGAGCGGGATCCATCCGAATGAGCCACATTCGCTGAAGGTGGTACTTCCGGCTCCCTATGTGCCGCGGATAAGGCAGCTCGAAACCAGCAGTGCGGACACCACCACACCTCCAGTCTTGCATTTGGATCAAAGTTCTTCATCCTCACAAATTCCGAGTCCGCTTTGTCGATTAGTTTAGGAGGCACATAGCCCTCCTCCCTCATCCTGACCAAATTCCTCGTTGTCCTATATGCAGCGTGCGCTTTGCCAAGCCAATACCACATTCCCACAACAATAAAAAGCCCGACAAGACCTCCTAAGCTCTTCCAAATAACCGACCGGACATCTGAAATGCTGTAGTTCTTTGCTTCGATGTTTCCTTCGTTATCAAAGCCTGCGATGATGTTCATGCCGTAGTAGGAAGTAATGAACGATAGTGGGAGAAAGACAATGGTGACGACGGTGAAGATGAAGAGGATTTGCGATTGTGCTTCCGTTGCGTCGGCCTGCGCTTGTGCTGCTATGGCTTGTTTGCCTGCAAATAGAGCTTGTTGGTTCGCGTATTTGGCTTCGTCGATGCTTGCTTCCTTTTGTTGGAGGTCGAGTAGGTCCAAGACGCTTCTTTGTAACCGATGTACATCTTCAATCATACGTAACACCTTGGGCAAGTACTCGTTGTTGATGGTCCGCAGTAGGCGTTCTGTCTCTTCCTGGAGGGGATGCAGAAGGGAAGTCTGTTTCTCTTGCATGTCCTGGCCTCCCTTTCGTAGAACACCGTTCTGGACTTCGAAGAGTTGTTTCAGCATACTGAGCTCATCGAGGATATCGGCTATCTCGAGGCCCAACGCCACTTGCTCTCTCCTTGTATCAGCTCTCTTCTGTTCCGAAACCGATTCCGCGGATGCTGAATTCTCGGACTGGGAGTCATTTTCGGTCCGTTTCAAGGACTTTTCAAACGCCCGGAAGAAGCCAATATGTTTCTCCGTCACCTCTCCTATCGCTTCTTGGAATAGCTCCAGGAAATCCAGCGACCAGTCATCTCGGATTGATAGAGTCTCACGCAGTGCGGTAGATAGAATCGTAGACGCAACTTCTGGCGCACGAGGAACTCCCTCGTATTCTTCATCTTGCGCAGTTTCAAGCTTTTCGAGAACCCGGTCACGAATGCTTGCCGCGCTATAGGGGTCCGGGCCTTCATTGTCCGATCTTGCGTATGAAGTGTCAGGAAAAGAAGTGACGACGGCCGATCTAACATGTCCCGCTGTTTGGGGCGCTACAGCAGACGCAGCTGTGCCCTGGGTTTCCAAGACCAAAAGGTAGAGCCACAGCTGGTCTACCATGATCATCTTAGCTGCATTCTGTACATCGTCTCTTTTCGTGAGCCGCGTAATGGTTTGATCCGCATCGCGTTCCCTTGTATCTTTCACGCGAGGGTACGAGAATTGGTCCAGAGTTCGACGTGGGTGATACGACGACGTAACGTTCTTATTCGTTTGCATAAGCTTTAGCAGCTTAGCAATGCGCGGAATTGCCCTTGATGGGGGTTGGCTATCGCTCGGAGAATACGCATGCCAGACATGGTTGCAGTATGCTTGAGCCCGCTCGAGTGTATCCCAATGAAGGTACGGAATCTATGAGCGATGTAAACATCTGGTACTCATGGGTACTGCTGGGCTATGTGCTTGACTTACAGTTATACAAACACTGGCAACATTGTATTCGCGATCTTCGTGGATGTCGAAATTTGGTAGGATATATCGGGAATGCGGAAAGTTCTGTCTTGCTTTGAGACTAGATTCGAGAGAAGTGTACAGCCAGCTGTCTGATATGACCGTTGTTTCTGTCAATTTCAATATTGCATCCTGTTAATGTTACGTAGCTGTACGTAAAAAGTAGTAGTTTCGAACTGACCTTCATCCAGGATTCATTGTTGGCGGGGATATGCAGCCAGAAATCTGATAGTTGGGGATAATTTATTCTGAGCGGAAGATCCTCCAAGAACCAGGGCTTGCCGGGGTTGGAATTGGGAAGCTTACAAAAGCTACTAGGATTGTAATTGGCGGGATGGTATATTTTGCAAATAGAAGACTTATCGAATGGCCGTTTACGCTCCAAAGAAACGTGCACCGCAGCCCAATCCAAGTCGTGCGAGAGAAGGGAAGTGCAGGGGTGCCGAACAAGAAGTCCTCGAGTCTGAACCTCGAAAAGCAGCTCCACACGCTTGCATGCGTCCCGGAACCGCTGCAATGCGTTGACTTTGTGAACCTTTCGTAGCTTGGGATGTGCTGTGAGTTCTCTAGGTACCGCTTGTGGATGAGATCCCGAGTTTTCTGCTGCAGCTTCGTCCTCTGGTGGTGTCGCGGACGACGGTTCGTTAGGCAAAACGTCGGACTTGAAACCGTGCGTAACCTTCGAAGCCTCAAACTGTTGATCAACACGTATAAGTTTCTCTCTCCAATCTTGGTGAGCCCATCGCTCCGGTAGGAAATCCCGAACATGCTCTTCCAAATAGTGTCTGCAATCCAGTTCTTCATCCAGATACGTCGGCGGATCTACTCTCATCAGAACACGTGGGTAAAAAGCCCACAGTAAAGAAACCGGGCCTACCAAGAAAGAGAACACCTAGCAGCCTGTCAAGCTGCGGCGTACAAGATCTGATTTCCCCTTGCGTTCCCCAAAGGATATCAATCAGCTACCAGAGGTTTAGTACATGCGCTAGTGTAGTGATACCATGGGTTCTTACGTTTTTCAAGTGATAGCCCGCAAGGTCATGCACAATGAAAACTATTGGGGCTCGTTGCTCAAGTCGAGTTTTGCTGAGATGCTCCTCTATCTCCCAACAATCTCTATCAAACCCACTCTTAAACTCTCTAGTGCGTATTGGATCCATGTACCATCTAGACTGGCAGCGAATGTCGTAGATAGCGCAATGTTGAAACTCCTGTGGTGGCTTAAAATCTTTCTGGAGCCAAGCCCGGCAGGTAGCGTTAGAGCATCGAGGAGCAGCAATTTCTCCGTCTTGTTGAGTCCAGAGTTGTCTTTGAGAACATTCGGGCGGATGGAATATAAAGATTCTAAACATGGTCTTTGAGAAGATGTAAAGCGTGTATTTAGTGTGAAATATCTTACCGGCCCCTAGTTCTTTCCGCGGGTATATGGAGAGGGGTGATTGCCTCCATGATTCAGAGACTACTCCAAAGGAGAATTGCCAATGATTAGCGGACGAGTTCCGATATAAGTCGGAGAAATGGACTGGCTGCTCGCGTATCTTGAACAATTCCGGCGTTGCTATATTCGCCTTGCGCTGCCGTCTTCCCAGGTTATCCTTACAAAGCTGGTGAAGACTAAGCTTCATTGGGGTACAAGACTTCGAGCTGAACATGCTGCAACCAATAAGTTCTTTTTCTTTTATCCAACATATTGAGCGAAGGCTTATCTTCACTGTGCGTCTGACATACATATGCAACCCGAACAGCGTCGACCTATCGACAACAGGGCTTGAGCAGGCAATGCATCCAATAGAAGACGCCGTGGAAAGCCTCTCATGCGCAGTCGCGAAAAACGTAACCCTCGTACCGCCGTGGCGCACAGAGCTGAGTTCATGAGAGGGCCAAGAGGGGGCAGCGCCACGTAGCAGGCAAACGAATAATGTTCTGAGGTGTGGGTGATGACTTGGAGGCTGGGAGCTTCCAAAGTTTGTCGGTGGTGGTTTGGAATGGCGTTATTCCGCATTAGTGCTAGTAGCATCTCTCCAATCCCGCATCTTTCGCTTTATCATGCGAGGGTAGTAGCTTCTTGCCTTTAAAAGTATCTAGGAGGTTCTTCTTCGTATCAGAAATGGCGTTCGCGGTACGTGTTACGGTCGAGGACTTTTCAGCGCCGAAGTCGAATTTCGAGCAGAAGGCTATAAAGTCCCCGCAGCCTCCCGGATTCACAGGCCAACGCAGCTTTTGCTCCAGGTGCTACAACATCCTTTCTGGAGAACAGCACCCTATCGAGATTGACGGCCTGTATCGATACTATGAATACCACAAAACGACGTGGCAATGGCGAGCGTCTGTCAGCCAAGGTTGCCACCTCTGCAGCGTTATCTGGGATCGATTGAACGCTTCCCAACAGCAAACGCTGATGAACTTGAATACTGGTCTACGAACCATGTTCTCCGTAATTAGTCATAAGGACGTGACTATTGGATTGTCTACCGTAGGGCCTGGGCCCAAGCTACGCGAATGGGCCGTGTTTTTCGGCAGGACCAACGTTGATGATAGTATGTTATTATCTAGGAAGCTCACACAGTTCGAACAAAGCTGAGCAATTCCAGTACAGTATTTTGACGCTGCAGAGAGTCAAACGACCAACTCCTCCGAGTCATGGAACGTTGCTCGTACATGGTTACGGCGATGCTCTAGGCAGCATCGGATCTGCAACAGCATCTTGTCTTCGGATTCCTGGTATCCATCCCGGCTTATCGACGTTGGCGCAGAGGTACTTGGCCTTCCTCGCTTAGTATGTACTGCCGAAGAAACGATATCCGGGCGTTATGTTTCTCTCAGTCACTGCTGGGGTAAATCCGAATTTCTGCAGCTTACGGAATCGAATCTTGAATGCTTCAAGAAGGGTATACCCATCGACGCTCTCTCTAAGACATTCCAAGATGCCATCGAGGCTACTCGGTGCCTTGGAATGCGTTATATCTGGATTGACAGTCTATGTATCATACAACAGCAGGATTCAAAGGACGACTGGCTGCGGGAATCTCCGCAAATGGGAATGATATATTCGAATTCATATTGCAACATCGCTGCCACGGGCGCATCTGACGGCAACGATGGACTCTTTAAGCCTCGGTGCCCCCACACAGTCTTTCCCAGCGCAATTCGAAATCCCCACCGAGACTTCGAACTTCATCTCACGCATGAACACCACTGGGAAGCAGAGTTACTAGATGCACCTTTGTTGGAAAGAGGGTGGGTTCTTCAGGAAAGAATTTTATCCCCACGCATCCTGCATTTTGGGCGTCGACAGCTTCTATGGGAGTGCTGCGAGAGCGAAGCCAGCGAGCGCCTTCCGGATCAACTACCATCATTACCTGTAGCACATCAGTATGCAGGGTACAAGAGCAGCCTAACCCTTCATCCTGATGGAGGGCAAGGGCTTCCGTCCACTGAAAATGACCCTTTCGCTCGAGCCTCCATCCACGCACTTTGGAACCGACTGGTGAGCGCCTATTCGCGGACTAACCTCACATACCCAGAGGACAAATTAATCGCCATTGCCGGCATAGCAGCAAAGATTCAGTCAGGCTTGAAAACGGACTATCTGGCAGGTCTGTGGGGTGATCGCCTTACCTCCCAGCTCTTATGGCGTGTTGAACAGCCTTCTAGAAGAGAGCGGCCACGGTGCTACCGTGCGCCTTCCTTTTCCTGGGCCTCAGTTGACGGAACGATAATTCCTCCGGATATCTCTTCCTATGCGCATGCCACGATACATATTCGCATCCTTCGCGTCCAAATCGACTACCCTGGCTCCAATTCAACGGGTCCTGTCACCGGAGGACGCTTGTTCGTGGAGGGATTGCTAAAGTTACTTGACAACGACATAAAAATTGAACTGGACACTAAGCTTGCACAAGAAGTTGGGAAAGAGCATCTTTTCCTCCCGATCGTTCGCAACAATATTGCTCCCTGGCTGTGGAAAGGATTGGTCTTGGAGCGCATTAGTGCTCCGTCCAACCAGTATTGCAGGGTTGGGATGGCATCGCTCTCAGACCGGGAATGGAAAAGGCTCACGATTCCAGAGCGGGACGATGCAACCGGCGAAGTCTACGACTCCTCGACTGGAAAGTGCAGGATCTGTATCATCTGAGCTATGCGCATGTTCGTCTTCGAGTAGCCATCATTCGCCCAAGTCTCTTGGTTGAGCTCCTCACTCATAGTGCTTTCCACGCTGCCCTATCAATCAACGCGGGAGCGAGGAAGTTTCAGCTACCGCGCGAATAACTCGCTGGGCTTCCTTACTAGCGATCTTGTTCTCGTACAATCGCTACTTTCAAGCTTGGATCTTCAAAACGTTACCCGGCATTTCGGATATGCAGTCCCGAGGTCCCCGAACTCCTCTCCAGTGTTCTCCGCAAGACCCCATTTCCCTAGAATAAGCTAATCCTCTCATAAACCCCGCGCGGAGCACCCCCAGATTTTCTAGGCAGCCGAACACACGCGAGGAGTGCAATTCTAGACGCGTCCAGCCACCCTTTGGCGCACCAACCAAGCCGCTCACCTTGACTCGTCTCCCACATTATGCTATGTGCTTGGATGAAAGAGAGTCTGGAACCTCGCATCCCAAGAGCTTGTTTTGACAGGCCCAGGGGCTTCGTGCATCCGCTTCCCACATGGCGTTTGCATTTCGCGCGTCCGGGACCCCGGACCCGGTACGAAAATCTATCCAGAGTAGAATATAACACTGGCCCGGCTCACCTCCATACCTTGCTCATTTCTCTGCCTTCTCCTTGTCTGATCTAATCATCATGGCAAAGCACGAACCCATCAAGGCAGCGCCCACTCATACCGAGACATACGATAAGCATGAGCTCGATCATACCCTTACCAACGAGATTCATGGCTTCGAACTCGACTATGCTGCGCTTCCAAAGGGGTACTATACTAGCCGCTTTTTTATCGGAAGCTATCTTGCTACAGGCCTCGCCATCATGTGTGGTACGGGTGCCTTTGGCTTCGCTGCTCCAATTCTTGGCACTATCAACGCAGACATCGGCCCAGACGATCGATATGTATGGATCTCGCTTGTATACAACGCGGTTTTAGCAGTGTTCTTGTCCCCAGTCGGAAGATTGAGCGATATTTTCGGACGCCGATACTTCTTCATTGGTGGTGCTGTCGTGGCCATTGTGGGCAGCGCGGTCTGTGCCACTGCAAAGGATATCCCTACACTAGTCAGTAACTTCAAGAGCCAGCATTTACCATCAACGGCTGACCTTGTGTTAGATTGGTGGAAATGTCCTCCTTGCGGCAGCTACTGCCACCCAACTCAGTTTCCACTTCGTCATCGGAGAACTGGTGCCTATGAAACATCGGTATCTCGCTATTGGAATACTTTACGCCTTCACATACGGAAGCTCCGGCTTTGGTCCGGTTATATCGGCGAGCTTTGTGACACACTACCCTAGCGTCAGCTGGCGCGGAGTGTACTGGCTCTTGCTCGCCATGAACATCGCGGCTTTCATCTGCTGGACTGCGTTCTACTTCCCTCCGACCTTCGACGACAAGCATAAGAATGATGAGAACCGCAGCAAGATGTACTGGCTGAAGCACTTCGATTGGATCGGTACCTTTTTGTTTGCGGCAGGTTTCATCGTCTTCTTAATGGGGCTAAGCTGGGGTGGATCTGTAAGCACCTCCTCATTCTTTCTCAAAGGGCTGCAACTAACTGTCACTAGGTTTACCCCTGGAAGTCAGCCGCGGTTATCGCGGCCATTGTCATTGGCTTCGCCGTCCTCGTGGTATTCGTCCTCTACGAAATCTACGCACCCATCAAAGAGCCCCTCATCCCTATGCATCTCTTCCTAAACGGCCGCTGGGTCGCCGCCGTCGTACTCCTAGGTCTCGGCGCAGGAGTCTACTATGCCTTCTCCATCGTCTGGCCCGCCCAAGCAGCCGTCCTCTATGGCAACGGCGCAACCATACGTGTCGGGTTCATGAGCACCATCGTCGGAATTGGCATCATTACTGGCCAGGTCATGGCTGGGTTCCTTGCGGTCCGCATCGGAAAGACAAGATACCAGTGCATGACTGTGTTCATCATTGGTGGTATCTTCTTGGGCTGTGCGGCTGTTGCGAATCCGGACAACGAGGCTACCACTATGGCTATGATCTTCCTTGGTTGCGTCTTCATCGGTTGGAACGAATCTATCTGCCTCGCTAACGCCACTATCCTTGTCCGCGATCAGCGAGAAATCGGTGTTGCGGGTGGAACAGCGGGGTCAGTGCGCGCTGCTATCTGCGCTGTTCTCGTTGCCATCTACGTTTCGATCATGACCAATCGTCTGGGGGAGACCGTGCCTGCGCAGGTTCCACCGGCCCTGATCGACGCCGGTCTTCCGGCCGCCAGCGTACCAGCCTTCCTACAAGCTTTGTCGCTCGGCTCTCAGGCACTACAGGCAGTACCTGGGATCACAGACCAGATCCTGGCGACTGGGTACAGGGCGTACCAGGACGCAAGTGCAGATGCATATAGGACTGTCTATTTGGCGACGATTGCATTCTCTGCACTTTCGATTATTCTGACTTGGTGGGCGCCAAATACGGACGATCTGATGAGTGGAAAGGTGGCCGCTACGCTGCACCATGAAGCGGACCATATTAATGAGAAGAGTGTGGAGGAGGGCTCCAGTGTTTGAGAGGGAAACACATGTAGGCCGGAGAGGGCCTAAGTCCCGGAGTAATCTTGATATCCATTTCCCTAATACTTGTGTATCGTTCGTCTACGCAGACAGTAGTCCTAGATCGCTGCCTCCGGCTCTTCGAATATACTCCCAAGTTGAGCGCAAATAATTGCTCCCTCTTCATAGATGTAAGAATTTCCCGCGTGAAAGACGATGCCGAATTACAGGACGACGCCGAAATGCAAGAAAGAGTACGTTGGTGACTATGCTAAGCCACAGACGCAAGATAGAAGACTATATCAGGGATCATGGCTGTGATGGTATGTACGCGTATGAGAGTATTCAATTGCGCTAATAATAGAATGAAAGCCCCTCAGAATGTGCCGGCTCGCTGGAGAACAGTCCTCACTGACAAGGTTGACACGTCCTGAAAGGTGATGGCCTGACGATGGAAGCATGGAGGGCCTCCCTGGTATTATTTAGATGTTATAACACTAGGGAAGAGCTCCAATGTACCAAACTTACGGTGACCGACAAACCAATTTCCATCTCAGTATACCCGTCAACGGGAGAGTGACCGCCAAGACATCGCTCGAGATCCAACACCATGCCCCTGCACCCAAACTCTCAACCTCCGTGTACCATCCGGTTAGCAATCCCATCCCCCATCGCCATTCCTAAGTGATCGACACTTGCGTTTCCGCATCGGTGTAATTAGGAGTACTCCTGCCCAGCAGAACTCGTATGCTTAGCATTCAGCCTATACACTCCTCAATACGCCTTACGTCGTACAGCGCCCTAGCCGAACCACCACCATCTGCAAGCCACCTTTATCCGGCTCGCATCCGCCGGCTCGGCGCCCACCAACACGTGCTTGATGAGTTCCTGAATCCAACCCCAATCCTTCCGCTCTTGTCCAGGGTCCTGCAAACCTGGTCGTCAGCAGCCTGTCAGGCGCCACCTCCGCAATCCCAGGTCGGATGGCGCCGAGTAGGAATACGAGGTATAGAGCGGAGGGATTCGTGCAGATACGGGCTGTTGTGGGAGCCGGTACGCTGGACAATAAGGGCGAAGTTCTGGTTTAGGAAGGGATATGACGTTTGTGGCTACGGATTTAGGAGCAAAGGGGGCGTGTTGAATGCCGGAATCAGGGGTTGTTCCTGGATTTCTAGATCGGTTTTGTTAGGGGGACTCGGCTCTGTGCTCAGCATACATAGGTGGTGGGAAGAGATTGTCCTGGCGAGCATTTCCGCCGAAAATATGCTGTGTGCGGTTCCTTCATTGGCTCGGTGTAACTTTTCGGTGTGCTCTCCTTGAGTCGAATAGGCCGGGAGTATCCTTGGCTGCTTAAACGACTTCGTGTTTTCTCTTCGTGAAGACCAGGGAATGCCGAAAGGTACGTCAGCGGCTTTGGAGCTTGGGACGACGTCGATGAAGGATAAGAAGCATTCCAAAGGGCCTTGAAAGAAGGAGTAGCACAGAATCCTTCAACCATCGTTTCTTGTCTGCAGCACAAGATGTTGTTACGTCTCGCAATCCTCGCGTCATCACTTCTCTTTGCCGGCTTCACCTATGCCGACACATGCAGCTCCGTCGAAGCCCTGGGCTACATCAACGTAACCCGGCAGCTCGACCTCGCCTACATTGAAGAGCAGACGCAATACTGGTCGACATCTTGCAGCGCTCTTCTTCCCTCCTGTATCATCTTCCCCAAATCTGTCGAGGAAGTCTCTACAGTCGTTAAAATTCTCGCCAACACTACCGAGCAATTTGCTGTTAAGTCTGGCGGACACAATCCCAACAATTACTTCTCGAGCGTGGATGGCGGACCATTGATCTGCACGGAGCATCTGGATCAAGCGAACTTAAACCAGGCGACCGGTGTCGTAGATGTGGGGCCGGGAAATCGGCTCGACGGGATAGCCGCGAAGCTACAGGGTAGCGGGTGGACGTTTGTCGGTGGACGGATTGGAAACACAGGCGTTGGTGGCCTGGTGCTGGGTGGCGGATTGTCGTACATGTCTGCCCAGTATGGTTGGGCCGCATCCCAGGTATGCCTCCTCCTGAAATCCTAGCTCTTTTGAGTTGTGTTGACAAAATCGTAGGTCTTAGAGTATGAGATAGTATTCGCCAACGGCACTATCGGCCATGTCAATAAGGACAACTACCCGGACCTATTCAAATCGCTAAAGGGCGGCGGGAACAATTTCGGCATCGTCACAAACTATCGGCTCCAAGCGCATCCGCAAGCAAACATCTGGGGAGGCAATCTGGTTTACCTCAGGACCCCGGAGAATGACAAAAAATTGCTCAAGGCAGTCCGCGACTTCACCGAGTTAAACACGGACCCAAAGGCGGCGGTTATCGTGACCGCCGAACGCGCGAATGTGAACGTCGTTGACAGCTGGATCATCTTCCTCTTCTACGACGGCCCGACTCCTCCGGCTGGTATCTTTGACGACTTCATTGAGGCTGATCCGTTACTCAACACCTGCATGGAGCAAACATACGCATCGCTCATGGCTGGCAGCAATTGGGTCATCGTCAAGGCGGAAGTGGTGCAAATCGCGACCGAAACCATTCCTCTCCCGTCTTCCGAGAATGAAGTCGAAGTTATGGAAGGCATCCACAACTGGTGGCGCAACATAACCGCCACGACGCTTCTTGAGCCTGGTATCATACCCTCCATTGCGTGGCAGCCCTTCCCCAAGGCTATAGCCCGCGAAGCGCGTGCTCGGAGCCCCGACCTTATCGATGCCGATGATGATGTTGACCGTATCATTATCGAAATGAATTATGCCTTCCTTTCGCTGCCGAATTATGACCAGATGGCCGACACGATGGAGGCGACGTACTCGGGCGTTCGCGATCGGGTGCTCGCATGGCAGGCGGACGGGACGCTGCAGCAGGCATATCTGCCGCTTATGATGAACTATGGTTTCTATCGTCAGGATTACTGGGGACGGCTGCGGCCGGAGAGTAGAGCACTAGCGAGGTCAGTACAAGAGGATGTGGACCCGGAGGGGATGTTCCGGACTAGGACGGGAGGCTGGAGACCCTGATTGAAGTGACGCTCAGAGAAGGCTTCTGCAACCTCCTATTGTACTTGTTATTCGCTTTGTAATTTCGCGGTAGTGGGGGCAGAGGCGTCTGGACTGTTGCAGTGATGGTTGGTTGGAGGATGCCAGCGCGGGAGATGAAAATGGGTGCGTACTTTGGAGCACGCTTGACGCAGTTTACGTCATAAGGATTCCACTATTATCTAACCACTTTCCAAGGTTCCCCTCAACGCAAGCACTCCTCTACGCCTGTTGAAAGCACAACAGCTTCGGCATTGATTCCCATTACACATTAGCCTCTTCCATGAAATCGGATTTCGTCCTGAGCTTCTCGCCCTAGCCGTGCTAGATTCCCCCCGGTCCTTTCCCCTTCCTTCTCCACATCCCGCTCGAAATCTACAAGCATCGAGCCTTTCGCTGCGATGCCCTTCTCCGCCTCCTTCTCCAACTCTACGAATCTTGTACCCCTCGCTTCGATGTCCTTTTCAAATGCCTCCGCTTTCTGGCCCATCTGCTCTTTCCGCGCTCTAAGCTCTCCTTCAATCGTCTTCAGTCTCTCCTCTTCCTTCCTCGCCAGTCCGTCCAAGAACTCTGTAATCTTATGCCCATACTTCATCTCTAACTCCTTGAACTTCTTCTCCTGAGCGCCCATTGTTCCTGTCAAGTTGCTCAGCTTTGGGATCTGCGGATACGTAGTTGTCGTAGCTCGGTTCCGGATCTCGCCGACACTGACATAGTTGTCCGGTCTATTCGTCTGGATATCTGCTTTCACTTCCTCGTACATGGCTTCGACTACCCCCACAACTTCGTACACATCGAGTGTACAGTTCGGCCGACTAAAGTCACGCTCTCTTTGCTCGATATACTCCCGCACTTTCTTCCACTCATTCTCATAGTACCGTATCCGACTCGGCAGACCACTTCCTTTCAGATACGTCAGAATACCTGCTATGACTGTATTTATCGCGCCGAATGCGGTGATCGAGACGTGTGAGGAGTTCGCGGCGCCCATCGCTGTCAACGCGGCGGCGACGATGACTTGAATTCCGAGACAAGAGTTTATGAGGATAGAAGCAAACTTGTAGCCTCTTTTTGCCGCTTGCTCGCGGTGCACGATGCGATTATAGATTCCGAGATTCGGTGCCGCGCGCCCGTCGAAATGGAGATTGTTGTGAGAGAGGTCAGGCAGGATTCCTGCGGAAGTGGAGGGTGCGAAGGAGCGCGTGCTATGGATCCCGACTAGGTGCCTGAAGATTGCGAGTTTGTCGTCTGCAGCCGGCTGCGCTAGTGTTAGTTGGGGGTAGCCCAAGTAGAGATGGTGCTAATGCGTACAGTTGCTATGGCGGCACTCTTCGACCATGATTCGGTGCTACTATCTGGCTTGCCGTCTTCTACAGACTGGAAACGAGTTCGACCACTTGGCCGAAAAGACGCTGGTAGAATATCCATGGGCATCACAAAGATTAAGAGGCTATGAGCTACTCGACAACGAACAAGGGCATGAAGAAATGGGAAACACAGGCCCGACTTGGAGAATAAGTATGGGAAAGAAGAAAAATACCCTACTCGACGTGAAATGTGGAAGACAGCTCGTTTCTATATCTTCGTTCCCGTTCCTCCCGCCTATCCCTGTCCTAGGCCTCCGGAGCAGCCACTCACGGAGCCTAGATTAAAAGGTCCGATCAACTCTAATTGTTTCACACCAATCGCAGTATAGGCCGATGCTCAAAGATCCGAATCTGGAAGACGCAAGCGATCGATCAACCCCGGATTTCCACAAAGGGTCCACGAGTGATGGGAGCCAGCTACGCCGTCCGACTTTAGCGGTGCGCGTGGACGCGCTTCAGCTGTTGTGGGTGACGCCACAAGCGGGAGCGGGACGGTGCCGCGGCGCAAACTGAATTTCGCCTTTGAACGCTCGCGCCGAACGTCGTGTGCTTCGGTTTTATGGGCATAGCTCGATGTGATGTTATTGGCGGAAACGAATACTTTGCGAGCCTGGCCAATCTGGGGAGCTGAAGACGAGGGGCTTGCCTCGGAGAGACACAGCCACCCGACGCGATCTACGGCGCTCGGAATCATCTAGCATGTCTCCACGCTCCACGGCACGTTCTGAATGAGGTTGCAAGGAGAGAAGAAGAGTGCAGAGGAAGCACGTGATGCAACTATGTCGGTATCCATCAGGGTACTGAACACCAAACGCACATTCCAAAATCCCCTTGCCTCTCGCCTCCTCCGCACGAACACTCAATACTCGCAATCCACAATTCTCTCCTCTTCGATAATCGCATCTGCCCATATCCACCGGCTACTCGGCACCTAAACATGTCACACGAATCGGTCTGGTACTCTCGTCCGCGCGACTACGGCAAGGGCTCTAGAGGCTGGTACGTCTCGACCCTTCCCATTCGCTTTCACGTTCGCCTACGGTGCCTGTCTAGAGGGGAAGATGCGCTGATTGATTTGGTAGTCGCGTTACAGGTGACAAGAAGAAAGCGGGGGTGATCCGCAAATATGGCTTGAATATGAGTCGGCAAGCGTTCCGTGAGAAGGCTGCCGATATCGGGTTCGTCAAGGTATGTACAGGTTGAGTTAAAGTGAGGTGATAGGCGAGAACGAGGGTGTATGCTGATGGTGAGTTGCAGTATCGTTAGCGATGTGCGACTACATGGTGATATAGGGGTGGAACGATGAGAGACGCTCGTTCAAAGAAGGAGGTCACAGATGGATGCAACGCCAAAAGGTGCTACAGAGCTGATTTCCTCTTACCTTGTAAGGCAGGTTAGAGAATTATCACTCCCTCCATCAGTGTCAAGTATCAGCTCGTATTCACCCTCTAGCCTTCGTCTGCTAGTCCGTCCATCACCTATCGGCTCAGCGATCCTCATGCATTCCCTCGTGCATCACTGTCCTCTTGTCTATCTCCCTCCGATACTCATGATGCCCATCCGGAATCTACTCAATCTAGCCACTCCGATAGCCCAGCACACTCCAAAAACTCACCGGATCGAACCAATCCACCAGCCCCTTTCCCCGAAACCTACTGCCGTTCCTGATAGTCGTCACTAAGTCGCTCTTCGCCGTGATATCTTGCTTATCACAAATGAGGTCATATACACATCGGTACGCGAATCCCATCGCAACTTTTCAACCTTCTGCACCAATCGCATGCACAATGGTTCATCATGCTTCTGGCATTGATGATTGCTATTCCACGGACACAGCTGATGCCAAAGTTAATGCACACTGTTCAAGTATATGACTCTTCCACGCCCTCCCGTACTAGCCAATTCCACCAGAAATCGTATCGCGTGGCGACTATACTAGAGTGATAGAAACTAGCCGGACCTTCCAGCTCATGGCAGGAAACCAGGTTTAATCCTAGTATGCTCACTGCTTCTTTCCATCCAAGTCAGCGAAGAAGTTCCACCCAAAGCTCTGACTTGAGTCATTGAAGCGAAGCTTTTTGTCGATGCCATCGACCTTTTCCACATCTTCCTCAGGAAGCGTGAAGTCGCCCTCGAAGTTCTATAGCACTATACAACATTAGCACAGCCCTGCGAGAAGCTAAAGTGGAAGGGAGAACTCGCCTGCTTGATGCGATTTTCAGTCTTCGACTTCGGAATGACCGAATGGCCTTTCGCAATACCCCAAGCCAAAGCCACTTGAGCGCCGGTTTTTCCATGCTTCTTTCCGATCTCCACGAGCACTGGGTTGTCCATCAATTTGCCCATGTCTTTGCCAGAATCGTAGATGTTGTTCTGGTTGCCAAATGGCGAGTAATGAGTCACATGAATCCCCTTTTGCTTGTGGAAGTCGGTGAACTAGTTCTGCTGGAGCCATGGATGACATTCCATCTGATGGACGGCAGGAACCACATTCGTCTCCTTCAAAAGGCGATCAACCTCCGCCTTGCTGAAGTTTGAGATGCCAATCGCCTTAGCCTTTCCAGCCTTCATGCACTTCTCCATGGCCTTGTACGTGTCCACATAGTCCGTGTCCCCCATCAATGGATTACCATTATCATCCTTGGGAAACATCGCATCGCCGCGGGCGAAAGGGGATGGCCAATGCATTAGGAATAAATCGAGATAATCGGTCTGGAGATCCTTGAGTGATTCGTCGAGATGCTTCTCGACATCGTCCGGATGATGAGCATTGTTCCAAAGTTTGCTGGTGATGAATAGCTGGTCGCACGGAATGCCGGACTTCTTAATGGCGTTACCCACAGCACCCTCTGTTCCATAAATGCGGGCTGTATCAATGTGGCGATATCCCGTCTTCAATGCTATGGTGACTGCGGGTTCCTGGGCATCTTTGTCTTGCCAAGTGCTGCGAATGTTATATTAGTTTATGTTCTCCATCGCAAGAGCAACGACTAAAAGAAGACGAGTGCGGGATGATGATCGCCATGACTCGCTTTCGTCTTCATCTGTTCAAGGTCTCCACGAGTCCTCTCCGGAGCGGAAATAGAGATGTTGAATATGCGTACGTACCCAAAGCCGAGAGCGGGAACCTTTGCGCCAGTATTCAGCGTGAACATTGTGCCGTTGTGACCCATTCTGACTTATATCGTGCTTAGCATTCGAGGCTGAAAGTGTAAATTGGTTCGAGATACTCTGCTGGTCGCATTGTGAAGAAATCGGAAAGAAACCCTGCGAGAAATCATTTTTATGAAGAGTGCCTACGCGATGATGGTAACTAACTGTCATAAGAATATGACCTGTCGATGCCTCCCTCTCGTATTGCTAGCTTCCAGCGTCATGGCTACGTTTTGCCCTCCATTCTGCCCGCGTTGCCGTCGATGACGTCGTATATATTCCGAAAGCCATCAGGGTATCGGAAGAGACTCTGGGAGGGCGGTCATCATCGGAAAGCCCCTCTCCCGGTTTTTGAGGTATCCCTTTTTTTTTAAAAATTTTTTTTTTTGGCTTGTACGTACACCTTGTTGGCGTGGAAGATAGCTTGCCATGTTGGGACGGATTCGCCCTAACTCCAGGTACTCAGGGACCAGGGTAGACCGTATGTGCGGGGTTTCCAGAGCGTCTATCATTTAGTTAGAGAAAATGAACATCTCCGCCAGTGATGCGCGATTTTCAGAACAAATTACTGACCTATGGGAGTCTCTGTGATCGTTGGGAGGATTGAGAGCGGTGCTGAGTCATGTGCTCGCGCGACGACGCTAACTGAAAATAATTCTGATGGCTTGGCAGCTACCTAATGTCTACACCACCTTGCCAGCACCGCAGGACATCTCAGCCCAGTGCATGCTCCCAGGAAAAGCGGTTCGCGGCCAATCTCTGTACCCGCGATTGGCGTCTTCCGACCAGGTATCCCGCGGAAGCCGGCTGCCTGAGGGATCTCTCTCTCCTACCAGCAAGTTGCCCAGCATGGCGAAATCCAGGGTTCCAACGCGTCAACTACCCTCCGAGCAATTCGTGGAGAGTTGCGGTGCCGTTTTATTCGACCTTTCGGACCCACTGGACAAGAAAATTTGCCTAATCCGCGTACGAGACACCGGGGAGTGGCACCTTGCGAAAGGCCGCCGCAACTGTGGAGAAGCTCGGCGAGATGCTGCGTTGAGGGAAGTCAGGGAAGAAACGGGACACCGTTGTCGCCTGTTCCCGGTGACTATGCCTACTAGAGCCACCCCCGCTCATGAGTCACCGAATTTCAAAGACAAGGCTCAAGTCTATGATGACCTCATGGAACCTTTCATGTGTACGATTAGGGACTTGAAGCGCCCGCAGGGAGTCAAGATCATTTGGTGGTTTATCGCAGCTCTAGAAGCCGACGACGACGAAGCGGAGAAGCTACCCGGCGAGGCTCGATACGAGCCTAAGTTTCTCCCCTGCAAAGAAGCAATTCAGACGCTTACTTTCCTGGGGGATCGCGACATTCTGGTCCGGGCTATCGAGTTGGTGGAGGGTAAGAATACTTTACCTTTGGAGGACTCTGGCGCTAGTGAGAAGAAGAAAAATCCGAAGTCAAAGAAGGGTATCAAGAGGAAGCAGAATGCCCCCAAGGATAATCAAGAGTACATAGAGGCTAAGAGGCAGATGAGAAAGGAGAAAAGGGAACGCGCGCGCATCAAACGAGCCCAGAAGAAGGCGGACAAAGAGGCAGCCAAAGCAAATGGAGACACCACACCGGGAAATCGGGAGTTGCAAGACCATCTTGTTTCTCTATGAAAATCGGCCCCGTGGCTTGCTACGATGCCGATTCGAACTAGCGGAATGACACCCTAATCATCCTTCTCCAACCACTGCTTCGAGGCGTCGTAGACTCGGCTAAACGAGGGGTCCAACTCAATGAACCGTTTGTATATCTTCTCGTCTATGCGCTTCAAGAAGTGCAACATCGACACGAAGATGAAATCGGCGTACGACACTACGATAGTCAGCTTAGCGGTCAGATTTCTCATATAGATATCGAATTCTTACCCGTCTGTCCGAGGAAATACGGCCCTCCGTTCTTCTTGAGGAGATCCGCCATCTCCTTGGCCGGCTGGTTTGCTGCTTCCCAACACTGCTCATTGGCTTTCTCGGCCTCCACTTGCGACAATGGCATACCCAAACGCTCCTCCCGCGTTAGCACGAAGTAGTCGGCCGAAGACTTGTTCAGCAGCACCCGCGGGACCTTGGGGATTAGGTGGGGTCGAAGAGGTTCAAAAATTTTGGGAAGAACGTCTACAACCTGCTGGATAATGGGATTGTCCAAGTGGAGCGAAGGTGTCGGATGACGCTTCTCGAGTTCGTCCGCAATCTTGCGCGAATCCATCGAATACGTCCCGTCTTCATAACGGATCGCGGGGCTAGTGTAATCCGAAAAGTAGCCAGGGCTGGTCGGGTCATTGGGCGGAAGGCCGCTTTTCTCGGCGTCAATACCTTCGCCTGCTGGTTTAGAGATCAACTTACAGAGCCTTAAGCGTGGGCACCAGATCAGGATATTCAACCCATTCAGTCTTGTAGTCAATACCCTTGAAGTTCAAAACCAGGCGAGCTGAAGCTGTCAGCGTAAGCCTTCCTAGCTAATGTATACTTACTCTTCCACGGGTTGTAGGACCATGATTTACATGGTGGTTTGCTCGGAAGGTCGTAGAGGATGACTTGAGACATTTTTGAGGGCACAACGATCTGCCACCCTTTCTACAAGCAATTGATGGTGGAGAGAAGGTGTTTTGAGGTAAGAGAGATTTGATTCAGCGCTGACGTCCTAGCATTTGTAATACGGTACGCCTTGCGAACCCTAGACGAGACATCGGGACTGCAAAGTGGAGACGCTGCTAGCTCGAAGCGGTACGGCTGTCGCCTCTTCTCAGAGCCTCAACACCACGGACGCTCCTGCAAGCCTCAAGCCTCCGCTCGCTCCTCCAGAACATCTGAACGCTGGCTAGGACCCGTCCGCAGAGCTTATTTCGACGACAGCATGAGGTTCAACGTTTCTCATTCGTCCGCTTATTGCTGTGCCGCTAATGGATGACTTACGCAGCGCGTTTTACGCCCGCTTGTCATGACTCTGCTTCTCAGATAAGTACTTCAACATCAGTAGCGCAAGCCCAGCGAGAGCGCTCTGCCTTATCCTTGTGTACGTTCGCGACTCCGCCACATGTGACAGGACGGAAGGCTACCTTTTGGCCCCCAAAACCCCCGGCACGAACGCGTCCTCAGCCCGCTTAGCAATCCCTCCTCACCAAGCCGCTACAGACGAACGGACGAATAACACAGCCAGGATCTCGCCATCAATGTCCCACACAGGAGGCGAAGAGAACGGAACGCAGCACGCTTCGATATGTTTAGCACACGAGCTGGCGTAGACTAAACTAGGGAGACCCACGAGTGCTTCTAGCCTCGTCGAACATCAGGCCTCCCGCCCTGCATTTCACGTCGAGACTTAATGCCGAGTTTGCGGAGTGCAGAGGATTGCGCAGCTTGGAGTTTCATTCCTTCCTTCAACATGTTCTTCTGTGTTTCAAACGTCTTTTCTGGTTAGCTATACGCTCCCCCACCGTTCTTTTGGACACAAAGCAACCGCTGAGGCTTCGAAAGTCGTACGGTACTCCCCGTCAACACTTTGCTTTTGGCCCCCAGTTGCCACACCAACTTTCAGCCGAAGCGTGTCAAACCTCGATCACTGATCAAGGAGACGAAGGACGTAAGCTAGGGATCGCATCCGTCTGAACCCCCATGGTAGCCTCAAAAGGCGTTTAAGTAGCCTTATAATCCTGCCTTGGCTATCATCCGTTCAAACACCATTTTCCGTTCTCGACCCAAAAGTACTTGGCGGCCGCCTACCCTAGGTAACCCGGCATGGACCACCCCGATCTTCTCTCCCCGACAATCGAACGGAAACACTCTAGAAACTTCAGCGAATACGCTCCAACAAACTCCCCTCCTAGAGAACACAGTCCAAACTCCCCACCAAGCCCACCAAGCGCATACGACAGACCCTACGACCCTCCAGAAATCCGCCATGATGATGGCGACATCGCAATGCAGCACATGGACGAGCCGACCTCCGGCCGCACTGAATCCCCATTATTCACGAAAAATGGCGACTATGGCTTCCTGCCCTCTAACAACGGGTCCACCTTCGACAGCGACACCCGCTCCCTGATCAGCCATGCAAAACACTACAACCACCACGAGTCCCGCAAATTCCTATTCAAAACAGGCGCCTACCGCTTCCTCATCACGCTCGGCTTCAGCATCCTGATCGGCCTGTCCCTCAAAGCCTACGAAGGCTTCCGCGAACCCTTCATCATGAACAAGACCCAAGTGCGCGTCTTCAACTCCATCATGCTCGGACTGTCTCTCGGCCTCGGTCTAAATCTCGCATCGTCATTGAAACGCTACGCTGTCATCCTGCGCTGGTACCTGCTAACGCGCCGCTACGTCTCGCTCGAGGTCTTCGACCTCATCCTTGGCTTGGAGACCCTCACTAAGGTCGGCAAGCTAATGATCATCTCGCTCCCCGGCATCCGCCGCGTAAAACCGCTCCGCAAACTCCCCTGGTTCCGCGAGGCCCGCGACGACGGCACCCGCTTCACCTGGATCGCATGTTTGCTTTGGATTTTGATCAACATCGGCGCGCAGATCCTCGTCGCGGCGTTGTCTCTCTTCTGGCCGGTAGATCCCTCGGATGCGGTGCCCCTCATGACCTACGGCAATGTGCTCGTTGCGGATCTGAACACATGGAGCCTGGACACGCCCGACCCGACCTGGTGGGCAAATAGCACGTCGATGGAAGCGGCGTGGGTGGCGGGGATGGAGGCCATTGTTTATCCGGATAATTTTAGGCTGAACGAGACGCAGACGGATCTGTCGTCTTTGCCTGGAACGCCGCTGTACAAGGCGGATGGGTACTACGAGTACAAGTTCTATAACCGCAATCCGGAGCACCAGTACACGAACTACGTCGTTTCGTCGCGCATCGTGCAGTCCCGCGCTACGTGCGAGCAGCTAGAGACAAGAGGCGAGTATGTCGACCCCGACGATGGTCCGATGTACATGGAGGGGAGAGTAAGTCCCCCTAATCCACCCTTCTACTCTACAAGCTACTAACACTTCCTCCTAGGAAGAAGGCAAAGACTGGGAACACTATCTCCTCCCGCAACGCACCACCGGCTCCATAACCTGGATCGGCAGCACCTACGCGTTCTGCGGCCCACGCTGTACTAACTTCACCGTCTTCCAGGACAGCGACAACGCCGACATCAAGTATCCCTCGCTCTTCCTCTGCAACAGCACCCTCTCCCACATCACAGGCGGCGAGTCCGACTTCACCAACCTCGCAGACTCGGACAAAGAGCACATCTACGGCAACGACGACTTCGCGCGCATCGCCGCCGGATCCATGGCCTGGACGGGGTACGCGCTGAACGGCTGGGACGACCGGCAGACGCGCAGCTACCTGCGCGGCAGCAAGTGGAGCCCGTATCGGATTATCTCGAAAGACGATGTGGAGGATTTGCTGTCGCGATTTACGATTGGCGCGGTGGCTGCGTTCGATGATCATGGGATACGGTACACAGTGAAGAATCAGAACAGCAGGCCCATGCAGGGGCAGCAGCTAACGGTGGACTGGCCGTATGTGCTGGGCTTGCTGGGCGGCATTTGCTTTATCCAGCTTGCGGCGCTGGTGTGTCTGATCGCGTTTGGGAACAAGTCGATTATACGGGATGAGAGCTTCTTCAGCCTGGCGATGTTGTTGAGTCCGGTCGTGAACCGGATTGGGCGCGTGGGGATGAATTTATCGGGGGATGAGATCAAGATGCACCCGAAGTTGCTGTGGAAGAGGATACGGTATGACTATCGCGAGGGCAAGAACGGGGAACCGAACCAGGTGGATATTTTCTTCCAGGGGAGGGATGATGCGGAGGTGAGACGGAGCTGGGCGCCTGGGGTGTATAATTGAAGCGATACCCTGTGGTTCTTTAGAGTAGCATGAATTAATCTCTAGACGTTGACTCCATTTTCTCATGACTCCCTTCTAGCGAAGACCTTTACATTTGTTCTCTCTAGCACGTACACCCAGTGCATGACTTTGGGTCTATGCGTCGTCGTGGAACCATTACTTCCGCTCGGTGACTGCGGTTGCGGCACCTCTATATCATACTTGCCAATCAAAGTCCAGAGCGTGCTGGGGTCCGGGAACCCGCTGTCAATCACTCTCTGCGGGATATCGTCAAGATCATCGTCGAGGATCATGTCCTCTTCCGAGTCTCCTTCTTCTTCTACTATTGCTGTTGCTGCTGGTGCTGGACACAACGTAGGGGTGGGTATTGGCTCTGATTCGTATGCTGGTGTCGATGCGTCTCCGGTCCCCGATCGGGCGGGTAGAGGCGTTGGTGGAGGAAGAGGTATGAAGGGGTATCGATCCATAGAGTAAGAAAGCGATATCCATCGAGCTTTTGGTTTCGTAAGGAGAGCTAGGTGTACGCCGAGAATATGTAGAGGGTGAAGTGGTTCGGGCGATTCAGTCAAATTTGGATTTGACGCTGGATTCGGCGTTGCTGTAATGTGGTACGGGAGCGGAACGACGAGATCCTCCGAGCACGCTATAGAGTCCGAAGTTGACTTATCGACGATGATCGAATAGGCGGACGGCTTGCAGGCCTCAAGAAGCGAGGAGTAGTCGAGCAAGTTTGCGGCCGACCAGCGCATGTATGAAGCACTCCTTGGCTCCTGTGCATCGGGCGGAGGTGATTTCGAGGTCTGGCGCTCATTGGTTTCGCTGGGCTTTTCGCCATCTTTTGAATCTGCCTCTGAAGCTGTGCTATCCCGGTTCTTCCCTCGAAGCAATTCCGGCTCGGCTTTGAAAATGTCTACCTCCCTCTTCCTCCCGACTTCAATTGCGACCTCTGAATAGTCTAGATTATGTATGTGTTCCGGATTTGGGACATGCGCTCGCAGGTGGTAGGAGAGTAACGACGTCCCGCAGCCGATATGCAGTAGCTCCAGCTCTGGCTCCGTTGTCTCTTTCAGCGCAGCAACCAGGTACGGGTCAAGTGCTGTCGGCGCTTCTAGCCATTCGAAAGGATTCGAGTTCGAGGTGAAGCGCTTCTCCCAGTATTCTCGGGAACCAAAGGAGGGTGGTGCGGGAGGCATTGCGACCTGGGATCCGGATCGTTAGAACTGTCCGTTGGTTAGCAGTCGTAAAGCTCACAGTTAGCTTGAGATGGCTCTGAAGAGATCAAATAGCGCGCGCCGCAAAGTTTTTCGGAACATCTATGCCGGCCGCGGCGATCAATCGCTTTCTTAAGTGTGCGTGGCACCTTATAAGCATTATGCAGGCGTCTGCTGGCGCAAGCAAGGAGCAACGAGGGGACCGCCGGTCGGAAGAACAATCTGCCGAGGGTGGAAGAGCTGCGACTTTCTCAGACCATCTCGTTTTCAATTGCACTGCAACGCTCAGTGTCAGTTCGCACAACACAATGGCTAACCTGCAGTCAATTCCGCGCTTCCTGCTTCCACGCGGCTATTTCCTCCTCCTCCGCCAAGCGCGTCTTCTACTGCCTCTTCCGTCAGCGGCCGTTCTCCGCTATGCATCATCATCCTCGAATCCGAAAACCCTATCCGAACAATTCCGCCGAAGGCAGACGCCAGTAATACCACAGCCCGACAAATACCGCCCGCCTTCGCATGGCAAGCGGACGCCGAGGAGCCAAACAGAATACAAGAGCTATGGCCCTCCGATAACAGAGGAAGACAAGAAGCGCATGCGCACGAAGAAGTATCCGAACATGATGAGTCCGCCGGGGACATTCTCGCACTGGTTTCTGAACAACAAGGCCATACATCTGTGGATCACTATGGTCCGTTGAGCTTGTAGGGGCAGAGATCCAGGGCTGCGCTAACTGTTCATAGGGTATACTAGTATCCCTAGCAATAGCTGCCTGGTACATGGACTTCATGTCCAAGACCATTTATGGCGAGCTCGTCCCCTCGCGGAAAGACTTTCTCCGACATCCGTATGAAAGTACCAAGCGCTTCATCGAGACGTACAAAATGCACATAGAGCACCAGTCGCAGCTATCCGCGCAGCAACGCCTGAAGAAGGAGGAGGACGTCGAGAAGCGGAAGCAGTATAGGCTGGCGAGGATACGGGAGGCGGAGGAGAGGGGCGAGGAGTACGTCGAGGATCCGAGGTATTACATTGGCGAGGATGGTGTCAGGAGGAGGAGAGTTAAGAGGTGGTTCGGTATTTGGGAATAAGTGGCGAAGGATGGGATTTATGTTTGTGAATAGGGACGGAGAGTGTATGATACTGTATCAAGAGCAGCTTTGCGTCCATGGTCACGCCTGGGCAAAAGAGACCCCAGTTGCATCGGAGGGAGGAGAATCGCCTCGAATCGCCTCGAACACGCATTGAAACGGGCAGGGGTTTAGTCCTGGGCCATGCTTCGAATGCCTTTTTTGTTCTGGCATATAGTCTGTAGTCAAAGCGAATATACCCTGCTCTAACATCTGGCATTTACATTGCCATCAAAGCCGGCGACCGCACATCGGCGAAACTGCCCTCTCCGCACCGCCGCAAGCTGTATCCTGACCTGTTGGGATGCCGAGAGCTTGATGCCGTTCTGCTCGGCTTTTGCGCGGATGCTGGCCAACGTGTACCACACTCGCTTGCCCGATCGTTTCGGACAAACGCCGTGGGATGCCACAGTCACACAGGCGGTTGCCGGGTCTTTCCGATCGCGATACGCTCCACGAGCCGAAGTTACACAGGACTCGATCCGTCCGGGAGCCCATCACCGCCAGCCGCCGACTCTGCCTTCGTCCCATCTCTCCTTTCGCTCGGCACGGAGGTAGGCGATCTTGCGGCCCTCTCTCAGCCTCCTCACGAACTCGGTCACTTCGCGGTCACTGGCGACAGCACCGGTGCCGTCAGCGCCCTCCCCTTCCAAGAAGCTCTCTTCAAGCCCTCGACATAGCGCTTCCTGCTCGCCGACGGCAGCACTCAAGCGCTGGTACAACGCTGGTGGGCTGAATTCCCGTAATGCCCCATCCTGCTCTGCCTGCTTCGCCCTCCATTGACGCTCGAGTGCTCGTAGCGACAGCAGCCGCGATTGCGTGCTCTCGCGCTGGTGTTGAAGATGGGCTTCGAGTTGATTGAGCGACTCCGCTAGCGCAACATTCTGGGCCAGCAATGCCTGCAACGGCGCCGTCGACGCGGGTATCGAGGGATGCGTTGTCTCAGGATTGTGGACAATCGCGTGCTGGAGGTCGGGCGTCTGCAGCACGTGGTGGAGATGCACGGTCCTGTCCTAGTTCAGTAGCGGGCTTCATGTGTTTCAAGACTGACGTACGACTTGTCCTTTAAAACATCCGGCAGCCAACCATCTTCGGGCGGTTGAACGGCTAGTTGGTCGGGTTCTGCCTGCGACGGGTTTTGCGTGTACGTCTGGGAAGGTGCTTGCGGGTGATGGGCGTAAGGCTGCGACGTCTGGCCCGGCGGGGGAGGCAGTGGAGGCCCGGTTTGCGGTGTCGCGGTGCCGCTCGAGTGCGCTGAGGGCTTAGGCGGCGGCGGAGGAGGGGTAGAGGGGTTGAACTGGAAGAAGTTCTGCGACTGCCGGGGCGACTGGAACGCCATTGTGCTAGCTTGGGAGGTGGTTAAGGGCTGCTAGCGAGGTGTGTAGTCAGAATGCATGTTGAGCTGCGGGAGGGCCTGACAAATTGTGCCGCGCCGTGGTCATGCGAAGGCGACGCTGATGCGGCTTGAGACGAGCGACGTCGGCGGCACGTTGTTCCGCCCGGCCAGTTGCAGCGCCTCTGCCATCGGCCAGCCGATAGATGTGCAAGATGAGATTGCGCTGCGGGCTCTCCTTTTCATCTTCATAAAAGCGCCCCTCTCCAGTTAGCGGGCAAGGCGGCCAGATGTGTCCAGCGAAGGCCCCCTGCCGCGCCGTTTCTCAGCGCGGTGTTCGCGAGCGCGCCCCTGCGTGGAGTGGGGATGGCACTTTCCCCATTCGTCATTGCCGTCGCCAGCCTCGCTTTCCGCTTTGGGATGCTCCTCCCCTGCGGAGCAACTGCTAACGCACAGCGATGAACTATGGCCTGCTAGCTACCCGCTTCGTGTTGCAGCCGTCTGTGAATAACGAGATGCTAGGCTGCTACTAAGTTTTGTGCATATTGAGATGGACGTGTGGTCGGCGAATGCGCGTGGGCGCACGACGGCGCCGGAAGTGTTTCAACCCTGCGTGAAGCCGGCGGACCAAGGCATGAACAAGTGCTGAGGGCGCATGTCAGCTGCAAAGAGCGCAACACCAAGTGCTGACCTCCACCGCAATTTTGGACTCCGAAATGTCCTCCTACACGTCCTCCTATCGCTCATATCAGTCCATCGCAGCTACAAGGCCCTCTTCTCGCCCTGAGCGCAGGGTCCCTAGCTGAAGACGGTTCATTGGCCAAAAGAAAGCGTTCCTGCATCACGCCGGCCCCTGCCCCTGGGCGTCCGCCTCCACTCGCGACCGCCAACCGCCCACGGCCGTTCGCGAGCGCCTCGAGCGCGACCAATTCCAGCGCCGCGATCTGCTCAATTGACCGCTCTGAGGACCCGTTCCCGCTCATGCGCCCATCTCGGTTCAGCGACTCCCCTTTTTTGCGAGTAGGCCAGCCTCGTCCACCTCTCCACCACGCGCGGCGAGCGAGTTGTGCAAGACCATGACATTCGCGGGGGACTGACTGGGAATATGCAAGCCTCCACGCGCCCGCGCGAGGGCGCTCCTTCTACTACTCAGACCTCCTCGCCGCCTCGAGCGAAGCCTGCCTTCCTTGCGTCTCTTGCCATCTCCTCCTTCGCCGCCTTTCGCGCCCAGTCCTCGCAGCCGGCGCCGCCCATTGCTGTCCAGTCCCCGGTTCGACGAAAACCCCTGCCTGCAGATTCGCCCGTTGTGGGACGTTTTCCGGCTGAATTGAACACCGCCCTAAACGTCGTTCGAGATAAAGACAGCAATATCCAACGTGCATCTTCGTCTAATCCTCCGCCGTCCCAGGACCCTCGCCGTACAGACGCAGCGCTGTCCCCACCCCTCAGCGACGAGGACCTCTTCCTCCCTCGGAACCTTGACGAGTAAGCGCTCCTCCAGCCCATGTGTCCTCGAATACTGACCTCAATCGTAGCAACCCACATGGCCAGACGCCGCTGACCGCGAACGCACCGAAGCAGCCCTTCGCTCCTCGAAAAAGTTCCCTAGCCTACGCAACACCTGCACCGGCGCCGTCTACTCCAAGGCATGATAGATCAGCCAGCAGCTCCCAGCTACGCCGACAGAAAAGACCAGAGGAATTGAAAGCGTCAGCGAAAGGATTGCACGTTCGGTCTCCTACTATGCCAAACATGCCCCTGTACACGTCCGAGCCACGCCAGCCAAACTTGAGATTGAAACTGGACGGTGTGACGGAGGACTTCATCGACGAAGACCCATACGAGACGCAGGAGGACAGGGGAGAGGTGCGGCCTCTTAAGCCGAAATCGCCAGCCGGAGGGTTCACATCATTCTTTGGCTGGAATTCGTCCAAACAGAACGGCGCTGACTCGCCAACGACAACATTCTCAGACAAGTCTTTGTCTCCGGCCGCTTCTCCGCGGTACCCCAAACAAAGCAACATGCCTACCAAGACAAAGCCCATGGGACTTGACATTCCTATGGCTAATTCTCTCGCACAACCCTCGTATTTCAACGTCCCAGGAACGCCACTTTTGTCATCGTCGCCCCAAATGAACGCTCATGTCGAAGAGCTCGAGCGCGAGCTTCGGGAAGTGAGCTCGGAGCTCGCTGCTTCCATCCGGAGAGAAATGGAACTGGAGGACGAAGTCGAGCGATGGAAGGCAGAAAGCTCATCCACAATGTCAATCGACAACCGAAGAACCAGCGACTACTATTCAGATTCTGGCACTAGCTCGGTCCGCTTCCCCATCGGAGATGCCGAGAGCAAGTTGGAGGAGGTGGAAATGCTTCGCAGGAAAGCAGAGCAGGAGCGTGCACAGTTGAAGGTCCACATGGCCGAGCGCTTACAAGAAGAGCTTCGGCGCCGGAGGGATCTGGAGGAGCAGGTGCAGCACCTTGAAGATCGGGTTACCCGACCTGGCTCAAAACCTTTGGCCGAAGGGCCCAGAGTAAAAGAACTCGAAGCCTCTCTGGAAGATGCTAAAAGACGTTTGGCTGAAGAGCGACAGGTCAAAGAGAACTTTGAAGACCTACTGACCGCGCTTCGGCAAGAGCTCGAGCAGCACCGGAATGAACGAGACAATCTCCGCGACGAAGTAGTCCCACAACTCAGGGCCCGCCTCGAAGGCCTAGAGTCCGAAGCCGCCGATACGCAAGGTCTAATATATGAAACAACTCGCATGCAGCAAGAGATCCAGCAGCTGCGAAGTGAGAACCAGACGCTGCACAACGCACGGAGAATGCAGCAGGAGATGTCGCAGCAGCAGGTTCGCTTCCAGTCCATCGCTGAAGAAGACAGTTCCCCAAAGAAAACCAATCCCCGCGTCGGCCTATCAAGATCGAACTCCCTTGCGCGAAGCTCTGGTTTTAACAAGAGAGGGTCGTTGTCACGGTCCAACTCCGTTAAGGACAGATCAGGGGCTGATTCCCCGCGGGAAGCACCAATAGCTGGCAATCCCGTGAAGGAGCTGGAAGAGCAACGCGATGCACTTCACAAGGCTTTGAAGCATCTATTGCAGAGACAGGAATTGCAACAAAGGGACTTCGAGAAGCGTATCAAGGAGCTGGAAGCCGAAAGAGACAACGCTCTCAACCTTACACCTCGACGGACCGCCTTCCACAAAGAAGTCACCCATCTCAGAGAGGAAGTCAACTCGCTAAGACGCCGAGCTGACGATGCTTTGGACCAGAAGTGGCAGTGCGAGACAGGTCTTCGCGGATTGCGAATGGACTTGGACCGGGCGCAACAAGAGACGTCTTCCCTTCGTGACCTTCTGAAGGAGCACGATATCTCAATCCCTGAGATCCGAATCGAGAACCAGCCGGTCTCGTTGGACAGGGCTTACAATGAGCTGCGCACGACACATGCTCTCTCGCTCGCCCGCGTAAAACAGATGGAATCCGAAGACTCGCTCGGCGTAGCAGGTGCTGAGGCGGAGAGGACTCTGGACCTTCTCAAGCAAAGCATATCTGACGCGGAGGCCGAGCGGGATTTCGCACAAAAGGAAGCCGAGCAGTATCGCCAGCAAGCTCGCGCTCTGCAAAAGTCGGAGCTCGAGCACCTAGGCAAGGAGCAGAAGCTTAGCACTGAACTCTTTGCTGCAGCGACCCGCATGGACGAGCTTTCCAACAGAATTCAGCTGCAGCTAGAGTCTAACAGCGCGCTACGCAAGCGCCTTGCTGACGCTGTGTCACGTGGTGAGCAAGAGCAGGGAAGGTCGACAGAAAAGATCATTGAGCTGGAGAGACGGCTGAAGGCAGCGGAGGAGAAGGTGATGATCGCCCAACAGTCCTCCGAAGAGGCCATTGCCAGACACGAAGAGGAAGTGAAGGCAATCAAGGACAGCCACAACAGCCATCTCCGCCGCGTCAAATCTGGACTGCTTAGCCCTACCATTCGCTCCCCAATAATGCCCTCCTCTCCAGTCTTCGCCCAGAGGTCCCCTCGTCTCGACAGAACGACTAGCGGACCCGCTATGTCGATGGCGGAAGCCACCAGGACGGAATTGCTAGAGAAGCGCGTCGAAGAGCTCGAGAAGGCTCTCAGGGACGCTGACCACGAGATGGAAGAAGTGGTTGGCCGGATGAACATGGCACAGATTGAGGTTGCCGACCTGCAATTCCAAAGGTAAGCTGACTTGATCCTACATTTCGTACTTGTTTCTAACGCATGCTGCAGGGACGAGGCAATGAGGCAGACAAGGAGGCTCCAAGCAGACATCCTTGCTGAGCGTGAGAAAGTGAAGGCTTTGATGGCACAGAACTAATATCCTAACGAGGCATGACGAGCCATTCGACACGACGATAATTATCCGACCATAATCGTACCCTTCTACTCAGATACATCGAGTATCTGTCCTTTTGGACCGTCTACTTACATTTGGCGTTTCTGGGGCACCGCATTTACGCAGGAGCAACGGTTGCATCCCTCGTGAGGAAATCCTCTCACAACCACATCGCTTTATTACACTTGATTACCGGCCGCCGAGGCTAGCAGGCGCTTATTTTTCTTGTCTCAAGACACTTGTCGACAAACATTCGGCGTGGTCCGCATTTGGCCACATTGTTATATACCCTTCCGTTTGGCTGCGCTCCTGCAGAGAGCCTGGGCATTGAATTTCGGACTCTTTGCCAGTTTGGATTATTGTACCCCCTTTGACATCAAGCTTACTGTGTATGTAATGATCTAATGGTTGGATGTTGGGTCCTCGTCAATCCGCAGGATTGCTGTACTACTAGCTACTATGCAAACGCGTACTCGCGCACCTCGTCTGCATGCAGTGCAAGTGACCTGACTCAGACGACGGCCAAGTTCCCGGGACATGGCCGGGCGGGAAGGAGATCCATATAGTTTCCAAGGTTGGAGTATCATGCCACTGGTGGCCGTAAGGATGTCGTGGTGAACAAATACAGCATTCAATTGTTCCACAGTGCGATGGGCAGCGTACCAGGCGGGAAGGCATGGAATTAATATAGCGAATCAATGGGAGAAGACGTCGGATGCGAGGAGGCGTGGTGCAACAAATTGACGGTTATGGAAAGCAATCCTCCTGCATTGGCAAGTCAGCACACTCGGGTAGCGAGCTGCTGCCCGACGCTGTGGATGCGCCCCAACGCCGTGCTTTGGATGACAGGTGGAAAATGCAGATAGCCTCCCGTCCAAAGCTCGCTGGGAGGACATGGTGCAGCCGTGCTACCTGCACACGCGTGGAAGGAGAGCGTGGCTGCGACTCGGTGCCAGCGAATGTGCTCGAGAAGGAGAAAAGAAGCGGGCACACGTGGGCGTGCAGAAGGCCTCCAGCCAGACAAATGCCGTCCCCGCGATATGGCGAAGGTTAGGCGGGCGTAGTGGTCTCTGTACACGCCCTGCGCTGGGCCGCCGGTGGCATGGTGTCCCTATCGATAGTGCTGCCGCTCGAGTCTAGGGGGTGCAGGCCGCACAAGCGCAGCAGCAGAGCAACCATGCATGCGCAGCCTCAATTCGTAACGGCGCCGTATGGACCCATGTGAAAAAAACGCTGCTCCCCGCACTCTCACCTTCGCCCATTTCTTGGTGAGCGAGCGAGCTCGCCTTCCCGCCGTGCAGCTCATCGTGCACTTCGGCCCGCGTTCGCGGCGAATCAGAGAGTCTGGGCCGAGCGCTAGCATCACCCACTCGCCGTTTGAGAGTTATCCCTGAGTTGAGGTCACTCCCGTCTCCCTCCCTTCCTACCAAGACTTCGCTCTCTCCTCCGCTGCGCCTCTCGTCCCCTCCTCCGCGCTGTCTGCGAGACCGTGGTTCCATTCCCCAGCCAGTCCCCACGGCGCTGAGCCCCCAAAACCCCTCCAAAAAGAATTCCAGGCACCTCCTCCACCACAACACCCCCCCGGCACTACGCACGCACGACACGCCGCCCGCTGAGGCTCCCGCTCCTCGGCTCCTCAGATCGCTTCCCCGTCCGCAATGAACAACCAGCAGCAGGCCAACCGGCTGAATCTGGCCTTTGGCTTCGGCGGAGGCGGCGGCGGCGGCGGTGGTGGTGGTGACCGCAGCAACTACCAGGACTCCGGCCGAGCGTTTCCCACCACCCCGTCGACCTTTCCGCAGCCTGTATACCCCAATCAGGCCGGCCAGCAAGAGGTCTGGGGCGCACAGCAGGGCAATGGCTACGGCGCCGGCTACTTCGTGAGCCCGTACCAGCAGGCCCAGTACCAGGGACAGCAGGGCAACTTGCAGGCGCCCAGCGCTGCGCGGTTTAACGAAGCTGCCAATGGCCTCGCCCAGCAGTTCTCTCACCAGCATCTCGGTGGTGGCGGTCGCTCCAGCAGCCCCTACGGCCGCCAACCTTCCCCGAACCAACAGCGTCCCCGAACTGCCGGCGAGAGAGGTTATCAGTATGGCGGCTATGGCGGCCACGTGCCGAGGCAGCCTTCACTCAATGATGAAGAGCCGCCGCCAAAGACGCCGGAGCGATATTCGGACAATGTGCTGCGCCAGACGAAGGTGTCGGTGAACCTTGTCAGCACCTTCTTCAAGGACAGTGTGCAACGCGCACGCGATCGGAATCAGAGGTGCGCCTATTACAGTTGCTTCTCTTTGCATCATTAACTGACACTTGTCCAGAGCGCTGGAGCTGCAAGAGATCATGAAGGAGCCGTCTATATCTGAAGCCCGCAAGGCTCAGAAGGAGAACAGCATGCGCCGTGCTGAGGCAGAGTACCTCCGATTTCTGCGCACAAAGGAGAGGCCCGAGAACTTCTCGACGCTAAAGATCATTGGCAAGGGAGCTTTCGGCGAGGTCAAGCTTGTCCAAAGGAAGAATGACGGCAAGATCTACGCACTCAAGTCGCTCGTCAAGTCTGAGATGGTCGGTTCTCGCGCCCGAGCTTCGTGCATAAGATGCTAACTTCAAACAGTTTAAAAAGGACCAGCTGGCCCACGTCCGTTCCGAGCGCGACATTCTCGCAGAGTCGGACAGTCCTTGGGTCGTCAAGCTGCACACCACCTTCCAGGACAGCACGTTCCTCTACATGCTCATGGAGTTCTTGCCCGGCGGTGACCTCATGACCATGCTCATTAAGTACGAGATTTTCACCGAGGACATCACCCGCTTCTACATGGCCGAGATCACCCTTGCTATAGAAGCCGTCCATAAGCTTGGTTTCATCCACCGGTAAGGCCACAACACGGCCCGTTCCATTGGGCGGCGTCGATGATATTTGTCTATGCTAACGACACAAAGTGACATCAAACCTGACAATATCCTATTGGACCGCGGTGGTCACATAAAGCTCACTGACTTCGGTCTATCAACGGGTTTCCACAAAGAGCATGAAGCTTCGTACTACAAGAAACTTCTCGCCGGAGGTGCCCACAAGTCCAATAGAGACAACCGGAACTCAATGAACCTAGACCAGATTCAACTAACGGTCAGCAACCGTGCGCAGATCAACACTTGGAGAAAGTCTCGCCGGCAGCTTGCCTACTCCACCGTGGGTACCCCCGACTATATCGCGCCGGAGATCTTTAGCGGGCAGGGCTACGACTTCGGCTGCGACTGGTGGTCGGTTGGCACTATCATGTTCGAGTGTCTTATCGGCTGGCCGCCGTTCTGCGCCGAGGAGCCGCATGACACATACCGCAAGATCGTGGACTGGCCGCGGAACTTGCACTTTCCACCGGATCAGCAGCTGGGAGCAGAGGCAGAAGATTTCATCAAGCGGTGAGCGCCTTTTTCGTTGTCCTTTCTTTTTCAGTAAGCGAGAGCATGCTAACGGTGAGTCCAGCTTGATCTGCGATGCCGAAAATCGTCTCGGTCGCATCGGCGGCGGCAGCGAAATCAAGCAGCACCCGTTCTTCCGTGGCGTCCAGTGGGACCAGCTGCGTCGCATTCGTGCGCCGTTTGAGCCTAAGCTGCAGTCCAACATCGATACTCAGTACTTCCCCATCGACGAGATCGACCAGAACGACACCAGTGCTGCTCTTCGTGCGCAAACTGCACAGGCTGGCGAGGATGTCGCTGCCGAGATGAGCTTGCCCTTCATCGGTTACACCTACAAGCGTTTCGATGCATTCCGAGGATCATAGATACCCACGTCGACTGGTCACGACGCTCCATGACCTGGCATGAGCTACGATTCTAACACTGATCAAGACTTTGTTTCTGCATCATCAGATCACTTCAAGAGCATCGCATGTGGGCCGACGCAACTCTCTTGGCGTAGACCTTCTCTCGCTGGACCTCCTTCCCTTTGCCTTTTTCTTCCAGACTCGCCCTAATCGACTGTCATTCTCGGAGTAATGGTAGTTCTTCTGGACGCAATGCATATGTAGGCGCCGCGGGCGCAGCTGAAGTAATAGCGTAACCACAGTTCTACCCCCCTTTGTTGCCATCCTGCCTGCGGACTGTTAATTTGGCTTTCTGCCAATCTGGTTGCTGCTTGCTTGGAGCTGGAGATGGATGGTCATGGACTGTTACTGGGTTGCGTATATTTTGCTGGTCGGTACCCCGGAGGTGGGATCATTCTCCGGTTGGTGTGGATGTGGAAGGTGGAAGAGCATTCTGGACACTCGGGCATCTGGGCGGAGTACGAGAGAAATCACAATATGGAGGCTCGTCGACACCTGGAACTGCGCTGCTGCCTTGCAATCGTGACTGTGGTGATGCATTTGAGAAAGTCTTTCTACCATGCCATGCCGCTATTAAACCATGAACGCCACACACCATGCCGCTTGCTGAGGACCACCGCCATGCCAAAGCCAGCCTTCGTCCTCTGAATCTTTGATGCTGTCATCCCGAAGCCCTCATTTCTCCATAGCGCCGCACCATTATATCCCGCGCTCGGTCATAACTTCCCCCGTTCATCGCGCCTCGAACTGGACCATACTATTCACCCGTTAGCCCATCCCATATTCCCAAACCCCTCCCTCCCTCCATCCTCTCTTCCCCGCCCTCCCCTCCCCACCCCACTACCCCACCCCTCTCAAATCTCCCTCTACCCGCCAAGAGCAAACTTAAACTCAAAAAAACTCACCGGTTCGTCCGCTTCTTGTACAGCACGCGGTGCCCGCAGTTGCGGCACCGGATCGGCTCGCCGCGCTTCAGCTGCACGTCGCCGTCGCAGTCGCCGCACGTGTAGGAGACGGCGCGCGCGTGCACGTCCACGTTCGAGGTGTCGCCGGCCGCGTTTGCGGCGGTGGTTTGCGTTGCCGAGGGCGTGAAGCCTGTGTAGCCGGCTGAGGACATTTTGAGGGTGGGTTGGGTTGGGGTTGGGGGGTGAGTTGGAGGGAGGTTGATATGGAGGTGCGCTGGCTGGGTGGGTGGGAGGTAGTGCGCGGGTGGAGGAGTTGAGTGGGATGGCGGAGTAGAGAGCGTTCTGGCAGTCGAGATATTTTCGGGATGAGGTGTGGCGCTGGCGTGGAGGACATGGGACGTGCACGGTGCTTATCGATAGTGAATGTGGCGCGTGCTCTTTCCGAACTTTATCTTGGCTTGATCCAAGTTTCCAAACATTCTCTTTTCATTTCCCGCATAGTTCGGAGACAGGGGAGTAATTCATCGCTTAAGAGAGCCGCATCTACTTGTAGAGTAGTCCCGTCGCCGGCCTTCTTATATCCGCGTCTTGAACCGCACCCTAATCTAGGTAAGCTTTCGCGGAGATCGAGAACTCCGGCTGGGATGGAGGAAGACGTCGACGGTAGTTAGTATTCTAAGAAAAGATGCCGAGGTATACCGAGCTTCTCCAGAAAACCAGCAGTCTGCGTGCATTCGAGCACGTCATCAGCGTCAGGTTCAGGGTCCTCGGGAATAGTGTCTGCGGGGTGTTGCGCTTCCATCCCCGCATTCGTGCCCGCGTTGTGGTTGTGCTGTGGATCAGCATCTTTCTCGGAGATGTAGTGTGCGAAGGTATAAGTAATCGACTTCGTACTCATCCCCGTCTATCTCCTACGTTGTCGTCCGGATATCACTTCGTTTTCAAATAAACCATGGCATTCTCGCAGAAGAACGCCGACGAACCCACGCTCGCTGCTTCACCTCCTCCCGTCGAGGCCCCAAGCTCAACCGCCCAAAAACGGCTCGAAGCGCTTCTCCAGACCATAGAACCGCCAAAGACGCGCTATGGAAAGCCCCTTCCAAAGTGCTGGGTGCCAATGCAGGACCAACCTCTCCGACACCCGAGGAAGCTGCGCATGGTCACGATTGGCGGTGGCATATCGGCGATGAATCTGGCGTATGAAGTGCAGTATGGGTATGAGGGGAAGAGCTTGGAGGATGTGGTGGAGCATTGCGTTTATGAGAAGGATGAGGTGCTGGGTGGGACGTGGTGGGTTAATACGTACCCTGGGGTTGCTTGCGATGTGCCGGCGCATATATATACATGTACGCGTGATTTTCCTTTGCTAAGCCATGTCAAAACAGGGAGTCCATCAGTTTGCTATCCGACGAAGTCCAATACCTAGAGAAAGTGCTTGGGGACTGACACTCCTAAGAAGTCCCGTTCGAGCCCAATCCAGACTGGTCCGCGTTCTACGCCGGAGGCAAGGAGATCCACGACTACTTCACCCGCACCGTGAAGAAGTACAATCTCGATCGCGACGTCAAGACCTCGCACCGCATCATCCACGCAGAATTCGATGAGCATGAGGGCATATGGAATCTCAAAGTGCAGCACAAAGACACGGTTTTCGACGACTGGTGCAACATCCTCGTCAGCGCTACGGGTTTCCTCTCACACTGGAAGTGGCCGGACATCCCGGGTCTCCATGACTTCGAGGGTTTGAAAGTGCATTCCGCGGCTTGGGACGACTCGTACGATTATGCGAATAAGAGGATCGCGATGATCGGGAATGGGAGCTCGGCGATTCAGATCATGCCCGAGCTGGCGAAAAGCGCGCAGCATGTGACGAATTTTATCAGGAATCCGACGTGGATTACGCCGGGCTTGGGCAGTGCGGTGATTGATGGGAAGGTGAACAAGTTATATAGTGAGGAGGAGAAGAGGAGGTTTAGAGAAGACCCCGAGGCACTGAAGGCGCATCGGAAGGAGATTCAGCACGGAAGCAACAAGGCCTTCGCTATGGTAAGCTTTTCTTTTTAGGTGGTCCTCCCTCTACAGAATGAATGAGTGCGCCGTGTCACACTGACCACTGACACTGACCGGCCCTAGTTCGAGAAAGACTCCCCCGCCCAAAAAGCCGCCTTCAAAGCAACATCTCAAATGATGCTCTCCCGCCTCAACAACAACAAACCCCTCGCCGCAAAACTAACCCCAGCCTGGGAAGTCGGCTGCCGCCGCGCAACCCCCGGCCCCGGCTATCTCGAAGCCTTCACCCAGCCCAACGTCTCCCTCGTCACAGACCCGATCTCGCGCATCTCCCGCACCGGCATCGTAACCGCAGACGGCACGCACCACGCCTTCGACGCCCTCATCTGCGCCACCGGCTTCGACGTCTCCCACCGCCCTCCCTTCCCCGTGCTCGGCCTCAACCGCCTCTCCCTCGCAGACCACTGGGCCGACGAGCCGCTGTCCTACCTCTCGGTCGCGTGCCCGCACTTCCCCAACCTGTTCTTCTTCTCGGGGCCGAATGCGCCCGTGGGCCACGGCTCGCTCATGGCCGCGCTGTCGTGGACGGCGGTCTATATCGCGCGGTGGGTCCGCAAGATTGCCGCCGAGGATATCAAGTTTGTGGTGCCGACGCCCGAGGCGACGGAGCAGTTTAATGCGTATGGGGACGAGGTTATGGAGAGACTGGTGTGGACGGGCGGGTGTCGCAGTTGGTATAAGAATAATCGCGTGGAGGGACGGGTTACTGCTGTTTGGTATGTATATGCCTTCGTTCGTTGCTATGTGGACGCCGTTTTCTACTGGGGTATATGGGCTGACTTTGTGCTGTGAAATAGGCAGGGGAGCGCGATCGGATATAAGGAGACGATTGAGAGTTTGCGGCCGGAGGACTTTCGGATAAAGTGGCGGACCAGGAATAGGTTCCGGTGGATGGGGAATGGGCGGACGAAGATTGAGGGCGAACCCGGGGCGGACCTTGCTTTCTATTTGAAGAAGTAAAAGTGAGGTCGAGAGGCATGCTGCCGCCAGCCCGCCAGGGCAGGTATACGCAGTCAGTGTCCTAGAAATAGCGAATGGAACGCGTCGAAGGGATAGCGGCCCGCATCTGCTTTGTCCGTCGGGCTCGTAGTATACCATACCATACCATACCGCATCTGAGAGTAAGTGGTACAGTACTGCGATAACTAACGTGCATGGGCGCTACAACTCTCTCTACGTAACTAACTGTAGTCTGATATATGTAAGAGAGATCTAACCGTTATGACAGAGCGCCAGCCTCGTCCTCCTCCCCGCGAGTAACGCCTATCAAGATACGATAACATGCTGACAGATCAGATACGTATCCGCGACGATGATGCAAGTGGCTTGAAGCGGAAAAGCGTGTAAAGTGCCCTGCCCAGGTAATTCCAAGGTTGCTTATGCAGGTACCCAGATGGACGCTGGTCGTGCAGTACAAAAAAATCTTGGAAGATCGGTGTGTGTCGATCTCGAGCACTGCGCAGCTGCGCTTTTCGCAACGGAACGGGAGAAGTGTGGAGACTGAAGAGCCACTTTTTAGGCTTAAGGTTGTGGCGCGGGTCAGATCGAAATGAGGCGCATGTGGGTCGTCGCTGCTCCACCACGTGGTGGGTCAGCGGAGGGCACGTTGAGCGCATGTGGCGGAATATCGACATGCACGGGCGTGCAGTCTTTCACCTCAAGCCTCACGAAATCATAAATCACCAGGCGACGCAAAAAGGAGGGCAACAAAACAACGACTGCGGCGCAGTGGCAGAATTAGCTATTACATACGGCAAAGGCGCTATCCCCATCCATCTCCATCAACAAACATAACATAAAGCCATATCCACTGCTTTTTCGAATCATCCACCAAACTCTCAAACTGTCCAAGCCATACCATACCACATTTCAACAGACATTACTGCAGTCAGTATCAACATACTAAGCTAACTAACAACAAAGGTATCTCCCGCAAACCATAAACTAAACCATAAACCATAAACTTGCATCAAACCAAACCTAACCCCCTAATGAATGAATGACAACGTCGCGTCGTAAAAGGGAACGTCTCGTCGAAGCCGAAATGCGCCGCCCGCTAACTAAAAACCACCTTTTCCTTATTGGTGCCGCTCGAACAATGTAGACAAGTCTAGCTTGCTGCTTGCTTCGCTGCTCTGCCTAAAGCGCAAGCATACCCAAGAAGCCCAGCGCGCCCGCAAGACCCGCGCCCACGACGGCGGTCGGATACGCCGGCGCGCCGCCAGTCGAACCGGTCGTGGACTCAGAGTTCGCGCCGCCGGTGGTGCCGAGGGTGGGCGAGACGACGGTGCTGATGACGGTCGAGTTGAGGGGCGCGGAGGAGCTGCCGCTGACGGCGCCGGTGGGGCTGGGCGTGGCGGCGGGCGTCGTGGTCTCGAGCGCGGTGGTCAGGGCGGGCGTGCTGGCGGGGTACAGCTGTGGCAGCAGTGTCTTGACATCGGACGGAAGCGCCTGGTACCATTCGGGCGTGTTGCCGGCGCTGAGCGAGGACGCGAGCTCGGCGGAGAAGGAGGCGCTGTTTGTGAGCGCGAGCTGCAGGCTCTCCGGCGGGATGGCGGTGAGGAGGACGCTGGCGACGGAGGCTTGGACGCTAGATGGGTGTTAGACGGAGGAAAGGATGCGCTGAATACATAATGCAAAAGTCTGATGGAGCGTGAGATGACTTACGAGGAGTCGAGCTGGGCGGATGCGCCTGCGGCCAAGGCGGTCAGAGAGACGAGCGCTTTGAACAGCATGGTTGGCAGCGACGGAACAAAATAGCGATTGCGGGTCGACAGACAGCTATGAGATAACGATGAGCGAGTGTGGAGAAAGGTTGATTGAGGCGCAACGAGAGTCCGGCGTGAGTAGTGCGAAATAGCGAAGGGTGAAGAGGGCGGGCAGCTCCTTTACGCGGGAGCCTGGGTCCTTTTGAAACGGGATTGATGCGTGCGGCGGCAACGACTGGGGGGTGCTCAGATCTCACGATGGGCGGCTACGGCAGCTTTTAAATTAAGCGTTGGCAGAATTGCCGGCGCACCGTCAAAGCAAATGAGCAGACCAAAAAACGAATGGCAGCTGCTCGTCTTAGCTAATTGCTATTATTCGCTTCTTTCTTCCTTTCTCTCGTTGTTGTTGGCGAGGACGTCGCCGAACGCGCAACTAGCGGGCGGCTGAGTGCCTGCAGCGTGCAGGGCCTGGAACAAGACGACAGCGCATCGCAGCGCACGCAGCTGAACGCTTTCAACGTGAAGCTCCACGGCAATGCAAGCTGCGGCATCGTGTGAAGGTCGCGGCGATTCAAGGGCCCAGGGTCAGGGCAGCCGTTCGGTCATTAAACTCGAACGCGGAGAAGCTTGATTAGCAGGCCAATCAGGCGCTGCGCTCGGCCTTCTGCGTGAGCGTCTCATTTCCACTTTTTAAGCACCGCACGCCCGCACGGAGCGGTTAGGGGCAGGCCCCACGCACGCCGAACCGATGACATGCAGGCCAGCCTGTGGGCAGCCTCGTCCTGTGCCACTGCAAGGCGCAGTGCGACGAGCAAGAGAGCTGGAAGTATGTGGTGAGGGATTGTGTATGCGTTGCGAGAATTGAGACTGTTGGCGTCCCGGAGGTTTGGCGACGCATGATGGGCCGGTTGCGCAAGCGACAAGAGAAATATTGGATGCCAGGTATCTACCTATCACCAACATGGTACCAAGAGGCGAGGAACCAGACTTCGCGCATCGCAATTACAGCGTCCTTCCATGACAAGAGACCCGGCCGGCTCTTGCCCTCCGGAGTTCGGCATTCAAAGCGGTTGCTACCTAGCGCTTTCCATCACCCAAAGAGCCGCATCACCGAGTTGCCCATCTCGTTTCTCTATTCACATCATCGTGTTGGGTATCGGGCGGGTCCCTGCATGGAGTCGGGAGACCACATCGCGCTTTCTGACGACATCACCAGATTCCTGCGGGACTCGGGCCTGGTGCCCACGGATTCTACCGAACTCTGGCTCGACGTCTTCCCGAAGAGGGAATGAGAGAGGAGAAGCTTGAAGGGTATCCCCCTCTGCTGGGACCGCTTTCTTCTTCAATTCGTAAGGCTAAGGAATGATTTGCCCCTTAGTACATCAGCAGGTGATAGGACCCCAAGTCCCTTCGAAAGAGACACGAGAATGGCACTGCAATTAGTTCGAGCTTGTCCGCATTCCTTTCTTCTACCTCCTCTCCAACCGTCAGAGTAACACACCAAGTCGCTGCCTGACCAACCTCGAGCATACATATCCCATCCTAACCACTTTTCGCTCCCCCAACTCTTCCTACTCGCTGGATAAATTCACTGCACCGCCCAACTGTGGCTCGTTACGAGATTCGTGGCTTCGAAGGATGTGAGACAGCCTCGTTTTGCAGGGGTTCTACACCATCGCAGCCTCAGCATCCGGGTGGCTTCTACCATAGCACAGGCGCAAAGAGCGGGCTGTAGCGTCCAAGTGTGTTTACTTAAGGACGCTGTTTTGTCGTCTTTCTAAAGTTCAAGAAATAACTAACTTTCTGGATTCATTCATCATCGGTCGTACAAATACTCAAGCGACACCCTCAACATACATCTCCTTTTCATCCTCCTAATACGCCCACGCTCATACCCGACAAACACCACCTACCCCGTCCGTAGTCAAGGAGAACCAACCGATTTCTTACCAGCAAACCCACCCGCGTCCGTCAAATCCCACCGGCGCAACCAGCTCAACCCGTCCAAACCAATGCCGCCAACACCAATACTCATCGCACGTTCCGCATCCCGCGGCGACGCAAGCCCAAAGACCGTCGGTATCGTCGTCGGCGCCATCGCCCTCGTGGTCCTCTGCACTATCGCTCTATGCGTCATGGGTCACAGGGGCTGGCTGGGCAGGAGCAGGATGTCGCCCAGAGCGGAGGAGAGGGCGAAGGCGGATGAGGCGAGGTTTTGGAGAGGCGGGAGGGTGGGGGAGAGGAAGGATGTGAGGGGTGGAGAGGGAGATGATGCGGTTTGATGAGATATAGAGGGCTGAGATGTAGTGTTCAGACACATAACGCAAGCTCAAGACTTGAGGTGTTGGTTCGAAGCCGATGCTCGGCGCACCTGTGGGAGGAGTCTTGCGTGTGCAATAGCGTTTGAGCTTGCGGAGGCGGGGAGGAGAGGGTTAAGGGGCGAGGAGCCTTAGGAGAGCGTATCCCTGGACTCAAGCACTAGAAGATGCTTGGATCAAGAGCGGAAAATTGCAAATATCTTCTACCTTAGTGGGATAGACCGTTATACAATATACGCTTCAATGCTCGCCTCGTGGTTTACTCGACATACACAGATATTGGAAGGATCCAAGCTAGCCGAATGGGTATATATTCAACATGGATCTTTAGCGCCATCCATTTAGCACCACCCTCTCTTCCACTCGATCACGCCCGCATCATACTCTGATCTTCTCGTCCCCCAAAAACAACAACACCTATCTTCAAAAACCGTGCCAGTACATCCTCCACCTATCAATCACCTCTCCCATAACATCCACACACCCTATCCCAAACTCCCAACTCCTCCATGTCAGCCCCCACAACATCTCCCCTCCCCACCTCCATCTCCACCACGACAACCGCCCCCGACCTCTGGGGCTGGGCCACCACAGACAGCATCGCCTCCGGCCGCCGCTGCCTCTTCGGCTGCCCGACGACTGACTCCTCCACCGGCACTGCTACCATTGACGCCGTCTCAACCACATCAACTCCAACGCCAACAACCGCGGTCCCCATCGCTTCCCTCACCATAACAACCGGGCCTCCTCCTGCGTCTACGAACATGGGTGTGCGGCGGCAACCTGGTCCCTTGGTTGGCGCCGGTCAGAGTGGCATGGGGGTTTTCGTAGTTGTGTTGCTCCTGCTATCTTTACTTTTCTTTTGAGTTGCTTGCTTGCAGTAGCAGCGAGGAAGTAGCATGCATGCAGATCGAGACGTTTCCGTGCGTGTTCGAGGTGGGAGATTTTTCACGGGCGGAAAGAAGGAGAAGGGAAGGATCTGTGGCTGGTGTGGGGGTGCGTCAAGGGAAAAGCCAACGCGGGCGCGGAGCAACGCTGGACGACATGCATACATACATCCAAGGCGCACGCCGGTGTTCTCATGCATGCACTGCACTGTGCGGGAGCAGCAAACCCCGTGGAGTAGTCAAGATGGATGTGGAGGACGAAAGGGGAGCGAAGAGAGATGAACTTCGAGTTCCTGGCTACCTATCTACGAATGAGAGAATGCAGGGCGGACGGAGTTGGGGAAGTGGTCGGAAGCTGGCTTTACGCAAGATTGGAATTTAGCTTCCTTGAGACGCGCATTTGCATATACCGCGAGAGACTAAACGGGCAACGGAGGAAGAAGGAGGTTGTGTGCGGAGGGGACGCGGATGCATGATGGATTTAATCACCCGTGTGTGTGCGTACTCTGCTCTCAATCCTCCACTACCTGTTTCACGGCCTCAATATTTTGGGGGATTGATCCACCCAGTGACAGGCATATTCATAAAACTCCTTGAAGGTTCCTGGGGTCCACCATCCCCACACAGAACGCAGATATATGGAGCAAGCGAGAAGTACTGATTCTAGAAGAAACTCTCAGCACCAACAAAGCAAAGCGTAGAAGCTCCCCCCGTAGACTTCGAAAATAGAACAATGCAATGCAATTCAAATCACCAAGACTCCAGCCCACCCCCCAGAAAAGAAACCCACTTAGATACCAGAATCCGTCTGGTTATACGGATGGTTACCTGGGAACCAATAATCATCCCACTCATTGCATCCCTGATCGAAGGCGGCTGTACTGCCAATCGCGCCCTTGATCTCCGTCTTCCGCTCCAAGAACTGTACGCTTAAGCCCTGCGATGCGTGCCAGGCAATGTGGCAGTGCCTAAAGTTGACGGTACAATTAGCAGGCGCTCAGAAAACAGGGGTGTAAATGCTAGAAAGTGTCTAACATTTGCCCTCAGGCAGGCTGATGTAGAGAAGGGATTGCTTACATCACCCACAGCCCCGGATTATCAGCAGGGAACGCAAGAAGCAGGTATCCACCACCCGGCAGCGTCGCCGTATCTCTGCGCGTGGGATTCGCGAAGTTGAGACCGGCGGTCGAGCCATCCCAAGTGCCCGCACCGGAGCCCAGAATGTAAAAGTCCTAATGTAGCGGTAGATTAGCGGATGTCTCAGAACGGCATTCGTATCGCAGAGTTGGCTTACATGGCCATGCAGATGAATAGGATGAGGTATCGCAATAAAACTCGTCGTCTGAATCCACCAGAAATACCAATTGCTCGACGGCATCTCGTACACGTTAGAATTGTTGCCGAAAGTCGACGAGCCCTCGAGCGCAGTCTGCAGCGACGGCTGATTCCAGTCCACAATGATAGGACTCCCATCGATCGTCCATCGAAAGAGGAAATTATCGGTAGCGTCCTGGTGGTGGTTGAGCTGCATTTCTGCTTGCGGGACGATGTCCGTGGGGACGGAGTTGGGCACGAATGGGACGAGGTTTGTTTCGTCGTTGCAGGAAGTGCGCATCGTGACGCCGGTGGATGTCGGGTTCCCATCGGGGGCGCCGTCGTATTGGAGGATGGCGCCCAGAGGGATATCCTTGCCGACCATGTCATTGCTACCGCAGTCGGTGCCTACGCTGACGCGGAACCAGTAGTTGTCGGCAGTTTGGTTGGCGTTGATGACAACGTCGTAACGCTGGCCTGGGGCTATGGTTAGCGCGCTTGTTCGAAGCATGCTTACGTATGTGGTAGAGACATGGATACTTACCGATAGCGAGAGTGAGTTGGTCTGCAACGATTGGTTTGATCGGGACCTAAACATATGAGCCGGGTACTCTCGAGATATGTCAAAGAAGACTTACAAAGTCTGAAGTAATGACAGTAAACGGATGCTTATCCATAGAGACACTGAAAGTGGTGTCGACAGAGGTGTTGATAATGCGGATGCGGTACTTCTTGCCCTTTGGGAAAGGTCAGCATGATGCTTGAATCGGGTGAAGTCTGTATACCTTCTTGACTTTCATCGTAAAGTAGCTACCACCTCCATTCGCGTTGACGTGGGTACCGTTCACCAGGATGTTGTCTGGTTTAGGCGGTCCAACCTGAGAGTGCTGCGCTTGCTCGTTCAGGGTGAATCCTGGCAGTGAGTACCATTCCGTAATGGGAAGCGTGCCGAGATCCTCGTCATAGTTCGCAGTAGCTGGGCCGTCGATAATGAGAGTGCCTAGAGTGCCTTCCGAGTACTGCGCGCTCCAATGAGAGTGATACCAACTCGTTCCGAACTGAGTGCATTTGAAAACATATTGGCGGGACTTTCCAGGCGCGATGGGACACTCCGTTACCCCTGGGACTCCATCGTGCTGACATGAGTTCAGTTGCCGGATGCCGTGCCAGTGGATACCAGTCCCATTGTCTGCGAGTGAATTCTTGACATTGACAACTAGTGTGTCTCCCCAAGATGCTCGAATGACCGGACCAGGGAATTGGTTGTTGATCAGCTTGAGATAGGTTAGCCACTTCTTAGCCAATTTTTCCAAGAGGACTCACCATGACATTACGATCGCCAGCTCCGTCCGGATTCAGTGTTGTGTTCGTGATCTCGAGGTTATACTAAACAAGTGAGTCTGCGGCATAGAAATCGGGATAGTGAAATGACTGACCGTCACCGTCTTTCCTGCTGGGGGGGCTTTGGCGTCGAAGTCCGTCGCAATACTGAAGCCACTGCTCCAGCAGTTTCGTGTCCGCGGTCCATTCGTACACTGTCCGTCAGGAACTGATGTACTTGTGGTGGCTTGCCTCTCGACGATAACACGGGATGGAGGTAAAGGATCAGCGTTCCGGGGAATAGCACCAGCGAATGCAAGTGACCCAAGAGAGAGCCAACAGGCTAGAGTGTTAACCAACATGGTGGGTGAGAATGTGCAATAAGATAGAGTGGTACTATGAAAAGAGTGGAATATATGGAGGCAAAGCCCTAGGCCTTTTAGTAAGGAGCGACCTTGAAGGCAATCTACTCGAGGAAGAGACAGGACCTTCGCAATAGGTAGTAGATATATATGATCTTCGACTCCGTATGATATGAGAGGAGGGCCTAACAGCGATGTACGGCAAACTAATCTGCATTGGCGTGGCGTCCCCAAAGATCACGCCGAGCAGAACTCCTTCAGCTTCCAGTAAGCCGTGGCTTAGAGGTGTGCATTGGCGAGAATGAAGGGTCGGATGCGGTCGCATAGTCAATAGTTCCTTTTCAAACCCAAGACGAAGCGGTGTCGGTGCTCTGGTCAGGATAAGGCAGCATCTCGTTCGATGTTCCAGTATTGTCCCACATTAATGGATAGGAGACCTATTTTGAGAGCTAACGCCCAGGAGCGTGGCGTTTGAAGGTCAGGTACAGCTGATGGCCTGGGTCATCGCTTTGGCCGGTCTGCAACTACCGAGATCTGTAGGAACAGCAGGGCGAAGTGATCATGTCCGATGAAGGCTGCCTTGGTAGGATTGTGGCTGACATGTGGGCGGTATCCGGGGAAAGGCCAAGGTTCATGGTTGGGTATTTGCGAATTCCCATTCTAGGTAAGAGTAGCGAGCGTAGGTGGTCGAGGACCCTGATCCTATGTGGTGGGTCCCATGGAGGCTTGCGTCAGATACCCCCTGTCTGCAGCATGCAGGATATATTGGAAGGTAGATCAGGGCTAGCGAGCGCGGTATTCTCCTTCAGCAAAGATTAGGGATGGTTGGCGTTGCTGGTCGCGTGAGTGGGCTACAGCATTTAGCCCAAGTAGCCTACGCCGACATCTCATGGCGAATACGAGAACGGACCTGTATGCGAAGAGAAGAGGCTGAAGGGCTTCACCGGGTCCTGGGAAAACTACCGACCCAACCAGGATCAGAGAAGGTCAAGCCACGAAGCGTGATAATTCTAGAACGTGAGCAGCAGGGCGAGGCTTCGGCGCTTGCTTGCATCATCGGGGCGTACCAATCTCAGCGAAAACCGGCCGGTTCTTGGAATTTCTTACACCTGTTCACGAGAGCGCGTACCTGACATCAAAGACAAGGGGAAACGGCGGAAGGCTTCTTCAAGGCGACAATGGTCCTGGTATCTCGCCGCTTACCTGAGGCTCTCCGGATGCCAATTCCTCACCGGATGTGTTTCAAGTAGAGCTATACGAGGGTGGAGAAGTCGGCTACGTAGGTACTGGGGGCCAAGAGAGTCGTGTTTTCGGTCATGCCTAGAGTCCTCCAGTCGTGCAGAACGTGGCGAGATGCAACCCAAGCGCGAGCTGGGAGGGTAGTCGCGAGCTGGAATCGACCGCGGGCACGTAAAGCTAGAAAGGCGGATCCAGTCAATGGTGGCTTTACCACGAGCTCGTACCGGCAGGGCGGCTGCAGACACAAGAACGGGCACTCGGGATCCCAGGCAGCGATCACGAGAAGCCGTGATGCTCAAAGAGGCGCATGTTGTACACAGTAGTCCGAGCGAGGATAACCGGGGCCCATCGGGTCAGCGTCATCGGGGGCTGATCGGAGTCTGCTGTCATGAGGCGTCCAATCATCCCAGGGCAAGCGCGTGTCAGGCTCAGCATCAAGGTACCCGCCGGGTGAGATAGGCTGCAAAAACATGCGGAGGATATGCAGGTCCTCTAGACGGACGAGAGGAGAAGCGTCGAAGGACCCTAAAATTGGGACGTGACGTCCAGGGGTGAAAGAGTGCACGGGCCAGGCGAAGTCTGATTGGCTCTACATCCGAGCGTCTCCAATACAGATGTGCATGCTCGCTTGTCCGAAGCCGACTACCGACCACGACATGTCTTGCTGCGTGACATTGTTGTACTCCTTCATTGTGGCGCGGGCGAGAGCTAGATGGAAACCACCGCAGCCTGCTCTAAACACGGCCGAAGTGCCCCATCCTCCCGCATATCTCGGCTCAGTGGTGGCCTCACCAAGACATGAACTGCTACCATTTCCAAGCCATCTGACGGCGTCCTTGTTCCGTCGAACTTTGGCTCCTGGAAGAGCTTCTAAGTATTGACGCCATGACTTTGAAGTAGCAGCTCAGCTCCGGGCCACAACGGGATACAAAAGCGCTGTCTCTCTCGCCTTCATCCGAGGGCATCCCGAGAAGTCACACCTTTCCACCACTCACTTTCAGCTTTCGTCATGTTCCACTCTCGTTTGTCCAGTCTGTCAGCAGTTACTGCTCTGCTCTCGTTAGCTGCTTCTGATCCCAACTCCATCTGTTATTCCTATGGTGTGGACTTTGTTGATGAAGGCCATTACTTCATCAACACGCTATCCAACGAACAGTTCACTTGTGTCTCGACGTTCAAAGGATGCAACAACGATGTTGCAGATGTACTCTTCGTCGACCCCAATGGGGACGAAGTTCTCTGCTCCCAGATCCCGACCACACCAGAGGATACTCCAGAGCTCTCGACATGTCCCATCCTCAAGAGCCAAATGGTCTCAGGAGACTGGATCATCCTGATCTTGGGAAACAATGATGATGGCCAGCCTTTCGCGTGGCAACGAGGTAAATTCGATATCCGAAAAGGTTTTTCTGTTTCTGACTTGTCTTCTAGACCTCTACCTTACCTGCGGCCCGCAAGCTACAACTACATCGACCCCTACCGCTACTTTCGATGTCACGTCAACTCCCGTAGTGACATCGACATCAACGTCGACCTTCGTCATCACTTCGGAGTTCGGTCCGACAGCAACATTCACTCTTCCATCCGCAACGGCCAAGAAGACGAAAACAATCACTCCTAAGCCAGTTACGACCACGGCGACGAAGACTTTCACTCGCACCAAGTATACATGGACAAAGGAGCTCAGCATCGTCACAAAGACGGAGACCGCAACATGCACGACCTCGAAGAGCAAGCCCGATAAGCCTTGCACTTACTCGCCTACCTTGCTTCATCCCGCTGCACTGGAGACTCCCACCAGCTTGCCCAGGATGCATAGATTCATGCGCAAGGCAGACCGTGCGGTCGATGTTGAATACGCACGCGCTCGTATTGAAGCGGCTAAGCTCAAGCGCGACCGGAAAGCTCGAGTGGCCGCACCTATTGCGAAGCGCGCTCCCGACGAGCCCACAATCACTATCACCGCCTCCCCACCCGTCAATATCACGGTAACGCATACGGCTCCCGCCACTACCCAGATAGAAACGACAGCGATTACTAGTACCACTACCACTACCCTGCCCCCGGTCACCGTCTATTCGGGTATCTACACCTCAACAATTACTCTTCCGACGCCAACCAAGACGCGGCTTGCATTCAAATATGCGGTCACCACTTCGACGAAGACATTCCGCGCCACGTGGACTAGCACTACTACAATTACGCCGAGCGCATCGATTCCTGCCTGCAAATCCCGCGGTGGCCACTTCGGCGGCAAGATTTAGGTTTCCCCCACTTCATTTTCCCTTGCATTATCAAGCTCTCCGGCCATCCTGTGTTTAGGGCTCGGCGCATGGTTGGTATAGCGTTTCAACTCGGCGCGATAGTTTCGAATGAATCGTATCTCTTTTCAATGCTCCAAATACAATTGCACCGCGAAGTCTAAACATTGCATATGCTGTAGCACCCAACAAAGCTCCGAAGAGCTCACCAGAGCTACAGCTGTTGTACAAGGGTAGCTCTTCATCCCAAACATCTCACGCGCATACTCGCCCAGTCAACGCAGTTTCAAGACGTCATGTCAAAAGCTCACCGCATTAGTCTGCGGCATAACAAAGAATCAATAAACATCACACAGCAGTGCTATGCATGGGCTATCCCAGGCAGCGGCCGTAGACAAGGGTGGCATCGGTTGTCCGAGTAAACCCTGCGCCACATCATTCCTTTTGGCGGGACGCAGTCCAGCCTAGCGAACACCTACACCGAGCCGCCCCTGTCTCACCTGCAGCCGCATGGATGCTTCCATCTCGTAAGGACACGAGGACACAGGCGGGGCAATGCATGCGCCGCTTCCGGCCTTCTCTGCCACCCATCCAGCCAAGCTTCATCGAGCTCCCGTCGTGAGCTGGGCACGAAAACTACATGGAACATGCCACCATCAAATCATAGCCTGCATTCAGGCTCCCCTCAGAGTCCGGCGAAAAGCCACGTTTGTGTAACGGCGCGCCACCACAAGCAAATGCACTAGTGCTAGCCTATCTTTCCTCAGCGTTCAGGGACCGGGGGAAGGTCACGCCGGTTCTGCTGGCCGCGTTCCGATGGCTATCTACTGTAGGAACCAAGTGCCGCGTCCTGTGGCGTCAGCCCTCTCGCCTCTTGACGGACACAGACAGCTTTGGAGGGGCACCGGAGCTGGGAGCTCCACCTGCAGAGTGAGATCAGGTTGCTTCTTGCGGGACGGAGGAGAGCTCCGTCTCGGTACGAACCTCAGGTACATGAAAGGTACGTGAGGAAGAGGCTGTGATGGCGTTTCGCATAGGCACATTGAACTTCGGTACCGGAGTTGTACTTCGTGAGATCTCAGCAGGTCAGCAGCCGACTGATCCGGTTTACGACCGAAGGCTGCGTCTGCGTGGACATGTTGCATGATGCGAGATACGTGCGCGAAAGCGAAGGTACAGGTTTATGCATCTTTGCTAGGTCGAGTAGAAGAGTGCGTCTGGTGGTCGATGGGTTGGGTTGGGTTTGCAGTTGAGTAGAGGAATGGGATTCTTAATTTAGCAAGCGCTGCCGATCGCGCTTGACCGCAGTAGGGTTAGCGCGACCGCTGGGCCGGATGGCGATGCGGGACGAGCCAGGCGGACGATCAGAAACTCCTTTCATAGTTCGTGTTTTGAGACCTCTTTACGTTTCGGATATAGGCTGGACCTCTCATCTTCGTCGATTCGGTGCTGACTTCTTAGACCTTCGTATCTTCTCTGCCGCGCTCGTTTTCCGCGATCATCTTCCTCCCACACTTCTCATTCATCGCCTCTTCTGGGATTTTGCGGGTCCGGTATCGCCAGCCATCTTCTCTATCTTCACCCTTGCTCCCTCCCACCAGCGCCCTCCCGGCTGTCTTCAAGCATCAAAAGCAACTGACGAAGAATTTCCACCAACAACGACGCTCCGCGAGATACAGATCCTGCAGCTACGTAGTTAACCGCGCCGCTGACTCGCTCCCTACAGCGTCCACGTAAGCTCCTGCAATGCGGACACCAGCTTGGGAAATTCTCCGAGCTAGCGACGCGGAGGGCTCGTACTCGACCACCACCACTGATTCGCACAGTCCAATGAGCTCTCAGACTTTGGATATCAGGTCAGAAGGGCGGTGATGCAGACACGGAGCTTATCGTAAAGACTACGGCGATTACGACCAGGTGCACATGAAAGCGTTGCTGGCTTTGCGAGAGTGCAAGGAAGTAAGCAAGGCTTCAGGTCAGCCCTATGGAGCCGCATGTCCAAGCAAGCTTAACTTTGCGCCCCAGCGCTTCTACTTTCTTACCTCATTCGCTATCTTCCATCGTCTCGCGCTACTATAGCGCTTCAATTGCGTTACGGTCCATTCCGCGACGTGTGCTGACTTCCAACTTTCCACGCTATCTGATCAGCCTTCCGGAGCTTCCCACCGGCGTGAGAGCCTCAAACGTCCGCGTCCGTACCTACGTGACGACGCATGGTTCAGGCCGTCCAATATGTGATATCTTCCATCGTGGATCCACACAAGTGTGCTGGTCCCCTGGAGGCTAAAGCCAAAATGTGAAGTGAGAACTTTGCTGCGACCCCTGAACATTTCTCGGTCGGATTTACTCCATTCTGCCATACCCACAGCTGAGGCGACTTTAGGGTTTGATTGCGGGAGCCATGGTGGGTCCAATACATTGACGGCCCACGTGCATAGGTAGTGCAGTGCGGAGACGCAGGGTACCCAGGACTCCGCAAAAGACGCTGGAAAGAGCGAAAATCGGTCACAGGCGGGTAGAGCGAGGAAGTTTCGGCTTTGATGACCCTCTGCATACTAGCACAGTGCAGCCTAGACACTCGCGGAGGATTCAACTCACACCTGGGTCCTGGGAACAGACCGGTGACCTGGTCGGCGGTCGTCGACGTGGCTCTTGTGCTCGGGGATAGCCGGCTCTTGCAGATGGAGTGATATCCTGTGCTTACTGTGGTATCCAGCAAAAATTTAGTAATTCTCTGCCTACTAGTGCCCGCGCGTACAGAGCTATGTGGCCTATAAACGCCTTCTATAGCTAGTCATACGCTGTAGAATTGCTTGTAGAATTGCTGGAAAGGGCTTGGCTGGCTGGCTGGCTGAGATCATTGAATTGACCTAGCTTTCCGCGAAGCTCTACAATATTTCCTGCAGGGCAGATGAAGGAAAACCACGCGAAGTGATAAAAAACTCCCTCTTTTTTGCTTTGTTCTTCAAATTTAAAACTGAAAGGGCTATGCGAAACCGTACGCGTAAAGCAGAGAATTAGGATAACTTATGCCAGATACCACAGTAGCTCATCCCAGCGTCTTCGGGAGGACCTCTTTTGCTCTTGAGTCTACGTCCTCCGTACCTTTGTCTTCCTGATCGTTGTTGTTGAAATCATTGAATTGACCTGGCCGAAAGGCCACGCAACTATTCTACAATTGCCCTGTATGGTGGTGGATGAAGTAAAACTACTTAAAGTTTTGACAAGAAGTGATCAAAAACGTTCATCCATTTACTTTTGATCTTCAAATTTGTTGCTGCATTTAGAAGGAGAGCGTTGAAGACAAAAGTCAAGAGAGGAGCAGAATTCGAACCTACTCTTGCTGCGGCGACGATAAAGGTGTCTCTATTGAGCAAGCCCCAGATGTAGTCACCAACCACCTACACTATCCCCCTTCGTCCTCTTGAGAAGGTAGCAACCGCAGAACACGAGCAGGAGCAGTACGCCTTCATTGATCCCTTCGTGAGGTAGTACAAAGACGCTGAAGCCGCATTTCCTGCTTTCTGTATTCGAGCTCCCTTTGCCTGGCTCTTAAGCAAGGATCCTAGGGCGGCTTTGCTCCCGACCCATAGATCTACCTAACTCACTCCAGATGACTTTGCCCCCACGTCTTCGCGATACTTGTAGCCTGTCAATGCGCAGAAATGTCTTTTGGATCATGAGTGTGCGAAGGGCCACTCAAGCAATACATGCGATCAGCTCCACTTAAGGACGAGCAGAACGCTCCGCCTGACACAGCCCACTCGACGCATGAGGTATGAGGAGGCTCATATTGTGTGGTGATACAGATGGCCTCTATCGCAAGTGATGTAGGCGATCCGGAAAGCTTCTAGCGTCTTGCCCGCTAGAATTATGCGAGAAATCATGGAGATGGTGATAGACGGCGGATCTACTGTGATAAAGGGAAGAGCAAACTAGTAAGGTTCATTGCTCTCAATGTGGTCCTGCCTTTAAGACGAGACAAGGCTAGACAGCCGATAAATCTGAAACAATTCAAGGAGACTCATTAGGCATGTTGGAAACCGCGGCTTCGAGAAGGACGGAGGAAGCGTATGCCAGATAAGGCGGCCCTCTAAAGAAAATTAGCATCGCATTCCAGGACAACATTGGACTATGTACAGTGAGAATTCGCTGTAATTATTCATGAAACCGAAGAGATCTTTTCTTGATTGTCTATAGATACCTTGATGCTATGATATCCTCCATATTCCCATACTTCCTACAGTCATACAGTCGTACAGTCGTACATATTCGTTAACAGCCGCTTCAGCGGAAGAGAAACAAAACCGAAACAAGGAGCTCTTTCGAAACAAAGGAGGAAGTGGAAGCAGGAGAAACGGGAAGAAAGGTGCTAGAGAAAGAATGGTCCAGCTGTACACCAATGCGGGCGCAAGAGCGACCGAAGTCGAGGATATCTGTCGATGACAGCTTATTGTTTTGCTCGTGTAGATCCGGGCGTGCGTTTTACATGTGCTGGTAGATTTCGTCTCCGCCTCTTGGGATCCCGCAGCACGGTCCCCGCTCCCTCGTGGTCGGTTTGACGGCGGCGGCATATCTCACAAGGCTTTGATTCTAGATCGGGATGCGTGGCGTGGAATGCTCTGGTTCCATAAAGCTTTAGGACTAACGCCTCAACATCTATGCGGAGGACCCATTCGAAGTTGCTACTTGCGCGGACACCGTTGGCAGCGAGGAAGGAAGTGTCGGAGATGTGGTATTGCCTTTGGATCTCATCCGGAGTCTGAAATGAAGCGGTAAGCAGTGGAATTGAAATGTGGCGGATGGGGATGGGAACTTACGAGAGCCTGGGCATAGAAGCAGTCTTCGCATGTTAAAAGGAGTCGGATGACTGATCTGTGAGGGTAGGCGCTCAGCACGCCGCCGCAGAAGACGCAGGGTCGAGGCGTGACTTGGAGTAGTAGCCGGCGGTACACTATTCCACTCAGATCAGGATACACTGATTCGGCTCCATATTCGTCCATCTGCGGAAACGGGAGGTTGAACCGATTGCAGGCCTTCACAAGATGAGCGGAGTAGCTCTCGACAAGCTCGCAGCAACGCTTGGATGTCGCAGCTAAGGCATTGAACGGATGGCGGAGCTCGGTCCAGGAGAAGAGGTCGGCTGCGAAGCGTTCGGTGTCGGGGGAAGAGGCTCGATCCTCTTCGCCTTTGATTCGATGTTGCTCGGGTCGGGGGAAGTCGTGTGCGCTTTCACCTTCCGAAAGGCCCGGGAGTCTGGATCGTGGAGTGATGAGGTAAGAGAGGATGTGATTCAGGACTTCTACTGGTAGTGTCTCGAGTTTGCTTTCTGAGGCTGACGACGGAGCCGCGTGGGTGGAGTCACCGGACGGTGGAAAGCCTTGGTGGCTCTGGCGACTGGCCCGTAGTTCTAGGAGGTTCGAAGATGAATTGGTAGAGTTAGTCAATCCTTCTGATGCGGGCCTGTGCGTGGAAGTTGAAGTTTTATTGGACTTTGTTTTCTTGAGTTTGGACTTTGGAGCGGCCATGGGTACCTGTGGAAACGTGCTTCGACAACGCGCCCCGAGAAGAAAACGTACAGAAATTCGAGCGCAACCGAAGGAATGACAGGAATGGGAAAATGTGAAACAAGACAGAGGGCAGATGAGCAATTTATGAGAAGAGAATACGGCAGAGCGGTGTATGCAGCTATCCGAGTGACACTGATCGGGATGCCGAATACATATACCTACCCCTCATGCTTTGCTTTTTCTCGCGGCGACTACCTGCATGACCCGAGCAATCGATCTCGCATACGGAATCTGATCGAGATGCGGATGCGACATGTCGGGATGACGCCGGTGAGGGACGAAGCCGCGGCCCTAGGATTCGACGATAAAGTAATTGGCATGGACGCCCTTACCCAAAGCAGCTTAGCGCGCATTTATATGCCGCCCGTCGGACCACGACCATCTCTCCGACACTCAACCAATGCTTTTGCCGCTCGCGACGGCGCACCGCCAGACGACAGAGACATGGCTGCCTACGCCCACAACGGGCCCGTCATGGTTCAAGAGGCCGTCCCCGCGCCGGTCGTGGACCTGACAGCCGAACCTGCTGTTCAGAGCGCTTACGATGGGAAGCCGAAGACGAACGGCGCGTCCGTGGAGCACGACGCGGACGATGGCGATGCGTGGGAGACGGCGTCGCTGCTCGAGGAGATCTTGGACGAGGTGGACGCGTTTGAGTACTCCGATGGTGCGTTCTGAGATATGTGTACCTTTCACTGTCGGCAATTGACTCCTAAGCAGGGGAGCACATCTGCACCGCCGAGGAAGCGCGCACGATCAAGCAGCGCCTTCACCAAGTCGGCGAGGACCGCTTCGTACTGCACTACATCACGAGCGGGAGATACACGGCCCGGAAACTGCTCTCGGCATTCGGCGTGAGGATTCCGACCTTCATGGCCGACTCTCGTGACGAAGATCTCTACCAATTGTTAGGCCTGGCGGTATGTCGCGAGCTCAACAAGCGGCTGCGGCTGCCGCAGTACAAGACGATTGACGATGCAGCGAAACTGCTGCAGGAGCGCAAGAACATCATGGTCATAACCGGCGCAGGCATTTCCACGAGCCTCGGCATCCCCGACTTCCGCTCGAAGAACACCGGTTTCTACTCCAAGCTGCTCGACATGGGCTACTCAGAGCCAGAGCAAGTCTTCGACATCCAAAATTTCGACGAAGACCCCGCAACCTTCTACAAGCTTGCCGGCGACATCATACCAGACTTGGAGAAGTGGACGCCGACGCACCAGTTTATTCGGCTGCTGCAGGACAAGGAGAAGCTCCTCACGAACTACACCCAGAACATCGATAACGTAGAGTCGCATGCGGGCATACGGAGAGAGAAGCTCATCCAGTGCCACGGCTCCTGGGCAACGGCGACATGTCGGAAGTGCAAGTACCAGGTCCCTGGCGAATCCATCTTCGATGCGGTCCGCTCTCACAAGCCTGCCGAGTGCCCACGGTGCGTGCAGGAAATTGCTTCGCAGAAGCCGGGCATGAAGCGGAAACGTAGCTCGAATGGGTCCAAGAAGCGGCGCGGGCCTGGCGACGACGATTCCGATTCAGACGGCGCGTACGACATTCCGCAGCCTGGCATCATGAAGCCTGATATTACTTTTTTCGGCGAGGCGCTGCCTTCAGACTTCTTCAACCGCATGAAGGACCACGATAGAGAGAAAGTAGACCTCGTCATCGTCATGGGCACGAGCATGAAGGTCGCTCCGGTGTCAGAGGTTCCGAACTTCCTTCCGCGGGACGTCCCGCAGATATACATTTCGCGCGATGTAAGTCAACTCTCGTCACGAGGCCATGATTCCAGCTAATGTTCTTTAGCCCATTCACCACATTAACTTCGACATTAACCTCCTTGGAGATTGTGATGCTGTGGTGGCGGAGCTTGCCCGCCGGGCAGGCTGGGACCTCAAGCACAAAATGATCCCCGAGGGTCAGGAGGTAGACGTCTTTCCGATCGACGAAGTTGAGCACAAATACGGTGTCAAAGTTCGGAGTCCAGCGATACAATCGGAAAACTCTGAATCCAAGTCTTAGCGACGGTATCTATGGCGTTCAAGCGGGCATTTTCTAGGAGCTTTTCCGGTGTTCATACAGGCTTTGAGTATTTTTATGAGGGCATTTCGCAGCTGAAGGCTTCTGCGGCTTTGATCATGGGGTAGCTGTTTATACGGACCTATGTTGGGGCGTTGAGGTGGCATAATGAGGAATGGCGGGAAATGATACGGTACCACGGTGAATATTCCTTATAGAGGCAGTCTGGGGACCTTTTCTCTGACCTGCCGGAGTGCATAGAATTCACTACTCGAATTTTATCCAGACAGCCTGCCTGCTCCTAAGACTCTCTTCCCTGTGCGTTAACTCTCACCGTTCCGTTACATTATACTTCAGCACGACGGCGAAAGCGTCTATCCTACAAAATGCTATAATGTCAACCCGCCTATCCTCCAAAGGCGCGAAAGATAATTTCACATGTTAGGCAGCCCAGGCCAAGCGTTTTAAGGCTGAGTTCGCAAATCCTCCGCCCCGCTCCACCCTCAACCTCCCCCGCCCAAGCTTAAGCTCATGCAAGCTCCAGCGCTCAAAGCTTCCCTCTCATCCCAGCTAAACACTCCCGTCGCAATGCTCGACATCCACCGCGACTCCGGACCCGCCACGAAATTCTTCTTCTCGCACAGCCTGCTGCCGAGCTACCTCGACCCGCAGAACGTCTCGACGAAGAAAAAGCCCTTTTCCACCTTCAACGCGCAGCCGTTCTCGCACACGGTATGCCGCCCGCGCCCCCCTGACGAAACCGATGCCATACATATTACAGCAGTAGACGGCTGGCTAATAGAAAGCTGCAGTTGGACTTAATACTCCCGGAAGAAATATACGAGCTTGTGCGCGCGCAGCTGGAGAAGCAGGATGGTGTCGCGAGGGGGATGTATGCCCGGGTGTACATGAAGCTCGGGGAGATACTGGAGCGGGAGTTTTTGGAGGAGTATGTTAAGAAGGGTAGGTATGCGATTGTCTATTCCCAGGGCAGCGGCTCTTAGAGAAGAAGGCTTTGTATGCATGCTGATTGCCGCGCCGCAAAGGAAATATCATGATGCTCTCCGAAGGCCGCCCGCTCGTCGACAACGTGTTCGCGCTGCACGACGGCGTGCTGAGGCTGGAGCTCGATCGCCCAACGTACGAGCGCTGCGGGTTGCAGGGAAAGCCGATCGAGGACGGGGGGAAGAAGCATCAGAAAGCGCGATGGGGTGCGTCTGCCCTGTCTCCCTCGCACACACATATATCGAAGCGGCAGCTAACAAGCGGGCAGTCGTCGAATTCGGCCTCCGCGCGCCCAGCATGGTGCACGGCAAAAAGGGCTTCTCGCGCCTCGAATGGGCGTGCAAAAACGTGCTCAACGAGAGTCTAACGTGGCTGTTCTACAACTTCAATCCCTCGGCGCGCGAAGCGCTGCCGGCGGGCAAGGAACCCATCTCCACCCACCAACCCTTCATCCACGCCCTCGAGCCGACTGTTACAAAGCTCCCGCGGACACTCGTCCCGAACCTCGCCGTCGCCGACCTCTCCGCGCTCTACGCCCAAGAAGACGCCCTCACCCTGTATGAATACCTCGCGCTGCTCTCGCTCGGCTCGCCGCGCCTCTGCGCCACCGACCGCGTCGACCCGCACCTCTCGCGCTACGAAGTGCCTGATTTCGGGCACGGGCTTGGCGCCAGGGATATGGTGCGGGTGCGGTGGAGGGGCTTCATACCGGCGCAGTTTGTGCGGGACTTGTTCTTGGTGGTGCGGAGGGAGGGGCTTAAGGTCGTGAAGGCGGAGCAGGATGGCGAGGGGGGGACGCAGCGGGGTGAGGAGGATAGGTGGGTGTGTTGGAGTGCGGGGGCTTTTGGGGGGAAGAAGGGCTGGACGGTTATGCAGTGGGCGGGGAGGGAGACGCTGGTTTGGGAGTGTGAAGGTTGAGGAGGCTGCCTCTATGCTCTCTTGATATACTTGATTGTGTCCTGAGCGCTTATCACCGGGCAGCATGAGAGAAAGTAGAAACGGGGTCGTACCTCAGGCAGACTCGCACGGAGTTTAATTCAATCACATCACGTTGCAGGGAAGGAGTCAATCTTGGAAGACTTAACAGAGCAAGGAAGAAAGGGGGGGTATGTGAATTGCAACTATCTCGCCATCTAAGCGCTCCGTGTCGGAGATCATCATCCCATCCCCCTTCCGTCTCAGCTCTCACCGAACCAGACACCCCCCCTACTCGCTCCGACCTCCTAAAAACATGACGAACCGAACGAAATAAGCTCCCCCAAAAAGCCATCGTTGCAGATAGACAGCCGGAAGCCTCCGGGCACTATCCTCTGCATCCATCAAGCCATGCACATGCTCGCTCATAAAGATATATCGAAGCAATTTTGGGGGGAATCTTCGCGAGCAAATTTTATCCTCCACAATTAATGATATCCGCCATGTCGCACCTAAAACAATAAGAACAAAATAAATTAGAGAAGAAGAATGAAGGTGGGGGACATGGACTAAAATGGGCTAGGTACACATGTAAAACAAGAACGGGGGATACGGGGTATGGGGTATGAGGCGCGTACGCAAGCATAAAGACAGAGCAAGAAGAAGAAGATGTAGGATCCCTCGTTGACATGCCTATATGCAGGAGCCCCCTAAACCGCCTGGCGTTGCAAAAAAGTCGTGAACACATGGCAAGAAAGTGAAACAAAAAAGGGGAATCAAAATTCCAGCATCGAAGCAAATGTGAAGTGTATCGGGGTATGTAGCGTTTACCTTTCCCAAAAAGCGCCGGTATAAAAGCAGACATGTGCAAAGTATACACGAAGGGGGAAAGTGAAAGTTTCGCTGTGGAGCAGCGAAGAAGAGTGCGGCGAACGCACGCCTAGAAGCAGTTTAACGTGCTCTTCTTCTTTTTCTTGTTGCTGTTGTTCAGCGCCGCCATGCGGGCTTCGAGGTGAGCACGCTCGGCTTCCACGCGGAGGCGCGCGTTGCGCTCTTCTTCGACGGCCTGGAGCGAGTGGCGCGCCATGCTGCGCTCTTTCCGCATCACGTTGAGCTCCTCCTCAAGCCCGGAGCACTTCTTCTTCCAGGACTCGAGGTCGTTCTTGGTCTTCTGGCTGGACGATTCCAGGTCGGTCAGGGCGTCTTCGAGAGTAGCTGTGAGCTGCTTCTCGGCGAACAGGTGCTTCTCGATGGTGCGGATACGGGCTTCCTGGTCCTCGACGAGCTGCGCCTGAGCAATGTCCTTGCTCTGGTGCCGGGAGGTGGGCGGAGAAGGCGCGTTGGCCTGGGTCGGAGGAGGACTTCCAGGCAGAGGTGGCAGAGGGATGGCTGGGGGAGGCGAAGGCAACGAAGTGTGAGAGGTGCTCTTGCGGAGATTTGAGTTATTGGAATTCGACCGCTGAAGGTTCTCGCGGGGATCGATCGACTCGCGATTCGAGTTGCGCTTGGCGTCAACGAGTTGAGACTGGTCAGGTCAGCACAGCCTTGGTGGCAGAGAAACATACTACTTACCTCCAGAAGTGCGATCTGGATCCGGGACTGCTCAACCTCCCGTTCGAGCTCGTCTTTGCGGTGCATCGCGTCCTGAAGCTCCCGACTGCGCTCGGTCTGCAGAGCGGACAGGCGGTTGGTGGCAGCCTCGTGTTGGTCCCAGTTCTGGTTGAGCTGGTCCTCCAGTTCCTGTACGAGCCGAGAGCTCTTCCGCTCCTTCTCGTTGACCTTCTCGAGCTCCTTGATCGTTTCCGCGTTGATGAGCTCGAACTCTTTGAGGTTGCCCCTCAATGACTCAATAGTCTTAGTGGCATCTGAGAGCTCGTTCCTCGCCCCTTGCAGATCGTTCACTGCTTGGTCAATCTTGGCCGTGAGAGACTTGCGCTCGTCGACCAAAGACCGTATCTGCGACTGGATCTTCGTCATGTCCGTCTCCTCGTTCAAAGCGGAAGAGACGCCCTTGAGTAGGCTGTCCATGGCCTCTTTGGCTTTCACGAGATCTGCCTGGAGCGTTTGCGAAGAGCTTTGCTGTGCCTCAAGCTCAGCAGTGAGCCTGTCAAGTTCAGCTGTGTGAGATTGCTTTAGGGACTCCAAGCCCTGTTCGTGGAACTCGATCGCTGTCTTGTGCTCTTCGATCTGCTTCTCCAAGTTTGACACAAGCGATCTGTGCGTCTCAAGTTCCTTCTCTGTAAGCTGCCTTGCTTCGGCGTCCTCCTCGACTTGCTTGAGAATGTTGGCGTGAGACTCCTCAAGCTCAGCGAGACGAGTGGCGTTGCTGACGGCAGTGGCCTTGTGCTCATCGACCTGAGCTTGGAGAGCAGCGACGAGCTCGGCGTGCTTCGCCTTCTCCGCCTCAAGGCTGGCTTCGGCATCAGCACCCTTGGACTGCCCCAGCTCAGTAATACGAGTGGCGTGCTCGGTCTCCAATTTCTTCATCGCAGATTCCAACTCCCGCACGGTGTCCAGATGTTGTTTCTTGGAGGCCTTGGTAGCTTCGATCGCTTCCAAGTGTTTTGACTGCCACTGCGCCACTTCTTCCTGGAGTTTGGCGATCTGTGACTGGTGAACATGGTCACCTTCGCTTGCAGTCGCCTCATCAAGCGACCGGGAGACTGGGGCTGAGATTTGTCGCGGAGAAAGAGGTTCGTCCAAGGACTCCGTGGGCGCCACAGATGCTTTGAGGTTTGCAATCTCTGCTAGGAGCTCCTGCTCCCGTTGGGCATGCGAGTCCTTCAACTCCTTGATCTGCTCTTCATTCTGCTTGATCTGGTCCTGCATGGTTGCCACAATGGAGATGTCGAGCGGCGACGACGCCTTCAAGCTCGATCTCTCCTTCGTCAGGCCGCTGATCAACGTCATCTTGCTTTCCATTTCCCTGCGGACAGACGCAACCTCGGCCTCCAAGGCCTGCACGCGCTCCGACCGCATGTGCAGTTCGGTCATGATGGCATTCAGGTTGAGCTCAAAGTTCTGAATCGTGTCAGGCTCCTCTTCGAAAGTTTCCAAAGCCATATTACGAAGAGAGGCAAAAGCCCGGTTGGAGCGGTCGTTTGCAAGCATGACCTGCTGGCTCGACTTGCGACGAATAATATGAGCGGTCGGTGAGCTTGGACGCGCCATCTGGGCCTTTGTCACCTCGCTCTTCAGCTCCTCCACATAATCCAGAGTGTCTTGATGCTGCTCGTGCAGTTCTGAGTAGTTCTGGTTAAGCTCGGCCATGCGCTGCTCCTTCTCCGCGTTAAGCTTCTTAAGCGCTTCCAGTTCTTGGAGCAGAACAGACTCGTTCTGAAGAGGGTTGGCACGTTCTGTTGTGCTTGACTTGGGCTCCGCCGTGTCGTGTTCAGAGCTCTCGGCTGCTGCCTCCGTCTCCTCCGGCGTAGAGGTATTGCCAGATTCTGCTAAGGACAACTCCACAGATAATGTACGCGAGGATGATGGTTGTCCATCCTCTACCTTGAGTCCGTTCACCCCCGCGTCCGCTAAAAAAGATGTCGGTCGAGAAGACTCCGCTAACGATGGTCTTCGGTGCCGTGCTTCGTCCACGGCATCTTGCAAAGCAGCCAAGGTGCGCAGAGCTTCCTGGTACTTGCTTGCAAGCCGATCATAGTCGTGGAGAGTGCCTTCATGCTCGACGCGGAGATCGAATAACTCCTGGGTGACCGACTCTAGCTTATCTTGCACGTACTTCGTTTGAGCGGGGCTTTGCGGCATGTCGATAGTCTCCTCCGGCGCCAGTTCTTTGCTAGATACAGCTGGCGCGGTTCGGTCTTCCTCGCGCTCCTCTGCGCCGTCTGTTGTAGGAGGTTCGGCCGCCTCCGCGGTTCGGGGGCGTTCCGCATCGTCTTCCTCCGCAATGGCATCGACATTGGTGCTGAATTGTCGGCTGCTGCCATCCGATGATCTCTTCTCCACGAATGGATCGCTGGGCTTCTTAGAATGGCCATTTACGAAGGTTTCCTCGACCTTGGGTTCTGTCTGCCGGATGCTATCAAGCTCGTATAAGAGATTGTCCAGTTTGCCGATGCTCCGTTGTCGTTCGACTACGTGCTTCAGCCGCTCAATCTCCCGCTGCATTAGCTCTGCTTCCTGCTCGTTCTCTGCAAGGCGCTCTTCCAGCGTTGAAATGTACTCCTCACAGCTGGACTCGTTCTCGCGGGCCCTCTGGAGCTTCTCGCGCAGATCCGATATCGTGGTGTCGTTCCTCTCGATGCCAGAAGCGGAGCTGTCGACCTGAGCCTCCAGTGTCTTGACGTACTCCTCGTTGCTAGCTTCCCGGTCCATGGCTTTCTGAATGCGTGCCTGAAGTTGTTGCGCCTGGCTCTCCAAAAATGCGATTCTGGTCTCCTTCTCGAGCAACTCACTCTCGTTGGCCGAAAGCGAACACCTGGTATTTGACAGCGAAGACTCGAGGCTCTGGATCGTCTTCTCATATTCGAGGACGACGGATTCGACCGCTTCAGCGAATGAATTGGAACGCTTTAATCGCTCTAGCGCTGAGTCACCGATAGCATCCTTAAGCATAGGCGTCTCGGAGTCGTCATTAACATCGCGAGCTTTGGTGATTTCAGAAATCAGCTTCGCGTGGCGCCCGCTAAGAGCATTGTAGTTCTCTTGAATGTCGAGCAGCTGATTGTGAAGCTCGATTTCGCGTTCTTGTTGGCGCTCAGCTCGTTCCTGCGGGTTTGCCTTCTTCCTGTCCGTCCGCTCAGAAAGCCTGATCTGGTCGCGCAGGAATTGCACCTCGGCACGTAGTCGCTCGATGACCGCCTGCTTGTCACTATCGTCGTGCACTTGCTGAATCTGGGGCTTGATCTGAATGGCACGAGCGCGTTGTGCGTACTGGACCGTGTTCAGTGTCTCGCTTAAGTGGAATTCGGCGGGGTTGACACAGGCAATCATGTAAGTGATTGCGTTGCCACCGAGGGAGTCTTGCAGCAGGCGGGTGAGCTTGGAATCGCGGTACGACACGTGGGCGCCTGCCGAACGTGATGAGAGCTGAGAGATGACCTTGCCCAAGCTCGCAAGTCCCGCATTGATCGAGATACCCTCCTTAGCCCTCTCACCCTGGGCCTGGGTATTCTTCAGCCTCTCGCTGCCCGCCAGATCCACGAAGTGGAGCTTGCTGTCGACCGTGATCCAGTTCTCGCTATTGCCTGACATAGCCTCGATAGGAACGGACATGCGCTTCTCGCGTTTCGTCAAGGGGGCCGTGGAGGTCTTCTTGTGCACGAGGTTTAAGCTGAAGACGGCGTGGGAACGGGACGATTTCGCGTTGACGGCGGTTGCATCGGTCTGTCGAATGGCTGAGCCGAAGTTGAGCGCGTTCAGAAGATCCTCCACGGAATTGATTGAAACCTGCGTCAGACCCGTGAGAAGGATGCGACCCTTGATGTCCTCGCGAATTGCCACGGAGGGTCGCTCATGTGGAGGCGTGTGTTCGGGGATGAGGAGATCACGAAGCTGCTCATTGTAGATCTGCGGAGGTCAGCAGTCTTCCCGGAGACGGGCGGCGCGCGTCTTACCTCTACATATGTGGCCTTCAGCTGCCAGTTCTTGTTGCTCGACGACTTGTGTGCGAAGTTTGCCGCGCTGAGACCGGACAAACGCGAAGGCGCACGGATTCCTGAGGCCCGACCGTTCGGTCCTTCGAGCTTCTCAAAGAGAATGCCTGCCGCGCGTGGTACTATGCCTGCTCACATGGTTAGCGTCCACTCCGCATTCCTGCAGCGACACAGTGTCTGCTCGAAGAGAGCTCACCCATTATCTTTGCGTCGTTCTGCTCGCGCGGGCCTGTGGTGCCCATTGTGTACGACTTGCCCGCGCCGGACTGGCCATAGGCAAGGATGGAGACATTGTAGCCCTGCACGAAGGAGGTGACGCTCTCGCTCACGTATTCGAAGACGCCCTCCTGCTCGACGTCCTCGCCGAAGACCTTGTCGAACACGAAAACTTTCCGGCCGCCGGACGCATCGACGGCGAGACTCGAGGACGACGTGACCTGGCAGGTCGAGCCACGAAAGCGCTGGGGGACGAGGTCGAAGCCTGGGTCTCCGGGCTTGAGCGGCGGTCGCACGCGGACGGCTGCATTAGAATGTGGTTAGATTTTGGGGCACTGCGGGGACGCGAGTTTAGAGCGCAGACGTACCAACTTTTACGGCCGTTTTAGAGTCCTCGTCGGAGGCCCGCGAACCGCCGCCGTGCTTGCTGCTCATGCTCATTCTGCTGCTCGAGCGGTTGGGCCGGATCATTGCGCTCATGGGCCTCTGGATTGCGCCGGCCGGCGAGCCTGGGGGAGAGGCCATCACTGCCGGCACGCGGCTATGCCGTTATTTGGAGGGCGGGTCGTGCGCAGCTTCAACGGGGCGAGCGGTGGTGCGCGTGGTGTGCGAGATTTGCGAGGCAGAGCCGGTAGAGAATATAGTGGCAGGCGAATATCTTCCCCGGTTGTCATGCGAAATTGGTTGGCGAGGGACGCTCAGCGCGCGTGTGTGCGGGATTTAGCCTGGATGCCCGCACTGAGGAGGGCTTCATCCAGCGAACGAGCGGCGCGGGCGCGGTGGCGGTGCGTCGGGGGTGGTGAATGGAGAGGGAGCAGGACGGCGAGGAGAATTGTTGCAGTGCGGTGGTGAATGGAGAGCGGGAGGAGGTCACTGCGCGCCGCCCAGCAGGTGTTTTTGCGGCCCCTGGCCGACCGGCGCGGATGCTCAGGGGAGAGCTGATAGCTGCGGCAACGCGCCCGCTTTTTCACCAACGCCCGTGCCTTAGCGAGTCTGCCGTGAAAGTACCCGTGGACTGCGCAGTGCGGCACTCAGCTGAGCAGGCGCGTCAAAAGCTGCCGGTTCCGATGCAGCTAGTCCACGGCTACGCTGTTCTCTCGCGCTGCGCACAATTATACCTAGGCTGCCGCTGGAGGAGCCGTTGTGCGACGCGGCACGTTTAGGTATGCTTCGGCGCGTCTTCGTTGCTTGTTCCTCCGTTCCTCCCAGGCCACCGCCGCAGCGTCCACGCCTGGACGGACACGTCTCACGGTGCAGCATCAAGCCTGTGTGCGCTGAGGGAAATTGCCCGGCTGCCAAACACTGGAGACGCCGCAACGGACGACACAAACCCGCGTCCACGCCATTGTCCATCCACTTTGGGAGGCGCCTAACCACCACAGTCTCTTGTCCGGCGTCTGCTCAGCGCAGTCTATGGGCGCGGCGACGATCGCAGCTGCACTGGTGGCGCCGTCCTCCAGGCTTCCTCCATGCTTCTGCGACTAGCCCGAAACGAGCCTCTCCACGGCTCTCGCGCGCTCCATGCTGCAGCGGCACGATCCTTTGATGCGTTGAGCCGTGGGCTGATCGTTCGCAGACTCAGACTGCTCCTGCGCTGCAGAAGTGAGGCTGGAGACGCGGGTACCGGTATGCGCTACTCCAGTCCCACCCACAGTACCCTCAAGCCGGCCCCGCTACAGCTACAGTGTCCCGGTCAACACCTCCGGCACTTCGTCTTGCTCTTACCTGAAGAGCGTTGCAACATTGCGCCGGGGCGAACGATATAGTTCAGGCTTGTACCAAACCGTCTAGGGGATCGAGTCGCGCCCACGTCGGCCACGCGAGACTACTCCCTCAACAGCTTGGGGCGTGTTTCAACCAACGACAATCCCGAATTTCGATGGCGAGGCGAGTGCTCCGGCCTCCTGAGTGGGCAAATTGCGGCAAAGGCTCGGGACGAAGGTGACGACGGCTGCAGCTTGTCATCTGTGACTGAGGATCCTGACTGCTTGGAGTATCTATCGACTCGGATGCCTGAGGAGCTCGGCTTGAGCTGCCCTGGCTACGTACGCGAATATGTACGGAGCATGTGAACAACAAGTTCTGCTACAGACGCTGTCAGGCTTGACCTTTTCTGTGCTGTGGCTATGCGTCTGCCACATAGCACGGCTTGAAACGTAGCCAGCCCGAAGCACATAGCGACCCCTTTCCGACGTCTCCACATGCTCAGTCGCAGTACACAACAAAAGCCTGTCTACACTTTTGCAGTATTGATAGAGAGGCATGCCAACCTCCAGATGTCGTACGATCCAGCCATCACTCTAGCTTTCATAGTCAAGGTGGTCCCGAGCACTTGCAGGTAAATCCTTGGGCTAGCCTCTTTAATCTCCAGTTAATAATTCTCGCAGAGAGCAACACCAACACCTATCACACTGGAATCTATATCCGGAGTTCCGCACGCTTGCGGTAACACCCCCGAGAATAGCTCTGGTATAAGTCGGGCACCACATAATTGAAGGCATGCACGCAACTGCCGTCTGTCCCTGAAGCCCATCGGAATCTCAGAATCGCAGCCGTTTGAAGGCTCGAGAACGGCCTCATTGGCTCCCTCCATCGACGGCGCCCTGAAAGGCTCTTATCACCAAGACTCTACACGCCGGTAGATGCGCGAACCGAACGCCTCTCCCGCGAAGTGCGGTGTGACATGCAAGCACCATGGACACAGCGGTTCTCAGGCCCGTATATGCTTGGCAACATGTGGTCGGACCCTCTGAAGCGCTATCGATCAGGACGATAATACTCCCGTATTCGGCAGCAAACTCTCACCTGAGCCCTCATCCGCACTGTGATCCGACGTTGGAGGAGGTTGGGAAGCTACCCCGCGTGCCCACGCTAAGTAAAGTAGGGACGAGGGGCATGCCATGATCAGCACCAGGATACGGCGACATCACACTTCAACACCTCGACCTTCAACATCATTTGTCTGGCTGCCGGCTCGTCGGGGTCATCCTGACCCACAATGCATCTCCCCGCCTCCTCCGTAATTTCTAAGCTGCGCACCTGCTCGCCCACATCATGAAATTTCAACTTGCGACCTAGCGGAAGGAATCCGCTCCCGCTATTCTCACTACCTCATGGGTACCTCTGCACTCCGTACTTGAGCCCTCCTACAGAATCAGGCCCTCGCAATCAGGGTCTTTCCGATTTTGCCTTGGAAGAAGCCCTCCGTCTTGAGTCCACGATCCAAGTATCGTCACATCACCGTCTTGTCAGCTGCCACATCCCTCACCAAGCCAGGCAGCGTGTGCAAGATTTTGACCCCTAACTGCCTCGTGCAGGACAGATATCCAATATCCGCGACAAGGATCTGCATGGCGCCTCTCCGGACTCAGTTCTGCGCGGTCAACCTCGCTCCGGCTTTGCCTCGACGTCCTGCAGCTATCTCTAGCTGCGCCGCAAGCACGCTGCAGGACCGCACCGAACTTTGACAGCGATGCTGGCCCTACAGGAGCCCTACGTAGTCGTTACATTCTAAGGCACGTGGGTGCGACACTTATCCTATTCAGTGACCTCGAGTTCCGCCCATCTCAGCGGCTTGTATCCATTATTCACCATTGCTAACCCTCCAGACCGGTGCTCACCGCCTCCTTCGTATTCAGACACATCCCATCCGTCATGCAGGTGTACTTAGTCTCGGGTAATATGACTGAAATCCAGCCAGCGACTCCTATCCCGGGTAAGAACGCCCCGCTTCCCTTTTACCCGCTCCGTCCCTCAATCTAAGCACAGCAAAACATCGAGCGCGGATCACTCTGCAACATGACTGTCGGCGATGAGAATTGCGGGGAAATGCTGTGCGACCTTCCGTCATGCTTGATCAGAACCTAAATTCCACCGCATTCATCGGCATCGCAACACCTCCACGCCTCTCCTCGACTATACGGTATCCATTGATAATAGCCGACATACAGAAGCAACGAGTCATGTGGCGTCAGTATATGCGCCTTCGGCTTGCGATTCATTGTCAAGCTGCGTTTCTGCATCCAGGTTTTCACTGCCCTCCGTCTCATTCCGCTCCATCTTCGTCTCCATCGCCGCCTCGCAACACGACCATGCATACGTATGCCTACTATAGAAGCCGCCACGGCACTACATCCACACCATTGAGGTCGCCGCCGCAAAAGGTCTCGGGGCAGTACCTAATCTGGTAATCGTGGTGGTAGACTCTCGCTCGCCACGTTCCGCGCGTTTGGCGATCACGGGCGAGACGCCATTAGGAACCCCGCATTGCCACGCGAGTGCCTGATGGATGATAGGATCTTCCGACGGGATCTACGTTAGCCAATTCTTTGGTTTCACCTCATTCCACAAGTCCGCAGAGTTGTTAGACACACCAAATTTGAGAGACCATGTCTGATGGACGTCTTCTACCCCAACTCTGACTTGCGATCAGATGCAACTAGAGCACTAGCTGGACAGCCTAGACAGCGCTAAGTCGAAGAGTCAGTTGTCACCTTCCAACTGTTTGTGGTACGAGTGGGTTTGGTAGTGCTGTGGAGTCCATGAATGCACAGCCAGCAAGATTCCCTTACTCTCACTTCGAACTCCTCCATTGATGTCCACGCAATTTCTCTCCTTGGCTGACAATGCGCCTGGACCTCCATTCGTTCTGAAAGATTTTTAAAGGGTGCAAGACGTACTTGCTAAATGACTTCGATCCTGGTGGAAGCGCGCTGTCGCTGCGGAGTCACTGCCACATCACCACTGTGCAGGTGCTATTTAGACTCGAAGCTACTCAACAACACCGTACAGTTGGGCTCCAGCCATAAAGCGCACCTACGATGTCTAGCGACATATGCACGTAGTAAATGTTTTCCAGGTTGGTGACGCTCGCGGCGGGTCGGATCGACGTTTCACAACATTAGCGCTGCGGATTTCTTTTCGCTGACCATCGACTCAATCGTTCTAATCAATCCTTTCCTAGCACACTCACGCAGAAGCAAGAGGCATGGTACAGCCTTCGTCCTGCGACAACATTCCAGTGGCTGCTACGAAGCCAAAACTGCGACTGACCGTCTCCATACCATCCATTGCTACTACCCCGATATCACTTCCCATTTCCTCTGCGATTAACACCTTCTGCTTCCTCTTCTCTCTCCCTCCCCTCAGTTCGTCTCATCCCCAAACTCGAACACTCGTCAGAATTTTCACTTTTCCTTTTGTACCACGTTTCAAGCTTGGCCGCATCATCGCGAGTCATCTACCTGCATTCACCCCGCAGTGTGTCACGGCACGCGGTCCGCGGCATTGACTGTTCGAGAAAATTTTGCATGTCGGAGGCGGTCCGCGAAGCCATCGTGCAGTGCGCCATCGGCCATCTGGCAGCTGCTGGATCGGATCGAGTTCTTGCGGGATCGCGCCCGCGCGGACTTGGGATCTGGGGAATCCGTGGGAGAGGGGAACATGTATAATGGAGGTGCTATTGCATGAGACTATCTTGGTGTGCAGACGGGTGAGTCTCTACGTCGACATGTATGCTTGCGATTTAGGATTTCGAAGATGAAGTACGTCGAGGAGTAGGTGATTCCGAACTTCACTATGGGAGGTTGGAGACATTTGCTTCTCGTTCTCCACAGGCTATGCTCTCATCTCTCAACCCTCCGCGCGGCGTTGGTACGGTGTCTCGCACGCTTTCGCGGTGTCCCCGCCAATAGCTCTCGGAGATTTCAGCTTTATCCCCCCTTGGTTTCAATCACTTTCTTTTCCTCACGGTCGTCCCGTTGAGTGATAGATAGGCGTCTCCCCGTTTGACTAGCGCCCTATATCCTTCGGTCTACTACCGCGGGATCGATCAAGCTTCCAAATATCGCATCTCATCATCCTCGACTTAGTATACACAGTGCATTTCGCTCGAAGCCCGATTCACATAATCGCTGTCGCTTGCGTCACCAGCACTGAGGAGCTCCGTCTACTCTTGAGTTTCTTTATCTTTAGACGCGCCTCCGGAAGTTAGTAGGTAGACAGTAGATTAGGGCAGGCCAGCTCCTCCTCAAGGTTCTATGGTGGAACGTCCGAGAGACTGACGGCTGTACTCTTCAACCTGCACTTTGTCTACGCCCAACGCGCCATCTCGATGAAGAAAGAGAAAACTCCGTTATCACCCAAAGCATCGAGCGCTGACATCTAGGTGCATTCCCACCCTGACCCATATCGCGGAGTAAATAAGTAAAATTCGTGCCACAGTAGCAGCGATGTACATACTCCAGCAGCGACGGCAGGCACCCCAGCCGAGATCGCGACCTACATTCCTGTCCTTTCTAGTCTCGCATCGCGAACGCTTAGTATTACGACGACCACTCACTTCGCTATCTTTCACTGGCACGTACGCGCAAAGAGCAGTCCCAATCAATCCATCATGCACTTTTCTTTCCTGTCAAAACCACCGGAGCCCTTCCTTTACCGACCGCTACTCACTTCCCTCTGCCCCTATCTCACGTATACTTCTGCAACTTGTGAATTGGAGTAGCACATTCTCTCCTTCGAACAGGCTCTTCAGACGGGAGGGAATACGCACTTCGATGCCGTTTGTGTGCATGTTCATTCGCATGCAGACCCTACGCTGCATGTGGGGATGAAAAGTATAGCCGCGTCGTAGCGGAGAAGAAGGGAGCTTCTCATACAGGCGTGCAAGCATACACGCAAGCAACACCATTCGCCGAACCGAAAGACCTAGCCTACTCTACTCGATGGACGAAGATAGAGCAGTGAAGGAAGGATGCACAAGGAATTGCTCATTTACCGTCATCGACCCGCCCCGTCTCCAGTCCCTCCCTCCCTCTCTGCAAGACTCTGACTCAGACTCACACCGGAAACTTAACAGTACAGCCTTGCTCAACCTCCCCTTCCCCTCCTATCTGTCTGTCCGTCTCTGAACAGCTTGCTTGCTATCTATCGTGCGGAATTTCCCACACACGCTTGAAGCGTCGCTCCAGATCCAACAACGGCGCGGCTCGACTGCGTCAATGATATACGTTACATACGGGTGTTCAATCGGCATCTCAGTTCAACGCTTGTTATGTATCTCGCACTCACTCGCACTTGCGAACCTCCCTCCCTCCGATTTTTGCAACAAACAAACAAACCTTATATTCGTCTTCCCGTCCTGGCTCAATACCAGGCAGGGCTTAGAACTAGGTAGAGCAAGCAACCCGGCTGGCTGATTGGCTGTCTTACTGAGTCTAATAGCGGTCAACAATCTCAACCGCAATAGCAACAGCAATGCCAATAGCAACAGAACAGCCTATCTTGCACCTAGTACCGCAGTGTGTATCTCATCCCGACACAGGCACAGGGGAAAGAGGAGGAAAAGTGGTCTAATGCTATGCTATGCTTCGTTTGCATCAGTATATAGTGACGTCTACGGTGAAAGAGCTAGTACAGTAGTGGGCCCGATAGACCAGGACCGCACCGTCTATACAATAAGAGGCATCGCGTATCTGGTGGCGCCTGTGTGCGAGTAGGGCCGAGTCGTTGGTACAAACGCTACGCTAGGCTGCGCTTTGCTGTTGGGTTGGATTGGATCTGTTATTTCGTGTAAATGCGGGTGGGTGGAGTGTAGGATAGTGGAGTGTAGTGTATCGACGGATGCGCGAACCTCGGTCAATAGATAGATGAATGAGTGAATGAATGGACGATTGTGTCCAAACTAACGGGAGCTAAATTGGGGGACGGCGCGGGATGGGGAGTTGGGCTAGTGGTAGGGGAAGCAAGGAGAGAAGACGGACAGCTTGAGGAGATGTAGTGGTGGAAATGCTAGACTCTAGGGTTAGAATAGAAACACGGAGCATCGTGGAGAAGCAACGGACCACAGTATCTACGACGCGTGAAATGGAGAATTGCGAACTATAGATGGGGTACCTCTTGAATGCTACGCGAGGCTTTGCTTTGCTCTTGCAAAAGGGGGCTTTGAGAAGCGTGGTCAAGGAGTGTGGAACGAGAGAGAGAGTTGGTTAGGGTTGAACAGGTGGGCCGGCGGAATAAACACTGCCTTCCGTGGTCTCTGCGGATTACTGTGTACTCCATGGCATTACTTGATACCTAGCAAAGTAAACTGAGTCTCACCGCACAGGCGGGCGCTAGGTTTTCAACACGAGGAGTCTCCGATACGCAACACCCAGTACAAGTCCAGGGACGCGTGGTGTCAAACTAGAAAATCATCAGCGAAACCAACACACAGTCCTCGTGCTCCCGATCTCCAAATTTGATCGTGCTCATCGACACGGCCCGACATCGATCGATAACCTCTGAATCAAAGCCAAAAGCGAAATCATCGTACGATTTCCCTCCCGCCAAACACCCTTCCAATACATACATACACACTCCTCCTGCCTCGCCATCGAAGAAGCAAAGCAGAATCCCATTCGCACGGAACCGAAAACCGGGAAAGACGAAAGCCGTTCAAAAGCAAATTACCTGGTCCACTTGTTGCTCAACGGACCGTTTGCGCGTTTCGCCACGTTGTGCGGAGAAGGTCGGGTTACCTACCGTTAGTGCTGGCGCGACTCTACCAACGGGTCTGTTAGTCTAACCAAAATGTTCGAGTGAGAAAGGGCAGACCCTGCGCGGCCCTGCGTGCGCGACACGAAAGATAACGGCAACGGCCAGGATGCAAGGGTGCGAGGAAAAGAAGCAGCAATGTAACCGCGGGAACGGGGTGTGTGACGCGCGAAACGTCTCTGCATCAGCAAAAACAATATGAAACGGTGACAGTGAACACGGCGGGTGAAAGTCGACAAAAAGCAACAAACCCCCGCAATATTGAACAGGAGGAGGTATAACGCGAATGGGTGTTATTGAAACATGAGGGTGTTATTATTGGGCACAGCCGAGGGAAGCGTGAGGCGGCCTTGTTTCTTCATTGTTCTGGGGTGTGTTTGGGGGTGTGGTGAATGGGGGCTGACGCGAGCGGGATGTTGCATGTCATGGACACGAGTCGCGGGGCCCAAAGCATGCCGAGGCGACGAGATAGGAAAGTCTGCGATATGCAGGTCGCTCAAAGAGGACCGGAAGGCACTCGTGGACTGGCAAGGCCGGAAAGGAGAAGTAGTGCTGGCGCTGGATTGGGAATAAGTTATAGAATTTGGGTTATTGATCGCTTTACACCCCGGCCCCAATATCCTGCTTCAGCACGTCGAGTATCTTGCTGCTGTCGATCTCGCCGCTTGCGTTGTCGTCGCCGGCTTCTTGTTTCAACGCGCGGAGTGTCTCGGGCCTTGCCGTCATGAGGAGTTCGTCGAATTCTTTTTGCTCTTCGTCCTCTTGCTTGAGGTACGCTTCCTCTAGCACGAACTGTTCCGATGGCGGTGATGTGGTGGCAGGGAAGCCGTAGATTGTGGGAAACTCCAGGACGGTGCGGCTGCGCAGACATGCTCCGAGAGTGGCTGTTGGGGAGACCGGGATCAGCACGTGGCGGCTGGAGCTGGTGCGTGGCTTTAGGAGGTAGAAATGGTACTCAGGAGAAAGGGATTTGGAGTCTGGCTGATCGATAGGAGGGCTTGTATGAGGACTGCCTGCCACTTTGGCATCGTTGTCGTTGTTTCTTCTTGAGCTTGTCTTCGTACCAGCGGTCTCAGTTCCAAGTTCTGTTCGTCTAAGAGACGAAGACTCCGGCTTCTCATCCTTTGCTTCGACTTCTCGTTCTCCGACCTCATCCGGCGGAGCATCTTGGGGAGCTGCAGAGTTGGTGCCGCGAGATTCCTCGGCGCCTCGCTTCCTCTTCTTGCTGACTTTAAAGAAAGGCTGTAGCTCAATGATTGAGGCCAGCGAGCTGCCTTCAGTGAGGATGTGGGTCTTGTCGTCGCGAATCCATTCCACGGTCCATATGATATTTTTATTCCTGCTACAGGTTAGGTGATATATAATGGTGGAATCATCAATGACACTTACTTTGAGTTGTGTGTCTTATTCTCCTTCTCTCTGCTGAAGCCCTTCGGCGCGCGGATAACCTTCACGCCAGCAGCTGCAAACTGCTGATCTGTGGGTACGCGACTGCGTGCAGTACCTCGGACATGCGGTGGAGTGCCGACGTCTCCCTGTGGAAGGCTTTTCTCCGCCTTCTCTATGCCGCGCTCGACATTGGTCAGGAAGTTGAAGTCATGATCGATGCCGGCGGGAGTAGCCAACTGCGACTTTTTCACATATTTGGTGGGGTCCCGTTTCCCGCCGCATTGCGCCCACGTCTGGTGACGCTTGTAACAGGGCAGCGAGCAAGTCCGCGCAGCACAACCCGGGCAGCGGTATTTCGATGTGGCCGTGTTGCTAGCGTTTGTCAGCAGGTGGAAGATGTCTTGGATGGGGTCGCGCAAATGCAAGACGCGTGTCTTGCACGGAGTGGAATGAACGACGTCATGAAGAAAGCGATTGGCAGATACTCACCAGATGCCGCACAGATCGCTTAGCAGCGCGTCGCCGGACATTCCTCGAGTAGACGCTTGAGTAGACGGGAGCCTTCCGAGATGGTCGATATGAGGCGGCAAATTTGCTGGTGCAGGACGACGGGGTGGACGGGCGCGATGGAGGTTGCGAGCGGAGGGGTAAACGGTAGTGTACTGTGTAGAATGTGATGTCACAAGCTTGGAAGTCTAGCTGCGACAGGCGTCAATACCTAGGTAGTGCTCTCAGCCGTGTTGATGATGTCGTGAAAAGTTGCCATGTCTTGGCGTCAAGATGGGAAGGAGCGAGGGTTGAGGTGTGGCTGGTGCTCGGAGCATTTTCCATCATGTCCCAGCAGTGGTGCCTTCACGGAGCTACATCTCTACAGTGTCTACCAGACGTCGACAGTAATGAACATCTCCGCCGCTTGGAGCAGTAAGAGACGACCAGTTCAGCATGATGATTACTCTGCGACGCCCCCTTCCTTTCGCCGATGCCGCCGAAGCCGGGAGACCCTTTCACATCTGGAGCTGAGCCGCCTCCACGCTGCAGGAGCGAGCCAGGAATATCCAGGTGGTGATCGCTCAGGCTGTCGCTGAAGGAGGGGTAGACTACTGCACGGCGAGCGCGGCGTCCGGTCATCGAAGGGGACCTCTCTGATTACTTGCTCGACGGGATGAGCATCTACGGATCGCGGACTGCTCCCGCGAAGCCGTGGGCGAGTCACTGGATGGCAATAGGATGTCGACTACCAGAGTCCGGCTAGCGCTATCCAGCGAGCAGCGTTGGCTGGGTGTTTCACCTTGATCTCCAAGCCAGGTTCCGAAAGGCGTGCGTAGACGGCGCAATGCCCGGTTCAGTCCCTTCGAAGCAGCGGCGAAGCATGAAAGAAGCGGCCTGGAGAATCTCTCGGAAAGGGGCCTCAGCAGGTCCAACCCCGCTCTCCAGGAGCCCTGGACTTCTCCTCACCTGCCCTGCTGCCCTGCTGCCCTGCTGCCCTGCTGCCCTGCTGCCCTGCTGCCCTGCTGCCCTGCTGCCCTGCTGCCCTGCCACCCACTCGAAACCCACAATTTGCAGCCAAAATTACGGCCGCGAAAACGTTCGGAGGATCAAACGCGCCGCTGAGGGTAACGGCAATTGATCATCGACGCCCAAGACTCGCAATCACAGCACGGCCGGTGATGGTCAGGGGGCCCGCCTGCTGAATCAGGTGCAGCCGGGCCCCTTCGCGGAAGGTCTGCAATGCAGCGTGGACCTTTCTCCTGCAGCTTGGGGGATGCACACTGCAGATGCCTCGCGCCATGCACAAGAACGCTGCGAATGAATCAAACCCGTCCCGATACGCAGCAGAGCATAAGCTGCGCTATTTGCCACCAGCAGCGGGCACCGGACGACGCTCGCGGAGCCCTCGCTGATTTGCTGCCGCCCGCCGTTGCGCGACTCGTGGTACCAGAGTTACGGCTGCTGGGAGACGGAAGTGCCTCCCAACTGCGGCAGAAGACGACACCCGTCACCACGTCCAGCCGTCCAGCGCACGCAGCGGGGTGCAATCTATCAGCATGAGCTCCTGCAGCCGGACCCTCTCGTCAGCGCCGTCGCCAGCAGTTCGTCAATTGTCTTCTGTTGCATGCGGTGCTGCCGAGGGGGTCGACCGCCGTTATTTGCACACACGGAGCATAAAGTCCCATCGCTCACGCAGCGCACGTTCCTGGCCTAGTCGTCGAAGCCCCTGACTGCCCCGTGCTGAAGCTTTGCACCGCGACAGGACCCTGCTTGCGCGCGGATTGGCAGGGAAGCTCCCTCATTTCCCTGTGCAACCGAGACTTGTGAAGCCCACCCTAGATAGCGCCACTTTCGGGTCCTGCTCCCCAAGCTCCAGCGCCCGAGCTTTGCCTCCTCGAGTGCGGCCGCATCTCCCCAAAAGACGCCAGCCCGCCCGCCAGCATTTCCCCTTCCCTTGCTGCAGCACTCCTCACTGCATACCCGCAGCAAGGTGATCTCAGAGCGTCAATTGAAGACGTACGTCAAGTACTCGCTTTGCTCTGACCTCTGCGCTTGCCGTTTCGCTCTACTTTCTTCGGATGTCCTCCGTGCTCTCTTAGGAGTCCTCCTAATTCCCTGGGTCTTTTCCCGGACACGCCGCTGAATACTTCGCACGGTCAATTGCACAGTAGAAAAACCGAATCTTCCGCAATGGCACCTTCTTTGAGCCTGCGTCCTCGCACCGGCGAGCGACCTCCCACGAGGGACCAGGGCGACCACAGTCTCATCATTCCCAGCCGAACTTCGTCGCTCCATTCCAGAATTACGCAACCCCTCCCATCGACCCTCAATGTCCGACCGGGCGCGAAGAGCCCAAAGACTTTGACCCACGCCTATATGGTGTGCGGTGTTGGAAGGGAACCATCGCAATGGGTCAAGGCGCCGGCACCGAGCCAGGGGAAGATTGGACACATGAAGGGAGCTGTTGGCACCTTCTGGCTTCCAGAGATTCTGGGAAGCAGCCCGAGGTTGGAGCAGGATAACGACATCGCAAGGTCCCTCCACTCCGCGATGCGGGTAGGTTTACTTTTTCGCAACGGTCAAGTTCCAGTCTAACCATGCCCTGCAGGCTTGCTTCCCCCACGATGTGGAAATTTGCACAGGGAGGACCCAGCCCCACTGTGTACACCACTCCTTCGTTCTCCAGCAGGACTCCTCACATACCCTCTACGGCATCGCCTTGCGCGTCTGGTCGCGCGCCGACGAGAAGAGGGCTGAGACAATCCGGGATCTTCGGAAACGAATCGAGCCCGAGTTCTTCGATAACCCGGACGAGACGTACTGGATCCCATACTGCTTGAGCTTCCTTTCACGATATCCATTGTACAACCTCCTCGGCGACTACCTCCGTGGCATGTGGATTCACTGGAACAAGGCCACTAACCTGTTCCACGCGGAGGAAGTGTCTCGCATTTTGAGCTTCCCCGCTCCTCGACTCAACGATCTGGTCCGAATCGACATGAAGGATTACGCGTTGTGCTACCAATTCCCCTCCTCGCCCACTGGTTTCCAGAACTTCGCCATGTGGCCCCTGTTCACGTGTCTCTCCATCCCCAACATCGTCGGTGTGATGGAAGCCGCCGTTTCACCGACCAGACGAATCATCTTCGTCAGCCACTACCCTGCGATGCTCACTGTTGCAGCCGAGACAGTGCGGTTCTGCGTAAGGGTGTACGAGTGGAGCGGTCTGTATGTGCCCGTTGTTCATGCGCGGCATGTCAAGGATCTGGTTCAGGAGCCGGGTCCCTACATCCTTGGTGTAACGTCGGAATGCCGCTCGCTATTCACCGCCCCCACAGACGCGCTCGTGGTCGACTTGGATCGAAACTTCGTGCTAACCTCCAGCCCGCCGACTGCACTCACAGCTGGCCAGAGGACCAAGATGATCAACCGCCTCACACAAGCCCTGAATGGCGAGGTGTCACCGACAGGCGTTCCACAACATTTGCGATCAGCGTACGGGGGCGGCAAGCTCATTCCAGCTGGTCAGATCATCGTGATGCGTGGCGAGGTCGAGAGCATCCAGGATCCAGAGTGGTGGAACCAGGATTCCATTATGACTGTTATGGACCATGTGTGCGAGAAGCTGGTAAGTTCTCAGCTCCCAATACCATGCTCGTATGTGATGCTTACGTCGTGACACAGGGACGTAACACCGGCGTGAAGGCTATCTTTGGCGGCTCCGTCAAGAAGCCGCTGATGACTAAGGTCTCGATGCGCCATCTCAACGAGATCGTCCGGGAACGCAACCAGTACTCCCGTGACGCGCAGGAGGCTTGGCAGGACTTCATCAACCTCAAGGGTCGCATGGACACGGAGCTTTCCAAGGTCACCAAGAGGAACAACTTCCTGGTTGAAGAGCTCGAGAGCTGGAAGCAGCAGTTCCTCAAGTTTCAGGCCTTCGCCGAGCAGCTTACGAAGGAGACCCAGGAGCTCAAGGTCAAGATCGAGAACCATAAGCGGGAGAACCGCCGCCTCACAGGCCTCATTGACCAACAGAAGGACGATGCTGCGCGCCTTACCGTCCGCCTCTCCGGCACTGAGAAGCAGCGCGATGATGCTCTCGAGGCGCTTGTCCTGCAGCAGGAGATTGCCGAGGAGCTTGAGCGCGAGAGGATGCGGAATAAGAAGGAGCTTTCCGCCCTTCAACACACCAACCACGCTATTGCCCGCCAGCGCGACGAAGCTCAGCGTGTGGTCCTACATCTTCGTGCACTCATTGACGGCCAGACCCACCACATGGAACACATTGTCAAATCTTTGAACGCCGGCGACGGCATGGCCAACTACATCGAAGAAGGATTCGAAGACGTTCCGGAAGAGGACGAAGAAGACCTCGAAGAGGAGTCGCACCCCTCGCCCCAACCCAAGCAGAAGGCCTCGTCCGAGGTGGGCGTAATCCGCGGCATGGGTGGCATCGACACTCGCAATGAGTCGAGAGCAAGCACGGTCGACGGCAAGCATCTCGATGGTGAGGACGTCACACCCGACATGGAACAGCGCTTACTCCGGTCTCCAGTTGGCCGCAATTCCAAGCGCTTTAGCACGCTCTCTATGGTTGATGTCGCGGACCGCCATCTCCGCGACAAGACTGACGCTATTGCGTACATCATCCGCAACATTTCGGAGCAGTGCGCTGCTGCCGTAGAGGGCCTCCAGCTCGCTCAGCAAGCTGACACTGAAGATGACAACCACAGCGAGCGCCGCGCTAGCGTGGGGCTTTCGTCGTCGGTTGGCGATGGGCGCGCGCAGTCGACTCAGGGCAGCGACTACGGTGATGATGATATGCTGAGGCCTCATCGCGGATCCAGCATCCCACCAACGCCCGATCTAACGCATCGGTCTAGCACGTCCATGTCGTATACCAGCGCGTCGACGACGCCGGACAGGACGAGCCTGCAGCACCGGCCGCACGAGGACATCCCCGACGTGCCGACGCGCATCGTCGAGCACGATGACGAGGACATGGAGGACGACAACCTGCACAACGACATGGTTCCTGTGTCCAAGTACGCGACTCCTCTGTCCCGTCCGTCGCAGAACATGCGGTCAGTGCGCTAAGCCTGCCCCTGTTTGTGAAGACGCTCTTCCCTCTATTCACGTTTATTGCTTCTTGCTCCGGTGGTTTTTGAAAAGAGGTGTGTTATCTTCATTGATGCCCCCATCCATTGCTTTGGCGCTGTGCCGGCGTTCATGGTGCTTCTTTGTCTCTTATGTTTCACACTTTCCTTGAGGCTTGCTATGCTATTGCATTATATTACCCCCCATGTTCAGATCCAAGAGGGTCTTGTCAGTGCTGGAAGGAAGCGTCTCTTTGCCAAAAGGAGGGGAAGCAGTGGAGGAGGGTGTGGTAAGCGGAGCCGGCCTTCGGTCTGTTGGAGGAAGGAAGAGAGTTGGCGGGACAGGATGTCGCTGTCGCCGTCGCCGCCATGAAATTGGGCTGGGGCTTTGCGAGACGGAACGAACGGAGCGGTTCATTCATCTTTGTATGTCGGGCGTCTCTGTGTCTGTGTCTCTCTTGAGTGTGCTGTGCCGCTGCCGGCCCCATTGTCTTGTCTGTAGGTTGCTTGTAATTGTCTTGTTTGTTGTGAGTAGGATTGAGAATAATACCAATTTTCCTCTTGTTCATATCAATCTCGCCATTATCGTCTTGCGCCTCGCCTCGTCCTAGGTCGTGACGCTCGTTTGCATGTATTCATAACCCCCGCCGATACTTCTTCTCCCGTCGCCTTTGGGCGGTTTCTTCCTTGGGACGGCTTTTAAGAGCGGATGGGAAGGGAAGAACGACGAGTAGCTGCTTCTTCTCTATGAGCGTGCTGCGTTCGAGACTAGACATGATGGCGCGCATGTGAAAACGGCCAAGGCGAAGGATGATATTGATAGACTAGTTTAATGCTTTGCAGGGCTGGACTGGACGTGCTACATAGCTGTTGAAGGGGTGTCTCCCATGTTGGTGATGTGAGGGCGTAGCACGCGGTTCCCGGACCGTAATAGGCTTTGCATGGACTAAGCGATGTCGTCCACATCTGGCATTTCCTCATCCGGCATTCCGACTCAATACCTGATATCATCTTTCGATGCGTCCCGTATTGTTGAATATGACAGCAGTCTGCTCTCCTCATCTTGCAACCATGTCAAGACATCGTCCCGTGCTTCTAGCTGCTTTAGATCATCGAGCCGACGTCGTATCACCTCATCACCCACAAGCTTTACCATCTTTCCGGCACTTGGCTCCCCGAGGAGTGCCTTGCACCGCTCCCACTCATCCTGAAGTCGTCTAACGGCTTGATGGCAGTACGAATCTAATCTTCCATGATGCAGCCAGGCCTCTGCCTCTTCCTGGTAAAATCTCTGACAGTCGTGCAGCAAGCGTGCTTCGACAGCGGCGAACGGCGTGTCTTCTTCCGCTGTATTCTTGGAGACTTTATTTTTCGCTACATTTTCGGAGATCGTCTTCAAGAATTGGATGGATGAGCGTAGACGTTCATGGTCCACAAGATCATAAATCCGGTCTCGGTGGAACTCGTTCCGGATGAAGACCATGATGACATTTTGAACAGTCGTCGAGTTCACACCAATAGGAAATAAGTGTTGCTGGAATAGCCTCCGAAAGGTAGTGCAACCGGCATCGTATACGCTCGGTAAGTTGTTGTCGTCATAGTAGCAGCTTTCCTATCCATCCGTTATCCACTCTGATCGCACGCGTGTAATCGGTTTTCCTTACCAGAGCCATGCACAGATCGCGTACCACAGAAAGTTGGATGCTGAGATCTTTCCAAAGATTTTCCAATGCCTCCAAGAGTTCCGTCACGTCCGACTCGACATCCCGTGCAGCTCCCATCTCCTCGATTGGTGCTTGTAAAAGGCGATCCCGCATAGGTAGCGTAGGGAAACGTGCGTTCATGTACTCATCTATGAGTGTCACTACCAATTCGTACAGCTTCTTTTTCTCCCTGAATAGTATCGCAACACGATAGGCGGATCGGTAAGTCTCTTCAAAGGACAGGGTGCTGGGGCGGTGCTGCAACCGTAGCTTCAGCTCTCTTTCCAAAATTTCTAATTCTCGGGCGACCTAGATAATCAAGCACATCAGCTTACTTTCCGCTTGATTGATCCAAGAGGAGAGCTATTACTTTTGTGTCGTGGAGCACCTCCAATCGCCGCTGCGGTTTTACCTTCTGATAGGGCATGTTGAAACCAGTATAACTTCCGCTTCCGCTCCTTTGGGTCGCAAGACGACAACTGTTTTGAAAGAGCCCGCCTCAGCAGCATGTATGATGGTTCGGAAGGTGGAGCGCGGAGTAGGAGACTAGGCAACCTTCAGGAGGTTGAGGCGGGGTTACGGAGGAACGTAGCCCCGCGGCTGGAACAGCGTCCAACAACGCAAGCACGGAAAGAACGTCCGTCTTCAGTCATGTCTAAAGGTCTCTAGAGCGAATAACGGATGGCTGACAGCAGCCTTGTTGGCCGCCTGTGCGGATCTTGCCAGCACAGAACCGGCGTTCCCGCCCAACCCACGCGCCAGCCTAACAGTACACACCTTACATGTCGCATATGCCGGCTAGTTTTGGCTGCTATCACGGTTGCGAAATCACTGGACGTCGACCCGTTGAGATCATATGCTGTAGACTTCGTTCGTCTCGTCTACGACCAGGACCTCAGCACTCGAGAACGAACAGATTGGGCCTCCAGCAAAGATCAAGACGAACATGACCTGATTATACAATGCTCCGCGGGGGATTTCGTATTCAGAGAGCTATACACAAAGACTATTACACAAAGGCCAGTCTCTGAAGGACTCCAAGGTTTAAGCACGAGACTAGAAGACTACATCCCCATCATAACAGCTCGGGTTCATCGATGTATCAACTTCCAATATCGCCTGCCAAGCAGCGCAATCATCCCCGGACACTCCCACGATGGTCGTCCCAAAGATACATGGAAGAAGCCGTTTGACCTCTTCGCAAAACTTCTGAGTGTACCCGCGGTCGATTGGCATACCACATTTCGTCATCTGGAAAGCCTCGTTCGTTCCTGCCAACACCATCACGCTCATTGTCAAGCCGGTCTCCCACATTTTCAGAGCGACCGGGGGGTTCCACATGCGATACGGCTTATTAAGTGCTTTGCTCCAACGCCGGATCCGAAGATTCGCCTAGAAGCTTTCCACAACCAGCCACCGCCGTACATAACTCTGAGCCACCGATGGAGCCGAGAGCAACCATGGAAGACCACAAGGAAGAACTTCGACCAGAGCCTCCGAGGCATTCCATACGACCAACTTCCTAAAACGGTTCGAGATGCTATCGTCGTTGCCGGAGAATTGGGGATTCAACACCTGTGGCTTGACTCTATCTGCATCATACAAAACGATAGCGAGGACTGGACGCAGCAGTCCAGCCAAATGGGACTCATCTTCGCGCGATCGTTTTGCACTTTGGCAGCCATCGATGCCTTCTGCGAGACACAGGACGACATGGGTCTCCTACTCTCCCGCGACAAGGTCCCGGCTAACATCTCAATCAAATCCTCCTTCGAGATTAAATATGACTCTACTCACTCCCACGACTCTGGGAAAAGGACATACACGCTTGGCAAGCAACCCGTCGACCCCGGCCGAGTAGCGGACTCTGCATGGGAGACTGATAAGCAATACACCGCCGATTTTCAATACACGCCCTTTGATATGTGTATCGAGAGGTCGGTTTGGAACACCCGCGGTTGGATGGTAAGGTGTCGGTCACAGTAGCGAGTTGAATTTATGCTAACTTACGAACAGTAAGTAAGACACTAAATGTTTAATTGTCTAAACAATTATCTATCTAATCTGGTATTTGCTCCTTTACACTCTGAGTGCCTGCTAATTGCACCGTCGCCTTGAGCAGCTTCCAGGAGCGGCTGTTGTCGACCCGAATACTATACTTTGGCAAGGAGCAAGTCTTTTGGGAATGCGCTGAGGGCATACAAGATGAACAATCCGGGAAAACAAAAGTCGGCCAAACGAGTCCGAAGACTCTCAGAAATGATAGATGGGCGACCTCCAATCACCACCTTCATCGAATGCTTCGCGTCTCCGACGAACGGCGCGCCGTGCTTCTCCAAAAATCCCATGGCCGTTGGAGAGAAGAGCTCACCTTTTATGATATTTGGGCTGAATCCTCCCTGATTAAGGCATGGTGGCTAATCACCGAACGCTACACCCAGTGCTCCTTGACGTTCACCAAGGATCGATGGTTCGCCATACAGGGTCTCTGTGACGTGCTCCAGCACCGATACAAGTCGAACTTACACGCGGGGATCTGGGATATAGGAGTTGGAGCCTGTTTACTCTGGCACGCACGCGCAAACCCATTGACTCCTTTCTCAGATTTTGTCACGCCTTCGTGGTCTTGGCTCGGCATGAGCGGACCCATCTCCTACGCGTACGAGGACGAATCGTATACGGGTTATATTCAAGAGGTGGCACCACTGATAAAAGACCATTCCTTCGAGGATGTCAGTCCTCTTACTCTCGCAAGAGACGTAGGTAAAACTCATATGCCCTACGGCTTCTCAGGCAGCCTCACCCTCACGTGTCCCGTGAGCCTGGCCGCGGTGTCTAGCAGCCAGTTCAAGGATTTCCATTTCCGAGAGCAGACAGGACAAGCCGTCGATTCACCAGGCTGGAAGTTCTTTCGCGACGTGTCTGAGGGCACATCCCAGCTGGAACTGGCCCGGGAGTATCGCGCAGTCGATCTCCCCCCGATGACGCGCTTGCTGATGGCCTGCGATGGCCAGAATGAGGATGACGATTCGGGGCGTGCCGTCGGTTGGGTTGTGCTTGATCGGGACGTTCGACCGGAGGAAAAGGTGCTTTGCGCAGCAGTCGTGCTGCGCATTCTGCATGGGCGAAAAGAGACTGAGCAGCATATCCTCGAGTGCATCGTTCTAACGGAGGACGACTTGGGAAATCAAGCTCCTGGCGACCGGAATAAACCCCTTTATCGAAGAATAGGTAGAGGCCGCATTGTTGAGAAGGGGCGGTTGGACGTCTGTAAAATGGGCACTGTATGCTGCATTTGATACAGAAAGATGATTATACCGGGAAGCTAGAAGGAAGAGCTTGGGAACAAGCGGACTTCGCCCATCGCGAAACACCTATCAGCACGGCGGCACGGCATCATTTTTAGTACTTAAGTGCCTCAAACTAGTGTTTTCAGCGGTCGGAATGACAGTTCGTAGTCCAGGGTTACTGTTGGAGCAGTGCCGTAGTGATGAGCAAGTCTCGTCAGCAGCGTTCTTGGACGAAGGACGGAATTGCGTCCAGCGGAGGGTGCCTCAACTTTGAGACTTATTACGGGTAGCGAAAGAAGCGCAGGCAACAGGTAAAGTGACTGGTATACTACGGTATGCCAGCGAATTCCCTATTGAGCATACTTCTGAGGCTGTGGGCGGGTGCGGAGGGAAAGAGTCGGCCGACCATCCCCCAAGCTCGGAGTCGGGGGGATTGTACGACTCAGTGCTCTCTGCATCTACGGAAATGCATGTTCAAATCCGTGGGCTCAGATGGTAGAGGTGAGCTGTGGTGGGTTGCTTACGTAAAGCTGATACCGGTATCGGCGAAACATAACTCCGGCACAGCCTAACAAAGCTAAATTTTCGAAGCTCTGTTCCAACCTTTCCTCAACGTCTTGATGCTCCAAGCATATGCGCCAACATGCGCGTGTTCGATCTAGCTACGACTTTCCCAAGCTAATGCAGCAAAGCTAATAGCTATTCGCGCAAAGTAAGTGGCCTCTTCTCCTTCTGTATTCCCCCGCAGAGGATTATGCTTCATAACAATCCAACTCCTACAGCACCGTGAAGGACTTCAAATACTCTAGAATTACAATGATGCTCCCAATCCCACTTTGGCTCACTACAAACTAGCGAGCGACTTGCTAACGCCGTTGCAGAATCGCTTTTTTCCGCGCCCGCCCGAGCTCGAATTCATCAAAAGGTACGACGACCCTCTTCTTCTCCGGTTTTCCCCCAGCGGCAGAGTGATGATTACAAGACACGGAAAGGCATTCCTCAATCCGAACATACAGTGTCGATTCTGTCAAACTAGTTTCAGCCTTGTCTGATTCTGCCCTCCAACATACAACTTGTGTTCCACACACATTTGAGTTCAACGTGCTGACGTTCTTATCAGGTACACATCCCTCCACTGTCCTCCTTCCTCCGCGTATATTTCCCATCTCGGACGCCTCCTATGATGATATCCCTTGATGCGTCGGGCGGACAGATCGTTCTCCTCAGCCGGCATCCGTTCAAAGCAGGCGTACAAACCTGTGGGTGTTTGGAAGGGGAGATACTTGTTGATACAGCATCACCTGATTGCCGGCACAACGCATGCACCAATTGACACGCCGCTCTCGGATCTCGGGCTGACCTTGTTTGCAGGTCAAGGTACGGCAGATTCTCCGCCTCCCAGAAGTGCTCCATCCATCTCTTTCATGATGATACTTGATATTCACACTGTGTGAACGACGAGCCTGTAACGAGGACCCGTCGTCTTGATCACGCAAAATAATCTGATTTAATGAGGTATGTGGACCCGCGAGCGAGAGCGAGGGGCCGGCCGGCAATGTTAACTAACAGTTGGCAGGCTGAATTCAGATGGACATTGCTTCTTCGTCCGGCCAGGATGATTTCGTTCAACCGTATACGCTCACGTGCTGACGATATCGTTCAAACAGTATCTGGTCCTTCAACTCTTTTGTTCTCTGGCCACAGTCGCAAGTGGTATGTTCCTCGTCCTTCTTTCAGCACTCTTCTCATGATGAACAACATGATCGCTGTGTTCTTCCTGAGTTTATCATTGAAGAAACAAACATCACCTTGGAGAACTGATACCGTTCTGTCTTTGCGCCTTGCTCGTAGCCTCTATCTTCGACTTCGGTGCTGACCAGACATTATAGATTGCATCCTCGATCGGTTGCGGTTCCACGCCATAGGACAGAACCTTCTAGTTTAGTCACTACACGTACTTACAATGAATATGAACCTATTCCACTCTATCATTCTCTTGTCGGTGTGCTCATGTCAACGTGTCAACCCCATAAACTATATGCTCCGCACTTCAACCCCAGCGCGTGAGGTACATCCGTTCATGTACCACACTGGGCTGACGCTGATTCACGTTCCGCATCCACCCGACTACATACTTTCCGCCTTTTCCTTCTGGGCGTTCTGTGGAGCCACTTCGGGTATGGCCCGCGCCTGTCCGTCTACCCGCTCGGTCTATCGCTCGGGCGCATGCGCGCGCAAAAGGCGGTCAGGGAAACCCTAGTGTTGTCAATGCACTCCTGTCAATCTGTTTTCTTCTTCCCGCTTTGCTTTTTAGCTTTATTCAAATAGCCGGTCCAGTGTGTACCGTGCCGAGGCTAGTTGCTTATACCTAGTGCGGGATGACGTGGAATAATAATGGGCGCTGTAGGAATGCTGCAGATGCAGATGCAGGATACCGCATGGCGGTGTGTGTGTACATAGTCGTGGTTTTCCGTTTTGGGGTAACGCTTGGAGACGGAGATGGGCGCTGCGCTGCGCGGATCGGATGTGGTCTGGGGGCGTGATGGTAGGAAGGTGGTGTAAGGGCTGGTGGGTGTGCTCGAGAGGTACGAGGTAATTCCTGCGTTAGAGATGGAGGTGAGTGTGATGAACGCGACTGCACGGTCGCAACGGCCTGTAGCTACGTGAAGCTGGAAAGCGAGCCGGAAGCGGATGATTGAGAGCATCGAGAATGTAATAATGTTCGCCTATGAGTCTTGTTGAGCTTCGGGGGAAGTCTACGAGGAGGGAAACATGAACTGATGGAGGAAAACATACGTTCATTCCATGAGGACTGCGGTTGGTACTTCCCTAGTTAGAGTTCGGAGGATAGGGAAGGGGCCGTCATTCCTTCATGATCATATCAATCATAAGCCTTTGAGTGGCTATGTGGGAGTTGTAAGGCACAGCATTGATACTTACCCAGGCCGGCCAACTACCGTAGGATGGAGAGGAGCCCGTAGGATGCGTCTTCTCTACGACGGGATGTGTAGCCGGTGGTCTCAACGGCAATGGCAGTGTTCAGTAACGAGCTGATTTAGAAACTCACTCTCGAAGCAACTGGGTCGGAAACCCATGCGTCGGCGGTAATGAGAAGGCCTCGAAACTAGTCGGAACGTAATCGCCCTCCGGACTGAACCATAGTTCGGTGGGACCATGTGCTTTCCGGAGCACTGCGGTTGACCTAAGAAAGCACGTGTTCCTCGACTCAGCACCCTGGGGTGTATTTTTCTGCAGGCGAATCCTCACTAAGGGAGCTCACGGCAGAGATACGTCCACTTCAACGAGCTTGTCCAACAACATGCACCAGATCTCCATGTCTCGAGGAATAAGCTGGACTCTGGTGCTTCGGTCCGCGAGGCTGTAGCTGCGCCTCGTAGAAGACAGAACATCACGGAATCAAAGGTTCACCCAACGTCAGCCGCCCCATGTAAGCGTATCTATTGCGTCGTTCGGGACGGTCCTTCGCGGCGAGCTTTAGGGGTAGGGAGCCTTGCGGGTGGCTGACATGCTCATCTTTGCTATCCGTCAGACGTCGGCGAGTTTGAAAGCGGCGTTGAGATTGAGATCTGACATCAAAGCACGGAACCTTGGAACGAATGGATAGCTAGGCGTTGGATAGCTAGGCGTTGGAGAGCCAGGTGACCTCAAGGGTGTTGCAAACTCTATCTCAAGAGGCTGGGTTACTCTGGCTGTGCCCGAAGGTGTTGTCTTTGCCCAGTCGTCATTGGGCTCGTGGGTACTTGGTTTGGGGTGAAAAGCTTTGCACGTGATCGGAAGTCGCTCATCCTCGCCAAGTTCAGCTTAGGAAGACCGACGCCTCAGTCGGCGCAAGACACTGTTCGAGCAGAATGACCCGAGGAGATATAAAAAGGTTGGGCGTGCTTTTGGTAGATAGCGAATTAAAGTGCAAAAGCGATATGACGAGAATCACCTGGTTGCAAGCGCAGGTCTCAGCCACCCCATGTGCCACCAGAGTTGATTGTGCCAAAAAGCAGCGTAGATTGCCCCAAGAGCACGCTGACGTTCGCTTCGGGGATCAACGTCCCACGCCATTGAGGTTCCTTTCGTGAATGGGAAAGTGCCGATGCATTGCTCTTTCTTTTTCTGAGGGCGGCATGCGCTGGCTTCCGGAAAAGGGAAGCACAGAAACTAGCGAGCGGTATCAAGCGGACTGAAACGACCACCCTAAAAAGCCGTAAGAGAAAGGAGTTGGTGACCTTGTGCGTGGTGAGAACAGGGTTCAGCTGGCATTTTAGACATTGCAACACTAGGCCGAGAACCCGGCAGTCAGGCCCGCAGGATGATGTTGGTAGCACACCAACAGCCGGCAAGCCGTAGAAGGATACACCCTATTCATCCAGAAGTGACGCAACACCGGCAATCGCTGCCCAGACGGCGCGCAGCCGTACGACGGGAGGAAGGATCTTTGCGTGTCGCGTGGATAATGGTTCGCGAATCTTGCTGAAATCAACGGCTTCTGGGCCGGAGACCATGGGTGAGCCTGGAGGATAAATAGAGACGGAGCACGTACGGCGACGACGGATTGGGGAGAGCGAAATCAGAAAGGGAAACAACCGTTGGAAAACAGATGAGATGGTGTGCTGGCGCTTTGTTTACGAGGATGACTTGCAGGAGCTGCAGCGGGTTGTCCGGGAACTCGAGAGGAGGATCAGATTGCTCTTTGCTCGGTAATCGTACGCTGGAGGCCTGCAACTGCGACGTCTGCTGCTGGATGAGTATTGTTTTGAAAATTTTGCTCTCTGTGAGGCTCTATTGGCTGGTAGCGCCACTGCCTGAATGCGTAGAGATGAGATATGGGGCAGGCCTCATACGTCGCAAAGTACTCCGTTCGACGATCTCGGTTGCACCGCGAGGATAAGGCTGTATCCTGACGTGCCGGTGTAACTTAGCTGTGGCGTTTCGTTCGAGTCTATGGTCAGCAGTGTCGCGATGGCTTTTGGTTGGAAGACGCGGTATTAGTGGATGACTGTAAGCTGCAGCTCGCAGTTGATAGATCGTGATAGAACGGTGAAGCTGAACGATATTCCCGGGGCTGAGAAGCTAGCTGCCGGAGCCTGTCGGCGTTCACGAGGAGATGCTGAGGTTGGCATGCAATATGTTTTTGATGACGGACCGGGGGGGCAACACGATGGAAGAGTTCTGGAAGTTGAGAGGAGCCGTGCTAAGGAACCGTTACCCTTAATTCAACCGCCCGACCTATGAAGTTGCATCGCGATGGGGATGAAGTCGGGGTTGTTGTGGGGCTGTCGGAGCAAGTGCTGAAAGACGCAGCGATTAGTCTACGTGCGGCCGGGGGAGGGGCGCCGGCGTGAGGCTGCAGGATAGACTTTACTTAACTCTGCGTGGGCTTTGAGAAACATTCAAGGGCGTCCTGTAGGGGATTGTGATGCGGGCACATCCAAGACGCGCTACGATTGAGTTTTGGCTGCTGTTGCTGTCGCGGGCTCTCCGCATCCGACCTTGCGCCTGCCGAGCCCGCTGTGGAGCGCACGGCTCGTCCAGGTCCATGATGACATGAGATCTGCTTGCCGTCGTTCCTGAGCGCGACTTGGATGCTGGCAGGTTGGACGGCCCCAACCGTTCTGTATCACAGAGGCGCCGTCAGAGCCAGCGCAATCAAGCTGCGGCGCCTGCTTGATGCCCACATCGCGGCGGTCCTGAGGGCAAGACTGAGGCCTAGTGAGTCGCCGGCGCGGTTCCCGTCACCACCACGACAGACCGTCCGCTGTTCCGTGAATCCCGCGGCTGCGCTAGAGGACGCCTCGACTGCACAACCACATCGACGGAGTCGCGAGGCCCCCGGTCCGCCAATCAGGCCCGATAGCAGAGCCCGGCGGCCAATAAGGCTGCAGGGCGCTCAGGAACAGCGTCCGAAACAGGGCATGGAGAGCCCAAGCAGCGGCGCGACACTGGCCCACTTGATCCCGGCAGCCCGCGACGGTACGAGGGAGAAAAGGGGCACCAGGCCGACGCTGTCAGAACGTGGCCGCCCAGCAGGATGAGGAGCTCGTCCCACCCCCGGCGATGACATCCTGCTTCACGCTCCCGATCGATGGGGTCTGCGCGGTGCCCCGTCCCTTCGCGCGTCGGAGAAGCGCAGCGACGCGCTCGCAAGGCAAACCGCAGCGCTCGCCGGCGCACCCAGCGCGTGCCTGTGGTGAAGCCAGCGCCGTCGTGCTGCTGGGGAGACGCGGAGGCTGTGAAGTCCTCGCCGGCGCACCCACATCGCACTTGCGCGTGTCAGGTCCGCAGCGCGCTGGGGGATAAAATTGGAGCAGCATAACGCGTCACGTGCGCGCGGCATAACGCTCGCTGCGGGCGGCGAGCGAAATGTGAAATGCTGCAGCGCGAAAAGGGAGAAATTGTTTCAATAAAAGCAGAAAAGGGGGCGCGCTAGCCAATCGTCACGGCGCATTTTGGCTGCCGGCACGGTTGGGCGACGTGCGTCGTGTTGCGCTAGGGGGGGAAAGCCCTGGCGGATCCAACCGAGCCTTCTCCCTCACCACCCCGAGCCTTCACCTCTCGCCAGAATCAGCCCCCCGTCCAGCCTGTCCTGCTCATTTCACGGCCCCGGGCCAGCCTGTTGTGCCCGCAGCCCGGCGTTTGCGCAGGCGTCGCCCACTCCCCTTCCCTGCCCGCGCGCGCCACATTCACTACCCGCACCTTTCACCTCTCAAAAGTCCACCACGCCCGACATGGCCGTCGCGTGCATGGATCGCTCGTGACATTCACCACAAACCTCGCTGCTTTCACCGCTTGCTGCGCTCCCCAAGTCCCACGTCCCGCTGCGCGTGCTGTTTCGCTCGTTTGCCGTTGCGCGTCTCACCGAGGGCCCGTTCATCTATCTGGACAGCGCGCTGCCAGCACAGCAACGCCGCGACCGCTGCCGGCCTGCCCTTCACCACAGCAACGGCCATCTTCTGGCCTCACTCGCGGCTTTTCCCCTTCGGGCCCCAGGATCTTCATTATTACGCTCTGCAACGCCTCTCGTGTCCGCTCCTTTTCCACTCTAATCCGTCTAACGGCCTGGGCTTGTCCGAAATTGGCCACGGCGATTCATGCTGAAGCCCACAGTCGCATTCACCAACCCTCCTCACGAAACCGTCTTTCAATCACAGCAGATCTCTGCGACTGGCGTGTTTTTTTCCAGTCCTCGACGGGTGATTGTTGCGCGTCGACACGTCCATCAATCACAGCCGGCCGCCTCGTTCTGACCACCTCCTCAACACCTCTCTCGCCTGGGCTGTTCTATTGTCCTCTACCCGACCTCCTTTCTCGTTCTAAAATCCACTTTCCTGTCTCCCCGGACGCACAGTCCGCGGCCAATTATCCTGATAGCAAGCCACTCGAGCTATGGTCACCAAGTTATTCCTTTTCCTCACCCGCTAGAAGGAACCCAATCCACGGCAGTCTACCCGCCTACCGTGGTCCTGGACCTGTCTCCACACGCCCTTTTCCAACCGTCGTCCCTCATTTCTTCGACTCTCCCGCAGCTGCAGCAACCTGGACCCTTACTCCTGCTCCTATCGCACCTCAAACCTGTCGATACGCACTGAGCCACCCCTCTCCCCTCAGGTTCCATCCCCGCTCGACATCACCTTACACTACGAACCTCTAATCCGCCCATCATCGACCTGAGATGCACCGGACTGGGCTGTAAACCTTTGACAGCAACTGCTAAAAGGACGTGTGGAGCGGTGAGTCCATTCACCGCGTCGAGCAGGTCGATTCTCATCGTCCTAGCCCTTTCAATTCACCCGGAACTGTTCGGAGACCCCCCTCTGTCGCACAGTTTGACGTGAATCTATCGACATGTATGCCGACACGCAGAACCAGCCTCATGGCTGGGCCTCACTGGAAGAACGGTATGAGGTAATGAAGGAGATCGGAGACGGCAGCTTTGGCAGCGTCGCCCTTGCACGGGTACGGACGGCGGGTGCACATATCGCGCGTCGGGGCACTCTGGTATGTATCACAGGAGCCCGAATACTGGAACATGCCGTGGACTAACGCGTCAAAGGTTGCGATTAAGACGATGAAGAAGACATTCGACTCGTTCTCCGCATGCCTAGAGCTTCGCGAGGTCATCTTCCTTCGCTCGTTGCCTCCGCATCCGCATCTCGTTCCTGCCCTAGACATCTTCCTGGATCCCTACAGCAGACGGCTTCACATTGCCATGGAGTTTATGGATGGAAATCTGTACCAGCTGATGAAGGCACGCGATCACAAGCCGATGGACGCGCACAGTGTCAAAAGTATCCTCTTTCAGATCATCTCCGGACTAGAGCACATCCACCAACGCGAATTCTTTCATCGCGACATCAAGCCCGAAAACATTCTGGTATCGACGTCGCAACAAAACGACTCGTCGCATCCCTTCCGACGGTACTCTGCTCTAATGACTCCTCCATCGACACCACCCGTGTACACCATTAAGATTGCCGATTTCGGACTCGCAAGGGAAACGCATTCTAAGCTTCCTTACACTACCTATGTTTCGACGAGGTGGTATCGCGCACCCGAAGTCCTGCTTCGCGCAGGCGAATATTCAGCTCCAGTCGACATCTGGGCTGTGGGTGCGATGGCTGTTGAGATCGCTACTTTGAAGCCCCTCTTCCCCGGTGGAAATGAGGTTGACCAGGTGTGGAGGGTGTGCGAAATAATGGGCAGCCCTGGAGGTTGGGTCAACAAGTACGGACAGAGAGTTGGTGGGGGCGAGTGGAAGGATGGTGTGCGGCTGGCACAGAAGCTTGGTTTCTCCTTCCCAAAGGTAAAGCACCGTGTGACCCGAACCAGAATTTCAGCTTTGATTAACATTCGCGCAGATGGCCCCCCACTCCCTGGATACTATTCTCCAACCCCCACAGTGGCCTGCAAGCTTGGCCAACTTCGTCACATGGTGTCTCATGTGGGACCCACGGAACAGGCCGACATCAACACAAGCTCTGGCCCACGACTACTTCCAGGATGCCTTTGATCCTCTGCGCCTAAAATCCTCATCGTCGAGGTTATTGGGTCGCAAGCAGTCCGACATCTCCGGAAAGGACTCACCTGACGCCTCTCCAAGCCTGACCTCGAAAACGTCTTCGTGGCTGCGTAGGTCACTGGTTGCACGAGAAAGTGCCCCGGCTGTTCCGCAGCACAGCCCGGCACGCCCAATATCGCCGCGGCCGTCGCCCGCTCATTCGAACTCCACGGATGCAAATTCATCGACTAAGAATCGTCCAAACGCGCCTAAGCGAGCTACGTGGACGAACGGCGTCCCTTCCAATGGGGCGCCTATCCCCATTCTGCCTTCCATCCGGCCAGTCTCTCCTTTGTCAGCAGAGGTGACCGCTCAGGCGAGCGTGCGTCCTGCAGAGGGAGAAGAAAAGGCTGCAAAGAAGATTGGTCGTCAATTATCTGTCGCCTCGCACGGTAACCACTATGCAGACATTCATCGCCAAGAAGCGGAGAGAGCGTTGAATGGCCAATCGGGACTTGCATCGCCCTCAAGTGGACACAAGGAAGGCTTCTTCTCCCATTTGAGGAAGCGAGCTCGCCGTCTGTCTGGTCGTTACCAGACACCAATGTCGCCTAATTCGGATGACATCGAGGCTAATGCCGGCTGTGCTCCATGGGCAAGTGGAGGTACCAGGCAGTCAATGATCATGGACCAACCCCCTCTAGCGCCGGCACCCTCTACCAATTCGGATTTCTCGGATCTCGACAAAGCGTTACAAAACGTGAGGTGTAGCCTCGAGGGGCCACCGCAGCCAAGCATTGCGACAAAGAATCCCCGTGTCGCTACCAATCCTATGCTCAAGCGTCACCACTCATTGAATCATGACAACAGAATCTCGGAGCACGGCATCGCTCCACCCGCCGGTCCAGTCTCCAGTCGAACCAGGCGAGCGCTCCAAAACAGGTCGAACCCCTCAAACCGATATGAAACTCCCAACGAAGAAGAAGAGCTGCTAAGCGAAGTGCTCGCTTCTGCTCAGAAGGCAGTCAAGAAGCTCGATCGACATGCGGAGGCGGGCACAGAGTATCAGAAGAAGCCTGCGCGACAGTCTCAGGCCGACCTCGGCCCTGCCGCCTCGTACCTCACGCCTTCGCCATCAGCGAACCGTAACAATGTTGGGTTCGGCCAGATGGACTTCATGACGCCGACGAAGCCGCTGGAGATCTCGAAGACGCGAACAACTAAGGATGAGGGGCCTTCGAAGTGGCCGACGCCGCCCTACGATGACAATGACTGGGCATCAAGTGTGGCTGCCAGCCTTCTAGCCACGCAGTCCATGTATCGGTGATCACCTATCACCTTCGAATCTATATGATAGATTTCCCCTTGCATTCTCTACGCCGTCTTCAACCATATAATTACTATAATCTCGGTCTCTCCTTCTACGGCTTATATTACTGCCTCCATCGTCGAATACAGTTCGGGGCTCGCGCCACCACTCCAACGTTCACGGTTGACGACCACACGACGAGCTTTTTCGGCCCTCCCGTCAGGAACGGTGCACGAGTCAAGGAGATGTGTGAGACATACACACGAGTCGTTACCAAAAGTGGTAATCACAAAAAGAAAGCGCATCTTGGAAATGGTGTTTTCGGCGCAATACTGTTCTTCCAATCGTTTAACACACCATTTCTGTTGTGTCGTCTAACATGCCGACAACAACCAACTACTGCACCACATTCGCTTGCGCATCCAATTTCCTTTTACAACTATTTCGGTGGCATTTTCAGCTTTTTGTGGCGGGGCGGACTTTGTGTGAGCATGGGAATCCTATCTTGATCATCCTATTCAAGTGGTGGGGCCGCCAAACGCATTTCTGGCCAATTTCGCAGGTTTCATTCAAGGGGCAACAGTTTTGTAAGAGATACCTCGCTAGACCGTTTTTCATTTCCCTTCTCAGCTTTCTTCATTCGATGGCGAATACCCCCAAATTTGGCATTTGGCGACTACATCACTACCTCATCATACTGTTATTTTCTCCTGTCTTGGATTTGGAAGCGAAGGATTGGGCGGGTTTTGGATGTCGAGAGCCCCTGGTGGAAGGAGACGCTATAGCTAGCCCTTGTTGAGCGATCAACCCTTTTCCAATCTGTTTCTTTGACTCAGTTCCGCCCACCAGAATGCAGCGGTTTCCCTTTGTGTGTGCTCTGCTCGTTATAGACAGGGTCTTCCCTACGCTACTTTCCATCGCTGGCGCTTTTTCTCCTTGACTCGTCAACCAGACTGTACCCTACCCTGCACAACCACACTGTAATTCTATAATTCTGGTCGACCTGCCCCGGACGGCAATGTGTACCTTGTACTATTCTTATCGCCGGAGCTTGGGGAGCAAGTGGGATTTTGAAGCTTTGTTTTTTGGGGGGGGGAATACCACAACGCGCGACGCGACGCGTTCGAACTGGATTGGACTGGCTGGATCCGGACATCAGCTTGCTTGCTTGCTTGCTGGATCGTTCTCATATGTTTTATCGAAGCGAATCGAAATCGAAAGTTTGGTCTCTGCTCCATCTAATTGGCGCTGTCTTATGCTTCCGTGAATGAATCCTAGGCGTCAGAGTCAGCTCTATTCCATTTCAGCCCTACCCTACAGATCACACAGCCAGCCTACGCTGGATGGTTGGCTTTGCCGTGTTCGCGCTGCACCCGATCACGCGTGTACAACATTTACCTCCGTCGCACAGCAGAATCTGGACCGATTCACAGGCGCCATCCGCGAGGGCGAGGAGCGGGCCGTAACCGCTGCGCGTGCTGCGGGCGGAAGAAGGGAGCGGCGTGGTGAGGAATGTACTAGGCGCTTTCCGTCTTAGTGTACCAGAGTTTGTGTGAGCTTGACGCCCATGTGTGCCGCTGCGAAGATGAAGGTTCTCCTCCGAGGCGACTAACGGCTCGAAGAAAAGTTTAGGATTCGGGAGCACAGTGGGGAGGCGGTATGCTCTGCTGCCTTTGTGTTGATAGTTCTTTCATTAAAATCCCACGACGGACGTGATTGTATGTCTTCCTATCGGGCCCCCAACCTACTCCATCTTCCCGTACCCGTGCAAATGCTTCGCATGTTATCTAATAACGCCATCTAATGTCCGTATGTAGCAAGCTCAGCGCTTGAGCTCGCTCGCTCACTCACCAGCCGCCTCCGATGCTGCTCGCCAGCCCAGCAACCCTCTCGACATCATTCTGCTTCTTGCCCACATCGCTCTCCACCTTGCGGTACGACGTGTATATCAACTTCCGCATGTCTACATCCGTGATATCGGCCCAGTGACATAGCACATCCCAGACATATGTTTGGGAAATGCCGCCCACGACATCATCATCGTAAGGCAGGGTGTTGGTTCCGTTGGTGGTGGCGACGTCTTGCATCTCTTGGTCTCCGTCGCTGTCGATGGTTTCTTCATCCGAGCCAGAGAAGTACGCTTCGTCCACCCTTCCTAACCACTCTTTCTGCTCTTTTGGGCCCGGTCTTGCGACTACAACGGCTCCGTTGATGGCATGGAAGCCCTCAGCAGCGCGTACTTGTTCCACTTCGGAAACCTTGATCTGTCCGCCGCCATTGGTGCACCCGCCGGGGCAAGCCATGACTTCCACATATGCATATTCCTTGACTCCTTCCACGCCGGCCGCGCCATTTGCCCCGGGTCTCCTGCTTACGCCTGTCCTTGCTCCTGGCATCTTGCTCATCTTCGCGGGCTTCAGTCGCCGTACGAGATTCTGGATATTACGGAATCCGTAGAAGCGCGCCATCTTGACGATAGTTTCTGGGCCCCGGACGAGCGAGTATTCGACCACATCTGCGTTCCTCCCGCGTGACACCGATATTGACGATCCAGGGTGCTGTGCTTGGTATCTTTGCAATATGTGATATAGGTATCCACCCGATGGTCCAGCGACGGGGTCTTGATTCTTTCGACGGGTGGGCGGGAAAAGGAAGGCGTCTATTCTCGGGTCCGGGAAGGGCGTTCGTTGCGCGGAGGGTAGTGGGGTCTGAGGGAGGGAGGAGAAATTCATGCCGCGTGCGGCAGCTAGATGTAGGAGTTCGCGGGCGGTGATCACGCAATCGACGTCTCGCACGGCTCCCTGGAAAGGGTCTTGGTTAGGGAGCCAGGCGGAGGACGTGAGCTCGCTGCGGCTTGCTTCGAGCTTCTTGTCGAAGCAGGGCATGATGGCCAGATGCCATATCTGAGAAGGGGGAATGTTGTAGCGCTGACTTAGGACCGATTTAATGAGTGTTCCTGTTAGAGCTTGCGGGGACTTTAGGCGCGAGAGGTGCGGGAGGACATAGGGATGTGTCTTCTCAGCATAGCATATCCAGCCAGGACATGCCGATGTCAAGATAGGTTTCTTAGGCGCTGTATCGCTTGCGCTTTCTGTTCCCGGTTCGGACGGGGTATTCTGGGCGTCTGGAGAGAGGGCGCATGCGACCTCGTTTGCCGCGGCGACGAGGCAGGCTTCCCGCACAACGTTCGTGTCTATGACCCAGGTGAAGTCGCTACCATGGGCACCTCCGGCTCCGAGACCGGACGGCCCGCTAAGCAGCTGGGCGATCATATTCCCCGCTTCCGCTTCCGACACGGAGAAGACAGCTGCCAGGCTTGCTCGCGTCTGCGGTGAGACGCTGGCCACGAACAGCTTTCCCTCGCCATAGTGCCCATTCACACCGTTTGTTGCCCCATTATTCATATGCTTCGTTCCGTTCTGCGCTAGCCATGGCGCACGCAGCGATCGGTAGGTATCGAGCGTGGCGAGGACCTCAGTATGTGACTGGAGGGTGACAAGCACCGCTTCGGCCGACGTCACACATCCCGAACACGCGAGGCAATCTGTAAGCGATATCTGGGCGGGAGGAGGCGGCTGCGACGCGGCGACTTTGTCTTCGGTGGTGACTTCGTAGGCATGCTGCGTTTGTCAGTTTGCGCCGATGACGGAGAGTAGAGGGCAGGGCAGGCGTACGGAAGCGTCTTCAGGCTTTGCTGGAAGTGTTTCTATGGGCTTGATGCACGCGACGCCGGGCGATATGAAGTCGTTCAGGTCGTCGGCGGAGAGAATTGCGCTCATGGTGAGCTCCTCGTGGGGAGGTTGTGGCGACCGGGCGCGAATGCGAATCAAAGGGAACGGCTAGATGGCGGAGCGTCGTCGAGGTTCTCCAAGATCCAGCGCTCCTCAGACAGGAAATAAGACGAGCGCAATCGAGTGCGGGCGGAGAAGCAAAAGAATGGAGGCTCGGAGAAGCGTCAAACTTCTTTTTCGAGGCAAAGGGTCCTCCACCGTCCACCATCGGCCTATCTATCGATAAGAATTTCTCAGCAACGCAATTCCGCGGCCTTTCCGATGCCGCCACATCTGCGCCTGCACCCGCACCTGCACCTCAGCCCTCACGTGCTCCTCCCCGCAAAATCCCTCGCCCAGGTTGCGCAGCCCTTGGCCGCGCATCGCTTCATCAATACTGCAATATATTGCATGCAGCAGATTGCGGCTCCATTTAGCCTGGTCACCAGAACACTGGACAGCATGGCCTTGCTCTCAACTTCTAACGCCTCTGCTCCTGTCGAGCAAGTACTTCTAATGTGCTGTTTCTCTCACTTTCCAGAGCGGCGCTGTCACCGAATGCCATGCGGCGCATCTCAATCGATACCTTTGGGATGATGTCCCCGAGGGGTGGCGGCCCTTTCAGTCCGATGAAGAGGAGGAGAAGTCCATGGTATCTTTCGAGACCGAGACTCTTGACGACTGTTCTGTTCTTCGCAGCGTTGTACTTCTGGTTGAACTACGGGGGGCACCAAGTTGTGATCCCGGTGGATTCATTCGAGTATTTGCAGGATGGCTCGTTGACGGATATCCACAATTCCACTCTCGGTGTACGTCAAAAAGTTCCTCCCTAACGGCTTCTCAAGTGCAATCCTACCTATTTGCGCATCCCTTAAAAACCCCTCCCAGATATCGGCTATTGACAAGAGAAGCACGGAAAGCGAAGACACACCCTCCTTTGCCTACCAGTCTAGCCCAGCTCCGAGCCATAGCAACTAACATGTTCTCAAGTTTCAAAAGATTCTCGTCCTCAATCTCCCCTTCCGATCCGACCGACGCGATGCCATGACCCTCTCCGCAGCGACTAGCAACATCAAGTTGGAATTTGTGGACGGCGTGACTGGAGACAGCATCCGGAATAGCGCGTATCCACCACCGGAAGAGAATATCAAGCTTTCCGTAGGCATACGAGGCAGCTGGAGAACGCACATGAACGCGCTACAAAGGTACCGCTTAGAACTTCATGGCGAAATCATTCGCTGATTACGACAAAAAAGGGTCGTACAGCAGAATCTCTCAACAGCCCTCATAATTGAGGACGACGTAGACTGGGATGTTCGCGTTCGACAGAACCTACAACGATTCGCACTCGCATCACGTTTCCTCTCAGAGAATAAGGATGTCTTATCATCTTCTCCGCAGTATAAACTCGAAAACCGTCCCAATCCTGAAACTCCCGAGACCGGTATTCACATCCTGACCGACCACGGGCTCACTACGCAACTGCCCACTCTCCCCTTATCCTCCGTCTCTAAGACTGGCCTCGGCTACTCACATCACCAAACAAGCGGCTCCCCTTCTCCTTACGGTGACCCCGCAGAATGGGACATCCTCTGGGTCGGCCACTGCGGCGCCGGATTCCCGCGCTACTCCGATGACCATAAAAAGTCAGACATCACAGCAGCCAACGTGATCCTCACCCAGTCGAACGATGATACGGTACCCGTGGGCAAGCACCTGAAAGCGCATCCCTTCCAAGGCGTTCTCGATCCCTTAGCCGACGCATATCCACCACATACACGCGTCTTCCACCGCGCATCAGGCGGCACACTCTGCACGATAGCCTATGCCGTTAGCCAGCGCGGTGCGCGCCGCCTTCTCCATCAGTTCGGCATCAAGGGCTGGAACGGGATCTTCGACTCTGAAATGGGGCGTTGGTGTGGCGGAGAAGATCCCGATATGGGCGCGTCCGCAGAGCCTAAGAAGAAGCCCGCCCATCAATCGCCGCTCGGTGGAGGTAAAGGCAAAAGGAATGGAAGAGAGAGGGTGTGTCTGACGACCCAGCCGCCCATCTTTGCGCACCATCATCCGATGGATGGGGAGAGCGATATCGGGGGCTTGGGAGGTGGGTATGCGACGAGGTACGAGACGAAGTATTTGAGGTACAGTGTGAGGATGAATTTGGAGAAGATTGTAAGGGGCGAAAAGGAGTTGGAGGATCAGTGGCCGGACGAGTGACGAGAGAGCTCGCAGCTATACTTTCAGGCATGGAACAGGCGTTCCGGCGGGCATCACAAAATAGTATCGATCGTATTTTCTGGGTCTGCTCCGTTATGAGCTTTGCATGATCATCCGCCCTGTTCTCTTGACCCTTTCTTAGACCATCCCTTCAGCAACCCCCTCAACCCGCCCATCGACAATCTAGCCCCCCTCTTCTCCGCCCGTACCTCTCCCCCCTCAACAACCCCATCCCTCACCCTCCTAATCTCCCCCGCCAACTGAACAAACACCTCCTCAACACCTTCCCCCGTCTTCGCACTGCACTCTAGAAAAGGAACCCCCCATTCCCGCGCCTTCTCCCTCCCCTCCTCATACGCAACCTCCCTCTCATCCCCACAGTCCGACCGACAACCCACCAGCACAATAGGCACCTTCATCCCCCCATTAGCCAGCTCTTCCGCCATAGCGTCGACCTCCCCCTCCACCACCCCCTCCCTCTTCCTCTCCCACGCCCTCTTCACCCTCTTCAACCTCCCAATCTCCGCCCTCCACTCATCCACATCCTCAAACCCCTTCCTATCCCTCACACTATAGCACACCAGCACGCCATCCGCATTGTCAACGAGATGCGCATTCAGCGCGTCCAAGTAACGCCTCGACACCCAATTGTCCTCCCCATAATAAACGTCGTCGTTAATCTCCCACATGACGCATTGCGATGTGGAGCGTAGCACCATTTGCTTGCGCAGCGTTTCGCCCTCGGTCGTGGGGCCATAGCTGGAGATGTCGGGAGAGAAGTAGTCAAGTCCGAAGCGGCAAAAGAGGGACGTTTTGCCGCAGCCCTTGGGGCCGAGGAGCGTGGTTCTGTAGAGCAGCATCTTGAATGCGGGATTTTGGGGGCGAGGCATTGTGCTTAGGCGCTTTGGGGATGGATGACGGGTGGAGGGGATGTGGGCTCTAGGTTAGAGAGGTGCGGAATCTATGGCGTTCTCCTGGAGGGGAAATACGAGTATGCATCGTATAAGGCAGTCAGGGGCTCCGCAGAATGCTGTCCTGTAGAGATGGATGGTTCTTAGAGCGCAAAGGTTTAATTAAAATAGGACAGGTAAACCTATATATATAACTAACTCCCTTCATCATTTCCAAAAGAAAAGACCCAAAAGCCAGCAAAAAACCAGTCGACCCCTCAGCCCAACTCACACCTCCCAACCCAAGCAAGAGTATTCCAGCGCCGCCGTCCAATGGTGAATACGCGACTGCAGAATTTCTTCCCTCGTCATGTAGTATTCATTGCTTAGGTCCGCCCAGCATCACAAGTTACCTGTGTGAGTGGGTTGAAATCGGACACCACCGGACTCGAACTGGGCTCCTGCCAAGGCTTGAATTTGGGAAGCGCGAGTGGATAACGATGAGCCTCCTGGCGAGGACCCGTTACAGGTGCCAAGAATTTGAGGATAAACATTATATATCCTTTTAGAAAATTTTACTGGGAGACGAAAAGACGGCGTTCCGTTCCTATCATGCCCTGCCATGATGTGGAATAATTTTCTAGTTGGAGTAAGTGCGTGTGCGGCAAGCGCGTAGCGAGCCTTGTCAGTGGGGTCCAATATCACTGAGGAAACTTGCACACAATAGTGCAAAGCCTGATTTCAACAACACCTAGTATTCATACAGCTACAAACGCGTCCAATATATTACAAGGTCATGAACAAAGTTCCTGGGTATTCTTTCTTCCTAGCAATGCAGCATGCGCGTATCCTCAATAATGCTTCCCAAGCAGCCTCAAGTGAACACCAGCCCAAGCCCACCCCGCCGCCGCCGTCTATCGTCATGACATTCAACACCCCCCACAAAAGCTCGTAACGTATGTATGCACAGTTCCCCACACAGTCGTTCATTACAAGAAGTACTCGCCGCGCGTACCTCTTCCTGCCGGCACGGCTCTTCGATGATCGGGGACGGCGCTGAAGATCTGGAATTCGGGCTTCAAATCCTCGCCTAGGTTCATGATGGAGGCCACGTTGCCACAGCGATAGCAGTAGTTCGGTGCTGACCAAACGGTGACAACGTCCTTGTCTTTGAAGTGGTACTAGGGTGGGTGAGCGCGCGCACGTGGAATTTGGTGTTACAACATACCTTATAGCCTTCGTTGACCAGCTGATGCGCTCGAGCAATGAGTTGTAGGCCGTTGACGTGATTGAACTAGAATCTGTCAGCTTCGGACTTTGTCAGGGAAGCATACTTTGACTCACCTCTGAAGAGACCTTGTCTCCGAACAACCACCCAGCGCCGCGAGGAGAGACGGCCCATGTATCGACATCTTCCGGATCACTCCACACCAAGTCGCAAAATGCGCCCTCGTGGGGAATTTCCTGGGCTCTTGCAACCACGCGGATCTGATCCAGTGTCCTGATTTCGGGGCTCAATCCGCCGTGCACACATAGGACTTTTCCGTCTACAATGGCCGCCAAGGCGAGGAAGTCAAAGACCTGACAGCACGCTTTCCATACTGAGGCGTTACCGTACTTGGTCTGGCACTCTTCATAAAAACCGTACACCTGGGTGATCTGCCTGGACTCGTGGTTTCCGCGGACGAGGGTAACTCGATCAGGGAATCTAAATCGTCAGTCGTCGGGTCACTACCAGAACAGAGGAACGCGTACTTCGCCTTCAAGCACATGAGAAGTGTAAAAGTCTCCAAGCTGAAATAACCTCGGTCCACGAAGTCGCCCAGGAAGACAAAGTTCTGCTGTCCATTACCGGTAGGAACATTCCGCGTGGATCCCGCCTCGGACTGTGCTTCTGCACTCCGCCTGCGAGTGATACTTCTACTCCGGCCGCGCTCTTCCTCCTCTTCTTCCTCCTCCTCTTCGCCCTCGTTGGGACTGCTCGGCCCAGTATAGTTGGCATCGCGCTGAAATCTCCTCTTCATCTTCCGCTTTGCCTTCGGGTCTGTAATCATGGTGGGTGGCTCAATATCCTCGGGCTTTATGGCTGAAGGAACGGGGGACGTGGCGGCAGGAGCAATGGGTGGGGTAGGAGTATCGCTGGGCATCCCGCCAGCGACCCGGAAGAGCTCAAGGAGATCGTAGAACTGGCCATGGATGTCGCCACATACTGTGACGGGTGTCCGGACAGGCTGGATATTTGATTCTGTATATGAAGTGTCAGTGTACGGAGCACCACTGTGAGGCGGATACAAGGCGTGCGGATATCGCAATTGAATTAATGCCCAGGAAGAGCTCAATGCAGGGCATCCCTCGGCAGCTGTTGGACCGATAGAACTCACCCTCCATGAGGCACTCCTTCACGATCTCGCAAAGGCGCTTCATCTCGGCTTCCGGCAGGTATTTGCATTGTTTCGCCTGCTCCAACCACTCATCAGGTCCTGCGCCTTTCGAGAGGCGCGCTGGCCCCGGCTGGGGGACGTCGCTGTCCTTCCCCATGGTTCAGAAAGTCTCGCAAGTCGTCAACGGCCCTGGAGAAGAGCAAGGATGCGCGCCTTTCGAATTGGAGAGGCAACAATGGCGGTAAAGAGGGAGTTGGTCGTGTGACGGTGTATTATCAAGCGTGACGTAGCGAATCTCTGCGGTATCATCTGTCGTGGGCGCTAGCAGAGAAGGCCGGATTCAGCAATGAGAGTAATATAGCGAGTTCATCAGTATCCGCAGCGAGTATGCATGGTGATGTGGAAGCACGACTGCCGCAAGCCTGAGGTCGCTGGTGGCAGCTGCAGCTGGCTGGCCGCGGCGCTTGGATGACCGAAGCGTGCCACTTTGGGAAGGCGGTGAGCGTCACTAATTCTTGATAACCTCAATGTCGAAGTGAAGCTTGCCCTTTCCTGCGGCGCATCACCCCTGGCTTTACCTTCCTGTCGCTCGAACAGTGCAGGAGCCGTCGCTGTCGCGCTGCCGGCTACGTATCGCTTGGAGCTTCCATTCCAATGTCCCTATCTACAAATTGCCGTTCTGCCCCCCGCAAAGCTCCCAGTCCACACTCATAGTTCCCAACTCCATTCACAACCGCCCCTTAGGGTCCTGGCAAGCCTCGCAGCCCCCTCGAAAGACACCCACAGGAATGCCGCCCCAGGCCGGCGTTAACGGCGTGCTGCCGGTCACGGTGCTGCAGAAGAATGCCCCCGCATCTGCATCCCGCGGTCCGAAAGCTCCCCAACCGCGACTGAAGCTCGTCTGTCGGAGACTGCCCCCGGGACTGACCAAGGCCGAGTTCGAGAGCATTCTGGGAGAAGAGTGGAAACTCGGTGCCGGAAAGATCGACTGGTTGAGCTACAGGAAGGGCAAGATCTCCAAAGAGTACGCCCCTCCACCCTCATTTTGTGTTGTAGTCTAATCCTAGGACAGCCTTGCCAAACCCTCCAGGCCCTCGCGCGCATACCTTCACGTTACGCAGCAAGCCCACGTCACGGCCCTCGGCGACCACATCCGCGAAGCTACCTTCCATGATGCCGCCAAATCCTTCCAGGATCCCGCCCTTGTCGGCCCGCCAGCGCTTGAGTTCGCCCCATACCCGAAGATGCCAGGAGGCAGGCGGAGGAATGACGCCCGTCAGGGCACCATCGACCAGGACCTGGAGTTCAAGGAGTTCCTCGAGAGCCTAACAGCTCCAATCACCAAGCCAGCTGCTCCCGAAGGCGAAGTTCAAAAGGAGGAGAAGGTCAAGACCACTCCGCTAATTGAAGCGCTCAGAGAGAAGAAGGCTAACAAGGACAAGCCGCAGGCCAAAGGCAAACAAGGTCGTGGCGAGGCTAAAGATGATGCTGCGGAGAAGAAGACTCTGGGCAAGGGCGGGAAGGAGGCTGCGCTCGCTTCTGGAGACAAGAACCGCAGGCTTAACAAGGCTGAGAGAGAGAAGGCTCAGAAGGACGCAGTGAAGGTCCTCAACAAGGAGGCGTCCGCCCTGAAGGACGCCTCCGCAATGGGTTCAACTGACAAGGCCGCTCCAGCTACCCAATCTCCTGCTACGGAACGTAAGCGTGGGAACGTCAATCTGGCGAAGTCGATGCTCCAACGGGATTTGGGCATTGGGCCTGCTCCCAACCGGCGACGAGGCACGAAACGCGAGGTCACTCCGGCTACCCAGGACACCTTGGCCCAACAGGACGAGAACACGGCCGGCAAGCAGAAAGCGAAGGACATTACTCCTGTGTCTGCAACTACTCCATCGGCAGCGGACAAAACTGCATCTGCTTCTACCAAGAAGGAGCGACCATCCCGCGCGGAGCGCCGTGCCTTCAAGGCTTCCTTGGCAGACAAAACAAACAGTAGAGACGACTCCAAGGCACAAACCAAGCCTGCCCCTACCCCTGCCCCTACTATCCTCAAGAAACCCCAATCCGCTCAACCGCAAACCCCCACGGCTCCCAAAGGCCCCGCAGCCGCACGAGCTCCACCCACCGAGCCCGCCGCTGCCAGGAACCCGACGCTTCAACCTCAAGCCACCCCATCCAAGGCAGACGCCACATCTCCCGCCCGTCCAGCAAACCCCACACCCTCATCTGCTCTACCTGCACCTACCCCCACGGGCAAGCAGGCGTTCCTGAAACACGCCAATGCCTCCCAAGGAATTACCGAACCGCTTATCGAAGAAGCTTTGAAGGTCTTTGGCGCTATTGAGAAGGTGGAGATCGACAAGAGGAAAGGGTTTGCCTATGTGGACTTTGCGGAGCCGGAGGGTCTTCAGAACGCTATCGCTGCCAGTCCGGTCAAGGTCGCACAGGGCGCCGTACAGGTGCTCGAGCGGAAGGAGAAAGTTGCTCGAAACCGTCCGTTCGCTGGGCCTCCTACCGGACCGGCTCGTGGCCGTGGGGGATTTGGTCCGCGCGGTCGCGGACGTGGAGGCGCGAGGGGTGGCGGACATGCCATCCCAAACCTCACTCTTGGAGACCCGGCACCGGCATCTGCGGCTGCACCAGCACCGGCACCGGCACCGGCGGCGTCTGCACCTGCTACGAGTGAAGCAGCAACATGAGATAATAACGTGAGAGGATTGCGTTGATGCCACGGTCAGCGACGAACCGTGATCACGAGACGCTTCAGTTCACAACGCCGAACGCCACGCTGCATGGAATCCGACATACCGAATTATCTCCGTTATGTACTATCACGACAGGCCTAACACTGATGATTGGGTCAGCATTTTGCATAGCTCTCAACATTGTCCGAGCATGATCCAAAGGTTAGACCGGATATGCAAACCCGGATATGTTTCCGTCGGCATCACTTCAAGGTCCGGCCCCAGCGTCGGAACCCCAACCACATGCAGATATGCAATATGAGTACAAGGATGTGGTCATGGTCTAGGAGAGTCATTGCAGGAGGACGGCGGTATGTCATGGTGGACTACCTAGTTATAGTCAACGAGATATGGATACTTTGCTAGTCTTGACGCTCAAATGAAATATGGACTTGCTTATGTATGAATATCTGCTTTAACGCTTTCTTCCGTCCAAGAAATGTGCTGCTGCGTGTGACGTATATGCACAGCTCTGCATCCCAGAGTTCTTCTCAACGCATAACCTCGGCTCAGTGCTAAATATGCTATGCCAAACGCACCCAAAAAGTGCTGTGTCAAATACGCCCGACGAACGCCAATGCTTCCCGTGCTAATTCAAAGTGCAACTTCACCCCTTCCATCTCTACGCTTCAATGCCAGCTCATATTCCTAGGTAGTACTTCCCCCTCTCATACACAAAGAAACTTGTCGCCACCATCGGGATCACCTTCACGTAGCCAATCGTGAGCCCGACAAAGAACCCCCTCCAGCCCTTCTCCATGTGTATCCTCCTCGTTACTTCCGGGATGCTGAGCCGATGTCCGTCTCCTATGACGCCGCCAACTTGCATGCGCCGTCTTATGACCTCTAAAGGGTAGGATACCGTTTGCGAGATGAAGCCGGCGAAGCCACCTGTGCTGAGCTCGGCCCAGTAGCGTAGTTGCGCGGGTTTGTGTGACGAGGTTGTGGTTTCTTCGCGCGAAGTGTGCGGGAGCGTGGTGTAGGGTGCGAGGGACGGGTGCCGCATTAGATCGGACATCGAGTCGTGGGCGAGAAAAGAGGCGCCGGCGTACGGTACCATGCCGAGCAGCGTGGGACTAAAGCCACGGAAGAAGTTCGCCAGACCGGTTCTTGGGGCGGCTTTCTCAACTACCGTGGCTGCTGCGGCAGTGAGAGGGTTGTTTGGATGGTGGGCCGTGGGCCGTGGATGCTCGTTGTATATCAAGCGACATATGGATCTTAGTGTGCTTCTTTGCTGTTGCCGGGTTTCGAAGGCTAAGCGTACGCGGATCACTTCGAGCGGGTAGGTGAAGAATACAGAGCACATGCCTGCGAGGGAACCTGAGATAAATCGGCGCGCAGGTGTTTCTTGGTGCCGCCCGTTTATGACGATATGGCGGATTTGTTCGTAGGCAAGGAATTTAATGCCGGCGTAGGGGAAGATGCGGAGGAGGGTTGCGGAATGGCCCTTAAACAGCCCCGGTATTCCATTCTGGCCGTATATCTCACGCACCGCGGCGGGGAGACCGGACCAGTGGCCTGCGTACTTTGCAAACAACGGATTGCCTGTCTGGAAGAGAATCTTTACGCGGTCGAGGGGGCCCACGACAGTTTTTGCAGCGCATCCCGCCATGCCCCCGGCAAGCCCGCTCTTGACTAGGTATTCCGGGGTCTGCTTATCCACCTTCTTTGTCGATGTCTTTGCGCCGGCTGCGCTGCCCGCCGTTTTCTCCTTCTGCGGGATGATCGCATCGTCGTCGGTCGGGCATAGCGGTGGTGACTGCTGGCGTTTCGTAGTATGCGCGGAGAGTGTTTGCGCCGTGGTCATGATTCGGGAGTGTTCGTCGTCATAGCGGAGGATGTGCGAGGACATCCCGAAGCCTTTCGTCGCCGTCTTTGTGCCTACCTCAACATGAGAGCGCGAATTGTGGGTCTTTTGATTAGATTAGGGGTGGGCGAGGAGTGGCATTTGGGCGTGATGTGACTAGAAAGACGGGGAAGTGTGTGGAGGAATGTGCGGTCGGCCATGACGTTACTTGCCGAGGATCTGGGTTCGTGAAAGGCATCGTTCCGGCCGGCAGCGCCAAGCCTGCCGATGGAAAGCGGAACATCTGGGCTTCTGTTTTTGTCACGACAAACAACACCACGGTTCGATACGGATCGGTATCCGTCGCACTGTGAACATACCCGGGTTGCGAAGGAAAGCCAGGCTGATAACGGATACGTACCTCTTTGATCGCAATTGTAGACTCACAGTAAAGACGGTAACGTAGAGGCCGTCGCCAATAGCGACATCACGCGAGTCGGTATTTCTTTCTGAAAATCCAAAGTCTGTTTTCTGCACTCGATATCTACGACCTTCAAAACTTCCAGTCACCCTATTCTCTTCTGTATTCGAGAACAACTAACTCTTCTTCATGCAGGACCATGTCGGATCCAATCCCCGGTGGCATCCAGCGCACAGCTATACTCTACCAGAACGCGAATCAAGATATCATTCTCATTGATATTCCGAAGTCGATCGCGGTAGCCCAAAGACGTTCGGGTATTCTCCTCTCCTCTTCTCCGCTGGAGGCGCCCATTCCCCTGCATGATGAGCCAACGCCCGAGAAAGCGAAGGCACACAAGGCCCGGCATCTTCTGAACCCAGACCTTCATGCCGACTACAAGGTCTTAATCGAACAGGCGCTTGCCGAAATCTGCAATCATGTATCGGGACCGTGGTGCAGACCACGTCAACTAATGGCCCACGTACCGAAACCTGGGAAGACGGACATGCACATCGACGACCCAGAAAAGGAACTCGAAAGCCGACTCCGGGAGTGGGCCGCACTGGGCGAAAGCAAGGGCGAGGATAGTGCATTCGACTTCCAGAAGATGATGGCTTCTCTCGGTACGACTTCCGGACCCAATGCAACATCGAGCGGAACAGTCACACACAAGTGGTTGATGTCGTACGGCCCTGCACGCGAGATCAAGGGCGATGCACAACGTGCTAAAGCTGGCCCGCAGAGTGGGTCAGAGGAACCTTGGATGGCTTTCTTTCACAATCCGGAGGACCATGCTTTAGACCTAGCCGTCTTTGGGAGTATGGCTCAGTCGCCTGAGTACCGTTTCACGATCCCTCCGAGAGCGACCTTCTTCCTCAGCGACTCCACCCACTCGGACGCGTTCCGTGCTTCGTTTCGCGAACTGACAGACGAGTACACCCTTCCGAGGCATTTCGACTTGGTCCTCCTGGATCCACCATGGCCCAATCGATCGGCGAAACGAAAGGGAGCTTACGAGCAAGTTGGAGGTATGCCTCACGTGAAGAAGATGCTGTTGAACATGGACATCGACAGTTACTTTGAGCACAATGCTCTCGTAGGCGTCTGGATTACAAACAAGGAAGCTCTGCGTGCGCACGTACTCGGTCCGGGAGGACTTTTTGAGAAGTGGAACGTTGGCTTGATCGAGGAATGGGTATGGATCAAGACGACTACACATGGCGAGCCCATGTTCAATATCGACAGCCTTTTGCGAAAGCCATATGAGATTCTGCTCCTCGGAAGAGCGGCGCCCAACTCGTGGACAACCATGGCTCCGGCGCCCTTCATCAAGAAGAGAGTTATCGCTGCGGTGCCGGACATCCACTCCCGCAAGCCGTGTCTCAAGGAGCTGCTTGAGCCCTACATGCCGGATATAAACGACTACAGCGCCCTCGAAATATTCTCTCGGTATCTTGTCGCCGGATGGACATCATGGGGTAATGAAGTGCTCAAGTACAATTGGGATCAATATTGGGCATCCGCACCCGGTTCCGAGAGATCTTCAGCGGATACTCCATCCAGATGAGTGCCCTTCATCAAACCGGTATGCGCATCCGGAACGTCGACCGCCGGCTGCAAAACACTGGCTGCAAAACATCTTCCGGCGGCCATGGCACAACAAGCCGACAGTAAACGGCCATGCAGATTGACAATCTCGACGATCTGCAGCGCATTCCCGGTATGTCTCCCGCCATGGTATTCTCTCCTCATCACGAGATGCGCCTCAACGGACCCGTGACCCGGTCGCAAATGTACTCATGTATTCTAGACTGGCCTCATTAATAGCCTTATTCGCGGCGTAAGGCGACGACAGCCGAAATCCACATTTCCCCGGCCTACCCTCGGATCTATGATTCATGCAGCGTCTTTGGGAGGATGCTGGCGATAAAGTACCGGCTCCACATTTCCTCCGTCTGTATGTGGTGGAGAGTGGGGGACGGCATTTTTTGAAGTTATTGCGAAAGAACGTGGGGCATAGAACTTGGCAGCGGGCTATGTTCTTGTGGTACCCACAGTCAGCCTTTCTAGCAGGAGATTTCCCGCGTGCTTTCGGGCAGAGCCTTCGTAGGGTCTTTGGTAGGCGGAATAATTCACGCGGAATAAACATGTGATTTGGATTGGGCTCTCGTGGTCGACTGTTGTCAGTCGGGCTCTCGCTGAAGCCTCACTACTCCGGTGCCGCTCGCCGCTTTCCGCTTGTGGCTCTTCAGACGCCCCGCGCGGGCAAGCTCCGCTACTGACACATGAAAAACAACAAACACCAGCACAAGCAGCCCTAGCATATCGCGGGAGCTTCACTAGCATTTTCGCACATGCCGCTGTTGTCGCCGCGAGCCAGCGCAACCAGTCGTCGGTTCCCGTCGAGCCCTTTCCTGAACTCCCCGACGACTCCTCCCGCTCACCTCCACTCCAGTCCGTGGGTTCTGGACAGCGTGGATGACAGATCAGCGTTTCTACGCCGCTTTTCTTTTGATAGGTAGCTCGACTTCCCGACGTCAATACCCGCCAGCATGGGAAAACGCAGCAGCAGAGCCACGCTGGCGCAACGAAGAGGGGGTGGGTTGCACGGCATACGGAGAGCCCGCGATCGCAGTTGTGCATCTGGCAGTTGCAGTTGCGGTTCGTAAAAATGACAGCTCACCAGCTTGCGTGTTCACCGCCACAGGCTGGCCTCGCTGACTGTTTCTGCTACTATTGGGCACACTTCGCTTCTATGAATGGCCCTTTTTGGGATCATGATCATGATCTGTCTGCTAACTGATGATGACTCCGAGATTGGGGAGGTCCACGGGTGGTGCTGACAGCCTTGCGATGAGAATAGGAACACGCTGCGAGGTGCGGATGCAAGTTACCTGACTGCGGTATCGATAGTCGTGATTACTGTCGGAGTCAGGCTGAGGTTGCAATCCTGTACGGACGGGACGGCAAGACCGTGACTCTGGGTGCTGCTGATCTCCAGATTCCGGAGCCGGTGATGAGATGAGATGACTGGAGCAGAGTTGCGGGGTGTCAGATCAGAAGTCAGCTTTGGCCTTGCTTCGCCTTACCTTGCGTGTGCCTTTGCCTCCGTTCGCATCGCATGGCATGCGAACCCCTTCTTCGTTTCGAAATGCGCAACTGACTGATAAGTTGTTGAAAGTCCGAAGGGCGCTTCGCTTCGCTTCGCAAGGTCCACAAACGCGAACGCCGTAACCGCCCGGAGAAGGTGGCAGGGTGGTCATCCACCACCACCTCCACCACCAACAACAGGACCCCGCGTGCCGCTCGTGTGCGACGGCTGATCGCCTGTTGGTGGATGAGACAGGCGCATGCGCTGCCCGCACGCACGCGCGCATGCAATCCAGATGACAGATCAGCTTGTCAGATGGACCTCACGACGGAGATGTGTGCATGCGATAGGTATTGTGAAAACCGGAGAATGAAGGGGTGGGATGCGGCGCTTATCGATAGTTGTTGGTGGAGAGGCGTGGAGTACCGCGCGGGTTAATGGGGCCCGAGTTTGTCGGACCGAGTTGAGTTTGTACATACAATGAGTGCACTGGAGTGTTTGGTGGTCGGGATTGGGGCCTAGAGTCCGGTAGGTACATGGGGATGTACCTTCGTACTGTAGTCTAGAAGGTACATGCGCGAGTACATTATTTGGACGGGTGCAGTAGTGGGTGTTCTGGAAGGGTACAGTACATGGGTACTTGAACCGCAGAGGGTCTGGAGTAAGTGATGGACGTGATGTGTTACAGGGGAGTAAAGGACTGAGCGAGCGTCGCAGTGCTCCGTAGTCGCAGGGAAATCTCAGGGAAAAAGCACAAAAAAGACCGGTCTTTTTTTTGGCTTGACTTTATCCACCTACAAGCGTCAAACGCTGGATGAAGCGCTCCTGAATAATGCTCTTCCATGGTTACTCCAAGCAACGGTCCCGGCTCTCCGAAGCATCCCGTAGCCGCTTGCTAATTCATGTCTCCCGTCTACTACTACCGTAGTAGTCAGTAGTAAAAATCGCGCACCGAAGTTTCTCCCGCTCGTAGCAAGCGGAAGCGCTTCCCCCACAGGTTTACTGCGCGCCATTATTTTCTACCGTAGCATCCCTGATCCGATCGGCAAGGCACTCGGGCAGCGCCGAACCACGTGCGAGAAGCAACCGTGGAAGGTGCCACCTTGAAACCACCGCTTCAAACTTTCCTGATTTGGAGATCTTGGCGACAAGCCAACATCCATGGATACAGGAGAAGTTTCTTCACGCAAGAGAAGATTCTTCACACGACGGCGGCGCGCCGCAGAAGCCAGGTGGAAGCAAGCACGAGTCAAGGGTGATGATACCTCGCCGCCATGGAAGCCGCGAGAAAGGGATGAAATAGAGCAGACGTGATTCGTGGATGCTCGTCGTGTCGCGGAAGCGGATACAAACCTTTTCCCTCCTCAGCTCAGGACCCCTAAACATGCGACCCTGCATACGAAAAAGAACCTTCTTGGCCTCGTTTTCTGCTCGAAAAGCAGCGACGTGGGATATTTCGTATCTACTCGAATTTGCCATCGCGGAACGAGCACTTCGTCGCCGCACATGCTTGGGCTGGGTAAAGGCCGAAATAGCTCGTGGGCGCTTGGACGCAGCAATATCCAGGACCGCGAGCCGAGCAGCAGAAACCTTCTTCGCGTCTTCTACGGGCATTTGGAAGGAGGCGAAAGACGGTCTCGAGATTAAAGTGGTTAAAGTTAGGCGTCCGAGCGCCGCCGCTGCGTGCCCCCAGATGCTCGGTCCGCGACCGCATATCAAAACGTGGATGAATTTGGAAGATGACAACGTGGAAGGTGAGATTATTTGGCTGAAATTAGAAAATGGCAGGAGGGCGGTGTTGGAATATGTTGTGTTAGTGCCCGACACATGCAGGAGGATCGATAGTATTGCGGCGGGTGGTGAGCGGGTATCGAGCGGGTGTGGTGGTGCTGACTGCAGATGTTCGCATAATTGATGACCGGACATTGCAGAGCTCTACTCAGCCTTGCGCAGACTGGCTGGAAGAGGGTGTACGGAGTACGAGGCTTCCAAGGTTGCGCTTTTGGGCTGTTGGTGGTTTCTTGGGGTGTCCGAACGCTTTCCGGTTGTGCTGCGGAACCGCGCGCGCCGCCTGCTTCTCGTGGCTTTCCTGATGCGGACGTCCGAGGTGTGCGCGGATGAATGACGGCTTGTTCGTCCCATGTGCAAAGTTTTGCCTGTGGCGGCCATGCTTGTGCTGCTAGCTCGCGGAGGCTAGAATTTGCAACGGAGACTAAGCTGGAGGTGCTAGACCCTGAGATCGCCGTCTGAAGGTGGTGCATGTGAAGGGGGCTAATGTACCCCAGGTTACCACCCGGCTAAACTTCGTCCACGCTGACACCCGGACTCTCTTTCCCGCATGGGGCACGGCCAGACGGCGGAGTCCCTCAGGCTTCAGCAAGGTTTTTGCGGTGCGTTTCGTTTCACCCCGTGGCGATCCAGCGCCCCGCGTGGCCCTCTTCACGAGCGCGCAGAACAGGCTGCCGTCGCCGAGGCCGGGCAAATCAGGGCGGCGAGAGGGCAGCGCGGAGCCCGCATGTGCCAAAACACAGAGTTGTTGTCGCGCCTTGGGTTATTGGGCGCCGCGCTGCACACCCGCCGGCAAATGGGAGTCACAAGGCGGAGCTGCGGATGGGATGCCGGAGAGCGCGTTCGACATCCCCTTTTGGCAGCCCAAACGCTGCCGGCTGAATGCGCGGGATGTGGATGGGCAAACCTGCCCCGATACCCGAGGGATGATCGCCGGACTAAGCTTACTCCAGCAAGTGGACGCTTAGTCGAGCACGGAGGACCGAGACGCAAATGTCCCCCGTTTTTCCGCCTCGTGGGGGCGTGGGACCGCCGCTTGCACAGTGCGAGGCCGGCGTGGGCGCTGCTGCAGTTGCGGGCTCAGGATCGCATTCCAGGGCGGTTGTGCTTCAGGGCTCGCGATGCTACCTGGAGAGCGTCAGTGGAGGCCCGGTGCCAGCGCGCAACACAGCTGGCGCCGCAGCACGACTGTTGACTGTTGACTGCTGGCAGGCCGGTCGAGTCATCGCAGCGAGGCGCGCGTGCGAAGAGCGACAGGGCGCGCGAGCTTAGGCGGCGACTTCGCATGGGGAAAGGCGGTCTCGAGTCCCGAGCCGGGGGCTGCCCCATCTGCAGCGGACCAGGCCAACGGGGCTGACGGCTTTGCAAACAGCGGTCAACTGCACCCAATCCCTTGCCCCCCATGAATAGGCGGTCACTCACCGCAAATGTCTCCAGAAGCAAATCAGGGCCCGACAGCGCGCAGGCGTTTCATGCGTCGCCAACGCGTGGCGGAGCGTTTGAATTTGCGACGGAAGATATAACGCCGCAGTGACCACGCATCCCACGTCCAGCCCAGGTGATATACCACGTCGAGACACGCCGTCCACGGAGACACATTGCTTCTGACTCGCACTCCTGACCCGCCGCCTCACTCGCCGACTTGTTATATTGCTGCCATCATCCCGCCGACATCCTGCGTCCGCACTTTTCACATCAGGATTTAGTGTTGCATCCGCCGCCGCATCCCCATTTCCGGCGCCCGCAAACTTGATTCCACCGTCGGATCCGGTTCCGCTCTGCCACGCCGTCATACGCCCGGGCGAAAACGCCTCGGTTGACCTGCCAGCCTGTCCTGACGTCGACCACGCGCAACGCCGACGCGTCTTCCGCCGACCATATTTGCCCCGGCTACGTCCGCAAGCGCACGTAAACATATATCCACCGCGCTCTCGCACCCACGCGCAAATGCATTTCGAAGCTTCGCCAGGCTCGTCGCCTTCCAAGTCGCTCCCCATCTCCATCAGGACCATGGCCTCGCCCTCAGGATCCATCTACAGCAACTGCTCGACCGAGTCGTCGTCGTCGTCAAGTCGCGGCTCCTCCTGCGCCTATCCCTCCTGGCCGACCGGCAGCTCGCTCGAGTACCGCAGCACGCCCAGCTCCTTCATCAGCGACGCCGACCTCTTCGGCGAGGACGTCGACGACGACTTCTGCCCCTTCCTGCAGGAGGCACCGGCACCGCCACGCCAGCCGCCCATGGCTCAGGCCTTCCCCATCCTGCCGCCACTCTACGCTGCTGAGAAGCCCAAGAAGCAGCGGAGGCGCAGCAGCGGCCGCAAGCAGCGACGTCCTTCTAAGCCTATGACTCCCATCTCGGAGTCCCCTGAGGCCATCCGCGAGTGAAGACTAGGCCGACAACCTGAATGATACCCTCCACATTACTGTAAGTCCATCACAAACGCGTCGAATCGCGTCGCAGCTGCTAACTTTGTCCTCCAGTAATGTTTGATATCAACAACATATCTGAAGCCGCGCGCATCGTATTGTTAGCGCCGCGGCTTCATCTCCACCACCCATGTGGCTGGTGGCATCCCACATGTGGGCGTCAGCCACAGTTGGTGTGCCTAACGGCTGCCGCTGCTCGCTGTAACGAAGAAATATTTTCTTCTTCGCGCTCCGCTGGTCGTTGGGCGTGTTGGGTCTGACGGTTTGCGAACTGCGCGCGTAACACTCGTCACGCATTCATTTCGCACTCCGATCAGCATCCGGATCCCCAGCACATCTGCACCACCGGCGACCGACGCCGGAAGTCGATAGCGTCAGCCGCAGTCACACTGCCACGGCTGGCTGCTTGTCGCGGGTGCCGTGAGGAGAGACTGTTGTCACTTCCTCCACGCAGCCTCCACGCGAGTTTCGCACGTCCCCGCGGGGTTCTCGCCTCAGGGCTGCAGCCTTCCACATCGCTTGGACCGACCTCCTCTCAAGGGTCCATCAGTCAGATCCAGATTCGGCGATCACCCAAGCTAGGGATGCCGGACCGCCGCCGCGCCCTAGGGGATCATTGTGAGGGAGCGAATGAGCGAGAGAGCGCTCGAGTCGGATTGGCGGTTGAGCTGTGACAGATTTTCAGCATTTGCAGGCGTTCTGGGACTTGGCATTTTTGATACCCCCTCCGATATGCGGACTGGCCCGGACTGGGAACGGGATGTTTTTCATGCGCGGGACTGCTTTTGTGCCGCATGGCGTGCGGGGGCTGCGTGTGGCTTTCACGCCTTGCCTCTTATGATACCCCTTCACTGATACCCAGCGAATATCAATATTTGATCTTGACAATCCTTCGCTTTTCGCGCTCGTGAATTATCGTGGTGAAGAAAATGAAGGTTGAGCTAACGAGCCTGTCACACCTCGTCACACCTAGCGGCTCGTTGAGATGTACGCCCATCTCGTTGTGGCGGCTCGTGGTCTTCGTCGTGGGACTTCGGTGAATGGGTTGGATGGCTTCGCCCAGGGTACAGTTCCTTCTGAATATCGCGAAGACATAGGCCAAACGCCCTTAAGAGGAGTTAACCATGCTTCCGGACGTATGATACGCCATTGCATACTCTAGTTACGACGCCCGTCAACGATCCTTCCTGATGGCTTCAAATCATCGCATGAAGGAGGCCCAGAAGGAGATACCCCGTGACATGCAAGCCAAAAATAAGCTCACAACGATTTCGGTAAGCCGCCGCTACCGTGCCGGAAGCGAAGTTATTCCTTGGAGTCTTGAGCTCACGCTTCCGGCGGCCGATGCATCCTCCGTGTCACACTCGGTCTGAAATCCAGGCCACAAGGGGTTGCGACCTGTTGTCTCGAGTTGAGCACCCGAGGCGTTCTGGAAACTTGCACTGAGGGGAAGGTTGCGTTGCAGAGCTCCCTTACCGCAGCTTGTCGTTGAGAGAGACGTGGGGTGCGTGTTGGGATAGTGAGGGGCAGAAAGAGGGGTGGCTGGGCTTGCGGTGAAGCGCAGCAAGGATGCGATGCTAGTGCGGGCGCTTACACCCGCACGGTTGACAAGTCGTGGGCAAAACCCAGCAGAGATAATCTCGTTGGAGCAAAAGCCAAATTATGTGATACGTGCCGCTTGGGGTCGCGAATGCGATAGAGTTCCCACCCAGGCGATAAAGGGTAGATGTTGAGGTGTTGCTTCATGCTTCATTTTGTGACCCTCGGGCGTAACCAGGGAGCGTGATATTGAATCTAATATGCGGTTGTTATCGACCAGCATACCGATATCAGCACTGGGCAAAAGAGCTCCCTCGCGGATCGACGAAGCTTGGACTGCTGTAAGTCACACTGCGGGAGGGAGGAAGAGGCGTGCGGCGCGGAATCGGCTGTGCCTGTGCTTCGTTCATCGCTCGTCTTGAATCAACGACATGTTCATGTATTCCAAACACACGATCTTCGCTTGTACTTCGTTCAGCAGAAAGGGGTTCCTGGAGATAGGGGCCGTATATGTATGCGTCGACGAATCCGTCAACGAGGGGGCCGTCATCCTGTGCGTTGCGATACACGCGCTCGGGTTGAGTATTAGGTCGGAATAACCGCTCGATGGGGTCCTCCACGTCATGCGCGAGGTTGCGGATGCAGTCTCCGGCTCAGATCAGTCCCCTTTCCTCGTGTCGCAGCCAGCAGCGAACGCTCGTTGCTCCCCTGAGGGACCACGATCTTGGTGCCACAGAGACTACATTGCCGTTTCCGAGCACAGTGCCAGAGCAATGGGATGGCCCGCAGTAGGTCCGAGGCGTGGGCGCATGTTGTGGACCCAACCGCCCCCAGCGGACTTCAGTTCATCAATTGGGGCTGTTGGAAGAGTCAGGACGGCAGTGCTATCGCGCAATCGTCGCGAGATATCGATGCAAAAATATCGTAAGCTTTGAGCGAACATCGCTCTGATATATGCAGCCAGTCTGCTTCGCGCGGTGGGGTTGCACTTCTAGGCAGGCCCTTGGTGGATCACCCATGCACACGGCCCGCACCCAGGCTCCGCTGCGCATCATGATTCGGTCGCGGGCGGAACCCTGATGTGATTCGGCTTGCCTCTGTCACCTTGGACTGGCCAATTAGCCGGCACCATCGAGCTCTCATCCTGAACCCTCGTCGTCCACCTCTTCGTTCCTGTGCTCTCGAGCCCTTTGAGAGGCTGCTCTGTTCGTCCCATGCAGGCACCGCGGTTTCTGCGGCGCGAAACCTAGCCAACGATGCGGTCGTGTCACTGGGGCGGCCAGCTTGGCGGCCGGCATGATTCCAGCATTCGCACGTCTGGCTGGAGCTCGCTGGTTCGTCGAGTCCGATGTCCATCTCGAGCTTCCACCGTCGCCAGCAAATGAACAGGCGTGAACCCCAGCCGTTGAGCGCCTCATTGTCCCCGGTTATGGCACTCGTTAAGTGCTCGCTGGCTTGACAGACTCAGGCCGTGCTCCTCGTCCTATTCTGAGAGAATATCAATCCGTCCTGCACTTCTTAAGCGCCGGGCCTTGATAGGCTCATGCTGCCCACCGCATCAACTCGCTCCTCGCCCGCGCTTCTGCTGCTTTTTCTCCTCTTTCTCACTGTCTTGCCTTGTTGTCTGTCTTTCTAGCTGCACGTTGTCGTGGTACCGCCCCAACTCTCTCCAAGCGGTCGCATGCAGACTCGTTTACCGCCGACTTCCAACCCTAGTAAGCCAGGGCGGGGCTAAAGTATACCGCCCTCCAGACGCCGGGTAGCTTGGGGACGACTGTACTGCTCTTTAGCGCGCACGTTGCTGTGAGTCTCAATTCTCCGGACATCTCTCAGTTTCGTCGCAGCCCTTCTGGAAGCCCCTGACTGTACTCCCGAAGCCCTTAATCGCTAGCCAATTCCCCTCGTTATGCGCCGTGTGAGCTGTCTTGGACTCGACCGCAACTGACAGAGGGACCGCTTTGCAGGCCCGCGCACAATGTCGACAGGACTGAGCAGGCAGCGCTCCGCTTCGAGAGGCTCCTCAGTCCGCTCCGACGTCAATCTGAAGCCTCCGACTCCGAGCATTACTCCGGGGAGCGACGAATTCGCCTTCGAGCCGTGCGCTGCCACCGCTTCGTTTCTGCTGTACGCCCAGCGCAACGTAATCCTCTGCCTCCACCACGACACGCTCGCTGTGGAGAGGAGATTCACGAGACATCGCGAGGACGTATCCTGGATTTCGGCCGACACCGTCAGCGAGAGGGGCGCCGGGCGGCTGGTTGTGAGCTACGATGCGGGGAGCACGGCAATTGTGTGGGATCTGCTCACGGGCGACGAGGTTGCCCGGTTCGCATCCTACGATCAGATCCGGGTTGCGTCGTGGATGAGGAATGGGAATGTTGCGTTTGGTGGGTGCACATTCCAAGATTGCCGACGGGGGCCTGCCGTGTCTAACACGCCGACAGGTAACGCGCAGGGCAACATCATTCTCTTCGAGCCTGCCACCTCCGAACACATCTCCGCGAGGACCATCTTCGACCCCATCACGGCACTGGCTCCGGCGGCGGATTGCAGGACCTTTGCAATTGGGTAGGCCCCATCTGAAACACCGCTCACGTGCTCCGCTGACCGTGCTCAGATATCTCAACGGCTCCATTCTGATTGCGACTCTCCAGCCGTCCTTTACTATTCTGCACACGCTCACGACACCCAGGGCCCCTTCCCCTATTGCGGGGCTGGCCTGGCACGGGTCCTCGTCGAAGCAGAAGTCTGAGATGCTAGCCGCCCAGACGTCCGATGGGGACCTTAGAGTATGGAGTATACCCAAAATCCCCCACGGTGGCGACTCACCCTGCGTGATACGCATCCTCAACAAATCGGAGCAAAGAGAACCCGGCCCCTGCTGGTTCGCTTGGTCGAAGAACGGGCGGATCGTCCAATACACCGAAGGGTACGTATTCTAGATGCTCTCACGCCCGGCTTCCCTGCATAAGGCCCGCGCCCGGCGCTTAACTCCAACATGCTGACGCCTCACTACCAATAGTCAAACTTGCGCATGGGATGTGCGCACCAAAAGGGTATCGTATGAGAGTGTGCCCACCACGGACAATGTCGCCGCCATCTGCAACTACGGCCCCACCGCCACTCTCTTCACCATGACCCGCAACTATGGCGTCCAGCAATACGATCTGAACCCTAGCGGCGCCCCGACGCTGGTTGCTAACATACTACATCCTCCTACTAACACGCCTCCGTCCCCTCCTCACTCTCTGGACGAGAAGAAGAAGAAGAAGGGAGACACTCCACTTACTGCGCAACCCGCAAGATCAGGTGGGCAAGTGGTAGTCGGATCCGAAAGCAGTGAAGGGGAGGGTGTCTCCGTCCTCTCTCCGCTGCAGAAAATTGCGCAAGAGATGGACCAGCTCGAAGATGAACGCAGGGATCGCGTCGGCCCCCTGAGTCCAGTCTCAAGCCGAGGCTCTGCAAGCTCACGGTCGTCCGGGAGTGGAAGGGCACCACGCTATCGCTATGATAAGCCGTCACTAACCCGGTCATCCAAGAGCTCAGGAGGTAGCGGTACTGTATTCTCCTCCGGCACCTCTTCATTCCTTGGCAACACCCGCGAGAGTATCTCCATTCGCTCCACCTCCTCAACGAGCTCCTCTCGCTTTGGCTCAGCTCTGCGTAAGGAAGTACTCCGAAGTCCAGATGAGTCGGATCGCACAAAGAACATGGACCTATTCCCGTTCACCAAGGCCAGGCTCAGCGATGTTCCATACCGAAACCCACAGCTCGGCTCCGAGCGAAGTCCAGACGATCTTAGGCAGAACATGCTTCGCGTCGTATTTGGATGGGAGAATGACATTGAAGAACTGGTTCGTGATGAGTGTAAGCCTGCTCCGCCTACGCAATAAGATCTCCGCTAACTCTCCTAGTGGCGCGCCACCCTCCAGGGTCCGCGGCAGCAGTTCTCCTTTCGAAGTGGCTCGGTGAAGTGGGTGCCGACCTGATGGCATCTCTAGTCGGCTCCGAGTCGATGACTTCCTCCGACTGGATGTTGCTCGCCTTAACCAACTTAGGCTCAGGGACGTCACAGAAGAAGGTGGGTGAAACCTTCGTCCAGCGCCTTCTCGAAAAGGGCGACGTTCATCCTGCTGCTGCAATCCTCCTCGGACTTGGAGAGCACAATGACGCCATTGAGGTTTATGTCTCGCGCAAGTATTACATGGAGGCCATCTTGCTCACATGCCTAATGTTCCCGACCGACTGGCAGAGGCAGTCTTTCCTTGTCAGGAAGTGGGGCGAGGCCGCCGTCTCCCATGGCAAAGCTGAGCTCGCTGTCAAGTGCTTCTCCTGCATGGGTCTCGAATCATCAGAGCCCTGGTTCTCCCCGCGGGCTCAGGATGCCGTCTTTTCCGCGCAAAAGCAGCACCTGCTTGGTTCACAGGTCAGCCCTCCAGTATCCCCACCAGGTGGTCAGAGCAGGATCACGGCCAAAATGTCCTCTCTCAAGCTCGTCACCGACTTTGGTGCCGGACCTAGACCTCAACAGATGATTCCCGAAGAGGACGAGCAGACTCCAATGAATGTCGGCGTAACCCCCATCGCAGAGTCTGCAATCAGCCCCGCCGTCGGCAAGAGCCCGTGGCTCTCGGCCGGTGTGAGATCTGCCCGGGATGGTTCCCGAGAGCCATCTTCGGCGCGAACAGCGACACCAGGATCATACAAACGCAGACGTATGCCGTCACGGTCGGATGGTGAACGCTCTACAACGAACAATGAGAATCTCGCTTCTCTGGCAGTGCCTGATCGTGGTCAACGTGGCGAGCCGGTTCCGAAAACCGCAGTCGACAACGTTGGTCGCGAGGCGGAGACTCTTCCCTTCTCTACGCGTCGAGCAACGTCCGCCGGCGGCCAGAAAGACATCATTCTCACTGCCGCTACTTATGATCCCAATAAATCCGCAGAGCATCTACCCTCTCCCGCTGCAGGCGTTTTCGATTCGCTCTTGGAGAAGGAGGCGGAGTCACGCAACAGCTCTCGCAGCCGCAACCGACAGGAGCTCCAGCTTCAGGTAAATGAGGCCGTCATTGAGCAAGGCCCAGACACTGGATTTAGCAGCAACCTCAGCCCACCGTTGACTGGGGCCAGCGTCAAGAGCGCCAAGGCTCGCAGCATTGATCAGTACATCAGCAGCCTTGAGGAAGCCAACTACTATGCCCGCAAGCGCGCCGACTCCAGGAACGAACCCAGGCCAGGCTCGCGAACTGAGCCCCGTCCAGATAACAAATCGACAAGGACGCGCAGCCGCACTCGTGATCCATCTGCAGAGTCTCGTGGGCGCTCAGGTGCTCGCTACATCCGTCCGGCCAAACGCTCCCCATCGTCCCCCGTCCCGATGTCTCCTGAAGATGCCGGAATCTATCCGCGGACGAGCAAGGAAGCGGCCACTAACACGGAGCACTTTGACGACGAAAGATACTACAAGGTCGGCGTCGCTTCCCCAGTCGCGACAGAATCAGTAGGAAGTAGTCGGACAAATCGAAGCCGTGCGAAGGCCGGTATGAACAAGCCTAGGTCTTCATCGAAAACAGCCCGTCGTCCAGAGTCACCAGAGGCTGTCTCACGTGCCCGAAGCAGAGGCGCTAGTCGAGCATCCAGCCGTCGCCAGGCCGAGGATCGGGGTCGAAGCACTACACGCGATGAAAACTCTGCCAGACGCTCTCCCGGATCCCCAAAGCCAATGTTCCTTGAGGAGGCTGTCATTGAAGAGAACTACGAGCCCATCCGTCCCCGTCAACGAAGCAGCAGCCGCCGAGCCGGTGACCGAGGCACCAGTGCTAGGCGAGAACAATCCCCTGATCGCCGACAGCCACGTGACCGCTCCATTAGCCGCAAGGCTGCAGGTGCGCTGCGGGAGTCGAGTCGCTCGCGCGTCAACTTGCGGGAGGCTTCACCAGAGCGCTTACCGGAGCGGGTTCCAGAGAATCGACCTGAGTCCCGACAGTCTAATATCTCAGGGCGGTCCGGCCATCTCTCGCGGCCCACTACATTGTCCAGGAAGGAACTGGCAGCCAAAGAGCTAGAAGAGAGAAGACTATCTCTGGCTCGACGACCTTCGGCTCCTGTCATCCCCCATCCTGGAGAATTGGCCCATCGTCCCGTGGCCGAGCGATCCCACACCGACGGCCTTGAGCTCATCACCATGCACCGTGATCCCGTCCAGCGGAGCCAAACTGCAGACCCGGAGATCTCAAAGAAGTACTCACCCACGAATAGGATACCTGTAGGCGCTACCTCGACTAGCTCAGTCCCAATAGGTCTACCCGCCACTCCTCGAGCCATGCGTCATCCTCGGTACATGAGTGCAGATCCCAACGAAAGGGAGGGTATTCCGGCCGTTCCGACGATACCGGACAATCTGATCATGTTAGAGACGCAACAAGTCGCTCAGGCTGACGGTCCACTGCTACCAGCAACTACCTTCGGTCAAGCCCCTCCGGCTCGCTCCGCCTCAGCTCCCCCAGAAGACGTATCGCCAGTGAATATCGCTCCACGGATTTCGCCCACCTTGCCTCAGCCAACAAGGCGTGGGTCTCTCGGCGGCAATCGAGGCCACTTGAGGATGAATACCTCTCCGGATCTTTCGGTGGGACCAGACCACAAGCGAGTCAGCCCTCCTCCCATCACAGCTAGCATCGATGAAACCATTCACGAGAACCAAGTTGTCATCCTCGAGCAAGACCCTAACGCTCCTACACTTGTCGCCGAGCTCCAGCATTTGGCTACCCCGCCGCCTCCTCCTCCTGCCCCGGCTTCCTCAAACCCAAACAGCCCCAAAAGTAGTGTTGGCCTCATCAACATCGCCATTGAAGAGAAGCCTCAAGATGCCGCGTCACCCGTTGCTGGCCCTTCGGCAACAAGCTCACCCATCAACACCCATCGCCGTGGCCGCGGTAGTGTGAGTGAGAATATTGGCATGACATTCAAGAGAGTCACAGAGCGAATGCGCAGCACCAGTCGCTCACGGAACAAGTCTCCTCCTGTCCAGGCTGGACCATCACCTTATGAGAGTGTGCCGGAATTCACATTCCCGCGAAGCGCGAGTGCCAGATCCCCGGTTGACAATCGAGGCACCGAATATTTGGGCAAACTCTCTCCCCCTCCCCCGCCTCCAACTCAGCCAATGGAGCAAGCCATCTCTCCTATCGATGAGCTGAGGAACTCCCAATTCCAGGGCTATCGTCATCCGAAAGAGATCCGAGCCAATATGCCGCCACAACAATTGCAGCCAGGCGTGTACCATGAGACTCCCATGATCTAGGCCACTGGTTCGACCTTCCGTTCATTATTGCGCACATTTCCCTCCACGGCCCCTAAATCACTTCATTACGTATACTCACCGAGACGACCTTAACGACCATTCGATCATACCTTCAAAACCATCCTTCATATACCTCATTGCCATCACCAGCGTATTGCATTGTTATCATTTTGTCAGTATCATTAGCGGGTTGTCATCATCATTTGTTGTGTCTTGGAAGCGTTTTCATTCTTGACAAAGACTTGGATTGGAAACCGTCTTCCATGCGCTTCGCGGCGGAAATGTCGATACCCTTCTCTCTTCTGTTCTTCCCTTCCTCGACCTCCTCCGAACACGCGACGGGGATGGCTTGGAGCAAGTGGGTGCCTTATTGCACGTTATTTCGCATTTTTTTGGTCGCTTTGCATTTTGTGCTTCTGCGTTGTCTGTATTTATTCGCTTCGAAGCATTGCAATTCTTGTGCATATGGCGGTTTGGAGAAAGAGCTGAAGGAATCTGGAAGAGTCCCATTGGTCGCAAAGCCAATCAGACTGTAGCATGAGAAGGTGAGAGAGGTGAGGAGGTGACAGGAGGATGCGCCAGAAGACTTACGAGTAGGATGATGGAGGACCGGAAGGAAGAGCTAGGAGACCTTCGCTTCGAAATAATGTACAGTTTTGCCGTTCAGCTTCTTTCTTCCTAGATGCTCTCTCTGTTGGTGTGTTGTTCTGGACGGCTGCCGCTCCTTTCATCAATCACCGGCCTCCTCTCCTTGCTCGCCACTCCCAAAGCAACAAGTTCAAAGCTCTCCTCAACTTTAGCGGCATTTGCGGGATATAAACATGGACCTTGCACCTTCTATACCAAAGACAAGCGCCTCGCGGCAAAAAGTTTCTTTCTATCCTTACTCTACTCTACGGTTTACTTCGTTTCCCTCCTTCATTACCTTTGGTGACACCGGGGCTTTGAGTGAGAAGGAAAGCATTGGGTAATGTAATTAGGATAGGAAATGGATTCGCTCCCTACCAGCCTTGCTTGGACTGCCCGTGCCTTATTTGCTGATAGCGTTATGTACTCGAAAGGGAGTACTAAAGTCACCCTGCAGGAAGTCCCATCTTTATTCCCGTCGATCGATGAAGGATATCGCTTTGAATACTGGGCCAGTCCGATCGCTCGCGAACGCCCTCTTTTCCGAAGGACTGCCACGGTTGCACGGAAATGGAAGTTGCCTCCATGTACACCATTATTTCGCCACATAGGCGCACAAACATCTAGACTCCAGGCCGCGATATCTTATCATAGCTCACGTGGTGGGTCTAGCTCCGTCGTGACATGTGATTGGTCAAGTGGTGTTGCTCAACCACGGAAATTTCCCCCTCCCCTAAGGACTCACTCGCCCTCTCCTCTCAACAGCAGTCGCGTCATCAGGCATGACATGCTTCAAGTCGCCTCCGGGAGCCGTGCACGTTCCGCTTGCTTCGTTTATTCTTCACAGTCGTCGGCAGGTCCCACTCAATGCGCAATCGTCCGCCGCTACCGACCGTTGGCAAGGCTGCAACTTCACGGGCCTCTTCACGAGCAGCAGTCACGCCCGGCGCTACCAAACAACGGTAGAACTGGTCCCCACATGTGAACCATGCTTCACAGCACGAGGCCTTGCTGCCTTCACAGCATCCGCAGCCGGAGCCCCATTGTGATCCGGGACATCATGGTGCTCGGGGATTGGCTAGATCTCCATCATGGTATTCACAGCATCTATATCAGTAGAGTACATTCGCGCCTCTCCCGCTTGCACAAATCTGTCATCGAATCTCCGCATAGAGGCAACAGCACAGCTCGTTCCGCATTTCTCAGTGGGGGCTGGTCAGAGCGGCAGCAGCAGGTACCAGGACATACATAAAGTGCGTCCTAGAGCGCACCTGCTGAACCATCTCTCAGCTCTCCCAGGCTTCGACTTTACCTCCGACTTCCCTTGCTTCTTTTTCCTCCACATCATCCTACGGAATACTTAATGCGCTCAGCATGACTAGCCACAGATCCAAGCTCATCTGTCCATCGTTCCCCCCAGAACTCGTCCTAGAGGCCATACAGCACCTGTCGTTTGGCGACGGCAAGATAATCGCCAGCCTCGCTCAGACCCATTCCCGGATCCGGTCCCTGCTCAAGGCCTACGAACGCTCGATCACTAGGAACTTCGTGCGCAAGGAGTTGGTGCATGCGCCTACGGATTTCCCGTGCGATGAAGATAAGAGAGGGTATGCGTGGCTTGCGGATTGCATTCAGAGGTACGACACTGTCGACGATGTTATGGCGATTTTGGTCTCGAATCTGAACTGCTATGCGGTTGAGAAGCATAACATGGCGCTGGTCAATACTGGGTTGCTGTTGCTGTATCGGCTTGTTGGCATTGGTAAGTGCCCTAAAGCACTTCAGCTCTCGTTTTCTCAAGTCTAACGCGACGCCAGAGTCCTACTCGTCAAAGCTTAGCTTCCTCAAATCGCTTCCTCGGGATCCGCTAACGGTTGTCTATCTGGCGATCAACTACTCAACGCTTACAGCGCGGTACCACGGACAAGGCTTGATCCACCAGCGTACCTATGGCAGATTCATGGACGTTAACACGCTATCGCTCCGTTCAGACATTGAGTTCTGCTTCGGCGAAGGCGCACTTAACCTCGGTCCTTCCTTCATTTCAGACGTACTCTTGAACTCTGAACACGCCGAGGCCATGCTCTTAAATTTCTACCACGACCACGCGATCCGCGACTGGGACATCTCAAATTGGATAGAAGGAGATTTCAAGCCGCCGCTTACACAAGGTCCGGAGCGGGGTCCGGCGATGGCTCAGCGGAGCCTATTTACGACACTTTTAGAAAGGTTGGCTGAGCTGGCGGAGTGTCCGCTGGAGGAGATTAGAGGAAGGATTGAGGAGGATGTCGAGGTCTCAGATCATTCGCTCGCGTGGTTAGATCTGAAGGGGAAGGCAAGGTTGATCCAGGGCTCGGATCTGGAGTATGTGGACGAGTGATCGCGCCCTGCCACTGGGAGTCGCCTTGCCTTTTGTTATGAAGACTTCGATATAGGAGAACAAGAGCTATGCAAGAGCGGCGTTTATGGGAGCTGATCTGGGCTGGGATGGGAGGATGCATCTATGAGTCTTGGATCTGGAGGCGTCTTTTGTTAGAAGGTCGAGCTGCTGGCTAGCAGTTTAGCTTCTGGTAGAAAGGGTTTATTCATTCACTTGCTTTCAGCTTACTAAATTGTTTCAATCGATCTCCGGATATACATCCGTTCGCCTTAGAAGCGGCACCTCTCTCCTAACCTTCTCGAGATACTCCATGTCCACCTCGGCAACCGCGATTTCGCCTGTGATCGTAGCGTGATTCATTAGCAGGTATCCTGAAAAAGAGAACGATCAAACCTTTCTAAGCCTTCAGGATTGGTCTTCCAAACCTAAAAAGCAAATCATGCCGCGATGTGCACGACACATACGTACCTACGTCCAATCCCCTCCCCTTCTCATCCTCCTCCCCGCTCAACTCCGCAACCACCTTCCCCCACGGGTCTACTATCACACTATGCCCGTAGCTCCTTCTCGTCTTCTCTTCATTATGAAACCCAACTTGCGCGGCCGCTATCACATAGCTCTGCGTCTCGATAGCCCGCGCCCGGAGTAATGTCTCCCAATGAGCTTTTCCCGTGGGCACTGTGAAGGCGGAAGGATAGGTCAGGATCTGGGCGCCGCGGTGGCGGAGGGCAAGGCTGGGCTCGGGGAAGCGCAGGTCGAAGCAGATCAGGAGGCCAATGCTGCCCAGCGGCGTATCAAAAGGATCTTCGATGCGCGGGCCTTTTTCAACAGAGTTGCTTTCCTTGAGGATGGGCCCGTCGCGGATTTCGACGTCGAAGAGGTGCAGCTTTTGGTAGCGTTGGGTGATGTTTCCTTGCTCGTCGATCCACAGCAGCGTGTTCTTGACTTTCTTCCCGCCTTCGGCTGGCTCGTGCACTCCGACGTTGAGCGGGAGCTGGTACTTTGCTGCTTCCTTTTGCAGGCCGAGGACGAATTCTGAGTCTTGGGCTGGCTTGCAGAGAGAGACGGTTGCGGCGGCGTTGGAGGCTATGTAGTCGGAGGCTTCGGGGAGGAAGAGGGCCTTTGCGCCGGCAGCGGAGGCTTTTTGGATGAGCGAGCGGCATTGGGTGAGGTTGTGGGTCATGGAGGAGGTGGAGCATATTTGGCCGACTGCCTAGGTAGGAACTGTTAGGAATTGAAATGGGAAGGGCGAAACAGAGTAGGGAGTACGTATTAAGAACGAAAGAGTTTGCATCAGCTAGTGCTTGGACTTGCAGCATTGGACGGTATCGGAGATGGGGTATGACTTCTGTTACCGAATCGCAACTAGGAAGCGAGGACAAGAAGAAGCTCGCGATATAAGGAGATATGAAACATATCTTATCAACATGTACCATGAATACGGGGAGACCCAAGCCATATCGAGAGACTCCGGAGGTCCTTTGAGATAGCGATAGAATCACTGGATGAGAAAGGAAAGCTGCGGTATCATCTTACTGCGATAGGCATCCTGAAAGTCCTCATGTACTCAAGTTGAAGTTCTTAAATAGCGAAATATAGGTTGAAGATGATGGTATGCGAGCCCTCGAGATGATGTCGTGCGAGACGGACTAACCCAATAGGGTAAGCCTAGTGGCATGGGAGACCTCGTCGGGGAATGGTGGTGCTCTTTGTCCCTTGCATTACTGAGTACTGTACGATAATCTTCGAACTCTATAGAATGCCTAGACACCCTTTCTATATAAGCCACATACCTGAGCGCTAGACGCCCTGCTCGTCGCTGCAAACGATCACGCTTGCTTGCGTCAGTACACGCGGGTCCGAAGGCACGGGCGCTAACATTGTTTCAACCTGGCACTGCACCATCAACACTCAAGACGCCAGCGCGGCTGCGACTCGCACGAATCTGCTTGCTCAACGTCCCGCGTATCCAGGCACGCCAATTCCAGCCCAAGAGATTCCCGAGGTCTCAGAAAATCCCGATTACGTACGCGTTGCAGCCGTCCCGCGATCACCTTACGAGTCCGAATCCCCGCGGCAGCCTTAATGCGAGGTACGACCTCAGCATTCACCAATCTGGCCTTTTGCACGCCCGAGCCATGAACCGCCTCAGACGGAAGACGACAGCTCGGTGATCGCTAGTAACCCTCTAAAATATCTGCGACCGTCGAGGAGAAACGTCCAGACGACGGAAACATGAGCGGGCAACGGAAGGGAGGATGGGGCTCATTCCTGGGCACCGCCGTTGCCGGCCTGGAGTCGCGGCTGGATACTATACTGGCGGACGATGACCAGGCGAGCGCGAGGGCGAGAGCTGCTGAGGCGGCGGCTAAGCAGGAGGCTGCTGAGAAGGCGGCGGCGGCGGAGAAGCGGAGGTTACAGGTCGACCAAGGTGGGTTACAGAGCTCCCTTCTTGAAAGCTGCCACATATCAGGCGGTGATGGCCGCATTGGAAAGCAAGCTGATGGCGCAGGCGTTTCGCGAAGCTCGTCACGAAGCAGGCCCAGCTCGAGGTTACAGGACCGACTGGCAAAGGCCGTGAACAAGGGAAAAGACGGAGAGTCAAGACCATCGTCTGAGATTGGGTCTCGCCCGGAGAGCCCAGCATTGAAGAGCCCAGGAATAGTCTCCGACGCCGGAAGATCAAGTTTTGATTCGAAGGTATCGGAGCGGGTCACGGAGGGTGCTCTCGTTGGTGAAAATGAGACTCCCGATAATGAGGAAACAAAAGTTGATCCTTCACCGCGACTCTCCGCTGAAGCGCCGCTATCATCGCCGCCGCCTTCGTCCATCGTATCCGAACAACCGCTTTCAACGACGTTACCTACAATGTCTATACCCACAATTCTCACGCCTCAGACTTCTTCTCCGCGCCAATCGCTAGATAGCATTCGGTCGCGCCCCTCCGTCGAGATCTCCACTCCTGCAGAGCCCGAGACAACTCGAGACGCCGAGGTCCTTGCAGCCGAGCTATCCACTCTTGAGAAAACACACGAGGAGACACTCCGCGAACATCGCGAGGAGCTGAACTCTCACCTCGAGCGCATCGATGCCTTGCAATCTAAGCTTACATACCTCTCCCAGCAGCTCGCGTCCTCCGCCAAAGCCGCCTCGTCGGGGGCGGAAGCCACCCCGGCAGACAAGAAGCTGGCAGAGAAGGATGCGCAGATTGCGGCACTCATGGAAGAAGGCCAAAAGCTTTCGAAGACGGAGATGAAGCACCTGGGGACTATAAAGAAGATGCGGACAAAGGCCCAGGAGACAGACAAGGAGATTGACACGCTCAAACTGCGGTTATCCAAGGCGGAGAAGTCAATAAGAGAGCAGACGGACAGGGCAAAGCGTGCTGAAGCTTCCGAAAAGGCCGCACAGGAGAAGCTCAAGGTTGTTGCAAGGATTGAAAAAGACATTGAGCTCATTAGGGAAGAGCGTGAAGAGGCTGGGCTTACAATAGCGGAGCTCCGGAGGCAACTCAATGATGCGCTTACTAGAGCTGAGGATGCCGAGAAGAGAGTGCAAGCTGGAGCGCTAGAAGCTGAAAAGCGAGTCACCGCATCGCTGAAGGAAGACATGGAGAATATGCGGATAGAGAAGAAGCTCGTCGAAGACCGTGCGAAGCGAGAGCTACAAGAGGCTAAAGAGGAGGCTAAAAGGCAGCAAGAGAGGGCAAAAGTCGCCGAGCTTGAACTTCGCGGCGAGATTGCTGTAATACTTTTCAATCGCTTTTCTCGCTGTACCCAAGCTAACGCAGAAGTCAGAATCTCGAGAGCAAACTTGAGCTCCTCCGCAGCCGCTCCGAGGAAGTCTCATCGTCAGCAACCGGCGACTCCCAAGCGAAGCTTCTCCGCCAAATCGAAACCCTGCAGACTCAATATGCTCTTGCTTCCGAGAACTGGCAAGGAATCGAGAGCACACTGACATCTCGTGTCGCAGCGCTTGAGAAGGATCGCGATGAGACGGCGAAGCGAGAGTCAGATATTCGTCGCAAGGCTAGGGAGGTGAACTTCAAAGCACGTCGGCTAGAGGATGAGCTTGAAAGCATCAACGATCGAGCGCGAACCCTCGAGCAAGACCTTACCGAACAACGCGCGTCAGCGCAGAAGCTGCAGGCCCGCCTAACGCAAGCAGAAAGTGCTGCGCAAGACGCACGCGCAGACCTGGAACGGGAGAAGAAAGTCTGGGAAGCAGACTTCCAACAGCGTCTTGATGAAGAGAAGCAGAAATGGAGAGCTGAATTGCACTCCCATACCCTCCTGTCTGATGCAAACCACCTCCGCACCGACTCCCCGTCAGCGCCGAATCGCAGACACTCGCCTGACCCCCTCGGTATCCACAACCGGCGGGGTATGCCGCGCTCTATTTCCCAAGGCATAGAGATGCCCCTCTCGCCCATGGACCGCATGCTCGACGAAGCCCGCCGGCCGTCCAGCTCGCGCCAGAAATCCGTCCCGACTACTCGAACGCCTGAAATTGGCACGCCGCAGCGTCAAGACTCATTTCCCTCGATGTCCTCGAACCTCAACGGTGCCAGCGCATCTAATACGCCTTCTATCCACGCTCCCGATTATGACGACGCACTTGAGCATACTTCATCCCCGCGTGCGACGATCAACGACATGATCTCTGTCTCCACCGTCGGTGCAGGCCCCTCGGTCCAGCTCGTTGAGCGCATGAGCGCTGCTGTCCGTCGTCTCGAATCCGAGAAAGCCACTTCGAAGGAGGAAATGGCCCGCCTTATCGCCCAACGCGACGAGGCGCGCGAAGAAGTCGTCGCTTTGATGCGAGAAGTTGAGGAAAAGCGCGCCCAGGACGAAAGGGTAGACAAGCTAGAAAAGGAGCTCAGGGAAATGGACGAGCGGTATCAGACCACTCTGGAGATGCTCGGCGAGAAGAGCGAGAGGGTTGACGAGCTGGAGAGCGATGTTGCGGACTTGAAGAAGATTTATCGCGATTTGGTGGAGACGATGAAGTAAACATAGCTTCGTCTGTGCTTGGAGTTTGGACCCATTCTCTCCCTTGTCGGAGTTGACTGGTTGACTGGTTGAAAGCATTTTACGGGGTGTAGGGATGACAACGGCGGTCCGGGGTTTTTGGTGCCTGGTTTGGAGCTACATTTCTCCTTCGATTCTTGACTGGTCTGGCACCGACCGCCCTTTTCATGAACGTTTAGATATAGCGAAGTTGTAGTGTTATCCACTTCTTTTAACATGTTTAGATGTTGTACAGTACATTGCTCGTGTTGCTCGTTGCTCGTCTCTAAACATGCATGTTCTATGCCGCTGAACTCCAGGGTATCATGCATGTATGTATCATCGCCACCAGCTTTAACCGAGCGGCCCGAGCCCTGCGCTTTCACGCCTTCGAAACTTTGGGCTGTGGAGGTTCCTGTAGAAGCACGCAGATTGAATGCTCCTGCTCTTCATATGGCATAGCACATCTCCGCCATTTTACGTCTCTCAGACCGTATTGAGGGCCCTGATCTAGCACATGGTAGCGCCTATTGAGAACTATTCCAAATCTATCCCCTCTCTTTCCGCAGCTTGCAGGATGAACTTTTTCGTCTTGGCGTCGGGGGCCAGGTCGAGTGGTAACCTGCCCTCGTTGTCTTGTTTGTCGAAATCCGCGCCGCTTGTGAGGAGGAGCAGTGCAGCGTCGCCGTGGCCCTCGCACATGGCGTGGTGGAGCGCGGTCATGCCGTCGATATCGGTTGCGTTGAGGGGAGATTTGGCGTCGAGCAAGGCCTTGATCATGGGTACCGAGCCCACGGCTGCGGCGCGGTGGAGGGGAAGCTGTCCGCGCCGGTCTTTTATCCGCGCCGACGCCGGGGGTTTCTGTGCAAGCAGGGTCCGGGCGATGTCGAGGTTCGCTTTTGAGGCGCAGAAGTGTAGGGCGGTTTGTCCGTTGTTGTTCTTCGCGTTTACGTCCGCGTCCTTTGATAACAGGAGATCGACTATTGCCTCTGCATCTTTTCTTGAACATGCCATCATTAGTGGGGTCCAGCCCGAGCCGTCCGTTACATCGGGGTCGAAGTGTTTGGTTTGCACGAGCAGTTGCACTATGGGCAGGTGGTTGTAGGATACGGCCCAGTGGATGGGGAGGCGGTCGTCGTCATCGCGGAGGGAGGCGAGCTTCGGGTTGGCATTGAGGAGAGATTCGACTTTTGCAGCTGTAAGTGGAGTTAGTCGAGATGGTGGGTGAGGCGGGGGATGGGCTTACTTTGGCCTTCGCGGCTGGCTTCGTGGATTGCGAATTTGGAGGCGCGGTCCTCCATGATAGTGTATCTGGATTGCGGATACAGTCTGGATAGTGGGCTGGAGGAAGCTTGGAGCTGTGATGAGGAGGACCACCCCGCGATCGTCCTCCGAGGTCTGCATCGACATCATATGAATTATTCTGCCAGGCGGTGAACTAACTAGGTACAGGGATGGATTATGTAAGCGCAAGGTCCAAGGTACTGCCGCAGACGGAGCTTCCAACCCTCTGACATTCAATCGTATTCCGACCCTCTCCATGAAACCCATGAATGGGATTCGCTGTGCAAGGCGACTTGGTTCGTTGACTGAGCTACGTTGCGCACCGTTGAGCTGGGGTATGCTGTGGACCACCGGAATACAGAACTATTGTGGGAGACACTGTATCTAACTTGACAGGGGCTGCATGTCGCTGGAAAGATGAGCACTGGATCTATGTTTCAATTCCTAGTATGTGACAGCTCACATTTTCTTCTCGTCTGAGCTAAGATAAGACTTTCTCAAGCACGTTCCCGTCTCTCCTGCACCATCGTTTGCTGTCTTGCCGGCCGCATGTGCTGTGAAACACCGAGATGGTCCAGAACATCGTGGTTCCCAAGATAATCGACCATGATATTTTCCGGTGAGAAGAAGGCGACCTACGGCTTTCGAGAGTGGAGGAAGCAGCAGGCGACCAATCATGCTTGCGTTGACCCGTAGCTTGGAAAAGCGTATCGGAAGGTCGCCCAGTCGGTCCTTGTGCGTCCATTCGTGGTTGCCGTGCATTCGTCCTTGAGTGGCGCATGCGAAGCGCTGCTGTTCCCCACTCAATCCATGAGGGTCTGACTTTGTCACCTTCTGGTCTTACCAGGAGGGCAAGCTGCATATGCGGCTTGCCCCTCTTTGAGACTGAAGGACGGAGAGCACTGACATTGCTGCCTGAGCATTTCGCGTGATGTCTCTGGGTCTAGGAGATTTTGATTTCCACCTATTTCCATACCTCAACCACTACTGTGAACCTTTTCGGCATCCGCTATCCTGACTACCCTCAGTATCTTGCGCGGTGATCTCTTTCCAATTGCTCATCAGCACGACGAGATACAGACATGGCAGAGCCCAGGGGCGGCGGCCGTGGTGGCATCCGCAGCTACAGAGCTCCTGGACGGGGCTATGGAAGGGGAGGAAATAGTTCTGCAAGAGGAGGTCCGAATCGACCCATCTGTCGCTACTTTCGAGACCAGGGGACATGTAGGTTTGGTGAGGGATGCAGGTATTCTCATGATCTAGGGTCGGCCGGCAACGGGAACAGCCATTCAACCCAGCGAGCTACGAGGGTCGACGAAACTATCGAACAACAGCTGGCAAGATTCAGTTACAATACTTGGAGAAGCCTCATCAGAGATCCGCCTCATGCAAATGATACGTATACCATGCTGCGCCTTTGGGAAGGAGCACTCGACATCTTGAACGCAGATGATCGAGACTGGAAACAGACTCTTCCGCAAGACCTGGACGATGACGAAAAGTATCAAGGCCGGCGCCATATCCGGGCTCTTTTGGACATGCGGGCCCAAACTGGACAACTCGAGACCTTCACCCGTATCTCTCGATACTTCCTTCTGGTTATTACGCATCCCGCCTTGCTAGACTGTCTCTCGGTCGATACATACGTTGGTGCACTATACAATTTCATATGCGGTGCCAATGGCACCCGTGCGGTTCCGTTCTTCCAGCATCTTTGCGAAGTGTTGGTAGCTGTTTGGACGGCAACTTCTCGTCAAACGTCGACCGCATCCACCGACTCAACCCTTATTGCGATGTCCACAGCCCTCTGCGAGTTGCTCAGACGTGAGCCGAGGACCAGATTCAACGACGATCTCCCGGATCTAGTCAACTCGCTAGAAACCGCGGCGCAGCTGATGACAGAGGGAGACTCATCCATCACCTCGCACATCGTCAACACTCATGTTGGAGAGCTTCGCGCAATGATAGCTCGAGCGCAAGGACTGCTCTCTGATAACTCCAATGAACCGCCTGCTGGCCACTCCAATCAGACTACAGCGTCCACGTACCCCCGTGGTATCATCATACCGAGTAACCGCCATGACAATGACAAAGTCGACATTACGGAATTCACCATCTTCCCGACTCGAGCGGAAATCATGAGCGACGTACAAGAATTCATTCCCTCCATGGATCCCGATCAGCCACACTTCCTCACCGATAAGGCGGAGCGACATATCGACACCTGCTTTCGTCTGCTTCGTCATGACACTTTCGGCAAGCTAAAAGAGGCCCTCGCAGACCTGTTGGACGCTATCACGAAAGACCCTGCTTCGCTCAGCAATCCCAAGGTTGACTTCGGAGATATGCGCGCTTACCCTTACTCGAACGCGTTCGTCAGTTACGTAACGTTCAACAGCCGGGGCGGTTTACAAGCGCAAATTTCCTTCCTTCAGCCCTACTCAATCCGCAAGAAGTCAGCCGCAGAGAGACGTAGATGGTGGGACGAGTCGAGACGATTGGATGACGGAGTGCTGCTCTCCTTCATCTGGATCCAGAACTCAGTGGTCCATCACTTGTTCTTAACAGTCTTGGAGAAGAACACAGACAAGGCGAAAGAGAGCAGTCTATCCGGCGACGCCAATATGGCAACTGTCACCGTGAAGATTTTGAACCAGGATCAGCCGAACGTGGAGGCCTTCATAGAGCTAAGCTGCCAGAAAACTCGAGGCGTCCTCGTCGAATATCCACGTGTGCTGCCAGCAACGTTCGTGCCTGTCCTGGAGAACCTCCAGCACATGCAACGTTTGAGCCGGCTACCCTTTCGCCAATGGATCCTCCCGGACAGAGTCGACATACGGCCCGGCTTCAAAGCTTACCACGATATCCCTCCGCCATTGTATGCTCGGAGCGCAGGATTCGCTTTTCCTTTGAAGTCTATCCTCAAGAACGACAGTGACGCCCTCTACGTTCAACCAGGTTCTTCGACCGACGATAAGTCTCTCATCGATGAAATGGAGGCAAAGACAGCGCTTGATCGCGGACAATGTCAAGCGTTAGTGGCGGCACTTACCCGCGAATTTGCATTCATCCAAGGCCCCCCCGGGACAGGAAAGTCGTATCTTGGCATCCAGCTGATGAAAGTGCTCATGGGCATCAAGAGCAAAGCAAAGCTTGGTCCGATTGTTGTAGTGTAAGTACTGTGACTCGTAGTGTGCACACATCCAGTGCAAGGGCTGTTAGCCCCCTGGTATTGCCCGTTACTGGGCAATACTGTATCGCCAACTGGGCCTTGCTAATAGTTGAACAGATGCTACACCAATCATGCCTTAGACCAATTCCTAGAACACCTTTTAATCATCGGTCTCCAAAAGGTCATCCGCATAGGCGGTCAAAGCCGCTCTGAAATGCTTGAAGACCACAACCTCCGGAAGATTACCCAGTCCGAGATGAAGACTAGGTCCGAGGGGACACAAGCCGCAATTGCGTATAAAAAGCTGGAAGCCCTTGAAGGGTCTATCAAATCTATCCTTGGTCGATTGCATGGAGTGCGAAAGCGTGCAGAGTGGAAGAATTTCGAGTACTTCCTTCGTCGAAAATACCCCAGGATTCATGCACAATTCAGACAGAACGACGAAGAGGGCTTCACTCTTGTGGGACGTCATCCTTTTGATGTGTGGAGAGCAGTCGATCCAGCGCACAAGCCTTCTTGGAGATCACCTCAGGCGTCTCAGGCAACGACGGATCCGGTCAACCTCATTCGGGAAGCAGCAGCAGACATTCACTCTCTTTCCTCTGTGGAGAGACAAGCCCTTGTGGACCTATGGACACAGGAGCTTCAGAGCGATGCGAAGAGGGAATTGTTCGAGACTGTGAAAGACGCTGACACCACTCAACGGCACCTGGCAAATGTCCACGAGGAGCTCAATCGGCGAGTGTTACAAGAAGCTGACGTTATTGGCCTCACGACAACTGGCCTCGCAAAGAACATCATGACTCTTCAGCATGTGCGATGCAAGGTAGTCATATGCGAAGAGGCCGGTGAAGTCATGGAACCGCACATGATTTCGGCACTGCTACCAACCGTGGAACATTGCATTCAAATTGGAGATCATGAGCAGCTTCGGCCCTCTATTACTAACTACAAAGACCTGTCGCTTGAGAGCAAGCGAGGCCTCTTGTATCAATTGGACCGAAGCCAATTCGAACGGCTTTCGGTTGGTGAGCGTGGAAGACCTTTGATGCCCATCGCTCAATTAAATGTCCAACGACGCATGCGGCCCGAGATATCGATCCTAATACGAGAGACAATCTACGACAAGCTCGTGGATCATCCGTGCACGACACTACATCCGAATGTCGTTGGCATGCGGAACAATGTCTTCTGGCTTGATCACGACTACGTCGAGGACCAAAAACAAGCAGAAGTACACCACCAAAAATCGCAATCCAATGCATGGGAGGTCCAAATGGTTCATGCATTGGTGCGTCATGTGGTGCGTCAAGGCATCTACGCTAGCAACGACATTGCTGTATTGACCCCATACACCGGTCAGTTGCAGAAGCTTCGTACGGTCTTGCGTAACGACTTTGAGGTCGTTCTCAGTGAACGTGATGAAGACGCCCTGGCCAAAGATGGGTTTACCTCTACTGGGCCTTCGTCCGAGGATGAGGGGCCCGGTCCTCAGCAAGACAATAAGAGAGTCGCCCTGGAAAAGAAGAAACTGAGTGATCTGCTACGTGTGGCGACGGTGGACAATTTCCAAGGCGAGGAAGCTAAGATCGTCATCGTTTCGTTGGTCCGCAGCAACGAGGAAAAGAAAGTCGGGTTCCTAAAGACCACTAACCGCATCAACGTTCTGCTGAGCCGAGCTCAGCACGGCATGTTCCTCATCGGCAACACGGAAACGTATTCCAACATCCCTATGTGGCAGAAGGTCATCGACATGCTTCGTGCTACGGATTCCGTCGGCACTTCCTTAGGTCTCTGCTGTCCCCGCCATATGGATACTGTTATCCAAGTCCAACAACCAGAGGACTTCGCCAGATTCAGTCCAGAGGGCGGCTGTCGTGAGGCATGTCTCGATCGCCTTCCTGACTGTGGGCATCGATGTCAAGCAAGATGTCACTCGAAAGCTATGCACGATGTCTGGCAATGTGAGCAGCCTTGCCAACGCCAGCACCAGCCATGCAATCACGCCTGTCAGAAGCAAACCTGCGGCGAGGACTGCGGAAGATGCATGATTCTGGTGACCAACGTACGGCTTCCATGCGGACATATCAAGGACATTATTGCGTGTCACCTCACCCAAAATCTCGGCGGTATTCAATGCAATGCACTCGTCTACAAAACAGTCCCCAGTTGCAATCACATAATTCAAGTAAAATGCTCGCAGGATGTGACCGAGGAGCACTTCCGATGCTCGCAGCCTTGTGGATATATATTATCCTGCGGACATGCCTGCCCAGGCACCTGTGGAAGTTGCAATATCAAAGACGCCGATGGGAACACCACTGTGAGGCACTTACAGTGCCGTAAAATTTGCGGTAGGCGTTTCGGAACGTGCAATCACACCTGTCCCAAGCGTTGTCATAGTGGGTCCAGCTGCGGCCTTTGTCAAAAGCGTTGCGAGGTATGTCTAACCGATCCCTAGTCGTACATCATATTGACGGTTTTCAGGTACGCTGCAAGCACTCTAGATGTGACTCGAAGTGCCACGAAGCATGCACGCCCTGCGTTGAGTCATGTACGTGGTCTTGCCTGCACCATGGACAATGCACTATGCCTTGCTCCGCGCCGTGCAACCGGGTTCCATGCGACAAGAGATGCACCAAGCTGCTTCCCTGCGGTCACCAGTGTCCAGGACTATGCGAAGAAGAGTGTCTCCCGCAATATTGCCAGGCATGTGGGATGAAGCCTGACGCAGTGGTCGATATGATTATATTCAAGGAGTATCACGAGATCGACTTAGACGAGACGCCCGTGATCGCTCTTCCTTGCGGACATTTCTTCACCGCCGAGACGTTAGACGGCATGATTGGTTTGAAGGAAGTGTACAATATCAATGCGGAGACGGGCGAAATCTCAGGCCTGAAAGATATCTCCTCCGCGATGGCGACGTCAATTCCACGATGCCCCGATTGCCAAAGCCCAATACGGCAGTTCGCGACGCAGAGATACAATCGACTCATCAACAGGGCCGTTGTTGATGAAATGACCAAGCGCTTCATTGTCACTGGTCAAGAAGAACTGCAGAAGATAGAGGAGAGCCTGACGGGACTTGCAAACGAGTTTGAGAAGGTGCGACCAACAGCCATACCCACATCTTTTGCCAGTGGCGTTAAAAACGCCGAGACCCGAGCAATGCAAGATGTAGCGCAAAGGATTCAAAATCGCTACAAGGAGTCGACACGAATTCAAAACGCCATTCGTCAGTTGCAGCGACGGGTAGCTGATCGCCATCAACCTTGTCAAAAGCTTCACGATGCCACCGTCCATGCTATGCGGCGGAATGCATCTCTGGACAGGGCGCTGGAAGGCCTCAGCCTTGATTGTAGCATGCCGCCTGGTGGACCAGATCAGCTCGTCGCACTTGGAGCCAAGACGCTCGAGATCAAGACCGAATGCATTATCATCGAGGACAAGTTCAACGTCCTGAGCGCAATCAAGTTCAAACATGACGAGTTTGCGGCGTCTCTGAAGTTTCCTGGAGGCTCACCTTCCCATTTGAGCAAGCCTTTTCTACAGTCTTGCGCGAAGCTCATCGCGGAGTGCAGCGAGAAGAATCTTCCGAAGCTTGCAGTTGAAGCGGCACTTTACTACGCTCGGATTGCACGGCTCTTCCAGGCGTCCGGTCCAACCAACTCAAATGATCGCCAGCAAACGGCCGAATATCGGGAGCAAGCCAAGCTCCATTTGGAGAAGGCGCAAAAGCTATGCGAGCAGCAATTTCAGGACGCGGAGTCTTTGCTGCAGGCGGTGAATGAGTCCATCAAGCTGCTACGAAAGGAGTGGTACGAAGAGGTCACCGCGGAGGAACTTGCTGCCATCAAGCAAGCGATGGTCAGCGGGTCCAAAGGCATTGCTACTCACTCTGGTCACTGGTACAACTGCGCCAACGGGCATCCGGTACGTCGTCTTGATTCGTCCCTGCTTCACTATCTTGAGATATGTACTAATGATGGGTTAACAGTTCGCTATTGGAGAATGCGGTATGCCTATGGAACTTGCTCGTTGTCCAGAGTGCGGAGCGCGAATCGGTGGTCAGCATCACGAAGCTGTTCAGGGCGTGACGAGGGCCATGGAAATGGAGCGCTGAAGTGAAATTCAGCGGGGTGAAGTACGATTGTGATCTATCTATGATATTGTTGATACCTAGTAATAGATCCAGAATACATGTCTATACGAAGGAGAATCCCTCCTTGGCCTGCCTTGGACTCACTGGAGAATCATCTCGCTGCTCCGGTGGTACCGCTATGCTTTGCTTATGGTCTACGTGGTGGTGGGTGACCGTCCAATCCACTGCCTTTTTTATGACCAGACCGGGGCTTTCCTCCGTCCCTATATCTCTCTTGCCTTTCTTTGCTGCGCTCTTCGATTTCTCTTTTGTTGCGACACACGCCAGTTCCTTATTTCCTATCTCTTCCGCTCGCATCTTATCAACTGGACTTCGCAAATTCTCGGATCTATGCCTGGATCTGGCCCCCGACCCGCCCTGCGAGCCCCTTGAAGATCGCTCTGACAACTTGAAAGACGGTTCTCTCGATTGCCGGCGGCCTATTCCTGGCTCATACGCTTGCACGAGCGGGCGGAGATACGGCACGACGCATGCAGTGACGGTGTAGCCGATTGCGATTTGAGTGACGCTGCTTACGCGGGCGTTCCAGAAGTCCGACGTCGAAGCCACTATCGGCTCGCTGAGGAAGACGAGTCGGATGATGGTGAGGATAATATTGCTTCATACGAGTTAGACGCTGACCCGAGAGCTAGGATATGGAGTAGAGGGGCATATAGAAGGGGTATGCTTACGGGATGCGGCAGGCGAAGGCACCTACGACGACGTACTTCTGCCGCCGCGTCATTTGCCGACTCCATACAAGACATGACGATGTCACGATGAGAGCAACTTCAATCAGCATATCGAATACACCGACATAGACCCACCGAGCGAACTATGCTTGCATCAGGATTCCCGGCTTCAACTCTCATACACTCGGGTGACTTACAAATCCAGTGCATCGCGTAGCGTGCTCCATCAAGTTTCTTCCTGGACATCGAAATCCTTCAACGAACAGGCTTGTGGTCACCCATACAATCTCGGTTGCTATCAGGCCCCACACGAGCTTCCGATGCGTTTTGTAGGGCGTGAGCCAGAGGAGGAAGAAGCCACAGGATGCTTTGGAGCAGAAGAGGACGATGATGTAGAAGAGGTCGCTTGCCAACACAGACTATTAGAGCGTCAGAGACGATCGGCTTAATGATGCATGTGAGCTGGGAGAGCTAGCGTACCTTCCGGATCTTTACCAACTGGTCTACCTCAAGGTCCGTCCACTCCTTTCCTAAGCCAACAGCTACTTCGTAAAACACCAGCGACGACTGAATAATTGCGAAACCCTAGCCACTCATCAGCTTTCCATTTCTCACCACGCCCTCATCGGAGCAACTCACCACCGCCGCAAAGATTGTATAATCATCAATGCGATAATCCCCAGAGTAGCGCCTCGCATACATTCTTATCCCCGCACTCAGCAACACCAGCCCGAGCGAGAACCCCGCCAAAATAGCAATAAGACCCGACTGATCATGGTCGTTAATTGCCGCATACGGCGGCGTGATACCCGCAGGTAGCGGTGTGGATGTCGCAGACATTTGCGGCTTGATAGCTTCAGACAACGCGTGCGGGGGGCGAAAGTTTGCGCTGCGAACACCGCAGCACATGGCCTGCGCATAGTTATGTCTGAGACCCGCATGTGTTACGGGTCCAGCTTGCTGAGCTTGCGCACCTATTCAGATAAGGAGACAAAGGACGGCAGCGTAGAACATACCGCTTCCAGCGGCGTCAAAGACCCTTCGACCCGTTCACTGCATTCCAGGCGTTTAGTCGCTTAATAGCCGCCCTTCCGGAACGCTGATGGAAACATGGCGAGCGAGCTATTTGTTTCCGGATGAGGAAGTGATGCGTTTATTCGACGGTGGTGGGCGTCTTCTTCCGTCCATCCACGCGGGCTTTGAGCGATAAGGTGGGCATGTGCGTACGCCGTGTGGAAACCACATCCGGGGATGTGGGATGCCAATACTGCCTTATCGCTATTGAGGTTTGAAATGGGCAATTGCGGTATTTCGCCACTGCGATGGTGCGAGATGGTGCCCCGTAACTGCGATGGGGCTGTTTTTGGACAGTGTCCGTGTGGATTCGGTGGTTTTTGAGGGACTGGAATTAGAGCAATGAAGGCAAGATGAATGGAACACTACCTGCGAGAAGCACTCTTGGAGAAGTGGGCTCGAAATCCCAGTGAAGAGTATATCTATACATCTGTATCATCTATAATGGGAAATTGTTCTATGGTGACCTTCTAAGCCATTGAAAGTATGAGACAGCATCCGCATATCGAATTAGATAGAAAGCCTCGCCATCCTGATCTGCTTAACAGGGCCTCTGTAAATCTTCCTGCCCTGAATGTAATACATAATCAAGCTCAGAATGAACACACCACTAAAGAGCACCACACTCCAATTAAAGTCCTCCGCATTGATAGCCGTAGAACCGGGCCAGAAGCTCCAGAAGAAGGCAAAGAGCGTGTACACCAGACCGATGGCGTTGACCAGCGGGCCCCATTTTCCGAGGCTCCAGCGAGCGGTGGGGACGAGGTCTGGGTAGCGGATTCGGCGGTAGAGGACGCAGGATAGCGAGCAGGCGTAGGTGAACATGAGTGAGACCACCTGTAGGGAGATGATGGCGTTGAACGCTGTTTCAGAGCCGATGTTAATGAGTGAGAGGAGGACTGCGATCGTGCAAGACAGCAGGATTGCATTCGCAGGGATTTCCTTCCCCTGATCCACCTTCGCGATCCAGCTTGAGAAGGGCAACCCCTTGTCACGCGCAAAAGCGAATGTTTGACGCGCAGTCGAGGCGCCGAAGTTGACATTCGCGGCGCTCACAATTAGGAGCACGATGATCGTGAGAGCGTTGACACCTGAGATGCTGACAGCGGACTTGAAGACGTAGAGGAAGGGGTAGCCGGAAGGATCATTTATGGCTGCGTCAAGGTCATCGATGGCGAAGAGGTAAGTGATGAGGAAGACGATGGCCATCAAGCCGTTGCCTATGTAGGACCAGAAGAGGGAGAGCGGGACGTACCGCCCAGCATCGCGGACTTCTTCGGCCATGTGGGCGGTTGCGTCGGAGCCTGTACATGAAATCAGTCAATGTCTCATGCAAGTTTCCAAAGGCAGACGTACCTAAGACCGAGTAGATGGCTGAAATCTGGCCTACCATCAGTGACAAGCCCACCGTGGGCCACCCTCCGCCATTATGGAACTCTGTAAACACTGCCTTTGAAGTATTGTGTGGTGCCATGACCCAGAGCGTGAGAACGACCGCGAGGAAGGCCAGCACGTGCAGGACCATTAGTCCGTTTTGAATGCGCGGCCAGAAGTCATGGCCCCAAATATTGATAATGTAGAGGACAAAAACCATGGCGAAGACGAAGAGTGTGCCCTGCCACCGCTGAGGTTCGTAGTCCGGGTTGTTCACAACGAGAAGAGCTTGCGTGATGGTGCCGGTTAGGAAACAGTCTGCTGCATTGCCGGCCTGCCATGAGAGCGTGGACATCCAGCCTACGACGTAGGAGAAGAATTGTTGGTATGCTGGAGGGGCGAATTCGGAGACCCAATGGTACTGGCCGCCTGAAGTGGGTGCCCTGCAGTCAAGGTTAGAATGCACGACACAATACGACTGCCGGAATCGTACATGGAAGCCATCTCTGCCAAACTCATCTCCACAAACGTGAACCCTATAAAGGTCCAGATGTAGCTCCAGAACAGGCCTGCTAGACCTCCATTGGTAAGTCCTTCGGTGTTGGCTATCATAAGGTATTCCCAAATGGCAGTGAGGACGACTGCGAAACTCAAAGCCGACAATGGGCGGTAATTGCGCTGTTCGAGCGGTCAATTTGACTGCCTCAACTTTGCCCTGCAGCAAGAACACGCACCTTCAGCTCCTGCACCTTTCCCATCCGGTACATGTGCTTCTGATCAGCCTTCGTGAAGCCCGGCCTGGGCGGGTTTGCTCGACTGTAGACATCATCTTTCACGTCGCCTTGTTCCTGTTTGACTATGGCATCGAATGAGGAGTTGGGATGCTCTGTTCCAAACCCGGATTTGGGCGTCGGAACCTCGTGCTGCTCTACTACGTCCGACATCGTAGCGTGTTCGAAAAGTTACGTTTACGTGAGGTGGATAGACTGCCTGCAGAGAGGTGCAGGAAGGCGGGTATACCGCGTTAAGGTGGTAGAAAAGATGTGGCACAAAGGCGTGCATACGATCCCGTAACCCGTCTGGCTCCCACAGATATCGAACCGGAGGGTTCGCATCTTGAGATGATGGAGATTGTTTCCTACAACAGGGTCTGAATATGGTTCCCATAGGGTGGTACAAAGAAACTAGAAGGAATGTCACCACCCAACCTCCTAGATGGAACAAGGAGAGCAATAAAGGCCCTTATCGTGCATGTGCCTCTTATTAGTGAATGTGCATCATGATTGCTGTATGCGGCGACAGCTGGAGGTGCTTGTTGCTTCCGCAAGCGCGTGCTGGCAGCTCCTATTCCGGAGCCTGTTTCTTGGAGACGTTGAGCTTGTTCTAGCGGCCTTCTAGAAGGTTTCTAAGAAGTGGCCCTCGAGGTCACAAAGAATGAACCTCTCACTTGGTAACTTCTACGCGTGATAACTTCCACCCGGGCAGTGTACGCAGCGACTTCTCCTACGTCCCCTTTGTCAGAAAGTCTAGGGGGGTCTGCATCCTGGACGAGAGCGCTATTGAGGAGTCCTCCTGTTTGGTAGCGGGCCGGTATGGTTCTTTCGTCGAAAGAAATGTATAGAATCATTGCCTTTCGTCGTCCCTGCACGCTATGCCAAAGGGTTCGGAAGCTAGCTAGAAGCCGGCTCGTGCTTGGAATAGATGAAGAAAGTCGTAGGGTGTATTGAACCGGAGGACGGTGCTGATGGGGGGATTATGGAACTTGTGGCGACTGGGGAGGTCGTTAGGGGCGCTGCTGAGCAACGTCGCCAGCTCCTGCTGCGAAGCAAGTAGAAGTGTCTGAGCTGGGTTCCACAGTTGAGGTGGCCGCATTGTAGGCCTCGGTTCCTTCCTGAAACATGGCCCCCATCGGCATGGTCGGAAAGCTTATTTCAACCGACCTGTGCTCGAGTAACGATACGATTCTATGATGGATTTGAGAAGGGTGTTTGAAAAGCAAATGGAATTGACATCAAGAGAAGCGGTGGAATGAAGAAGACGAAGCGGGCGTAATCTTCTCTCGTCTATTCATTATCCCGCGCCGAATCCTAGAAGCATATAGTGAAATTCGTAATTCAATGCGAACCCTACTCGCGAAAGCATACTAGAGTTCTTCAGCCTCTCGGAAGCAAACCCGGGAAGGCTGCAGGAATTCGATCCCGCCATGAGTTAAGTTGAACCTCAAGTCCGTCAGTCCCAAGGCTGTAACCAAGTCATGCCGAGCCGCGCGAAGACGATATGCGAAAAAGTCATAGATGAGATGTTCTAATGTGTATAGAATGTAATGGGAAATATTATAACATAATACTCCCACCGTGTCTGCGTGCCGTGGGCGAGACATTATCGAGCTTGAAGACCTTCGAGGGGGTTGGGAAAGGGCCAAATCAATCCCTTTGCACTGCGCAGATACGTCATCCGAAGACCCGAAGTCGAATATGGTGCCCCTTGGAAGTATACGGCTCGCGGTTCCGGCCTTCCAAGCTCTCACGGTGTGGAATTCTCCGGATAGAACGACGTGCGTAACAGCTACCCTGGAGGCCTTCGCGGATGGGTACGGTAGGACGTATAATTCACAGCGGTAATCTTACTTACTCGTACGGCGAGCTCTGAGATCCGGAGAATTCCCTACCGCAAGAGCCAAGGTTGGCGGGCGAGGCTGCCTCTGGTGACTTACGTAAGCGGGTGCGACTGAGCCATTGCGACTCACCCAAAGGTGGTCCGCAAAAATTTCGTAAACAGAACGCACCAGAATGACGTAAAGATTTTGCAGGAGGCGTTGGGTCTCTGGACTGCGGGCATTGTGGGCATTGTGGGCGAAGTCCCTACCACGATGTGATATCGATATCACTGCGTCATAATGAGCTACTCGAGGTGATAGACAGCGTTTCCATCGGCAAATTTGCCCCGAAATGCGTGGATATCCTTCCTTCAGCCGTGCTTTTCCGTCTATGTTGGTGCGGGTGAGGGGCGACGGGTGAAGTTGCCGGTCGACCCAGCAACGCCCGCAGCTGCACCACGGACCATTTGCACAGGCAGCAGATCGGTCCCGTGATCTCGCTAAGCTAGCGCCGCGGGCACGGGCCTGCTCCCACCGTCTATATAAGCCTGCCCTCCCCCCGCCCCTCCTACCTCGAACAGCTCTCTTTGCCTTTTGGCTTAGATCAAGTGTAGTATCTGTTCTTTTCAGGTGAGCATTCTGACCTCTTCTACTCCTCTGGCCTTCGCTAACATCCAAGCAGTTTAATCTCTGAAACGTTCCCACGGGGACATATCAAGATTATTCCTATTTTTGAACCCAGGTCTCCTCTCACTGGGCTTGCTCATAGTTGAGGCCACAGTGTCGCCGGTATTCGCACTACCTCCGGCTGACGCGACCTTTTTTCATTGACTCTGTTGCCGCTGGTAACAAGTTGAGGAAGAGATCCTTTCCGTTCGCTACCTTGGCTTATTGTTTGTTCGATGGGTTGTGGGTGGGAGTGAGACGCACACAAGCAGAGCGCAGGTTCTGGGCTGTTCAATTGCGGCATGCTATGGGCATCTCAGACAGGCTGTTTACTTTTTCTCCGGATATACGACGTGCGCAACAGCTACCCTAGAGGCCTTCGCAGGTGTGTACAATAGAACGTATAGCTAGGTGAGCAAGCTTGCTTATTTGTACCCGCGGAGGGCGAGGAGAATTCTCTACTGCAAGAGCGTTGCTGGAGCTGGTTGGAAGCAGATAGACAAATCACTCGTATAGCTATCCATTATACGTTCCATTGTACGCACCTGCGAAGGCCTCTAGGCTAGCTGTTGCGCACGTCGTATATCTGGAGCACCTCACTGCAACCCAAGGACCCGTAGGCTGTAGTGCCACCTCTTCTGTCCGCACCGAACGACATATTACGCACAAGAGGGTGATAAGCCATAGGCGGCATGTACCTACAGTCTTTTGCTCGGATTCTGTGCCTGCAAGGTGGTGCTGTCGAGCTCTCTCTGGGGTCACACGGATTCTAAATTGAGCAAAATGTTTCTGAATTTTTTTCTTCACATTTTCTGAAAGACGGCGCCATAATCGCCGAACCAAAACAAAACACCGTTTATACGCTACTCTCTCTTCTCTCCCCTCTCAGGAAAATACCCTCCCGCAAACTCCAGACTCGCATTCTCAAACCGCTCCTTCCGAACCTCGCTCCAGCCCCACCAACCCCGCCGAAACACCGCAACCTCAACCTCCGTCAAAAAGCTCTCCGTGCAAAAATTGCGGCGATGCCCCTCCGGAAACGGACTCCCCAGGCCGAACCAGCCTCCCTCCTTCGGCGCCCTCGCCTTCAAATCGATCCTGTAGAACAAATTGCTAACGCTGATCTCGAACGCGCGATTCGCGTAGTCGACATCAACAGACATGAACGGCGAGATGAAGCCCAGCACCGCCAGCGCGAACGGCGGCACGAAATCGACATTTAGATCCCTCGACCGATAGCCCAGCATATACGCCGTCATGCCTAGTATCCTGCCGCCCGCCAGACACACGCCGCGCTCGTTCTCGCCGTCGCGCGCCTGGATCCACATATGGCTTGCTGGGAAGCTGCTCGCCCAGTTCTTCTCCTGGTGGATAGTCGCGCGGCCTTTGCGGTCGGCGCGCGGGAGTCTGAGGGACGGGATGTCGAGCTGGAAGGCTGTGGGCGAGGAGAGGCTGTGGACGTGCCAGTGCAGGGGCAGCGGGAGCCGGACGAGCCAGCCCTCGGGCGTTTTCTTGCGCGGGTGCCAGGGCGTGTGGCTTCCGGTCATGGCTGAGAGGCTCCATTCGGGGCAGGAGAGGGAGTATGTCGTTGTAGAGTCGGCGTCGACGGCCATGGTTCCCATGTCGGGGATGCGTAGTTCGAAGGCGTTGCCTGGACCTGTGGTTGTGCGTTCGATGGCGGAGACCCAGTGCTCGCGCTGGAATATGGGCGAGCCGCTTGCTGGGTAGTAGGTAAAGGACACCATGTGTGGACGCGTCTTTGCGTCGGGGACGGTGCATATCACGAGGGCGATGTGAGCGCCAGATGGTAGGTCGAACTTGGAGTAGTATCTGCACAGGTAGCGGTACATTTAGTAGACGTCTTAGATTGGGGAGAACTTAACACGAGCATGTCTTAGGTCTTTACCCGCTGGAGGCCTTTAGAGGGAGCTTTCTGCAGTTGAAAGCTAAGACTTGCTGGCGTAAGAGGATTACATACCCTTCAAAGGTTGATCTTGGATGTGGCGCGAAATGCTCCATGGATGAAGCCTTAGCCTTTGACAGCAAAGGTAGGTAAGTATCTCGCGGGCCTGACTTCCACCTGTCGAGCCTACGAGTTTGTTTGAGCATCCCTTGCTTGTGACAGAGTGGCTGAAATCATGACGTAGTATGAAAGTGTCTTGGCATCTTGAAGATTTTCTGGTTCTACTAGATGTAGGATCTTCCTATCTTTGTGGTGTTGCATGCTCCTAGTCTACAGTTCGTCCCGGACGCTCTCCTTGCTCTCTCCCGTCTTCGCCTGCTCAATCAACCCTTTCCTCACAATGCTCGTCAAGACTTCATACGCCACCTGCGCAGCTGCCAATCCGGTCGTCTCCGCAGAGCCGTCATACGCGGGACTAACCTCCACAATGTCTGCTCCTACGACGTTCATACCCTCAATTCCCCTCAAGATCCGAATCAGCTCCCTCGTCGTCCAACCTCCTGGCTCCGGCGTACCAGTGCCGGGCGCCATACCAGGATCAATCACGTCGATATCGATGCTGAGATAGACTGGCATCTCGGTACCCACACGCTCCATGATCGATGATATAATTCCCTTGACTCCAATCTCATCAATGTCGTCGGTTGAAATGCGAATCCAACCCTGGTTTGAGTCGTCAGCGTAGTCTTCCGGCTCGTCTCCAGACAGACGCGTGCGCAACCCGGCGTGAACAGACGAGCCATTCGCAATCAGACCCTCTGTTGCCGCAATCCAGAACATGCTGCCGTGATTGAAGAAGGACTGCGTAGAGGTATCGGTTGGGTCTATCCATGCGGACGGGTACTTCGCTGGATGCCATGTGTCCAAATGGGCATCGAAGTGCACTACGGCAATCGGCTGCCCATAGATCTGCTTCAGCGCCCGCAGAGCTGGAAGCGCAATGCTATGATCTCCACCCAACGTGAGCAACTTCGGTCTATGCAAATATCCTGTTGAAGACGCTAGCGCCTCGGTAGTCGGCGCTCTGTTGCCCAGCTCTTGAAATGCCTCGCTCATCTGCCGGAGCGCGAGCGCATTATCGAAAGGCGTGATTGGGATGTCTCCGCAATCTACAATTGTCGCCCATGAGGTGTACGGGTTGAGGTTGGCTCGCGGATTAAAGCCTCGGAAGGACGTTTGTCGTGACGAACCTGCGCGGATGGCTCGGGGACCAAAGCGTGCGCCCGGCCGGTATGAGACTGCTGTGTCGAAAGGAGCGCCTATAATGCCGATGTCGTAGGCTCTTTCGGGATGTGTCAGGCAGCGGATGTGCGGGAGGTGGGCAAATGTTGATACACCAGAGAAACCCCACTAATATTGAATCAGCAATTGAGTCTGGTAGTATTGAGCTGCACTCACATCAATGCCCCATTTCCGCTCAAGCTCTTCTAGACGCTCTTGCGCAATGGGTTCTTGCTCGTCTACATGATAGGTTGAATGTGCGAACGCAACAGACAGAAACAGAGCAGAGAGTACAATCGAACGCCACAACATGCTGACAGGAGGGATTGAAAGCGTAGAAGCAAGAGAGGAAAGGAAAAGAGGGGTTGAAGTTCATTGTCGATGAAATCGAGCAAAGGGCGCGAATTATGTAACAGCTCTTATCGTTGTTGCTAGTAGCTCCGACATCGATGCCGTTGGTGGGGAACCCCGAATCGGAAGGTCCATCCTGCTGCGAGCATGAGAAGCGTCAAGCAGCCCTGGAGATGCAGGGCCGTTAGGCATGATCTTTGCCAAAGTGGACGACGTTCGATGTCGGCAAGACGTAAGAGACGTGCGGGAGATGTGACCAATGACGCGGGGCGGAACTCGGACGTCCCGTGAGAGCGCGACATCGCGTCGTGACTCGAAAGCTTGGACGCCTCCGAACCTCACTCCATCACACCTTCGCTCTGCATCGTCAATTCCCGTCTCCCACTCCCTCTACATCGGCCTGTTAGCTATAGACGCTTTTGGCTACTTGGTTATCACATATCCTGAACGAGTCGCGCCGCTTTACGCATATAGCAACCATGCCAGAGGTACGCGCAAATGTCGGTGGGAGTAGAGCTTCAGCTGACGCGTCGTAGCTCCCGGAAGTCGCCCGCATCGTGCACTTCCTGAAGAAGCATGCCGTCGGACGGATGGTAAGGTCTGTCAAGACTCAAGAAGACAACATCGTCTATGGCAAAGTCGGGACTTCAGCGGATGCCTTCCAAAAAGCCATGACCGGGAAGAAGATCATCGACGCCCGTCAGCAAGGAAAGTATTTCTGGCTCGAGATGGACTCTGCGCCGCATCCGCTCATGCACTTTGGAATGTCTGGCTGGATGAAGTTCTCAAACGATGCGACCGCGTACTACCGGCCCGGCAAGGGAGAGGAAGATCAGTGGCCGCCCAAGTTCTGGAAGTTCATTCTAGTGCTGGAAGGAGAACCGGAGTGCGAGGTTGCTTTCGTCGATGCGCGAAGGCTAGGCAGGATCAGGCTGGTAGACACAAAGGCTGAGGAAATGCGGAAGACAACGCCGTTGAAGGAGAACGGGCCCGATCCATTGCTCGACCCTGACGTGTTGACGGTGGAGTGGTTGACGAAGAAGCTGAGGAGTAAGAAGGTGCCTGTGAAGGCACTCCTACTGGATCAAGCGAACATTAGCGGCATCGGAAATTGGGTTGGGTAAGTTACTATATCGCTCATTGTCTTGCATGCTTACGCCCCGCAGCGACGAGATCATGTACCAAGCTCGGCTCCACCCCGAGCAGTACAGCAACACCTTCAGCGACGAGCAAGTGAAGCGCCTCCACGACGCAATGATGTATGTCTGCAAAACGGCGGTCGACGCGAATGCAGAGTCCGAGCGATTCCCTGAAGACTGGCTGATGAAGCATCGATGGGACAAGGGCAAGAAGAATGGGGGAAAGTTACCTAACGGTGCTAAGATCACATTCTTGAAGGTCGGCGGACGGACATCGGCTGTCGTGCCCAGCGTGCAGAAGAAGACTGGCGCTGTTGCCGGTGATGTCTCGGAGGATACGAATGGCGCCGAGGAGGAAGAGGAAGAGGAAGCGCCCAAGGCGAAGAAGGGTGGCAAGAGGAAGAGCAAGGCTGCTAAGGAAGATGAGGATGAGAAGGATGAAGTCGATGACGAGGAAGAGGAGACACCTGCACCGAAGAAGCAGAAGAAAGCGGCCAATGCAACATCACGGAAGGGGAAGAAGGAGGACCCAGCCAAGAGCGAAGACACGACCGGGAAGCGCCGATCTGGTCGGCTTTCCAAGAGTTAGATCCCGCCCGCTGGAAGGCCTACACATGCGTTGGAGTTGGCTATGAGACGGCACGGTGGACGGGCTTGTTTGGCTGGATACTGTATTATAGGTCTCATGGCCTGATTATAAACTATATCGTACATCACCGCCGGCGTTTTGGCATCTTCGCGTGGTTGTTCAGCTAGAGCATAGACGTGGTCGACGACCTTGGTCTGTACTTACTGATGTCCTCCAGACAGTAAATGTAATGCTGGACATTTGTGTGGAATGCCATAGTTCTGGTTGATGCCAATCGGTCGAGGCCGGGTGGCTACGAAAGGGGCGCTTCGAATATGAATGCAGGGACTTTCAGGAGCTCCCGTGCTATCCTCCTGCCTGGGGAGTGCCCAGGTGGACATACACCCTGGCACGTGCTGAGATGCCGGTCGGCGCTAGCTCGGCGGTTGCTGGCCCGCGACTTCGAAAATCACAGCTGCTCACTGCAAAGCCGCGCAGCTCTCACACGCGGCCCAATCCTGCGTCACCGGCCCATTCGCTTTGGTTCCAGCTTCGACATGACTCCAATTTCGCAATAGTCAATTTGCTTCTTTCCGTCCACTTCGCTGCAGCGCCAGCGGCTGCACTACCTGTGCTAATAGTCCACCTTGAACAGTCCACAGGCGCAAGCCCGCAGCTCTCCACGCCCGGAAAGAGACACCCGCCGCCATGCCCCAGCTGTTACCCACGAAAGAGCATTCGCTCTTCCGCGGTCTGATTAAAAACTATGAGAACAAGCAATATAAGAAGGGTAAGCCTTGTGCTCACTGCACGCCGTCGTCTCTAACACGCAACAGGCCTCAAAGCCGCAGAGCAGATCCTGCGCAAGCACCCCAACCATGGCGAAACGCAGGCCATGAAGGCCCTCATCCTCAATTCCCAGGGCCAAGGTGACGAGGCCTTCGCTCTCGGCAAACTTGCGCTCAAGAACGACATGAAATCGCACGTCTGCTGGCACGTCTACGGGCTGCTTTGGCGGTCCGTGAAGAACTACGAGGAGGCTATCAAGGCATACAAGTTTGCTCTCAGGATAGAGCCAGACTCGCAAAACATCCTCCGCGACCTCGCCAACCTCCAATGCCAGGTCCGAGACTACGAAGGGTACATCGAGAGCAGGCGGACCATACTGAATGCGCGGCCGCAGATAAGGCAGAATTGGACGGGCCTAGCCATAGCGTATCATCTTTCTGGTGACTACGCACAAGCTGAGCGCGTTCTCACAACGTACGAGGAGTCGCTGAAGACCCCTCCTTCGAAGACCGACCTGGAGCATTCAGAAGCCGTGATCTACAAGAACACGATAATAGCGGAATCAGGAGACGTTGAGAGGGCGTTGAAACATCTGGATGGGATAATAAAACACAACCTCGACCGGACTGCCGTCATGGAGCTCAATGCCAAATACCTGCTGCAGCTGGGAAGGAAAGAAGAGGCGGAGAAGGCATACCGAGCTCTGCTTGACCGAAATAGCGAGTACAGGGCATACTATGAGGGGCTGGAGCAGGCTCTTGGCCTAGACAGGTCCGATGACGCATCCATAGAGAAGCTTTCCACCCTCTACGAGTTCTACGCTAGCAAGAGCGAGAGGAACGACGCTGCAAGGCGAATACCGTTGGATTTCCTGAAAGGTGGGTAAATCGGGGAAAGTGTTTTACGGAACGCTGACGGGGTATAGGCGACGCGTTCAGGAGCGTGGCAGACCAGTATTTGCGGAGAAAGCTGAACAAAGGTGTTCCCTCGACCTTCCCCAACATCAAAGCCTTGTACACCGATCCTGAAAAGAAATCCATCATCGAGGAACTGGTACTCGGATACACCTCTGAGAAAACGATGAACGGGTCGACCGAGGGAAAGGTGAATGGGGAAACATCGGAGATTTTCGAAAAGTCTGTCCTATACTTTCTCGCTCAGCATTATAATTACGCCCTGAGCCGCGACCTTGCGAAAGCCACGGAGTACATTGATCGCTTAATCGAGATGGACCCGAAATCCGTCGACTACAACCAGATCAAGGCTCGGATATGGAAGCACTATGGTGACACAGAGAAAGCAGCGGACACGATCAATCATGCACGGGAACTGGACTTGAAAGACCGGTATATCAATACTAAATGCGCAAAATATCAGCTCCGGAACAACGAGAATGACAAGGCGTTGGATACGATGAGCAAATTCACCCGCAATGAGACGGTTGGGGGACCGCTCGGCGATCTTCACGACATGCAATGCATGTGGTACCTATTAGAAGATGGCGAGGCGTACCTCCGGCGGGGCTTGTATGGTCTCGCACTGAAGCGATTCACCTCCGTGGCCGACATTTTTGACACATGGCAAGAAGATCAGTTCGATTTCCACGGCTTTTCATTACGAAAAGGGCTGATACGGGCTTACATTGACATGGTCAGATGGGAAGATCACCTCCGAGATCACCCCTTCTTCACACGCGCCGCGTTGTCCGCGATCAAGATCTACCTGGAACTCTTCGACAACCCGGACCTGGCTCATACAGGCGGCAGACCCGAATTAGCCAAGCTCGATGCGGGGGAACGAAAGAAGGCACAAAGGAAGCTGAAGAAAGAGCAAGAAAAGGCCGAGAAGGCTGAAGCAGACAAGAGAGCGGCCGCTGCCGCGAAGCCAACGGCTGCCGCATCTGACGGCGAGGCCAAAAAGGAAGACACTGACCCGAAGGGAGAGAAGCTCCTGCAAACCAACGAGCCACTGGAGAAGGTGATGAGATACCTCACCCCGCTTCTTGAGCTTAGCCCTCGCAACATTGAGGCGCAAAACCTTGGCTTCCAAGTATATCTCAGACGAAGTATGACTTATACACTCCATCTCCACCACGAACAGAACGCTCACAAGTTCATCTAGAAAAGCCTCTGCTCGCTTTAAAGTGCCTTGTTGCAGCACAAGCAATTGATCCAATGGATCCTAAGTGCCATTATAATGCCTTCTTTTTCCATGCCTTCCGTAAGTTACCCACTGTGCGACACAAACTCACCGACAAGCGACTAACACTGTCATAGTTACCAAGGGGATTGGCAAGGACTCGCTCAAGGGCGTTACAGCAGAGGCGATAAAGCAACACTTCGCGAACCCTCCACTCAACGCGGACGCTGCAGCTCTGAAGACCCACAATGAGAAGTTCCTGGACGAGCACTCTCAAAGCCCGGCTCATCTGCAGAGTGGATACAGCGTCCGGTATCACCTCGATCCAAACACGAAATCTCAGAACGAAGCCGATCTGCAGAAACTGCTCGACCTTCCCGATATCACAATGGAGCAGGGCGCGGAAGGTTTGAAGATCTTTGACGGGTGGAAGAGCGATGAGAAAGCCGTGGACGCGTATCGGGAAGCGGCCGCGAAGAAGTGGCCCGAAGCCACCGCGTTCAAGAAGAAGTCAGGGTGAGGTCTTTCGCTGCTGGGGTGGGTTTGGTGGGGCTAGGGTTGGGGCCATGTGTGTATGTGCTTTGCGTTTTCTCTTGTAGAGTATGCGGCGCGTTGCGCGCTTAGCGATATGGGTAGATGATGCATGTGCATTTGCGAGCGGTGGTGGCATTTTTATTGCCGAGGTCGTACTAGGTGTTTACATCCAACAAAAGTTCGAATAGATATTTGCGAAGGCGTGTTTGTTTTCAGGATTAGTAGCTCTAATCGCCATCGGTGATCCAACACAAGAAAGACGGGAGGACAGGCATAATATTACAATGTTTTGTATTTCCTTTCTGAATATACTATCCGCACAGGCCCAAACCCCCAAGCCGTATGCAGACCTTCGCCAACCGCCCAGCCACCAACCTGTCTAGAGAGGAGATGGTATATCCAGGGTATTGTACACGTCGTAACATCAAGAACAGCGCGCGGCAATGCAAATAACCCAGACACACCTTCGAAAACACCAAAACAGCAACCCTTTCCCTTCACTTCTCTATGGTACATCCCACCCAGCCAATATCCGCCGGCCCACCAGCTCCCGTGCGATTGATTACGCGGATATCTCCCAGGTTTGCCAGAAACGCCGTCGCTTTTACAAAGGAAAGAGAGACATGCAAAAGCGACTTTTCTTTTGAAAACACGCAGGTCGAAGGGAAAGGGAAGGAGGGTGCCCAGCTGCGAGCACGTCATCGGAGGGCATCGCGAAAACGTCCGAGGTGCGTATATGCAGGGGCAAATGGTTTGGTATGGTGGTGGCCGTTGCGAAAAAAGCGAGATTACAAAGGAGATATGCAAACGAGATGTTCTAAAACTGAGGCATATGCGAATCGAAGTAAATCGGAACGAAAGTGATGCATCGCGTTTAGGCAACGGCATCGGCAGCGGGAGCGGCACGGCCACCTCCCACGAGCTCGAGAATCTTGCCTGCGACGGCAGCAGGGTATCCGCGGGACAGACCCTCGTTGACGACAGCCATGGCAGATGCGCGGTCCTCGACGGCCATGAAGGCTCGCGTCATGGCTTCGTAAGTGCTGGGCTCGCGCTTGTGTTCGGGCACGGACTCGTAGATCGTTTTTGCATTCTCGATGTTGTGCACGAGGGCCCAGCCGTGGATCAAAGAATTGGCGATGTAGGGAGTCATCTCGACGCCACGGGCGCGCATGTCCTTGAGCACGGCCTCAGTGTCGGCGATCTGGTGATTGGCAACCATCGCTTCAAAGAGCGCTTGGTAAAGGCACGCCTGAGGGCGGACGCGGGTGTCGGCGAGGACGGTATCGAAGAGCTTCCGCGCGCCTTCCATGTCGTGGAGGACGCAGCCCTTGGCGTGGATCAGAGACGAATAGTGAACGGCCTCAGGAACGGCACCGGCTCGACGGATCTGCTCAAGCACGTTCTCGGCAGCTTCCATGTCGACCGGTTCAAGCGTGGCGTAGGTATCGATCAGGAGCTTGTACGTGTGCGTAGTTGGCTCGATACGCTTTGAACGCATGCGCTCGTAGTAGGCCAGAACCTTGCTACGGTCGCGCTTAGTGGTCAAGAAGAATTGCATCATGCTGTGGTACGGCGCAGGACGGGGCTTGTAGTTGGGCATGCTCTCCATTTCTTCAAAGAGCTCCTCGGCGAACTTCTCGTCGCTGACGCGGCAGAGTGCGTTAACGATAGTGCCGTAGGTGACACTGGTAGGTCGAATGCCGAGATTGCGCATTTCAGAGAAGTAAAACAAGCAGTCGTCGATGCGGCGAGCCTTTCCAAGTTTACCGATCAGAGCGTTGTAGAGGAAGGACGATGGCTCGACACCTTCGGCTTTGGCGCGGAGGAAGATCTTGACAGCTTCGGTGGCCTCGTCAAAGGTTTTCGTGGACTCCTTGAGCGTAGTGATGTACAGACCGAAAGTGTTAGCCGTAGGAGCAGCACCCATATCGAGCAAATCCTGGTGGTATTGGGCAGCGAGATCGCGTCGACCGGTAGTCAGGCAGGCGGCAACCATAGCATCCAGAATAGTGACCCAGCCATATCGCACGATGCGGTACTGGGGCAGCAGAGGAACGTCCTGCTTGGCGAGATTGAGGATGTCATGGGCGAGATTCAAGCGGTCTTCCTTGGCGGCAGCGGAGATGAGCTTAGCGTAGGTGAAGAATCGAGGATGCCGTCCTGCGCGGCGCATGTTCTTGAACTTCATCAACGCCTCATTGAGGTGCGAAGCGGATCGACCATGGGTCTTCTCAAGCAGCTCGGTGATGGTGACTGATCCCTTGTTGTCGGTGGTAGCAGCATACGGATCGTAGGAGTCCTCGAACGTAGGTGCAGCCGGCGCGGGTTGTTGAACAGGATAAGCCGCAAATGGTGCGGGAGAGTAGATTGGCTCCGGAGCCGGGTGCTTGTAATTGTACCAGCGGTGCTGGAGGTCTCCTCGATCAAGCTTGACCAAAACCTTCTCCACAAGGCCGGATGTTGTCTTGTTCACGGGCGCGCCTGTCGATGTAATGACTTCAAGTAGATGGGAAAATCGGGCGGCGTGAGCAACATCAACCTCGGCAGTGTTGAGAATGATTCCGGATTGGACTTGCATGAGGAGCGTAATGTCTTCGAAGCTGAGCTGAGCAATAGCCTCAGGTCCCATACCAACAAGTAAGTGGTGGGCGACCGGGGTGACGAGGCCACCATTCTCAATCATAGTCCACATCAGTTCCATGCTGGCACGTGGTGGAAGAATGATGCCTCGCTTGATCATGAACTGACCCATAACCTCGATGGCTTCGTCGATGTGCTCAACGATCTCCATCTTAGCTTGGTTAGAGCCCGACTGGGAGTCGCGGATGCGAGCAAACATCTGGCGACCTTGGCGAAGGCCGCGCTCGGCTTGACCACTACCGATGAGAGCAATGCTATGCATAGCGGTAGGCTCAATGAAGTCGGGCTTGGTCGGCGAAAGTTCAAGCATCCTCCAGAAGATGTCGGCGGCCTCAATGTTCCCGTTGCGGATGTGCATGGCCCCCATAGCCATAGCTGGACGGGAGAGATCCATCTCGGCGGGAAGAGCATCGAAGGCTTCGGTGGCGATTTCGACGACGTTGCTATCAGCTGCCTTGATGCAGATAGCTGCCATTGCAAGGTGACGTGCCGGCGGGCTTAGTTCCTCGGCGGCATGGGCGAATGCTTCGTGGAAAGCACCCTTCTTCAGCCACTCCGGCACAAAAGCCTTCAAGCTGACGATGTCACGGACCGAGGCGACATCCTCGGGAGCAGCGACAGCCTTTTCGATCTTGGAGAGGAATTTTCGTCCTCCCTCAATTCGGTCGCAGCTAGCATAAGCCCGGATTAGCGCGGCGTAGACGTCGTTGTCCTTCCGGGATAGCTGGATGTCTCCGTTGTCGTGCGAAATGGCGAGGGCCTTGTACTCGTCGTAGCATTCTACAGCACTCCTCAGATCGCCAGCTTTTCCGAAGGCGTGGATCATAGGCACAAACATATCGGCCGCTGGAATCACGCTTCGAGATTCCATGTGTGCAAAGATCCGCACCATATCTTCAACGCGTTCGCCTTCAGCGCAAGCAGTGACCAACATACGGTAGGTCTTCTCGGAGAAGCTGCGACCAGATTCGACGTTGATGGCGGCATCGAAAAGTCTAGCGGCGATCGCAAGGGACCCATCCTCGGAAAGGATGGCATACTCGGTCTCATTCGAGTGAAGCATGAACCGGCCCTCCTCTTCCATTCCGCCATACCTCAGTCGTTTCTCCTCTAATCCTTGCTTCATGGACACCACTTCCAGCGATCGCTTGGAAAGGAGTTCAAGAAGCGCGGTATACGTCGCAGTATCGGGGGTGACACGTCGGCGGAGCATATCAGAGTAGACATCTAGGGCTTTGGGTACAACTTGATGCTTTGTCTTTGGGAGGTTGATAGCAGCGGACAAGAGCGCATTGTATGCAGTAACCGACGGCTGAACGCCAGAGCGGAGCATCGACTCGAAGACGGCGGGAATCTCAGCATAGCTGCGCTTTTCAACGAGCCGCTGAAGCTGTATGGTGTGCTCGTCGAAGGCTTCGATGGGACTCGTGGCGACGGTTGAGTCGACGCGGCTCAGGGTGGCGGAATTCACAAGAGTCTCTGACACGGTAGCAGGGGACTCTGATCGGGCCTCCTCGATGGGAGACAATTCTTGCTCAACCCGCGCCGCAGCGGCTTCATTCTCGGCCTTGATCTTAGCTGCTTCCTTTGCAATCGCCTCATCAACTTGCGCGAGCGCAATTTCCTCCGCCTTTCCGTCACCGATAACCTTCTTGAAGTCATCGACCTGGCTTGTGCTGTATGCGCGGCTGACGCCGGCACGCGCCGGGATAGCCTCGACCGGCTCATCCGACTCTTCGATTACTGCATTCGACTCTTTTGCCTCGACCTGGCTTCGCGGGGTCGTCGATTGAGGCTTCCACTCAATGAGCTTGCGGAACTGGAACTGCGACCACTCCTTGTCCTCGACGCGCTGGTGCTTCTGCCACGCGGCATAGTAGGCAGCTAGACCAGAGTCGTGATGTTCGGAGCCACCAAGCGCCTTTATAGCGCTGGTGGTAGATGTCGAAGCAAAAGCATGCTGGGTCTGCTTTGCGCCGGCTTTGCGGAACCGGTCCTGGTTGAGGGAGGCGAGCGGGTTGTTCTGGGAGACGAGGACTACTGATTGAGCATATCCGTGGGTGAAGCCTTTGGCAAGACTCTGACGCGCGAGGTGGAAGCTCTTAAAGACCATTTAGGAGATGGAGGAACCCTTCGGATTGGAAGGGTGAGACTGGGAAAGTCAGCATGGGCTCGTCCACCCGTTGGGACGACGCGGATTCTCGTCGGGATGGCGGAATGGGTGGCGTACTATTATTCTCAGGGCGCGACGAGGTTGCAGGTTCATTTGACGACACGTGCCGTCAAAGAACGCGCTGTAAGGGGGGGTATAGAGAAGGTGAGGCCTAATAAGAAAATGGGGGATATGGCGCGGTGCCGTCCCGTATCAGGCGTGTAGGGAAAAGTAAGGTATCCTAAAAGTAGCGGAAGGAAAGAAATGGGGGCAGAAGGCAAGCTGGCCTGGAGATACAGGTCCGTCGAGAGCTGCCTGCGCACGGTGGAAAAGGAAAAGGAAGCTTCTCGAGCTTGGTGGTCAATGGAGTCGTCACCACTACCTGAGCGCAAATTGCACGCTAGCCATGCCGGTCTTTTTTCTCGTGCTGACGACGCTAGGCCGCTTGGGGGCTGGCTAAAACGCGCACCCAGCCCCAGCGCGGCACCGGCTGGCCTCTGGTCGCACTCGGCTTTTCCGGCGTCATGGAGCGTCGGCGACGGGGCGCGTCCTTTCGCCGGCGCTCAGGGGTCCGTCATGACTCCTCCGCGATAAAGGACCGGCTGCGGATGGCTGCGCGTCTGCACCCCGCCTTGCGCTTTCACGCTTTCACCCAAGGGGACTGAGCGACGGGAGCGGCGAGGGCAGCTGACTGCACAGAGGCTGTCTGCATTACAATTGCATTACGCGCAGCGGGAAGCGTCCCCAGCCTCGACCGGCCGCATTAGCAACCAGCATATCCAGCGCGGATCTGCACGTGCGAGCGTCCTCGGGATGCGCAGGAAGGCGGGAGACTGGTCCAGTGGGTGCTCCGTACATCTGGTCACGTTTGCGTCTGCGGCCTTTGTCGCGGCGCCTCGCATCCGCCGCCGCTCGCGAACGCAACCACCCGTCATTCGCCCACCCGAAGATCCTCGCGACGAGCAGTCTGACCAACACCCCTTAACCGTTCATAACCACCCACCTCGCTTCCCATGAGCTCCAATCCCGCTCTCGAGCCCAAGGCCGTCTCTGCGCCGGGGAAGGTTTTCGTCGCCGGCGGCTACCTGGTGCTCGACCGAAAATACACCGCGCTCGTGTTCGGCCTCGACGCTCGGATACATGTCGAGATTGAGCCGATCCGGACCAAGAGCGGCGTCACCCTCAGCGAGATTATTGTGAGGAGCCCGCAGTTTAGAGAAGCGGCGTGGGAGTATGGGTATCGGTTGACCGAGGCCGGTGGCGGCATTGCTGTCACGCAATTGAGGGCGTAAGTGTACTTTACTTATTCGCTACTTCTGGTATTCGCGCCATGCATTTTTAGTCAATTCCATATTTTGTCTCACGATGCTTGCCACTTCTCTACTACGTTTTTCTATCACTTCCGCTTTTCCGGATTCTAGTGCAGAGTACCGTCAATGGGAGGTTGGACTGGTTCTGTTCAGGCCCCCAGTGTCTGTCCATGGCCTGATCAAACGTACCAGTGGACTAGTGGGCGTTGTTGGAGGGGACGTCGGTCTGGCCGCCCATGGATGCTAGACACGACATGTCCTCTCCGGCTGCATTGTAATCCTACTCTGCACAGTCTATTCTTCCCAACTTTCTAGTTTGTCATTGTTCTTCCCCAGGTCTTGGCAGTCCTTACATCAGTTGTATGTCATACATCGCGTCTCAGGTATCCAACTGTTCAACGAACTCACTACCAATATTTGTACTACCAATATTTGTATTGCTATCCACGCTTCTATTTAACCTTAAGGTTGTACTTGAACTTGGAGTCTAGACACCTCTCCCTGGGAGCGCTCACTTACTCCCACACCTCCGCAGCTCCCACGATGACAAGCTCAACAAGAACCCCTTCGTCGAGACGGCGCTCACATACGCTCTAACCTACGTTTCCACGCTCCTTCCCGGAATGCCCATCTCCCCAAGCTCGATATCCATCCTCGCGGACCAAGCCTACTACTCCAACCCTGGGACCGCGCCGTCTCCAACCTCGCGCTTCCTCAACTTCAACGTGACGATATCCGAAGCCCACAAGACTGGCTTGGGCAGCTCAGCAGCACTGGTCACCTCCTTTACCGCCGCCCTGCTCAGCTACTATCTCCCCCAGACGCACTTCGACCTCGCCTCAGAAGCCAGCCTCCGCATCCTGCACAACCTGTCCCAAGCCTCGCACTGCGCTGCCCAGGGAAAAGTAGGCTCTGGCTTCGACATCGCCAGCGCAGTCTACGGCTCCTGTCTCTACCGCCGCTTCTCACCCTCCGTTCTCTCCTCTCTCCCCGAGCCAGGGAACCCCGACTTCTCCAAAAAGCTGCGCGCTCTCGTCGAGGGCTCAGACTGGGACACTGAGATCCGCAAAGCCGCCGTAAAAATGCCAACGGGCCTGCGCCTCGTAATGTGCGACGTCGACTGCGGCAGCCAGACGCCCGGCATGGTGAAGAAGGTGCTGAAGTGGCGGGCCGAGAACGGGGAGGAGGCGGAGAGGATTTGGGGCCAGCTGCAGAAGGGGAATGAGGCGCTTGCCACTGAGCTCACGCGGCTTGCGACCGCAGACGCAGAGAATGGAGAGGGGAGCGAGAAGTGTGCGAAGCTGCGGCAGATTATTGGCGAGAATAGGACGCTCATCAGGCAGATGAGCGTTGCGTCGCGCGTGCCCATCGAGCCGCCACAGCAGACAGCGCTGCTGGACGCATGCTCGAGCGTGCCAGGGGTGATTGGCGGCGTGGTGCCTGGAGCCGGCGGGTACGATGCCATCGTGCTTCTGCTCGAGGACAAGGTGGAGGTTCTTTTCGAGCTGGAGGAGCTGCTGGCAGGATGGAAGGTCGAGGGCGAGGACGAGGGCGAAGAAGGCGTGAAGATTGGCAAGGTGGGGATCATTGGCGTGCGGGAGGAGATGGTGGGCGTGAAGCAAGAGGATCCGGCCATCTACAAGGAATGGATAAAAACTTGAGCGAAGCAAGATCAGGTCCTGGGGGTTTAAGCCTGGCGAGACTTTGAACTGTGGGCGGAGATTAATGACTTCTAATGCTAAGCGGATCTGTATCTGCCTACTCGAGGACTTGCGGAGGTGCAAGCCTCAAAATAAAAATATATACCGCATTGAGCCTGACGTGTGCCGTTCTGAGTTGTGTTCCGAGAGCTGGCGGGGGGGGAGGTTTGGAATGCTATGCGAGGGCGAGAGCGTGATATACTACTTTAACCACATCCTAGACCGAAGCGTGAAATTGAAAAGATCAGGGAGATCTCATGTCGCTCTGTTGGGCATTTTGACGTAGATGATAGTGTTATTCTTTCCTTCTTTAGCCTTGGGACATTCTCTGTCTGCCTTTTCTTTTGCTTCATGAGGGGTTCCTGTCTGATCGTAGTTAGAACGTAGATTCAGTCGCTGCGAAAACCAGAGCCAAAGTCACTACAAGCACCACCGGGCGCAGCAGATGCAGGCTTTAACTTTTTGTTCATATTGATCTTGACATGGACGCCAACCCATTTCCGTAGAAGATCGCCCCGTTCCTGGCCCACCGCATCACCTCCTCTCCTTTTAGGATGGTATAAGGGTACATTGGTGAGCGCTAGCTGGAAAAGCCCCGGCAATGCAATGCTTCAGGTAGTAAAGGAAGAAAAGAGAACACCCCTAGTAACGGCCGCCTATGCCTTGACGGCGTACTTTCGCTGCGGGAAGTGCATCTGCTTCTTCTTCTGCTTCTCGGTGACGAGCGAGGCCTCGTGCTTGGTGAGCCGTCGGCGGATAGCGCGCGTCTGCTTGGGTCGGAGGTCGAGCGGGATGTATCTGGGATATGTCAGATTCTTGACCCGCAAAAATCCGGGAGCGGACGGAAGTGAAAATACGCACTTCTTGTTCTTGTAGAAGAGACGGAGCTGCGCCCGCTGGTTGGCGTTTATGACGGTCAGAACGCGAGCAATGCCCTTCCTGACGTCGTGGATGCGGGTGAGTTTGGTCGAAGCACCTCCAGCGACCTTGCTGGTCCTGAGCTGGATCAACTCCCTTCAATCCGTCAGCATTTTGTCCGTGTCCTGCCCCATTGTCCCCGGGATAACCCACGATTTCAGCTCCTGCAACTGGTTGTTCAGATCATCCTTCGACTTGCTCCACAGCTGGGAGGTCTTCTGCGGCGGTTGTGAGTATTAAATCGGGCGATGCGAGGAGTTTACGGCGGAAGTAACGTACGACTTTGGAAGACGACTGCGGGCATCGAGTTAGCGATCTAGTTTTTGTGCAGCGACACAAGAGAATAAATTTGCGGAGCTGCAACGAGCACGCACACTCTTGCTCTCTACACCGCAAGACAGAGAGCGTGCATGGTGCGCACCGGTCGCAACTAGAATAATGGAAAATAAGACGTACCATCTTGACTGTACTGTTAGTTAGACCCGGTGGTGTCGATTGGAGATCGCGTGTGGTCGACGGCTTGAGGTTGTTCGAAGAATCCAGTGTGGGAGCTCGCTTACGGAGAATCCCGAGCCCCGGTCGCCTGGTCCGAGCGCGCCTTGGCATTGCGTTGCAGGCGCAGGCGCAGGTGCGACCGCGGTCCGTACGATCACGACCGAAGAACTCCAGGCTGGCATTTCCACACGCCAACCCATCCACTACTCCCACAACCTGACATGTCTTCTACAGGCGGCGGATGGGCGCAACTGCGCCAACAGGCGCGATCATTAGAGACCCAGGTATGCAACACTGGTCCGGCGGAGTTGCTCGGTCTTTGGCCGTCTAACGAGGGATGCAGACAGAGACGCTATTCCACACCTATTCGCAGTATGCCTCGACGGCAAACATACCCACGAAGCCCTCAGAAGAGGAGATACGAACCGAATCACAACTCCGAGAGGTCCTCGAAAAGGTACCCCCTCCATCACTTTCCCACCGTAACCACGGTTTCACTTGTTAACACACGTCCCCAGAGAGAAGCCCTTGTAGCCCAACTATCCCGGCTCCTCGACTCTGAATCCGCCCATTCCTCCTCCGCCGTAAAACAAAACAACCTCGCCCGACACCGTGAAATCCTCTCAGACCACCGCCGCGAGCTCTCTCGCCTCAAGTCCAACATTACCGACGCCCGCAACAAAGCAAACCTGCTCTCCAACGTCCGTTCAGACATCGACGCCTACCGGTCTGCAAACCCCAACACCGCGGAGGCAGAATACATGCTCGACGAGCGAGAGCGCATCGACAACACGCACAACGTGACGGACAGTGTGCTAAGCCAGGCATACGCCGTGAATGATAATTTTCGGGTCCAGCGGGAGACGCTGGCGAGCATTAATCGGAGGATAGTGGGCGCGGCGAGTCAGGTTCCGGGAATTAATGGTCTGATAGGGAGGATTGGGGCGAAGAAGAGGAGGGATGGAATTATACTTGGGGGCTTCATTGCTTTCTGCTTTCTCATGTTGCTGTGGTTCAGATGACCCATTTTCTTATCAAGTCTTTTTAGCGTTCGGCGTTTGGGGGATATCCATTAAGTTGCACGTCTTGGGTATGAATATGCGGAAGGAACAGGCGCATTACCTGTTTATATTGTACATCTATGTCTACATCTCCCTAGACGGGGGAGTTGGTATCAGTGGATGCCAACCAGCATTGTGGAGCACTTTTGTACAGCCAAACGTACACTAGTCAAGCCTCCCGTCATTGAGAAGCAGGTCAATCTTCTTTTACTTGAAAGCAATCGGTACCGGAATAGGCAACCCCTTCTCATCCTTTTCCGCACCGGCTCCCACCTCTCCAGTCTTGACTGGAATCTTTGACCTCGTCTTCGTCGCGCCCGCCCTAGCCTCCTCAATCAACCTCTTCAATCCCCTCGTCAAGTCCTGAACCTCCGTGCCCTCCGCATCCGCACTCCCTGCCCACCTTATCTTGCAATCCTGATCGAGAAGATAAACATAACCCACTCTCCCATTCAGGCACCCAATCGTCTCCCTAATCTTCTGGCTCACTCCACTCCGTATGACGAAGTACTTGCCCCAATCATCCTTCCGCCGCTGCCGTCGCAACCTCCACTGAAACAGCGCAATAATCCAGGCTTTCATGCTGTTCTCCTCCACGTTGATATCCACTTGTTGTGCAACGTTCCGATTTTGCTGCAGCAGCTCATGCAACTCCGGGTTGGCTCTCTTCCCCGTAAACGTATGTACCTGCGCCTCTCCCCACGCGCTACTAAACAGATTCACCACGCTAACCTTCCCGCTGAGCACCTGTGTCGTATCCACGCCCTTCTCCTGCAGTGTCTCGCCCCTCAGATTCGGAAAATACAGCGCCGCCTCCTTCTTGAAAAGTCGCGGGTTCGCGACAAACGTCTTCCCTGACCGGTATTTCCGGATGTTCTTGAAGTCGCGGAAGTAGTTGGTGCCCCATTTCTCGACGATGTCAGCGCGCTTAGCGAGGTTGCGTTGTGAGAGCGTCATGCCGGAGTAGTTGGGCTTGAGCGCGGGGAGGGTGTTGTCACCCGGGTGCGGGGGGTGGGAAAAGCCGATAGGGCGGCCGAGGGGCTTGGGGACAAAGGTTTCTTCATCTTTTGAGGGCTCTGGTTGTTGTTGGGCTTGTTTGGAGGAGGGGGTGGGCTGGCGGAGGACGGCTGCGGAGGTGAAGGATTGGACTGGGAGGTGGTGGGCGTTGAGCGCGCGATGGTGGGACCGAAGACATATCGAGGAGGCATTGAGGAGCGTGCGCCCCAAGGGCGATGCTATTCGGGGTTGTAGCATGTTGATGGAAGTGCGGTGCGGAGAGTCGAGTCGAGCTCTGGTTGAGTTGGCTTGGCGGCAAGTCTTAGCGAAGCGATGGCATGTGAGATCATAGCTCGAACACCCTTGCTCTTTCACGACCTCGCCTTTAAGCAGCGCTCTCTTGCAGCGGAGTGACCCCCTCCTCCGCTGAAGGGCTCTATTACACCTAGTGTTCTCCAACGTTCCTAGCGTGGTACACCATCCACAAACCGCTGCACAACCCCATCTCTACCGCCACGCGCACCATGCCCGTCTCCGACGAACCCTATCCAGAAGAATACCCCGAAGACGCCCGCTACGACGACGCCGATATATCCACTGCGCCCTTCGTCCAGCAGCCCGCTTTCGGCCAGCGGCTCTGGAAGAATCCCGTGAGATTCGTGCCCGCCGCACCTCCCTCACCCCCACTCCCCGCCGCACCAAAGCCCAACGGCCGCTCAATAGCAGAGAAATACCTGGCCATCGTCTTCCCCAACGGTCAACCACAGCCGAAGCCCGAAGCCTACCCCACATGCGGCATATGCGGTGCGCTCGTCAAAGAGGCGAACGATCGAGCGCACTATCTGAGTCTAGCGCACCAAGGCGCCCTCCCGCGCGCACCGACGCCGTCGTCGATCGATAGAACGCGTATGGGGCTGAAATACCTCAAGAAACACGGGTTCGATGTCGATTCGCGAGTCGGTCTAGGAGCAAGCGGACAGGGCATGCTGTTCCCAATCGTGCCGAAGGAGAAGCGAGATAAGCTGGGGCTGGGCGTGGACAAGAAGCAAGTGGAGCGAGAAAAGAGAGAAGGTACCACGCCAAAGGATGTCAGGCTAGACGCGGGCAAAGTACGGAAGTTGCACGCCGTGCAAAAGCGAAAAGAGGAGAAACTGCGGAAGATGTTTTACGGGAATGAGGAGGTGGAGAAGTACTTGGGTGAACTAGAGGGTGTGGATCATGGGTTGAAATAGAGATCTTCAACTGTATGACGTGCTCCGTTTGGGGCACAGGAAGACATCTGCATAGCATCGCGACGGCGTTATGGTTGGCTTAGATTATTGGACTTGCGACGAGATACCCGCTTGATACAACAGAGCATTTCATGAATAGATCAGGCTGAATGACACGAAGGTTCTGAAGCTTTACGTCTTTCGTCCCTTTCCATCGTGATTTACAGACGTCAGCATTCATACTATACAAGAGCGGCGTTCAAAACGGAAACTTCAAAAGACGCCATCATGAGGGACCAAAGTCCGGTCTAGCCCTAGACGCCTCACCCAAGTAAAGATGCTCCAGCACCTTGCGTTGCATCAGCAGGACCTAAAAGTCGCGAGCCAAGCGAAAGTGGGTATCCGTTCCGTTTTCCGATCTCCAAAAATAAATCGAACCACATATCCCAATGTTCCTCCTTCATCGTCCCGGCGGCGCATCATGCGGCGGCCCCATCCCATCCCATCCCAAATTCACGCTCTCTAGCAATTGATTCCACCCGCCATCGCTCATAGGCGTCATTCCAGTCCCGGGCCCCATCCCCGCCAGTTCCCACTCCGGACCCATCAAAAACCCATTATCTGCACCGTTCATGCTGCCGGGGTTTCCGGTCACGTATGCCGAAAACATATCGTCGCTAGGTGGGAAGAAGTTCGCATTTGTATTCGTGGTGTTGTTAGGGGATGTCGTGTGCGGAAGCGGAACCCGGTTCGACATGCGAGGTGAGGGACGGTAGGGCAGATGCTCGATGCCTTGGCCGGGCGAGTAAGACGAGTGTGAGGTGGAGCCGCCGCGGGATTGTTGGGATTGCGAGTTGGTAGTTGTGGCGGGGCTCGGTTGGTCAACGCTAGCTGTGTCGGGAGAGATATCCATTTCGTTGTTATCGGCGCTGAGATTGAAGTTACTAGGTACCAGTTGCGGTCCGCTTTGCGAGGGTACAAATGGCGCAGGATTCTGCGGCTCCAGATTGATCTTCGTCACGCTCGAGATATGGAATGGCGGACCCGGCTGTGTACCCGGTATATGAGGCATGTTGTTATTCTTCGCAGCAGTAGCCGCCCGTTCTCCATTCCCATACTGATTAATAGACGCATTCGGGTTCTGGCTTTCGCGGATCTCGAAGAGGGGACTGCAAGAGACCGAGTCAGAATTGACAGGCACGACAGCGCCCTAGAGAAAGACACAAGTTAGCTTAGATTCAGTTGATGGGTTTACTCAATACTGGTTGTGGTCTCGAAACCCGCTGCCATGTGATTGTTCACGTGCTCTGTGTGGTGGTTGCTTACCGCGCCGCTAGGGTTGGGTGGCAGGTAGGGTTTCTGTTGGCCCAGTATACCTGCGCTTTCCAGGTCGAGATCCAGCTGGACCAGAAAGGATTCTGTAAGGGGGTTTTTCCGTCGGAGGGCTTGCATGGCTTGCAAGAGGAATCGGAGAGATGAGTTCATCTGCTGGTCTTTCGGCCGGGTTTTGAGATACTGGACGAAGACGCGCGCTGCAACATAGACGCAGAAGGATATGAATGGATTCATCTGCTGGGGTGAGTTTCAGTGTCGGAGAAGTATGCCTATAAACTTACAGCGGCCAAATCCATGTGGCTGATCATCCTCATCAAGGAGGCAATTTCAGCCGCAGCAGTCACACATCGAATCTTGCTCTCATTGCTGACATTGACTGGCAAGTGGTGCTTGTCCGCTTTGAAAATAGCGGCCTGGTGGAGGCAGATGGAAGAAGTGTGGATGCTCATATTCAGGAATACTACGTTCGGGTCTGATAAGCCGGTCGGGAGTCGTAGATGGTCAGGGAGCCCAAGGGATGTCTGAAGAAGTATGCTTTCAATGGTGCGATGTCGCGTCCAGAATCCGCCGTTCAGGTCATCGTCACAATCGTCGGGTCCGGGCCGATGAAGATGAAGCAGATTGCGACCGAAGAGGGCTGCTGTTAGTACTATACCACCGAATGGCTGAAGATTCCCTATGCTGTTCGGGCTCAATGCTTGCTCTAGCGAGCCAGTAGGCATTGGCTTGCTCTTCTCGAATGCTTCTTCGCTGGCCGGCAAGTTCGTCAAGATCTAAGCTGGGGTTAGCCTCTTGCTCCTAGTTTCAAAAAGTAAGGTCCCTCACATCTCGCTCATCGATTGTCATCGGCCAGCCAGTTCCGATACTGGCATATCTATCGACACAAAAGGCCATCCAGAACGTCCTTCTCCGCTCCTCTCGCTCCGTCCAATCTTTCGGGGGTGGGAGACACTGCTTCACGTCAAGACCAACTCCATCCAATCGATGAAGTTGCATCATCTGAGCCAAACGTGTAGCACGTCCTGAGGAAAGCCAGGCTCTCGGGAAGTACATCTGCTTAAACTCGTATGTCGCCGTCAGAATCCACGCTTGGCAGTGTGCCAGTGTTATTGTGGATTCACCGTGACCTCTCATCTCGTCCGTCTGAGCATACTTCCTCGCTCGCTGGTAGAAGTGCCCTTGCAGCGCATCGTACTTGTCGGTGACGGAAGCCGCCAATGTCCACATAATGTAGCGCAGGCACACGGGCGGCCGCATGTGTGGGGCAAGATTCATTGCGGCCATGAAGCGCGGCCTATGTATGATGGGGACAGAGGGATGTATCTTGGCGAAATAGATCTGGTACCTGCAGCAAGTCAGCCCGCCCCAGCTCTTCTCTTCTCTTTGTATGATGCACGTACAGGTCGTTCATGACATCCTGGGGCGGCAGCGGTTCATCCAGCCCCAGTCCTATCATCTCCCACGGGAACTCTCCCTCGGCAGAGCCCGCATTTGCGCCGCCATTCTGGAATACATCGGGTCCTGGCGATACACCGGACGGGGTCTTGTCCGGCGCAGCGAGGTAGTCGCTCGTGTGAGGCAATGGCTGCTGTAATGTGCTCGCGACGTATGCGGAGGTGGAGTCCTGGCGGGATACGTCCTTGTGCGGGTCGGTCGTTTCCTGGTTCTTCAGGAGCGTCTCCACTTGCTCTATCGCAGCATTCAGTCAGAGAAGCCCCTCCGCAAGAAAGGAATGGAGGACGCACGCAGTCGAGCTTCCAGGAGCTTCACGTAACCCCTCTTCGGCCCGCTCTTCTTGCGCACCTCGTCGTACGCGCAATCGTGAGAGAGCCTCTTGCAGGTTCCGCACGTTGGTCGCGCACCGTCGCAGCGCAGTTTCCGCTTCCGGCACAGCACGCAGGCTATTCGCTTTGGTTTGCTTGCGGCATCCTGGCCCTGCGCATCCTGGCTATTCGTCGTACCTGTCGGCGATTGCCTCGTCTCGTTCGACTCGGGCTGCTGCGACAGGTCGTTGAAGAAACCCTCGTCCGGTGATTCGGACTCTGGTGAGGGCATATTTGTCACGTCTGGCGGCGTTCGCGATCGAGCGGAGTGCGGCGTTGCTCAGCTGCTCGGGGAGGGCCCCCGCGTAAGCAATTGGAGGTGCGGGCAGATTGAACGGAGTCGCGAAACAAAGCCAGGCAGGCGCTTGAAGGGCGTGTACGGCTTCTGTAGACCGATTTCAGCTTGCGTGTTCGAAGTGGATTTAGTTCGCGCCTGAAGGATCGGTCTTAGTGTGGAGCGTCAAGAAAGATTTCCGACCGCGCGCGCGGGACAATCAGGCATCACTCGACCTTACGAGTAATACGGCGCATCCAAGAAGGGGGCGAAGCATCGCGGCAATGTCGTGGCTAGCACGGGATACACGTGAATACCTAAGGGCAGCATCGAGCGTGAAAGGGCTCAGGTCTGACGGCGTTGTCCGTCATGGGGGCCAGTCACAAGCTTTCTGCCCTATGGCGCGCGGTGTCATCCTTGACTGCAGTCCAGATGCACCAAACAGGACGAATAATCACGGAATTCCCGACAGTCGGGAACACGGCGCATGCCAGCCGCTTCCACAGCAGCTCGGCAACGCCGTATTGGAATAATGGCAGGCATCCATATATATGCACAAGCGCCCCTTCATAATCCGGTGAGGTCGAAGCTGAAAAGAAGACTCCTGGTGTTCTTTCACGGTGGTCTGGGCGATCGCGGGGTTCAGATGAAGGATGCACCTGGGCAGCCGGCACCTTAAAACAGCCAGTCTTGCGAGTGCATCCTCGTACGGCCGTACCCCTGCAATGAGAGCAGAAGCCATTTTCAGGAGTGGAAATGTAAGTGTCATACATGCAAAGCGCAGCAGTTGGTTGAGGGTGAGGGCTTGCAGGCATTGGTCTGCCACATGTCTAGCATACCAACAGGCTTCGGTACTATGTATCGCCAGAGACGCCTGCAGCCCATGTGCCCATGCAAGCGAATATGATACAGATTGGGTAACAAGTATAGTGATACATGGAGGCATGTGGCTGCTCTATCTCGGTCTACGCTTGCCTTGGTTGCGTGGTCGGTCTTGGACGAGAAACGTGTGCTTGTTCCTCTTGTGCCTCGTCTTGTAGCCACCTTTGGCCTGCCTTTGCGTTAGCTGATGTCCTTTCTGTTATAGCAATGTGCAGACTTACCGGAGTGCCCCACGGGCTAACCGGGTGCACGTTACCCTTCGATTTACCTCGTCCACCGCCGTGAGGGTGATCCGCTGGTAGAAGTCAGTCCAGCCGCTCCAAACAGATATGAAGGGTCAAATGTGAGAGACGCACCTGCATTCATGGCAACACCTCGAACTTCAGGTCTCCTTCCCAGCCATCGCGACCGCCCAGCTTTACCCAGTGATGTGAAGTGTGCTTGCGGGTTGCTCGCAACTCCAATGGTACAACACGCGTCAGGGCTGATCTTCCGAAGCTCGCCACTCTGCAGACGCACTATTACGCTCTTGATCTCGACGCCGTTCCCTTTCTCTGCCTCTTCCTTGTTCACAACGATGGCGTACGTGCCCGCACTTCGGCAGAAAACGCCGCCCCCGTGGGACTTGGAGCCGACGTTGTAGACTTGCGATCCCAAGGGCACCATGTGGATAGGGAGGCAGTTCCCACGCGTGGCGGTTTTGGCGGCAAGCATACCGGGATCGATGACACCGCCCATGCTTTCTATCAGGTCCTGTGGAATACCGGTCCTGAAGCTTTCAATCTCGTCGCCCGCTCGCATGCCATCAGCAGCCACGATGTAGGACTTCTCGCCCGTCTCTACCCGGGTGATGAGGGCCAGGTGTGAGCTGCGGTTCGGATCGTATTCAATTCGGTCCACCACATGTTTGCCGGGCAGATAGCGCTTGTAGTCCACGATTCTGATCCTCCTCTTGTGGCCGCCTCCTCTGTGCCTGACTGTGACGCGCCCGCTGTTGTTTCGTCCGCCCAAATGCTGTCCTTTTTTTGCAATGGTGAGCTTTAGATGCGGTCTGCCTTTCCAGAGATGGTCGTTGACGGGTCGCTTGAGGTGACGCAACCCCGGAGTGCGTGGTTTGTACGTTCGGAGCGGAATGAACTGATCTTTTCTGGGACCTTCGGAGTGTAGGACACCGGTGTCCGCGTGTACGGCGGGCTCAAATGCGGGCGGGGGGACATGGTCGATTGCGGTGGCATAGGAGCGAGCAGAGGAAAGGAGCGCCTTCGCGAAACGTGAGGGCCCGAGTCGACATATCCTGGGCTGCAACATCTCGACTGATGGCCACGACCGCCGCAGGACAACGTAGACGGACACAATGGGTAGCCACGCGATGATGTGCGGTCAACGGAGGAGCTCCAGAAATTCTCAGACGCCGCCCGGAACGGCTTAGCCTCGCGGCTCCATCTCGGACGCCAGACCCTTGCTGCAACACGACCGCACCTGCCGTGGCAACCACGCACCTGCTTCGTGCCTTTCTCGCATTCGCGAAGACGTTCAAGCCCCCATCGCACCCGCTCTGCATCTCAAGCCGACTCTCAGCGCAAGCCGAACGTCAAGCATACTCATCTACGCGCTCCGGCATCTATTTCGCGTCTGCCCAGGCTCTTTTCGCAGGTAAGCGTGCACGCGTTTCTCATTGGCTCCTGCACGAACCCCAGCCCTCGGCGGTTCACGTCCACGGCGCGGTGTTGGCGCCGCTGACTAAGAGGCGACCTGCACTCAAAACAAACCCGCCGCTACATCTACCTCCATCAACACACACCTTGGTGCAGCACCTCAACTCGCCCCCTCCACCCATACCCGTGCCATTGGAGCTGGACTTCTTCCTCGTCCCTTCAATTACCACGGGCAGAGCTCTCCAAAGGGTCTGTCTCGCTGCCGCCCGTCATATCACCATCGCTGCCGCATTCCATATAGCGTGTCTGGTACTTCGATACTCGCGAGCATCGCCTGGAAGTCTGTCGAGCAGACTGCCACACGCTTGCCCGCGTGTTCGGTGCTCCTGTATTGTTAGCCTCCGCTTCCTTCACATCCGCACCCTACTTCCTCCACGGCCCTTTGCTGACGCTAGAACAGTGCATCATAACAAGACCTGTATACAACATTACGCCCTAATACATAGCCCGATCTCCCGGTTACGACTCTAGCCTTGCTCAACATACCTAATATTGCTTGCGATGCCTCCAGCTGTACGTTGCCGCTCCCTCACCACCCTACCATGCCGTCTCATGATGTTATCGTGGGGTAAGCATGTCGCGTCCTACAGCTCTCTAACAACCTGCACTAGGCTCGGTCTCTCCGGCAGCGAGCCGTCACGAACGAGAATGATGAGAACGCGGGCTCGATACGTGTAACGCGTGCGAAAACGGCCGCGTTGGGCTCGACTGACTCCGCCGCGGATGTGCCCAAGAAGGGACTGCAGACCAAGAAGTCGACCACCGCCCTAAGAACTAATGGTGCCGGTCAGACGCGAAAGCGCGCTGCGCTTGGTGATGTCAGCAACTTTGGCAAGGCGGAGGGTCCCGGTGCCGGCTCCAAGGACGCGAAGGATGGCAAGAAGCCGTTGGCCAGCAAAGTCGGGCAGGTCTCTAAGGCAGCACGTCCCGCTGGGGTTCAGAAACCCTCGCGGACAAACACGATACGCTCTGTGCTCAGCTCCAAGGAGAAGAATGTCGGCTCCTCCGATCTGAAGCGCCCGGCTAGCGGAAACGGCATCGCCGGACACCCGACCAAGAAGCGACAAACTACCGCTACCAGCTCCAAGTCATTCAAAGAAGAGGATACTGAAGAGACGGAGAATGTTGCGCCGAAGACGAACGTCGTGGTTGAAGCGGAAGTTACCAAAACGGCTACTACGAAGCATGAGCGCGTCAAGTCTCAGATTGAGATCTTCGAGGAGGTGGGAGAGGCCGCTCCTGAGGAGCCAGAAGTGCCTGATCTTGACAAGGAGGATATAGACGATCCGTTGATGGTTTCGGAGTATGTTGTCGAGATCTTCGAGTACCTGAAGGAGCTTGAGATCGCTACCATGGCCAACCCCGATTACATGGACAGCCAGAACGAGCTCGAGTGGAAGATGCGCGGCATTCTCGTCGATTGGCTGCTCGAGGTCCACACCCGCTTCCGCCTCCTCCCCGAGACCCTCTTTCTCACCGTCAACATCATCGACCGCTTCCTATCCACCAAGATTGTCCAGCTGGACCGCCTGCAGCTGGTTGGTGTCACCGCCATGTTCATTGCATCCAAGTACGAGGAGGTCTTATCTCCGCACGTGCAGAACTTCCGACACGTTGCCGATGATGGCTTCACAGAGGAGGAGATCCTTAGCGCTGAGCGCTTTGTCCTCGCTGCCCTCAACTACGACCTGAGCTACCCAAACCCCATGAACTTCCTCCGTCGGATATCGAAGGCCGACAGCTATGACATCCAGACCCGCACTCTTGGCAAATATCTTCTAGAGATAGGCTGTCTAGATCACCGCTTCATCGCCCACCCGCCCAGCCAGGTTGCTGCTGCTGCCATGTATCTGGCTCGGTTGGTGTTGGAGCGCGGCCCTTGGGTAAGTCGAGCAACCTTCCCCGTCTCATCTTGCGTACTGATCATTGTAGGATGCAACGCTTGCCCACTATGCTGGATATACCGAGGAGGAGATCCAGCCCGTCCTCGAGCTCATGATCGATTACCTGTCTGGCCCCGTTGTTCACGAGGCGTTCTTCAAGAAGTACGCCAGCAAGAAGTTCATGAAAGGTATGTGTCCCCTGACTTCTGCCTTGAGATTCACTGACATCCTCCAGCCTCGATCGTCCTCCGTCAGTGGTGCAAAAAATACGTCCTTCAATATGGTAACGTGCTTCAAGAGACCGAGAAGTCCCAGCGCTGAGACTGTGTCTGCGCGTTAGGTCTACCTGGTCCTTGCCTCCGATGACCGCCATGACCGCCCTCCCCGTCGCAACCCCGTCAATCTCCATGTCCTGCGCGACATGTGAGATAGACAATCGGCGCGGCCTTCCAATTGCATCCGGTGCTCCATTCATGTTTGCATTTTGGCTCATCGCCTTCGGACCGGCGTTAATAAAAAGGTATGCAATTGGCTACGTGAGGGTCTTGAATGTGTTTTTTCCTGCGAAATCTTTATTTTGGAACGGAGTCGAAGGGCGTCGTCATCTCCTTTTTATGCGACGGCGCAAGGGATCTTCTCTTACTTCGACTTCTTCTCATCTTCATTTCTGAGACGATGACGGCTGGCTCTGGATACAAAGCTCATAGCGCTATGGACGGTATACCGCAATGGTGTTCTACGATCGGCTATTGATTGCGAGGGTGGCAGGGCCGAGATGATGTGGCTATGGGTTGGTCGTCGATACACAGATGGGCTATGTGTTTTTGTGTATGAGTAGGTAGTTGCGCGTTGCGTCGCAATGGAGCCGCCTATGAGCCATGCATGTCTGTTCAGGAGTTTCACCTTTTTGTCTAGCTTTGCATTTCTTGCATCACCTTGTTGGATATCACTTGAGCGTATCATGATGGCGACGACAGCTTCTACATCGGCAATGAGCATATCATTTTCAGAGATGTTTCCATCTGGATGAGTGGGGATCTTGAGGATCTTGGGTTTCTGCCCGCGCGGGAGAGGCGCGACATAAACAAACGCCACGATTTTAATCTGTCAGTGATCGACATGGTCAACCTCGGCATAAAGTCGAGCTAACCACTTCCAGCAGTCTCTCAAACCTCACGTCAACATCGCAGCCACTTGCCATTCTACATTCTCCTCCTACCACTCTTTTAGTGGGACAACGTGCGATGTAACATGAACGAATTAGACCTGCACTACCCGCCCGATGCCTGTCCTTTCTGCAACATCGCCTCCGCCTACCCTTCATCCTCCATTTCCTCCCGCCTCTGGACCCCAGCATCCGTATCGCTGGAATCATGTATCCCGAACGATGACGAGGCGCATCACGAGAAGACGACGCCGAGTTCCTTTGTCGTGCTGGCTAGTCGGGATGTGGTCGCTTTCTTGGATATTCTGCCCATGACGGGTGGGCATTTGCTGGTTGCGACGAGGGGGCATCGGGTTAAGGTCGCGGATATGGAGGAGGGGGAGGGAAGGGAGATTGGTGAGTTTGAGAGAGGTATAGAGAAAGAAGAAAGAGAACCTGATTCAATAATAGGGTTTTGGTTACCCGTGCTGGCGAGGGTTGTTGCCAAAGTCACGGGGGTTACGGATTATAATATTGTGCAGAATAACGGTACGTCGTGCATGGCCTCAGGCGGTCTTGCATTCTATCTAGGTATGTGTTGTTTGTCGCTTATACAGCTGTATCAGGGGCAAGGGCCGCGCAAGTCGTCCCCCACGTCCACTTCCACATCATTCCGCGGCCGGAGACGATGCCGCAGATCCAGAACAAGAGCTGGACTATGTTTGGGAGAGGACAGAGGGATGATTTGGATGACGAGGACGGGGCCAGGATAGCAGGCGAGATGAGGAGAGTGTTGCGAGATGAGGTAGAAAGGATGAAGGGCGCCACGAAGCTGTGATTTTCTTAGAATGTCAGTAGGATCGAGGTTGGGTGCATTGCGAATGTACAAGGCGCTGTAGAAGACGCATAGAGGTAGACCCTAGTGTGCGGAAATGTTGGTACATGTACAATATCTATACATAATGCCGAATCTTTATACATACCCACGCTACTCCGTCTTATCCCCTTTCTCCTTCTCTTCCATATCCATTCTCCGTCCCTCAACTGTAAAATACAAACTCCTACTCGCTCCTTCAAGCGCACTCGCAAGACCGCCCCCAACCCCCTGCAGCACGTGCACAAGCTGCGCCCGAAGACCATCAAGACCACCCTCAATACCACCAACCCACCTTGTGCCTTCGGTATCAAATACTTTGCCTTCTACTCGCGCGCCTAGTAGCATAAGCTTTTGGAGTCCAGATTGCACGGCCGGCTCGTGGTAGTCCGGGTTTGTTCGCCTCTTTGGCGCGGGGAATGCGGGAGAGGGAGAAAGGATCGAAAGGACGGTCTTGAGGTGTTGTGGGGACACGGTGGGAAAGGCTACAACGGCTAGGGGTCCGGAGAGGAGGGGTTCGAGCTCGAGCTTTAGTTTTCGATTTGATGCGGCTTCCCATGCCCTCCTGCTCAGCCCGTGCGTAAAGCGCTCGTCTTCCGGTACATTCGTAGTCTGCGGTACCTGGGCGCTCGTCGGTGTCCTCGGGTCTGTGGGAGGTTGCGCATGATCCATAGTTCCCTCTTCTGGTTGGAAGAACTCCACGACCCTCAGTGCACTCGCAAAAATGTTCGTCTGGATAACCTGAATCTTGACCTGTTCAGCCAACGCCGTGCCCTCCCTGCCCTGTTTCGCCAGCTCATCCTCCAGCTTCTGCAGCGCTATCGCCAATTCTCTGCGTATAGCCATCCATTCTACGGCTTTGACGTTGTTGTGCTGGAAGAGCAGGATTAAGGGCGAGGACTTGAGGAGCGATTGGTATTGCCGGTGGAGTTGGGTTTTGCGGACTTCGGGGGGCTTATGAGATGGCGGTTGTGTGGGCGGATAGCGGAGGACTGGTGGTGTGGAGCGTATGGTTTGTTCTATGGGTGGCGCTGGGGTTGTTGCGGTTGCGAGGGAAGCATAGGTTGCGCCGATGGGGCTCGCGGGATGAGAAGCCCGGACGCACAAGGCGCGTGGTCGGAGGCGTATTCGTGGTGGCATTCTTGTAGGGTGTCAGAACGCAGAGCGCTAGCCAAGCAATTGACGCGAGTACTTACGTGAAGTGTGGGTTGCTGTGCAATTGGCATGGAGTGAGGTCCTCCAGAAATCTTTCGGCAGAGCTCGAGAGTGTCAATGGTCCGTGCGCAGTTGCTCCAATTGAGCGCCCTGAACTGGAAGCCATCAATTGCACCTCCGGCACTCGTTTGTTATATCTCCTTCTTCGCTGTATTATGTTAATTGTCTCATAATCCTACATTAGCCCGATCACTACGTACCGTAGCTCTGTGGACGCCAATGAAGGCGCATATTTGGAGAGGAGCGCATCGAGCGAACGTACATTCAAGAGTAACGTGCAACGCTAGATTTATAGCTGTAAGGAGTCTGGAACTTCGTTCTCGCTGTGGAGCAGCATTGATGACGATGGCATAGACCGATTCACGAAATCGACTATCAAAATTCTGGGCACCTACAGGAGGCATCTCACCGCAGGAAGGAGAACACGGTCGGCATTGAAACACAGCGTCTAGATTCCCTAACTAACGTCGACACAGATGACTCTCATGCGCATTTGGTTCGAGGAGGCTTCCTCCGCCAGGTAAATACCTCCGTCCCATCCCTTCTCCACCATCCATTGATCACGTGCAGGCCCATTCAGGAGTCTTCCACCTCCTCCCCCTAGGCCTCCGCGTGCAAAACAAGCTGGAAAACCTAATAGACAAGCACATGCGCTCTCTTAGTGCCTCCAAACTCTCCCTCTCATCCATCACCACCGAAACATTATGGCGCCAGTCCGGTCGCTACTCCGCGAATTCAGAACTCCTCCGTTTAAAGGACCGAAGAGAATCTGGCTTTCTTCTGTCTCCCACTCACGAAGAAGAGATCACGGCTCTTGTGAGCGGAATGGTGCACTCATATAAAGATCTACCCCTGCGATTGTATCAAATAGGGCGGAAGTACCGCGACGAAAGACGGCCTAGACAGGGTCTCCTCCGCGCTAAGGAGTTCCTGATGAAAGACCTCTATACATTCGACTACTCGCATGATAATGCGCTGAAAACATACGAAGCAGTTCGGAAAGCGTACAACAACCTGTTCAATGAACTCAAGATCCCCTATCTCGTCGCAGACGCCGACTCCGGGAACATGGGCGGCAAGCTCAGTCACGAATACCACTTCGCCTCCCCCAAAGGCGAAGACAACGTCTGGTCCTGTGATTCTTGCAGCTACGTCGCGAATGAAGAACTCGTCGAGAAACGAACGTCAGATACGCCTTCTGATATCAACTGCCCACCGCTGGTCTTCACAGGTATAAGCGTGGACCGCAGCCTCGCCATCAACATTTACATCCCCCGCCCAGCAGCTATGTCGGCAAACGAGTCGCCCCCTTGGGACCACATCCACGAGTTCGTAAACCTGCACGCCCTGAAACGGCTCACAGGCATGGACATCGACACCGGTATCGAGACGGCAACACTACACTCCCTCCTCCCCAATACTACATCTACAACTGACATCTACGACCGCGCCGTACGCGCCCCTAACTCTCCAAAATTCGTCGGCGACCTGACCATCACGAAATCAGGCGACGGCTGTCCGCGCTGCGAAGAGGGAAAGCTTTCAGTACGAAAAGCTATTGAAGTAGGCCACACCTTCCACCTCGGCACACGATATAGCGTACCGCTTGAAGTGCTCGTCGCAGTGCCAGACAAGAACGAGAAAGAAGCCATGCACATGGGATGCCACGGCATCGGGGTCTCGCGGCTCATCGGCGCTATTGCGAGCCTTCTCGTGGACGAGCGGGGATTGAATTGGCCGAGGGTCGTAGCGCCCTATGAAGCCATTATAATTACGACTCCTCAAGTTACGGAGGAGGATAGTGCACAAGTGTATGACACGTTGGCGGGAAGGGATGGTGCGACGGAACTGGATTTAATACTAGATGACCGGCCCATCAAGAGTCTAGCGTGGAAACTGCGAGATGCGGATCTGATCGGATATCCCGTGCTAGTAGTGCTCGGTCGCCGCTGGAAGGAGAGGAGGGAGGTGGAAGTACAGTGTCGCCGACTGGGCGTCAAGAAGGACGTTGCGCTGGAGAATCTGAGGAGCGAGGTGCTGGACCTACTGGAGCAACTATGAGGGTATTGGCAGCGGATGTATGATATTGCGCAAACCTTGTAATCTACTGTACATACCATATCATAAGACATACGTGGCGGTACACATGACCACACGTGTTAGGTTCTGACTGTGGACAACCATTCCTAGAGAGTTTCAGCACCTTCGCTGATATGTCCTGCAACGTTCGCATTGCCGTGTAGAAGCCAGCATGTCGTTGCGCTCAGTGGTTCGACTTCACACGAAGCGAAATGGCGAATTCTAAAATAAAAAATTCTAATTCGCAGACTAATCGCTACCAAGATCCTAGAAATCCGGTCCAGAGGCCATCATTCGAGGGCCCTGCCTAGTCTGCCACAATGAAAATCAAGTTATCTTCCGGGTACTTTTGAGGTACTGCCAGCGACTCCAAGCCGTCAAGAAACCATGTCAGATGTTCCTCCTATTCACCAGACATCCGATGTGGAGTATGTGACTAAACCGATGAAGGGGTGGGGAATGTCCCGAATTCCATAGAGACAGGGGGAAATCAGCGTGCGGGAAGTCTATGGGAAAGGGGAAACAATTAGGTAGAAGTGTGTGTGTCAATGCCGGAAAGAATGGGCCAGGCCATGGCTCGCGTGCCTGGATGTCCTGACTCCGCAAACTGGAGCCAGAAGTGCTTCAATGCCTAATACTTCCTGGTGACCTTCTTGTCCTTGAGTTTCACATCGGGCTTCTCCTTGGGCTTTTCCTTCGGTTCGTGAGTCTCCACCGTAATATTACCAATGGTAACGCCACCGGAGCTATTGACGACTTCCGATAGCTTCATGAGCTTCTCCATCAGCAACCGGATACCATCTCGTGGCGGAGGCTCGATATTATTGCTTAGCCGCAGGTTTGGAACGCCGAGGTCGTCGCCGTTCTCTTGAGTAACACTTGATGTGAGTCCGTTGTCCGGAAGGAAAGTGGAGACTGTGTCTCCCCAATCGGCCGCACGTCCGACGGGAAGGCGCTCCAGCTCGCACAGATGTGTGGCCCACTCGCTGTGGCGCACGTTGATGCCCCAGCAAGGTGCCCGCTGCTGTGGGTACCACATGCTAACGGCCTCAACTTTGTAGCCAGTCTTCTGGATGCCAAAGGTGTAGATCTTATCCAAGCGGCCGGTATGAATCTTCAGACTTTTGATGTTAGGCCATTCTGCAAAGCCTTCTTTCGAGTGCATGTCGTAGCACAGCTTCATCTGGACCTGGTCGGCAAAGCCACGCAACGCGGGTGAGACGAGCTTCTTGGACAACGGCGTCATGGATTCCAGACTGAATTGCCATGCTCGCCCCCTAAATGAATTAGTATAAATTGGCATGCAAATTACCCAGAAGACTTACTCGCCTAACTCTAGCAGCTTGATGTCCATGTTCTGCTTCGGACCGGCGTGACCAGGCCTGAGTTGGAAATACCTCGGTTCCATTTTCTCATACACTCCCTCCTCGTCATCTGTCCAGTCTATTTGCACCACGATAAGACTATACGTGGGTGCAGCCTTGGTTTTCTCATTGCTCTCTTGCTTCTGAGGCCCTGGCCTCCCAGGGTGACGGTTGAAGACCTGCGTGTTCACGATACGTGCGTTGGGATCGTGAAACACCCAGGTGCCTCGCAGCATCGGACGGGTTTCATCCAACGACGGTGGTTTGTATCCGAAGAACCCGGCGGACTTTGTCGGCTCTAGGAGATCGCCCGCGGCTACGAGGCGAGCGAGAAGCCGATCACCCTCCTTGTCAGGGAAAAGCCTATGAGAATTGTGAGCAGAGATAGAACTGCAGGATGCAGCAGAACATACCATTTCTTGGCCTCGCTATCAATCCGTGTCTCAAGGGCCTTTAAGAAGTGCTCCTTGGGGTAGTTCTTCCCAATTTCACTGTGAGGCATCTTCTCAGAACTAAGCGCAAAGCACCCATAACGAATGCAGAAGTCGTAATAGCCTTTCTCATATCGGGCTGACTCGAGCGCAAGCTGGATCGCGCGTTGGATAGTTGAGAGGTCAGTGAAATGTAAACCGTCCTGACGAAAGGCACCCGGTATGTTCATCATTGGGTGATAAATAAGACGAGGTACGATTCCATGACTCGTTCGGTTTGGCCACCAACGTTCAACTTCTTCGAGAAGCACATCCATGCCTTCTCTGTCATCGAGGATCATGTGGAGGGGGAACGGTGCAGCGAATTTACTCGTCCGAGCCTTCTGGATCATGGTGAAGTAGTGCTGTTCGGCAGAGTCAACACGGGCTATGTCGAAGCCTGAAATTTCAATGCGCCGAAGGTCAAGTGGAGTGATCCAGACCTCGTCATCCATTCGGATAGTATCCAGAGCCTCGAGTCCGGTACCGAATACATCTTTTGGGATGACCGGCTCGCTGTGGTCGCCCAGATCTTTTGGCCAGTCTACGACTATCTACAGTAAGTTAGCGAAATAAGCCCGGGTTAAGAGATCACGTTGACTTACCTTGTAGGGGACTTCTAATCCTTCTGGAATCGGATGCTTGAACATTTGCTTCCGCTCCCTCTCCATCTCCTGCACCTCTTTGTAGTACCACTTGTCATTGTCGAATGCGGGACACTTCGCCCAGGCGGAGGACTCCTTGGACTTGGTGTTTGCATTGAGAATCCAATCGTTGATCTGCCGCTCTGCTTTGTCCAGATTCGAGCCAGAGCCGTACACGTCAAATCGGACGATCTTGCTATGGTCCCAGTGTGACACTACTTCGCAGTTGGTCTCTATCTTCCAGAGGTGAGCAAGCCGCTCGCTCTCCCTGAAGAGAGTCACACGTCGGTACTCTGGAGGAACGCGGACGAAACGATTCGGGGGTCTGCCGAAGTTCGCGGGCCTGGCGACCGCGCCGTGTGGGGGCGGACCGTTCCTGTTGCTCATTGCGCCGGGCGCGGCGTGCTTCAAATGCTTCTGAGGCATTCAGAATCAGCAGAAGCATACCAATGAGAGAAGCGGCGGTGAAATGTACTCACAGCTGGATGGTGGTTTTCGTGTTTGTGGCCGCACACTTGGCTATTCGATAAGGTTCTCGGGCTCAGGCCCTCGATGCACTTCGTTGGAGTCGCCTGGTGAATTGTTGATGTCGGGAAGAGAAGCCCTTCGGCCTTGAAATTGCAATTTGCGCCTAGTGGAGCGGTGTGGAGAAGTTAGGGCGACCGGGAGCCGAGAGGGAAGGCGTGATGCTTGGCACCAAAGGGGTCAGTGGCTTCTTCCGCAGTCGGAGAAAGTCTCGCGGCCGCTTAGTGGGCTGATCTCGCCGCGGAGATTGGATGATTGATTAGCCGTACCCTGCTGACGAGGACGGTAGTTGGCCTATCGATCGGTAGGTGTGTTGCGGTGTGTCGGTGAATAATGAAGAGTCGCGGTGAGCACGGGTTCAGAGCACAAGACGGCCTGGACCGCTAGGGAGTATGACGTCGTCCGGCTTTCCCGTTGTAAAGAGTGCACCAAATTTGTTGGTGGTTGTGGCGATAGGAACGGATGGACCGCAGGGAATGAGCCCGTAAATCAGAGCAATTGGGGCTGAGAGCAGTTATTGAATGAAAGCGCTTCTCGAGGAGTGATGGAAAGACGAGAAGAAAAGCCAAGGAGAGGTTACTAGAGTGTAAAGGGATTGGGGGGGTGGCGATTATTGCAGTGAAGGGCAACGGAAGGTATGAGCGAGGAGAAGGCTCTCCAAATCTTTCGGATGGTACTGAAAAGGGGCGAAGGCAGAGTCTTACTTTAGACATAAAGCCTGAAGGCCTGTGTCTCTCACTTCTGGACTTCTGTCTCTCGAGAAGTCTAGAAGCCTCCAGTGGAGCAAGTACGTGCCTAAGCTGAAGATGTCTCCAGTCGATCTGCTCCAGTCCCTTAAGGATTGGAAGGAGCACTTGTGGTGAGTATGTGTTTATCTTCGGTCTTTTAGGCCGGGAGTAAGACCAGCTAAGAGCAAAATTCATCTTGAGCCTTCGCTTAAGCTCCCATTTTGTCGGGGACGGGCACGAAGAGCGAGGGATGTAACCCAGGAAAGATCCGTCGCTTGCTTGTCCCGCCCGCTATTACCCTTTAGAGCCCACTATAGTGCTGTTGAGGGGCATTGGTTGAGTCCAGTTCGAGTCATATTATGGGCCATGTACCGATCGTTGATAAGGCGGCTATTGATGTCTAGAGTGATGTTAACCTCGTCCGGAAATATTGGGTGAACTAAGCCAACACGTGACGTCGCGGAGGTGCACGAGCCGCTCCGATCGATTTTCTGAGGAGAACATCAACCCATCCGAAATCGAAGCCATTACCGCTGGATCAGCCCGCAGCTTGATGCACGACTCTTCTTTCCGAATGCGCAGACCTTTTTGACGCCCAATTGCACTTACGATCGGTCGCTCGCTATTACTGTTGAAGTCTGGAGCATTCCCCAGCTCCCTCCACTATGGACGCTGTACCCATTAGCAAGAAGATAATTGCATTCGGCAGCAAACAAATCTTCCTGTATGCCCTTCCCAGTATTACACCGATTACTTCCGCTTACAATCCCCTCCAGGCCCAAATTCACAATAGCGCTCGTCCGCACACCGCACCTCTCCGCCTATCACGCACGCTTCCTCGTCCCGCTCAACTTCTCCAAATACGACCTCCGCGACTACCTCTACCATGCGTACAACGTCAAGATCTACAACATACGCTCGTTTGTTAAGCAAGAGCCCGTGCGAGACACGCGCGAGCAGCCGCGGCACTGGTTCCGGCCTGACAGCAAGAAATACATGACGGTGGAGATGGAGAAGCCGTTTGTGTGGCCGGCGGACCCGAAGAGCTGGGAACCATGGGGTAAGGAGGAGAAGGAAGAGCAGGTAAAGTCTATGCTTCGTTCTTTGACGCATGGGCAGATGATGAAGGATAAGAGGAATGAGGCGGCGCATCTGAGGAAGCAGGCAAAGGAGATGCTGGGGTGGGCGGAGAAGAAGGCGATGGAAGAGGCGGAGGAGGGGGGAGAGAAGAGAGAGGAGGCTGCGGAGGCAAGCCCAGAGAGGAAGAAGAGCCTGTTGGAAATATGGGAAGAGAAAAGGACACCGCAAATGCTTGGAAGATAATGGACCGTGGTTTGCAGCCCGGGGTGGAGATGCTGCCGGATAGTGAGTGCTGGAGGCGTTGGCAGCTGTTGATGGCAGAGCTCAATGACTCTCAGTCTCGGACCTTGTATAATTTCGATGTAAATATACAGTCGGATTTAGCAGCCAAAGGGCGGCTGCGCGTTCTGTAAGAATATGGACCACGACACTTCAACCAAGTGCCTTCATCACATCAAGTGGATCAAGCCATTGACAAGGATTATGGTGGATGCACCACGTCAAGGTGCTCGTTGATATCTGACTCCACTATCCGTAGGCTACAGATCGGGCACTCAACCAACACTTTCTTTCCCACGACCAAAACACTATCGTCTTCCTCGGCATCTGTTCGCGGCCGTTTCTGGCTAGCTTTCAAGCCCGACGAAGATGGATCCGTCTCCACCACGTCGTCGATGATAATCATTTCCGCCTTACGTTTGAAATTCAGCTTCTTGGGAGAGGTTTTACCCTCTCCCTCAAGATCAATCGGTGTGTCAGAGGTCTTATCCTCAGCAGGCGCACCCTGCTGCGCTGCCGTCTTGACCCAGCTGTCCAACTTGTTTTTCTGCATTCCTGCTCTTTCCTTTTTGCTCATGGCATCGATCTGCTTCTTCGTAGGCGCCGGCTCTTGAATCTTGGTGTAGGTCCCCCCGCACTCGGCTCCATGCCTCGCCCACCAAGTGTCGCTCTTCCCCGGAGCCCTGTTCATGCTCCGCTTTACAAGCCCAAAATACGGAGGTCGATCCTTGCATGGCCCGTTGCACTGCCAGACGTGTGTCCTATAGCTGTCCACTTCATCGTGGAATGTATGGTATACGGTAATGTCGTAGCTGCCATGGTTGTTGATTGCGTCAGCAAGCAACTGGAACCCCACGCCGTGGCCGGTGCCGTCGTCGCCGCGTGAGTGCCGCCATGAAGTTGTAATGAAGAAGTAAGCGTGGATGGCCTCGTGTAACAGCGTGTTAATGGTATCCGAGCGCGGGCGATATTGGAGCAAAGGCGTGCTCAGCTTCAGCCGAATGCGCGTGTATTTCCCGGTCGCTAGGTCTTTGGATAGCTCGCAGATCCCGGCGCACCTGCTGCACGTCAGCGATTCTGCACTGATACGCTTCGCCCGAGAGGCTTCGACGGAATGCGAAATAGGCCGACGCGCTTCAGAACCCAGCATATACAGTTCAATACAACAGTGAGCTTAGTAGATGGGTGCTTACAAAGTCAACCGCGGCGACCACAACACTTCAACTCGTGGCGCTAGAAGGTTCCGGAAATACAGGACATTATAGTGCCCGAAGAGCTCGTGGATGTCGACGAACGGCTCGTCATTGCAGAGTATCTTGTTGATCGAGGTGAGAGCTTCGGTCTGCTCGACGGAGAGATGCTCGAGAGTCGCTATCGCCTGGAGGGCGGCGTCCTCGTCCGTGACGGGCATTGCGACGGTGGTCCAGCCTTTTCGGCTTCATGGGTGGGTGTGGTGTTTTCGTGTCTCGGAAGATGAGGGAGGGGAGCATGCGCGTCGGGGCGGGTGAATGTGGCTGAACGAGCCGTGAGGCTCGGTTGGGCTAAAGACCTTCCACGTTGTTTCGAAGACATCGCCCAAGACCACACCCTCGCCCCCTTGCTGCCCGTTAATTGCTCCTCCGCCCTTTGACTGTTTACCCCCAACGCTCGTTGTTTCCGCGCCTTTGCCAGAACATCGAAGAGCCCAGAAGTGCGCCGAAGGTCTGCAAGCTTACGGATCGCGATCTCGACCATCCTGGCCACATATGACGCACTCTGTCCCACATGTACAGCATTTCGTCTCCCACCACCTACACCACGCCGCACAATCCGTAACAGCACCCACGCCGCACGCGTTGCTACCATCTCACTCCTCGAATGTGCGCGCATTAGCTGGTTCCGACTGAGATGGCGGCCGCGGAGACTCCCACTGCCGCCGATCTCGTGCGCACTTCCTCGCAGAACTCGACCGCGTCGAACAGCAGAAAGAGCAGCACCGTACGCGTAAGGCCTTTGAAAAGGAGCTCCAATGCGTCTCTGGGCCGAACACCCTCGCCCGCCGCCGATGACAAAAGCTTGACGTCGTTCCCTTCGCTGTCGCCTACACCAGATTCATCCCCGGTACAATCGCGTGTCAACGGCTGGTTTCGCGCGGCGGTCGGCGCAGGAGATTTGGGAGGCAAGAGCGGAGAGAACAAGCCCACAAGCTCACCGGAGACTATCAAAGCTATACCTCCGGCCGACGTCAATAAGGACAACGGGCCCAGCTCGACAGTGAGGAAGGTCACAAAGTCCACACAGCAAATTGTTGGCAGCCTAGTAGCAGCAACCCCCTCAGCAAGGGACCGGTCCGCCCTTTTCGACGACACCCCACCGGAGCCCGCCAAGGTTCCGGGTAACCTCCACTATGCGAGCGACCAGAACATTGAAGATATGCTGGAGCAATCGGGGGCGGTGGCATTAGTTCGACAGCTGGCTGGGGACTTGGCGCAGCGAGATGCACAGGTTACAGCATTGAGAAGAAGGGCGGAGGAACGTGAGAGGATCTTGAGGAAAATGCTACAGGAATGCGAGGTATCGAACATGGATATTGAGAACAGGCTCCGCGAGCTTGACCGGGGCCGGACCCAGGACGGGAACGAGAATGGCCCTAGAAGAGTCAGGAAGAGGGGAAGCGAAAGTGGGCTGTCTGGCCTGCACCCTGACGACCCTATTGACCAAAGACTGGCCCGCGCCATGGAAGACGAAATACCAGAACACCCTGATGCTCTAGGAATTGACTCTGGAGCCGCAGCACCTGGAGGCGATGATGCGTCTATCCATTCCTTGTCCGAGCCACCGCGCGAGACAGGTCGCAGCAACTGGAGGAGCTATCTCTGGAACGGGACGAGTAGGAAGAGCAGCAGAGCCCCTTCTGTCGCCAGTATGATTGACAGAGATGCAGAAAGCCATTCAGTTCAGACCCGCTCACGAGCTTCTAGTGGCGCGAAGCAGCCGCGGAAACCCATTAGCAATGATCTGTTTGTCCCGCCTGGCGCAGACAGAGGCACTAGCGCGATTCCCTCCCTACGTCGACTACAGAGCGAGGACCAAGCTCAGTCCACTCCATCATCCCGTAGATCTTCTGTCTCAATAATGAACTGGACGTTGAAGATGGTAGCGGGCAACAATCAACCGGGTCGCAGTTCTGACAAGGTCAATGCGGTTAGAGGACGCAAGAGTATCACGTCGGACCCTGCCGATAGGACACCTTCCATGGATTCTACCAGAACGACTCAGTCGAGCAGGTCTGCACTTGCAAGGCGTGGTGGCCGAACCCTCGGGCCGAATGGAACCATCAAGACCATCTCGACGGAAGCCCCGAAAAACGGTCCCGTTAATCCCAGCCCTCACCCACCTGCTCGTGGCCTGAGCAATCTTGGACCTGTGGAGATGGATAGGATCTTGCCCGAGGAATCGCGACCTCCAACGTTGCTGCAACACCACAACAGATTCGCCACGAGCAACGAATATCTGACTGATAGGTTCGGATTCATATACGACCAACGCCGGAAGAAGAGGCAAAGCGAGGCTGCCGCTGCCGTTACCAAGCAGAAGCGAAGCAGCAATGTTGAATCTATCGGCGACGGCAGATCGGTACTCAAAACTCTCGGGCTCGGCGATGAGCCTGGCGACGCCCCAGCACCCGTCCTTGATGGGGACGCCGCTTTAAGGCCACCATCTAGACCGGAAAGCACCAGCTCGGAGGACCAGGCGGCCAAGCAGCCTGTAAAGACGTGGGCTGACTATCTCAAACTCGCAACTCATCCCACCGAACTGCTATCTCATACCCCTTCGGCAGCACCTATTACGACTGTAGAATCGCCAGAGGCCGAGATATCTGCCCCAAAGCTTAGCCAGGTCACGGCTACGGTCGCGAAGCGTGGCTCTCTACCTACATCAAGCATCAATCCCGAGCCCTCTCCTTCCCGAATTGTTTCTGGAAAGGCAGAGTTCTCGATTTCATCACCGTCTCCAGGACCAGCGAGCCCGCTCAGCCCCTATCCTCATCAACCCGACCCCGTGAAGTCCCTTCTGGAGCAGCTCACAGAGCTACACGACAATCTGCAGAAAGAGAAAACGGTGAAGTGGAATGAGTTCTTGCGCAAAGTGCGTGCCGAGCGGAAGCGCCAAGGTGACGCAACCAACGCTGGCGAGGGCCGATCAATAGGGCACGACATGCCAGAAACTCTTCTAACCGATGGCGAAATCGTTGGCGTAGCAGGTCTTGGTAACAAAGGGAAAGTTGGACGCGCCAAGTGGCAGGAATTCCGTCGACTCGTGCTCGGTGGTATTCCTGTCGCCTATCGAGCAAAGATCTGGGCAGAATGCAGCGGTGCGTCTGCTTTGCGCATCCCTGGATACTACGAGGATCTGGTCAGCAACGGCGAAGACAACCCCACCATTGTCGCTCAAATCCAGATGGACATCACTCGCACTCTCACCGACAATATCTTCTTCCGAAAAGGCCCAGGTGTGCACAAACTGAACGAGGTATTGCTCGCCTACTCTCGTCGCAATCCTGAAGTGGGATACTGCCAAGGCATGAATCTCATCACCGCCTGCCTCTTGTTGATCATGCCCACTGCCGAAGATGCGTTCTGGGTGCTGGCAACCATGATCGAAAACATCTTGCCGCAGAACTACTACGACCAGCATCTGCTTACCTCCCGCGCCGATCAGTCCGTTCTGCGTGAGTATGTCGTTGAGTTGCTCCCAACGCTCTCGAACCACCTCGAGCTTCTAGAGATCGAGCTTGAGGCGCTCACCTTTCAGTGGTTCCTCTCCGTCTTCACCGACTGTCTGTCTGCGGAGGCACTATACCGCGTGTGGGACGTGGTCCTGTGCATGCACGACGGCTCGACATTCCTATTCCAAGTCGCGCTTGCCCTTCTGAAGCTGAATGAGAAACAACTGCTGCAGTGCGACACCCCGGCCGCCATTTACCACTACATCAACCACCAGATGACGAACCACGCTATCAGCATCGACGGCCTCATCCAAGCAAGCGATGCCCTCAACAAGGTCGTCAAGCGCAAGGATGTGGAAGAACGACGAGAGCGAGCCGTTGCTCACGAGCGGGACCTGATGCGTCAGCGCGAAGAAGCTCGCCTGGAACGGAAAAGGAAGAGAGCAAGCAAAGCTGCGGAGGAGCCAGCTCCCTTAGAGATGACCAGCAAAGCGCCTTCCATCTCAGCAAGTCTGGATGCCGAGTTGTCAATGCACACGAGTCCTATGCGGACGCCTCTTTCAACGGCATCAAGGAGAAGCGAGGAAGAGGAGGATGCGGACGCATTGAATCAGACTCTGGAGAGCCTGACAACGAGGACACCGATGCCCATCGAGGAGGAAAGCCTTTGGCGCGCTTGAGGTTCCCTTTGCCACATATTTTCGTTCCTTTGGGTCACTTTCGGTGTAGGTGGTGTTTTCTTGATACCCCAGCCCAGATTAGTCCATTCCTTCTAAAATAACGGTGTCCCAAAATCGTCTCTTTTGTCAAGTTTGCATTGGGGGCGCTCCGGTCAGAAGTCAGCATACAAATACCCCCGAAGATTGGATTGCACTTTAGTCCCTAGACACATTGAGATTAAGGCGGGCTTCTATTGAGCTCATACATATACCCACTTTCTTTATTCGTGTAGACTTCGGTCCTCGTCCTTGGTTGTTCTTGTGCCTGCTTTGCCGAGCACTAGAAGAAAAGCCAAATGTTCTTACCGGAAGAGCCTACAGTTCTGGTATCCCCGCATGATCTACAAGCAGCAGAGGGTGAAAGCGGATTGTCAAGACGCCTGGGCAGACCCATGCTCTAAGATCCGACTTTGCCTGATTAAGTCTAGGCCCGATCTTGATGGCTATAGATACACTCACCTCCCTTCGACATGACGCCCCCTTTCGCTCTTTCTTGAATTCTCAGCCCACAGGCACACGTGGTATACGTACGTCATTGCCATTGGCGAATGGAATATCAGCTGAGCGTGGTCTCGTTTCCCAGGTCAACAACGGAAGGAGCGGACAACGAGCGAGATCACTAGTGAACGCGAATCCCGCCATTTGAGCCTCTACAGCTCTGCCCACGCTACTCTTTCCTGCATTCCAGCGCATAAGAGCCGGTGGCAGAGCGGTCTTAAGGGCTAACAGCAAAGCAGACTCAAGATGCACGCGAGCACGCCAGCCCAGTGGCCGGAGCGGCTGCCGGTCTCCGTTTGACCACGGAGTCACATCGCCCCCGCGTTGTTTCCCTTCTCCAATCTAAGCGGCTGAGTCACGGCAATGCGGCTACAAGAGGTACGCTCCTTCCCCGTTGTCTAATCTGATGCTGGTGCATCGTCGGCGTGACCTGATTAGCGCAGCACCAACACCGTCTTTCACCTTCCCAGGCACCATGATGGCTGGTTGCCTGCTGCAGTGGGAGCAAATTTCCCGTTCGCTCGAGCGCGTAATTGTTGCCCCGCTTCTGCCTGGAAACGCAGGTAGTGCTTAAGATATAATTCCCCAGTCGACCACCCAAGGTCTAACCTTCAGCTTCTCCCATACATGCCCGCTACGCCAACGGCCTGTTGTACTAGCCTCATACGCCCTACTACTATATCGTCGGATCTACTACAACCATGACTCGCGTACAAAATCTCCCGGATATTCCGAACGATGCTATCCGTCTAATCGACCTCATCGCCAAAGCACTGGGCGCGTGCATGAGCGAGCAACTTGTTCAAGCCAACCAGATGATTCACGAGAAAGCCAACGACGGAAGAGTCGCCGCTGCGAAGGAAATCGAGGCTCGACTTGACCAGGCCCTAACTGCCGTCCTCGAGAGGCAGCCCATCTACAAGCTCGGCGTCCGCAAGACTATCATTGTGAACATTGGACCTTTCATCAGTGAGTTCGTCCTGAAGCGCCCCATCGTCACATGTGACGCTGACCAGACCAGAACCCAACTCGCTTGATGACACAGCAACGTTTATCTCGCGCAACAAGAACCTCGTCCCAGGCAAGCTTGTGCAGACCTCCGACATTGCCATCACCAATCAGCCCAACGAAGCTTTCACTGCAGAACTGATCAAAGTTGTGCAATCAACTGTCACCAGCGACATCAGACTACATGGCCGGCAGGTCTCCGACACCTTCACGAGGGAGCAGAGGCTTCACAGGGACAGGCACGGCATGCCGGAGGACGAGCCCTGCTGCCTATTTAGGCTGATGGAGGAGGATTACGAATGTCCGGACTACAAGTGCAAGAAAGAGATCGCCGGCTTCATGTTTAAGTGTACGACGTGCGGGGGTAAACATGAGGTCAGGGTCTTCCGATAGACGACGGGACTATTGTGGTTCAAATGGGTGACGGCGTTCTGAGATGGAGCATTTAAAAATCCGGCAGGGTGGTCTTTTACCGGCTGGTGTAAAGGCTCGAAGGAGGGTTATAGGCACCGCTTCAAGGGACGGCTAAAACTCCCGTCATTGAGATATGAGACTTAGAATATGGAATACCGATCATCCAACAAACGAGATCTAGGAAGATTTCGTATCCCATCTACTACTATTCCCAGTCTCCGAGACAGTTCTCTTCTCCTTCCTCCATGGGGCCAATATCGCACCTGTCGTGGCTGCATCTTTGCATTTTACAATCATCCACGTGCCTATGCATCCTTCCCTGAAGCATTTGTATTGATTTGGTCTCTCGTTCATGGTGCCATGGAGGAATCCCGCTTACACAATACCAGTAGATGGTCGAGTACGGTCTATGTTTCTGGGACGTGCGGTGTGCGTGCTTGCAACAGGATGTGCTCAAGCCTTCATCAAGACTTCTTATTATGCATTCCCCTGCAACAGGAGAACGTTTTGGAGTGTAAACGACCTAACGGGGGTGTTGGCATTGATGTGACTCGGAGATGAGTCCCCGGCATCTGGGAATCGTCGCATTGTAGATTGCCCGGAAACTCTTAGTCAATGTTTTGCTATGTGCCGTACGTACAGTGCTAACACAGGCGCACGATAAAGAGACCTTGTTCTTCCCGTCTTGGAGCGATATATGAGCACTTGCTTAGCTATAGCACTGAGAAACTCGCACCCTCGATCGAGCTTTTGAAACTTGCTTTATGATATCCGCCATATGAAAACGCAGATGCAAGCTTTAATGTCCAATAACATACTGAGACAACCCAGATGCCGAGGAAAGATCAGGCCCAATTTGTAATACAGCAAAACACCTAACTTTTCTTATAAGCACAATTTGCGCACACCATAGTCCAGGATCCATAGGGTCCATCTCCGCACTCAGGCTATACAATATTACTCTCTGCGGCACAAATGCCTATGAATGTAGACTTACACAATACCAATAAGTGTCTTCTGGACCCTCTTGGGGCGCGGACATATTGGGATCTGCAGGTCGCTGAAGCTTGCTTTGCGTAGATCGACCGGAGGGTATGTGGAAGGGTTGGCATGAGGACAGTGCTTCAGCTTCTACCCGACATTCTGTTGGGTCTCCTCCCTGAATATGCGTGCTTAGATACAGTGCCGAAGAGGAAACGAGAAGAGCTAGGCACTCACCTCACAAGAGCGCCGAGGATCAGGTTCGGTGGAAATATCACCATGTCGCCGGGATAGTGATACGCCACGGGGACTGTTAAGACAGCGTCTCATCTGTAACAACTGAAGAAGATTTTCGATGTGGTGTGCTGAAGACTGACAAGTTTTCGAGGTCTTTCATACCCTTTAGGTCTTCTCACCCGCCACTCTGCCAGATGCCCAACCGAATGTAAGCGAGCCAATAGGGGGCTACAGCCACCAACACGGTCAGAGCCTCACGCCTGCCGTCGTCCCTCCTGCTGCGCTTCAACGACCTATCAATCCCTTGTCCTCTCAGCCTTACATCTACTTCCGGTCAATTTCCGGTCACTAAAGTGAGGCGTAACGATGTCGCGGCCACCGCCTGTTAAGATGCTGTGCAGCCTAGTGATGTGCCAACGCTATTCAATGTTAGAGTCCTATCCATGGCATATGAGCTGAACGGCTCCCATCATGAGCTATATCGCCCCCACAACCCATGGGAGAGGTTCACGCAGCGACACGATGAGAACCACCTTCCAGAGGACCGGTTTCGACTTGTTCCACCCCCACACAACGTTTCGACCTCAGCGGTCATTGACGCACTCTTGACTCACGATCAAGTCAGCAGCCCGGACCAGCCCATCCCTCGGAGACGTCAGCTCCTCAGAGACTTCCTCAGTGAAGCTGTTAGCGGGAGAGGGTTAAACTGTCATGTTGACGAGGACATTGTCAAGTCAAGCTCCAGCAGAGACATCGCTCTACTCGACGACCGTCAAAAGCACGAGGGCTGCGCGAAACCAATCGGGAAGCAATGCGACGACTGCCAGATATACTCTAACAATGTCACCATTCCGAATCTATATTTAAGGCTGAAAGAAGAGGTGAGCACCACATGACGCATGGTGATTGGCATAAGCTGACTCACTTCTTCTGACGAACAGCGAATCGCTCTCAAAGCGGAGAAACGAATAATGTCAGTACAAAATTCAGGTCTCTTGTTCTTGTTAGCCAATGCTGAGAGCCTAGTTTCATTCCAAATCTGACCTCTGCGGGCGCACTTGCGTTGGCTGCAACCACCGCTAGACGATCTGCGACACCGGTACGAGACTTCATTCATAGATACCTCGGACGGGTACGTAAACCATGGCTAAGCATACCACCACGCCTTTTGTTGGGTTCGCCATTCGTGGAGGCCTTCGTCAGACGGGAGCTACTCAGACATCTTGAGCATTCAAGTCTCCCATATTCCCCTTCCCTTTGCTCTTATCATATAGCACATAGGCTTACTTATGCCTTTATGTTCACAGGAGCACACCTTTTCGGTATCCGTGGTACGTAACACTCTCATTGCTTCACTTAAGCGCCTGAAACAAACTGATGGAACTAGACCTGGGGTTTCTTCCTCGAATTCCATATCCCATACCACGCGTTGCGCCCCGGACCTCCATCAAAGGACCATCGATACAACCGTGGAAGGCGGCTGAGGAAGTCCGATCCGCTGCCGCTTCAGTTGGAGTCGGGAGATAAAGAAGAGCTCTACTATCATGAGGCCCAAACCTCGTCTCTTTCCTGGGGTCCAGATGAATGGTTCTGGACGGAATTATTTCTCGTAGACACTTATTTTGGTTCCGAACGCAATCACCCAACGTATCTCACAGGATCCCCGGCTGGTAATGGATATGACCCTCCGTTGGGTGGCCGGGAAAGATTGGATAACCCTTGTTTTGATCCTAGGCAATATTGGCTGCTGAAACTGGACCGACGGGTGCTTCAGGTGACTGAGGAGTATACTGCGCTTATCGAAACCTTTAATCAGCGGATGGAGGAATACGTGAGTGACGTTCTTCATTTGTCCACCTGAAGGGCTTTCAATGTTTCTCGAAGGTCGGTGCTTAGATCTGACGCTGGTAACATTGCCGATTTAGTGTCTTCTTTTGTCATCTAAGGGGCTCCAATGATGAAACCCGATCTCAATATTCTAACATACTTTGTAGGCACGAAAGATCAGACGTAAGACCGAAGACGATTCCAGGAGGACGCACACGCAAACCATTAGTAACGTCATCGAAACCATTCAGATCTTTGTCGACTGCATCAGTGGCATCATAGAGACATGGGAAACTTTCCGCCGCAATCAAATCTCGTACTTCACCATCCACGCTCGAGATAAGCGGGGCTTCGCGGACCGCATCGACAGAATAATTCGGAACATGTCCGAATTGGATCGACTGCGGAGACTTCTCCTGACGAAGAGAGAGCGATTTAGGTCAAAACTGGGCAGCGTGAGTTTCGTCGAAGATGAAGGCATTCAGCATGCTGATCCACCTCAGCTCCACACGGTCTCGAGTCTCAAGCAAGCCGAAACAGCGATTGTTCAGGGCGAGAACATTAAGACACTCACAGAAATGACAGTGGTGGGTCCCCTGTTCTCACAATACCTGATACCAGTCCGCACGGCTTGAATGCCTTCGGCCCCTTAAATCAGTGCTCTTCCGGACACCCTTGTCCCAGTGACTCAAAAGCATTGAATTTCCTTAGCTAATAGATTGCTGCTAGTACATCGCCTTCCCTTTACTATTCACGGCCGCTATCTTCAGTATGGACTTTGTGCGACCAGAGAAGCTGCCCTGGCTAGTATTCTTCGCACTACTGCTTGTCACATCCTTGGTTAATTACATGATCGCCTCTCGCCGCAGTCCGTATAGAGTATGGCGCAACTGTAAAGAGTGGGTTGAGGAGAAGCGCGGAAACTCGGCATATAGTAGCTATTATAGACAGTTTTGACTGGGAACATCCGGTCATCTGTTCTTCTCTCTGGCGGCCTTCATGGCCATCTTAGCACTAGTGAAGAGCTCCCTATTGCTTGCTCATGTCGAATGGACGAGTTTTACATCTCACTTCGGATGATGCACAGAAAATCGGCGTCCCGATGTCGCAAAACCCCTCCAAAATGCTCTTGACCCTGAAATATATCTCCAGTGTTGATACAGATAAATGCTACATGTGCCCTGTAAACGATATTAGCTCCTCCATGTCATAGACCATGCCTCTGGTGTTCCGGATGGCACTTATAGTCTCAGGTCGGAGAGAGACTCAAGCAGGCAATCTCGATGAACTTTGTCGTTACCCCTTCGGCATCACATAGTGCTCACCCTGAACTCGAAATTCCGCGAATAAGCGCGGGCTCCTCCGCGCTAACGTCCACTTCTCCTCTTTTTGGCTGGATATCCGCCGCGGCATCCGCACCAGCTCTACCCTCTCCCATTTCCTGGGCGAGCTCTTGTGCTAGCGATTGGGGCACTTTTAGCAACCGGTGCTCGTCTAATCCGATCCTCTTGATGACCCTAGTGACCGCAGAAAGTTGGTTTCCTGAGTCAACATAGGCAGCACCAAGAATAGCTTCGAAAGTCTCAGCTACCATGTTCGCTTTCGCTGATTGCATCCCTGGGGACTGTAAGATGGCCTCATGGAAGCCGAGAGCACGGCCTTTAACAGCTAGGCTGGCGCGAGTTACGGTGTCTTGGTCCATTTCGGTGTACTGCTCTGTCCGCAATATTAGCAACGAATCAAGAAAACTCGAGAAGAGCGAGGGAGGGAGAGGGTGGATATGGAGGAGACATACTCGTACTATTCCCCGTCTTAAACCAAATCTCACATATTGCAGGCTCAGGACCCTATCCCCCAACAGCGCCAGCCGGTTGTTAGGTGCCACGGGGTGAATACTCCCATCGAAGTACAACGGACTATGCATGCCAGACATCTTGAGCGCTTCCACGCACAGCATCTTATTCCTGAACGTGTGCCCTATCGTGGCTTCTACATTGTTAACTCTTTTTGCGGCGTCGAATACGTCGTGGTGGAATTTTGGCGGCATGAACTGCCAGCGTAGTTGACGGGTTGATAGATGGAAGTAGATGCTGTCGCGCCGGTAGAATAGATCGGGGATCCCAGAACGGGGACCAAGTGCTGGCGCGGTCGGCCGCGAAGCCAGAGGATAAAATGCTCTATTCGAGATTTGTTCCATATCCTCTTTGCTGTTTGGGAGGTTCGTGTGCTGATTGAGCGAGCATGCTGTCGATTGCGTAGCCACGTAGTCAAGGGCCGGCTGCTGCTCGTGTCTTGCAGCCTTTGCGCAACGACTGAACGCTGAACTGCTGGTGCCCGGCTCTGATGTTTCGCCTTGCCGGTGTTCTTAGGCTTGGAAAACTGCTGAGGCTGTGGCTCGGGAGATGGACCGTAGATGACGGCGGTCACGTGCTTGCCAAATCGCTTGAAGCGTCGTACGAGCCAATGCCGTCTAGCCATCATGGCAAGCTGTATGAGGGGATGGGTGGTTGCAGGTAATTCGATAAATACTTTACATGTCAGCGCAGCCGGGCATGATAGAGAGCAGATTCCCAACGGCGTAGAAACGGGACCCTGGATCTCATACAAGCTCAGCGATGGGGAAAAGCACAACATCGCAGTCTGTACACCGATGACTCCGTATCGTGCAGCATGTTCTACTCAATGTAGCTCGGAGATTTTCTGTAGGAGGAATCGAGTCATCGCGGCGAAGAGTGATCACGCTCTATCAGAGATTCCAAAAAGTTTCTAGCGATAGACGCACAGACCTTCGTTGGACGTCCCTTGCCACTTCAGACGATGACACCTACACTTCGCCATCAGTATGTCGCCAGTCACTACAGATTTCACCTCGTCAACTTCCCCATCCCTTTCAGCGAGATCTGCACTTTCTTGACTTTACCTTGAATGGTCTGGCTCCGCGGCAACCGTTCTTTGACCACCTCCATGCCCCCTGATGCCCTATCAACCTGAGGTCGAGCCTGCTATGCGTATGGTGGGACAGGCTTGGAGAACCAGTTTAAACTCATTCAAGTCTGGAACATTTCTCGCATGGGTCTTATTGAAAGCATCTGTAGTTGAGCTCGTTGACCGCCGACGCCTTTGCATCGCGAAAGTGCTCTCTCTCATTCAATAGCTGACATTCCACTCTTCTTCTGCATCTAAGATAATATTACTTTCTTATACTTATTGTACCATTACCGCTGAGAACGAGGTTTTCCTAAATCATCCCGTGCTTCTCTTCCATCCTAAGTAAACATCTCCGTATTGCTTCGTTCTCCCTTTGAACACATGTGTCAATGTCATCTCATCTCTCGTCTCCTAGATCACAGTAAAAACGTATTAATGGCGCATGTACCGGAACTTACTATCTGCCCAAAACATATTTCTGTCCTTCACCAGTCAAAGAATCTGTAGTTTCAAAGCGTGCAGCTAAAGCGCTGCTTTGCCTTTCCGAGGACAGGTTCTGAAGGCGACCCGGATCTGCTTTACTCACAGCATGAAAGTAAAAGGCGCGCGAAATTCTCGCGCACCTTCCATTTCTGTAGTTTCATTGCTCTCACGCAGCTTCACCTCAGTCCAAAACCCCGCCCGAAAACGCGCGCACGCAAACCCACCACCCTCCCCTCACCACACTCAAATTACCCCCCTCAATTATTTTGTCGTATATATTATAGATAAATCTGCAATCCTATCACTAAACAAGCCAAGTGTCATAATAGTGAGAAGGCGTTTCGTTCCCGTGGCCATCAGCGAATCCCATTGTATGGTCACGCTTAGGGTTCGAATCTGGTTGCCGTCTAGGTGATATCAAACTCGCTAATCTTGGATGGGGTAGATCAGAAATCAGTTCGCCTGGTATCTGGATTGCCGCAGAGCTTAGACTCTGCCTAAAGCAATTTCTTTTGCCATTTTTTTCTACTTTTATCCTTGGCGGGGGGTTCTCTTTTTTTTTGGGCTGGGAGGTAGCATGGTCATGAGAGAGTTGATGAAGGCGGGGTAAAGTTGGGCTAACGAGAGAGTAGGCGCATGTTCAAGGCAGGAAGGAGCGCGGAGCGCACGGCAAGCTACACAGCATCTTGACCTTACGACGCAAGTAGGTATCAAGAGGCAGGCTTGGACAAGAATGCTGATGCATTGTCTATCCTACGGCAAGCATGTTGGAGTACCTCAAACCCAAGCCAGCCGCAAGCACACCCGCTTCCCCAGCGGCGGAAGGTCGATATCGGTAAAGACTTGTTTGCGGCGCTATATGCTAGTGCACCACGCCTGCGTGTGATGCATTGCCGCTATTAGCGGTGTCTCTCCCATCAGGATAGAGGTGGCGCTCCGCCTCCGCCGGGTGAGGGTATAGATCTAATGTGTCGGTCTACGAGGTCTAGTAGGGCAGCATCAGTCAGCCCGCCACTCCGCTGGAAACAAGGCAGCTCATGCAACCTTGCTGAGAAACAGAATGCCGGAATTGGTTGTCAAATTGGAGCGGGCAGTGATGAGCACATAAACCATCACAGAATCACTCAAATGCGCAAGGCAGTACGTGAATATGAGCACGAGGGAAAAGGTTCGGGTGATGAAGACAGTGAGCGATCCTACGGATGCGGACCTTGGCGGATGAAGGAAAAAAAGCTGCATAACATAGATTGGGAATCATACAGCCAAAATTATCCAAGTCAGTACCCGAGAGGGACGGTCCATCCGCGCCGCGTCCAAGATCATCTTGAGCATGCAGCTTCTTTATGCACAGTCTACCACCTTGCCAACCATATGCACCTCCTCAGTCCTGATCGATGTACGTCTAGCACTTGAGAGCAAACTTTGCCTTGCGGTCGGCAGTCATGGCGCCCCAGGTGGTCTCGTCGGCAGCCTTGCCATTGTCACCAATGGAGGCGGGCTTCCACGGCTCGTCGAAGGCCTCGAAGTAGAAAGCGTTGAAGCCCCAGTCGATAAGGGCGCAGAAGCCGTTCTGAAAGAAAGACTTGGCGTTATCAAGACCACCCTCGGCCGCACCGTAGTCGGTACCAACTGTAACACATGTCAGAAATCGATCGTTAGACGTGAGCGAGACAATACGAACCGGCAGTCGGCCATCCGGTCTCGCCATTCCAGATCTCAATCTTATCACTGCCGCCAGCGAGCTTCTCAATGTGGGTGACGGCCTGGTACATATCGTCGAGGTAGACGTGGGTAGCATTGTCTCTGCTGGCACCCTGCCAGAAAGCAAACGCGTTGACCATGAGCATATCAACAGAGCCGATGATAGCGTCGGCTGTGCCATCCGCGAACTTGTTCCACGAGTCCGCAGTCCCGACCTTCATGCCGGTGGGCAGCTTGCTCTTGACGGTCTCGATCTTGGCCTTGAGTTCCTCGCCCGTGAAGTTGCCGCGATAGAGCGTCTCAGAACCGACGGTGACGCCATAGATGACGTCCTGGTATGACTCGGCGACGGCCGTGATGGCATTGAGATCGTTGTTGAAGGATTCTTCAACATCAGGCCTTTTTCACGCCGGTCAGCGAAATGAAGATACACGTCATAGGGGGAATACGAACCAGATGCCGAGCACGACCTTAACGCCCTTGGCCTTCGCAGCCGGAAGGATGGCCTTGGTCATGTTGCAGTCCGCCGCTGCATATCCACGTACGATTGTCGCTCCGGATGCCGATTTGATAGCGTCGAAGTCGGCTTCGTAGTCGTCCTGCGTCTTGCAGGAGCCGTCGGCCTCCTTCGTGCCCAGGGCGAAACCCACCGTGCCCTTCGCGGCAGAGACAACAGCCGGGGCCGCCGCAAGCGCAGCTACAACAGTCGAGAAACGCATCTTCGGGGTCGTAAGTACTGTAGGCGGATTAAGGAGTAGTCGGGCTCGGGAGTCGTTTGAGCGCGTCGAACGGGTGGAAAAATCCCAGAAAGAGGGTCAATGAATGAGTGACTAAAGAATTAAGAAAGGATAGATGCTGAGCAGCAGGAAAAGAGTGACTGTACAACAAGTGCACAAAAGGACGTGGAGTGAAGAAGAGAAGGAACGGGTGAGGTCGCGGCGCGAGAAGGGGCTTGCCCGGGAGTCATTTGCGCTTGCCCGTTTCGAAACGCCTCCTGCCAGGTACAGGTTCAGGAACGAGCCAATCAGCGCTCGGGGCGCCACATTATTTTTAGCGTCAAACACGTGCGAAAAGTCCGTTGAAACAAACACCATGAAGCCCGTAGGGGATTAGAGGTGGCGCAGAAGGTCACCACTCCTTCATATTCGCACGAGGATGAGTGCACACTCTATATTGAACACCTGCAATGCGTGCGCGATGTGATACGGAACCCTTCCTCAAGACGCCGAATGCCCAAAGCATGAGCCGCCTATGCTGTGCCTACACCAAGGCCTTCGATAGCCTGAACGGGTGCGCCTCCGTATTCAAAACGAAATCATCTAAGCTGATCAAATCAGTATCCGCAAACACTAGGTAGAAATACTTCAACGTCTCTGCTAGCCAGAAACTTTCCATGTAATCCGTCTGCTTTGAACCGATCACCGTAACATCGTCGATCGCTGCATTAGCAAACGGCGTATCGGTTGCATTAGCCACTGCCTGGAACATATCCCAAGCCGCCTCTCTAAACTCTTCCCTCCCGGTGATCCGCCATAGTACAAAGACAGATTCGATAGCTTCCGGGCGGAGGATATAGCGGGGGTCCTTTGCGGTGGTGAATCCTGGAGGCAGGTTCTCGTGGCGATCTTTTCGTTGCTCGCGTTCCTCGACTAAAAGCTCTTCCTCCCATTTACACGGCTTTTTGGGGTCCGGTCCCGGGCATTTGACCATATTATATCGCTCCGGCATCATCCCGGTGGGGAATGACTTGTATGCATATATGCAGCCTCGCGCAAGCTTCGCTCCGGCATCAAGGTATTTTTTATTTTCGAAAAGACGGCCGCCGAGCGCGTATAAACCTCCAATAAAGCATGACAGATGCTCGCTCTCGGGATCTAGGCGTGGACCGTCATCTAGCACGTCGCAGTTGCCTGAGATGAGGATATCTTCGTCGTTAGGAGTCATAGGTCTGAAAAACAGGTTGTCCATAGCCGTGTCCATGAAGTTGCGAGCCATGATTTCGTACTTCTTCGAGCTTGCGTCTGCGGATCCGAGCAGCGCATGCGCCTTCGGGAGGTATTCGTATAGCGAGTCGGCGTTGCCGCCAATCGTAAACTGATATCCAGAGACGAGGTCTTTGCTCCTCATAGACACATACATCGGCCACATGCCGGGGAGTTTCGTGTCGTTCTGTTGCTCGTAAAATTCATCCATAACATGCGAAACCGCGGCGTAATACTTGCTATCGCCGGTGATCTGGCTCAACCTGGCGAATTCCAACGTAATTGTTCCCGGCGATGCGCTGACAACGGACTCCTCGACGACAAGCCCAGTGCCTTCCTTTGCCCGCTCGAAGTTGATGAAATCCACTGGCATGCGATTATCCGTGTTGAAGCCCGCATAGAGTAGGTCCCCAATCTCAACAGCCTTCATCTTCAGCACTTCGTGTCCGCTCAAGTCGTACGCCGCGATCAATCCACCGAGATACCGTATGCAGGACTCGAACATGTTCACAGTCGCAGCAGTGCTCTTCCCAAAATCAATTGTTGCGACCACTGCCACGGCCTCATAGAACTCATCCCGTAGCCCCATCATCCAGAGTGTATCGAGGCTATCCACCAGCGTAGCTGCCCATCCTGAGAACTGGTCTACATATTGCCCGCTTATAGGTTTCAACGCGTCCTTCATCCATGCGTGAGTTCGGTAGCTCGACCATGCCTTCTCGAACACTTTCTTGACCTCTAGCCGTCTCCTCTCTTGTTCCGCAGCCACCCTCCTTGTGTCCGGACGAAATCTATGCTGTATGCGCGGGCGTTTGGTGACGGGCGGGGGTAGCTTCGGCGTGAGCTCGGGTTGATATATGAATTGGACTGCGTTCCATGCAAAGCTGCTGTGGTTGGCGACAATGTGCGGGACATGCTTCGGGCTGTTCATGTATCGCGCCAATTCCGCAGTTCCGGCATTTGGCGCTCCGTTGCCATGATGCGTGAGGTATGATATCGCGTCTTCGCGTGGGAGGACGTAGTATAGGAAAATAACGAGGACGGCGCAAACGGCAATGTGTCGTGTGCGGAGACGAGCCATTGCTGCTAATGGCTCAGGTCTTGCAGTGCGAATCGGGGAAAGATGACAAACAGGTCATGCCCGACCGCGATCCCATTGGGCGTGGAGTAGTGAGAGAGAGGTAATGTGGTGTCCTGGGCATTTTAGGTCGCGGTTTAATCTACGTTACTAGAGGCGTGATCTGTGCGACGGTTGGGGTCGCGGAATTTAGGGTTCAGGGGAAGGTACTATCGATAAGCGGACCTGTATGCTGACACTGACATCAGCCAGCACTTCATAACCTCTCTATGTTGCAGTTCATTCATCGTTCTGCATCTTGCCAGAATCAAGGCCGTCCGTCGGAGGTTGAACGAAGTCACCTGTAAAGCTTCGAGTGTACATGTAGCGTTGAAGCCCCCCATCTCGCTTTCACCACACCATCAAGGGTCTGACTATGTCGGAGGTATTCAAAATTTAAAGATTATTTTTAGATCGGTATCTGGTATATGCAGTAAATGCTGGTATGATCCTTCCCATACGCCCACTTTGTTCCCTCTCAAACAAACCAAACGCCCGAACGCTGACAAGTAGGCACTCAGGAACCCTCACTCGCTCTGTCTCCACTACCAGCCTTTGGACTTGCTACTCGCCCTACTATTTGCCCTGCTCCGGGTGGGCCGGAAGCTCTCCCGCGTATGAATTCGGTCAATCTCATACGGGTTGTCATAATACCCCTCCGCCGTCCTCGCCGTCCTCACCGACCTCCTCGATCGCGTACTCCTTGCAGTCCTGACCTTCTCTAATCCATCGTCTTCCGCCTCCTTCCCGGTCTTCATCTCTTCGAAGCGGGCCTCTTCCTCGGCTTTGTAAGAGTAGTCTGCGGCTTCTTGCTCTTCATCTTCCTCAGCTTGTAGGGACGCACTCCGCGAGCTGTCCGTAGAGTCTTGAGCTTGCTGGACCATCTGCCCGCGTATCTTTTGCATGAATGCGTCGGCTTGGGCAGCGTACTTGCACTTCTTGCGGATGGCAGCGCCGTACTTGTAGAACAGGAAGGGGAACGGAAGGCAGGCCAGTGCGAGGAAAGCGGGAATACTGGAGGCCCAATGGATGCCTGTTCCTGTTAGTTTCCAGACCGAGATTACGAGGACCGACGCTTACCTAGGCCGTTGTACATCTGTGTTGTGAACAAGGGGAAGGCCGCGCCAAAGACCGAACGGATGATTCCATTACCGGCCAATACGCTTGCCGCGAAGATGGTGTAAGCATCGATGAGGTAATTCATGACGCTCAAGAAGATGAGCACCATTCCGAAACCAAAGGGAATGCCAGCCGCAACACTTGCAGGCCACGGCAGCGACGGATAGTTCGTCCACGCGAACCAGAACAGACCGATCGGGAGCACGATGCCTCCAACGATAGCTGGTGGCAACCGGTCTTCTGGAGCTGCAAATCCGCCTGGGGCATTCTTGACACATTTGAGGTATCGCTTGTTGTCGTAGAAGATCGTGTAGGTCACAGCGCCCGCCATTCCAATGGCGACGCCGACGAAGGGCAGACCGCTGATTCCTTCGTTCCAACCACGGCCGAAGCGGTAGACAATAGGGTATGCTCCGAACAGCATATAGAGTGTACCGTATATGATCGCCATATACAGGGAAAGGACTGAGGTGTACATTGGTTAGCTAGATGTCCCCTTGGCGTTGTAATGGAGAGACTTACGGAAGACGATTGGCTCGCGGAAGAGAAGGACCCAAGGACGCTTCAAGCCGGTGGAAAAGGCCTCTCCAAGCGAGACCTTCCCCTGATCGATATCGGCTCTTGACATATAGACCTTACCCGTCATCTTCGACAAAGTCTCTGCCCGCTTTCTCAGTAAGACTGGGGGGTAAGTCTCTGGGACGATCAGAACTGCTGCGAAGAATACGACGCCGGAAAAGATCGCCATTAGACCCTCAACCCATCTCCAGCCCTCGGTCATTCCTAAAAAGCCACCAACAATCGGGCCCAACACTGGCCCCATGAAGGGTGCGACGGAAAAGATGGCCATGGCGAGACCACGCTCCTTCGCAGCGAAGAGATCGGCCACGACACCGCCTGCATTCGTGAGGGGACTCGATCCGAAGGCGCCACCAAAGAACCGAAGTATAAGCAAGGTCTGGATGTTCTGCGATCCGGCCGCACCGGCATTGAACGCGACGAAAGCGAGGAAGGTCCCGAAGAAGACGACTTGACGACCGTATAGTTCAGAGAAGGGAGCCCACAGGAGCGGCCCGAGAGCGAAGCCGAGCACGAAGAGGGAGATACCAAGCGTAACGACTTCCTGGCTAACGTCAAACAGCAACATGACCTGTTGGATGCCTGTACTGCAGTCAGTCTCCATGCAATCGCCTCATTGAGTCTGGGTTTGCATACCTCCTGAAAACGCTGACGAACAGAACGACACTGTGAGCGTCGCAAACGCCATAGAGAAACAGCCTGCCCACTTCTTCGTCTTCGACCACCGCATTGGATTCCGAGGATCGTTCTCTATCCACTCTACCACATACGGATCATCTTCGGTGCCTGAGCCATCATACTTCCAGTTCGCGATCTCGTCCGTAACGACGCCTTGCTCGAGAATGAGTTTCCAGTGGGGTATCCCCTGCCTCCCGGACTCGATGTCTCTATCCTGCTTCTCCATGCCTCTTGTTCACAGCAACGAGCTGTGGCGGGTATCTCGAAAGAAACGTATCAAGGAATATCTAGCAGAAAGGCTCCGAAGAAGAGTATTAATATATAGACAGCCGAAAGAGAAAGGCGTAACCCCAAAAGCAGGCTCGAGAACCCGAAGAACTGGACGCTGGGAGGACTCCATTATCAAATATGGGAAAGCAACCCCCCTCAAAGCGATGACACAATCATTCTCCTTCGAAATTTCGAAGCCCAGCCTCGGCCGAACGCCTTCAGCCCAAAACGCCTTCCCATGCAGTAACCACCCACACCAACCAATCCGATCCAGCCGGGACAGTGGAACCCCGGCTGCCTTCGCGGCCGCGATGGTTGACATCACAGCGGCTAGTGCAGATCCTGATCTGTGCGTCGTATGGCCATACCACATGCGGTAAGTACCTCGGCAACTGGAACCGCCCTTCGCAACTTTTTCGAGCGAAGGAAGCCTGGCGGAGGGTCGGCGTCCGGGAGAATGGTGCAACCTTAGATTTTAAAGATAGGCATTCCTCCGATATCTCCCTCCGAGTCTTCATTGGGAATTTTGCGCCCTTCACGAGGGGCGGGCCCACCGCCGCGTGGGTGCTAGAGCTTACTACCTAATCCTTAACTACTGATGGCGGACTTATCGGTGGAAATATGGAGGATTAGAAACAGAGAAGCCCATGACCGGCGGATATTTGTTGTACCGGTATCAGATGTTCTGGAAATCTTCGGTGCATGCTCAAACGGATGTGGTCGCCCGGTCCGGTCCGTGCCTCCTGTACCGAGTTTTTACAAACACCGAAAGGAACACTTGAAGGGCTAGGCGGAACCCAAAAGGCTAGCTGCCGAACGGAGTGCCCGACGTGGCGGGTCGCTATCAAAAGATGTTCTAAAAGGGGGCAGATGGGATGAGGAACACGAGGTTCGGGAAGCATCCGAGATCTCCTGCAATGTGCCGAGGCTTCCTATCGGGCTTTTAAAAAGTAGTCGACTGCAGGATGTGGATATTTTGAACCATGTTCTCTTATATCTCAACTACTATGTGGCGCTGCTTTGATCAGAGTGAAGAGCGTTATGCAAGTGTCTCGCTCGTGTCCACAGAAGCACATGCTTTTTTCCCAGTACCCCAAAACGCCCCGTTGCTCTCAAGTTCTGTACAATCTCGTCTTGCTGAAATTCGTGATCTCTCAAATCTCATTGCTCGGGTATGCCACTTTATCAGTAGCAACGAACTCCTCCTTGATCGCCCGCATGTTCACGAACCTGGCTAGGAGATTCGCACTTCCCGCCTTGTCGTTCGTACCGCTTGCCCTGGAACCGCCGAAGGGTTGCTGCGCGACAACAGCCCCAGTGCACTTGCAGTTGATGTAGAAGTTACCGGCGGAGTTCCGAAGAGCATCCTCAGCAAATCGGATATCCTCTCGATCCGTAGCGAAGACGGCACCAGTGAGGGCATACTCCGATGTCTCATCGATTTGCTTGCAAATCTTAGCGAAGGCGTCTGGAACAGCATCGTCGTAGACGTATGTGACAAGGATAGGCCCGAAGAGTTCGCGGGACATGAGCGGATGGTCCGGGTTCGTCGTCTGGTAGATGGTTGGGTGGACGTAGTAGCCCTTGCTGCCGTCGTACTTTCCACCAACCAGAAGTTCCAGCTCGTTGTCATTCTTGGCCTCGTCGATGGCACCGGAGAGCTTCTTGAAGCTCGCTTCGTGGATGACTGGACCAATGAAGTTGGAGAAGTCTGAAGGCTCGCCGATCTTGAGCGCTGCGGTCTCTGCAATTAATTGTTCCTTGAACTGGGGCCAAACGGACTTGGGTACGTATAATCGGGAACATGCGCTGCACTTCTGACCTTGATACTCAAAAGCGCCGCGTACTGTCTGCACTACCGCATTGGAGATGTCGGCACCAGGATGGATCAGGTGGAAGTTCTTGCCTCCAGTCTCGCCAACAATGCGAGGGTAGCTTTGGTATTTCCCCTCTGCAACGCCCGTTGCAATTTTTCCATAAAGTGATCGGAACACTGCGGTGCTGCCTGTGTAATGCAATGCAGCAAATTGCCGGTGGGACAGTACTGCCTTGGTTACTTCCTCTGCGTCACCGGGGATAAACTGGATTACGTTCGGTGGAAGGCCAGCTTCAATGAGGATCTGGTAGACTAGCCAGTTAGAAGCGATGGCCGAAGGTGATGGCTTCCAAACCACCACGTTGCCCATGAGGGCCGGCGCTGCGGGAAGGTTTCCTCCGATGGCTGTGAAGTTGAACGGCGAAATGGCGTATACGAATCCTTCGAGTGGTCGATACTCCACACGGCTGTGTATGATTAGCATAGTGACCCAGATTATTAGCTCTAATTGGTACGTACTTCCAGACCCCAGGTGAGTTGTGCACAGGCTGATGCCCGTATGTATCCTCGGCGTATTTCACGTTGAACCTGTTGGTGTCAGCCACGGTGACATTTTCAGGTACACGACAGCTTAAATTAGTACCTCAAGAAGTCGCATAGTTCTGCCGCCGCATCGATTTCCGCTTGCCAGGCATTCTTGCCCTGTCCCACCATCGTTGCTGCCATAATGTCGTATCGGTACTTCGACGAGATCAGGTCGGCCGCCTTGAGGAAAACGGATGCGCGATCGGCAAACGGTAGCGTCTCCCATGACAGCTTAGCTTCGAGTGACGCTTCTATGGCTTTGTTCACGTCTTCGGTGCTTGCGTTGGAGTATTTGGCGACCACGTCGGCGTGTGAGGAAGGATTGTGCTGCGTGAGGATGGACGAGCTCGTAATCTAATTTATTTAGCGACTTGTACCCGCCAACGTGCCACAGAATTAACCCTCTTACATGCTGGCCCCCTACTGCTAGTGGGACGTCGATCGGTGCCCGCTGCTTCAATGCAGCCACCGCATCTTGGAGCTTCTGTCGGTCGACGGACCCTTTTGTGTAGTGTTTCTGAAGAGTATAGTCAGCCTAGTAGTCCAATGTTTCTGGTCCAGGTCCATTGCTCACGTTGGGCTCGTTGTTTATCGAGGGGATCTTGAAGTTCGCAATTGTTGCGACGCCTCTTCTAGATACGCCGGACTGGGTTGGCATCGCGCTCACAGACTTGGAGACTGAAGTCAGTGGCTGAAAGTTCTTCAGAGAGGCCATTGCGGATGCCTTTGGACGAACAACTATCGACGAGAGGAATCACTATTTGTAGCTGCGAGCTTGGATGAAGCTCTGCGCGATCACGTTGCGCTGAGCCGACGCAAACCGAAGAGCGGGGCGAAGGAGGGGTGCTTTGACAGAAGGGCAAACCTTGAAAACATCATTCCGTATGCACATCAAAGCGCCATCCGAGCAATCATGCAATCTGAACTCCGATGTCGCAGGAGATCTTCGTAATGCAGCGGAGATTCTCAGCTCCTAATCATCCAGGATCAATCCCGACACAAACCGAATGTGTCAAGCGTGTACATACAACAGAACTAGGATTCATTGGTATCGTGAACGGAGAGGCTCTGTTTGGAGATGCACTTACGCCCTTCCTGTCCCTTCTTAACGCCATTTCGCCTGACAATACATACATCATGTCTCCATGACATCAGCCGCCTCATTCGCCTCGTCTCCCCAAAGACCCTCAAGCTTGAATTCAGCGGCCCATTCCTTGACAATCTCCTTTTGATCACCTCCAGTGGATGCAGGAGCTGACTTCGTGGCAGGAGCTGCGTCCGGCTTGTACTTGGGAGGATCGGTCCAGCCCTGGATGCGCCCGTCTCGCCAGTCTGTAAGAACAGTTTGCGCTGCACTGTGGAGATTTGGAACACCCCCTTTACCTAACCGACCCCTCTTCCTCGCGACTTGAACGAGAAAATCCGTTGTTGTGTCTCCATTGGTGGTGTGTAATGGTGCTAGGTCATAAATATCCACAAGTTTCGCGAATAGCTCTGGGGAAGTCGAAAGTCTCTTCAGCAGTAAGTTCACTGCCGGGACTGGGTCGTCAATCTCCTTAGGTGGAATGGCATTGAGGAGGATGAGCCTGGCATGCTCTTCGACCCTGCTATTCTTGCCGCCCTCCGTGTTGTTAGGAAATACAATTCCCGGGGAGTCGAGCAGTTTCAGTTTGTTATCCAGCTTAACCTCGCGCAAGCTGGTGGTGACGCCAGCTTCAGCTCCAACTGGACATGTCCCGGTCCTTCCACCCAGCCTCGACGTTAGGGCGTTAATAACCGATGACTTGCCGACGTTGGGGTACCCGATAATACCAACTTTGGTGGATCGCTTCAGTTGCCTTGACTCAGCAAACGTTTTCAGAGCTTTGAATAGCGTTTCCGAGGTGCCTTTCATGGTGAGATCCTTGTGGTCGAAAGTTTTTGCGTTCGGCGCTGGTTTCGACGCACGGAGGGGAAGAGTGGGAAATGACCGCCGCAGGTGAACGAGCCACGCTCGCAGGACGGCGGGTGGTACGAGGTCGATCTTGTTCAGGATGAAGATCATTCGTTTACTTCCTCCATCAGTTGCCATAACCATCTGTTCCACCCCCTTTGATCTCGTCCCTTCCGGGTCCCTCGCATCAAGCACGTATACCACGACGTCCGCGGATTCCACGACTTGCTTGTACACTTTGTCAAAAGCCCTTCTCGAGGAGTCTTTTCGGATATTGGCCGTTGACGTGCCATCCTCGTCTTCGTCGTCGAATCCCGAGAATTCATCCTCTCCGTCGTCGTCCATCGCGTCTTCGTCTGGTGCTTTCTTCTGCTCAAAGTGGGCCGCACGAGCTTTGGCAGAGGCGAGGAGCGCCGCCATGGGGTTCGACTCATCCTGTGATGATTGTCAGCACCGCAAGCAATCCGGTTGCGACCGCCCAGACTGACCACCTGCATGGAGTCGTCATCAAGCTCGTCTGCGAGATCGTCCTCTTCTGCAACGATCTCGTCTTCCTCCATAGTATCTATTGCAGCATTTCCGCTAAGGTTCTGCTGTTTTGCTAGTTCCTTGCGGTGGGCATTGTCGTCCTCCTTCAGCCTGCGCTTTTCCTCGATCTCTTGCAGGATCTTGTCCTTGTAAGGAAACAGGTTGGGAATGCCGGGGTCTTTTTTGACTTTCGAACGCCATTCAGGATTCTAACTACAATGAGTATTGTTTCTAAGCTCGCAACCCACGTCTCGCACCTTCTTTGCCTGCTTCTTCATTTTCCGTTGCTTCGCCGCGGAGGCTTTCTCGATTTTGTGCCGCAGCCGCACGGGAACGCGCTTCGATTTGGGCTCTAGATCCCTACGTTAGCAGTTTTCCCAGCGGCAGGTACGTGTAATCCACTTACTTCCGACTTTCATGCTTGGCGTTGTGGAGATTGACGGTGCTGTGCGTAGAAGTTCTCCGCCCAAAGATTTCAAAAATTGTCCCGGCAGCGCCAAGATTTCGTTCACGTGAGCGGTCAAACACGGCTAAATAGAAAATCCGAGGCCGCGCCCGGAAATTGCGTCACAAAGCTTGTTACCACCATCGTTCGCGAGGGTCTTCAGGGTATTATCACGGGGATGTTCAATACCCTCGGCGTTCGGAAGAACATACTTGGGTACTGCAAGAAACCGAGTGTCAACCTTGGAAAGAAGGTTATCTGCTGTCACGCCAAACGGTCCTAATCCGAACGAAGGTAATGGGCCGGACGGCATACCTAATATGGAAGTCACGATGCAGATCCTTCGTTTTCGCAGTTGAAACCTCGCCTTTTTCGCCTCAAATATTTAGATGACCTTACCTTCCTAACCTGACTTTGTCCTCTCAGACACATTCGACATCTTACCTGCACCACCTACCATAATGACTGTCCCAGAAGTCCCAGCGCCCTCCTTCTCGGCCCCACCGCAGACGGTCAAGTGCCATGGAATGGTGAGCGACCGTCCTAAGTTCAACTCACCGACCCCTCACTGACCCAAATGACTAGTTGTTTGATATGGAGTATAGCCTCACCCCGAGCTTCAGGGTGACTGAGCTGACTTTGCCTAGTGGCACGATAATCGACTCCACTGAAGCAGTTATCAAGAACTGGCAACGAATAGGAAGCGAGATCGGCGTTGACCCGGAAGTGATTCTCGCTACCTCACACGGCCGTAGATCGATTGACGTGCTCAAAATATATGAGCCCAAGCTCGCTAATTGGGAATGTACGTGCTCTTCCTGGAATCCACATGCAGAAGATTGACTGGGAATACAGATATAAGCGAGAAAGAGAGCCGGATTCCGAAAGAATTTGGAGCGGATGCCGTGGAAATACCTGGTTCTCGAACTCTACTAGAGAAGCTCGAGCAGCACTCTATCCCGTGGTGTATCGTCACCTCGGGCACCCGGCCTCTCGTGACCGGCTGGCTAGATGTGTTGAAGCTGGCACATCCCAAAAACCTGGTTGTCGCCGAGGATGTTGAGAACGGAAAGCCAGATCCCGCATGCTACGAGATAGGCGGGAAAAAGCTCGGCCTGCCGCACGGAGATCCGTCCATCATTGTTTTCGAAGATGCGCCGGCAGGAGTCCGATCAGGCAAAGCGGCGGGGTTCACGGTCGTTGCGCTCAACACAACTCATTCGTTGGACCAACTCAGGGAAGCCGGCGCTGACTACATCGTACGTGACATGCGAAGCGTTGTACTCAAGGCCTGGGATAAGACAAGCGAGGAGGCACAAATCCAAATCCTGGACGCCCTCGTCTAGTGAGGGACGAGTACAGTGGAATAAATTGACTCTGCAAAGTCTAGAGGCTGAGCAGCATCTGGAGTCTTACCAGCATCGTCCAACCTGTGATCAGCTAGTTGTCGCTTTTTATAGACGTGGACTTTCTACTGGTGATCGAAGCAAGGCTGCAAGGGCAATTGTCTCCAGTGAGAAAGCAGGACCGCCTGCGTTCGGGAGGCAACTTTACTCGGTGCCCGAGTCCTTCGGTAAGCATCCATGTCCTCCAACCCCAGCCAACCTGGTCAACCGACCTGCAGAACGACTCTTCCTCGAGGATTCGCCCATGCGCAGCACAACCACGGTCGAATCAGCCTCTTGGGCTACCGGCGATCATGCGGTCTTTTACCACGCCGCTGGATAGCATCAGCATCGTCGGACCTCTGAGCAGACTCTTATCATAGATTAACCGTCGGTGCGTTGCATCGCATGAGCTCCTTCAGTTCGAACAGTCTGAGCCACTCTCGCAATAGTCGGTTTTCTAGAACGGTTACAGGTTACAGTGCATGGCCGGACGTCATTTGGAGCACAGAGCTGGCTCTACATGCTCCCTTGCGGGAAGCGCACCGTCGCTTTGGTGCAACCGCTGGGCCAGGCTAGTCGATTGTGCAGGAGAAATTGCGAACGGCGTGCGGGCCTAAGCGGTGGTTGCGCGAGGTTTTGACAGTCCCAGTCGTAAGCGTCGAAGGCACACGAGAGGAGGCTGTGCACCCTCGCCGTGGAACCAGTTCCTCAGCTGGGCGAGCCGGCCTTGGCGTCTCAAGCGCATGTCGAGAGTGCAGCACATGGTTAGACAACTGAAAAGCGAAGGTCGGGGCGGAGGTTACGCCTGAATTGGCGAGCTACGAGCCTTGTAGAACAGGACCCGCGCCAGTTTGAGATACTCGAGTAGCACTGCGGCCAAAATGGATTGGGTGCTGCAAGGTACGTTGTTGAAAGAGCGCGCGCCGCCTTCCGAGGGCCAGACGGGAGGCGCCTGCCCCTTGATTGTGCAGGCGGTGGAGAGCCAGATGTCGCACGAAATGGCCATCACGGCCCGGAACGGAAGAGGTGTGCTGGGGCACTGCTCGACGAGTGGTGACGAGAGGCAGCGAGAGCGCGAGCGACGGGGCGTGGGCGCGGCGCTTGAAGGTGAGGTCGGGAAAAAGGGGATGCAGATATCGGGTTCGGAGGAGTAGCGCCCGCCGCGTCGTCTCCCACACACTCCACCAGCGGCTGTTGGAGCCACGGGCTGCCCACCCAGCACGTTGCGACGGGAGGGAGGGGAGAGAGGGAGCTGTCCCTCGCGGTGACGCTCTGAGGGGATATTCTCCGGGGGTCCATGCTGGGCCCGTCTGCGCCCATGTGCGCATCTCCCGGAATTACGAAGTGCGTATGACGCTCACGAGCACGGCGACGAGAGGCTCGCGTAACCACGAGCAGCGCGCTGAGGTCGCCCTCCAGAGCCAAGCGCGCCCGCAGTGGAGCAGATCAGCCGCCGCCGCCGCCGCCGCCGCCGCAGGACACTCGCCCGCGCTGCACCAATGGGCCGGCCGGCGCATCTGCGTCCCCTGTGCCGCGAGGGCCAACGCCAGCAGCCAGCCTCGGCCGCGCGAGCTAGCGAGCGACGGCGCACCGGCACGTACAGCGCTGCACTGTGTAGGAGCGCCGTCGAGAGCGTGACAGCAGGCGCTGCTGGGCGGGCTCGGGAGGCACGCTCGAATCAGCGGGCGGCGGCCTGCATGCTGAGGGCCAGCATACACACAGCAGCGCCTAGGCGATCATGCGTGGGGTTCTTATTTTTGGACGGCTCGCTGCCAGTTGCGGCCGGGGCGGGCGTGGCTTGGCCAATCACGCCCCCGTGCCGCTGCCGGTCGAGCCATCGGCCTCTCTCATCAAGAGGACGGTGACGCCGCCGAAACGCTGAATTCTCCTGACCTTCCCTCTCTCCGCCTCGCCTCGCCCTCACGCTCGCTTTTGGCCCGCTGCCCGAGTGCCGCATTCCCTCGTTATTGCTGCGTCGCGCTCCGCATCGTGGTGTGCTAACAGTCGCTCGTTTCCTGTTGTCGCCGTCCGCAGTGCTCCAGCACCCCAGCAGCTCCAGCTCCCTCATTTCCGCCCAGCCCGCGTCCCGTGCTCCACCACCACCTGCACCCCCCGATAGCCGTGATCTGCCCTCGAGCCGACACTCACCACAGTCCGGCTGCCCCGGGAGACGAGAAGGAGCCGGCCGCGCTGCCGCAGACCGCGTTGTCTCCTCGCGCGCGTCGCGGACGATGGACCAGAGCGGTGCCCCGATGCGCTCCTTCACAAACACCAGCGACGCGGGCTCCCAGCGCCCGCCCTCGCAGACCAGCGCGCCCGCGAAGCCCCCAGGAGCGCCCGCAAAGCCGCACCACAATGCCTGCGCCGACGTCAAGCCGCGCCTCACAAAGGAGCAGCACGACATCCTCGAGAGCCACTTCCAGCAGCAGCACAAGCCCAGCACCAGCACCAAGAAGGGCTTCGCCGAGGCCCTCAATGTGCCCCTCGACAAGATCAATGTCAGTTATGCTCGCGCTTTGCATCGCTCGAGCCGTGCTAACGACGCGTAGAACTGGTTCCAGAACCGCCGGGCCAAGGTCAAGCAGGACATCAAGAAGCAGATGAACCAGTACAACATGAGCATGGGAATCTATGGGCCGCCGCCGCAGATGCCCATCGTCGCGTCGCAGTACCCGCCGCACGCAGAGCAACCACAGCCTCAGCTGTCCATGGGCCAAGACTTCTTCCCTGTGACTTCTGACATCAGCCCTACATGCCTCCCGGTGCAGAGCGTCGAGGGTCCGTCAGCCCTAGACCTCGGCCCTCAGATGACCCTCCAGCAGCCGTTTGACATGCACCATTCGCTGCGTTCCATCCCAGAGGCTAACCGGACCACGTCGTACCCCCCAGACGCCGTCCTGCATTCGTTCATGGCTGCTACGGCTGGGGCGTCGTACATGCAGAACAACACCGCTTCCCTCCCTCCCCAAGACCCGGCATTTGCCTATGATACCACTGGACTCCCCAATGGAATGCAGGGCGACCTCGCCTTCTCCGTGCCTTCGTCACTGCCCAACGAGAGCGCGCCATCGAATGACACCTTCACCGGCTTCCCAGATTTCGGCGCCCTGGATTACTCTTCGCTCACCGCTAACGCACCTAATTCGTCGGACGTGCAGAACAGCACTGGATCGATCTCGTCAGAACCTTCACCGTTCTCTGGCGCCCAGTCCACTGCTACCACCCAGTCATCAAGCGGGCCGGGTGCCTCGTCGGTCGCCTCCATCGCCTCAGTCTACTCAGGTTGGACGGAAGACCAGAACTCGGGGCCAGACGCGAAACCAGCCAATGAATGTGACGATTACTTCGATCCACCATACAGCATGCCCCAAGCGTCGGCCTCCGAGCATGCATTACCCTTTTGGGGGCCGAACGGACAGGGGCAAGGATTCTCGCAGGCTGAGCTGTACCAGCACCCCAACGCTTCTGCACATGCCGTCCTCTCCTCTCCCGAGCAGAACGAGACGCGGAAGCTAAGCGCAGCTCCTTCGGACTTTGAACCACCACCAAGCTTTGGCGATGAAGCTTTTGCGCGAAGGAACTCCTCTACAACCAATCTTGCTAACAACATCGAGGCGATACATATACAGAACAGCACGCCAGAGGAGTTCAAGCAACCGAGTCAGCCCTCTAGCATCGCTGCCCGCAGGCACAAACGCCCAACAGCGCTCAACCCAAGCACCCTGAGGAGCGCGTCCTACACCAGCGGCATGCCTTCTCCGGGAGCCAACAATGACCACACTCTTCGAAAGATCCGATCCTCGGGGATTCCCAATGCTGCGGGTCGTGTACAGAAATCCACTCCGGGCTCGGCGCAGCGCTCGCCCATGACAATGACTTTCACAGATGCTGCAGCGTCGCCCAAGTTTGCTAGGGCATTCTCGTCATCGAGTAGCACAACCGTCGGGCAGGGTGGCAGTCTGGCCCCTCCGACCCCCCTGACGCCGAACGAGATGAGCCGATTCCCCTACTGGCAGAACAGCGCTGTCATCAGGAATCACCCAGCAATGCCCGAGCACAGCAGTCCGGAAAGCCTCAATGCGAACTGGACGGTCGAGACTCAGTCGGCTGGGCTGTATTCTAATGCCACGTCGCCGCCGTCAACGCCTCTGGACCTAGCACAACTAAATCAAGCGCGCCTTGCTCATGAGAACCTGTACCGTGATACGCCCCCGCAGTCAGCGCCGGCGACACAGCAGACGTTTCCTCGCACAGCATTGATGCAACCTCCGCAAATGCGGGCTGGATTCCACTCGACCACTGATCTCACTCTCGCACAACCGAAGCCATCCCATTTCAGAAGGCCTTCCCTACCTGACCCGGGACACGGTCAGTTTGACGATGCGAACATGCAGTATCCAGTTCAGTTCGGGAACCTAAATTACGACGACTTTAAAGACATTTCCCTGAGCGGCATTACTCACAATGTCCCATTCGCACCGCCAGTGTCAGCCATGCCCGACTTTCTCGTCCATCAGTACGAGCCCCCGCAGGGCGCAGGACCCCATGCACATATGATGCGGCGAACAACTGAACCTCAACAGAAGAGCTATATTTTCGCCAACCAAGGTCCACACGACTTCCGCTCTTCATGATCAGCTCTCTGTGGAGGGTTCCGGCGTTCATGTGCCTCGTCTCATATTTGGGTTCAGGTTTCTCGTTTGAATATACCCGGTTTTGCGCGCTTACTCTCAGCCCGTCTATTTCACCAAATCGCATCGTTATCAGGAGGACATAAAAAGGGGCTATTCTTACCGTACTGTCTATTGATCGATGATTCAGCGGCCTCTGCGTTCTCGACATGATGACTATACGCAACGCACCGGCTATAGCCACAGCACTAATTATAATTGTGTCTGATTTTCCTTCCATCGCTTTCATATTTACGGCGCCGGGGTGAAAAATAAAGGAAGGGGAATTCTTTGGATATATGGGCTAGCATTTTTTTTGCCCCGGATTTACGCAGCGCACGCTCCTTTGGGATCTGGATCGGCATATTTTCTTATATTGTAATGCTGCGAGGGCATGGATATAGGCCCCTAGTAATGTCTCTCTTACTTCATAATATCTGGGCTGGGTGGGAAAGAGCGCTCGATATCAGCGCAAGGCATCTCAATGTGTAGGAGTAGGGGCTACTAGATCAGATGTACACACGCCGGATCTGGCAAGAACGAGGGGGGAAACGCAATGAAAGATCAGCATTGGCTTGTCATTATTGTGACATGACAGTTGCTCATTTCCAACAGCTTCATTTTTTTGCATGTTCAGAGTGATTTGTTGCAATTGTGGTTGCTGACTCTCGATCTGTGTTCCGCGACCCTGCCAAGATGGAAATTGCCGTCCCGACCAGCATTTCGCCCTGACTTCATTCTCGTGCTCGTGCTCGTGCGCTCATCCCGTTATCGTCGACCGGCATCTTCGCTCCTGCCTTTTCAGCCCTTGTCCCGCGCAGCCCCAGGCTCGAGCGTATTGCGGAGATGCATTTGGCATTTTCCTTTCCCGCCTACAATTTCTCCTTGGACGCCAGCTGCAGCCGTTACCCCGTTTGGGCCGGGCGTCTTATCCCGCTGTCATACTGCTGCCACCGCGTAATACTTTTTTTCTTATCGATTACTCGCCGTCCTCAGAACCTTCCGATTTTTTTCAGAACTTTCTTTTTCGCTGCGGGTGGTGGTGGGTGGAATTTTTACCCCTGAGCACATGCCGCCGTGCTGCAGGTCCCACACGGCTATGGCGTGCCAAAACAAAAGTCGCCTGTTGAGACTTCCGGCGTTGCAAAAATGTAAACGCTGGCACGCGTTCCTGACTACTGCATGTGCATTTGTTAGTACCGGCGGCGGCGGCGGCCGGGCCGAGGCGTTTCCGTTGTTGTTGTTGTTGTTGTTGTTGTTGTGGGCTGGGCTGGGTTGGAACCTTGGGAGAGACGGACGGGAAAAACGGGGGACTTGATTGCTTGCTTTTGCGGGAGCTGAGTTTGGTTGAGAAGCTTGTTTCCGTGGGTTCAGCACCGCCACGGAGGGGCTGCGCGAGACGGTGTGGGACGCGCACCTGCAGCTTGCAGCTTGCAGACGGCTACTGTAGGGCCCTCAAAATTGGTCCGAGTCGTGCCGTGGTACACTAGCTGCACGATGTTATGTGTGGTACGCCAACGGCACGATGTCCCATTAGTCTTCGCGTCGAGTTTACTGGTACACCCGATTTTTCTTCCTATTCTCCTGCCGAAGGCTTTGGATCTTGGGAGCGGCTTTATGGCGCTCGGATTCTTCGAGGCATGGCAACTCTTGCCGTCCCGGAATATGTGCTGGTGCATGGAGTCATGGGGTTTCTGGGCTTGAAGGTAAAGTTTGATGACGCTCCCCGCTTGGTAAGGCCTTGTCGCTTGCTGACAGGAACGCAGATGTCAGTTGGTGCATCGGAGCGCCCGTCACTGTTGATTTTGATTTCATGTCCCATTCATTTTCGGCATGCCAGAGTGCACAAGTTCGGTGACTGGTGGTCCGCGGAGTATGAAGGCCCTGGGCGAGCAATGTGCGGTATGGCTATTTGACGCCGATGTCCGACTATTTCGAGACGACGCCAGCGGAGATTCTAGATGAGAGGATGTAAGAGAAGACAGCCTGATTTGACAGTGAGCGAAACGCGTGAATGAAAGGCTCAGAGCGTCGAGTACGCGGAAGCACGTGACCCCAGCCGGCCCGCCGTCCCTTCGCTATGTGGTGCCGGGGGACTAGTTCAAAATTGCCTCACCTGGAGCACATGTGGAGTTCGACTACCTTCCCGAAGAGCCTTGCCAATTCCACCGGCTATGAAATTCGTCGTTGTATTGAAAGGAGTGAAGTATACCAGCATGTTGGAGTCACGGCAAAAAGGCAGCCACAGCATGTACGGCTCGAGTTCTCCCCGCGATCCTAAAGATCTGAGGGCTGTATTGATCTAGGCCTTGTCCGCTAGACATCGTCGACCAGAAACCCTGTCGAATAAGCTTCATGAAGGAGAGACATTCGAAACCACTCACCGGCCGGAAACCCGATATCGGCCTCTCATGCCTTTCTCCTTCTCCGAGGATGTAATACCTCCTTTAGTCCTCAGCCTCCACAAGAAAGTACGAAGTGCACCACTGTGGGCCCTTGGGGAACTAACACGAATTCGGAGTCAGATTGCATATAGAGTCGTGGTATTGCCATCCTGATCAAACCACTTAAATGGAGACTTTGGCACATGCTCAACGGATGTAGTCGTTTTTGGAGGGACTCTTAGATATTCTCCCGGACTTGAAAAGCCCTGGTTGCGGCCTGGCTTTAGAGTACGGACGCTTACCGCATGATTCCTTCCCTGTACGGTATTCTATGGAAGAACCAACTCTCGAATGTTTTCGCTAATGTGCCTGTCCTCCTGGAATAACGATCTGGAATGCTTCTTGGTATAATCCCAACCGCTGGCTGTCCCCATTCCTTGGGTGCTCCTGATTCGGGAAACCCCCCCTGCTCTTGCCTTCAACCCTTACTGTAGCAGTGACGAGATTGAATGGCCAGACGTTGCTGGTGGATGTTCGGATCGCCAGACAGTTGGAAGCCCACCCATCCAATTCAACTGAGACTGTGACAGGTGAAGAAGCGTCGGGCAGTAGTGACTTGGACATAGGAACAGAGCGTCCTCTACTTGCCTTAGCATGAGTGCTCCTAAAGACCTTCAGTAGTTTCCGCGGTTGGTTTTTGATCTGATGAAATTATGTCACGGAGCATACAGATCAGGTAGTCGGATATAGTAAGCATTTCTACCCTCACGCGCTATCGCCAAAGGCAAAAGGAAGGGATTTTAAATGCATGTTCAGAACAATTGCCGGTCCCCGTATTGGTTGCCTGAATATATGCCTCCATGAGGGCATAGTAATCCTTGAGAACCTCGGCTCGGCAGAGAAAAAGCCAATGAAGACCGCGCGACGGGGGGTCAAAAGTGAGTATCCCTGGAGCTATGGAGGGCGTTGGTTCCAGAGCCAATCGCATCGTAAGGCAGTAGCTGCGAGTCACCACGATCAACCCTGTCCGGCTTCGTCGATGAGTAGCCTAGAATTGCAATTATGCTGCGCTATAATAGTTTAATAGAAGCGCGATAGGAATGTCAATTTGTAATGCTGGCTATCGCTATCTGCTTGTAGGGCTGAAAAAGGATTTAGTGAAACTCACTGTTGCTTGTAGATGGCCTTCATCCTTGTCAATTTTTTCTGTATAGATTGTTCAACATCTTTAGTATGGCAGCCCTATCCCAAAGATGCCTCATGCAATAATCAACTCCGTAATGCACCGTCCTAGTACTCTAAACCCCGCCCGTCCTCATTCCCGAGCTTCATCAACCCCCTCTTCTCCAGATACTCAACAATCTGCTTCACCGCATCCTCCACGCTCGTCTTATCGCTCTGAATTTTTATCTCCGGGTTCTCCGGCTCCTCGTATGGCGCACTAATGCCCGTGAACTCTGGGATCTTGCCTTCCCTCGCCTTCTTGTACAGACCCTTCGGATCGCGTTGTTCAGCAACCTCGAGCGGAATATCTACGAAGACTTCGATGAAGGGGAGAGGCTCATCCTCAGGGTGTGCGGCGACGGGAGCAGCGTGTACCTCGCGGGCCGAGTTACGGTCTTTGCGGTAGGGCGAGATGAAGGAGGTTATGGCGATCGTGGAGCTGTCGGCGAAGAGTTTGGCGACCTATGGCCGCGCGTTGTTAGCGTTCTTTTCTTTTCTTCACTTTGCCAATGGTGCCCTGACTTGGCGCATTGCGTGCTCGACCGCCCGAATGCTGCCATTGTCGGTGTGCCCGGGATCGATGACCATACCTCTGCTATCCTCCGGATATTCTCATTCCTATCCTGCTCTGAGAAGCCCAAGTCCTTGTTGAGTCCGAAGCGCACGTTATCCCCGTCGAGACGGTATGCTGCCAGACCGAGGTGGAGAAGGTGCTGCTCGAGGGCAGTCGCGATCGTGGATTTTCCGGACGCGGAGAGACCGGTGAACCAGATTGTGAAGCCTCGCTGCTTGCGGTATGTGTTGCGCTCGGCGCGGGAGAGAGACGGATGCCAGGTGATGTTGCTGTGGTGAATTGTGAGTGTCTATGAAGGAGACGGAGGGGTATAGTGGGGCTTACGTTGCCATTGTGCTTAATTCTCTCTAGATTCGCGGGATGGAAAAGGCTGGGAAGATTATCGAGAAGGGGGGGGAACGGTAGAGGGGTAGATACACGAAGATATCTCGAGTTTTGAGGAGTGTCTGTTAAGTAAATGAAGTGGAGAGGGAATTCGCAATTCCTTGTTGATTCCGAAAATTCCTTAGCGCCAAATGACGTGCTTCCGACTCTCTGTTGCAAGGGTCCTTGCGTAGGGCTGTAGATCTTCGTATCTTGCTTCCGACGTCCCCTCGCCATTCTTCCGTCTAATATACCCTCGGGTGGTTATGTGAAAGAGCTAGGGCATGAGAGCGTGTCTATACACGCCAGCGCCGCGTCAAGCAGTCCCACTACCCCTTTCATACCTTGTCAGCTTACGTACCACTTCACGCCATGTGGGAAATGCTGTCGGCGTATTGGAGACACCATGACGATACTCTGTTAGGGCTGGGTTAATATCAGCTTATGTGAAGGTATGAAGGCAGCCTATTTCTGATTCTAGGTGCGAAGAAATCTAGGAGGCTAGAGAATTCATGGCAGAAGCAGACACCATTCGTACCAAGTACTTTCAAGAGATAGAAGACGTGATTAGGTATACGTATTCGGAAACGGGAAAACGAAGCCTGGGGTATCTCATCGACCGAACCACACACCAAACGCCAAAATCCACAGCGTCGAGAAGACGAGACAATGCATCGCGGAGCCTGACTACCTTCAGCACCATCCGCAGGACCCATAGCCCAAATCGCACACCTTCTTCTCCTCCTTCTCATCACTGCCGCCCTGCTCGTCCGTCTCAACACAATCCTCTCCCCGAACCGTAACCCAATCGCCCTCTGACGTCCCAACACTCTCATCCGAAGTCGTCTCCTCGCTAAGACCTGCCGGCTCAGCAACCATCTCGCCAGCAACTCCCGCCAGCTTGCACTTAACCGCCCACCTGCGCGAATTCCGCTCTCGAATATTGTCCTCAGGCCGCACGTACTTCGGCACGATAGCCACGTTCTTGCGCTTGACGGGGTCGGATGCCGGCCAGGAGAAGCCAGGCGGAGGACGCGCGGCGCCGGCACGGATGGTACCAATTTCTCGCTCGCCCTGCCGGACACGCTGGGCGTGGTACTGGCCCCAGGAGCTCTCGCCCATGGCGTAGTAGTCGGTGATGTCGTCCTTGCGGTTGTGGATGCGGGAGCCCTTGGGCTCCCAGCCCGCAGGCAGCAGCTTGCGAGCGTCCATCTGCAGGTCGTCCTGCCATTTGCGAGCCCCTGGGATGGGGATCCCCACTGGCTCCTTGACGGTGGTGGATGGTGGTGCACGGCGCCAGACGCGATGCTTGGGTGCAGGAGCAGGAGCGGGCTTTGGTGAGCAGCTCTCAACGGCTGCTGAGTCGGCAGAGGGCTTGCAGCCGTACAGCAGTGATGCTGAGAGGAGGGAGGAAGGCATCTTGAGAGTGGTAGATGGTTGCAAAAAGTAGTATTGGTAAGTAGCAGCTGTTTACAGGAGTGCAGTAGTTGCTAGTGCGCAGTGGAGAAGATAAGATGGATACCTACAGAGAAGTAGACACTGGCTGGGATATATAGAAGAACAGCTTCCTCTGCCAGCTCGCTTAGTTGAAAATTTTATATTTCTATAGTGGTTCAGCGAGTAGGGTTGGTCGAAGAGGAGATGCGTTGGTATGGAATTAGCTATCTGAAGTGTGGATAACAGCCAAAAGTTACTTGGAACTACACCTTAGAAGACGGTCAACGGCAACTTGAGCCTGTGTTGGGACGGACCTTCCGCTGGTTACAGAAGAAAAATTATTCGGGTTGGGCTTTACTATGCCCCTTGAAGGCCTCCGGGCACAGCAATGTCGCATCTAAATTTGGTCATAGAAATAACATGGTGGTATTCGGCTCACCCCTTCCTCATTGCGAAGTGCGACCCAAGGGGGCTCGACTCATGCCTGCTCTCTATACACAATCGCGTCTCTTGCAAACCTGCGGCTCGATGCCCGCGGAGCCGACCCTATCCAAGAACTCAACATTAAAAACCACAAGAGAACGTATCGTAAAAGACCATCCAACATTGTCCCGGGTAACGACTCCAGGAAATGCCAAATCCCGCGCCAGGCTCAGAGTACCTCCCCAATTGCTCCCTTATCCGAAAAAGCGATAGTCCAATACTCCACAATGATCGCTGCTTGATGCACTCCAAGCTCCAAAGCTCCAGCGCTGTGACGCCCGACTGCTGTGGTATAGGCATGCCTGGTTCGCCGTGTTCCGCCCCCAGCACCATGAACGCCCAATACCTGTATTGATGCCCTATCCTCGTCGAAGTGCTCGTGCGTTTTGTAGTTTTGCGGACCGGGCAAAGCTGTTCGCCGATCGCATATTTGTCGTCAAATATTCAGTCAGCCCAATGGAGCTCTTACGCAGATGCTCATGACCTTTTTCGCTCTTGCCTTAGCACCACTGCCTTTGCACTCTATCTGCAAGATCTTCCGCCATATGGTGATAGATGAAACACAGCTACTAGTGATAGCGATGGTCGACCTATAACCAACCACAGGTTCCTCACTCGATCAAGGGCTTCCGTGCTCCACCGACTATCGCCATGCCTAGTGCATGTAGGCCGCTCGGGTCATTTGCGCGGATAATGGCAGCAGCAGGTAGCATGGGATTGTCGGGTGAGACGTGTGCGGCGTCCTTGGCTGCTTGTTCGATAGCGTCCATCTCTTCCTTGCAGCCGGCGTGATCGAACGGGCATACGACGATAGGCTGACGGAGGAGAATGTCTCTTGCTGACGACATTTGTGCCTACGCAGGTATAAGATGGCTGTAAGTGCAACAGGCGCTACATTGCTCACCTTGACTGTTAGGTAATATTCGATCTTGTAGAGCGTGCCTGTCGTCGTGAAGCCATTGACAGCGTACATGGGAAATTCCTTCTTTCCTCGCGGTATTATGCCTTCCGAGTCCCGTAGATCCTTCGCGGGAAATACCAGGCCAAGGTTGGTGAAATAGCCTGCCTCGGGCATCTTAACCCCGACAGCTTGCGTTGTCCTCGCCAGCGTCTTGACCTTTCTTGTGGGCTCATCCCCTTCATGGTTAAAGATAATCTCTTCGTCTATACCCACTGTAATCTTCTGTATAGTGACCTTCTTCGCCTTGGATAACCAGTCCGGGTTCGGGCTCAGTTTGATGTACACAGATACGGGATCTAAGGGGCCATAACTCCACCGAGGCAGACTAATTCCCAGGGTGACCAGATGGTCGGTGACTCGCTCGGCGCTCTCAGGTCGGTTATACATGCCGAAAGTGGACAGCGTATCGTATCTCTGTATTGGCACCGGAAATGGATATTTCTTCTGATCTGAGGGTCCCTGCTGCACCGTTACGAGTAGCTCGTAGAATGTCTCAGCTGTTCGGCTTGGTAATTGCAAGCTCGCGGGCGGCACTCTCCTCGCTACTTCTTCCCCTCCTCGGCCATATGGTATGAATATCACGAATGGTAGGTCCATGGACAGCACGCTCTCGTATTCCCTTCCAGCTGGACATCGAAACAGAAGCATCTCCTTGCCAACAATGTCAGTGATCTCTTTGCGCGGGGCGGCCAGGTGCTTCTTGGTAACGGAGTCGGCGGCAGGGTGGATGGTCTCGCGCCGCTGGAGCGCGATAGTGACGAGGGACACATTGACGGGTGCTGAGACGCCTACTAACGGCCGTATTTCGACTTTGCCTTCTATTCGGGGCTGCGTAGTAGTTAGCATAGTTCTAGGATACGAATACGGAAAGAGATCAGATAGTATCAGAACTCCAGCTGCGAGATGCACGGCGCGAGCCCTGCTAACATGGGCCGCACGGAGGGAAGACATACCAGTGTCGCCGATATGCCCGGATAGCCCACCAGGAAGTTACTGTTTGGCGGTCCTGAGACGCGCACAAAGGCCGACATGGTGTCTCACGGTGACGGACTCGTCGGCGCAGGCCTGGGACGGCAGCGCGCGCCGCATGGGAGAAGTTCCGGCCTCCTCTGTAGCTATGCGCCGGCCAAACGTCGCTCGAGGGGCTCCAGCTTGGTGCGCGGGCTGTCGGAGGCGTGCTGAGACGCTGCGTAGCCTTCCGGCTGCGGGACGGCGGTGGGGGAAGATGCACGGCGGAGGAATGCTAGAACAGGCGGGGTACTGCGCGGCAGCAGGCCGGTCGCACAGCGGCGAGCGAGGAGCGGCGAGGATAGTGTATATTGCGTCGTGGATGCGTGGCCCGGGTGCGGTGGGAGCTGTTTCGCTGTAGGGCTGGCGGGCGTCGTGGGCGGCGGAGCTCAGGGTCGTGATAGGCCCGGGGGACGCCTGTTAATGAATATGGCACGTCTGCTAAGACGGGCGAGCTGCGGCGGGCTCTGGATAATAGCCTGCGACAATGGCGACGGCAGCGAGCGCAGCGGTGTTTGGCAGCGAGAGGGCGGCGCGGGCCCGGTCGGGGACGTGAGAGGCAGGCCGCGATGGTGGCCGCTGGTGTGGGGAGAGGTGTCGGACGGCCTCGTTCGGTGCGAAGCGCAGCTGAGCACAGAACCTCACCACCCGCGCAAAGCCGCCGCCGCCGCCTCGACGCAGCAGACAAATGCGCGACGAGCTGGACGCACGCCATGTCTGTCACCGTAAGTAGCCTCTGCTCGCTTCTCCAGCCTCTACGCATCCTCGCGCGCCCATACGGCCTCCGTCTCCACCACGTCATGCCCCCCGGTGCATTTCCCCGACGTCCACCCCGTCATCGCCTGTAGAGCCAACCCCCAATCCTGTCTGACTGTCTGACTGCCGCATGCGCACGCGAGTCCCGGCTCCGTGGACGTGCCTCGTGCTTCCGATTGTGCTAGACTAAGTCCGCCACAGCTGCATACCACGCGCGGTGATATCAAGCTCGAGATCTTCTGCGAGTCCGTTCCCAAGACGGCGGAGAACTTCCTGGCCCTTTGCGCATCTGGCTTCTACAACGGCAGCCCCTTCCACCGCTTGATCCCCAACTTCATGGTGCAAACCGGCAGCCCGGCCTCGGACCCCAAGTCTAAGACCTCGACATCCATCTACGACGCCACCCCGGACCAGCTGTTCGAGGATGAGATCCGCCCTGCGCTAAGGCACAATGCAAGAGGCATAGTCGCAATGGCCAACAAGTCCTCTCCTAACACGAACGGGAGCCAATTCTTCATCACATTTGCTCCGGCCCCGCATCTGGATGGAAAGAATACCGTGTTTGGCAAGGTGCTCGAGGGCATGGAGGTATTGGATGAGCTGGAGAAGCTCGAGGTGGACAAGAAGTCAAGGCCAAAGGAGCGCGTGGAGATCAAGAACATCACCATACACGCCAACCCTCTCGCCGGATGACGTGGCTATGAGCCGTGAAGATGACGGATTAGTATGGAATCAACGAGAGTTCTGCGGCTAAGACATGCGTCACGGCTGAGACCACCCTATGAGATCGAGGACAATGCTCTATTAGGCTGACGAAGCCTTGGTATCTACGGACCCCAGATGCATGCTAAGGAAATCTGGCAGCTACCTCTGCTCATGTAATATTGGCCGTCCCGCCGTTTGTCGTCACCCCGTTTGCCGCTGGTTGCTCCTCTTCATACCCCTCGGTCTTCATGTCGCGAAGGCCGAGATGCTCCTCTTCTTCCTCCGTCCGCTCGTAGTCTTCAACCTTCATCTGCGCATCTGGCTCTGGTGCAGCAAAGCTTTGAACGTAGCTGCTGGCTAGCGGGTCTTCCAGGATAACGGTGAACTTGACGTCGCCGTTGATGGCCGCTGTGAGTTGGCCGAAGAAGCTGTCCCACTTCTCCTTGGTTGCGCTGTCCATCGAGTCTCCGCTATCACCGGTGTCGAAAATGGAAGAGTGGAGGTCGTCGCGGACCTGAGTGAGAAGTCCTTCGATGGTAGTGAATCGGCCGCCGAGAGTTCCGGGTTCAACGCTGAGATGGAGCTCTGGACATGCCATAGCACAAGATTCCGACTTTAGGATGTCTCGCGAGAGGTCCTCCTTGTTCTCGACGGATACCGTTATTCGACGGCCCTTCTCAGGGACCTCGCCTCCGGTCTTGACCTCATTACTCCTATCTGCCGTCTGATTAGTATATGCGTGGTGGGGTGCGGGGTTCAACTTACATCCGCAGTGAGGGCATACAGTGCTCATAAGCACCACTTGCTTGAAGTGTGGAATATTTACCATCTTCATATTTGTCGTGCAGGGCTTCGTGCATCCTGGGCAGCTGGCGGGGAAAGAATAGACCTGGTTCTCCACGATGTCTTCGTCCACGTTGTTCACCATTGGCCCGCTGGGCATCTGGGGATACATCTGGGTGGCGTGGTATTCAGGACGGACTTCTGATGCTGGTGCCTCCCCTGTGGTGTCCCCGAGACCTAACGCTGCGTTCTGGGCAGGACTTCGGGGATATTCGTGACGGAAATACTTGGCGGCGGTGTCTTGTATCGAGGGCTCAATCGACGAGTTGCCGGCCGGATCGTCGACGGTGATCTTGAAGGGCACTTTACCGCCGCTCGCCATCGCCTTCACAGTCTCGATTACGCCCTGGATCTTCTCATAGATCTCCGGCATCACCTCTTTCCGCTCATCTTGCTTTTGTTCCAAATCTTGTGCGACCATGGTCAGAATCCCCTCCACATTTGTGAGCTGGCCACGGCCGGGAGGAATCTCCAGATCTATGTCCTCGACTCTGAACACCGCGGTGTCGCTCTTCACGATTTGCCGGTTTAGATCTTCGGCAGCATCTACTCTGAGGGTGATCTTGACTCCCCGCTGTTGTATCTCTCCTGCTGGCTGGACTTCGGCGTTCTTAAAGTGGCAGTGTGGGCATTCGAAGGACATGATGACGATTTCGCGGAAGTAGGGGATTTTGGTGAGGAGAAGTCGCGTAGTGCCCTGGGCGTAATTAGTTCTGTTCGTAAATGTTAATCCGCAGTACTTACATTCTCATGGCAGTTCATGCACAGGCTCTCAATCTCGTCGACAACTTTGCTGCCATCTTCGCCGCCCTCTTGCGCGCTCGCCTCCGCCACCTTCCGGCCCATATCCTCGAACAAGTCTTGCGCAAGACTTTTCCCTGCCATGCTGAAGTTGTTTATCAGAGAAAATGTATTGTTGTGTCCTGTTTTCGGCGTGTTGGTTGTGGGTGTTCGTAGCTCGAGTCAACGCCAGTGACGGAAGTGCGAAAGATTTTTGCCCCGCGATTTTGGCGGGGTTGCTTCTAGCGCATTCAAGAGGCATCCTGGTCGTCCGTTCAGCCCTATCGCTGTCACTGCATAAAATCCATCAGGTCGAGCCCGAGTCCTCCCTTTCCGGAGGATTGCGTCCTGTTCTTCTCAAGCATTGCTTGCAGGCCGCCCTTCCGAGCCTTCTTCCTCTGCTTGCTGGTCGCGTTGGCCGACTTGGTGACCTTGCTCTGGTCGTCCCTAAGCTCTCTGGTTTCCGGCTCTGGCGAAGTTACACGATTCTTACCCGCCTTGGATTTCCCAATGTGCTTCGGTGGTCTTGTCTGTAATGGCTGGATAGTCTTGCAGTCGCATCTCAGGCACAAGTAGACCATGTCCTCTTGTCGTAGTCTTGGCTCTTCCGAGGGCTTCGCTTTCTTATCTTCCGGCCGACTGCGGTGAGAAACTTGACATGACCACCCCGGGACCATCACATTCCCACAGGCGCCGCACACTTCGCGTCGCAGTGCATCCCAGTCCTTCTTTGGCGCGCCGAGATCCTGATCGTCAGCGGTGAGGAGCTGATCGTGCGCGGCTCCAAGCGCAGCTGCAGCCGTAGGTGCCGGAACAGTGAGTAGATGGGCTGCTTGCTTGAGGAACCTGAGCCGCAGCTCACTGGGGTTGTTGGCCATTGGTGCCCGCGCAGCGTTTCCGTCTTGTCTGGGAGAACTTCTGAAGTGGTCATCACGGTCCACTTCTCAAACGCCGACTGCCCGACGCTAGTCAGAATTGGCCATCAGCTTCGAAGAACTTCACTCCAACATTCAACAAGAGTTCCTTTCCTGATCTTCTAGCGCGGCTTGGTCAACTTTCTCCATGCTGGCTTCCAGCTACCAGCGCAGTCTCGCAACAACAACACCATGGCATCGCCGGCCCTAGCCGCAATGAAAGGCCTGCGCGTCGCCGTGGAAGGATGCGGCCATGGGACATTGCATGAAATATACGCCTCTATCAAGAAGTCGTGCGAGCTCAAAGGCTGGCCAGGCGTCGATTTGCTGATTATTGGAGGAGACTTTCAGGTTTGTCCCAGCATTCTATTACCGCTCTGGCATGCCGACTAACAGCATAGGCCGTCCGCAATGCCTACGACCTGAAAGCCGTCTCGATGCCCGAGAAGTACTACGCAATGCACGACTTCCATGAGTACTATTCTGGTGCTCGGACGGCGCCATACTTGACGATATTCATAGGAGGAAACCACGAAGCCAGCAACTATATGTGGGAACTATACTATGGCGGGTGGGTCGCACCTCGGATCTACTACATGGGTGCAGCGAACGTCGTTCGGCTGGGGCCCCTCCGCATCGCTGGTCTTTCTGGAATCTGGAAAGGGTACAACTACAAAAAGCCGCACTTCGAACGCCTGCCCTATAACCAGGACGACGTGAGGAGCATATACCACGTAAGGGAGCTTGATACACGCAAGCTTCTTCAGATGCGGACCCAAGTCGACATCGGGTTGAGCCACGACTGGCCTCGCGGCATGGAATGGAAAGGAAATCATCGGCAACTCTTCAGGTTTAAGCCTCACTTTGAACAGGAAGCAAAAGACGGTACCTTGGGCAGCGTTGCCGCGGCGCAGGTCTTGGAGCGATTGCGGCCTGCGCACTGGTTTAGCGCCCATATGCATGCTCGATACTCCGCCATCTGGGAGCATGGAGATCCGCAAGCAACCTCGACCCATGTTACCAGCAACGGTGTCCCTTCACGGGCTACTCAGAACGACGAGATCGATTTGGAGATGGAAGATGCTACCCCAGCGCCTGCTGCAAAGAACGAGGCCGAGATTGATCTTGACTTGGACGACGAAGTCCAGGCGCCAGTTCTGGCGCCAAAAGAGGCGAACAACGGGGAATTACAAGAAGTGCCACAAGATATCAGGGATCTTCTGCCAGAGTCTTTCGCGCGTCCTGTCACGCAGTCCCCGCTAGCTCTGCCTTTCCCGGCGGAGATAACGAATAGGACAACAAAGTTCCTCGCGCTCGACAAGTGCTTGCCCAACAGGCATTTTCTCCAGTTGCTGGAGATAGCTCCGCTTTCTCCGTCTGACTTTCAAAGGCCTCTCAAGTTAGCGTATGACAAAGAGTGGCTCGCTATTACGCGAGTTTTCGCCAAGGACCTGCAAGTAGGTGATCCTGTGGCACAAGTTCCTGCGGACAGCGGCGATGCTTTCTACAGGCCTTTGGTCGAGAAAGAGATGGAATGGGTAGAAGAAAACCTTGTCAAATCAGACAGGATGACTATACCTGAGGATTTTGCTCAGACGGCGCCCGTGTACGATGCGGCTACTGGTATCGACGTCAAGGGCATACCGCAGGAGTACTCCAATCCACACACGCAAGCATTCTGCAACCTACTACAGATCCCAAATGCTTTCCATGCGTCAGACGAAGAGCGAGCGCAGATGATGCAAAAGGGTCCTCGGCCCGGTTCCGAACGTTCCGACAGAGGAAGTAGGGGCGGGTACAGAGGCGGAAATAGGGGAAGAGGTCGAGGTCGAGGCGGGTTCAATGCTAATTACGCACCAGTTGGACGAGGCCGCGGTCGCGGTCGTTGGTGAACCGAGAGCGATGGGACTAACGACGCGCCGCGCACTCCGATTCCGTATGCGATAGCGATTGCACGGGATAGCGGCGGCAGCGGGATAGGCCCACGTTGACAGATACCACGAGTTCGGGAACGCCACTCTGACCACTCTCATCGATCAACGGGCCGCTTTTCGACGGTGATGACGGCTGTAGCACGGTAATTGCGGTACACTACTTTAGAGCCTCAGGCGGTTCTGCATGCGGGCGACACAGGGTCTAATGGCCGGTGCGGAGTGGGTCAGTAAATGAACCCTCGCTGCACGATGATGTCTACAACGAATGCATTATAGTAGCATTGCAAAGCGAGGCCATTCTAGCATATACGCGGCCACCCGCTGGCAGAGCGCAGTATTTGGTTATGATTCAGCAAGTCTAGGTTAGGCGTGGAGGAGGGCGTGCTGTTGGAGTCCACGAATCTTACGTCATTGGTCCGGCGATACGGCGTGGCGCTCGTGCGAAGCGGCATGCGGGATAGACAGCGACAGCAAGAGTCGGACGCAAATTGCAGCCGTTGAGGGTTATTGCCGTGAGAACAGTTGGCGATATCAGATCTTAAGAGCCGGCATAGAAGTTACGGTTGTCGCACGCCTCCGTTGATCGCGCTGATCGCATGCAAGCTGTTCAGAGTTTATTGACACCTCAGCAGGAAGTGGCGAAAGGCGCTGCACTGCCGCTGCGGACCGTCGGCGGCTGTTGTTGCGTATGCGCTGGGTCAGGAGGCAGCGCAATCCTTCCAGCGCCCTTGCTTTCGTCGTCGCGTCCGTCGCCGGCCGATGCTCGCGCGAAGTCGTCTTGCGCACCCGCCGACAGCTTCTATTTCAGGCTCGCAGAGGCCAGCTCACAGGAACGCCTCTGCCCACCGGTCCTACCCGCGGCGACAGCATGCGATTGTCAGCAGCCGATGGCCCGTGCGCCGTCCAGAAGCTCCACCTCCGTCATGCTGGCTCGCCCAGGGGGTTCGAGACGGGCCCAGGATCGGCACTCGAGGACCCTGGATCAGCACCCACACCCTGGACCCCGCTGTGAGTGGCTCTGTCCGCGTGCTCCTCCATCCACACTTTAAAAGTCTGCCACCTCCTCGTGCCGAGCGCAGGCCCTCTCTTCCCCCGCATAACACAGCACTCGTTTCGAGTTTCGAGCCTTTCGAATTGCCCTTGCCGCACTACAACGCTACCGGGTCTAGACCGCTGGACTTCCGTTTGAAGACTACTCTAAGAGCTTTGCCAATCGTTTCACCCCGCTAGTCATCGATACGTTTATTGTTTCCCCCGGGCTTAATCGTCCAGAGAACTATATACATAGCCGCCGTCCTCGCCCTGCCGCGCTCGTGTCATTCCGAGTCTTCAACACCAACTGTCCCACATTTCGTTGAAAAGACATTCGCCACAATGGCCTCCAAGTTCACCGAAATCCTTGAACCGTCGGACGCACCCACCTACACGCACCCGCACCTCAACGTCTCTCTCGAAGATGTTCTCGCAGAAGACTGTCGCAAGCGGTCTACGTCGGAGTCCTCATCGTCCTCGCACACGAGCAGCTCACGAACCGGGAACGACAACCCAAAGTCCCCAACGGAGGAGAGTAAAGGAAGCACACTGAGACGGAGGGCGTTCACATTTGGAAGCAAAAAGGGACGACGCGGGACTTGAGAACAGACCGCCAAAGCAAAGACGTTTCTACCAATTTGGTTATCGAGCACATGAATGCCGCATACGAGAGCCATCGTCATCGAACTAGGCGTGGCGAAAATATATTCACGACGAGCCGATGCCGTCCATTCTCCCCCGACATTCACGTCGACGACGTCCCGAAAGTCCAGCCGGCCACCGTTCGATACCGCCTTCGTTCGGAAAGGGTTTAGACCCTCAACACGCAGCCTACACACCATCACCATTTTACTTCGGATATGGATCATTTTAATATTCTTATAACCCGGGTTCCTGGCATGGAAGCTAGAAGCGCCACCAAAAGTTTGGAAGATGTTGGAAAACCCTCAGGGGAGCCTCAGGAGAGCATCATGTAGCGAGCCAACCGGTAGTCTCAAGTGTACTGAAAGATACCCTCCAAGAATGAAGAAGGATATTGTCAATCATGTTAATCATTCGCCGTAAATGCTCTGACCTCAGGGTTGCCATTGAGGAAGTAGTTCTCGCGCTCGGGCGTCGTTCTTTCCTCAACTACTATGCGCCGTGATTGCTGCCCCTCCCGTTTTCGCACCGAAAGTGCCAGGCCATTTACACCTCACATTATACTTGCTGTCTCCCTCCACTCCTAATACTCACTTAGCCAGACCCACAACATCGCCATGTCCAGCATCACTACCCCGCAAGCACCCTTCATCGCAGTCTTGGAATCCTACCTGGCTCCCGCTGTACCTGTCGGCACTTCGACCTCACCGTCAGATGCTGCATTCCACCTCATCTCCACACCTAGTATGTGAGATCCGTTGTAGCCTTTCAGGGTGGTAGTTCCAAAGCCAGTTAGCTTGGGGCTATAGCCTGCCGTGGCCCGCCCTTCCTCTACACCATCCTGTTGTGTTAAAAGGGTGTCTACTAATCGAGATCGGGATCTTTAGTCCTTACCAAGCTGAAGAATGTCGGTCCTGCTCGCGTCAAGGATATGCGCTCCACTGGTGTCTCCATGCAGGTCGTTTCCCACGTCCCAATCCCCACGAATCCATCGACGTGCGCAAAGCTGAACGACTCACTGGCTGCAGCTATTTGCCTTAGTCAGGATCGATTTGCGGCGCTGGCGCTATTGCCCATGAATGACCCGAAGGACGCGGCGAGAGAGCTGCAGAGGTGTGTCACGAAATATCAGTTCGTTGGCGGCGTGCTGGGCTTGCGAAGGAAATATGGGATAAAAGAGGGAGAGTTCAGCATGCACCTTGACGACCCAGCATTTAAGGAGCTTTGGGGAATAGCAGAGAAATATCGCGTCCCGGTTGCATTGAAAGAGGTGTTTCCCTCAAGAGAGCAGGTCTGTTGGACACCTGGACTTCTGATGTCCTCAACGTATGGAGCGAGACGGTTGCTGAACAAGCAGATACCAGAATACAAAGACAATTATCCCGACTCCTTCGTAGGTCCGCTAGTCACGAATTTCCACGCCGCGCATACATCATCACCACTGCCGATCCTACGGCTCTATGCCGCCGGCGTCTTCCAGCGACACCCGAACCTGCGCCTCATCCTGTCACAATCCGCCCATTCCATCGCATCCGCCCTGCCACGCATCGAATCCGTCTTTTCCACTCTACCGACGAAAACAACACGTAGCTTCAAAGACGTCTGGCAGCACAATCTTTACGTCACTACGGCAGATGATCTAGCGAGTATGCGGGCATTGTTAGAGCACATACCGATCGATCGGGTGTTATATGCGACGAACTACCCGTTCGAGGAGAGAGGAAGAGGTACGTATACCACGATGCACATTCACATGCTAGCATGGCCGAATCTTCACCTTTTGGGAACCTTCACAAGCGGACTTCCAGGGCTAGCCGGAATGCTCCTCGTCTCACGTTTCGACCATTCCGAAGGCTCTCGCTGGATGAAATCCTCAGCCACCAACCCATTTGCTAATCGGCGCCTAGGTTTGATGACTGAACTGAAGGAAAGCGGATTAGTGGGTAGGGAGGAGTGGGAGAGGATTGCTTGGGGGAATGCGGCATCGCTGTTCGGCCTGAAGGGCGACGGAGCTCGAGTGGGCAGGTCTGGTGTCAGTCGATCCTCGGCTTGATAATGGCAATTTGAATATGGAAGGATATCGACAGGGAACAAGTTAGACGGCTGGAATAGCTAGTGATTCCTGGAGTGCCATCACCGTACCAGACGTAGTTCAAGGAGCAGTCAAATCGTCCATGTCAGCTCATGTCTCATTCAAGTGTAGTCTTAACAAGAGCGAAGCCGGGAATCGTAATTTCGAGCGCTAAGTATCCGCAATATCGTCTAACATGCCGCATCGTTGTCGTCCGTGGCGGGGCTTGCGTCCGTCGACCGCTTATTTCTTCTTTCCGGACTTCTTGATGCCCTGCTGCCCAGTATTCATGGGACCCTTGCCTCCGGCCTTCTTTGCCATTTCCTCGCGTGCCTTCTTATCTGTAGGCCAGTCAGCCGCCATGCATATGTCTTTGGCCCTGCCCGCCCGCCATCGACCTTTTGCTCTCGAGACCGGCGAAGGCTGGAAGATGTCGGACTACGCACCGGCTTGTTGCTTCTGCTTGAACGCGATATCGTCCTCGTCCTCCTCCTTGTTCTGCTTCTTGGGCTTCTTGTTGTGGATCGGGTTTGTGCCCGCTGTGATCATGTCAGCTCTCAAAATCCCTCGTTCCTTCTCTCTCTCTCTCTCCCCAGACCTGCAGATCTTACGCAGGCTGCGGAAGGGCGCACGTACCTCCTTGTCCTGAAGGCATTTTGGCGAGTCTTGAGCGGATGCGGATATCGGTGTGGCGGCTGCGACTTGTGGGAAGCGTGAGGTGAGGTTTTGCTGGAGTGAGATGGACAGTGGTCTCGATGCAGGGTTGTCAAATAAAGTGGGGTGTGCTGTGGCGCGGGGGCAAAAATGGCGCGGGGGAAAAAGTGGCGCGGATCTCGTGGCGAGTGCCCGCACGTGGTTTCGCGGGCTTGTGCCTCAGGCTCTAGGTTCAACCACCCTTCACGACGCTTGATGACTCGGGAACCACTGAAATGCTAACGCTTCCTGAATCGTCTCGCATGTCCAAGGGAGAATGTCGCCAAAGTGTTCTTGCAGCTCTGGGTTTTGTTGGGCGTGGTCGTGCGTGGAAAACTCACACCGTTGTTTACGCCGCTTCTCGGAGCGTTCTCGGCTCATCTCATTAGGTCCACCTTTATGGACCGTCGCGGTCGTGATGCAAGCGCGGTCGTGATCGAGTCATCTCCTTCAAGATCAGAACGTCTGAGTATCTACCAAGACTACCACGCGACAACAAGGCTCGTATGCGCCAGCAAAAAGCTTTCTTGTCTGCAAGGCTTCATGAGCTTGTGATCACGCACTCGCACTCGCTCTCAGGCCAGCCAGGACAAATTACCTCTTCCAGCTAGCACATCCATCGATCCTTGTCGCTAGCCGACGAATAAACGGCGCCTTGTCCCTTCCGGCCTGCCAGCTATCCCGGAAACAAACTAAACCTCCATACTACATCTCTTCCTCTAATTCGTGGAGAATCACCAGCAATTCTCCTCCGAACGCAAGGCCGCCGTCTCTACCCCATCACGGCCAGTATGCGGAGGCAAGAGACTATGTCTGGGGCCCCAGATCCAGCCATCTCGGACTTCGTTTGCATGCCGAATAGGATGTGATTGGTGTGATTATTTGCAGCGCGGATGCGTGGATCCCAGAACCAGGTTCGTGCTTCCCGAATTCTTGGGGTCAACACGGGATGATAGTACACCGTGCTTAGGAGATAAGGTTATATATCTAGCGAGGAGTCTCCACCTTCTGTTTCCTTCCTACGAGACCCTCTCTGCATCTTCTGCGACCTTTGGTAACGCCGCACATTGCATCAGTCGTCAAGAAGTACCAGAGGGAACAAGCGCCACCATGACTGTCTCATCGAAGAGGGTGTACAATTGGTAGGCCTCACATTCCTGGTTGGGGGTACGGATCTGGCTAACACCCGTAGGTACATCTCGCTCGTAGCGGCAAGTTGCATGGTTCTGTACGGCTATGATGCCTCCGTCTTCAACGCCGTCCAGGGCTCAAAGAACTGGGTAGCATATTTCAACCACCCTGTACGCCTTCCAAGCACGAATATCATGGACCCGAGACTGACCTTTACAGGGTCCCAACATTATCGGTGCGATTAATACTGCATATACAGTCGGAGCTGTCGTAGCTGGTTTCTTCTTCGGAGGACCGTTGGCAGACTATGCTGGACGACGCGTGGGAATGGCAGTCGGCTCTGGTCTTGTCATCATTGCCACATTTATGCAGACCTTCTCACCGAGAGGAAATGTCGGCTGCTTTATTGGTGGCCGAGTACTTATTGGTCTCGGTCAGGGTCTTGCTTTGAGTAAGTGCGCACATGGGAAATAGTTATGATGCTGTTGACTAATGGTATTCTAGCGGCCGGCCCCATCTACATCGGAGAACTCGCCCCACCTGAAATCAGAGGGAAGATCATGTCTTTTTGGCAGATGTTCTATTCCGTCGGCTCTTTCATAGCTTACTGGTATGTTGGTCACGGGGCACAATCCAGCATGTCTCAGCTTTTCCCTGCGGAAAGGTCTTCCTGAAGGCCTTTGGCAGGTAAAGACCAAGGCATGCTAGATAGTTAACGTCCCACCTTTTTTCCCTGACCTAAGACATCTGCTGACTGCCGCCTTTGCAGGGTCAATTACGCATGTTCCAAGAACCCCCAGCACCTCGGCGAATGGGATTGGAGAATGGTCGTTATCTTCCAGCTCCTGATGCCCATCCTTATTATCGCTCAGGTCTTCTTTATACCGGAGACGCCTCGATGGTACATCCAGCACGGCAACCGACAGGAAGACGCACGTCGATCGCTTCACCGAGTCCGTGACACCGACCAGGAGGTTGAAGATGAGCTCCTGGCTATCCGCGAGGCTATTGAGTTTGAGGCCGAGGCGATCTCTAGCGGCTATTCTGCACTGTACAAGGACAAGTCTGTCAGGAAGCGGATGTACCTCGCCATGATCATCAACGCTGGCCAGCAGATTACCGGACAAGGCACCCTCAACTCATACAGCACAATCATCTACAAGAAGGTCTTCAAGTCAACGTCCCAGATTGCGCTGATTAACGCGCTTAACGCTACCTTCGGTATCATATTCACGCTAAACGCCACTTGGACGGTCGATCGTTTTGGACGCAAGTTCTTGTTCATCGTCGGTGGTCTCGGTATGGCTGCCTGCATGTTCACCGTCGCTACGGTTGAGACTCAGACTCCCTCTTTCGATGGAGCCAAGTCGGTGCCCGTTGGCATTGCGATCGTCTTCTTAATGTTCTTGTTTGCATTCTTCTGTAAGCCACTCACCTGCCTCCCATTTTCCGTGCACCCACTAATCCCTTCCTTCAGACAAGCCATCTTGGGGTGCCACCGTCTGGATCTACACCTCTGAAATCTTCTCCATGAACGTCCGCGCCCAGGCCGTCGGCATGTGCTCGCAGACTCAGAACGTCGCAAACTCCATCGTCCAGCAGTTCTTCCCCCAGTTCCTCGACAACTGCGGCTTCTACGCTTTCTACATGTTTGCGGGTGTCAATGCACTGCTCGCGGCATTCGTGTATTTCTTCCTTCCTGAAACGAAGAAGGTTTGTCTTGAGGAGATTGATGCCTTGTTCGGAGGCACCAACCATGTTGAGAAGGGTGCGGAGATTGTTGGCGCAGAGGACCCGCATCATGCGCGGTTGGAAACGGTGGAGATTGGTGGAGAGAAGACTGTCATGGAGAGGAAGTGAGCTGAAGCATATCCGACGTGGTGACAAGATGGAGAGAGGGACAGGCGTTGGCTGTGTGGTATGTGATACCGATGTATTCGCATACGATCGGGAATGCAAAGCATCGTCATTCATATTGTTCTGATTGTCCTGGGGGTTGGTCCGCGCCCCGGGCCCTCAGTCCTAATCCACCATTGGTTCCATCATGCTCGGCATGAACTGTGATTACATCTTCACTCTGCTCGCTGCGTGCCTTCGCAACACAATTGGCTTCGTATTTTAGGACCAGGATTGTGCGGTTTGAGTAGAGCGGCATATTGAGAGAATGCGTTCGCAAGTCTAGAAAACGTCTTGGTTTGTATCAGACGCTTGTCGCCGCATTTGACGAAGCGTGTTCAGGTAGGTACGCGGTAGCCTAAAGTACTCCAGCAGCTTTTCCACAGGTCTTTCCACATGCGAGCAGCCAACTCCGAACACTCTTTCGGAGACGACACGTGAACATGGATGCGCGACAAGGAAAGCCTTCAGGGAAGCTACACCGAGGTATGCGAGCAATACAAGCTTATCTCATTCTAGCGTCTCAATCCCCCGATGCAGAAGAGGACGAACACTTGCATTCCCACGGGCCACTCGCAATAGCTAGCATAGAGCGGGCTGACCGCGAAGCTGCAAAGGAAAAGTTTCATGCTCCCCTAGGTCGGAAAGCAAGATTCATAACGCGCCCGCTTCCACCCGCAACCTTGTCCTCCTGCGCAGACTGCTGCTTCGTGCGAAGGGCAGCTTTGGCGATGTGTTCGTCGACCATGGCTTTGATGCTGATGTATTGTGGGCTCGAGGGGCCGAAAGTGGCCAGGGCATTGCGTAGAGAGGATTGTAGCTAAGAAAGTTAGTAAAGGAAGGGGCAGAATAAGGTTGAGTCGGATAAAGGGGATGGAAAGAGGATGAGGTCGATGGGAGAGGGCATCGCGTGTAGTACGCACTGAGAGTAGTAAATCGTTCTCCGCGTTAGTCATGACTTGCGGTCGGTAGTGTGGCAGATCGTGGTTTTGCAGTCCTGGTTGCGGTTCGTCGTTGCGAGTCGATGGTGGTGGTGTCGGGAGATGGTGCGCAAGGAAGAAGGGTAGCTTTTCTAGTCAAGTGGCTCCCTCCCCAACTTTAGAATCAAAGTGAGACGACGCCCGCATAAGGGTATACTGAGGCAATTCACTTCAGAAGCGGGCACAAAAATTGAGACCCCGAACCTTTCTATGTTCGCCTCTTCCGACTAAATCGGACGATGACTGCTCGCTTGAGACGCGCCACGTCAGTCCACCACGACAACAAAAAAGGCCCAATACCGCACGCAAAGGCAAAAAGAAAGCGCATGACGAAAGTGGGATTCGAACCCACGCCATTTCTGACTGCGGATTTATGCTTGAAAAGCCTAAACACAGCGCCTTAGACCACTCGGCCATTTCGCCTTTGATTTGAGGAGAATTTGCAGAAAATTTGGCCTAGAAATCTTATATAGCTAGCTGGAAGGCGGCCTTGCTGATTTCGCTCACGCTTCACGCATTTTTTGAAGCCTGAGTGACTCAAAGCGGGGTTTTGGTAATAGCCAGTGATAGCCAAGCTATCTTATCGATAAGGCATATCGATAACGATCCTTCTGCGGAGATCCCGCAGGCCACATGCGAAGCAAACACCACAAACGGTAATGATGTCCAGAATATAGAACATATCGAGCGAACCCTATACATCGTTCACTGCTACAACCGAATCCTCCGTGTAAATGCGGAGAACAGCATAGGGGCGATTGCTCAAGTCTGCAGGTGAGCATTGAATGGATACTTCTTGATTGCCACTCTGAATGTCAAAGTCGACTTCCTTGGCACTTCGGAGTCTTGGGCGTGGCGTTCAACTGCTGGGATCAAGCCATTCAGACTATCATTTTGTAGGCAAGAGGGATATGCCTGCCTGCAGATCTTCGAGCCTTATAGGTCGTCCAGCTTCTCACTTGTCACGGTGAGCATTATTGTGCTGCTGAAGTCGCGAGCGTGGTTACGCTGGGTCCACGTGGCGATTTCGCAAACACAGCAGGAACGCCAGGCACATCGGAGCCAACCAACTATGGGGACGGAGCCTAAACCCACGTCACTGGAAACATTGGGCAGGAGTTGAGGCAGCATTGCAGGCAAGCATGAGTATCCGCAACTAGGGACTCATCAACTCTGACTGGTAGATGGACCTCAACACCAGCTATTGGACGGCGGCAGAGTCGCTTGACTAGAGCACGGTACAGATCGTGACTTGTGTCTTGTAGCCTCATGCATATGGCAAATCAGGGCACGCGAAACTATGAGCCATAGCCAGTCATCGCTCACCAAGTCATCAAGAAAGGTATTAGTCACACTCACGGACCACACGAGGAGTCACTGTGCAAGGCGGGAGTCATCGATTTGATGAAAGCACATGTATATTAAAGAGACAGGTCCCCGGAGGCTTCAGCACGAAGGCACTCCGCCAAAAACACACGCAATACTACTTAAGGACAGGATTCACTCGCATCTCGGATCCGAGCATCGTCGACAAACCACCGTACCGTTGCCATGAGGAGTCGATCACCACAGGGAGACTACACCCCGGCCGGAAACAAGACAGATAAGAAATCATGGGCATCCCACTTCCAACTACCAGGCGATAGAAGGAAAGGTGAGAAGAACCCCAAAAAGCAAGTAGACAATAAGATAAGGAAACACTTGCCTAAGCGGAACTGGGTGGAAGACCTTCACCAGCTCCCCTAAGACCACTGATCCGATCCGAATTCGAGAGGCGCAGGTATTTACGATTCGCTGTAACCTTGAGCATAAGCAATGCTCCTCCACCTCTCCACCTCAAGCTCCAGCTCAGCATTGCGTTTCTCCAGGTTCATGACGTGGTCCAACTTTCGCTGTCGAGAGTCACGAGCTGCAAGTGTATTGCGCGCTCGCTTCGCGGCCACTTTGTCGGTGCTATCGACAACGATTTGGGGCAGAGGACCCTTTCGGCGACGAGCCTTCGTGATGCCTGCATTCGTGGCAGGTGAATCCGTGACAGACGACTTCCTTCGGTGCGGCAAAACAACGGGGGAGTTCGAACTCGACGCGCTAGACTTGTTCGTATTGGTGCTGACGGTGCGCTCAAGGGCAGGAGCGACAGGGGCAACGGGCGGCAAGTCGAGCGCAGCAGACTTTGACTCTTCCTCGGGGAACAGAGGGTACCAGTGCTCGGAGGGCATCACGGGCTCACCCTGGAACATCGGGGAGTTGTCGAAGCTGTCGTTGAGGTCATAGGTATAAGGAGAGTCGCCGATATCAGGAGAAGTCAAGTTTGTGAACGCCGTGGAAGCAGGCGCAGATTGTTGGGGATCAAGATAGAGGTCCTTGGGGGAAACAGTGCGCGTCGACCCCGAAGAGACAGAGGGGTTGATTGACGTGAACGCGGTAACTTGACCCTCCCAAGGAGACATCTCGCTCGAGAAGCCGTGCAACAGGCTGGCGCCTGAGTCGAAGGAGTTGTTGCTGTTTAAATCTGCGGGGTATGTGAGCCTGGGCTCGCGTGGTAAGCGGCTAGCGTGAGTCCTACCTGCCATGGCTGCGACGTTGTTTTGTGGGACGTTGTTGCTGGAGCTAGAGAACAAGGGAACCGGTGGACGCTGTTGTAACTGGGGCTGAGGAAATGCTGAAGTTGATGATGGCGCAGAATTTGCGTAGAAGTGCTGGCCTGCGTTAAACGGATGCCCAGGTTGAGGAGCGCTCGGTGCACGCTGCGGCCGATGAGGGACTTGACCCGGCTGGTCGTAGAGCACGAAGTCCGTCTGCGGAGGCGCGAATTCGGTGTGGGATGTATGCAGTGGTTGCCGTGAGGCTGGGGGAGCTGGTGAGGGAAGCCATGTTGACTGATGTGAAGCCGTGGTGAACGACGTAAAGTCGAACGTGGGAATGGTTGCAGGCGAACTAGAGCTGCGCGAGGCTAGGCTGTAGTTCAGAGGTTCCACGAGGGAAGTCTCTGAGGGGTTTGGATGAGTGGAGAGGGGTTGGTCAGCTGGGGAGTCCAAGGTGTCGGCGCGAGGTCGACTGTGAAGGGGCGAAGGAAGCTAGAAGGCAGCCATGATCGTGGATGTCTTCTGTGTGGTGTGGTGTGTTGTAGATGAGTTGAGGTGGGGTGGAAAAGAGAGAGAAAGGAAAGGATGCCTGAGGGGGCGGGCGAGATTTTTGTACTAGCCGAAAGGCTTAGCCCAAAAACGACGAGTGACTCACACTTTTCGCGGCGGGGCGCATGCGCCCGCTAATGCACGTGAAATAATCTTGGGCGCGCAATACTTGCACCTATTGGCTCGGAGCGGCTGGGGCCCTTGTCTGAAGCTGATCAAGTCGCGTTTGAAGGCCGCTAAAACGCAGCCCGGTTACGCAGCCACGGCTGCCTCCACGAAGTGACCCGGCCGGTCCATCGTGCGACACGGCCAACAGAAATCCCGCCCAAGTTTCAACACAGGTCTGACGTCCCACGATACATTAGGTATTATTGAGAAGCAGGAGAACGCAAAGACGCGCCTCCAGCCTGCGCTTGTGGCTCTCGTTGGGCCCAACGGAGCCGTTCACGACACCGCCAGCGCCGACCGTGGACGGTCAGCCGCAGAAACCGGCTATTCCTGGCTGTGTAGAGTAATCCGCCGCAAGGACTACCAAAATCAGGCATCACCTCTTCGACATGTAGGGCGCGAATCAGCGGCCGCCGGCCCCGGCCAGCTGAAGGCTTGGGACCGGCCGCCGTGGTTTACGAGCACTAACGCCGCTACGGAATCAGGTCCCCAAAGCCCGACGGGGAAAAGAGGGCGGAGCAGAGACGAGCGCCCTTCTGCCCTTTCAATTCCGTCCACGCACACGAGGCCTTCGGTAGGGTTTCCGCGCCGAGCCCGATGCCTTTGGCGCCTGACCGGCACGCGGTGCTCGCGCAGGAGGACAGCTCGTGAGGCTCTCGAAGATATCGCAAACCTTCGGCGCGCGCCGCCCTGCAGCCTCGGGTTGGCGCAAGAAGCGGTGAGAAGGCCCTTTTGAAACGGCAGCCCGCATCCCGCATCCCACAACGCCGGATCGCGCAGGTATGACTCCCAACTCTCTTCATCAATCTATCGATCTAGAACTCAGCCCCAATCTGCAACGCTGCGGAGAGACCCCATCGTTGATCCGTGGGGTCAAACTGCCGAGACGTGAATCTTGGCGCGCACACCGTACTGCCTCACTTCAACGGCTGAAGAAAAAGAGAACTGTTCCCCAGGCTGCTTGCGCTTTTCCTCTTTCATCTGAAACAATTAAAGCGGAATGGGTTGCGGATTGTGATCTATTATCACGTGCGGCTCGATCCGCTGAGACGCGGCCGACGGCGTCGCAGCATGATGGGTAAGCTTTCCTGATCCGGCCTGAGGGTCGCATACAATGCCATCGTTGAGGTATGGCCATTTTCCAATCGAATCCGCATGATGCAAGCTTACTGCATATCCCGCTGGCTTGCGCACTGTACAGGCATGTCTTCCATGCAGCAAAATTTCTCGGCGTTCAGTACTTGGTCCTATGCCCGGAGGCTATGGAGTTTGTCAGCAACATGCTACCGGTCCTGCAGTCTTGGGATGAAGTAGTTTGCGAGAGGCGCTGTACTGGTATACGGCCGCGCAGTTGGGCGATCTCGTATTGGATCTTCTATCATTCACCCGTTGCTTTGTAATCTCCCTGGTCATCGCCCATGGTCGATCCCTGGATACGCTTGCGATGTCTCCTAGCAAAGGTCATTGGTCAATTCCCGCTCATGTTCTCAGCGATCGTCGAACTCCGCATTGTCGGAATAACCGGACAGAACTCCGTTGACGGGACCGACCTACCGATCATCCCAGCAAACGCCGCTCGTCACGCATCTCATCCGGGCAGACTTGAGATTGCACTCTTACTATAGCACGGGAGGTCTTTTCAACGTAGCCGCTCCGTGGCATAGGTTTCTCTCCATATTATCTTGTGCGGCTCTAGCAATAGTGTGGTAAAGCGAACAACCTTTAGAACTGGAAACATTTGCGCAGCCTATGGAACTGGAGAGTCACGTCGTCGCGGGGGCACATGTCCACCACTTAGTAACTTCAAAATCGAATAAACTACTGTATATGTCGCAGTATGATATCCCACGTAAACATATTAGTGCAACGAAGATGAAAGTAGGATAAACCATCTGATGCTACTAATATACCGCTCCTGACGGGGTTACCAGCTTTGCTTGTTGATAAAGCGGTGCTATGAGATGAATACCCAGTTCATCCAAGTGGTGGAAAGAAGTGTCCGAGACGTGTTCGGGGCGAATAGAAACCAATAAAGGAACCAGAAGAATTCAGCCCTGAACGGGTGTCGTCCTAGCCGGGAGAAAAGCACTTGTCAAGTCTTAGGTATCATGTAGACTTTCGCGAACGCGCCACCGTGGCAGAACTACCTTGAGAGTGCCCAGAACCGCGATTTCTGTCCGATCGCGAGCAAGCAAATGCAAAACCAGCTTTTCAAAACGCTTATTCGTCGGACTGGGTTGCAAGCTTGCAAAGAAATTAGCGACAACAGCAGAAGTTCAACAATCGAAGTCATCCTCATACCAGGATAGTGCACCAGCGCGAGATATGTCCGGATTCACTGGCCATTTCCAGCCAGATCAGTCCAAAAGGCTTTTGAGAGTCTCGAGAAACTCCGTCTGTCCCTCTTGGCTCTCGCTGACACCGGTCGTATGGCTATGACCCCAATAATCAACGTGGGTGACGGGCTTCAGCGTCTTGATGGCTGGCAGTTGGAGCACCTGCAGAGCGGCGTACTTATTTCCAGCCCGGATCCCCACTGCTTCAAGCCACTTGCGGGCAGCGCCATAGAATAGTCGAGCTGCGCCGCTACCGTTTGTTCCACCCGACATATCATATACCATGTCCAAAATCTCCAGGTTTTCGGCGTGGGCCAACATCGAAAAGGCTGCTTCGACCGTGTCGGAGCGACAATTCGGTATGGAGAGTGAAATCTGGCGCAAATCGCGGACATGGGTCGCATACTGACCCAAGAAGTCGAAGAGGCTTCTAGCTTTCTCGAAAGAAAACCAGTTGTGAGAGTAGAGGATCGTCGTTGCCTCATTCCGAATTTGTTTGCAAGCACGCAGCAGTTGTGGGGTGATGTCCTTTCGTCCTCGGCCAGTACGAGGGCGACGTTTAGCCAACATTTCTCTGCCTAGCCTGGGATGCCTTGCTCGATAGATATCTATCTTTTTGTTGGAGACCAGTGCGTACACGTAAATCATATTTCGGATCTCGGGGGCCAGTTTGAGAAACGGGAAATGCGACTCTTTCTGGCGATTCTTGGCGGCTTTCTTTCCCTTGGTTCCGGCGTTCGTCCTGGGTTTCTTGCGACTGGGGGAAGGGGTTGCCGCATGGCTCGCTGAGGCGGATGTATCGCCCTGATTCTGTCAGTGCGGTGCTCGCAAGATGGCATTTAAAACACTTACGCTGGCTATCTTGCGAGGGGCCATTGAGGTCGCCTTTGGTAGTCGATGCCCTTCGTCGAGTGTGGAGGGTTGGGAGGTGAGTTGCGGGGAGAGTGTGGAGGAGAGTCAGCGGCAAGACGGACCTTAGGTAATATATATACAATCGTAGGCGAAAGTGAAGGGGAGAGCTGGCGCAATGCTGGGAGTGAAGGGGAAACGTATATTTGGTATTGAGCGGAGAGATATGAGGCGGTTGTGAAGTTCATTGGTCAAAATAGTGAAAATGGTCATATAGGAAAGTTTCGCCTTACGGAAACGAACGTAGCCTGTTACTCTTATCGTTGCCAATGTATGCCTTCCTCTCAACTAATAGAATTCTATCGAGTTTCTTGAAAATCCTGTGCTCCTTTAGCAGAGATACTCTTGACCAGCCAATGCTTCGACTAGAAGATGGCTTGGCCTTAGATGGACGGCACCGCAGAGACGCCAGTCGCTGTGAGGGAAAATATAGCTGTTCTATTATGAGTGAGGTAACGTGGAGGGGGCGACGGTCGCGGCGTCTTTGTTACCAGTGGGGCTTGGGGGGAGTTATTCTAAGAGAAGTGGGTAACTACCCGAGTTCTTAAACATGTTCGGGTGATGCACCAGCAGCTGAAGGAGGATGAACAGTCTTGAGGAGGTTTTGAGAGGGTCTTAAAGCCGGAAGTAGAAAGTTACGATGCCTCATGGAAATGGTGAAGGCCGGGCGCTGCATGCCTTTCCCGGTTGATGAAGCCAGCGACAGCCTGCGCATCGGATAAGGTTCCATTGTAGGTGATACCACGTGTTCGTACCGCAAACCGGTCTGGGGTGACAAGATCAAGAAGCAAAGAGTCCAACACCGAGACACGATGAGGTCGTCCAAACCTGGCACGTGCGCAACCCATTAAGCCTGAGACGGCTAGCCCCGATGACGGTCCCTCTTCGGTGCTGACATATCACCGCCATCAGGGTTGTAAGGCAGACGCCGCATAAGCTAAGGCTGAGCACGAGCACTTCGACCTGTACAACGCTGTGCAACCGACTACAACCTCCGCAATCATCTAAGCCTACTTATACATTCACATTCCGCATACGCGGGTGGGCCGAACCCTGTTTCGAAGAGCTAGTCTTGACCCACTTTACGCCATGTTCGAAATGCAGGCGGAGAAACTACACGCCGCATGTGATGAGTGCCGTGAGTCGTGTGGTCCCCTATCCGATGATGCTCTGCAGCTAAAGCTGAGGAACAGGGATGAGAAAGTTGAAGTGCTCCGGTGAAATGCCAGCATGCAGCCGCTGCGAGCGGGAAAAGATAAACTGCGTTTATTCACCCCAAAAGCCCATGGGTAGGCCTAGAAAGAGAAGGCGAGAAGATGCAGGTTCTGAACAGACAACATCATCGGGAGATCAGGCTGAATCTAGCACGACGTCAGACACGAGCTATGGGGTGCCGCATTTCACGGATATGGGACTGATCTCCCCACCTGATCTGAATGACCTCGACTTCTCTGGATTCGCAGATTTTGGGACTGGCGGCGATGTGGCCTTGAATACTCTTGCGCATCCACTCGGCGCTGACGCTGGATTGGTAAACGGATTTGGACATGGGCATAGCTCGAATTTAGAGTATGGCTCTCCCACCTACTCCCCTTCGTGCAGTGGATCTGACAATCATACAGTTTCGGCATATCCCCCATCGACCCCTCCCTCTGGAACACCCAACTAGCCCCCACTTCACTCTCCCCGCCACCACCCACCGAACCCGACATCGGCCCCTGCTCCTGCCTCTCCCTCATGTACCTCACGCTCTCAGATCTCCAATCCATGCCCAGCTTCTCCTTCCCCGCCGTAATCCCGCGCCTCCGGTCCGCCATGGACACGGCATCAGCCATAATCCACTGCCCCAAGTGCCCGAAAGAAAACTTCACCGCAATCCAAAACGTGCAGTCGCTCTCCGCACTCCTCACCGCTCTCGGCGAGCGCTTCCACAGAGTGCTGACCGAGATCGACGCTGAAGCCGCGAGGCTAGAAGAAACCGGGCAGAAGAAGCCGTTTAGAATCGGTGATAATAGCGCTGAGAATGCGCATCTGCATACGGGCACGCTGAATTGTCCGATGGGATTCGATATCCAGCTTGAGGGGAAGGATTGGAAGAAGTTGGCGAAGCAGGCGCTGCGGACGGAGGTGCTGGGTGGAGGGTGTAATAAGCGACCGCTTGTGTGGTTGCTAGAAGAGATGGAGAAGAGACAGAAGAGGTGGCATGAGGATCACGATTCGAATCGAGAGGAGCGGGAGCGGATGTGGGGCTCGCACGACGAGTGTCATAATAAGGGGGAAGAGGCGACATGCTTGAAGATGATCAAGCAAATACGGACTATGATTGGTCGTATGAAGTGGGATTAGAGACTGCGCGTATGAAATGAAGATTATATTTCAGAGCCACTGTACTGTCCAGATCATTCCTCATCCGAGCAAGCCAGCCGCCAGAGCCTCCATATCTTCCAGCGTTTGAGGTTCCTCCACCACATGCCGATCGCTCTTCTTCCCCTTCTTGCGCTTCTTGCTACTTCTCTCATCCTCCTCCGAGTCTGATTGGAACCACTTCTTAGGCTTCTTCTGTTGCTTCTCTTCTTCCTCATCACTATACTCCGCATCGGCCCTAAAGTTGGCGAGCGCGTCCTCGCCAGTATCCTCAATCTCCACACCACCTTCTTCACCCCCAACACCCTCTGCTCCCATCCTCTCACGCTCTTTCCTCTTCCGCATCTTCTCCTTTCTCTTAGCCTTCGCCGTGGCCTTATCTTCGACATCGGCCTGGGCAACGACCTCCCTCGCGACCTCAAGAAATTTCTGCCGCTGCTCTTCCGGAAGTCCCTTAGCTTTGAAGTCGTTCTCGTCTTCGAGCTCGTAAACTTCGTGAGGATTGCCTTCATCGTCGTAGACGAGCTTCTTGCCCTTGTCCTTGAACTTCAGCAGTTTCTTCTTGGATTTAAGTAGCTTTTCGCGGCGGTTGCTATCGATGATGAGAGGCTGAGTGGCGCCTGATAGATTGACGAGCTTCCCACGTAGTCTGACAGGCTCGTCTTCTTCAGGCGCGATAGTCACTCCATCAGCTGTGGCCGGTATCCTTCTCTTGACGGCGAGGAAGTCATCTTCCCCATTGGCGATTGACGGACCGCCTGCAAAGTCATCCTGAAGCCCCGAAGCCTCGTCCTCTTCTCCGTCTCTGATAAGTTTCTTCCGGTGATCCGCCAAAATGTCCCGGTTCTGTTTCTCAAACATACGATCGTACTTGGTCCGTACGGGCTTAGCATCCTTCGGAGCCTCCTCATCCTCCCCAGCTGAAGATTCAGACACTTCAAGCGCTTGCTTCGATGCGTTCTTCGTCTGCCTACCCTTATCATCCCTCAAGAACTTGATCTTCGGAGCACCTGGTAGGCCCAAGCTTGCAGCAAAAGCCTCCAGGTCATACTTCTTGATGTTAAAGATCTCTTTATCCTTCTGCACATAGATAGACTTCGTATACGTGATGAACGCTTTCTGCCCCAGGTACTTGAGCTCGGGGTCTTTGAAGTTCATGTGAACGAGCTGACTCTTGATCGACTGCTTCTTCTTTTGCCGAACGTTGATCATCTCAATGGGCACCTTCTTCGCCTCGAGACGCTTCAGCATACCCTCCTCTTCGCTGGGCGTTAGAAAGAGCACGCCACGACCCTCGCGGTTGTAACGCGCCGTTCGACCGACGCGGTGAATATATGTGTCAACATCTTCCGGGCAATCAACCTGAATGACGTAGTCCACTGCGGGAAAATCCAGTCCACGGGCGGCGACGTCTGTTGCAAACAGACATGAGAACTTTGCAGCCGAGAACTTTGCCGTCGTGTCCATGCGACCTCCCTGCTTTTGGCGACCATGAAGATGGACAAGCGGTATACCGGGCTGCATGTGACGGAAGGATTCGTAGACGAAGCGCACCATTTTGGCGGTAGAGAAGAAGCATACTATCTTCGACTTCTTGCTGGCCTGGATGAAGCTCCATAGCGTGTCTAATTTCTCTTCTAAAGGACAGACGATGTAGTTCTGCTGGAGTGACTTCGGTGTCGCTGTCCTATCTTCAGCGTGGACTGATATGTATTCCGGGTCCTGCAGGCTTAATCGGGCTAGATCCTTTACTTTTCTCGACTGAGTAGCGGAGAAGAGCATGGTCTGTCTCTCTTTCGGGAGGTACTCTATGATGGCGTCCACGTCCTTCTGAAAGCCCATGTCAAGGATCCTGTCCGCCTCATCCAGCACCAGCATCTTCAAGTCGTCCATATTGAATGCGACAGTCTGTGACAGGTGCTGGAGTAGTCGTCCTGGGGTCGCTATCAGAATATTCATCCGAGATAGAGCCTGCCGCTCCGCTTCTAGGCTCTTGCCGCCGATTATAAGTCCCGCCGCAAACATGTGGCCATGCCTTCCCAATTTACATAGTACGTCGAAGATCTGGATTGCGAGTTCGCGAGTGGGAGATATGACCAGCGCGCCTAATCCTGCGTCTGGGCCAATGTGCTGCAATCGGTACAGGTTTTCCAACATTGGTATAAGGAATGCCAGTGTCTTTCCGCTTCCCGTCTTGGCTGCTGCGAGGATATCGTGGCCTTTGAGTGCGAGAGGGATGGCCTTCGCCTGGACGTCGGTCATGACGGCGAAATGGGAAGACTTGAGGCCCTGCTTGGTAGGATCGGAGAGAGGCAGGTCGGTGAAGTCTTTGTAGGAGCCATTTTGCAGATCCTGAGGCTGTTAGCGAGGGGATAATTGCTCATCGCGACTCCATACCAGCTCCGCAACGGCTTGCTCCAGCTTTTCAACATCCACATCGTCGCGCTTCCGCTTTTGCGCAGCGGCCCGCTTCTTGACCTTTGCAGGCTGTGTGCGACCCGTGATACCGGGAGCCACCATCTCAAAATCGCAGTGCCAGGGCTCGAAGAGTTGGCGATCGAAGCCTGGAGTTGCATGCGTCCAAAATTTCGGCGGAGAAAATCCCAATGGCCCGTGCGCCGCGGGGAAGCCTTCACTGGAACCGCGGCGGTTGGTCTCCGCCGCCATAGCTGGACTCGACTTCGACTGCGACCAAACACTCACTCGCCCCCACCACAATCCGCTCGCTCGAAGCAGCGCAACCAGGAGGAGTAGCAAAGATGGGCGACAAGGAGAAGGACATCGACGTGGACGCCGAGCTCCTGGCAGCTGGCCGCGAGTTCGACAAGGTGAGCCACCCCTCGTCGTCACTACGTGAGTACCCAGCTAACGGCTCGCCAGGATGCAGAGATAGACCGCATTCTCAGCGTCTTCAAGCTGAATGCCTACGCCGTCCTCGACCTCACCCCCGGCGTCCCCGAATCCGACATCAAGAAAACCTACCGCAACAAATCCCTCCTCATCCATCCGGATAAGACGCCTAACCCCAAAGCCCCCGAAGCCTTCGACCGCCTCAAGAAAGCCCAGTCCACCCTCATGGATGAGAAGGCGCGGACAGAGCTTGACGAGCACATCGCCGACGCGCGCATGCTACTCATGCGGGAGCGCAAACTCACCGCCGACGACGAGGAGACCAGGGACGAGGAGTTCGCGAAGGCGTGGAGGGAGAAGACGACATGGGTCATCATGGACAACGAGAAGCGCAAGAAGCGGCAGATGGAGGCGCAGATGCGTGAGGAGGGCCGCCAGCAGCGCAAGGAGGAGGAGGAGATTGCGGAGCGCAAGCGCAAGAGGGATCATGAGGATGCGTGGGAGAAGACGAGGGATGTGCGCATCAACAGCTGGCGGGACTTCCAGAACGGGAAGAAGCCGGATGCGGAGGGCGGCAAGAAGAAGAAAAAGAAGATCAAGGCTTTGGGATGAGCAGGCGAGACACGCCTCGTCCATTGTTTCTTGATGGGAGTTATATACTGCACCCAGGCGTCCGGCAGGCTTCTGCATATCATGGGAGCTCATGTTGAGCATGGAGTTGCTGAAGGGTATATTCGGCGTATGAATAGTGCTGCCCAAGCAGCAAATGCGTGACTGGCTTTCAAAGGTCTATACTACGACGGCATTTGGCTCAGCTATCAATGGGTTAAAGTAAGCTCTATTGGACCCTACTTTATCTGCGAAGCTTAGTGATTGTAGTTCTGGCTTAGCCGGTTACTATCCGGAGACGCGATCCAGGCACGTCCATTTCTTTGCCGTCCAAGTCTCTCTCCAGCCTATAACAAGATATGAGAGTATTGCGCACACATAGGGTGCGAATCCATGTCGAGGAAGTGGCCACTTTTTCCCTGGAGCCCACACGTTGCTCTGCGCTCCGTTCGAGCCTAGGATCAGCGCATCCGCACGGGTGGTCTTACCCAGACGTCAAAGAGCCCGGCACTTTGGGTTCTCTACGGGTCGAGTCGGTCCGATGTAGTAGGCTATTGTAGGTAGCCAGATCCTGGCGTCGTTACTAGACGCCATTGCATCCGCCGGGCTGGATGGATCGTGCCATGTGGAGACGGCAGTCGGAAGGCTCCATGTCCCTGCGCCTGCATCCTGGAGAGCTGTGTTGATCGCTCCGTCGCAGAACCAAGAGCATGTCGAACGGAGCTTGTTCGTCGGCAATGGCTGTTACGAAAAGGATGCATCGACATGCCAGCTCAGATGATGTCACGTCGCCGTAAATGGAATGCCCGCACGGGTATCTGCAGAAAGGTGATCATGCGGCATGTAGCATCCGCATATTTACTATTGTTACACGCCAGGAGGCGTCAAAGGGTATACACAAAAGTCTCATAAACATGCCCGACATCTTCCGTCGTCTATAGTATGTGTGCGGCCGTCTCTCCATCAACCCTTCACCGCCTGCACCCCTGGTGCAGATACCCCTCCCGTAATGGCAGCCAGTTGGTTGTACAGAAACAGCAAGAGTCCTAGCCGACGGGAAACCGCAGTCGTAGCGTGCAGGCGAGGCGTCGGACCTGCATACGATCGATCGAAATTCTCCGACAGAGCCAATTAATATCGGCCGAAGCGTCCCCTGCCAGCTCAACAACCTTCCACGATGCCACCACACGCTGCACCATCCCTGAATAGCCTTCCACTCAAAACGATGGAATGTAGGAATCCGAGCCATCTCTTGCCCAGGAACCAACGCCGCATGTGCCCGCCAGCACCCCAATGCAACCTAAGCATAACACGCGCATAATCCAGTTGTATAAGATAAGTCCGATGCCCCCCTCCATTGCCCACCAGCAGTCGAACAAGCCAAGCGCAAACCAAATGCCAGACGAACCGTGGTATCTCTCTTTTTTACCCGGGAATAATGCAGAAACGACAGGCGCATTTTGAGATGCAAGGGTGGAGGAAAAGCGAAACCAAGGGGAAAATATGTACCCGAGCCGAGAAAAATGCTGCGCTTCACCAACCCAAACGGATCGTGTTTCGAAAGAGCGACAAGGCCGGCCTTGTCATCGGTAAGCGGCAGGTATATACACTCTTCCTCTTCTTCAGCCGTGAATTGAAGGAGACTTCTCACGACAGCCATATATTAAACCGTCCTATGTATGTAGCGTGCTTTTCGTCTTTTCTTCACTCAAGTACTTCGTGTATGTTTAATCGTCGTCGCTTGCCTGTGTCCGGCGTATCGGGCCGTGGGTCGGCACTCGAAGGGGATTCGCGTCGTCGTATACGGTCTCTTGCACTTTCGGCAAACTCCTGGCCTAAGGGCGAACCCAAAGGAGGACCTGGAGCTGTTCGAATCGGCGGTAGTTGTAGCCCCTCTAATCGGACAGGTCGATTCGCGTCACGCTGGGGCTCGGACGTGATGGAACCGGTCCTGCTAACGGGCGGATACGGAGAGGGGTACGCTCCCGGCTGGGATAGCGGCTGATAAGTCGGAAAATATCCCTGCTCGGGACCAGCCGTAGGGGAGTAGCCATACGAAGGGCTGCTCCCGAACGAACTGGAACTGATGGTTGGAAGTGAGGTTCGGACTGAGGAGAAATTGAAATAGGGAGAGGTCGGGGCGGAACTAGCAGAAGACGCTGGCCGAGCAGGATACGGCCCGAATTCCCTGGTAGGAGCAGTCGTAGGCGCTGACATGGTTTGGGAGGCGTGGATCGGCGTCGGCGGTGCCAATTGCTGTGTTAAAAGAGGAGGACCCGCTGGTCGAGGAGGAGTATGAACGATCAGGGTGACAAAGTATAGCGACACCATCTTGGCAAGGCGGATCTGAGTTTGCAGCGATTGGTATTGCCCGTTCGGGAGGCGAAAGTTTAGTAACACTGGACGATCAGCGTAGCCCCGACTGACATGTTCAACATCCCGCTCTGACACCGACTCCATCATGGACTGCATAGGATCTTGCCCAACCGGCGTGATTGGCGCCATATACGTTGGCTCCCGTTCGTCCCTCTCGTCTCGGAGTTCGTTGCGCAGACGGTGCAGAACGTCTGCCTGGCTCCTCTCCAGCAGGTCCGCCAGACTCTTTCCGCGGACATCGCCTAGGAAAGGCACCAGATCCTGGAATTCTTGGTTCGATTTCTGAATGACAAGGTCTAAGTTAAGAAACGCTAATGGCAGCGAATGGTGTACCAAATGCGTCCCGGGCGTATAAGGCGATGCGGCCACTCCACCATAGCTGCCCACGCTTGGTTGACGCCCACTTGTAGAAGCAAGAGTAGGCCGCTGGTGGATAATGGGACTATCCTCGTCTCGAGAGGATCTCAATACGCGATGCGGATCAGGAGCTCGATGCGAGGATTGGAAGAGGGGCTGCTGAGCGAAGGGGTCGGAGCTGGAGGAAGGCAACGCGCCCAAGAGCTGAGTAGGTGCCGTTCTTGTTTCATCGCTTCTGCCGAACTCTTTGTCGTCTCTCAGTCTCGGTCTCCCTCTTTTCTTATGCTGCACATCCTTGCACGTATCCTATGAGGCCGTCAAGTCAGTCTACCGAACAAGATGTGGCGCGAATTTACGCTGGAAAATTGTATTCATGAAGGACAGGAACTGACCTGTTTCCCAGACGCAACACAGCGACCGCACGGACGCTGAACATCGCAGCTAAGATGCGCTTTCTTGCAATTGACGCAGGCAGACGCTACGTGCGCTTTAGTCCTTCGCGCTGGCTTATTCTGTCTGTGAGGCGGCGGTGCAATGAGGGCTGTCGGCTGCACTTGGGGACCCGGAGCCGGCCCTTGACTGCCGAGGTAGGAAGGAGGACCTGGAGTGGGATATCCATACGCATAGTTTTGCGCAATTTGTACGCCTCCGTAATGTGGTTCAATTGCGCGTCCCGGCTGATAGTGCAGCGGCTGACCTCGAGAGTGGGGCTCCCCGGGATACAACGGTCGTTGATGCGGGACTCCCGGAGCAGACGGTGCAGAACGAGGATCCAGCAGAGGCGGAGGCGGGGGAGGCGGCGCGATGCCTTCTATCCTACGTGGTTCGTTCAATGGAGGGTACGGATGGCCTTCAGGTTCGACAACATGAGCTGAGCGGCGGGCGGGCGAGTGAGAATCTGACATGGGAGGAGATGGATAGCTGTGGGGTTCAGACCTGCCAGGACTGAACTGGGAAGGAAACTTTGCCAGGCTGTTTCCTGGCTCTTGACGTCGCCCGAACGGCGTAGAAGGGAGTGAAGTCGGAGGAGGTAAGGACAGACTATGCATAGCTCGTCCACCGCAGCGCTCAAACGCTGCGTCTGCAGCGGGAGCACAATGCTCTGTGAAGATGGTGGGGAGACCGAGCGGATTCGCTCCCGATGGCACCGCAGACCTATCCAGGTGAGAGGGATCCCGGTAGGACGAGTCAACCGTGTGTGGCTGTTGGGCCTGCATGTCGAAGACAGGTAAGTCGAGGATCGGCAAGAAACCTTGACAACCACAACGCAGACAGTGGAAAGGCGCAAACTCAAGAAGCAGGCAGGCGCCAACAAACGTTTACATATTTCCCCCCCTTACGGAGAATCAGAAACACGCATTCCAGTAAACGAAGTCCGGCCGCAGGGATGGTGATAAACGGGCGGAAAAGAGACGCGAGCAAGCTACCTTTTTTGATATCACCCCTCCCCAGCGCAAGAGTCGGAGCAGGCGTTCGCCAGAACCCTCCACTCGACTGCGCGCAAGAACCGCGAATGCCTCCTGCAGAGGAAGGGCGTAGCGGCGGATTGTCCGGTGAGGCAGGGACAAGGCAAGTGTCGGAAAAAAGAGGTGGGAATGTGGATGACGGAACCAATGCGGTGCGCGCGAGCAGCCCTCGACGCAGGAGGGCAGAAGAGGACTCTGCTTAGCTCGGCGGAGATCCTCCAGTAATAACCACGATCGGTTCTCACGATTCTGCTCACAGATCTCCTAGACAATCCCTGCCTACACCTGCAGACGATGGATGACCGCCATGACACAGGGCCGCAGAGAGCCCCGGGCTATGGGAAGCATGGGCGAGCAGGGAAGGGTGCACTTCGGCGACGGCATGCTGGCTTGTTCGGCTGATCGTTCTTTGACAAAGCCAGGCCGCCGTCCCAGACGGTCGATTGCAGCCGCGGATGCATGCACGTCCTCGCAGCGGAGAGCATGGACAGTGGGAGCGGCTTGATGGTGGCTCGCTAGGAGCCCTGTTCCGTCTGGCATGTCCCCTGCTGTGGAAACCGTCCAGCTAACGACGGCTAGCGAGAGCGCGCTACGGTATTGCACCACTGTTCGCAGCCGGCGGGCAAATAAAGGCAAAGAATGAGACGGGCGTCGACGAGTCGCAGTGCTGCGCAGCACGGCGGTTGGGTAGGGCGGCGCTCTGAGTGGCCGGGCACTCCGACAGCACGAATGAGGGCGTTTTGGGCCTGCGGCTGCAAGTCAGAGACAGTGGATGGCGCTCAAGCACGGCACTCAGCGCTGGGGTGCAAATTGCGAAATGTGGCTCCCACTGACAGGCCCGCGAGACCGGGCCACGCCTGTCACTCGCGTTCCCGGAGCCCAGAAGACGGACTCTCACCGTCCGTGGGGCACGCTCCCAAGCGTCGCGCGCCTGTCCTGTGGGCTTTTTGTTGGCCGCCTTGCCGCAGGGTCTCGACGTGCTGATGGCAGCGAGACGCGCCACCTGAGGCGAGTTCGCTTTTTCGCGAACGATGTGAAAAGAGCTGGCCGCGTACAGCTTCGCAGAGATGGCCACCGCGCCGCAGCCACCCCCGATCGACGCCGCCCTGCGGATGCGGCTTGACACCACCACGTCTTCCCTACAGATCGCCCTCGAAGCGCTGCCGTTCGCTATTGGCACTGGCCATTGGGTGCCGCCGCATACGAGCGCCGCTATTGAGGTCTGTATGTCCTCGCCTTTAGATGCTCAGTACCAAGCAGCACTAATGGCACGTCATGCCGGCTGTATCTGTGGCTGGCTCCCGTCGAACTGTAAAAGCCATGTTGCAGACCAGCCAACAGCGAGCAGCAAAGCTACAGGACGCCGGTGCTACCAGAGCGTCCCAGGAGCTGTGCGGGTCCGGCATGCGCTGTGCCGTTTGGATAAAGCCGCCCACGTTTAGCTGCAGATGGCGGCGTCTTGCCGTTTCTGGCTCGATGTGCTCGAGGAGTATGCATCTGCTCTCCAGAGCTTCGGGGATCGCGAGCACTCTCGCTGAAGGGCGACCGAAGCTGGAGCGGCGTGCCACGCCCGTGGGCCATGATGCTTCTGCACCCCGTCAAACAGCGGGCTGCTGCAGTCAGGCGATCGTGTGGGTGCGGCCTGCAAAACCCCGCAAGCCAGCGCTCTTCTCCAACTGCCCAAATTGATATTCATGCACTAGACGGGCGGTGGCGGCCAATCTCGTCTGCGGTCAACAGGCAGCACTTCGCTGGTGCCGACGCCGTAAAGGACGAGTGGTTATATCGACTGCAATATAGCCGTGGCGGGCGCCGTGTATCGAGGGAGATGGCAATCTCGCCCAAAATGCTCCGGCCCTGGTGCACGCGATCCTGGCTGCCGTCGACGATCGCCCAAAAACGTCCGAGAAACACTGCGGAGATTGCTTGAATCATGCGGCCGCACGCCTGGACGCAGCGGAGCCGGCGCATTGGAGGCTGGCCGTCACACATAAACCGGGTGGTGGACGAGCGAGAGGGAAAATTGCAGTCAATAGCTTGCAGCCGAGTGACGATGCATGTGACGGCATTGGAGGGTCGCCTGGGAACCGGGGAAGGTGCGACTCGCCCCAATAATGGCAGGCGCAACAGCGGCCAATCGCCAGGCCTCTGCGCGCGCAATTGCCAATTGCTCGGACCGCACGAGGCGAACGCGCATGTGCGACGCCGACGGCGCTGCCTCTGGACGCGGGCGGCGCAATTCTCCATGCCCTCAGGTCAGAAGCTTGAGCTCGGAATCGCGGCAGCCCGTCCCTAGCGAACTGCTGTCAACCCGCCGCTGAGGTTCGACGGGGAGATAGATTGGGATGGGATAAGAATAGCTCCGCAGTGATTGATATTGCCCATACCCCCCCTCGAATGCGAGTGCGAAACCAATTGCGACGGGGTGCCAGCGTCAGCTTCGCACCCCTCACTATACATGTACAGTACAGTAGACGAAGGGCCGTCCTCCGCGTATACAACGGCAGTCTCTGCTCGCTTCCGGCCCTATCGAGCCGAACGCAGCACTCGAGCGCACCTCGACGGGGAAATAAGAAGCAGGGCCGCAGGGGGCCGTCTCTCAAAGAGGACATCCAACTCCGCCAAGCGGCGCGCTCACACGCTCCGGCCCTGTAAGCGGTAAGCTGAGTCTGCCGGACCGCTCGCCTCCCCCAAAGCAGGAATGGATAGTGTGGCAGTCCAGGGCCCGTCGAAGAAACGTGTTGCAACACTCCGAGCCCGGCCGTGCCACCGGCGGACCCCAGCATGCGGAGCTTTAAGTCCAGCGTGGTGGCCCTGCAAAATCCAGGAATTTAGCCTCTGGAAAAACAGTGTCCCAAAAATGGCAGCGGAAATATTGACAATAGCAGAAGGTATTATATGGCCGCTTTATTGGCTCATCTCTCGAGTCGCTGAAGCGAGGCCGCAGAAGCGGCCATCCGCCGAATGAGCCTATGGCGACGTCGTCCCACCGTGTCGCCGCGTCCAACGGCCTGCCCAGCGCCTTGTCCTCGGGAATTGCGGTCCTGCTGTCCTCCAGGGCGAGCGCCGCGCTGTGTATCTTTGGCGGGAGGCACAGTCAATTGACCACGCCGCATGCTGCTGTGCCAGCCGCTCGAGTCTCTGGACGACGGGGCCCTGGCCGCCTTCAATTCCGAATCCGTAACCCAGGATTAGCAGACAGGGGCGCAAGGCCCACGGATTCAACCGCGGGGATCTGCGAACCATTGACACGTTGTTCCAAAAGTAGCGGGGCCGGGGGCTCGTTATTGAAAAGGCCCCGGTCGGCCTCATCACGGGAGTGTGCCTGGATAAGGTCCCTTGCACGCAGGTCCCATCCATGGCCCAATTCTCGATTTGCGACTGGGTGCGGCCCGGAGCAGCCTTGTCGGATTCGTCCATCAACGTCGTCTGCAGCCGCGGCTCGCAGTCTTGGGGCTCCCTGCAGCGCGTCGTATAGTCCGCACGCGAGCCTCGAAGGATGCCGTTCCTATTCCATTTGCCTAATCAGTCAGGAGCCTTGCCGTCTACTAGCGGAACGACAAAGTTCCGTCCGTCGAGCGGAGCTCAGAGTCAAGGCACCTCGTCATCGACTAATACGCGAGCCTGACTAACATCTAGGCAAGGGAGCCTCACGTCGCGACCAGATTCCACAGTCGCCCTCCGGGAAGCCGTAGCGAAGCGGCAGGTTAGCGGCTTCTCCGTAAGGGATAATGTACGCCTGGATACGAGCCTCGCAGGCCGTGGACGTGACGATTCCGTATTTTCCTTTACGGTTGCTGCGAGATGGACTCCAGGCTGGGACGGGTATTAACCTTGGAACGCTATTCAGGAAAGTGATCACGTGCCACGCGAAAACCAGCTCTGGCAACCTTGTCAACGTCTGTCCCTCGGGCCCCTGCCATGGCTGAGAAACGGTATTCTCGGCAGGCGATGGCATATTGTGGCGTCTTCGAGAAGCATTGAGAGTTTGCGTTAGCCCCCAACAGGTAAGCTCTGGCTAGCTCCCACGTCGACCTCGGGATGCAATAAACAAAATATTGAATTGTCCGGCGCACCCCGGCTAGCCAGAGCCAAATACGGGCTGATGCATACTCGAGGCCGTGTCCGACGATGTATCTGGATAGTGGCGGACTATTTTCTTCGGTTCGAAAATCTCCTTAGATGACGTGCCTTGCCATGTGCCATGTGCCCTTTTCTATTTACATATCGAGCGCGCGCCGCTGCTAGTCGCACATGCCGCGCGTTGTTATCTGATGGCCAACATTCCCTTGAAAGCAATGTCATCTACTTTAACCTATCGTAGTCACCTGAGTCCGGCTGTCAGGGCTAAGGGCAATATACCGCTAACTTATGTTGAAGCTGTCTGTCAATACACAGTCACCTGTCAGTGCGAACTCTACTTCATGTCAATGAACGCGTGTCTCCGACAAGCTATAGATTAGCATACAGCGCGTTATTCGCAATCAGCCGCGTCGGTAGCGCCTCGAACCAACATGCTGGGCAATACATCAACGTTGTGGTGACATGCCTACTGAAGCTATCGACTACCGTAGATTTGCTTTATGATAATCAAAGCCACAACTTCCTAACACTATTGGTCTCGTTTGCGCATATGAAGGACGGCGGAGTTGGTCCAAGTCCGGAATAGTGACTTTTCAATAATCTCAGCATGCCCGTTTGTGGCGCGGTGTGCTGCCTTGCATGCTGCCGAAGACTTGCTGGATGGAGACGATGACGGCACGACGGCCTTAAAAATTTGAACCCTTATGCAGGGAAGGTCGGCAGCGGGACGTAATGATAATCCCGCGTCTGCCCCGTCCTAGTTTAGGCGCTAATACGCGGTAAGATGTCGTGATAGTTATTGCTTGGCATGTGCTTGCGCGACAACAGGGCTGACGCTCAATGTTTGAGTCCAACACGCTGAATGAGGCGTTCAGCTCAGAGTCTTCTCTTCTTGGAGGGCCTTGCATTCTTCTCGCGGCGCTTCTCCTTGAGCTGACGTTGTTTCCGGACGTCATCAACGCCTTTCAGTTCATTCTGTGCGCCACCATCCCTGAATTTACCGATCCGCTTCTGCTTCGCCTCTTCGACCTTCTTCTTCTGAACATAGTAATCATCGCGGTATCGATCCGCCTCCTTGGGTGCTTTTTCCGCTTTGTGTTTGTAGTGACGACCGCTATTGAGAGGCGCCATTGCTCGATTCGACGCCTCCATTTCGCCAACTCGCGGTAATCGACCAATCTTGTTCGACTTGCGCCATTCATCGAATCGCCCGCTCCGGAAGCTCGCAGCGATTTTGAGACCACTCTCGCCCCGTACCATTTTCTTCCCTTTCGAGCCATCTTCATCGTTTGCTCTAGCAACGTATTTCTTGGCCTTCTTGTCCCACCGCATACCACGAGCTCTACTGGGTTCCGCAAAGCCCTTGGTCTCATCGTTCGTGAGATCCATTTGCGCCGCCCGGGCACTTTCGACGAAACTTGTGTTTTGACGTGTCGGGTCAGACGAGCCTGTGTGGACGCCGTATCCCCTCTCTTCCGCTGTATTCAGGCCTTTCGGTTGATATGACATGAAGAATTCGGAACTTTGCCAAACGTGCACCCCAGCTTTGTGTGATGTAGGCTCTGACACGGAGATTTCGAGCTCATCAGCATCAGATCCGGACTCCAGAGCCTCGAATTCATCGGCCTCCTCGGACCCCACTTGGAGACTCTCTGCCTCCAGGGGCGGAATCGCTCCTTTATCCAAGCTTTGCGAAGTGCTGGTAGGCTCAGGCGACTGTTTCTTCTTCGATTTCTCCATCCGAGCTCTTCGTCGACGCATGACTTCGGCAGCTTCGCTAGTACTGCCACGCTGGCCCATCTCAAAGACAGACTCGGTAGGCCTGAACGAAGAGATCTTGGCCAGCAATTTCTCTTTCTCGCGTAAAGCATCGTACACGTCATCGCCGAAGAGAGGGTGTATGCTCTGAAGGCTTCCAGCCGCTAGTAGTTGCTTCGCTCGCTTTACGGACTCGCTACTAGCCGAGTTGCGAGTCCTCATGTATTGCTGCTCACCCTTAGCGGCGACAGCTTCCAGACCGATCAAATCATCGTTATGATCCCGGAGACGATCGACCATTTCGACCATGGCTTCGAGATCGTCCTGAATAAAGCCACCTATCACCACATCCTGAGCATAGTCTGTTGGACCTCCACCTGAGGTTCTATCGTGTACTAGACGATTGCCGAGGAACAGTTGGAGGTCAACCAGGTATGGGACTTCGGTGTCTCTTATCAAGCTATAACTCCACCCCTTTCGTCCAGCACGAGCAGTGCGACCTACACGATGGACGAAAATCTTCGGCTGCGCGGGCATGTCATAGTTGATAACATTTCCAAGATAAGGCAAATCGAGACCGCGGGCTGCGATATCCGTAACAACCAAAATCCGTGTTAGGCCTGCTCTGAAATCCTGGACCTGGGCCTTTCGGGCTGTCTGATCCAAATTTCCATAAACTATGAGCAAATCAGCATGACGTACAAGACAAATAGAAGGTTTGCCTTACCATACGAAACAGGATACCCCGCGGAACGCAGAAGGGCAGAGAGATATTCCACCCGATGCTTCGTAGCACCAAAAATAATAGTGGATTTGGCATTTGGCGTCTCGATGGTGTTTGAAACCTCGGCATGCTTCCGCTTCTTTGATTTTGAGCCGGCCTCTTTTGCTTTCTTCGCCACCTCCGTCTCACCAAGAGGCATTTTGATGACCTTGTCCAGTATATAGAGCAGAGCTCCATCCCTTTGGGCGCTTTTGACAGTAAAGAAAGCACTTTCCAGATCTGGCGAGATCTTGGAATCATCGAGTCGGATGAGTTTCGGCTCCTGGAGGCCGGCACGGGCGAATTCGACCAACGTTTTCGGAAGAGTAGCCGAAAATAAGAGTGTCTGCCTTGAAGTAGGAAGGGCATAGAGGATCTCGGTCAGCTGCTGAGCAAATCCCATTTCAAAGAGCCTGTCAGCCTCGTCAAAGACGATGTATTTTACAGAGGACAGGTCGAGACCCATTTCGACTTTCAGGTGAAGGAATCTTCCAGGAGTTGCAATGATGATGTCGGGATTTGTGGTCATCGAGCTGAATTCTGAAGCCTATTAATATTCGAAATTGAATCTCCAAAATGCTGGTACATACGGTCGTCCAGGCTATCGCCGCCAACCAACAAAATGGTCCTAAGATCGGTCCCCCGACCCAGCTCTTTAACTACTTTCAGGGTCTGTAACGCGAGCTCTCTCGATGGAGAGAGAATAACTCCGCGTGCGCCCACTTTAGCGCTATGTGCCTTGAGTTTCTCAATCATCGGTATCACGAAGGCGGCTGTTTTGCCCGACCCCGTTCTCGCCATCCCAACTACGTCGTCTCCAGCAAGTATGAGGGGTACCGCTTTTCGCTGAATGGGCGTCGGGACCTGGAAGCCTTTTCTCCTAACCACACAATTAATCAACGTTGAAAGATATTGCGGAAGAGTGAGGCGTACGTTATTGCCTTGAGCAATGCAGCATTCAAGCCCATGGCTTGGAATCCCCCGCCTTTCTTCACAGTCTTTCCTTTCAGATTAGAGGCTTTCCGGTTCGACGCAGCTTGTGTTGCTGCAATAAAAGCCTCGTCATCTTCTGAGCCCTCACCGATGCCAATATCCAAATCGACTCCCTGTGCCTTCCCTTGCCCATTAACATCCTCATTCCCGAAGAGAGCGTCCCCAATGTCGAACTCGTTCTCCGATAGCGCCGGTGAGCTCGCGCGGGGAGCCATTGTCGTCTGCCGGCGTCAGCGTTGTGCGTCGTCGATAATCGGAGAGGGTTGAATATCAGACCAAATTGACGTCGAAGTATCTCGACCTGAAAATTAAGTGCACGGACGTTTCGAAATCTTGGCGCCGGCACGTGGGGTCGAGCACTACCGGTCGCGTCTCACGACGCGTCGTCCCCTCTTCGCGACATTTTGCACCACGCCTTTACGCAACGTGCGACAGGCAATCATGAGTATGTCCTCCGCCACTTTGAGCAAATTCTGGGATTGTGCTAATCATTACAGGCTACAACAACTACGACACTTCCTACACGTCCTATGGCGGGGGGGGAGGAGGAGGCGGCGGCTTTATGCCAGGCGAAGGAAGCCAGACCAGTCCGAGCGGACGACGAGTATGTCAAGCTTCATCCATTCTTCTGCCGTCTGCCCTGACATAGAATACCTAGGATGGCTTCAACGACTCCCTTCGAGCCGTCACAATCAAGCAGATCCTCGATGCACAGCCTAACGGAGACGAATTCAAGATTGACGGCACCACTATCTCACAGGTACATTCTGCCTCTGAGGCCTGAGGCATAATCCGTGTTGACACATTGTAGCTCACCTTCGTCGGCCAAATACGAAACATCGCAACGCAAACCACCAACATAACATACAAGCTCGACGACGGCACCGGCAGCATCGAAGTAAAGCAATGGAGCGACGCCGACGCCATGGAAGTCAACCCCATAAAAGCAAAGCTCGTCGAGGGTGCGTACTGCAGGGCATGGGGCAAGCTCAAGAGCTTCAACGACAGGAAACATGTCAACGCGCAGATCATACGGCCGGTTGAGGACATGAACGAGGTCTCATACCACCTTCTGGAAGCCACGGCAGTACATCTGTACTTCACACGTGGACCGGTGGGTGGGACAAATAGCGCGAGCGGCGGTGCTGCAGCCAACGGTGGTCAGGGAGCACAGACGGGAGGCGGCGCCTATGGTGGAGCAGACCTCTCGGGCTATGGACAAGTAGCCAAGCGAGTGTTCCAATTCTTAAGGGAGTCTCCGCAGTCAAATGAGGGTCTACACCAGCAGGAGATTGCGGCAAACTTGGGTATCGACATGGCGGAGGTCGCACGAGCCGGCGACGACCTGCTGGCTGGAGGTCTAATATATACCACAGTCGATGATCAGACGTGGGCTGTGCTGGAGGCAGATTAAGTGCCTGGAGGACTTGCAGGCCGTGTTTCCATTTCGGGACGGGCACGCGGGATCAAAGGGCGGTATGGGGCATAGTGCGGGGATCGCTTTGACGAACGAGCCGCGACGTCACGAATGTATTCCACAGAAGGACGTGGGCGGCTATTTCAGCATTGACGGATATAATGAAGTATCTACCGATTGCTCTGCGCACCAGTAGATAGAAGCAAAACGCAAGCTGCCACGATGGTTGTGGCCACTACTGTGAACACCACCTGTGTCTTCCAGCCAGCTTGTACCAGCGCTGCTCGCCGACTGTATCTTGCAACCGTCCTAATGTAGTTCGCTAGTCCGGATATCAGGCAGGCGACTGCCAGGGCCCAGAATATGATACCAAACGGTAGCGAGAATCTCTTCTCTGCGATATGTTAGCGAGTAGCTCAGGCATTCAATAGAAATGACATATATCGCAGGAGCTAATTTGATAAAAACGTCAACGTATAGAAGAGAAGAAGCAGGATGAGCAGGAAGCATTTGAACATACCGAGTTCTGTGGGTTTTGACTTCAGATGAAACGACATAATCATAGCCACCGAGACAATCGCCATATACACAGATAATCGAAGCCACGATAGGAAAGCTGTGCCGTCGTTCAGCAAAACTCTTTGACCCCTCGTTAATGCAGCTGCCTACTTCTCTCATTCGCGGCATTGTCTCGCGCATCCGAAGCGATGTTATCAAAAAGCAGCGCACCAAACCACGGCCTTTCCATGAACACCTCTCGATCATACGAATTGTCCCTACGGACCGTCAGCGCTTCCCCACTGTACTTGTCGGGCATACTTACTGTTTCACAAGCACGGGCTTCGGCGCCCAAAAGGCGTAAAAAGGTCGGAACGGTTCATCCAATATCGACTGGTCCGACCCGCCCATGCGGTCCATAGGTCTGAAGTCCATCCTGACAGGAGGTCAAATAGAGAAGAGGCAAGTCGTACGAAGAGAAATGAGATGGGATCGAAGTTCTGGGGGTTGCGCACGCGGTCATTGGAGGTCACACCCCGACGAGCCGATGCACGGGCCACCGTCTTGTGCCGAACCGGAGATTTAATGAGATCATCGAGATCGCAGGGCTGACTTTAACCTCCGACTTCAATGTGAACACCCCAAGAACGAAAGGGACGACTTTAGCAAATATGGGGAAGAAGGAGCTTGTGCTGTTTGGTGGTTCAGAGTAGGAAATCTTCAACCACCATCTACAAGAATTCGCTGACCCTGTGGTAGGCCCTGGAAAGTCTCAGATTGGACGGCGAGCGATGACCGGGTTCGCGGTGGGAAGTCGCAGGTGAATCCTCCAAACGTTACCTTATGATAGGCCTCTAACTCACAATCCCCAGTCCTATCTCGAAATCGCATCATCCAGCGCCCGCTTCCATGGCACTCTCGACATCAAAACGCTGGGGGGCGCCGGCTTCGCAAGCCAGCGCACCACCAGTGAAGACAGAGCCTGGGATCTCTCCGACTATGACGGCATCCATCTCGGCCTGGGCAAGTCAGACGGGAAGCGCTATACGTTCATCGTGAAAGACGAGCCGCTGCCGAGGAACCCTGAGAATGGAAGAGAGCAATCAACTATTTCGTACGAGTATGATTTCAGTGTTGATGAAGACGCGGCGCTTGCGGAGGCGTCGTTTGTATTCATTCCCTGGGAGGAGCTGAAGCCTACGTATCGTGGCAAGCAGAAGAAAGATGCGCCGAAGTTGGATAGGAGGAATGTGAAGAGGTTCAGTATTATGATGAGGAGGTAAAGTAGATTGCCCCTCACGTGTTTTGGGCTATTTGGCTGACTAGAAGCAGTTTCTTTGGTGATCAAGAAGGCGACTTCTCTCTCACCATCAAGTCGATTAAGGCCGTAGCAACGCCGAAGGATCTCGAAAGGGGCTTCATGGGGGAGAAGAGTGAGTCGACGGAGCCTAGCGAGAGAAGAATCCCAGTGTCCGTCGGAGCGAAACTGATGACGGCACTGGTATTGAGTATCGTCACGTTCGGCGTCTGCTTGGTGGTGTGCCGGTGGCTCAAACCTTCTCATCATGCTATGTGGCGGTGGCATTGAAGGCAACGTCGCCCACGTACCGGACCCCGTGGACATAGAAAAAAGAAAGGAAAGAGAGAGTGTGTGTCAGACATCAGGTCCGAGGAAAGTCTGCGTCGCTATTGATTCTCGCTACTAAGCTCGCATTATCTGCCGTCAGAAAGAAATGATAAAAGATCGTCTCAATGTTTCTCAAAATACATCCCCAACAAGAAGAGAAAGTCAGCATTCCATGCTGTAAACGTCCCCACGTTTCCGCAATCTTTCGTATCCATCACCATGTCCCTCTTCTTCCTCTTATTCATCACATCTCCCGGTCCATCATCCTCACTCGAGATAGATCTAGGCCAGTCCTGGAACAGACAGACCCAGATTCTTCAAACACAGGACGGAAACAGCAGCCTTCAGGTTAGCAACATTTCCGGGCAAGGTCAGGATGTTGTCGGTCAAAGTCATGATCGTCGTAATCAAGTTCGTCGAATCCGGGCTGACTGGCAGGCCCTTAATGAAAGCAAGGTCGCCAGCGGGGATCGAAGAAGCGGCCTGTTGCAGAGCGCCCAAGCTCGTCAGACCAGCCAAATCCTTGAACTTGGTAGGGTTGATAGAGGACAGGAGCTGCAGGACACCGAAGGTCGGGACCGAGTCTTGCACGACGGGCAGCTGGAAGAGGAAGTTGGGCACAACACCGTTGAGGATGCCCAGGATGCCGCTGGTGATACCGCCAAGTCCCTTTCCACCGGGAATGGCAATGTTCTTCGCGATTGAGCCGACGAGGGAGGCGAGGTCAGGAGAGACGCCTATTGTGCTGGTAAGTATATGTACGCTTTTAGCGAGCGAAATACAAACCTGGAATACCGCTAGCCTGGAGACCGCCAACGCCTACGCCCGGGAGGCCCTGAGACAGGGACGGCAAGGCGCCGAGTTGGCGCCTAGCAAGCTCTGGAATGTCGCGCCTGTGGAGCTCGGGAAGGTCCCGCTTCACAAGGGCCGGGATGGGCAGCGACTGGGCGAAGAGAGACATGGGATCTTTCTGCGAAGAGGGGAATGCACATTAGCACATATTCTTTATGGGCAGGAGAAGTGAAGAGATATGGGAAGCTACTCGTGAAGCCCTTCAACGCATGATGACAGACGGAGATGTGTACCGAGCCTACGTACCTTCAGCAGACTCAGAAGAGTAGCAATGACGGAGATAGAGAAAGCGCCAACTGGGTCAGTTCCAGGAATCTGCCAGTCTGGGTTAGCCGGCTACCATATTTCGAAAGGGAGATACGTACGCCACCAGGAATGTATGGACTAAGGTTGGGGGTACCAGAGCCGCCGCCAACGACAGGCAAGGTGCTAACGACACCTCCAACAGCAGGCCCGACGACAGGAACGCTGCCAGCAGCACCTGCACCCGTTCCAACTATGCCGGACGCAGCGTTAGTAAGGCCTCCGACAGGTGAAGAGCCAGACGTGAGCCCCCCAACTGTGCTGAGCACGGGAGCAGCAGCGCCACCGACGACCGGGACTGAACGATACGCTATTAGCAGGTTTTCTTCAGAAGGTGAGGGACGACTTACCGCTTCCCACCGCATTAGCTACCGTACCAGCAACACCAGAGACTGGGCTAGATCCACCGGTGAGACCGGATACAGCGCCGGTAACGGTGTTGAGAGGCGAACCACCACCAGTCAAGCCGCCAGTAACGCCGCCGACCACTGGCAAATTTCCAGTAAGGCCAGCAACGGGGAGGTTATTCGTAAGTCCACCGACAGTATTAGCGACACCAGAAACGGGATCCGACCCACCGCCGACACTAGGCAGGTTCGCCGTCACACCCCCGACGACGGGCAAGATGGCCGTGGCACCGGTGACGGCACTGAGCGGCGAGCTTCCACCAGTCAAGCCGCCCGTCAGGCCCGTGACAGCGTTCAAGGGCGAGCTTCCACCAGTCAATCCGCCAGTGAGCCCAGTAACAGCATTCAAAGGGGAGCCTCCGCCAGTCACACCTCCAAGAAGTCCGCCGGCAGCAGCCGTCGCGGAGCTAGCAGCAGACGTGACGCCGGTGATTTGCCTCTTGTGAAGCGGGAGCGAAGCATTGGGAAGAGCGGGAATAGCAGGCACGCTCGGAACAGGCAAGCCGCCAGGCAAGGGCAAGAGGGAAGCACCTTTGGTTAGGATAGAGAGTACGATGCTAAGGACAGTAGAGCCCAACTGCACGATCTTGGAGAGGGCATCGGTCGAAGCGAGATCAGTGATGTCGCCGGTTGGGAGTTCGGGTAAGGGGAGAGGGAGGGATAGAGCGCCCGTATCTGGAATTGGAAGACCGCCAGGGACGGCGGGGATCGGTAGGTCTGGGACGGCAGGAACCTCGAGGATAGGAAGCGATCCGGTGTCTGGAAGGCCAGGCACTACACCGAGGTCGGGAACAGGCAAGCCGTCCACGCTAGGCAGATTAGGAATGCCAGGGGCAGCGGGCAGTTCAGGAATAGGTAAGCTTCCAACGGCTGGAAGCTCAGGCACGCCAGGAACGGATGGAAGTGCATCCGTTGGAAGTGGGACCGCCGGAACATCGACTGGGAGACCTGCTAGAGGCAAGCCACCTGGCAATCCGCCGGTGAGATCAGGAAGAGGGACTTCGGGCAGGCCGGGCGGGGTTACGGGCAGAGACAAGCCTATAGCAGATGGGTGGATGGTTAGTAAGAGCTCAGGAACAGGCACAGTAATGGCTTGCCAGCTATCGGTAGGGTTCCTTGAAACGCCACGTGATAGCCAAGTGAGGGCCATGCAGGTGCACTTTGTGGAGATGCAATATGAAGCAATCTCTTAAGCAAAGGGCTGATCAGAGACGGCATACCAGGAACTGCCGGAAGTGCCGGCGCAGCTGGAAGGCCTCCAGGCAGAGCAATAGCAGGCTTATTCACTTTAACACCAGCGGCGGCGCTGCCACTAGCACCAGGAGCGCCTGGAGATGAGTTCAGTAAGCACAAAATTTGTAGAGTGAGACAGATATGCCTACCGACAGCGGTGGAGGTAGTTGCAGCCAACGGCAGAACGCCAGGAAGATTGATCTGTGGCAAGGCCGCAGCATGCGCGCCCGCACAAAAGGCTAGGATTGCCAAAGCCTTGTACGAGTCCATAATGGACATGGAGGTTGAGCAACGACTGGATGATAGAAATGAGTGGACCCGAATGAGTTACCTTAACGAATGGCTGCCGAAGACTTGACGCACGTCGGAGCAGGAGAATATAAAGACGAAGATCGCGCGGACCGTGATGGCTACTGTCTGCAATGTAACATCGTTCCAGCACTGAGGGGCGTTGAGGGAAGCATATTTGTCTGAGGGGTCAATAAAATGCAAGGATCCCGAGCATTCCAATATCGACCAGATGTGAAGCTGCTATGCCGAGAAAGGATGAAGCTGGCATATACCGCGATGGATATCGTTTAGTGAAAGTCTAGATGGTCGCTTCCAGGAGAAGCGCTGAAAAGAGGGCTGCGAGAAAGATGAAGGCGATAAGAAAGGTGAGGACGCTCCGAACGATAGGCTGATTTACGATACCCAGCCACATGTTCTATTGCCATGTCGACCAGACTGCTCCTGCAGCAGCAGGACCAATTTGAGGGCCAGGGAAACACTAGCCAATCTGAGACATAGCTCGTGGAGCCTGTGCAACCGTAGACGACTCTCCACAACATGCCAGTGCCCCACCAATTAAGCTTCGCTACGGCCCGCTGCACGATCCCCTTGCTCTCCGCCGATATCGCCAAGGAGGGCGTTACCAATGCCTTCAGGGCCGTCTGGAATGCGAGCCCGCTCCATCACGGCGGTTTCGCGGCGGTAGAGCAAATGCGTGGTGCACGCTAGCAGATGTGATTCGCCGCATCGTGGTGCTGCTCTTAAGGCCGAAGGCTCCGGTCCAGGGTTACCATTAGTAAAAACCTTGGCCACCAGGATTCTTCTTCATGAAGAATTCTGGCAAGTGGAATGCACTTCGCAGGGACAACAGTACGGCTCTCTCTGAGCCGCATTGATCGAGACGTGACCCCTGAGGACATCATGAAATCGTGCCTGTACGATTCCCTCTCGGCGCAAAGCCCCTTCCACCTCTACCGATGGCCTGCGGTCCGCGGGGCTCACGAATTGGTTTCTCCTGGTCGTTCGGCGTCTCGGGCCGGCTTATGCTGGATTCTTTCTTCTGTATGTAGACCGAGCCTGGCTTGGACGAGTACGAGGGGTCGTACAGCTGTCGGCCCGCAATCGGCGGGCGTGCCGGCGAGTTTTCGTTGCTTGACCTTGGTTGGCTATCGCGTCCGCCCCGCCCTTTGCCCTTGCCTCTGGTGGATTTGTTCGGGGAGGTACCGCGAGAGTCTTCCGAGGCGGCGGACGAGCCGAATATCTTCTCCCGAGCTTCGGCGTATCTGCGTTCTTTCTCCGCCCGCTCTCTTTGTGCACGAGCCTTGCGCTCTTCAAACTCAGCTTCGCTCCTCTTCCGTCTCTCCTCTTCGCTGTCGTCGTCGTCATCTAGGTTCAGGGCTGCCATTCCGGCAGTGGGGCCATTTCGCGATAGAACTTGGGGAGGCGGCTTGCGGGCGAGCACCGTGACGGGTGATTTGAAGGTAGGCTGCACAGGCACATTGTTGCGAGCCTCGAGGAATAGCATGGGCTCGGGATTCTCCCTTGTAAGAACACTGTCAGTCGAGCACAGGCTGGGCGGTGGAGCGGAGCAACGTACGCGGACGCCCATATTTGCCGATTGAGCTCAGCGTGCTTTGCCCTGCGCTCAGCCTTGGAAAGCTTTACTTCTGGGGCGGGCTCGCCTTTCTGCGAGGGCTCATCGTGCTTCTGTGCCCTGTCAGCGGCGCGGTCGCAGAGTCCCGAGAGACAACGTACATCAGCAAGCGATTCCCAATCGTCGTCCCATGCATCGGCGACGGCGCCTGTCTTCGGGGCCATTGGTGCTCGATCTTGTAGCTGTGTGATTGCAGATTGCGGGCTCTTTTGTCGCTGGTGGTGAGGGGCGCCGAGGGCTGAAGTCGGCAAGAGGCTGGATGCCGCCGGGGTGCGTCCAATGAGCGTCATGGCCTCTCGCTTAGAACGGGCGCGGGAGATCTAACGCGGCGCGAGAGCGAGCTGCCATTCACTCGCTGCTGCCTCGGCGCATATCACTTTCACTGCGCCAGCCATTTCCCGCTCCTAGTCTCTCTTGCATATAATCGCTACAATGTCAGGTAAAGATTGCCCCCCCGCCGAAAGCTCAACCCCTCAACATGTTGTCCCCCGTCAGCGACCTAATGATGCCAGACGCCGACGGCGACTCTACCATGCAGTCCTCTCCGGAGCTTGCCGCCGACGACGAGATGTTCCCCGACGAGGCCGGCCCATCCACGCCGCGAAACGCCGCCTCCTTCTCCCTCGACCCGGCTTCTGAGCTTTCCCCGCCAAACTCGCAAGGCGGCCCCTCCGCCCTGCCCCGCGATGAGAGCTTCCCCGCCGCTCTGGCTGGGACCCCGACGGCGCTCAATGCGAACGGCAAGCGCGTTCGTGCTTCGGCTGCGCTGACCTCCGCAGGCGGCGGCGGCAACTCTGCCGCTGTTCAAACCGATGCTGTAACGGGGTATCAGTGGTCAAAGGCCGAGGACCAGCCGGGATACGAGTGGAAGAACACTAGGGCGCGAGAGGATGAGGCGAGGGCTATGGAGCAGATCGTAGACAGGGCCTCGCAAATCAAGAGTGAGAAGAACATGCTATGCTTCGCAGGGCAAGTTGCTGACGTTCACACCCAGCTCGATACGGGGACCCGCTGAAGCCAGACGTACCCATGACCCTCGGTCGCTGAAGTCCCTCCGCTGTCGAAGGCGGTAATATCTAGGACGTGAAGATCGGATGCTATCTTTGTAGGCCCATTTGAAGGGGGATTCCGGAAGTTACGACTCATCTAGGGGACCCAACCGAATGGAGGTGCGTTGAAGCAACTCAAATGGGCTCCAGGCACACCGGCAGCACTGCTTCGCGGAGGGCGTCGCGATGGAAGAGGCCCGTCAGTGGTATTGAGCAGCAGCTCCAGTCCTTAGGGAAAATGAAACATCATCATCTTCAACCAATTCTGCGGAATATGATATTTGTGACCCGTACCGTACTCCAGCCAACGCCAGCCCATGCATCCCACCTATCCCAGCCCACCATGCGCCACCGCTCTGTCCTCAATCGCTTTCGTCCCCGTCCGCCATATCATCGTCCGACGGCTTGTTCTCGCGCTCTTCAAGCAGATCCTCCGTTGGCTCCTCATCCGCAACCTCCTCCTCCACCTCATCATCTTCCACCTCCTCGTCCTCCTGCTCCACATCTTCCACCGTCTCATCCACGTGATCCTCCTCATCAGATCCATCCGCATGCTCTCCGTTATCCACGCTCGACCTCCGTGCTCTCTTTGTCGGTGGCGAGTCGTCAATGGCCGCCTGCCCATTGGCACCCTTATCCTTCGCCGCCTTCTTCTCCTCGCGCACCTTCTTGCGGTAGGTGTTCCGCTTGTCTGCTTGTATCGACGTGAACTTGTTGACTTCTGCTTCGAGGCGGGGCAGCATGAACTCGAATTCTAGTTCCTGCATTGCGTCGAAGACGTCTTTGGGCATGACGGTCTTCTTGTTGCTGCGGGCGGCATTTTCAGCGGCACTGCAACCCTTGTTAGCTTCCTATCCTCCGATTGTAGCCGTGTGGTATTGCGGCGCAATCGCATACCATGATGTGAGGTAGTTCACGAAGACGGTTGCGCTCTTGGACATTGCTAGCAGCGCATCCTTCTGGATCTGGGTGTTCGCGGGGAGGACGCCTTTCGCGAGTCGCTGCACTATTGACTTTGGGAGGTTGAGGTCCTGCGACGGTTAGCTATTCGCCTTGGGGCTCAGAAGCATAGGCGCATACTTCGACGCTCAAGCCGTCTTCTTTCGCAGCCGACTTTGCAGTATCATCGTTCGAGACTGTCGACGCGTTGCTCTTTCTGGCGGGCATTGTGTTTAAAGCGGGGGAGCTTATATGCGTGAAGCTGGTGAAGTCGAGGTTCCGCCGCTAACAATCGTGCCGGAAGTGGTAAACGCGTGAGGGCGCGTCGGCTGGGCTGGGCTTGGCACTCGCATCGCGTTCATGATTTCGGTCCAAGAGGGGACTGATGTGATCTAGCTAGTGTTTCTATGGATCGATCTTCCTCTGAACGATTACGGACACACTTTTTTTTGTGGATGTGCTTGAAGGTTCGGAAGGAACCGCATGCTATACCGTCTCACTTCGTTCCCCCAGCATCCGGCACCGTCTTGATAATTTTCATGCAGACAAATATATTCCACCTACTTGGACCCACGGTGTATAGTGCTCGCGCCTATCCTGCATCTTGATCTCATGTTCCATCCGTCCCGTGGAGACCTCGGCAGTGACGCTTGTGGTTGCTCGACATGGTCTAGCGCCGTTCTCCCTGGGCAGCACCCCCTCGTCTCTTTCGTCGCCTCTCATTCTTACTGCTTTTTGCTCAACCTTGATTCTCTCCGTTTCCCTCTGACGTTCCGTGTCGACTCGAGCGTGTCAGACGACGCCCTTGCTGTGCTTGCCTTTGTGCCGGTCAGCATCCCCCGGTCGCCCATAGGCTCTACGGCTGTCGCAACTGAGTCGGCGTGTACCACCATGCTTCTCGGGCCTTTCCTTCTCTGCTCGCCCTGCAGGTACATGATGGGCGCCTGGATCCGGAAGATTTTCGCTTAGCCAAGGATACTCCAGGTCATTTGCTCCACACTCGCTTCTAATCCCTAGCTCTGTTGTAGACTCATCATGCAGAGCGCCGTCGAGCGCTTTTCCGGCCCCACTGCAATTCCTGTTCTACCCCAGGTTCCGCTGCCTTGGAACTACAGTGGGTACCTTCGTATCTCCCCAAAGGACCCGAGCGAGCTACGACACCAATCCCCAGGCTGGACGGCCCGCCGATGATGGAAGCCAGCTGTGGCAGATCCAGACCGACGGCCAAGAACACAACTTCCTTAGCTGCATTTTGTTCTTCAGCAGCTCACAATGTGGGGGAAGCGCTAAAAGATTACCTCTCGCTGTGTGACTAAATATTGTGTCAAGGCTACGGTCGGGGATGGCCCCGGCAGACGTCGCAACGTGCGGCTATCGGCCCAGCTGCACCCAAAGCCACAAAGAAGCATTTGTGGACAACTCAGCACCCACGGGTTAGGATCCGCTGTTCAATAAGCAGCTGATGGCAGCCAGCATGCGTCACTTGTGCAAGAGGACGGACCTGCTCGCTGCTGTCTTCTAATCTTCTCCTTATTTCAACCCTCCCTTGGGCGATCGCCCACCTGAAGATTAGTATTGGTTTGCCTCGAACTTCAAGACCATAAATTGGATGCAGGCAAACTCATCGCTTCCAGCCTATCTTCCCAGAATCTTGTCGCGCTCCCACTTTCTTCTTTCGCTTTCTTTTCCTGCACGCCGGGAAATCCCACGTTTCTTGGCGGTGATTGTACCCGGCAAACGTTCTCCCCCAACCGGCTGCGCCGATAAGCGTTGCCCTTACTGGCTAGGATCCAAAAACAAGAATCGCGTCTCCAACGTTTATATTTTAGCTCGGACCCTGCATTTTGGGTTGTGCCAGGGAATATCATGGCGGCTGGACCAAGTTTACGGATTGTCGTGGACGGCGACAGTAGCAGAGTCTATCGTCGTGGAGAGAGAGTCACGGGAAGAGTTATACTTGGGATCGAAGAGCAAGATGAAATCAGGTCCCTGAGGGTCTGCTTTGCCGGTACTTGCACTACGAAGACGACACGACCGTTCTATGTGACCGGTAACGACGCCGACGCGACCCAATCGAGACGAGCATTCGAAGAGAGGATCTGTCTTTTCAACTTCAGACGGGACTTGCTACCGAGATGCACTCTGGCGCCGAAGAAATACACCTGGACTTTCGCATTCAGATTTCCAGAACTGACGGAGCCAAAATACTCGCGCTGGACACATGGATCGAAATACTCGAGAGGCCCCCACCCACTTCCACCGTCCTTCCATCAGCGCACCAATAGTCCTGACGGCCAGGCGAAAGTGTCGTATCATCTCCAGGCCAAGCTCGTCCGAGGCGGACCGAAAGCTACGGCGAAGACATATCACCCACTCGTATACCAGCCTGCGCCGCGAGATATTCCTCAGGAGCCTAGAATTACATCGAGTGTACTGTATGCTCAGACATGGAAACCCTTAAGCGAAAATCGAACAGCTGTTGATAAAGCCTTGGTGAAGATCTCCCGGCGAACCTCAGCAGGCGACCGTAATCCGCGAATTATTCCCACAATTCATTATCCACAGAAGATAGCTCCAGGACAACACATTCCGCTTCTGCTGTCGCTCACCAATGTTCACAGAGCAGTCAACCACGGGGAGGCGTGCGAGCCGGAGTGCATATTAGACTCGCTGACAGTTTCGATCTCCACATGCACAACATCAATGTGCGGCCAACCTATGTCGCAACCCGAGGATGTCGTGCTCAAGCATGTCACTTGCCTTTCGAAGACCGACCTAAATGAGACGCTTCCCTTTGGTACCGCAACGAAGCTCACAAATAACTTTCGATTGGTCGATAACGCGGAGTGCGTACCGTCCTTCAGAACATACACCATCATTCGAAGATACGACCTCACAGTTACTGTTGGTATCAAATATGGAGACCGGAGCTTTACAATTCGATCGACCATGCCGCTCGAGATCCTTCCTCGGACGCTGGGGGAGACGTCGCCCGCCCTTCACAATGACGCTGAGGCGGACATCGAGCCACTACCGCTGTACGCACCTCGGGAGCCATCGAAGGAGTTTGCCCCTTCGTACGAAGCACTGTATTCCTTGTCACGCACGCATTCCAGCTCCGGTTCCTTGGCCTATACGGAAAGTAGAAGCTTGAGCGTCGCTTCGGGAATTTCAACGCCTGCTCTAGGTGCCTGCGCACCTGCTCCAGATCTCGAGCAGGCAGACTTTGGAGAATTACCCATGAGGAGCCGGTGCTAACGGACTAAGGGGGCTGTTCTTGGTTGCTCGAGCCCATGACCAGTTTCGTTGCGACATCAAATGCACTGGCTTCGACCATGTCCGAGAGGCAGTCCAACGTATCACGGCCACCGCATTGGTGGATTTTGCAGCTTACGTGAACCGACTCGCATGGGCTGACAACGAGAGTAATTGGGAGAAGCTATTCCATTGCATTGGAGCGCAATCTCCAGCAAGCATGCCTCGAGGAAGATACAGTCGCTTCGGCGGACGTACATTCGACGCTGTACTACCGGCCCGATTCGACTAAAGACCGCTCGCTTGTTCCTCGTTATCGTTATCACAGCCGTTATGCATCAAACGGCGGCGCGATCGAATCTCCGTACGCTAACAACCACCATGCTGGAACTGCGACGCCGGATCGTGGGCGGATATCGATAATGGCAACGGACGCTAGAACAACGTAATCTCAACGAAGAATAGTCCGTTTCATCGCTGAATTATCGCCGTGTCACGAGGTGGTGGGCAGTGAATGTCGTCCTCAATTTCCGCTTAATGACGCGTTAAGCTAGGCGGCTTACGACTTCTCTTGGTCCGCCCGAGGCCTCGCCAGTCCGACGTTTATCCTTTTGAACAGATGGGGCAGTGAGGGAAAAGTCGATAAGGAGCCTACTATGGTAGGATGGGGTTCGCTCGAAGTCCGATGGTCAACATTTACCGGCATAGTCAGCATCTTCTTCCATTCAAGCTTCGCGAAGAAGTCCGGTGACTTGAAACAATATCCGGCTTGCGAACTGCATGCCAGTGCCGGTTGTAGGCGACTGGATGCAGCCTCCGTCTCACATTCCTATCTCTTGTTTTCCAGAAGACATCGACGTCAACGTTGGTCGTTGAAAAGCTTCGGGATACTTTCGGCTCTCGGCACCCTCTCTCGGCACCCCTTTCTACTGTGTAATCGCCTGTACGATGGCGATACACCGGCCCCTCCTGAGAATAACTCTTCGAAATGATCAGGATTCTCCAACCTCGCCCATCCGCAATTCAGTTCACGAGATGCTCGCCGCGCCCTACGCAAGGGTCTCGGACTCGGACCCGCCAACGGGACCACTTCTCAGATAAATTGCTGACAGGGATCCGTCCGCCTCACCCACTTCCCAAGGGAAAAAGCTTGGACGGGAGATTTGCGCAGGCGTGGCAGGGCGGCTTATCGACCAGGGTTCGTATGGCTGCCGTCATGTCACGGGATAGGTTGGCAGGGAGGAGGAGTTATTTTGAGATGGAAAAGGGAGAGAACGTGTGAGGGAGCTAAAAAGTTCGGAGAGTTATGCGCATGATTGCATGGGAAGGGTGGTGGATAGTGTGTACGCGTTTCGTGGCTATGCTATGCCCTGGGGGAGAGCGGGTTTGGAGCATCGATGGATTGGTGCGGATGGTTCATGCCAGCTTGCTTCATAAAAGGGCGTTGTTTAACTGTAGATTCATAGACAAGTCAATTGAGGCATTCTATTCCCACAATGCAAACGGATTATTGGGCATAGGATAGCGAGGACGAGACATGGTAGTAAATGAGTGTATATTCGTATCTCTTTCCATCGTAAATATGTAAAATCCTGATGCCCGATCAATCCAAGCCGGGTATATGCTGCCAACCCCTCCAATCCACCATTCTGTCCAAACCCGCGGTTTCAATCAATAAAAAAGGTAAAATGCTCGATAGCCCTGTGATGCGAAGGGCGAGTTGACAAGTCGAGCCAAAAAAGAAGAATCTATACAAGGGAAAAAAAACTTGTCCGAAAGCCCCCAGACCCCAGATAGACAACGCCAGTCAAACAGTGAGAGAGCTCTGTCCAGCAAGCAAGCCAAATTACTTTCCTTGTCTCTCACGTCGTAAAAAAGTTCCCAAAAAGCAGACCGGTAACCCAGTGGAAACGCCACGTGAATTCATTCCTCCAATTGATCCAATAATTCGCTGCTGGGTGGGTGACGTAGGCAGTGGTATGGTGCGGTGCGGTGTGGTGTAGTAGGTTGTGTTGATTGACGTTTAGAAGCGTCCCTCAAGCACCTCGAAGATGCCCACTTCCACACCGCCGTTCAATCCGCACCCGCTCGGTCGCGGCTCCAGCATGTCGACCTCGTGCCCGAACAAATGCTTCTCCTCTTCCATCTCGATGTCGAGGACGGACGGCTTGCGGCGGAGCATGAGCAGGTGGCGGATGCTGGTCATGGAGCCGCTACTGCGGTGCGAGTCCGGCGAGGAAGTGCGGGTCAGCGGCGATGTGGTGCCGGTGGAGGAGCTGGGAGAGCACGAGCGGTGCGAGCGGGTGGGCGAGAAGGCGGTCTTGAGGCGGCGGAGGGAGGTCGAGGGCGTGCGGAGCGGCGTGAAGGATTGGAAGCGGTTGGTGCGGGTGGGGGTGACCATTTTGGCGGTGGAAGATGGTTATTGGCGGAAAGTTGGAGTGGATTGTTGTATTAGGTAGTAGACGTTGGTTCTCTGTTGTGAGCAATTGCTGAGCTACAAGCAATTGCTGCCCTCGAGGATTGTTTGGTTTGGGGACAGCGAATGTACGCGTTAACAGAACCTGCTGTCCGCACGGCGGGGAGTCGTTCTTCAAAGAGAGTCTTGGACGTCGGTGACGCAGTTGTGGTGACAGCGATTGTTGTCGATCGATGGAGTTACACCTCGATCAAGTATGGATGTTGTGGTTGGACCCTGCGGAGCGGGGACGATGGTGACACAGCAGATGATGCGAACAGCTTCTCAGAAGTGTCGGGGCTAAATACCGGCTCTCAGTATATTCCAACTGAAAGAGTCGTCTCCAAATCCAGTTCGGTGGAAGCAAGGTGGGAGGAAAGGGAGACGAGAAGAAGGGAAGGCGGAGGGGGGAGTGAGGAAACGAAGGTAAGGGTTGAGATGAGAAGTGTGTCGTGGCAGCGGGAAAGAATGATGAGGCAGAACGGAAGGCGCATGTTTTAAGGGCAGACCCGTGTCTGAAGCCCGTATGCGTCTCTACCCAGACAAGCTATGGCCCACGGACCACCCGCGATAAAGTAGGCCAGGCAGCTGCACCCCTGTCGGTTCGCTGGAGCGCTCAAACGGCAGCGAGCGGTTTCGTCGCGGCAGGCCTGTGTCTGATCGCCGTCGCCAGCGAACCCTGGACGGGCACGAACAGCCAGGTCCGGATGCAGGCCGCACGACGGGCCCCTCCAATATCCAGGCTGCCAGGCCCGCTGATAAAGAATGAGCTCGCAATTACCGCCGGAATACTGAAGAAACGCCTTGCCGGACGGGCACGCTGCTCGCAATCAGCACCCGTCTCTCGAGAATGCTGCTGCTTGCTCCCTGCATTGGCACGCCGTCCCGCCCGTGGTTATCACACACGACCAGCCGTCGCACAACTGCAGAACCGAGCAAAGGGATGGACCGAAGCAGCTACGCTGACCCCACCCACCGCCTCGGTGGACGCGACCGTGATGCGCGAGCAAAGGCCGATGGCGTGTCTCTTGTCTCCGCAGCGGCGAGCCCGCTCGGCCTGTCAGAAGCGCGGCTGCCGGCTCCTGAGGGGCCCAGTGTCGTAGGGGCTCCAGCACGCTGTCTCAAGTCCGCTGCCGACCCAGCTGGAACGAGATCCATGTGCGCTGTAAGAGGGCCCGCCTGGATCAGGTTAGATGATGGAGGAGCCAAGCTGTCTGAGCAAGCCCCCGCCGGCCCACATGACGCACAGCCGAGTTTCACCACCACCGCTCAACACACATGCCAGGACCTCAGCTCCGCCGTAGACGACAGACGCGTTAGGCTGGCGGCGACCCTCCTGCCCACCACGATACGTCTAAGACGCGCTGACGGGCTGCTCAACAGAATGAAAAGCTAGCAGAGCTGAGGAAAAATTCTTTCACATGCTGTGACCTACAGCGCCGTCGCTATGCACCCCTTAACAAAACGACACCCGCTCCCAAGGCCCCCCCGCCAATTGCACTCCCTCATTACACTCCTGTCCAGCCCGCTCAATGCCGTCTATCTCGTAGCTCCAGCAGTGGTGACACATGTCCACGAGCTAACAAAAGGAGCAAGAAAAAGTGTTCCAGAAATGCCTCCTTCTCCCGTGCTGCCCTGGTGCCGCCCTATCCCGAATCTGGCTGTCCTCATGCCCCATGTCAAACATCAATGCAACTGGTTTTGTATGCATCCCCTGCACCCACTCCTCAGACCTATTCTGAGGCCCGTGGGGACGGCGGGTCAAACCTTTCCAGACCCTGCACCATGCGTCTCCGCCATATCGTAGATCATCCGCCATGCTGAGTTCCTCGACACCATGCAGCAGCATGCGGACATGGTCAGCATGCCCTGAGCTAAATGTGCGAAAATAGTCTGTCAACGCCCGCCAGACCGTCGCTGTGTGAAACTCCTGCGGATACTCTCGCCCCATGCCGAGTTGTCCAGCACCTCCAAAACATCGGCTGCGCTGACCGCACTGTTTTGCCTGCTTCGGCTCCCTGCTGGCCCGGGGTCTGGCTCGAGAGGACTGGGAGGTCGACTGAGCGCCGATGCAAACTGCCATTCGCCATCGGCTGGTGGCGAGAAGGGCGACATCTGAGGAGAAGCTCTCGTCGGCGATAGGGGAGTGGCTCGCACTGGTGACCCAAGTGGTGTCGTCTGTATCGAGTTGGCTCGACTTCGTAACGTCATATCCGCCGGTGGTGATGGTGCGCGTGCATCGCTGCCTGAGGCACGCCACTCGGCATTGTCCATTGGTTGTAGATCTACAGGCGAGAACAGTGGGCTGCCGCTGGCAGAATACTGTCCGCGCTGTGCGTCTGTGATGTCTTCATCGTCCACGAAGATCTCCGGTACCGTGAACTGCGGCACCGCTGTCATGCGGCCAGATTTCTTGTGTTCCATTGCGCGCCGGAATCGTCGTGACCAGTATAGCGTATCGAAGAAACCTACGACCACGTTTCGCCGCACGGCTTCGTCGACGCGTTGCAAGCGTGCGCGACGTCGTAAATATTCTTCTAGTCTGCGCCAAACATTAGCCGCACGTACAATCAGCCCGCGTAAGTCACTTACCTCAAGCTCTTATGGTCATTGATGACCTTGTGATGAGCCAAGATCATCAAGAGCGAAGTGAACTGAATGCCTTTGTCTGGGTCACTCGATACCAGCACCTCTTCGTAGAACTGGTTCATGCGCTGCCTCCGCCGTCGGATCTCAGCCACTGGGAGTTCGGCCAGGCGCCGATTTAGTTTGTTCAGATCGATTTCTGGGCTTTGCTCATGGCCCTGAACCGGCAGTTCCGACATTCTTCTGTGTGTGCTGCATTCTTCAATTAGGCTTCCAACGGTCCAGTCACCATCGTAAATCCTCATCTCGAAAATTCCAGAAAGCTCCTAGACCTAGTCAGTATCATGTGATGCCTCCGCCTACTTCGAACACTTACGCCAAGTAGCCTAGGGAAGGCCTCTTTCGAGATGTATCCAGTGCCGTTGGGGTCGAACTCAGCCCACGCCTGTTTGAACCGACGGATCTCTTCGCGGCTAATCACTGAAAGCCCGCTGCTCTGCTGATACACGTAGCTGAAACTCTCGTATATCAGGGAGACGAACAAATTGATGAAGATGTACATGCTCAGGATGTTCCATGTGATGAACAAAGCCCGAGCCCACTCAGGACTTCCGCAGTCGCTTTCGAAGTACTTGTCTCCGACAGTGCAGAAAGGATGGTCGACATTTGCGAAATCTTCCATGAACTCGTTCCATCCTTCCCCGGTGCTCATCCGGAATAGGAAAATGAGCGCTTTGGGAACGCTTCGGAAATTGATGTTTCCGCTTTCCTGTGGACCGAATCGCGTGAGGCCGAAGGTTTGCGTGAGCGCGATGGCGTATACCAGGAAAAGGACGAACCACGTTGCCAGAAGGTTCAGAATGGCTGCCAAACTCGCTGCGGCGGTTTTGAAGAGCTGATCCAGTTGATTGTTCCTTGGTATAAGTAGGAGCGCAATGGAGACCAGGAAAAGCTTATGGAGTTGAATGAAGACCCTTTCGTTGCTCTTCGTGAGGCGGAGAATCGAGGTGACGAACGTGCCGGATATTGCGAATATCGAGAAAACGTCCCAGGAGCTCTTTCGGAATCGATGCCATGAGAGACCAACGATGCGGATTACAACATTAGTGATAAATATGATTGTGAAGAACAAGAAAATATAGTCTGCGTAGTTGTTAGCATATAGCTACCACATCGCGCGTAGATGCTCACCTCTGGCACGCTCCCAAGGTTCGTTACCCGGATACCATTCCAGGCAAAGCAGGACGAGATGAAATATTAAGACGGCTGTTATGAATCTCTGCCAGTGTCCGGTCTTACGAACGGCACGTCGATAGCACCACTCCTCCCATGTTTCTCTCCGCTTCGTCGATGATGGCCGTTTTGACGGAGACACTTGTCGAAGGAGTTTCCTGAGTTCCAACCATGAACGCTGGTCCGTGGTGAGGAAAGCAACGCCAGTCTGTTCCGTGTAGTTGCGCATGAACACGGAGACAAACAGAGTCAAGACGAAGACTGCGCCGAGCAAGTTGAAGATGATGAAGTAGACTGCGTTTCCTTGTGAGGCGAAGGCTGCAGGCTGAGTGAATATTCCGGTTATACTTTCCGACGCCCACATGACATCGGTCCATCCCTCCTGAGACACAATCTGGAAAAGGATGAACAGCGCGTCTCCGAAGTTATCGAAATCGTAGTATGGGTTCGCGGCTTGCCGAGGAGCAAGCACATCCCAGTAAAAGGGCTGGCTTGCGTACTCGTTAACGCAGTCATGTAGATCGAATATGCCAGAGTCTGAGTCGTTGCAGGCTTGCAAGCGACCGACGAAAAGGTTCAGCCCATAGATGGCGAAAGGGATGAGCAAACTTAGAGAGACGAATGCGGCCTGAGGATATATTAGTTATGCTAGACGCTGTGGCGTGCGAAGACTTACCGAAATGAGCTTCCACCAACCGCGCACGATGAGAGAGTGGAAATGGTCTCGAGCGCTGTCGCTGATGTTGAGCAGTCGGAGGGCTCGGAGCGCTTTAAAGGCGCCAACAGTCCGGGTTATCTGGCCTTCGTTGTAGAGGGACGTAGCGACATTGACCCAGAGCGTTATCAACACCACGCCGTCAATGAATCCCCACGAACCTCTGAAGTATGCGTTTGGAGTGAAGAAAAAGCCATCCGCAACCACCTTGATCAATGCCTCAATGGTAAACAAGACCGCGAAGCCCATATCCGTAAACACGAACCAATTCTTGACGCTGAAATCGTGATCCATGAAATACGTCCGTTGATATAGGGGTGTCGTAATGCAAGCTAGAAGGACCATTGCAATAATCGCGGCGTAAATGAATGCAGAGAATGCATACCACACCGGGACCGACGGCGCTACACCTTCGATGCGGTCATTTCCTCGGCCCGGCCCTACAATCTTCTGACAGAGTCTTCGTATGGGATTATGCGGTCTGAAGATGAACAGAGAGACATTGTAGTTCGGATGCTTGCGGAGGTACTCTCTCTGAGCCTTTTTGCGCCTTTCAGTTGCGCTGACGACTTCTTTGGCCATTCTTCGAGGATCGAGGTCTTCATATGCCCGGCCAAAATCAAGAGGAGCATAGAAAGGGTTGGGCTCATGGGTGCTGATGTTACGCAGAAAGCGCTGCCAAACGGTAGAGAAGGTTCCCGACCCGACGATGGTTGGTGTGGGCCTGATGCCAGGCTGAGGCTCATCGCCGTTGGGGCTGCTAGTGTCGTCGCTCTCGTCAAGGAAGTCCCGAACCACGGCGTCTTTGAGCAACATTTCGGCCGCTGCGGTACCATAATCCAGTGGATCTTTGCGGCTAGCCTGACCGAGTTTGAAAATGGATGACAGCGAAAGATTCCTGCCTAGAGTGAGCTCGTACTCGGATGTGATAGTGAATCAAGCCTACCCGTAGGATGAGGTGCTCCCCTGTTCTTTCTTCTGAAGAAATGCTTTGACCTGTTGCAGGCGCTTTTCATCTTCAGAAACATCGAAATTCTCTTGGATGACAGCAATGAACATGTTCAAGACGATGACTTAGACGATAATCAGCTTGGTACAACGGTAACACCACGCCATGGACTTACAATTGGCGAATATGAACCAAAGGATACAGAAAGAGGCTCCAATCCAAGAGCTATGGAAAGGCGCTTGGTAGCTCGTGACGTTGTAAAGGATCGTTGTCCAATTCTCGCTGGAAAGTATTTGGTACATTCCAAGGAACGAGTTGTAGATGGTGAAGAAGGACACCTGCAGAGTCTCGCCTTCGGACTCGGCCGGCAATTCGCCGCGAAAGAGCTCGGACGCAAAAATGGATGCGAGAAATGTGAGTAGGAACACGAACAGGATGAGATTAAGCAGACCGCCAACGTTTCCTAAAACGATCATCTGCGAAAATGTGAGCGAACGGCATCAAGACAGACATTGGACTTACAATGAGATCCCGTGTCATTGGAACAGCCAGAACGACCCGATATATTCGGAGGATTTGAAAAACTGTCAGCCAAGCGTATGCCCGACCGTCGTGGGAATTCTTTATCGCGGGAATCTGTATAACAGTCGTGACGATAGCAATGATCAGGTCGGTGCCGTTTCGCTTGCTCTGGAAGAAGTGCCTCCAATCGATAGCGAACCGGATGAAGATTTCAATAAGCAAAAGGAACGTCACGCCCGTCTCCGACAAGTCGATGAATCTCCTTCGTGATTCGCTCATCGTGGCACTCCTCATCATCTGACAGACCAGACCGTAGGAGATGATGAATATCCACACCCATGATGTCTTGTCATAGAGCCGCTTCAAGGCGCTCACGCGTTGCTTGGGCAGATTGTCGCTCTCCTCCTCTTCGATTTGTTCGCCAGTGAAAGCGCTTGCCTTGCTCTCTTCGCGAATAATCTGGAAGGACGAAGTAATGACGGCGATCAGTAAGGAAATGAGCCACAAACTCAAAATTAGGATTCCTGCGGCAAAGAAGAGGGCGCCAATTAGGTAGTCGCTATCGGCGATCGTGTATAGCAGATCAGAATAGGTGTTCGAAGACATAATGACGAATACCAGTTCCAAGGAGTTCAGGATATTATCGAAGCTCTGGGTGCCGTTGTACGGATTGTCGAGCTCCACGCAAACGGAACCCTGTGGACATAGGAAGCCCTTGTCAGTCCCAGTAGGCATGCCGGGCGCGGCCCGGTATGCTTCAGCCTGGCCGTCCTTGTTCAGTTGACCCCCGCAGAACTGGTTACTATTCGTGAAGTTTTGCTGCCCTGCAGGGTCGATCCACACACAGTGTCGTCTAAAACTGGATTTGAAGCTCTGCACACCGACGATGGCGAAAAGAAGCCAGAAGAAGCTAATCAAGAAGGCAACGTTGACCAATAACGGTGCTGCTTTCTTCAGACTTCGCAGAATGACCTGAGGTCCCCGTCAGCAGAGCGGAGGGAAGGAGACAGATCTAGTCTTACAGATGTACCGCTGGTAAGGTTCAAAAGACGGATGATGCGCAGGCAACTCAGCATCTTGAAGATAAAGATATGTCTCCTGTTCTCAATGCCGATGACACCAATGGCAAATGAAATCCAAAACGAGACTACAGCCAGAAAATCGGTCCTGTTAAAAGAGTGGCGCAAATACGCCCTGTGAGCGAGGCGAGCTCGTTGCTGGTCTCGGGAATCTCCCGGGCCAATGGCAGGATTGATCTGCGCCGTAGTGAATGTTCGAAGGACAGATGGGAGGTGTTGAGGGTCCACGCCGGTGTCGGCGCGTTTTTGCGATGGTTGCCGCTGGGGACCGAAAAGCTTGCGAGCATTGCTCAGGACAGCCTGCCTTACACCGACTTGCCTGTTGATGGTGCTATATTCAACAGGGTTGATGATGAACCCAGACACAATCACCCGGATAATGGTTTCGATGGTGTAAATGACGAAGAGACCAAGCAGGGCGTAATCGAGAGCCGATCCCCATCCAGCAGACCTTTTGTGCTTGGGATCCCAGACACTGTTGCTCGCATCGACTGCCAAAAGGATTGTTTGTACAACGATTAGGCACAAGAGAAAGGGTTCGATAACGGGGTGCACGAGGAGGTCGCAGAGCTTCATCCTCAGCTTGCTGTCCGGGGGAAATATTCCCAGAGTCTTCCCACGTAGAGGGTTTGGTGGAGGCTGCCAAGGCACGCTGGGCCTCCTTGGGTGGATTGGAGAAGGCGGTTTCTCGACGGGGGAAGCGGGCCCATCGTGGAGATACTCGGGCAATGCCGCCGGAAACGAGGGTGGCTCTTCGAGTCGGGCGTGGCGCAAGGAAGACTTTCGGCGCATAGTTCGCTCGGCGACCTCTGGCTCGTTACTGATGTTGACGACGCGCTGGGACATGTTCCGCATGATGGTGCCTGCCCGATGCAGAGGCGACCCTGCGGCGCCGGGTGAGAGCGATCGCTTTCGTCCCGTCGAGGTCCGGAGACCAGCCGTCGCCGCTTCCACATGTCCAATGTCGTCGCCTAACCGGGCTCCAGATGCGGCCCCCTCTGGCGTCAAGAACCGCACGCTTTGGAAACTCGATCGATCCTGCGGTTGAGTTGGAGATAGCGGTGCCGTGCCGCTTATCGGTTGCAGATGGCGCTCGTCTGTCAATCGGGCCGTGTCGTCGTACGCGGTGGGAGAGAAGTAGCCGTTATCGTCAGATGTGGTCCGGGCCAGATAGGGATCGCTTCCATAGTGGTGATAAGACTGCTCCGAGGACATCGGCGTGGGAATGGGCGGCGAAGTCTCGCCTTGGAAGCTCATGCCAGAGAAGCCAATCGCCGCCTGGAATGCGCCAGCATCGACGGGCGAATATTCCGCATCGTCTGGCACTGCGGCGCCGCCGTGTCCATGTGCAGCTGAAGTATCGAGCTGGGGACGGCGCGCTGACCGCGTGGGGCTCGGGGACGTCTCTGCGATGGGCGCATACTGCGAGTTCCAGTGCCCGCCTGTTGCCAGTGACCCAGAGTGTCTGAGCAGATTTCGTCCCCGATCGCTCAGCGTCCTCCGGTGCTGCTGCGCCCCTCCTTGGGTGTATTCATCGTGCTCGTCGGGCGGGCGATTGAGGTCTCGCAGCGGTATTGACTGGTGCGTATGGCTCCTGTGGTGGCTCTGATCCGGGGAGGACATTGGAGCGTCTGGTCCTCGAGGTTGGTGCGCGAATCTACATCTGGTCGCGACTCTCCAGCTCAATGAGCGCTAGCGTGTAACTATCCAGGTCGGAGGCGATTCAAACGAGCGTAGGGGCGATGGAGCGAGGGCGATGGGACGGGGGGATGCAGACGGCTCTGCGCGAGGAAAGTGCAGCGTGTGCGAGCGAGGTTGTCGTAGGGAAGTTCTGTTGCAGGGGCGGGACGCTGGAACTGATGCCCGTGAATGCGCGTCCCAAGGATGGGAGACGTTGGCCGCACAGGCAGCCAAGACGGGTTTGAGCGAGTACAGTGTCCAGGTAGGGCTGGATTCGCAGGGTCTGATTGCGTCGCCGTATTTTTAGCTCGCTGTAGTGTGATGGCTCTAACATGTGCCTGGCAGCCAGCAACCCGCAGACACCCTCGAGTGATGCCCTCCACAACAGCACAGCATATGTCCATGGACGGACGCCCGCACTGCAGACAAGAATGATGCACACCCAATGCTCCGCGATCCAGCCGTCACGGCCCGTCAAACGCGCCGCGTTGCGCCTTGGGGCCGTCACTATGGCATGGAGACGGCAGGAAGCATCAGTGGATGCGCCTCTCGAAGAGCCTTAGGCAAGCTAAGCTCACTCCCATTTTATTACTTCCGAAGCACAGTCTGGAGCGCTCGACATCAGATGAAAGGCACCAGGCCTACTATTCTTCCCAGGTGGCGCTAAACGCGCTAAGCCGCTTTGGTGTTGGCGATTTGGCGCAACAATGATTTTGGCCGACCTCACCGTGCCTGACCCGGGCGTCTTTCTCGCACTCCCGCCCGCCGCACCACCACCACCATCGACGCCCGCTCGCCGACTCTTGAGCTTGCACGCGCCTTGCCCCCTCTTGCTGCCTCTCTGTTGGCTCTTGGTTTCGTATCGCCGAATTTGCACGTGGATTGCACGCGTCGCCTCAGCGGAGGCTCCGTCGTCATGGTCGCGAGAAAGCGCGGGAGAGACGAGATGGAGGCCGAGGAGCCCGTCGAGGAGCCGAGCATGCTGCACAAGCTGCGCAACATGTGGCAGTTTGCGAATCTGGCGCAGTACCTTCACCTGTTCATCGGCGCTCTGAAAATTGACCACGACTTCGACATCGAGGTACGCATCCCGCGCAAACGCCCCTCCGGTCCAGCACAAACCGCTTTCGATGGAGCAAGAGCTGACATATGGCCAGGATTTGGAGACAGAGTGCCTCAAGCCCCAGCCGTCTGAGAAGCTGGCCGAGATAGGCCTTGCTCTCCTCAAGCATGTCTCATCGCATAAAGGCCTGACGTACGCTCTCCATCTCGGACAGAACCAGACAAGCACTAACACTATCGCAGGCCGGACATTTTTGACGAGTACGCTCGCCGACAGTTCGTCGCTAAAGCCCCCTCGCGGAATCCGTTCGGCACCGAAGAGACGCCCAACAAGTTTGACGACTTCGATGTCTTCACAAAGATCCGAGTCCTACAACAACTCTCTGTGTGGACGCTAAACAATCCCAACACTATACGAGAGCGACTCAACCCTACCGAGGCTGAACAGGTGCTTTGGGTAAGCCCGGTCACCATGCTCTACACGAGACTTGACTGACTTTCGCCGCCAGCGCATTGAAGACTACGGATGGGACGCACAGGACCGTACGCTTATTCTGCTAGATGACCTTCGCTTGTATCGCCGAACGGACCCAGCGCCGCCCACACCGCCCCCTAAGGCGAAATCGAAATCAAAGGCCAAAAAGTCCCGGTCCACACGGAACAGCAAGCGATGGAAGCAGGCTACTCCAGAGCCGGACGAGCCCGCAGAGGATGATGAGGTGGCGGAGGTCCAGGAAACAAAAGAGGAGGATGATGGGCTTGGCGGTATGAAGTGGGAGTGCATGTGCGTCACCTTGGAGGATTATCAGGACTATATGAGCAGCATCCGGAAGAGCAGGGATGCCAACGAGAAGGCGCTGTATAAACGTATCGAGGAGGAGATACTTCCAGAACTCGCCAAGGTCGCGGAGGAGCAAGCGAAGAAAGAAGCCCGCAGAATGAAAGAGCTGGAAGTGCTACAGAAGCTTGCAACTGCAAAGCGCTCCTCGCGAATTTCGGCAAGGATGGAGAAACAAAAGGAGGTGGAAGAAGCCGAAGAAGCTGAGCGCAAGAGGCAGGCTGAGCTGGCTAAGGCCAGAGCAGAACAAGACCGGCAGCGCAAGCTAGAAGAGGTGAGTATCCCTAGCTTGTTCTCTCGACTCCATATTGATCCAGTACAGGCCCACGAATCACGCCGCATGACCCGTGAGCAGCGCCTCCGCGAGCGCGAAACCGCAAAGATTCTGAAAGAGGAAGAGGTGCGCAAAATGGAGGAGGACCAGGAGAAGATTGAAGCCAAGCAGGCTAGACTCTCAGAGCGGCATCTTAAGACCCAGATGAAGAAACGGCAGGAGGAGTTGCGGAGGCTAAACGAAGAAGATTATTGGGTCTTTGACTGTGAAAAGTGCGGTCTCCACGGAGAATGTCTCGTTCTGGTAAGTATTCATGGTTCTCCATCTGACTCTACTGACCCAAACAGAAGGATGGGACTGCCCAAGTCGCCTGCGACAAGTGCGGTGTTTGGCAACACAGCAGATGCCACGGCCTTCCGGATAACGTGCCTGAGGACTTCCCTTTCATCTGCTCGTCTTGCAAACGCAAAGCAGACGTGGCGAACCAGCCGAAGCTTCCACCTCTCAAACTAAGGCTCACTTCGAGCTCTCCCAGCACCAATAATGGAGCGCAAGTAAACGGGAGGACTCTTGCAGGGCCTGCGCGCCAGCTGGAAGCAGTGAGGATCCCCGTCCAGAAGCCATATGTCGCGCAGTCTCCGCCCAGGCCAGCGCAGCCCCCTCCTTTTATGACTGGTCCAAGCCTCTCGCCGCGGGGGCAGGCTCTGGGACCGCCAGGAATTCAGCGGTCCGAAGCAGCGTACGGCTCACCATTCACACATGCTACTAGCAGCTCGCCGCCTACAGTTCCTCGGCCTTACGCCTCCAATGCACACAACGGAGTCTCCATGGCTAATGGCTTCCCGACTTCGTCATCACCTCCCCAGTACCAGGGCCCTAGAGCACCAATCAGTCCGTTCAATAACTATAATCTGTCTTTCCCAAGACAGAACGGCAGTCCCTACAACGCTCCAAATCCTTTCCAAGCCCCGCAGCATCCGCCGTATGGAAGCAGTTTCAGCCGACCGACTTCTTCTGCAGGCCCTGCCGGTCCATACCAATCTCCCATCAAGCACTCCCCGGCGCCGTCGCCTCGCCCTACAAATGGCGTTCCGAACGCTTACAATTTCAACAGCCCGCATTCATCCTTCCCTCCGAACGTAGTGCCAGGCCCGGTTTTTTCACCTACGAAGAATAGCTCCCCGCCTCCGCCCGCTCAGCAAATGTCCTCCCCCGCACCTGCGCCTGTGAAATTTGCTCCATCGCCGAGACAAATGCCCGCCCAAGTTCTTCCGGACCCCATCCCTGCACCGTCGAAGCACGATGCCGCGAGACCCATTTCCAGCCACAGCATGGCAGATACCCCTGTCCTGCCTCCGATCAAGCCATTACCACCGAGCGCTAATCCGCAAAACCTGAGTCCGCCGACCAAGAAGCCGTCGCCCACGCCGGAGAAGCCATCTGTTGCGTCCGCTGTCGGGAACGGTATTGGAAGCTCTCAGCAGTAAGATTGCTCGGTACTTTCAAATAGCTGAGGGGTCGAGTTGTACCCCACTCAGCGCTACGGCAAGTTGTGGAGGGTACTGCAATTGATGGACTTTTCGGCACTGGGACGGGTTTCGAATGGCTTTCTCTGATATTTTCATATTGAAGGCGTTTTGGGGCCACACATCCCATGGGTTTTTGCATGGTTGGGATGATGGATGGTCTGCTCATCGGATCTTTGGCATAGCATGGGGCGTCATTAGAGGCGGTGACTTGATGCATGCATGTCGCATTTTGTGAGTAGGAAACACTCTTACTGGAATATCTCTCGCTGGAACTGATATATCTTTACCTCATCTCGCGGTTGATGGGCAATATCATCAAAAACTTAATTACCCCATTATGGTCTTGGTACTGATGATGATGTCATCCGACCTCGCTTCAGTCCCAACTTTGACTTCTTGAAGGTCCCGAGACATTGCCTCATTCTTCATCTAGCTGAGTAGTCTTCTGATGCCCCTTGTGGGAACCGCTCTTGAGGGAGTCTGAACACCTTCAGACCATATTCCAAGGTTGGCCGCTCCGTACCCGCCAAATCGGGACTCGTGTCCTGCAGGCACTTGTATACAATTGACTAATGATTAGAGGGTGGTCAGCTTGGATTCCAGGACGTCGTTCAGCGCGAGCTGGCGTGATAGCGCGCGATGATGTCAACGTGAAGCTGACAGGCGCGTCTCTGGTTTGGACGTAGTGAGGGGTAGGTTTAGCATGTCATATAGCAATTACGTGCAGCTTCTCATGTCTCCTACTTCCTTTCGTATTCGTGTATCCTTCATCGCTGATACCCGTGGACTCAATCTTGTCTTCCGTTTCCGCACCTTCTACTTTTAATTTGTTACCTACAATGTCTTCACCCGAGCCCTACACGATATCCGTTCCCGACGCCGCAATCGAGAAATTGAAACGTAAACTCGCCGACGCTGACTACCCCGACGAACTCGAGACAGATGATCAATGGCGCTATGGGGCTCCATTATCGGATGTGAGGAGGTTAGCGCAGTATTGGGAGCAAGGATTTGATTGGCGGAAGGCGGAGACGGAAATGAATAAGTTGCCGAATTTCAGGAAGAAAGTAAAGGTCGAGGGTTTTGGGGAGATTGATGTGCATTTTGTGCATCAGAGGAGTGAGGTTGAAGGCGCGGTGCCGTTGTTGTTTTGCCATGGGTGTAAGTACCTCAATTGACGCGGATAATGGATGGCAAGCTCACTAGATCGCAGGGCCCGGATCGTTCCTCGAGGTCACCAAGATCCTGCCGCTGCTGAAAGGAGGAGATGGCAAACCGGCCTTCCACGTAGTAGCGCCCTCCCTCCCGAACTTTGGATTCAGCCAGAGCATTCTCAAACCTGGCTTCGCTCTGCCCCAATACGCGGAAACATGCCACCGCCTGATGCTCGACTTGGGCTACGATACGTATGTTACTCAAGGCGGAGACTGGGGTTTCTACACCACAAGAATAATGGGCGTCCTCTACCCCCAACACGTCCTCGCATCGCACATCAACTTGGTGCGCGCAAATCCGCCCTCCTTCTCCTCTCAGCCCGCACTAGCCCTCCAGCACGCGCTGACGCCTTACTCCGAATCCGAAAAGATAGGACTAGAACGCAGCAATTGGTTCACCACTGAAGGCCAAGCCTACCGCCAACTGCACGCCACAAAGCCGCAAACGCTCTCGTACGCCTTCGCCTCCTCTCCCGTCGCCCTCCTCGCATGGATCTACGAGAAGCTGCATGATTGGACGGACGCGTATCCCTGGACGGACGACGAGACCCTCACGTGGGTCAGTATATACTGGTTTAGCACTGCGGGGCCGAATGCACATATTAGGATATACTACGAGGCGAGCCATAATCCGACGAAGGAGGTGCCTAGCAGAGAGAGGGCAAGTGAGTGGGTGGGTAGTGTGAAGTTGGGGCTTGCACATTTCCCGAATGAGATTACTGTGGTGCCACGGATTTGGGGGCGCACTTTGGGTAGGTATTCCCTCCCTCTGACGAGATGGTGGCTTCTATGCGTATTGCTAACATGAAATGCAGGGTCCGTCGTTCATGAGAGCGTGAGCGAGAAAGGCGGGCATTTTGCAGCGTGGGAACGTCCGGATGTCATAGCAGGAGACTTGCAGAAGATGTTCGGGAAGGGTGGTGCATGCTTTGGCATTGTGCCTGGAAAGGACGGGTATGACTAAATTGAAATGTGAGAAGTAGAATCTGATGGCTTCGGAATTTCTTGAAGAAGATAAGATTCCTCCTTGAGGAACTACATGGGATCAGAACGTACATATATGTTTGAGAGTATCCTAGAAGATGATATCGTTGCCCTATTGGTTGTATCAAGCAGCGCTCACATTCGTCTTCCCCTGGGCACGCGGATGCCACACGTAGTCCAGCAATTCCGCCACAAACTGCTGGTTAGCATTGCTATGAGGAATCAAAGTTCGGAAATGATGAAGGACTTTGTAATAATCCGCCCGGCCAATAGGAGCGTGCGTATCCCATCAAATCCCCAATGCGAGCCGGGAGCTGTTCTTTTTCGATGTTACATAGTCTGAACTAAGTTTGCGTTCGCGTTTCTCCTTCGCTCAAGAGCCCCGTCTGCAGCAGGCCAGAAGGGATATCAAGATGATGAAGACGCTGATGATGAGGCGGCGTGTCATTGGAACGCGGTGTGTCACGCCATCGGTTGGACTGGCCCACGCTGAGCGGGTACAACTCTGGTCTCTGGAGGGAGCTTAGTAGAGGTTTTCTTTTGCGAAGTCCTCAGCATCAAGGAAAGAATACACTCACGCATCGTTTCAGGTATGTGATATCCGGGCGGGCTTGCAACGTCGGGATGCATTCCAATATTTCATCTAGAAGGCCGCTATGACCAATCGGCTCTGAGCTTCACATAATCCCCCAGCCGACGAAAATAAGTCACCTTCTCTACGACGGGACATATAAACTACTGTCTTCTCTTTAACTTCCACTAAACTTTCCATTTAGCACGTATTCACATCAGCATGACACCTTCACCGCCACTTCGGTTAGGATGGATTGGCCTCGGGTCCATGGGACTCGCAATGGCTATCAATATCCAGAAGCATTTGAAAGAGAAGAACTTCACTCCTTTGCGGTACTGGAATCGCACCTTGTCCCGAGGAGCTTCGTTGGAAGAATTAAAAGGCGTACCTTGCTGGTCGATTAGAGAAGTGGTGCAGGGCTGCGATGTGATCTTCATCTCGGTGAGAGCATTCCGCTTTTCATACCCTGTGCAAAACACGCTCAAGGCCTTCTGGCTACATTTGACGCTGTTGAAAAAGACGCAGCAGCAATCGAGAACTCGCCTCTCGAGACAGCATATTGACCTTCAGACAGGTCAGCGACGACGAAGCCCTCACCGGCGTAATCCAAGAGACCCTAGCGAGTGGGGCTCTCAGCGACAAGATCATCGTAGATACGACGACTGTGCATCCTTCTACGACACGCTCCATCACCACCCAGCTCACCGCCGCGAACGCTTCCTATATCGCAGCCCCCGTCTTCGGCGCCACGCCGCTCGCGCAAGCAGGCCACCTCCTCATGGCGGTAGCTGGCCCAGCTTCAGCTATTGGCATTGTATCACCGTACCTGAAGAGCGTCGTCGCACGAAACGTCATCCAAGTTGGCGATGATCCCTCCAAAGCCCTCCTCCTGAAAACGTCTTCGAACTTCATTACAGCCGGCCTAATGTACCTCCTCTCTGAAGCGCACACCTTAGCTGCCAAAGCGGATCTCCCCGCACCAATCCTCGAATCTCTCATCGAGCAGAACTTTGGTGCATACGCTCATGGTGTCTCCCGCCGGATGACGTCTGGTGCGTATTATCCCGCGAAGAGGCAGCCGCCGAGCTCAGGCCTAGAGCTGGGGATGAAGGATGTAGGCCATGGACTGAGCGTCGCGAAGGATGTGGGTATGGAATTAAAACTGGGGGAACTAAGCATGGAGGCGATGCGGGAGGCGAAAGCGTTTGGGGATGCAAAAGGGAGGAAGATGGATAGTAGCAGCGTCTTCGGCATCGTCAGGCAAAGAGCGGGACTGGATTTTGAAACAGATGTGGTCAAAGTACGGGATGGAGCGGGAAAGTAAGGCGGGGAGGGGAGGAGGAGGGATTGTTGAACGAGTAAAATGGACGGTAGCTCTTGAATCGAGAAACAGCCGAAGGTTCCTTGTGTGTCGAGACGCGTATTAGGGAGCTGGAGGGGCGCCAAACCGCCGTCAACGTTTCCTCTCTTCCGACTTTGCCGTCCTCTGTACTCTGGTCCGACATGCCTGATGTAGCGATCTGCAGTCTTTTTCAAAGGACACGAGCCAGTAGCGCTTCCCTACCCATCCACCGATTCCATCCATGGCTGTCCCGTGTGTAACCTCTCTTCAAAGAAAAGGCTCTCCCTTCTTCGTAGTCGCGCGTCAGAGAGGAATGGAAGTCCAGGCCTGACGAGCCGAACTACTCGGTTTCGTTTAATCCACCCAGCGCCAATCAACGCCCGCTCTATTTTCAGCAGCGTTAAATTTCCCAAAAAGTAAAAGCCACCGTCTGGATTGGTCGACGTCTGTTATGCAAGACAGTCGAACCGAGGATCCACGGTGCAATTGCTGCCCCTGGCCTAAGCTGCCAAGAGGTAACCAGTATCCGTCTTATCCGCGGATCCTGTGGATCTGTCTTCACGATAAGGAAGATCTCTTGCTCAAGCTTCTCTCAAAAGGCTGTTTGGGCGTTGAGGATTGTGAGAAACGTAGGATTTTTATGCGGGACCGCGCAGTCTGTTCCAAACAAGCGCATCACGAGCGCAATTCGTTTCGCGTCGCATACATGAGGGAACCATGAACCCGCGTACGCTTGGCGCCCTAAAACGGCTAACGCGCAACCCAGGAACAGGAGCCGAGAATGAGCTGGACTCAGCGTTCGAGCCCCTCGCTGCACCATTTGCTCATGGGGGACTTCGTATAAGATTAGGTGCGCGCCAGGGAAGGGCGCCTCACCTTCTCCTCGTCGCTCTTTGTCGAGAAGCGGTCGTGTCTGTCGCTCGTTACCTTTTTAATACTTAATTTCTTGTCACTTCTCGGAAAGATGAGGCTCCTGTGGCTTGTTTCGGTGCCCCTCGTTAGCGCGCGTGTGGTTAGGATCCAGCAACAGAGCCTGACCGAGGAGGTGGAAAATGCTGGGAGGGCGATCGGGATCCATTTTACGAATTCGCACGCGACCGCTGCTGTTCGGTATGAGAATGGCACCGTGGAGGATTTGGCTCGAGTAAGAAGTCTCCACAGTGATTGCTGTGCGATATCAGCTGATGACTGTATAGGTCGCGGGAGATGCAAATTATATTGCACTAATGACGCGTTGGTCCAAGAAATGGTGAGCGCATCTCTCCATGTGCTATTTGCTGCTAATACCCCGGATAGTGCACCGTCAGAGAGCCTTCGATGCCGCATGCAGAGGGAAGCACGCCAAAGACATGCGGACCTCAGACAGCCACTTGGCGTTGATGCGACCATTCTGTCTTCAATGCTGCGACAAGTAAAGACTGTTATCGAAGACAAGCTTGAATCCGCGATCACGAACGTCCTGCCCGTCTTCCCGCCGCTTGCTGCTCTCAACGAAGAGCATATCGAGGAGGCATTCGAGCATGCCGGTCTCACGTGGCTGCATGCCCGGCAACAGGAGGAGCAGATACTATACGAGACGAACGCTGCGTACGCCGGATTGGGATACAGCCTCTGCGAGTTCGGAGCAGACGGCTCGCAGTGTGCGAGGGAGGAAAACGAGTTGAAATCCCAGCACGTTCTCTTCCTCAACTTCGATAATACCACCTTCAGCGCAACGCTCCAGAATATGAAGAACGCGTACCAACAACAAATATCAGCGACCTTTCTCGATACGACTCTCGGATGGTGGAACCTCCCCGTCTACGACGAGCCGAGACTTGCCTTCTGGGCGAGGATCGAAGCGATTGTGTTTGCTGTTGGGAATGCGATACAACAGCCACCCAATAAGATCATTCTGATGGGCGAGCATGGCGGAGACCAGGAGTTCGTGGAGGTTGTGGAAGCGGCACTGTGGGAGCTCTTCGAGTATGACGCGTCCTTGCTCATGGAGGCAAATGCAGACGTGAACAGTGCAACGTTGGCTGCAAGAGGGGCAGCTGAATTGGCCTTCCGGGCTGGGGGCTGGAATGAAGGGGCGACTCACGCTTCTCTAGATGCTGAGAGCATTGAGCTGTAATGATGCGTAATGCTTGGAGGGCGGCTTTCCTACCTATTGAGATACCCACGACATATCATATTCCTAATGAAGATCCCGTGCATCGGGTGACGAAACTCCCACACGTTCCTAAAACCATGGGATTGAAGATGTTGTTGCATAGTAGGGCGCTGTATACGAAATGTCCCAGATACGTCTCTGTATGAATTAGCTCATTCATAATTGACTAAGCCGCAGAGCGCCATATACCTTTCCCGGACTAGAAATCGTGCGAAAACTTGACGTTTTCCTTGACAAACCGATAGTCCCACTCTCAAATATAGCGGAACATATTGTTCTTCACACTTCTCTTCATCGATACCGGTTGACCATCTTCATACTCAACACCGGACTCTCCCCCATCACCAGCCAGTCCCTGCATTTTCAGCTGAAGCTCTCTATCAAGCTCGGCTTGCGTTTTCTTCGTTGGTTTCTGAATTTCCGAAGGCTTGACGGTGGCAATCTGGCGCCCTTAGTTAACTAATTTGTAAACCCATTCGAATGTACCAACCAATGTTTCATCTTGCTGTTTCTTGGACGTTGAATCTCCTGTCGAGGAATAGCATCTTGAGAGGGCGGATCGAGGCGTGAAGGTAGTGTTGTGTACGTGTCTCGTAGTGGATATTGTTATTCGTCTTGCAGCCTGCAATGATGGCATGTTTGGAGACCTTTCCGCTGTCAGAGGAGAGACATGGCGAGACGCAGTAGTTGTGAACATCCGTTTCCTACGTCACGGTGACTTCGGGTTGTTGCAGCCTTGCCGCTACATAAGCAGTCTTTGCCAAGGCGCTAGTCGACATTTCTCTAGTTTCACCTCCGCGAGGCTCTTCATCAAACGCGCGACACTGCACGACGCCCGCTGCAACTCGCAGTGCCGTACAACCCTCCGACACTTCTCGAATAACCGGTCGCGCTCGAACGTTTTCACGATGGTTGTGACCAAAGTCGGCCAATGGAGCAATGTGGAGGACGAAGTGCTGAAGGCCGCTATCTCCAAATATGGCCTCAACCAGTGGGCGCGATGCGCGTCGCTTCTTGCGAAGAAGACCGCCAAGCAGTGCAAGGCGCGATGGAACGAGTGGTTAGATCCGTCCATCAAGAAGACTGAGTGGTCGAGGGAGGATGATGAGAAGCTTTTGACTATGGCGAAACTACTTCCTACACAGTGGCGCACCATAGCACCCATCGTCGGCAGGACAGCAACCCAGTGTCTTGAACGGTATCAGAAACTGCTGGATGAGCAAGAAGCCAGGGAGAGTGGAGACTTGGGCCTGGCGGGCCCCGAGGGTGGAGAGACGGCTGCCCCTACCGCTGAGGATGTGCGACGGCTACGCCCTGGCGAGGTTGACGCTTACGCCGAAAGTCGACCTGCCCGACCCGATGCGATTGATATGGATGAGGAGGACAAGGAGATGCTGTCGGAAGCACGTGCGCGATTAGCAAACGTGAGCGGAAAGAAGGCCAAACGGAAGGCCCGTGAGAGGCAGTTGGAGGAGTCAAGGAGGCTCGCGCTGCTTCAGAAACGTCGAGAGCTGAAGGCTGCAGGCATCAATATCAAAATCACGCCGAAGAAGGGTAACCACATCGACTACAACGCTGACGTACCTCTCGAAAAGGAGGTCCCTGCAGGCTTCTACGACACCACCGAGGAACTTGAGCGAAACGAGCGTCAGCGCGAAGCCTTCGACCCGCGAAAACAGCAACTTGCGAACAAGCGCAAAGCAGAACAGCAGGACGAGCAAGGGGACAACAAACGTAAGAAGAATGATAATAAGCAAGGTCTTGCGGCGTCACATGCGAAGGCTGCCCAGGCGCAGAGGATCCGGGAGGCTGAGCAAAGCAGCAAGCGACGTGCTCTTGCTCTTCCGGCACCTCAGGTTGGAGATGCTGAGCTGGAAGATATTATCAAGATGGGCATGACTGGAGAGCGAGCAATCACTGGCATCAGCGGCAGTGACAATATCGCCACTCAAGGCTTGGTGGGCAACTACTCTGGCCTTGTTGGGAACACTCCGATTCGCACACCGATGGCTCCCAAAGAGGAGGATGTCATTGCGAATGAAGTCCGAAATGCGCGATTGCGGACTGAGACACAGTCTGCTCTCCTGGGAGGAGACAATCCAGACCTCGTCGAAGATACCGCGTCCCCCGCCTTGCCTAGCTCTGGCCCTCGACACCAGATCATCACTCCCAACCCGTTGGCGACCCCTTTCCGGCAAACCAACGGCGGAGTTGGCGCGACCCCCATACGTCAAGGGCCTGGAGCCACTCCGATGCGGACCCCCAGAGATACCCTTCACTTGAACCAAGAAGGCACCATGCAGCTTGTTGGACAGACGCCACGAGACATTAGACTACGCGAAAATGCGAAGAGGCAAGGCCTGAAGAGCAAGCTTGCAGCGCTTCCTAAGCCTAAGGAGACTAGTTGGGAGTTCGAGCTTCCGGAAGAGCGGACAGACACAATGGAAGTAGAGATGAGCGAAGAGGATGCAGCCGAGCGCGACCGGCGGAAGAAGGAAATGCAGGCGGCTGCCGAGCGTGCAGAGTTCGCTCGGCAGTCCCAGGTCGTCCAGAAATTCCTCCCAAGGCCATCAATGGTCGATATCGACGCCATGCTGAAGAGGGCTCTCGCCATATCTGATCCAATCCAGCGCGAAATTGAAAAGGAAATGGCGCTGCTGGTCGCCAATGATGTGCAAAAATTTGGAGGGGGCCGAGTGTCTGGAACATTGAAGCCCCTCGAGAGGCTCAACGAGGAGGCGCTCAACGCTGCGAAGCTGGAGCTGGCCCTTGAGCTGTCCATGAACACGGAGAAGGATAAGAAGACTTTCCATGAAGAGTTCGGGACGGCATGGACTAATCTGCATGGCTCATCAAAATTGCCAGGCCTCGATGGCTATGAGGAAGACGAGATCGATGAGCACCAGCTTATGATGGAAGCGTTCAACAACATCCAGGACAAGATCATTGAGACGGCGGAGCAGGCAAACAAAATCGAGAAGAAGCTCACGGTGCATCACGCTGGTTACATGAAGCGGTCTGGTCTGCTGCGGCAGAAGATCCACGACGCGTCTAGTGCGCTGGAGAAGGCCAAGATGGACCTGGACTCAACAAGGACGATGCAGTACTCGGAGCAGTCCGCTATCGGTTGGCGGCTGGAGAGTCTGCGGGACGAGGTCTCCTTTGTTAGCCGACGAGAGAGGGAGGCTCAGGAACTCTACCGGACGCGGAAAGATGAGCTGGATAACCTTCAGGAGCCTGTCAATGGCGTCCGCTGAATTGCTGAGTAGGCTTCTTGAAGTGTATGTTCTTGTCTGTAGGGTATTTTTCTAAATTGGGGCTTTGGTTAGGTTATGCATGGTCAGGCGTTTACTATGGCCGGCCTCTATAACGGCAGTCTAATAGACGCCCAAGAAATTCGGCAGCACAGCTGCGGTCTGCAGCTAAAACTGTGTATAACGAAATATAGCCGGATGTTAAGCGCTGCTAGAGCCAGCTGTCGGCGTCATGTGCCCTGTGCCTGACCCCACAATCGCAGGCGCAACGTGGGGTCCACGTTTTCGGTTGTCGGGAGAACTGCTGCAAGTGCGGTTTCCAGCTGAGCAGCCCACCGCTTGAGCGGTTCTCTTTGATGCCTGAGGCATACGTGACGTATTCTTCCGCGCCCGCGAGCCGGCGGTAGAAGCAACGAAGGTTCGTCGTTTGGATCTGCCCGTGCCGCGTGCACCCATTCTCCGCCCCAGTCTGTCATTTTTAGCGGCTCCGCCCTAGTGGGCGGCGGAGGAGCCCAAGCATGGGACGGCAGCGCAGTCCGACCATGTGGGCAGTTTGACGATTCCTCGCCGCATCCTCTACCCCCAAAGTACCCGTAGACCCTGTTCCCCCTCTTCTGTCCCGGAACGACGCTCGACCCTACCCTCGCACCGCATGTCAAGTCGCCGTTAGTTGAGGGGCATGGGGCGCAACGCGCGGAAGCGTATCTCGTACGGTGGGTAACTTGTGCCTCGCCGGCCCTTGCTTGCGATGATGCACCCGCCCTAGTAATGTCGATTGTAGACGGAGCTGACTTTGCGCTGTGCAGTGCTGCCACTTGCGGAATCAGCAGAAGGACACCGGCTGGGCGTGAATGGCTTGGCCGTCGACCCAGTGAACTCGACCCTGTGGGTTCCCGCGACGCCTCAGCTGCCTTCTCCGCTAACGCTACCACAGCTATTCGGGTGGGCGTGACGGCGTGATATGCGCCTGGGACCTGCACCTCGATCTGAGACATAGGGACCGCGACGAAAGAGACCCTTTTGCCGACTCGAGCGCACCGGGCTACAAACCGCCGCCGACCCAGTTTCGTCAGCAGGTGCAAGCGCATACGCATTGGATCAATGACATAGTCCTTGCGCAGAACAGCCAGGCACTCGTCTCCGCGTCCTCAGATATCACCGTCAAGCTATGGCGACCCGGCGCCCAAGATGTGCTGCCTCCACAGACCATCGGCCTCCATACCGACTACGTAAAGCGCGTGGCCTCGCCAGGTCTGCACGAAAACTGGGTGGCTTCAGGCGGGTTGGACCATAAGATCAGTCTGTGGGATCTCAACGGAGGCGGACAGAAGCTGCAGATATCAGTGGGCGACGATGAGAATACCGCGAAAGGCTCGGTATATGCGCTTGCGGCAACCCCCTCTATTGTCGCAAGCGGTGGGCCAGAGAGCATCGTGCGGATATGGGACTCAAGAACGGGAAAACGAATCACCAAGTTTGTTGGGCACACAGACAACGTGCGGGACGTTCTCATCACGCAGGACGGAGACACCATCCTGACTGCTTCGTCAGACCAAACTGTCAAGGTCTGGTCACTGACAGCGGGAAGATGCATGTACACGCTAACCATGCACAACGACAGTGTATGGTCGCTGTTTTCGGACCACCCGCAGCTGTCTGTATTCTACTCTGCTGATCGATCAGGAATAGTAGCGAAGAGCGATGTGCGCAATTGTCCTGAGATGGACGAAGGCGTCTCACTAGCGGTATGCCAAGAGCACGACGGAGTGAACAAAGTCATCGCCGCGGCAGACTATGTGTGGACAGCAACTTCGAGCTCGAGTATAAATCGATGGAATGACGTCGAAACCGCAGCCGACATTGCGCTGCCAGAGTCCTACAAGTGGCATCGATCTAGCGTTGCTACGACGCGGTCGCGGTATCCCTCACCTCCGTCAGACAGGACGCCTCCAGCGAACGGGGCAACACCGAAGATCCCATACAAGGCACTTTTGCGGATGTCCAATACCGCACCTTTCCCACAGTTCTTCTCTCCGAAGGACGCTGAAGCCTCCACTTTGTACTCTGTAGCGACCGCACGGAAACCCTCCGAGGTATTGTCTGCAGCAGATCCGGGTGTAGTGGTCCCATGCCGGGACCTCCCCGATTTCACTATAGAGGGGCAGAATGGTCTCATCAAGCACCATCTTCTTAATGACAGGAGGAGAGTGCTCACTCTCGATACCGCGGGAGAAGTGATGCTGTGGGATCTATTATCGGTACGCATTCTATCGGCTTTTCTTTGTAGGCTAACTAACAGCCTTCTAGTGCGTCCCAGTGAAGTCATTCGGCAAGCGCCACCTTGAGGATGTCGAACCCGAAGTCAACACCCGAGAAACCGTTGCACATTGGTGTGCCGTCAATACAAGAACGGGGAGTTTGACCTGCGTGCTCGAAGAGAATTACTGCTTCGATGCGGAGATGTACGCAGACGAACTACAGCTCGAGGAGAAGATCGATTTCCGCGAGGATCAGAGGAGTAAGCTTTCTTCACCTAACATTGCCTATAGTTCGACTCATCACAAGCAGTAAACCTGGGCAAATGGATATTGCGATATCTGTTCTCCAATCTCATTGATGAGGAAATCAAGCGAGACGCCACCTTCAGGGACAATCTTCTGAAGGAAAAGGAAAGGGAGAAGAGTACAGCTAGCCGAGCCAATCCTCCTAGCAGCATTCAGATACCAGAAGCACAACTGAACGGTTGGAACAACGCCGCATCAGGACCCACATCAGGTTCTACTATTCGGGCAACGAACGGGTTCCACTTGCCAGTCACGACTCCCGGTATGGCGATCGGGCTTGCTACTCCGATGCTCCCCCCGACCAGTACCAGCCACGGCTCGCATCACAATCCGCTCTTAACGCCTACCACTGAAGAGAGCGCACCGCTAGAGAAGACACAGACGCAGCGGAGTTCTGCCCAAGATCAGTCCGACTATTTCTCCGCGACGCCCACCACTAATGGTAAACCCTATACTTCTACCGAAAGTTCGACCACCGACTCGACCCAAGAACACCTCCCGCAGTCACCAGCAGAGGAGGCACCCACCACGCAGAAGAAGGGCAAGGCCCTCTTCTCCAAGAAATTCAACATGTCCTTCAATATGAAGAAGTTCGGTACCTCGTCCTCGTTACCCGAGGCTCCCAAGCCGGCGCCAACGGACGAGAAGTCGGAAGATAGCGCCTCCACTTCCAGCAAAACCGACGAGAAGGTCATTGAAGATAACTTCTTCGGTGCCATTCAGAAGATACGGCAGGGCTATGAGGAGCAAGTCAACCTAGGCGCGCAGAAGGTGGACACGCACATAGTGCCCAGTCTACCGAATGAGACACCAGTGTTAAAGCCTCCTGCATCAACGACAATACTCATCCAAGAGGACCGCCCGGACTCAGGCGGCGTAGCCGATCTCTTCGAGGGCAAAGTAGGGTCGCTAGGCCAACAAGCCGAACTCATCGAAAAGGTCGCTCCGGTCTGGCTCGCCGATGTTCTCCTCCGAGTACGTCTCAACTTCCCCTACCCATTCGCAAGCACCCTTACCACTCAGTGGCGACTCTTGGCTAACCCACTACCTCACAGAACCAAATCCCACTCAAAGACATAGTAAAAGTCTCCTTCATCCTCGAGCCCTACCAAAACCGACTTCCCAGCATATCATCCGACGGGTACATTCCCCTCTTTCCCCCGCCAGACAAAGTCGTGCGCGATGCTAATACGCCACAAAGCAACAACCGCCTCAACGCGAACCGCATGCTGCGCGCGAGGAAGATACTGGCGTATGTAGCAGAGAGGATTGAGCCTGCGCCTACTAAGGAAGAGGAGGAGGAGCAGAAGGAGAAAGGTGGGCCGCTGAAGCCGGAGGAGTATTTAGAGCTTTATTGTCAGAATCAGGTACGTTGCTTGATCGATAAATCCCCTTTTCAGAGGTTTGAGGACGTAGGCGACTGACTATACATAGCTCATTTCCCCGACTATGACGCTCGCCTCTATCCGCGCGCATGTCTGGCGCGGCGGCGGCGACGTGCTCCTCTACTACAAAGCCAACGGGCGCAAAGAAATCAAGCAAACGCCCTTCCCTCCTGTGCCTGAAAGCCCCGGTAGCAGCGGGGTATCGGAAGGCAAAGCATCATCTGAAGGAGGAAGGAGCAGCCATTCCTCGAGAGGTATTGTGGAAGGCAAGGCTTGTTGATTTTCCGGATTCCGTGCATGATTTGATGTTGGATGATTTGCATTCGTCTTCTTATTGTAGAGATGTCTGCTTTTTTTGTGTATTGTACATAGTTGAGCTTTGCCTCGCGCATACCCCATGGGTGCTCCATGTCTACATGGCTTGAGCCTGGGTCTGTAGGTATAATACAGCGGCGTCGTCTTCCTGAGATTCGCAATCGCTTGCTGTCCCTGCTATTTACATAGTCTTACACTCGGAACATTCCATTCGTCAAGATCGTGCAGAACTCTTACAGCTCTTCGACTCCTCCCAAAACATTACTAGCCCATTGGTAGGAGCCGAGGAAGATCGCACCTCCTGCACTTATCCACCCCACCCTGGGCCCTATTCCAGCGAAGAATGCTCTCGGTCCCGACTGTCGTAGTATCTCCCTCAACATGGTGAACATGGGCTGTTTCTCCTTGGCCAGCATCATGCGCGTCTTGAGCACATCCAACGGCGTCGTTATCCCCGCCGCTACAGCTCCCGCTATACTTCCCAGCACGCCTCCTTCTAGCCCGCTGACCTCGCTCTTGCCTGTCTTGTGTATACGCCACCTCTTCAGCGCTTCCCACAGCGGGAACTGGATCACCGTAAAGGGGACCTCGCGCATGATGGTTATGCTCCAGCCGCGGTAGAGTTCCCGCCAGACATGTACGTAGCCATGTGTATGCCGCTGATTCAGTATATACGTGAGCGCCGAGAGAGATGAGGGATGCTGGCTAGCCTGCGCCCTCTGCTTGACAACCTCCGTCGGCACCCGAACCGCACACGCAGCTACCTCACCCAAACTCGCTGCCAGCATGTGCACAAGCGCCTCCCTGCCCCTATCCTCCTTATACCCGTTATCTCTATAGGGCTTCCCCTCGGCATTGCGAGCGATTGTCGGCGTGGAAGGCGTTAAGTGCCGTTTTATAGAATCGTAGGTTATGAAGAAGAGGGCTGCGCCGGGAGCGGATCCGATGAGCGCGCTGCCGACGCCCCGATAGATGCCGTTGAAGCCGCCGCTGGAGGTGAAGCCCGAGGAGGATTGGAGCCGTGTTTTTAGCGTGTCGAGGGGGTAGAGGGATAGGTCTACTGTTGTGCCGGCTAGGCCGCCTGCCTGTGAGTGCAATTAGCGACATCAAGGTGTTATGAGCCGGCAGCTGGCGATAGATTGGGGACGGTCGGAAGCCGAGAATTCAGAAACGTGGGGTTATCCATGCATAGAAGGAGACAAGAAGAGAATCCGTGGCACGAGACCGCGGTGTTTGCGGATTGAACGCGAATCGTTATTGGAAAAAGTGACTACGATTAATAACAATTCAAAAGACTTACTATGAGGGACCGCAGGTAGGGTGACTCAACCCATGCGCGGCCGCGTTGCGGCTCGAAGACATTCTGCATGCTTGCGGAAGTGACTCGGAACGATGATGCAGCGAGCTTCAACTTTTGGAGTTGAGTGGTCTGTGCGCAAGCCTTATGACGCTAGTGAACTGCTCGGTGCATGATTGATCTCCGTTACTTGAACAACAACTCCGCAAGATCTGTTTCTCAAAGGCTGCGTGGGTCGGTGATGATCCCCAAATATGTGGACTGACCATGAGCAGTAGTATTGGGATCAGGGTAAGGTGTCTGGCGAGCACGAGGATATGGCAGGAAGCGCAGTACGAAGAGTCGGATTTTAAAGAGCGGGAAGTTGAAGACGAGGTCCAGACTACAAACACAAATAAGGATTCTGTAGGAGAAGCCACACCGGAAGCGTTGCAAAACGGGCCGGATCAAGTTAAGAAGGAGCATCCAGATCTCGAGGAGGGCGAAGTGAGCGACTCGGGATCAAGCTCTAGCTTCAGTTCCGATTTCGACTCCGGATCAGACACCAGGAGCGACGCTACCGATCAGAGTGCAGTCCATCGAGGCGGCCGGCGCAACGTGAGCTGCATACAAAGCGCGCAACTATCGCCAGATGGCACATGCATCTTCACTACGGATTATAACCGCGCGTTCTCCGTCTACCCTATCGATAACGACATCGTCAATGAACCTGGCACTCGCAGTTTGAAGCCATACGCGCAGTTCGTCTCTGCTGATCCGATCTGGGCCTTCGCCATAAACCCAAACTTCGGTGTCAATGATGGAAACACAACCCACGTTCTAGTCAGTCGCCGCAACCAATACATCAGCCTGCACAATGCCCTCTGGGATCTATCCCGTCCTATAGATGCCCAGGCCGATATCCCGCGGACAGGCCCAGTCAACATCTCCACCAAGGTCTCCAGGTACAAACTCATCGACCATCTCACGGAAGACGTAAGAGCGCCCACCAGCCTAGCGTACTCCCACGACGGTAAATACTTCTATGCTGGCGAGCAGAACACGATCGCCGTCTTCGACCTCGAATACACCGATGACCCAATCTCCAAGATCCTCACCATCCCCGCAAAACGCAATAAACTCAAAGGCGGAGGCCGAGGCTTCAAGGGCTACATATCCGCTCTTGCGCTATCTCCAGCATCTCCTACCAATAATGCCGGCATCTTAGCTGCGGGTGCTCGAACACGCCACGTCGGTCTCTACGATGCTATAAGCGGCAGGGAAACCACACACATCACCCTTCCAGGCACCTTCCAGGGCAAGAAGCTTCGCAATGACGCTCTAAGCAGTACCATAGGCGACGGTGTATCCCAGCTGAAATGGAGTCCGGATGGTAATTACCTGTACGTCGCTGAACGCATGTCGGACGCCATTCTGATCTACGACGTCCGAAACGTCTCGCTCACCTTGGGATATTGCGCCGGCCGAAAGGCGCTCACAAAGCAAAGGCTCGGGTTTGATGTCTGGACCGCTGGAGACGCGACGTACGGATACGACGATGTGAGTCCCGAAATTTGGGCTGGTGGAACGGATGGAAAGATCAGGGTTTGGAGGGATCCGTGCTTGAAGGAAGGTGCGATTGAGGCGGATGAGGTCGTAGATGTCAGCGATGCACCTGTTGTGGCGTCGCTTGTGCATCCATACGGCAATCTAGCGGTCGCCGCTAGTGGAAAGTATGAGATTTGCGGTGATGATGAAGCAGCCGAAGGGAAGGGACAGTTGAGAGGAGGTGGCATATACCCGAAGTTCAGGGAGTGGGGATGCTTAGACATCCTGGGTTTGGGAGGCTACGAGCCCACAACAGCGGAAGCCGAGACTCATGGCATGTAGGAAAGGAGAAACTGCTCGATTCATAGGCAAAAATGTATAGATACCACTAGGAGTGGAACGATGCAAAAAGGCCACGCTATCCTAAAATTGTCAGCTCCCGTCCCGCAAAGCGCACTTCAGCAAATCCGCTCGTTCGGCTCTCTCCACGGAACCTCTAAGATCTCAAAGATCTTCCTCTCACTCTTGCCCTCCACCAGTGTGCCCTCCGTCAGCTTCTCCCTATTCTTCCCTCTCATGACATCCTTATACAAACCCCTCTGATTCAACCGCATCCCCTTCTTGCTAGCCAACAGCCTCATGCTCCTATTGAAAATATCATCGCCGGTGAAGTAGAGCAACGCGGCGCCCATTTCTTCCTCGGGCACGAGAAGCAGATCCAGACGCCGCCAGGTCTTGGATGACGGCAGACAAGAAGCGCCGTGCCATTGGGTGCCGTCGTCGGTGCGGTGCGAGGTCGCGAGGCTGACTTTGAGGAACTTGGCTTTGAGGAGTTGTGGCACGAGTTGACCGAACACGACGGTGCGGAGGGTGGAAATTGAGGCGCCGGACTTGGTGATGATGAGGTCGATGTCGCCTGAGTCTTTTGCGCCGCGCCGGTAGGACCCCATGATGATGACTTCGAACACTGGGTCGATCTTCTTCAGCGCGTTCCTGACGAAGTCACCATGGGCTTCGGCTTCAGCGCGGGGGATTCGAGACGCGAAGTTATCGTAGTGTTCTATGCCGATCTTCTGGGACTCTGTGAGTTTTGCGTGGGTAACGAGGTCGTCGAGCGTTTTGTAGCCGGCTTGGATCCATTTATTGGCTTGCACCAATCCAGCGCCGTATACGCCTACGAAGAGTCGGAGGACTTTGTTCTGTGGATCATCACGCGCTTCGTCTAGCCTGCGGAGCCGGTCGGTTATTACAATTTCTTCGATCTTGTCGGCAAGGCGGGAGCCGATGAAGGGGAGGGCGGCCGCTTCTTTTGCGGTGGTGATTTTTGTTGTTTGTTTGCGGAGGGTGGCGGTGGCTTTTCGGTAGGCGAGTGTTCTCCATTGGTCTTGCATTTGGTCGTAGTACTTCAACATTTCTTCTAGGACTTGGATGGTGCGGGCGTTAGGGTTTTGTGACATGGAGTTGCCGCCTGGGTTCATGCACTGGAAGGCGGGTGGGTCTACGCCACCTTTTGTTTTATGCTTAGGCACGGTGGTTGTGGATTTGGAAGTCTTTACGCGCTTGGGACTTAGTTCGGCTTCATCATCGGTGCCGTAGTCTGGGTCCTGTCCTGCGGAGCTGGATGGCCGAGAGTCACCTTCTTCCTCTTCATCCAAAGGAAGGTGTGCAACGGCTTTCGTCTCCTGGATAGCTTTCGACAGAGCGTCATCGTACGCATCCGCAGGTTTAGCTAGAACTGTTGGTGGGGAAGATGCAGGATAGTCGAAACTATCCTTCACAATTTCCTCACCAGCACTGGTTGACTCCCCTCCGTGCTGTGCCGGGGAGCTGGCTTCCGTAGGGTCGGAATCAATTTTCTGTGATGATTGGGCCGCAAATTGGCGCCTGGACGGCTTGACTTGAAGGGAAACTTGGGACTCCGGGGATGATGGAGGATGCGCACCAGGAGTGGGATTGCTCGTAGTGCTCGGGCGCGGGGCGCCTTTGACTAGAAACCGTCCAGCTGTCGGATCTAGCAGGGTCCCAAACTGAATGCATTGAGGGATATATGGGTCGAACCTGACGAGGACTACCTTCCGCTTTAGGACATAAGCTATCAGCATGCATGGCGAGGCAAGACACTTACAGGTAATCCTGCTCTGTTCAAGCGATGCAGGATTTGGGAATACGTATGATTCCCATCATCTACCATAACATGCGTAATGTCATCCCGCCAGCGAGTGACCCATGCTGCTCCCAGTTGGATCACTTTATGTATGCGCTGTCGACGGGCCTGACTTATGTCATCGTTGGGGTAGAAGTACACTGTCTTCCCTCGTAACAACTGCTTGTGCTCTGGGTCAAGCTTGATGTTCTCGGCTGTCTTGACGTTCTTCCCGCTCTTCAACTCTCTGGGCAGTTCGCCCATTCGCTTATAGAACGGGACATCGTCATGCGCCTTGATGTCTGGCATCGATACAGTCTTCTTCAGCTTCTTCCCAGGACGGTCGTCCGGACTCGATGAAGGTCTCTGTCTCGGCTTCATAACCGGGAAACTCTTAGTGATCTCCGGTTCTGGAGCAGTGGCGGACCGGGTCAGTCCATGCCCTTCAGGCCGCGTGGCTGGACGTTGATTTGCCGTGTGTGCTTCAAACTCTGCTAGTCTCTCCTTGGGCGTGGGTCCTAGAAAGCTGCTCCTCTGCCGAACAAGGGGAGGAGGCATCGCCTTTGAATCCGCAAGCGCGCGTTCTGCCTTCAAGAATCCTTCATCGGGGAAATCTGTCTCATCATCTGATATATCCAGTAACTCCTGCTCTTTGAAATACTCCTCCTTCTCCCGCAGTCCTTTGTCTGACATAGCGACCAAGAAAAGTAGACGATAGGGACCCGCTGAACGGGTGGTTAAGGGACTCGGGGAGCAATTAGTAGTGCTCAATATATAGCTGGTGAAAAAGCCTCCAAAAGCGATTCAGTCAGCAATTGCAGGTGAAAGGGGGTTGCACAAGCGAGGCAGCAGCGCGACGTGTAGTCTTGTGACGCGTTGGCACGTGGTGTTTAAACCGCTTTAGGTAACGCCTAATTGTGCCTATTCTTCTACCTAGGTATCATCGCGTCCTTACTGTGTAGTTTAACTTAGCCTTGGATCGCTTGAACGCAGCTGCTCGTGGTACACTCCTTCGCCAGCGATACATTACTGTGGTAGATGCGGCCCTAGACGCTGCGCAATGTCATTCGAATAAGCCTCCTCCCGCACGCCCGACGCACCACGAACCCCATTGCATGACATTCAATAATTCTCATGGTCAAATTGCACCCGAGCTGAGGCCAGGAGCTGTTTCCGCGCCTCTGCGAGTGGCTTACCCCTTCTCGTGGCTGTTCCCGAAGGAGCCGGTGTGGCTGGGCATCGAATCAATATTTCCCTTCATGGCCACCATGACTAGGAGCAGCTTGCACGAAACTTGCAGAACCCCTCGACCTCAGCTCTACAGCGCCGGAACGAGTCAATAAAGTTCTGACACATTGGGCGCATGCTCAAATGCCCTGCTCCAACTGGGTTGAGGCTCGTCGCGGCACGCCAGAGTGGACGCTGCGCGCTTGGAGATCACGTTATAGCACCAAAAAGCGTTTAGCTCCAGGGGATCGCTGCCGCTTCGAGGCCCAGATCCATGCGGGCTGTGCCAATCCTGGACCACCCACAGGACTCCAACTCGAGCCAGCATCGTGAGAGCGTGGTTTTACAAGCTAGATTGACTGCCTGCGCCTCCATCACTTGGACGCCGGCCCAGCGGTTCTCGTTGCATGCTCGTATATGAGCTGACAGATGCCCCCATTCACCTTTGGCCCTCAGCCCCGATTCCCCTCCGTGTATTTACGCATCATGTCTTTGAAGTGACGGTTCTGTTCGACAAAAGTCCAGTCTTCATTTTCCTGTCTCTCGCTTTATTGCTAGTGTTTAATTCCGATAACCTGATTCTTCCTACATTCGCTACCAGCGCTTTCGCCAATTGCCATGGTCTACCGCCTCCCACCGCTGGGCTCCGTCCTAGTGCCCCTCACGCTATTTCTCCAAACAGCTCTTTCAGCTGGTGACTACACCACTTCGAACAATACAACGCCACACGACAATACCGAAAACTGTACCTGCTATGTCGTCAATTCCGGGGCCGACTCGAACACCCCTGAATACTTTCAATACTACCGCTTCTTCGACTTCCGGAACCTCGCGGATGAACCCGGCCAATATGTGGATGCTCCACCACTCGTCAATGACACTCAAGACGCCGGCGACGAGGACGTATGGGACGCGAATATCCTAAACAGCGATGCTTGGAACACGGACTGGGGGATCCAGAACTGGAGCAAACCGGCTACGGAAGATTTCCCAACCCGCATGGTGAACTCTCCTGCCAATATCTTCATTTCACAGAACGACGATGAAAATGATGCCTTGACGTGGCTCACGCTCCGCACCACCCGACTGGAGGACTTCCAATCTGCCGCAGAGATCGAGAACGAACAAAAGAACGTCATGCACGTATCGATGCGGATGTATGCCAAGGTCACTGGTTCTAAGGGAGCGGTTGCGGGCTTCTTCACCTTCTTCGACGATACCAACGAGTCCGATATCGAGATCTTGACCGACGATCCTACCGATGTGATCAGGTACACGAACCAACCTGCCGTCGACAAAGAGGGCAACGAAGTCGCAGCGGCTTCTTTGGCGCCCGACAGGCTTCCCGCCTGGGATGACTGGCAAACCCACCGCATTGACTGGCTCCCAAAGAACAGCTATTGGTACCTGAACGACAAGCAAGTCGCCGCAAACACGTACTCGGTCCCGCGGAAGCCAAGTGGACTCGTCGTCAACATGTGGAGTGACGGAGGAGAGTGGTCCGGAAACATGAGTGTAGGAGACTCGGCCGAGTTCCATATACAGTGGATTGAGATGACTTTCAATACCAGCGGGCCAGTTGAGGGCGCCCCGGGCGGAAACAAGAAGCGGGATCTAGAAATATTAGAGACGAGGAAGGACAAGGGATGCAAAGTTGTTTGCAAGATTGACGGGGTCAAGACAGTGGGAACCCCAGAGGTCGTTAGCGTCGCCATGGCTGCTGGCGTTTCTGTATCGTGGGGCCTTCTGGCGTTTGTTGGATTGGTGTCGTTGCTTGCGGCTTTGTAATGTACGCGGGCAATTTGGGTAAAAAAAGGATCTCGGGCTTGTTGAATAAAAGGCGTGGCGGTGGATTGTACCAGATCATGACCATTCACATTAATTGACGGCATTCAAGGCTCATGCGAGCGTAAGACGGTTTCACGATGCTTGACTGGTGTTGAGGTCCGTGTCGCGTACCTACCCCGCGCCGAGCTCTCCAGGCACCGCCCACTTGGATCTCTTACCATTGTATCCTGGCTCTCTCCGCACATGCACCTCCAAACCTTCTACAACCTCGAACCGCCAATATGACTGCCACCATAGACTCCAAGACTCTCACGCAGTATCTAGCCGACAATCCCCCAACCATTGTCCCGCTAGGCATCAAACCCCACTTCGAAGCCTTGTCCGACAAGGAGAAGCTCTATGCTCACCACATCTCCGTGTATGCCAGGCTTCAACTAGGGCCGCATTGCCCCTTGAAAGCTAATTGAAATACCAGAGCCTGCTTCGCCGGTACCCGCATCGTCCTCCGCCAGATCTCGCCCGAATCGGAACCCATCTACGACTTCATAGTCGCGCTGCACAAACACTGCAATGGCGACTACGCGGCGGCTGTGAAGGAAGCCGGGCTATCTCAGGATGAGCTCGATGCGTATCTCAATTATGCCGCGCAGTTTCTAGGCAACCTGGGCAACTACAAATCCTTCGGCGATTCCAAGTTCGTGCCGCGGCTCGAGCCACGCCAGCTGAAGGCGCTAGCGACTGTGTCGAAGAGGACGCTGGAGCTATATGAGCAGTTCCAGGATGCGATATATGCTGGGAATGATGTGGCGAAGCTGCATTTGGGATACCCCAGCGAAGGTCATATCTCGACTTACTATCCCGATAGTCCTTCGATCACGAAAGAGGAGATTACGGGTGTTAGCGATTTCTTGGAGGGCAAGAAATTGCTGCCAGAGAACACCAGGATCAGGAAGACAGATGAGGGCTTCGAGGTCCTGATCGCAAGCGCTCTAGACAATCCCTCTCCCGAGCAGCGAGACCTGAGGGAGAGCGAATGGACGCTGGATGACGGCAAGAAGATCAAGCTCGTATTTGGTGACTATACCAATGAGATGGACACTATCGCGAAGCACATGGAGAAGGCTAAGGAGTACGCGGCGAACGATACTGAGGCCAAGATGTGCGACGAGTACGTGAAGAGCTTTAGAACTGGTTCACTGGAGGCCTTCAAGGAGAGCCAGCGGTACTGGATTAAGGATAAGGGTCCGGAAGTTGAAACCGACATCGGCTTCATCGAGACCTATCGTGACCCGCACGGCATCCGTGGCGAATGGGAAGGCTTCGTGGCGATGGTCAACAAGGAGCGAACGAGGGCGTTTAGTAAGCTTGTGGAGTCGGCGCCCAAGCTAATTCCGCTACTACCATGGGATTCAGCCTTCGAGAAAGACAAGTTCCTGAGTCCTGATTTTACATCACTGGAGGTCCTGACCTTCGCAGGCAGCGGGTAAGTCCTCCCGGATGCCTTCAGCCCCCTGCTGCAGCACTGACTTTTACAAGCATTCCAGCCGGTATCAACATCCCCAATTACGATGACATCCGGCAGAACCTTGGCTTCAAGAACGTGTCTCTTGGAAACGTGCTCTCAGCGAAAGCTCCCAACGAGCCCATTCCCTTCATCAAAGAATCCGATCTAGAAATTTTCCAGAAGTATCGCGATCCAGCGTTCGAAGTCCAGGTCGGTCTCCATGAACTTCTCGGCCACGGCTGTGGGAAGCTTTTGCAAGAAACCTCACCTGGCGAATTCAACTTCGACATCGACAACCCGCCAATTTCCCCCGTGACCCACAAGCCTGTAACAACTTACTACAAGCCCGGCCAGACATGGGGCTCCGTGTTCGGCTCCATGGCCGGCTCATATGAAGAGTGCCGCGCAGAGTGCGTGGCAATGGCTCTAGCCTGCGAGTTCCCCATCCTCGAGCTCTTCGGCTTCGGAAATGGCCAGGAAGACATCAACGGCGAAGCTGGTCACGTTCTCTACGCTGCATATCTGCAAATGGCACGCGCCGGTGTCACAGCGCTCGAATTCTGGGACCCCAAGTCTAGGAAGTGGGGACAAGGTATGTAGGTCCCGGCATACATACCAGCATGTCTATATGATTCTTTGTCCATGGAAGGCCTCCCCAAGTGGCATTTCGTGGGCCAAAACCCGAGACATGCTAGGGATTTTATTCCTCTCCCCTTTAGTCTAGGACGTTTGCTAACATGTAACTCCACCTACGCAGCGCATATGCAGGCCAGATTTTCTATCTTGCGTACTTTCCTCAACGCCGGTGTCGAATTCTGTGAGCTGGAGTTCAAGGAAGATGACCTCTCTGACCTCACCATCCGCTTGGAACGGTCACGCATTTTGGATCTGGGACGCCAGGCCGTGGATGCGTATCTGCAGAAGCTACACATCTACAAGAGCACAGCAGACTTTGATGCCGCTAAGAAGATGTACGACGAGATCACCACAGTGGAGCCATTCTATGAGAATCGCGTGCGGCCGGCGGTACTCAAGAAGAAGACGCCGCGGAAGGTATTCGTGCAGGCAAATACGGTGGAGAGGGATGGCAAGGTCGAGCTGAAGGAGTACGAGGCTAGTGCTAAGGGTATGATCCAGAGTTGTGCGGAGAGGGAGTATGTGTAGGTACTACGACATCCTTAGTGGTTCGTCATAGATCAGACCGACTGGAGAACTCTAGTTAGAGCACGCCTCACTCACATATGAGCAAATAAAAGACGGAGCGAGAGACGAATAAGCCATATAACAAAACGCAGCTCCAGTACAGCCAGCTACACGGTCATGAAGAGCCAATATTCCACTGCCAAATTCTTAAACAGAAGAGTGTTCTCGGTGAGGTATCGCATTCTTCCTAACAAGAATGATTATAGCGTCTTTCGCTCACGTCCGAATGCTCCCTCGCCCTGCTCCTTCTCCATGGTGCTGAGACTCCAGCAAAAGGAGTGCTGCGCCGTTGGCTCGATGTTGCGGGAGCGAGCTGAGAGCAGTGCCAACACTTCGGCATGGAAAACCGCCTCCTCTCCGTCCTTCTAAGTCGAAACATCCCGGTCCCTCTACTGCCTCTCTTTTTCTTCCTTTCCAGTCCTTGAGATCCTATCTCTACCTGCCGTTCTTCAGCTTCTCCCTCACTCCCTCAGAGCTCAACCTCTCTACGAACGTTCTCCGCCCACCAGTCCCCCCAACTATTCGACTCTCCATCTCACACGGCGACGTCCTTCCCCCCGGCAACTCCGCCAAACCTCATAACCATACTTCTCCAGCCCGGTGGCTAAAGCGGTCAGCTAATGTGGGAAACGAGTGGGCAAGCCTCGATGGCCGGCCCGCTGTGTGGCTGCTCAGCCGCAAGTCAAGCACACGAGCCACATAAGCCCCCGGCCTACTCACGCTCTCAAACTCCGCGCACTTGACCTGCTAATAGCGGGATACATACAGAGTAGTGGTGGGATTGAACGAATTACGCAGCTGCGCAGTCGCTGTGCCCTCGAGGAGGCTATACCAGCTGCCCCGCGTTGGGATGGAGAACTGGCTTGCAGATTAGGACACCCTTTACGGACGAGGTCAGTCGTACAAAGTGATTCCTGTAGGTCACGGATAGAGGCATATTGTGTGGGTCGTCGTAGCGTAGAAAGAGGCGAGAAGCTAGTTTGCCATGAGATTGATGCAGCAGCTGAAAGATTCAAAATACCGCCCAGCCGACCCAATGCAACGCCGTTCGTTCCCTTCGACATCTAAAAGCACACGGAGTAACATATAAAAAGTAAGGATAAAAGCAAATGCACGCTGCCATAGCCCATTATCGTGAGTATACAACCTTCTTCTGTACAAAGCCGTCGTCTTGCCACTATTTTGGCATCAAAAGATCCTTTCCGGGTCGTTCTTAGACGGCAACACCCCTCCTCCTCCATCCTCCAGGACCCCTCCAAGCCCACATCCACAGGCCCATAGCGATCCACACACTAATCGCCATAGCCCAAAATGTCGGCGCATAGCATCTCTTCCCGTAGCACAACACGTCATCCGCATCTCCCTCAACGCCTGGTTCGCCATTGTCCGCAGCCCTCTGGTAAACAGCAGCGTAAATGGCGCCCCAAACGGTGGCCCCGGCCGCGGGGGTCATGGCGAGAATGCCCCAGTTAGTGCCAAAGTTCTCGACGCCCCATACGACGGAGACGACGATGGGAGTCAGGGAGAACAGGGCGCCGTAGCCGGAGCCTATGAGTGCGGAGACGGCGACGAAGCGGTTAGTGTGCCCTTGCACCCAGCCACTCGCAAGGAGGAGTTGGCCCAGGGAGAGAATGAAGGCGAAGGTAAGGAGAAAGGTTATCCGGGAAACGGTGAACTTGCGGGGTTGCTCGAGCGGTGGCAGGGAGACCAAGGAGTTCGCGACGGAGTCAGGGCCTCGCCGGTGTTGGTGTAGTGGTGGTATGGGGGCTAGGATATCCGACAGAGTTCCGGTTATAAGGCGTGCCAGGGTCGATGTGAGGGCTACGATGGAGACGTGGGTGGCTGCAGAGGTTGTTGCAGAGCTATGGGGAGGTGAGAGGGTGCCGATGATGGTTCCCAGATTATTGATGAAGGCTTCTCCTGGGCCAGTGACGAGGAAGAAGCCACCAGCCAGCCACCACATGGTAGGATCCGAGACATATCGCCTGGTCTCTTCGTTCAATAACCACGTCTTCTTCCGTGCCTCCTCTTCTGCATGCGCTTTCAAGCGCTCGGCTTCTGATTGCAAGAAGTCAAAGGTTGAGTCTGAGAGATCCCGAGGCTCCATGGTGCCGTAACCATGAACGTTGGCCGCCTGGGTGAAGAACTGATCGTGCGCCAGCAAACCTGACCTCTCCAGCTCGTCCACTGCCTCGTCGATCATCTCTTCCTCGTCCATGATGCGCAGCGCGAAAGTCCCGATCACACCCACACAGAGCAGAAGGATGCCCAGGAATAGGAAGTAATGGAAGACGTTCACATCTCCCCTGCTTCCGTCCGAATTCGTCACATATAGCAGACGGCTTCCGACCTGGCTCTGCCACATCCCGCTAAGCCCAAACGCAGCGATTGGAACAGCCAATGCGATACCCTTCGCATTTCCGCGTCCAAAGTTCTTCGCGCATGTCGTCACCGCGGACAAGTACATGCAGCTCGTGCCCATGCCGACTCCGATGAAGGCAAACACCATGATGCCGAACGGCCAGCCATGGCCTCCAGCTGACGGAGGAGGCCCGCTCTTGTATGCGAATGCGGCCAACAGATATCCCAGGCCGAAAAAGATGCCAGAAAGACAGGACGGCCAGCCGGGGCCGAGGCGGTCGCAGAGGTATCCGAAGGCGGGAACAGGCAGGTACATGCCGAGCTCAGCGGTGATGCTCACGATGTTGACCTGGAACTGCGTGTAGTGCAGCTTCGACTGGAAGAGATGGCCATACAGCGAGTATGCCGTGATGCTCCCCGCGCACAGGCAGTTGACGATGGCCCAGACGAAGCTCAGCCATCGTGCAACGTCGCGCTGCAGCCTCTCGCGGTCGCGTTCCATGATGCCCTCGGCGACCTGCTCGAAGAAGCTGCCGGCGTAGCTGGTGTCCTGCGAGTGTCGGTTCGAGTCGTTCTCGGCGTCGGGCTGTAGGAGCGGGCGTCGCGGGGAGGGCGAGGTGTAGTCGAGCTTGTCAATGCCATTGCTGCTATTCCGCTTGGAGTGAGATGGCGACATGACGGGCCGGTTTCGGGCGTGTGACAGGGTGGCGCGCGGATTACAGCCTCATGGCGGCGGTAGGAAATGCTGCATAGGAATACAAAAGGAGGCTGCGCAGGACGAGGAAGGAAAACTGGACACTCGAGGAGCGCCGTCCTTGCTTGACGAGCGGTCAGCGGGCGGACGGACTGCTCGGCGGTGTTGTCGCGAGCATGGCGTCAAGCTTTCCAGCGGGCTACGCTGCCGCCTCTGATTCGCCTGCGCCCGCGATCCGCGAAACTGCTGCTCGAAAACTTCGGCGACTGCAAACGCATCCACCACCACTCCACAACCGCCCCCGGTCGCAATGGCTCCCGCGCAGGCCGCCCACGTCAACTTGTCCCCCGCCGAGCTGTCGTTTCTGCGCTCCTCGCTCTCGCAGACGCCGCCGATCCGCCTCGACAACACCAAGGGCCCCAGGGACTTCCGGTCTATGCGAGCAGAGTATGACGTGCTGCCGGGCGCAAACGGCAGTGCACGCATTGCGCTGGAGGACGGGACCGAGGCGCTGGTCGGAGTCAAGGCGGAGGTCGAGAAGTCGCGATGGCGCCCGGCAGCGGGACAGCAGGAAAGCATGCTCACTGTAGCTACTGGGGATGTGATGATGCGCGACGACAACGAAGAGGAGGACGAGAGCAAAGGGAAAGGCCAGAATGCGTGGATCGAGATGAGCGTGGAGATCCCAGGCTTCCGCGACGACGACCCGCTGCCTGTGTTTCTGGCTGCGATGCTCACCGAGAGCTTGCTTGCGAGCGGCGCGCTCAAAGACCGCCTGTACATCAACAGACGCTTCCACTGGAAGCTGTACGTCGATGTGGGTGCTTCCTTCCCCTCTGAATGGACTCATTCCGGGCTAATCCAGCCTAGGTTCTCCTGCTCTCCCCGCCTCTCTCGTATCCCCTCGCCCTCCTCTCTATGACCGCCCACCTCGCCCTCCTCACCTCCCGCCTGCCGGCGTTGAAGTCCGAGAAGGATGAAGACCCGCTCTTCGATGACGACTGGGATGCATCGGTCCCTCTATATCCTAAGACGGGAAAGAGCACGAGCATTGCGCAAGCGGACAAGCCGCCGGTCATCATTCTTGCCATGGCCGTGGGACCGAACATCATCTTCGACCCCTGCAAGGAAGAGCTCGCTGTGGCCGATGCTGTCCTCGCCATTGCCTGCGCTAACGCAACTTCTTCGACTACAGGTGCTCGCATAGTGTCAATCCGGACCATTGACCCACCTTCTCATCTTACTCCGCCTGGTATTCCTAATTCAATGAACTCCGCCACTGGCGGCACCGTTCCAGCTTCGAGCGCAGAGGCCTTGACGCAGCGTGAACTGCTCGCCGATACTGGAGTGTGGACGCCTCCGCGAGGCGGTATGAAGAGAGACCTGATTTCTCAGATTGTCAAGATGGCGGTCGAGACTGGCGGAGTTGCTGAAGAAGTCATTGGCGCCTTACAGGCAATCGAGGTCGGTTGAACGCAATTGGCACCTGACCACTAGATGCACCGGCCCCGCGACGGTCTCGTAGGCCAAAGCTTGGTGAATTTCTGTTGGCTTTGCTTCACCTTGATGCCCCATGAAACCTAGACAACGAAGCAAATCAGCCACTTCTGGATTTAGCAAATGGATGGTATGCTGAAGGCCGCCACGTAAGGTCTCGCCCATCATCGAGCAAGAGCAAAGATGAGACTGCATCGCTAAAGAGTGCTGTTATAGGGCACGAGGCTTTGCCAAGTTTTTAGGGCTTGCGGCTGGCCATAGAATCGCCATACAAAAAAACCATCTCAGCTCAGGACGGGATAATCCGTCTTGGACGGAAGCACAGCTGAACATATTCAAATCTCGATCATTTTCCTCATCCCACTTGTTCAGTACTTTCGATGTTTACTTCCGGCCCTTTCTCCACCATATGACCTGGATCAATGCCACTTTATTGACTTCGAATTGTGATATTGTACGGCGACTTCCCTTCATTGACGGCCGTATACCTTCGAGATGTGGTGGGATGGCTGTCATATAGTCCGCTGCGGCTTCTGGATGAATTGGAGTCAGTTGCCCCTTGGCCTTCTTCTCGTCGCTAAATTGAGTAGGCTCCGATGCAATTCACGGCTCCACACTTACCCTTCCCACCCCGTGGGCTCTGGTCCTCATTGGCTTCCTCACTCTCTTCGTAAATCTCGTTTCTGGTTATCTCTGGGGACTGATCCGTTTCGTTATCCACCAAATCAACACTTCAGCCAAAAGTCAAGATGATATGTACCATCATTTCCAACTCGTCCTGCGCAATACGGAAACCCCAGCAACGTTCATCTCGAAACTTCTCAAGGTGGGCTTTGCACACAAAGGTGCCCGGTTCGAGGCTTACAGACGCTCGATGTGGCTGATTGTTCTCGCCGTATTCTATGGATTGGGGACGTGGGCCGCCAGTGGTCTTTCGCCAAGCTTCATCGCGGGGGGTGACGAGGTCCAGGCCATACCAGGCAAGTGTGGGTGGATGAAAGACGAGATTCCAACAGACTCCGTCACCGATGATGCTGAGTTCGAATCCTTCAACGCCTTGGTCCTTATGGCTCGATATGGATATCGCCGCAGCGCAGGTTACAGTCGCTCGTGTTACGCCCAGGCCGCTGACAACTCCACCGCTTGCGGAAACTTTATACAGACGATACTCCCATACAATACTAATATGTCTGCCCCATGTCCCTTCGATAATAACATTTGCAATGGGGAGGCAATCATGTTCGACACTGGTCTCCTCCGATCAGACACACATCTAGGTATAAACACACGTCCAGATGATGCCATATCACTCCGGAAAGTCTTTCAATGCGTTCCACTCGCTGCAGAGCAATACAGCGATGTATGGCCAGTCTCAGACGAGGTCAAGAACTTCGATCCCGCGGCACAACTGATGAAGTGCTACAAAGTGGGCACAATAGAGGGCGCTCCATGGCCTGAAGATTCCATCTGCTTTCTAGACACTGAGTTGAATTTTGGTGATCAATCATACAGGATAAGGTGGGTACCATCCCGAGTCTTGACAGCGCTAATCCTCGACAGGTCCGCTTCAGCATTCGTCAATCACAATGGTAACGAAGCGACCAACTTCGAACCCATTCCCGAACTTAAGTCTCCCGAAGCCGATCTGACCATCATCGGCCTGTTGAACAAAATGGGCTACCGTAACCCTATTCGGGATCCTTGGTTCAACGCGCAAAACTGTACGACGAACAACACCTTCACAGTCAGCCCAGAAATTTGTACAGCCACAAATGCCATAACTTTTCTCGGCTGCACAGAGCGTTACCAGTTCTGCGCCTCTGACGGAACCAACTGTTCTCCCTTTACAGGTCTCTATGGAATCAACCCTGTGCCAGAGCAGTCCCCCGACCTAAACCCAACACAAAAGGCCCTCTTTCAGCTTATTTGGAAGATCGCGTGGTTCGCACAGCTCAACTTTCAACTTGCTTTCGTCGGTCGCGAAAATCTCATTGCCAACGAATACCTATGGGATGACAGCTTCAGTTTCCGCATCTCGGCATCGCTTCCAGACGACCACTGGCAAAGAGAGACCGCCAACTGGATGAACACAAGCCTGGCACTGATGCAGCGTGCCGCCTTCGGGTTTGCGCGCCCACCTGCCTTCGACGTGGGCCCTGACATATCGGTTCTGAAGCACGTCGTGGAGCCAGATGACCCTGCGATGCAGGCTCTCTGCCACAAAGTCAAGTTCAGATCAAAAGCCCACACTTCGTTCAGGGTTGCTGGCTTGTTCGGCCTGCTCGCGGCCGGCCTCGCCATCATCGTACTGAGCGTAGCGCTTCCGAAAGTGGTCGCTTACATACAGAAACGCAGTGGGCGCGGCTTGCACAAGAAACTGGAGTGGATTGAAAGCAGCGCATTCCAATTGCAGAGGATGGCGGCTGAGGGACGAGGCGTCGGGCCCTGGGATGGCAGAGAGGACGACGTACCTACGTTGGCGGAGTACGGGCATTTGTTCAACCTTACGGGTTTGAGCCTCAGGGGGAGGTGGAGTAGGGTGGCGAGCTATGAGGTTGTGGGGAAGAGGGAGGCGGAAGAGCAGCGGGATCAGGAAGGAGGAGTCGAGCTGAGTGATATGGTGGCGCCAAGGCACAGTGTGAGGGTGCGCCAGAGGGAGCAGGATGATGATACCTTACGGCTATTGGATGGCTAGTCCCAGCACAAGGTCAAGCAGCTGAAAGTGGCACTAAGTCAGCTCAGCAACGGAAATTGTATGAACACCTTCAGGAAAAGGCATCTCATTCTTTCGCGTGGTCTGGTAGGTGGTTTGCATTTCGTCGGTGGTAGACTGCAGGCAATATGCCGTATATTTCCGGACCTACAGGCCACCTTTATGACCTCACAGAGATTCAACCCACCAACTTGACCATCCTTTTCGGGTTAGTGAATATCCGTGTCGTGCACTTGGAATGCACACAGGCTAAAGGAAAGGAGCGCCCCTTCCGCATGGTGATAGACAGACCTCGTGACAGATCCGGCTCCCCACTTTTACCTCCTGTCAATACGTCAAACCATGGTTCAGCAGCGCCTCTTCACGTAAGGACGCTCCTCAGCCACACCAGCGAAGTTGCAACGGGATATTAAATTCTGTACTTTGTTGCGCCTACCAAATGCACACGCAAAAGTCTAGACGAGGGACTCTGCGCCCCGACCATCCACCACACACGCTTACACCAAACGGCCCCAAGGCCTTGTTTGTCTAACCATATGCCAGAAGCCCGTCTTCCCTTCCTCGAACCTCAGGAAACAGAGTACAAATCATCGACAGCTATAGTATACACACGCTTAACCAGAGAACTCCTTAACGTCGGTCGTCTTGCCAGGGATAAGCGCCAGCGGCACGATACCCGACACGTGCATCTCCGGGCCGTACACGTGCATGTCGAGACCGAGCTCCTGGCCGACACTCTTGATGTTCTTGAGACCCTCCTGGTAGTTGGGGCCGGCACGACGGATCCAGATGTGGACGTTATGCTCGAGGAGGAGGGGCGCGACTTCCCTCAGAGCGCGGATGACCCCCTTGAAGGTGGAGGCGACGTTGGTGAAGTTGGCAATGCCACCGCCAATGAAGAGAACCTTGCCTTCGGGGTGCTGAGGAGCGCGGAGCATGAGATCAAGAACAGTGCGGGCGTAGTGGAAGGTCTGAGTCTCGGTGGGCGCACCAGAGTACTCACCGTAGTTGGCGAGCTCGCTGGCGAAACCGGCAGAGGCGATGGCGTCGGCGTAGACGACCGAGGCACCACCACCGGCGACGAGGGTCCAGACACGGCCGGAGGCGTTGAGGATTGTGAGTTTGAGCGAGGCACCGGTCTTTGCGTCCATCTCGGCGATGTACGCCTCCTCCTTGCTCATCTCACGGCCGAAAGGAGCAGGGAACTCCATGGGAGGGCCGACATCGATGGTAGTCTTGCCATCCTTCGGGGCAGCTGGGGTACCGAGAGCAGTTGCGCTGCGAGCGATAGCCCACTTCGCACCGCACTCGAACTCAGCGGTCTGGTCAAGCTTGGCAGCAAGATCCAGGAAGTGAACCTCAGCCGAGGTGGCATCAGCGTTGGGGATGACGACGAGAGGGTTGATTTCGAGGTAGCTGATTTGGTCAGCATGATAGTTAAGGATGTTGTGGAGGGTGCTGCTCACGTGAACTGGCAGTCAACATAGACAGCGTATAACCTTGAGATGAAGTCGACGAGGACGTTGTGCACACCCTTGGGCACCTTGCTCAGGAGCGTTGAGGCAATGACCTCGTTAGAAGGGTACTCCTTGAGGTCGACGGGGATGAGAAGCTTCTCGGCCTTCTCATCGACATCACCGACATCGACACCGCCCTCGTGGGTGAAGAGGATCCAATCGCCCTAAAGCGGAGCGTTAGCGGGAAGATCGAGAAGTGATTGGGCATGATCCGTGCAATAGCCGAGTGCCATCTCAAGAGCCGCATCATGAAACATTAGGAAATCCCAAATGCAGCAGCATAGCGCGCGACAAATGAGGGAAGAAAGAGGAATGGCATGTGAAAGCCGGCGGCTTATCGTGGTTGGAGGGCGTGCGCTCTGCAGCAAGTGGGTCGGGGATTGGTTTCCCTTCGCCCGGCCCACCGTCTAACAAAACAGGAGTCCGTCCGCGCATAAGTGATCCTTCTTCCGCTGCAGCGCTTCTGTCTCATGCACAAAATATTTTCCTTCTCTTGACCTCGACACTAGAGCAAGCCGTCGCCGATGTGATTCCACCATGGCGCTGGCAACGAAATCGGAAACGGAAAGCAACGTACCTCTCGCACCGAGTTGATGTTGATGTAGTACTCTGTGTCCTGCGGGTGCGGGACGAAGGGCTCGACCAAGAACTGCCTCAGGACGCCCGTGACAGCCTCGACCTTCTGCGGCTTGCCTGCCCTCGCCTGGATCCACTCCTTCGCCTCCGGCCACGTCTTGTTCAGGGCCAGTAGACCGCTCTTGCCCCGCCTCTTGATCAATTGATCTGGCTTCGCAACGAACTTGGAACCGGGAGCCAGCAGCCACGGGTAAGTGGCCTCTGCCTGGTCGAGCACGCCCTTGACGTCCGCATCGGCCGGGAAGTGCAGCGATGCAAGCCTGGGCGGCGGGTTGTGTGTGGCCGACGCCGGCAGAGGAGTGGGCTTGATGACAGGAGCGCGGGTGAGGTGGTAGTTGAGGATGGCCTTGCCGTCGGCCTCGAGGATTGACTTGGCGGACATTGTAAGAGGTGGTTATGCGGAGCTGGAGCTGGTGAGTGCTACTCTCGTGGGCTGGGGCTGATGGAGACAAGACAAGAGGGGACGGGAGGGTGATATTGACGGTGCAGCAGGGCGAAAAGCGTCTCGACGAAGAGCGGACTGGATTCCCGACAAAGTCCGGAAATATTGACAATGGGCCTTTATGAAAAGCGGCCGGGGTGCAGAGGGTCGGAAAGCAGTGGAGGGGGCCGGCAGAAAAGACACCAAGGCGGCCGGGCTTGCTGAGACGTACCTATATGTGGTTGAGGGCTGCACTCGGGATTCGAAGACACGGCAGGAGCACGATTGGGCTGTGTGGGTGAGACGGCGGCGACGATTGAGGGCCTGGGAAGCAGCGGTCTGTATGTTTTTTCGCGCGTTGAGCTCAGGGTGGCAGGTTGGGCGGGCCAATGCAGGTCGCGGCGGGCGGGTCGAGAAGCAGCCAACCACGGGCCACCGCTCGGCAAGGGGCTCACCGCGCGCTGACGGGCACCGAGTGCACGCCAAAGGCCGCGAGCACCTCGAAATAACAGCGCCGCCGGAGTCGCTGGGGTCGCACGCCCGCAGTCGCCCTCGCACGCAGAGTCGCAGCATCGCCGCACTTCTCCGGGCACATTCCGACAGGTGTGGCGGCGACGCTGCGCTGTTGGATACACGGCTCCCCTTTCACCGCTCCGAGAAGTGGCTTAGTGCCGCGCTCGGCCTTACCCCAACAATCCAGCAGACGAGCAGGGACCTCAACACCGAAGAAACACAGGAGCCCCAATCTTCGGAAAGCGTCACCGCGGCCTTTACCACCACCGCTCCCCCATCAGCACCAGCCTTATTGCCCGTACGCAGCTCTGCCGGCCCTTGGCGCAGCCTCAATAAGTGAGTCGCCCGTCCGATATCTTGCTGCCATCCCCCGTTGCTCTGCTCCTCCACCGCGTGCCTGCCCAGCCAGCTTCCCCCGGCGCTTTTTCGTTGGTCTTCCATTCAGCCCTCACGTCAGCCGAAGGCCGCACCGCACCGCACCGCACTGCTGTCTGCAACCCCGACCTCCGTATACTGACCTTCCTCTCGCATATAGGCCACTCTCCGCAGATTGACCATTGACCCTCCCTGACCTCGCTTTCCACCTCCTCCGGCCACAATGCCTTCCGCCGTACCAGTCAACGGGACCACGCCCCAGCAGGCCGCCACCTCGACCGACGGCAGCCTCTCTGCAAATGACAACATCCGTCGTTTCGCAGCCCCCAGCCGGCCATTGAGTCCGCCCGCCGCCCACCTGCTCTTCCACCCCAAGACACGATGCTTTGTCTAGTAAGCTGCTCTGGCGGAATGCGTAAACAAGGGAGAAGCTCTAACCGCGACGCACAGCGGCCTGCAGCCCCGCGCCGTGCAGGGCATGCTCGACTTCGACTTCATCTGCAAGCGCAAGACGCCCTCCGTCGCCGGCATCATCTACACCTTTGGCGGTCAGTTCGTCAGCAAAATGTGCGTCTGCCAAGCCATTGAGCTCGCATCGTGCAGTTGGAGTGCTAACCGCGGCATGCAGGTACTGGGGAACCAGCGAGACGCTTCTGCCCGTCTACCAGTCGGTAGAGAAGGCCGTGGCCAAGCACAGCGATGTCGACACCGTCGTCAACTTCGCCTCGTCGCGATCCGTCTACAGCTCCACCATGGAATTGATGGAGTTCCCGCAGATCAAGTGCATTGCCATCATCGCCGAGGGTGTGCCTGAGCGAGTGAGTCTTGTCTTAGGTGCCTGTATAAGCTCCAATTGAGTTGGCACTGACATCTGCCAGCGTGCCCGAGAAATTCTGCACGTCGCCAAGAAGAAGGGCATCACCATCATCGGCCCGGCCACCGTCGGTGGCATCAAGCCCGGCTCGTTCAAAATCGGCAACACTGGCGGTATGATGGACAACATCGTCGCCTCCAAGCTCTACCGCCCCGGCTCCGTCTCTTACGTCTCCAAGTCTGGTGGTATGTCCAACGAGCTGAACAACATCATTGCCAACACCACCGATGGTGTGTTGGAGGGTGTTGCCATTGGCGGTGATAGGTATCCGGGAACTACCTTTATCGACCACGTCCTCCGCTACCAGGCCGACCCCGACTGCAAGATCATTGTGCTGCTCGGCGAGGTCGGTGGTGTTGAGGAATACCGTGTGATTGAGGCGGTCAAGTCCGGCCAGGTCACCAAGCCCATCGTCGCGTGGGCCATCGGTACCGTTGCTGGTATGCTCAAGACCGAAGTACAGTTTGGTCACGCTGGTTCTTTCGCCAACTCTCAGCTCGAGACTGCGGCGACGAAGAACAGGACGATGAGGGAAGCCGGCATCTACGTCCCTGAGACCTTCGAGGAGATGCCTGGCACTCTTGCCCAGGTCTACCAGAAGCTGGTCAAGGATGGAACCATCAAGCCCAAGCCCGAACCAGCTGTTCCCAAGATCCCCATCGACTACTCCTGGGCGCAGGAGCTCGGTCTCATCCGAAAGCCCGCCGCTTTCATCTCCACCATCTCCGACGACCGTGGCCAGGAGCTTCTCTATGCCGGTATGCCCATCTCTGACGTCTTCAGGGAGAACATTGGTATCGGTGGTGTCATGTCTCTGCTATGGTTCCGCCGCCGCCTGCCCGACTACGCCAGCCGCTTCTTGGAGATGGTGCTTATGCTGACGGCCGACCACGGTCCCGCCGTGTCCGGTGCTATGAACACCATCATCACTACCCGTGCAGGCAAGGATCTCATCAGTGCGTTGGTGTCCGGTCTCTTGACCATTGGCTCCCGCTTCGGTGGTGCCCTTGACGGTGCTGCCGAGGAGTTCACCAGGGCCTTTGACAAGGGTCTCAGCCCTCGTGACTTTGTTGACACCATGAGGAAAGAAAACAAGCTGAGTAAGTTTGCGCAAGTATTAGTTTTCATGCCCAGACCGCTAACCGTCCCCAGTCCCCGGTATCGGCCATAGGATCAAGTCCCGAAACAACCCCGACCTCCGTGTCGAGCTCGTCAAGGAGTACGTCAAGAAGAACTTCCCCAACACCAAGCTGCTTGACTATGCTCTCGCCGTCGAGACTGTCACAACGTCCAAGAAGGACAACCTTATTCTCAACGTCGACGGCTGCATTGCCGTCTGTTTCGTTGACCTGATGCGCAACTGCGGTGCCTTCTCCGCTGAGGAGGCTGAGGACTACCTGAAGATGGGTGTCCTCAACGGTCTCTTCGTGCTCGGCCGCAGCATTGGTCTGATTGCTCACTTCCTCGACCAGAAGAGGCTGAGAACTGGCCTCTACAGGCATCCCTGGGACGACATCACTTACCTCCTCCCGTCGCTGTCGCAAGGTGGTGCACCGGGAGCGGAGGGTCGTGTCGAGGTCACCTTGTAGTTCTGAGTTAGGCAAAAAGGAAGGAAATATCCAGGTTCAGGTCTCCGTTTGTTGGGCCTGGACAGGCGTCTTCAGATTTTAGATGTGCATTCGGCGTGCTAGAGGAAGTCAGACATATCGGGGTCAGTGTAGCAATAGTCGTTAGCCTTTGGCGTGGTTTCATGCAAGCTTGTTCGGTGCAGTTGCTTCGGCGCTTCTGCTCGAATGACAGTACGAAGATATAATAATATGAATGGATTCCGAACGAGTCCGCTGCTTCGTAAAGAGAAAACACTTCCATTCGAATGGACTAGGACGAGGCTGCGGCCCGCGTGAGCCGATTGAGAGGGTCCGGTGCTCCCACGTGCGCCGGCTCCACACTCATGCAAGCCTGGCTCCCGCTCAGGCTCTCCGTTGACACATTACACATACATATCCCCCACCCTCCGGTTGCTCATGGTACTCCCGGCATTGTAGCACATCGTACTCACCCGGGCTGAGCGGCATCTGCGCAGCGAGGCACGACTAGAGGCATGCAGGAACCAGCGGCGCTCCATCCTGGCTTGCTGACTTTGTACTGCAGCGCGTTATCGCGATCATCGGCCGACTGTGCCTGACCGGAAAACAGGCTTCAGTGACGTCTGACGGGCTACCTCCAGAGGTACTTCTATGCGTGAGCCGCCTGATGGTGAGAAACATTGGGTTAACCGAAAGAGGACTAGAAACTGCTGATAGCGATAAGCCGTTCGTGAAGGACGGGGACACCTGCGAACCGATCGTCAGTCACGCATCAGATGACCGAACGCCCCGCATCCCAGCCTCCCCGTTTCCCACTATCCCTCCACCGGCGGCATCGTTACCAGGACCGGAGTACTGAGCACGCTATCGTTCGGATGCGGTGCAGGCGCTGGTGGAATGTAGCCGCTCTTTGAGGCCTTTGTTACGGCATGGCTTCTTGGTGCTCGATGGTGTGCTCGCTCGGCAGACAAGTGCCATATGCAGGAAGCTGACTGACAAGAAACGGAACAGCCAGTGGCGATGCAGCCGCCTGGCAGCTCGCTGCAGCTACCCCGCGGTGCGCAGTGAGCTTTTCCGAGCTATCCTGAGCTCATGCCTCGATATGGGCCGCCAAGCAGCCTCTTTGTGCTGGCGATAAGCAAATTACGCTGGACAAGGCAGACCAGCCCGGAGGGACGGTCAATAGGCTAGCTGCGTGCAGCCCGAGCCGCTCCCAAGAGAATAAGTACCTCTTTCTGTCCTGTCTCTGTCCCTCCAGCCTTGTGCCCCTCCTCTTCCCTCCTCGTATAGCTTCAGAGTGCTGCTGCTCAGCCCACACACCATGCTGGCCCTTTTCCTCGCAGTCATGGCCGCGGCCTGGCTGATCGAAGCGGCCAATGACAACGAACTGCACCATAATTTTGGGGCTGTCGCTTTCATCCGAGCTGGGGAACGAACGCCGTTGCTAAAGCCCGACACGCCCGTCCTGACTGCCTTGGGTGCGCAGCAGATGCATGAGCTAGGACAGAACTTCAGAGGCAGATACATCTACGAGATGGATAGCCCAATCGGACTTGGCGTTCAAAATATCGACGGAATGTCGGTCGACCTTTTGCAGAACGATCAGCTCTTCATCCAGACAATCGACAAGCCATATCTTGTATCCGCCGCGCAGGCCTTTATGCAGGGATTGTACCCTCCTTACTCCCTCAATGTTACCCGGAATGGGCCACTCGCCGATGCTACTGGCCTCCTGGCCAATGGCACATCAGTCGATGCCCCGATGGGTGGCTATCAGTATCCCAATATCCAGACTCTTAGCGATCTCGACCCGCAGAGCGTTTACATTGCTGGAGCCCAAAATTGCCCCGCGTCGCAGCTGGACTCCGCAATGTACGAGACGACGGAAGCTTTCATGAATACCCAAACGGCCGAGAGGTCGTTCTACCAATCGCTCGACATGGATTGGTTTGATGGAAATATTCGCGAGAGTTCGCTGTATGTACAATTGTTCGCTCGACCGACCCGTTTTGGATAGCGCCGGATTAGCTGACCATCATGTCCAGGGACTATCGCTATGCTTATGAGATATACGATTACCTCTCGTACGCCTACGTGCACAATACGGACACTATGGAGAAGCTCTCCAACGACAGCACCTACGCTGGGGTCTTTGACCGACTTCGATATCTGGCGGATGGTAGTTCCTGGTATAGATACGGCAACTACTCTTCTTCCACCGGGGGCGACGGTGACCGAGCAATGGCGGGCAAGACACTCGCCGCTCTCATACTCGGCCAACTCCAAAAGATTGTATTGAATAACGGCAATACGACTAACGGCGTTGCGAAGCCGCTAACTCTTCTCTTCGGTGAACACGAAGCCTTCATCTCCCTTTTCTCCTTGATCATGGTCGACTATCTGCACGACAACTTCCATGCCGTCCCGCCACCGGCTTCTGCCATGATCTTCGAACTCTTTACAGTTCAGCGAGACGATGCCTTCCCTTCGGATCAGGACGATCTTTGGGTCCGGTTTTACTTCCACAATGGCACTGCTCCAAATGGTACTGCCACATTCAATGGTCAGCTACAGGCTTTCTCCATCTTCGGTAACGGCCCGTCACATATGGATCTTACGTGGACTGAGTTCCAGGACATGATGAGTCGCGTCATGACGAATCAGCTCTCAGATTGGTGTAGCCAGTGCAGCTCGGGCTCGCTGTTCTGCTGGGGCGTCGACAACTCGACCATCGCGATCACGCTTGCTGCACAAAACAAGAAGCAGCTCTCTCCTGCTGTCGCCGGCGTCATCGGTGCAGTCGTTACTCTCGCCGTTGCTGGTCTTCTCTTTGCAGTCGCTATGCTGCTCGGCGGCATCCGCTTCCACCGCGTAAGCCGGGGCAAGAAGTCTGACCTTGGAGGCTTCAAAGGATCAGCCAAACTAGCTTCAGATGCCGATTTGCATCTGCCAAAGAACGCTGTTGCACCGGCGGGAATAGTGAGCTTCGGCAAGGATGGCGATAAGAAGGTTACGCACGAGAGAGTCGGGAGCTGGGAGCTCAGGCAAAAGGAGTTTGGACCGAAGTCGGGCGACTTGGGAGACGAGTCGAGGAGGGTCAGCTTTGAGGCCATTGAAGCAGCGTTGCACAAACCTGTTGAGCCTTCTGAGAGGGTCTGAGGAATCCTTCCCCGCTGCACTACGGCGACTGTTTGCATTTCTCTCGGAGCACGTGCTCGACGCTCGCTGGATGACTGTTTTTGCGGAGAATTGGATGAGCGAGGCCGCTTCGCAGGCATACGTTCGCTTCTTACAATCTTGATACCCGGTCCGAGGCGGGGGACCTTTTCCTTTTCTCATTATGATACCCACGCTCTCTTGGACGACTAGACTCACGAGGTGGATCGGATGGGTACTCGGTATGGCGCATGCACGAGGCGAACGGGATGGAGGATACCTACGTACAAGTAAGCATAGAATAATTTGTATTCCTTCCTGGTCTTGACGTGGCGAAGGGGGTAGTAGTACCGTTGTTGCTTTAAGCTTTGCTGCGCCGCCCGTATGTCTCAGTCCCCACGTTTCATCGAAGTGCATACATTGCTCCTTCTTTCCCTCCCAGCTTCTCGGTGACATTGCTCTTTCCTTGCCAACATCTCAGTTAGAGAGGTCATCTCACGGCTTTGCCACTCCACACAATCTCTCCACCCGCTATTCTATTCCATGATAATCGCATCTTTCCCATCTCACCGTACTTCAGACGGTGCTGTATATCTCCTCTCCAATCTCCATCCAGATCGTTTCGAATCAGACAGAACTCAAAAGGGGTACGTGGTCTAATTAGCATGACGCTCTCTCTCTCTCTCTCACACACACACACACATATAGCGAGGAAGGCGATGATTTCTTTTCCTATGACTAGCGTGCCTCCTGGTGTGGTCTTACACCTAAGCGCTGAATTTTTACTTTCCCATTACCGCAGCTTCCCGTCTTGGGGAGGTGCGGGAAGTAGTGAGAGAATGGGGGCAGACGGGAGTACATTTTACATTTCTAGGACTATGGAATTATTAAAGGCGGCAAAGGAAGAAGCGGAATGACGCCGGGACGCCGGGGCCAGGGCTGTGACCAGCCTCAATCAGTGGTGTTGACGGCGCTCAAGGAGTGTGGACCTCAGGAATGATGTTGTAGATGAAATGCTTTTTCGTCACCACGCTCTCTCCCGGATCCAATTTCTCCTCCCTCGGCCCGTAATAGTAGGGCTTGATATACGCGAGCTTCCTCGGCCGATCCGCCGCTTCCAGGACCCTGCTCTCAATCTCGATAACGCCATTGCCGTTGTCCAGAAGACCTGCTGGCATTCCTTTTCGCCCATCGTCTCGGTGTTGTCGAGGTCGCGGTAGCGGATGTTGAAGGTCTGGCGGAAGTCGACTTTGACGTAGGCGGCGCCGTTGGAGACGGTGACGGTGTCCCATCCTTTGTTCCAGAAGAGCTGGTCGGTCAGGTTGACGGAGGTGTAGGCGGTCCTTCCTAGCATGTGCTCGTGGAGGGCGTACTCTTTGGCGCAGTGTTCTTTGATGGCGCGTCGGATGGCGGGAGCGGGGACGTCTTGGTGGTGCCCTAGCGCTGGCTCGCGCGGCCAGCATTTGTTTTCCAGTGGGTGGAAATACTGCTTGTCCTTCTTCTTGGTGGGGCGGAACGGGTTCGGCTTCTGTAGAGGTGGGACACATTAGCGTATGGTCTCAGGAGACGGGTTTTCTAGAGGGAGGGGCCCACGCGGGAGGGGAGGCCAGGCCTGGGGGCATTCAAGGGTGAAAGACGATACTGAATCCTTCTATGATGTGTTGCCCCACATACGCACCTTTGAGTCACGGTCGCCGTAATAATGCGGTGGCGCAGGGGCGGCGGTCTGGCTCGCCGGGGGGAAAATAGTGAAGCGGCTACCCTTCTTGATCTTGTACGGCTTATACTTCATCTTGCGACCGCCGTGCGGCATATAAACGGGTCCTTCGCAGTGCGAAGGCACCTTCCAGCTGTTGAAAGCCGCGGCGCAAGTCGCCTTCGGATCGCCGTCTATGCTGCGGTGGTAACGATATGTGTTAGCAAAAGTCTCAGCCAGAGCGTCGGGGGTGTGGGTACTAGCGTTTCTTATGTCCTTATCCGTTGAAGGCCGTCAAGAAGGGTCTTCCAGAGCCAGAACTAGGAAATGCTGGCATGTGCGCTGTGGCATACGTACGTACCGCTGGACATACTCCTGAACCTCCCTCAGCGCATTATCGAGTGGACCGTCATAGACGAACGACTTGGGAAATACCTTGAACCATTCCGGGCCGTCCTCATACTTGAGGGCCCGAGAGTTGCCTTTTCCATCTTCCTCACTGTAGACCGGGACGAAATAGCCATTGTAATTGGCGATGCAGACAGCTTTCCTATCCCTCCTTGCACTATCAAGGTAAAAAAGGAAGTTCCTCGTGATCGGCAGTTCCGGAAGGGAAAACACGTCCAGGCGCGCCTTAGTGGGTTGGAGATGAGGATGGTATTTGGGATCATAAGGCGTGGTATTGCCGTTGTAGACCGGATGCCATTTGGTCTTGGTGGGAGAAGGGGTTTTCGTGGGAGGCGGGCCAGGGGTGGGAAGGGCGGTAAGGAGGAAGGAAGGGAAGGACAGAAAGAAGGAGAAGAAGAAGAGTAGAGGCTAGGTGCATTTTGGATGGTGGTTCGCCTTGAATTCTGGGGAGGCCTTTCGAATTGTGACGAATTGTAGAGAGAAAGTAAGTGGGGAGGGAGGCGCCTACTTTATGTACTAAAGGTAAGTAGCACTGGGATTTGGAAGGGACGCACTACTGGTCTCTTGGGCGTCAGCAGCTCCACGGTATGCCCTTCCTTATGACGCCCCTTCTGTAGCGTATTCGCTCAACGAAGCTGATATATCAAAGCAATCCAGGTTCTACACGTCTACAACCAGGGCAAGCTACGGCAATGATGACGCTTTGAGCATCTTGGAACGTTAAAGAAGGCGTTTCCAAGGAAAGATCCAATGCGAAAAGTTCAGTAGAGCGAACGGTGACGAAACGCATCTCTTCTTTGGCAAGTCTGGATGAAGAGAAGAGAAGAGTCACATTGGAAGAAACGTATACCTTCGACGAAAGAACCACGAATGTAGTTGTGGAACATGTGTGTTGGTGCACATTTCAAAGGTTGAGGTCCATTGCGTGTATAACGCTAGGCCGTAATGAGCTAGCTCATCCACTCAAATTTCTTCCTTCCAAAGTTTGATACGCGAAGCCTCCGACTTCTCGATGTTACCAGAGAAAGATACCTTTACTCTTCGCGTATGACGCTTTCTCCAAAGTTGATGAAATTATGCATGTACGATTTCCTCGCATGCTTTCCACTCGAATAGCACGCTCATTCTCGTCGTCCAATCCAGAATTTCTCCGTTGCCGCGCCGCTAAACCTCCGCGGCTTCATCCCCCCATAGCCATCTTCTCTAGGTTTCTGAGGACTCGTACGGAAATTGACCGAACAAGTTTCTCCAGCCATGCTGATCTGGAAAATCCGCTGCGAACCCCTCAATATATATACTTCTGGCCATGCTTGGCGCTGCTCGATATTGCAATAACCGAACGTGGGCCGGGATGGAGCTGTGGGTATATATAGGAATATGATATTACCTTCGGTATAGATCACCGCTTTTCTAAATCCTCAGTTCTGGTGTCTGTTCTTTGTGTGGTCATTCCTTTTCTGCTTCTAGCCAACGACACACGGCCATGCATTTCCAATCGATCACCCTAGCCCTCCTTGCGTGCTCGAGCACGGCTTTTGCAGCTCCTACTGCATCCCAGCCCTACTCAACGTGGATGGCAACCTCCTTCCAATCCAAGTCCCAGTCTAAGATAGACCGCCATTACGTCGCCAATGTCTTGTACGAAGGCATCCAAAAGGCGGCAACGCTCCACCAAAACGCCTCGTTACTCTCGTACGCTTCGAAAGCGATTTCCTCACTCGTTGTAGCTAACGGAACGTTGCTTGGATGGGATCCATACTACTACTCCCTCGATGACATAAGAGTTGGAAACAATATCTTGTACTTCTGGGACTCAGAGGGAAGGAAGGAGAAGAAGTACGAGATTGCGGCCACGGCGCTCCGGAAGCAGCTTGATCGATATCCCAGGACGCCGAGCGGAGGCTTCTGGCACCGTGACCCGCAGTACAAGAACCAAATGTGGCTCGACGGGATCTACATGGCCGAGACCTTCTACGCCACCTACACTTCGTACTTCCAGCCCGATAATACGACCGCCTGGGAGGATATCGCGCGCCAATTTGATCTCATCGAGGAGCACTGTCGAAACAAGACATCCAACCTGCTGGTCCATGGATACGACGAGAGCAAGATGGCAGTTTGGGCTGATCCGGTAACGGGCGCGTCGCCACATGTGTGGGATCGCGCTGTTGGCTGGTATTTCATGGCCTTGGTAGAAGTGCTACAAGTGTATCCGAAGGACTTACTCGGCTACGGACGCTTGCAAGGCTATGCCACAACACTCGCTGAGGGTCTGAAGAAAGCGCAAGACAAGACCGGTGGATGGTGGCTCGTGATGGACGAGCCGTATCCTGGGATGAAGGGGAATTATATCGAATCAAGTGCAACGGCTATGTTCACCTATGCGTACCTGAAGGGAGTAAGGACGGGGCTATTGGAGGAAGGGTATAGAGATACGGCGAAGAAGGCGTACGATTTGATGCTGGACAAGTTTGTGAAGCATGAGAAGAATGGTACGCTTAGCTGGGAAGGAACAGTTGAGGTTGGAAGCTTGAGTGGTAACGGCAGCTATGAGGTGAGTGCCATTTTGGATCCGAAAGGAACGGTGCTAATGAGCAAGCAGTATTATATCGGCGTGCCGTTGAGCGAAAATGATGGAAAGGGTGCTGGGCCGTTCATGTTTGCGAGTACAGAGATCGAGATGCTGTAGATTTCGTGACTCAGGAGTACACAACACAACGAGAGAACAACATCCTGATGATCATTTCGAAGATACATCTTTAAGCAATCAAGTTAGAAATGATACGAGGCATCTCAAGGGATAGCGTTCCCACCATTAGCAGCGGAGCCGTAATCGGCGCCAAGCGGCCTTACCCGTTCGGGACGGTCCGCGGCTCTCCCCAACTTCTATGAACGAACAATCTATGGTCCCTCTATCATTTCCATGATGTGGAGAACAATGCCTTTTCCATCGCTCAAGACAAGCTACGATGCGTCAAGTCGGCACGCTCATGCCGAGTTTGTGTCGTCATAGCCACAAAAATAGCTCCGCGCGATCAGGAGACGGTCCCCTGGGCAACCATGTGGAGCCACTCACCACGACCGCCTCATGTAGACCGCCTTATGGCTGGAGCGCGGTTGAAGGAAGTGACAACCCTGGCTACGCTCTAAAGGTTTCCTCATATTGATCGTCCCTTCTCTGCAATTACTCCTCTCGCAACTAACACACTCGCTCACCCCAACAAGCGGCACAGCAGTTACAGCTCCCGTCGGTCGAAAAACCACCCCGCCGCTGCTCAGCAAAGGTAGACTCATATCCACGCAATCTTCTACGTCCTTCGCAAGCTAATTCCCGACCCAGAGCTCTCCAACACCCCCACCATGTCCTCCGTCGCCTCCTCCGCAGCGCCCAGCGCAACCGGCTCGACCTGCTCCACCGCCGACTTCACCCAATTCCCAACTACCGACGTAGCGTGCGCCGTGGGCGGCACCAGCGGCGTCCCTCAAAACTACTCTGATATCCTCAAAGACTGCTGCAAGACCGCGCCGGTCGAATCCTTCGCCGATAACTGCGCCCTCTACTGCCTCTCCGTCGACCAGTCCGTCGCCGATCTTCAGAAATGCTTCCAGGACGGTGGAGTCAATGCGGCGATGATCTTCTGTAGCGGGAATAATACGGCTACGGCGACCGGAACGCCGGATAGCACGAGCAATCCTACGGCGTCGGGAACGCAGGCTGGGAGCACGTCGGCGCAGTCTACGGGTGCGGCGCCGGCAGTGGTTCCTACCCAGGGAGTGTCGAAGGCAGGATTGGGGATGCTGGTCATGGTCGTTGTGTCTGCTGCTTTCGGGGTTATGCTGTGAGGGGGTGAATAACGTCTGAGGGTTGGGGAAGGTTATGTGCCGTGAACACGGAAGCAGCAGGGAGTCCTGGGTTATACGGCTAATCATTGCACGGTATGGGAGAATTGGCGTGGTCTTTGAGGCTGTGACCAACATCAAGAATGAATACGAATCATAATATACACCCCGTTCTTTGGATGACATGTTATGGGTTACATCTGGCAAGGACAGCTCGTGTCTGAACCTGAAGTAACACGTTGTCGCGACCGATTGGATACCTGCTACCCCTCTGTCGCCCGGCGGCCTCCTGTTGTGCTGTAGACAGCCTTTTGAGGTGTTTCCGCGAGTACTTATCGATCAAGGCATCAAGGAAATCCGTGTGTTCCCATGGTCTGTACCCCTCGGGGTATCTTCCCTTTGACAACGAGTTAGTCCATGATGTCGTTCTTCCAGGCGCAGGCCGAAGCTTACCGGCCATCTCTTCTTCCATTCGTTGAAGTCGTGTTTTCTTTCCAGAGAGATCTATATGCTCCCAGGACGGTCTAGTCCTCTACCTAACACTTCATGCCCTTTTTCACCCCCGTACTTACGCAAAGATGCATCCGAGCAAGTAGGGGCCATCAACGGGAACCATGGCTCACTCACACCTCTACCTGCTGATTACCAGCACCCCAGCTTCAGGCGAAAAGTTGACCCAAACGAGAACCAACACGAACTATCGCAATAGCCTTAACAAAACCTCTGCCTCCAGCTGTCCATTTCTTGGTGTGCTGAATCATGTTTAAAGAGGGCCATCAATTCAGTGATGAACGTCGAAGCTTGAGCCAGCCATTGGATAAGAATCATAGGTTGCCAGTCACACTTTAGCCCACGAGCGCTGCATACCTTATAGAAATCTTCTCTTTCGGCATTATTACTCCCATTTCGAGACTGGTCCTTGGTCATGTGTATTCCTAACGTATGCCCATACCTAGGTACTGATCGCATGCATGACTTTAGCCAGGATATTGCTCGCAGCTAATCTCGCGCATGCACTCTCCTAGCGTACATGTCCCTTTCCACGCTCTTTATATGAGCTATGCTTCGGCCTTCGCTTATTTTCTTCATTCTGGGTCGCGCGGTGCTACTCCGAATGTTACTTCCAAGTGCCATCGACTTTGACAACGTCGCATTGGGAATACGATGGCGAAAATTCGTAACGCTTCATATACTCGCGGCGAAGTCGGGGTAACTTTGCTCTGAGTATTTTACCTTCGCATTTTTTTCCCCTTGCAGCTCTGGTTGTTGAGAAGAACTGGCACTGCGCGATGTTGGCCTGCATCTTTCTCATGGGTTTCGCATTCCTGCGCCGAGCGATAGCAGTCCCGACTGACTGCTCTATGGCTGTACATCTCCCTCTCTTTCCCCAATGATTCCATACTAACAGCATCATCTAGGACTCCACACGCTGCGACTGCATGTACGCCTACTCCGCTAACAGCACCACCACGCTCCCGGGCACCGACTGCCGCGTATGCCGCATCAACGGCGACCTAATCTGCCATCTCTGGGGCGGGCCGTCATTATACGGTCCGCTCTGCGAGTCGAAGACGTGTCCGCAGGGCAAGAGCTGGCTGGACGGACCGCAAGGCTGCGAAGGGTGCTATTGCGATTGGGGGATTAAGCAGCATGAGCGGATGCCATGTCCTACCCCTGTAAGTTTAACTTTTCCGTTCCACCGTCAAGGGCTAGGAATAAGAGGGATGGAAGGAATGGAAGCTGATAAGTGGATTGTAGGCTGGGGATTGTAAATGTGAGTACGTTGCGTATAAGGGGGATGAGATAGTGAAGAAGAGCCTGCCCAGCGAGAGGTGTACGGTGTGTCCTTCCGCGGGGGCTGGAGACCCGTACTTGTGCACCGAGACGGGGAATATGAAGAATTCGTACGGGCCGCTGTGCATGGGGAGTGAGATAGGGCCGGAGTGTAGGGGAAAGGACTGTGTTTGTAATTGGATGGCGACGACGGAGGGGCCGGCGTGGAAGAACGAAACAGCGTAGGTGATAGCCTAGACCTCCGAAGAGAACCTTGAAAAGGTTACGCTAGCTTGGATTGAGAAATTGGGATGACGGGATACTGAGACAAGAAGAAAAAATAAGCTTAGCAGGGTAATACTTTTCTTTTTGCTTGACTAAGATGACGATGCCATGTTAAGGGGATGTATACCTATTACAATGCCCTCATATATGCAAATGCTGTACACGTGTATCTATGCGACTGGTATATTGGTCGAATGCAAATACTCCACCCAACCCAGAATGCGAATCCATAATGCAAATCCTTGACCCGGACGTCTCGCGCTTGTCCGCCTACACCTGCACAGGCCACCTCTTCCGAATCTTGCCGCCATATTTATAAATCAGCGCCGGGAAGGGAATCATAGCGACGGCCACGAAACCCAGAAGCGAATTGCCCCACCCAAGCCCGAGACTTTCGTACATGCTAGGACCGGCAAGCGGCAGCACGGCGCCGAAGAGACATCGGATGGACGTCATGCCTGCGATGGCGGAGGCTGCGTACTGCGGGAAGGCATCGACAAGATAAGTCTGGATGGGTGCGAAAATGCCCATCATGCCGAAACCGAAGGGGAGAAGCCCGATTATAGGGACAACCCAGTGAACGTGTTGGTCTGTTCCCCAGCCGTACCTGCGGGTTGTTAGCATCCGTCCTTCCTACTTCAAAGATTGGTGCGCATAAAGTGGAGCATGCTTACCAGAAGAATGAGATGGGAATCAAGAAGCCGAAGAAGACGCATGTCGGTAAGCGCATCTCGGGCTCGTAGACGTTGTTGTTCTTCTTTGTGAGACGGATGATAGTAGCGTCCGAAGTCCTCGCAACGAAAATGATGCCCATGAAGTTGCCTAGACCGACGCCGAGGTAGGCCAACCCACAGAGTTCGGGTGACCAGCCATAGGTCTGGATATAGACCTGGGTGATAGTGGTAAAGAGAAGGAAGAGTAATCCGAAGACAAATGACATGTACAAGCTGAGGAGAAGCACAATTGGCGACTTGAAGAGCAGCTTGAGCGGTCGAATGAAACCCTGCTTCAGGATGTTCTTGCGGCTCCGGGCAGCAGCGTCCTTGTTATGGGTGAGAATGTTCTGCAACTCCGGGCGCTCGAGTTCCTTCCGGAGCCGGTTCGTCTTCCAGTCGAGCAGGACAACGTGGTTCGTCTCGCGATTCAAGACAATAATGCCCGTGGTGAGGATGCACGCAACGATGAAGACGACCCAGAAATCCCATCTCCAGCCTGCCCTCTGCGCAATGAAGCCGCCACAGATAGGGCCGAGGACGGGGCCGAATAAAATGCCGAGAGAGTACATGGCCATGGCCTTGCCGCGCTGTTCTGTGGGGAAGAGATCGGAGATGACACCGGATCCAATAGTCAGACAGGCGGAGCCTCCGGTGCCGGCGATGAGGCGCATGACGATGAGGCCGCCTAGGCTAGGAGCGAGCGCGCAACCCAGGTTGAACGCACAGAAGACGACGTTGGACACATTGAGCACAATGCGGCGGCCATAAATCTCGGAGAGCGGACTGAGGAAGAGTGGCCCGACCTGTCGTCAAGTTAGCTAAGTGGTCTACGTCGGGGGGTTAGGGTGTTTTATACGTACAGCAAATCCCAAGACGAAGACACTGACGGAGAAAGCGCCTAGAATTTGTGACGAGTTGTGGAAGGCTGCATTGACAAAGGGGATTCCGGGAGCGAAGATGGACGAGGCCAATGGACTGAGGAAGGTGATGGCGGAAACGAGGCCTAGAATGAACCACTTCCTCCTCTCCGCGAAGTTCCTTCCGATTGTTAGCTAAATACATTCTTGCCAGCATTAAAGATGCTCACCTTGGATGTGTAGGGTCATCTTGACTTTCCCATCCGACCAGGTTATTCTCCAAATCCATCACCGGATATACCTCAGGCGTGAGTCTGTGCTTCCTACTACTCTTTCTCGAGAGGTGCTTCTCCAGTTCACTTCCGATGTCATCTTGGGTGTTTTCGGGTTCCTCGATGCTAGTCAGCTCTAGGGTCGGAGCGGGGTTTGCATGCGAACCCACCTTCTCCACAGCTTCCTCGACGTCCATCTCGGGGCCAGATTGGGCCTTTTCCACGTCGACATTCTCATATTCGGAGCTTTCCCTCGAGGGGATGTCCGCCTCGTCCTTCGCCGGCATCACTCCGATGGGATCCGGCCTTGCCCTTTCGACTATTGATTATTTCTCGGGAGTCGTCCGAATCGTGTTGAGAATCGTTTGGTTGCGAAGTTGCAGGCTGCGCTCTCAAATTGTGACGTCGAAGTGCCAGGAAAACGTGGATACAGAGAAACAAATGTACAGAGAAAAGAAGCAGAAGGCTCGGAAAAGCAGACACAGCTGTCTAATACGGAGGCAAAATATCACGGCCTGGACTTATGGGCAGCGTATCTCCGCAGACGCTATTCCGAATGGGGATAGTCGGCTCGGTGCACGGCGTTTGCGAGAGCGCGAACGTCGAGGATTGCGTCCTCACACCTCCACGGGACCCTCAGTGTGCAAACAAAGGAGTTGTAGGTGGTTTGCATCGATCCAGGAGGCGCAGTTGGTGTGATTGCGTCACTGGCCTATCGCAATTTGTCCATCGTGATGCCGTGGCACTGTCTGGGAGCCAGCAACATGGTCTCGGAGGGTGCGCATCTTTCGGTCCTGCAGCCTTACGGCATCGCGGCTCGCGCCTTACTCGGTGCCCTTCGCCGTCTGCTGTGCGCCGAACACGAGTTCCACATGCCACCATCTCTTTCGGGCCCGTGGCTGGTGATAAACTGCCAGGGAGACCGGACGAAAAGTTTGCCCAAAATATGAGACTGAAGAGGTTCAACGAGAAGTTTGACAATGAATGAGAGGTACGATTGGGAAACGATACCTCCTAAGGTATAGCACCTGAAGCCCTTCTGATTCACTTACTGCATCGCGGCCTCTGCGAAGCGAGCCCCCAGGCTGTGCTCACCCTCCCTGAGTAGATTCGGATCCGAGCAAGTGAGCCATCCTTCTGTCGGGCGGTTCCCGCACGGAGTACGCGTCGTCGGCGCAACGTTCGTCCATCGAAACGGTGAAGGGTCGGTGTAAGCCGGCATGCGGCGCAAGAGCTAAGTAACACAAGACTCCTGTCCCTGGCTGACGTTCGTGTTGTGCGACGCGCAGAGGTTGTCATGTAGATTTCGGGTGTCAAAGCTGAGGACCGTTTGGAGGTCGTTGAGTTTGGCATCTGACAACGGGAGCTAATAGGGCGTCAGCATCATCACAAATAGCCATGAATGATGTGCAAGGATAGGCATGTTGGCAAGTAAAACATCGCGAATGGAGATTTTGGGACGCTAATGAAGGGGAGCAAAGATACTTAAGGAAACACGATCGGCTCTCCGCAGCGCAGCACCGGCATCAAGCCTAGTCGCGTAGCGGTTCGTGGGTCAATTGTTCAAAAGCATCGGGAAAGCGTCTATTGAACTCTTTATACTCCACTAGTATATTCACTGCGTTGGCGATATCCATCCTCCCGCAGAACGTACGCATTTATTCGGTGTCCGAGCCAGACAGCAAAGTACGGCAACTAAAACCTCCGAAGAGCAAATAGCCTCCAGCGCCATTAACCTCAAAATACCTCCCCATCCGTAGTCCCATAAAGGCATCTCAGCTTTAGATCATTGCACGCCTCAGGCGTTCGTCACCTCACCTCAAGCCGACGCCTACCCACTAAGAAGATCCTTAACACTCATTCCCCTCCCGCCTCCATTCCAGCTCCTGCGGTCCGTGTTTAGCATTAACAGTGCCTCCGTAGCCTCATGATCCTCCCGGTCTGCCTGCGGGCCCAGCGCTGGCGAGGTCAGAGCGAAGTTTCCTCCCGCCGGGCCGGATATGGAACTCTTGCTCGAGGGCGCCGTAGGGAACGAATTCTGGAACTGAGACTGCGAGGGTGTCTGGCTCCCAAACGCGGGCGATGCTTGCACGGATGGCGACGTGGCTGTCGACCGTATTGAGGAAGCTAGGGAGTAGTGGTGCGGATCGGAGGGTTGGAGAGCCGGAGACATTGTCGTAGAGTAGTGGCGCGCGTCGCCCGGGTGGATGTTTGGAGACGTCGTGGTGGAGTAGCTCCGATCTGAAGGGTAGATTGCAGGTGATACGTTGGTGAAGTGGTAGGTCTGTGCGTGCTCTGTGGTGGTTACATGCCTTGGGGATACTGCGTCGGACATCTCCTCATCCTCGTCTTCCTCTTCGTCGTCCTCATCTTCGGGCACATCCTTGTGGGTCGGAGGGGGCGCGGGGTCCTTCGGCGTTGATGTAGGTGTGGGAGAAGCTCGTCGCGAACGATGCGCAGCCTTCAGGTCATCGACGCATTGCTGCAGATAGCGCATGTACTCGATGCTGGCCTTTGTGCTCTCAGTATCACACTACCGCATAAAGCAGGATCTGTAACCTACCTGCAGGATTGCAAGCTTGTGCATTTCCTGTCCCGCGCATGCTGGTATCATATCCTTGAGCACGCCGAACTCCTCGTTCATCTTCGACCTCCTCCTGCGCTCAATCAAGCTATGCGCCGTCTTGCGTGCAATCTTCCGACCCGCCGCTGAAGTTCCTCCCGGCTGCTTCCGCTTTCCTCCTGCTGCGGTCCCAGGGACCGCTTTCGCATTGGAAGTGGGGGAAGCGCTTTTGGGTGGTTCTTGCGATTCTTTGGGCTTCATTTGGATGATCTTGCGCGAGCGCGTCGGCGGCGGAGGAAGAGAGTAGTCATCTCTGGTGACTACGCTTTGGCCGGTACTTGAACGTTTGCGCGAGGCGGAACCGGTCTTTGTGGTTGCGACGGGAGAGGACGGGGAGAGCGGTCGATAGGAGGAGTCGGAAGCATTCGATACTGCAGAGGAACTCGAAGCGTCGGTGCTGCCTCTACTACTGCCGTTGATTGCCGCCGGAGGCAGGGCAAAGGCGGCGTCGAACTGCCCAGCATTCGTGCTGCTCTTGCCCGTGATATCGGTCGATGGGGCAGGCGTCGGCGGGAAGCTGGGACGCGGCATGATGGGTCGTTGACCTCCCTTCCCGCTCATCTGTGAGGAAGCAGCACTACAGGCGGGCGGCGCGGCTTCTGCTCGAAGGCGAAGATGAAGGGATGCAGAGGAGAGCGAGGAAGCGTCGGCGCGGGCATAATGACGGTGTCGCGTGGGCAGAGTTCTGTGAGCAGCAATCGCATTGTCGAGGCTGGAGCCGACCAATCAGAGGCGGCGAGGAAGGCACGCCTCCAGTCGCTCATGCTCGCATGCCCGAACTCAACGTCCACCATCTCCAACCACAGCCAGTGAGCTCGAGGCGTGGTCTGCGCGTGCGCTATGGAAAGATAATGCCCCTCGATGAACATCATGCCCCAGTTTTGAGTCGATCTAGATGATAGGCGGGAATGCCGACACATGCATCAGACCATTCTGCTGCTGGGCGAGAACTGGTGGCCCGGATACATTTCACATGTGGGCTTTATTGCGCGGGATATTGGTGCAAAGTCGGTAAGTGTAGCGAACACGGGGCGATAATTCATCTTTGCGTTCTGAAGCAGCAGGGGAAACCTCTACGTAGTGTTGAGCGCCCAAACTCTCCCGCTCCACGGGCTGGTCTCGAACGAACCTTTTAAGCCTGTCAAATAGCGCCACAGGGAGATCAGGGTCTCAAACGGGTACATGTGAACCTTGGCAGCTTTGTTCATTTTCAAAAACGTCACTAGATGCTGCAGTGTGGTATCTAATTCCATAGCCGGCACGTCCCATCAGCTCCAGCGCTCACACACCACGGCTCCCGAGGGTGCCATTCAACGTCCATCGCACCTAGCCTGCTCTTCACTTTGTGGCCCCTCAGCACCTTCAGTGGCACAATAGTTGCATTTTCCATCAGGTCTCCGACCACCTTTCCGTGGAAGATCTGCAAACTCCCGTCGTCGCTGGCGTCGGCGAACAGTGGCAATCCGCCTTGATGAAAGCGCACCGCGCGGATAGCCTCCTGGTGGAAGCGTAGAGTCTTGTAGGGCTTGGTGGACAGATCCAGGTCATGCCACAGCAGCCGCTTGTCATATGTGCCTACGATGATGTTGTCGCCGCCAGGATGAACATCGATCGACGATATCCACTTGGCACCTGGCTGCAAAATCTTGACGAGTTCTTGCTTCGCAAGATCGTAGCTGCGGATCGTGTTTCTGGTGGCAACAAAGAAGATGGCTTTGGAGGGATGGAATTGCGCAGTCTGAGCAATACCTTTGAGACGTCGGAATGGCAGTTGAGTCAGGTGCTTGGACAGAGTGTGAATAGCAACGGCAGTGCTCTGCCCCCGGGGCGACACTGTAGCGAAGTAGTCTCCCTTCCTGTGCCAGTTGATAACCTTGACCATAGACCGGACCGTGACCTGAACCAAGACACCTTTGTGCTCCAGACTGCTTCCAGGTCGACTCCACTTGCCCGGAGGTTCTTTAATCGCTCCATTGGTAGTTGATGAAGGCTTCGATGCCGCATAGCCCCATCCAGCGTCTAGAACGTCGCGGCTGTGTTGCTCCATATCCGGTGATAGGATCGTGAAGGGGACAACGAGGTAGATCGTCTCTCCGGCAGCTGCGGCAAGGATAGAGCACTCTGTATCCGGCCGCCACTTCACCGTATCCACAGCATCCTCATCCGACAGTCTTGCTTGCCAAACTTCGCGCCCGGTCAGAAGCTCCCAGATGCGGACAAAGCCATCATCCCCACCACTGGCTAGGAAAACACCATGTGGATCGATTGATACACTGCGGACACGGCCTTGCTGACCCCTGAAGATGGCTGCACATGTAGTAGGAAATGGCTTCAGATCGTCCGGATTTGGCAGTTTCGGTAGCAGCGATTCGGGATCGATATTAAGCTTATTCCGCCGGACACGAGGCGCAAGGTAGAGATCTAAACTCCTCTCGAACCTTTCCTTCACGAATCTTTCGTAGCCAGGGACTTTGCGTAGAGCATCGTAATTCGCTGGCAAATAATCTTTCTCTCGGTCTTCTTCGTCAGCCGCGAGCCACGCCTCCTTCTCTGCCTTGTCCGGAAGATACTCGGGCGGTGGATGGTAGCTTGCATCGTACCCCGGTGGAGGTAGTTTCGGTGCAGGTAGATGCATGGAGTTCTCCGGGCGCGGTTTCTCGTCGGCCCAGACGTCGTAATATATTCTTTCCTCTTCGTCGTCCTCTTCCCCGGGGGGCTTGTAGGGCTGGATTCGACCCTCTCTTATGGCCTTGACGATCTTCATCACACGCTTCGCTTCATGCTTGGAAGGCACAAAGCGTCGCTTTGGCTCTGGTGCAGCACTCAGAGGCATAATCTCCTGCTTGCCGGAGAAGTAGTACACCATCTCGGGATAGGGGTCGTAACCCTCTTCCACGATCTCATTCCTTGTGAGCTTCTTTAGCACGTCCAGCTCCTCTTCGGAAAGATTCAGCGGCTTCCCTGTTGCGGGATCCGTCAAGCCCGTCCAGCCCTTAGGTATGTCGATGCTATCCAGCAGAGCATCCAGCGCCTCACCCTTCGCAGGCCGCATGATTTTCCTCCCGTTTATGTCATAGCCAATGTGCGGATATTTGTCATAGTACGAGAGGGGAATATTGCCGATGGTGTTGGTGGTCGCTGGTGCGTCTGAATCGTCTGAATCATAGACAGGATCGATCTCATTGTACAGGTAGCGCGGGTTGCCATTGGCATCGATGGCCACCGTGTAGTTGGGCTTCGGGTCCTCGTCTTCTTGTCCGTCAAGCTCGCCGTTTGTTACAGAATCGTGCGCGTTCGTGAGAATGGCATCGGAAACGATCCGCTTCGAAGGGTGGTCCGTCGTTTTTAGATTGCGAAGTTGCTCTCGTATGTCTGCCTCATTCCCCCCTTCCTCCTCAGCTTCTTCTTCATCCTCCTCCTCATCATCCTCGTCCGATAGGCCTCCAATCACACTACTAGCTTCGCTTTCTGCATCCTCGTCCGGGCTGACGCCCGACTCGTCTTCGCTATGTGACAAGATGCCGTCGAAAAGGCCGTTGGCCAGTTCTTCTTCCGAGCCGCTTTCAGCAGGCGCATCCCGCGTCGCGGCCTTCCTCTTGCGTGCGTTAGGCGCCATCGTTCAGCGTCCGCACAAGATTGCACGCCTCAGTTCTGTTTTCCACCGCTCCCAAAAATTTTGGCAATCGATAGGCGGCGCCAAGATTTCGGTGGTCCGCGCGCGTCACGTGCCGTGCTTCAGCCTCGCCGCTAGCCGCGACCTAAATTAGCGCAAACGGGGCTCGACTTCACCTCGAGCTCGCCAACCTTTTTTCCTTCAACTGCAGCGCCCACAACAACAGCAATTCCGCAAGCCATCTCGACAACCGCCCTTGGGGAACGCTGCCGCACTGATCCCACACAGTATTACTCCGCAAGCCGCCATGGCTTCCCGACGGGCTGATTCTTCAAGGTCGTACTACGACGATCGCGGAGGGGGTCGTTATGCGCCCCGCCGCGACGACGACAGGCGCGATCGGTACGCTCGTGACGACCGACGCGATGACCGGCGGGACACTCGCCGCCGAGACGACAAATACGACCGCGGCCGTGAGGACCGCTCCCGCAATGAGCGTCGCGACCGCGATGCCTATCGCCGCCGCTCACGTTCACCATCACCTCGACGAGATCGCTCCCGTGACCGCTATCGCGACGACAGGGGCAATCGCTATGGCCGGGTTCGAGACTACGACGACCGTGATCGCGACCGCGACCGCCGTGAACGCGACAGGCGTGATCGCGATGCCGGTCGGCGCAATGAGCGTCGTGGCAGTGACGATCGCCGCTCCACCACGTCAGGTGCAGACATGAGGCCCAGCTCCCGAGCAGGCGACATCTCTCGCGAAGAGAGGGAGAGGCGTGAACAAGCGAAGAAGAAACTCGAGGAGGATGCGCAGAAAGAGAAGATGGCTCGATTAGAGAAGTGGAAGAAGAACGCCATGGCGAAGAAGCAGGCGCAGGAGCAAGCTGAGAGCCCTGCGGCTGGGTTGTCCCCCGCTATCACGTCGCCGGCGACTCCGACCACCGCTTCCACGCCGCCGGCTGGTGAGGCAAAGCAGGATCTCGCCAAGCCCAAGGTTACCGCGAAGAAAGCTGCTGAGAAGAAGCTTAAGCAGGTTAAGGAGCCTTTCAAGCTTGACCAATCCGCCGCAGCGCGACCGGCACCATTCAAGTCTGCGGCCAAGGCTGCTACTACTGCTGCCACCGCTGCCACCTCTGTCACCAGTATGTGCCCCTCCGCCTCTGTCGCTGGCGCGTTGCTAACCAGAATAGACCGCCCCGCCGTACAGGCTCCGAAGACGAACGGCAACATCGGCTCCTTCGGCCTCAAACCCAAGCCTACCACCGACGAGGCAGAGCCTACCAAGAAAGCGTTGCTTGACGACGAAGAGAACACCGGCAAGCGTTCTCTACAGATATTGCCCGACTTCACGCCCATCGATACAGCGTCACCCGTGGCCTCTGACGGAGCCGCGATGAGCGATATCGGCAGTGACGACGAAGCAGACCAGGCCCAGCTCCAGGCGCGGCTAGAGAAACGCCGGGTCGAGATTGCCGAGGATGCACAAATGGAAGAAGCTCCAACCGCAGACGAGTCTGGCGAAAAGATGGACGTTGACGAGTCCGCAGGCGCTCAAGTCGACGATGTCGACCCCCTCGATGCGTTTATGGCTGACCTCACCGACACTCAACCCAACGGTCGGGCTCCGCCAGGTGAAGCCTTGTTCAACGCCGACCACGAGCCCGAGTTAACGGCTGTGGAGGGCGAAGACGGCTTCGCGATGACCAACAAGAAAAAGAACAAGCGGGAGGTCCCCACCGTCGACCACTCAAAGGTTCAGTATGAGCCCTTCCGCAAGAGCTTCTATAGCGAGCCGGCAGAAATCGCCGAGATGACCCCCGAAGAAGTCGCTGATCTACGCCACGAACTCGATGGCATCAAGGTGAAACCAGACAACGTACCCCGCCCTGTCACGAAATGGGCGCAAATGGGTCTGCTTCAGCAGACTATGAATGCCTTTGCCAAAGTCCGCTATGACAGGCCGACACCGATCCAAGCCCAGGCAATCCCAATTGCAGAATCGGGTCGCGATCTCATCGGCGTAGCCAAGACCGGTTCCGGAAAGACTCTTGCCTTTGGTATACCAATGATACGTCACATCTTTGCCCAGCGCCGGCTTAAGGCCGCTGACGGTCCGATTGGCTTGATTCTTGCACCCACCCGAGAGCTTTCCCTTCAGATTGTCAATGAGCTCAAACCCTTTCTCAAGGCCTCGAATCTGAACATTGCTTGTGCCTATGGTGGTGCGCCCATATCCGAGCAGATCGCGATGCTCAAGCGTGGCAATATTCACGTGCTCTGTGCGACCGCAGGTCGTCTCATTGACCTTCTGCAGAGCAACTCTGGTCGTGTCCTCAACTTCAAGCGGGTCACATATGTTGTGCTCGACGAAGCTGACCGTATGTTTGACATGGGTTTCGAACCACAGGTCATGAAGATCTTGGGTATCATTCGCCCTGATCGGCAGACCATCCTCTTCTCGGCCACCTTTCCCAAGAACATGGCGTCCTTGGCCCGAAAGGCACTCACGAAGCCTGTCGAGGTTATCATCGGCGGTCGTAGCGTCGTAGCGCCCGAAGTCAACCAGGTCGTCGAACTGGTCAAGCCTTCTTACGAGGCGAAGATCAAGGTGCTACTACGCGAGATTGGTACCCTCTTTTCGCAAAACGAGAATGCTTCCGTGCTCGTGTTTGTCGAGCGACAAGAGACGGCTGAGGATTTGCTGTCCAAGCTGATCAAATCCAAATACAGCGGTGTGAACACTATCCACGGTGCTAAAGATCAGACAGATCGTTCTGAAGCTATCAACGACTTCAAACGTGGCGTGCTTCCGATCCTAATTGCCACTTCCGTTGCTGCTCGCGGCTTGGATGTCCCGGGCCTCGCCATGGTTTTCAACTTCGACTGTCCTACCCACCTGGAGGACTATGTTCACAGGTGCGGACGTACTGGGCGTGCCGGTCAGAAGGGCACCGCAATCACTCTCATTGAGCAGCCTGGTCAAGAACGTTTTGCCATGCACGTTGCCAAGGCCTTGAAGCAGAGCGGACAGGAGGTACCGGCCGCCCTGCAGAAGATGTCTGACGAGTTCAACGAGAAGATTAAGCGTGGCGAAGAGAAATGGTATGCCCCCGGCTTCGGAGGTAAGGGGCTTGACAAGTATGACGAAATGCGCAAGAAAGAAAAGAGGCGTGAGAAGCGTGCGCTTAACATCGAAGGGGAAGAGGTGAGCGATGACGAGCCGGAACTACCACTCCCCAAGACTGTGGAGGCTGCTACGACGACAAACGGAGCAAAGACCACTGAAACCGCCCCTGAGCAGCCGGCTTACATGCAGCTTCTCAGCAACAAGATTATCGTCAACAAGACTGAGCGACCTTCCCCTGGCCCATCCAAGCCTATGACCGCCAAAGAGAAGGCTATGGCAGCAGCCAACAAGGTGGACGGGCGTCTGGGCAAAAAGAACACTATCCATCATGGCCAGCCTATCGACAATAAAGGCCCTGATGCTGGCGCGTTCCACTCTACTATAGAGATCAACGACTTCCCACAGAAGGCGCGATGGGCTGTTACCAATCGAACCAACGTCGTCAAGATCTTGGACGGGACCGGAGTCTCCATCACCACCAAAGGCAACTACTACCCACCAGGCAAAGAACCGGGAGAGAACGAACTGCCGAAGCTCTATATCCTTGTCGAAGGAGAGACAGAGAACTCCGTCACTACGGCGATGATGGAGATCACTCGCCTGCTCAGGGAGGCAACCATGTCTGCGGAGGATCCTTCGTCGGTCCGCGGACCGACTGGCCGATACAGCGTCGTCTGATGCATCTTGCTGAACAAGCTCAATCTCATGGTACGTACATATGCGTGATGTCCTGCCAGCCAAACTGTCTAGGTTTTCTTTCCTTCATTTGCATGGAACGGGCTGGAAGGGGTTGTGCTTGGACGGAATGGAGTTATGCATGGCTGGGATGGAGTTTTCGGCTTGGATGGTGATGGAGCATATCTGTCGGCTACTTGCATCTGGGTGGTCTTCTGAAAAGTGAGTGCTCCCGGCTTTGACCTTCCTAAGGATTCACTGATCGCCGCCACCTCTCCGCAGGTTTCTTTCTTTCATCGAACGGCATGGTTTCCCTCGTTCCACAGTGTACGAAAATTGAAGTGGCGAGACTGTCGTATTCGACTTGTAAGTGTCCTTAACGCAACGGGCCCTGATAAGCATACACTAACTATCGCGCAGGTCGCAACTCTTTCTCTCGGCACCCGACAACGACCGAACCAAACCGTTATCTAATAGCATCCGCTGATGGCAAAGCCTCGGCTTTTCTTTGCATGGTGAGGGGAGGTTTGGTGGTCTCGTGGTCTTTCTATGCCGCCTAGATGTTGGTTTAGCACCAGCACTGGATTCGCGCTGTAGATAGACAAATCCATGACCTTGAAAACTTCAAAAACGTCGGCCTCTTGTACTGGAGAGAGAAAGGGCAATCTAGCAAGTGAGTTGTCCCAAAACCCCTAGAGCACCCGACGCCAAGTCTGCTCTACCCATTCCCTCAAAGCTTAGCGCATGGTGCACCCTGCCGGTGTCCCTTCTACCCCGACGTATAGCAGCATCACCTTCCTGTTGCAGGGCCGCATTCGTTTTGTCGCAGGGAGGAGCAGTCGTCATCGTGTCGCGACCACTAGACCCGTTTTTCTGTTCTTCGCCACCTACGAGCTGTCGCTCTTATCGACGCTCGCCTAAGAATGCGCGTCAAATCGCCTACCCAACCTCCAGCAGCAAGACTCCCGCACCTATCCTCCTCTCACTACCTACCCTCGGCGGACCTATATCAGCAAGATCCTGCACCACTCGCCAATCACACTCCACACGCCGTGGAGCTCCATCGCCTCGTTCCTAGTAGGTATGGCGGCCTTGGTGGGGGATGGGATGCGTTTGAAGGACCGGGTTGGGACGGGTGGGAACGCTTTGAGCGGATTGAACGGGTTCGGGGATGGAGGAAAGATCGTTCAGAAGCTGAGACGTTTTGAGTGAGTCGGGTGGACAGGTTTGAACGAGGATAACGCGGATGTGAGTCATTATATTCCATTGTATTGCTTTGTAAGACATTACAGGAGGTGCTCAATTGCTCGAGAACAAGCCGTATCTTTCATTCCCTCAGTACTTAACAAAAAGGTACACCATCTGCAACTCCATCCGCCATAACCGGTCAGACCAGTCTACGCTTCATCGTCCTTCATCTACAAAAAGTACGCAAACACCGTTGTCAAAGCAGCAATGACTACTCCCGCAACACTGTAGCCCTTCGAGGGAGCCGCACTAGCAGAGGGCGCCGAGGCATCGAGCGCCTTACCATCGCTCTTCGTAATAACGTAGATCTCACCAGTGCTGTCCGAGGTCATGTAGAGGCGGCCGTTGCGGTCCCAGGCCAGGCCGGCAGGACGGAAGCAGTTCTCCGGGCAAGCAGTCGTGTTGCTGTTGCCGAGGATGGGCGTGAGCGCGCTGGTGGACGTCGAGCCTTCAGTGGGCTGCCCGTCGGAGCCAAACTTGATGACGGAGACGGAGTAACCGACAGGGTCTTCGCGGTTCCTGGTCGAGAGTCAGTGAAGAAGAACAAGAATGTGAGAACAGAATGACCTACCAGCTTCCGTGCAGAGAGACGTAGAGGTTCTCGCCCTTACTATCGAACTTCAGGTCAAGAGGCGAAGTGTGCGGCTGGAAGACCAAGCGCGGTGCCTCCCGATCGTTCCTGCAGAAGGCATCCTGCGTCGTCGCGTTCGCCTCAGCAATGGCAAACTGCTGGCCCACCTGGAGCGTACCGGCAGACGGGATCTCAGAAACGTTCCATACGCCATAGCAGAGCGGGTATCCGTAGTTCCTGTTCATGAGCGGGTTGTCGGCGTCGCTGGCAATGCCGTGGTAGTTGAGCTCCTCAGCGGGGTTGTTCTCGTGGATCTCGAAGCCGTCGCGCTCAATGTTGTCTGCGTTGTTCTCCGCGCTCCAGACACCGCCATCCTTGGGATTCTCCGCGACTCCAACGGCGTTGCGAAGACCCCAGGCAAGGGTCGTGCCCTGCTCGTAGTCGACGTCGCTCTTGGAGGGGTCGAAGATGCGGATCTGGGATTGCCCATTGTTGATGTCGACGGTGCTGAGGTCGATGTTCTCGTCGCTGCCTCGCGAGACAAGGAGCGTGTTCTTCTTCTTCTTGGAGAGGAGGAGGGTGCGGGTCACGGTGTCCTCGGTGGTCATGCCGCTTACGATGACCTTGCCGTCTCCCTTCACGGATTGGCCGTTGGAGTCGTATTCGTACTTGAGGACGGACTCCATGCTCGAAGCATAGAGCGTCTTTCCGTCATCTGAGACTTCAATGCCATGGTTGAGCTACCAATCTCGTCAGCATCACTCCCTGTGATATCATGCAGGACATACAGTGTTGTCTCCAACAACGGTCTTCTTGTTCTGCAGGCTAACGCAGGATCCAGTCCCTGAGACGGTGAACGAAGTGACGCCCACGCCCCTCTCGACGACCAAGAGGTTGTTCTTGTTGTCGAAAATGATGCCTCGCGGCTTCGTCAAGCCCGTAGCAACAAGCCTCGCCTCATATCCACTCGCTACAGAAGGAGCAGGGTAGCTTGCAGAGAGGGAGGGGCAGCTCTGGGCAAGAGCGCGCCCCTGGAGCGCCGCAATGGTAAGAAGAATTTCATTCAGCATATTGCTATAGCTTAATTGCGAGAGAACGAAGAGAGTCAAATGAAGTACAAATTGGAAGAGAAATTGACTTTGACCGGAGCCCTGGTTTGCAACCTAGTAACTGAAAGAAAGCGGGGCATGCTGCATGCTTCGACTAGGTCATATATACCCAGAGGTATGGAGGGTGGGAGGCAGCTTTCCCAACAGCAGCAACGTGCAGCATCGTGTCTTCCCCAAGTAGCCTCTCGCCTCTACTCCCCACGCGACCAAGACCGCACACGAGTGGTCAAGCCTCGACCAAGTATCACGCCCAGCAAGCGAGGAGAATCTCACACCACGAGCTGTAGAAAAAGCAACCCCAGCCGTCAGCACTGGAGAGGATTTTGCTGGTGCCGAGCTTAGGGACTAGGGTAGTTGGAGGACCCCAGAAAGCCCAGCCATGCGGAACGAACTGGAAAGCGGTTAGACATCGATTGTATTTTACCGGGACGGTGGATTGATGTTCGGGTTGCGGGCTAGTCGCCGTAGACCGTCGTGAGCCGTCACCTCTCTGGAATACCTTAACCAAAGCTTAGACAGGCCTGGTGCTTCTTATCATGCTACTACTGGAGCTCTTTCTCCTGCCGTCTCGATCTCTTGTCCATGCCTTTCGTTTGTGTTCCGGACGGTACCCGCTGCTCTTGATGTAGGGCCACCCTTCCGGCTCGTGATCCCTCCCCGCCCACCACTTCATCATGATAAGACCTCGATATGCGGGGCAGCGATGCCCCGAAGGCGTACTCCGTCGGCTTGGCTCGTGCTCTTCGTCCCGTCCCGTTGGTTAAATAGAGCTCCCCGCTTTAGCCGGCACTGGGAGCCTGGAGCGGGGTTGGTCTGTGCCAAGGTGAATGGAACCACGTGCGCTACCGGGCTGTCGGGTCGCTTCGTGTGTGATGATGCCGCAGATGCCGCGACCTTTGACACATGGCTTTATCAATCGCTAGGAAAAGGAAAGGCGCTGTACTAGAGACCACTTTGTTTGAATTGTGAGGTGAACCCAGGAAAGGGGTATCCCGAAGCGTGTGTGCTTGCCTTGAGCAGAGAGCAGACAAGAGGGCTCGAGGAGAAAGGGGGGTCCACCAGTATTCCGTTTGGTTGTTGCGGTGAACAGTTATTGATCAGGCGAGGTTGGTACGGTTCTTAGCCCCGCAAAAAGCAAGCCTTCGCTTGGATGAACGGGAAGCCTTAAAAGACCTCATGTGAGACTCCGGCATCTTGCTAGCTCCGGTAGTGCTTCAGTCAGCTTATGCAGAGCGAAAAATGGGGACCAGGGTGAAGCCTGTCTCCCCAATCCTTGACCGCGGCCAAGAACTATTTTGCAACGGAGTAGAACACCGCTGCAGTAATACAAAGGCAAATCAGTAGAATCGACATGCTCATGGGGGAACAAGTGAATTGGGATGGTCGTTTCCAAGGCGCTTTAGGAGAACGTAAGTCATTATGTGTAGTATGACCGATGTGTGCTGAAATCTGGTAGCCTACATCGAGCAAGCCAGAAGAGCGAAGCACGAGGGCCAGCATTAAAGATAGATGTAGATTGAGGAGGAGAGTACCGCTACTCATAACTTCAGAACATGCTCAACACGTCTCACTCCCTTCTTCTCGCTCCCCTACATATCTTTATCCTCATCTCTCCCCGGCCAAACGATCTCCCCCCTCATCACAGCCCTAACGCACATCCCCGCCGTAAAGCACCAAATAGCGACCAGGCCTATCGTCATCACACTTCCCACCCACAACACCCCGTCGCTCTCCAACTCCCTCCCAAGCATCACCGTCGCAACCGTAAAGCCGACATTCGGGAAGATAAACGCCCACCACGGCAGCGCGAAGCCCATGTGCGGAACCGCCCATACACACGCGAGGACTGCGATAGCGAAGAGCCAGAAGCTAAAGATCCAGAGGAAAATGCCGACGAAGAGGGCGAGCGTCTGCAAAGTGTCGGCCGAAGAAGGATGTGCAGCGAAGTAGCCGTAGGAAGGAGGGATGGCGCGCGCTTGCCCGATGAGCGCGATGATAGTATACGCTGCGCTGCCCACTGGGATGAACATCCCAGGACGTACGGGCGGAGGTGGCAGGCCGCATTCCATGAGCCTGATGATGTACATGACGATTAACACCATCGAGATCAGCCACCCGAACCCCTGATATGCGCATCCACTCACGATAATCGGAACTCTATGCTCGGGCAGCTGACTCGGCGCGATCAAGCTTGCGATCGTGCCCGTCAGCATCGCGCTGTAACCGGCCAGGAACCAGCTAGGGTTGAAAGGGATTGGATGTCTCGGAGTGCGAATGATGAAGACCCAGTACTGCTGGATGGCGTTGAGGAGCGAGCAGGCTGCGTAAATCCAATACAGGATGCGGATAGCCGCGACAAGCCAGGCACCACCGGGCCCTTGCGTTAGCCCATAGAGCTGGATACCGCCGAGGATAACGGAGATAGAGAGCCAGAAAGAGCCGAAGAAGAAGGATTCGGGCGGGTGCACGAAGGATCGCTTGAAGCGTGGGAAGTCCAGAATGGCGCGCGTGAGCATCAGGATGCAGAGGGCGAGAAAGAGAATGAGGTTGAAGGTGAAGACTATGACGCCGATGGTGTAGAGTCCTGTGGCACTTCTGTTAGCAATCATCCAGGTAATGAGGTTGGCGGTGTTCGTGGCCACAGACCGTTGATGCGGATTAGGAGGACTTACCCTTGAACCGATGGGGCGTTTCCGCCAGGGCAATCGCCAGTCCACCCGTAGACATGGTAGACGTAAACCAAGCCCATGTGAAATGCTTCAAGCGATCCCTAATCCTAACTTTGCCATCTCCCTCTTTCTGCTCGCCATTTCGTTCCTCATCCATTGTAGACTTGGATGACTATGCTGCCACACTGATTCTCGACATACACTACTAAGTAAAAGTATACTACCCTCAAAATCAAAAAAATTCAGCGTTGTTATAGTCCATTCGATTATTTTTGTTGGGATGCAAGGAACGGATCGGGTGGGGTCGGTGGACGTGTTCAAGGATGCGTGAAGCGTGGACGAGACGGAAAGTGCAAAATTGATGAGAGGACCCCTACAGAGCTCACCACTATCCGTAATCATGCAGACGCACTCGTGGGTTATACATTAAGGAGCATGTTAAGTGGTACCGGAATATGATGATGACGTTGAGTCGGATGCGGGGAAAATAACCACTATTTCCGGCGCCATCTTGCGGTACTCGCCCCACGCGCCAGGGGTAGTAAGGGTGACTACCCTTGGCGCGTGGGGCGAGTAGAGAATTCTCCGCATTCAAGGGTTGCCGGATATATAAATTTGCTTGTATAGCTAACTATTATACGTGCTTTTGTACGTACCTGCGAAGGTTTTCAAAGTGGCTGTTACGTGCTTCGTGATAACCGGGGAATTCAACACCATGAGAGCCAGGATAGATATAGTGCCTAATTCTGATGCATTAATGTACCGCGTCCTCACAACGGAGGACGCATAATATTAAGATCACATTGAGATAACCCTGAACTTTGCTAGCTTGCCACGTACACAGCTCCTTCAGTGGTCCCTGACCGTCATACCTCAAGCTTCTGAAGCTTATTCTTAGCCTGATCCTTTCGCGCCTTCACCCGCCACTTAATTTCCTCTGGCTGCGGCCAATTCCAGTTGACTGGTGACTCGCTACCGACGAAGATGAAGGTGTCGTAGAGCAATGCGCCGACGAGGCTGCCTGAAAGCCCAGCGGCGATTGGTCCATAGGCCCACCAACCGGTTGAGAATGTTTCATTTCCGTAGCCAACCCACCATGCAATGAGGCGGGGTCCAAGGTCTCGAGCAGGGCTAATACCAAGTCCATTGTAGCCCATTGTGATGCAGAGAAGATAAGTCATGAGTCCGTAGATCAGGGCACTCATGCCTAGTAGACATGTTAGCAAGCAGGAAGAACATTTAAGGGAAGACACGAACCGGAACCTGGAGGTGTGTTACTATCATCACCAACTGCGAACGCGACACAGACGTAAAGGGCTGCGGAGACGAAGTTGTTAAAAAATGCCGTAGCAGTAGAGACGAACGACTCAGGAGTCGTATAGAAAGCTCTCCCCGTGATGGTCGGCGTAAGCTTTGGGTCGGTGTATAGTATGGCATCGCGGTATATGAACCAGGCTAGAGCTCCCGCAGCGAATCCAGCTAGAATCTGCGCGATCGAATAGACTAGGCACATCCTCCACGGGAACCCTCGGAACACTGAGAAGCAGACCGATACCCAAGGACTCATGTGCGATCCGGAAATACCGCCGCCAACATAAATGCCAGCCATGACGGCAAAACCCCAAGCCCATGACTGCGTCTGGTAATCGCCCTGCGTGGTGGGGTATGTGATTGTGTATAGGCTGCCTGCCATCCCAAAGAAGAGGTATATGGTTGTCCGCTCAAGTCAGTATTGGCTAGGAAGTAGAGAGAGATCATAGCGTCTTCCTACACCCGACATGAAGGCGCAATATGCGTGCAGATCATACAGCCTGATGTGCTTCAATCTACAATACTTCACGACGGTGTTTCGCCGGATATGGAAGAAAGGTGTACTCACAGCAAGGAACTCGGCCGGGGCTTCAGGGTATCGTGCACGTAGCCTCGCTAAGGGATTTCGATATTTGTTGTAATATTCTTGAAGCGCATCCTTTTCACGACGTCGTATCTCCTTTTTCTCTTCCTCAGTTTGGGAGGTATCGACGGAATCAGTTTCTTCAACGGGGGCAAGACCCGGAGTAAATTTCTCAGGCGGTCTCGATTCGAATGGCTGGGCGTCCTGCTCTTCCCTTTCTGGGTAGTGGTCTGCTCTGGAAATGCCTCGCTCCTGGAGTACTTGGTCCGCCTCCTGAGACCCGAGGCGGCGCACCTAAAGGTAGGGGCGGAGTCAGCGCACTCCATCGCAATAACGGTTTGTACCTTCATCCAAGTCCGATCCTGATCGTACCCTAAAATGCTCACCTAGGGGCATCCTAGATATACTGTAATGGGGAAAACGGGCTTTGTACCCGTACCTTACGTACCATGACACGTTGGCCGTCGATATCTGCCTCAAAGTGATCCGGTGGCAGTTGCTGCTGCCCTGTCTCGTCTATCGGGATCTGAAAAGTCGGCCCACCTTCGTATCGATCTTCCCTGGCAGTCTGGTTAGAAAGGCAGGGTTCATTGAAGCCGGAGGACCTACGGCCGACTCCGGCCTTTCAGACTGACCTCCTTGCTCTTCCTCAGCCGGCCCCTTCGGACCTTCCACCTTGTAAACAGCATCTCGAAGCCCCTGCCGACCCCATAACATGCCCCGGCGAACTGTACGTGGGAAGGGTCGGCCCAGTCCGAACAAAGGCCGGCCGGGCTCTTGGTCGTACCAAGGATTCAGGGCGAAGTAATCGTTGTCGACGTAGAAGCTCTGCTCTGCCCTCTTCTCGGTCTGTTGTCGCTGCAGGCTACTAGCCTGTGCACGTGCATTGTCCTCGGCCGTCTGCTCACGGGAACACCTCGATGGATGCTGGGATTGCGTGCTATCGATCGGCTCCAAGCGTGCAGTTGGCTGTCTCTCCATGGTTGAATTAGTTCGCCTTGATTCTTGCGTCGAGGGTTGGTGTTGTAGACTTGGTGGTCTAAAGCTGGAGCTTGTGTAGTTCCTTGACCCTGGACGCGGCGCTGTCTCCGAATTTGACTGGGCTGCGGCTTGATCTCCTATAGATAGTCAGTATACGCAAAAGGCCCTCAGGAATGGCTTTGCGGAGCCAGATCCGTGACAGAAATGTGTAATGTCTTACCGCTCGCGGACATTCTGCCGCTAAGGACTGCGTACGGTGGAGGTTGTAGGAGTACCTAGGTATCGAAGTGAAGTTGTGTGTACACAAAGTTGTGTGGTAGGAGCAATGGCCAATAGTAACGCAGTTACTACGTCATATGCAAAAAATTGCCCTTTCTCTTCCGTTACTGTAACAGCTTTAAGACTCTTCGGGAAGAGCCATCCAAATTCGGTCTTCTTACGACAAGGAGGTCTCGCAATCTATTCACTGCAATCTTTCTTTACGATCCAGTTCGCATTCACGAGACGCAAATTCATCAAAAGTTGCCGCAGACTGTAGGGTGTATGGATGAATAAGCATAACCGGTTTACTATTGGTCAGTGACTGCAGGATAATTGTTCCGAATGTGGCGAATAAACCAGAAAATGCTCGAATGTTCATTTTCTGGGTGATGCTGGAAACTCCAAAATTTACGGTCCGCAATCATATCAACACGTAATTCTCCGGCCTTGCGATACCTTCAGGGAGGTGGATTCGCATGGATGCGTAGTTCAAAATAATGGCATGCATCAGAAGCAGGCACACGGGATAAGGGTATCGCTTTGTAAGTCGCCTTGCCGCGAAGGAGTAAACGTCACGCGACTTCCTGAACGTGTCAACAGTCGTTGCATCTCAGCCGCTTCGGAGGCTTACTTTGAATCATCCCAATTGCCATAGTTGCGACAACTGGGAAGGTGCCGCAGCCATCCCTCGGTACTGCAGCTCATTGAGCCGCGGGGCTATCCAAGAAAAGCCGAAAGGTCGATTCAGTTGACGACTCGCTTTCGTATTCCTGACTTCATTAGCGCCATGGGCCGACAGCCCCGATGCAATTTCTGAACGGCAATGTTTCGAAATTCGTGGGGACATTAGCGCACGCGTGGGATACCGGGGAAAATTACCCCATTGGATCTTCCTGGGCATTACTATTCTTGTGCTACAATGTGGTATCTACGTTGCCGACAGTGCGGGAGAGCACCGATAATCGAACTCCCGACCCTGTGGATGGAGCATATGCAAGGCGTTGGTTCCTGGGATTGGGAGGGTTGCAGTCGGGTGTGTAGAAATGAAGCCACGAGGCCGAGCAACTTGGCGCACTCTATTCCATCAAACTCGCCTCTTCTTGCGCGCGCATCGCCAAAAGCTTGCACCGAAATCTTCATGAGACTGCCATTAATTTGTTCTGCTCCTGGGCCAGGGTCAGGCCTTCTGGTGCTTGCCGAAAGAGCACGATCTCAGACTGTTTGAAGTAGCGCCGCGCGTCTGGGGGATCATTAGTCATGTCGCAACTGACAAGGCGGGGAAGCGCTTGAGACGTCCAGCGGTGAAACATGACAAGACGCTGTACGCCGTATTGAAGTCACATACCTTCGTCGATCAGTACCAAGCTAAGGTAGTATCGCGTGGAATACTTCTTGTTGACTTCTCGGAAGGTGGGGGTTAGGTCGAAACCGCCGAGGAAGAGCCTGATAGGGATTGTTTCTCCTAAACACGATTAGCCGGCGCAATTGGGCAGAGCAGGGTACGAACCTCTCGAAGGGGAGCCGTCCATGATCTCGAATCGAACTAAGGTCTCGCTCTCGTTGTACTGATTGGGCGGGGCACCCGTCGTCTCTCTCCGTATGATAGAAAGCTCCATGTGCTTGATCTTTAACCGCACCAGGAGGAAGTATATTCTTCCCACGATGACATCTTTCAGATGGTATTTCGACTTGGAGTATTCAAACTCGATGTGCAGACAGTCCTCGATACCCACGTCCATCTTGATTGAGCTGTTCGTCTCCGGCGGTATCCTGTATGAGTACACCCATAGATCCTTCTCCCGAACCACGTCGGCCATCCTCCGCGACACGGTGACGCGCACAAAGTAGCGCAGCTTGACGTTGATGCCATTGTAGGATTCGTACTGCTTTTCGACGTTCTTGAAGTTGAAGTCGAATGTCTGCGGGTGCTGGAGCTCGCCGGGGGCTGCCAATTCCTGGCCGAGGGAGAGGAACTCGTAGTGGTTGCCGCGGTCGAAGAACATCTCTGCAGTAGCAGCGTCGTCAGTTGTCAGCTACAGAGCTTCCCGCCAGGCCGCGGGAAGGAAGGTCGTATACGCACCGATTGTGCCGATGAACTGCACCTTGATGCCCGTGTGCTCCAGGCGCTTGCCATCCTTGGGCCTTATCGTGACCTGGCCCTTGACAGACTCGCCATCGAGGTACAGCGGGACCTTCTCTTTGCGGTTCTTGTCGAGCTTCACGTCGACCGTCTGGCGCTCGTCGGAGTCCTCGAGGACGATGTCGATGTCGACGGGGGTGGAGAAGAAGTACGACATGGCGGAACACTGCCCGGGCCGTGGTAGACTATTAGCGCGGGCGTTGTACGCGATGCAGCTGTCAACGGCGCTGGCTGGGAGCTCGACTGAGGTTGCGCATGTAGGCGCGCCAGAACGGGCAAGCGCAGCGCTGGGCCGCTTAGTCACCACCTGTCAGTGCCCTGTGGCCCTCCAGGGCTGTCCCAGATGCGCTTCCAAGGTTGCATCATCGCGAGTGCAAACTGCTCGACCGCGCATCCTCGTCTTTCCTCCGTCCATCCACGTCAACCGCGACGCCGTCAGCATGGTCACAGGACCCCGTTGCAGCCTGCGGGCGCGGAGATGCGCTCACTCGCAGCACGAACTGCTCGCGGCGGTGAGCTGCACACGATCAGTTGCAGCTTCTGGGCGTCTGCTCGAGAACGCTTTCCGCCTGGTCTCGGTCTAGAGCTGCTAATCTTACCCCGAAGGCGGCAGGCTGCTCGCCGGCGCTGCTCTGCGCCCAATACCGGCGCCAGGGGAGCGCGACACACTTCCGCAGGCGGTCCGACGACCTTTTTCTCGCCATGTCGCGTTGCCCGACCCCCACGCGCCATTATCCAACAGCTTCCGCTCGCCTCGGCCGCCCAGGTGCGGCGTCGACGCGCTCGCCATGGAGACGTCTGCGGCGCTTCGCACCGCTGCATGACGAGCAGGCGGCGTGACGGCTTCGCTCCCCCGGACTGAGGGGGAGGTGCGCTGGCAGGCCTGCTGTGCAGCCCGCAGCAGTACCTGACGAGGGCAGGGATCAAATGCGGGGAGGCAATCGCGGTGACTACCTGACTACGTCTGATCCGCCACCCCTCGCATCCCACGCTACCGACGCCCCGACCTTCAAACGCCGACAACTTTAAACTCCATCCACGTCAGGGCTTCCAGGAAGCGCCTGTCAGCCAGTGCCCGGAAGCGCAATTCGCGGCTCGTCCGCCCGTCAGAGCCGGTTCACACTCTCGCTCGGATGTGCGCGCGAGAGGCGCTGATTCGCATGCCCGCCTTTGTCGTGACATCAAACCTTGGCTCCCTGAAGCCTGCACTAACCTCTGCTCCCACCCCTGCCGTCATGCCGCCCGGCAACTGTGGAGGAATTCACACGCCACGTCTTAAAAGACCACAGCCCCAGCTGCATACTGGTGGGACTGCCGTTTATTGCTTACTATCAGCTTTCCTAGCCGGGGTCACATTGGGCTCTCAACACTATATATCTCCCGGTATAAGTGCTACCGCTCCCTTTGTTCACATAGCACACATTGCCCAGCACCGCTTGTTCCCCTTGGCTCCGTCACAGCAAACATTCTGTACTTGTCACAGCCGTTCGCTCCACCATGCTGCAAACATTCGAACCACCACAATCCACGCCAGCTCATTATGCTTCGGCCCCGACGCCCCCCATATCCTCACCGGGCACCCCATCCAACGCCTCGTCCTCAGCACACGCCGCAAAGCCCGCTTCCAACATGACGATCCCACACCACCATCACATCCTGATTGTTACCGGCCCAGCAGGGTGCGGCAAGAGCACCATTGCCAAATTCCTCGCTAGCCGTTATGGCTTCGAGTACATTGAAGGCGACGATGTAAGTCAAAGTCAATGTTGACTGTGCTCCTCGAGCCTTTCTTACAAGCCTAGTACCACCCCAAAGCCAATATCGACAAAATGGCTGCCAACATTCCACTAAATGATGCCGACCGATGGGACTGGTTGATCCTTCTCCGAGATGAGGCTCTAGCCGCTCTGCAGGATGGCGCCAAAGGAGTCGTGGTAACCTGCAGTGCTCTCAAGAAGAAGTATCGCGACGTTATCCGTACTGCGCGCCTCTACGACGAAGACCCGAACGCCAACGTCCATTTCGTCTACTTGCGGGCGAACAAGGAGACCTTGTTAGCGCGCGTGGGTGCCCGACAGGGGCACTACATGAAAGACTCCATGGTCCTTAGCCAGCTAGCAGCGCTTGAGGAACCAGATGAGGACGAAATTAAGAGGCTCAAGGACGTGGATATAGTCGATGTCTCGGGAAGCCAGTTGGAGGTCGAAAAACTCGCATCTACCGCGGTAGACAAAGTCCTGGTGACCGCTTCGTGACGCTAGCGGAAGGAGTCAGCTGGTACTGATTTCATTGTGATTTTCTTCTTCACCCCATATTACACCACGCAGGTCTCTCCTAGCGTTCAGCATCGCGGGGCGTCGGCACTTGGGAATGGATATGAAAAATGGCGCAGTAATATATTATACCCTTTGCAACAGGGATTCTGAGTTCGATTTTGGGCGTCAGTGGCGCTTCTAGACCTAGTTATCTTCGACAGTTGCAATGACAGTGGGTGCCTCAATACATACTGCATATTTAGTGTGTGTGCGAGGGTGCATGTTGCGCGGCGCCTTTGTGAGCGCTGCATTTAACAATGACCGCCACGGTGTGCACGTGATGCAAACTCAGCGGCCGAAAGACAGGCAGTGCAAAATTCTGAACCTCGCCAGAGAACCTTTCTCTGGGTACCGTTTGCCATCAGATTGACGTCGGCGTGGGCCGTGGTTTTAAGGCTGATCAGGATCACTCCACCCTTGCAGCAGTTGGAATTTTCCGATTTCCATCATGGAGAGAACCTTGGAAGAGCCAGCCAGTCGCGTGTAGTACGGAAGACAACGACCGAGGAAGTGACGTCCAAACAAACATTGCGATCCCAAGCTGTCGGGGAGCATGGTCAAGCCATGATCTGTCGCGCAGTGGCCATCTGTGGGGTTCCAACCTTTTCCCCAGCCTGCTTTGGGCAGCGGCCCCGTCGAACGAGCTCTCCTACTACAACACATGAGATAACAACGTCCGCGTCCAGACAACCGACTAGAGACGGGTCAGACTCACACATCAGAACACGCCTCAGACAAAAGCCAATTTTGCTCGACGCATCTTCCATTTGTCCCTTTTCGGACTAGCGTGTTTCCCCAATCCTGAGCCGAACGGCTACCTTCGGTGCTTGCACGCTTCGACAAACATTCGCCGGCTTATGCATCGTCACCCACAAGTCTCGATCATGTTTCTTCCTCCAATTCCTCCTGATCTGACATGAAGTACGCCATGTCGAGAGAAGCCGCACGTCTCTTTTATCGCTGTACACTCGCAAACAGAGCACCAATCGCAACATGCCGTCATTTTAGGAACGCGGAGCTTCCGAGACGGCAGCAGGGGAGAGGCTTCAATCAGACCGCTCTTTTGAAGGTTGTGAAGCCGTATCTCCTGGCTGACATTGGGGAAGGTACGTCTTCAAGTTTCCAAAGAGGAATACGTGCTAATACCTGCAGGCATTACGGAATGCCAGGTCATTCAGTGGTTTGTCAAGCCCGGGGCGCGCGTGGAGCAATTCGATCCAATTTGCGAAGTACAGTCGGATAAGGCTTCGGTTGAGGTACGTCTACAAGGACATCCATGGTAGGGGACGGTGCTTAGCCATGGCAGATCACATCGCGGTTTGATGGCGTAATCAAGAAGCTCTACTACGAGCCGGACGACATGGCCAAGGTCGGAAAGGTGGGTTACCCATCACTATTCGCCAATCTGCACAGAGGCTAACAGCCAAAGCCCCTAGTGGACATCGACATCCAGAGTGAAATCTCCCCAGCCGACGAAGCGCTCCTCAACGGCGCATCCGAGAAGGCAGCAGACAAGGAGACACCCAAACAAGAGACACAGGAAGAGCAGGGATTGGAGGTGGGCAGAAATGATACTAAGGCAGCTACTGTGGACACTCCTCTACCACCACAGCCAGCCCAATCCCTCCCTCCAGAACGGCCTAAAGAGGAATTCAAACCTCAAAGGACACTCGGGAAGCATGCCTCGTTAGCTACTCCTGCCGTCAGACACATGATTAAGGAGTTGAACCTGAAGATCGAGGATATAGAAGGCACAGGCAAAGACGGTCGCGTGCTAAAGGAAGACGTACAGCGGCACGCAGAATCGGCGAACACAAGCACCGGTGCAACCGAACCCTCCCCTGCGCCTTCATCTGCGCCGATACAGCAAGTGGAAGACCATGTCCGACCGCTGACACCTGTACAAGCCGGCATGTACAAGCAGATGACGCGCTCGCTGTCGATACCGCACTTCCTTTACACCGACAACGTCGACTTCACCTCTCTCAACGCCCTACGCAAGAAGTTCAACGCCCACAAAGAGAAATCGCATCGCATAACGCCACTACCCTTCATCGTCAAAGCCGTCTCGTTAGCACTCCAGCAATACCCGCTATTAAACGCACATCTGGACACAACGACCAACCCCGAGAAGCCTCAAATACTAGTAAAGGGCTCGCATAACATAGGCATCGCAATCGACTCTCCTACCGGCCTCCTTGTCCCGGTAGTGAAGAACGTACAGTCCCATTCGATCGAATCCCTGGCGGTGGAAATTGTTCGTCTTAGTAACCTAGCCCGAGCCGGAAAACTCGCTTCGTCCGACTTGAGCGGCGCGACGTTTACACTGAGCAACATTGGGAGCATCGGAGGAACAGCGGTAGCGCCCGTGATTGTTAGTCCGCAGGTAGGTATCCTGGGAATAGGGAGAGCAAGGATGGTTCCCGCATTTGGGGAGAATGGGGAGCTGGTTAAGAAAGAGGAGTGTGTGTTTAGCTGGAGCGCGGATCACCGGGTCATCGATGGTGCGATGGCTGCTAGGTGCGCCGAGGCCGTCCGGGGATATCTAGAGAACGTTGAGAGCATGCTCGTTAGACTTCGATGAGGCCTTCCACAGGGCGAAACAAAATATGAATACGCTTATCCTCTGGTTTGGTAATTCACGATGTTGTGAATGCGCATGGAAGGGCAAGCGATGGACTTGAGGTTGCTTTAAGCTCCATCTGTCTATCCCTTATCAATGACAGTATCATGCAAGTCATGTAGGGCTGCGTCTCAACAAGATTCATCCCTCGATTCAGATTCGACAAAGCAAGCTAGTGTCAGCGATATCGCGCAGGTTTTTGCACGTGTCACGCCAAGAGCCGTAGGGCTGAGGTTGACGTACCCCGCCCAAAGCTCTCGGAGCTCTGCCCACCTACCTCTACTCTCGTCTTTTTACTACACGGCCGATACCGTACCAACCATAATGACGACCATATCCTCCCCCTCAATCCAGCACCTAACGCCCTCCACAACCACAGCCACAACCACGACCGGCGACCCTACCCCCTCCACCACCACCACCGCCGACGGTTTCCAATTCCCCCCCATCTACTCCTTCCCGCCCTTCTTCACACTACAACCCAACGCGCAAACCCGCACCTCGCAGCTAACCTCCTGGTCCACACTCATCCAATCCTACTGCCGCGCACACCACCTCTTCGCCCTCTCGCTCATCGACGCCCTCCCCACGCCGCTCTTCACAAACGCCCAACTCGCGCGCAAACTCTCCCTGCGCGACGCGCGCACCGTGCTGTCCTGGATGTGCACGCCCGAGGGCGGGAACCGCGCGGAGTGGATAACGGCCGGCGGGGGGAAGGCCGCGAAGGGAGGCCAGGGGCAGGAGGGCGAAGGCAGCGCGGTGTGCTGGATATACTGGCGCCGGCCGGAGGAGTGGGCGGTTGCGGTGGAGGAGTGGGTGGAGCGGACGGGCCAGAGGGGCACGGTGTTGACGCTGTATGAGCTTACGGAGAGCGATGCGACGCGGAGGGAGGAGTTTTATGGGATGGATATGGAGTTGTTGCAGAAGAGTTTGCAGGTTTGTGTGAAGAGGGGGAAAGCGCAGATTTTTGGGGCGGAGGGGAGTGAGGGGGTGAAGTTCTTTTGAGAAGGGCTCATAATTTATGGAAATAAGGATGCTTGGATAGTATGGGCATGTGGTACTCGCATATTGGCTGGCTTGAGGACAGGGGAGTTGAGAAGAAAGGTAGGAAGCTCCGGATGGATACTAAATGCTTGCATTCATCATAACTAAGAGCCGTCGCTAATGCTCGCCAGGAAGCTATGGCAGCTGGAATGAAAGAAGCCGAAACCGGCTCATCGAAGATACCCATGCATATCAATGCAAATCAGATTAATATCTCCACTCTCCTCGCCCACATCAAGCGTCGTGAGATCCCCTCTCTCCAAAATATCGCCGAAACGCAGTCCGGAATGCGATTCCCGTGCCCGAACGCCTAGAACTCTAGCCGGCCGTCATCGTCAGCTCGCCGCATGAGCGATGAATAAGGGAATCATTTGCCCATAGCATTAACAACCTCCTCGTTCAACTCCCACTCCTCATCCCAATGCACATACTGTGCCATCGCGACAAACAGCAGCCACTCCGTCTTGACAATCCGCGGAATCATATCATGCTTCTTCGCCAGCTCCCTGAACTTCTCCCACAGTTTGAACTCGCTCTTGTTCGGTTCGGAGATGAGGTACAGCACGTCACCCTCGTCCTCTTCCTGGTTCTGCGAGACCTCCTGGGGTTGGGTATCGATCTTGCGCTTCGAAGCGGTGACGTTCGTGGTGCGACCCTGCCATCTTTGGCAGCGCCCGCCGTTCGCGGTGATGATGTCGTTGTACGTGTCAAAGCCACCAGATACTTTTTCCGTGCAAAAGATAGTCCAGTCCTTCAGAAGGCGGTGCTTATTCTGTTCTGCACGCTCGACGGCGTCTCTGAGCCTGAAACCATGCGTCTTACTGAACTCCCTATCATCAATGGGATGTTTCTCCGGCGGCGGCAGCTTATTGTTCTTAAGCGCATAGTCGAGGAAGGCGCTAGAGACGAGCGTAGGAGCGCAAGCAAGCGCTGCGACGAACTTCTTGGTGCGGACGACTTTGGGCGCACAAAGGAGGTCTACTTTCCTGAAGTCGTCGGTGATGAAGAGGCCTAGTTCACGCATGCGTGCCTTGTCCTTTGACTCCTTGTCCGGGTCGTTAGCCCAGCGCTCGTCCTTGGAGAGAAGCATGCGGTATTTGATGGGCGTGAGCTTGTCCTTCCGGGCCTTCTTGTTCTTCTTGCCGGGTTCTTCTGTGAGTTCATCTTCAGTTGTCGCGTCGTCGCCGTCGACTTCCTCAATCGAGCGTTTGCTTGATGTAGAATCCCGGCCTCCCTTCCTCTTGGACTTGTCAGAGCCCTCATCTACCTTGTTCCGGCGGCCGCCGTGGATCACGCCTCCCTTGCGCTTCATTTCTTTCTCAAATTGAGCGATATCTGGTGCAGACTCGTGTAGCCTCGCATTAGCTCGATCTTTTGCTCCCCGGCTACCCGCTGTACCAGGCGTCTCGTTTTCCTTGCCGCCGAAATGTCGGGCGGGCGCTGGCGTTACCACATCACCCGTGGTCTTCGTTCGCCTAGAGGTCTTCTCTGCTAAAGGCGAGGTGTGAGCGCCCCGATCGCTGTTCATCCTACCCATTGGAATACTTGGTGCAGGCACTCCACCGGGTTGCGCTGGGGCTTTCACAGCCTTTGGCTTGCGGGTCTTCGAGAAGAACATTTTCTCAACCGCATCTCGGTCAATTTCCGTAGAGCCTAGGATCTCCCCCATGTTCGTTCGAGGAGGGAAGTAGGTATATCGGGGATCGGTCATTTTCTGCTTTTTGCATTTCGCATAGCTTTCTTCGAGCCAAAGATGGTTGACGACATCGACGCCCCATTCCTCGGCTGCCTCGCATTTCTCGCTGTTTTTGTGCGCTGTAATGAGATGCGTGTTGTCCTGCTTGAAGGTCTTGGTGAACTCTGCGCCGCAAGCTTTGACCAGGTTCTCGAGGTAGACGCGCGCTTCCCCCGTGTAGCTGGAGATACTGATCTTGTAATCCTGAAAGCCGGCAATACCGTCGCGAGGTCGGGGATAATGCATCATGCGGCGCATTGGGTTCGTCCAGGTGTCGTGGGTGATGAGGAAGTAGAGCCAGCTGAGATTGCCCACATCCTTATTCGCTTGCGATGCCTTGACATAATCTTCACCATCCCGGTAGTTGCATACGTAGATGTGCGCTTCCTCTATGCTTGTTGTGATCTGCCCACCGCCGGCTTTGATCAGACCGGTAATGACGCCTTTGAGGTGTTCGTTCAGGTTGAGATCCTCTCCAAGCATGACCTTCTTGCTGTCAAATGCTCTGATTGCTCGAGGGCTCTCTAAGTGTGCAGGCGGTGTCGGAGGGAATGCATCGTTTGGATCTGGGTTTGTAGCTTCACGAATCTGCGGGCTGGTCTTGGTTGCGGGTATCGGGCCGGCTTCTATGTTGAGGATCTCTGGATCAGGGAGGGTATATGGTCGCTCGTTTATCCTTCGACCAACCTTGAGGCAATCGTCGAACCTGCAGCTGTTAGCTCTGTAGTCGTTGGGCAAACTGCTGGAAGCCTACCAGTGGGGTAACACAATTTGGCAGCGCAGCCTCTTGTTCACGGCGAGCTGACACCTCTCATCGTCCATATTGAGCGCGATAAGATGTGTGGTGAGCTTCGATAGGGTAGCGGTGAACTGCCCTCCAGTAGCAAACACGCCACCCGCAATAGCATCTTGGTCCCCAGGCGGTATGTCCCCACAACACACTACCACGTCGCTCATGAACAGCGCAGGATCCGGGCTGTATGCCCGAGGGTTCTTGATCTTGTTGGTCTTCAAGCATCCGTCCACCCATGCCGGCTTCACGACGTGTATCATCAGGTCCAACGCGCGATGGTAGTCCGGGAAGTCTGAGGTCGCCGAAATAATGTAGGTAACCTCTTCAAGCCTGTCAATGCGCCCGACGGAGCTGTCAAATGGTAGGACGGCGCCGCCATTTGTGGTAATGTCATCAGTCAACTGCGCAGAGATCGTTAGCACCTGGGCTTGGACGGAGAACACGCGTAGACGTACCGTGCGGATGCGCTCTTCGGAAAGGGACGTAGGAACGATGGTAAATGTGAGATCTTGGAACAGAGCCTGTGAGGCGTCTAGCATAGTAGTGTCCTCCATGGCGGCGGTGAAGGGTGGAACGCAGGTTCGTGATGTGCGTTGATATGATTGCGGCGAGGTGTCGTACTGGAGTGTGCAAGGGCGCGTTTTAGGCATGGTCGCGCTTGGCCCAATCGCGTTCCTCACGTGATGCCCCGCCTCTTGCGTCCCGGTCGCTCACGGTGAGATATCGCTGACATTTTCTCATCCTGGTATGTTCCAATGGGTTATCCGTTCATTCGGGCTTGGACTGAAACACTGCTTGTTATCAGGACGATATACGAGGTTACTCTCCAGCAGTGGTTCAGAAAGATGTGGAGCTTTACCTCGGCCCGTTCCCAAAGCCGGCAATTCATATTGATCTTGACGTCTTCCATCCAAGTTTCTTCTACCATCCCAAAACTAATTTGACAACGCGGTCTGCGTTGCTTGCCCGAGTGGAATTCGGGTTTCGCATCTCGTTATCGCCCATCTTCAATTCGGTTTCCAGCTATAGATCGGGAATCGCAGCCGACTTCTGAGAGCCTTGTGCTTCCCTCCCCGATAGCCTACAATGTCTTCAGAGTTCTTCCGGATCGAAGAGCACGTGTTAGAAGGCTCGCACATTCGCGGATTCCCTCGAACCACGTCTACAACTCAGGAAGAGATCCTGCATCTAGCTATCAAGCAGTATACTCCGCTGAGCAACCCCAACCCGAAATCTGGAGACATCACAATTATCGCGGCGCATGCGAATGGATTTCCCAAGGTAAAGGAAATTCCATTTTATGGGTATTTGCATGAATGCACTGCACCTGCCCATCTCCTTTCGCAAATCCAGTTTGAGCGCCTAGGCTGAAAGTGATAGGAACTGTACGAGCCACTGTGGGACGAACTCGTGAAGATATCAAGACAGCATGGCTTTGGTATCCGCGGCATCTGGATAGCAGACGTTGTTCACCAAGGGTGGAGTGGTGTCCTAAATGAGGGCAAACTTGGAAACGACCGTAAGCTTCATTGCTTGTCAGTCTCCTCTAAATAGGCTAACTGCGATTAGCGGCATGGCTTGACCATAGCCGGGACCTTCTCCACATGGTTAATGTATTCCGGAAAGACATGCCTCGACCAATAATTGGTGTAGGCCACAGCATGGGCGGCTGTCAACTTGCCAATCTGGCTTTGCTCCATCCACGATTATTCGAAACACTTATTCTCGTGGATCCCGTAATCCAGCGTATGGTATCTCTCAATGGCAACGTTGGGCCCGCCTTTTCTTCCGCCATGCGCCGTGATAGATGGCCGTCTCGCGAAGAAGCTGCGAAGTCGATGCTAAGGAATAAGTTCTATCAAGCCTGGGATCCCCGAGTATTCGACCGCTGGATCAAATTCGGTCTACGCGATCTACCAACGGGCCTCTACATGGAGCCCACATCTACGCCAGGCCCCGTCCCAGCTGTTGTATCCAGCGAACCTACCACCACCCCGAACCGGCCTCAGCCCAAGGAAGTCACCCTCACCACAACGAAACACCAAGAGGTCATGACCTTCTTGCGCCCCAACTTTGCCTTCCGCCCCGGTGTCGACAAAGAGCCCTCCTCCTCGGTATACTCTCTCGCCAACCTCACGGCTCTTAACCGACGAACGCATCCGGACCTAGTACCCTGCCCTGTCCCACAAACCCCGTTCTACCGCGGTGAATCAATGTTGGTCTTCCAACAACTACCACACCTGCGCCCTTCCGTCCTCTACATCTTTGGCGAACTGTCCTTCCTTTCCGACCCAGAGTGGATCAAGGAAAAGTTGAGCATGACTGGCACTGGGGTTGGAGGAAATGGCGGCGTAAAAGAAGGACGGGTGGCGGAGATCACGGTGAAGGACGCAGGGCATCTTATTCCAATGGAGAAGGTTGAAGAGAGTGCACAGCATGTAGCGAAGTGGATTGGGAAGGAGATGGCGAGGTACTGGGAGAACGAGAGGCTGACAGAGGAGGAGTGGGGAAACAAGAAGGGTGTTGAGAGGAGCGTGCTTTCGGAGAGGTTTGTGGAGGAGTTGAAGGGCTTGATGAAGGGGAAGACGCCGCAGAGGAAGGAGAGTGCGTCCAAGTTGTGAGAGACGGGATCTTAGACCATAGACAGGCAGGTATACACAACACCTGAAAATAATTTGATTTTGGTTGGATACACGAAAATTTGACTTAAAAGAGAGCCCAACCGGATTGGGTCCTTAGAGGACATATTTTGGTATCATAGTTTCGATCAACATGTCATTTGCGCGTGCGTTTTCCCATTACGCTGCAGAAAGCATTCTGGAGTAATGCTCAGCATTTGACTCCCGAATGATGCTTGTCGAGCGAGAGATGGACCAATCAGCACATGCTGTGCGCCGCACGCACGTGCCGGCGAATCAATTGGAAGGAGCCCGGACCCACCGTTGCGTTGACAACGCAACTTGGCTGGTCTCCAGACGAGCGGACCACAGCACACATCAGCTTGGCTACATTGACGTCTTCGCTGCTATTCAACCGACAGATTCGAGACCAAAAAGCATCATGTCAGTAGTCCTACCTCAATGCCCTTCGTAATCGACCGTTTCGCACCTTTCCGAATACTGACATTTGTTTACAGCCCACCAAGCTCTACGTCAGGCTATCGATAGGGCGACCGCAGCTTCAGACCGCAACATTCCTCGCCTTACGGCGCATTCCTCCCTCCACCCCTCAAGACACCAATTGCACACACGCCCGAGAATGCGGAATGCTCTCGCGACCCTCGTGCTCCTCCCCGCAATTGCGCTCGCCGCGCCCGACCTGCTGCTAGCCGACTTCGAGCCCGCCGCGCTCCAAGAATCGCTGCCCGCCCAACAGTCCAACGAGACGCTCCTCGAAGACGGCAGCCTCGAGCTGCTCAAACGACAAACAGGCTGCGCATCCGGCTACGCGGCCTGCAACAACCTCAACGAGCCGGGCCTCTGCTGCCGCACATCGCAAGTCTGCTCCGCCGACGCCGCGGGGCACGTAGCCTGCTGCCCGCTGGGCTCAGCCTGCACCGGCACCATCGAGCCCGTGCAGCAGCAAACCGCGCCGGTAAGCGTCACGTCAACGACAACAACATCGCCCTTCGTCATCGCCTCCACAACCACCGGCGCGCCCACGGCCTCCACGGACAACCCCTTCGTCCAGCAAACAGGATCCGCGGCCTCGTACATCCACTCCACGGTATCCAACTCTTTCTTCCCGTTCCCCTACATACCGACTACTTACACCAATGCAGCCGCCTGCTCTTCGGCTTATACGAGCTGCCAGTCGGATGCTGCGAGCTGCACGGCTGCTCTAGCGAACGGCCAGCAGGGCGTTACCATCTCCGCGCCAAATGGCGGCGCCACCATCACGGCGATTGCGAGTCTGGGCCAGCAGAGCGCGGCGAGCATCTGCTCGAGCTTGAGTCAACAGGCGTGCTCGGGGCTGCAGGTGGAGGCTTGTCAGGCCTTCGGGGGCACGGGAGAGGCGAGGACTATGTGCGGCGATATGTACAGGGTGGGTGCGGGGGTTGCGCTGGGTATCGCTGGGCAGCTATTAAGATAAAGAGGCGGCGGTCTCTTGTGCGATTTTTACTGTGGATACTTTTCTCTCGGAATAAATACCAGGGCGGCCTCGGCAAGCATGTTTAGATATCAAAAGCCGTGCTGGGACTGTCTTCCAAGCATGGCAATGGCGTTTGCGGCTTCCTGAAGCGGGATGGAATGAAAGGATAATGGATTAACTGTTTGAGACGAATAAGGGCTCCCAAGTCAATCCAACTGCTTCAATGTGTTTATAGGTATCTTTTTCTGCGTCAAGCCTGATGTTGTAGGTCACGATATACCCTTTGGTCCCGGGTTTGAAGCACATGCTGGCACTGCCGCGCAAATCAAGCCGCAACTAGGGCTTTCAAGACCTCCAAGACCAGGTTCGCAGAGCTGTTGACTCTAGGTAAGTGTGCGTTATCAGAGGACGATCTTGAGTCGGAACTTGCGCGGAGGAAACGCAGTATAGCCAACCTTAAAATGCATTTATCGTCGTCGTTGGCCTTAACGTTATTACCTGGCCCAGACCAACCCAACCAGACGCCATAGAAAAGGTCAAGCAGCCGCTTCCCTGGTATCTAATCGCTGACCTAAACCACGCGAAATCAAAGACTAATCATCCAATCTACCATCCCCCAAACCTTGCATCTTCACTACCCACTCTTCCTTAGAGTCACCCCATCTCCCTCCCCTCTCTCGTCCTCATACTAATGCTCCTCCTCACGGCCAAACTGCCGTTGCTCCTTCCACTCGGAGCCGGACTCTCCAATCTGCCCATCACACCCGCCCCTCCCACAACAGTCCTCTCCTCCTCTCTACTACCACTCCTACCCTCCCTGCGCAAGTAATCCGCGTACAGCTTACTCCCCGTGTACTTCCCCGCGCCGTCGCGAGTGCTGCTCAGGCTTCTCAGAGGCCAGCCTTCCCTCGTGTAGTCGGCGTGACGGAGGATTTGTCTACTCCTCGCATGCCGAGGAGATGCTGTGTGTGAATTACCATTCAGTGCACCGGTCATTTCTTCCTTGTCGACCATTACGACCATGATGACGCCGGCTTTGCAATCTGAGCCCTGGAGCGGTGTGCAGTGGATCCAGCGAGGTTTGCCTTCGACGAATTCTGTTGATCCGCTCGCTACGGACGCGCTGTCGTTGTCGGAGTGGCCATTCTGGTGCCCGCGGGATGCGTGCGTGAGCCACGAGATCTTTGCCGTGACGCCGACGCCCTGCGCGAGCGCTTCGAGGACGCCTTCCCGAACATGCTGCGGACCGCTGATCCTGTCCATGAGCTTTGATTGTGAGAGACCTGGGATACGCAGCGCAGCAGATGTGAAGATTATACGAAGCGAGGGATATGGGCGTACGAGAAGGTACTGCAGTACGGCTTAGCGATGGGGTTGCGCAGGGACTGGAGGCGAAAGAGAAGTCTGGCGAGTCTCACATTCTGATAGACGCCCGGTAGCCGCCCAGAAGGACCAAATTGCGTGGGCGGCCAGATGTTGCCTTCCATCGGCTCATCCATGCCCACATAGCGTCTTGTCGGGAAGTTCGCACGCGTCGGCGTGCTACCACTAGATTCGATCGAATTGCGGCGCGGTCTTACCACGTCCATCTCTTCATCCGTGAGAAGGCCGCCCAACTCGTGCAGCAGTCTCAGAGACGGTTTCTGCTCACCAGCATTGCGGTTCTCCTCTTTTTCCAGGGCTTCTTGATCCTGGTCGAGAAGATGTTTGAACGACTCCAAGCCTTTTCCTCCTTCAAGGAGGTGGCTTATGTCAATCTGGGCTCCGATGAAGTAGCGGACTTTGCCATGGTGATCCATGAGTGGAGCCATCATAACCTAAACGTTTCAGCAATGATTTGTGATTAGATGTGCGGAGAGGGCATACCAGGTTGAGGAAAGGGCTGCCGTCACGACGACTGTATTGGGGTGAGTCTGGGGTCCCATTGGATAGGATGTCTGCTCTTACTAGTTCAGCAAGATCTCGCTGATCTCTTGCCCGTTGTGTAGAGCGTTGCTTATACGCTTCACCGCGGCTTTTTGAGTCCTCGGACCTTGCAAGAACCGGCAGTTTTTCCCAATTACATATTCACGACCATATTGCGTGGTATTGTAGAACTCTACATCAGCGTCAGACAAAACCAACCCCACCAATTGAAGACGAGCAACATACCTTCTGACGCGAACACAATAGGATTATCTGGCTGACTGGGGTCAGTCATGCAATACACCTCTGCAAGCCCCTGTACCATCTCCTTCATCAGAGGTGTGTTGTTGCCTGTAATCTCCTTGATCAAGCAGTCCGTCACGACTGTCACCATCCGATAGGTGATGTATGCTGGTAACGCATCCGTGACTAGCTCGTCAACAGCTCTCCTCGAGAGATTCTCAAACTTTGTGTCCACCATGGCAGCTTCGCTTCTGCACGAGCTTCGGGAAGATTGGCGCGAATGGAGCGATATTTGATCAGCCAGAGCATTGGCGTAATGAACCGCCGTGAGAGCTTTCTGCGATTCGAGGTATCGTACAAGCGTCGGTACGGATTGCGGGCGATACCGATTGAGAAATCCTCTGAAGCGTTGAAAATGCGCGGGGTCTTTCAGTATGACATTGAGATGGTTTGCTGAATAGAGTCGTTCGGTCAGATACTCTGCGTTGGCATCTGAAATGGTAGGAGGCGGCGGTCGAAGGTCGTACGCGGTTAGCTCGTCTGTTGAGAAGCGCTTCGACGCCCGGTGATCGAAATCCCCCTCGCTTTCAAACTCGGCGGTCTGCTCCTGGGCTGCGAATTCGCTAGCTGAGTCGATCTGGGGCAGTTTGTTGATGGTGTATTCGTCCGGCTCACCCATCGATACAAAGGGGTCCCGATATGGAAGTATCTTTGATGGCGCGAAGGTAGATAGAGTTGGACTGCTTGGCTTATGTTTTATATGACCGAAGTGTATATCATCCATGCCGCACGCGGAACTTTGATACTACTCCCGCAATGAGCGAAGACGGGCAGCCGTATCAATTGTATTCTGGAGATTAGCAGAGTTGTCTCTTGGTATTGAGAATGCCGGAGACCTAGGATGGGTTGGCGGTTCGCGAGTCAGTCTTGGGTTATCGGCGCGAAAAGTATAGCAAAGAGCATTGGACGAGAAGCGAAGGGAGAAGAGACTTGAGCGACAGAATGAAAGAAACGGTCGCAAGAGAGCGTGAAGCGGGGAGTAGGCGGACTAAAGGTAAAGGGAACCATAAACTTTAACAGACAGCAGAGATTGCAAACGCCTTGTAAACCGCGAACTAGTCTTGGACGCGAAGGTACAAGATGACAGGCGCATAGTGCATTTTCTAGAGCATGCGTTTACCCTATCAAAGGAATGCGCGGAAGCGGGCTAAGGAGAGACGAATATGCAGGTCCAACCTTGAGATGATGAAGTGTTCGGGATGATGAACCAAGAAAGCCCTTAGAGCGGCTTCGTACAAGGATTCCGCGGCTTTGGTTGTGGTTGCCGCACGCGAGGTTGAGGCGGTAGGGCAGATTTAGCGAGGTGAGATTCGATCGTGGCAGGGGTCTTTCGAAGATGCGACGATCGTGGAGAGGTACGAGCTGTCAGGGACTGCGGCTGGGCGGATCATCAGTTCATGGGCTTGCCATGGCTAAAAGCAAATGACGTCGGCGGATTCTGGACCATATCCATGAGCCGCCAGGTACGCAGAGACACGAGGGTCGCATGTCTTTGAAGTTTCCCGTCGTCCGTAGCGGCATCGTGCAGCGGTCACGGCAGATACCGCCACAGCCAACAATTAGGTCATTTTGATGCCGGTTCGGAAGATGAACTGCAAGTGTTTAGCTGAGATGCACGTCAAACTTTATGACAAAACTCCGAAGCGTTCGTTGTCCACCGGTCTCGCAATTTCGTGTCTCACAACGGTCTGCCGCGCTGTGTTTTAGGGCGCTGCAATGACTCGAGAATGCCGTGGCCTCTGACGTGAAGCTCCCGGTTTGATACCTTGACAAAGAGTCTGAGCCATGGACCGAAACTTAATCGGCACCGCGAACACGAAGGAGCACGAGCGTTGGCACTCTGCATCGTGAGAAATAAGTGAGGATCGAGAATGCGAAGCTTGGTGCAATGCCTCGAAGAACAGGTGCCGGTTCCGATGAGTGGCTGGCTATTCGTTCCGATGGTGTTGGGACTAGGGCTTTGCCCGTCACTGAAGTCTGAGCCGTTGCCACGTGCTGGAGCTGGAATAACTTCCCGCCGATGCACGGGCCCGTACGCCAAGACATCCCACCTTCCTCAATTCACTGCGTGGGTTGGTTGTATTCGGCCTCATCCACCGCCTGGTGGTCACTTCCTTACCCCTCATCCCGCACCAAACACAGAGCCGCAACTACCCACCCGGGGTTGCCGACTTCCGGGAGTCACACAGCATGGACGACTTCAACAGCGACACAGACAGCGACTACACCAGCTACTGGCGGGACTGGGTATGTACCTCAAACCACCCACCATGTCGAACGTGTTGGACTTTATACCCTTGGTGTGGAATGTATCCGGCAGGTTACACTGGCATAGTTTCGCTAACGAGTTCGCCCAGTTTATCTCCTCCCGGGGAAACGAGTACTTCTGCGAGATTGACGAGGAATACCTGACCGATCGCTTCAACCTCACCGGCCTCAACACCGAGGTGCAGTACTACCAATACGCGCTCGACCTCGTGACCGACGTGTTCGACTTCGACTGCGACGATGACATGCGCGAGCAGATTGAGAAGTCTGCGCGACATTTGTACGGCCTGGTGCATGCGCGATACATCGTCACGACTAGGGGTCTGGCGAAGATGGTACGGCTTCCTCTTAGAGTCCGTGACCTATGCTCCTCCTCTATCTCCCACATAGGGACGGGACATAGTTCTCGGCTCTTGCCTGAAAAGACATTGCTGACGAGGTTACTACATACAGCTCGAGAAATTCAAGAAATCCGACTTCGGCAAATGCCCGCGCGTAATGTGCGAATCGCAACCGCTCCTCCCCATGGGCCAGTCCGACGTGCCCAACACGTCGCCGGTAAAGCTGTACTGCGCGCGCTGCGAAGACCTCTACAACCCCAAGTCGTCGCGCCACGCCGTCATCGACGGCGCCTACTTCGGCACCTCGTTCCACAACATCCTGTTCCAGGTCTACCCGGCCATGCTGCCGGCGAAGAGCCAGCGCCGCTACGAGCCGCGCGTCTTCGGGTTTCGAGTGCATGCTGCTGCCGCCCTGGCACGGTGGCAGGCGGAGGAGAGGGAGAAGTTGAAGGAGAGGCTGAGGGGCGAGCGGATAGAGACGGGGTTTGAAGAGGAGGATGAGGAGCTGGAAGAGGAAGAGGAGGATGAGGAGATGGAGGGGGATGGGTTTGAGGGCGCGGTTGTGCAGCAGTGATATTCTTTGGTAGACGTTGGCTTGGCTGATGGGCATATGGGGTATCGAAAGGGCTGGGTAGGATATCTCTTCTTCAAGCATGGTATGGCGCCAGGCGTGGTTTCCGACTCGATTAGAATTACTTAATACCACGATACATCAAGTCCACACGGGGCTAGTTGGGTATATAAAGTGTAGATAACATCGGAAGGAGTCCAATCACGTAGTGAGACGAACCGGGCCAACGACAGCACTCCACGAAGCCCACCTCATCATCATCATCATCACCATCACAGCACTTCAAGATCAAGAAAACACTTTTCAATCACAACTACTACCAAAGATCGCATTCTCGCGCAACTTCTCTCTCCATAAACGAAGGGGGTATCTACTACTATCTTCTCACCACCAACACATGCATCTGATACATTCATCCAGCAAAAGCAACGCGACATATCCAAAAGCCAACGCAACGCATTACAAAAGCCAACGCGAACAAGCGTAAAAGACAAGGGAGTATCTCTCCTAACACCTCTTCTTACAAAGCCAGCCAGCCAGCCCCATGCAGGGTATCGTGTCTCCGTATCCAAGAAGTGGGTATTACAAGATCCGGTACTGATGCCGCTCGACAAGAGAAGGATGATTGATCCTCGAGACTCCCAAACGAAAACGAAAACGAAAACGAAAACGAAAAACGAAACACGGAAAAAGAAAACCCCATATGCAACCGGCCATTTCCATGCAATACGTTATACATCGCTCGCTCGGAGGGGACAGAGGGTATGCGAAAAGGGTGAGGTGATAGGAATGTGAAGAAACTCCGACGCAATGCCTAAACAAGATCAAATCGAACCAAACGCGCTTGCACCCGCTGCCCTTTATCCAATACGTTCCTCCAGCTTCGTTTATAAGCCAGCGATCTTCTTGAACCAACTTCCTCTCTTGCCGCCACCCTCAGCAGCCGGCCTTCCATCCCAAGTCCGAACCGGTGGATCAGCATACGCCGCCGGAGGGGCGGCATAGCTCTTCCTCCTACTCTTCCTCTCTCGATCCTCATCACTTCCTCGTGCGCCCTCGTAGTGGGATCGACGACGATGATGCCTTGCCTCCCGGTCGCGATCGCGATCCCGGTCTCTGTCGCGGTCTCGCTCGTGATCCTTCTGGCGCTTGCTCTTATGGATGCGAAGACGGATCTCCTCATCAGCAGATGGCGATTCGTCGTCCCCAGGACCGTCGCGAGCGCCCGGAGGAGCGTCTAGGACCGTCTCGGCAATGGGAACGGGGAGCGGCGGCTCATTCGACAACGAGTCGACCCACGACGAGGTCTTGTCGCCACCCTTGGCTAGGTACGGCATGTTCTCTTCCTCCCTCGAGCGGTGGGAGCTACGATGGCGAGATCGATGACTGGCTCCGTTGCGCTCGTCGAAGTAGTCCGTAATGGGCTCGCCGTTGGTTGTCGGATACTCGGAATTGCGCCTGGCGCGACGCTCTTCGCGGCGGCGACGGCGCTCCTCAGGGTCCTCGTCCATGTGCGACCGGTGGCGCTCATTGCGAGGGCGTGAGCTCTCTGGTTCCTTTTCTTTGCGACGAGATGAACGATACTCTCGGTCTTCCGTAGGCTTGCGCGATCCGCGAACACCGCGCCGGTCTTCTTTTTCCTTCATGCGACGAAGCTGTTCCTCAGCTTCCTTGTTCCGGCGCTCGAGCTCAGCCATCTGGCGAGCCTTCTTCTCCGCAAGTGTGGCGCCTTCGTTGTCTCGCTCTCGATCGCGGCGACGCTCAGTTCTGGCCTCAGCCTCTTCGACTTCGGCACGACGCGATTCCTTCTCTGCGTGTCGCTTGGCCCTGCGTTCTGCCCGTCGGGCTTCGCGATCGGCTTCGGCGTCGCTGCTGCCATTTGCGCCGTGGGCTGCTATATCGGCATCGCCGTTAGGCATGGTCGACGAGCGTCGCACGCTTCGGCGTTCGTGTCGCAATCGTTTCGCTTCATCTTCGGTCGCGGCGCCGCGAGTGGATGATCGTTTGCGGCGTTTGCGCTCGTCTTCTGTCTCGTAAGCAGTCCTGCGGCGCTCGCGCCTATCGTCGTCTCCAGCCTTCTTGCGCGAACCGAGTCCAAACATGCTCATGAATCCTGTCGCAGCCGCAGCTCCAGCGGCTGCTCCTGCCATGGAGTCCTTCGCGTTGGAGTTGCCACGCACGCGGCGTGATCGCTCGCGGCGGGGCGGTTCAGCTGGGGTTGGCTCCGCATCCATCGGATCGATGTCAACAGGATCGTCGGCGCTAGGTGGAGCTGTTAACGGCTCTGTAGGAGTAACGTTTTCGTATTTCGACTTGCGACGCGATGATTCTGCCTTTGGTGCGGGTGTTGGTGAAGGAGGAGCGTCGTCGTCCAGCATGTCCAGGTCGTCGTCTATAGGATACGGGTCGGGTACAGCTGCACGCATTCGGTTAGCTCGATTTCTCCGCTTACGCCTCCAGCCTAGAACGCTCCGCCGTTTGGGGGCGATTTTCTTACCTCTGGCTTTGCCCTTGTCTCTGGTACTGGATCGCCTGCTGACAGAACCTTTCATGCCCATTACCTTAGCAGCTTTCGAGGAGACCTTAACATCCGTATCTGTTTGCGGTGGCGACATCATAGCGGCGTCCTGATCGATCGAGGGCCTTCTGGAAAGTGTGCGCGGCGTAGCTGACGCACGGCGCGCTTTCGCACGCGCAGATGGTGGTGGTGCTCCAAAGAGCGATGCAAGTCCGGTAGAGGTACGCGTGGTCTTTGAGCGAGATGGCGTCTTCGACATCTTGTCTGATCCTGAGGATTTGGACATGACATCCTTATCTTTGGTGGACGAAGACACGCGCGCGGACTTAGAACGGGACACGCTGGGCCTGGCTGGTGTTGCTGTGCTTGTCGCATCGTCGCCAGATTGTTTTCTGGCTGGTTTTTGTCGCGATGAGGCGGCAGTCGCAGCGGCAGCGCCCCAGAAGCCCCAGGACGCGGCGCCCGCGTTGCGCACAACTTTTGCGCGTTCTTTCTTGGCCGGCGTGGGCACGACCTCTGCTTCGGGCGGCGGCGTAGGGAGTTTGCCGGGGACTTCGTCGACATCCATCGGCGCGGGCTCTTCTTCGATAGGCTCTGGCGGGGGTGGGGGGGGTGGCGGGGGCGCTTCAATAACAGGCTCTGCCTTCGATTTGCTGCTCTTCTTGGACTTCTTCAACTTCCTGTCTACCACAACGGGTTCTGGAGCAGGGGGTTCGGGCTCAGCTGGAGGTGGCGGAGGAGCGGAGACGTTGAGATCAATCAAATCCATCTCATCATCCATGGGGAAGCCACCTGGGACAGGTGTAGAGACCTTAGGAGCCGCTTCAGGCTCGGGGTCGGGGATCACGAGAGGTGGAGAGACCTCCTTATTCTTTGATTTTGACGACTTGGTGGTGGCCTTCTTGGACTTCGAAGACTTCTTAGGAGTCGCGTCGATGACCTCGACAGCTGGAGGCTCTGGTGGAGGCGGAGGAGGTGCAGGCTCTTCCGGGGCAGGTTCTGGTTCGGGCTCCGGCTCCGGTTCCACAGCTTTCGCCTTCTTCTTCTCCTGCAGTGCTTTTAATCTTTCGGCAACCACGCCACCGGATTTAGTGGATGACTTCTTGGTCGCCGATGACCTTGCTGCCTTGACCACCGGTTCGTCAGCAATCGGCGCTTCTGGTAGATTCGCTGATTCGTCCGGAAGATCCCGCGCTGACTCAGCGATCACCTCGTCTTTCTTGGGCTCAGCCTTCTTGGTCTTGCGGAGGGAGATGCCCCAAGCACTTCCCCAGCCGCCGGACTCTTCTTTCTGGGTGTCTTTCTCGAGCTCAGCAAGAAGATCGGCGGCTGGTATATCCTTGACAAGATTGAGTAGATCTTCGTCGATCGGAGGTGGTGGTGGAGGAGCAGCCTCCTCGAGGACTGTCTTGCCCTTCTTTTTCTTCGTCTTTTTCGTCGAAGTGCTTCCGAGGAGTTCTTTCTCCGCTGCCAGACGAGCTGCTTCTGCCTCTTCCACCTCCCTTTGAGCTCGTTCAGCGGCCTCGGCCGCTTCTTTAGCCTCACGGTCTAATCGCTCCTGTTCCTCCTGCTCCTTCTTCTCTCGAGCTTCGCGTTCTCTCCTCTGCCTGGGGCTCTCCTTCTTCTTTGTTGTCGCGCCCCATATACTAGCTCCCCACCCTGAGCTCTCTTCTGCCTCCTTCTTGGCCTTTGCCGCGGCTTCTTCTGCTTCTTTTGCTTCCCTCTCGATCCTCTCCTGTTCTTCGCGCTCCTTCTCAAGCCGCTCTTGCTCTTCTTTCTCAGCACGTTCCTTTTCCTCTTGCTCGAGCCGTTCCTTTTCCTCGCGTTCATTCTTCTCCTTAGCCTCACGTTCTCGCCTCTGTCTGGTGGTCTCCTTCTTCTTCGAGGAACCCCATATGCTGCCCCATCCTGCGCTACCCTCTGCTTCCTTCTTGGCCTTCTCTGCCTCTTCCGCCTCTTTCCTGGCTTTCTCAGCCTCCTCGGCTTCCTTGGCTTCGCGCTCACGCCGCTCTTCCTCTTCCTTCTCTTTGACCTCCTTCTCGAGGCGGTCTTGCTCCTCCTTTTCTCGTTTCTCTCGGGCCTTTTTCTCCCTCGGGGTTTCCTTCTTGCTAGGTTTGGAGGATGTGACAGTGCCCCATGCGCTCCAGGCATTTTTGGCAGCAGAGGCAGCGTCTTCCTTCTCTTCCTTTTTTGGCTCGTCGAGACTGATAAGGTCATCCCACGTATCTCTGGGCGCCTTGGAAGCTGAGTCTTTCGTGGTCGTCTTGCTTAACTTTCCGCCATCGTCTGCCGGCGCCTCTTTGGCGCCCTTCTTCTTCTTTTTCTTGGCGGAAGAAGTGAAGCCCCACAGATCATCATCATCCTTCTTCTCCTCAACTGGGGCTGCCTCAATCGCCTTCGGGGGTGGCATTTCGGGCACGGGGTCGAGCAGATCGATCTTTTCGCCAGGCGGCGTGGGAACAGGGGGAGGAGCGAGGAGGGACGACTTCTTGCCCTTCTTGCCTTTCTTTCCGATGTTGAAGGACGCGCTACCCCACGGGTCTTCCTCATCTGGTTGCTGAACGGGCGCGGAGGGCGTTTCCTCGGTGACTTCAATAGGGGTGTCCTTCTTGGAGCTCTTCTTGTTCTTCTTCGTGCCCCAAGACGGAACGCCAAAGTCGTCTTCCTCTTCTGCCTTAGGCTCCTCGAATCCATCCGGGCTCTGAATTGTGGCTGGGTCCTCCACAATGGGCTCCGGTTGCTCCAGTTCGGAGTTCTTCCCCTTCTTTTTCTTCTTAGAACTGCCGCCCCAGATGGAACTGAAGCCCCAGTCTCCACCCTCGCTCTTCTCTTTCTCTTTCTCTGGTTCCGGTTCCGGTTCCGGGATAGCTGGCGGAGGCGGAAGTGGTTCTTCGCCGGCGCCCTTTTTCTTTTTGCTCTTCTTCGTTGTCGTCGTGGATGCCCAATTAGACCAATCGTCCTCTTGCTTCTCCACAACAACTGGTTCAGGCAGAGGCTCAACGCTGGGTTCTTCTTTCGATGGTTCAGGGACGGGAACAGAAACAGAGCCCTTCTTGTTCTTCTTGCCCTTCTTCGTGGCGGTCGTCCCAAAATCGCCCCATGGATCATCTGCTGGCTTATCTTCTACTACAGGGGCAGGCTCTGGTTCAGGCTCTGGTGGCGGTGGCTCCTCGCCAGTCTTCTTACCCTTCTTTTTTTTCTTTGAGCTAGTGCCGCAGTCGCCCCAGATATCGTCCTCTTCCTCTTTCACGGGCTCCGGATCTGGTTCTGCCGCCGCCGCCTCTGCTGCTGCTGCTGCTCCTTCCTCTTCCTTACGCTTTCTCTCAGCCTCTTCTTCCTCTTCCCTCTGCTTTTGCTCAGCCTCATCTTTCATCTTCTTTTCCAACTTCTTCCGCTCTCTCTTACTGAGACCGGCAAAAGGATCTATCGATTCCTCAACGACGGGCTCTGGCTCTGGCTCCGGCTCCGGTTCCGGTTCTGGTGGTGGGGGCTCCTCAACCACGGGCTCTTCTTTCGCGCCCTTCTTGCCTTTCTTCTTCTTGCTGGTGGTCATGGCAAACGAGCCCCAACTGTCGTCCGCCGGAGGTGCGGGCTCCGGAGGCGGGGGTAGAGGTTCCTCGACCTTGGGCTCTTCCTTGATCTCTTCAATCGCATTCTTCCCCTTCTTCTTCTTCTTGCCCACAGAACCGGAGCCCCAACCCCACGGGTCGTCCTCTTTCGCGGCTTCCGGCTCTGGCGCCGGCACTGGCACTGGCGCTGGTTCCGGTTCAGGTTCGGCAGGCGTCTCTTCAATCAGCGTAGCTCCTTTCTTCTTTTTCTTCTTGTCTTTGGCGTTGCCGAATGAGAATGACGACCATGGCTCTTCCTCCTCCTTTCGCTTTTCAGGCTCTGGTGCTGGTTCGGGAGCGGGTTCCTCCACAATAGTTGCTGCGCCCTTCTTCTTGTTCTTCTTGCTCTTGCTGCTAAAGCCAAAGCCCCAGGTATCGTCTTCGACTGGTTTGTCTTCCACTACCGGGGCCGGCTCGGCAGAGGTCGCATTGAAGGCGTCGAAATTGAAGTCAAAGCCCGAAGAATCCTTCTTCTTCTTGTCCGTGGATCCCCACGGATTATCATCTTTGCCTTCATCTTTATCTTTCGAGCTGTCAAGTCCTGAATCAAAGCCCCAGGAAGTCTTAGCTCCCCAACCAGACGTCCAACTGCCAAGGCCGCCAAAACCGAAACTTGGTGATTTTGATGCGCCGCTATCACCAAAATTCATTTCAATCTTCGGCGCGCCTCCGGTATCGTCGAGATTTATGTCGTCGAATGTTGTGGCTGGGTCTGCTGCAGGTGGTTCGGGGTCTTTTGGAGGGGGTGCTGCGGGTTCACCCGCCTATAGAAGCGTTAGTGCATTGCAACGTGTAATTAAGCAACCGAAATTACGTACCTTCCCCTTTTTACCCTTCTTCTTCTTTCCCCCAACAGTCGCGAACGTTCCCCAGTCGTCGTCCGGATTAGCGTCATTTACCTGATCGGCCCAGCTTAGGTCATTGCCGGCAGTTGCAGCAGCCGCAGCCGCCGCCTCTTCTTCCTTCTTCTTGCGCTCCATTTCGTCCTCCTCTTCCTTGCGCTTGCGTTCGGCTTCCTCTTCCTCTTGTTGCGCCTTCTTGCTCTTCTTTTTCTTCTTCTTACCGGTGTCCCAACCGCCCCACTCGTCCTCGTTATTCCCGTCGTCACCCCCGTCACCGCCGTCTCCACCTTCACCGCCCGCATCCCCGCCCCCTCCATCCGCAGGAGGATTACCACCGCCGTTGTCGCCACCACCCGCGCCGCCAGCATTCTCCTCTTCCTTCTTCTTGTCGTCATCATCGTCCCACGCAGCCTTCGCAGCGCCGCCCTTCTTCTTTTTCTTAGCGTGCGACCTGACCCCGTCTTCGCTGAAGCCGAATTCAATGTCCGCGTACAACGATTTCTCGTCGAGGTAGAAAGAAGAAGACGGCGACGTGTTGCAGCTTATGCGCAGGCAATTGGGGACATTGGAGCACAGTGAAGGGTTGAGGGAGGGGAACAGCGTGTATTCAGGCGTTTGCGCGGTGGCTAGCGCATCTGTGGTGGTGTAGTCGGGCGGAAGGTCTGCGAGCGTGTCATCGTAAGACGGCGGCGGCTGGGAATAGCTCTGCGGCGATTCAAGCCAGAGCTCTGGAGAGGGTGCTGGCGTTTCCGGGGCCAGTGTAGAAAATTGGGTGTTGAGGTCGTGTATCTGCTGGTTATTAGACGTGACCCGTAGACATTGAGGCGTATATGATGACCTGTGCTCAACGCGAGCCCGACAATTCGAAGGATGGGGAATGCAAGGACCAAAGAAGCGGGGATTTGGACCAAACAGAGCTGTGTCGTCATACCGAGATTGTGTGCCCGTCTTCACGGCGCTTCCCTTTGTCGCGGCGTTCCAGCCGGTCCATCGCTTGGAAGATGTCCTCCATCAGTTCTGTAATAAGGTCCCCTTGTTCTGATTCGCATGCAGTCACGCTTCCAGATGTGTAGCTGCTTGTCTCAAACTCGCACCAACTCGCCATATTGTGCTGTCTCGACTCAGATTTCCTGCTCCTGCAGCTATCAGCCGACCCAGTCCTCGATGGCGGCCGGGTCTTTCGTCTCGCATATGGCGCGACGGCGCCGGCGCGGCGTGAGCTGGCGGAGGGAGACATCCTGCGAGAGACCCGAGTATCTGGAGGCGCGCAAACAGAGAGAGCACGGCGGGGGAGGCGGGCACATTAGCGGTGGTGAGGATCCGCGAGGATTGCGCGGTGGGCGGTGGGCGGTGAGTCGTGAGGCGAGAGGTGTGAATGGTGGGCGGCGGGCGAGGTCTGGATATCGCGCAGTGAAGCAATCCGCAGCGGGTCGTGATGCGTCTAGACAGGATTAAGTCGCACAGCAGAAAAAAAATGTCTCCAATAAGCGGATATTCGGTGACAGAGGCCGGCGCACCAGAGCTGGTTCTCCGGGAATGGCTGCAGGAGGTGCTCGATCAGCGAGAGTCGTGGTAGGGGAGTTCTCCTGGCGTGGCGGGATGGGCGATGCAGGAGATGCAGGTTGCAGGTCAGCTTGGAAGCGCAGGCGGAAAGGGTCCTCTTCTGAGCTGCGAGTGGTCACAAGGCTCGAATTCTGTGTGTGTTTTGGCGACGCCGTGGGCTCCGAATAGGCTTAGGGGCACTCAAATCGAGGCAGGGAGAGGGCCATTTGACGGCCCCCGATAACGATTGGCGTTTCAAGCACACTGCGCGCGGGCCAGCGTCGAAATTCACATCCGGGAGCGCGAAAAGTGAGGGGCTGGCGGCGGGCAGCGAGTTCCGGGTGGAGGGAGCGCGTAGCGTTCGCAGGGTGTTCGAGATGTATGTAAACAAAAGCGATCAGATCGGACGGCAGTACGGAGTACCTAGGTAGTTGGAGAAGGATATGCACGCGTTAAGAGGATCGGGTCCAGGCAAAAATTTGTTGGCCTAGCTGCCGCAGCTGCATTGAGCCCTAGAGGTGGGTGAATGCCGCTGTGCATAGAGCGTGAAGCCGACGGCTGTCTTCCCTGCTCCTGCGGATACCGCATAGGATGGACCAGGCTCGGGTCGCCCCCGTGTCCCACCCAGAGGGAGCAGTGGGAGCTCGAAAATGCCCGCAATTGGCTGCCCGGCCGCGGCCTTGACGAGCAACACGTCGTGGCTGGAGAAGAGCCTACACCGCAACTCCTCGATGACCCAATAGGAGGGCCATGACAGCTGCTCGAGAATTTAGCGGGACCCCCTTTACGTCCGGTGAATGCGCGTGGTCCCCATTCCTCACGTCCGCAATTGCAAATGCGAGGAGAGACAACGCACGTCTGCATCGCCATAGCTAGGTAGCCGTCATGCTAGAGTGGGCTGCAGGTGGGGCCAATAGACACCAGCTGTCACCCAGAAACTGGAGGGGGAGGCGCCGTGGTTCATCGCTCTTGACACGCAGGGTACCGTTTCCCATACCCTTCTAGAAGACGGTCAGGCCCAAGCCAGCTCAATCGGGTCCATGTAGCATTGCGTAATTGACAGCTTCTATTCAGACAGCTCCCTACCCCATGCAAAAGTAGACACATGAATTAAAGTCAGTCCGTCGCTCGTAGATGCCCACTTTCACCGCTGCGCTCTACTCCACCCCGGGTATCAATACATACGTGCAGCCAAGCATGCTGGCCTCCTAAAAGAGATCCGTCTAGGGCAAACAAGTGCCCATCCAAAGGGAAATACAAAGGACTAGCCACCGCGATATCGCCGAAGCAACGACTAAGAGAGTGGCCGCTCGTCCGGGACCCAGAGCGTAGGTACATAGGAAACAGAATATCAGCAAGATATAACCTAGTCGATGAGATGGATTGTACAGTTGCAGATCGCTAATGCGCAGCAAAATAGAAAGTAGACATTACCTATCCTTGAGATAAATAGAAAGTAACGAGTGACATGCAGTTAGAACATATTAGAATGGTTGGCCCTCAAGCTCCTCGCCATTGAGGATCCTGCGCGCCTCATCAAGTCGCCGCCGCCATTCTTTGCGTTCGTACTGGTCCCCAGCCGTGCTCTGGAGATTCGCACAAACCTGTTGGAGACTGGCAGCCAAACTGTAGATGAGCTGCTTCTCTTCTTCGTTGAGCGCCAGACGAGGCTCCTCTTTAGGTGTTTCGAGCATAATGGAGAAGATCTTGGAGGTCTGGAGGCCGGTTACAAGGTCGCTCGCAGGTGAGGAGCCGCGGGAAATATTTGACGTCTGTGTTGGTGAGCTGTTGACTCGTCGCATGTTGATTGCGGAATCGGAGCGAGGCGACGTAAGCCCGTTTGGTGTAGCGTGGCGCGGTGCAACAGACTGACGGTTGGAAAGAAGTTGTTGGGAGAAACGGTCCATCTGCTCATTCTCTTCCTCGTCATCGGGCTGCTCTTCTGCGGCAGTAGCAAAGCTTGCTATGGTCGAGATTGAGTCTACGCTGGGATTGCGTTGGTGATAAGAGATTCTCCTGGCTGGGCTCGTTGAATCTTCGTGGTTTTGGATGGCGGTAACCGGCCTGGTGGTGGCCACAGAATCAGTCGAACTTGAACTTGAGCTAGAGCTGCGGCGTCCCTGGCTGTAGGTGCCCATTGCACTGTGCAGAAAGAAATGCTCGTAGTCAAATGCATCTACGCGGTCTTCATGGCGTTCGGCAACCGGCATTTCGTAAACAGCATCCTCGTAGATGCTGCTGCCTCCGTGCTCGTACTCGTCACCTTCAACGGATACGAAGTCGTTATCGCTTTCCTCCACGCCGCTCAGGTCTTGACCGTTGACATCGTCGTCGGTTCCCTCGGGCTCCGCATCTTGAGAATCGTCGTAATGGTCTGCCGTATGATGTTGGCTGCGATCGACCGTCCTCCGGTCAATATTGTTCTTCCCTTGGGTTAGCGTTCGCATGTGATCTGCCGATGTTGCAGTCGTTGTAGTCGTTCTCGGGGTTGAATCGCTCCCTTCATCCTCATACAGCGCTTTCCTGGTGGGGGACTCCGTCTTGATCCCCACACCTGCGTCAGCTGTTACCGGAGAGCCACTGTTCTTGTAGGCCTCTGTGCCGGAATACCATATCTCGGCAGAAGTGAAAGGGCTGGGTGTGCGAAGGGTCTGCATACTGCGCCGTCGAAGATTGTCCTCCTGCGCCCTTATCTTCAGGCTCGATATCCTGCCCTTGAGGTCGTTCATTTGATCCCGCAGACTGCTCGTAGTCGAAGCTGAACGATGTAGCTTTGGTGCGTCGTCGTCTTCCGGTAGTGTTTCTAAGACGTTGGGGGGCGATCGCGAGCCCCTGGAATGAGAACGCAAGGAGTGCTCCCGCTCATCATGTCCCAACCCGTTGCGAGGATCACGCATAACCTCAAAACTTCGTGTCTCTCGTATCGGGAAACGCCCATATCCATATCCCTCTGGCGACCATGGTCCGCTCGTGATGCCCATGGCGCTCGATGCGCGCTTGTTTGGGACGGTCCTAGTCATGTACGACGGAGAGAAGGGCAGAGGGACGGAGGTTTCGCTCAAACCGCGTGAGTGACCCGGGCTGTTGTTCGTGGAGAGTAGCGAAGAATAGTATGGTCGGGTCCTGGGAGGTATGGGTCCCATTCCAGCATACAATCTCCTGTCTCGTTCCCGCGCTGCTGAGATTTGCTGCGAGAGTTCAGATGCCATCTTCATGCCATTGAGTGTCGGCGAGACCACCAGCGATTGGCGAGCGCCTCTAAGGTTTCCTTCCATAACCTAGTCACTGTCAGCTTCTATACACTGTATTTTCCGACGTCGATGCCTACGTTCAGACGTTTCTTGGCGTTGGCCAGGATCATCTCTGCGCGTTTCGAGTACAGATCGGACGAGTAGTGGTTGTCTTCGTTGTCGCTCTGTTCGTTCATCCATCGCTCATTGTCCGTGTCTTCGTCGCCCTGCACATCGACCGGGAATTGGTCGCGGTCCTCCTCATCTTCCAGGTCCACTCCACTGTCGTCGAAGCCGCCCTGGCTATCGAACCCGGGCCATCTCGTCATGTCCTCAAAATCCTCGCTGTTCACAGAGCTCGAGGTGTTGCTGTATCTGCGCGGTGGTGGGTTCTTCCAGCCGTGCGGTGGGTGGCTTGTGAGGGCATCGTGAATGGTTGGCGAGGACGCCAGCGCATCGGCGCGCGCGCCCGAGGCCTTCGCATTTGCCTCTGAGTCGCTCATGTTGCGCAGCGTCGAGCGCGAACTCTGCGCCGAAAGAGGTGGAGATTTAATTTGAGGTGAAGGCCCGCGCCGGCCCTGGGGCGCGGAGGCCAGCTTGATGGTGTGCGTCGAGCGGTTCGAGTGCGCGTAGAAGCTAGAAGGGGAGGGTGGCCGTTCTCGTTCGATATACGGGCTTGGAGACACGCTGCGCAGTGTGTTGCCCTCTGGCAGGATCATGGAGATCTCTGAGAGGGTCGGCGACCGCGGGGAGGGAAGCCCGGCGGGGACGGGTAAAGGTGCTGCTGCCATGGTACCGAGTTATATCGGGTCGCAGGAGCTGAACATGGTGGGAGTTCCCGGGTCGTTAGCAGCACGCCGTCTCTGTAGGCACAGTGTGCAGCGCAAGTGTCGGAGAAGGTGAGACTGGCTTCGGGAACGGGAGACACGAAGAGGACGCGTGCGACATCAATTATTTCTCAGCCTGCGACGGCATAGGGAGATGAGCTCTGGGTTTTCAGATGGCCGCATTGACCACCCGTCCTCAGCAATGCTGTTTAGGGGCAAGCTACTGGCAGCGATCTCCCCGGCAATGGGATAGGACGCCCGCTATTCTCCGTGCCTACCGGGCCTGCAATTGGTGCTTTGGCAGTGTGACCTCATGCTAATAGCCCCGTTCCCGGATGGCTTCGCGCAGGGATCGATGTTGCTACCCCCGTTCCCCTTCATCCTTCACCCTCCGTGCTTCTTCTGGTACCAATATATGCGGAACCAGAGAGCTCGACGCGTCAAATACACTGAGTGCGACCAGCATCTAAGTCGCCATGTCATCTTTGGCAGGGCAGCCACGGGTAATGGTGGTGCACGTGTTCCCGCGCCGACGGGAAGTCATCGTGACAGCTGCACGTAGATGTTCGGGCACCGTACAGAGCGGCTGCTTGCAGGTCATAACGCACAGTGACAGTGACGGGTCAAATCATACTGTCAGCTAACTTCATGCATTGGATTTGTCTAATTAGCATGCCTCGAAGTCAACTACCAGAGGTCGGCCCGACTGAAACAGTTCCAACAGGGGGAAGGCCCGGGACCTAATGCATTGTCATAAACATACCGTTCGTTTCAACGCCGCCCAATGCTCGATCGAAAAGCAAGATCTGTTCCACCCTCATGCACGCTCGCTATGCAGTAAAAGCAAAATAAACCAATCTCATAAGAGTTCATCCTCGTCATTCCAGCCCAATGCATCGTAGATAGACGCTTCTCCGCCATCCTTTGTTGGATTGGAGAAAGTGGGTAACGGGGACTCAGTAACGTGTACGGCCGTGGCTCCTTTTGAAGGTGTCGCAAATACGGCGGGAGGAATCATGGGCAAATTGTCTGGAGGGGACGAGGCCACAGCTTTCGTGGGAGTGTCGTGAAGGACTTGAGCCGGAGAATCAGGCGAAAATTCTCTCACTTTCGATGGTGTCGCAAAGACTGCTTTTCGATCCGCCCCTGAAGTCAGAAATGTTTTGTTGCTCAGCGCTCTGCATGGTGTCTCGGCGACGCCTATACCGCCTATCTTTCGGGCTGTTACACTACGTTGAACAGTCGCAGGGACTGTAGAGGAAGAGGGACGTGCGGCTGAAGACGGAATGCAAAAGTCGCTCGAAGGTGGCGCGTTAGTCTCGCGAGGTCTAAAGAACGGGTTGCGATGATGGACTGGCGTCTGCTCCACAAGGTCTTTGGTCCTTTTAGCAACTCGGGGCGTTGCTGAGACTTGCACATCTTTGACAATCTTCCTAACAGGATTTGCCGGCTTCCTTGATCGATTAGATAGACCGAGACCGCGCCGCTCGATATCATCCGCGTAGCTTCCAGCAGCCAGCCCACGATTTGGTTTCTTCAAGGCCGTAATAGCCTCCTTTAGATCCTCCTCGACTCTCTTCTTCTGCTTCATCTTTGCTGCAGCTGCCGCAGATGGTGCAACCAAGTCAATCTCGCGTCCCTTGAGATGTTTGAATTGAGACATCGCTTGTCTGGCGGCAGCCGATGGGCTGCGCTGGAATGGTATTGCGGATAAGGGAACCTCGCTCCCTTCTCGTTTAATGCCATCTATGAGAGCAGAGTCGGTCGCGGATCGACTCAAAGATGGAGTGGCTCGTCGCTGGCTCGTCTGTCCGGTGGTATCCGTAGCCACTCGCCCTAAGGCGCGGCGGGGCTTCTTCGTATCGGGCTCTTTGGGGTCGCTAGACTTGCGCGACGTCGCTGGAGGCCTCATTGCCTTGCGCTTCGGAGGCGATGCATGCGCTGGTCCGCCCAGCTTTTTGTTGATCATGCGGGCTTGCTCAGGGAGTCGACTCATATAGAAAGGAATAACAACTTCGACACAGAAGCCTTGTAGACGATCATTTCCGCTGCGCTGACCCGAGGCGCCTGCTCCACTGTCCTGTTTGGGTACCTTTGCATCAAAGTCCAATACTCCCTCTTGTTCAACAGATTGCCAGATGCATAGTTTATCCAACAGCAAATCCAGCAAGAGTTTGACATCTTCCAGTTTCTTCTTACGCTTCTTTGGTTTGGCCTGTGATGCCCCTTGCGTCTGCGACTCCTCAACGGCATTGTGTTCCTCCTCTGACGGTCCCTTACACGTAGATAGGACCTCGAGGGCGATGATTTCAAGCATCAGAATCATCTGAGCTAGCGCTTCGCGGACCCGCAGATCCCCGACGCGTCTCTTGATGCGCTGGTCGATAGTCTCCTCGCCATGAGTTTCCGCATTCGGCATCTCAGACATCCACCACCTCTTAACAATCTCCTGCTCAAAGGAATAAACGCCCTCTCGGCCGAGCTTCACTTTCTTCTTCGGCTTCTTTTGTTTCGTGGTTCCCTCGCCCAATTCTTCGTCCGAGAAGCATCCGGGAGGGATCGCCTTGATCATTTCTGGAAGCTTGTCCTGGTACTTCTTCTCCTGGGCTTTGTGGCTCAAAAGCATGGACCGTAGGAACGTAACTAGCTCGTATGTGGGCGGTGCGCCTTCGTCGGGTGATGTAAACGTATTGCGGATGCGAGCAATTGGGCCTTTGGCGAGATATGCGAGAGAAGTCTTAGAGATATATATGGCGTCCAGATAGTGCTGCACCAGAGCGTCAAATTGCTCTTGTGGGGAAGGAATCTCCATAGCCTCTGGGACAAGATGCTGAATGCTTGGCCCAGGTTGTTCCTGTGTGGGTTCTCCGTCGTGGACGACCTGCGGTATAGGTTGCGGTATCATAAGCTGGGGCTTCGGTTTCGGTCGCACCATCGATAGCCTGGGGCGTTTTACGGGCACCTTGTCTAATTCAGCAATTACCGTGGTGTGCCGCCACCACTCTCCTCTTAGACTACCACCATGCTCCGACATGGGTAACATTGGATAACACCGTAGGCTTTCGGGATCCCACAGCTCTCCGACGTCTTTCTCCTTCAACCACCCCGCAAGCTTACACAGACTGTATACCCTGCTTTGGACCAGTTCCACAACATATAGTGCCCTCTTCGTCTCGGATCGCGCAATAAGAACCCTGGGCGACTCATTCTCTTTATTGTGTGAAATGTCATATTGCTCGAGTATATCGATGTAGGCGGAGAAGAGACGTTTCGCGACTAGGCCATCATCGGCGGATGTGTCGAGAAAGGTGAGCGGAAGCTGTGACCTGCCGATGACCCGGACAGGTTTGAGGCTGGTGGGCTTGCCATATGGCGACTCTGGGTACGGTTTGATCGTGAAGGGTTTGGTGAAGGTTCCAAGGCCGCAGATCGTATCTCGTTTCCTCTTGGAGGGCAGTTGAGACTTTTGCTGGGTGTCGCGTTTTGTCGAGAGGCCAAGAATTTCGGTGGGATCTTTACACACAGCTTGAAGCATTGTTTTCGAATGCAACGCGTAGGAGGTCATTGGCAGTGCTCATGGCTGTGTGCGGGCGATGTCGTGTGGAGGTGTTAGGGCTGGTCGTGCTTTCCTCGACGCGTCCATCGCGAGAATAGGTGGTCCGTGCCCACCACGCTAGACGTCAAGGCCCAACAGCAATACAACCCTCGACATCTTTCCAAAGGTTGTCATATAGAAGGGGTTACTTCCACTTTGCTCTGCGCATATCGAACATTGTAACATCAACAACCCCCTTTTTGCAGACCCCCACCCGAATGACTACATATTAGAAAGGGATGGAAAAGGTCTGAGCTACGCTGTTTTAATATGCCCTCAACCATTCATCACTATGGCTAACTATGCTACAAGCTAATTATACAGCACACGAGTAACCAGGGCTAGAGTACTTTCTGCAGGGCAACGGCCCGCCTTCGCCTCCACCTTAAGCTATTCCTACCCTCGTGACATTGGTTACCTGTCTTCCACCGACCCAGGCGGCCTCAATATCCAAAGTGTTGGAGATGTTGACCAGAGGATTACTCTTCAAAAGGAGCAGATCTGCGCGCATTCCCGGAGCAATGATTCCTCGATCTGCCAACCTATGGTATTTTGCCGGAACTTTGGTGGCAGCGTTGATGGCCTCCGCTGGTGTCATTCCAATATCGACAAGGTTCTGAAGCTCTTCATGAAGGGTGATCCCGAAAGGGAGGGAGACGTTCGCGCTTATCGTCCCTATCGAGTCGGTGCCTACGAGGATCGGAACGCCCGCTTTGTGCAGTGCTGCGACGTTTGCGCGGACGGTGCTGTAGGAAGAATTGCCTTTCGAGCCACCACTACCACTGAGGAATTGGATGACCGCGGGGTTCGAGAAGGCTAGTCTGAAGATGGCCATAGTCGGTGTTACGAACTGCCCGTTGTGCTTGATGTCGCGAATAGCGGAGGCCGAAAGATTCCCGTCATCGGGCGTGTGCTGAATTCCATTGGAACGAGAAGCTATGACTTGAAGATACGATGTCAAATCAGCAGCGTGGGACATCGTCTGCTTTCCGAGAGCGTGGGTCGCATGGACGAGCCTTGTCTGCAGCTCCGGTGAAGGCCCGTTCGTCTCGACCGTGATCTTGAAGTAATCTGAATTGTTGCCAAACGCCCAATCTACCAGTTCCACAGGATCCGAAGTCGGATAAATCAATTGGCCAGGAGTAAGATCGAGCATCCTGGAATGGGAGCTGTTCGGACCTACGGCTGGAACCCCTGCCGTTAAGACCTCGGCGAGCCCCAGGTGACCTTTGAGGAGCGCGCATTCCGTATAATTGCGACAGGCTGGGGCACCGCGAGTACCCATTAGCGGATGTTCAACCAAGGGGAGAGGGAGGCAACATCTAAGCATGTCCTAGTCTTTTCTCGGTGCTGTTTTGCACGCTGAAGGGCGAGGCATGATAGTATGTGTCCCTCAAGTACATACCCATATTCAGAGCCGTCGTAATTCCGTACGAAGTCATGTTCTCAAGGTCCGCAATGCTGAAAATGTGGGTATGGCTTTCGATAAGTCCCGGTATGAGGAATTGCTCGAAGGCATCAATGGTGTTTGTGACGCCGTCAGAACACCCCGATATATGTTCTTGGTCGATTATGACGGTCCGGGGAGGACTCATACAGGTGCCATCGAATACACGGACGTTCATGATAGCCGTCTTGCCTAAGGGTGAGGGATCTCCTCGGCGGACATAACATTCCGATTCGTCGCGATCTGGCACAGATTGATGGCGGAGACATGCTGAAGAAAGGTATGGCGAAACCGAAAATGCCAGGAAGAGTACAAATTTCATGTTGAAAGACTTCTTGATAAGGACCTACAACGTGAGGGAGACAAGAAAGGAAAAGCTAGATAGACTGAGTCACGGTGAGCAACCTCGGGCACTTTTATATTCCTCGTGGCTGACGTCCATGATAATAACCCGGTAAGTGGCCGTCGCACTTTAAACCTCATGAGTAGAGATCTTCTTCGCAATAGACGCTGATGCCGTTAAAGACGCTGCGCAACTCAAAAGAACTTCAGCAGGGAAGCTCGTACACTAAGCGGAATACGGTTAGAAATTTCGACCCCGGAAGCTATCACCGCCAGCCCAGCCTCTTCAACATAGCCACGACGTCTGAGCATCTCGTTTCACGTCCGAAATATGTCGCCCGCTCATCTCTCTTCCGGGGCTGCGTGATCCTGTTCTACTTATTTTCATCCCTTTGGGTGTTTTCGATCAAAACGTCTTCGAGTGAAAGCACCTAATTACCCAGATACCTAGGTAATACATTTATTACATGCGAAAAGTCCACTCGAAAAGTCGCAATAGCTGCCTAAGGTGCAAGCAGCGACGCGTAAAAGTACTGAGCTTTACAGACCGTTTCGCGCCCCGTTGCTGACAATCATGTAGTGCGATCTGCAAGCTCCTATTTGCTCGAACTGCACGCGGCGGAAGGAGAACTGTGAATGGCCATCTTGGGCTACGGCTTTTACAGAAAACCAAGCCACCATATCCGCCTACTCTGCATACCCGTTGGCACCTAGTCCATTGAGAATGAGTCTCGCAGCCGACGTGTCGGCCGGGTTCCCGTACCTTGATTTAGGTGTAAGAGCGTGCCTAGCAAACACTCTTTCGGCCATTCCCTTCTCCGGAAATGAAGTGGCTCTTTGGGGCCAGTCGTTGGCTAAGCCCGCTTCTAAGTTTCAGTACCTTCAGCCAGCCCTGTTTTCTCTGGTCTCGCTCTACTCCGAAAGATACGATCCCCAGAACGTCCCTCATGATCGGTCGTTAGCCTACCGACAACATCTTGATGCGACAACGCTGTTCCGAAATACGCCTCCCGTCGTCAACGAAGAAAACTGGTCAGCAGTCCTCATATTTGGGTTAGCTGTTGTTGTCTTCCAGTTTGCAACCCAGCAGACATGTCCGGATGCTGCTTTCGACTATATGGAAACACTTCATGTGCTAAGGATGTCTGCGAATCTGGCCCGGGAGGTCTTCCCTTTTCTTTCTAAGAGTAGCATGTGGCCCTTCATTCAACACCGGGTCCGTCTGTCAATGAGGCCTCCTGACCCTAGGGCCCAAGCCGCTATCAAGACCCTGGAAGATGCCGTCTTGTCCTACGCCGTGCTAGATGACGATCAAGAAGCACGAATTCGAGGCCTCAACGCATTCAAGGACTGGGTCGTGGACTGCGACGGGTACCCCAGAGTATGGCGTCATTATATCCAGTGGCCCCGGTCTTTGCGAAACGAGTTCCTTCTGCTCTTGTTGAAGGATGATGATATCGCTCTCCTGATCTTGATACACTGGTGCGTCTTTTTACACCTGAGCCCGAATCGGTGGTGGCTGGAGCTTTGGCCCCGTCGAACTGCAGCTTCCGCGATGAGCAAATTTACGCAAGATTGGGAAGCTCTCGCCTGGCCCAAAACGGTATTCGCACTGCCCGGATGTCGCGATGAACGTTAGGGAATGTCGTCAATTAAACGCAAGACAAGTTGGCCCTACCCGTTGAAGGCCTTCAGGACCAGCTATCCACAATTTCAAAGAAAGGCGGCTGTAGCTCCACTCCTGATGACGATCGCTATTGTGCAGCATAGTTCCAGCTTTATTCCCGGCATCGCTTTTGTAGGGAACTTCGAGACTCTTCTTCTATTTGTACTCAAAGCTGTCGAACATCGACGCCATAATATACCTTCTGTCCAGTCTCAATACCCAAAATCCGTCCGGTTCGCGACTCTAAGAGTATTAGTTGCATCGAACGGCAGCCAACCGAATTATCCGACATGTGGTACATTACTCGTCCAGGTAGCGACATACGCACCTGATGGAAGAAAACACAACGCACGAAAGACTTCCGCCATAATATAAGCCCGCGCCAATACGTACGAGATCGCCAATACGATGATCATGCCCATCCCCCCACGAACCCCATACCCTGAATTTGCTCATCAAAATGATCACCTAAGCCGAGCAAGCAAGATATGAAGAAAGGGAGAACGGAGGTCAGAAGTGTACCTACGCGCCAAAACAGTCTTTCTTAATGGGAGGGGAAATCAGAATTCCAAGCAAGTGAAGCGAACTAAAGACAAACGCACCGAGACCCCCGCCGCCATAAAAGCTCAATCTCGAAAGGAAAGAGTGGGAGTCTCCATAATGCATACACCCGTTTAACATCCAGACCGTATTCCCCCCTGTCCAATGACGCGGGCATGCCTCCGCTAGCTTTACCAACTCTCTCGGATTGGGGAATCTCTTCGCCGGAATATAGACAGGAGTCTTCGCATCTTGCGGCTTTTTCCAGAGTAGGGCGTAAGTGATGCCCGCTAGAACCGCAAAAGCGAGAGTGACGATCTCGAGTTGCGCCGAGGGCAAGTTGCGAGTCTTCTGGACGATCAACTGAATGGTCAGCCATAGAACCTGAACAAGAGCCAGGGTTTTAACAATGGCATCCCCTTTGTTCCTGTCGTCAAGGTAGTCTGCCGTCAAATATGGTAGATCAACAAAATTGGCTTGCCTTGCCAAAGTGAGCTGAGTGCCATCGAGCACCCATATATCACCTTGGCTGTTTGCAAGCCACTCCTGATCTGTACGGCCAACGGACCCATCGTTTTGCGATCGGTACTCCTTGAAAGCCTCCTTTGCCAATTCCTTGTTCGTAGGATGCCCGTGCCAGATAATGTCGCCATACTTAGCGAACTTCGACGCATTGCGACTAGCGATCGTGTCAAAGCGCCTTTTGAATTATGGGTACCTGAGTTGTTATGATAATTAAACGCTTCCCCAGCGAGAGCGCCATGTTAGTCGTGTGTTAGAGGTGGATCAGCCTTTGACAGAACTGCTGGCGATATTCTTCGTCGAATTACCTTAAGCTTGAGTTGTTCCGAGGAGCCTTTCCCGTCACTTTCGGGTAGGGGCTCCCCAGGAAAATCCAGCTCAAGAGTATTACGTTGGTCGTGTCTCGGAGATGAAATCGTCCTCTCCAGGAATGCTGGCCATGTTCTTCATCGAATTCCCTCGAGCTTGGGTTGGTTCAACGAGCTCTTCCTGTCACTTTCCGGCAGTAGTCCCCCACTAAAAATCTGAAAAGGCGTTACGGCCGATTCTAGTACAGGCCGGATCTCGTTATGTTGCAGATGGCACCGCAGGGATGTTCCTCGACCTCCGTCTCTTGCGCTGTTACTAAAAAACTCAGAAGCAGAAAGTACTAAGTTATGCATTAGCGGAGGACCCGGAAATGGTGTTTAAGGATTCGTACCATGAGAATCCATCGGCTCACTTGTAGGCTCTGCCGCATTATTCAAGTCGGGTGGGAAGTAGATTACAATCCCACCCGTGTCCGCGAAGCATGCATGCGCGTAAGTCCAGGGAACACCGTCTTCGTCTGCATACCCTTTCAAGTCCTTTACATTAGAACCGGCGCTAAGGAGATCCGCCAATGCTAGTCCAAAAGTGAATTCAGGGGCGAGAAGAGTAATCAGCATCCAGATAGCCTTACGCCTCGCTAAGAAGAGAGTACGTCGGAACCACTGCGATTTCGTTCGAGGAAACACTTGAGGCGGAACGCTGAGATGCTGAATGCTCCAAGTGCAGAGGATGAGGATCGTCAGACACGTCCAGAGGATATCCAAGGTTCCGCGTACGTTCGGAGCGGAGTCGAAGTTGACGGCATTGGAGGGAAGCGAGCACTGAGTGGCGAAAGTCTCGAGCATGTATGCTTGTGTGTTAATCAAACTGTGTGCAATACGGAACAAGTGGTAGTCTGAAAAATAACGGGTGTGGTGTTGTGGCAGAAGAGCCCTGGAGGGGTAAGGCTGAGAGATGACGCCTAGACTGTACAAGCTTGCGTGCATCCCCTTTTCGGTCAACCATAGCCCTGTAGGCGGCCTCCGGTATCCGTATCCACCGCTATATGGCTCCTCACAGCCAGATCCGTGTCAAACAGTCGCCGAGAAAGTCTGTTTCTTAGCCATGTCTCCCAACCAAGCCTCTGGAGGACAACGGGCCGCTGAAGAGGCCATCCCTGACAGAACGACAGACTTGAGCGCACTTCCTTCCTCTCGAGATGCCACGAGGACAAATCTTTCGCCATCATACATGAGGATTCTATACCCCAACACGACCCAGACCTCGAGCCCGAATCTGATACTGAACCCAGATCAAATTACGACTCAGCACTCCACTTCATGGATACGCTGCACATTACTTACCCCGACAACGACCAAGTATACGAGGATTTCTTCAACGCGCTTCAAGAGAATGAGGATGGGATGATTGGCGTGCTCGCTTTTATCGGAAAGGCGGTGGAGATGTTTAAAGAGAAGACAACGCCTTTGGAACAGTATGGTAAGGCGTTTTTGCCACAGGGGTTTAAAGTTAAGGTTGTGGAGGGGAGGATCGAGGTGAGAACTCCAGAGGGGAGGATTGGGGAGGAGCAGCTGGGAGAAATGGGATGGGGTGGGCGGGGGCCGAGGGGGGGAAGGGAAGCGGCACTGGGCCTGGAGGAAGTAAACAGCTAGATACGATGAGAGATCGATGAAATCATATTCTAGCTTTTTAAGAGATCGATTGGGTATTTACCGTACATTCGCGCCTTGCCATGCACCCACATGTGTGCGCGCCATCGTACTCCTCCAGTAGACCCTTGAATTCCCCGTTTAGCCGCGTAGTCATCCATCAAAACGGACGACCCTTCTGCGGCGTTTCCCAGATCTCCTGGAATACCTTTACGCCCTTCCTGCCCAGCGCCGTTCCAACGCCTACAGCTGCTGCGCCGACCGCGCGCATCCGCTGATACCCGTCTACGTCTTCAACGCCTCCAACGCCAATGATCTGAATCTGCTCCAGTTCCGAGTGCTGGAAGAGCATACCCTTGATCGTGTACACGTTGCCCAAGGCAAGTGGATGCAAAGGAGCGCCTGCCAGGCCGCCAATTCCAGTTCCGGTGGCGGAGTTTAGCGTATGGTGGAAGACCTCTCGCGGTTTCGACCCTCCTGGCGAAGTTGGTGGTGATGCCGAGGACTCCAGCTTCTGCGATAGGAGCAGAGACGAGCCTAGGGTGTTTGTTGCTGTGATGAAGGAGACTGGACAGGGAAGATGCGCCGGCGCAATTGTGGCGGAGGCGAGCAGCGCGTCGATCATCTGCTGATACTGATCATGATACGTATATGGTGGCGTCTTGATCCCGATTGGTACGTGTACTTTCGAGCCATTGGCCGAGGACGGAGAGACCGGTTCCAGTTGCCGCGCGACCTCCTCCTTTAGCGCGGTAAGATACGATAGCAAGGATGCAGAATTGTACGCTGGCGGTGGCTTGTTCGGGATATTTGGGCACGAGAGATTGACCTCCATGGCCAACGTCATCCGCGTAACGTGTTGATATCCGCATATCATCCTATAGCATTCAACAACCTCCTCAACTGTGCCCGTCACCGAAATGATGAAGGGCTTCAGAATCGCCTTCTTCGCATTCTCTTGTCCTGCCTCAGGGAGGCTATCTGATATTGTCTTGATGAAGCCCAAGTACTCTTTCAGTGGTAGCGGACTATATCCCAGCGTGTTCAAACTGCCGGTCTCGTGCGCTTTGTTCGATTGTAGAGGGTTTGCGCCGGCCGCTTGGTGGGTGCTCGGGTTGTAGAAGGTGAATTGGTGAACGGATTGGTCGTGCGGGAAGCCGTGGAGTAGCGAAGTTCGTGTCGTTACCGCCCCGGTATAAGGCGAAGCGTACAGCTCTTGCAGCTGCTCGAGGCTTGTGCACCAAGGATTGGCGGAATTGAGGAGCGGGGGGTGGATGTAGAGCTCTTTCATGATGACAGGCGTGACAATGCTACGATTTTGAAGGTAGTATCGTACTATGAGCAGTCGTGGTGGCTGTCTTCGTGTCTGTTTGGCTGTTGAAGAGCTGTGTTGCGGGGCTGTGAGTGGGGGATAGTGGTAGAAGATTCTAGCAGACAGGGAGTGGGAGTTCTGTGGCGTTCTGCAGGCGGGCGGTATTTAATACGTAGGGCTGGATCGGCCGAACTGGAGTTTATTGGGGTGTTGTGGTGTGAGAATTGCGACAATGGGGCTCTAAACGTTCTGGTGGGGAGAGCTGACACGTGATAGCGTGAACATCTATGACCCAGAGTCTTGGCGCGAACGTCGATCCTCTGACTTCAAGGCCCATGTTCGATAGGCATCTTGTCTTCACTGTGATATCCAACCGCTTTTCATCTGCCTGCATCAATGATGGGGTTCGATGATACATATGGTCATTGATCGTTTCGCCAATGACCGCATTGACCGACTTGGCGTCCGAGGCGTGACATAGTGTGAGCCATGTCAGCTGTCCAAAGAGACGTTCAGAAGGCTGATGCTACAGAGAGTCTGAGCGCGGCTAGGCCTGAGGTTCGGCTGATTCTGTTACCTTATCGCCCGTTGGACACAGCCATCGTCTAGAGTAGCCACCGTTGCCGCGGTCCGTCAAAGGCCGGTGCGAAAACCACCGCCCTTCATTACGAGACACTCTGCTTATGGTAGCTTCTATCAAAACCAGAGCAATTGACACTCGGAGATCCCTCTTTCCAGAACGCCATACTATTCAGCAGCCGTCTCGCCAAATCGTCCCCTTACGTAGCCGCACTCGCCAGGCACTAGGTTCTACGCAGTCTCGAAACAATATCGCAACTGGACTATCCACTACCGAGCGTAAGGGGCACCAAGAATGAGTGATTCTGCTCCTCCAAAGAAGAAACGAAGAGGAGGCGCTCGGAGAAAGACTGGTGAGGAAGCCTCTACCATTTAGACCCAACGTGGCGGGACACAATTGCACGTTGTAGGTCGTCAGGCCTGGCATCCCAAAGCCAGAATTAAGACACTCTGCTGCTCCGTGTTCCGCTACGTTTGGAGGGATGTCCCTTGCTGACTAACCCATAGGTTGGTAGGTACGCCGGACATGTCATCTATCATAACCCCGCATATTGACAATTATGCAAGCTATACTTGCAAAGCCCGGCACTCCCGCTGCGACGAGAAGAAGCCCGTGTGCGGTAACTGCGAGCGACTCAACCTCGAATGCAAACCATCCGAATTCATAGCTCCCTCAACCTGGAACAAAAGCGCGGAACCTACCACTCAAGCACAGAGCAGCAATGATCCATCACCTCTGTCATCCGAAGCTCCTGGCTCAACATGGGATATCTTCAAGGCATTCGCAAGCGTGGATTTCGCTTCTGATGAAACACCTCCTGATAACGTCTTTTTATATCTAAACCTCGATCCTCCAACCCTCCCAGCTCCAACGTCTCCTCCTAGTACAGCATTAGCGGTCTCGTTGACTCCCGAGACAGCCTTCCTGCTCCAGACCTACCTTCGCACTGTAGCAACATGGATGGATCTCATGGACCACGCGAGCACGTATCAACTCTCCATACCGCGCTTAACGCTCACATCACCCCTTCTTTTCCACTGCATATGCGCCGTCACAGCAAAGCACCTCGCGCTCGCCAACTCAAGACATAACTCCTCTTGGGATCCCGTTGCTCGTGAACATTATGGGCAGTCTCTCAGGCTCCTAATCGACGAGCTCAACACACCTTCCCATGGCCATGCACTCACCGCGACAATCATCCTCTCGGGTTACGAAATAATCGCGAGCATCTTCTCGGAACACCACAGACGCCACTTCCTCGGCCTCACCATGCTCATAAAAAACCACAACATAACCGCACAATCCACCGGCATCGACCGCGCCAATTTCTGGATCTATGTCCGACATGAGATTGGGTTCGCACTCGCGAATGAGAAGCCGCTTATGTTGAATCCGGAGGAGTGGGCCGTAAGGTTGGAATACGGCGAGACCAGGGAAGATGTGCTGGGTAATCATGTCCTGTGGATTCTCGCGCGCGTCATCAACCTTGTGTACGGCGAGGAAGGAACTACGGTGGCCGTGAAACGGCATAGAGAAGCTTTTCTGCGGGAGTTGGAGGAGTGGCGTGCAGGGCTGTCTGACACCTTTGTCGGCATTCCATACGGCGAAGCCGATGAGGAGGGTTTCCGGAAGGTGTACTTCACTGTCACAGCGGCCGGTAGGTCCCCGCTATCTCACCTGTCACAGCCCATTCTCTCCTCCTTTGCTCGGTCAGCAGACCTATTCCGTTTCTCTTCCTTCCAAAATATGTCGTAACGATACACTGACATTACACAGTTGCTGGAGCATTCTGGTACCACATAATCCACATCCTGCTCTATACAGAGCCTACCCTCCAAGACGTGTCTTACATACCACTCATCCAAGACCAAGCAATAGCAATAGTCAACATTTCCATATCCGAGTTTCCTGACTCGCTGCGCGTAAATGCCTCGCACGGGTTGTACTACGGTATGTCTTCTCTCTCTCCCACCGCGCGTTTACCTTGCCCTCGAAGCCTCGTAGGAGTGTTTTCCTGAGGCTCGTGCTTCCCAGACTCCCGAGCCTTATAGAGAGATTGTGTACTGCACGGACACAGAAGCATAGCTAACGTGCAGATGTAGCGGCGAAACATATCGACGGCATAGCACGCAAAGCGCGCCTATGGAACATACTAAATGACGTGGAATCGCAACTGGGGTATCATACGCGGACGCAAGTAAAGCGATTGCAACAACTTGTGGAGCAGGGTGCGTAGGAAGCAATCCGCACTACATTACTAAAATCGCCCTTCTTGAATGATTCCCACGAATCGACGAGCGTTATTTTGGACTCGCTCCTATTCCCGGTGCTCCGAATGATCCCTTCCCGACGACCACCGTTTATACTATGCTTCGCATAGCTTCTAAAGCCCCTTTGATATGCTCTTTCTGGTCCTGGGTGTGGATGAACACCCACTTCGGCGGCAAATCCGCTAGCTTTTCCACATCCAAGCCACCGGAGCCCCTACCGCATAGAGCCATTCCCACGTCATGGCTTGATGCTATGATACGCTGCGTCCTCGGCCGGCGGACCTGGTCATACGCTTTGAAAGCAGCCTCGAGTTGTTTCGGTTCCTTCACTTCTCCAAGGAGCGCGTCCAGAACCATCGCATCCTCGATCGCTTGCCCCGCCCCTGAGCCCTGCCACGGAGTCATGGCATGAGCCGCATCGCCCATCATCACTACCCGACCTTTGGCATAGGTAGGCGCATCGATCTTGTGATGCCACTCCGCGAACGCTTTCAGTTCGGGGTTCTGCAGCATGCACTACATAATATTAGCGCCCCCTCCGAAACGGCAACTACCGGAATGCACTCACCTCAATCATGCCTCTCTTGATTGCACTCTCTGTCCATCCACTAAATGTACTTTCCAATTTCTCTCTATCCAGATCTCTCCTCCACTCATCCTCGCCCCACTCCTCGTTCGTCTGTGCACAAGCGACGCACTGCACCGTTTTTCCACCATCCAGCACATCATGCATGAAGAAACCACCGTTCCCGATCCAGCCATGCTGTCTCTGGTCCCCTTCAATAAAATAGTGCTCACCAAGCAGCTCCTTCGCTTTTTCCATTGGGATCAAAGACCGCGAATCCCAGAAACCGCCGAACTTGGGTTTGAGGGCTGGGTGATCGGCTCCGAGGATGTGGGTGCGGACGTAGCCATGGACGCCGTCTGCACCGATTACGGCGTCGGCGATGTAGGAAGAGCCATCTTGGAAGTGCAGCTTGAATGGTCCAGTGGCGGAGTCGTTGGCTTGTGCAATGTCGGTGACTTTCTTGCTGGTGTGCATGCGGGATTTGGGGATGGGTTCTAGGAGTTCGTTCAGCAGGGCTTTCCGGTGGACCACTTTTCCTCTCTGCTCGCCAGTGAGATCAAATGCCAATGCGCCGGTGTGAGGGCCCGAAGCCTATGTTCTCATCAGTTTAGTACACTTCATTAACGACTCCCACTGCCCCAACTGCGTCCCTCCTCTCCTCATCACGCGGAATTCACCATCCCAACTCACCATCCTAACCCGACTTGAGCTCATCACCACCGCTCCTGCTCGATCCAAGGCACCCGCAAGCTCGGGCGCTATCTCAGCCAAAGCAGCCTGCCCATTCTGCGCTATACCGACCGCAGCGCCGCGCTCGGAGAATTCAGGCGCGGACTCGAATATTTCGGGAGAGAGATGCGAGTACTTGAGGAGGGCGTTCATGAGCGTTGCGCCAGCAAGGCCGCCGCCAATGATAGCGACGCGGAGTTTACCGTCAGAGGAAGGCATAGTTGAAGCTTGGGTTTGTGTTTGGGGACTGATAATCCAGATGCCGAGCTCAATTGAAGGAATTGGCTTGCTGGAGAAGGTCGGATATGGGGCCGCTTAAAAGCTGTGCGGTGTGAAGTTCAAGTAAGTGTGAGTGCGGAAGCGGACGTAAGCTGCGGCGTAGGTACACATGCTACATGCAGATGATCGACGGAGTCAAAGCGCGGCAAATACATTTCCGAGTTGTACGGTGAATGTAATGGAAAGAAGCCGCCGTTCCTGCATGCTGCATGCATGAGGTATTGATTGGCCTGGCTGGGCGCCAGAGTAACATATTTTCGAGACGTACATTGAAGCTCAACGTAGGGCAATACTGCGCGGTGGTATCTGTTCGTGATGCTGTGGCGGCTATATCTCGCACTGCCGGCGTAAGCTGACGGCATATCGTATGCATGGTTCGTGCTTGGAGGGGGACGCACTTCATCAACCCGCTCAACTTTTTGTGACGGATGCTTTAAATGCCGTCAATCTGCATGAAGGTTCCTCACGCAATGTGTTACTAGATACTGCGCCCAGCTTCACAGTCCAAGGCAGACCTAAACTGCAGACCGACACGCATTCTGCCATGCATTCGCGACAATACGATTTGCAGGTGGGGGGAGATCTGAGTCAATCCTAAACCGCCCGATCTGAGAATTGCCTAGCATTAGCAGTTGCCCTGTTATTATGACAGTGTAAGCAATCCTAATATCGCTCGTGTACCTTCAGTGACAAGAAACACATACTCTGTCGTACCATGAGAGTCAGCCAACGAATTAGTATAACCCAGCTATCATCCATATACTCTCTATCTTCACTGACGTGAATGTCCTCCATGGGTCGAGTTTGAACCATTCCAGCATCGAACACTTAGACCGTTTCCAACGGTTCCCCACTGAAGACATGAAAAGCATTTATACTGACTTTGACGTCCGACAGGAGGAGCGCGTAAGCCAGAGCGTATGCAGGGGCTTCAAGGCCACAATCAGAAGGCTGGTGGTGATCGTTTTGCAGTACCGGCAGCGACATTCCATCTCGTATCTTGAAGCTTACTCGCTTCGTTGCTGGTGGTTGGCGCGTTCTGAGGAAGCGCTGGCTCGTTCTGAGGATTGCTGGCTAGGCTGCAGCTTTGAGTTTCCATGCACTGGACCCTCTTCGGACAAACTGTTCGTCCGCAAGCAACCATTGCAGCCTCTTGGAGTAAGGCCTCGTTGAAGCAACGTCCTCGCCAGATTTCAACGTCAGGACACTTTGAGGGGTAGTTGGAGTGGATGGGGGTAGTAGCCATGCGGGAAGAGAGTGTCTCGGCGGCTAGTCATCGAAGTGGAGGATGAGGCTGTAAAAGTTGAGTGACGCGAGGTGCGAGGTCTACTCGTACGAAGCGAGCTAATCACAGACTGGAGATTGACAACCCCTGTGCAGCAGATCACTAACACCATGGCCACTCAAAGCCCGCATGTCTCTGCCGTTCTGTCAACTGAGAGGATGGTAAATAGAGCAACCCGTGCTTGAACGACGATCTTGAGGAATAGGAGAAAGACACGAGCTAATACACCCTTACCCGCTGATGGTCTCGCTTCAGCCACATCGTGATTACGGATATGTACCGGGCACATGATATCAGCTAGCCGTCTATATTCTTTGTAACGCTACAGAGCGTGCTCTAACTAAGCTGGCTACAGCAAAAGCGCAGAATCGAACGCCTGCGACGTTCGAGATACTTTTGTGAACACGATGGTGTGCCTCACCGCATGCCTTACGGCTAGCAGCGATCCCCTAACTTGACCCGTGTTAAGGTCCCATATGCTTGACATTGTCCAGCAGCTGGACGGGGGTGCAGTTAACACAGGAGGACGACCGCTGCAGCCTCACAGTCATCTTCCTCGTCTTCTTCATCAGACCCGCTCTCCTCATCTATGAGGCCTACTAAGCGCGCCCTCAAGCCACGCTTCTTATTGCCCCTCTTCGTCCCACGACCGCCCTTCACATGCCCGCGAGGGCGGTGCTGGTGATGAGGGCTATTCCGCTCATGGACAACCTTTTCAAGCCTCTTCCTCTAAGAAGAAGTAATTCCCGTTCAACTTCTGTTCCTGGTCAAGCTGCGAGTTGTACTTGTTGATACGAGGACGGAAGGAGTTGGGATCGCGGCGGAAGGTGACATCGAGGTTCTTCAAGAACTTGTTGCAGCCAGTGAGGAGTGACTCGGGTTGGTTGGCGCGCGCCTTGATGGCAGGCTGTCCGTCGAAGACAATGACGCGGTCGGCGAGATAGGTAGCCATGATGAAGTCGTGCTCGACGACAAATGCTGTCTTCTTGGCGTGCATGATGAAGCGCTTGATGACGCGGGCGGCGACGATACGCTGTTCAGAGTCAAGGTAGGCGCTGGGCTCGTCGATCAGGTAGATGTCAGCCGGGATACCGAGGGCGAGGACGATGGCTACACGCTGCAATTCACCACCAGACAGATTTTGCACTTCTTGGTCGATGAAGTCGTCCATCTTAAGCGGCTTGTATACGTCGGTCTGGAACTGCGGGCTCAGGAAGGCGGCCTTGATCTTTTTGAAGAAGAGCTGGCGGACGGTGCCTTGGAATTTTGGAGTAATCTTCTGGGGCTTCATGCTGATGTTCATTGGAGGGACCTTCTTTCCTCCGTCGGGCTGCAGAGCGCCTGCGAGCATCTTGCAGAAAGTGGTCTTGCCGGTACCGTTCTCCCCCATCATGACGAGAATTTCGGAGTCGGTGAACTGGCCAGGTTCGATGCTGAGATGGAAGCCGCCTAGGGTCTTTTCCATCTTTGGGTAGCCGTATCCACGTGACTTGTCCACCATGAAATCTTCGCCGGCCTCGCCAATCCGGAACTGGAGAGACTCCTCTCGGAAGCGGAGGTTCTCAGTGGGGATGTTACCGTCGAGGAAGATGTTGATACCTTCTCGCACGGATGCCGGCAGGGTAACGACACCGTAGACGGCAGGCTTGCCATAGAGAACGCAGATGAAGTCTGAGAGATAGTCTAGGACGGACAAGTCATGCTCGACAACGATGACATAATCGTCGGGACGGAGCAGACTGCGAATCATGCGACCAGCAGCGAGACGTTGCTTGACATCGAGGAAAGAGCTATGGTGGTTAGAGATTTGATCTAGTCACGGGTGAGCACTGCTGCTTACGATGGCTCGTCGAACATGTACTAGCTATGAGTCAGTATGCATGCATAGAGGAGAGGCTTGTTGCATGACTCACCACATCCGCCTGCTGGACGCACACAGTACCGATGGCAAAGCGCTGCAACTCTCCACCAGACAGCAACGAGACGTCACGATCGTAGACATGTTTCAGCTCTGAACGGTGTCAGTACAGGGATGTAACGAAACTCGTCTCCGCAACATACCCAGGACCTCGCAGATTTCCTCCAGATTGTCCATCTGAGAGCGGCCTTCGATGAGCTTGCGGACCGACTTATCGGCTGCCTTGATTGCCCTCGGGATCTGATCCACATACTGCGGCTTGACGACGGCCTTGAGATCGTCTTCCAGCACCTTGGTAAAATAGTCTGCTTGGCGTCACTGCATGTTCCCGTGCTGCATATGGCTGGGGCCTTACTCTGAAGCTCGGAACCACGGAAGTACTTCAAGATCTCCTCCCAGTCTGGCGGGTTGTCATAGCGGCCAAGGTTGGGCTTCAGCTTGCCGCTCAGAATCTTTAATGCCGTGCTCTTGCCAATACCGTTTGTGCCAACAAGTCCCAGCACCTGCCCGGGACGGGGCATGGGCAGCCTGTGCAGCTTGAAGCTGTTGGCCGAGTATCGGTGCGTGACCTGGGTCTCGAGGTTCGTAGGCAGGTTGATGATGTTGATGGCATCGAATGGGCACTTCTTAGGGCAGATACCGCACCCTATGCACAGCCGCTCGGAAATGAAGGCGATCTTGGAGTCGGGCGTCACTTCGATGCACAGCTTGCCGGTGCGGACGACGGGACAGGACTTCTTGCATTCTTGCCGACATTTCTGCGCATCTGTTAGGCTATTCCCATTTGATATTCGGGGGGAGATGCTTGCCTTCGGTTTGCACTGTCATCGCACACATGCCACATTAGCTTTCTCTGAAATTTGCGTGGAGGGGCAGTGGGCCGGGGAGCGTTACTTTGTCGCTATTGACGATAGCGATACTACCGAAATATCAGTATACGACTGCGCATGCGAGCAGGAGAGGACGTACCGAGTCAGCTTGTCGGACATGGTCGCGGAAACAGTGGTGGATTGGATGGCTTCACGACGTCAGGGAATTTCTGCGATAGTTCCAAGGCTGTGGCGGGGAATCGACGCCTGAAATAAAGGCGCGGGCGGCGAGTCAACACCGAGCTTGAAAGGCTGCGCAGGGCGGTGGGCCGACTCAAAAGTGTGAATGACTCCGCAGGCAGGCAAGAGTCGCCGTAGGAATTGTGCACTCCGGTAGCGAGCATTCACCTTTGGTGTAAGCATGTCTGCGCTCTTCCTATTGGCGCAGCGCAGAACCCAGGCACGTGACCAGCTGCGCCTGAATCTCTTATGAGAAGTCGCCCATCCACGCCGACCCCATATCTTGACCCCACGCCTCGCACCAGGCACAACTCTCCACCACCCGCTCTGAGGGTATTACAGCCATGGACTGTAAGTATGAAACCCCTCGCACCTGTTGAATTTCCCTGTTTGCCCGCGACAAACCCGCCGCACGATCCGCCCGCGGCTTCGCTCAAGTCCATCTCCCCCATCACCATTCGTCGTCCATCCATCCGTCGGCCGCCTCTACACGCCTGCTACCGGTGTCTCCTGGCTCTCGAGCCTTTTTGCAACCTCGCGTCGCCCAGTCTGCTCCGCCGGCGGGCCATTGGCCTCGTCGACTCAGCCGGCCGCCGCCCATCTCCGGTCATCGAGCAGCGTCATATTCCATCAGACCCTGATTGTCTACGGGATACTTGGTGTCTTCAGTCGCTTTTTGGTTCTTTTGGGTCGCGCTGTTCCGCTCTATCCAACGCACCTACCCTCACCTGCCAGAGCCGTGCGCTTCTTGAGATATCACGCTGACCATCCAACAGCCGCGTCCATTGTAGTGCCCTCTACTACTCCGAGCCATATGGCCTCCCTTCCACTCACCAATGGGCACGTCTCGCCGGTTGCGGTAGATGGTACGGCCACGGCCCACGCCTCTCAGCCCAGCGACAGCGAATTGTCCGACGTCAAAGAGGCCATCGCCGAAGCCCCGTTATCCGACGAGGATGCTCCTGGCGAGGAATACGACGAAGATGAAGGTATGGACGTGGACTCTGGGTCGTCCGAGGACGTCGATGCTGAAGGCGAGCCGGACGGCGACTATGACTCCGAGACTCCGCCGCCAGAGCAGGCAGCGGTCGACCGTGTCCGCAGTTCGTCGTCTCAAGAGTCAAGAAGACCGAAGCGGAAAGCCAGCATAGAAGAGGATATGGAACAGAACCCGGAGCTGTACGGCCTCCGTCGCAGTGTACGTGGTATGAAATCCCACAGCAAATATTCGCTAACCGTTGCCCAGGGTCGTGCCCGCCTAAATCGCCGCATCGTATGGTACCCGTGCCCCTTTCAAATGCTTTAATCTGACATATTCTAGGTCGAGAGCAGTGATGAAGAGGACCTGTCTGGGTCTGACCGGCCGCGTAAGCGACAACGGACAGCCTCGCGAAAAGGTACGGTCATCAGCTCCATCTCGGCTTCAGCGGATACTGACCCTCTCATCCAGCATCGAACCAACCGACACCTGTCTATCGGTCCGGAGACTCTGATTCTGAATCGGACGGCTACGTTGGCGCACGTCGAAACATCCCCAGCAAGAAGGAGCGGCAACGCCAGCTGCTCGTAGCTGAGGGTCTCGCACCCCCCTCACATGCCGAAGTTCGATTCTCGTCACGGCGTACAAAGCAAGTCACGAATTATAACGAGGATGAGGACGATCCGTTCGAGGAGGAGGAGGATGACACAGCATCCAACTATTGGGCTAATACACTTGAGGAGACGGGTCCTGCCATCGATAAAGTTCTCGATCATCGACCGAAGCCTGACACAGGTGTGTACACAATTCCCCCTAGAAGTGCTGATGCTGACCGCTCGCAGAACTTAATCCGTATACCGCAGAGAAGAAGGATTTCGAATATCTGGTCAGTACACCCAACCATTGCCCTTTCCACATCGTACTAACCCGCATTTGTAGATAAAATGGCAGGACAAAGCGCATTATCACTCGACATGGGAAGACTACGATGTGATATCCTCGTACAAGGGCTGGCGCAAGTTGGACAACTACTTCAAGAATTCGCTCCTCCCAGACGTGCAGTACCACGCTCGCAAGAACGAAGATCCCGAGGAATTCGAGCAGCACATGGTTGCGCGTGAAGCAGAGCGCGAGACCTTGTCAGATTTTCATGTCGTTGAGCGCGTGATCGATACCCGAGATGGCGATGAGGAAACAGAGTACCGTGTCAAGTGTACGTTGGTCACCCATCATTACCCCTATTTGGATTACCTAACAGTTGCGCAGGGAAAGGCTTGACCTATGAATACTCTACCTGGGAGCCCGCTTCCTTGGTGAGCGGCCTCGCCCAAAACGAAATTGACCGCTTCCTCGATCGCGTGTCGAATCGCCCCGTCTCCGACCCCAAGGAGTCTAGCCTTGCGACCCGCCGCAAGTTTGTAAAACTCGACGAGCAACCGGACTATATCAAGTATGGCCAGTTGAGGTCTTTTCAGCTCCATGGCGTCAATTTCCTTGCACACAACTGGTGTCGGGGCACGAATGTCATCCTGGCTGACGAGATGGGTTTGGGCAAGACAGTCCAGACTGTCTCGTTCATGAACTGGCTACGGCATGACCGTCGGCAACAGGGACCATTCATCTGCGTCGTTCCGCTATCTACTATGCCTGCGTGGGCTGACACCTTCAACAACTGGACACCGGATGTCAACTACGTCATTTACACTGGCCGAGAATCAGCGCGCAAGATCATCCGGGACTGCGAGCTGCTCGTCGATGGCAACGTGAAGAAGACCAAGTTTAACGTGTTGATGACCACCTACGAATACGTCCTCGCCGACTGGCAGTTTCTGTCGCAGCTGAAGTGGCAGTTCCTCGCAGTGGACGAGGCTCACCGACTGAAGAATCGCGATTCACAACTCTACGACAAGCTACAGCAGTTCAATGCGCCTAGTCGCCTTCTCATTACCGGAACCCCCATCCAGAACACGCTTGGAGAGCTCTCCGCCTTGATGGACTTCCTCATGCCCGGGAAGATCACGGTGGATGAGAACGTAGATCTGGCTTCGGAGGATGCGAGCAGCAAGCTAGCCGAGCTTAGCGCGGCGATTCAACCTTACATGATCCGGCGGACTAAGGAGAAGGTCGAGAACGATTTGCCTCCCAAATCCGAAAAGATCTTACGAGTGGAGTTGTCCGACATCCAACTAGAGTACTACAAGAACATCCTTACTCGTAACTATGAGGCCCTTAACGAAGGTGGCAACGGTCAGAAGCAGTCCCTCTTGAACATCGTCATGGAGCTCAAGAAGGCTAGCAATCACGCTTTGCTGTTCCCTAATGCGGAGGCAAAGTTCCTCAAAGAGAACGCCACTAAAGAGGAGACTTTGAAAGCACTCATCACGACGAGCGGGAAAATGATGCTGCTGGATCGACTCCTGGCTAAGCTGAAGGCTGACGGGCATCGTGTCCTAATTTTCAGTCAGATGGTTCACATGCTGGATATCCTCACCGATTACATGCGTCTCCGGAACTACTCGTACCAACGACTGGATGGCACTGTACCCGCAGCTGACCGAAAGACCGCCATAGACCACTTCAATGCGCCGGACAGCGATGATTACTGCTTCCTCCTGTCCACCCGAGCTGGCGGTCTCGGGATCAATCTCATGACTGCCGACACAGTCATTCTTTTTGACTCTGATTGGAATCCTCAGGCAGACTTACAAGCCATGGCACGAGCGCATCGCATTGGACAGCAGAAACCCGTCAGCGTCTACCGTCTCGTTTCGAAGGATACCATCGAAGAAGAGATCCTTGAGCGAGCCCGCAACAAGCGCATGCTCGAATTCATCACCATTCAGCGTGGTGTCACTGATCGTCAACAGAAAGAGCTCACCGACAAGATAAACCGTGCTACTAATGAGCCCAACTCGGCTGATGACATCAACAACATCCTCAAGCGGCGCGGCCAGAAGATGTTCGAGCAGTCAGGCAACCAGAAGAAGCTCGAGGAGTTGGATATCGATGCTGTTCTCGAGAATGCTGAAGAGCACAAGACAGAGCAGGCAGCTGGTCTCACCTCTGATGGCGGTGAGGAGTTCCTCAAAAATTTCGAATACACCGATGTCAAGATCGACCTAGAGTGGGATGATATCATTCCCAAGGATGAGCTCGAGGTGGTGAAGGCCGAAATTCAAAACCGAAAGGAAGAGGAAGAGACGCGCAAGTTGGTTGAAGAGAACGCACCACGAAAGCGTAAAGCAGCTGCATCCAGTGAACGCGAGCAACGTGCCGCAAAGAAGCGAGCACGTGAAGCTACGAAGCAGATTGACGTCGAGGACGAGCAGTCTGAGGATGACAGCGGCAACAGCGACCCCAAGCGACCGCTCAGTACGAAGGAGACTCGCAACCTCATTCGTGCTTACGAACGCTATGGCTCGCTTGAAGAACGTGGCGATGAGATGCTCCGAGAGGCGAGACTTGTCGGTCGCGACATGGATGTCATCAAGACGACCCTCGACGAGGTTGTCTCTATGAGCCAAGATCTCGTGAAGGCAGAGCAAACGAGGCTAAAGAATTTGGAGAGCGAGGGAAACCGAACCCTCACGAAGAAGGACAAGAAGGCCATCCTGTTCAACTTCAAGGAAGTCAAGAAGTTGAACGCCGAAACTATCATCGACCGACCTGTTGAAATGCGAATCCTCAAAGAGGCCGTTGATGCTACCTCTGATTGGCGCAACTTCCGCATTCCGGACGCAATCAAGCCGGCAAGCTACTCCTGCCCATGGGGAGCACGAGAGGATGGCATGCTCATGGTTGGCATTGCGCGTCACGGATACGGTGCATGGGTTCCGATTCGGGACGATCCTGACCTGGGCATGAGCGATAAGTTCTTCCTGGAGGAGCACCGCGTTGACAAGAAAGAAGAGCGTAGCAAGGCCGAGGAGAAGAATGCGAAGTCACCAGGCGCTGTTCACCTCGTACGACGAGCCAATTACCTTCTCACCGTGCTGAAGGATAAGACGGGCGTTGATCCAAATGCGAAGCGACTCATGGAGAACCATCATCGGAATAACAAGAAGCACCATCTGAGCGCTGCGCGACGGGTAGACAAGGCTTCGAGTGTCTCTGCGAGCCCCGCCCCATCCGGACAAGCACGTAAAGTTGTCTCGCGCGAATCGGAGCGGCCTGCTCATCGAGCCCACAGCATTGGTGAGAGCCGGCAGTCCGAGCGACCGGAGAGTCGCCAGCATGACAAGGGCAGCCAGGAACCCCGACATAGACAGAGCGACCATTATCGGCCTTCCGACGCTCATCGCAAAGAGGCTCGCAACGACCGTGGCAGCGTCGACCGTCGACCTCAACATTCAGAGCGCGGCACTCCCGAGGCTCGGCGCAAGATTAATGGTGACGTAGAGAAACCGCGACCTAGGGAGGACCGACCACGACCTCTAGAGGATCGACCGCACTCGCGCGGCCACGGCCACGGCCACGGACACAGCCACCACCATAGCCACCACGCTCACAACCGTAGCGTCGACTCGACGCCGAACAAGAGCAAAGATAAGAAGCCGGACGACTTCGTTGAGCGACGACTTCGGCCTGTGCGTGACAATCTTGGTCGGCTAAAGAAGGCAACCCAGAAGAACTACCCCGTCAAAGAGACGCTGGTCAAGGTTCTCAAGATCGAGCTCATCGCGATTGGAAACTTCATCCGCCAGGAGACGCGCGATAACGTCGACTTAGAGGAGCGCTTATGGTCAGTTATATCGAGCTCCCCATGCAGCTAAGATGCAAGCTGACTTGACTAGGAACTTCACGGTTACAAATTACTGGCCGCGACAGAACATAACGGTTCCCCAAGTCAAGGGGATGTACAACAAGATGCTCAGTTCTGAGAGCTCTCAGAAGACGAACGGGCAGACGAACGGGCAAACCAATGGCTCGTAAAGGCGGCCGCAAAGCACGGGCGAGCGACGCTCGCCTCGGCCAAAACTCATCTATATCGTGCCTGCATATAAGGCGTTTTTCGATTTCATGGCGGCCACAGTTTCTTGCAGCATAGCGTAGGCGCTCGGATTGGACAGTGGTGCGGCAAGTGTTCTTTGCTTTTTGCCCTCTTCTGCATAGGCGGCGCTTGCTTCGACGGCGTGCGATACATTTGGTGTCTCTCTTTCTCAGGCGTACACACGGCACACAAAACCGGCGGGATGGTTTGCTAGCATTTACGACATGGATCCGCGAGGTCTGCATCTTCATATTCTTTGATGCGACGGCGCTACGCGGCATCATCTAGACATGGCATTTGTACAGCAACTCGAATGACGGCATTCTTAGGGCAGGCCTATACGGCTAGCAGATGTTGCTGGGTTTGAATGGAAACTACATTTAACACTTGTTTCGCAGTTTTGTGGTTGACGAGTTGATGCGTGAACAAATGCACGGGGTGGTCTCCTCTCCTCGGTGGGTGTGCTAACAAGGTCACACGAGAGGCTGCCCAAACTCCATCTGCAGCGACCGGCGCGTGATGCAAGACTTGCCTAGGCACCGTCCCGTTCGCTGCCACCTCACGTCTGCGAAATACGACGGTGTGGGTGTGTTGGTAGTGGACCCTTTTGCCACCTGGCGTGGCAGGGGAGTGGGCAGCGTGCGGTATTCGCCAGCATGTGAGCAGCCTCACGATGATGTGTCCGAAGGTTGACCGCAGAAGGTCTGCAACCACCACAGGTAAATTTAGGCAAGGTAGCCTCCCGCCTGTGAGACATGTAGTCGGTGAAGGCCCCGTGGGAGTGTGCAGGTGTAAGCGCAGCCATGCGGTGACGATGACGCAACGGGCGGACCAATCAACCAGGGTGTCATGGAACGTGCTCGGCGGATGGACTTCCTGTCGTCGTGCCTTTGACCACCGTTCGCCATCTTGGTGCTCAGCAACTTTCAATATCCAATGTCCACACCTCCCCGCATGTAGCTGCCACGAAGAATCGCTTTCTCGCCATGTTGCGGCCTCGAGACGCGCTCGTCTGCGCGCTTCTCGTGTCCTGCACGAGCTGCCTGGGTTTAAACGCAGGTACCGAGAGCCTCCACAAATCGTCCGCCCGCAAGCTCCAAGGCCGCTTTCTCCATATCACAGGTACCGTTCTCTTCTCTGCAGCACCCTAGAAGTCATTCCAGAGCGCCCAACGACTAACCGAATTCGCAGATTTCCACCCGGATCCCTTCTACAAGACCTATTCGAGCACCGAGCAAGATGCAGCCTGCCATCGCAAACGCGGGCCCGCCGGATTCTACGGCGCCGAGACGTCCGCCTGCGACTCGTCCATGTCGCTCATCAACGCAACCATGGCCTGGGTGAAAGAGCACCTGGCCGACAAGGTAGACTTCGTGGTATGGACTGGCGACTCCGCACGCCACGACAACGACGAGAAGATCCCGCGCACGCAGAAACAGATCATCAGGCAAAACGAGTTCATGGTCACAAAATTCGCCGAGGTCTTCGGCAAGCAGGACAATATCAACGACACCGACCCGACAAACGATTTTGTCATTCCCATCGTGCCGACATTTGGTAATAATGACATTATGCCGCATAATATTCTGCTAGCGGGGCCCAACAAGTGGACGTTGAGGTACCTGGATGTTTGGAGGAACTTTATTCCCGAGGCACAGCGGCACCAATTTCAACAGGGTGGCTGGTTCTACGTAGAGGTCATCCCTGGGAAGCTAGCTGTCATCAGCATAAATACCATGTGAGTCGTGGAGCTGCAACCAGTTATCAAGCAGGTATTAACGAGCGGCAGGTACTTCTTCAGCTCGAACTCTGGCGTCGACGGCTGCGCGAACAAGCATGAGCCAGGATTTGAGGAGTTCGAATGGTTGCGTATACAATTGCAGCTCTTGCGAGATCGCGGCATGAAGGCGATGCTGATGGGTCACGTCCCACCCGCGCGGGTTGACAGCAAGGAAAGCTGGGAGGAAACGTGCTGGCAAAAGTTCACCCTGTGGCAGCGGCAGTACCGCGACGTCATCGCCGGTTCGTTCTTCGGACACATGAACATCGACCACTTCATGCTCCAAGATTTCAAGCAGCTTAAAAAAGACACGAAGAATGGCATCATGGCACCTGCCAGCAAAGTAAAGAGCAAGAAGGGTGAAGTGAGCTTGCTAGAGGATGGCGAGGTCACTATAGCATCTGCTTCAGATTACTTGCTTGATCTGAGACAGGCTTGGGCCAAACTGCCTTCTCCGCCGTCCAAGAACTCGCTTTCAATAGCCGACTACGTCGACGCCGAGGAGGAAGAGAAGAGCTTTTCCGTCTGGCAATGGATCGTCTCCAAGCTCTCAAAGTCTAAGAAAGGCGCGAAAAAGGGAAAGACTCCGAAAACCAGCAAGAAGAAGTACCTCGACAGAATCGGCGGCAAATACGCTGAACGCTACAGCATCGCCCACGTCTCGCCCAGCGTCGTCCCCAATTACTTCCCCACGCTCCGCGTCTTCGAATACAACATCACGGGAATGGAAGACATCATCATCCCGGTCACCCATAACCGGCCGAAGTCTGCACAATTCCCTCTCCAACAGCTGCCAGTCACAGATGGCGACTTGTTCGACGACGAAGTCTATCTGCAGGATATCCAGAGTATCCTGAAAACGAAGAGCAAGAAGAGGGAAAAAGGTGCATTGAAGAAGCCGAAGAAGTACAAGTTCAAGGTTCCAAAGGGACCATCTAAGTCCTCACCGCCGGGCCCTGCATACTCCCCGCAGCCTCTTACTCTCATGGGCTACACGCAATACTTCGCCAACCTAACATACATAAACAACGACTTTGTCTCCGAATCCCTCCCTGCCTCCACCAACGATGACTCCTCGTCGCACATGATTTTCGGCCTGGAAGTCGACGAAGGCGGTGTGATCGAAGCAGCGAAATGGAAAGAAGGCAAGCACGGCCAACACCAGGGGAAGAAGCCGCGCCCAAAACCGCACCCGAAGAAGTTCGCCTTTGAGGTCGAATATGACACGCGAACAGACAAGGTGTTCAAGCTCAAGGATCTGACGGTGAGGAGTTATGTTGATCTTGCGAGGAGGATTGGGCAGGATCATACTTCCTCTGTCACAGCTTTCGAAGACGAATACCTCGAGGACGATGAATGGGAAGGGGATGACGACTTTAATCAAGAAGACGATGAAGAGGACGGGGATATAGAGGACATGAAGAAGGGAAACAAGAAGAAGAAAGGCAAGAAGGGAAAGAAGAAGAAGGACAAGAACAGCGCGTGGTTCACCTTCGTCAAGCGCGCTTTCGTCGCCACTATGGATCCGCGCGAGATCGAGGAGTTGTTCAGCGCTCGTGCCGAGTCCCCCGCCGCAGAAGATCAAGAAGTCATGGAGTTGTGAAGAAGAGCATACACCTATGGCTTATGCATGGCAAGGTGGTTGATATACCCTGGGAAGGAACTACATTTTAGACTTTAGCGATTGTCTTCATTAGATTTTGCATGATATGACTGACGAGACGGGTTGGGCATCAGCGGCGCTATTACATTGGCTTACTTTGTAGAATTGTGGAGTATTAACTTTTTCGCTTCATCGCAATGTTGCTCTTTTCGCATGACTCTTGTCGCCTTGAGATCAACCCTACAACTGCTTGCCAACTTAATTTATGCTGTCTCGTGCAGCCCCCGGGATCTCATGAACACAAATAGCTCCACCTGCACATCAGTGACCCCCTGGGCTAGAGAAACCGACCATCATGAGGCTCGGAGTCGCTCTTCACGCCGAGTCGATGTAGATGTCAGCATTACCCAACATCACGCGCGGTAGGTAATGCAGATCTAGGTAGACTTTTCATTACAGGTAGCTTTTTCGATAATATATATACACGTGACCGTTCCCAAAGGTGCTTAGCCCACCAGGTTTGTCAGGCATGAAGAAGCAGATGCCACACGATGGTTTCCCAGATGTGGGTATCCGCACCCTCAAATTTGAAGCCTTTAGCATAGTAGCGAGGTTGACGGTACACCTCATTATGCCCATAAGCACCGTGTCGCTCTGTAGTGGGGACGGTAACCACTAGAGCTCGACAATGGAATCACACAAATCGCACTTCCTGCTTTCCCCGGCGAGGTGCATAGATAGAGGCAGACCAGAGTTAGGTCCACCTTCTCTTTAATCCTCCTCGATTTCACCCTCCTCGCTTCCGGATCGAAGAGCTCGCTCCTCCTCCTTTGTTGGCTGGGGAACCGGTGTCTTAGACTTACGGTCAGGGCGAGGAGAGTAGCGAGCGCGCTGGAGGATAAGTCAGCATCTGCGAAACTAAGAATGAGAGAAAGAACGATGCTTACCTTGCTGTCGCGCCTGTCGGCTGCGCTCACGTCACTCTCTCGTCGGCGCCTAGCGGACAAGGGACGACCTCCGCTGTCACCATAGTCCAACTCGCTCACACTACGCTCACGAGGATCCGCCCTACTAAGGGGGTCCCCACGCGAAATGTAGGAACGCTCGCGCTCAGCTTCACGTTCACGGCGCTCACGACCATAGTGGTCGCCGCTGCCCTGGCGAGACCGCTCATACCTGTAGTCGTCTCGCTCACGATCACGACGATAAGGAGGAGAGAGGCCAGTGCTGTCGTTGTTCCTGTAACGTGCCTCCCGATCCTGCTGGGCTTGTCGACGCTCGGCAGCGTAAGGATCATGCTCAGGAGAGCGAGTGCGCGTGCGGTGACGCCGGTGAGTGTCAGAATGTCCGTTGCGATACTCACGATCTCGGTCTCGCCTGTCCCTCTCGCGCGTGTCACGCCTGCTCCGGTCCCGACGATCACTCTCCTTCTCCTTGAGGCGGCGGATGTACTTGTCGAAGACGGATTGGCGAAGTGAGTCTGACTTTAGCGCGCGGTATTCGTCGGTCTTCTCAACACGAGCACGTACCGCTTCCCAGGTGTCCGAAAGCGTCACCGGAGGATCAAGACGCTTGATAACAGAACGGAGGTTATCCATCGCGTACCGCTCATGGTGTTCCTCATCGCGGCGTTCATCGTCCTCTCGCTTTTTGACCTTCGCGATGACGTAATCGAAGATGCTCCTCATCGACTGATCGTCCATGTTAGCAGTGCGAGGATCAGTTCGCATTACGCTCAAAAACTCTTCGAAGGGAGTTGCGGTCACGACCTCGAAGCGCTCATGCTGGTGTCTGTTAGCATTGTTACGTGCAGTTGCAGTGAAGAGCTTCTGGACTAACCTCGAGTACATCCAGCGCATAGCGACGCTGGGTACGGAACTTCTGTTCCTCGATCTCCAGAGCATCCCAGAAGAGATCAAGCGGTGATGACCCGCTCTGTCCTAGCATAGCAATGTAGCGAGGATCGTCCTGAATGATGTCGTGAATGTCCTTCCACTTCGAGCCGGCCTTGAGCCTACCATTCTCTTGCAGTTCGTCCAAGAGTTGCCTGAAAGCATCCCGATTCCTGCGCTCGATGCGATGCTTGTCACGCCTCTCCGCCTGTACGCGGTCGTTGTGCTCTCGCTGAAGCAGCCTAATGTGTTTTTCAAACGTGTTCAGAACATCCAAACGATGGAGAGGTTGGAACTTCTCACTGTTGAACTCGGGATCCTCTTCCAATTTCTCTTCGGCGGACTGCCAGCGAGTGAACGGCTCGAGGTCAAGTCCTTGCAGAAGAGTCATCAGCTCATCTAAGGCAGTCTTCTTGTCTTCCGCCTCCTTCTCTGCATTGGCGCGTTTGAGAGTGACAATATATTCTTCGAACAGCGCCCTCCGCTCATTATCGTCTTTGGCAGAACGGAAGACTGTCTCGTCTTCCAGAATAGGAAGAGCGGTCTTCCAACGCGTGTAATGCTTGATCTCCGGATGGGAGCGTAGCATAGCTGTGAAGTCAGTGCGCAGTTTAGCTTGACGGTCTTGCTCTTTGTGCTTCTCTTGTGCACGCAGCTCCTCGCAGTATTTCTTGAAGGCTTCTTCGCGCTTCTCTGGCTCAGGTATCGCGCGCCAGTTGGGATCCTTGATACCGGCGCGAACGGCCCGAGACCACTCCCAGTCGGGCTGGACCTTCAACTGCTTGAGTACCTTCATGAAGGCAGCCTCAGCTTCCTGCGGGCTCGCGAACTGCAGGTCCGTCGAGGCCGCAAACACCATGCTAGGGCGGTCGACGCCATATCCGGAGTCGCGATCGCGTCGGTCAGGCGGCTGGTAAATGTCGCGGTCGCGGTCACGGTCACGATCACGATCACGGTCGTTGCGGCCTTGCTCAAACGCAGGAGGAGGCATGGAAGGTCCGGCAGCCCAAGCACCACTGTTTCGAAAGTTAGTAGGACGGCCTCGACGATGTTGTCGCTAGTAAGCACTTACGGAGGCGGCCGCTGTGGCGGCTGATTCCTGATGCGCTTGAGATTCTCCGCGACATCGTCGGGTATATCCCAAGTCGTCGCTTTTGTCTCCTTATGCGCCCAGTACTTCCTCCCGCCGGAGTCATAAATCTGCCAAGGCGTACCAATCATTGCGCGCTACATCGTTAGCAATTCACTGGTACTCAGAGGGAGGCACTTACCTCGTCTTCTGTCATCAGCTCTTGCGGCTTTTCCCATTGAGTCTTGTTCGTCAAGGTGTTGTAGTAGTACTCTCTCCCGTCTGCAGCTTTGGATGCCCTCCAGGGAGAGGGCGGCATCATGGCCGGCGGCCCCATGGGTCCAGGGGGTGGGTAGCCGTTCATGCTGGCGGGCCGAGCTGCGCGTGTTAGTCTCTGCTGCAGAGGTGTTGGAGATCGCGACAGGCATAAAAGGTTGTTTTGGAGCACGGTCCACGCGGCTCGGCAAAACAATTCCCCGGACCGTTATGCACGTGAATCTGATCCATTCCTCCAGGCGGTCGCACTTCTACAGGCTATTCCTTGTTTTTGGTCTTTTACGTTGCAGGAAATCCTTGGGCGAGGACAGGACGGCGATTGGGAAGCACATGTCATACGTGTTCGGAGTCCACGGGTTGTAACCAGTAACAAGCGTTACTGCTTGAAAAGGGGCCGCGATGGCTACGAGCCCTACCGAGAGACAGCCTCGCGGGAGTGCTGAGGTATGTTGATCACGGTGATCATACTATCGTTGTCTCATTTCTTTTCCATCTGCTGAAGGCTTTGCTCACTGCTTTGTGGCTCGCCGCGTTTGCGTAGCCTGACTTTTGGCAGTAAGGCTAATGTGCATCTCCCTTGCAGTTCGTAGAGTGCTCAGTCCTTGAGGCTGTTGTGCCTGCTGAGTCTACCATTGATGTCGAAGATGAGCTGAGCTCATGGGACGGCACTAGCGAAGACGACAGTGGCTCTATATTGCCTTTTCTGTCACAGCGGCAAGTGCTACTCTTCGGTATGTTGAACCTTCACTCAGGTTTTTACAGGCTCTTACTCATGCATAGGCGATAGATGAACGAGTATCCGTCCATATAGTGTTTCGGACGCCATTAATAGAAGACACGACTTTGAAGTCGTACTTGGCCAGGCTGGCTATCAATCTAGAAGCATTCGCCTTTAGCACAGCTCCGCCTCCAGAACCAGAAACAAAAGCTCCCCCTCCAAAGGAGCTGATATTCTCAGAGACAATCAAAGCCTCGAATGAGCCGGCTATTGTTCGCCATGAGGAAGAAGGCAGTCCTCATATCTATGTCATCTGGAAGGTGGAGGTATTCATATGTAAGAGAATGCCTGTGCCGGTCGTTTTCTCGTCTGACTTTCGCTAGGCCGGCCGCGAGGGAGATTCCATAAACCAGCTGTCTATTTCCAGCCTACAGCATCCCTGAAACCCGCTGAGAAGGCTAAAAGGAGTCTCCTCGACGATGAATATCTTCCGAGCAGGGTCCCGACAGCGCTCAATCTCCTTCAGTCTTTTGAGAACGATCCTGTTCTGGCTGGTATCCATCCACGACTGTCTGCATTGAGAATAAGCAAGATCGCGCCCACCGCCCCGGTAGCGAAAGAGATGGTTCGCCCAATAAGAAATGGCCAGCGACGTCTTTTTCGAGCATTACCCGCTCTAATATGGCGGATACGATATTCGAAGGTCCAGGCGGCTGTAAGCGATATGTCGCTTATGGCTTCTTTGGACTTTGAAGTTGCCTATATCACCGGCTGTAGTATCAGCATCGAGGATATCGATCTGTCTTTACGAGGAGGCCACGTTAAGGCTATTGCTGACTGCATCGACACTACTGCAGTCTACAAACCAGGCGACCAGCTTACCTATCTCTACAAGATCACGCCAGATCTTTCTCTCGATGGCACACCGGCGTTTGGAAAGGAAGGACATATTCTGACACTAGAAGTGAAGGCAAAAGTACTCGTATCTGAGGATTGCAGGCCATTGATTACCATTGGCTGGCAGACAGCCGTCGATTTTAATGCCGATCTGAATAGCAGCTTAGTGAAAGCCGCTCATAGACTTAGCAACCCCACTGCACAACCCGTCAAACCTCCGAATCCAGACTCGCTTCCCACTCACGACACTTCGAACCAAGAGGGCGATGACGCTACGAACAGAGTCATCAATGTCACTCTCACAATATCAGGACCACCTCGGGTCCAAGTGGGTGATGTCTTCCACTGGAACGTCTTCATAGTAAATCGCTCAGACAAGACGCGGAAGCTGGCCATCTTAGTCCTACCGAAGAGGAAGCGGGATTTCGACAGGCACAAACCACATCCCTCTACATCCTCAGCGGGCGGACACCGAGGAGAACAGAGGGATCAATTGGCGAGTGCAGTCGTGGATGAGAACATCGTCTACGCCAAGCAAAAGAACGCAAGAATGGAAGCGGCCGAACTTGTATGTCTGACCACAGACGTACGGATAGGGTGAGTAATTTAGATTCGATACCTCAAGTACTGTGCTAATAGAGCAAAGTCATCTCGCACCAGGAGCCTGTTACACAGGAGACTTGAAATTCTTGGCACTCTCTCCTGGAGTACTGTCTGTAGACGCCGTTCGAATAGTGGATTTAGCCACGAACGACACCTCAGACGTCCGTGACCTACCAGCGATAGTGGCCGTTGGAACGGAGGACTAATCTGGGGTGCTTTATCCGGGGATTACTGTTGAGCTTTTCGGAATACATGGCAACGGACGGGTTGGCAATGATCAAGTCGCAAAGCACACAGTAGCGGCCGTCACAGACCAGGGTCATAGTAGGTAGTACCGTACAGTAAAGGGCAGCCTGAAGTGCTTCAGAGCATCAAGTGCGGTCTGCCCTCACCTTGCTTAACTGCATTGAAACCCTTCTGGTTACCGTGTCCATAATCCTTGTCCATCGGCCGGACGCCCCAGAAAGACGGCTCCGTTCTTTGCATTTGCCTTGCCCTGCGTAGTATTGACGTTAGGGAATGCGAGTTTCGCAGTTAAAGTGCTCCTTCTTGCAATGTTTGAGTGCCGGAACGATGCGCACAAGAGACGTCACAGGCTTTGACGTGATTTGTGGAGCGTGACTCCGCCTCAAGACCCGTGGACCTTTTGATCAGTCCCGAAACCGCCGACCGCAACCCCAAAGGCGCGCATTCACCGGACCTGACCTCGAGCCAACACCGTCGGCGCTACCAGCACCGCACCGCGAGACGACATTTTCCTCCGTTCCTCAAGTGACTAGCCCCGCCGGCTCGCGACAAACGGTGTGGCTTCGTAGGGCTGTCGCACTGACCTCTTTCCCCCATTGACGTCGACCGCGCATCATTCAAGTGCACCCACCGCAACCATGTCTATCGAAGGCTCCCGACGCAGGGTCTTGTATACTCTGAACTCCCGTTGGATTTACGGTAAAATTGTGAGTAGTACTGCTTCTTGTGCTAGGGATACATGCTGATGGATGCGATCGCCGAATAGCCTCTCCTCCACGCCGCCGTATTCCTCCTCCAAATGGCCGCAGTCTCTCTCTTAACCCGCAAATTCAACACCTACTATGCCCAGCGGCCAGGTAAGATGCCCTGCGGAGGTTTCATGTATGCGTCCTGTCGCTAACGATGCTCACAGTCCTTACCACCATGATCACCAATGCTGTACGTTGTCATTCCCGCAACCCGACACCCTTTACACCCCGAGCGTACCGAATCTGATATTCCCTTATTATCACCCCGTAATGGAAGCTGCACCCATACTTGAACCTATACCGTATAACCGCGTGGCGAGAGACGTTTGCTGATGACGAACGCAGATATTGGGTGGCATAGCAGACACAGTAGCACAGACTTTGACCGCAGTGCGGCAGCGAGCAGTGCGGAAAGGCGGGCCCGACAAGGACGACTTCCTCGCCATCGAGATCCACGAGCTGGACAAGAAGAATCCGTGGCCGCCAGGCGAGCTTATTCCGGACTCCAAGAAGCTCCCGCCGCCGTTCGACTTTGAGCGATTGACAAGATTTATGGCTTACGGTTTCTTGATGGCTCCGGTGCAGCATAAATGGTTTGGATTCTTGTCGAGGACATTCCCAATTACGAAGACCTCTGCTTTCCCGCCTGCCTTGAAGCGAGTCGCGTTCGACCAGCTGCTGTTTGCTCCGATCGGTATGGCAAGTTTTGGCCACTATTGTTTGCTATTGGCTGATTGCTTTCTAGGTCTTGCGTGCTTCTTCACTTTCATGACGGTCGCAGAAGGCGGCGGAAAGCGCGCAGTTGCACGCAAGTTTCAAGACGTATATGTGCCAGCCCTCAAAGCCAATTTCTTGGTCTGGCCAGCAGTTCAGATCGTCAACTTCCGCCTTATGCCTATCCAGTTCCAGATTGTAAGTTCAAGCTGATGTTCTATTGTGTCATCGCTGAGATGCTGACTATTTCTGCTAGCCCTTTGTCTCCACAGTCGGTATTGCCTGGACCGCATACCTCTCCCTCACCAACTCCGCCGACGAAGTGTAAATATCCCCGCGCATACAAAACTATTCCTTACAACGCGGTCATGGCTTTGCATAAGGGGAAAGGGATCGGTCGGGACCGGGCACCATGGAGATACCCTGGAATTTCCTGCGCAGAGCGCTTTGCATTTCGGGCTGGCGGTAACATAGGAGCTTAGCGCTTAGAGCATAGTAACGGCGCCTGGTCAATTGCTTTAGGAGGTTGTCCTCGCCCTCAGCTACTTTCGTTCGTTAGGTCGCAATTGCATCTTTTTACAAAATTTCGGAATATTCCAGCTGAGATAGCATTAAAAGTTTGATCTCCCGGCCGCGGGTGCAGTCCCTAGCCGCGCCCGACAAGATGCCATCGGAAAGAAGATCAGACTAGCGGAATGCCATACCAATCATGGGTACGATGCTCCTTGGTCTCCTGATGCCATGTGAAGGGCGAGAGTGCCGCATCGGTTATTCGGACCATGCTTCACATCAAGCAGTCCTTGGAACGCTGGAGAGAGTAGATAGTATTTTCTTTTCCAGCTTCCCGTTTCTTTTCCGAACAGCTTAGAAGGTCAATGTTGCTTGCTTTTCTTGCGTCGATAACGCCGCAGAGAAGGGGTGACAAGAATTATCTCTCAGCCCACTCGGGTGCCCCGCGTAGAACGTCATAAAGCTAGCCCCGCGCGTGGTAGGGCAGGGTCAACAAAACACATAACACCACCCACGCCGGCCCTTTCCTTCCCTGATGTAAGTGGCCCCATATAACTCTCACCTGTCCGAGAACGAGTCCTGCGCTTTTCTCTTCTTCCGAATCTTCTTGTCTCAAGGTTGCCCTTCTCTAAGCTACCAATTGACCCCTCCAGCAGAGCATCCAACGTCACGCCCAACATGTCTCTCTCCAACAAGCTCTCGATCACCGATGTCGATGTCAAGGGCAAGCGCGTGCTGGTCCGAGTAAGCAATGTCTCAGTAATTTGCGATCGTCCAGCGATTGACCTCTAACTTCTACACCACAGGTCGACTTCAACGTGCCCCTCGACGCCGACAAGAAAATAACCAACAACCAGCGCATCGTCGGCGCGCTCCCCACGATCAAGTACGCCATCGAGCATGGCGCCAAAGCGGTGATCCTCATGTCGCACCTCGGCCGCCCGGACGGAAAGGCAAACCCGAAGTACAGTCTCAAGCCGGTAGTTCCCGAGCTCGAGAAGCTATTGGGCAGGAGCGTCGTCTTCACCGAGGACTGCGTGGGCAAGCAGGTCGAGGACACTGTGAATAATGCGAGCGATGGACAGGTTATCCTGCTGGAGAATTTGCGGTTCCATGCTGAAGAAGAAGGGAGCAGCAAGGATGCGGAGGGCAAGAAGGTCAAGGCGGATAAGGCGAAGGTGGAGGAGTTCAGGAAGGGGCTGACTGCGCTGGGCGATATTTACATCAGTGAGTGCTGCTACGGATTGATTAGAGGAGCTGTGAAGTTAATTGACTGCAGACGATGCCTTCGGGACTGCCCATCGCGCCCACAGCTCCATGGTCGGCGTCGAGCTCCCACAGAAAGCCTCAGGCTTCCTCGTCAAGAAGGAGCTCGAATACTTCGCCAAAGCGCTCGAGAACCCTAAGCGCCCCTTCCTCGCCATCCTCGGCGGTGCTAAGATCTCTGACAAGATCCAGCTCATCGATAACCTGCTCGACAAGGTCAACACCTTGATCATCTGCGGTGGCATGTCCTTCACGTTCAAGAAGACTCTCGAGGGTGTCAAAATCGGAAACAGCTTGTTCGACGAGGCTGGCAGCAAGACCGTGGGCGACCTGGTCGAGAAGGCGAAGAAGAACAATGTCAAGATGGTGCTGCCGTGCGACTATATCACTGCGGATAAGTTCGACAAGGATGCACAGACGGGATATGCGGAGGACAAGGACGGCATTCCAGATGGCTGGATGGGTCTCGACTGCGGGGAGAAGTCGATCAAGCTGTACAAGGACGCCATCGACGAGGCGCAGACCATCCTCTGGAACGGCCCGCCAGGCGTCTTCGAGTTCGAGAAGTTCGCCAACGGCACGAAGGCGACGATGGACGCTGTTGTGGCTGCCGCGCAGAACGGCAAGATCGTCATCATCGGCGGTGGTGACACTGCGACTGTTGCCGCGAAATATGGTGTTGAGGACAAGCTGTCCCATGTCTCGACCGGTGGGGGTGCGTCGCTCGAGCTGCTGGAGGGCAAGGACCTGCCCGGTGTGTCTGCTCTGTCAAGTAAGTAGATCACGCTGCCACGACTAAGGAATGGCTCAAAATAGATTGGAAGGGGTTTCTTCGAGGTTATGATGTATGTTATTAGCTTTCTTCAAGCCAAATACAATCGATAGGTATTGCACCCGGACCGTCTGCTAGTAATGGCCGCGTTGCCCAACATGATTCTCTTATCCTGGGCTCGACCTGCCCTCTGCGTGCAATGCTGTACATCGGAGCGCCGTGCTCGGTAACGCCATATCAAAACCTCTATGCCAGAAACGCCGACCGGTGCGCGGGTTATCGAAGTCTAGGCGCGCTCATTTCTGACCAAGCTTCTTGAGCTCCTCCCTACATCTAATTAGCACGCTTGCCATCTTCCTCATCACGTTCCCACTCACTTTAACTGCTCCGAAAAATCGTCGTTCGTGTCATCGTCGTCCCAGCTCTCCTCCCAAAGATGTGTTGTGCTTCCGGGGATCTGAGTGTCCTCTTCTGTCCAGTCTGCCCATTCATCAGCGTTTACATCTGTGCCGACTTGTATCTCTAGCTAAAGGTGTATCATACCCTCGACAGGGAAATCCTCAAACTCGTCGTCTTCCTCCAGTTGGGCCGCGGGCTTCTTGTCCTTCTCCGTCTCGCCGTTCTTGGCCTTCTCGTCGACGACGGCTTTCTTCGTGTCGTTGCTGCCTTGGGCGGAGGCGGACATTGTGGGGAATGTGCGGGGGGTTCTTGTAAGGGTTTCGTTCGGGCTACGTTAGTCGAGCGCAAGCTATCGGTGGGTTCACAGACTCGTTGCAGATGCTCTGCTGTGACGGCGGCGGTCGGTGAATGGAGTTCCAGCGCCGATGCTGGCGGGCTTGGCGGGCGTGAACAGAGTCACGTGCTGCGGCCCTCCACGGCACCTTCCAAGGTTATTGGTAGTTTCTAGGTGCAGAAAGGCACAGCCTTGCCGGACGCGCGGTTCCTCCGTCTATCTTCCGTGTACCTTTTTAGAAATATATGATTTGCTCTATGTCCGATTGTGCTCAAGCCAGCGAAAGCACCGCGTTAACTCGTCCGGTGACGTAGGTCTTAGGCACGGACAGCGGAGAGTCGCGCGGAGCAGGCGAAGTAGGTAAGCAATGCCCGCTGGCAACTATATAGCTCAGTCCTTATTTCAGCCTCATGACGGCTACCTAATGGCAGCATCTTCTACCAGCGCTTTATTCCCTTTCCTAGTCTCGCTCGCTGTCAATTATCCCCATTGTTCCCTCCTTGACCCCACTAGGATTTGCGCAAGATGTTGAAAGTCGGAGGATGGCTTGCGGGCGGGAGGCACAAGGCGCACGGGCAGAGCAAGAGCTTGAATGCTCTGGATGAAGTGTCTCAGAGTGAGTGCTCAATTGAGGAGTCGTGAAGATGAGCGGGAGCTAACGGAGGCTATAGTTGAGGATGCAATGGGCGGTACGCGTCTATTCCCCCTTAAGACGTGGCCCGAACTAGGAATAACGTTACACGACTACAGCCGTCACCTACATTATGAACGACGATGTCGATGCGGCTGAAGAGCATCTCAATAAAGGCAGCTCGCCGTTCCATCAGGTACGATTGCGGCCTGAAAGGCGGCGGTAGGCTACAATTGATACAGAAAGGCTTATACAAGTGTAGCTAGGGAAGGGAGTAGTTACGTTCATGCGGGCAACGCTTGGGTTCGAGCAGGATATTATGCGAGAAGGTCTGGCGTGCGCTTCGAGAGATCAAACGGAGGATACTAAGCCATAGTAGCCTCGCAGACCCTATCCGACGCAGAGAATGCCGCGTACGAACACCAACGACGAGCCCACCGTACCCCTCACACGTACCAATCGCCGATATATCCACCGGGGACCGAATACGCAGTATGTCTGGCAGAAGCGCAGCTTATGAGCGCAATTGTAGGAGTGCTGAACGAGAGCTTGACTGAAGCGATCAAGAGCTTCTATAAGTTGAGGAAGGCATATTTGACACTAGAAAGCGTCATGGATGCGGAGAAGAAGTTCTTGAAAGAGAGAAGCACTAGCAGTTTGAATTCGACGGCTTCGGATAGTCCATCAAGACCGGCTTCGAGAAACTCGACAAAGGGTGATAGTCCCCCGGTTCCTAAACCTCCGACTCCTGAAAATATATCGGCAACGGCGTCGAGCACAAGTCTCAGCCGCGACAGCTCGGAGACAAATGTAGAGAATTCAAGTGAGACGACGGTAGAGAAGGAGAGCCAAGACGATGATGAGGACGACTTCGACTTCATGGATGCGGCGGAAGACCATCAAGATGTCGAAACCCCTAAGGAATACATGGGGCATCTTAACGTACCTGCAGAGAAGGGCGAATCTGTGGAGCTGGACAATAGCAAAAGAGAGCTGCACATCAAGTCGAGCTCAGCGCCAAATCTTCCTTCCCAGGAGGTCAGACCAGACACATCTGTACCCGACGCCATAGAGGACTTCGAGAAACTAGCCCTATCCGACACCGTCAAAGCCGCGGATGATGTATCTCTCTTTAGCGACCATCCCGTGGACACTTTCATAATATCCGGTTCTAATTTCTGCTTCGGTATTCTGCTTGTTATCATCTCTCTAGTACCTCCAGCTTTTGCAACGCTTTTAAAGATTGTGGGATTCAAGGGCGACCGGGAACGCGGCATCCAGATGCTTTGGCAGGCGTCTAAATTTCACAACATTCACGGCGCGATGGGTGGTCTCGTCGTCTTTGCCTTCTACAACGGACTCAGCTTCTGCGACATCGTCCCCCAGACAGGCGAGGGCTCCTACCCGAAAGAGCGATGCAAGGTCCTGTTAGCGGACATGCGGAAGCGCTACCCAAAGAGCCATCTCTGGCTACTCGAAGAAGCGCGCATGCTATCTTCAGAGAAGCAATTGGAGAAGGCTGTCGAATTCGTAGCGAAAGCCGGAGAATCCCCGCTCAAGCAGCTCGAGGCTCTAGGCTGGTTCGAGCGCAGTCTGAACACGATGTTCATGCACGATTACGATGGCACCTCCGCTGCTTTCCTCAAATGCATCACGCTCAACAACTGGAGTCACGGCCTATACTATTTTATCTGCGGTGCATCGCACGTCGAACTCTACCGCCGCAACAAGACCTCCAATCCGTCCGCCGCGAAAGAATATGCAGCCAAAGCAGAAAACTTCTTTAAGAAGGTCGCGCCCAACACGGGAAAGAAGAAGTTCATGGCGCGCCAGCTCCCCTTCGACGTATTCGTCAACAGAAAGATCCAGAAATGGGAGGCCAGAGCCAAGGAATGGAACTGCGCTTTCATCGACGCAGTAGGCGTTTCGCCCGTCGAGGAAATGATATATTTCTGGAGCGGATACAGGCGCATGCGGGATGAACATCTGGACGTATCACTTGAGAATCTCGCCTGGAGTGAAAGCCCTGAGAACCCTTTTTGGGAGAAGGAAAGCATGGATGAGAAAGGCATTCTTGCTCTCTTGAGGGCGGCCACGCTGAGAAGTAAGGGCGAGACGGGCAAGGCGAAAGAGATTCTGAAAGACCAGATTATTACCCATGATAGAGCGTTGTTCAAGGGACCTTTGAAGGATGCGTGGACGGCACCATGCTCACGATACGAGATGGCCGCGAATCTGTGGACGGAGGCAGATGCGGATGGTAGGCCTGAAGAGCATAAGGACCTACTCGAGGAATGTAAAACATGGTTGCAGGAAGTATCCGGATGGGAGAGCTTTGATTTGGAGGCTAGGTAAGTTCCACAGAAAAAAATGAGAGGGTGTGGAAGGCCATGTGCTAACCCCGGAACAGGATCGGTATGAAAGTCACCACGGGAAAAGGAACTCTGAGGAGGTATGGAGTGGACTGCTAGTCGTAAGAGACTGTTTTAGTCTGAACGTTGAGCAACTTCAACCAGGATGGGCAACGGGTGTTTGGCTGAGATATATGCAAGCGCTTTGGCCTTGAGAGCACAAGAAAGCGAAAGCGGTCAGCGTTGATCCTTGTTTTACCTACATGTGTAGTTTAGAGACAAAGGGTCTATGTTACCAGGAAATGGTGATGGGCATAATACATCCGAGAATATGAATATGCTAGAGTGTTGCATACCATCCGAACTGACTCGATGGGCCGACCTCGTAATACCGCGGCGATCCTCTTCGGGACTGGCACACAGGGATTGCGAGGCAGGGCTTTTTGGAATATGAAAGAACGTTTTAGAGATTATAAACCATGGACATGCGTTATGTTCCATCGCTGGCCTTGCACTCAAGCTTGCACTCGCCGGATACAATCAGATGTAGTCCGGAGTGGAATCCGTGCCATCCTAAGCCCAACAATAATATGTAGTTGATACAATACATTCAGTAATGCATTTGATGAGGTCTCCGGTATGCACCGCGACGTGTCTTTATACGGTGAGCTTCTTGATGTGGATCCAAAGTTTTGTAAGAGCTTCGGCGAACCTCGGTTCATCTGAACCCCAGACCTTTCACCTCCACAACCGTAAGCGGCGTGGCGGCGTAGCTTTATATACCTGCATCAGCTCCCATCAGCATGTAGCATACCTCTCCGGAGAGTATTTAGGTGCTCTACACGCCCTTTTTAGCTTCTATTATCCAGCCCCGAGCTACTACCAGGTGGCCCGCCACTTCCACAATGTCATCCACGCCCGTCGTGCCGTTCTCGGAACCGCCGTACCTCGCCGGCCTCCCTTCCCCGTACTACAAGCCGACGCACCTGAAGTGGCAGAAGGCATGCCGCGAATTCGTATCCAAACATTTACTGGAGAATGCGCTGGAGTGGGATACCGCCGAAAACGTGCCGGAGCACGTCTTCGAGGAGTTCGCGAAGGCGGGCATGCTAATCCCATCTTTACCCGCCCCGCTGCCAGTAGAATGGTTGAAGCGGCTCGGTATACATGAACTGCTCGACGCAGTCAAGGTGGAGGAATTCGACTATATCCACACGATGATATACATCGATGAGGTACGAGGCATATCTAGGCTACGCTGCGCCGCGGAATCCAGCTAATCGAACGGCAGATGGCACGTTCAGGCCTGGCAGGGCCATCAGGGTCCCTCACAACCGGCATGTCCTTCGGCGTCCCTCCGATCCTCAAATACGGAAACAAGCAGCTGCAAGAGCGCTTCCTCCCAGAGCTCCTCACGGGCAAGAAACGAACATGTATCGCGATCACCGAGCCCGCTGCCGGATCTGACGTCGCTAACATCACTACCACCGCTACGAAGACCCCTGACGGGAAACACTACATAATCAATGGCACGAAGAAGTGGATTACCAACGGCATCTGGGCAGAGTACTCTTCAATGGCGGTTCGAACCGGCGGGCCTGGCCCGACAGGCCTCTCCATGCTCGTGGTACCGCTGAAGGGCTACCCAGGCGTCAGCATGCGCCGGCTGAAAGTTGGTGGGCAGGTCTCAGCAGGGACAACCTTCATTGAGCTCGACGACGTCAAGGTCCCCGTCAAGAATCTGATCGGTCAGGAGGGCATGGGCATGCGGTACATCATGACCAATTTCAATCACGAGCGACTCACCATCGCTATTGGCGCAACGCGACAGTCCCGCGTCGCGCTCGCAGCAGCCATGGAATACGTACTCAAGCGCGAGGCCTTTGGCAAGCCACTCGTAGAGCAGCCCGTTGTGAGACATCGGCTGGCCAAATGTGGCGCTTTGCTGGAGAGCCAATGGGCGTGGGTCGAACAATTCGTTTATCAGATGACACAGCTCCCCAAAGAGACGGCTGACATCGAGCTGGGCGGGCTGACGGCCATGGCGAAAGCGCAGGCTGGCATTGTGCTGAACGAGTGTGCGCAGTGCGCCATACTTTTGTTTGGTGGAAACGGATATACGAGGTCCGGTCAGGGAGAGCTCATTGAGAGTAAGTTGCATTTTACGGACGCCACACCCTTCCACGGCGTTCTCCATCCTAATTTTCTTCCCACTTTCGGTGGAAATGGGCTCCCGGCTGACTTTCGCACCTAGGAATCTATCGTGAAGCGCCTGGGATTCGAATACCTGGGGGTAGTGAGGATGTCATGCTCGACCTGGGCGTGCGGCAGCTGGTCAAGAACTTCAAGAACAAGACTAAGGCCATGGAACGACCGAAAGGCTCATCGAAGCTATAACGTGTTCCAACAAATTAGATGAATGTATGCATATGGTTATATGAAAAAGTTGGCAATCGCGAGATCCACGGGCAAATTTTTGTAGGGTGATGCACAACGGTGTGCTGTGTTGGACGACGTTTCCGAACACGAGAACCCAGCGGAAGCCAATTTTGCCGTACAACCTCGACGCTCGTATGGGGCCTCATACCTAATTTCAGCACCCAGAATTTGGGTGCTGGACCCGAATTCCCCGTCTTCCTCGTGTTCTTGCCCGCAATAGGCTGCGTGGTCTTGCCCTACAGCGAAGGCTTAATATGCGTTGCTCGATGCACTCCCCGGACACGAAGTAGGTGTATAAATTGGCATTTGGCCTTCGATATATTTTTTACTCTCTGTTCGAAACTACTGTTCTCTACAGCTTTTGTCTCTACGTCATTTCGAATCCCCGTACTACTCCAAACTCAAAATGAAGGCTTCGATATTGCTTGCGGCGGCGTTTGTATCGCTGGCCGCTGCCAACCCAGTAGCGGTGCCAGAGCCGCAGAAGACACCTGTTCTACCCTCGCCATGCTGGTGCAAGCCGCCGATTTGCCCGATGGAGCTCATTGCGGCATGTTTCCACCTAGTTTGGGCCGCATATGGTGCGTGGCTAATACATGGAACAGGAGTGCAGATGCAAGAACGCAGCGGCGCAGGCGTGCTACGAATCCTATCTAGCCAAGGGCATTGAGTGTCCCAAGCCTACACCAAGCGTAAGCCATCCCAACTATCTACCCCCTTCTTTCCCAACAACCACGGCCTTCACAGCGGTACGCTGATAGAAGGGAAAGGTCTGCGGTGTCGTAGCCCGCGCCGCAGAAACACACAAACCGACGAAGCCGATCCCGACTCCGCCTGTTGTAACACCCGTGGTTCCCCGCTGCGGCGGGCTCATGGGTCTTGCGTGCCCGACGGGGTACAAGTGCGTGGATGATCCGAGGGATATGTGTGATCCGACGCAGGGGGGCGCGGACTGCATTGGGATTTGCGTGCGGAGGAGTGAGTAAGTCCTGGTTTCTCTACCTTGGTACGAGGGGAGGAGCATGAGAGGGGTGAGTGAGTGAGCGAGGAAGACGGGCTGACGGTGAGAATAGCTGAGGAGATGCCGCCGTGCGGAGGGAAGATGGGAGCGCAGTGTCCGGAGGGCTGGGTCTGCGTGGATGATGCGAGTGATGGGTGTGATCCTGAGTTGGGAGGGAAGGACTGTGGAGGTGTTTGCGTGCTGGGTCCTGTTTTGGGATAGGGCGCAGGAGCTGGAAAAGTTTGTTATTGGGAAAATAGGATGCGTTCAGGCTTAACGGGACTTCTGCCTCTAGCTATTCTATTTGGGTGCGCTGGATCATAGTCATACAATGTGGTCTGGGGTAGGGAGTCGCTCGCGGAGCTGAATTCTGTGAAGCAACCACGCACTTTTCAAGATCGCTCGCGGTGCTTGCGTGAGCTGTTTTTCGTGTTTCACTCTCGCAGACCCGTAGAAGTGCTCAATTTCCCTCCAGTCCAGCCTTTCATTATCACTATCCAGAAATACTCCCAACCCCCGTCCATACCACGTGCCGCATGAAACGTATCTTTACCCAAATGAACCGCGGCATTACACCTCCGCACCCCAAGCAGCTAACCCCAATCAACCGCCTCTGAAAGCCCCAAAACAAGCTTTCCTCGCTGCAAAGCGCGCTCTATTTCCCGCGCTGGTCCCCGGATAATCCAAGGAACTAGCTCGCGTCTGGAATGGCCGTGGAACGATCGTAGAAGCCGGGCGCTCGCACTGGCGACTTATCGCGGCTGGGCTAAGGAAACGCGGCACCCGGTCTAGTATGGATAATGAGGAGATACTTACTACTCGTCATGAGAGGGTGTTTGGTGGAAATGAACGTTTATTTGAGCCTTTGGCGTGGCGTTTGGAGCGCTGTTAAAAGGCGAGGAGGGTCGTTCAACTTCTAAAAGCTCTTGGGTGTTGCGCTTTCTCTAATCGCATGTCGAAGGTGTCGACTTACAGCTTCAATATGGTTCGCATCACGGCTTGGCTGCTCGCGTGCATTGGGACGTCGACCCTCGCCTTCCCCCAACCGCCACCGGACGGCTCGCCCAACTCCCCCATAACCCGCAATGGCAGCACGCTCATGCTCAACAATCTCCCGTGGACCGCCTCCGGAGCAAACGTCTATTGGCTTGGGCTCGACGAAAACGTGACTCCGGCCGAAGGCGCGCCCTATTACGCGCCGCTCAAAGCGAGCTATCCGACAAAGGGACGCATTACGGAGATCATGGACACGCTGAAGACGATGGGTGCGAGGACGGTGCGGAGCCAGACGATGGGCGTCAGCGTGGGTAATCCGTTGAGTGTGATGCCGGAATTGGGGAAGGTCAATGAGGAGGCGTTTGAGATTATGGATTGGGCTGTTAAGGAAGCGAGGAGGGCGGAAATCAGGATATTTGCGCCATTTGTACGTCAAGGAGGGAGGGGAGATGTGCGAAAATGAGAAGCTAACGGACTGGAAGACTGACAACTACGACTACTACCATGGAGGAAAGTTCGTGTTTTTGAGGTGGAGGGGGATTGATGTGCCGAGCCAGAACCTGTGAGTGATGTGGAAACAATAGAAAGGAGAGACCAGGCTTACCAAACGACAGTGATGAAAGGGTCCAGCAGTTCTACACAAACAGAACTATCATCGAGGACTTCAAGAACTATATCAAAATCATCTTGACTCACCGTAATCAATTCACTAACGTTCGCATCCTGATTCCCGACATCGAACTAGAACACTGACGTCTTACAGCTCACTTACGCTCAAGACCCAACAATCTTCGCCTACGAGACTGGCAACGAGCTCGGCGGCCCCGTTTTTGGAGACAAGAATGTGCCCGCGGAATGGACACAGGAAATAACTAACTACATCAAACAGATTGCACCGAAAAAGCTCACTGTTGACGGGACGTACGGCATCAACGAGAGTCACTTGAACATTAGCAGCGTCGACATCTATTCGGATCACTTCTATCCCATGGATGTGGATAAGCTGTCGAAAGGCGTTGCGGCCGTTGAGAAGGCGGAGAAAGTGTACTTCGCTGCTGAGTATGGATGGACGCCAGAGTCGCAGACGAAGACGAAGATGGACGAGTTTTTCAAGTGGATCGAAGATCGAAATGGAGAGAACAGCACGAGCCCGGTCGTGGTCGGGGGTAAGTAGCGCATGTTTGGTGTCGCTCGGGCTTCCGATTCCGAGCATTCCGAGCGGAGAGAAACCCGCGCATCGGCTGACGTTCCGTGCAGATCACTTCTGGAGTTTGTTCGGCCGTAACGTGCCAGACTGTTCATCCTTTGTCGAGCACAGTGTCAGTGATGCGATTCACGTTATGAACTGGGGAGTGAGAATGCTGACGAACGTTGCGCAGGATGGCTTCACGCTGCATTACGACGATCCGAAGAACCCAGCAAACTACACCGAGCAGATTGTCAAAATCCGTCAGCATCTGTTCAAGATGCAGGGTAAGGAGGTAGGACAAGATATGCCTTCGGTGCCTTGTCCGGAGCAGTAGAAGAGATCCGGGGTCGGTGGCAGAAAATTGTCCGAAGAAAATGAATGCTCCCTAGCTCTTTCCATGTGCTCCAAAACAGGGTCTAGATCAGTTAGGAGGATTGCTCTTTACGAGGCACTCTGCATACGAGTTGCATTTCGATTTCTGCGATGCTGCCCCTGAGGACATCAAGGTGTTGGCGTCTACGGCGCTGGGCGCGAGCCGTGGAGAGCAAGCGAGGCCGCGTTTTCCCGACACTACCCCTGCTCCGATTTTCCCCACAGCGCATGAAAGATTAGTCCTTTGCGGGCTAGCGGACAGTCCAACTTGGCAGATCTCGACCGCTGCAAGGGTGCTGCTTGATAAACGTGAATCCGATCTGAGGCCAGTCGATGGACGGCAGCCAACTGGAATCGTCGAGGAGCAAAAAACAGTCAGCTACACCGCCCACCTGCTCGCGTGAGCTTTATCATATCGTAGTAGTAGCGTTCTGAAGCGTTGCACGCGAAGGCCTGGCCTTGGATTTCAGCTGCTCGGTCGGTGGACCCACTAAAAATCCGAATCTTAGCAGCTGTGAGAAACGACGTCGGTGTTGTAGCGCGTCTCGACTTCGATCCTGATACTGCCAATGATACCCTTTGTATTAGCAGGGGCAGGACTCGGAATAGTACCTCCGCCATCGGAACGCCGATATAATTATTCAGTACAGCAGCCTCGTGTATTCTGCAGGACTGTAAACGTTATCTCCACCACTACCGGTCATGCAGGCCGATCGACTTCTGCAGCGGCTTCGAGCCGGCCGCGGATTGATGAGGTGATGTCGATAATAGCAAGGATGCGCCCCAACAGTTCTTCAGAGACTGCAAAACGCCGAGTGCTGGGCCGTCGAAGGAAATGAGGGTTTGAAAGCCACAGCAAGCGGGGAGCTGACGTTACGTCCGAGTCTTTACCGGCATCAGGACCCCTCCCCGCAAAAGCTCAACGCCGTCACCAGGGATCGCCGGGTTGCCCCACACGTTCGAATCTCAGAGTTTGCTGCGTTAATAAGTATCTGTTCGTTTTCCGGTGTCGCCCAGGGAGCCGGAAAAGGACCCAAGGTACTAGAGATTGCGCGCGACAGCATCGTAGATAAGGGCTCTGTGACGCATTCAACCCCGAGCGTGTCTGCAAAGCGGGCAGCTGCGGTGAGGGAGCGATAGCGGAAGAAGGGGCGGAAACGTCCGCTTCCTGCTATGCCAGTGTACGTGGCCTCATTGGCTGTCCAGGCCCACCGCTTCCGTGCGTAGAAAAGCGCTCAGAGATGAATTTTGTCAGCGCCGCGCTGTCGTGCGTGCCGGCTAGCATCTCGGCTGTGGGCGCGGTGTTGGAACGGTTGCTGGCGACGCGAGACCAATCACGTCGCAGCCGGGATCCTATTTCCGGAAGAGCCTTTAAAGCGGACTGGAGGCCAGGGAGAAGGTACGGCGCACGCGGAAAAGCCAAAGTGCACGACTGTCATCAAGCAAGATGGCAAACCGGCGGCAAAGGCCACGCTGAGTGCGCACGAGGAGCATCAGCTTTACACAGCACAGTAGGGGGGGCTCGACGAGCCGCGGCATCTTTCCTGCAGGCAGAGGCGGCGTTTCCGCACGAGCGAGCTGCTGACGTCGGAGGTCGCGTCGCTGCCCTCATCCGGTTGTCTTGTCCCGAGCCCATCCGAAAAAGACCGCCGCCGCCAACGCCAAGAGGGGAAAGCGCCGACAATCCGAATCTGGGGCCTGGGGAACAACACTAGACGCTAGCCATCCCCACCGGGGACGGGCGAGGCGTGTCATGAGGGATAAACGCACCAGAGTGAATCGCGAGCCGTCTGGCTGGCCCAAGCTCGCCCTCAGGGCTGCCAGGAATCCACCATGGCGAAAGTTGGTGCCATACATAATCTACGCGATCCCCCCTGGTGTCGCTCGCGCCTGCCCGACCGAATACCGCTCCTGCCCTTCCCCACATCCCAGCCCTGCCTCAGCAATTGCCTCACGGCGACAGCAGCGCAGCCATGTCTGAGTGCTCAGCATCGCCGTCGGACCACCACCACCACCTCCAGCCGCCGAAGCGCAAGGCCGCCCAAGCCGGCCTCGACGGAAACACCACCGGCCGCTCAGTGAAGAGGAGGGCTTCCAAGGCATGCCAGTGCTGCCGGGCGCGCAAGGTCAGATGCAATGTCACTGAGCACGGCGCGCCGTGCACGAATTGCAGGCTCGACGAGGTCGAATGCATTGTGTCCGAGAGCAGGAGGAAAAAGTCAGTGCCTCTCATCCAGTTCATCATCCGATGGCCGACATCACTATTGCACTCGTCGCAAAGTGTCGTCATGCAGGGTCGGCGGGCGCATTCCGCCAGCCACTCGCAGCGCGTTCATTCTGTCACGGCCGCCAGAAATGCTTGGCCCGCTTCTGCTGATGCACCACCAAAATTTGCGAGTCGCTGACGTTTGCCAGGAAATGGACCAAGGACGACGATCCCCAAGGAGAGAATACGACCGCCTCGGCCACAAATGCCAACCGCAAGCTGGCTTCGCGCGAGGCCTTGGACAGCATCCAAAACCTGAACTCAGCCGCCGTGCGGCGGTCACATGAAGCAGAAGCGCGGCATGACGAGCACGTGCCTCACTCCATTTGTGCGTCGACGACAATGATGAAATTTGTAAGATCACATGCGCTGACAAGCCCGCAGACCAGACCCACGGCCACCGCCTGAACTCCATCTCCGGCTTCTCAGACCTGCACCGCCGCCTGTCCGTTACCTCACAGACCAATGGCTTGTCCATGCTCCCCTTTACGCCCTTTGCCGGCGACAACCGCGCCGCGTACTTTGGGAACGTGGCACCGAAATTCAGTGCGAATGATCTTCCGGATTTCATCAAGCCGCTCCCCGTCAAAATCGGACCCGACGAAGTTGCCTATTTGGAGAAGAAGGGCGCGTTGACGGTTCCGAAGGGCACTCTGCGCAATGAGATCTTACGCGCGTATATCGAGTTTGTGCACCCGTACATGCCGCTTCTGGACCTGCACGATTTCCTTACGATGATTGATCGACCGGACACGAGCCTCGGAAAGGTCAGCTTGATCCTTTTCCAGGCGGTCATGTTCGCCGGCTCGGCTTTCATCGATATGCATCATCTGCGTACCGCGGGCTATGTCACACGGAAGGAAGCTCGCAAGGACTTCTTTCAGAAGACTAGGGTGAGTAGCATCTCCTTTCATGGGTTCTCGGTTGTGTTCGGTCGGCCGAGCAACTCTGTGTTCCTCCGACGCCGTTTTGTCGGCGTGTCCGACTCTCACATGTCAAACACGGCACAACTTTCATCCTTCACCGACGCCTGTGACACGACTAATCGATTCCACAGCTTCTTTACGACTTTGACTACGAATCGGATCGGGTCTCTCTTGTACAAGCGCTACTCCTCTTGACGTACTACTACGAAACTCCAGATGACCAGAAGGACACATGGCACTGGATGGGCGTCGCGACTTCGGTCGCGCACACGATCGGCCTTCATCGCAACCCAGACAAGGGTCATATGGACTCTAAGCGTACGAAGCTCTGGAAGAGGATATGGTGGTCGACTTATATGCGCGATCGCCTCATAGCCTTGGGCATGCGACGACCCACTCGCATAAAGACCGAGGACTTCGATGTGCCCATGCTCACTTTGGATGATTTCGAGCTTGCTCCCATTCCAGACTCAATTTCTTGCGTGCCTCCGGACTGCCGCGTAGCCCGGGATGTCGACATGCAGCGCCAGCTAGCCATTATGTGCATCGAGAAAGCCAGGCTGTGCCTATGCATTTCACATGTCTTGTCTAAGCAGTACTGTGTCTTGAACAACAACCAGGGCCTCCTGAACGACCGAACGACAATGATGTTGCTTCCGAAGAAACTGGACCCCGAGACCAGCGAAGTCAAAACATGCGACGAGGAGCTGCAGAGGTGGGTCAAAGAGCTACCAGAGGAAGCCAAGTACTCCGACACCTACACTGGAGAGAAATCATTAGATCTGAACCGCGCTTTGTTGCACATGGTCTTTTTCACGACTCTTTCTGCGTTACATCGACCGCAAGTCCTACCGTCCGCTCAAGGAGGACCCGCGAGCACACCAGCCAAGCCGGATATCGCGTCTGACCTTTTGGAAGTCTCGCGTCGGAACGTTCGCCGAGCTGCTTCGGCCATCACCTCGATCGCCCAGCGCCTCGATACAGTGGATCTCGTCAGATATCTACCCACCACCGGCGTCACGGTCCTCCTCCCGGCCATTATCATCCACCTGCTCGACATCAAGGCTCCAGAGGAGGAGACTCGCCGAATCTCACTCCGCGGATTCTGCCAATGCATGGCGGTCATGGGCAAGCTGCGTGATTTGTACGCCGCAGCGGACTACTCCACCGCCTTCCTCGAAGCTGCAATCCGCAAAGCTGGCATCCATATTGCGCCTACGACGGCACAGACACCTGGCGCCAACGGAGCATCCGCAATGCCAGCGAAGCCATCGCCGGTGACTACCGTCGAAGATCTCGTGGACGCCGGAAGAAGACTAGACATGCAATCTATGATGAACGTGACAATGGCGGCCTCACAGCAGCTGCAGCGCTCAACTCTGACGCCACCACCAGACAACGGAACCACGAATATGCACGCGCTCGAGAAACTCCCAGACCAAAACAACGTCACCGACGAAGAAGTCGCCCGCCGCCTAGAAACATTCCTCGCTTCCACTCCCCCAGAGTCCGATCATGACCACGACCTCGATCCTTCGCAGGACTTCCACCCCTCGATCACGATCGCCGAAGACCTTCCCGCGACGACCACGACCATGGCGCCCAACCCCTTCAACAAATACAGCACACTCGAGCTCCCATCGAACCCCTTCAGCAGCATCAACCACCACCACGACGACGAAATGCTGTTTAGCAGCCTGCCCATGCACCACGACTTCGACGACGGCGACTTCGACAGCTTGCTGAATCTCGATGCGGTGGGCGAGGCGTTTACTTTCAACGAGGCTGCGATCGACGATGCGATCGAGCGGCAGTTGGGCGAGGTGGATTGGATGGGGAATGGGACGGCGCTGGCGTTTGGGGAGGAGGTGAGAGCATGAGCGGGATAGCGGAGAAGCTTTTCATACATCTCCATGTCTGCCCAGGTGCTTTGGGAGGAAAAGTTTTTGGTTTTTTGGTTTTGTTTGCATTTGTTGTTGGATTTGCGACGATATCCACTTGCGGTTTTTTTCTCCGATTTGATTTGGTACGTACGAGATGAGGGCGCTTCAACACACTAATGGACTGGCAACGCGAGGCACACGCGCAATAAGATATGCTGCTACGATATAAGTTAGACGCGGAATTATTCCCAAATCTAGAATTCCATGACTTCTCCATTATATTCCTTATACTTTTGTTGTGCTGGGCTGGGTCTACCTCTCCAGGATGCCCACTCTCAATTATTAGTGCTACATAGCGCATTCTCTTTGCGCGGGTTGCAAAGCGACAGAAAATCACAAGAAACCAGAAACCATGCTATCTGTTGAAGACAATTACCTCTGCCCTGCAAAATTACCCCTCCGAAGGAACCTGGAAGGTCCAGCCTTCTCGACCCACACACGCACACACCGCCCAGTCCAAGGCCCTTACCAGCTCTGCCCCTCGTCTCCACCCACTAGTCTCGAACCAACCCCCGCTACTGAGTCACTACGTGCTTTGTCTTTCAAGGCCCAGCCTCTGCTCGCGTGGCCCGGTCCAGCGGTCATGTTTTTTTCAACGGCTTGCGCCGTTTGCGCCCAATCCGTCCGTGAATATGCAAGCATGCAGGGACTAAAGAAAATCGACGAAAGGAGGAGGGAGATAGCGCCACGGGTGTTGAAATCCGGGCCTTCTATGCAAGGAAGGAAGAAGGGAAACCCAACAAAGCCCGCTTCGGCGATCCGATGTCCGTACAACTCGAACTAGGGCGAAAGGGATAAATATTTTCAAGGGAAAACAAGACGATGAGTAGGAAATATTAGTAATGGGGTGGTGTTTTATTTTGTTTGACCGATGGGAGCCCATGGAAATGATGAGAGCGGGCAGCCGTGATCTCCCTTCTCACACATCTTGCGCCCACCTCCTCTCTCGCACAGGCATCTCCTCGCCGGCCCTCTGCCTCTCGCCGTTCATCTCCCTCTTCCAGGCCCAGTATTCGCCTAACCTGATCTCCGCGTAGCTTGCATAGTCGAAGTCAATGAGCGAGATCTGCGCCTGGATCAGCGCCCAGATACCCCAGTAAAAGCCAGGCACGCCCCGAAACTTGTCGATCTGGTCGAACAAGTCGTCCAGCTCAGACTCCTTGTGCGCGCGGTTCAGATGCAGGTTGTAGCTCCGGAGGTACTCGCGAAGGAATGCCCGGCGGACGTGGCGCGTTGGGAGGACGGTGAAGTCGCAGTCAAAGCCGCCCCACTCGGCGAAGTGGTTGGCAATGTCAAAGGACGCGGGCGCGGGCGTCGCATACTCGTAGTCAATAAAGTGAACGGTTTCTGTCGGTTCAGACTCATCGGAACCGCTTGACGCGCTGGAGCGGCGGGACGCCGAAGCGGACGAGGGCGCGGGCTCAATAATGACATTGCCGCTCAGGAGGTCGCAATGGGCGAAGACGAACTGCTTCTCACCGCCGACGCCAGGCGAGTCTCCCAGCAGCTTCACCAGCCACTCGAGCTCTCGCTGCAGCAGGTCTCGGCGCTCGACTTGTGCAGTGGTGCTTGTGGGCAGCGCGAGGATCCATTTCTGCATCGTGGTCCACACGTTGGGGATGGGCTTTCCTGGCGTCAGTTCTGCCATGGCGACCAGAGAGGCACGTTTGTTTGCAGGAGCAATTTGTGTGGGTGCGGGACATGTGCTGCTGATGCTTGATATTGGTAGTGTTGCGTGCCATTCTCCCAGCCTGGACGCTACCCCTCGCCATATTTCGGGCCGCCGTAGGTCGGCGGGCGCACACACGCTGCCTTGTATGAATTTGTACAGGAGACCGTTTTCGAATCGTGCGAGGAGGGAAGGGGCGAGGCCGTGGCGGGCGAGGAGGCAGTGGGACGACGTTTCCTCTAGACGGGAATTGTGAGCACCGGCATGGCCGTAACAAGGGCGCCACGACTTACTCTTGCGGTCGATCAGAACGTCAGTGCCCTTTCCGTATGCGCGGAGGAGCACCGCTTCGTTGTCCAGCTCGGTCTGCGTGAGCCCGGGGAGCTTGTTGACTGCTTTCAAGAGCTGTTGCCGCTACGTCAGCGCATGTCGCGGTAGGCAACTCCTCCTGCGAAGCCACAGGCACCGCGGAACATACCGTGTTCGTGATGCCGTCCGTAAACCGCACAAACTCAATCGTGTCCTTGGACTCTCGCCATTCTGGACGAAGAGTGAGTATGAGACTCAGAGCCGAGTTGTGGGAGTCGGCGTTATTGTAGTACTGGGGAATGTGTCGTATCGACTCGAATGGATCGAAGGGAGAGGTGTCGCTATTCATGACGAAGCTGTGGTTCTTCGCAGGTCAGCTTCGAGGCTATGAGACGGGCAATTGAGGTAGACGCCATAGCTGCGTGAAATCCCAAAGCAACGCCAAGGACTCGGCCGTAGGCTACGGGAGGGCGCTGCGTACCAATTAAGCAGACTCAAAGGCCTATAGTTATGCGAAGATGTACACGTTTGCTAGAAATGTGTCCGTTCGAGTAAGAAGGCTGAAGGAGAGGCAAGTGGTTGTCGCGTGCTGGTCCCTTTTCTAGAAGGTCCGTCCTTGTTCTCGGCTAGCCCCGCAAACTGGCCGCCACACAACCCCTGACCCCAGCCACGGTGACGTCTGCACCAGCCGGCTCATCCGGCGCCGTCCTTTATCAGATAATCGCCCAGTCCTCTTATCTCTGGGCTACACCTACTCCTACACAGTTCCCTTTGCCGCTGTTTTTTCGCATCTTCTACCTTTCGTTCGGGCAGGAATAGCTGGCCTGGACGGCAAACCGGCTTTCTAATCTTCTCAGTGTCTTGGCGTGCAGAGAGAGTTGCGGGGTCCACATCAGGCACGGCATCTCTATCCACCTCTAAGATGGTGTAGCAGACAGCCCACGCTTCGGCAATTGCGCAAGCTCGTTGACAAAGAGAAGCAAGTCACGTGTTGAGGGCGGCGATAGAGCTCTTTCTCTCCGATCCTCCTGCTAACAGTTGCTGTGTCCGCTGGCTTAAGAGATGGAATCTCAGCCTACGCTCTCTACCACGGTGGGGTACCTAGGTATTCATTGAGAGTTGAGGACTCTTTGGCATCGCAATTAATGAGCCTGGCGGCCTTCACATTCCTTTCAAGCGTCCAGATCCGATATCTGACCCTAAGCTGGAGCCGTTACCCCGCGTTTTGCACGCCTCCCTGCAGATCCACGCTGTACGTGTCCATCGACGGCAACACCGAGGATCTAACAGTAGATTTGGAATGGGCTAGACATGGGCTTGCAGAAGAGTATGTTTGGCTTGCGGTATGCGGATACGCAGAAAAGCGTGAAGTTATTGACATTGTGTGAGAGAGCTGGGAGGAGCGATGGGAACGTGTTAGTGGAGCTGTTGGAGGTGCTCAGGGGATGTTTGCGGGTGAGGAGGAAACGAGAGGATGGTGGGGATGAAGGGGATGTATTTGTTGATGCTTGATAAGCTTGTGGAGCAGATAGTAGATTCACGAAGTCATGAAGGTTTTATTCGGCATTTCGATCCATAACGCCAAACTCCATCCCAACCATATCCGTCAGCCTAACCAATCCCTCAAAAATCCCTCCATCGTTCCTCGCAACCCGCATAGCCTTCACTAGCAACGGATACAGCCGATGCAAATGCTTCTTATGCTTACTCCTCACACCAGGTGCGTCTGGAATAGCCGCAGGCTCACTCCTCAACTTGCCCAATTGCTCCAACGCAAACAAGAGTTCTCTTCGTTGAGGTTCAGGCTGCGGCATGCGGCCACGCAGGGGATGATCTGCGATATAGGCGCGTAGTGGGAGTGCGGTGCGGAGGATCAGGTAGGGCGCTGCAGCTTGCGCGAGCTTGGTACGCTCGGCGGAACTGTCATGCACGGAGACGAGAGAGAAGAGTTCGGAGAGGCAGACGTAGGCCATTTCAGTACGGAGGCTGACTTCGGGGTCATCGGTCCGGCCGAGACGCACTTTGTATAGGTCTTCCAGCGGCGCGCTGGTGGGGTTGGGAATCTCACCGGGTGCAGGGTGGTGAATGATAGAGGTCTCGAAAAGATTTCGCGCATAAGTACGGCGGAGAGTGTCTGGTAGGGAGGGTGACCCGAGCGAGAGCGTAATAAGATCGTGGAGTTTAGTGAAGGAGGTAATGTCGAAGGTCTCATCCTTGTCCAGAGTAGCTAGAGGAGAAGTCGAGCTGATTTGCGCTCGGGTGATGCCGCTGGCGATGTTGACGATTTGGTTCCAGATAGCTTTCAGCGGCTCGCCTTCCATCTCGTTGATGTGCGTTAGACCGGGCTGGAGTATGGCAAGGGCGGTTGCGGTGGCTTTTTGCCATAGGGTAGGAAGCTTGCCTTCGCGCTGCCAGATGTACTTCTCTTGTATCGGTTTTGCCAGACTCGTGAGTGCTGAGAAGAAAGCGCCGCTGGAGTAGATTTCCTCATCTCCAATATGCTTGACGATGATGCCTTGTAAAAGGCTCATTGATGCCTTTGACAAAGCCACGAACGTTGGACCGCGCTTATCGGGATTTTCTGCCAAGGATGTGTAGGGCAGGATGCTAAAGCGGCTGAGCAATTGGATCAGGTATGCAGGTAGTCCAGCGGCCTCGGAGCGAACCATGGAGAGGCACTCCATAACGCGACTCTGAAGTGTAGTCATGTGGTCGATATCCGAAGAATAGGCCACCTCGTCGGCATCGACTATACACGCTTCAAGATTGGCTAGCATGGAGGAGAGGTCCGCGTCAAGGACTTGTTCCGAGAGCCGGTAGATGGCCTTGAATGCTTCTGCATATGCTACGAAGGCATCTTGGTTATCTTCAGAGCTCTTCTGCCAGGCATCGCGATGGCTGAAGTACTCCTTCCAAATAGTTGCAGTTTTCCGGAGAGGTGAAGGGCCCAGTGCTCGAGCGTCCTCTACTCGGGACAATACTCCCGTAATAGTGGTGAAGACTGATGATCCAAGAGCGTGTGATCCGCAGCTGAAATATTGCTGAAAGTAGTCCAACAAATCAGACCACGCCTCGCCGAGTCTCGAAGTGTCGTCAATTTTGTCCAAGCACATCGAGCTCAAGGTGCTGACGGAATCCAGAACCGTCTTTGTCGTTTCATTCCACGCCTTTACATCCTCCGAGGCGTTGCTAGAAGCGCCTCGAATCGCTTTCTGAGCTGCGAGATTGGACTCAACCATGCCAAAAAGCACGCTGCGTAAGCATAGCATCCAAGCATCAGACGACAGTTGATCAACGTAATTCTCGAAGATCCGCTGTATGGTCTGAACAGCGGAATTGCGCAGTTCTGCGCGTTTGTCTGTCGTGATGGCAGACAGATTTAGAAGGACTTGAAGCCACAACGCGGGTACGCTGCCTGCTTGTGACTCCGACTGCACCGTTATCCGAACTTCGTCTTGTTTCCGGATGCTGCCTAATACGTCTGGCAACATGGAGATGTCGCTTCGGGAATGTAAGAAGTCGGATACGTTCCAAAAGAAGGTAACTGCCTACATCCGGTTAATTACCAAACGATGGTTTCTATGTTGTCCAACTTACAGTGAGCGACATGTTTAGGTCCTCCTGTTGGCAACAGAACTTAAGCAAGAGATCTAATAGCGTAGACAGTGCAATATCAGGGACGACAGCCAGGAAATCAGAGCAGATCAACTGGACAGTCGCGAATGCGGTCCGGGCAAGTGGCTTTGAGATGACCTCAATAGGGCCCGCGTGGGCATCCGCATGTCCGTTAACCACAATAGAAGGGCGCTCGTCGCCGCGAAAAGGCGAGGACACGGACGAGAATACACTGAGAAGACTGTCGAAGACTGAAGCCCAGCCAGACACGAGCGATTCTCCGCACTGCTCAATGACGCTCTTGAGCGCCTCGAGGGCTATCTGATGGATCCTGAGATCGGTGTCACTGTAATGATCGTCGCTCCCGGCGTCATCTTGGTGCAAGGCCGATATCTGCGTTTGGAGTGCCGAAAGTATCCGGCTTTGAACATTAATGCGCTGCTCATCGGATAATAAGAGCTCGGCGATCTCCTTGACCGTCCTAGCCAAAATGTCTGCAGCGAGTAGTCGCGTTGATGCTGCCTTGCGGTCGTCTGCGGAAAAGCGGACTATCTCTGTGACAAAAACACTCCAGCCACTATCAGCAGGCTCGTACTGCGCAAGCCTCTCCTCGTTCAATGCGACGAGCTCTCCAACTTTGTTCAATGTGAAAGCAGAGTCTCGCGTGTTGGTCTCAGTGGTTAGCGAGATACCAGAGACACTTCCTAGGCGCCGCTGATGGAGGATTTGCGGACGGCCTTGGATCGTAGGAGTTCGTTGACCACTTTGTGGAGCACTTCCAGTGTGTACCAGTGCACACAGCGCCTGGAGCACTTCAATAAAAGACTCGTTAGGAAAGTCCACAGTACTTTCGAAAAGCCTTCGAGCAGCCGCTTGAACAGCAGAAGTCTCGGCCTCTACCTTTTCTGAAGACGATTCCAGTTCGACACGGCTTGCGGTGCCACCTGGGGTGCGCACCCCGCTCTGGTTGGACATCGCCATGACAAGGTCCGCCACCTGCAGCGTTTCGAAGATGATGGACCATGCCGACTGAAGGGTTGGGCCCAATGCGATAGCAAGGTTGAGCAATGCTCGCAGACAGAGAAGGTTTCGAGGTCCAAGTATGGGCATGCTGGCTTCATGTGAAGGGCGCCGGTTTTTCTCTAAGGCCAAGGAGGATGCTTGACTAACAAGATTGTCAACGCTAAGTAGTCCTTTTGCATTCGAGAAGACACCAGAGTGTTCCATTTGTGGCGACTTTGGCGACGCAACATTGGCCAGGAGCATGCTTGACGGTACCGCCGCCTTCCCGAGGGTGGTCAGAAACGCATCGCGGGGCGTAGGGAGTCTGAGCAGACCCGCCACTTGAGTAAACTTTTGAATCGCTCGAACCAAAGCCCGATAGTAATCGGCGTCTAGTGCAGCATTTAGAAAAGTGGAGCACGTAGCCAGAACGGCAGGCCAGCATTCCGTGACCAAGGCTGCTGACGCTTCCACGTAGCCGTACGCAGAGTGCTCCTCGAGAGTAAGCGGGTTCACAGGTATTGTTCTCTTCCGGAAAGATTGGGTCCTCGAAAGGCGACGATTTCCCGCTCCGGGAGGGGCCGCCTCATCTAGTTTTAGGGTTTCCTCTGTCCTGCTTTTCTTCCTGCTCTTGCTTTCGTGGTACACAGTGAGAGGGAGCACAAACTTGGCTAGGCTTTCGGAGACGTTTGTGATGCAGGTCAGCACAAGGCTGTATACGTACGTCTCCGGCAAATGTGGCGGCTCTGACTTGTCGAGGTGCTCTATGCACGGTGTCTTTAATGTGCTCCACTGCGTACTGATCCCCGCCGGATGACCGGTGGCATTGGTCTCAGCGACAGGTCCGCCAATGACACCAGCAAGAGCTCCTGCTTCGGCAACTGCTTGCTCAGACGTGGTATCTTTCCCGTCACTGCGGTTTGCTGGTATAGTGGACTGCTGCCCGAGCCCGATGAGAGCCGGCTTCTCTGTCGACAGGCGGACGAAAGCTGCTAAGTTATTCCCAAAGATGTTTTTCTTGCCCTCTTGCTGGTCGAAGTGCGAATAGATTTGGAGCAAAAGGCGTGGGTCCGAGTATATGCCGCGGAAAGTCTCGAGACAAAGAGCCCTCTTCCACAACGTGGACGCTTCGGGATCAAGCATATGATTAAGAAGACCTAGAGCGATCTCGCATTCGGACGGCATGATATCGAGATGATTACGAATCAGCAGGTTCAATACTCGGATAATGCGCAGCGTGATGGGAAAAGACAGCCGGTCTGATAGTGATCGAATGATGGTGGGCATGAGCAATGACCGTATGAGATGGATCTGTTCTGCGTGCGTAGACATGACTTTGCCGTGGTTTGACAATATCGCTTCGATTACTTCGAGGATTGAAGTAGACGGGATCGACGAAAACCGAATAAAAGCTGGCTTCTCACCCGTGACAAGGAGATTCAGGTCGTGGAACACCTGCCCATGTTTAGAACAAAGCAACCCGCGAATAGTTGGTGCTGACCTTGTAAGCATCGTGGGCTGCAGGCCTGACTGCGACAGAGCCATTGTCTCCCGGAACTTGCGTGACCGTGGGGATCTCGAGCGCCTTCTCTGAGTATGGGGTCAGCTGCAGAGGGGCCATGCTGCTCGGACTACCTACCATCTTCTGATGCAACTCTGTCAAATACTGCAATCACAAGCTGTTGAAGGGTGGCTGCCGCCGTGTTGCTGACAGCGGGATTCTTTGCACTTTGAAGGGCGGAGCATATCTGCAATATCGCTGAAACCAGATCTCCGCGAACCTCGCTAGGGTAGTTCTGAATCAATGAAGGCAATGCTTGCAATATCTTTAGCTGGACATCATGGCCTAGTCGTGTTAGATCTCAAACCGTTTGCGATGGTGACACGTACTCAGGGACACGGAATCCTTGAGCGCATCAAGTACTTCAGTCAGTCGTTCTCTGGGCAAAGCTCGCGCAACGCTGAGCCTCTGCAGACAGGAGACTCCGGTAGACCCAAATTTGGCATTATGGGTACTGCAGGCGAGAAGGAAAGGAGAGATGAAGTGTGGCCGTTTGGAGAGGTCTCTTTCAAGATTAGTCGCACATTTCTCGACCACCTTTGCGAGGACTTGCCTGCAGAGAGCTGGGCCTCCGAAGTAACTGGAAGGGACTTCAGCTCCTGTAGAGCTTTGTCCGCGGCGTTTCTCAGCTCTGTGTTCTTGCGCTTCGAATCTTGAATGAGGTTTCCCAGCTCAGCCGCCAGAATCTGTGCTGTCATCCTCGGACGAGCGGCGGTGGCATCTGGGCGCTATCCGGGAGCAGGAAGTGGAAGTTGTCAAAGAAGAACCTTCGAAGTGTTATATAGCCATAGTGGATGTCGAAAGGCAACCTGTCAGGTGCATCTGTTACTCGCCAGCTGTCGGAGAAGTGTCGGCCCGCTGCAGCCTGCGCCGTCACGCCTAGGTTCTGCCAAGAGTTTGTGAGTACAGGCAACTCACCACAATCGCTCCTCCGCGATAGAGATAGCCTTGCTTTCCGCGTTTCTCTCTGGCAACCGTTCGGCAGCCTTTGCCACAACGCTATATAGCAATTCTAACGCGCTCCAGTCTCCCAGAACACACCGCAATCTTGTCGTACCCCATCCATCGCGGGGTACTGCCCAGTTACCTCACCCGCCTATCCCTCGCGTGAACTTCCCATCCTTCCGACGCAAACATGAGCGGCGCAAAGGTGCCGCGCAACTTTCGATTGCTAGAAGAGCTTGAGAAGGGAGAGAAGGGGCTTGGTGCTGGTATGACTGCAGTAAAGAAGCACCTCAGAAACATAAGCTGAGAGACTTCTAGAGGCATGCTCATACGGTCTCGATAATGGCGACGACCTGTTGATGTCGGACTGGAACGGAACAATTCTCGGCCCACCCCACGTATGTCTCTCACAAGGCGCTCATCGATCACAAGTCTAACTCCCTCGCAGAGTGTCCACGAGAACCGCATCTACAGCGTCAAGATCCACTGCGGCCCTGAATACCCCGACGTGCCTCCGGAGATCTCATTCACCTCCAAGATCAACCTACCTTGCGTAGACCAGCGAAATGGCAAGGTACATGAGCTCATACTACTTGAGGGGAGAGTTGTGCTAATGCAACCGTCAGGTCGACCCAACGAAGCTGCCCTGCCTTGTGCAGTGGAAGCGGGAGTTCACTATGGAGACAATACTTATTGAGTTGCGTCGGTATGAATATTTGCGCTCTGGTAGTCGATCCTAGCTAATCAGCGGCAGGTACATGGCCCTCCCCCAGCACAAGAAGCTTCCGCAGCCACCAGAGGGGTCGACCTACTAGAGAATCGACGTATATCTACAGTTTAGCAGAAGAATAGGGACCGTTTTGGTGAATCACGCAACAAATGAACACGGTCAAGGCTTTCGAGCGAGGTCATGCAGTGCATTGGTACGGAGTTACGGTCCCTCCCGGGTTGGTCTTGGAGCTAGCACTAGCAAGCAGATGAATTGAGTCGTCAATCACGTCACTCCTCTTTGCAGCGGGGCCTGCGTGTACAGTGTTACGACCATTTGTTTGACCCCTTGAGTCGGGGCGTTGAGCGCGAAGCGGCGCGCACGTGATCATGCGATTTGGAGAAAATCGCGTCGTATCGAAGCTCGAAACCTCAACCTCGACAACGCCCCATGTATGCCCCGGTTCCTCCGCCCTAAGCAGTCGACGCAGCATCGCGTAGCAGGTGAGTTCTATCGCTCCTGATACTATTACATATGTTGATATCGTGCAGCGATCGCTCTATACAGAGCGCTGCTTTCACGATGTTCTTCCGCGACGCTGCCGGATGAGGACCGCACCTCAATGCGCAATGCGATTCGCAACAAGTTCCGCAAGAACAGGAAGATTCAGAGCCCGTATCAGCTAGGCCTTGTATTTCGAGCCGGCTACGAGGTCGATTGCTCCAGAATACGCGCTGGAGACATTTAATTGACCTCGGGTAGACTCTCGACCATCTCGATGCCTCCACCACCGGCGACACTCGGAGCATAAGCTTCCTCACATCTCTCATCTCCACCCTGCCAAAAGGCCTCAAGCGCACACCGCCGCTCGGTCCTCGTCCACCCCCGCCGCAGGATCCCTCAAAGAAGCTCCTCGCGTGCCTCCCACCGGAAAAAGCCGTTCTCAACGTACGCCCCTATGCAAAGGTCACCGGACCCCGCCACGTCCCTATTCTCGCCTCTGCAAATGGCGTCCCCTTCCTGCGCCTTAAGAAACCCCAGCCTCCCGCGCTAAGCAGAGTTATTCGTCAGAAGCTCGAACGAAGGATCAACAGGTTCCATCTGAGAATAGAGCTTAACAATTTTTGGATACCGATTGGACGGCAGGAAGATGAGTGGGATGCTATGTTAGAGAAACGCTTTGGCATTAAGGAGGGCGGGAGGGGCGAGCCGAAGTGGGCGGATGCGCTGCAGGAGGCTAGCCAACTGAATCTGGACGCTTATGATAAGGATATGGCGACAGATAGGGAGATTGCGAGAAAGATGATAAGGATTGTGGATGAGGAGACGAGGTTGGCGCTGCAGGAGGGACAGAAAGTTGTTAGAGGGCGGAAGGGCAAACCGATACGGCCGCGCTGGCCTACATAGTCACAACCCCACTCCGAACATTTCGCGGTTCCGTGTCCTCCGTGACGGGGTATATTCGGTTCTCGGTCCTAAGTATCTATCATGATGCCGTCCCAATCTTCAACTTGTCCATCCCGTCCAATGCATCGCCCCCTTCATCCTCCTCCTCAATCTTACCCACAAGGCCCCGCACCCACAACTCCTTCCCGGTTAACTTCTTCTCCTCCTTCGCCGTCTTCTTCTTACTCTTGTCTTCCGCCTCTTCCGCCTCTTTCCTCTTCAGCTCCTCCTCCGCCATCTCCCTACGAAAGCTCTCTCGCCACCTCAAAAAGCTCTCCCGCGTGACCGCCTCACCCTGAAACTTTCTGTTCTCCTCCTCCTCCGCTTTCTGCGCCTCTATTTCCTTGAGCGCTTGCTTGGCATTCTGACGCTCTGATATGAGAAGTTCGGCGGAGTCCTTCAGGGTGGTGACGAGTGTGAAGACCATGGCCATGCCCAGGTTTTCGGAGATAGTGGAGTCGAGAGCGGAGAGGAGGACGGCCTTGTCTTCTTGGATATCGAGGTAGGGGTGCTTGGGGGCGTTGGGGGGTTGCGTTATGTCGAGGCGCGGGGCTTCATCGGGGTAAGCATCGAGGTATTGGACGTTGAGGATGATTGTTGCTGGACGCGTCTTAGTACTTCCGGTCAATGACCGGCTGCGGTACAGGGAGAGAAACCTACGCGCCTCGGAGTTATCTCCCTCATCATTCGTCACTTCGAGTTGTATCGAAATTCGGAATTCCGTCTCGGAAACATCTCGGGAAGTTAGGTCAATGGCGCGCTGAGGCACAGTGAGCTCAAACGTGTTCACCTGTAATTTCGTCGGGAAAGATCGACTCGAGGACTTCTCGTTCTTCTTTCTGCTCTTCCACACCCATTGTGAATGTTGACGAAGCTTGAGTTGAATGCTCAACATCGAAGCTCTCGGCGGGGCCAGTTCGATCCCCGCGGCGCACGGACCACAAGAATTTCGAAATTTTTGGTCTATTCGAGTGTCACTCATTCTCCGCAACAACGACTCGGTGTTGCTCTATCCCTCATTGCTTATCTAGAAATACTGCTATACAGCATGGCGAAAACGAAGCCCCAGGACCGCGCGCGAAAATCGAAGAAGAACGCAAAGAACGGCGCATCGAATGGCACATCCAAAAAGCCGAAGGCTTCGCCGGAAACCCTTCTCATACAAGCCGCCACGCTCTTACAGACGTCACAGCCCGACGAAGCTCTTCTCGCCGCGAAACGAGCATTGAGTCTACTTCAGCCGACCTCCGAGCCAACATTGGCCGCTCTACCTGCACTCAACCTTCTGGGCGAAATAAACGTGGAACTGGGAGACGCGGACGCTGCGAGAGAAGCTTTCCAAGCGGCTGTGGCTTTGGACGAAGATGGAGAAGAGGATGGAGCCGAGAAGTTTCTCTGGATGGCTCAGCTTAACGAAGAGGGCGGCGCCGAAAGCGTGCGGTGGTTCGAGAAAGGCGTGGAGGTGCTGAAGAGAGAAATTGGCGAGCTGGAAGGAAAACTCGTGAAGAAAGTGGACACCACGGATGCGCTGGATGAAAAGAGGCAGAAGATTGCGAACGCACTATGTGGGATCGCTGAGGTCTACATGACGGATCTGTCCTTGGAAGAGGACGCCGAAGCTCGATGCGAAGCCGCTGTCACCGAAGCGCTGCTCGTTGCACCAGAAAGCCCAGAACCACTCCAGACGCTCGCCTCGATACGAATCTCACAAGTGCGGATTGCCGACGCAAAAGCAGCGCTGACACGGAGTATGAGCCTGTGGAAAGAGCTGGACCCAGACGATCCCAAGGTTCCAGATTACTCAACAAGAATAAGCTTATCTCGCTTGCTGATGGAGGCTGAGATGGAAGACGAGGCTATCGGGGTCTTGGAGAGGCTCGTCGGCGAGAATGATGGTAGTGTGGAGGCTTGGTATCTAGGCGGTTGGTGTCTACATCTGCTCGCCGAGAAGCAAAAAGCAAAGGGGACGGAGGTTGCCACTTCGCTGCTGAAAGCCAGCCGTGACTGGCTGGAGAACTGCCTCAAATTATACGCAATGCTTGAGTACGAGGATGAACGGTTGAAGGAGCATGCCGAAGAGATTCTAAAGGCGCTGAACGACACGTTAGGGCCTTCAACTGGAGAAGAAGAAGAGGAAGAATGGGAAGACGCAGATGACGAGGAGGACGAAGAGATGGAAGGGACATGAGGCTGTGGTACTATCGTGTGCTCGACCTTATACCTAGGGGACGTCACCGTCCCATGTGTGGATGGTGTCCTGGAAGCCGATGGTTGCTACGGAGCAGTTGCTCGGCGACAGAGTGCATTGGGCTTGCTCATATCGGGCAGATTTTGGGCGTGCTTGTCTTGACTTTCGCGGCCACACGTCTTGGAAGTCAGCAGTGCATCCCATGCGGATGGTATGACAGGCGTCATCCCTGAAGTACAGTCGGAATGGCGGATGCCATCGTCGCTGGGATGGCCGTCTCCAGCGCCGTGGTAAGGCGTAGTACAGTCCCTGCTTCACGCGGGGTGCTCAAAGTACGTAGGGTTTAATGCTACGTTAAAGTGAACCTCAGCCCAGTACGCGTGGACCTGGTGATGCCCAACCGTGATGTCATTTGTGAGAGGTGTGCCTGAATGCCGCCAGGATGGGTGTCCTTTCGCCGACCTGAGCCCTGGTACACTCCGAGCGGTCAGCCTGCAATTCGCTCTGGGGTTCGGGCGAGAGATGCCACTAGCGGGGCAGGCTACCAGCAGTGTTACGGCCCTGAAGATGCGAGACGAGCATCTGTCCCATCGGAACCCTTGGCGAACGCCGCGCGATTGGGTTGCGCCGCGAAAGCCACCACCAGACAAGGCGTCTCGATGCCGCCCTCCATCTCCACCAAAATAGCCATTAGAGCCCTCGCTGCACCCGCCCTTTGGCTGCTCCTCCTCTCCTCCTCCCTTCACTCGCCTTTTCCGCCGTGCACCCGCCACACTCGCCGTGACCCATGAATGAACCGCCCACGCTCTCCCCTCGCCTTGATACCTTGCGGCCGACGTCTGCGTGCGCGTCGCAAGCCCTCAGCTGCCGCTGAGCCGCTCTTTAGAAATAGTCGGGGCATGCCCTATCCCGGGGCACGCAGCGCCGAATGATCTGGTACCTCCTCTATCCGCTTCGTGGGTGAGTGCTGCTGCTTCGCGTCCCCTCGCCTGACCGCGCATGCTGAACGCAACATCACAGAACGACTGAGCCACCACGCCTATCGCCGTCCCACCCGATCCGGCGCGCTTTCCAGGCCCATGGCACCGCGACCGCGCGGCATTGGCTGCTCTCCATCCTCGTCACCATCGTCGTCTCCGTGCTGCTGTGCTATCCCGCCCTTTTCCAGACCGACAGCCCCGCCGCCACCGGACTGCGCAATCTCCCCAAGCATGTGTGGACGTCAACAACAGAGGTGGAAGGCGAGCGGCCCGCAGACGTGGAGGTCCGCCAGGTCTGGGTCCATGGCGACTACATGAACGCGATTGACCGGCGAGTGCTGCGCGAAGCACTCTACGTCCAACAAGCCCTCCTCGGCGAGGGCTTCGATGAGGCTGCCGCCCCAGCATTCACGACTCAGCAAGGCGATGAAGGATGCATTGCCACCAAATCTGGTCAAAAATGGGGATTCCACTCGCCGCTGATGTACTGGAACTGCTCGCTGAGAGCCATCGAAGAGGATGGAGACCTCGTGGCGACTATCAACTCTGGATCCCAGCGCCAATCGGCCCTCAATGTCACTCTGCGCCCAAGTACAGTCTTCGCAGGCAAATCATTCTCGAAGAGCAAGCTGCGAGCCGCCGACGCGTTAGTTATCACCTTGTTCGACCAGACCGACTCCACCCTTGGAGCAATGTGGGACGCAAGGGCTCGGTCGCTTGCCAAGGATCTGTCTCCGGAATGGGCAATGTTCCCACACGATGGCCAGATGGCCAGAAGCAGGCTTTACGAGTTCCGCTTCAGCCCGATGACCCTCAACGACGACCTGTTCCTGGCAGCCTCTTATTTGGTAACCGCAGCCTACGTGGTCTGGAGGATGATGCAGCTTCGAGCCGTGAAGAGCTGGTTTGGCCTCCTCATCACGATTTGCGCCAAGGTGAGATCTAGTATCTTGAAACACCTCTGCCGCCACTGACCCGAGATCTAGATGACGATTTGCGTTATCGGTAGTTTCACCGTTTGTACCTTCCTTGGCATCAATCTAGCACGCATCCCCCGTCCTTGGTTCCCGGGCGTTGTTTTTTGCTTCGGGCTTGGAAACATGTACGCTCCGGAAGCGCCTTATTCTCTCTCACGATTCGGGCTAATAATAGCGCAGATTTCGTCTCATCAACGTTGTGCTAGAGACGCCACCCGAGATGCCTCCTCATCAGCGCATCGGGCATGCTGTTGGCGAAGTCGGTCATCACTCACTGGCAGTGGCCGGGCAGAACCTCGCCATCATCTACCTCTGCTCTCGAATTGTGACACCTTGGGTCGCGGACTTTTGCGTCTTCGCCGCTGTCACCCTTGTCCTCGACCTAGTTTACCACCTCACTTTCTTTGTCGCTGTTCTAAGTGTCGATGTCCAGAGATTGGAGCTTTTAGATTCACTTGAGCGGGTTGAGCAGAGCAAGGCGTCCAAGGCTGGCCGGTCTGAGCGCCAGTCCTGGCTCACGGCGTTGCGGCAGGGTGCATTACCTTTTAGCACTCGATTCGCCGGCTCTGTTGCAATATTGTCCATCATCTTGGCGGTTAATTGGCATTTCTTCGACGGCAACGGTCAACAACTCTCCGTCCAAATGGTCAAGGAGAAGATTTTCAAGAGGCAGCGACGGTCCAGAGAACCATCCCTGTGGAGTCCGCCACCGATCAACCAGGCGCGCACACCCGCGGACTGGCTAACAATCCAAGATCACAACACCGCAAGGGAGCTCTTTAGCTTCATCAAGCCCAATGATCACAGCTTCATCGCACGAATCTACGACCCACTGCTAATTGTCTTGAAGGGGGCAGACGGTAGGGATACGTCCCTGAAACAGACCTCTCTACTTGAGGGTTTGCGCCATTTCACCCGAGAGCATGCGTTTCCGGCAGCCCTCATTGTCGTATTTCTGTTCGCAGGGGTGACCTTGTTGATGAATTATCTTCTCTGGACCGGTCTACCTGAGGGCATAGAGGACGAAGACGACGAAGAAGCGAATTTGGTGGTCAAGACCTTACCGACATCTCAATCACTTGACATTGTTCGCCTTGCTTCGTCTCCGAAAGGACACCTTGTCAGTATTTCTCTGGACAGATCCACCTCGATTTGGCTCCCTGGCAGAAGTGGTTTCGTCCAATCCACGCTACAAACAGCGTCTACGAAGCCAAAGCTTTGGCCTATCACGGCATGCGCAATAGACGAGAGCGGTAACGTGCTTGCTCTTTGCACCGACAAAGGACAGATTGGGTTGTGGAGTCTTGCCGCCTCTCGTTTCTCAACGCTCCAGGCTGTCGGGCTACGAGGCCAAGTGCCGATTCTATTCACTTTTGCCATCGTACCGGGGACGGACTACGACACCTTCAGCCTCCTCATTGTCACCCCCGACGGCTACCTCACCCAGCTCGAGACACAGGCCGGTATGCATCAGACGAAAAAGATCTGCGCAACTCCCATCTCTTGCGCCAAACTTTACACTTGCGCGAAGGGGATTTTAAGTTTGATATTCGTTAGCAAAGCCCAAGTCCATATTCTACCCCTGACGGGCGAGAGTGGTGGAACATCAGAGGTAGTTGCAGGCCTCGATCCAGGTCCGCCACCGGACAGCAATCCTTCAAAAATCAGATGCATCGAGGCCGTCCCAAGCCTGGGCTTGATCTTTGCCCTTCGGGACGAGGAAGCCGAAATATTCGACTTCAACAGCCGTGTCCTCATCCACGCCTTTCCGATCGGCCATGTCAGAGCTCACTCTTTCCGGGTGTTGCATTCTGCCCGCCGCCAGTGCTCTTGCGGGGCGCCGGCGGTCCATTCACTGTCTGTTGCATACGCAGAACAAGAGACGGATCACCTGATCATGCAGACATTCACTCTCGACGACACTACTACATCCTTCATGTGTCTCGGCAAGCCTTCCGAAAACGAAACCCACAAATGCCAAGGACTCAGCCAGGCTAAAGAAGCGGTATATTACGTCGAGCCTGCGGGCGTTTGGGAATCTACGAACGCGCTTAGTGTCGTGGGAATCCGAAGATGCGTCCAGTCTCCCACGCCTTCGTCGTCTGCTTCCGGTGTCGATTATGCTTCGCCTGAGCCATCAGCTCTTGCGTCGGCCCTCAAACAGCGCGCTGCAAGATCAAGCACCTCGAGCGGTCTATTGACGACGCTGGACTCTGCATTTCACACTCGCCACCCGCCCGCTTCGCCCACCGATACAGAGAACTGGGAGGCCTGGACCCTGTCTGCGACCGGCGAATTCCGCTCGAGACCGCTTGTCTCTGATTCGGACGACAATGTGGATGAGCTGCTCGCTGACGACCAGCTGTTCGTTGCGGCTCCTGGCCCCATCACACGATTAGGAAAGAAGAGCGTGGCTGTTGGTTTTGGTAATACGGTCAAGATCCTCACGCTAGGCAAAGAATCATTCGATGGATTGACGAATGGTGATGGCGCGCTGGACATGACACTGGGCTCTTACAAGTCGAGGGTAAGACGAGGGCCTGGACGGAAGCTACAATAACGGACCAAACACCGCACAACAAGAGCAAAGAAGACCGACGGGCTTCGGAATGATATACGACATATACACGACACCGGCGTACACGGATAAGAACGGGAACATAAAATAAAGATTTGGGAAGAGCATACCCCTGGCGGACACGGTCAGGAGGCTGGCTTCGGCGTTATTAAAGGGCATTATTAGATGACCCCATATACGGCGTTTTGTAGGACTAATTTTTTTTCTTGTGAGCAAGGAGTTGTTGGCAGTTTTGGAATGTGTTGGAATTACGCAAGTTTCGGTTTTGCCTGGGAAGCATATAAATATCTCGTCCTAGGACAGGACAATTCTTCGTAGATGACATGGCTAGTTAGACACCGCCATGTGCTTCGATTCAAATCAAACACCCCTCCCAACGGCTTTTCGCGAATACGGCTTCGTTTCAATGATCTATCGCAGTCACCTTCAGTCAGTCTGGCCTGAGGATCTGCTGGGCTGGAGTCCTCAAGTCTATGAAACTTTTACCTTTGCCGATGCATCTTGGGAAAGAGCTTGCTCCCCCATGACAGATCTGCAGAGGAAATAGGCAAGTAGTTCAGTGGTATGCAGACCTCTCATGCTGGGAACGAGCCAAGCCGAGCTTTAATCCAAGGGTGACTAGAGCCGACACGAGCGTGATCAGCAGAAGAATTGGCCTGGAAGAAGCCGGTGAAGCGAATCAACACAAGCTGAGATTTACGCATACACGTGACCGCAAGGGGCTATAGCCCCAGGGGACAAAGCTTCACTCTCCCACACCACAGCAAGAAGTACATGCGTGTAGATCAAAGTATGCCTTTCATGAATACGGGTATATCTCGCCATTTGACCGCCCTTTTGGTATCATTCGCTCGTGAAATATCAAGACCGCCCCGACAAGCGCCCCTGTCTAACCAGCCAAAGCCAACCAAAAACTTTTTAAATATCCCACTGATCACTGTCCAACAAAAAGGAGTATTTCACAGGGCTATCCACAGCTCGCTTGATTCCCTCCCAACCTGGGGCCAGAATCTGCCGTGCTAGGCTCCACTGATAATCTTGCTCACAAATTTCAGCTCCCACTCCTTTGGGTCCTCGCCAATGAACCGCGCATTACTACGCTCGGCCAACATGTCATTGGTCACAGCGATGCCTTCATACCACTCGTGGACCGTTTCGTCGGCATTGTCGCCCCAGATCACCAATACACCGTCCGTGCTGCGCGCTTGTGGTTTTGGTGGGACACCACGCATCTTGAGGAGCATAAGGAGGATATCGCTGAAGCGTTCGCCTTGCTGGGAATAATACGCTGGGTGCTTGTCGAAGGGCCATTTCGGGTTGCGAGACGGTTGCGGGACGTCTGACGCGGGTGCCGATTGCAGGGCTTGGGCGATGTCGCCATCTGTAGTAGGCTGCGATTGGCTCGGAGCAGTCTCTGCAGCAGGAAGAGTGACCGTGGAGCTCTGGTCCTCCCAGGTCCGGAAGAGCCAGCACATGCGTTCTACGCAGGCTAAGAGGACTACTGCGACCAGGAAAGTCTCGAAAGGGTTTGCCTGCTGGCGTTGCAAGAGCCGACGCTCGAGGTCATTCATGACTATCCGAGCTAAGCATGCAGCTCGCTTCTCCGTTGCGCCCATGAGTTGCATCTTTATCAGATCATAGGATGCCTGGTTGGTGATGGAGGTTATGGGTATGCGGGCGAGATTCTCAAGGTCGGAAGGAGTCATGGTTGACGGAGCCATAGTAGGAGCGAGGGATGGATTCGAGAAGAGATTCCAGTCTAAATTTGGTTTCGTCAGGATTCGTGTCAGACTCCAGAGCTCTAGCACTTTGGTAAGCAGGCCATCCGGGTTCGAAGAGGTAATGTTAAAGGCCGTGTTTGTTGTCGCCTTCATGAACGCTGAGTCTTCAGATTCAAAGAACGAAGGCGCCATCTTCTTGATGTATAGATCGAGCTTCCCACTAATGTCGTCTTCTCCGTCGATTATCTCCAACTGCGAAGGAGAGCGAGCGCCAAGTATTACAGGGTCGATTTCTGTGCTGTGCACTATTTGGCTCTGGCATTTGAGTGGCGTGAAGGTCGCAAAAGTGGCCGAGTCTGGGTAATGGGTCGCTTCTATCCGACCGGGGGTCTGGTCGAGACGTATTTGGCCCTTGGCCTGGCTGACGGCGTGGAAGGCCAAAACCCCCCGCAGGCCTGCAGAGTATAGGTTAAATTCCTCAGCTATACGTGTTCGAATGCAGGGCTGCTTCCACAGTCTTGCGCTCTCGACGTTCTGGCATGTGTTGCACGGATTATCGCCAGAGCAAGGCTTCTTTAACATCCTACACCGAATGCATGCTCCTCGTTTTCGGACTTCCTGTACTTCTTTCCGCCTGGAGTCTGTGAAGCGCCCGCGTACCTTCGGTTTCGCCGGTTTCTGGTTCACGCTGAAGTCGGTCGTGAAGTGAGTCTGGGTGGTGTTCGGGTTCATGGCAATTGGACGCGGCTGCGTGGAGGCCTTCGCGTCATTGTCGGCCGGTGGCGGGACCTGGTCCTTTCCATGATCAGGCAGTAGGGGGTCGAGGTTTGCCCATTGTGAGCGCGCTTGGCTGTGGAAAAACTTATCGGCTATGCCAGGATTTGACATATTGAGCTCTGGCTCCATTGTCATGCTGTTGGTCAAAGGCATTAACTCATTGGCAGCCGAGGCTGCCATCACCAGCGAGGGAACCATATGCGCCATTGATCCCGCAGAAGTTGCCAGCGGGAGACTGCTCATGTGGGGCGAACCTGTTGGCGAATGCTGCAGTGGCCCGTTGAACTGGTATATAGACGGAAGAGCCGGTGCCCCAGACATATCCATGCTTTGCGATAGAGTGATCGAGTCACCTTCCGGCCTATCGTCCTGTATCAGAAACTCTTCGAACGACGGGCCCTGACTCCCTCCGGTGCTCATCTGCTGCTGTTGCTGTTGATGCGGCGGCGGCGGGGGTGACTTGCGCTGCTTGCCCGGTATGTGCTTCCCTGATAGATCCAAATGCTGTCTTGATACCTCGGCGAGGGTCTCTAGGGCTGACATTCCTTGCTTTGAAGGCGCGAACGGGAGGTTCATCGTCTGTCCGTTTTGTAGCTGTGTGGGCGCCGCCTGCGCCATCGGATCAGGGAGGTCGGGAAGCTCGTGGAATTGCAGCAGAGCGCGCTGCCGGTCGCGGAGAGGTCTGCATATGTTAGCGGAGGTTCCATATGAGTTGGAGCGCTCTGGAAAAGGCAGCCCAAAGGATCCCAATGGACGAGACGAGGACTGAGGCTACGTACAAGGCTGGACATTTTTTCACCAGGTGGTTCGTAAGACTATCTATACGTCCCTTCGGAAACTGCGCCGCCGTCAGCTTTCATCTTCTCGTCTTTGCGGAGGCGGGGCACACCGACCTTCTCACCGCAAGACTTGCAGGTGTGTTGATAGCGATTGCTGGCATCCTCGAGTTTCGGGCCCCGTTCGAAGAATTCTAGGATGAGCTGGTTCGGGCGCCTTCCCATCGCGACTCGAAGCCTTCAGGCGCCGTGGAGCGTGAAGCGTGGGGCGTGTTTTGGGGTGGAAAATACTGCCGCAACCGACGTTACCGCCTGGAGCGCCGCCGCGGATAGTGGGGAAGAACGGTGAAGGGCGGAACGCCACCCGAGCCCTACCCGCGAAGTTTTCCACCTGACATCATCCGCCTTGAAGGATATAGTAGGGTGAGTGTATTTTGATCAGACCCGTCGTTTGCAGCCCTGAATTTCTGCAGATGGTAAAATGGTCCTTTGAGGGAGAGAAGAAAGAGCGCTAAGCCTCTCTAGGCTAGCGTGGGTTCAGTTCGCGACTTCTCCATCCACCATCATTATACTGTGGGAGACTCCGCAATGCACAAGTGTCGGCCCTGCCCTAACTACTGTTGGCTCTTAGCCTTCACCCTTGACATGCGCAAACTCCTCATCCGCTACCTGATGCCGCCGCGACCCTCCTTCCTCGGCCTCGATATCGTACAATCCCCAGCCCGGTCGGTACCATGCTGCCAAGTACAACAATGAGCCCTAGTATGTCAAATCGACCTTCCTCACGCGTTACTCTCCGAACGCTGGTTTCACTGGGCGATACGAATCCCGACTCCTGGCGGAGAGTACAAGCCTGAAGTGTATAATCCTTGAGCTTGGGCCCGCGAAGTCAAAAGGGAGGGTCGGAAGGACTGCGAGGAGATGAGAGAGACGCTGTGGGGTAGCAGAAGGGGTGACTGCCCTTTCGGTATTGCTTGACCGGTCGCAGTTAGATGTCCGAGAATGACGAGCCCAAGGCCATGAAGCAAGAAAGAAGGCGCAGCAAGAACTAGTTAGTAGGGTTTGGAACGTGTTAGGATAATATAAGACCTGTGTCTTGTACCTGCCCTCAACTCACAGGGTCTATGCCACTCTGATCATGCATTGCTTCAATATTCAGCATGTATCTTTGTTTAGTCATTGGGGCTCTAAACTCCTCGGGTCCACCAATTCTCACCAAAACAACATCAAGTGACTGTCTGGCGGGCAGCAGCAAGTAGTAGTATGAAGTGGATTCTTTTGATCATATACCGTGGTCGTCAACTACACCGGCAAGCTATCCCTCGGGAAAGCAAGCTTTGAACACAAAAGCATGCTTGCCCATTCCAGCGTTCCCGTCCCAATGGATCCAGAAAGTTCGCCGGTGGTAGTACACAAGCCTACCCAATCATCCCTCTAGCCCGGTGGCGGGCTTTTGTCCGTCTATTTCACCTCCTCCACCTTCTTCTTCTCGCCTTCTGCGTCGTCCCCCTCCAGCTCGGGCATGTCCTCGTCGTCCTCTTCATCGTCGCTGCTCTGCTCTTCACCCTCCATACCTGGGAGACCGCCTGCGCCCTGGGCTGCGCCGAGCTTGCTGAAGTCGATGCCGCCAAATCCGCCGTCGCCGCCGCCCATGGGGTTCATCTTCGACATGTAGTCCTCATCGTCCGGTACGGCGTCTTGCTCGTCCTCGTCGACCCACTGTGAAACGTTAGCTCTGCTCAGCTGCATTAAAAATCCCGGCAGTCCTTATGTCCTGCCAGGTATGCCGCACGTACCTTCTCAAAGTCCGTCTTCAAGAAATGCATCTTCTTGTTGTCCTTGAGCAGCCGAGGCCAATACTCCTCTTTGAGCTCTTTCTTGCGCAGCACCATCTCGATGTCGCGGCCCGTGTGGTGAATCTTGGTCTCCTTGGGGTCGATCTCGGCGAAGAACTCGAGGTCCACCGCGTATGTGACTTTCTTTGACGTGGAGGTGCCCTTGAAGCTCAGCGAAGTGGGTTGCAGATCCAGCTTCATTTCCTTCTCGGGGATATCGGTCGCGACGATGGTGAGATAGATGTAGTTCTTCTCGGGTTCGGACTTGGATGAGCGCTGTGCCCAAGTGACTGCGACATGTTAGCAATGCTCTTGAGCAGTGGCATCTTTTCTCTCCGGGCAGAAAAGTCGGGGAGCACAGCAGATCCACGGCCTCTACTAGTCCAATCCGCATGCAGGAGTCCCATGACTGCGAGTACCCAAAGGCGCCAGGTCGCTTGCGGTGCGGAGATGTCGACGTTGAAGCTTCGCGATACTGGAGTAGGCTGCAGCTTACCTTCTGGGGTGAGTGTGTCAGACATGTTGCCGGTGAAGAAGCCTGGTTCTGTGGAAGTGGATAGTCTCGTCTCGTTGGCGCGGAGTAAGTAGGAAACTTTGTGTCGTCTCGCAGAAGAGGTTGTTGTTTGCGGTCGGCGAAGTCTGGTGAAAGAGGAAGAAATGCAGTTCTGGAGGGGACTAGCGTGGCGAGGCTGGTGGAAAGCAATGGAAGCTGTATCGAATTTCAGCCCCGCAATCAGCCTCGCGCGGTCTATTTTGTGAGTCTGTGCAGTTTGCCGAGCAAGTATGAGAGGCTCGCAAGCTGATCCGAATTGGTATCTTAGACAATGTCGAGTGGTGAATGCGACCCGTAGACAAGATTGGGAGTGGCTGGTGGGTTGCGGCTGCCCCGCGAAACGTCACCGCAAGGGTGGCCCGAGCACCGCGACGTTGAACCTCTGCGCTTCCAAGGCACCAGAACTTCACTCTCCACGCGCCCTTTCAACAGCCTCAGGCCCCCAACACCCTAAAACAGCTATCCAGAACCATACCAAGAGAGACCATCAATCGCCGTTACTCAGAGTTTCCAACGTTCGAATTCACTAGCGCGACGAAGCGTCCACTCCCTACCCGACAGCGCCGACGCGCTCTTAGATATACCAAGCAGACACCTGCATGCTGTAGAGGATTAGGACAGCCGGCCCGAAGGATCCACCATGGAGACCATCCGGGGTCTCATTTGGAAACCGACGCCGGAGGAGCAGGTCGGTACCACAAGACCAACGCTCATCCCCGCCAGCAAGCTAATGAGCCTATAGAAGCGGAAGTGCTCTGCCCTCGTGCGTCAAAACGTCCGTAAGCTGGACCGCGACATCCAGCAGCTCAAGCAGACCGAACAGAAGACGAAGAACTTCATCCTACAATCCTCAAAGCGCGCCCAGCGAAACCCCTCCATGGCCAAGCAAGCCAACCAAGACGTGCGGATCTTCGCGCGAGAGTTGATTAGAGTCCGGAAACAGAGCGCGCGGTTACAGACGAGCAAGGCTCAGTTACAATCTGTACAAATGCAGGTCAACGAAGCCTTCTCGGTGCGAAAGATTGAGGGTAGCATACGCGCTTCGACCGGCATCATGAAGGATGTAAACTCCCTTGTGCGGTTACCGGAGCTGACTGGAACAATGCGCGAGCTCTCATCTGAACTGATGAAGGCGGGAATTATAGAGGAGATGGTAGAGGATACCCTGCCCGACAACGAGTTGTTGGAAGGCGAGGAGGATGAGGCTGAGGAGGAGGTCGAGAAGGTCCTGTCGGAGATATTGAAGGACAGGCTACCAGCGGGCAAGGCCAAAGAGGAGGCTCTGCCAGCTGCACCTGTCGAGGAAGAAGAGGAAGAGAACCAGGAAGAGCTGCTGGCTCAGATGAGAGGTCGGTTAGAGGCTCTGAAGAGTTAATGGCTGCACTAAAGATATTTTGTGACATCGCGGGCAGGGCATGGTAAGACGGAGTTGCGGAGTCCTTGTGGTATCGTCTATGACAGACTTGCGGCCGGATCTAATAGAATTTTCATATAATGCTAAGCCAGTGAAGGCATATGTGGTATCTATGCATGTCCATATCTGCTCATTGCTAATGGCGATTTTCTCTCCTGTTTTATAACCAGTCTACCCTCCTCAGTTTAGTGTCGACTGCCCAATACCAAACTCGTGATATGGAAACCCTTCCAGCGACTTCAACAACTTCCCCCATCCATCATCAATCTCGCCTGGCATCCCCACCCTCCTCTTTCCCTCAAGCACCTCCACCTCCGTATGCTGTAACTCCGCCTCCTCATCCTCCTTATGCTCGCCCGTCAACCCCGCCAGCACCTCCTTTTCCCTCCCGGTATACTCAACAAGTAACTCCGGATGCGGACACCACACTGTCTGCATGCCTGCTCTCCGTCCTGCCTCTACGCCCGGCACACTGTCCTCGAATACCAGACACTCCTCTGGTCGAATAGGTGGGTGACCTTGTTCGGTAAGTGTTCTGTTGAGCACCTTAAGCGCAAGCAGATAAATATCCGGCGCCGGCTTCCCCCTCCCCGGCGGTATCCGCGGATCATCCCCCAACACCTGATGGTCGCGATGAAAATACTCAAACAGCTCGGGCAGATGACTGCTCTTGAGTTTGAAATTGCCCGCATGACTACTCGTCGCCAGCGCCATGTGTACGCCCTTCTCCCTAAACCCCCGCAGCAGCTCCATCACCCCCGGCAGCGGCTTCGTCCGCGGAAACAGCTCCCTCTGCAGCTCTGATTGCTCTGTGAAGAATTGATCTTTCGAGATGGGGAGTTGTGCCCACGAGTGGAAGATGGCGCCCGCTTGGGGGCCGGGACGTCCTTGGAGCTGCGCTTTTATAGACCAGGGGAGGGTAGGGCGGTTGTAGCGTTGAAGGATGGTATTAGTGCAGATTGTGTAGAGGTCTTCGGAGTCGATGAGTAGGCCGTCCATGTCGAAGAGGGCGGCACGGATGGGCGGCGGGTCGCAGCTGGGTTGGTGAGTCGGTACTTCGACGGTTCCGAAAGGGTTTGGAGGAAGCAACGTACTTCATGGAGCCCATTTTGACGCCTAGGAGAGAGAGAATATGTGTAGTTGTGTGGATATGTATAGGAAAGAGGACTGGAGGAGACAGAGATGTTTGCGTTTGCAATTGCAGTCTGCGGCGAACAGTTAAAGTCGGTGAATGACTGCCCCACGTGCCGCGGCTAATACCCAATATATCCTAGCGCATGAACTGCAGAAAGACGTCGACTTGAGAAACAAATCGCCTTGCACGAAAACACACAACACACGCGCCCCAACTCCCAAACAGTACCCTCCCCAATCTTGCCCACATCTGGCAACATGTCTCCCTCTCAGACCAGTCCCGCTGTCAATCTCTCCCCGTCCGAACTCCCCACCCCCGAAATCTTTCCTCCCGAGGAAGAGCAATCCCTCCTCTCCGAATCCAACGCCGAAAAGACCTCCGCAAATAAGACCTTCACATCCGGCGACTACAGCTCCGCAATCCAAGGCTACGAGAAAGCTCTCGCCGTCTGCCCCACCTACCTCGAATACGACATCGCGGTTCTCCGGTCGAACATCGCAGCATGCCAGTTGAAGCTGGAGGAATGGAAGCAAGCAGTGGAGTCGGCCACACGAGCGTTGGAGGCTCTGGACTGTGTTGATCCTCCTGGAACTGCGGCGGGGAAGAAAGATGTGGAAGAGGGAGTGGTTGTGGAGGAAGTTGACGATGCGACGGAGATTAGGATTGCTGCGCTGACGAGGACGGGCAAAACCATAAATGATGTGCATAAGCTGCGGACGAAAGCGCTGCTTCGGCGGGCGAAAGCGAGGCGAGAAGTCGGAGGCTGGTCATCGCTACAAGGCTCTTTCGAAGATTACCAGACGCTCACAAAGCCACCGCATCAGTTGTCGAGTTTAGATCTGAAGACGGTGCAGGCAGCACTGAGGGAGTTACCTCCACAGCTAGACGAAGTGAAGAATAAAGAGGTTGCGGAGATGATGGGGAAGTTGAAGCAGCTGGGGAACGGCATATTGAAGCCGTTTGGGCTGAGCACAGATAATTTTCAGTTTACGAAGGATGAGAATAGTGGCGGGTATAACATGCAGTTTAATCAGGGCGGGAAATGAGAAGTAGAGGGTGGTGGGCCGGTACGTACGATGCGAATGGAAGGCGCACAATGCCTGGAATAACTCTTCGACTTCCGAAGGACAGTCTACCTTGGATCCCCTCTCTTCGACGTCGTCGTCCTGTGATCGATTGTCGCTCAATCACCACCTAGCTCTCGGAAAACTCTGACGCGACACGTCTCCAACCCGCTCGACAAGGGCAAGAAGGAATTCAGACTCCCTACACCTCGATGCTATCGTCCCAGAAGTCGAAGGTGGCGAACAACGTGTCATTGGCAAAGTGTATCAAGAAATGTTGAGCGAAAACCGGGTCAAGTTCATGGCGCTCTCATATATTTAGGCACAGCCAACTACACTTCGCGTGTTGTCCTAGAAGATGTGGGCTACATTACAATCACGGCAGTCTGCTAGATGCACTGGTACATGTCTTTGCGAATGGATTTGTGTGGGAGTGCAACAGAAGCCATCGACCGGCTGAACATTGAGCGCATACGTTAGGATCTACCTGCTTCGCACTTCACTATCTGCAATGGCAATAGTAATGTCCAGAATTTCGAGCTAATGCCAAGCATTGTGGGATTATCCTCGACACTGGCCCGGGAACTATGTCCATTCTCCGCTCCGTCGAAGATGGCTGCTACGAGCGGTTGAGAGGCTCCAGTGGCTCGGGTATGGTGTCTTACTGGACGGTAGAACGTACGAAGGGATGCGGACTTAGTTTCGTCTCTGCTTAAGGACAGCGAAAACATCACCGGTCGAAGAAACTTTACCGGGGGGATGGGGATGAGGATTTGGTAGAGAAGGAGTGAGGCCAATTCCTAGAGACCAAAGCAGCTCAAGAGAAAGCCATGTTTTGCCCGCAAGACTATGCAAGCACAGGGTGGAAATTTTCTTTCCAGATGCGTCTCATAGCGGGCTTTGTATCGGTCTGGTTCGAAAGAGGGTGCTCGCGCTGTCGATTCCGGGATGAAGCTGAATTAAAAGAAGAGATTGTGCTCCAGATACTTCTTGAGGGATGTCATGAGGTTTCGTTGTAGGCACAGGCCTGCAAGGGGACACGCGACACCCACCACTCGCGCACAGCCATCTAGTTTCTCCTATTAAAAGTGCGAAATCATCTAGACAACCTAACTGCGCACGATCTCTTACTCTCCTGCTGTCTTTTTCTCTCTCCCCGGTGCACGCATATGAGCCTCTCTCCAACTCAGCCTCCAACGCGGTCTCAATGATTCCACCTCAGCTCGGCGCTTATATTGCCATTATCTCATCAGTCACTGCATCGATATCTGTTGTGTCCGTAGCTTGTTTCAAAGCTTGGCTGTGCTTGTCCGTGCTTGTTCAGTGGGCCTGTGCTACGGGAATTGAGTAAGCGCCGTTGGCTTACAGCCCCGATTGAGAGCGGAAACCTGATTTGTGGGGAGCTAAGATGTTTTGGAGGTGCTGATCACATATTGTGGCACCTGGGCAGTTGCCTTTCTGGGGGCTGTATGGTTAGGGGAGAGAATTTCGGAACCGAAACGGAAGGGCGGAGGTGCTGATGACCGATCGATTGGACGACGCGCGCATTGAATTGCAATTTCGGAATCGAGACGGCAGGTTCCTTTCCGATCCTCCCGATGAATGTGTGCGATCATGGAGTGTGCGAACTCCGATGTGTGACTTTCAGGAGCGTGCTGCGCCATCGTAACCTGCAATTGGAGACTGCGGATTCATCATATTTCTGCTACACGAGGCTGATACTAAAATTCTATAGTTTAGATTCGAAGCTTCCTTTGCGGAAAAAGAGCACTGCGACGATAGGCAAATGGATTCAATCACCGAGGAGAAAGGCATTTAGTTAGATGATCTATTCATTCTAAGATTTCATCCATTGTACCTCGCGAAAGCAGTCGCTAAGGTAATTCCCATTCCAAGCGCCCGTTCACCTAGCTTGAAGAAAAGCAGTGGTCAGCTCACAGTCCCCCTCTCTAAGCGCCATAGACCCTCAGAGCCTTCTCAAGATGTGTCTTGGGCTTCGCTTCGGGGGTCTGACCAACAGGCTTGCCGAACACCATCTGGCACTTGAGCGTCCAGGAAGCGGGGACGTCGTAAGTCTTGCTGACGTAGGGAGTGATGGATGGTTGGTAGTGCTGAAGGTTGCAGCCCAGACCCTCGGCCTCGAGAGCGGTCCAGACGATGAATTGGTGCATGCCGGAAGAGTGCTCCTCCCACTCGTTGTAGGTCTTAGAGAGGGCCTTGAAGCGGGGAGTCAGGTCATCGTAGGCGTCTTGGTCGTCGAAGAACATGCACTGCATCACGATTAATCTTAAAGCTTTCACTAAGCAAGTGGGAGATGACTTACGGTCCCATAGGCGCCCTCGAAAGCCTTGATCTTGGGGCCCAAGATGCCAATGGCTGCGGGAGTGGCCTCCTCGGTGATCTTGTACGCGGCCTCCCAGAGCTTGGTGTGCTCCTCGCCGAAAAGGACAATGCAGCGGGTGCTGCGGACGTTGAAGGGTGAGGGAGCGTGCTTAAGGGCGTGGTTCACGATTTCCAGGATGCGGTCGTTGGAGATGGGGGATTCCTTCGACAGAGCATACAGGGAGCGGCGGCCAGCGACCGCGGTGAGGAAGGGAATAGTGGATGCCATTGTGCTTGTGTTTGTTGGGCGTTGAAGTGAAGGTGCTTAAATGTGTGGTAGAGGTATTTAGATGTGTAGTAGTAGGGTTGTGCCTTCGTTGTGTGAAGTTAGTTGAAGAGGGAAAGGGCAAGAAGACAAGCTTTGAGCCAAGAGATGAATGCTAAATCGGCGACTTGGGTTGAGAGACAGGAACGAACAAGCAATACGAAGGCTGCAGGGCGAGGCCATTTGTATGCGCTCCGTTGCTGTGCCGCCCTCAGCCACCCGCAGCTGAGGCTTACCGGCTGCATGGACCGTCACTCAACGTCTCTCAATTTCGGTTACCGTAGGCCCCCATCCTCTAAATTCCGGGGCCTTGCGGCGCCGATGTGCCTCCGCCGCTCTTATGTGACAATTTATCACGGCGTAGTGCCCATTGGCTGCCCAAAGGAGCCGCATTATTTGAGAGCGGTGAGGCTGGCGGCTGTGGTGATGACCGGGTTGGCTGTTGTGCTGTCTGGTCCTGCCACCTCCACGGTCGGTGACCCAAGCGTTGAAGCGTTCCACTAACCGCCCCGGGCGTTGGGTCTGATATGAGGGTCGTCTGCTGGTTTGAGGCTGCAACTCTACGAAGTAAGCTCGAAGGATGGCACGTTGTCGGACCATCTGCAGGAGGAATGGCTAGCGAGCCATGGCCTGCCTTAGCGCGAGGCTTGACGAGGCTTGGTAAAGCTTGGAGCAGAAGGATGGACTCCGGTGAAGTTCGAACGCTCTCCGAAGTCATTCATTCGCTTGCCGCTTCGTAAACAACTTCTGTGGACTTACTCGCGGTGCCGCGTTAACCTGTTCCTGGAATGCTTTGCGCTCCGGCACGTAAGAGCCGCATGAAACGGGCCTGTGCCGTGCTGACTGGGAGCCTCGCCAGCTGGGAGCTCCTTTTGGCGCTGAGGGGCCATATTGTGTATCTTCGATGCGCTTTGAGCGCCAGATGGCGCCGCTTCTGCCCTGGGGCGTTTTCTATCATCCATGCCCGGTTTCGACGAGAGCCAGAGATAGGGCGGGTAGGGACTGTCACGTGCTTAGCCGATCACGACCTCGGGACAGATATAGCAACACGCTAATAATACGCTAAACTCTAAGCAGGCATGGCGATCTCCAAATTACACGCACGCAGACACGGACTTGGCCTCGTCAAGCTCTGCCTTCTACTGGCTCTGCTGAATTGCTTGTCTCGAAAGCGGACGCAGCAGCTTCCTCGTGTCACTGAGCTCGACGACGCGGGACCCATACAGCTTGACCCTACCCTTAGTGTGCAGTGGCCCTGGGCTGAACGCCTGCACGCCTTCGGATCTCTCGTTTTCGTGCGACTGTTCAATGACGGCTCGTTATTGACCCTGGTCCGTCGTTTCAGTCGTCTGAGCACTCAATCTCCGCCGGGTGGAGTTGTTCCATTCACAATGTTCATCGGTGATCGAACCCTCTCTCGTCAACAATGGTCCCTAATTGGGTTCCAACGGTATCGTCAGCCAGGTTTTCCGTCACTAACCTGGGTGCACAGATGAGGCCAGCAGCTAAGCCCATGTCCTCCTCAGACAATCTGAGAGAGTGGGTCTCAGCCGCCCGTGGTTTGGGGACACTGCAAGTGCAATCAATCTTCCCGAGCAACGACAGCACCCCGTGCAGGCAAGACACGCGATGACCCTGTTGAAAGTACTCGCTAGCTATGAAGGGCATTTGGCGGAGTCATTGGTCCCGGTAAGCTGACCAGTACCATCGCGGTGCCGTAGCCACACCTGCAGATGTCTAGGAACGTGGTGCGCGACACCCGTGCTTAGCGTCCAAATTAGACCCTTCAAGCTATATAACATTCCCTGGATCTCCTCGATGATTTTCCTTCCAGAAGCATTCCATTGTTCTAGCCTACCAGCACATCATTGTTCCACCGCCGAAACGAATCATTAATCTCTGGTCCCCTCCACTCTTTTCCATCAGCAACAATGTCAATGGACTCTTACAATCCGGATATGGAGATCGATTCAATTGAGATCCAGCAGCCACCAGTTCGCCCCGCTCCGTCGCGGAGAAACGCGGATAAGCCACCCAAGCTAAGGTCGAGCTGCGATATCTGTGCATCTGCGTACGAGCTTCAACTCTCGAATACCCATGACGAGGTCTAACTCTTTTACAGGAAGGTCAAATGCGATCGAGAACGACCCTGCTGCCAAAGATGTATCAACTCGGGCATGAGGTGCAATTACAGTGTCTCGAGGAGGATGGGAAAGCCACCACGAAAGGACGCCAACGGAAACCCGCTCCCCAAGAAATCAGACCTCAAGAAGGAGGAGCGAAGGACCAGCGCCTTATCTACTCCCGAGCGCGATTCAAATAACCAGAACATTTTCGACGAGCAATTTGCTGCTGGCATTCCGGATCCTCTCAACGACCTCGGCTTCGAACATTCCCTCCTGAATTTTGAGCAATCCCCCACCCTACCGTGGCACGACCTGAACTTCATGTCCGACCCAAACAACTTTCCATCAGGCGATGCGTTCCTTTCCACTTCCGCTTTGATGGCCTTGGAGAATTCAGTCAACTTTATGGACAACTGGGGTTCAGTAGAGCAAGGCGACGACCTCAGCCGTGTAACCTCCAACTCCTCGGAACCCTTCAGCACCCAACCAACCGAGGCATCACCCACTCCTTCTCCACGTCTTCCACAGCCTCAGCACCCTCATCGCCCTGGCCATAGCAGAAAAGAGTCATGCCACAATCTCGCCTCCGCCACGCTGCAAAACCTCCATCTTCCTCAGAACTTCTGCCAATCGAATCCGACCAGTGCTCCCGGCGGTCTCGCACCTACGTCATCCATCGATCAGGTCTTGGCTACCAACCGCAGGGCTATTCAAACCTTCCACCAGCTGCTTCAATGCCCTTGCTCCAGCAACTCCGGCATGGTACTTGGCCTCTCGCTTATTATCCTGAAGATCCTATCCTGCTACTCAGCCATTGGCCGCAGCACATCTACACGAACGGGTACCGCGGGCTCAGTCACTTCGGAGTACACCTCCGGCACAAGCACTCCTTGGGAAGATCGCGAAATGGTCATGGACATTCCTATCTCTATGGGCGCTTATCAGATCGACGCCGAGGACGAAATGCACTTGAAGCTGCAGCTAGTTATCAATGAGCTGCGGAAGGTTTCGAAGCTCATTGACTCCTTCCAGGGACGCTACTGCCGAGGCGCACCGGGCGGAGATGGGATCTACGGTGCCCTGGAGAAGTTCCTGCGGGCTGAGCTTAAGGCTGCGTCAAAGGAACTCAACAACGCCTTGAGGAACAGCGAGGACATGTGAAAGGATGATAAGAGGAGAAGGATGCTGGCTTGCGGGTCCCCGCGGAGTGATTGGTTGATCTTTTGGACGGTTCTCTGGCGCGGGGTCGGGTTGTATTTTCTTTTCTTAGATTTAGAGTTGCGGAGCGGTCCACATACGCTATCTGTACATTACACGACTTCTACGAGCGGCATGTAAATGCATATAGACTGTGTCGATATTTTCTGTTATCTGCAATATATCCTTGGATTTGGAAGATCATTCTTGAGCAGTCTTTCGCGAGTGAGCCTCCAGACTGGATAACCCAATGAAATCAGTGCTCCATTCCGCATGCTCGCTCTTGAAGTTGTGGCTTTCAGGCTCAACCGAGCGAGCAGTAGTTCCATCCGTTTGGTACTCGCGATACTTCTCATACAAGGCAACGATCTACAGTCAAGCTTGCAACGAGATTTTCGCTTATCGTCCCTCAAGGTGTGCGTAAGGTGCGTCAGTCCAAACAAAAAGACCCGCAACAGATTTCCCTTGGGAAGGGATCGTCGTCGAATCAAAGATCATCTTCAATCCGTACTGATTCCTTCAAGGCAGTCCCTTCAAGCTTTCGTACGGCCCACCAAGCCCAACGGAGGGCTTGGGGTCTAGGGGCCGAGTAGTGCTTAGTTTGACGACATCCTGATGGAATGCCATAGCCGGGTTCCACTCTGCGCCTTCGTCCTTCTCACCGCTTTAGGGAAGGCTTTTGATATAGAATTCTCACGTAGGATGAGGGATTCAGTCTCATCAGTCCGAGGATTCCTTTGATGATGTCGCGTTCTCGCTAAGCGCTCGCTTGCCCCAGCCGGGTCTAGCTTGGTGGCGTAGGGTCAGGCAAGCTTAGCCGTCCACTGATCGACATCCTCCTCACCACCACATTCGTACCCGTGCCGCCGTCCACCGCAGCGCCAAGGTCCATCAAAGCTTTGGCGCCACCAAGCTCGCACGGCTCCCTATCAAGCCTCGCACCCCACGTCCTTGCGCTTGCTTATGCATCTCGACTCTGCCGATAGGCGGCTTCGGTATCCGAGTGGGATAGCGCCTGTCCCACAGCGTCTCTACACTGAGACCGCCCTACAGACACCTCATTGGAGCATTTGCATCTCGTATCTGCCTCGTATGCCGCTTCTGTGCTGCTCTACGCAGCCACACCTTGCCAGGAGAAGAAGGCGCAACGGTAGCTCCGCCTCCCCAGAATGTGGTTCACCCGGTAGTCTCGAGGCCCGTAAGCAACCAGTCGATCTTTTGGAGACTCGAGATCTTACGTTGGGTTGCGATCCTTTCAGCCCCGCAATCTGGCAGCAACACTACGCTACACACCAAGGACCCTTTTTGGAGCCTGATGCATTTCCACCTGCTGCAACATCCTCCTCTATGCAACGCACGAGGGAGCCTTGACCGACCGACCTACTCCAGCTTCCGTATTCCCAGCATCTTTGGTGCCTCAGCAATGCACATACGAAGCCCATTTACCCGGCTCGACTCCTGCACGGTCAAACTTTGCGGCCAGGCTGCCGAGGTCGACAAGCAGCTCAAGATTCCAGGGCAAAAGCTTCATAGTGTCTTTGAGCAGCGGCCTGCTTACTATAAGCGGACCGAGCTTGGCTGACGACTGGAGCAACGTCACACATGCTCAGGCACGGAGTCTTACTGGCAGTGCTCCCAGGTGCCGGATCTCGCGGCATGCCTTGATACAGGAACGAAGCGCCGCAGCTGCCATAATATCTGAGCGGATGTACCCAAATGCAGGCGGTGATAGTCAGGAACCAAGTAGCTGAACATAGTCCTGAGGGTTTTGCAGCTCCTTCGTATGTCTCAATTCACAGCACAGCCCCCCACAGACCTCATACCTCGCCCCGCCAACCCCGCAGTCTCAGCAAGCCAAGACGAGTCCCACGGAATCTTCCATGGCCTCTTCGCTTCGCAGATTTCCATGGATTTCTTTCATATCTATCGATATGGAAGGTGCCGTCTCTCGGAGGCTCTGCGAAGTCCGTCACATGCGCCACCAACTCGCTAACATGAGCTTCTCGTAACGCCTATCAAGCCGTCTTCGTATGCTGCCCCGCCGTTATGGCACCATTTCAATATCCGTATCCAATACGGATCACGGTGTACCTGGTTGAATCCGCCTAGTTTTGCGAAAGGTGTGGCAGGGGTCAGCAACGCGGGGCATACGAGTTACACACAGATGAAACAGCTATTTTTTGTCCACCCCAGCCACAGCTTGTCCCAAAGTAAGCTCCACGAAAACCTCAATGCTGAGGATATTATTCGCACGCCGAAATTCGCATTTACACATCGCATTCAGATACTTAGCATTCTAAACAGAACCGACTTCCGGGCCCGCGGAAGCAAATCATTACGAAGACCGCACGTGGGATTCCCTGCAGCTCCCGGGGCCCGCATACGAATTAATCTATGCAAGCTGCACAGCTAAGAAACTCTTCAAAGGACCTTGTCGTCGCCTTGAACTCGCTTTGCATTGTCTTGGCTACCGTACCGGGGGTTCTGAATGCGCGGCGCTTCTAGACATTCGTATTCTCGCCGCAGTGTACGGAATAAGTATCTTTTGCGGGCTGCGTGCTTGTGCTGTGCGGTTTGTCTCGGTTCGATCTGCCTCCGAATAAGCTTCGGTGCTCGAAGTATCGGAGTCTTGTCATAGGCTTGGCTGGTGCTTAGGAGAGGGGGGAATGCTCGGGCAGTCGGTATGGCATTGCAGGTGAATCCTTGGGTTCACGTGATTAACAGATCACTCCAGCATCATTGGGAATGCTGACTCGCTGCTTTCAAGGCTTGTATGGTTTTCTGGAACAGTGTGTCGCTTTTAGAATTCCCCATGTATCTACGGTAGTATCGTGCCATCGTGGCTTGTCCATGAATCTTTTTAAAGCGAAGATATTATGGTGACTTCACGGATCATTTGATGGCATGCATCCGAAAGAGCGAGTTCAGGGGAAGACAGCTCCCCATTGTTCCAATCATTTGAGGCCTGGTGTGGTGTTAGTAGTGATGGTGTGTCTTGTAGAGTACAGGCTCGTCCTATTAGACATTGATATTTGGTCTTCACAACCATTCACCGCAACAATACAGCCCTGCTCTAGGAAACGGGATTTCGCATTCCGCTTAACCACTGTTGGTTCCTAATGGCCAACATTTAGAGAGTCCTTCCACTTCCTCCATCAAATATTATTTCCACCGGCTTGGCGTTGGCTCCGTCGCTCAGAGCTACTGAGAAGGGAGCGGATAGTCCATCTCTACGTCGCCTCCACACTGCTTCCACGCCATTCAGTGCCCCCATCGCTCAGCGAGCCAAGCTGGGGTTACATGCTCTACCACAGGATTAACATTCGTTGGTTATCGACGAGACCACCATCCAAGTCACTGCCTCTCAGGGAACTGGCGCATCCCTTGACGAAAAGGTATCGCAAGCACAAGAGATAATACTATTCATAAGACTAACATTATGATACAAGACCCGAAGTACGTCTACTCCCCTCCCATAAAAGCGCTTACACGCCCTAATCATCGCTACCCTATATACATATAATCTATATCCGATCTAGCGGCCCGGAGGTCGCAACCGGTCTGCTAATACTATACCCTTGGATGTTACTCACGGGCGGCCTCTGCACCCGCATCTGCATCTGCGAGGGCGGCAGTGGCGGCGGCGGGGGATTGGACGGGAACTTTGTGAGGCTGCTGTTGCTCCCCCCGCTAGTCGCACCAACACCCGCGCCTCCACGCGGAGGACCCAGAGAAGGCCCTGAAGGCGGTCTACTACCCGGGCCTCCGGGCCCGCCTGGGATCTTGACGGGCGGGATCTTCCACTCCACGCCCAGCGCGCCGACTATGGCGAGACAGCTTAGCACCACCGAAATGGTGAAGGTAGTCGAGAGAGCGGAGCTGTATGCGTTCTTGACGGCGTGCAACTGCGCGGGGTCATGGATCGCCTGTCTGAGGCCGCTGGCTCCTGCTTCCCGGACAGCGTGGAGATCCAAGCCCGGTATCTGGCGCAGTTTCTCCTTGAGCTTGTTGTTGAAGACGGCCGAGCCGACGGAGATAAACGTTGCGCCTCCGAAAAGCTTGATACCGCTCATAAGCGCCGTTCCAATTGGGATATCCTTGGTCTCAAGGAACGCCTGCGCGATAAGCAGCGGCTGCTGCCACCCAAAGCCCTGCCCGATACCGAACAGTGCCTGATATCCTATCCAGCGCGGCGAGTTCGACTCCGGACTCCAAGTACTAATCAGCCCACACCCAATCGTCGCAATGACCGCGGAGCCAACCATATACGCAGCATGATACTTGACAAACTTATGCGTATGTCCCGCGATCGTCATGCCAAGCGTAAGACCCAGCAGCGTTGGCAAGCTCTGGACACCCGATTTGAGCGGCGAGGCATCTTTAATGGCCTGGAAGTATATGCTGATGAAGTACAGCAGGATGAAGAAACTGCCGCCCATGCAGTAGCAGCTGGATGCCGCGGTCCAGATACTGCGCTGCCCGATAATGCGCGCGGGGACGGTACCGGATTCGCCTTTCCAGTATTGGATCCACACCCAGGCGCAGATCCCTAGGCCAAAGAAGAAGAGCATTACAACAATGCGGTCATTATCCCAGGCGTAGCGGTCACCGCCCCATTCGAGAGCGATGAAGAGCGACGTGAGGGCGCCGATGAAGACGAGTGTGCCGTGCCAGTCGAGCCGCTTGATCTTCTCCTTGTTGGGAAGATTACGCAATGCGGCGTTTTGTGCGGGCTGCTTCAAGAAGAAGACAATGCCTGTGAGGGCGACGGCGCCGAGCGGCAGGTTGATAAAGAAGCACCAGCGCCAGGAGACCTTGTCAGAGAAGGCGCCGCCGACTAGGGGGCCGACGACGCTGGAGATGCCGTACATGCTTCCGAGGAGGGCGCTGTACTTAGGGCGACTGGCGGGCTTGGTTGAGAAGGCGATGATGATGAAGCTGCCGGCGTATATACCCGCTGAGCCAAGGCCGGCTATTGCTCGACCAACAATGAGCATGACCGACGAGGTAGCGAGGCCGCAGATGAGAGAGCCGATCTCGAAGATGGTGATGGCGACCAAGTAACCGTATTTGAGGTTGTAGAAAGTATAGATGCGGCCCCAGATGAGCTGGCAAGCACACGTGGTAAGGAAATAACCTGAGCCGTACCAACCCACATCAGAGAGGGAATGGAACTGCTTGACAATCTTTGGAATAGCAGTCGAGATAATCGTAGTATCCAACGCCTGCAAGAACACAGCCGTACAGATACAAGTCACCAAGACAGCCAAGCGCGCTCCACTTGGAAGATTCTGTGCAGCCGGCGGAGGGGCGGGCTTCTGCTCCTCGAGGTTGACTGACTTGCGTGGAGAGCTTAAAGACATCATCTCCATTGTCGATTGACTGGCACGCCCAACTGTGCCCAAGTCATCGGACTCCTTCCACGATTCAGCAATAAGCCTCTCGAGGTTCTCTCGCTCCTCCTTTATGACCTCGTCGTCGACGACAGAGAAGAGAGGGTCAACTGGAGGGAGGTATATGGACTTGCGAAGCGATTCGCGGAAAGAGCGAGGTCTCGTGGGCCGGCTAGTAGAGCGGAACGAAAGACTTCGTGGGCGACTTAGGCTTAGGCGCCTTGAGAGGGAGCGGGGCCGCCGAGTGGGTGTCTGGTTCAAGGGTGGCATGACCCCAGTCTCCTCTTCGCTGGGCGGGAGTATAGGTTCTGCATCTTCCAATCCTTCTTTGATAGCCTTGGGAGGAGTGATGGATCGGTCTCGCCGGCGACGAGCAGCAGCACTTGCATGGCTACCGAAGTATGCTGGTTCGTGGGAAGGTGGGATGGTTCTGATGGGTAGTTCGGCTGTTTCATCGATACGGAGCGGGGACTCGCTCTTGATGCGTCGTCGAATGCGTTCACGCCTAGCTCGCTGGCGTGCTCTTTCCTGCTCCTCATGTTGCCTTCTACGTAGGGCGATTTCCTCTTCACTGATGCCTGCAGGCGCTGAGAGCGGCGGGGACGATTTGTCTTCAATGCGTTGCCTAGCACGCGCACGTCTGGCTTGCTCACGAGCCTTCTCTTGTTCTTCTTGTTGTCGTCTGCGAAGAGTAACCTCGTCCTCTTCGATGCCAGAAGCTACTGGGGGGCCTGAAGGAGCTTGTCTGGCTTGCTGACGAACTCTCTCTTGTTCCTCTCGCTGACGATTGCGGAGCTCAAGCTCCTCTCTCAGCTCTTCCCGTCTTCTCTCGACTGCATTTTGAGTGGCCGATGCCACTAGCCCGGTTATTGTGTTCCATTGTTCCGGCGTAAACCCTCCCTCCACCGTTTGCTGTGGAGGCGGGGCTGCAAACAGTGGATATGGAGCCAACGGGCGCTCCTCAATCGGAGAAGGGGGCGAGTGGTTACGGTATGGATTTCGCGAGCCGTAAGTCGACGATCGAGATATTGGAGGAGAGACTGAAGCGTACCGCTCCTCACCGCTCGATACAGGTTCTGGAGAATAGGACCGCAGGTTTTGTGGTGGTGTGATCGGTGTAGTTGGCGAACCCCTTTGAGGGTTTCTTGGAGGAACCGTAGAGGGAAGAAAGAGCTCAGAAGGCTGCCGTCCACTGAACGTACGTCCACGAGGCCGACTTCGAGGCCCTTGATCGCAAGGGGGCAAAGAATCCGAATTAGAGCGCTGGTGATGGCCGAACGCTCCTCTCAGATGAGGAGGCGAAGAGCCCCCAGAGTTTGACATCGTGCCAGTTCCGCACAGCTCAAATTCGACCAAGCTGAAGGGAATATGAAGTAGTGAACGGAAGAGGATACAGACCTCGTAAAAGACGCCAAGAGACTTTTAAGCAACTTTAGGTGACCGAAGAGTACGAAGCACTGACAATCGATAAGAAACTGGCCTTTGAAACGCAGAAATACAAGTGTAGAACTAGCAAAAGCAAGAAGCCGCAGCAACTCAACTCTCGGGTCCGTAGCCTACCATGCTCACCATGTGCCTGGGGTTGAGTGCGTTCCTGCATTCCGCCCCAGGTACGTCCTCCCAGGGTTACTGCGTTTAGCACGTGGAAACATATTGCACGAAACCCGAGCAGTGGAACGGACCCGTGAACGATACCTCGATTCCAGGAACCGCGAGTCAAGTCTCGGAGCCAAGCCGCGGAGCGTGTGGTGCGATTGGCCAGTTGCGAGAGCATATGCACCGCCACCTACGTCGAGCTGTGGTGCGGTCAGGCCTGCAATCGGTTTCCGAATCACTGTAGAGGGTGCAGGTGTGGCTTGAGGGATCGGTAGGCGAAAATACGCTTGCTATACGAGGAAGTCTTCTAGAAGATTGAATATCGCATACTGACGTGCATTAGCTGGGACCAGGATGAGTGATAGTACCTGATCGATCTGCATGCAGATGTTAATGCAGTGAGAAATATGAAGATGCGTGTTGGAGACGCTATGCAGCGACTGAAAAGCAGGCTTGCTAGGCTTGATACGAGGTCGGCGAGGTTGGACTCGGACGGATAGCACGGTATTAACGAAGAACGAGTACAATATTTTCGCTTCCAGAGGGCTTTCGTGCCACTCCGTGACGGATGGGTGGGAAGTCGAAGGTGACGTTCATATCTCGGATAGCGAAGCGTGGGGTGCACGTGGCAGAACCTGGCTACCCATTCAGGCTAACCGTATTTGTCGCTAGCATCAATCCTTCCGTTTCGAGGAGATCTGATCGGACCCTCCGTCCTTGTACTTTCCATGGCGGTCTTGTGCAGAGACTGAATAGTATCGAAGTAAAATCTGAATGGGATATCGTAAGTGTGTCTACAAGGGGTGGGAGGAGCCACTACATTGGGAATCTGCTCGTGGCAAAGCCATCGAGGACGCAGGAGTTCAGTGTGAATGGAGTCTACTTTGAGGTGTACCCCACGTTTATCTTTGGTATTGTGTAGTTGAACGGCACTGCCAGGTGACACTTTGGCCTAGCATAGTAAGAGAGACCCTGATACGGGTTTGATGATGGCATCTTAGATGCGATACAAATATCGTACAATTTTACACCGAGAATGTGCACCAGAGTTATTCAGATGGCTGTGTGAATTTGGCGAAGCAAGAGAATTTGGTTACTTTGGCCATAAAGTTTCCAATTTCGAAGTGATAGCCAGCAAACCTAACAAGGACATTTGATTAGCCATTGAAATTCTACAGAGAAACAAAGGCGGAATCATAGTATTTAAAATATAGAAAACCGTTCGTTTTGAGAAGCTGTCTACGTATATACAACGAATCAAATATCCACAACCCAATTAAATCTCCCATCTCAACCAATCTCCACAGTCTATACAAGCACCAATACCAAAGCAACCATCTTCCAACGCAACCGTTCCAAAATATTTTACACGCCACTATCAATCTGCTCCACAACATGCGTGCTCGAATACTGATTCCACGCGTCGCACGTCTGCGCCATCATGCTCGGGATCACGCTCTGGTCAATATCCGCCGGGTTCTCCATCAAATTGACATACATGCCCATGCTCAAGTGCCAGGCGATGTGGCAGTGGAAAGGCCAGACGCCTGGATTGTCCAGGTTGTACTGCATCACCATCCAGCCGTGTGGGCGCAGGTTGTGTGTGTCACGGCGGGGAGGATTGGACGGGTTGACGACGGTGCTGCCATCCCATTTGTCGTTGCCGTCGTAGAGGACGTACATGTCTGGCTGCGCATTAGTGCTAGTTTGGGAGGGAGGTAGGAGAAAGGTGGGAGCTTACCGTGGCCGTGGATGTGCATGGGATGAGGGCCGGAAGAGTTATTCCAGATGACGACTCGCACGCTGGAGTTGGAGCCAAAGTTATAAGTGTTCCACTGGGTGGGATAAGAGTAGTTCTTCTGGTAGGCAAGGCCGAGAAGCGGGTTGTTGTAGTTTGCCATAAAGGGAGAACCGTTCATCGTGTACAGCTGGTGGCCGGTCGCATTCACTATGGTATTGACGGTGATTTGGATAGTAGTGCTTGGCGCGGGTAGCTCCTCCTCGTAAAATGGGACCGAGAGCTCGAGAGGATCGTTCTTGCAGGTGCCGTCATCAACTGGAGCAGGATAAGCTGTGGTCTTCGGGATTGTGTTGTCGGATGCTCCGTCGAGCAGGACGATGGCACGTCCAGCGGGGTTCGAAGCGCGCTGGCAGAATTTTCCAGACTGCAAAGTGCGCATCCAGATCGCCTTTGTGCCGTTGACCGCCTTGGGCGTAAAGAGCACGTCGGATCTTTGCCCAACACTCAGAGTCACAACCGTAGTGTTGTAAGGTTCGATGTCTGTCAAATCGTTGGCAACGATCTGGAGCGTCTGACCATCAATGCTAAAGTATTCCATGCCCGCCGCACCAGCATTGATCAATCGAAGCTTATACGTCTTGCCGGTCTGGAATCGGAACTTCGCGTATGGCGCGTCTCCGCAAGGAGTACCATCGGTCACTTGGCTGCAGTTGTACGGCATGCGTCCATTGATCAGAGTGTTATCAGATGGGTTCGCCCAAAGAGTGGAGTTGTTGCTCATGACGTTCTTGACGATCTGGAAGTAGTCCTTGTGGAACCAGTCTGTAAGCATGACCGGACCAATGTCTTCGTCATAGTCGACGTGGGAGGGGCCGTAGACGACGAGCGGACCGAAGAGACCACCGGCGGCTTGAGCGGAGTAATGAGAGTGGTACCAAGACGTTCCGAAGACTCCAGCCTGGAATTTGTATGTGAAGCTCGCGCCGGGAGCAATAGGGCATTGCGATACACTGGGCACACCATCGTACCATGCGCTACCGTTCTGAAAGAGACCGTGCCAGTGCAGAGCGGTTCCCTCGTCTGGAGCAGTGATTTGGTTGGTGACCTTGACTTCGATCATATCACCCCTAGGTTCGTTAGAATCCATTACAAATCCTACGTGGCTATATCGACTCACCAGTTCGCCTCGATGGTTGGCCCAGGAAACTGCCCGTTGATAAGGATGCCGCTCTCCTTCAGGTAGCCATCCGGTGCAAGCGATCCACGACTGATAGTAAAGTCATACTTCCTCGTTACTCCGGTCGTGGGAGGAATCCGCGGATTGACAGTCTTGGGATTGATGTTTCCCCAGGGCGTACCTCCGGGCAGAGGATTGTTCCGAAGGAATTTCGGAAGCTTGCCGGCTCCTAGTGTTCCCCAATGGAATGTGCTATATGATGATTAGAAGAGAATTTACCAAAGAGATGTGTGAGCAAGTACCGGTTCTGTGCCTCCTGTACTCTAGGAGGACAGGCGGCCGATGTTAAAGTAGCGAGAGCGCTCGCCACAAATGCTGCGCAACCCTTCATCGTGTCTATAAGGAGATGGAAAAGATAAGGAATGTAGGACTGCTTAGCAAATGCAAGGGAATGCTCTCAAACTTGCTCTATGTACCTCGTCTGCTTCTTCCCTTAGTCCCATATATACCCATGCCGTGCCTCAACGGCAAGCGTTCCGAATTGCATGGCCGCGAACCACGCGAAAGCATCGCGAGAGCTACGAACTCGCTCACCGGGTAGCCTACATCTCCCCACCTTCAAGCAAGCCATTTCCGAAACGAACTGTGGTGCCTTGGCTAAATGACCCGTTCAGGATGGTAGATGTTGTAAGCCTTACACCCTTCCTTCGGTATGCGAGGCTCGCCGCGATCGGGGTTTCTGCACCACCACATCTGAGAGACCCAATGACGCTGCAAAAGTCTGCGAGCCAGTGGAGATCTCGTGGCAAACCGGGAATTATAGATTGCGGAGCCATGTGCGCGTTGTTAGATTCCAGGAACGGGGCTAGTAGAAGGTTGGGCGGTGGGGATGACGCAGGGGCCCTGGACTTTGAATCCGAGCATTCGGATGGTACCTGTGAGAGTGTCTTAGTGGGATCTTAAAATAGACATTCGAGTCGATAGAGATGATCAATCTGCTGGGAAGGATGAGATGGGATGGAGGTTCACAAGTCCCTACTGGGGTTACAGCCACCCAGACAGCGTTTGGCGCTAAACCCTATCCGGACAACCACACTCATACCTCGGCAGCGCAGCGAGCGTACGTATCATCGAAAATGCGAAACAGCGAGACATATTATTTTATTCTTCTAATATCTTTCTTCCATCAGGCAGGCCTTATTCATGCCTTGACCTCCAGCACAGAAATACTCAGATCATCCAGATCGAACTCAAACACACCATCACTTCCCGCAGTCAAGCTAATCGTGGTGTTCTTCACGACATCACTGCCTACATCATTGTAGCTGAACGGATCGGGAGCAGTCAGCACCGTCAAAGTTCCCTCTGCACCCTCGCTGACACCGTCAAACGTGACGCTCATAGAGACCGTTTCGGTGGAATTGTAGATGGCAGATTTCAGAATGTATGAGTCAGACGAATTCGAATGTCCAGCGACGTAGTAAACCGGATCGAAAGATGGGGAGTCGATGGGAAGGGTGGTAGAAATGCGATGAGCCGACATAAGTTGGATCATATGGTATGAGGTAGAGAGGACGTCAGCCGAAGTATTCGCAGAGTAGGAGATTAGGTCGGGAGCCCATTCGTAGGAGTCGAGATTTTGGAAGAGCGGCGCCTATGGTCTGATTTAGCTTAGAATGGTATTAAAGAGAGGAATAAGCCTACATAAGCTGCGCCGAACATCTTATCCGCATTCCTCTCAGCTCCGATGAGAAACACGGCTTCTGAGACTGTCCCAATCCACATGGGAAAAGCCCATCGGGCCGCGTTCCAATCGGTGCCACCGCCTTCTGGGATGTTGGGTTGCACCGCAGCGTATTCGCCTATCATCGTCTTGAAGCCGGTGATGAAGTTATCAAAGAAGTTGAACTGCGAAACAAAGTAGTCCGACCGAGTATACTGATGGTAATCCTCTCCAGCATCTTCAGTCTCTGCAAAGTCAAAATCGGCCGTACTAGCCATAACAAGGATATCTGGGTACTTCTCATTGATGGCATATTTGAAGGCTTGGAAGCGATACGACTCGTACGAGCTACCACCACCGCCAAGGTTGTCTTCATTGCCGACCTCGATGTAGTTGATAGTCCAAGGATCAGGGTAACCGAGAGAAGCACGAAGAGCACCATAATTCGTGTTTTGATCGCCCATGATGAAGTCAAGCTCGTTCAACGCGTCGTCAATGTAGGGCTGCAGCTCATCCTCGGGGATCACAGGGTCGTCCAAGTAGAAACCGGCCCACACAGCGAGGACAGGCTCCATGCCGAGGTCGTCACACCAGTGCAAATACTCTACGAGCCCGAGACCGTTCGTGTTTTCATAGCTCCATGTCCCTGGGTAGCCGGGACGGTCTTTGAGCGGACCGATTGTCTCGTTCCATTTCAAGTAATAAGGAGGATCGTTACCTTCCAGATTGTTGCCGCCAGGAAAACGAAGGAAGGACTGAGCACACAGTTAGAGTTAGATACTCGAATAGCGATGGTGAACACGTACCGGGTTGAGGCCCTTCAAAGCTTCCATGAGATCTGGGCGCATGCCATTGGGACGGTTATTATAGGTTGGCGGGAAAAGAGAGATAAGATTAAAATCAAGAGAACCGTCCGTAGCCTGAGAGAGTACTGTTAGATAGTCCCGCAAAAGATAGTAGCACTTGGAGCTTACCGAAGCATCGAAGGTGATCTGAAAAGTGTTGTTCACGCCCGCGGCTTTCTCCGGCGTCAACGTGAAAGAATGCTCCTGCCACTCGCTGGCTGAAGCATTTGATGGCACCTCAACACTTCCAACAGTCTCATTCGAGAGGTAGTCGTATAACGAAGCAGTGAATGACCCGTTATAGTTACCCTTGACCCAGAATGACCCATTGTATTGCTGTACTTTGACTTCAATACCCCAATATCCAGGATTTGAGATCCCAACCTTGCCGCTGGAAGCTGCAACGTTTAGGGACGTGGGTAGCGCAGACGACAGAGGATCGGACAGGTTTTGCAAAGACAATTGGGCGTCGCCGATTGATGTCCATGGTTCGATGGTGGAAGGGAAGACAGCGCTACCTTGGAATGCGCGGTTGCGAATGAGCTCCGCGTAAATGCCGCCATCGCCAGAGTGGTTGATGTCCTAAGTCGGAGTGTCAGGTTCGCCGATCTCCATAGCTTTCGATGAGACTACCTCAAACATAATCCCATATTGCTTTCCCGAGGTGGCGTTGCCGCCCGTGTTTGCAACCTTGATGTCAAGAGCAGACACGCCGGCCAATGCCGTCAAACCAAGGACGAAAAAGTCCATGGCCGTGTGATAAAACGAGGCTTTCCGGTGACACAAGACATAGCTGACACCAAGCAGAGCTCCTCTGAAGCTTTATAGCAGGCCATAGCTCCCTTGCTCTTCTCCCACGTACTAGACTATGTATAGCGTTTCCCGCTACTCGTGCTCTGGGTGAGCACCGAGGTAAACACCTGCTTTTCGCTCCGCGGTCTCGCTGCCGGCGCGTAACGGCTCGCAAAAGAGGAGAGACTGGCTAGAGCTGCAAATATTCCAGGAACCGCGCGTACTTCATGACATCTCCTTGCGGCAGATGCATGATCAAGTGCGGCGCAACTACCAATCCATGGCGATGGACCGGAAGCGATACTATATCGATAGGGATGGTTAATTGGAAAGCAAGGGTTCGAAGCAAGCATCACCAAGCAAATGCCGCCGGGAGGGGAAGAAAAGCCGTGGATGTAACCCCTTGTAAATCTTCCACATGGCGCTAGTGACCGTAAGCGGTGTTGATGGATGTGGAGAAACCTGGATAGCGTTGGTGATCTCGCAATGTATTTCGCCGAGGAATTCCGCCAATCACGCCAAGAAAGCAACAACTTCGGAGGTATCGAAGCGGGCAGGGGGACGTAGGTAACAGCGTATGCAGCGGCCGGAGAAGCATCCTCTTTAATTGCGCCTAGGCCTTTCTCCACTTCCCGCTAATACCTTTGCTGTCCATCATGTCCTCTTCGCTCGGAGTGGGTTCCTGCCTCAGCCGCTCAAATTCTTTGAATCCTTCAAAGTATTTTCGGCGGAAGTCGTTCAATTCATCTGCCTTCACCCCCTTCTCGTACTCTTTCTTGGCCATCTCGGGCGCGTTCGGAGATACCTCTGACTCAGGCAATCTCCGGTACGTGAGTAGTCTTCTCGACCACTTATTGAAAGGTTGCACGCAGATCGAAACAATCTCAAGGCATGGATGGGTTGGTATCACCAGCTCGACGTCTTCGTCATTTGCGGTAGGCATCCACATGCTGAGCCTGCCGTTCTCAACTAGTGTCGCCACAGCGAAGGCCAGGATATCGTCGAGTATAGCAGTGAAGGAGTACGGCCGTTTCGGAGGAATATATGTTGGTTCTTTAAATCGATCCAGATGCGTTGCTCGTTCCGTCACGTTCAGCTTCTCGCGCGGTCCAAGGACTTTTAGTCCTTCGCGGATTCCATAGGGAGGGTCGCATACAATGCCGTCAAGATAGCCACCATTGGTAGAATCGTTACTGTGTTGTAATAACCTCAAAGGCGTATTCGTCAAGTCCGAGACAAAGCCCCCAAGGTATCTTGACTCGAGGTCATACTGCTTGAAGTTGCCTCCAACGTCTTTCTTCCCTACTTGCCCTTTTCTGGCGCTCCCGCCAGTACCTCGAATACTTCTACCATCAATATCACTGCCAAATACAACGGCTCCGAAATGAGCGCAAGCGACCGGAAATCCGCCCGTTCCCATGAAGGGATCGTAGAACAGCTTCCCAGTAGCCGCGAGAGCGATATTGGCGGTCAGAAGAGCAAGCTCTGCATCCATGGAAGTAGTGCTGATATAGTGCCTCTTCTTAAGATCAAAGGCGGTCTTAGCGTCTCGTCCAGAAGCTGCGACGAAGCGGCCCAGGTACAGGTGCTTCGGCTCCAGTGCCTTGTCTTCGTAGTCCTCGAATACTCTAAACGAGACGTCGGGATCCCGCATCCGGATTGGGCCATTGAATCCAAGGTAAGAGAAAGACTCGATGATCGCCTGCTGTTCTGTCTGCGTTCTTGTACCGCGGAAACCGTCGAGGGTGAAGCGGAAAGGCGTTGATTCATACTTTAGCCACTTGGAAGACGAAAGTTCCTGAATGGAGGTATGAAGTGCTTCATAGGTAGGACCCTGACCCCAAAGCTCGTAGATGCCCTGAGAGAGTAGGCTTCGGGAAATGACAGCTTCCGCTGCTGAGTCGGAGGGAAGACGGACGATGCAGAATGGAGACTATGACAGTCAGAATGGAGGAAACAAGATGGTTGAGATCTTCAGACTCCGTGTTCTTATCTGAGATGAAAGGAGGATGACTAATAGGATCGAAAGGGCATGGCTGCAGCCGGCCTAATGCATGAATAGGATACATATGGCAGCGAAAGTTTTTTACCTACATCTTGATTGTACTTTACAAACTCAATTCCGACTCCCGCCACATCAGCCAAAGCTTGGAGCTCTGCTTTCCGAAAGCTCTCGTGTACCTGCACGAGTCTGACGAGGTATTCGGGCATGGTGTGTAATGAAGTGGAGGAAAAGAAGATCATATGAGCCTCGGTCGATGGGTATAGGTTACCAGTCCGGCACGAGCATGGTTGTGTATTCTGAAAGTGATCGCGTAGTAGAATCTATAATGTCGGGTATGGTGTTTCGTGGAGGGCTTGTGCGTCTGCAAATTTGGGGGTTGCAGCCTTTACTGAGCTGCCTCGCGTAACGCCCGGGCCCGCGTGACGCCCGATTTTCGGATGCCACCACCTCCAACTTTTGAAGCTGTAGAGCCTCATATATATCGTAAAATCGCCAGATTTTTTAGTGGAGCAGTTGCAGGAGCTTGGAAACTTTATTAAGAGCGATAGCTAGTTCAAATAGCGCTCTGGAAGCTTGATTTTCCTCGTGCGCGAGGACCTAGCCGCTGTCGGAGCTACATCAACTGTTGATTAAAAATCAACCTCAACTTCCTAAGTAACTTGTGGAGGAGCCTTTAAGGCTTTCTTCTTGCCCTTTTTAGACTCCTTAAGGTCTCTTTTAAGTTGTTGCTCTGCTTGCAAAGCGTGCTTTGCCTCCTCACGTTTAGCAGCCTTCGCGCTCTGCTCTTGAAGGCGGATTTCTTTCGCCAACGCCCTCATACGCTTTCTGTCCTCTAACATAGCGGCTTTTTTAGCCTTTTGTGCCTCCTTGCGCTTAGTCTCCTCATCCTTTTAAAGCTATAGAGCTTGCTCCTTAGCTTCTTTCTGCGCTTGACGATCACGTGCGTCGCGAACTTTAGAAGGCGACCAGAAAACAGCCCCTCCATAGTACTCTAGCGGAGCTTTAAGTAGTAGAGGCTTGCCACGCTAGCGGCGCTTCTTCTCGTTAATAAGAGCCTCCTTAAGGCGCTTATTCTCATGCTCGAGAAGGGTATTGCGTACTAATATAGAGTGGATCGTTTGGGAGAGCTGCTGCGATTGCTTGTCGTAAGTATTGCTAACTACCTAGCGCAGCAACCTCTCAATTTTACGCTAATCTAAAGCGCTAAGGACTAACGTAGAGCTCTCGCTCGATAAGGGCCTCTCTTCTTAAGTAATATTAAAGCGCTCGAGCACCTGCTGGGGATTGAATAGTGATAGGCCAGTCACCTCAAAAGCCTTAAGGATAGTTTTCTCCTTAAACGTAGCATGCCAGGCCCTATAGAACATGCGGAAGAAGTCTCTTTTCGTAATAGCTAAGAGGCCCTAGCAACTATCCATAAAGTTTGCAAGCTTGGCGGAGTAGGCAGATAAGAGAGGCTTAAATAAGCAGACGTCTAGAGGCTGCAGCGTATGGGTTAAATGAGGTGGGTAGATAGCTAGGAGGATCTGATTATCGTCGCAGTACTTAATGAACTCCGCTATAACGTGCGAGCCATAGCCGTTAAGTATAAGTAACCGATACGATCGTCGTGCCTTTGCCTTTGTTTCCCGATCAAACACCTGCTGAAGCCACGCCAGCCCTAGCTGATTATTTGTCCATCCGCTTAGTGATGACGTAAAAAACGCCTTGTGCTCTTTAGGATCAAAATCTTGTAACCAGGAGTCCTATATATTGCCAGAAACAGCCTAATAGATGAGAGCAGGTTGTAGAGCAGATCCGTCGGCGCAAATACATGCTATTGTCGTTATCTACTCGCGATTGCCGTCTTGAAGTAACTGCTTGATGCCCCCCTCTTCATATCGACGTCAGGAGAAGACGCGCTTTATTTTTGACAGCACCCTAATCAAGAAGCCCTTCTCATCCATATTGTAGGTATGCTGCGCCTCTACGTTGTACTGCTCTATTTTCTTGCGCAAGAGCTCAAAATATAGAGTATATTTGAAGGCTGAATCAGCTCGTTTTCGTAGTGCGTCAATGCCAGGTGCCCATCGCGATACTAGGTCAAGTTTGTGTCGGTTAATAAAGCGGCTAACCCAGTTTCTTCCTGCTTCTTTTCCAGCTATTTCTGACGCGAAATTTCGAATCATCTGCCTTAAAGGCGGCAGGCCCCGTTCGCAGAGCTTATCAATGTATAATATAAGCTCTTTTTCTTGTGTAGGCGTGAGTAGTTGTTGATTTTCAATCTTCTCTTGATGGCTTCTCTGTACCCCCCGCCATCGCCGCGACAGCGTTGTACGCTCAACACCAAACTTTTCAGCAGTTTTCGTGATATTAGGCTTTTCTCCGACTTTTAGCGACTTTAATGACTCCAGGGCGAGCTCGTACGGGTCCATATTGGGTAAGTTAGGTGGTGTTGAAGTTCTGCGTGGATCGCGAAAATCGTGCGTCACGCGGGCCCGGGCGTTACGCGAGGCAGCTCGGTACCGAGCCTCGGTTAAACTTGCCCTCAAAGAAATTAGCTCGTCACAATTGGTTGCCTCCACAGCGCCTTGCTATACGCGCTCCAAAGATGCCGCAAAAAGAACATATTGAGAGATGGTAGAAACTCTACTGCCGCCTCTCCTTGATTCACCCACTCGCTTGCTACTGAAGATTGGAGTAGTCTGAGATTTGAAAGAGGTGCCTTGAATAGCCATCGTCACAGAATACGAGGTGTCGTTTCTCTCGGAGAGAGATAGTTACGTGAGGACCGTGGGTTAAGCGGAATATCCCATATCAGTTAGAGCACTTGGAGTCGTCATGATTGAGCCACACCTTAAGCTTTACACTCGTCTCCACCATGCCACTTTCCTTCGCAAACAACATGGCTCTCCTTTCCCTCCTCATTGCGTTCTCATCCGCAATACAAGTGCTCTTTTCTCAGATGGCGCAGAGCTCGCTCTAACAGACGCTGGCCTCCCACACCCCCGACCCACATCTTCAAAGCTGACTGGGCTCCCCTGTTCAGCCACTCTAGCCTTGACGAGCTGCCGGCAGTACCCAGCACGGACACGGCAAGACTGTCCTGACGCATTTGTTTGCCTGCCGCTCTAGCAATGGGTGCTTATATAGTGGTCTTGTCCTTCGGCAGTTCCCTAGCAGTCGTTCATTCCCGTTTCACATATCCTTCTCTCAGCTCCTACCCCCATCCTTCCCCATTCCCACCGATACCCTCTCCATCTCCGTCAACCTCTCCACTCCCTCCAACCCATACTGCCCAAGCTCAAACTCCACCGTCTCCCTATCCCCAAAGCCACACCACCCGTACAACCGGCGTCCCTGCTCAGAAGCGTGAACATAGCATGGCAGCCCCATCTGCTCTGCCATTTCAATCCCCCACTTGACCAACAATCTACCAGCACCACGGCGTCTATGTTTTTCCGCCGTAACGAGCAGAGCCAGATCTGTTCGTTCGAAAGACATCAGTCAGCCACAAGTTCTTGCGTAATCGCTCAAATTCACTCCCAACACTCCGTCCAAATCTTCAGCGCATGCAAGACAAAATAAGAACTGTTTACCACTCACAAATATGCGGCTTCTTCCCCATCTCCTTCTTCCTCTTATGAAACCACCCTCTCACCAACCGCCTCAGCTCTCTAAACCCCTCCCCTTCTCCTCCCCCCACACTTGCACTTCCAACATCCTCCCCCCTTCCTCTCTCATAAACCTCCCACTTCCCATACGCCACAATCTCTTCTCCCTTCTCCGTATCCACGACCTTCAAATGATGCACGTGCGGGCTACCATCCAGCTCCCTTCGCACTCTAGCTTCCGCCTCGTCCACATAGCCTAGGTACGGAGGCAGACGGCCGATGACGAGGGAGCCGAGGGCTGCGACACGGAGGCCGATGCATTCGGTGATGTCGGCGTGTTCAACGTCGCGGATAACAAGCGGCATGCTGTTAACTTGATTGTGGAAAGTCGCGATAGCGGTAGCAATTGCGCAGGATGGGATCCATATAGGGGTCGACGCAATAAGGGTCCAGTGGATGTGGTATGACCGAGAAGAATGGAATGACTGGTAGTGTAGCGCAGCTAGTGGCCAAAGCGGTTATGTACTACCACACACTTCACCGGGTGAGCAAACGCATCCACACAAACGATGAGAAGGAGGCACGTAAGTGAAGCCTTGCTTCCCGTTTCCAGATCTTCGCAAACCGCACTGAGCTAGTTCTGTGACGAATGGAGTGCTGTCCCCTACTAAATTTGCACCACAAACGCGCAGGATCCTCAATGCGCAATACCTTGCACAGGAGGCAGAGGGAGGGCGGTGTAGATAGTTAGCGGCTATACCTGGGGCTTGCTTAACGGATACACTTTACATCGCCGTTGCCGCAGCAAGCGTAGGTTTAAATTCTACTTCTCTTACTTAGCTTCCGCCTTTAATACTACAGAATTCTCTTTGTTAAATAGGAAGCCTTCTTTAAAAAGGTAAGAATATACAGGATTAGTATCTAATAAAGAGCAGTAACTTACTTTCTTTAAGTGGTTTTAAACTTAAAAAATAAAGGTAAAAACAAAGAAGTTTTTTATAGGAAAAATTACAGAATAGTTGCATAGCTCTTAAAGAGCTAGGTCAATTCAATGATTTCAGTCAGTCTGACAGGAGGCAGAATTCTGAGAAGACATTGCGCTTTATCGGAAAACCACTGATGTACTCTCGACGCGGCGGGTCACACGAGCTGATACTCGCGCACTTGGTCTCGGGACCCGCATAGCCTCGCCATCCATCATCCGGTAAACGAAGCATTCCCCTATCAGCTCCCAGGAAGCCTCGCAGTCCTTTCTTTTCCTCAGGGCAATAGGGACGCTGCACCCATGTAAGATGCACACTGTATCCGTGCCTTGGGCGCCAGATGGAGCGAGCCCATGTAGCCTGAAGCCATCAGGAGTGGAAAGGACGAAGAATCGGCGATTGGAAAGAAGGTTGCAGACACGAGTGAGGTATTCTAATGCCATCGAAGGAGGATTCTCTCCGAGTCGCCTTTCTATATCGATGTCGCCTTCCCCACTAAGCTTTAGCTAATACTGGCATGCGCTGTGGTACCAGCTGGGTATTTTCATTCCGTGCGGACCCCGATCAGCCACTAGAGTTCGCCAGAGGCAATCCGGCACGCTGGAGTCAGCGCTGGACCAGCCTGAGAAGTGCATCGCTTCCGTCGGGACGTAACTTGAGGACGATGGGGATATCCCGCTTATAGTCCCAATGCCGAAGCCGTTTACAGTTAGTGATTTCTTTTCTTTGAGAGTCTTGTCCACGATAGCCCGGAAGATGGCAGTAGCGACAGTGCCTTTCGATGCATTGTACGGCTTGTGATTGGGTGTTCCGACTAAGTTGTCGCCACTGATGCCTGAAGCGCCATAAGCGCCTCCCAGGAATAGATTCCTAGCACATAGCATCCAAGAGGGGAGCCAGGACCGGGAGCCGGGCGTCAGGCGAAGCGGGACCCAGTGCCTGCAGATGATATTAAGCGTCTGGGACGTGTGGATATAATGCCTGACAAAATCCTGGAAGATATAGAGATCTCCGAGCCGGTAATCGATGGTGATCATATTGCTGTCTGATGCGACCTGAACAAGGGAGTAGATCGCATCGGCCGGGCGTGATGTCTCAAGTCTGGGTAAACACGAGACGAGTGTCTCTAAGTCGGCGAGCTTTTCGATCCTGACCGGGTTGACCAATGAACCGCGGAAAAGGTCTTCGTTGCTTCGATGAGATCAAAGGAACCCAGGGAGCGAGGGTAAACGATCCTGCCCCATTTGCCTGGGTCGACTAGTCGAAGCCTTCTCATGGCGAGGCTATGTCATGTGAGCGTCTCTGATCGCGGCTGCGCCCATTTCTACAGGAGGCAGCAACTTACCTAGCTTTATCGAATATGGTTGCCGCTATAGAAACTGCCTGACAGAAGTACTAACCGCGCGAAGGTCCGCCTTAAGGACATTCCGAGCAGCGAATGGAGAGGCGCCGAAGATAAGTTTAATGTCGCGCTTGGTGACCCAGAGGACGTGAGCGAAGTTTTCGACGCTGAAATGGAGCAGATCGGCGAGGGAAGAAAAGAAGACGAAGAGGAAGATGAGGGCACGGATGAGGAGTAATGTCTTGCCGTTCGATCGACCCACTGATTCCCGCTGGATAGGTCAACAGAAGACATACAAAAGGTCGCCCCAAACATCTCATCCGGGCGCAGAGCTAGGCATGTAGAAGTGCGCAGATCGTCGCTTGCTTCCGCCTCCCCCGGACCATACCCCTACAAGATTTGAAAAATATATATTCTACAATACCTCATGTCGCTCCCGCACTCTTTGCTGTACACAGTCTCACCACTTCGACCCCAGGTTTCCATCAAGGCAGGCCCCTCCCCGCATTAACCGCATTAGCCACCTGACTCGTCCCCGGCCTATTCTCCGCATATCTCTCATAGCTATCCAAATACAGCTGATCCTCGCTCGTCGTCCTCCGCACGCTGGGCTCATTCTCAATAGCATCGACCCACTTCTTCCACCTACTCCCCTCCTCTGGTTCCGGCCACCCGCGATACGGACCCAGCACTCTCTTCAGCCGCAGCACCCACGGCGCCACCTGCACATCAACGAACCCGAGATCTTTACCCAGGAAGAAGGGACCGGTGGCATCCGCCGCGTCGACCAGTTTGCCGATTTCGGTTTTGAGCTCGGAAGCGTGGTTCACTTGGTCGTTGGTGTCCTGCGCTTGAAGCAGGCGGTAGAAAGCAGGCACTATCTGGCGGTTTACATGGTCGGACCAGAGGCGGCAGGTAGCGCGTGTTTGCGGGTCTGGGGGGAGCAAAGCGGGCCCCATGTGCAGGTCCTCGAAGTACTCCATGATGACGGTGGATTCGTGAGTGGACCAGGTGGGGCCATGGCGGATCGCAGGAACGAGGCCGCGCGGGTTGACTTCGAGGAGGGATTGAGGTTTCTTATAAGGGTCGACTTCGATATATTGGTAGGGGATTTGTTTATGCTCTAGGGAGATCCAGACACGTTGAACGAAGGGACTATTAGGGGTATGGTTAGTACGATGTTGAAGGGTGACGTCATGATGTGTAGAGGATGTTGAACCTCATTTGAAGGAGGCGATTAGAGAAATTTGATACTCACCAGAAGCAGCTGCCAAACAGCTTGAGATCTTCCTCCTTGGAGTGGTTCTTGACCGTTACAAGAGCATTTCCGGTTGCCTTCTTATGATACGTCTTCTTGGTCGGATCACCGCCCTGGTTTGTGTCGGTCATCTTGAAGCGGACAGATGGGAAAGAGAATTGAGAGCGAGAAGATGTTCGGAGGGAACGACCAAAGTTAAGAGGAAATTCGTGCAGAAACAAGAAGCGTGCGCAAGTGCGGAGTGAAGTAAACGAAAATGGTTGAAAAGCTGAAGAAGTAGCTTTTGGAAACGACGACATCGAAGACGAAATGAGACCATGGAATGATCAGAAGTGGTACACAGGAAGACCCCGCGTTTTCCGCGTGAACACGCGGTACATGCTCCACACCAAAATGACGTGGTGCAAATGATTGGTGTTCGCGATCGCGGGCTTCTGCAGGAGTTCTGGCTGCTATAACGAGGCGCGTACAACACCAGAACGTGCATAAGAAAGTCCGAGGAGAGCAAACAAAAATGAGGACACAAGAACAGCAAGAAAGGAAACGTACCTGCACCCTCTTCCTGTCCTTCTCATTACGCATCAACCACCTCTGCACACTGTTTTTCTTAACCCGATCGCTCTCCTCCAGTGTATGTTTGTGCGGTCCGGCGACGCCATCCCCTTTGCCATTCCCCCCGTTCCCATTAACTCTTTGTATCGTGTAAAACTTCTTCTGCTCCCGCAGTCCCATCGCCATCCCCACGTTCACACCTCCAGCTCCTGTCATGCCCTGCATGCCCCAACCACCTGCCCCAACCCCACTCTGTCCGAAGAACTGATTCCCGCTCGCAGCTTCGAGTGGAGATGTTATCGTATCCCCGGGTGGCTGCTGCCCTGTTTGTTCAAGCAGTTCCGCGCCGTCGAAGTACTCGGTGATCTTGATCTTCACATCGCAGAGATCGCGTTCGCGGGCTACCCGCTTCCTTTTCTTCTTCTCTGGATCCGTAGACTTCTTCGTGCCCGGCGGTCTTCCCTTGAGCCTGCAATCCCAGTAATGGCTCACAAATCTCTTCCGTTTATGTCTTTGCGTCGAGCGGTGCGAGTAAACGTTGTCGACGTGCGGGAAATATGTCTGAAACCTGTCACACACATGTTAGCTACGTCCTAAACATCTGGGAAAGGGAAATGGGAGGGACGCACTCTTCTTGGGTGAGCGTAATGGTATCGTCCACATGGAACAACCTCTCCCTCCAAGCCTCTAAGTCCGGCGGATTAGGAATCAACTTCAGTCCCTCAAACTGACCATGGTTCGATATAACCACGTCATCTCCATCTTGGACCTGCGCATTCCCTCTGCTTTGTCCCTGCACAGGGAGTGTTACAAATTCATCCCTTGGCTCGAACTCCGGCACCTGCTGCTGCTGCTGCTGCGGTGCTCTGGCTATCGGTGAAATCTGCGACTGTGGTTGCCGTCTCGGAGGAGCTTGAATATGTTGGTGCGGCGGCGCAGGCGGAGGAACAGGTGGAGGCGCCGTGCTCAACTCAAACCTCGGCGCCTGCTGATATCCTCCCGGAAACGGCGCAAAGTGCGGTTGACTCTGCGGTAACGCATGTTGCTGGAAATGCAACGCTTGGGGAGTCGCGTGCGGATGCGCCTGGCTCAAATGTTGAGTATACCGCTGCTGAAAGAAGCCATCGCTCGCTTCCGGGGAGATAGCCTCGAGGTTCTGAAAGGCCTGTGGCAGAGTCTGCAGGTGAATAGCAGTGGGTTGCAGGTGGTGGAGCGGCAGCTGCGAAGAGTTCATCGTGTCGCGCCGTCGTGCTTAAAGCAGCGATAAAAATGGGCGACGACAGCTTGGCGAGGAGATCTTGAAGTGGGATGGAGCATGGGCCGGTTCGCGTGGGGCGGACGGATGGAGCAAGGCTGATTGATGCTTCTTGTCTCTCTATGTTACTGGCTTTTCATTTATTTGGAGAGGATGGGCTGATGGCGAAATGCCGACTTTTTCTTTGTCATACTACGGACGTATGTTTATGGCGCGGGACCATCTGTCTTGGATTCCACCAAGTCTCTACCAGAGGCCAGAATCTGGAAACTCGGCACATTGCAATTAATCGCGGTCCTCAAAAGAGTTTGTTCGTTCGAACAGGTGCTGGTATTTTCGTCATTTCACTGCAGCTGCAGTCGCCGCTCATATCGTCTATGAAGGACCCACCCTGAGCTCCTGTCTAAGCTCGAATCTGCCCACCCAACGCCGTGCCCATGCCGTGACGGAGAAGCATTAACAAGAGGAACCCGCTGCACATCACCCTTTACTCTCCGGGCAGCAGATTGCTCTTCACGGCAAACATCTTCGCGCTGACGCCCGCAGTGAAGCCGTCCACTTGCCGCGCATACTGCTCAACCTGCCTTGAGTTGAGCAGCGTCTCCAACCTGTTCGGCTCCTGCGGCAGCTTAAAAAGCCTCTGCCACTCGTCCTCTGGGAGCAAGGGCTGCTTGGAGGCTGTCCTTGCAGCATTCTCCGCCTTCCGTTTCTGCTGCCATGCAGTGATCTTAGCCTGCTCACGCGCAAGCGATCGCTGGTAGTATGAATGGTTGTTGAGCTCAGTGTGGTGGTTCTCGATGCTCTCGAGAAGCAGATCACACGTCTTCTCGAGGAAGGGGTCTATCGAGAGGTCAAGACTGTCGTAGTTCGGGAAAAGTGGCGGTAGCGGGGTGTTCGGGTCTTGCTGCAGGGCGGCGAGGTTTGGCGGGAAGGAAAGCTCCTCCTTGGGCGCGTCTGAGGGAAGCTGGTGAAGTAGCGGGGTGAGGAGGTGGGAGTTGTGGATCGTGACAGGAAGCTCGACCAGGATGTCCTGGTACCGGAGACCGCTCTTCTGCAGACTGCGAAGGTTAGTTACTATATCGCATACGGACATGGTTGCGCGCATACCTCTCCGTCGTGAACTTGCCCTCCTTGTACGCTGCCACAAACGCAGGCGACAGCCTGTACGCGCGCAGGCTCAGGCTTCCCTGCGAACTCCTGCTCACATCGTGGACCAGCGCCACCGTCCGCTCGTTCATCTCCTTCTGGTAGAAGAATTGGTTCTCGATTGTGTTCAGATGGACAAAGTTGCCCATGCTCGTGCTCGTGTACCAACCAACGTTGTTCGCATCCACGTTCACTTCCCTCAGGAACTTGATCATCTCATTCTGGTATACGACGTTCGCTTTTGCGCGGGGTGCGGCAGCCGCGAGGTTTGCGGCGGACTCCTGCTGGTGGCCATCGGTGGCGGGGACATCGATGGTCGGGAAGGGAAAGCAGGACGTGATTTCGAGCAGGCCGGGCTGTTTTGCAGACTCCATACCAACAAGAGATCCAGTCGCGACTGTCGGGAAGGTTTTTGCAGCATGGTTGACGAGCTTCATAACGACCTGCAACAGAGTCAGACGGGTGGATGGGGCGTTCGTTGCGCTCTGAAAAGGGCGGCTTACTAGGGCTTCAACCTGGACCGCCTTCACCGGCGAATCTTTCAGAGGGTCGGTCATATTGTCAGGGTGTAAGGAGGAGTGTCGATGTCGGGGTGGGGCTGCGGACGGCGCTGGTGATTGTTGAAGGCCGCGAAATTCTGGAGTGCGGGATGCCAAGACTTCGCGCTAAGACAGGAGCGATTATGTCACGTGCACTTATTTCCTCCAGTTGCTTTGCTCCCCACCCCCCGGGTGTGCTTGGATCTCTACACGACGGTAAGACAAACTCTAAAGTCAGAGGGCTTGACCTTTGACCAAGTATGTGAGTAAGAAGCCGGTATAAACATGACTATTATCCGAATGCTTTATGGACCGCTATGCCATGATAATGCTCCCAAAAATTCCCGATGCCCTAGTGTTCAAACGCCGTTTACGAATGCATGCTTAGCAGCTATTTTCTAAGCAGATCCCCCTCTTTCTCCCGGCTCTTATCTCATGCTGTATTTCTATGTTGCTCAGACACCTCTAAACACTCACACTTACGACATGTCGTCATCCTGTCCACCATCCTCATCGGCCTTGTCCTCGTTTCCCTCAGCCTCTGCGGCCCCACCTAATATCTGTTTCGACACACACGACACATCTTCTGCGGTAGGTTTTTGTTTGTGGCCGTAGGGGCTCCATCGCCGACCTTCGGCCTGTCTCTGCGGCTTCCGGTTGCTCGAATTAGGATTTTTGACGATTTGACCGTCGTCCATGCGATGAAATGTGGTGTCCTTGCCGTCAATATGGTCCGAAATATCTGCATCCTTCTCGTCTTCCCACACCATTAAGTTCGCACCGTTGATCTCAATCGAGCGGCATCCTGTCCATGGCACGTGGAAGATGTCCGCGCCCGATTCGCTGAAGTCCTGGTCCCAGGTTTCCCTCTGTTGCATCTTCGTGATGTAGTCCATCGGAAGAGTGTATAAGACGTTGTCCTCCTTATCGTAGACCTCCTTGAGTGGGTAGCTGAGCACAGCGAGTCCAAGTCCGCAATCCACCCGGGAGGATATAGGGTGCAGCCGGCCACCAAAGACCTTGAGTTCGAAAGCAATGCCAGATTCGGTCCACATGTTGTCGTTAAAGAAGACCTCAGGTTCGCCCAACGGATGCTCGTGATGTGGTCCAGATACTTCGATGAAGTGTGCCATCTCGTGTGCGAGGCAAACGGCGAGGAACAGATTAAAGCGCAATACCATGGCAGGCTCTGGATAGCGCAGTAGGCTCAATTTCTTCGCAGTGGTGTAGAAGTCCGAGTGGAGGCAGATTCTGCTGGTGTGGCATTTGCGATTCAACTTTCGCATCAATCCGTTCTTGTAATCGGCTACCAAGCCCATGGATGCATAGGCGGGATCCGGTGGTAGCGGGTCGCGATGGAACATGAAATGTACTGTATCCACCTGGTCATCTATAAAGCTCTTGAACGCAGTCGCGTGTTCTTCGGCCCAAGGAACCTCTTCGCGTATGCGGAAACAAGGCTGGCCGTATGCCTCAGTTGTCTTCTCGCATGGCTTCCTCTCCCCAAACACCAAAGTATGCCAAAAGCCGGATGTTGCTCGAGAGAATAATAGCATAGTACTCAGGCGTAGAGCGGGCTCCAACACCATGTAGATCTCGTCGGAGCAGCCATGGAAATTCTCCGGGCGGAAGATGGGATGGATCTCATTGTCCAAAGTAGACGCCCTGACAGAGGCATCTTCGGGAAAGGTAACAGCTTGCCTCTTGATAAGCTCGATGGGGTCGAAGCCTAGTTTGATCGACCTTCGCTTCGCGGGATCTTTCCGGTGACCGAGCAGGCGCCGATACTTCTCCAACACTTTCCGGTCCGCCACTTGCGCCAAATGGTGATTAATTGAGATGCTGAGCTGTAGTCCAAAATCTTTGGGTACTTCTATCGTTGACGGAGTGAATGTAGCTGAGTCATCGTAGCTTAACACATCCGGGAGGTCGCGCACAAGTTTGTCGATGCATTCGTCCATGATTACACCCTCTTGGAGCTTATGGAGTAGCACGGCATTCTCTCCTCGCTCTTGAAGCTGGTACTCGCCGTCTCCGCCATCAGGCGGCAAATGACGCATATTCTTTGAAGCCGTCGGTGGCGGCCCGCATGCTGTCGGAGGAGTGGTGGCGCCGGTGGGAGTCCATTCCATGCTATCAGGATCATCTTCTTCAAATACCGTAGCATTTCCCGCTGTCCCTTCTTCCGCAACTTCCTCATCCGCGGCGGGGTCTTGGTTCAGGCGTTCCTCCAATAGGTGGCTGGCATGTATCATTGCCTCATACGCCTTTCGGTACCTAAAAGGGTCCATAGCGCGGTCGGGCACGCCTCGGTAGGATAGCGGCTATGATGCTTCCTTTGGATAGTAGAGGAGTAGGAATTGTGCAGGGGGCTGCGTAACCCGACTGCGTCCAAAGAAGGATGCTGTCCCGTTGTAGGTCCCGAGATCGGGTCGCCGGTGCTTTGACAATAAAGGCGTGTGTTCTCTTTCAAACCGGATATTTTCTCAGCCGTGTTGATAGCCCAGCGAGTGTCGATTCCAGAGAGTGCTCGGCGGTGCGGTTGTTGGGGTATTCACGCTCATCGGGCCAAAGGTGTCAAAGGGAGTCCTAGCTCGATTCTCTAGGCAACAAGAAGCAAAATAGAGACCCAGAGCCCCTCCAGCCATAGGTCAAGTTCCGCGTTGATTCACCGCGCCCGGTCCAGCAGCTAGTGGAGTGAAAAAGCCCGCAATGAAAATCAAGGCTTCTTTCAAGCGGGAGGAGATAATTATCCAGGAAAACCAGAGAGTCGTGTCGGATGATTCATAGCAGTCTCTTGAGCGTTCCGAGCCCGGAAGAATGGAGAACTGAGGTCGTCGATGGCTGATCGGATCGTAAGGCAGTCGCGGTGAGAAAACATGAGTTGTTATCCGGGTTAGGAGAGATCCGTGCGCACCCGGTCAGCTGCACGTTGACATGCGCGCTTATGTTGTTAGTGTCTTGGCACGCTCGGTATCTCACCTTTGGACCACGAGAATAGACAGGAGAGAAGAGTAGGTCCGCGGGATCCTGGTGTCCTTCACGACCCTTCCCGCATTCAGATGTGTTCACTTGACTATGCATTGTATGCTACCTACACTCCGAAATGTGAACGCTCAGAAAATTACAAAGGGTCACGCCCTCGAACAAATGGGTTTAGAGGAACCCGTGCAACCAAGATCTCGTAGTCCCTATTTGCGGGACATGAATCCAATCTTCTATTCAACGTCGAGGCTATCATGGCAAGAGGCAGGCTGTGTTGAATGGCCTGGTGGAAACCGCTAATGTATACCAGATGACGAGTTCAAGAGTTGAGGGTGTGTGTCCCTAGCAAGATCCAATCACTAGATGACCGACCATCCTTATGCAAATAAGGAAAGAAATTGACGCGCGAATGAGGCTGACAACTGCATCGAACAGCTTCCCGGCTAACTAAACACAGCCCCCGTGGAGTTGCCGGCATATGCGTAGATAGGAACACCGTTGACTGTGTCTACCATTTCTTGCTCAGCGACATCCGATGATGTTGCACTTACTCCGCTACTAGGCGCAGTGGAAGGGTCCGTGGAAAGTGTCAAGCTGTTCGTAGCTGCGCTGACTCCGCTTGCGGTGGAACCTTGGGTGGACGTAGCGTCTTCCTCAGGAGCGGTCAGGCCCTGCCGGACTGCGAGGACGTTATCAACGATGAGAGCATCAATACCCTCGTTCTTCTGCGACTGCGGGGTATTAGCTTAGGTAATATAATTTCCGTATAGCAACGTCACTTACTATGACATTCTTCATCTCATTATTAAGTGTCCCATAGCTCACGCAAACAAGTCCACTTTCTTTGACGACCCTTACCAACCTCGGGCATGCGACGAGAGGTTCTGCTGCGCTTACAATGCCGAGCAGATTCCAGCGGCTGGCGAAGCGAATAGCTTCCTGTAGACTAGCCGCTCGGACGTCCCCAACAGGGCAAGTACCAGCATCGGTGAGGAAGAAGACGGGAATCGATGGTTGCTTGAACGAGAGCATGAGGCAGATATCCGGATTGAAGGAAGAAAACATGATGCTACGCTTCCCGATGAAGTCGTATACCATCTTAAGGACTGTGTCCACAAAGGAGTTGAGCTCGACAGCGTACTGGTCCATCTCGTGTTCTTCAGATTCGTGGAGCATAGGGTATTTCATCTCAATGTTGAAGCCCGTGGTTTCGGGCAACTTCTTAAACATCTTCTCGAGCGTCGTGAACTCCTCTTGAATGAAGTTTCCCCTACTATTGCCCTTGTATCCTTTTATCTTGAAGTCGCGTGTATGCTTCATTCGTTCAGCAAGCTCCACTTGGTGACTCCTGTGGATGTTCTTTTGTTTCGAATTATCCACCGAATATGAGCGAGGTCGTCGAGAGAGTTTGCCAGTATTAGCTTCAGCGGTTATTCTGTTGTCCTCAGGAGAACCGGGCCTCGACTGCCGAGGCGTCTGGCCTTCGCTGACGTGGAGGAATTGTTCGAGGGTCAAAGTATGAACAGGAGCATCAATGCCCGTTTCGCTGACTAAGAAGTCGTGATATATCACTGGCACATGATCCTTGGTTAGTTGTACATCAAACTCGACGTACGAGGCGCCAAGGTTGGCTGCAGCAATGAAAGACTGAATGGTGTTCTCTCCAAGCTGCAGCGAGTTTCGAGAAGCCGTGTTCTTTCCAAGCCCTCGGTGGCCAATGACCATTGTCGATGTCATCTTCTTCCAATAAGTGTGCTGCTCGGTGATGGACATGTTCGGGTGAGTGAAGGGAGTGATGATGAGGAAGTTGAAGTTAACAGAGCCAATGACCTCTAGTGTGGTAGCCGCTACAATGGGAACTTTGACATCGCCTTGCAAGGGAATGCGATTCGAGCCGATGCTTGTCTTGATGGTGGATAGCAATGCTACGCCGCGTCCAACAATGCGGTCCGTTGATCCCGCGTAAGTGGGGACGATGTCGAATAGTAGTTTAACCTTGGAAACATCGGTGGTCATGAAGGTGAAGGGCTCGGTGCATATGTTCTCTTGCACGGGTAGATCGACGACACTGGAGTCACCAGTTGCGCCAGTTGCAGACACGACTACTGAGAGAGCAGTGTCGAGCTGGGTGGCATGGGCATCGGCCAGAGGGATGTCCTCAAGTTTGACAGCGGGAATGTTCTTCCTTGTGTCCATCGAGCCAAGACTGACGAGGATCATGGTCTCTTTGGTCAGGTAACGGTGACCGAACGATTTGACAGGCTCGGGCGGTTTCTGATAGACGGAAGAGTTCTCCCTGCTCAGGTTCTTAGATCTTCGTTCTTCGAGTGAAGACCCATCCGGCCGCAACCGTGCCTCTACCGGAGGTGATTTGGGGGTTGGCCCAATCTCGGCGAGCTCTTCCACTATATGCATGTGGCCTCGCAACGCGGCGTGCTCCTTCGCTGTCCAGCCAGAGTTGTCGCATCGTTCTAGATTCGCTCCTGCAGCGACGAGAAGCTCGACCATGGGAAGATGACCGTCCACGCAGGCGATGAAAAGGGGTGTCCAAGCAAAGGTCCTCTCGGGAACGTCTACTTGGGTCTTGTACGATACTGAGCCTTCTAGCAAAGCTTTTGCGCACTCGGCGTGACCGAATCGTGCTGCAATGTGCAGCGCCGTTTCGCCTTGTTCGTTCTGGTAGTTCACGTCTACGCCCGCTTCTACTAGGAGCTTGACAATGGCGACAAAGTTCGACTGTGTGGCAAGAGCGAGAGCTGCACCGGATTCGGAAATTGTCTTCCTGAATGCGAGCTTCTCACTGGTCTCCCCCAGCCAGTTCTCTGCTTGAAGCAGTGCCTTCGTGGTAAGTGGATGACCACCCATTACGGCGAGATGAAGAGGTGCATAACCTTCCGCGTCCTGCCAGTATGGCGAATCGATGCCCTGGCTGACATTGAACTGGCCCCAATCCTGCATATGTTTGATGACAACCTGGCAAATGACTACAAAGCCGTACTGGGCGGCGTAATGAAGCGGCAGCCGTCCATAGGTATCACGAGATTGGAGCGAAGACCGTTGGCGGGGTTGGAGCCGGTCAAGGAGGTAAGTGAGGAGCCGAACTGACTCGTCGTTCTTGCTCAACAGCTTACTAGACTCATCTTCGGTGGTTGTGCATGGCGCAGGGTGGCGGTTTGGCGCGGTTGCAGGCGCGATGAAGTTAGGTTCACTTGAAGTCTGCAATAAGGGGCCTTCAGCGCCGAGATTTTCGCCACTCTTTGAGCGGCCAATGTTGATGACCAAGCGATGAATGCAGTTGCGTTTGTTGATGTCGTCCTCCTCTTCTAGGGAAGCGATGTCCGGTAATAGTCGGTCTATACAGGCCTTGGCGCGACACGAGATGGCTCGCTGCAGGAGGTTCAGAAGTGTCTGCTGAAACGAAGGGCTTGTCGGGTCGTTCTTGGATGATATCTCGGAAACGAGCCGAGAAAGGGTCTGCGCATCGTCGTTGCGAATGGCCTGATCCACAGCATCCAGCACTCCTGTTGAGAGGTTCAACGCGCGACCGGGCACCCTGCCGAGGGATGCTGCAGAGTGCGTAGATCCGGTGTCATCGAAAGTCTTAATATCGCCAAGACCCGATAACCACTCGTTGACTGCCTTCATAGCCTGGTTCAGCGGCATGTTGTGCGCAAATGGTCTGGGGTTGACCTTCGAGGCCAAGTAGCGCTGCTGTGTCGGATGGCCGGGTATCTTCTTGTCCAGCTTCTTCGTGATCTTAATGAAGCCCCGGCGGTTGACCTCGCCATACCACTGAAGCTTCCGCAGCTGGCCGCGGAGCTCCAGCAGGGCGCCCATGAGGTCCTGCGCCTCGTCCTTGTCGATGCCTTCGGGGACTTGCGCAGCATGGCCATAGCGGCCGTGGAGGAGCTTCAGCCGTCGGGCGCATTCGGCATACTTCTTGTTATAGAAGCCGTCGACGTCTTCTAGATTCCGATCTAAGGAGAAGAAGAAGGCTGCGATAGTATTAGCTGGCTAAGGGGTATGGTACGCAACGCTGGGTAGCTTGCCTGCAAGGTCGGGCTCGTCGCCATTCTTGACGGCCTCGGCGGCGGTCTTGACGAGCTTCTTGAGGCCTTTGTAGTCGATATAGGATAACGCCCACTCGGGGACCTGATTCCGCGGCAGATTGTGTCCGAATTTCATGTTCGCAAATCTGCGGGTTGTGGAGGATGGATGCTGCTCCTGGGTGTGGAGCTCTAGGCGCTTGTTACTGCGCAGCGGAGCGCAAACGAGTGTGCAAAAAGCAAAGGAATGCGGCGATTGAATGCACGGGTGAAGGCTCGATATCCATTCGGGGCCTCGCAGTTGCTGCCGGAGGTGCTTTACGCGGACCTGTTCATGTGGGTGCTTCTCCGATTCTCATTGGAGGGGCTGGGAATCGGGGGAACGGTGGGCGACGTGGTGAGCGCGCCTGCATTGTGGTTAAGATATAGTGCCATGGTTGCAGATGCAGTAGGGGCAGACTGTGGGGAAGCACACCGAAGGCGGGCCGGGTGCTGCAGCGTGGTGAGGTAAGGTAGGTAGATTGAGCGTGCGGGGAGTGTGGTTGAAGGTGAAAGATCTGAGGGCGTGTAGCGGGCCCTCGCTTGCCAGGATGACGACAAAGAGCAGTGGCGGCGCTTTCACGTGCCTGATGAGCAATAAAGAACCTAGAATGTTTCAGGGCGCTGCAAGCGGGAATTTATACTACATGCCACAAACGAAGAAGGCTCTGCGCTGCTTCGGAGACTCGGCGTTATACTCCACTATCCAACGCTCCTCTTGCGTCACAGGTCCCGCAGCGGCATAGACGCTCTAGAGGGCCCGTCCCGTTCGTGCTTGTCTGCCCTCCTTCACCGACTAGGTTTGCTTTTCCGAGGGCGGGCGGGCGAGCTGCATGCCTCTGCGTCTCGGCGTGGAGGGGAGAAACGCCTATCTGCCGTCGTGTGCGCGTGCCATCCATCGCGGCGAGTCGCAGTGCAAAGAAGAGGAGTGCAGTCGCGCAGTCACTGGACGAAGCGACAACGCAGCCCTGGAGGCGAGCAGAAGGGGCTGCAGCTGACTACGACGTGGGCTTCGCGGGAGGCAGTTTGCCCAGCAGCGGCAAGTGCGCACACGACCTCTTGCCTTTCGCGACCCCACTGTCCCCGTCGTGATAGGCAGGGACCATCGTGTGTGGCTAGCTACGCGGCCAAGCATGTACACCGCTTCAGACCCTGAGCATCACGCCGACGGCTACTCGTGAGGGCTTGCATCAGACGTCTATTGATCAGCGGACCGCGGGACTGTCCCCGCGGCATACGCCTCTATCTAGCTTTCGTTCGTCAAGGGAAGCGTCCTGTGAAGGCCCTTCCAAATGCACAGACTCTGCAGAGTGAGAGCTCGTTCACTCTCACAGCTGGAGCTTGGCTGTAGACCTCCGAGGCACCATGGACGAACCGACCAGATGCCTCAGGAGAAGAAGAACGTGTTACCTTCTGTGTCCTTGCGCTGCGCTTTGGAAAGCTTCTTCTCGGGATTGTACTCTTCCCAGACGCTGGCGGGGAAGATGTGCTTGTTGCGCTCGTACCACCGGCGGTCGACCACCTTCGTCAGCGTGGGATCATCGTCGAAGCCTTCCAGTTCCTCGTCCGCAATCGTAGACCGCTTGTCCTTGTCCTTGTCAGGCCGTCCGAGAGGGTTGAAGTTGCTAGTCTCTAGCTCTGGCCCAGTGTCCACCGGTGTGGCTTTGGTTGCTTGCGCCGAGTAGTCAAAGAGCGGCCCATTGAATCCGGCCACTCTGTTGAATAGGAAGTAGTAAAATTCGTAGTGCTGCAACGAGGTCAGTTAGCACCTATCATGGAAGGGGCTTGGTAGCACACATACATGAGGCAGGATAACTTCACCTCTAACGAGCATCAGGTCGTCGACGCTGACCCTGGCCCAGTCCCTCCTGCTCTTATCGCCGCCCACTCCGAGCTCCGCCCCGACCTTCCTCGCCTTGTCAAGGAACAGCCAGATGTGGTCGCCCTTCTTCACCCTGCAGCGGCCGCCTGGTATGTTGGTCCCGTCGTAGAAGACGAATGGGATCACCACCTCCGTGGCCTTGACTGCTTCACGCATAGCGAGGAAGTCTTGTCGTGCCAGGTCGGCCTGCTGCGCCTCGCGCTGCAGCGCAGACTTTGTCATCACTCTAGGTTTCAGGCCGATCCCCAGGTTCGCCCCAAGCTTCTTCTTTTTGAAGACCTTGCCCTCGCTTTCGGAATTTACCGCCGAAGAATCTGCTGGTGTGCTGTCGCGGGGTGTGGGGGCCGCAGATGCACTGGAGTCGGCGTCTTCATCTTCGTCGACGCCGAACGAGAGCTTGCCTTTCCCAGCTATCTTTCGCTTCTTCTTGACGGAGGGTTTCAGCGTCGATGCCCTGTACTTGAAAAATTAGCCCCGGCTCTTGCAGGTCGCGCAAGGGTACGTACCCGTCTTGCGGCGTGCTGGCACCTGAGGTTGTGTTTGATTCACCGCGCTCTTTGCGCTCCAGGGCTTCGGCGCGTCGCTTACGAAAGTCATCGAGATGGACCAGGCCCACCGTTTGCGACTTGAGCAGGTCTTCTGCCGTTGCGGCCTGGGCGGTGAAACGCGAGGCGGCAGGTGTGCCGCTGCGTGAGCGATCGCTGGTGCTGGGCGCAAATCTGTCCATATCTGCTAGGGTTGAGGGTTGTGTGAAGGCGGCGGCCTTTCTTCGCAAATGTGCCGTGCCTGCCAAATCGCGCTAAGACGCTTTCACATGATCTCGCGTCACTGGCGAATTCCCCACGATTGAAGCCCCACTATCTTTCATCGACTGCGGCCCATTCCGTCCAATTTAACAATCTGAGCTCCGTTATGCACAGGTAGCCATGAGAGTCATTCAGGACTCCGAAGATGAAGATGATCTCGAGCTCGAAGCAGCCGGCAACGGCGCGCCGAACGACAAAGACGCGTCTTTCAAACACTCCGACCCATCTCCACCGTCGGGCGAGAGGGGAACAGGCTCAACAGGTATCCTCCCTAGCTTCGAGCTGCTATAGAGGCAGTTGGTTGACTGGCGGCAGAATCTCTAAAGCGAGCCATTGAGGCAGCCCATCGCGCACATTTCCAGACGGAGGTAGGCGCATCGCCTACTCCTGCCGTCCAGCAGGAAGCGTTTCACTCCTCTGTAACTCTGCCGACGCCAATCAGTAAGAGAAGGAAGACCTCAACAGACGCCGCGCCCTACAAGTTCCCTGCAGGTGGCCCAGCTCGAACAAAGGCTCCAGTCACGTATGGCAGATCGAAGACATCCTTTGGTAGCCCGCTTCTCGAGCAGACGGAAGAAGATACGAATGAGAAGGATACATCTCATAAAACCGAGAAGACATGGAGTCTCCAAGGGACTATGCAAGCCGCTTTCGCGCAACAGGAACCCCTGGCTATGTTTCCCGAACCATCGAGTACCGTCCCAAATGCCACTGCTACACCGCAGCGGCGGTTACTGGAGGAGGTTTTGGCCCCGGAATTCTTAGGCCTTCGCCCGGACCCTGATGCGCCCGCGTGGCAGCCTGCAAAGTCCTCAGTTCCTTGGTCCGACTTTCTAAAGTCGCCCTCTGGAAACACAGAGGATAAACCTGATCCCTCAAATCAGTCACAAGTGCCATCAGACCAGCGCGGGGATTCCTCGCAAAAATTGACGGGTGGCGCGACACTGGAGCCTGCTCTAGCCGCCGTTCAGACTACCCAACAATCTCAACGCAGTCGGCGCAGTTCATTCACACATCTAGAAGGCAGTCAGTTCCGGAAGGAGGCCATACGAGGTGTTGTTAATCCTAAAGACATCATGGGCCCTCCGCCCATTATTAGCCCGGAGACGCCCAACGAGGGGGCAGTCGTCCATTGTGCTACACCTTCAGGGACGGACAGAAGCTCGTTGAGCAAGAGACGCGCCGCTGAGGAAATTTGCAAGTCCCCTCATCGACAGAAGAACGGCCAAGAAGAGCCCGTGCCTGCTGCACGTACTATTAAGGCGAAGGAAAAGTCCAGTTCTGTGCGCAAACCGGATGATGACCTGGCGGCTATTGGTCTTCCAAAGGAGCAATACAAACCTCGTCCGAGTCGATCGAGGTCTCTCAAGCTCAACGAGGATCCGATAGATTACTCGATCAGGCCGGAGAAAGTGACGAAAGGACCTCGGCGGAGCAAGACAACAGGCGGGGCAGACGAGGCAACAACCGCTACAACTCCCCAAAAAGTCCGACAAATTTGCGATATGGGATTTACTCCATCTACAACGCAGAGGGCTCTGCGGCAGAACAATGGTGACATCACGCAAACTGTGGACTGGCTGATCGCAAACGGCGTAGCCGGAGAAGATGAGCTAGCGCCTCCGAGACCGTCCAAATCGAAGGGCAAGACAAAGAAAGTCAGTACCCACCCAGATGCGCCTGGGCAGCATATGGAAGCTACGGAGGAGGCTCCGGCATCCGAGAAAGGAGGTCGAAGAGTATCTTTCAGCGTACTGGCGGAGGCAGACGTAGGTCTCGCCATAATGTCGGCCGACGCTCCGGCCGACGCGGTCGCGGAGAATACGATGGCCACCGCTCCTGAGAGGAAGAGCCCTAGCGTGAAAGTGGTCATACCCTCGAGGGAACAGGCGACGGCGTTGAGAGTCAAAGAGCAGCAGCCAGCCGGCATGAGCATTGCCTCTCAAAAGCGAGGTTCTGTTGAGGCTGCTAGAAGCAAAGCTAAGCGCAGAAAGACAACTCTGGACCAGCCAGAATCCACTCTTGAAGGACATCAGATGGGTACGCCGGAGCCGCCGAAGGAGAAGAAACGAGGTCGCGGCCGACCTCGCAAGGAAGCAAAATCAGTCGAATCGATATTGGCGGAACAGGACGAAGCAGCACCACAGTCTAAAACGATCCACACAAAAGCCGTACTCCAAGAGATTCAACCAAACGTGTCTCCAATCATCGAGACTAGCATCACGAAGAAGGCGAACGACCAGACTGATGCTCCAGTAGCCGCAGTGGAAGAGGTGCTGGCGTCTACACCTCCGCCAAAGCCCACGACTGCATCCACAGAGCCGTTGCGCACACCAGATAACAAGACGAAAGCTGCAAACGCCAGTCACTCGCCTCTCAGCAAAGGCAAAGTGCCATACCGCGTCGGCCTGAGCAAGCGGGCTCGCATCGCGCCACTTCTCCGCACACTCAAGAAATGAGCGCCAGCGGAAGCAACGGAAGCCACGGCACCGGTAAACCTACCAATTAACGTATTTACGACTACATAATGCCATGAAAACGATACCCCCTTCGCGCTTACCGTTCTCCCCATAATTTCCACCTCTATTGGCAGCTGGGTCGAAGTTCGGCGTGGCGCGCTATTGACGTCTCGCCCTGTAGACTAGAGAATTAGAGCCTTGTCCTTGGCGGCTACGTCACTCCTCGCATTTCATGCTTGACTGATTCGCTCTCCCAGAGCGCTCTGTTTGCCATGCTATTTTCAGACCGTACTGCAGCGTTACCCAGAGTCCAGTGTGACGGCGGCACGTTAACACGCGATGATGCACAAGGAATCGCGTGCCGGAGCGAATGGTAACACGACGTGAGGCTCGCGTGGACGACACGAGGAGAGCTTGTGTGCGAGCTATCGATTTGAAAAGCTTGATCGAATGGCGAGGAAAACGAGGCCTCGGAGGATCGTATGGTGCCAAGACAGCCAAGACATCCCGCCGTCTTTCAGGGGCACGGCGAATCCTTCGCTAGCTCCTCCACCTCACCACGCAGGACCCAGAACAGTGGTGGCATCGGGCGCCGCCGTCCTTCCCCGGGCGACACGCGGCAGGATTGTTAGGCGCTCACCTCACGAAGTTTTCCGGACGGAAATCAGTCCCAGGAGCGCGAAGTTCTACTCACCACATAAATTCTGACGGCCTGCTATGCTGCATCCTTCCGAGTTTCCTCTGGTCCGCTTCTCTTCGAGCGCCACCAGCATCAGCAACTTCCTCCTTCAACAAGCGACCGCGTTCGAAAGGCATGCTCTTGACTCGGTGCCGTGACGGCTCACGGCTTCTGTTGACCAGACAAAGACGCGTTTAGTGGCATGCCCAGCCCTATCGGCCCATCCTGGGGTATTTTTAAACGCCGCGATGCGCTTGGCATCACAGCGCACCCCTTTCGGGCGCCGCTGATCCCCTTTCATCTAGGCTCCGTGGTCTTGTGCTAAGCGAGCGGGCTCAAAGCATGAACCTCAAACACTGTCGGCTGTTGTTTTTCGCGTACGCCCTTACGCTTCTGCTCGCATTTCTGTTCGGTTTTGTTGGCCCAGCTCATGTTTCCGCGCCCTGAGCACGCAGTATCTGTGGGGCCTGATCCTTCCATCCCGTATTCTGAACCTTACCCAATTTCCAAGACCCCCGGCCCGTCTGTCGTGACAGTAGCATGCTTACTAGCCAAGACTCGCCTTGTGAGCTCCTCCAGGCGCCGCCGCGCCGAGAGTCTCCTGCATGGCATTGTCGTATAAGAAAAGGCAGCCGCCTCTCGATCTGATCTCCTTTCACTCTTTTGTCCGTCTTTGCTCGTCAAGACGCCCGTCACTCGCTTTCATTGTTACGATCTACCACTATCCTAATCGTTAATTCACACGTCTTCGCTCGTTACATTCGAGCGTACGCCGACATTCGCTTTTCTTACTAGGAGATATTAATTTAAACGGTTCGCCGCCCATTACCCGGAACGATGCGCTTCTCGGAAATCTTGGCTGCCTCGTCATTGGTGGCAGCACCGCTCGTCGCCGCTCATGGTGATGTCCCCCATGCCCCCAAGATATGGGGTTTGGGACCGAATCCGATGCAGAAGTTAAAGGGGAGGAACTTCGCTGGACCGGCTGCACGACGTGCTGCTTTGCCTCAGCATGCACCTCAATTGAACAAGCGCCAGGGAGGAGCAGATGGACGATGTGGTCCCGAGGGCGGAGGCGCAAGCTGTGACGAAGGCTACTGCTGCTCATCTGCCGTACGATTCCCTGCCATCTTCGAGGTTAACAAGGATTCGTACTGATCGCATTCTAGGGATGGTGCGGTAATACCGAGGAGTACTGCATGGCTCCCGACTGTCTGTTCAATTATGGACCCGCTTGCGATGCGAACAAGGTCCCCAATGGAGCCGACACCCGGAACATTGCTCGTCCTCAGCTCGGATCGGTTCCCTATGGTGGCGAGGGGATCTATCAATGCACTGTCCCCGGCACTGTTGCTATCACCTACGATGACGGTCCTTACATCTACACCAACGATGTTCTGGACCAATTCGCATCGTATGGCATGAAGGCCACTTTCTTCATTACCGGAAACAACATCGGCAAGGGTGCTATTGATGACGCCTCGACGCCCTGGCCTGCCGTCATTTCCCGCATGCTCTCCGAAGGACACCAAGTTGCCAGCCACACCTGGTCTCACCAGGATCTCAGCGCTATCACTCAGGCGCAGCGTATCGACCAGATGGTGCACAACGAGATGGCCATCCGCAACATCATCCAAAAGTTCCCCACTTATATGCGCCCACCGTACTCCTCTTGCACGGCCGCCTCTGGATGCCAGTCTGATCTGGCGGATCTCGGATACGTCGTTTCCTACTTCAACCTGGACACCGACGGTACGTATATCTTCGATTGCACTAAAGCTGTTCAATACTAACCCCCAACAGATTACAACAACGTCACTCCTGATCTTATCCAGAACGCCAAGGACAACTTCTACGACGCCATCAACCCCAGCAACCCGTCGAACGATGATTTCCTTGCCATTGCCCACGACATCCACCAGCAGACTGCTCTGAACCTCACTGGCTACATGCTCGGCTTGCTCCAGCAGAAGGGCTACAGGGGCGTCACCATGGGCGAGTGCATGGGCGATCCTGAGGCTAACTGGTACCGTGACTCCTCTGGTACCGTTGTTACGTCGACCTCCGCCACTCCTTCAGCTACCCAGTCTGGTTCCTCTACCCTGACTCCGCCTACTGCTACGCCGTCGGTCGTGTCTCAGGATGGCTCTTGCGGTGGCACCAATGGTTACACCTGCATTGGCTTCGCCGATGGCGAGTGCTGCAGCCAATACGGATGGTGGTAAGTTCTCACACCTCAACTTGCCCTCTCGAGAACCGACTAACATACCCCAGCGGTACTTCAACCGACCACTGCGGTACCGGCTGCAACCCCTTCTACGGCAACTGCGGCTCCAGCTCCGGCGGCTCTTCCACCGTCGCTCCTTCCAGCACCCCGGCCACTTCTACTCCGACATCCACCCCCACGGGCTTGACCTCCTCACCTGATGGCACCTGTGGTCCCAACACGGCCTATACGTGCATCGGCTTTGAGCTTGGCGAGTGCTGCTCCACCTATGGCTGGTGTGGTAACACTGCGGATCACTGCGGCACTGGCTGCAATCCGCTTTATGGAAACTGCGGCTCTTCTGTTAGTTCATCTTCCGTTGCTGTTTCTTCTTCGACCGCCTCGTCTGTCACGAAGGATAGCGCGTCTTCCACTGTTTCTTCCGAAGTCGTCTCGTCGACTGAGGCCTCTTCTACCGCTTCTTCTGAGGTCGCGTCGTCCACTGAGGTCTCTTCCACCGTTTCCTCTGACGTCGTTTCCTCCACTGAGGTGTCTTCTGTGCATTCTTCTGTAGCCTCGTCTACTGAGGCGTCCTCTACGGAGGTCTCTTCCACCTCGGGGCACCCTGATGTATCTTCTACTGTTTCTTCTTCCGACGTCGTGTCTTCTACCGATGTCTCCTCTTATACCCCCACTTCTGATGTCGTCTCCTCTACCGATGTCCCCTCTTATACTCCCTCCACCGGCATCTCTTCACCTTCCTCCACGCCCTGTCCGAGCAGCTCCTCACCAACCACGTATAGTCCCGCAAGCTCGTCCGCCGCTCCTAGCACCATCAAAACTTCCTTCAAACCCACCTCAACCCCCTGCAAGACTTCGAAGCCGACTCCGACCCCAACGCCTAAGGTCAGCACGAACGGCAAATGCGGGACCAAGAACGGAGGTATGACGTGCAAGGGGTATAAGGGCTGGTATGGCAGGAGCGAGGAGTGCTGCAGGTGGGATGGGAAGTGTGGTGGTGATGTGTTTTCGTGTGGCATGGGATGCCAGAAGAAGTTTGGCAAGTGCTGGTGGTAGATTAGCACCATGGGAATGTGGAGCTAGTTGGGTTTGGTGTGAGGCGTGAGTGGTGTTGAGAGCATTGGAAGTGTGTATATGCATGTGAGTTTTGGGTGGTGTTGTAATGGGCATAAAAAAGGGTTTCCTCTGTGGTAATGCAAAGGGACTTCCGGGGTAAAAAAATGGGCACATGGAAATTAATCTCAATACTCTTCGTTCTTGTGCTCAGATGCGATGGGTCTCCTGTATGCGTTCTATATGCGATGTGATGCCTCTCTGAGCCTTCTAGACAACCTATCTAACCCATGCTTTATCTATCGTTCGAATACACCCACGCTCACTTACCCAGCATCCCCAAAGAAGACCTTCACAGGCAACCACCCATCCTTGCAAACCTTAAACCTCTCTGGCATACCGCTCAACTGCTTCATCTCCCCATCGCCCAACCCCCACCCATCGACCTCGAAGTTCGCCTTAATCCTACTCTCGGTAACACTCTTCGGGATCACACTCGTACCCCTCGGCAGTGCCCACATCAACAGCACCTGCTGCACCGTCTTACCCTTCCTCTCCGCCAACGTCTTCAACGCCTCGTTCCTGTACAACGGGGAGTCGGTGGACCCGAGGCAGGAGTACGCCGTGCAGTGGATGCCCTTCTCCTTGCAGTACTCGAGCAGCTTGGGAGAGGGGTTGTTCGGGTGCAGCTCGACTTGGTTTACAGCGGGCGTGGTGCTGCAGGACGGGTCCGCGAGGAGCTTCTCCAGGTTGCGGATGCCGAAGTTGGAGACGCCGATGTTGCGCACGCGGCCGGAGGAGGGGAGTTTCTGTATTTCAGCCCACGTGCGGCGAAAGTCCCAGTCGGGGTAGTGTTTCTTCAGGTCAGTTGGGTCGGTGGAGGATGGCCAGTGCTGTGTGGTGTGTCAGTCCAGTTGCTTTGCTGGCGTCATCATCGCTTTGGGTCAGAACAGATCAAACCATAAGATAGAGGTCGACGTACTCGACGCCCAGGCTCTTCAGCGAGGACTCAATGCCCTCGTCGACCCACTTGTGCCACGGGTTGTCGAGCTTCGTGGTGATCCAGATCTCCTCGCGGGTGACGCCGGAGTCCTTGATGCCCTGGCCAACTTCATGTTCGTTTCCGTACGCTAATGCCGTGTCGATGTGACGGTAGCCGGTGAGGAGAGCGGCCTTGACGGCCTGGTGGATCTCGTTGGGCTGGGATTGCCATGTTCCGAGACCGATTGCGGGGATCTGAGAGCCAGTGTTGAGGGGGAAGGTTTCTTTGGTTCAAGTTTTGGGTGGCATTCTGGAGAGAGTGCGGAGCGTTCAACGATGAATAGAAACCTGAGTCTCTAGAGCAGAAGAATATGAATGCGGAATAAAGACGAGACGAAATCCTACGAAGAAAATTGAGACGGAGAGAGGAGCTTTTGATATGTGTGCAACCATCGCATCGCATCCCACCTACCCCGTCGCCATCTGCATCATCGACCGAAAAAAGGTCCCCTCGCCGCCCCACTAATCAGGTAATAGAAAAAGCCACCGGGAGAACATACATGAACCTTTATTTCCGCGTTCTCCACCAATAGTGTTCGGATTAGCCCGTAATTGCTGTTCACCGTCAACCTTTTCTTTCGACGCTAATCTCTTTTTTAGTGGTGACGTCGTGCAGCCTCCCCTTCTGGGTAATCTATCCGCAAGCCTTTCTCTTAGCTCTCCAACGACCTCGGAAACATCCCACCCATCACACATCAAGCTGCACTCTTCCGACACCCACAACCCGGCTATCAGTGCTGTACCCGATTATTCAGCAAAGATGTCTTCGGGATTTGTCTCCGGAGGCACGATTGAGCACCCCAAAGAGCGCGATGACGAGTGGCGGCGCGCGCAGCAGGAGCTTGAGGAAAAGCGGCTGTTGAAGGAGAAAGAAGGGCAGCAGGACGGGGGAAAGAGCTTGTTTGAGGTCCTACAGGCGAATAAAGGTGATACACGTCTAATTGGTACTGATGGGGCGGGCGGGCTGACATGTTAGGTTGATGCTGGAAGCCGCTAAGCAGGAAGCTTTTGAAGAGGTACGTTGGTAGTCGCTCCTGCCTCCCATTCTACGGAGTGATTACTAGATGAGGAGTGCTAATGTAGGGCTAGGCAACACGACTCAAAAACCAGTACCGCGCCCTCGATGACGACGAAGCGGAGTTCCTCGATTCGGTGCTCGAAGCTACTAGGCAGAAGGAGGCGGAGGTGAAGAAGGAGACACTGGAGCAGCTAGATGCATTCCGAAAGCGGCAAGAGGAGGCGGAGAGGAAGGCGCTGGAGGAGGAGAACACGGAGCCCCCGAAAGAAGATGAGGCGCAGTGGGTTGCGCATGGGAGGAAGAGGAAGAAAGGCCGTGAGCTGCTCAAGGGTGTGAAGCTGAGGCGGGTAAGCTCGGCGGCAGAGGACACGGCGGCGGCGAGGAAGACTATCCAGGCAGAGAGCAGGAAAGAGGAGAAGAAACCGTCTGCTGCCGCTGAGAAGCCTCAACCACCTGCTCAAGCCAGCCCAGTCAAGCCTACGTCCGCCTCGCCTCCGTCTAAGCCGTCGAATGCTCTCGCCTTAGGCCTAGGATATGCCTCTTCCGATGACGACGGTTGAACTCATCGTCATGTAGGAATGGTATGATTCTCAGGAAGCAGTATGCGACTGTGCCGCATGCCCGAAGCTGATTGGACGTTTCTACCCGCCAGCCACATCCACCTACCCGAGACGGACAGTCCGATAGCGAATTCCGTGTGTACCTTGCCTGTGGCGCAGGCAAGGCGCTTTGCCTTCTGCGATCGACTGGATAAGGACGATGGCGACTGCTACTGGAACAGCGGTTCGGCATGATATTGAGGGCGGTGCGGCCCGCGAAATGCGATGGATTCGCTTTCATGATCTGGTTCAGGGTACAGTGACTCAGCCTCTTTATGCGACAGTTTCTTGTGGGTCCCGATATGTCTATACTTGCGGAAAGGCTGTGTAACACCTGGGCAAGCAACTCCGCCTAGCGACCACGTGACAGGACTCAGGCGGTATCCGGCGTCCCTGCTCTGCTCTTGCCAGGCAAAATTTGATAACGTACAGAAGCCAAAATGATCCAGAGTGATGTCGCAGCTCGCGCAACAGCAACTTGGTATACCTCACCCTGAAGGGATCCAGCGCATTATCAGTTGCCGTGTTGGCAAGGATACCGACATCTGCATGCAACCTGCAACCTCAGGCGGCGAAACATGGCTTGCCCACACCTGTACGTTCCCGCCGTCGATTCTGATTGGCGCTGAGCCTCATTGGCCTGGTTGTTCGATTCCCGTGTTACGGTACGCATGCCTGCATGTCTCAGCTGTCTCTCTCAGCCTAACTCCGGAAACCTACTCTTGGGGACCCTCAACACACTGAAGACAGACGGGAAGCTACAGGACCCACCTGCCTTTGCCCTCACCGCTCTAGCTTTGACCATGATGCTATGTTGCTGCCTGGATCGGACTGTTTCACTCACTCCAGTTGCGCCAAATTGCTCGCCGCTATCTCACCGCCACAGCAACCAAACACATATATTTTTGTATATCTTGTGCAGCGCCTTCACTGCCGGTGCCCACTCACAAATCCCTCAAATTCCCCCTAAATTTCTCAACTTTCCCGTCTCGCAACACATCACCGTTGTATTATCGTTCCTGTCCCTAACGCCTTCAGTCCAGGCTCACCTCACCTCAACTCACAATAGCGGACGGGAGAAGCTCGTAGTCTACGCGGTTTCGGCGCCATGGGAGCGGTCGACAAAGAGGCGTTGGCCTACCTGGTCCACCATCTCGTGCTCCCGCCCAAGGTACGTATGTCGCGGTACACACTTTCGACTGTGGGAATCCGCTCCGAGTGGCCTTCAACAGAATAAGTGCAGGGACATTGCTAATATATATGTCACGTCTGTAGGTGCCCCAAAAGGACGACTCGACGGCATCCAATGAGCGCGCCCTTCTCGAGACAACTTCAGAGGCCTTGCGAAAATTTGGAAGTGCTATCCAGGCCGAGCATGCCGGACTTGCTCCGCAAGTCGAGTCCGCGACCTCCATGATCAATAACTTGCTCCGTAGCCGTGACTCCGGTGGTCATGTCAGCGAAGCACAATTGGCAGTTCTCCTTCACAGTCTCGCTACGGGACGAACTTTGGACGCTGTCCCTCTGGAGATCAAGGCCCAAAATGCCGGCATCATTGTCAGCAGACGCGAAGACGATGTCATCTTCGAGCTTTTCGAGCTTTCTCCTCCTAATCAATCAGTCATGACTACCAAGGGCCGTCTCACTCGCTCCTTCCCAACTTATGCCTACCGGATCCCCATCGAGCAATTTCGAGAAGAAGGTCTGATAGGATCGCTGGCCCAGGCTATCGCCAAGATGAGTTCACAGGTAGCCCCAGGCTTCCAGCCTCTGATCCAGAAAGTTGGCAAAAGCCATGCCGAGATCCGCGATACTACTCACCCCGGTCTGATCACCGACTACCTAGCCAATTTCCTCTGCGCCAACGGCCAGCCAATGGACGCAGGTGGCATCTGGAAGAATACGCGAGAAGAGGTCTTGTGGTCCAATGCCAAGATGCCCTGGCGAAGGTACGTCCTCTCTACACATACCAGCATGTCTGTATTCTGGCCCAGGAAAGATATTCCTGATATTCCCAGTGATTAGAGTACAGTTGAAGACATGCTGGGATATTCCCCTCTCCCCTAACCTGCTGAATTTCGCTAACATGTCCCGCCATCTTCGCAGGTCACCCTTGTGGCTCCTCGTCCGCGTGTCTCTGCAATTACAATTCGATCGTTGCGCAAACAACAGCGATCCGACAAAGGCATTGTACAAGCCCTTCATGGTGTATCTGCTGGGACACATTCTCGACTTGGCTGGAGGGCACCACAACCCCGCGTCGAGTGACTTGCTGTTCGCCACCTCTGCGAAGCTCACCCGTCGCATTCGGAAACTAGAGTCGCACGCACAATCCGAATCCTCCTCCGCGAATTGGATGAAGTTCGCCCATATAACGTTATCCCGTGCCTACGAGTTAATGGATACGAGGTGGAAGGACATCATGAACAATACGTCGTCCAATGTCAACACAGCCGTGCTCAACACACTGGAGCCCGAAAAGGACCTCGACGTTTGCCTTTCGGGACTGGACAACTTCGTTGGCCGGATCGCAGCTAGGGAACAACTTTCCGGTGCTTCTCAGTTCCGACCTTCCTTGACGTATCCCGACTTTGCGCCGGATGAACTCCCAAACGGCTTCCGTGAGTCCGGGGAGTATGTCTACTTCCAGTTGGCAGCGGTAGAGAAGTGGGTCGAGAACCACCTTTCATCGTGGCTTGATCTCCATGGAGAAGAAGAGTCGACGTGTGACGGCCTACGTGAGCTGATCGAAGCCTACCACTACGCAGCGAAATCAGCGTACGCCAATATGCCAAGGAGCATTTCTGTCATGTACTTATGTCTTCTCGAACTCTGGGTGGCCTGCGACAAATCCGCCCGCCATATACACCCTCTGCTTGATGATTTCGATCCCGAAGTTCAGTTGGAGTCGCTCGCAGCGCTTTCGCTTCCGCTCAAGAGCCATTTGCAGCGGTTGGCCCAGGTCGAACGCTATGTGCGGGACCGACGAAATGCGGCTAAGCGGCATTCGCCGTCCGTGTTCCGCAATTTCGGTCACGCATCTTCTTTCGCGGTCAAGTTCTTCGACCGGTCGAGCGAACTCGAAGAGCTACACTTATGCATCGAACAAGCTGCGACCGAAGACTGTCTCAAGAAGCGTCAAGAATTGGCCAGTAAGCAGGAGCAATACCGGGATCTGATGCGGAAGTACGATGAAAGCGTATGCGAGTATCGCGAAGTCATCACCAATCATTACCACGGGTATACTGAGACTCAGCATGATCCCTACTGCCGCAAGTGTAGATTCCGCCAAGAGGCAGAGGGCATTGGAATCCGCGTGTATGAGTGGCCCCTCTCTTCGGACGCTTCAATAGCAAAGGCAACCCTATTCGAGCTGCAGATACCCCCGGCGTTCAGTAACTGGCGAGACGTAACTCTTTTTGTTATGATGAATGTGCTGGGCTTCGTTCGTAGCCGGGATCAGCGGCCTCGGGCATCCTACAAACTTTCTGGCCATCAGGACTTATCCAATTTCAGTTCAGGTCCGTACGGACAGCGGATCATCCTCCTGTCTCAGGTCAAACCCCACACTGGAACCCACCGCAAGCTCAAGAACGGCGTATCAACGCTCAAGGAAGAAAATGTCTGTCTGGACAATGCTCTGCGGTATCAGTACTACGACAGCTCGGACGGCGTCTTTACTGACTCGCTGCATTCGACTGACCGAGTGTCAAAAAACTGCACATATCAGCTTCCTGGTCGCTCGTCGAATCTTCAACAATACGTCCGGCCTCTTGCAGCTGATGTCCCCCCCAACAAAGTCATTGCAGATCTATCGGATTGTCCTACCCACATATCGATCGATGAATATAAAGCTTTCGGCGCACTTCCACTAGGCTATAACGTTCAGTACATAAACATACTGACGCAACTAGCCATGCCGACCGTGGACTTTGCGAAGGCTGAGACGCAATGCCTAATTCTACAAACCACTCACAGAACGGGGCCTCCATCAGAAGATGACTGCATTGAGAGATTGAGTCATCGAATTCTGGCAGTTGAATCGTTCGGCCAAGCCATGATCAAGGAACTCGACAGTGCTTTGCAACGAGTGACAGAGAATTGGGAATCTTGGAGGGCTGTTGCGAGTTTCGTGCAGCTATCTTTGAGGCTTCTGAGCTTCACCTCTTCGTCCGAAGTTAAATCACGCTGCTTAAGCTACCTCGCTAGTGTTCGCCAGATATGCTTGGGCTGGTTGGACACCATCATGCAGAGATTACATGTCTCAACAGATGACGGCCAGCGAGTCGAGCTCTGCTCCAGGGCTACAGAGATTGCTCTCCTCTGCATCAGCTCGTTCGACGTGGACGAGGTCCACGTCAACGATGTGCTTTGCTCCCCTTCCGCGACGTCGGCTTTGCTACAGAGTTCGATTATTGTCCAGGAGAACAAAGACACTACATCAACCGAGCACGATTCCCTGTATCGCGTTATGCTGCAGAACTGGAGATCAGTGCTTTACCGCGTCTTTCCTACACTGGCGTCCGGTATCCTGATTCGACATTTAGAGGGGGAGCTCAACGACGCGGTGACCGCTTCCTGGGCAGCGTTCCGTCCGTCAGATAACTGGACTTCGTACAAGACTCCTTGGCATCAATGGATGTATGTGAAGTGCAGCACGCTCGACGTTCACTTCAATCTTCTTACCGCGGAATTGCTGGTCCAGGGCTTACCCTTAGCCCGGTTGCCCGCAGAGTACTTGCGCCACCCGGTATATCCGGCACTCTTCCAGAGATCCTCGATAGAAGTAATGCCCACGAATGAGCCAGGCATGGATTTCTCCTCGAAACACGCTTACCGAGGCCACGAGCTTTCTTTTGGAATGGAAGGATCCGACATGCTCGTTGTCGCTGCCAATGCCAATGAAAAGTTCGATCTCTTACCTTCTCGCCTACTGAAGGACCTATTTCCGAGTTCTTTCGTCGATGACTACTTCCACTGGTATAACCATCATACCGGGGAGATAGAATTTCGGCCACGAGCTAAGCCATGGTCTTCCACAAATCAGCTTTGGCGCCTCAATAGGTCCGGACCGTCGTGGCGCCTCGTGTGCGGTCAATACACTCTCGTGAACATTGATAGCAACACCGCTCGCGCGCTCGCGAGGATGTTCTCCCCATTGGAGAACGCCCTGCATATCCATACGAAGCTCGACATGTCATCCCTATCAGTGTCTATTGACATACCTAGACTTCAGCTTGGATTCTATTTCGGGCACCGCGAGTCACTCATACACTCTCGGCAATACCGCGGAATGATTGTCGATCCCGACCAGCGCGTGGGAACTTTGGTCGGCCTGTCCAATAAGCTCGTCTTGAAGCATACGCGAGACATGGATGAGCGGTTGGTTGTGGTGCCCGAGGGATCGATCACGTATCAGAAGGCTCTCAACCACGTAGTGGTATGCATTGATCCAGACACTGCGGTGAAGGCCCATGTATATCACCTTGACCACATCCTTGGGCGAGCTACAGATAACGGCAGCCTGCAGAGCAGGTTGTATCTCTGCTATCTACATGCGCTTACCTCGTACTGTCTGCCGGACTCCTTGACTAGCCATACGGGCACCGAAGCCGCTCTCGGAATTCTGCGATCTGCCGCTGTGCGGTCATTCAACCTTCTCAGGAAGCAGGACATTGCTGTCCTTGATCTCATTGCGAGACTTTCGCCAGGTCGAGCATATTACCCACAAAATGAGCAAGTAATGCAGGAAATCGACTGGGACCCCAACCTTCCATCTCTCTCGCAGCATCCCGAGTTTTTCGTGGAAGTCGAACGCATCTTCAACCAAGCACGAGAAGCGAGATTTTTCCACGCCAGGGAGGACTATGTCGAACCGGTGAAGTTCAATTTCATGCAGCCTCACCTACTCCAGCGGGATATGATACGGTCATCAATATTCCGTGTTGACGGCTTTGGTGCTGAGCACTACAGCACGCAGTTCGACAAGGTCTACCAGGCGAGGGCCCGAGTTTCTAGACTAGAACGAGGCCAACGTACCTTCACTGCCGCCTCACTGATTCTGCGTGAGCAAGGAGCTCCCGCCTTTTCTATCCGCGCGCTCGAACATTCTTTTCGGAACGTTCACTTAAAGGGTGCTACAGTTCACCCTCCAGGCCGTCTTCCACTCAAGGCTAGCCTCCTGAAGTATGATTCCGATTGGCTTCAAGAAGCTTCCACTTTTGTTCCCAAATTGTGGTGCGATCTTCACGCGTCCTTGGCGAAGTCACCGCAGAACTACAACAAGTTCGATATTGCCATGTGGCTCTCAACAGCTGCATTTGCGCAGGCTGCGGATATGGAGCTAATCCAAGCCTTGGCAGCTCTCTACAAGATCCGGGAGTTTTCATCTATCGAGATCCCTCCCTTCACAATACTACAGTTGTCGAAGGGAGAGGCGCCCACGTTGTCCGATATCCGCAACCTCATACAAACTCGGAAGTCATTCCAAGTCTCTCCGGAGTTCAATTTGCCACAGCGGCCTACAGAGACTCGGAAGCAATATCAACAGAGGAGGCAGAAGCAGTTCCAAAGCAATCAAGAAAAGGCGGTCAATTCTCTCGCCCGGGCCCTTGAAGATCAGTGGCCGTGCGAGCAGCCCACGAGGCCTTCGGATGCACAAGCGGAAACATATCTTGACGTATCAAGGGTTATGCAGATTGCTGCGCCCTCGTTCAAAGCTTGGTATGACAATCGCTGCTTCTGGCGATATATTCAGGAGTTCTGTACTGCATTTGCACAACAGCAGGTCGTCCCTGTATCTGTAGCACAGAATGAAGTGGTGGACCCTCGTAAGTATGCCCAAGGCGATGAGAGCCGGCGGAGCTTCAGTGTGGCGAAGATCTTCTCTCTCCAAGCGCCTATCACAAACTCATCGAATCCAAATCGGATGTGCGGGCCAACTCTACCGGAAGCTATGTGCGCGGAAAATCTATCTGGTGGTCACTCCCCTAGAAGTACTGTAGTGTCGGATAGCAGCTCCGAACCTCAGTTCCAAAGGTCGCTAGATCATGACAGGTACCCTCAGGCCAAAGATCGGCTTTCCTCGCTGTTCGAAGACCTCAAACTTCAAGCCAGGTCAAAGTGCGAGAAGGCCTATATCTCCGACTTGCAGGACAGCTGCGATTCCCTGGCAGTGCAAGAAGCAGTGCCGCATGGACGTGTTGTAGGCGTCAACACCGCGGTCCGTTTGGAAGCGCACCTGGCTGACTGCCGACGATACTTCCACGAACTAAACGTCTTATTGGAGAACGTTGTCAAGTCGGCTCACGACGTAGCGGCTCGAATACAACAGTCTCCTCGTCTTTCTCCAACATTCTGGCTTCAGCAATTGAATCGAGAGCGTTACGACACCTTGTCCGATGACTGGAAGGCTGTCATCATCCAGTACGGGCTTGCGATAACTGAACTGCACCGCGCCCAACGCCTGCTCGCACTTTCGGGTCATCCTCAAGATCTTGCCGAGGAGCTGCGCAACTGCGGTCATCAAAACTGGGACCCTGCGGAATATCCTGAGACCTTGCTGCTCGAGGCAGAGAGCGGCATAATGGTTCGGGAAGTCCAAGAGGAAATTGCGAACCAGATGAGGAAGCCCCCTAGCGACCAAAACGCGGTAATGCAATTGAACATGGGAGAGGGGAAATCTTCTGTGATTGTCCCAATAGTTGCCGCCGCTTTGGCGGACGGATGGAGGTAAGTCGATGGCGGATCCTGCTTTTCCCCCAAAAATACGTCTCAACGTGTCATATCATCCCGTCCCCGACATAATTCAATTGAGCACATGCTAACCATTTCAACTTAGTTTGGTGAGAGTTATTGTCGCGAAGCCACAGTCCAAGCAGATGTTTCAAATGCTAGTCTCCAAGCTCGGTGGACTTTTGAACCGCCGCATCTATCACATGCCGTTCTCGCGGGTATTGAGACTCAGTGCTGATCAAGCCTACACCATCGACAAGATTTACCGAGAGTGTATGGCGAATCGCGGCATCTTGCTTGTGCAACCGGAACACATACTTTCTTTCAAGCTCATGGGGATCGAATGCCTCATCAGCGGTCCGACAAGCACCGGACCGTCATTGCTGAGAACGCAAGAATTCTTTGATACCAAATCACGGGACATCGTCGACGAAAGCGATGAAAACTTCAGTGTCAAATTCGAATTAGTATACACCATGGGATCCCAGCGACCTATCGAGCTAAGCCCCGAGAGATGGATCATCATTGATACGCTGCTGGGCTTGCTAGGGCGATGTGCTCTACCGGTCAAGGAGAAATTTCCGCATTCTATCGAATTCGACGATCGATGGCAGGGTAGATTTCCGCGTGTCCGTATTCTGCAGAGCGATGCAGAGGATATGTTGTTTGATCTGATGGCGCGGCATATTTGCGACGTCGGCTTTCCCGGTCTCCCAATCACGCGGCAACCGCAATGCATGAGAGATGCTGTCTACCGATATATTCGGCAGGCCGAACTCGCCACAAAGGATATCGACGCGGTAGAAAAGGGACCGTTCTGGATGGAGTCAACCAAGGATGCCCTCCTGCTCGTACGAGGTCTTATCGCATGCGGCGTTGTGCGCTTCGCCTTAAGGTCAAAGCGATGGAGGGTGAATTACGGTGTCGATCCGAACCGATCTCCAAAGACGACGCTGGCTGTACCGTACCGATCAAAGGACTGCCCTTCTCCGCGGTCTGAATTCAGTCACCCAGACGTACTCATCGTATTCACATCGCTTACTTACTACTACGGCGGCCTAGAGGATGACGACCTCTTCGACACTCTCGCCCACTTGCTCAAGTCAGACCAGGCTGACATCGAATACGCGCAGTGGGTGCGCACCGCAGGACTTCTTCCAAAGGCGTTCCACCATCTATCTGGGATCAATATCAAAGACCGATACCAGTGCATCAATCAGGTCTTTCCATCGCTACGGTACTCTAAGGGCGCTATCGACTACTTCTTGTGCCACATCGTCTTCCCGAAAGAGATGAAGGAATTCCCGTACAAGCTCTCAGCCTCCGGTTGGGACATCGGTCAGGTGAAGCCAAAACCAACCACTGGGTTTAGTGGGACCAACGACTCGCGCCATGTGCTTCCTCTTAGTGTTCATCACCTCGACCTACCCAAACAGAAGCACACTAATGCGCTAGTTTTAGCGCACCTTCTGCAGGATGAGAACTCTGTCAAACTACTGCCGCCAAGAACAGCATCTGTGACCTCTGATGCCGAACACCTGCTTGCGACGGTCATGGCCATGGACCTCTCGACTAGGGTCATACTTGACGTTGGTGCTCAGATCCTCGAGCTCAACAACTATCAGGTAGCGGAGAAATGGCTGAGCATGAGCACAGATACAACGAAAGCGGTCGTCTTCTTCAACGACAATGAGGAACTCTCCGTTCTTGATCGTACTGGTCGGGTCGACCTCCTACAGACATCACCGTTTGCCAAGCAACTTGATGCTTGCCTGATCTATCTAGATGAGGCGCATACCCGCGGAACCGACCTGAAGCTTCCGCGAAACTACCGAGCGGCGGTCACCCTAGGTGCCAATCTTACAAAAGACCGACTGGTGCAAGCCTGTATGCGGCTTCGGAAGCTTGGCAAGGGGCAGTCTGTGGTGTTCTGCATACCAGAGGAAATCCAGAATAAGATCCTAGAGTGCACATCGAAGCGGACTGCCGAAGAGATCGGGGTATCCGATGTCTTGGTCTGGGCCATATGTGAGACCTGGGCGGACCTACGTCGGAGCATGCCGCTGTGGGCCACGCAGGGTCGTCGCTTCGAGGAACACAAAGATCTTCTACATGGCGCTAACACTACCAAAGAGCAAGCTAAGCAGTTTCTCGAAGATGAAGCTCAGTCCCTTGAATATCGATACCGGCCGCGCCAGCGCACCTCCCATGAAGCACTATTGTACGAGGGATGGGACACTTCCAACGAGAGCATTTCCAGGATCCTGGCTCGCTGCCGCGACTTCGAGACTACAAACTTCGATGCCGCCACACTTCAAGAAGAACAGGAGCGAGAACTCTCTCCGGAAATCGAGGAAGAGCGGCAAATACAGCGTCCTGCGCCCATGGAGCCCGCGAAACACGTGTTGGAAGGGGATCTTGTCAAATTGGTGGAAACTGGAGAAATCGCAGTAGATTCGAAGGCTTTTACTCCTGCCTTCCGAGCCCTGCAGTCGACGACTGCGGCCAAGCATTTCGGCCTTGCTCAGTTTCCTACGGAACTTCTCGTCACGGCCGACTACATTCGCACTGTCAAGCCGCCTTCAGGCCTGGGAAATTCCTCGTACACTTCCGACTCGTATCAGAGGCCCGTTCAGTGGATCCTATCGGTCCCAAAACCGGCTTCTCGTCCAGGTGCATCCGTTCCAACCGTCGGTCACTTGGTCATCCTCAGCCCCTTTGAAGCTGATCAGTTACTCGGGAAGGTTCAGAAATTCTCTAAGGTGACCTTACACGTCTACTCGCCGCGCTCCAACCTCGCCTACAAGCCTCTTGACATCCTTCAACTGTACTCTGTTGGTCGGCCATTCTCCCCGAACACCGTCCCACGCAGCCTCATTGTGCAGCTCAATTTGTTCGCTGGCCAGCTGTACTTCCGCTCCTACGAGGAGTATACGGAATTGTGCGACTTCCTGGGTCTTGCGTGGGCTGCGGCGAAGGATGGGCAGGTGGTTCAAGCAGATGGGTTCGTGGCGCCGCCGAATGGAAAGTGGGGGTTGAAGAGGAGCCCCGTCAAGTTTCTTAGAGAGTTCTTTACGAAGGTTAGGAGGGAGGGCGAGGGCGTGGGAAAGACCCATTTAGGGAAGGTCCTGGATGGTGGGTTGTTAGAGGAGAGCGATTTCGAGTGAAATCAGGAGTGTTGAGGGTTGGCGAGGTATTCGAGATGGCGCTCGTGTATGTCAAATGGTGCTTAGAGTGGAGGGGATATGGTGCCGGATTGGTTGAGGATTTCACACAAATTGGAAGTGTACCCTATTTGAGAGAATGGCTTGGTGAGGTTGCACTCTAGGCCAAGTCAATGCTTGGGGTATTGCTGCTCCTCAGGTGGTCTGAATGTATGATCATGGCATCTACTGTCTGCAGCTGTCGCCACCTCCGTTCTTGCGTGATGACTCTCGAAAGTAGCTGTGACACTCACTCCTATGGTCTTCGATTCGAAAAGCAATCATAAAAGCGTTGTCATGCGCGAAGCTTCCCATGCACAAGCAAAGCCAATCTGCTAATGTCAAGCAAATACCCAACATAAAAGCCACCGTTGCCGTCGAATATGCCATCAGGCTCTTCCCCCAGCGTCCGTTTTGCAATCTCGTCCCAACTCCCTTCGCACCGAACCTTCGCAGCAAGTCAACCCCCTCCCAACCCCTTCCTTCCAGACCGATGTTAGCCCACGCCGGTGTCCACCACCGGCAAAGCCGCCCGCGAACAACTAGTCGCCGATCTGCAAGCCTACTTCAAAGACAAAGCCGGAGACAAGTCCTCCTACACCGACTATCGGCGATAAAACGACGTTCGATCCCAAACTGTCCGGAACCATGCGGCTAAAAGCGAAGGTGCTTAATGGGGACAGGCGCAGGTTGATATATGTTGGATGGCGGTCTGTATCATCAGTTGAAGTACTTGGCGGAAGGGCAGTTGGGGATGCAGATGGATAGGGATGGGGTGAGGTGGGAGTTTGTGGAGCTGTTTGCTCCGTAGGGTGGGGGGTTTTGGGGGATGGAAGGAGGAAGGAGGGCGGAGGACGGTTTTTGCTTTTGAGGATGGTGATGGATGGTGATGGTTGGGCCGCTGTGTGCTAACCGGCATAGTTTCAGCTTCTAGGCTAAGATGGATTCAAGACAACTAGCTGTGTAGAGTCATGGAGGAGGCCGAAAATGAGGAGTAGGTCAAGAAGCGCGCCATCCTCCCATACTTCACTGTAATGTAGCTGACCCTTTTCATTCGGTACTACTACGGTTATATATCGCCCTAAATTAGAAGGAAGGCCGGGGCCCCTATTTAGGTAACTCTTTAGAATCTATTAGAGGTATACGTAAGGGAGCAAATTATAAGTTAACTAATTAATTAGCTATTGCAAGAATATACGTACAGCTAAGACTAGAGCTATAGATTAGTAGAGCCTCTGGGGTATCCTGGCAGTTATGCTAAGTAGGCTCGGCACACCGGTAAACATTGGTAACAAGTCGGAGGCTTTCCCTCCTCTTCCCCAACCCCAACATATCAGATGCTCCTCGCTAATCTTAAGTCCGTTTTATATGCAGCGGGATTTCGCTTACCAGTTTCGAGCCTCTCTTCCTCCCTTATTCCCAAGTCCAAGCTTAATCCATACCTTGTTTCGGGCACAAATTTCCTTTCTGGGCGCAAACACCGACTAGTGCGGGCGAGGTCAATTGTTTCACAATTCTCCACCAATTACGCGAATAATCAAAAGAGGGGAAGCTAAATTAACATTCGGAGCTCTCGTCTCCTTCCGGTTTCTCGACGAGTACATAAATTTTGCACTGCCACTCATTTCACTTCATCAATTGAGTGGCTAGACGGGAGCTCTGGAGACCTAAAAGTAGAGCTGATGCGTCCAATGGACGCGACGGAAAGCGTCCGAGATATACTATTTACATGGGACATGACGGTGGAAGAGACAGAAGTCGCTTAGGTGCCAAGTTATCTAAATTTCAAGTCTCTCCATGTGAAAACGAACATAAACAGAGCAGTTTTTACTTTATAAAGGTAAGGCTTGACTGCATAACAGATGGCCCTCCGTATCGATTCAATCCAGGGAAAAAGGCCACTTTTCGGGACATTCCCATCACCCACCCCAACTTGTTCAAAATGAGATCATCATTCGCCATCACATTGTCTATCCTAGGGATCTTCAGCCAGTCAATAGATGCACAAGTTGTAGGAACAGCTTCTGGCTTCGCAACTGGCGTTACTGGTGGAGGATCGGCTGCTGCAGCTACACCAACCAGTTTAGCACAGTAAGTTTGATATCAGAGGCATCAAGTGATATGAAAGCATTTGGGTTAACAACTGGAAGGTTGAAGACGTGGCTTACTGATAGCACGGCTCGCACCATTGTCATTGACCGGACGTGGGACTTCGTAGGGTCTGAAGGAACAACTACAGGGACCTGCTGCCAAACTGCCACTACCACATGTTCAGGCGGAACTTCTGCTGGCCAACTTACCATCGCGGATACATGTGACAGCGGTACACTAGTTACTTGCACCTATGACACGGCTGGCCGCACGCCAATCGATGTCGGCAGTAACAAGAGCATTGTGGGCAAAGGAAGCGCAGGAGTTATTGCCGGGAAGGGCCTTCGTGTCCGAGGTGGTAATAAAAATGTTATCATCCAAAATATTCATATCACCAACATTAACCCAAGGTTCGTTTGGGGAGGCGATGCTCTTACTCTCGACAGTACGGACATGATATGGGTTGATCATTGCAAGGTAAGTCTTTATTCATCTCCATGATATCATCGACTTACTCATGCCCTTTATAGTTTTCCCTCATCGGTCGTCAATTCATCGTCAGCGGCTGGGGCCAAGCCGGAAAAGTCACAATCTCCAACAACGAGTTCGACGGCAAAACCTCGTACTCCTCAGGATGCAACGGAAAGCACTACTGGACGCTCCTCCTCGTCGGTCTAGCAGACCAATACACCTTCTCCGGCAACTGGGTACATGATGTATCTGGCCGCGCGCCACACATGGGCACCACCGTAACCGCATCAACGATCTTCTTCCACGCGGTCAACAACTACTTCCAGAACATCGGCGGCCACGCCTTCGATATCGACAAGAACACTTATGTTCTGATGGAAGGCAATTACTTCGACACGGTCACAACGCCCATGACGTCTGGGTCTACTACTGCTGGTGGAGCCATCTATGATGTCATCACTGTTGCTGAAGCAGCGGCTTGCACAAGCTATCTTGGCTATATCTGTGAATGGAATAAAGCGTATAGCTCTGGCACGCTTTACGACATTGCGAATGTCGCTGTGCTGAGTAAGGCTTCTCAGTATAAGAGCTACTTGATTGGACATACAGCAGTCGCGGATGTACCTGCGAACGTGAAGGCCAATGCTGGGATTGGCAAGATTTGATGACTTGTCTGGGCCAGATGATGGAACGTGGAGAGTGGGAATTCACTTTTTGGAATGGCATCAATTCCTCACCCTTAATCGAACCAATTATTCTCTTATTGTACATATTTGAATGCATACCTACCCGTTATTATCCTGAAGCGCTGTTCACTTCGCTAAATAACCTTCTCGCTACCAATGCTCCCCAGTCTAAATAAGGCCCACAACCATGCACTCTCCACTGTAGCTGGCTTTTAGGACGGTAAGTCTACTCGGCCGAGTTTAACACGAGATGGCGGCTCATTCCTAAAATCCGGGGTACGATCTGCGCTGGCTCGCGTAAGAGAAGCAATTCGTCTTTAGCCGCCACGAGCTCATTGGCGGAGAAACAACTTGGTGATCTCCACGACCTCCTTTCCGTGAAAGCTTGACTACCACTTACAGCACAAATATAAGTAGGTGATTTCCTGTACGAGTAGAATATGAAAGCATCCAACTGTCGAGATGAAGCTCCACGGGCTTTCAGAATTGGTCCTCACGCTGACCCTGACATCCCAGTGTCAGGCAGTCCTCGATGGCAGCCGTTTCCTCTGGTACACAAGCCCAGCCCAAGAATGGGAGCAAGGAGCCCTCCCAATCGGTAATGGCAGGCTCGGAGGCACAATTTATGGAGGCGCAGATGAAGTCTTCACGCTCAACGAAAATACAATCTGGTCAGGACCGCTCCAGGACCGCGTGAGCGCCAATGCCCTCGAGGCATTACCCATTGCCCGCGAGATGTTGCTAGCTGGTAATATCTCCGCCGCTGGAGATTATATCCAACGAGAAATGAGTCCTCCAGAGAAGTCGGAGCGTGCGTTTAGCTATTTCGGGAATATGGATCTTGCGTTTGGTCATTCGGGTCAGCTGGAGAATTATTTGCGGTGGTTGGATACGAGGCAGGGAAATGCGGGTGTCTCGTATATGTATGGCGGTGTCAATTACACGTGAGTTTATCATTTATGTTAAAAATTGGTATAGAAAGTACTGATTGACTCACTCTCGTCAGCCGTGAATATATTGCAAGCTTTCCAGCGGGTGTCCTCGCTGCACGGTTCACAGCTAGTAAACAGCACGCTTTGACCTTGAACGTGAGTTTCAGTCGACTGGAGAACATCTCGGCCAACCTAGCTGCTAGTACCGGCTCTGTTCACTCGATCAATATGACTGGTACCAGTGGACAGCCCGCTAGCCAAAATCCTATTTTATTCACAGGCAAGGCTGTTTTTGTGGCTCCAGGAGGTTAGTTCTATTGCATTACCGAATAGGATTCCCAGCTGACTTTGCAAAAGCCACCTTTCAGGCATTTGGCTCCTCACTGCTCATAGCAAATGCTACTGTCATCGATATGTTCTTTGATGCAGAGACCAACTACCGTTACTCTACTCAAGCAGATCGCGATGCTGAGATCAGTCGTAAGCTTGGCAACGCTGTTAGCCAGGGTTATGATCGTGTCAAAAAAGAAGCACTTGATGATGCATGTGCTCTCTTAGAACGTGCCTCTCTAGATCTTGGCCAATCTCCCGCCAACCTAACTTCGCTCCCAACGAATGAGCGCGTCCTGAATTCTCGGACGGACTTCAGCGACATCGAGCTGACAACATTGACTTGGAACTACGGACGTCACTTACTCGTTGCTTCCTCCCGAAACACCGGAGAAACAATCGACATGCCCGCCAACCTCCAGGGAACATGGAACAACAAAACCACCGCAGCCTGGGGAGGCAAATTCACCATCAACATCAACACTGAGATGAACTACTGGCCCGCCGGCCAGACCAATCTCATCGAGACGCAAGAGCCGCTCTTCGATCTCATGAAAGTCGCCAAACCACGCGGCGAGTCAATGGCGCAGCGAATGTACGGCTGCAGCGGTACCGTCTTTCACCATAACCTCGATCTCTGGGGTGATCCGGGACCAACGGATAACTACACCTCGTCTACCATGTGGCCAATGGGCGCAGCTTGGCTTGTACAACATATGCTCGACCACTACCGCTTCACCGGCGACAAGACATTCCTGGCTAATACCGCATACCCATATCTGGTCGACGTGGCCAAGTTCTATGAATGCTATACATTCAACTGGGAAGGCTACAGGATAGCCGGACCATCTCTCTCCCCCGAGAATGCCTTCGTGGTGCCCGCGAACTTCAGCATTGCCGGCAAGACGGGGGCTATGGATGTTGACATCTCAATGGACAATCAGTTGATGACCGACGTCTTCACCGGTCTGATCGAGGCAGCCGCCGTACTAGGGATATCAGACACCGACCCGGATTTGCAGGCCGCGAAAGCCTTCTTACCTCTCATACGACCCCCGCAGATCGGATCTCTAGGCCAGATCCTAGAATGGAGATACGAATACCAGGAGAAAGCAAAAGGGCACCGACACCTATCCCCCCTCTATTCCCTCCACCCCGGCACGAAATTCTCGCCCCTCATCAACGCCACGCTCTCCAAAGCAGCAGGCGTTCTTCTGGACCGCCGACTGGCCGGCGGATCCGGCAGCACAGGCTGGAGCCGAACGTGGTTCATCAACCAGTACGCGCGCTTGTATCGCGGTGCCGACGCCTGGGAGATGGTGCGGGCTTGGTTCAAGACGTACCCGACTGGCAATCTGTGGAATACAGACAGCGGCAGCAATTTCCAGATCGATGGCAATTTCGGCTTCACGAGCGGGATCACGGAGATGTTGCTGCAGAGCCATGCGGGTGTGGTGCATCTCCTGCCGGCACTGCCGGGACAGGCGATACCGAATGGGAGTGTGAGGGGTTTGAAGGCGAGGGGGAACTTTGAAGTGGATATTGAGTGGGCGGATGGGGGTTTTAAGAACGCGACTGTGGTTGCGGTGATTGGGGGAGAGTTGAAATTGAGGGTTGAGAATGGGACGTCGTTCTCTGTTAATGGAGAGCCGTATTCGGGCGCTTTAGCAACAAGGAAAGGTGCGAAGTATACTATCGCCACTTGATGCCATTTGGGGCCACGAAGGATTTGGCATCGCTGAGAGGATGTCAACGCAGCTGTCTGATAAGAAGAACTTAGATTCATATTTCGATCATTTTTGCATGATGAAATCTCCAACGTTCCTCACCACCGTAGCACTTTATCTGAACATGCACTTCAGCAAGGCCCGACTCAGAGATGAAATTTGCATTGCATTACAAGAGATGTAATCCTTTCGAACAAAGGATGGACAAGATAAACAAGGGAAGGATGTCAAAGACCAAAAATTACTTCAAGGATTAGAAAATGTCTGGGGGTCCCAGCTCATTCCCTACAAAAGGCCAGAAAATGAAACATGCTTCTTGGTGTCGCAAACCTGTCATTGACTACTCGGTATATCGCTGTGCTTGGCTTTGCACCCAGTGACCTTCCAGCTGGATATTGAAAGAATGCAAGAGCTTTACAAGCAGATTACGAAGGCGGTCGAACAGGCCAAAATGCACTTCATCGGGGCGGAGAAAGATGCTTTGTAGGAGATTGAAATCGTCGTGCGAGGATAGTCCAGGTCGGCAAGGCAGATGTGGAGGAGGGCGCTAGAGAGTTGGCTGAGAAGGAAAGAGAGCTGCCAAGGCAAAGGAAGAAGATGCTAACAGATGCCCGCCAATACGTCGCCCGGTGTGAGAATGGAGAGATTGTGGTCTGAGTTCGAGACGTCCACCGCACGGCTCCAACATCGGTGCTGCAAGGATCAGACTGCTAGCCACACGCGCGATGACAGAGGACGTTTGCACTATCCACTCACCCTTGCATACGAGAGTCGAAAACTTCCAGTGAAGCTTGCCCGTATGGTGGAACAGGCCACCTTGGATAGTTCCAGGATGTTTTGGGTACATACTGAAGGAGTCGTCCCGCTTCAGGTGCGTTAGCCGTGGGCCCGCTGAATCACTACGCGCTAGAGCGCCTATCTTGCAAGCGCCAGTCGTACATCTACCGAGTGCAGTGTACGAGCGAATCCGGTTCATACTGTAACATACCACTCCACAAGCCGCGACTACAAGCAGGTGTCATCCAACGCCCCACCCCACTCACGTGATGCGGGGCAACAAACAAGGATAAAATGGTCACTAGTGTCTTGCGCTACTCGAAGTTGTACCCCAAAGGTGTATGTATAAAGCTCTAGGCGAAACACGGCTTTTGAAACAGAGTCCACCATGGCATCGTCGGCAAAGCCTTTCAACATCGCTATCGTAGGAGGTGGCATCTCGGGGCTTACTCTCGCCATCGCTCTGCAGAAGCATGATATTCCGATTACAGTGTACGAGGTAAGAGTTCGCGGAACGCAATACTGAGCATTTGCTGATCGTACCCTAACAGTCCGCCGCGCAGTTCGGCGAAATCGGTGCTGGCGTTGGCTTCGAGCCATGCATGGTCCGCATCATGGAGCTCATCTCCCCCAAAATAAAAGAAGGCTTCCTGCGCATCTCTAACAACGTCGTTACCGATCCGCCGAAATGGTTCGACGTGCGCGTCGGCGACCGCAGAAAAGCAGACGCGAACGGCGTGGTCTGCCACAAGGGCGACAAGGCGATCAAGCTCGACGAGCCGCTCTTCGTGATGCCCGCACGCCGCGGTCCAAGAGGCGGCGTGCACCGCGCGCATTTCCTGGACGAGCTCGTCAAGCTGATACCCGCCGACGTTGCGCAGTTCCGCAAGAAACTCGTCGATGTGACGCAGGCAGCGGATGGGTCCGGCGACGCCGTGCTGCACTTCGCGGACGGCGCGACGGCGCAGCACACCGCCGTGATTGGCTGCGATGGCATCAAGTCGCGGACGCGAGAGCTGGTGCTTGGCAGGCAGGACGGCCGACCCGTTTTCTCGGGGAAGTATGCGTATCGCGGCCTCATCCCGATGCAGAAAGCAGTCGAGCTCTTGGGCGACGAGATTCCTCGGACGCCGCAGATGTATTGCGGGTACCGCGGCCATGTGCTGACCTTCCCGATTGCAAATGGCACTATCATGAACGGTATGTATGGAGCCACCTACCTGCCCTTACAGGCAGGCAGGGGATGGGCTGATAACTGATTGCGTGGACAGTGGTGGCGTTCAGCTCGCGAGATGAGTGGAAGGACCCGGAGTGGGTAGTCAAGACCAGCAAGGAGGACATGCTGGCTGATTATGCGGAGTGGACTCCGAACGTGCAGAGCATCATGGCGAACATGAAGAACCCGGATATCTGGGCCTTGTTCAACCACGAACCGGCTCGCACTTTTTTCCAGACGCGGCCGAGGATATGCCTCGTGGGCGATGCGGCGCACGCGACGACGCCGCACCAAGGGTCTGGCGCGGGAATGTGCGTGGAGGACTGCTATGTGCTCGGCGAGTTGCTGGCCGACGTGTCCAGCGCGGACGGCCTCGAGGATGCGTTCCGAGCCTATGACCATGTCAGACGCCCCCGGTCGCTCAAGCTGGTGGAGACAAGTCGGGAGGCAGGCGAGCTCTGGGAGCTGCACGGCGCTGCCGGTGATGATCTCGACGCGTTCGAGCGCAACGCGGTGCAGAGGATGAGCTGGATCTGGGACCACGACATGACGGCCGACCTTGAGCGGGCGCGAGCGATGCTGCGAGCATAAACTTTTCCTGCCGTGAAGCACTTCATTGTCTTTGTCTCTATGTATATCGTACAGAAGAAGTCCGCACTCCCTTTTTTTCTTCCTTTCCTTCTCTATTCAGCGTTCACTGACGCACAACTTCAATATCCTTCGTCACTGTGATCCCTTCGATCATGCGCTCCTGGCTCTCGCTCCGACTCACCATAGATACATCGATCTCCGTCTTGCCCGTACTCTTGCTACTCTTCAAAGCCTCCATATGGAAGCTCGAGCCCGGTACACCCAACCCACCATTCTTGCCAGACAGCGGCGCACTCCCACCTCTGCTGGGATACTGATGGTAATAGCGCGCACTGCTCCCCTTAGTGCTGCGCCACCTCTTGGGCCAGAAGCGCGATATCGAGCGCCGCAAGCTAATCAGACAGGCGCAAATGACGCCGACGGCGGCCTCGATGAACGACCAGAGATTCGTGGGCGCTGATTCCCACGTCGGCTCCTTGGTCTTGAGCGTTAGGGGCAGCGTCACCATGCGCAGGACGGTGATGAGGCAGATAAAGAAGCCCATGCTGAAAAGCACGATGAGCCCGATGCGGTTCCCGATGGACATGTTGAGGCGCATGATGAGCGGCATGGGCAGGAAGAAGATGGTGAGGTCGGTGACGAGGTTGGAGACGGCGTTCGTCCAGCTAACTTCGCGTTAGCCATCCATGAACACGTCTTGCGGACTGGAGCTACATACCGATGCCACACAAAGTTAATACAAGTCCCCGGAATCTTGCGATTGTACACGCGCGGAACAGGCGAGCACTGAAAGATAGCGACCACGACGTAGGACAGTGTCCACACGACGCTGACTGCGATCATGGCCATACAGGCGCGGCGGAAGCCCTTGACGGGGAAGACGCGGTAGTAGAGAGTGAGGAAGGCGAGTTTGTTGGTGCCGTTGCAGAGCGTATAGAAGATCTGGGTGAGCCAGAAATACTGCGAATTTTGTCAGGATCAGTTTTGCTTAGGATAAAGGAAAGAGGGAGGTAGAGAGGTAGATTGCAACTTACCTTCAGCGCCGTCGTGACATTACCGCCAGACGCTATGATATCAGGCACGTGTTTTCCGAAGCCATATACAGTCGCCATGTACACCATTGCTGTGAAGATGATGAGCCAGACCTGCATGCCGTTCGTCAGTTCCAAGCTTGATGGGCTGAATAAAAAGAGAGCAGGAAACGCACCGTAGCAGCAATGACCATGATATCTTCCGCGCCAAACCACCCACGATTCTGCCACGTCGTCGCCAGCCGACAGACCAGCAACACCGTCGCAATCACGGTCAGGCTGACGCTGACCCATCGCAGATCGCGCTGCTCCTGAGCATACGCTGAGAAGATCATCTTGTACCTGACTGATGAGCACCTGACTCTTTCTCTCTCCCTGACCGAGCTAGCAGGCTTTTAAGGAAGGGACCAACAGTGGGTAATGAAGGGGTTGAAGGGGAAAACGGGGGGCCAGGCCGGGTAAACTAGCGCAGAGCAAGTATCTTTATAGACGATCCAGCGATGCCTTCCCGTCCTACTAACTGCAGGTGCAAGATCTGGAATCCGTCTCATTCGAAGATCGTGTTATGTCTGTGAGAGAGGTAGCGCTCGCGGATCCGGAACCTCATGCTTCACTATTGCGTTCCGTACCTAGTTAGCTGGCAGGGCGACGGAACCTTCCCTCCTGCACCTGGCAGAGGTACCTAGTTAGGTCCCCTGTCCCATTGCACTGGTATTATGTACGGGGGGAACGACCGGAAGAGCTGCTGTGTAGCGACGAACCACCTTCGCAGGCCTGTTTTTCCCGCCCGCGCGGGCTCTCCACTAGGCATTCGTCCGACGAACACAAGTTTCCAGAACGCCGGATTAGCCAGCGAAGTTTTTTTCATTACTGGTATAATAGTTGATTGGTGGCGCACGTCTGATACTCGCCTCATACGCAAGCTCGCCCATTCATGTGAAAGGCGTTGCTAGCTATGGCGGAAACGGGCTCGTAGTGCGACGAGATTTATTTCGGGAGAATACGACGTTGAGTGCATTGCTGGACCGCTCAAGGATTGGTGTTCCTGAGAGAAAAAGACCACGGCGGGACTGCCTGATGAAGGGTCTGTGGTGGGATTGCTAGGATCGGGGTAGTCAGGAACCCAGGCTGGAGGAATACGAGGCTGGGGCTTTGCGGAAGGGTTGAGTGGCAGAGAAGCAGGCGAAGGATTGGAGACGCACAGAGGCGTGGTTCATCCTGGTTTGCTTAATTTTTCTGGCGCAAAGTTTATTGCGACAGGCCGTGTGGAGGTACCTTCTGCCGTTCCCACTCGTACCATGGAGGCCTGAGGGAGCGTGTCTGCCTTGGTGGTTTGGTGTGAGGTGTCCAAGGGATACCGTGGGTACGTTGTTGGTATACACGTTTCGTTGAGAGATCCTTTCATTTGGAGATTCCCTCAAACCTTGTTTTCTGGCTTCTATCGATCGCTCGATGGGGACGTACACAGTACCGTGGTACTTGGGCGGTCATGACGAACGACGCACATCATCCAACCAAACCTACAGTACCTCAACGCCCACCCACGCCTCAGCCCTTCAGCTCATACATCCAAAGCCTCAGGGTCCAAGCGTACATAGGTACGACCACGGCCCGTGGCGCGGGGAACGCTATGCCGCAGCCGCCAGGAAAGTCAAAGTTTGGCGCGCCACATCGCGCCCGCACCCGACGATCTGGTTCGCAGCCCCATCTCGGCGACCTTACCGACGCAACCACCACGACCGATAGGTCCGCCCTCCCTCCAAGGGGCCTCTATATCTGCGTCCTCAATAATTGCTTCAAGCGCCCGGGACCGCTCCGAGCGCCGCCATTGGCTCCAGCGCGCTATCTGATCGTACGAGCGGCTGCAGCACTTTCTGTGCCGCCGTAGTCGCGGCATAGAGGCGACTAGGACAGGGCAGGGCCCAGGGTGCGGAACCGAGCGTGAAGTGAGGGGTCAGCGGTGAGGTCAGGGCAGGGCAGGGCCGATAAAGGAGATGATCCCTCCCTGGCCGGGTTAGGCAGTAGATGGGGGATGTGCGTCGAGCATACGACGGTTACACCAAGATACGCCCTGAAGGACAGGGCCATTCATTGAGATGCCCCACCTCTCTGGTCTCAGTCTGACAGACCAGACCCTTTCTCCTCTCCTCCCGCTATAGCTCGGATGCCCGTTGGCGAAGCCTTCTAGACCAAGTACTCCCTTGCACGACTTCGCATTCGCATTGCCACCAGGCCGGCTCGGTAGTTGCGAGCGTTCGTGTGTCACGACTCGGAGGACTCACCGTTCGTGGACGACAGTTCCCAGGGTGTCGCAGGGCCGGGGCTGGGTTGCTAGTATATCTCGTCTGTTGCAGCTGTTTGGGACTTTTGTGTCGCATCGCATCAGTCGAGCTCTGGTCTGCTGTCCTGTGTAATCTGCCGCTGCAGCACCTTGTTCTCTCCTTCCGCTTGGAGAGCGTCTCTATCTATCTATCCCGCCTCCTCGAGACCTGCGTTGGAGCGCCTGGTATACGCATTCTCCAGTACTGTAAGACAGGCTCTTACTGCTGCTCGACATCGTCAACATGGCGGATTCAGAGAAGATGGCAGTTATCATCGAGGGCGGCGTCTCTCCGACGTCGTCCTCTCTCGAACCTCCCATCGACCGTGCTGCTGAGCGGCGCCTGGTCCGCAAGCTCGACATGCGCATTCTCCCAGTCCTATGGGTTCTGTATCTGGCGAACTTCATCGACAGAGCCAATGTAAGGCCACCAACCTCTCCCTTCCGTACATGTCCCACAATCCCTCCAAGACCTTACTCCTCACCTCCCTACGGCCACAGTGCCACCAAATACCACCATCTACTAACCACCCACCCAGATTGGCAACGCCAAAATCCAAGGCATGGAAAAAGAGCTCAACCTCATCGGCCAGCGCTTCAACATCTGCGTGTGGATCTTCAACCTCGGCATCCTCACCGCCGGCGTCCCTCTAACCATCGCCTTCAAGAAGTACGGTCCCAAATCGCTGTGCGTCATGATGGTAGCTTGGGGTAACGTCTTTCCCCCTCTCATTCCTCCTCTGCCCCGTGCACGTGCTCCTCCTTCGCAGCTGTATGCTAACGCAACGTCCAGGCATCACGGTGATCGGCTGCGGGCTGGTAAAGCGCTGGGAAGAGCTCGTCGTCACGCGCCTGCTGGAAGGCATGGCGGAATCTGCATTTATTAGCGGCGCTGCGTACCTCATCGGCGCGTACTACACGACTAAAGAATACCTCAGCCGCTTCGTTTTCTTCTGTACGGCTGGAATCATCGCCGGCGCAATTAACGGCTTTATTTCTTCGCTGATTGCGAAGATGGATGGCGTGGGTGGGTATAGCGCGTGGAGATGGTAAGTTCATGGCCCCATTTACGCACAGAACAGTTGGCATGAATGATGAATGGGAAGACTGATATGCGAACAGGATCTTCATCATCGAGGGCATCTTAACCATCGTGATCAGCATCGTCTCCTGGCCGCTCGTCGTCCCCTTCCCAGAGGATTGCAACTTCCTCTCCAAAGAGGAAAAAGAGCTCATGCTCACGCGCGTCAAAGACGGAGGCCACAACCCCAACGAAACCATCACCCTCCGCGGCGCCCTGCACCACCTCAAGGACTGGAAGATCTGGGCTGGGTATGGCTTCTTTCTCCTCCTGTCTCATCACTCTCTCCTCCCTTTCCCTGCTATTCTCGTCGAACGTACCTACTCGCTAACGCCCGCATGCATAGTGTCGCCATGAACCTCGGAGTAACTGAGAACGCAAATTCGCTCGCAAATTTCCAACCCACCATCCTCAAAGGCCTCGGCTACACCGCCACCCAAGCACAAATCCACACCATCCCCGTGTACCTCGTCGGCGCCACCTTCAGCGTCATCTTCGCCTACCTCAGCGAGTACCTCAACCGGCGCTACGCCTTCTACATCCTCGGCTGGGCCGTGCTCGTCGTCGGGCTTGCCGTCGAAATCGCGTACCCGCCCGCGCCGGGCGTCCGGTACATGGGCATGTTCTTCATCGCGTGCGGCTGCTACCTGGCGATGCCGATCAGCATTGTGTGGGTGAGCATGAATGCCGGGAAGGGGTACAAGCGCGCGATTGCGATTGGCGCGATTATTAATTTCGGGACAGCGGGCGCGTTTGTGTCCAGTAACGTGTTTATGTTTAAGGAGACGCCGAGGTTCCATACCGGATTCAGCACTGGGCTGGGGCTGGCGTGCATGGGTGCCACTGCGGCGACGATTACGTTCCTGGGCTGCTGGTGGGAGAACAAGAAGAGGGATGAGCGGAGGTCGGAGTATCCCGCTGTGGTTGAGGGGACTGTGGAGGAGTTGGGGGATGAGCATCCGGATTTTAGGTTTGCGTTGTAGTTGGGATATGGTGGAGAAAAGTGGCGAAGATGATCGGACGAGACACTGACAGGGCGAGTAGATAGAGGGGAGGGAATATAAGTAGTACGAGAAAGCTGGCGCGATGGCACGATCTGTTCCTAGAGTCTGATGGCTGGCCAAATTAGCCTCTCTTGAGCTTGCTCATCCTGCCAACCCTCAACTCCGATTGCATTAAACACTAGCTCGCCTCAGACTGCGAATTGACTCGGTCCCCCTATACCACAATAAGAAACTAACTATCTATATGCCCATTCTGTCTTCCATGCCCCTTATTTCTTCCATGTTTTTCTTACCCAGCAAGGCTCGATGGTTTAAATGGGCTCATCGCGAGGCTCGATCAAGATTTCATTCACGGAGACGTGCTCCGGCTGCTTCAGCGCATAGACGATCGAGTTGGCCACGTCCTCGGCGCCCAACACCTTCGCTCCCGACGGCTCGCCGTACTTCTTGAGCGCTTCCGTATCAGTCGACATACCTAGCAGATCCGTGGAAACATTGCCAGGTTGTACGCTCGTGACGCGAAGCCCGGTGCCAGCGGTCTCGAGACGCAAGCTTTGTAGCGTGGCTTCAACGAAAAATTTGCTGGCTGAGTAGACGCCCAGGCCCGGAAATACCTTTCGGCCTGCGTCTGAGGAGATAGCGACAATGTGGCCCTTGCCACGGCCGAGCATAGCTGGAACTGTAGAGGAAATACAGTTCAGCAGGCCTTTGCAGTTTACGTCGACGGTGCGATTCCACTCCTCCGTCTGAACGTTCTTCATCATGGTGAAGTACATGACGCCCGACACCGAGATGAATATGTCGATAGGACCCAGCTCCTTCTCAGCTGCGCTAACAAGCGCTTCAACCTGCGCTTTGTCCGTAACGTCGGTCCTTTGGCAGATAACTTTGCCCTCACGCACGACCAGTCGCTTCTTAAGGTCCTCGAGCGCATCTAAGCGACGAGCAGCGAGGGCTACATGACAGCCTTCTCTTACGAGACCTGACGCAGTCGCGGCGCCGATTCCGGAGGAGGCACCCATGACGACAGCGACCTTCCCATATAGTGGTCCTCTCCGCGGAAGCTGCCCGGACCCACCTTTAGCATTCTGGCTGGTCGGTGGTTCATCAAGCCAGCCGCGAGCATACCAATGGCGAGTGTATGTCTCAAGGAGAACCTGATCGACTTTGGGGCGTTCTACAACTGCACGGAAAGGCCGTGTTTTGGCGTTATCAAGGACGACGATATCTCGTAAGAAGGCGACACTTGGCATACCGCTGCGGAGAATATCAATGGTAAAGGCACCATCTCCTCCTTTGACTGAGCCTCTCTTGTCGTCCCAGAGAGCAACCCACTTGTCGAACTGGAGTGGCTGTGTGGGATATCCGAGCTGAGTGAGATCTTCGAAGACCGCACTCGTATCTACAGGTGTTGGATCGCCCAGGTGGAAGATAGTTTGGCCCACCTCAGTCTGATTGCTGAGATGAATCATCGCCTTGCTCACAAAGTCGACTGGAGTCATCTCGGCTCGCCAGCCTATAACGTCTGGGTGGTAGCCGATCCGAACAGATTCCACGATCAAGGCGGTAAGGAGGTCCCAGGCGTTCGAGGCGCCCGTCTCACTGTGCCCACTGATCGTGCCTGCTCGATGTACTTTCACGGGCAAACCACGGCGACCGGCTTCGAGTACGAGCTGTTCTGCTACCCATTTCGTTTGGCCATAGCCATCAGCAAGTTTCTCCGGAACATCGTCTACGTCGAGCATGGCATCTTCTGGCCAACCTTGCCGGCCGGACGTTGGAGGAAGAACGCCATTAGTGGAGACGTATTGCACCGTGGCTCCACCCCGGCATGCAAGACGCAGAATCTCCTTAGTGCCGATAACGTTCGGAAGGCGCAGGGCGGCATACGGATACACGAGGTTGACAGTAGCTGCGGCATGGACGATCACCTGGACACGGCCGGCGAGTTCGGCGAATGCGTCCGGAGAAAGACCGAACCGCTTTCGAGACAAATTTCCGGGTAGGATTTCCACGCGTTCCATAATCAGGTCGCTCCATAAGCCGAAATCCAACAAATTCCTGCGGATTCTTGCAATACCGGCAGGCCGGTCATCTTGTGAGGCGTCGTTGAAACGTACAAGGCAGATAATCTTAGCAGATGTGCTGTCCAACAGGTCCCTAAGCAGGAAAGCCCCCAGGAAGCCGGTCACACCAGTCAACAACACAGTTTCGGCATCCTTCAATGCGCATATCTTTGCATTAACGGGTTGGATATCCTTGTCGAGGACGGAATCAGCTCGCAAAACGGCAGGTAGGTCAGCCTGTACCGCTGCGGTCTGTCCATCTCTGACGGAGCGGACGGTGTCAAGATGACCGTTGAGAGTTGCAGGATCTGCCAGACGGGCGACCGGGATCTTGAGGCCGAAAGTGTTGGACAACCGTGCAGCAAGGTCCGCTAAAGAAAGGGAGTGACCGCCGAGGTCGAAGAAGTTGTATTCAGGGGTGATGGAGCTAGGCTTGATGCCCAGAATCGCCGCCCAGATCTCAGTAATCTGTTTGGTATCGATCGGATCCTGCTCAAACGTTGCTCGCTTGCCCGTCGGGGACTTGGTCCTGGTATGTGGAGGGGGTAGACGCTTCAGATCCACTTTCCCAGAGACATCATGCGTTGGAAGCTCTTCTAGCTCGACCCACCAATGGGGTATCATGTAATGCGCGAGATAAGGTTTGAGTATTCGCCGTGCCGTGAGACTCCGACCTTCATTGTCGATTTCAGCTTCAGGACGCTCTGCGGAGGATTCCTTGTCCCGGACAATGTATGCTACCAGTTGCCGGTCCATTCCCTCGCCATGGGCAATAACTGCACTCCGGCTCACGGCAAGATAGTGCACGATTGCGTTTTCGACCTTGCCAGGAACGACTGAATAGCCACGGAGCTTGATCATCGCCCCAACGCGGCCGGTGATCTCTAGAAGTCCAGAAGGTAGCAGGCGCGCCTTATCACCAGTCCTGTACATGCGGGCACCAGATTTGGAGCTGAAGGGGTTGGGAGTGAAGGCCTCTGCAGTGGTCTCCGGGCGGTTGAGGTATCCTCGCGCGAGTAAATGGCCGCCAACGAACAATTCGCCATTAGTACCTGGCTCGACCCTATGTCCGCCCTCGTCGAGGATATAGATGTACTTCTCATCTATTAGCGGAGGACCCACGGGGCAGTAGAGAGCATCTTTGCTGATCTTGTCGAGCATGTCTCGAATATCCCCACAGGCGATTTCATGGGTCTCACAAGCGCTATAGCAGTTGAGCAAGCGAGCATTTGGTAGAGCTCTGATACCGCGGCGCGCAAGGTCAGTGGTGACTACTTCACCATTCAGCCAGATGGTTTTCAGATGCGGAAGCCTAGTGCCAAGAGACTGATGCCGGGATAGGATGGCTGCGAATAGAGTGGGCGTGAATAGGGTCTCAGTGATGTTCTTGGAGGCCAGAAGGTCCACGAGCATCCTGGGGTCATAGCTGGCATCGTCAGGGACGGCGACCACTGTGGCTCCCCGCAGGAGAGGGCGCAAGATTTCCCAGACGAAGAAGACATTGCAGGCCACACGATCTCCCGGTTGAAGATCCGACAGGCCAAATCTGAGATTGTAAGATAATACGGCTGCTTTGTGAGAGTTCGCTATGCCTTTGGGCTTCCCTGTGGTCCCGCTGGAGTAGGCCACGAAACTCAGACGGTCGAGGTCGGTCTCTTCGGGTAAAGGGGGAAGCGCCTTCTCATCGACATGGCCGTTGACACCTGGCTGCTGCTCATCGACGATGACGAGCGGCACGCCCTCTTTGATCTTGCCCACTTCGGCCCGGATCGTCACTAGGACGGCAGGACGAGCGTCGTCGATGACATCGGCTAGCAGATCAGGCGGATACGCAAGCTCGAGCACGAGAAAAGCGCCGCCGGCGCGAAGGGCCGCCAAACAGGCGATTACATAATCAGCGGACCGTGGCAGCAAGACGCCGACGAGGCTATCGCGACCAACGCCGTGGCTCCGGAGACGGTCAGCGAGGGCGGCGACTTTATCGTGGAGCTGGGCATAAGTGTAAGTATGCTGCTCGTCCTCTAGCGCAATAGCATCGGGGGTAGCGTGGGCTTGTTGGGTGAAGAGCGCCGAGAGGTCCTTGGTGATATCGATAATGGGCATCGTTGTTCGGGTTTGACGGGAGAAGGGTTCATTGTGAGGTGTGGCGGTAGACATGGCGGTTGACGTATATAGCCGACCAAAGGGCCAGCAAAAGCAAGAGAAACAGGGTAGTAGGAAAATTGCCTGCCATTGACTGTTGGGACGCTTGACCAGTTGCATGCTTCGCTTATCGCTTGGCCCTAGTCTGGATTGCCCTAGCGTTTCTCTGCCGATGACGTTATTCGGTTGGCGTCGCCTTCGACGCCGTTGCATCCAATCTTCGCGCTCATTGAGCCAGCCGTCCTCACGCGGGCATTGAGAAACGGAAGCGCTTCGCTGAGCTGTCTTGGAAGACGCCGGAGATCATCGTCGATCGACATGCGAGAGACGGCCGAGCATTTACAGTACCGGTTGCGGGCTTGGCATTCACGGATAACCGTTTTCTAGCGCATCGTCGCATTCCGCTAGCCGCATTGGAGGGCATCTACAGGTCGCATAGGATACAGAGGTCGCTCGCTGTCGCATACAGTAGGAGCTGATAGAGCGGTGTGCCAATTGATCCTCTTTGAGCATTGTTAGCCTGAAGTCGCCCATGAGAATGTGCCTGCGGACTCAGAAGCATCAGCAGGCGGTGTGATCTCGCCAACACATTGTACGAGAATTCTGCCCCTATGGCGTCCGAGCATGTACCTTAAGTCTGGCGAAGATCCCAGAATGAAAGCGGCAAAGGAGCACGCGTGGTATTCCAGAACGGGAGGCCCACAGAAGTCGCGAAGGGTTGTGTGGAATCTCCGCCTGCCTCGTCTCATGCGACGTACGTTACCCAGCAGGGTCGACAGATGAAGTACGCCAGCTATCCTGCCCGTAGCCAATTACCCGGATAAGCAGGAATCGGTCGTGCGAGTGTTCCACGATGGATTCATTTTCAGTCGCTTGGGTGGACTACTGTGGACGTTAGACCGGGGGCATAGTCTATGCGCGCCCTGCTTTCTGTCAGCGGGAAGGTGTGCGCTCCGGAGCAGGGTCGTACAGACGTCTTATGAAGGCAGGCAGAGTGTAACTCGGACTGCCATATGATCTGAAATGGGGCCCTACGGTTTGCCCTCAGCTGCACGCCCAACGAGCGCCGGGCGCCAGGCGCCAGGCGGTCCCCGTGGCAATTGTATCCATGCCAGATATCCTCTCTTCATGGAAGAACCGCGGCAGCAACGCATGGAATAGAGAGCGTCGTCGAAGCCGGGAGGGTCACGTAGAGATGACACAGAGAGGCGTGGGCGGGGCGGGGTAGACATTGCGGTCGCGTGCGCTTGGGGGGATGCAGGACAGGTCGTGGGTAGACTTGTGTATCCGTTCGCAGCATCATAGCTAGGTACTGTCGCACGCGAGCTTTGAAGTTAGTATCAGCGAATTTCCGTTATGCGACGGGGTGGTCGTAAGTGTAGGAGAGGAGTGAAGTGTCCGCTGGCTTCATCATGACACGGCCGACAGCCAAGATGGGAAGGCAGATCCGGCGGTGGGTCGTGCGTCACTCCCGGCACCGTCATCTGTCCATTGATTTACGACACATCTGTCGACCACCCAGCTACAATTCAGCCGAGCGCTATCCTATCATTCTTCGAGGGTCACTAACGCTAACGCTACTCAATTAGGGACCGTTGAGCGGCACATGTCTGCGCTCCAGCTTCACCATCAAATCTACCGTCATCCTGCTTGATCAGATCCGCACCCTTCTCCGCCACCGCATATGTAGTCGCCATAATGTTTCCGCTAACGTGGCCGGGGAACACGCTTGCATCCACTACCCTGAGTCCTTTCACGACCCGGCCGTTCCCGCCCACGACCCGGAGCCTCTCGTCAACCACTTGACCCATAGCAGCAGTGCCAATAAGGTGGTACTGCGTCGAGATGTGATTCTTCACGTATTCGACTCTTTGCTCCTCTGTTTCTAGACTATTCTCAGGAGGAGGCAGGATACGCTCTCCAAGCGACTTCTTGACGAGCGGATGTTTCGATACAGCATCGAGCCACTTCAGACCTGCCGCGAGTATCTTTGCGTCACACTCGCTGCGGAAGTACCCTACGAACGGACGGTCATGTTAGCAAATGCTTGAAGTGAAGGGATCCCATCAATTAGAGGTCTTCATGAATAGCATTTCCGAGCCAAACAACGAGATATGCGGGAGTGCACCACGACATACGACATACCTGGATCAATAACTGGTGGCTTGAGCGGATCCGATGACGAAATGTGCACACTACCGCGTGACAGAGGATGCTCGAGGCAGATCAGCAGCGAGACCCTGTTCTTCCCATCTGGAGGCTTGCTGAAGAACTGAACCTGGTCACTCCCTGCGCTCACATCCAGCTGGCATGGGATGCAGAAGGTTTGCAGGTTCGCAAATGTCGGGTCTGCTAGTTGGTCGACAATTACCTGTCGATTTCATCAGCACAAATTGAAGCCGTTTGAGGGTAAGGCAGCCTGACCTTCTCTTGCGCTTTCTCGAAGGGAGTCTTCGCCAGGCTCTTCTCCTGGATCTCTTGAATCATCCGCTGGACTCCTTCTTTGCCGACTATGCTTGCATAGCTGACGAAACCCATCAACATCCCTGGACTGCCGTACGGACCATCGTGTGTTGCCTCATAGATCTCTTGCTGCGCCTTGGCATACTCCTCTCTGTGCAGCTCATCCAGGCTCAACACACCTTCCTTCAAATCGAACAGCATACCGCCGAGTACATGATCCTGGAAGTTGGCACCGACGGTCTTGTTTTCAATGACGCACTCGACGCCGGCCTTCCGAAGGACTTCCCGATCTCCAATCCCTGATAGCTCTAGGAGCTGAGGAGTTTGGATGACGCCGGTGGAGAGAACAGTCTCTCTGCTTGCTTTGACGTGATGGAGCCTCCCCGAATGCGCAAACTCAACGCCCACTGCGCGCTCGCCGTCCAACAGTATCCGAGTAGCGTGCGCTTCGGTCAGCACGCGCAGGTTCTTTCGATCCAAATTGGGACGAAGGTACCCGGTAGCAGCATATGACCGATTTCCTGGGTCGGATGAACGATCCACGGCGCCCAAGGAAGAGTAGAAGCCCATATGGTCTCCACTCCAAGCATCGTTCAGTGTACTGGTCTTCCCGCCGACTTCGTATGCCGCTTTGCAGAAGTCTTCCTCCATGGACATATAATAATCATTGAAGCTGGTATGAATTGGCCCATCGCTCCCATGGAAGCTCTCCTTTGCAGCGTGTGGCATAAACTGCTTGTCCGTAGGCAGGGCTGCTGGATCCGGGATATCGAGCATCTGATGCTTACGGAAATAGGGAACCAGGTCATCCCAACCCCATCCCTTGTTGCCTATCTCGGCCCAACTGTCATAGTCTTTCCGAGATCCCCGAACGTACATCAGATAGTTAATTGCCGAGCTTCCACCAAGAACCTTCCCTCGCGGCATGGAGTATGTCTTTCCGCCGGCATTCGGCTGCGGAATCGAAGACATGCACCAGTCATACTCAGGTCGGCCGATCAAGCTTGGGTAAAGACACGGAGTGGAGATTTGCTTGTCGTCCATGCGATTCTTCCCTGCTTCGAGGACGCCGACTTTCACAGCAGGATTCTCGGTCAGACGAGCGGCTACGACGAGCCCGGCTGTTCCGCCCCCAACGATTACATAGTCGTAGGTTTGAGATAGAAACTCTTCGAGGGAGCACAGTGCAGGCCCGGAGTTTGCAGGAGCCATTGTTGGAGCAATTTGACACTTCGTGAGGGCAGCAGATGAACAAGAGAATATCGTGTACAGAGGCTGACGCTGCAGCTATAGGTCATCCCTCCCCCGCATTCTGAGGATCCGCAAACCCGGAGTGCACCATTCTTGCTCATTGCGCCGCTCCTGAACGATCCGTTTGGAAAGCGTCCGGACATAAGATGATCGTCGGGATTAGTATTGCGGGGAAGCCTAGAATGCGGGGCAGGTGCATGCTGCAGCACATGATCCCAATGGCTAACACAAACTGCAGGTAATCTTGAACCTTGGAATGTTGTAGAAAATGTCGAGTCGTACGAAATAGCAAAGCAGTTGAGTCACGCTGTCGCATGACTAAGGGTCCTAGGACCTTGGCCTCTGCGCGAGTCAGTAACCTCGTGAGATTTCCGCGCGCATAAACGACCCGCACTGTTTCATGGATAACGCAGCATCGCCGACACAAGGCCGCGGAAGATTACTCTTATGTGGAAAATGGGACTCTACGGGACTTTAATCTACTCTCTTGCAAGCAACCGTTCGGCACCAACAGCCTTCGTTTTCGATGGCTGCGGCGAGCGCGCAATTGACCGATTGACAGGATAGCCCTTTCCGCCTCCATCATGCACTCCGCCGTCGAAAGACGTCCAGCGGCTTGGCATCGTTTCCGATCCTTCCCTCTAATTGGCGGAGAAACATGAGGAACTTCTTGAAACGTTCGTATATTGATCGCGACCCCCAAACAGGCTAGCGCTATGGGTCCTCCCGGTACGATAGGCATAGGGCTGGCCCTTTTCCAAATGAAAGAGGAGCCTTTCCGTTCGCTACCGCGCGATAAAATGCTCCGACCATGGCGGGAGCCAAGAGCAGCCAAGAGCGACGTTTCCGAAGATAGATGTTCCACGGTTTCAAGCACGCGGTTTGTGAGAGTGGTGAGGGATGGTGCCGGGAGGACGGCCTGCTTTAGGTTCAGGAGATGTGGATAGGCGGTGGTAGGTATAAAGGTGAGATGGTAGCCTCGAAGAAGAAACCACTCTTCACCGAGCCTTCTATTCGTCGTCTTTCGTTTGCTTGAAGCAATTCTTTCTCTAAGGTACTATTCCGTCCGTTCCAGGCTTACATTCTCGTCACATATCTTTTTCCAACGCTTCCACTTCCATCTACCAACCGCTCCAACCACCAACGATCACCATGAAGGTCTCAGTCGCTGCTTCCATCCTGGCTCTTGCCGCCTCCACCGCTGCGTCTCCTGCGGCCCAAACCCCGAAAGACTTCTTCAACCTCCTGAAGCGCGCCACGCTGCCCGTTCCCACATCCCAGGGCACCGTCACCTACGATGCAGCCGAAACCATCTCCGGCACCTTCGACGGTGGCATGAAGACCTACGGCCGTGGCGTCGAGTGCACCGGCCAAGACGAGGGCGGTGATTCTGACGCCGTTTTCATCCTCGAGGACGGCGCGACGCTCAAGAACGCTATTATCGGCGCGGATCAGATCGAGGGCGTGCACTGCGAGGGGTCTTGCACAATCGAGAACGTGTGGTGGGTTGCCGTGTGCGAGGGTAAGCTCCCATATCCCATAGAATACACAATTCAGTATGCTGACAACTTGACAAGACGCCCTCTCCCTGAAAGGCGACGGCGACGGCACCGTCTCCGGCGGCGGAGCCCAAGGCGCCTCCGACAAAGTAATCCAGCACAATGGCGCGGGCACTGTGACTATCGACGGCTTCACCGTCATGGACTTCGGCAAGCTGTACCGCTCGTGCGGCAACTGCAAGAACAGCGTCGAGCGCCACGTCGTCATCACGAACGTCAGCGCCTACAACGGCAAGGTGCTGGCAGGAATAAACTCTAACTTTGGCGACGATGCGACGATTAGTGCGACGTGCGCTACGGATGTCAGCACTATCTGTCAGGAGTTCGAGGGTACTACGCCCGGCAACGAGCCTGAGGAGATCGGGGAGGGGCCGAGTGATGCGTGTATTTATACCGAGAGCGAGATTGCTGCTTGCTAGTTGGGCGCGGGAGGAGTGGTGGTTTTGGTGGGATAGGAGGGGTCTGAGGATCCAGTGATAGTTTTGCGGAGCGCAAGGGGAAGGCTTTGAAAGCGCATTCTTGTATATATTTACTTCGCTTCGACGCACATGCCGTGCATGCACGGAATCTAATTGCATCCATTACTTTGCAAGGAGAAGACAAGCCAAACGCGGCGAAAGACGTTTAGGCGGTGAACCACCACAGTGATAGTGAGAACCTCCACGGACATTAAACGAAAGCAACCAACACCATCTAAACGCCCACACCCTGAAAGCGGGTATCTCCTACGCGCCGTCTCCCTCGCCTTCTCTCCAAACGTAGGTATTTCGATGGCGCGGGTGTCCACCGTATTATTCTTGCACTCCACGCTGAGCTTAGAATGTCTTCGGGGTGCTCAGTATAAAAGTGGCATAATATCATACATATATTCCCTATTACCAAAACCAGGCTTCCCCAGAGTCCGGTAGAGGGGGAATGGACACTCAAGATCAATCTCCTCAAACCCCGTTTGAGGAAAGAGCGCGCGCCAGCAGGTCCGGTTCTGCTCTTCTTATATCGATGCCCCCAGAATTCCTGGGGTTATTGCGGCTTGCGGTGGTACGGCATAGAGAGTGCGAGGTATTGGTGCAAAGCCCCTGCGCCTGAGGAATAAGGATATGCATGGGCGCCTGTGGACGGCTTCGAGTCTAGAATCGCAGAGACGAGAATGCTCTTGCGAGAGAAAAAGCAACTCTCGTCTCATTAAAAGCATGCGAGCATGTAAACCCGTTCCAATCCTAACGGGTTGGGGCAAAAACTCTAAGACATAAAGAAACACTCGACTTAACAGAAGACCAAAAGTAGACAAAAAACAGCGCCTAAAAAAACTTGCACCCATCCTCCCTCTCACCCCATCCCTCGCTCCGCCCCAAAAAAAAAGCGCAAAAAAAAAAGTATATATAGCTTCAAGTGGTTTCGATCCACTGTCCTCCGGGTTATGAGCCCGGCGCGCTTCCCCTGCGCCATGAAGCTTGAGTTGTATTTGATTTATGATTTTTTTCGACGACTAGTTAATATATATACAACACAACGAATTAAATTTGAATTTGCAAAAGCTAGATGCTGGATTTTGGCTCTGTGGGTAGGCGGCCGCGGGGAAGGTGCGAACATGAATGCTGAGGTGAAGGAATTTTCTTTCTGAAAGAAGGGGGTGACTCATGAGGGGGGCGCGCGCGCGCAAGTGTTACATCACACCTCAACCTGCGGAAGCAAACGGAGGTTAACCGCACGAGCTTAAGCATTAGACGAAAAGCAAAAGCACGGGAATGTTTGGAAGGATATTAGACGAAAAGAATGGCACTTACTTGAAGGAAATGCATATGATACATTCAGCTCCTCAGGATATATATAGTCTATACAAAGGACTAAACCAACGATACAACACCGTCCCCAAACGCCAAATAGCACCCTGAATCCCTTTCCAACCCATCGCACCTGGCTTGAAATAGCCGGCTGGCTCCTCTGGTATCTACAATCCCAGTCCTATACACGCGCTCCCGACCAACCCTTCACACCCCCTTTGCCTCAAACATATGCCCGCTCTTACTCAACACTGTCCCCAACCCTCTATGCACTTCTGCTTGGAACGGCTCAAAAGGTACCCTCTCCCCATCAATACTAATGTACCCATCCTTTTGATTCTTCGGGGTAATCCGATACGCGCTGATCTTCTGGTAATCCACATGCGGCAAGTCGAAAAACTTGTGCTCTGCAATCGCCAGTAGGGTTTTGATAGAAGTAAGTCGTGCAATGTCACCGCGGACGCGGATCAAATCGAGACAGCCGTCAGAGGGGAGTGAGGCTGGGAAGAAGTTGGCATCGGGCGACATGTACGCGAGGTTTCCGGCGTAGAAGTTTCCGAGGTGGTCGTGTGGGACGAGCGTCCAGGAGGATGGAAGGGGGTCATTGATGGTGCCGTACTGGAGCGCTGGGAGGCCTGTCCCCGCAGGTGGAAGAGGCCGGGAGTCGTGGGTTAGAGGAGGTTTCGAGGACTCGGCGCGGTATACTTCGCGCACCGCGGCCTTGTTGTCGTGCTCTACTTTGACGGCGATGTCAGCCGGGTAGATGGTCTTTCCGAGGAGCCGGACGAGGAAACCCCATGTGAAGCGCGCGCTGCCCATCCATCGTAGATGCTCTGTTGCGAGGTCGGTTTCGGCAACAATGCCCACAGACTGGGAGAGGAAGGAGAGAGTGCGTCGGTCGCCCTGGGTCACTGAGACCAGATCCAGGGGTGTGCGGAGTCCCTTTACGACAGCAAGTGCTGCGAGGCTGGGGCTATCCGTCCCATTAAAGTTCAGACTCATAGCGTTCCCGGAACCGCAGGGTAGTTGCGCGATGGCGACCTTGACCAGCGCACGAGCAGCATCTTCCCTCTTGCTCAAGCCGTTCCAGACCTCGTGGGGTATACCATCTCCGGAGCAGCAAGCCACGGCGTCATACGCTTCGATATCCAGATTCTGCCCAATCTCCACACCATGCCCGCTGTACTGCGTCTTCTCTACATCTAGCTCACACCGCGCGGCCGCAAATATCGGTGCAATGTGCTTGTGATACATCTTCTGCGCGCCGCCCTGCCCTCCAAACGGGTTGATGAGCACCTTGATGCGCTTCTGCCTCTGGGAGGCCCCGTACGCGCGCTCCAGCAGCCTCTCCATCCATCCTTCTGTCAGATTGCTTTCCGGCTTGTCTAGTTTGTAGCTAATGATCGCGGGGCGGACGACTTTCTTCGAAACGTTATGCGCATAATGGATGATGATCTCTCCGTCGTCGGAAGTCTCGGCCCAGAGGATATTGAAGAATGGTATCGAGCGAGTGGTTTTATTCTCTGTTCATCGTCAATGGCATGTAAGAGGGCGCGCGAATCGTGAGCTTACTGCCAGCAAGATTGACGCCGCAGCAGTTTGCGCCTCTGCTTTCCAGCAGCTCTTCATCTAGACGTCCCGTAAGCGTACACCCCTTTCGCAGTTCAGCAGCATTCTCACCTAACACAACCAAGGAATCCGTCCCCAGCGTCAGTGAGGCATTTCTGCCCACGGGCAGCGTGGCGGGGACATTCACGGCGAACGGCGGCTGCGACAGCGGGGTGGAGGTACCGGCTAGCGAAGGGTCCTTGAAGGGGTCGTCCTCCAGGATGGAAGCCATGGTCACGAAGAGGCACAAAGGAGGGATTGCATCGCGCAGCAAGCAAGAGCGATGTGAGCGAGAGGAGTGAGGTCAGCAGGAAGCGTGGCCCATAGCGCGGATGCTCCAAACTGGATTGGTGTTACAAAGAATGAGGAAACAAGTCCGTTCGAAACGGCATGCCGAGCCGAGGCATCCCGCGAATTAGGCAATGGCACATCGCGCCGCAACGCGCTCGTGACAGCTTATCTGATGGCTTGCGCGACACCCCAACACCAACACCCACACCAGCAGGGTGGCCTCATAGCGCAAAGGAACGGTAATAACGAGGCTGTAGGAAACTCTCGTGTCTTGAAGATATCCCAATAATGCTATAGAACCACTCTCCTATCCTCGTGACTTTTCCTGCCAGGCGATGCTGGCACGCCCAACATCCATGCATTGAAAAGAACCTCTTCTCGAACCCAACAGTTGCAGTTGCTCTTTCATCGCGATTGCATGTCAGCGTAGATCTGCCGGCCAACCCCTCCATCAAAGAACTCATGCTACACCAACCTTGTTCAGACCTTTCAACGACCCCAAACTCAACGCTAGACCTTGCGATCGACTCCGAATGCGCACGAAACCTGTGATGGGCCCGTTCTCACCCTCCTTCTCGATGCTGAGATTGGCAAGAGCATCCTCACCTGAGTCATGTTAGCACCGCAGTATATCACTCTCGGACATATGCTTACCGAACACGCTCCTAGCATACAGGTTCGCAGACAGGAACTGGCAGTCGCCCTTCATGGAGGCCTCTGGGGTGAGGCAGCTCATGTTGGTGCAAGCCATCAGCTGCTTCAGGAACTCCCGTAACGACTTGGCCTTGGAGTTAATGTTGACCTTGTTTTCCCATTCGAACTCTGTCCACATCGTTCTGAACTGAGTCTCTGTGCAGTATGCCGGTTTGATGTAGTCCATGATGTCCACGTGAACGTCATTCAAGATAACGACATTCGAGTCGACTCCCTTCTCGCTGGGAGCTTGTTAGCGTAGCACAAGTGAACGTGTTGCGCGAGACATACCCTTCGTATATTATGTTACCGAAGATAACGCCAGTATCTGTCGAAGAGACTATGGCATGTTAGCGCCCGAATCCAAGACTAGAAGCCTGAAGGTCATACCTTTGATGGTGGCTTGTAGGTTGATAAAGTCGTGGGGACGGACATTCTGCGTTGGCGGCCGTTCGACCACTTTCAGGTCACCAAGCGTAGCGAACTCAACGGTAAGGTTCTGGAGCGTCTCGGTCGTCTGATTGACGAGTAGAACATCGAGGACGATATCAAACTGATGGACCTAGGAGATGTTAGAGAAGGCCTGCAATAACAAGCACCACTGCTTACTTTGACGTATGCTTCGGCGTACACGGGATCCGAGAAACCGGTAAGTTGCACTACCCGGCTGAGCTTTGAAGTGAGGTCTTCTGTTGCTGTGTCTCCACCAGTGGCCCTCTCCAGGTCTTGCTCAATCTCATCGGTGCCATCTGCGTCTTTCTTCTTCAACTGCCGGATAGAGAAGCAGTCGTCTACGTTGATAGCCGACTTTGCCCTCTCTGAAGCTTCCTTTGCAGCGCGTTTCTTCTCTTCTGCTTGCACCATTGTCCTGAAGGATTTCCGTGTATCCTCCAAGAACACAGTCTCCAGCTCTTTCCTCTGTGCAAATTCCGATAGGGACCGGATGCAAGTCATGATTCGGTCGACAGAGTCTTCATCTATAAAGGTCTTGACGAATTGCGATTGACCGACCCGGATAATGGAAATCATGATCAGCATAGCTTCAGCTCGGAGAGCGTTCGTGCGCGCAGTATCTTTCGAAATCTCCGAATGTCGCATAACCAGCTTAGTAAGGGTGCTCGACAAGACCGTTGCGAGGTAGTAATCGCCATCGAGGATCAGCTGGCGTAGCGGAGGCTTTTGTGAGTTCTTGACAGCTTCCAGCTTTGCTTTAGCAGCCGCAGAGGAGGTGAGCGCGCTCTCCGTGGCATACGTGCCGTCAGCGAGGACTTTTCGCGAGCCGGAGGGAGCCGCGGGCTTGGCATGTCCATTGACCTGATCCGTAGGCTCCTTGCCCTCAGAAGCCTCGTCCAGCAGCCGCTGTTCCGATGTGAGGATGGGAATTTCGCCCAGAGAGGAGCGAATGCCCTTCCATGCATCTCGAATATCCTTGGCCTCCAGAGAAAACTCGCCAATGATCCACAAGACACCACGATACACCTTCCCAGCGCGCACCTCACCCAGAGTGGTAACGAGACGCTCCACTATCGAAGGTCTCAAATCGGGGAAGCGCTCGACGACTTCTTTCACAAAAGAGATTACATCCACGGCGGATGCGTTGCTGCTGACGTCGGAGATGAAGTCCATAAGTGAACCCACTACGCTCGCTGCGACTTCGGGGAATTTGATGGCAGACTGGTGGATGACAGAAATGAGGAGCGACCGGTATTCGGAGTTTTTCTCGTACTGTTCGTCGACCGTCTTCATGAGTTCCTTCTTGAGCAGCAGAACAACTTCTTCGACATTCCTGCTGGTGACCATCTCAAGCGCGATGTTGAGAGCTTTCTTCCGTACGTCCAAATCGGGGCTTGAGAGAACACGCAAAACTTCCATAGTCAGGTCATCCAGCACGCCTTCGTTCTTTTCCCTCAATTGATCTACTCGCTCCAAAACAATAAGCTTGACATTGTTATCCGGTTCCTTGATGGCCAGTTCCACAAATTTGCCTGCGGCTGCCTTGACGGCTACGGGATTGCTGGTGAGAGTTGTAAGAGCATGAGCGGCTTCATAGATTACGGTCGAAACACTAGACTCCAGTAGGTCGAAGATGAGGCGCAGATATCGCGCCTTGTTCTGTGGGTTCATGATCGCATCTTTGCGGATAAATTCTAGCTCAGCTAGAAGGACAAGCTCGTCATGATTGGGAATCGAATCAAAGACGGTGCTGAGGTATTCCAATGCCTTCTCATGGCTGATAGAGGAAAGAGCCGCGAATGCGTTACGCTTGCAGGTTGCATCGTTCTCGTCGTCTAAGAACGTGATCAAGAGATCAGGAGCATCTGGAAGTAGTTCGGGAAGGTGGGCGAAGATGGAAGCGATCGCGAAGGTAGCATTCTTCCGGACATATGCATGTCTGTGTGTGAGACACTGGCGCACCGGTTCTAGAGAAATTGTGAGCATATAGAATGCGAGCGGGGAAAGTCTGGATGGTACTTACGCAGAAGAGGCTCCACAAGCTCGGCATCCCGCAACTTCGTTCTGTGTGGCTCGTTAGCAGGGGGGAGACTGGTTAAGAGCGAATCCATACACGAAGCGCAGCGTGTTTCCTCGCACGTATTCGTTCGGCGCCTGCAGGTCGAAACGTATGGCATTGCTTTCCCATGTTAGACTCTACCATTCCGGGAACTTCTGGACATGTACGCACCACACCAATATCCACTCCTGTCGCAGCTTCCCCTGGTTGTCGTGCTTCGGGCATACCTCGAGGAACAGGTACATCAATTTCTTCAGGGGCTTCGACTTGGAGGGCATGACGAATCGTATTATGTGCATGAGGAGGCCGGTCTGGGGGTCGCCGTTCAGCATTATGGAGAGGATCTTTTTCTGTAGAGTTGTTAGCGCAGCGGTCTTGGAGCAGCGCGGGGCATTCGTGTGGGCATGACGGTACCATAGTCTCGATCTTGTGCTCGTCCGAGCCCTTCTCCAGAGCTTGCTTGAGCTCATTCTGGGAAGGGACATCGGCGGCGTTGTCTTGGTGGACCTGTTCCCGATCGTCAGCGCTGAAGCCCTCAATAGCGCCAGGTGGTGCGCACCAGACTATACGCATTTTCCAGAAACGTCGCCATGGTGCCAGACTAGCTTTTCTGTATACTGCTTGCGCGCGGTATGTTCTCCTCTGGCTGCAATGCCTTCGGGTGCCAGTAACGGCCGTCAGCCGCCAATTCCCCAGGTGTTCTGAATAGGCGGGCCGTTACGTGTAGCCAAAGAGGGACTCGGCGGTGAAACGGGTGCGCGGTCGGAAGAAGCTGAAGCTGGTGGGATAGGTGCGAGAGGAGAGGAATTGCCGGGCGCTGACAGGTGGCTTCGTGAATTTCTGGAGTGCTCCACTTCAGTTGACGACTGCCCTGGCTCCTTCCAGGTGTTCTGGAGAAAGTGGTCGGCGGACCCTGGTCAGTTAGCCGAGTCTTGGCGAGCCCTTGGTGATCATTGACTCCTGTTGCACAGACTGAAGACCACCAGGCTGCACACAACCTGCATTTTACATTTCCGGCAGCCACCCTACAGACGTAGAACTACGCAATATCAGTCACCATGAGCCAGAGCGAGCCTTTCTATCTGCGGTACTAGTAAGTGAGCCTCCATCCTCAGCACGTGCTTGCCGCTGATATTTCATAGCTCAGGCCACCAAGGACGATTTGGACACGAGTTCTTGGGTCAGTCTCTTTTCAGGCAGTCTTGACATCTTTAGCTGAACCGCGGCAGAGTTCGATTTCCGCGTGCTCGGAGACGGCCGCAGCGCATCCGCGCGATATGCCAACAACTCAAACTACCGGAATGACTCTTTGATCCGAAAAGAGAGTACGTGCATGTTCTTCGCGACTATGAGAGTTACTGACGATGCTAGTGTGCGTGAGCCATGTCTTGGTTGCAGAGATCAAGCGTATCGTCAAGGAGAGCGATATCATGAAGTGCGTCTACTATCACCAGGGTGGACTAGAACTCGAAAGTTGACCCATTTTGACAGGGAAGACGACACAAAATGGCCGCAGAAGAACAAAGACGGCCGTCAAGAGCTGGAAATTCGCGTGGGCAATGAGCACATTTCCTTCGAGGTACGACAACCCCCCAAGGCTCCCTATTATGTTACGGCTCGACGCCCTGTGCTCCACTGCTCGCGACCGCTTCCGGCCAGAGGTTGGGATGTCGCTTGAGCATCAATGCGATCTTCTATCCCGCTCATTTTGGCTGTATATACAGGGTGGCGGCCAGCCTCTGTAGGCGGCGTCACCGTGGAATATGCCATGCTTCAACAACGTTGACTGATTTTTTGGCTAGACCGCGAAGATTGGTTCGTTACAGGACGTGCAAGACTCCTCCGACCCAGAAGGCCTCCGCGTATTCTACTACCTTGTCCAGGATCTCAAGGCTTTGGTGTTCTCACTCATCTCTCTGCACTTCAAGGTAAGAAAAGGCTGGCAAAATTTCCAAGGAATCGTCGATGTTAACGCCATGGCCACAGATCAAGCCAATTTGAGCGTCGAAGCATCTCCGGGAGGCGTTGTCTGTTTGCTTTTCCCGCCAGCGAATCATCCTGAGGCGAATGATGGGCGCACGGGGTCTTGCCTATTTGTGGGGAATAGGGCGTCCGGAGTCCAGAAGCATCAGCTCATGGCTTTCTTGACAACCGGCATCCGTCGAACAGTCTAGCGAAACAGTCTCTTCGCGGAAATGCAGCTTTTTTGACGTGGATGCGGCCTGCGGCAAGCCGTGATGCGCATCAATTCAGCCAGAAGCGCCAAGGCTGCACGCAATTCTTCCAAGACCCGCACTTTCGGATTGCACGTCACCTGATTTTGAGATGGTCAAGCCATTCGGGCAAGAAGAGCATCGAGCGCTAACAGCGCGTCTTCTGTGGCAGGCTATCCGTCACAGCTGCAGAAGGCAGGGCGTGTGCGACACAGGGTCGGGGTTGAGTTGGGCGGCCATTCGCCTTGTTCCGCCACGTGAGGTTTAGCCCCCGGGCCCTTTCCCCGCTTAAGCTGCAAGCCCTCACGACCAGCCCATCAAGGTCGAGTCCTACGACAGCATCATGAACGTAACATCCCACTATCTCCCATCCTGAACCCGCGCCGCTTTGATTTAGTTTCTAATACCCTCTTGCCCTCCCATGATTGTACGGTTCCTTTGTCTGTGACTTCCACTTCTTCTTACCCCAGACGATGCCCACCCACCGGGATGATGCGCCGCTCTCGCCGCCAGCGGAGCACACGGCCAATGCCGCTGGCCGCACAACATGTCCACCAGAGGAGTCGCGCATGAACCCATCTCACGATGTGAATGACGGGCAACCCTCTCTCATCCTTCACAATGGCGAGCAGCCCTTCAATGCCCCGGCGCAACAGCCCACTCCACCGCCAACTGAGCGAGAGTCGCCTGCGCATGCGCATTCCCCGTCGAATCCGAATCCCAAACCTACTGAATCTCCCATAGAAGGCCCAGTCAGAGATATCCCTACACCAATGAGTGCGACAGATGATAGCGTGGAAGACCCGCGGAATCCTCAGGCCTCGCCGCTCTCCGCGACTGCGTCGGCGCCCGTTTCGTGGCCGCAACCCAGACATTTGACATCAGCTTATCCAAGCCACAGGGTCTGTATCACCACGCCGCTGCGATCACAGCAGCACGCAAGGAACATGGTTGCTAATCGTGTGCACAGTTCCTCCCCAACACCTCGTCCTCGCTACTCCGACCCGGAAGCCGATTCAAGGGTAGCCAGACCTCCGACCGCCAACAATACGAAGTCGAAGTAGAAATAAAATATGTGGACATGCGCGAGTCGTTCCTGTGCGGATATCTGCGCATCAAAGGTGCACACGACCCCTGCGAAGTCCTGGTCAACACGCGACTAACGCTCCCTAGGACTAACAGAAGACCACCCGAGCCTCACTACCTACTTCGAGGGCGAGATAATCGGCAGCAAGTATACATTTATCACACAACATCCCGAATGGGGCTCGAACGAGAAGGTCGATCGGCAGCACTGGGGTAGATTCCCAGCGTACAAGCCCCTCTCGAAATACTCTTCGCGACCCGAGCTGGTCACAAAGGATTGGATGCAGAAGGAGCACCTCTTCATGCGCTGGAAAGAATACTTCCTGGTCCCGGACCACCGCGTTAAGACGATCAATGGCGCAAGTTTTGAGGGCTTCTATTACATCTGCTTCAATCAGATGTCCGGCGGTATCGAGGGCATCTACTTCCATGCGAAGAGCGAGAAGTGAGCATTCCTGGTTCCGGGCACTGCGACGCGAATGCTAACCAGGCGCAGATTCCAGAGGCTTCAATTAGAACATGTCGAAGACCGCGGGTGTCAAGGCGCAATTGAATTCCGGTAGTTACGACCTTGATGAATTGGGAGGTGCATATAAATGTGACAACTGGGATATGGGACACAGCATCTGGGTCACACGAGCGTTCGAGTTCTTTTCACTTTTGGTTTCCCTGTACAGACCCACTTTTGCTCTATGATAATTACTTGGAGGGAGGGCCTTTGATGCAGTGCGCGACGAAGGCTGGCTAGTCTTTTTGGAGGCATATGCGATACTGGGATGTTATCGACTTTGCGGTGTAGATTTGCTTTTTTGAAATGCTCCAGTTCCGTGTTACGTCATTGACCGTTCGCGATTCGCGAACTGTGGATCCCCGACTGTCGCACCCCACGGATTGCATCGTGGATATCCGAATTGGGGCCTAGCGGCAAAAGCTTGACTCCACCTCCAGCTCGCTTCGCCAACCAACCATCAACGATCCCCTGGAGAACTTCTGCCTCACTTTTGCGCTGCTAAAACTCGCGATGCCCGGCGAACCAGCGAAGCGCCAGAAGCGCGAAGAATACAAGAAAGCACTCACCAGCGACGAACAGAATGCGGCGCTGCCTAAGAAGAAATTCTACAGGCAGCGCGCCCACGCCAATCCGTTTTCGGACCATGCTTTGACATAGTACATACATTCTGCCTCACTTTACTCAATAGCTGTGCTAACAAGATGTAGTCCCAAGAGCCCGGCCGACATGGGCTGGGCGAGTCTCTACCCTGCGTATGCGGTTAAGAACGGAGAGGAAGGGAAGGCAGAGAATGAATCACATGATCAGACAGAGGAAGAGCAGAGGAGAGCAAAGGCTATCATGAAGAACGTCGAGATTGCAGATATCGGATGTGGTTTTGGGGGATTGCTGTTTGCACTCGCGCCCAAGTTTCCCGATACCCTGATGCTTGGTGTGTTCCATCCGTCCACTCCACCCTGCCTCCTACTCTCTCGTCACACTCCGACTGACACTCTATACAGGCATGGAAATCCGCATATCTGTCACAGAATACGTCGTCGACAAAATCCGCGCCCTCCGCACCCAGCACGCCTCGACCTCCGCCTACCAAAACATCTCCTGCCTGCGCGCCAACACCATGAAATTCCTGCCCAACTTCTTCTCCAAACACCAGCTCTCCAAGATCTTCCTCTGCTTCCCGGACCCGCACTTCAAGCAGCGCAAGCACAAGGCGCGTATAGTCTCCTACACGCTCAACTCGGAGTATGCGTTTGTGCTCCGCCCCGGTGGGATTGTGTATACGATTACGGATGTGCAGGATCTGCATGAGTGGATGGTGGAGCACTTTGAGAGGCATCCGAGTTTCGAGAGGGTTGGGGAGGAGGAGCAGGAGGCGGATGAGTGTGTGAGGGTTATGAAGAGCGAGACAGAGGAGGGGAAGAAGGTGGAGAGGAATGGGGGGACGAAGTTTGTCGCGCTTTATCGGAGGGTGGAGGATCCGCCGTGGCCATGATGGGTTGACGGCGATGTAGGAGGAGCTTCTTCTGCTGGGGGCTTGGCTCGAGTGAGAGCTGTGACTAGTCATGCTGTCATGAGACATGAATGGATCATGGGAAATAACTCAGAATGGCTTCTTCTGAAGCTAGGTATCAAACGTTTTCGACATGCATGAATGTGATATACCCTATCCAGACGCCCACGCTTGAATGCTCACTTTTATGTCCACCGTTCAATCCTCTAAGCCGCCCCATTCTTCGCCATCGCTCACCTCTCCCCTTTTCCCCCTCTCCACGCCTTCAGCCTCTCGTCACCCAAACACTCCTTCGCCGCAACCCTCAAAACCTTCAACTTCCCCTCCTTCGCTAACTTCCTCACGGGCTCCAGCACCCTCTCCAACGCCCCACCCTTCCCTTCCCACACACTCTCCACCTTCTCCAGCTCATCCACATAAACATCCAACACATGATACCGCAGCCCATTCGGAATCTTCATATCCACCGGATTCAACGGCGTCTCTTCCAGTATCTGCATGTACTCTTCCACCACCTCATCTTCCCAGTTTTTCCTCGCGAGATACTTGAAAGACGCATTGACATAATGTCTTATCAAGAACAGGTATTTATCCATACGCAAAGCCTCGATTTGCTGCCATTCGCGCGCGATGGTAAGCCAGAAGGCGCGGAGGAAGGGGAGGACGACGGGGGTCTGGAGCATCGAGGGGAGGGAGGCGAGGTCGAGGGCGAGGCGTTGTTGGAGGGCGGGCTTGTCTTGCATCCATAGGCCTGCGAGAGGTTAGTCTAGCATCGGAGTGTGAGGGGGATGCTAAGCAGGGATAGCGAAGGGAATTGCAGGAGTATCATACAGTAGAATAGTCCTTTCCATAGCTTCAGCAGATCGAGGTCTGATATCTCTGAGCGGCCACTGAGGAATGTGCGGAGGGAGGTGAGCGCTTGGTCGCGGATGTCCTTGTCTGCTCCTCGATCAGCGACCACTGCTTCAGTTCCACACAGCCGCTTTTGGCTCACCGCTGGACGCGAGGTGTTTTATGAACGGGCTACTCTGCGGATCGGCTGCCATGATGGGCGTGTGTCCTGCGAAACAGCGAGCGCGAAACAGTTGGACGATCTCGAAAATTTAAGGTTATTAAGGTTATCGATAAGGAAGCTGCCCACATTCGTGCTAGCGCCATCTGATGTTTCTGATGCACTCGCGATCGCAAACACTCCCGAGGTCTCTACTGTGTAAAGTGCGCCGTAGCGTAAACTATATCTAGCATGTTAAGGTGCGCTTGCAGAATTAACGTAAGAGTGCGAAAGTTCGTAAAACATGCGCAGAAAGCGAATGTAGACAGCTTCGCACAACTATCTCAACTGTTTCTCCCTATTTCTTAGAGGTTTGCTACAACTTAATATTACGTAGACCTAGATTTATTATTATTCTTATCTCTAAAAAATATCTAAATAAAGAGAAATTCTTATTAGAGACTCTTTTCTCTTGCTATAATTTATGCCAAGACATTAGCTAGATATTAGGTGGCCCGTGCGCTGTAGCAGCCTAGTAAATAGTAAGAGACCTCTACGCACGCTCTCTACACTAGGCCTATCTAACGCAACTATAACTCGTTAAATAAAGCTTGTAAGTTGGTTATTCTGTTTTTTCTAGGCTGTTACTAATATTTTAGGGGTTAGTTTGTCTGTATAGACGCGCTCCAGGCTCGTGCTCCAAGCTTCCCCGCTGCCGGTTCGTCTTCACGTCCTTCTAGCATGCGCAGCCTTCTAGACGCGCTCTATAACGCATTATACAATGCAGCAATCATGATGCGAAGGCTCTAGAGGAATGGCCATATAGTCTAACGCGATGTAGCGGCTCCATGCCCGCGATGGTGGTTATCCCTACCAATGGGCGGGTGACGCGTAGAGTGGCCGTACGCAAGGTAAAAACCGCGTTATTGCAAGCTTAGAAGCACTGCTAACGCTACCTCTAACTCAGGTTCACAGTATACTGTCGAACCGACTCAAAAATGGGGTTAGTGGTCCCTTACTTCAGTCGCCCCTGCTTAGCTAATCTGATATCGCCTATTTAGGAAGAACAGTTCCTGGTCCGCTGGGACACAACCAATTCCACGAACAAACCGCCTCTTAGCTGGCATGGTTTAAACGAACTGGCCCGATGCCTCGAGCTTGTACAGGAATATCTCGAGGTTCGGCAAAAGTAAGAGACTCGGGGTTGGTTCTACGAAATACGACGCTAATCTATGGTTAGATCTCGGAAGACGTTGCCCTCTCACGTTCAGGCTTCAAAGAAGAGAAAGAGCCCTGATTCCGAGACTGAGTTCGAACGCCAGCCATCGCCCCTTGATAGGAGGCTCGAGCAGACAAGCAGGACCCCATCTTCTCGATCTACGTCAGTGTCATCGGCTGCCACGTCATCCAGTGCTCCCGTCGACGTCTACAATGGCGTCCTAGCGGAAGACGAGCACGGCTTCAGGTATTGCCGAAGCGTAAGTGCTCTCTACTTCATCTCTCTCTCACCTCCATCTCACTTACACACTACCAGGCTTCCGGGCCAGACGTTGTCGAAATCGATATCCGCAATGTCCCTACTCTGGAAATGCTTCGCACAGCCCAGCGCTCCAAGGTTGAAAACGCGAATGTCCTCATCCGAGCAGAATACATCCGCCGCCTCGAGAAGATCCCCGGGCGAAGAGTCTCCCTCAACAACATATACGACGCCTCTACGCCCTCGCTGCGCTTTCGCTATATCCCGGACTACGTCTTGCGCGAAGGAGTATTCCGCGCGGATCCGGCGACGCAAGAGGGATGCCAGGAGTGCTCGCCGCACATGGGCCGAGATATCGGCTGTGAGTACACGAAGAAATGCTCCTGTCTTGAATACGCCGCCGTGGACGTCTCCCGCATGGACGCGCAAATGGCAAAGGAGTACGAGACGGCAAAGGCAACGGGCGGGAACCTAATGGGCTTCCCGAAGAAATTCCCCTACTACGCCGAGGGCACCAAGATCCAGCGCGCGGGGTGCCTCGTGCCCTTCTACCTGCACTCGCGCCGCCCCATCTACGAGTGCAACGACAACTGCAACTGCGGCCCGCGCTGCCGCAACAAGAACGTACAGTTCGGCCGCACCGTCGAGCTCGAGATCTTCAAGACCGGCAGCGGCGCCGGCCGCGGCTGGGGCCTGCGCTGCCCGCAGCCGCTGCACGAGGGCCAGTTCGTCGACACGTACCGCGGCGAGATCATCACCGACGCCGAGGCCACGCGCCGCGAGGATGCCGCGCATTCCAAGACCAAGGCCTCGTACCTGTACAGCTTGGACAAGTTTGCTGAGAGCGAGGGCCTCGCGCCTGAGGAGCTTTACGTCGTCGATGGCGAGTTTATGGGCGGCCCGACTAAGTTTATGAATCACTCCTGCGAGCCGAATTGTCGCCAGTACACGGTTAGCTATAATAAGCATGATTGTAGGGTCTACGATATTGCGTTCTTCGCTTGTCGGGAGATCCCTGCCGGCGAGGAACTCACGTTTGACTACTTGGATAAGGAGGACGGCGAGGAGATTGACGATCCGGGCGAGGGCGCGATCCCGTGTCTCTGCGGCGCGGCGAAGTGCCGCAAGTGGCTCTGGACTTAGGTGGACGTCGTCACGTCGTGCCTGCGAGCTGATGCGTGGGCATGCAGGGGGCGAGCTGGGCACGAATTGGTAGACTGACTGACGGATGTGTATATTGGCTGTTGGACGGGACTGGCTCCTGACCGGCGATGCGCAGAGGCTTTCGCAACTAGCGAGCATATCAAGGACAACAGGCTGACTCCTGGACGCTGGACTCTCATTATCCGATCTCGACATTCAGAGACCGTCATCTCTTACGGCGTTGGGTTTTGATATTGGCTTTTCCTTCAACATATGCATTCCTGCCGGGGCGGATCAAGCATCACGCTTGATAACGCTCCAGCGGCATCTGTCCTTAGCTTGCATAATCGAACAACAAGTATTTGGGTAGACATCTCTCTTCTCAACGTGGCCTCCGCTCCCCATCAGCAACAGACCTCTATTCAGAGAACCTCACTCTGCCTCACGCACGCGCACATACACAACTACCACATAGTCTATAACGTCTGTATTACAATTTAATCCTATCAAGTAATCCGCCCATCCACCCACCCACCCACCTCCTCATACATAGCTGTATCCAACAAGAAGTGCCAAGGAAAAGAAAAAAGAGTAGTATATGTTGGTAGGTAACAATTTAGGTTCCATGAAGTTATCCAATCTTTGCTCAACAATCGAGCAACCGAGATTTCCAATCGAAATGCGGTCTTGGGGGTATATCCATCCATGCTTTCATTTCGCTAAAGACAGCAATAGGGGCTAAAAAGCAAAGCAAAAGTAAAGCATTAAGCGAGCGCATACAAGAACGAGAGGCGTAGGTAGACACAAAACAAGCGTACAGTTGGGTGAATGAGAGGAATGCCTGGACTAGGCTACGGTTGAAAAAGGAAAGGGGGGTTTTGTAACAAAGGAAATCATTCTAGTTTTGGTTGTCTTTTGGGGATGAAGTCGGTCGTTACCGACGGAGCTCCTGCCCGAAGTTCAGCCCTATGGGCGTCATGTCGCCGTCGACGGTGCTCTCATCATCATAGAAGCCGCTCTCGCTGAAGCGTTCTACTTCTGCGTCTCGATCGTACGAGGCCTTTCTTAGAAGTGGAGGCGTGCTGGGAACGGGCTGCTTGCCTAGGCTGGGGAAGCCGGCGGAGCCACGCGAGCTCGTCGAGTCCGTTCGGATGGGCGCCGGACGAACACCAGAGGAAGGGAGATCAGGAGTGCGGCGGAGGTTGGAAGTCGGCGGCGTCATGAGGCCGGAGAGGAAAGACTGGGCTGACGGAGGATTGGAGCGAGACGGTGTGTGCGTGCGGGAGGTGTTGGCGCTCGAATTTCCTGCTAAACTAGATGTTGCATTTTCACGTCCTTTGCGCCAGTTACCGATGGCAGCAGCGAGCTGGACGGCTTTTGGAGAGGCGAAGTTGGAGAGCGTAGCTAGAGTCGGGAAGCTCTGTTGTCCGCCTGCCACGAGACGTTCCTTCTCCTGTTGCTCCATCTGCAGATTCGTTCGGATGCGGATGGCTGCATCGCGGACGGTTTCGCGGTCGAAGGCTGGCTGCGCGAGGGCATTGATGAGATCGTTCAGGTCGTCGATGCGGACACCGAGCAGCTCGCGGAGCCAGCCAATCTCGGTATCGCGCTCCTTCAGTTTGGCCGGAGCATCCGTGTCGACTTCCGCCAGCTTGTGCTCGAGCGATTCAATGCGCGATTCGCGTTCCTGGAGTTGCTCTTGCAAGACAGCAATGGACTCCCGCAGCGCTTGAGGGGAGATCTTCTCTGCACCCGAGGCGTAAGACGTAGGAGCACTAGCTGGTAACTTGACGTTCCGGGCGTGAGCGACGGCGGCACTGGCAGCTTCCTTTGCGACGGCGAGTTTCTCCTCAAGCAGAGCGACCTTGTCGTTAAGGTGATCCATCTTAGAGGCGGCAAGGGCGAGTCGCTCGTTCTGGAATGCTTCGGCGCGTTCCTTATCTTCGCGGGCGATGTCGAATTCTCGAGCATGCTCCTTGTTGACGATCTCGAGTCGGCGCTCAAAGGCCGCCTGTTGCTCTTGGAGGGCGAGCTCCTTGCGTTCTAAAGCTTCCTCAACAGCAGCTTTCTTCGCATCGGCCGCAGCTTCTAGATCAAGCTCGTGCTTCTCCTTAGTGGTATCGGCATCCATGCGGACGTTGTCGAGCTCAGCACGTACACGAGCGACCTCGCTTTCGAGCTCATGTCGGACGATGTTGACCTGGTTGTTCGCCTTGTCGAGGTCGGCCTCCATCAGCACACGCATACGTCGAATCTCAACATGCGCAGCTTCCCTGGCCTCCCTAAACTCGCGCTCATATCGATCGGCGGCTCGCTTGTGCTCCAGGGCCTCCTGCCTGATCTCCTCAATGGTCTCCTCAAGCCTGGTGTTGTGCTTCTGCGTCTGCTCAAGGGTAACTCTGAGCTTCATGCCCTCGCGTTCCTGGCTCTCGAGCCTCTCGAGCTCACGTTCAAGACGTTCGCGTGTACGCCCTTCAGCTTCAATACGGGCGCTGAGGACTTCGTACTTCTTCATATGTGCCTCGTCGCTCTTCTGCCATTGGGCACGCTCAGCAGCAGCCTGACCAGAAGCAAGAATCATGTCTTGCTGGAGCTTCTCGAACTTAGCACGCATAGACTCCCGCACACGCGTAGCCTCTTCTGCTTGAAGTCGTGACTGATCGATAGCCTTGCGCATCTTCTCGACTTCATCGTTAGCGTGCTGAAGGTCGCTTCTCCACTTGTTGGCGGAGATGCGATGCTCCTCCAAGGTGAATGTCAAAGCCTCATTCTCGGCTGTAACAGCATCGAGCTTCTTCTTGACATCCTGTTCAGCGGTCTGGAAAGCGACAGCCTTGAGCTTAAGCTCTTCGTTCTCAGCTTGAAGTGCGTCGAGCTTCGTACGGACCTCGTCGTCATCATCCTGAAACGCGTCCAGGCTGCGGCGGGAATTCTCGGCCTCCTCCTGCAGAGCGCGGATTTTATTCTCGTCGTCGCTGGCCTGTTGACGAAGGAGAGCAAGCTCCTCTTCAGTGACCTGGATCAAACGTGTGCTCTTCTCCTCGCGAGCCTCCAACTCCTTGCGTGCTTCAGCCTCAGCGTCGAAGCGTAGAGTGGCTTCCTTGAGCATTGCTTCCAGATCTGCAACGCGTGTATCCCTCTCCTGGATGGCCTGGCTCTCCTCGCGCTTGGCAACCTCCATGCTCTGACGCTTGAACGCGTCGTCGATGAGCTCCCGAACGTCCTCGGCCTGAAGATGGTGGCTGGTAGTCTGTGCGATAGAAGCCTTCAAGCTGCCAATGACTTGGTAGATCTCAGACATGTCGATTTGAGGTTGAGGAATGTCAATTGGAGCCTCAAGTGTAGCAGGCTTATGAGATGCCAGGGCCTCTGCAACAATGGAACGAATCATGTCTGGCTGTACAGGTTCGACAACTGGAGCAGCAGGCGCCAGCGGTTGATGGGATGTAAGAGCCTCTGTGACGATTGATCGGATCGTCTCTGGCTGAAGAGGCTCGACAGCTGGAGCAGCAGGCGCCGGTGGCTGGTGGGATAAGAGAGCCTCTGCGACGATTGATCGGATCGTTTCTGGCTGAAGAGGCTCGACGGCAGGCATCTGCCGTTGTTGGGATGCAAGAGCTTCAGTAACGATCGCCTTGATGTCATCCGGCCAGATTTGTTCGGGAACAGGAACTGGAGCAGGTGGCGGAGCATGCGTCGCGAAAGCCTCCATCACAATGGAGCGAATGTCATCCGGCTGTATCGGCTCCGCGGACACCTTGGGAACATGTGAGACCAGAGCTTCCGCGACGATAGAGCGGATGTCCTCCTGTTTAATAGTTTCGGCTGTAGGCTCTGGAGGTGCGGGCCTATGCGCGACAAACGTTTCCTCCACGATTGCCCGGATGTCCTCTGGCTTGAGGGGTTCTGGAGCAGGTGCGGCAGGTAATGGCTTGTGAGCCACAACCGCTTCCTCGACGATGGCCTTGATCTGTTCAGCAGGAACGGGCTCAAACTTGGGTGGCGTCCATTGAGGCTGGTGGTGAGCAAGTGCCTCCATGATGATATCCCGCACGTTCTCCGGCTTTACGTGCTCAGCAGGCGCAATCTGAGGTTGTTGAGTAGCCAGAGCATCCACGACGATCTCACGAATCTTCTCAGGCAAAACGGGCTCGGGAACGGGTACCGGCAAAGAGGTGACCTGGGGCTGATGAGACTCGAGCGCTTCCCTGACGATGGAACGAATCTTCTCAAGTTTGCGGTCCTTCTTGGGAGATCGGCTGCGGTAGAACGAGTCGGTGCCAATGTCATCGTCCTCATCATCAGCATCGCTCTCTAGGCGATCAGTTGTAGACATGCTGCGACGGCCCCGCCCGGATCGGTGCGACATCATAGCGATCGACTCATGGATGTCTTGCAGGTTCCTCTCAAGCGGGCCAAGGCGGGTCTGCAGTAGACGTCCGATGATATCATCTACGTGCTTGTCGAAGAATCGGCTGCGTGTCTGTACCTTGTCTTCTCCCTCTGACACGATACCCTCATCCCAGTCGCTCATCGGCACTTCATCTGCGTTGTTCAAGCGATGCACAGGAGACTCGTACGCGATGCCGGCGCGCTCATCATCAAACGGATCTTGGGTGATTGACGTTGAGGAGGCGTTAATGTTGCGCGGCGCGTATAGTCTGCGGGGGCTAGGACTAGGTGCATCGCTACGCAGATTAGCGTGTGGTGGCAAATCAGAGCGAACAAACTCATGGGGACTTCTCCTAGAAGAGGATTGGTCCCAAGAATTCTCGTCCCGCTCGACGCCAAAGTCGGATCCCTCCTCATTCATGTGCTTCATGACAGCATCAATGTCGTTGAACGATGCCTGACCAAGGTGGTCGAAGTCAACGCTCTCACTCTCAGGATATGGTACATGCCTGCGTGTTTCGAGAGCAGTCTTGTAAGACCCATCGTCGCTTGGTCGGAAGGTGGTCGCTGGGCTTCGGCTGACGTGCCGTGGCGGGCTTATATGGGTGTCGTCGAAGTCGTCGGTCTGCGTAACGGAAGGTTTCGTGACATGAATGCCAAAGTCATAGCCGCTAGGGCCAAATTGCGGCCGGAACTCGAACGGTTTCGCAGTTGCAGAGAGCGAGCTCTTATGCGAATGTTTCTTCATGACTGGCTGTGGTGCTTCCTCGGCCGTAGGCGTGACCGCATCACTTTCGTGGGACGTTACGTCGTCAATCTGTGTCTCTACAGACTCGTCTGTCTGGGGTGTTGGCATGCTAGGCTCGACAGGCTGGGCTGCGCGCTGCACTGAAAGAGGCTCTGGGCTCTTTGACTTAGATGGAGCTCTTGAAGCGTCAGGAGACAGGTTCTCTTTCTCATCTGGTCCTGCTTCCCGTTCGATCTGGAGATCTTGCTTGGGAGCCCGTGGCTGTCGCGCTTCACCCAGGGGCTGCTGCGAAGAAAGGAATGGTTGCAGCGCAAATTTAGGCACCTCATCGCCATCATCCCGACCACGTCGAGCACGCTTCTCTCGCCCATCAGCTTGTGTGATACGCCCTTCCTCATCCTCGTGTTCTTCTTCCTCTTCAGCCTTCTCGGGCGTCTTCTGTCGAGTAGCATCGGGGCGTACGATCGGAATGGCTTTGGAGCGCTTGGCAGGCTTGACAATGTCGCTAGCCGAGATAGCGACGTTTCCAAAGATCTTGGAGGAGAAGTTGGTCGGAGCAGAATTGCTTGCGCTAAACGTTGCGCTACCAGGGTTGAAAGCAGGAGCGTCGGGCTTGAATGAAGGCCCGCCAGAGAGGAAGCTGAAGCCACTCGATGGCATCGAGCCGGGCTTAAATTCGGGAGCTTCAACCGCAGCTTTAAACACGGGTGCCGCGGCTACAGGCTTGAACGAAGGAGCGTCTGGTTTGAAAACTGGTGCATCGGGCTTAAAGGCTGGTGCGGATACATTGAGGCTGGACAAGCCATCGATACTGGTCTTGTTGCTTCTTGGTACCGCATCAGCAGGTGACCGGAGGGCGGGCGAAAAGGAGGAAAAGCCGGAAGAGAACGATCCAGGACTGAATGAAGCAGCAGGATTGAACTTGAACTCCTTAGCCTCAACATTGAGCTTCGAAATGGACGACCGAGAAGTGTGCTTGCTGTGCATCGCAGAGCCAGGCTTTCCGAAGGCGAATTTCGCGTCCCTCCATGAGTTGCTGACCTGCGATGCCGCCTTGGAGTGTTGCGCCGAGCTAGTTCCCGCACCAGTCTCGGGGATTTCTCCATCTTCCAGGCTGGGGTTGGTGATGTCAGAGATGTTTGTCTTAGCGCCATCACTGTCCCCGCGGGGATTCTCTGGCTGTTGGGCTCCGATTCCGAACATTGGTTGTTGAGGCTTGGCGAGCGAGTGGGCTCTGCTATGCGGCTGCGGCTGGTGCAAGACGGGTCGAGACTCCTCCCATGAGGCATCAGTAACAAGCTTGGAAGGCTTGAGTTGCTCGGTGGTTTCAGGTTCCGTGCTGAAATCTCCACCCTCGTTGAACTGCTTGTCAATAGCCTCCTCGAGATGGTATTCGGCATCGCGGGCCTCGCGCTCAAGGCCCGCGCTGATGTTGTGGCGATGACCGCGAGGAGTTGGAATGGCAATCTCTGGTCCGGGTCGAGCAGCATTCTTCATAAGAGGCACCTCCTCTTCTTCGGCTTCATCTTCGGGAACTTCGGCGAGCGTTGACGACGGCCGCAGTCCGAGGAGCTGCTGCTGCTGTTGCTGCATCAGCTGAGCCTGGAGCTGTTGCTGCTGCTGTTGCATCTGAGCCAAGAGATCGTCATGCTGGGTCGGTGTACGCGGCTGTTGCGGCTGTTGCGGATGGGGTCTAATGCCGAACGGAGATCCAGGAGAGACGACATTGGCAAGATCGGGCCTGCTCAGAGGCAGGGCAGGTGATCCACCCCGAGCGCCTTGGGCGCCGAAGTAGCCGCCGGGCGACCACGCTCCCGTAGGGGATGCAGTCTGCTGGACAAAGCTAGCGGGCGAAAACGTAGAGTGCCTGTGCATGTGCATGCTCGCACGCGGGTTGCTGAAGACCGAGGGCGATGCGATGGATTGCCGGGAGGCATGCCCTGGAGACGGCCCAAGAGGGAAGGAGCCGGAGACGATGCTTCCCTGCCGTGCCATGCGATGGCTGCCCGCCGAAGACGTCGGGAGCGGTGGTGAAAAAGGGAGGCCCGGATGTTGAGCAGAGGCTTGCCTGGACATGGGCGATGGTGTTTCCTCCTCTCCACCAAGCGCAACGCCGAGCGCGGCCAGTTTCGCCTCCACCAGATGGTCTACGTATGCATCCCAATCGGCCTTGTTCGGCACTCGCACCCTAGGCCCAGGAGCCCGGTCTGCTTTGATCCAGGCTTCGTCAGGCCAGATGAAGCGGTTCTGGGGAAGAGGCCCTTCATCCAACCCTCCGGCACCTCTCCAACGTCCATAACCACGAGTGTCGTACCCCTCACGCTCTAACTGCTGTAGTTTCGTCTCTAACGCGTCTGCACTCATAGGCTTAGGAGGGTAACCGGGCGTACCTCGCGGGATATCGCGTGGAATCGAGATGACGCACCCTTTGCCCTTGACCAAAACCTTCTTGCGCATGCGGGGAGTAGCCGCGGGTTGCACAGACGGCGCTGGCGACGGCTGGCTCGCGGCCTCTTGCGATGGCCTTGGAGACTGTGGAGCAGGCGCTTCCTTCGGTGATGCGGGTTTGTCCGCATGAATGCTGCGCCCAAGCGCCGACCGAAGGCTCGCGCCGGAGCCCTGACGCGAGTGCGGTGTCGCGTCAGGGTTCGCATACCGTGAGGCCATCATCTTGCCGAGCTGCTCTTTCTGTCCCTTGCTGAAATGAGACCAAAAGTCCTGTTGGTTCAGGGTCTTGTTGCTCCTCCTAGACTTGTGCGTCTTCTTCAAAGTGGTCTCCACCGACTCTTTCTCCTTGTTCGACTTGCTTCCCGAATCCGTGTCAGTCGTGCTGTCGCTCCACCAATCGTTCCTTTCGCGGTTCCAACGCCCTTCCAGAAATTGGCGAACCCACTCCTCGGACGGGCTGAGATCGGATGTTCGCGGAGTGGCCTCGGGATGGAACTGCGCTCGTGTCGGCGTCTCTAGATTAGCTGGCAGACGAGACGGGATGAGATGTTCGAGGTTGAACTGGTTGGGCGACTGATTCTGCTCCAGGCGCGGAATAAGATGCTCAAGATTGAACTGGTTGGGCGAATCCTCTTGGACCAAGCGCGGCGGAAGCAGATGCTCAAGGCCAAATTGAAGATTGGAAGAGTCCTCCTCAAAATCGTCACTACCCAACTGCGTGGAGGAGTGGCGCTGCCGATTGAATGGCGGAGGCGGGTTCCTGTACGGGCTGCCCCAGCTGGCCGTGTAGTAGGAGGTATCGGTTCTGTCGTTCCTAGCAACCGTCGAGGGAGTGCGCGGGATGCTTCCAAGCACTGACAGAGAAGGCAGAGGAGGAAGCTCCGGGCTCGAATGACCGAGAGTCTGGGTCGGGGAGGGGGCTGTCCACAGAGTCTGTGCCGGTGAGGGCACGCCGCGCGCCTCTGATGGACTGTTCGCTTCAACCGCGGTCTGCGGGGCAGATGGGGGCGACGAGGGCAGCGGAAGCGAGGACGAGGAAGTGCGTCGAGCTTGCATTCAACATTCAACGGGCAGTTCTAGGGCTCCGAGAGACGAAAACGCGCACCTTCCAGGGCCTGGACGCGCCGCGCGATGGGCGAATCGGTAGTCCAGGCGGAAAACAAGGCGTGCCTCGAGCCGGCGGTGGCGGCAACGCGTGCGGACGTTGCAAGGAGGGTCTTGAGGCGGAAGGCCAGCGTGTGACGATGGCGCGGAGAATTAAGTCTACAAAAGAAAGGAGCGTGGTGTAGCTAAAAGAGCGACATGAGGTTGGAGAGCACTGACTTGGAGACAGGAAGCGCAACCATCCCGTAGCAGCAGCAGCAGAGAGACGACGAGGGACGCGGCTGTGGAGGAGGTGTGCCGCATTCAACGACGTCGAGAAAATGGTGGAAAGGAGAGGCTAAGTCAGCAGCCGTTGCCGATTGGCTGTGGCGCGGGCATGCAGGAGAACGTGTCAACGGCAAGGGGCTCGTGTGGGTGTGCAGGGGCTGTTCCACGATCCCGAGTGAGTGCGCATGGCCCGTCGCACAGAGTCTGTAATGGCTCTCAGAAGGCGGTGCGATGCAGAGCATATCTCAGCTCGACGTCTCGGTGGAGTTGCGAGAGGCTCGCATCATCCATCACATGCGCCGGCAGCTGCAGCAGAGCCCGGATGGAGTGTTGACAACCGCTGACGTAACCGGCCGCCAACCCGGCGCGTTGAAATGCACTCATTTGCAATAATTAACTGTGGGCGCTCGTCAATGCCGTTGGACGCACTGCTCTTTTCGTGCGGTCAATAACAAACAATGACCACGGCTCGATTGTTTACGCGGACACGTCGATGTCTCAGGCTGGCGCTGGCAGTCAGCACTGAGTGGTTGACGTCGTCCGACAAAGGCTGTGTCCCGGTTGTTTTGACAACTTCGCAGCTCGTGATACTTCACAACAATATTTTCAAGGCAGCCAGGATGCCCGGCGAAAGAAGTATTAGGGGGATCTGGGTAGCTGCTAGTGAGCGGGAGCTACCGCAGATTCGAATCTAGGGTCGGCTGGGTCCTGAATCGACCACAGAATCGCTGGTAAGCCGGTGGGTGCATATCGTCTATTTCTTGACTTCATTTGCAATCATCGCTTTTGGATAGCAGATCTTCGTTGTATGTTTCTAGATGCAAGATTCTCGTCCTTGACGCCGACCATGCTGTGTATCTATGCAAATACCCACGCCACCCTCCATCGCTCTTTCTTTTCCCACCCTACACTCTCCGCCACATGAACAACCTCCTCGCAAAGCTTGTCTTCCGCACCTCTCCCGACACAGGCGCCCCGTCAGCTTGATCACCGATAATCCCCTCGGTCACCGGATCCACCTGCCGCTCATCCACCTGCGCCTTCGCAGCCACCTCCTCCAGCTCGCCTATCTTCCAAGCCCGAACCAGCCATAACAGTACCGCAGCCCCTAGGTACATAAACCCAGTGAACAAGATGGCGCCGGTATAGCTTCCATTATTGAAGCTCACAATCTCCAGCCCAATGGCTTCGGAGACTAGGAGTAACCATCAGCAACCAGCGGGAACATTCAGAACGAAGAGAAGAACTTACAAGTTGTAGGCAGCACCAACACCAACCACGTAATACTCAACGCCGCCGGCAGATCCACAATCCCCATGACCTCTGTCGTAATGGGCGCACACACGGCCCAAAATGTCCCCGCGACACAGCCTCCCACAATGGCGAAGAAGATCAAGACCCCAAAACTCTTTGCGAATATCCACACCACCAGTACCAAAACCCCACACAGCGCCGTCATCGTAGCAGCCATATTCAACCGCCCAAACGTATCGCTGAAATACCCAATCGGCGGTCGTCCCAACGCTTGTCCCAAGTTCAACACCGCGCCGATAATGCTCCCCTGGCTCGCCGTCATGCCGACCGTGCGCGCATAATTCGGCAGCGAGAAGAGCAGCACGACATAGCCCAGCATCGACAAAACCCCAAAGGCAAGCAGGCCAAGAAACTGCAGTTTCCTGAACAACCGATGGTCGAACGAGAGCTGGCTGCTGCCAATCTGCTTATTGCGATCCTTGACCAGCAGCGCACAAACCGTATTCACCACACAGGCGACAATGCCCAGGATCCTGAAAGTCCACGCAAGCCCAATGTCCCTAATCATCGCCTGCGCCGCGAGCGAGTAGATCAAGCCGCCGAGCCCGGACCCGGCGGCCGAGATCCCGTTCGCTAGACTCCGCTTCGTGCTGAACCACTGCGCGGCGATGCCGACGCTGCCCACGAAGAGGAAGCCCATGCCCCAGCCAAAGCATACCCCTTGGGTGAGGAACAAGTGCCAGATTTTGGAGGCGAAGGACGCCCCGATGAAGGACGCGGTCTCGAAGAAGATGCCGATGAGCAGCGTAGTGCGGGTCCCGAAGAGGCGCGTTGTGAGCGTCGCGACGGGCGAGACGATGAGGGCCTGCGAGATGGAGAGCCCGCCGATGAAGGCGTATTCCAGACGCGAGGCGCCGGGGAAGACGTTGTTGGAGAGGTAATAGGCGAGGAAGACGGCGTAGGAGGAGTTGAGACCCCATGTGTGGCTGTGCGTATAGTTAGCTATCTCGCTCTCAAGTAGAATAGAACGGGAGTATGTGCTCCTGAGAAGTGGTGTGGTGTGCAAAATCACCCGACTGGCACCAGCCATCCCACCGCTCAGTCATAAGAAACCCACCTACCCATTAATAACAGCCACGCAAGCTACACAGACCCATCCATAGCCTCCATCAGGCGGCACATCCACCACCTTCTCGCTCACCTGCGGTCCCTGCTCTTCCTCGTCCTCTCTCGGCTCTCTCGCCACATACCTATTCGCATCCGCATTCCCATCGCCCAGCTCCTCAAAGCCCTTCCCGCTCTTGTCAGACAGCGCTATACTCCTCCCTTCCGCCTCACCATCTTCAATCCTATAATCCTCCTCCTCCTTGTCCATCCCCGCATTTCGCCGTTGCGGCTCCGTCATATATAGACGCGGAAATAAGTCTCCGTCTCTCTCAATCGATCGAACGACGATGCAAAGAACAAACAACACTCTCAATCCCTCGTAACAAAACCAATAAGTATATCCGACACTAGTTCAGCGAGAGCGCCCGCCATCTTGTATGTACACTCCCAGAACGAACGAGCCCGGGGGAATCAAAAAGGCATAAACCGCCCCGCCGCATACTCCGCCAGCGCGCGCCAGCCATCCAGCACCGAGGTCCCACCTGAGTGGGCACTTTTCCGACGGCCAGGCCAGGGAAAAATCCACATCTCGGAAATAAAGCCAAACTGTTACGAAATATCCGCGCGGTGGTTCAAGCCTTTCATCCAAGAAGAGTTAGCCTCCGCCCTTGGCATTGGTTGATTTCTCAGCCTCTTGGCCTAGGGTGCATGACGATGGTGGTGTGGATGTGGATGCCCATGCGGGGTGGGGCGAATGCGGACATAGCCGCTTATGGCCGCCGGCGATAACCTTCCAAGGTTGGAGTTACATGGGGGTACTCACGTGTGTAAGCAATAAATGATCTTGATCTTGGGGAGACGGCTCGGAAGATCGTCGGGTCAGCTATCGACGCATGTAGTAAGTTACGGCCAAGTGGGATCAAGGCACCGCAATTCGGTTCAAACAATGTCACGAATTGATACATAGGAGAGGGATAGTGAGCGACTAAACGACCAGATATCCGTACACCGCGAACACCAGTCCGGCTAATTTGAAGCCATCTGGTATCGAGATCTCCTGCTACACCCAGAAAACGCCATTCTCCCGACTATCGAGGGTTCGACTCACACTGCTCCATGAACCGATAGATACCCTCTATACCCTGGTATTCCAGCGGAGTATGTATATCCATGAACTCGTCCGCTTCGCTAGAATGCAAGCTACCATAGCCTGACGGCGAGGAAAGCCACGGATTGGGTTCCTCCCCCAGATCTTCAAAACCCATTCCGTTATTGGAAAGCGTGGAGTATTCGTCGGCGCTCATTACTGAAGGAGACATCATTTGCCGCCAGTCGATCGGATGCTGTCGTCCAGTCACGGACTTCTCGTAGAAGGAACATTCCGAGGGTGTGCGGCTCGAGGCAAACGGAAATAGAAGGGCGATTTCGGTGCCGACGAAGGCATCAAAGTCTTCGTCTTGATGGATAACACCGCGCTGGACACCGAGTTCATCGCAGATGCGCTCCACAGTCTCTGCGTCACATCCGGGAAAATGAACCTTGATGGTCGATGGCTCATAGGTAATCGGAAGATCGCCTAGGCCAGAAAGTCGTTGTAGGTCCTTGAGAACCGCAGCCAGCTCCTTTACTGCGCGAGAAAAGTCCACAGACAAGACGTCGAGGAAACCCTCCTTGTTGAGGGACTCCTTCTCAGCCGCGAAGGAGGTGAAGCCCTTGACCGCCGTGAGAGGAGTAAGGGCAGTAACGGTGGGGTTGATGTTGAAGCTGATGTGCGAGCCTGGAGTAGCCCTGGGGACCTTGTTCAAAGTGCGGTTGACCTGGTCCTGCAGAGCAGACACAGTCTTGAAGCGCTTCTCGCCGGTATGCGGGTCGACACCGTCGAAATGTGCCTTGTTACCGGAGATCAAGAAAGCTCGAACAGCTTGGGAAACGTTATTAATAACCTGAGCCGGGGCAGCCGGACCGTGAGAGAAGTATCGAGCACCACCGGCACGCCCTGCACCCCACGCGTAGCCGCCCGCAGTCCGTCCCAGTGTGCCGCCGGTCAAGTTCGGGCGGAGGGTTGAGGCGAACGGAGCACGACCCGCCTGGCGGTTGACCGCATCCCCAATTCGTGACTTTGGGAACGACGAACGATCGAACTTGACGCCAGAGCGAGAGGCGGAGGTCGTAAAGCGACGGACCGTGGCGCTAATAGCATTGTGGGTGCTGTACCACCGGCCCTTGCTCTGCTTGAGGAAGGCAATGCGGTGGATCGGGTGCTTCGGAGCATTTCGCGCGAGGATAGGCTGTAATTCAGCTTGGGTAGGTCGAACAGATGCTGGTAATTGATTCTGGACGAGCTTTGCAGCGTGTCGCCAGGCAGCCCTACAATGCCGTCAGTGCTGCTGCCCGATGGTCCACTATCTCACAATCGACAACTTACTTGAACACTTTCGCATTCTTGGCTACCAGCTTATGCAGATGCGCCACTGCAGGCGCCATGATGGGGTTGTATTACCAGCCGGTAGAGAGGAGATGGAAGGAGAGCAAAGTGTGGGGAAGTTCGGGTTCATAAGGGTGGCGCGAGCGCGCATTCGCCACCCATGACGGAGATTCCCGCTAAGATCGGCAAATCGGGGCTTTCGCATTAGAAAGGCCGGCTCACGTGCCCGAAGAATTCACTCCCGATGTCACTCGGTTAAGCCGCACAGATCGAAAATCAGGCCGAATAGACGACCAGATGCCTCGTCAAAGCTGCAATAGGCATGCACGTCACTTTGATAGTAATTAGATGCGATCAGTAAGGCGCCAATATCCCGCTCCCAGAGAAGACAGCATATCCATCGAGCAATACAAGTTTTATCAACAACACATCTACGTCCTATTTGCATACTTTACAAACGCAGCACAGAAATCCACTGAGCGCACAGCTTTTATTTACCAGGGCAGTTGCCCACCCAGCTGAAGATTCTTGTCAAGCACATCAAACCGGGGGAGCCACAATGACGTACCAGTCCCGGATTGAACGGGGAAAACAATATGCCGCTATGCTTGGGACTTGCCAAATTGCAAAAGTGGAGAGACACATGGGGATAGAAGGGTAATCTGTGGAAAGAAAAATGCATGAAGACGCCCGCCACAATGCCATTTCCTGCACCGAGACCGGGTTTCCCAAGTTCAGGTATCTTTCGTCCGAAAATCTGTCATGGGAACATAAGAAAACCCGAGGCCCGTCACCTGCTCAAAGGTCTATTTTGTCGGAAGGAAAGGAAGATGCAGCCCCTGTGCCATGTACCAACGCCGAAGTGAAACTTTTATTCGAAGAAACACGCCCTAACAGTTGCCCAGCGGATAAGGAAATTAGGGGCAACATAGTCGCCGCTGACCGATAGAGCAGCCAAGGAGTCGTATATGGGTACACATCGAGGCAAAAAGTCGAACTCGTAAGGATTGAAACCCGCAGCTTCATTCCAGTGAAGCCTTAAGCTCGGCATCCAGAAAGTCTCCTATGCGCCGTCGATTCCGGGGGTCGAGGGCACCGTTGCGTAAAGCTGACCGCAGTTGTTTGAAAGCCGGACGTCGATGCTCGTTCTCCGATCGGACAAGGTCGACATAATCGCGAGCGACGCGTTCCCGTATTAGATTCTGAGATGATAACAACGACTCTCCGTAGAACTTGATCAAATTCGTCAAGCCAACTTCCGACATGTGGGTGGCATCTTCGAAAGCGAAATGGCGGAATTCGTCGTACATTCGGGAGTTGAAATTCCGTATGAGAAAATGAGACCAAAATTGGTATAATACGTCCATATCATAGGGGCAAGAACCAGGGGGCATACTCTGGCGCTGCTGCAGCGCCTTCGATCGAAGGTGGTGATAGGATTCATGCGAAGAATCGGAGGGGAGGGAAGAAACAGGCGCATCTTTGTTGTCTTTGACCCAATAGAGGCGAACAGGACTCGTCGTGGAAGAAGGCGCAGAGGGGCTCAAAGCTCTCCGGCTTTGATCTTTGGCTTTGCTCTCAACACTATCCTTGGCATCAGCGGGAGATCCTCCAGCAACCACGTTCGCCGCCCAAGGCTTACCCCTGTGAAGGACCAGTGCCGTTGACCCGCAGTCTCTCTTGGTGGCCGGTCAACCTCTCAGACTCGTCCGACATGCCGCTCCTACTATCGATAGAGCCATTAGAAAAGGTTCTGGAAGCAGAAGGTGGCAAGGCGGGCGGCTGAGACTGGTCTTGTTTTCGAACAACGACAGTCAAGCTCTCGACTTGCTCGTCAAAAAATGAATCGGGTTCGCCACTCACAGCCTTTGTCGAATCGTCGATAGGGTAGCCATTCAGACCTTCGGTGTTGGTACCGTTAGGGAGACTATCGGCCGGGGTGGCAGCGCCGTGCTGGGAAGCACCAGGATGGAACCCGTTCACCGACGCATACGGCCCATCGTTTCCGAAGGGAGCTGTAGCGGTTGGGGAAGTTGCAGGCATGTCGGGATACCTAGGCAAGCCATTCTGATCAAAGCCCTGAGGGTGGGGAATCGGTGGGTTGTACAACTCCTCAGGTCCATCATTCTGCACAGAAGGATCACGCTCGGACATTACAAGGACCCACTGCTCCCACCCCTCTCGACGGCGGAGTCTGTCTTTGCCGTCGTGGCCGATGCGGAATTCGATCAGCCTTGACTGGTAACAGACCAGCTTGATGAGCTCCATGTCAGTGGTGAGCTGCTTGATCCGGTTGAAATCAGCAATCACACTGAGGAAGACGAAGCCCTTAGAATCCATGTGCTTGCGCAGAAAGATATCCTTGCAGAGATTCTCCACAGAAAAGTAGTACTCCCTACGCAGTGTTAGAATAAGAAGTATCCTAGTAGGCATGCGATGCTTACAGCTGGGTCGTCACCATGGAGAACAGCGTGTAATGATCCACCCCAAACGGACTGTACGGTGCAGCAGTCAAAGGCTGCATCACCGGATAGTCATACATGTTTCCCATGTATGTATGGATAGGGGCTAGCTGTTGATGTCCACCGTGGTAGCCAGGGACTCGATACATACTGTCGGTGGTGACAGACTGGGAGCGTGGACCGTTGCCCCTGTACCTACCGGGAGGTGGAGGGAAGTAGGCATTCTGTTCCGGATTGAACGAGGTCGGCGAGAGCGGTCCAGGGAACGTAGACGAAGGTTTCAGAGGCGCCACGTGACCGTTAGCAAACTGCTGACCGTTCTGATAATTCCCGCGACCACCGCGACCACCGCCACGGCCCCGTTCGCGACTAGAGAAGGAGCTGAACCGACGATCGTTCAGCCCTTGCTTCGACTGTGAAGAAGTCTGACCATCTGGAAATATCGACGCTAGACGTTCACCGTCCTCGGGACCTGTCCTTGTTAGCCGCGGTACGGTATAGGGCGCGTTGTATGGTTACCCACCCTCTGTTTGCGTAGAAACGGAGGTCCGTCGATCGTTCGGAACACCGTTCTCCTTCGTCGGAGAAACAAGCTCACTATCTTTTCTCCTGTCTCCTTGACTAGGAATCTCACCTCTCCTGCCTTTGTTCGGTCGGCCAGAGGGATACTGCCGCGGGAACGTGTTGTTCTGTCCCGAGATGTGTGAGCTAGCGCCCGGTTCGGTCATAACAGAAGCTCGTCTGGATGGCGCGTCTGCCTCGGATGCTGCGGCTCTCGAGGATTTCTCCCCAGAGAGAGCTGGTGCCTTATCTTTCAAATTCAGCGAACCAGCGCTAACGGTTCGCTTCTCTTTCGGAGAAGCATCCCGAGCAGAGCCATCCGGACGCCCACGTCTCGGCTGTTCGCCATTAGGCAAAGCAGCTGTCGCAGACCCATCTTTCTCAGAGCTGAAAACAGCAGCTCGTCCGCCACTCTGCGCTCCTCCGCGGCCCATCCCTCTGCCACCTCTTCGTGATGCGCCATTGGGTAACGGGGTATTGAATATCACATTGGGTGTTATCGCCATGTTAACCCATTCCTTCTTGCCGCCGGACTTGGTCGAGGAGCCGTCCTTGCGCTCCTTGTCGCTCTGCCCAGTTTTCTCCTGTGCCTTTTTCCGATTTTCATCAAGGGCAGTCTCTGGAGTCGGCCATGCTTCTTGGTCACGGTCTGGTGGCAGGGGTAGAACACTCTGGGCCGGCTTTGCCTCCTTCTCCTGTGGTCGGCCTTTCTGTGCTTTCTTAGACCTGTCTGGTTCGGCATCCGCTTTTGCATCCTTTCTAGCCTGGATCGCCTTCTCTTCTTCACGACCTTTCGGTCTGCTCTCGTAGGTGACAGCCTTCGCTTTACCGTCAGTGCTGTCCGCGGCTGCAGCCCCTTGGACCTGCTTAGCCATGGGCCCTTGAGGTCCTTGTGGTAGCCCGTTCGGGAGTGCTGCAACGGGAGCGGCCGCCGCTGGTTTCGCAGTGTTCGGCTTCTGCACCGCCTTGGCCTTAGCTTCTTCAGCTCGCTGCTTCCATATGTTGACCACCGGAACGGGTGCCTCTTGCAGAGGCTTTGGTGGAGTGCTATCAGCATTCTTGCCCTTGCCCTTCTCTGACGTCTTCTCAGTCGGCTCCGCCGACTTGTCAACAGACGTAGAGGCCTGGGACTTATTCTCCCAAGTCGAGTCGGAAGACGTGTTCGGTATTGACGAAACATCATCATCTTTCGTGACCGTCGAAGCAGACGAAGCACCCAAGTCGGGGGATGATACGATAGAAGTCGTGGATGGCTGAGAAGCCGTGCTCTGTTTCGGTGCGGAAGGCGGCGGTTGCGTGCGAGGCTCTCGTGCGTTCGATAACTTCTCTGGGCGGCTGTCATTCGCCTCGGCATCATCAGCCCAGCTCATCACAGCTGCGGCGGGCGCATTAGTCGGTAGGGATTGTGCTTCCTTAGCCGGGGTCACTGAGCCGGAGGATGGCTTGCTGGGGACAGAGGGTGTCGTCGACAGACCCTTCGCGGCTTGGGCATATGAGAAAGGCGCTGGGGCAGCGACATCGCCGCCCGTTCGGCGAGGTGCTGTTGCCATAGTTTCTTCAGACTCTGCGTTCCAGCAGAGATTAGAAATCGACGAAGGATTTGGTCGGCGATGGTGATCCCCTATGGGAGCACTCGAAAAGGTGGGCCAATGCAGGTGCAGTTGCCGCTATGTCCGGAGAGGTTCACTGGTTAACCTCTCCGCACGTCGTGTCCTCGGATTCCACCAAGGCCTGGCTCTCGGTGCTTTCAGTCGGCTGAGGGGGCACAGCTACGCGGAGCTTGTGTAAATGTTTGCGGCGAAATCGAGTGGCGTGAGTGGCACACAGAGGCAGTAGTTGGTGGGCGAAGCAAAATTCCGTGCGGGAAGATGTTCGACTAGGGTCCGTGGAGGCCGTGAGGCGGATGCACAGGGCTACGCCAACAGTTAGCGAGCGTCGACACCAAAAGCAAGCACTAGAAACGGGCGCCGTGCAGTCGAGTGAGCTGCGGGTAGTGCGCGAGCGTGGGTGGTGGGCGTTCGAGCGGCAGAGGTCACAGGCGCAGCCGGACGAGGGAATGCTGCGGCGTGCGGCGGCGGCGGCGATGGATGGAGGAAGCGGGAGCGCGGCAGGGGGAAGCTCGCAGACGCACCGGGGCAGTTGGCACAGGCGTGGAGGCGCTGGGCAGATGCGGGTGCGAGCTCGAGGCCGGTCGTGGGCGCAAAGAAATGGGGTGCTGGAGCAAGCGTGCGGCCTGCGTCGGCGATGGCGTGGGCGAGACTGACCTCTTGGACGTGTCCGTGAAGACCGTCTGGCTGCCGTCGACTGCGGACGAGCAATGGAAGCGCAGATGCAGCCGTGACGAGCTCCACCGAGCGTGGGCGACGGGATATGGGCGGGCACAAGGGTAGCGGTGCGGCGGGCTCGTGCCTGGAGGGTGGACGTCACAGCTGCTCTGGCGTACAAGCGACGGCGAAGAAGAGGCGGTGGCAGCGACTCGAAACGGTCGTGGCGGACTGTGTCGAGGCTCGCCGGGGCCGGGAGGCGATTTTGAACGGGCGTGTGTGGGAGAGACGGGGTGGGAGGGGAGAGGAGGAGGGTCAGTTCAAGCGCGAAAAAAACTCGATGAGGTGCCCGAGTTAAGCCCACTGCTGGCCCGCATTTCGGCTGCTTTTCACTAGACACCACCGACTGCCCGAGGGAAGCGCTGCACATAAAACCCCTCCCAGCGCCCCGCCGGCCTCCGCGTGCTGCCTTCGTCTGCATTTGCGCTGCTGCTGCTGCCTTTTGCGAGCCGGCAATGGCTCGCCTCGCTGGAGTGCATCGTCAACCATCACCACCATCATAATGAGCCATGCCGCGCCGCATCGGCGACGCCTCTCCGCCCCGACAGCCTTCGCTGTCTGTCCGGCTGCCTTTTGATGTCAAGGCTGCATGACCTGGCACCAGGACTTGTGCACAGCGGCGATATTGGCGCCGTCTGCATGGCCGTTTTAATTCCTCCATCGCTGCTGCGGAAGCCACCCAACAACGCCCCCGGAAGAACGGGATTGACCCATTGAGGTCCCGGAGACTGCCGAGCACGCGGATAAGATATCGAACCACCTCTAATTGCTATAAGATACACGGGGCCGTGCTCCAGAGAAGCGTGCGGTGCTCGCTTTCTCGGCACAGCGCAACACGTGCCCGCTCGTCTTCACGCATGCTGTCCGGCTTCGCAAGATTGCACGCTGCTTGGTCTTACGCATCTGCCGGCAGTACCATGATAGCTAGTCTGCAGAGTGCAGGCAGTCAAGCTATTGTCATCAAGCTCGTCTACGTTGTTGGCTCCTCCCATCCCCGTCCGGTCCACCGTGGGACCTCCTGTGTAAGCAGACGCCACACTTCTCTCCCCTTCCCCTCACGACACGCTTCTTTGTCGCCAACGCTGGAAAACCGGCAATCTCGCAATCGGATCTGCGTCACGACCGAACCTGAGCCTAGGATCGCAGAGCGGCTTGCCTAAAACATAAGCCGTTTCGATGCACATGGCAAGGCTGCCCAGCCTCAACGTCCCTACCTTCTCCAAGATCAATCATTCGAAGCAATTAATAGCACGGCTAAGAGTGCACGTCACTCATGCTGATGTTGGACGCGATTACCTTCAGCTTTCAGCCCAGGCTGAAGTAGCCCAGGGAAGGGGTTGACCCACCGGCTGGTATTCTGGAGCCATCCCCTCGCCCCTAGCCACTTCCGCCGTGCATCTATCGTCAGGCTCCTCCTTTCAGACTTCAGCGCGGTCATGAATATCTTTCCACAAACGGCGTTCAGCTCCATCAGCATCGACCTTGTCCACCCTCATTTTCCAGCCTGTCAAGCTACCCCAGTACCCCAGAGAACACAGTTTCCCTCCTTCCATAATCACGGAAGATGACGCCGTGTCTGTATCACACTGCAGCCTGGAAAGTTCAATGTTACAGCAGGCCAAGCATGCAGTCGGACCCTCCTTAGCCACAGCAAACCCGATGCACGAGACTCAGCCTCAGATCCGATCCACTCACTCCCGGCAAAACCACCACGCGTCACACGTTGTCGCGCGCCGGCCCGCGAACTGTCTCATACCAGCCACACCCCAAAAATAACATATCAACGTCTTTCCGTCGTGGCCCTTAGCCATACGAATACGCTGTTTGCTTGGTATTGTCTTTTAGGAGCTCCCGACGTCACCTCATTCATCCGCCCGCTTGCAGGCCACCCGTCCACGAACTTGCGTATCGTAGGCCTGGCTAAATGGGACTAGGGTTGCAAACAATATATCGGTACATATACAGGTACGTCTGTAGCCTATCAATCCCGCCGCTTGGGTACCTGCGAGCATCGCTCTGGATTTCACCCACTACCCTTAAATTTCACCTCACATAGAATTTCCGTGCTAGCGGCGCTGTTGCCCAGAAGTAGCAGCTTGCTTTCTAGAATCCATCTATTCGCGCCGCTTCTACCCTTCGCATGCCGCTCCATATTGATTTGCATGCTCATTCAAGACGACGAGACGAGGCTACCCTCCAAGAATACGCTCGCACGCATATTGCATCGAGCCGTCGGATATACCGCGCTCTCCTACCGACCCTGATTGCTCCCCAGAGTATTCGCGCGGACCACACCTCCCGATCCCCACCAACGACAGCAGCTCTCTCATCACAAAACTTTTTCTCAGACCCCTGCTATACGTACCTGGATAACGGCTGCACATGACAGCGTCTGGCCTGTCTCGCCACTCTATCGAACCCTTCCCGAAGCCGCTGATCGCGGCACTCACACTTTACGAGCCTGCATCCCCGGAACGCTGCAATATAGGAGCGCCACCCCGTCCCTATTTTAGGGACTAGAGGAAGACTAGACCCGGCGTCATTCGTAAGCACTATCGAGCTTGCTAACGGTTTTGCAGACGGAAGGATGCCGTACCCCACGGGGTACTCGGAGCTTTATGTGCGGCGCCGGTTGTGGCTGGCTTTGGTCCCATGGACCTCAATGTTTTGCGCGCGATAAGGTAATCTTGTCGTGCTATTGAACTCTAGATGCAGAGTACAAGATGCCCCACCGTGAAAACGGCTATTGCTATTGTAAGGGGAGAAACACAGGCCACACGGTCGTCTCCACTGGTCCTCTGCGATTAGTAGCCAAGGTAACGAGTACACCTCCACTGTCGCACATGGTCCGCCCGCACAAGCCTAGAACCACCACGACCTCGGCGTCAGAAGACCTCAGGAGGTAGGCGAGTCTTGCGACACTCCTCTAGCTATTCATCCACTACAGCAGATCATCCGGTCAATTGTTATTCATAAAGAATACCCTGTCAATTGATTTTACGCCTTTTCATTTTGTACAACCGCACCCACGAACCTCGAGACTCCATCTGTCGACGTCGAGCAGTAAGGATTGCATCATGCTCTTGTGGGGATTGTGCGGTATAGTATCACAGTATGCTCTCGCGCGTCTGTTATGTAGAAGAACGGTCGGAACTAGTCCAGACTGCTGTGATATGGGCTGCAAGCGTGTACTGGTGAAAGAATCGAATTGCAAATGGAAGGCTGGACTGTTAATCAGGCAGAAGAAACGCTGAAAGCCTGTTGCGGCTTCATGTGGAATTACTAGTGATAATATAGCTCCCCTAATCCTCTACGAGTCCCCAGAAGAAATGCCGAAAACCCCGTCGCGACTTCATGTGGAATTAGCCCCAATGACATAGCTCCCCTCATCCTCTACGAGTCCCACGAATTTCCTCTTTAGCCCTCTGTGTTCGAATAGCTTTCTCACACCACGATCCGTCCTCGTCTTCGCAACATCCCAAACCCAATCTTGTTCCTCCATCTGAAGCTGTGCCACAGTGTTCCATGCGCCCCCAAGGATACCCCTCCTACCACCGCTGTAGAAGTACAACGTTATCACGGCCAACATCAAACCCAAGTGTACCATGATAAGGCCAGAAACGGCGTAGTATCCGCGCCAAGCGGCTGGTCGCAGCGCCGGTACGAACGAGCGTGTCATCGCGGTATCCGGGAGGTCAAAATCCACGAGATGGTTGTAGTAGGATATACCATATACCATGAGCTCGTAGGCCTGAATGGCGAGAGCAGGATGACCAGTGTCCTTTAGGATGTCGGCGACGACGGCGGCCTGGGAACGTTCGGCAAAAGCATCTCCTATGAAGGGGCAGAACTGGCATATTGCCAGTGAATAGTTGCTTTGGTGCCATGAGGCGAAGGCAGTGTTGGCGAAGAGGAATAGTGAGGCGGGATGGTCGCGGACTGTCTGAGAGATTTCAAGCGGGCTGTATGAGTCCAAGTTCATGATACCCCGATCGTGGAGCGGCCACGCGACTCTCGTCGCGCCGAGTTGTCGTCGAATGTTGAATGTATCAAAGGCGTGGTTGGAAATATCCCATTGAATTTCCGGCTCGGTGATATTCCTCGGCCTGGATGCTCTGACGTTCATCTGGAAATCGCGGTAGACAGACATGCAGGCACTAATGACGAAAGTGACGTTGGCGGTCTTGTTTTTCATGACGGTCCATTCTGAGTCCGAATAGTCCGGAAGAGAGACGTGCGGATCGGTGACGTTAATCACTAGATACACTGCATTCGCGTCTCTGTTGTTGTCGAATGGTATCGTATTGGCAAGCGCGGTCTCGCTGAATAGGAAGTCACTCTTGAATACAGGAACTCTATCGTTGAAATCCGCGTCGTACAACGAACAAAAGGTGAGATGCCACTCGGGGACGCCCGTACCGCCGGTATTAGCTTTTGGGACGAGGCAATCAAGTTTGACGCTGTCATTGCTGACGAACGCAGACTCCTTGATGCTACCATCTAGCCAGGCTATACCTTTTAGGTGGTACCCCATATCCATGTTCCCGTCGCGCACGATCTCCATGTCCAGTTTCGGCTTCCCGCATATTGTCCTCATGGCAGTGAGCGATGTTGGGCCCGAAAAGTTCCTCAAGTTCGACCGGATGGTCTGAGACATTATTGGCAAGAATGCCCGGAGCACAACGCCTGTATCGTGGATGCCAGTCATATTGACAGGGCCTTCAGCCATTGCTTCTGCGAAGGCGGGGAATCGCTCAGGCCTACGCATCCAAAGGTCCCACTCGTTCTCGTAGTGCCTAAAGTTGTATCCTGGCCCAGATGTATTCTTTCCGATGTAGAGTGACATTGATTCTTCGTTCCCGGGCAACATTCCTATTTCGAGATCGGAAAGCAGCGCTGTCGATGTGATATTGGTCAGGGAAGCGGTAAGGGCGACTGTAAGCACAAGGACTCCCGCAATAGGAAATGGACCGAGCCGGCGAAATGGCCAGAGAAGTGGCAGAGCCAGTGATGAAGGCCCAGCATTTGCAAACCGTAGTAGCGACACAGGGGCGGAGCTAGCTATAGGCACCTCATGCCACTGCAACGCTAACATGGCAAGCATACTTGTGCTCACGATAGCTTGAGCAGAGATGGACGTCCGAATGGCAAGTGCGGTGAGCGTAACGCACCGAGTTGCCCAGCCTGTTATCATGATCTGGCGCCATCCTTCGTTCGTGCTGTTGCCCGACCAGAGGAATGATATGAAGCCGAAGGACCCGAGAATGCATGCTGTTCCGAGGATGATTGTACAGATGCTGTAGGATCCTACTCTTTCCAATATACCTGGAAGCCGCAGCTCCCCTTCGGTGGGTGAATCCGTATCATGCGAGTGTTGAATGAGTTGCTTTAGGAGCGATTCATGACTGCCCCGGCTCGACATAGCATTTGACGGATCTCTTTGGGCATGAATCGGGGCGAAGTGCTGTTGTGAAGTCTTGTCAAGGGGGTATCGATGATATCCCCTCTCTTTATCATTCCCTCGAAAAAGCAAGGCTACGTCCTCAAGGCTACGCCTTCAAAGCTACGCCTTCGAAGCTACGCCTTCAACTCTGTGGCACCGTGGCGCTCTAGATCAGGCCACACTCGCCAGAATGGGTACCACTTAACCGAGAAGTCTATTAATATGTGGCTCTGCCTCCACAACATGGCTGGAGAAGTCCAATAAGCCCCCGGAATTAACTCTAGATCAGCTGAGGCCAAGCCTTCGTTTTCGAGCGTCCGTCTAGCCTTGCTATTGAAAAAGCAAATACTAATTGCGAACGGTCCTGTGCGGCATATGAGATGACTGACGAGTGGGGTGACTGTAGGAAGGACGCACAAAAGACAGCAAGCGCATTTGGAAACGAGTAGGGTGATGGAAGGAGCCACGGAGGATATCCAATGATTGAACGTACCTAGCATAGTAATTGCGAGTAATCCGTTACTTGGTTCAAGTGGGAGATTAGGCTCTACCGGAAACACTTGGGCTACGATAAAACCGCCGGGGTTTTCATAGCGCTTATCCTTCAATTCAAAGTCGCCCCATGGGTAAAGTCAAGGACTCTGAATTGAAGGATGGCGTGAACTTTTGCAACTTTTTTCTTATTCGCGGGTTCGAGCCAGAGCTTTTGCTACTTTTTGCTTCTTCACGAGTCCGAGCCTGAGATCTGACGTGAAGACGGGCGAAGCCTATCTCAACGCGGGCCAAGCGCGCGACGCCACAGTTCGAGCGCGAAAGCTAGAGAGTAGCTAGTAGAATATAATTACTTAGCTCTACAACTACTTTAAGTTTACCCGCTCGAAGCGGCCTTCAGTGATGAGCTCCTGCGTGATGTTTTCCGTGATATCTTGCGGGACTTCGTCGATGCCTGAGTCTCCGAATCAGATACAGCCGGTTCCACCTGGCAAGCTGCAAAGACGGAGCCCAATTGTCCTGCAGACGGTCTGCTTCTTCAAAGCTTATCAAATGCCGTCGTCCTGGCGAAAATGGTTACTGTTGCTAGGTCGGCGTTCATGAACAGCTGACCGGCTCGACTGCATTCTTGAGCATGATGCATGTCTTCATTTTATAGTTGCCATCGTCTCCCAAATTGTGCGCCTTTTCAATGCAGCTCATTGCTCTGCTTCCGCCGCAGCACTGCCACACCTTCCACATGGCCCGTCTGCGGGAAGAAGTCAAAGCCCCTAATGCTCTCAATCTCATAGCACCCCTCTCCCACTCCAAAGCCACCATCAACGCCCTTCATCCCACCCACTAACACTCCCACGTCCCTGGCCTGCGTATGCACATTGCAGCTCACATACACAATCCTTGCAGGACCATACCTCAGTAACTGCTGTAGAAAAGACTCATCGCATCCCTTCCTTGGTGGATCGATCATGACCACCGTCTCAGAGGCAAGCGATTCAATTTCAGAGAAGAGCCCGGAAGCATCTGCGGCGATGAATTTTGCTGATGAAGATGACAGGTTATTGACCTTCGCGTTGCGGGTTGCGGATTTGATGGAGGAGGACGAGATGTCGACGCCGAGGGAGGATTTGAATAGAGAGGAGAGCGTTATGGTGAAGAGACCGGAGCCGGAGTACGCGTCTATCAGATGGGCGATCTTGTGGTCAGAGGATGCAGCAGGCAGAATATGGTCGCGGATGTACTGTGTGAAGACCGGAAGGATAGAGTTGTTGTTCTGGAAGAAAGAGCCTGCTGGATTGACAAATTGGAACTCGTCGATGTACTCCGTGGTTTTGGCGTTGGGATCCGTGACGCACGTCTTTCTGTGGATGTGTTCACCTCTGTCTTCGATAACAGCGTCTGAGTCGTCCTCTTTCGCAGGATCATACTCTGATTTCGGGATGCGTTGTGTGCTTTCTCTCAGGAGCAATGTAGCACCCTTGTGGTATTTACTGATCTCATTCGCGACACGTTTCCGTTCCCTCTCGTTCCCTTTTCGCACTGCATCCGTGCCAATGGGGCAGTCTTCGATGTCGATAGTAGAACGGGTGCCTTTTTTCATGAATCCGATTGGAGGAACATCTTTGAAGCTGCGCTTAATGCCGTTCCTTCCATCACTTCTGCGAGAGTCCGGCGGCCCGTCGAAATGTGGGGTGAGTTTCGTACGGTATCCATACTGGAGAGGAGATCCGATAGTGTCCCCTATCGCGGGTATGAGCTCCGGCGGAAGGTTCGAGAAGTTCTTGTAGGCTTTCTCGACAATGGATTTCTTATGCGCAAGCTGGAAGTCGTATGGGAGCATCTGGAATTGGCACCCCGAGCAGCTGGCGAAGTAGGGACATCTGACTAGCGACTGATCGCGGTGCGGAGAAGGTTTTTTGACTTTAACGAAGTCCGCCATAGAGTACTTTTCCTTCCCGAAGTGTTTGAATACCTTCGCGGTGACCATGTCTCCGGGTGCTGTGAACGGGATAACATAGACCCGATCCGAGCTTGAGCCATCCTGGAAACCTAGGCCATCGCCAGTCGATGAGATTTCCTTAATCGTAACTTCGATTTCAGAGAACTTCTCCGGAAGTTTTGCAGCCTCTTCTTCGCCAGCTCTTTCCAGGTTGAAGGATTTCAACAGCGTGGTTACATCCTCCAATAGAACCTCTTCATTACTCCCATTTGTCTTCAAGATCTGGCTGCTATCGCCATGACCCTTCCTCATCCTCTTATTCTTGAATCTGTAACTTCCTCGTGGCTCTTCCTCGCTCCTTAATGGCGTCTCGGGCTGCCTCTTCTCGCCGAAGCTCTCGATAGGTGCCACATTCGCCGCAGAGGAAGCCATCCTGTATCGTGAAGTGCGGCGGCCACTGATCAACAGTGTCCGGAGCGCAGGCCGCAAGATTGAGGATATCATGTAGGGTCCTAAAAAGTTCGAGAGTTACGCACCAGAAAAGGGAAAGCTGTGATTCGCTAGCGCGGAATCTGCATCGCTTAGTCATTCATAATTTTCTCGAAGCTCGAACCTCAGACCATCCGATCGGCGGGACCAGTACGCGCATTCTCTCACTTCCCTTCATTGTGCGCCTTCAATTGGCCTTCTTTCGAGCGGTAAGAGGGCGCAATGAGCGTCTGCCGCTCCGTAAGATGTCTGTTCTCCGCAGTCTCCCTCCCTAAACCTTCATCCGCGCCGAAACGCTCCTTCCACGCTTCCGCCCCTCGAACAGCCCGTAGACGAAGACCACACTACCCCTCAATAAAGGCGGAAGATCTCAAGCTCCTCAATCAAGCCGCGGAGACCCAATACCCAAAATATGACACCTCCGAGACCGCTCTCCTTGCGAAACGCTACACCCCCGAGCAAATCGCCGCCATCAAAGCCGCGGAATCCGCAATCGACGCACGCGACGTGGTAACACAAGGCCAGAACAGAACAGACCCCTGGCTTCTTCCGTACGAAGACGACCTCGCAGAAGTTGATCCCGTAACCGACCATGCGCCCAAGCTCTCGCCCGAGGACATCCCGGGCAAGAAGACCTTTCGCGAAGCCAACGAGGTCGAGCGCGACGAGGCTATAGCCCGGATCGCAAATGAGAACCTGGCGAAGATGTATCCTGACGGTATACCCGAGGGCCAACTGAACCCCAAGCAAGAGCAACAGCTGCAGGAAGCAATGGAAGCCGCATTCACGCAAGCTGCGCTCGACCCGCGTGCAACATTTTACTCCGAGAATCCGGCAGCCGCTCAAGCGCTCGCCGACACGCGGCATTCCATCGTGCAGCCGGATCTGCCCCGTATCGACAACAGAATGGTGCGGCAAACCCGTCGCCTCTCCACTGAGGAGGCGGAAGATCCGCGGCAGAAACGGCTCCTACAGTACCTCGACTGGGACAAGCAAAAGCTGCGCACTATAAGGGTGAAGACGCTGGTGGTGCACAGTGTGACCAACCAGACGCGCATGGGCAAGATTCAATCGCTGTACTTTCTTACGATCGCAGGGAACCAGGATGGACTGTTGGGTGTAGGAGAGGGCAAGAGCGTGGAGCCGGAAGAAGGGCGGAAGCAGAGTGTCATGTCGGCAATCCGCAACATGCGGCCCATTCCAAGATATGAGAACAGGACGATATTTGGCGATTTGGAGAAGAAGGTTGGGGCCACAAAAGTGCAGTTGTTTGCGCGACCACCTGGTAAGACTATCTTAGGTTTCCCCTCATTCATGCAGGCCTCTAATACTAGGCTAGGTTTCGGTCTCCGCGTCCAGCATCTAATCTTCGAACTCGCTCGCGCCGCCGGCCTTCAGGACCTCGCTGCCCGCACACCGCGCTCACGGAACAAGATGAACGTCATCAAAGCCACATGGGAGGCTCTATGCAACCAGAAGCTACCAGATGAGATCGCAAGGGCGAGAGGGAAGAAGCTCGTCGATGCGAGGAAGGTGTACTATGGCGGAAGTGTACATTAAGAGTGTTAGGTCACTGTATGATACGAGGCGGATTCCGAAAGATGTACGTTGTATCATACGCATTCGCATTGGGCGGGAGCGCAGCATTGTAGAAAGCCCTTGTAGTATATCTCTACACATACTGAAATACTTGTTCATTGCATCATTCCATTTTGCTTTCTCCCTGGGGTATCATATGTAACCATGTCTGTCCGTAACTCGTCTCCAATGCCTGCCCTGCGCTCCGTCCTCAAACTAACCATGTTGATCATCCCCCCTCCCCCTCTAAACATATCCCACAGCCCCTCCCCTTCAAAGCACACTCCCCCTACTATCCCCCATCCCCACTCCCTCCCCACCACCCCCCGGCCCATCCTCCCGAATCTGCTGATTCAACACAATACTATACACGCTCGCCTTCAGCAGCGTAAACACCAGACTCGTTTTGCGCTCCAGTCCTCTTAGCGCGTCCAGGATCTCCGCGGACGGGTTGGCCGAGAGCTCGGACAGCAGCGTCGACATCTACCGCAAATACCGGGGTTAGCAAGCCGTAGGATAGGAAGGGAGGAGGAGGAGGAGGAGGAGGAGGAGAGGCAGAGAGAGGCGTAACGTACGTTGTTCAGATTGCCCAGGAGCCGTGCGTATTCGTCGAGCACTTCTTGCTCGAGCGGCGTGAGGGTTTCGGAGTCGTCTGTAGAGGCGCCGGTGGCGCCACTTTGCGAGGTTTGGGAGGCGGAGAGGTGCTGGGGTGGGGTGTCTGTTGCCATTGTGTGCAGGGCTTCTTGCGAGTGGGAGGGTGTACGCTGTTGTTCGTGGGGAACGCCAATTGTTTACTGCGATGGCGGGCGGGTGGGGATATGTTGTTGTTGGTCGTGCTGCGGGATGCGAAAGGGAGGAGGTTTTGTTGATTTAGTCTTATGGCTTGCGCTCGATTAAGAGAGGGAAGAACTGGCTATGTTCGTGCTTCAATCGGTGCGGTGGTGGGCGTTATATCTGATCCATGGATTGACACCGCGGGGAAGACGCGACATGGTTGGCTCGTGCACACTGCATATCTTGGCGCAGATCTTTCGGTTTCAGCTCAACGTCACATCGATACGCGACTGTACTACTAACTTGCTTGAAATGCTGTATATTGGAATACTGCCTCACATCCCCCTCCGCAGCAGATCTTGAAGCATGCCACCCTCCTCCACGTCCAAGCTGCCTCCGCACCCAGACATCCTACCATCCTCCCTCCTTCAAGTGAGTAAAGAAATGCTACCCAAAGCGCAACGTTTGAAAGCGCCGGAGCAATTTACAGTCAGACCGTTAAGAGCACCTGAGCAAGAGACTAATAGATCCCAACAGGCAAAGTCAGTGAGAAATACAAGACAAAAGTGTTATGCTCGAGACCCATAAAACGCCTATGCCTTGTGGAGAAACAGTGAGACAACCCCATTCTAACGAGACGAAGGAGTGGACAGGAGAACGCAGCAAACGCCCTCCCGACACCGAAAGAAGATGCAATGAGACCGCTCTTTTGAAAACGGCGAGAACTCGAAGCGCGATGACGCCGACCAAGGAAAGAACAGTGTTTGTGATGCTTTCCTATCGATGTGAATGAGTGTTTTGTAGTTCGAGATGGTCGAGGCTGTCGTTGTGCATGTCGTCGCCATCGTGGTGAAGGGTAACGCTGTTGAACTCTTCGAATGGGTCGGCAATTTCGCCCATGGGGGTAGCCAGACCGGAATCCAATGGCACGCCCTTCGCTTTCGCCGCGCTGATATCCACGCTCTGGCTCTCTTTTACGTTTCGGAAATTTGGCGTCTCGATCCCGTGGCCTTGGTTAGGGATAATCGGTGGCTTCATATGGCGAAGCAAAGCCCATTGCGTGGTGCGGAAGAAGGGGTGTGCCTTGACATCGGAGGCACCTGCGCGGGAGCCGAGACGGCGGAGCTCGTCCTTGATGAGGAGTTTGCGGATTAGTGATTTGCAGAGACTATAGCTTGTCAGCATTGCTCACGGAGAGACAGGCCATCAAAACATACTTTGAGACGGATGGTGCCCCAGAGCCTTCTGGGAAAGGTACGTCATCTCTCAGGATGTTGGCGAAGGTGGCGTTCCGGTTCTTGCCCTTGAAGGGTGTCGTCCCGTACAGCATCTCGTAAATGAGAATGCCCAAAGTCCACCAATCAACCGCGCTAGTATGACCACATCCTTTGATGACCTCTGGTGCAATGTACTCCTCAGTGCCCACAAACGAGTTTGTCCTAAAGTTCGCTATACACGACTTAGTGTCAATGGTCGGCAGGTTACTCGATGAAGCGCCATTGCGGCCAACGATCATGGTTGGGCGGCCTCCGGAATCAGACTGCTTGGACAAGTCAAAGTCTGACAACATGATATGGCCTGACTGATGAAGCAGGATGTCTACACTCGTCAGCGTCTGTGAGCAAGATCTTTGGGAATAGACGTACTCTCGGGCTTCAAGTCTCGGTAAATGAAACCCATAAGATGGAGGTACTCCAATGCAGCCGTTACTTCAGCTGCGTAGAACCGTGCTGCGTCTTCATCCACGCACTTGTTCGGCCGCGTTTGCAGAGCTCTGAAGAACTCTCCACCGCTACAGTATTCCATGCAGAGGTAGAGGTGGTCTTCTGACTGGAACGAGTGGTACAGCGTAACGATAAATGGATGGTTGCTGGTAGCCAAAATTTCCTGTTCGGCTAATGCGCGCTTGATTTTGTTCCGCTTGATCATCTCCTTCTTGCTCAAGACTATGTTCTGTCAGTATGGGCCGAGGAGTGACTGCTAGTTTCGTACCCTTCATGGCATACAGCCGGCTGGACTTCTTCTCGCGCACCAGATATACCTTGCCAACATCGCCCTTTCCGATCAGCTTGATCTTGTCAAAGCTGCCCGGGCCGACTTCCACGTTCCGGACCTTGATCGAATTGGAACTGTACGTTCTCCTAAAGGCTACTGCGTTGCGAATCTGGCCTGGCGAGGGAACACCTTTTACGGTGTCTACGGGTACGAGATGATTCGGATCAGGTGTCGTAGTTTCTACCATGCTCAATGTCGACGTATTTGGGTGATGGACCAGGGGCTGCTTTCCGAGCTCTGCAGTCTGCGGCCTTTCGGTGGATTTTCCTGACGAAAAGAGGCCTTGCGCGTTGGGAGCCGAGGCTACTCTTCGCAGCTTCCGGGCCAATTCCTCCTTTCCGGCTGTTGTAGCCTGGTCGTTTGCTCCACTGACAGCCTCTACTTTTGTGGTGGGGATCGGGGGTGTATCCGGCGGCGAGGGGGGGACGCTGCCTTCATTGTGATGACGCAGGGCGGGCGGGCCCTGGTGGATGAAGTACGGGTTCGCGTGTGCGGTAGGCGAAACGCCATCGTCTAGCGGATTGCCTTCGCTGGCTACGGTCTGGGAGCGGTTGCGGGTGATGTGCGGCAGGAACCTGGACTGGCGGAAAGACGACTTGGATTCGGGCTTGAGGGTGGAGCTGCCCTCGTCGGACGCTTTTCGGTCCTTGTTGTCGCTGCTGCCGCTATTGATGCGGAAGAAGTTCTTGATCTTCTGCGAGACCTGGCTGTTGGATCCGTTCACTTGCTTGTTCGAGGACAGCGGCAGGCCCGAGAAGGTCCTCTTCTCGGCGAAGGTCGAGTGGCTCGACGACGAGCTGAAGAGCTGGGTCATGGCGACGGCGGGGCGTGCTGGCGGCAGCTACGGGGTGCACGCTCTCGCCGGGGCGGGAGAGGTCAAGTAGTTGGATTGCGTGCGTGTCGCTGACGGATCAGTGGGCCATGGCCGCTTCGAGTGATGTCGGCGTCCAGGGTCTCTCGACTGTGGCTAGAGCGAGGGGCTCTGTTGCCGCGGCGTGCAAAGAATGTCGAGATGGCTGCGGTGCTGCGCGCAAACGGTGGCCGGCCGGGGAGGAATGCAGTGCTCGCACTCTCGTGGGCTGAGGAGAAGGGGAGGAGAGTTGATGCGGCTGCGGGCGTAGAAAGCGCGACGCCGTGACCGCCAAAAGTCGAGCGGCGAATGATGGCGGAGGAAGAGTGGGGAACGACGCTTGGAAGGCGCCGAGCCACGGGCGGAATTCCAGCCTCGACTAGGGCGCCGCGAAGGCAAACTGTCTCCTTTTCTGAAGACGTGCTAGACTACCTCCTACCGGGACGCAGTGACTCGGTGTTGTATGTGCCTGAGCGACAAGCCCGCATGCTGCGCCGCCGTGAAAGGTTCGTGTTTCTATGACCGGTGGCTTCGCACTGCGCCCCTCCCAGCTCGCCCTGCTAAATGCCTCCCCCACGATAGACTATCACGATTCTGATGCCGGATTTATCAGCACGACAAAAGACATGCTGCCCATGACGTCCCCCTGCCGGTATCGCGTTTCCTCCGGCGTATTGCAACGTGCTGATGTCTTCGTAGCATCCTGCAGCGTCGAACCACTTAAAGCTCCATCCTTGCCCGTGGGGAGCCTCAGGCCCTTCAGGAAGACGCACAGCAATTTGCCTTCTCGCAACATCAATGCCACTGTCGCTTCCACAAGCAATTCCGCCCTGCGCCGTCTTTGCAACCTCTATCTCTGCCCTACGCAAATTGCCCGCGTAATAGCCTGTTCTGGAACTCTGCCCTACACGGAAGGTGCAACACGGCTTAGACGCTTGCCATCCAACCACAACGACCCAGTCGAATACTCGCAACATCAAACACGGCCGGCGCGAACACTGCAGAGGCTCCAGCGAGTATATTACAACTTTTTATTATACTATACAAGCAGCTACACATGTACAGAAACCTAATCATACAACTGCTGTCGACATGAGCAACGGACTGGAAGTGGAGAGGGACGGGGGAGAAGCGCACCACCTCCCTGCCGACCTCTGCAGCCGTCCAGAGCTGCCATATCATTAGACCCAAGGAAATAGTGACAGTAAGGAAACAAAAAGTGGGTAGCAACAGTCTAAGGAAGAACCCGTCAACCTCGACTCCCGAGTCTCTATCGCCACGTCTTCTTGCCCGTCCATTGGTACAGGCGGTGCTGCCGAACAGGTATTGAACGACAGAGGATTAGGAAGGCGGCCCAAAGAAAAGGAATGAGTGCAAGGATAGGTCCATCTGTATGCTCGTATGGTTCGCTCTTCGGCCGGGTCCAACATATATGATGTTGTATTAGGAGGGGTTGCCGTGTAAGAGTCGACCAAGAACGGGTGTAAGAAAAGCCAAAATGGCCCTAAGAATTGTCTCCGAAAGTACCGACGGGATATCGCGCTCATTTGCGGGGATTGTCGCGGATATGCTCGTAGATATTCTGCTGCTCGATGCTCTTGATCGATCGGAAGCGGGTGTGCCACTTCTCCGAACGGTGTCGCTTCTCCTCCGGAGACATGTTGCGTGGGTCCTTCTTCGTACGCCTGAACTTATTCGTGACCTGCTCGAGCTTGGCCTTCGCAGGCGAGACTTCTCCGGATTTCTTTGGCGATCGCGGAGTATTGGCCGGCGAAGCTGCAGCTACTTCGCCCTGCTCGCCCGCTGCAGCCTTCGTAGGCGAGGAGGCGAGCTTCTGCTTGCCTTTGCTCGAGGACGGCCTGAAACAAGACGCATCAGCTTCGACAGGCTCCATTGTCCCAGTGGCCTCGGTCGAACGCTGTCCCTCCGTGGTAGGACGCCGCTCCTCAAGATGCGTATCGAGGACAACATCGGCCAAATCGTCCATGGCGCCGTCCAGCCCTGACAGCCGCTGGTTAGCCATAGGCCGTGGGGAGGGTGGGAAATTTGCATCAGGCCCATGGGCTCTATATTCCCTGGACGGCGGAATGTAACGCTGCATGGAAACAGGAGTTCCGTATGAGCGACTGCTGGTCTGATTTCCGGAGAACTGCCGCGGATATGCGCCTCCAGGTAGTGCTGAGTTGGCGCGGGACACAATACCTTTCTCTTGGTTCTTCATGGCAAGCTCATTCTCAGCTGCTGAAAAGGCAAGCTGGCGGTATGCAGAACTCATCTTATCCGAAGCGTCCGTCTGAGGCAGGTACGTCGCAGTCGAGGGGTTTCGCAGGCGTGGCTGCTGAGCAGCTTCGTTGCAATAGGTGTATGTGATGGGCGTATCCTTGGCACCTCCGAGTTGAGTGTACACGGAATCCCTGCGCGCATCCGGAGTCGGCGCATTGACTTTAGCGGATCGAGCATTCTCCTGGTTTCCGATTGAGGCATCGACTTGACCGAATGACATGCTGACGGCAGAGTCGTGCGGAGTTGAACGAGCCACAAGGCCTCGAAGTGAATTGTCGCGACCCTTCTTGCACTCATCCGCCAGGAAATGCAAGAGTCCCTCAAGGTAACCCCTCAGGACTTCAGGGCTATCAGGAATCCCCACATGATCATAGCCGGCCTGATATCCTTCCTGGTATGTGGAAGGCACGTACGTGGTTGGCTTGGACACAAACGGCGGCCAATTTTCCTCTGTGCCAGTTCGTCGCATAGACGATTTCCGCGACGTCAAGTTGCTGGAGAAGGCAGAAACCAGAGGGTCCGCAGTCGCAGGCGGCGCACGCTCCTGTGCATTTGAAGGCAGCTGGGTGGTTGTAGCCTGCTTCAGTGAGGACATAGATGGCTGTTTGCCGAAAGCCTCAGGCCACGAGGTAAGTTTCGGAACCGCCTTCTTGCTTGAGCGACTCGAGTTGCCCTCATTCCATGGGCTCGCAGGCCAGTCCTTCTCGGGCGTAGATGGGACAGCGGCGTTCTCCTTCGCTGTCTGCTTGGACTCCTGAGCCTTCGGTGCAACGCGCGTAGAGGAGTGCTCATGGGTATTAGTGGGGAAGAAGTCTGTCGTATCTATGCTAGACAAGCTAGGCTTCTGTGAAATAGTTCGGTCCTCGTGCCTGTCTGATTGAGACGTCTCGTTGGTACGCCATGAAGAGCGCTTCGCCGGAGACGGTGTCGGAGGGGCAACGTCTTTGGCAGTTGTCACTTTCGCGACGGGCTCGTAGGTAGGACTCTTGGGGTCGAGCTTTGAGGTAGGCTGCTTCTTATTCTCGTCTCGGGGCGGTTTGATCTCGACCGCGTGGGAGCGACGACTAGCTGATCCCGGTGAGTGCGGAGCCGGTACGGGATGCTGGACGAATGGAGTGGACTCTGTCGCCTGTATGCTGGGGAAGGCACCAAACGGCGGCTGGTACATCATCAAAGGAGAGAAGGCGCCTGTGCCCGGAAATGCGTACATGGGTGAAGGCATGGGCTGCTGGAATTGGGGAATGAAGGAGGACTGTGCCGCTGAAGCTGCCGGTGCGCCGACAGGACCAGTGAACGTATTCACTTGAGCTGGCGGGACGTTGTTGTCGGTAGCTTCGACAGCACTGATGGCCTTCCTCAGGGCATCGAGTTCGATGATGAGGTTTCTCTTCTTCTCAATCATCCCGGCACGCCAGGCCTCGGTCTGTTGACTGGCTTGTAGAACTTCTGTCTGCTCCACGTTCTTAAGCTCCTGCTTCTTGAGGGTCTGTTGTGCCTTCAGAGTAGTAAGATCGAGACCAGCGAAAGGTGTCTGCGCATTGGGGCGTACCGGGCCAGGCGGTGCGGCTGCGCTTGCGCCAGAGAATGCGCCTTGAGAGGGCAAGACGGAAGGCTGTGTTGCTTGTTTTGCAGTCGTATCTGGAACCCCGGAAACAAGTGACGGCAAGGCGGAAGAGGTCGCTTCGAGCGACGGAAGAGCGAAGGCTCGGTCGCCAACGAAGAGCACAGGTTGGCTTCCAACGACCTCGAAACGAGGGACGTTGTTGACGTCTGGTCGTGCTTGCGCAGACATACTGCTACCAGACGCGACCCCTCGGAGGGGAGGGGGCTTGAAGCCGTTGTTGGGGAAGCGGGAATTGCTCAACGGTGGAAGATCGCTCGGGACGACGCGACCGCCGGCAGTGACTCGTATGCCGGGGGGGCTGCCGTGTTCCTTCAGTAGCCTCTCGACCTTCCCTCGCTTGATTGAGGGGGACGGCGAAGGCTTCTTGTTGGCTGCCACGGGTGTAATCGCAGGTGTCGCAGACAATCGAAGACTCCTATTTGAGGAAGTGCCGGCCAAGGTGGCAGATGCAGAGGGTCGCAAGACGTGCTCTGAACACGGGAGGTAATTAGTATTTATTGCTCAGTTGCTTGAGCGAAGTGACGAAAGGGTGGAGGAGGAAGGGAAGGGCGCGTCCCGCCAGAGAGCTAGAAATTGTTTTTGCGGGGAGCCCGGTCCCCTGGGCAACAGTCGTGGTCTCAAAGCGAGATTGGTGTGGAGGTGTAATCCGAGTGTGGTGAAGAGTGAAAGTGACTGAGCATCGCCACTGACCCTTGATGACATCCTCGTCGGCGAACTTGTCAATGGACACTGCCGATTCCGAGACGGAGTCTCTTAGAGCGAGTAGCTCCTCGACTTTGTATGACATGGTGGGTTGGTTTTCGACCCTGCTGAGCGCGCGATGACTGCTGGGCTTGGGCGGTGCGTCGACGGTAGTGATCCGGTGAGAGCTCGAATCAGACAAGCAACGAGAGGTGAGATGGTTGTGATGCGAATATCCTGCCATTATTAGCCATCCGATCCAGACGCTTTGTTCTTCAAGGCCAGGGAGATCGACCCCAGGGCGCAGATCGAGAAGGACGATGAACGTACCTCAAAGCTGATGGTGACGTGCAGTGTGAACAACGTGAACAACGAGCGGGCAGCTATCCAAGAGCCGAAGAGCAGCAATGACGAAAGAAGACGGGTGGAACAAGAAGATGGAGACAAAATGAGTGTGTTGGGGAGAGTGGTGGACGATGCGGATAGTTGGAAGTATATAAGGGCATCCCGCCGCGCCTCCCCTACATGAGGCGTACGGATGGTGGAAAGAGAAGACGAAGACGTGCGGAAGCTGAAGAGAAGGACAGATGAAGCATCTCGAAGTCAGAGCAGTGGAGCCGCGGAGGTGGCGCGACTGCCTTGCCGGTGCGTGCTGAGGAAGGAGCGGTGGAGCGCTCTCTCAGACCTCAGATAGCCCTTTCTCAGATCTCGCCTTGGACCTCGGGAACCACTGAAGCCTAATCATCACAGCAAGCAAGGGCAGGGAGCATGCTTGGGATATGCGAGGTATAACTGAGAGAGAAGTGTGGACACCTACGCTCCTACATCTTCACCCAAGGTTGATTTAGCCGCGGCCTTGATTTTATGTGGCTCTGCTATTTTTTTTCTTGAGAGGCCGTGTGCTTCCCATACTCGCTTGAGAAAGAGCCTCATTAGCCATATCGTAAAAGCCGTCGCTATGCGCATGTCGACGGAAAACGTTTACGCCCATCCTCCCCATTCAGGTCGCCCGCTCTCATACTTGTACAGTAGGGCTATCTCCTGCGGGTACTCCTAGATGTTGAAACAGGCTCAAAAGCGTCGTCGTCGTCGGAAATCTCATCGTCCTCCTAGGGTTTATATTAGCATTGGCTCGAGCTATTACTACTACAATGTCAACTTACCGGTTCTTGGACCTTCTTAGCCCGCGTCGCAGCTGCCCGTGGCGCTTGACTACGTTGTGTGGATGCCTGAGAGAAATTGAGCGTTGACTGCTTTGTAGAAGCTGGAGCACGCGCTCGGGAAGTCGGGGTCTTTTTCGGAGGAGATTTGGCGCGGGCTGGCGCCCTTGCCACGGGCTTCTTCGCCGTTGTCCGCGACGGTTTGACGAAAAGGGCCTCTTCGTCTTCTTCCGAATCGCCGCTGCTGGTGATCATGATCGCATCTCCATCGTCATCGACATCGTCTTCCTCTTCTTCAACGACCCTTCTCTTACCGCGGCCTCCTTTCGCAGCTGGGGTCTTCTTCGCAGCTGCAGCAGACTTACGAGTAGTGCCAGCTGCTTTGCCCCTTCCGCGAGCAGCACCCTTCTTCGGCGGAACCGATGCTACGTCATTGTCATCTTCGTCTTCGGCGTCAGTGTGAATGAGCGCGCCTGGCTGATCCTCCCATGGACCATCCACATCGCTGTCCCAAATGTCCGGCTTTGGTTTGTACTTGGCCTTCCTCTATACGCTGGTTAGGCGAGAATCACTGCTATGTGGGTAAGTACTTGCCTTCTTCTTCATTTGGCCCGAAGCGAAGAGCTCCTCCAGCTGTGTCTTGTATGTTTCCATTTCGTTAGCAATTTCCTCCTCGTCCACATCATTCGCATCCATCAGGTGCTTCAGCTGTGTGGCGAGACTCTCGTTCACGAACATCTCCATTGCGTGTTTGTCGTCCTTGTCCACAAACTGCGTCACAGCATCTCCAAAAGAGTTTTGCGGGAGAATGGTAAGTGACTGCGCAGTCAAGAACTCTTTGACGAGCTTCTCAACCTTCACCGCGTCTAGCGAGAACTGGGCTAGAACCGACTCGTCTGGAAGTTCAGCATTGCTCTTTGTTGTTCCTGGTGGTGTGTTAGTGGCATGAATACTTCTAGCTTAGAGAGCTGACATACGATTTGCCGCCTTCTTCTTCCGGTAGTATTGGACGACATCGTTGGTGTTGGCGACTTTGCCCTGAAATCGATTCGAGAAACGCTGCGGGTTCTCGCAGTGGAATTCTCCAGGCTCTGGAGCAGTGTATTCTACTCGCAAGCGAACTAGGGGAAGCGGTACTTCAATGCTGACCCCATCTTCCCGCTCGTCCTGGAGCTCTAGCCATTCCCGTTTTGCTTGTTCAATCAGCTCCTCCACAACCTTCTTGAGATATATCGCAATCTTTTCGCGGTTATCATTCACCCTCCAGAGCTCTTTCTGTTTGATTTCGCGTTCGTCTTGTAGCACGATCTCCTTCATGATGAAGGGTCGTACCGACTTGAGCCGAATAGGTTCACAGGTGAACTCTTTGCCGGTGACGCTCAATATAGCGACGTGCTTTGGCACAGCTTCGCCTGGCATGAGTGAGGTTGCGATTGAGGAGCCAGGCTGAATGACGTGGAAGCCCATTTCGGGGTTGTATCGCGGCTCGATCAGACACTCGTGCTCATGGCCCCATACAACAAGATCCATAAACTCGGGTAAGAAGTTTTCGGGCAGGAAGCTAGTCTGGGTATGCGCGACACTGGTGGCTGTTAGAAAGCTGACTTAAGAGACGCTCTATACTGACTCACTGATTCTGGTGAACCGTCATCAAGTTGAACCACTCGTCCTTCTGTACGCCTGGTTGAAAGAACTTGACCCCGCCGTCTCGCCAGGTATGAAACAACCGCTCATCCCGGACATTGCTGAGACCGTACAAGGCCAGCTTCGTGCCACCTTTCTGCAGGAGAACCGGTTTGACCTCGATCTTTTCAACCTGTGAAGTGCGGCCATAGTAGTTGACAAGGCCAGACGCTTGTAGGAGGTCTAGGGCCGAATATGAGCCTTCTCCGGAGGGATCGTCATGGTTCCCATGTATCGCAAACACTGGGATAGCGACATTGATATCGGGATCTTCGTAGTTGACATGGTCGAATACGCCTCCGAAGTTCTCACTCGCATCGCTCAGCATCTCGAGCTCGCACGGCTTGTCCCCAAGGCAATTCATACGCAGCGACTGAACTACATGGTACATCGCCATCCGCGAAGGCTTGTTCTCATGGAAGAGGTCTCCGCCATGCAGAACCATGTCCACATCATGCTCCTTTGCTAGGCACATCACCTCGTGGAACGTCTTCCAGCTATCGTCCTTACGGAATGGGTCGCGCTCGTTGTATCCGACATGGCTGTCCGTCGCTACGAGGATACGAATCGTATCGGGGTCTGGGATGGAACTATTAGCGAGTGCGTGCTGCGATCCGGGAGGGGACGAACCTCGTGGCGGCGCTCGCGGACGCATGGTGTGGGCGCGCCAAAGCGGTTGAGCTGGGATTGATTGTAGAAGCGACTGCGGAGAACGGTGATAAGAACGGAAATGCCCTACTGACTCCCTCTAGCCTTTTATATGGCGAAGACTGGACGACGGCCATGCGGCTTTCACAAAGTCGCGACGCGCTGCGGCCTACGCCAAGATTTCGAGGCTTGACGGGCTCTCACGTGATGCAGATCAAACCTTGGAACCTTGGAAGCGATAGAGCGAAGAGGTTAAGCCGACCTCACTCTTCGCAACGAAAGCGCGATGTTTCCCACGCGAGCGCTTTGCGCACGATCCGTATGGAAAGGTAAGTCTACTTCATAGTATTTGGCTTGGATCAAGTGGAATACCTGGCTAACCTCACCCCAGGTCCTAACATCGTCCCGTAAGTCCACCGCAAGCAAGGAGCTCTGTCCAAACGATCCCTAAGTCTCCTCGCAGCCTACCCATCACACGGCCAGCGCCCGGCCAAAGGATGCTCCCGATAAAGACGCAAGCACGCTCTGCGACGATACTACCGAATTTCGTGGGCTTGAAGTTCCAGATACATAATGGCAAGAACTACTTGGACATCACGATAACGGAGGACATGGTCGGTCACAAGCTGGGAGAATTTGCGCCGTACGTCAGAGCTCTCTTAGCCCAGAATTCTCAAACTCAACGCTCCGTCGTACGGAGAGTGAAGCTTTGACAGAGCGTTAAACTGACCCGGTTTAAAGGACAAGAAAGAATTTCACGTACAAGCAGACGAAGAATAAGTAGAAGCGACATCGACCATGCATCAAGTAGGAGTTAGGGTATCATTTGGAGGTCTTTCTAGCCTCAATTGCTGTACTTTTATTGTACAAATTCGATAGGCATGCACTGCGCAAGCCGTCCTTCCAAAGACTTTGAACCCAACGCCAATGATGCTAGAAGGAAGCCGAGACCGGAATTACTCCTCTGTCAAAGTTGCCGCCTGAGATGGATGTTCCCTTGAAGCGTGATGGGAATTTTGTAAGCTTTGTATGCTCTACTATGCACCCGTCGAGATGCTGGTTGTCCTAATCAATTGCGTGGTCAAATGTGCTGCGCAGCGTGTCTAGTGGCCCCGGTCCTGGGTGGTATGCTCGCCGTGTTTTGGCGCTCGTGTGACGTGGGAGATGATCCCTTATCGATAGAACTCTCCCCGCTTGATGTTGACTCCGTATTCGCCCACGGCCATACCCAGATCCTCCATCGTAAGCACAGTCCGCCCTTGACTGCCACCCTGTCCACCGCCACCATAGCCTGGCCTCGGCGCGCCGAGGGCGAGATCCTTTGCTTTGGCGATGTCCTTGGCGCCTTGTGCTCCACCTGGCGCAGCTGCTCCTTGCGGTCCTGATCCGCCCGCTAATCCGCCCATAGGATTATTACTCGTAGTGTTGGAAGCGCGAATGCGGGAGTATTGGTATGCGTCGGCGGCGATGTCGGCTATGAACTTCTGTGTCGCGAGAGCAAGGAGACGGGCGAGGTGCGGAGAGGTCTGTGGCGGCGGTGGTAGGCCTGCTTTTGTCAAGTAATAGTTTGTGACTGCGTCTGGTATCTTTGCCCTTGTCAGCATTGTCTTGCCATCATGTGGCGGGGGAGCGACATACTATCGGCGCATAGTCGTCCATCTTGGATAGGAACTCGCGCAGGGTGGCATCTTTCTTTGCCGGGATCCGCGCTTCTAGCGGGATCTCTGCGACTCCATTTCTTGCGGGCGCCTCGGCGTCATTTGCGCCGTCGAGGTTCATGGCGTCAGGTTGGGTCGGCTCGGGTTTGATATCAGCGTCGATGGTCGCGTCCAGCTCGTTGTCCATCTCAACGTCCGCGCTCTGGGGTGGTTGCGAGTTCTCCGCCATTGTGACGTAAGCAGATACTGAGGCTGTAGGACGGTGAGTGAAGGCGGGCGGAGGCGGACAATGCGCTGGTGGGTGAATGAGAGCGCCAAGGCAGCATGGCCGTCGGCAAGTCGGCGTTTGCGGTCGACGGCCACGCTAGCCAATCAGAGCGCGCGCCGTTGGACCACCCTCAGCCTTCCACGCGTGCACTTCCCCGCCAAGGGGCATACCTCAGCGTGATCATGAAGCATTGTGCTTTTGTTCGCCGCAGCCTGGCGAACCCCAGATGTCTGCGCTTCCTCACCGACTGATAGCACCAGCCAGCCCACGCTTGATGCATGCTCACAGGCCAGAGGACAGCAATCTGACCCCTCGTGCCCAGGCAACGATTTCCAGCACCGTGGGCAAACGGTCACATTACCCTCACCTCGCTCAGCAACATGCGTTAGAGGATGCTTTGCTGGAGTTCCAGCATCCTCAGCAGTGACGGGCTACGAACACTACATCGTCCCCCAGCTCACAGAGTCCTCCGCAACTCGCTCGGTCACTTTCGTTCTCTCTTTTCTCAACATTCTTTTAATCCATTGCCCATTGCCCTATCTTCTTCAATTCGCACCCCCCGCAGTGTTGGGATACCAATAACGGCCGTCCCGAACATCCAGCACCAATACAATCGTTCCAACAGAACCACAGAATCTCTCCGCTGAACGCCCAAATAAAGCTGCCTTAGTCGGACATCTCGTATGATCCCCATTCGCAGTTCGAGCATGCACGATGGCTAGACTGACTGATCTCCCATTGGAGATAGTCACGGAAGTCTTTCATCATCTGGGCAGCATTGACGACGTCCATCATTTCCAGCGGGCATGCAGGAAAACTCACGATGCGATCCAGTCGCCGACGGTATACACGGACATTATGCGATCAGTCATCGGTAACGCTCCCCAACACAGATTCGACATCTCGTTGTCCAGGATGCTGGATCTCCACCACGACATCGTCCGTCACTACTCACAAGGAGGAGGGGCCATTCCACTGACTCAGACACCGGCCGTTGGTCCAATTACAATGAACCATGTGGAAACCCAGCTCGAGGCTGCCGTTACAGAGGACTGTGCAGAGGGTCCCTGTACTGACTGCCTTCCGGATGCGCGAATTGACGAAATAGTAGCGCGATACCAAGGCCTCAAGGTCCTCCGGGATCAATGGCTTGCCAGGCAGCTCAAGAGCAACGATCTGCTAGCCGCAAATTCTAGTACAGAGGCCCACGAGTACATCAACAAGTACGATTGGATCCGGCACCGTGACGAAGACTTTCAGGACGACGGAGTGTCGCGCTTATCACCAGAGACCGAAAGCTACGCCAACTTCAATCCGGACCAGCAGGCCCGCTTCTATGCCGCCCTCACATCTGTTTGGCTTTTCAACGAAATTCGCTGGACACTGGCGCAGTTCGCCTACCCGTCTGGTGGCTCTTTCAACTTTCAGACCCGGTTGGCAGATGACTGCAAGAAGTGGATTCACGGCCGGACAGAGAGGCCCATTCTAGACGAGCTCGACCGATACGCAGTGTTCCAATTCATGTACCACCATCTACTACCGCTCCACGGCCGCTTCCTGGCAGACCGGAACTCATCGAAACTGCCGCTTACGTTCCCATCAGAACTAAGAAAGAGCTCGGTCTTCTGCGCACGCTTTCTCCAAGCCTTCCTTGTGGCGGGGCAGGCCTATTTCCAACCTCCAGACATAATCGATCTGATAGTCCGCTCCCGGTTATCACGAAAGCCACCATACCCAATGGCGGACCTGCCTGACTCATCCGAGAAGTCACTGCGCCCATACAACGCCGTCCCCTTCTCCGCCGATCTTGACTACAGCACTGAGATGTCCTGCCCCAGCCATGTCTCCCACCGTCTCCTCCGCAACACCATGCACCATCTGCACATTGTCAAGCGCGCCAGCATCTTTCAGGCCTCGCACATCGGGCGGCCCTTCCGCTACACGGCTCAGCCGGCGACAACCGAGCTCTTCAATATCGATGACTTGTCTGCGGAGTTCTTCAAGGACAGGGCGTTAGTGGCCTTTGAGAAGTATGAGAAGAAGTATCTGAAAATGGTGGGTGAAGATGTCCGAGAGGATGAGGAGAAGGATATCAGGAAGGTGTTCAAGACAAGGTGGCCCAAGGTGTGGTGGATGGTCTGGTGGTGGGCGAACAGCGAGGAGAAGGCTCGCGCGAAGATGGAGCGGTGGAGAGAAGAGGTGCCTCCTCCGCGAGCGCATTGAAGCTGGATTTCACGACCACGACGTTAAGACCCGCTCCATCTCATTAACAACAAAGATGCGAGTCTTTAAGTTGGCAGCTCCCGCAAAACCATTGGAAGAAGCATCCGATACGTACACATGCACACATCGATATAGAGGTGGACACTCAAGAGGAAGCATTGGCTTGACTTATATGCGCACACGGTAAACATCGAGGAGGGAGTGTGTGACAGGCGGGAGTTATTGATATAGGCCCTTTCGGCATTGGTCTGCTTTTCCCTGTTCTTCTGTGCGGCTTGCTGCGGATTTTTACATTTGTAGTGCACTGGGTTTTCCGATATTTGCGTAGCCCTGCCTAGAGGACGGTATTAATACAGGGGATAGGCGGAGACGGATCTTGGGTTCCCTTGGGTATATGCAAGTACTTGAATACTTTCAGCAAGCAATCTAGACAGAATGCGATACTAATGTTTCACCACCCCAATCCACGCGCTGCCAGACCCGCTACTCACGTGACTCTGCGCCGCCGTGGCCCGGCTCGGCTCAGGCCCGGCTCAACCTCGGCTTAATTCAGCTCAGGCCCGCTCAGGTCTGCTCCTTGCTCACCCGCCGCGGCGTAGTCTCTACTTACTAGACGCCGTAGTAAGTTTTGCAACGCGCTAGTAAGCTTTGCAAATTTCTGGTAGAACTACAGTTGTCGATGAGAGCGGAACTACTAAGGATAAATAGCATATAATAAAAAACTACAAAGGAGGCGAAGATCTCCGACTATCTCGTCCTTTCCTCTTTACCAATGTTTACCATTTTCCCCTCAACTATCAATCACAAGCGAGCAACAAGTACCGAACAAGTCAATCGAACAAACTAAGGCATCTACTCTCAGTAAGACTCCCATTTTCTTACACTGGTCCCTCTTACGACCTTTCAGATGTACTGGAAGCGATTCAAAACCGCGGCCCGTTGCCCCGACTGTGAGAAGAAGGGGAACGCCAATGACCCGTGCAGCACGCACATCCACTGGTGTGAGGAGGCGGATAAGAGAGGAAGTCCATGTGCGGAGCCTATACAGACTTCGCAGGGGAGCTCCACCAAGCGCCACATGAACTGCCCCAAGCACCGTTAGAGTTCTGGGAACTGAACAGGGACCGCTGGGACGGAGGTGAGCGGCAACTGGCGGCAGTGGCGCTACTACCACGGCCATGTAATAATTCGTTACCGATGCCAAGGATGCTAACCCAAATCAATACACCGTCAAAACATTAACACAAAAGCTTCAACTCTACATAACTTACCTAATCTATATATATATCGCTCGAAAATCTACTGCGACACCTACCTAAGAGCTTTGATAAACTTGCCGTCTTTTTCTGAAGCTCTCTGTGTGGGCGACGGCAAGGTGTTGAGGCATCTTGGAATCGGTAACGAATTATTACATGGGGGTGCTACAGAGCATCACCGCCACAAGTTCGCTTGGCAAGGGCAGTGTGGCTCAGCGGGGTTTTGGGACGAAACATCCAGCAACACCACGCTCATTAGAATATAACACTTTGGCCACGCATTTTGTCGCACCTCCTCAGCGCTGTAAATGTGCCACTGACCTATCTTCGAGACTAGTTCCCTGCTCCTAGCATGTCTTTGCTGCTGCCCGATGGAAATGCGCTCCGAGAATGCATTCTCGGAATAGGCGGAACTGGAGTTGTGGTACGTCGTGGTGATGTTGCCATCAAGCTTCCTTTGAAGTACGACATAACAGGCCATGGCGAAGCCCAAGTCAAGCACCTTAAGGCATGCGCTGGCATCTCTTCCGACTCCATCCAGCGCGAGGAGAAGGTCTACCGACGCCTAGGCCCAATCGATGGCGTTGTGCGTTTCCTCGACCAACCCGGTGTGGGCATCCACATGGCTTTTATGCAGAACGGATCCCTAGTCGACTACCTGAGGAAATATACCCCCGATCGAACGATACAGCTGGCGTGGTTCTGGGGGATGGCATACACCCGCTCTCACATCCACGATCGTCACGTAATCGTCGCTGATATTGCCACTCGAAACTTTCTTCTCGCCGCCGACCTGTCTGTCAAGTTCTCAGACTTTAGCGAATCCACACTTCTGCCCCTCCATACCGATATGGAAACTGCTGACGACTCCGGATACTCCATATACACCGACATTGGCCAGCTTGGTTCTGTAATGTTCGAGGTAGTAACCGGAACACCTTGCAAATTCGATCTCTATAAAGACAAGCCATTCGAACCGGTCACGGCCACCTGGCCACAGAGGGAGGACCTTCCCGAAACGAAAGATATTTGGCTGGGTTCCATTATTGAGAGATGCTGGACCAAGGGGACCTTCCAGAATGCACGTAAGCTCGTGGAAGCGTTGGATCTAGTTGTTTTGGAATAGTAGGACCAGGCCACAGCAAGCGCCGATGGCTCGAAGGGGTGAGGTGTCGGCGGCGTGGACGTGACCAATGGCGGCGCTGTCGAGTATAGCGTGGTCACAACATCACAAAGCGAATACTACTGTGTACCAGAGGTGTCGCCGTGGGAAGATAGGGTGTACGGTTCGTAAGCCTCTCCTTCATGTAGTTGAGCTTTCACAGTGCTGACATGTAACCGTGTCATGTATGGCTTGACATGAAGGACGAGCTTACAAGCAAGAAGTCTAGCACTCACCATGGCAAGAACCAATGAATTCACATCTTTCGAGGTATATGGTTTCCAATGAAAAACGCCGTGTAGCCCTCGCAGGGATTAACACGGTGAGGACGTTAGGTCTCATTACAAAGCCTCTACGACCCCCGGCCAATGCTTTTTTGGAGTGATAGCTTGTCTGACCCAGTATTTTCAAGGAAATTTTTGTAAGCCAGCCGTCACACTCGTTTAAGCATTGCTCAATACATGAAACATCTAATGTAGTTTTTCCTTTCGAATTTTGCATTTGAAATCTTCTTGGGTTCGTGAATAAGATGATCTTTTCAGCACTCCCGTCTACATCCTCCAAACTGGGTACTCCCAAAGCGCAATCTCGCATACTCCCGTAGCCAAAGTTTGATCATTACGTGCTACCTGGACCACCCAACAGGGCGAACCTTCTGACAATGCTCGGCCCAATCTCATCATACTCTGCCTTGGTATGGCAGTAACTCCTGAACTCGGGTGTCTGGCCGAGCAGGCTTCCTCCGAACCACGGCCCGTGCCTTTGCCTCTTGTGTGTGATGACTTGAACCTCCAAACCACCGCTCTTTGCGCCTCCGCTCCTGGCTTCCGAGGCCTTGATCCTGGCGTCCACGAGATGCCGGATGTCGCGCTGTAAACGCCGTCCAAAGTCCTTGTACAGTGTCGAGCCACCTGAGAGCACGATGTTCTTGTAAAGTCCCCTGCGCACATCGATGGGCGAGGTTTGAATAACGGTATCGACAATAGTGGGCAGCGGGGTCAGGAAATCCGAAGAGTAAATCTCTGGGTTGAAGAAGATCTCTGGGGCAAGGAAGCGCTCATAGCCGACGTCTACCTGAGCAGACCTGCCGTTGGGGTAGTTCACGGTGTACTTGCGGAATCGGTCTTCGGGCTCGCGGTCAAAGCGGGAGAACTCTTTGACGATATCTGGACATACGTAGCAGAATTCTTCTTTGATGCGCTCAGCGGTTTGGAGAGAGGAGTCCGGCTCGCCACGGTCTCGGAGGAGCGACTGTACGAAGTTTGTTATGTCGCGGCCAGCAATGGGAACACTCTTGATCGACGACCCAATGACATAACCTTCGGCAACAGGAATGACGTGGGTGACACCAGCACCGGAATCGATGACAGTACCAGTAAGTGACCGATCTTGCACTTTCGAGCTAGTCCAGGAGGCAGCCAGAGCGAGCACGGCTTGCACAGCGATATAGAGACCGGCGCAATTGAAGGATTCGAACATAATCTCGGCGGTGTTTTCGCGGTTCTCCGGAGGATTGAGAGGCTACTCATCTGTTAGAGCCATACGTGCGATTGGTAAGGCATCCTTCTTACAGGCTCGGTGAGTAGGAAGTAGTGGTCTTCAGGCTCCACCCTGAGATATTTGAATATCGAGTTTGACCAGAAGCGCTCCATGAGGTCCTGGAACACATCAGCACCGGCTGTCTTGGACAAGAATATCCTTGCATACCCAGTTGTCGATTTGGCCGTGCCTGATCGGGTAGTGGATGCCATAGCCAGGCCCCGCTGCTGCCGACAGCGCTTCATCGCCAATGAAGAAGTCCAAATCCTCTGTTCCCCTCTTCGCATGTAAGTGGCTGCTCGGGCCAGCACCGCCGGTCAAAAAGGAAGGCTTGTTTGCGACTGCGGGACGTCCAGACCCAGACCCGCCAGCGCCGCCCGCGGCGGATTTCGTTGCTATCGCGGTGGGGAAGACGAAGGAGGGAGAGTCATTGCCGGCGAAACCTGCGAAAGATCATGATTACTACTTGTATGTCTAAGTTGTAGACGCGCAAGTCATACCAAGCTTCGAGAAGCCCGTGCCGCTGCAGTCAACTGTCAGTATGTCATTGCGCTGTTGGTGCCCGCAGGCTGCCAGGAAGCTTACTTGTCCATGACAACGGCGGGGGTTTGGGACGCCATATTTGCTGCCGCTCGGCGGAGTAGTTGCAAGCACGAAGCAGCCCAGGAGTGTCCGCCGGAAGAGAAGCGTGGGCGCGAATTGGCTGTGGTGGTGGGTGGATTCGTCAGAGTGGGCTGGCGGGCCTCTGGCTGGTCGATGTGGGCGCCGAAACGGGCTGAGCCCCGCCCCGCCGGGCGTCGTCTTGGCAGGCGTAGCGGAGATGACGAGGGCGGGGTTCGACTTTATTTGCAGCTCGCCTTCTTCCCACACATCATAACTACGCCCCAGCCGCGTTGCTCCTTCCCGCCGTCTACAAGAGGTCCTTCCGCCCGTGTTAGCGGCTATGTAACGTGACTCTCTCAGCACATGCCCAGGTGGGCGGCGTACAATTCCACGCAATCTCAGACTGGAAGGAGCGCGCGGTCCTTGACTTCTCCGCCCGGCTGCTATTCTCTCTCCCACTGACCTTCACCCTACAGCGCACCGGGCCCTCGCCGCTCTCTTTAAGCCACAAGAGTTCCGACTACCGCCACGGCAATTCCATTCATTCAACATTCTTCACCTCCACCTCTCAGTTCTTCTCTTTCTATCCGACTCACCTACTGAATCACTCACTAATGCCGCCTTGAACACCGCTCTTTCAGACAAGAACATTCTCTACCTGTCTGCTCTCTCCTCTTGCTCTGGCCGCCAATCGAGCCCTTCTGCTGGGCCTTTCTCACCAGTCCAGACTGCCGCCACCACAAGACAGGCTCAATACCGTTCAGCTGTCTACAACCACAGTCATCGGCTCACCAGGAACGATAGCACAAACGGCGGTCAGCTGTCAACCGCTTCTGCACCCGGAGCCGAGAAAGTCAAGTTATTAGGCAATCGTGTAGACGTGGGGCTATTGATTTGTCAGTCTCTATCTCACTGACAGCGGCCAGTGATCAACCGCGCGCAAAGCTGGATAGACTCGGTCCGCGAATTCGCGACCTGCGCCGGCGCTTGTCGATGCCGAGAGACAGAAGCATGTCGCCGTCAACAGGTCCGCCTGGAGGCGCTGACGGGGCGATCCAACCGGACTCGCTCACTCGCAAGGCTACGCAAAGCCCTCACCGAGACGATATTTGCTGCATATTCGTCCATGCTGGAGCAGGCTACCATAGCCACCAAAACGAACGTATTCACCTTGATGCGTGCAATGAGTACGTCCATCGGCATGACTTGTTCCCCTACAATCCGAATGACGGTTTGATATGCTAACATGCCTCTAGCGCTGCCCAAGTCGCAATGCTGATTCTACGGAATGGTGGCTCCGCCCTGGATGCCGTCGAAATGGCCGTCAAGATTCTCGAAGACAGAGAGATCACGAATGCAGGTTATGGCAGCAACCTGGCCATGGATGGCGTTGTCGAGTGCGATGCTTCCATTGTCGACCACCATGGTCGCAGTGGGGCAGTGGGCGCAGTATATAGTATGTCCTTCGCAATGGAGTGTGGTTCCCTCACTAACGAGATATGCCAGAAATCAAGAATCCAATCTCGCTAGCTAGGCTCGTTCTAAATCACACCACACAATCGTTGACCCTGCGTCGCGTTCCGCCAAATCTCCTCGTCGCTCAAGGGGCAATAGAATTCGCCGACGAGATGGGCGTGCCAGTATTGCCACATGACGCACTGATCTCTCCGGCAGCACATGAGAGGTGGCTTCGCTGGAAGACCGATCTGAGAGTAGCAGAGAAGAAAGCCAGGAAAACCGGCGCCCATCCCTCCTGCTGGAGAATCAGGACGCCTAGGACAACTAAAGATGAGGAAGAGGAAGAACGGCTACGGATGCAACATACCAGGAACTTGTTGCAAGGCTACCCACACCTTGCTCAGCCTATGTCACCAATACCTTCAGAAGACTCGATTTATTATGCCGGGGAGGAGACCTCCGCCACTCCCTCTGATCCATCAGCACCCCAGTCAGATATCTCAATGGGCTCATCTACAAGTGAGGAGTGTATGACTATGCCAGAGTCGGCGACATCAACGCGGCTGCTGCAGCCACCATCAGCCCGCCCTCTGACAGTTGAAGAATCGTCTCGGAGCGCCTTTATCAACAGTACCCAGAAGCTGCCTACGCTCAGGCAGTTTAAAGACAGCAGAGCCTTGCGGGATATCACTGCGGAGCACATTGCGGAGGACACCGCAATGCGAGATTCCGACGGTGGCCCAATCGCATGGGGTGACGGCTCCGATGAAGACACGTATTCCGCATCTAGCACCGCGACGATAAAACCGTCCGATCTTGCTATGAATATTCCACTGCCCGACACGCCTCCTGATAAGCATATCGAATGCCTGACGCCCCCCGTGGCGACGCCGCTGGAGCATGTAAAAGAAACGGCTCCGCTTCCGCCAAAACCAGCCTCTCCTCCTACATCTCGAATGGGCGAGGAGGACTGCATAACCGATACCGTTGGCGCCATTGCTGTTGATGGTTGGGGAAATATTGCCTGTGCTGCCTCGTCGGGTGGTATCGGGATGAAATACCGCGGTCGGGTTGGCCCGGCGGCTCTTGTGGGTGTAGGCACTGCCGTTGTTCCCATAGACCCAGACGACTTAGACGGGACGTGTGTTGCGACAGTTACGAGCGGAACGGGCGAGCACATGGCGACCACTATGGCTGCCACTACTTGCGCCGAACGTCTGTATCAAAGCATCAAAAAGGGTAAGGGAGGCGAATACGTGGAAGTCACGGAGGACGAGGCGATGAGATCAATGATTGAGAACGATTTCATGGGTAAGCGGCTTTCAACTACCCGCCACTTTTCTGTTGCTAATACATCATAGGTCATACAAGCGTCAAGAACAGCAGCTCCGCCGGCGCGATCGGCATTCTGGGCGTCAAGAAGTCCCGCCAAGGGATTATGCTGTACTATGGCCACAATACCGACTCTTTCGCTATGGCTTCGATGCACTCCGACGAGGACAAGCCTTGGTGTGCCATGTCGCGCAGTAACGGAAACGGCCAGATCGCCCAAGGAGGGCGCATGATGCGCTACCAGAGAAAGAAGAAGACGAAGACCACAGGTCTCCCGCGTCAATAATTCGCCTAACGTTGGCCCAGCTGCCGTTGCCGCCGGCGTTACTCGCTGAGCGACAGCACCGCCTTGATCCACCCCCTCAAAACTTCCTTTTCACCCGTTCCCTAGTTTCCTTGTGTCCTCCGCGAGACGACACACGTTCCCTTGGCCCTAAACTCAGCCTCCCGTCGGATCCAACAAACCGACAACCAAAAAGACGTGTCTTGGCTTCAGCCTGCACGGCGGGCTTTCTGTTTCTTGGTTTTCCTATGTAGTCATACCTGGGCATTTACAGGAGTTTGATACCCACGGCGGTGTCAGTGCTCTGTTCTTATAGCAAGTGGCATTTGTTTCTCAGGTGTGTAATAGCATGACTGGTGGATGATCTTTCAGCGAGGAGTTTTGGCGACGAGGGAGTGCCGGACTGAGGGCAGGGTATGAGCAGTAGTGAATAGATCCTTGATCCTTCTTAGGCTCTTCTAAATGTCGCGGCTTCTTGCGCTACTGGAGCTGATGACCGAAAACTCCCATCCCATGCGTTCATTGCCCTGCTAAAACCAAATGCCTCGTTACCTCATCTGGGTCCTCAAAACGCCGCGAAATGCTAATCGCTTGTACCAAATGATGAAGGAGATTTTTGGTACAATTTGCCATTTTGCTCTTTCAGGTTTCGACACACAGTGTTCAAGCATGCATAGGCGTACCCGATCCAGCTGGCGTGCCTGCCGGCGTGGCCGAATCGGTACCACCGGCCCTCCTCCTCTTTTTCTTCTTCCGTGGTATGAGCGCTGGGGGATTCGTAGTCGCGCTACGGAGCGAGAGGTAGGAGCCGCAGGTTAGGCAGAGGTTGTTGGGTAAGCTGGGCGTGCAGAATACTATAGAGTCGTCAATATGGGCTGTCTCCTCTGCAATTGACTAGGGGAAAACTTACTACTCAAGCACACACTGCACACGTACCCAATATCCACCACCTTCCTATGGCAGAAACACGCAGCGCGGAAATCCACACCCCCTGCGCTCGGCATCACGAAACTCCGCCTCGCCGTCGCATCCGGCAGAAACGCCATCATGAGATACTGCAACAGTCCCTCTGGCCGTTCGGGCTTCATGTACACGCCGCCCGTCGCATCGCTCGCCTGCTGCAGCAGCACTGTGTCGCCCGCCAACTTGAGAATGTCGATTGGTATGCGCTTGCGCTGCGCGGCGAATATCGAGTTCATGACGGGGATGTATTGGTTTGCGAGGTCGCCGGAGACGGACACGATGAGGATGCGGGATGTGAGGGGTACGCGTTGCGCGTGCGTGGATTCGGAGTCTGCGAGGGCGCGAAGCGGATCTTCATGGGTGGAGGGGTCGACGGGGGAGTGGAGCAGAGTGGACTTTGCGATGTATGAGAGTGCGAGGGAGAGGGCGCCTCCTATCAACGTCGTCGGCGTCGCGGAAAGATGTTCCACCTTCGTCGAGTCTAGCAACTTCGCGAAGTTATTCAGGATAGCGGTCTCGACTGTTGCGAAGGGCCGGTATTTGTTCGGGTTGTCCGGTATGCCGTTGAGTTTGGTGTCTGCCACGCCGTTCATTTCGATGTCGCCGTTTGGGGTGCCATGGCGGGCTTGTGGAGTAGGCGGGGTGGGGGGAGGGTAGAGAAAGCATGCTTTGTGCGAGTGGGAGGCTATTACGGCGACTTCGTTGCCGTTGCCCGAGGCGAGGTGCGCATTTATGAAGATGAGGATGTTGGCGAGGGCGGTGGAGAGCGGGAGGGTCGAGGAGAGGTGTGCCCAGGCGTGGGGATTTGTGTCGAGGACGATTGCGAGGAGAGATGGTGGTGGCCCTAGAAGGATGTTCAGCTACGTGTTATGCGCTTTGCGCTGAGGAGGATGTGTACCCTCATCTTTCTGAATGTGACGATCTGTGGCGTCGATCGCGTTCATGGTGGGAGTATGAAGCTTTCTTTGGAGCTTCTGGGGTTCAGGTATCACAGGCGGAACTGTGTCATTTCAGACATAAGTGCCTCGTAGCGTATGATCTAGAGGGCTTGTTGTGAAAGTAGCTGTGAGCTTGGAACAATGAGGCAGCGATAGCGATAGAGCGAATAAGGTTTGGTCTGTGCGCGACTGCAGAACGCTCTCACGTGGAGAGTTTAAACCCAATCCACTGCTGTGGTTTAAGGCTCACCGAAGTCCAGGATACTGGACTTGATACGCCTCATCTGCCCTGGGCGTTACTATAGGCAGAGAAGCTCCTTTCAATGTCTAGGCCGCTGCGTCCCTAAGTTCAATGCTGAAGCGACAGCAACCTGACCAAGAGGGATCGAAGAACGTTTCCTACCTAGGTCTACGTGTAGACAGGGTCCACGCGTGCGCAGGCGAAAGCTTGCGGACGATGCATGCATCTCGCAGCATGGACTTATTTAACAGTAGGGAAAGCAGAACTTCATCCAAAGCGTGACTGAACTTGCCAGCGTTACACAAGGCGCAATACCCGACCAATCCCTCGGTATTCCCGAACCCGAATCATATGCCAGAAGCTTGTCAATGCGGAGTAAAATGTGGGTTCGTAAGAGTCTCACGAGAGATTCCCCTGGATCCTTTTCCTATCGCGCTCGTATCGCGTTTGTGCCGAGGTCCATTGCCCATTCCCCGACGGACGAACCACTCGCCGAGCCACACAGTCCCGCGGCTCCCGCCCTGGCCTTCGCGGTCGTACAATTGGCGATCGTCTTCGTTTCCAGGAGCCTGGCGAAGCTTTAGCCCCCGCATAATTGCGGAACTAAGTGAAGTACCCTGAACTCTGGGGTCTCGTACAAAGCTCCGCCCGTGGTCCCCGCCATAAGCTTGCTAGCTCTCGCCCTCCGTTTTCCATTCTTCCTCTTTTACACTTCTGTACATCCTGGTATTTCCTCTCGAAAGCTTCACGATGATCGGGGAAACGATTCGACGCGTCAACGGATACGACCACGATGCATATACCTACTATCCGGTCCTCATCGTCGGCGCGGGAGCTTCGGGTATTGCAATGGCATGTAGGTTGAAGGATGAGCTTGGTTTCGACCAGTTCCGTATCTTCGAGCGCCAGGCGGGCATTGGGGGAACTTGGTGGATCAATCGGTATCCCGGAGTCGCGTGGTAAGTCTTCCACCGATGTGCTGGAGCGCGGAAGCTTGAGACACGACAACGCAGCAACTCGTAACGGAAATCTCCTGCATTCGTTGAATATGAACGGAGCTGTGGAAAAGTTAACGAGGGGAGTTCCAGCTGATTTATATTGTAACATGCGTCCGCTTGGCGTGTATGGCGCAGCTGCATCTCACGCTTATCGCTGACCTTGACCAGTGACGTTCCCGCTGTCTTTTATTCCTTTTCATTTGCGCAGAACCCAGACTGGACGTCCTTCTACCCACCCGGTCGCGAAATCGTACAATACTACCACGACGTCTGCCAAAAGTACAACATCACGGACAAGTTCGAGCTTAATACCGATGTCGAACAATGCAGATGGTTGGAGGATGAGCAGATATGGGAGGTCACACTCAGGCGAATGATAGCGGGCATGGGCGACATCTCCGCCAAGGATCGCATGAAGATTGTCAAAGAGAAGGGAGAGTCAGCTGTGTACTCGGAGACAGAGGTCGTACGCGCCAAAGTCGTGATCAGCTGCGTTGGTGGCCTGGTTGAGCCCAAAGGATGGCCGGACGAGATCCCGGGGATCGAAAGCTTCAAAGGACCAGTGTTCCATTCGGCGCGATGGGACGAGAGCGTCGACTTTACGGACAAGAACGTGGTCGTCGTTGGCACCGGATGCAGCTCAGCGCAGCTTGTCCCCCGATTGCCTCACGCCCCATATAACGCAAAGTCCGTTCTCCAGCTGATGCGATCACCGCCGTGGGTCGTTCCGAGTTTCATTCCGCCCGGCGGTGATGAGTGGTGGGAGAAGAACAGCGCCAAGTTGCTGAAGACCGTACCTGGTCTTCTCCAGACTCTCCGCTTTACCATTTTCGCTGGCGCCGAAATAGTTTTCAAGAAGCTGTTTCCCAATACGCCGCAAGCAGAGAAGAACAGGCAGGAGGCCGAGGAGAAGCTGATGGCGCGAATGAAGAAGATCGTGCCGGAAAAGGTTCGTCGGTTACGGAACAAAATTGCTTTCATCTCTGACTCCTAAATAGTATCATGAGATGCTAACTCCAAACTACGGTATCGGCTGCAAGAGGAGGATCTTTGACAAGCGGTGGTATCAGAGCCTCAACGAGCCAAATATCGAACTGACGACGCAACCTCTGACGCGTGTTAACGAACACAGCGTAATCATCGGCCCTGGTGCAATGTACCCTCCGGCCGCCAAGGGCGGTTTTCCCGAGCGAGAGGTACCCGCGGACGTCATTGTTCTCGCAAACGGTTTCGACACTACTAAGTGGCTTCACCCGTTGAAGGTCGCGGGCAAAGGAGGGAAAGACCTGGTCGACACGATGGAGGAAAGAGGCGGCGCTCAGGCTTATCAGGGTACGGCGATGGACGGCTTCCCCAACTTTTTTATAATTTTCGGACCCAATACAGCGACCGGACATAGCTCCGTAGTCCTGGCTACCGAGAATATGGTGAACTATAGCTTGAAGTTTATCAAGCTGCTCCTGAATGGAGAGGCATCGACCGTGGACGTCAAGCACGATGCAGAGGTCGCCTACACCAATGAGATTCAGAGGAGTCTCAAGGATACAGTGTTCATGAGTGGTGGCTGCACGAGCTGGTACTTCACTAGCGACGGATGGAACTCCACTGTGTATCCGTACGTATTCCTCGTCTTGTCTAAAACGCTCCCACTTACGCTCGACTAGGTATTCGCAAGTCGACTTCTGGCGGCGCTGCACCTTCGCTAAATGGGGGGATTGGAACATCTCGTATACGAAGAAGGGTATTTCCCACATTCGCAGGATCCGTGTCGTACGCTTCCTCGCTGTCACTCTCGCCATCATTGGGGCGTACCGTATGCGTCAGAAGGGTCTGGGCATCAAGGATGCAAAGGTGATGCTTCAACAGGTGCTCCAGCGAAGCCTCACTAGCACGACTGGCCTCTTGATATCGTTGAGGCAGCAGGCAGCTTCTAGATTGAGCATGTAGACGCCATGGTAGAAGAGGGCAAAAGATTTGTAGATAGCTAGATTGTAATCCGTTAATGTTGGTACTGTACACACATTGCGGGTCTCATTCCCATCTTCATCTGGCGGATGCATTCATGAGTAGCTTTTCCGTCTTCTACGTCTCCTACCTAGTCTACTATGTAATGTGCCCCACCACATTCGCTGAGGTGGTGCCGTGGCGCAAATGGTGGCTCACGTGGCATGGAGTGGATTGCCGTCGTTTGCGCCCTCAACCGACCCCGCAGATTTCCAAACCCCAGTTTCCCGTTCTGGCCCGAGCGTCCGAGAGGAACGAACGGAGCGCAAGGCGCATGACGGCTGCGCGGCTTTCCCTCGACGGACCCTTTAAGCTGTGACAGACGTCTGCTTCTCAGCGCGAAGCCTAACATGACTCCGACGTCGACTCTCACCGGCAGCGAGACGATGAGCCCTCCGAACGAGACGACTGCGGCCCAGAAACGGAAGACCGAGGATGGAGCTCCGCAACCTCGAGCCAAGCGCAATCGCTATATCTCAATTGCATGGTGCGCGGCCACCAGAGCGCAAAGCCGTAGGTGGGCAGGCTGACGTGTGTCTCAGTAACGAGTGCAAGCGAAGAAAGATCAAGTGCAACGGCCAGACGCCGTGCCAGCGATGCGGGAATCTGTCGCTGGAGTGCCTATATGCGCCGAACTGCTGCAACAACTTCAAGGACTCCGAGTATGAAGCCCAGAGCCATAAATGGAGTGCGCTGAACCACCTAGGGAATTCAAGCAGATGTCGTCGCATATATCGGCCCTCCAGGAGCAAGTAGATCAGCTCTTCGCGAACCTCAACTCCCTCAAGAGCCAGGTCGACGTGCAAAGCGCCGGGTCTATCGGGACGCCGTTCAATCCCCAAGAATATCCTCGGTCTATGTCCATTGGGCAGACGTCTATACTGCCCCCTTCGCCAGCGAACCAGCGAACCAAGTCCTTCAGCAAGCACCCACGATTCCACGGCCCAACGTCGAGTGCGTTCAATCTGGGCGTAGCAAAGTCGAGCCTGAAGACGATGGGCATAACTGGAACTGACGATGCTGAGGATGAAGGAGTTGTGACACAGGACGCGACGCCGATGGCCACCCCGCCCACTACGAACGCCGTCCTTCCCAAGCCAACGCTCCACGCTGATAAGGACCCAATCTGGTCGCTCACGAAGCATGAGGCGATTCGGTTAATCCATTTATGGCATGAAGAGATGGGCTTGATGTACCCCTTCCTCGACATCGACAAGGTTATCCGCTATGCGGAGATGCTCTTCGCATTCGTTGAAGCAGCAGCCAGATCAGGTCTCATGCAAGGTGCCCTCCCCGGTGCCGATGCCATAATGGATGACCAGACGAGCATCTTGAAACTTATGCTCGCCATTGCCTTAGTGCTCGAGGGCAATGGAAAAGACCCATTAGGAGAGAAACTCTTCAACAATGTCCACAAAGTCGTCGAGAAGGCTCTTTCTGACCCGGTGGACCTCAGGAGTATCCACTTACTAACCATGACTGTAAGCTCTGCACCGACGCAGCTGTGTGATGTCGCTAACGGCCCAGGGCATGTACCACTTTCATCAAGACAACGAGTCTCTCGCCTGGCGAGTCATTGGTCTGGCTGCCCGCCAGTGTCTAGAGCTGGGTTTACATCGCCGAGAAACATACACTTCGGTCTTTACTGAGCCAGATGAGCAAGGCACAGCTATTCGGACGTTCTGGTCTGTGTACGTGCTCGATCGACGCTGGAGCTTTGGGACCGGAATGCCATTCGCCTTGCAGGAAGCTGACATAGACCCAACCCTTCCTAAACCGGTAGGCTCAGCTTCGCTTTATTCCGTCTTACATAATGCTAATGGTCCAAAGGATGACTCTACCCCTTACCTTAATGCGATGATATCTTACAGCCTCATCGGGTCGAAGGTCTGGAAGTCAATTGCTAACGCCGACGCCTCTCAGAACACAATTAACAAAGAGGATATGGGGTTCCTTGACTTCCAAGTCCTCAACTGGCATCGATCGATCCCAGACTCTCTGAAGTTCGTTCACCCCGACAGCGGCCGACACTTCGATCCGCCAACGCGAGGGCTCCATCGGCTCCAGGTTGCCTTATACCTTCGTGCGAACCAGATGCGCATCCTTATCTACCGCCCCGTGTTGCACACTGCTACCAGTATTATGGAGAACCTTGAGTTCGCCCATACAGTGGTCAAAGTTTCAAAGGACACTATCCGGATATTGACACATATCAATCAGACATCAGACATATACAAGGCCCAGCAGACGATGTTCAACTATTTTCTCATCTCTGCTTTAGCGGTACTATTTCTAGCAGTCGCTCATGCGCCTGCAGAGTTCAGCTCCCAGTGTCGAGATGAGTTCTATATGGCCCTTGACCTAGTCCGCGGCCTGTCGGCGAACTCCTATGTGTCAAAGCGGCTATGGAAGACCATCAAGATGCTCAAAGAGGTGGGACCGAGGCTAGGATTGAACATACGCCACGACGCTGCGGATGCGCACTCATCTGCCGCTGTCGCCATGGCAGGGCTTGCCGGGCATCAAGTCGACGAGCTAGCAATCTTCTCGAACGGCCGGAACGGGAATCATCTAGACACGCCGCATGGGATGGCGTCAGACCTTACAACATTGTTTGAAGCAGCGGGTGGCTATTCAATGCTTCAGAATGGATACGGGCTCTCTTCCGCAGAGGTGTCGAACGGAGAGTTCACGAGCGCCTTCGGCCAGGAGAATGACGAGTTAGCGAGGATAATGAGGGATTTGTTCTGAATGTGATAGAATTAGGGGAATATGTACGGTGCGACTGTTACCGAATGAGAGAATATGTTCAGCATTACAGATTAGAAACATGAAGTGGTAGTGACGAGTCCGCTTCTCTTCGACGTGCAGGTGTTCTAAGGTTGGCACGGCGAAATCACGTGCCGCCGACACGGCGGGGTGAAGCCAAGGCTGCGGCCGCACCTCTCCTACCACCGAAACAGGCCAACGACCGCCAAAGCATGAATGTAACAACCCCGGATAATTGCTGATCGGGATCCAAGCCACTTTTGAAAACATCCCAGGGCGATCTCGAGCCTCCCACTGCCTTCCGCCGATCTCGCGCCGCCCTCCTCGTCTCCACGGCTACCCTTGCGACTTCCTCCGAACCCGAGTCTCCTGCAGCTGCGGTCCCGAGCCCTATTCCGTCCAACGGTATCTTGGTAGCAATCGCGCCTCCATGCATTAGATCTGTGCTATACGCCGGCATAGCCCACGGACGCCTCTACCCGCGATTTTTGCATCATCACGAACCCACCCCCACATTCTCTATTTTTCGACCCCTCGCGATTCCGGCATCTCCCATTGACTACGTCTCCGGCCCAGACACCGACCCCCCTCTATTCACAATCTCTTCCCGCGAGAGACCAACATCCTGCGATCTGGGTTCTGCATCGGACGAGCTAACGCCGCGTAACTGCGGCGTGCAACTGCGAACAAAGCGAGCGCCATGTCGTCGTCATCACAAGTCACCGAGTCATGGATATCCTCTTTTTGCGGCCTGCTGGGCCATGAGTACTTCGCCGAGGTGTCGGAGGACTTCATCGAGGACGACTTCAACCTCACCGGGCTCCAGTCGCAAGTACCCATGTATAAGGAAGCGCTAGAGATGATACTGGACGTCGAGCCGGAAGACGACGAGGAAGAGGAGGATGAGGATGAAGAAGATGAGGAGGACGACGAGATCCTGGGCGACGAAAGACCGACGGGTTACCGAAGGGCGAGCGACCGAAGACACCTACGGATAGCATCAGATCTCAGCGTGATAGAAAGCTCCGCAGAGTTGCTCTACGGATTGATACACCAGCGCTATATCACGTCGCGTCCAGGCATACAACAAATGGCGGAGAAGTACGAGCTGCAACATTTTGGCACCTGCCCGCGGGTGTATTGCAACTCGTGCAAGGTGCTCCCCGTGGGGTTGAACGACAGCCCTGGCCACGAGACGGTGAAACTATTCTGCCCTTCCTGTTTAGACGTCTATACGCCCCCGAACTCGCGCTTCCAAACCGTCGACGGTGCCTTCTTCGGCACGACGTTCCCCTCGCTCTTTTTCATGACCTTCACGGACCTCGACATTGGCGGCGGCGTCCGCAGCAACCCCTCCAGCGCCGCGGATGCCCTGCTCGCGATACAAGCTGCCAACCGAGAAGCCAAGGCCGGAAATAACACCACACCCGCCAACGTCACGTCAATAAACGGCGTTGCGCCACACAATCTTGCGCCCGGCCTCGGCCCAGGAAACATCTACGAGCCGCGCATATACGGCTTCAGAGTTAGCGAGAGGGCAAGGTCAGGACCGCGGATGAAGTGGCTGAGGATGAAACCTGCGGACGTCACGGAGCTAGATGAGACGAGGAGGTACTGGGAAGACCGTGGAGAGGACGGGGACCGGCCAGATGACGATGATCTAAACATGGTGGACGTAGCAGACGGAAAAGCAGTAGACAGGAGGAAAAAGATCGTCGGTAGGACGCGGAGGCGAGCAAATGGTAATGCAGGCGGTAGTCCAATGGATACGAACGGCGTGGGTGCGGCTGGTTAGTCACCGTTGGACCTATACAAGACCATGGAGCCAACAGATTCCGATCTGGCGCGGATCATAAGGGAATCCATCTACGAGGCACGACGTATGGATACACGACGGAAGAATAAGGATCGTGGAAAGGCATCAGGTTAACGGGCGTAGTGGTGGGGTGTGGGTCATTGTGGACTTAAGGTGTGTTGTTGGGTTAGAAGTAACTTTTCCCTGCTTCTTCTTCATTCTACTACTTCTTCTGCTTTCGCGGCATACGCTTCTTGCAATCCATTAGGGGCATTGGCTTAATGAACGGATGTTCGACTGCAACATAAACCTTCCTTTGCGTGCCGCAGATCTAGCTTAGAACTCCCTCCGTGGACTCGGCTACGGCGACCCCTCGCATGCTACGCAAGCGGCAGAAGCCGGTGCGTGCGATGAGCTGGATTCTATTTGGATATCAGTACATGTAGCTGACGGCAAATAGTATAAGGAGTCGCTCACGCTGATCTAGCTACCGCAGGCCTATCCAATTCTGTAAGATCGCATCGATTTCGGGTGTAGATTCACACTTGCGACCCTCCAATCCTATCATCTAATCTTAAACACCCTCCTCTCAATCTTGCCGTCCCTAACCATCCCCGTAGCTTCTCCTCCCATTATCCCTCTCACAACGACAGGGCCCACCAGCCCCCACATCTCTCCTTCCTCATCCCCCGCGCACTTCCTCAGAACCATGGGCATAGGCACGTCGTGCAAGATCACGAGCCTATCGCCAGCACGTAGTCCCTGCAAACCAAACGCTCCTAGCCCGGGTAGACCATGTGTCGTCCGGAAAAAGCAGAAGGAGCGGAAGAGCTGGGAGAAGATGTCTTCGCGCTCGTTCTCCCACGCTTGGAGCAGGTCGTCCTGGGTGCGGGGGAGGGAGTGCAGGGTGGGCTCCGGGGAAGAAGGCGCGGATGAAGAGCAGGATGAGGCAAAAGAGTTTATTCGGGGGGATCGTGGGGGGTCCGGTTTGGCGAGGAGATTGGGGAGGACTTCTGTCGCGAGCTGTTGTAGTTGTTGGAGGAGTCTGGCATTGCGGGCTTCGTCCGTGGAGATGAGGTGGGATTTAAGAACCTCGTATCGTGGTGTGCTGAGCGAGAGCTGGGAGAGGCGTGAGGTGACGTCTGTAGGCGACGAGGGGTTGGACAGTTGTGCGATGTCCAAGTGGCCACGCATTTCGAAGTCGAACCTGTCGTAGTCGAAGAGCAGGGCACCCAGCAAGTCCTCCAGAACCTCATCTTCTAATTGTACGACAAAGTCGTCGAGCTCTGCAGCAACGTACTCTAGAAAGTACTCTGAGCGGGGCACCAGCATGGAGACCATGTGGTTAATAGGCAGCTTCAGGGCCCATTGGAGAATGAAAGCTGGACTCTGAAGGGACTCAATAGCTGGTGGCAAGCTCTCTTTCGCTGGAAGTGGCTTGTCAGTTTGGAATATTTTCTCCATTTGCCAGAGCATCTTTACGGTTTCCAGGCGGTCGTCGGAAGAGAACTGGTGGACTTCCGCGATCGTATCGAGGTCCGCTCCGGATATTGAGAGGACTTGGTGGAACATTGTACATCGCACAGTGGGGTCGTAAGTTTCGCCCTCGTCTTCTGCGGGCTGCTTTTCAGCTTCTTCATCTGCTTCTTTAGCGTCCCCCTCAGCCGCATCTTCATTTAATCCAGGATCTGTAGGCTGCTGCTCTTCGTCCTGCTTACTATCCGCGTCACCGTCGTCCTGTTCTGTCGCTTCTTCAGGTAGAATATTGGAATCGAACGTGGCAACGAACTCATGGTGTCTAGAAGTGGGTCTGGCCCTTGTGTAATCCATGACCCAAGTAGGAATCCCAGGTCCCTCTAGCGGTGGGTACTGTACCAGCATTCTAGGCGATTGCTCCATCATGAGCATCCAAGCCGAGGCTTTCATGAAGACATCTCGGGTTGACTGAGAGTAATCCGCTTTGAGGACGTTGGCCGAGACAGAATCGAACAGAGCGCAGACACCGAAGATGAGGTCCCGAGGATCCGTAGCCTCGCACGCGCCGATTCCCTCATTGAGGAGCAGATTATCTGGACACTCGGGGTAAAAGTTCGTCGAGTTCATTAGCTGGAAGACGGAGACAGCCCGGGAGAAGACCTGATGGAACTGATGTGTTGCGAGAATCTCGGACATGGGCTGTTTAAGCAGCGTCGGCAGGAGGAAGACGGCCTCGCATAATAAGTTGAAGGCTTCTTCTGGGAAATCAAGGTTCCGTCGACCACAGTAGAGGCGCGGGACTTCTTTGGCGCGGATATACTCTTGCCTTACCCAGACTCTTGAAAACCAGGGCCGGAAGAGAACGTCAACGAAGGCTTTGATGACGGGCAAGTGATGCTCGATCAGGTACGCTGCTGCATCCAATCCAGAAAGAGCGCCACCTTTTGTGTTGTGCCCAAGATCAGGTAGCTTGGAGTAGCCGTCCTCAAAGAAGTCGATAACTGTATCGCTGGCCTCGGTTTGAGGACCTAGGAAGACTAGCACTCTCGCTGCTGCCTTGTATATGTCTCCCATCTTGCCGACTTGCCTGGTCTTCTCTGGGATGAGACTTTGATCGATGCAGATGGCGTCGAGCCACAAAAGACGGCATTCTTGCTCGTGCCGCAGAGCCCGGAGTGCCGTGTCGAGATTCTCCGTGATGGCCATTTCCCAGCCATTGACGTAGATGATCCTCGGGCTGTCGACTGATCCCCAGACATAGGATAGCGCTTCGTAGTCGTAGAGATCTACTGATTCGACATGGAATAGATTGCAGACGATGGGCTCGTCATGGTCCCCTGGTAGGAGCTGAAGCAGGCGAATGTCGTCGGAAGCAGAAGATAGCGGAACGTCGTCGTACAGAGGTAGTGCAAGATCACCATGGGTCGAAGGCTGGTAGTGTACTGCCGTAGAGGTTTCCGCATGTGGACACTCGCCTGTAGAGGTTGCAAGGTGTAGGAATTTGTTGTATGCGGCTATGACAGATTCTTGCTGTTGTCCTTGGAGCTCGTCTCCGCAATCGCTTGATGCCAAATCATGATCAGCTATTAGTAAAGCATCTGCAAAGTCAGCACGCCAGTTAGAAAGCTGCTAATGAGGACTTACCGGAGGCTATTCCGAAATCCTGTGCAAGCTGCTGAGGCAGGTTGCTGAGGAAATCCTTGCGGTACCTAAAGATCTTATCTTCTCTGCCCATGGTGACGGTCCGCTATGCGAGAGAAGCAAGTGTAGGAGAAGCAATGTGCTTCATGATGTAGAACGATAGATACCCTGAGTAGTAGCCGTAGGATACGAGTGCTACGCAACGGGGAACATATTAGTATCTGATGTGATACCATACCTGAGCCCGCGCCGTTCATGTCCGTGGGGCCACCCATTGTGGTGGCTTGGGCTTGAATGGAGTCATTACTGCCCTAACGCATAGTGGATGCTGGATCAAAGCCTCAGATATGCGGCACGGACCCGGACGGTCGCTCTGTGCAATCGCTCGTCAGGTTAGTTCTGAATTGGTGAAGCCCACCGTATCGAGGATGATCGACCCCTTGCACTAGTTTTCTCGTAATTGCGACACTATAGTATCTTTTTCGTACTCCAAACTCTTCCTCTTGCTGTTGTGGTCGTGGGCCGTCGGAGGTTTCATCGGCCGACTGAACACAGCCACTGCACGAGCCATGTGAGGCTAATGATTGTGGCGCAACCACGGGAAAGTATGACGGGCGATTGTGAGCTTACGCAATTGGGCTTCCTGTGCCGCAGGAGAAATCGGACATTTGAGCGGGCGCTTACCGATGTAGTTAGAGATGCATCGGGTTGAGTCTGCAGCTCTTGTCTTTCAGCTGGACATGGGCCTTTCGCTGAGGCTGGAAGTCAAGCAGGGCAATGAGAGCCGGGCATCCAGGTTACGCCGAGGATGGTATACCACTTTCTCAACGTCATTCAGTGATTCGACGTAAGCACCAGCCGGGGGTCGCCATCGATGAGTGGCCAGATACGTTTGTGAAGGTCATACTTTCAACTGAAATTCGAACTGTTCCCATCAATCCTCACGAGAAAAGCATGTCGGTGGTCGCCTTGCCTTTTATCATCTCTTTGAATCTTTATACGCGTTCTGGGCGGGGTGCAAGAGCGTTACTCGAGCTCGTCGAGATGTGATCGCAGTTACGCCTCTCGTTCTGTGCCTCATGCGCAGCGAAGTTTAGCGCCGATACAGAGAGCAATAGACTCCTGAACTATGCAAACGATAGAGTAGCCGATGGAGGAGAGGGTAACACTAAAGAGGCGACGTGTGGATGCTCACACATCGATGGTTGAAGGATCATGCGCATAAGTTGTCCACACACCTAGGTAGGTTAGGCTGCGCGCAGATTTGGGGCCTTCCTACACGTAGACATGCGGGTGACTCTGAAAATAGCATATCTCATTGGCTCGCTTACAGGAGGACTAGAGACTAAGCTTGTTTAGGTTAAAATCACATCAGCTGACTGCGGCGGTGCAATTTGAGGGTGCTGGAGAAATAGAGTCGTTATACGCTAGTCCTAATTGGAGTGACACTTACTGGAAGCCCGGCGCAGAGCGGATGGGAAGAATTCATATGAGTCCACCTCGTTGTACACTCCCAGACCCAGCTGGGGATGAAACATAGTCTAACGGATTATTTAGGTCTCTGAAACTTAGAATGACAAGCGCATGATGGAGTTAGAATTGCACCGAGTACTAATGACTCGCGCACTATATCCCAAATGACCGCCTACTATCTACCAGAAGATGTTTCAAATGACGATCTCAGTCTGCCAGGTACGGTCATCCGATTACCTCAAATGACGGGAGCTTAGACGTCCAATCAATGCTTCTGAGAAACCCACCTGATCCTTCGCTATATGGCACACATCCTCCCCTTCCTACCTGCTCACTGACTAGTGGGGAATCGGCTGTGCTCAGTTTCTGGATAGAAGCGTATCCAGTTGCTCAGCCGGGAGTGGACGTAGGCGTCTTCGACTCCTCCTCGCCTTACTTTGGATGGATGCACGCGAGAAATTGAGCCGTTTGTGCGCTAGTCCAAACGCAAAGAGAATGTCCTATTGTATTGGACCGGTAAGGTGTCCGAATGTTCCCCGGACTAATGTTGAGGAGTTGAGAATAAATTGCTATCGGGGCGACACTGAAAGCCTCCAGAGACGCATTACGCGCGCTCTTCTAGTGATCAGACATCACTCAAGTGCTTTTGACTCCGTAAGGAGCAATCATAAGAAGCTAGCAATCCCATCTCAAGTTCGCTTGAAGTCATGGACACCTCTCGTCTTGTCTCAGGAAAGCTACTCGTGAAGGTCTTCGACGGACAGAGTCCTTATAGGTGGGGCAACTAGGTATTTTCTTCAACACTGATTAAAAATAGTCATGCTGAGATCGCTGATTGGTTTTATCCTCACGCTGTTGATGAGATAGGCGGATCCGGGACATACTCCTCATTTTGAGCGTCTGGCGGGTTATCTGAAGCGCTCTAAAGCAATAGACGGTCTACTGTGTCCTTTGAGGCATCTGGTACTGCATCGGTTTTCAACCCGTATGGTAGATGCTTACATCCGCGAAGTGAATAGCTTTCCGGGGGCATTAGCTCCATTCCTACTTAGCAACCAGGCGAGGAATGGAATATCTTCGTCCCATATTTATTACCAATAGAGAGGTAATGCTTTAGTCCACCGGTGATTCCTTTTAGAAACCTTGCCGGGCATTCAGAAGCCTTTGAACGTCTCGGTGCCGTAGCGTCCTAGGAGAGAGGATTATACGTCTCTAGCGTTATAGGAGCAGCGCTGTGGTGGATGCTCTGGGCTTCGGTGAGAGCGGTGAGAGCGGTGAAGGCGTTCGGGGGCGGTCGTTTTTATTGGCTCGATGTTAAGGCTGCCTGCATTGCCACCGGTGAAGCAACTTGGGGACAGCCAAATTCATTGGCTCACAACGGAGTAGATAGGAACACTAGGCCATATGCAGTAATATCTGATCAGCTGAGTGCGGCGATGCAAATTGGGGATAGTTGAGAAACAGAGCCGTAGTACGCTAACCCCAACCAGGCTTGTACGCCCATCCAGCGTATCAAGTAAGCAATAGCTGCCCATTCTTAAAGATTTCAGTAAAGTAAACGACTTTGAGCCTCATTAGTAAGGTATAACGGCCAGGTTCCGCTTACGGGCAAGATCAACTCCTCTCTTCCTTATGCGATGGCCCGAAGAGGAGCATGCGCGGCACTGATCTTAAATAGTCAGGTTTTGAGGATTCTAGATAGGATGGGGAAACAGATTCAAATGGCAAAAGAGCTATGACATTTCGCGTGTGAATCGAGAGTAGATTTAGATCAATTTACGACACTGGCCGACCACTGCAATTAAAATCCATGGATTGAATCGCTGGAGTGCTTCGTGGCTCTTCAGGTACGACATCTTCGGGGTGCGAAGCGTGACTCGCTTTCTCCGGCAACAAAGCAGATGTTTGCTCTCAACTAAGCCTGTGTCCACGGTGTAACCCGGTCTTGAATGTTGACCCGGCTAGCCTAGCACGATTCGAGCAGAAACAGCGAGGAGACCCGCTGTATTTTAAGACTGCGGCGATGTAGATAAGTGCAAAGTTGAAAAGCACCGCGAGCTTACGCACTAGTCTGGATCTGAAACAGGTAGGTGTTGCGGAACGTCTCCCGGGTCCATTGATGCAGGTCCGTTCGGCGATTTCGAAGGACACAGTAGCCTCTGGAGCAAAGTACTGAGTTATCATCAACATACAATCGTTTGCTTGACTTACCATGATTTCTTGAATCCTTTGCGAGGCGTGCTCGTCCTTACTCAGGCCGAAGCCTCCTCCTGAAAGCTGAAGTTTGCGCAGCTGTTGGGATTGGACGGCCTGAGTCAATTAGAGAGGTTTGACAACGGTCCTTCCGTAAGTGCTCACTTCTTCCACAGTATCATTGACGATATATCGGATGATCTTGACGAATTTCTCTTGCCCAAATCGAAGGATCCGCCCAATTGCTTGGCTTTCCACAGACGGATTCCATTGTGGCTCGAGAATATGGATGTGATTAGCAACCATCAATTTGTTGATGCTATCAAGCTGGGTCAGCGAGAGGAAATTGATGACTGCAGCGAGGGTGTACTTGCCCCACAGACCCTGTTCCGAACGTAACGAGTAGAACCCTAATGGAGGTCGATTGCTCAAATTCGGTCAGAATTTTGGCTCTTTTGCCGGGCGCAAGACTGCCATGCATACGGAGGAAAGGTATGCCGTTTGAAACAAACAGATCAGCTACCATATCCAGCGTCTTCTTCCAGAACGAAAAGATAACACTTCGTGTTTTATTAGCTGCTAGCTTGAAGTCCTTCAAGAGGCTCTTTACCATTTATCGGCACTATTATGGCCACGGACATTTTCGAGAAGGGCCAGTAATTTCGTTGGGTATGACTTTTGCGGCGAGGTGCTCGCACATTGTTGCGAGGGTTCCGTGATGAAGGCATCCCGTGAACCTTGAAGCCCGCAGATCGGGCATTGAGTGCGCCCATCTTCTAGGTAAGCATCAAGGTCTGCTTCGAAAATTGGACGGCATTCTCCGCAAAGCACATGCTGACAGATTGTCAGGACTCCAGAGCTACGATCGTCTGCTTGATATAGAGCAAGCACTTCGCACTCGCATTGAGCGCAAATGGACTTCCCGGTGGTCTGTAGATAGCTCAAGGCTTCTTCGGGATCAGAGGGAAAGCCGCAAGGGCCCCATTTCCCCAACAGTGCTTTTGGCCCATCATTACAGAATAGACGCATGCCCAGGATGGCTCGGATGACGTGATGATTTGCCTTCTGCATGCTGTGTCCGGAGACGGCCAAATCTATGGCATGCCTACAGTTTTCCCCAAAATCTTGGTACATGGCGCTCTCCGAAGCTGAAAACTTCAGCATCTGCGTATCATTAATAGGATCAGGCAGCCCGAGTAAAGTCCTTGTTCGTCGTAGACATAGCGACTCTAGAAGCCGTCGCAAGTTCGCAAAGCGCCCAGAAGAGTTCGCCTGAACAGGGACGGTAATATGTTTCCTAAAGGTCCTCATATCGTCCAGTATGGGTACTCGTAGGAACTTCACCAAGGCACCAAGATCCTCGAGGGTGTTTTGTATGGGAGTCCCAGTCAAGCACCATCGGATGTGCGCGGAAATAGAGCTTATAGCGCGGAATTGCCTCGTGGAGGGATTTCGGATACTATGCGCTAGGTGTAAATCGTAAGTACACGTTCGTGTGGATTTCGAGAGGAGTTCTACCTTCGTCAAGAACGAGTCGATACCATTCAACGCGATTTAGGATGCTCTGACCACGGCAAAATTCTGAGCCGACGGTTGCATACGTAGTAAGAACGATATCGTGTGTCAACAGATCTGATAATCCTATCTGCTTGCCCGCTCCGTGATATCTATGGGTCTTTAGCGTGCCAGGAATAATGTGTCTGCAGCGGTTAGCAACTCCGAGGCTGAAAGGTTTCAGATGGGGAGATGTGGATGACTGTATACAGTCGTCTTACTCACTTCTGAATTTCTTCATCCCAGCTATCCATAAGAACTGCCTGCGTGAGAAGCGAATTTGTATCTATCAATGATGAACTTACGAGACGAAGGGACAATGACGAGCGTGGTTTTGGATGGAACATTATGCTCCCAATGGCTGGGTGCTGCTCTCGTCTTCGCGAAGGCAAAATCGAAAGCCCGGCTGAGCGATGCTACAATCACTGCAAGCACCGAAAGCGTCTTGCCAAGGCCCATATCGTCCGCGAGGAGGCCACCGAGGATATCCTCCATTGTACTATTCTTAGCACTTGGGAGTATGACGTGTTGGTAGCTTGGTCGGGTCAGAGGTCTGATTCGAATCGTGTCGGAAGGGCGTCTCACTGAAAGAAGCCATTCGCGGAGGATTGCGGTCTCCACAGGCTTAGAGAAGGCGGCAAGTCACCCGTCTCTCTCCTCGTTATGAAATCAACCGCCTCTTTCTGATATCTGGTAAAGTCAGAACTAGTTCACCAACGGTGATGATGCAAACATACTTGACCAGTGCGGTAATGATTCGGCCATCGGTGGAGATTTCTCTAAGAAAATTCGGTTGAGGCATGTGATCTAGGATCGCTTCTATCTCAGAATTCGAAGCGGGCTGGGCGTTATCACTAGCTCGCTCGCGCCTCTCTATATCGTTGCCTGAAGTACTTCGCACATTGAAAACCCCCGGGAGTTTTAAATACTGCGGGTTGTCATAGGGCAGCGACTGGAGATCCAGGCCGGGAGGCTGCAGGAACAACTTCGCAGAGGCGAGTCCGTCGCCCACCCTTCTGGCTGAATGTGGATGTCCGTAAAAGTTGATGTCGATCGTCGTAGTTGCTGATCTTCCAGATTTCTTCCAAGCCGACCTGGCTTTCTCGAGCGTGGATGAGGATATGACACCTTCCATTTGAATACACGTATGCGAGAGCGCATCTAACGGCTTCAGAGCTTGTGATACCTACGTATGTGGCGGTGCACGTTAGCGACGATTAACTAGAGTGGAACGGGGCCAAGGCAACATGTCTGTCCATACTCAGCCCGCTGGAAGTCTCTATGGGCAGCTTTCCAGATCAGTAGGATATGCTGGTATATGTACCTCGACGTACCTACCTTGGCAGACAAGCAGCCGAAGAGCTCACCTCCGGGAACTCTGACCCAAAAGCTCTCGCCGTCTAAGCAGAGCTCTAGTGCAACGCCTTCCTCTCCATGGAACGTACGCTTTGAGATCTCTCGAACCGAGGCCACGGGATCGGCCCTTACTTGTATTGACGCACTACAGATCTTACTAGCATTAGCTCTTCGTATGGATTCAATGAAGTGAGGGAGCACTTGCCGAACCGAAGCAGACCTGGATTTCGGCCTGAGAACATTCCGAGTGGAGGAAAGCGTTCCACGTTCCCTTCGTATTGCGAGAGACGCTGCGTGAGTGATGCTCGGCAATGGCATCCACTGCATGGGGCTGTCAGTAACCAGTGCTGCGCCCCAAACGAAGCGATTCACAAGACATCTCCAACAAGACGAACTAGCAGACTAGGTTTACCGGCCGTCGCCAACTCAAATGGACTAGCAGAGGACGGCTTAGTTAGACTATCGCGCGGCGGCAACATTTATAGGAAGAGTACGGTTAAAATGATTCCAGCAAGGGTCACATCGATGAACCACCGTTGGGTAGTGATGGGGGTATCGTTGATCCACGCTCACCTGCTTCAAATGACCGTTTAAGCCCTGCCAATGCCTCCATCTTCTAATTGGCATTTGCGTACTCATATGAGGTCATCAGAGGGCAATTATGAGCAAATTTTCCTCATTTGCTGTGAGGCTGCCAAGCCGTGCAGACGTAGTTGCAGGAGCCGTTGTGGAGCGGGTTGATCATCGGCTGTACGAGGTTAAAGGCCTCCTGAGCTGATCACGGATTGTGTACGCGGCTTTGAAAACGTGTGAGGAAGACTGTGGTGTTCATCTTCACGATGTTAAGGTGCGAAATCGAAGGAGTGATGCTTGTTGACCGGTGAGGGTTGCGCACCGCCACTCGTGCACGGACCAGTAAACTTAGCCTTCTCGGTCGACATAGCTTTTCTCGTCACCTCCACTCCACAGCCTTCTGCGAGTGTCGACCAAATGATCCTACTTGAGCTATCTTCACACGTAATATGGCGAACCCCTATCAAACACAGGCGGCCTCTTTCTATTTGGTTTTGGATAGGTTCAAGGCCTCTCTGACCGATAAGGAGAGGAGCGAATTCGGTGCAACCACTTTAATTGAGCTGGAAGTCGCCATAGAGACCATTCAGAGGCGCCAGGCTTCCGAGAAGAGGCTACGGGGCATGTACAGGCTAGAGGGGTTCCTAGAAGGAATGAAGCAATACGACAAAGTCATAGCCGTGTTTCTGAATTCGAGCCAGGTTCTCGCTTTCGTATGGGTGTGCTTAAAAGCCCCATCACCTGATTGAGGTTAATGTTGCTCTCAGGGTCCTATGAAGTTCCTTCTCCAGGTAAACATAAGCTCTTTGAAACCGTCATGCTCACTACGTCTGGCCATCCTCACTTCCAATTTCCCCGTCCGAGCGACGCTTCGCCTTCCATCCTGATCAAATTTCTGCATTGAATTAGAAAAACTCGCAGTGGCTCCTCATTTTAACTTGTCCAGGTCGCCTGTACCTTTGCCGAAGCCTTCGACTCGTTGATGGATGCATATCAGCGAATTGGCGAGCAGATCCCCCTCCTCGCCCAATACGAGAACTACTTTCGCAATTACCCACAGATATCTCAGGTGTTGAGACTTCTATACGAAGATATTCTGAATTTCCATTGGAAAGCCATGAAATACTTCAAACAGCGCAGTATGTCGGCCCCCGGCCTCTCGCTCTCTAAGACTTGACCAACAATCTCAGTGTGGAAGCAGCTGTTTCATGCCGTCTGGAGGAACTTTGACACAGAATTTTCTAGTATCCTTCGCAATCTACGAGAGCATCGCACCCTCATTGAGTCCCAAGCCAGCATCACACAGTTTACAGAAGTCTTGAGGACGCAAGAGTTGGCCAAAGCGGCTCTCAAAAGCCAGAAAGAGGAGGAAACTCGCCGACGCCGTGAAGCGGTGTATCAGTGGCTATGCGCGGCGAAGTACGAGGTGGACCAAGAGAAGCACGCAAAGGTCCGAGAAGACTATCCCGGTACAGGACGATGGCTCTTAGGAGTTAACCGATTTCACTCGTGGTTCGACCCTGTCTTCTGCTCAAACCACCTACTTTGGCTTACCGGTATTCCAGGCGCAGGTTAGTCTTCTGAGGCTCCAACTGCGCCACACTCACTTATTGTTTAGGCAAAACAATCTTAGCGTCCTTGATTGTCGAAGAAGCCCGAAAGCTTCATGGTGTTACTGTAGCCTTTTTCTACTGCAGATATCAAGGTACGTGGGTGGCCATACACAGTCAAAACAAGTCTCTGGTCTTTGCCTCTTGGAGCCCTTGTCCGAGTGGCTCCGCGCAGTGCAGAGAACGTCAAACGCGTCTGTATATAGACGCTCCATTTGCAGTTTGGGAGTTTCGCTAATGTAGACCGCGCGCCTGTTGATGTCGAACGAAACACCTTCCTCGCTGTCGCCCGCGGTGTTCTTGCGCAACTTCTTCACCAAGACGACAGTCTTCTCGCATATTTGTATGAGAAATCCTCTCGAAGTGGCCAGACCACTCTTTCGACAGACTCCCTTGCCAAGGAGCTCCTGGATACCGCGGTCAAGAACTGCCACAAATTGTACATCATCATTGATGGAATTGATGAATGTGAGAGAGATCAAAGAAAGGGAATCGTGACTGCCTTCGAAGGGTTGTGGGAGTCCCTCCCTCCAGGTGATGCCGATCTGTTGCGGTGCATGTTTATCAGTCAAGATGACAGCGCCGCGAGAAAGGATTTTGCCAAGATGGTATCCCTCAAAGTCACTGAAGATGATACGAAGCAGGATATTAGGACCTATGCGCATGTCTGGAGTTCGAAGATTCAAGCGAAGTTTGGCCTGACTCAAGAGAGGCAGAACTATATTGAAGACATGATTACGCAAAAGGCGGAGGGTAAGTTGACAGTTTATCCATAGTGACTCCGTGCTGATACCATAGTAGGCATGTTTCTATTCGCCAGACTTATGAGCAGCTACCTATACAGCCTAACTTCCATTGGCAGGCTGGACGAAGAGCTTTCTCCTAACACCTTCCCTCAAGGCCCTTTCAGACTGGATGTAGTGTGAGTTTCGCAGCCCAAAGCAGTATTGGGGGTTGTATGTCCGCTAATTAACGAAGCTATGCACGAATAACGCGCCGAATGTTCGGCGAAGACAAAACGCAGGCCTCCGACTCGATGACGCTATTGGGCTGGCTCGCGTGCGCGAAGAGGCGACTCAGCTGGAGAGAGATACAAGGTGCCGTATCAATCGATGTCGAAGACCAGACTGTACAATGGGAACGCGATCACTTCCGTGTTGATTCCAAGGATCTCTGCGACTCCCTAGTCGAGATCTACCCGGACGGTGCTGTGGACCTCGTTCATCATACGGCGAAACGGTAAGAGGGATCGGACCTTTCTGCCGCTTTTGTGAGAGTTAACGCCTATAAGGTACCTTGTCGAGAAGGGGATCGTCGATGTGCGCGCGGTGGAGCTTGCACTTACATTACGCTGTATTGAGTACCTCAGCTTTCCGTGCTTCGATAGGAACACTGAGCCGAAAGACCTTGAGCTATATGTTTCGCTCGGATACTACGGCTTCTTCGATTACGCTTACGCGTACTGGTCCCGTCACCTCGATAAGTGTCTGTCTTCACAGCACTCAGAAGATGTGCTTCGCGAAATAGGTACGTACTTTGCGCTACACAACTGGAATATCTAAGTTTGGCATGCATGGCTTGAAGGACGCCACAAGTGGCTTACTAATGGCCATGGAGCTGGTTATAAGAGCGATGCAGGTCATAGAATGGCCCTCTGCGAACATATGACCCTTCCCGCTCTCTAATTCAGATCATGTGCTAACTCGAACCACTATCATTCTAGCCGAGGCTGCAGGTATCTTCGTCGATACGCATTGGATTGAAGGAAAAACGAAAACTGTAGTGCCCAAATCGGTCCTGGATCGCTTGAAGCCATTGGAAACGGGCCCAAACTTCGAAAAGATCGCTTCGGCATCCTACCTCGCTAGAAGACAGCTCCATACATCCATGAAGACCTCAACCGAGGAGCAAGTCCTAGACCTAGGACAAGTCATGAAAATGATCCGAGACTGTCTCGAAGTCATGTCCTCAACCACGGAGGCCCCCGAAAAGTTCCAACAGATGTATGGGTCACACGTCTACAAGTGTCCTCGGTTGAGCTGTGTTCATTTCTACAACGGCTTCGCAACAAGTCGGCAACGAGACGACCATGTCCCCAAGCACGAGCGATCGTATTTCTGTTCTTTCTTAGGATGTCCCTTCGCTACACTAGGTTGCGCAACACTGAAAGACCTCCAAAAGCATGAGACTGACTTCCACGGGACTATTAGCCTTGACGACGAGGATGCGGAGTTCCCCGAAATGCCACCTGAGAAATCTTCGTTTGACTGCGATACGTGCGGCGCCACCTTCACGCGAAAACACAACCTCAAGAATCATACACGGCTCAAGCATAGCGGACCAAACATAGAAAGTTTCATCTGTACTACCTGCGGCAAAAGGTTTGCCAGACAAGGAGACCGCACCAGACACGAGAGCACTTCCCACTCGTCCGCTAAGAAGTTTGCCTGTGGCGGTGTCCTCAAAAACGGGTCGCCTTGGGGATGTGGGCGCGAGTTCAATAGGGGCGACGTGCTCAGCAGGCACTGGAAGAGTGAGAAAGGGCGCGCTTGCATCCGGCCTAAGCAAGAAGAAGAGGAATTGGAGACACCCACGTCCACGTCCACTCCACTTCAGCAACCGAACACCCCTCTTCACAGCACCTGAGAGTGCTGGAACTGTCGAGCGCTTCGCCATCGCTATGTCGGAAACCACGAAAACAGCGTGCATAAAAGATCAATCTGCTGCGTTCTCAGTCTCCTTCGGCTTCCAAACTTTTGACAACAAAAGCGAGGTTTAAGCCGTGCACACCACGTTCCTCATCCTGAAGCCCTTCAATATCCATTGTCTGGCATAAGCCGGCAATTCTTATCACATTCCTTTTATCGATAAGGGACCTCATACACAACCCGGGAGAATGTTTCGCGGCGTTACATTGGGCAAATAATATTTTCTATTAATAGAGCTGTGTAACTTTGATTGGTGGACTTCAAGCGGTCGTGGGGTTCGTGGGGGTTTTGGGAAGTGAGCATATGCGACTCCGTACATATCAGGTATAGCGGATCACCTGACTGCGGCGGTGCAGACTTGGGAGGGGTCGAGGAAGAGAGTCATTCTACGCTAGTCCGAATCCAGCCGTGTCTTCTCAACCAAACGCAACATTGCCATACCTGACCATGAAAAACTGGCTTAGCATAGTCTGGTTGGCCGTACTGTGTTCACCAGGACTGGGTGATCCCTCGTCAATGCGTCTGGGATCATGCCATTGGTTTGAATCCGGGAGGGACTCTCCTGTATGACAGCAGTTAAGCGGACGAGTGAATATGCCAAACCCGATCAGTTTCGCCCTATTGGCCCCAGAAGTATGCTAAGAACTAGTTCCTTCCTTTGTACTGCCATTGGAGGAACTTCTATGTGTGAATCTGGGTATCTAAGCAAAAACAGGGCGGCTTCAACACGGCAGTGACTTGGGGGTCACGTTTCTTGGCTGCGAAGCTTAATTCATCACTCATCTATCTATTGGAGTGCTCCAGTTTCACTGGCGATTAAATGACCTACTTCGCTAGCTATAGGCACCACGCATGCCTGATTTTTGCAAAAGCCATACAATATATTACACAGAAGCTAGTCAATAAGATATAATGATGCTGGCGCTTCAAAACACATCTACCTGGAACGAAACACGCACATTAGAAGTCCTTCTTCGCATGCCGACTCATCTTCCTCAAACGCGCCCCATAGCTATACAGCACAAACGGAATGGGAATAAAGACAATCCCCAGAAACGCCAACGTGCTGCTCGCCCAATTCACACCCAGATTCCTGTACATCGCCGACGCGAACAGCGGAACCCTGCACCGAAGGAGCTCCTAAAAAGATCGTTTCCGGCAAACACACTCGCCAAATACTCGGGATACGCGTCCGATAGATACGGAAGTACAGCCTGAAAGAGCAGGAATGCGGCGACGGAGAAAAAGCTGCTGCCTATAATGGGCATGATCCAATGGATGTCTGAGCGCGCCGACCAACCGAACCAGAAGAGGCAGATGGGAACGAAGAAGGCGCCGACCATGGCGGGCTGCAGGCGCTTTTCGGGCTCGATCTCGCCGTTCTCGTTGAATTGCTTTTCTTGGTAGAAGTATAGCCAGGAGAAGAGGCAGACGAGCGTGATGAGGGCGCCGACGAGGAGGCCGAGGAAGGCGAGACCTTGTTGGCCGAGAGTGAAGCCGTAGATCTCGATGAAGACGATGGGGAAGGATTCGAACCTGATGGAGCGCAAGGTTACTGTAGCGATGACTTTAGAGAAGGGAACGCCTATCCCGGAGGCAGCCAGCTTACCATATGTAGAGAAGACCATAAACCAGGGCGATGTATAGTTTGAGGAGGAAGACCATCGGCTCGGTGAAGTTGAGAGTTATAGGACGGACGAGCGTCATCATGGCGATCTGGTCGGTTTATTAGTTTCGCTGAGTGGCTTCAATGCGAATGAAGTAACGTACGTCTTTGCCAGTCATATGCTACGCCATAATCTCAGGCTCGCACGTCAGTCTCTGGTCGCCGGTAATCTTACGCAGCCGCCTCGTGCGTCGGTATAAGATATTTGTCGAACTCGTCTCCGGGAGGAAGAAGAACAGAAACACCCAGCAGAAGCCTGAAAGCCACATGATCTCCCAGATAGTCCACGTCCAGCCCTTGGCTTCTGCTGCAAAGCCACCAACCAGAGGTCCAAGGACAGGGCCGCAGACCGCTCCTATACCCCAAACGCATAGTCCATACGCTTGCTTTTGTGGTCGATACATGTCCGCAATGGTAGCGCCTCCAGTTGCTAGGGGGGGGGGAGCCAAAAAGGCCGGTCAGGAATCTGAAGGCGAGCAACATGCCGAAATTTGATGCGAGGGCTGTGGGAATCTGGAACATGACAAATACGACTACATTAGGATATAGGCATTAGGAGGTATTTTGTAGATCGTATGAGCGTAGCTTACACAGCGTAGAGATGTATATGGGGTTGCGCCCGATGTACGGCACTTCGCTCATTGGAGCCCAAACCATCGGTCCCAGGCCATAACCGGCTACATAGCTTTCTAAGTTAGCACTTCCTTAAGCCTCCGGAAGCGATTCAACGTACAGCGTCAGTCCAAGCGTAGCCGCAACTTGGCTCACGCCAAAGGTCTGCTGAACGCCAATTATTCCGGCACTGTAGATGGCCGACCCAATGTAGACGCTGAAAGTAAGGAAGACGATCTCGAAAGTAACGAAGAACTTCTTGGTGGTAGACCAGTTTCTAGGATTCTGTGCAGCGTTAGCACATGTGTTTAACTTCTGCAGTATCGACCACTGACATCTGGATCATCCGGTCCATACCAATCGATGACATGCAGATCCTTCCCCTTTTCAGAGTCTATCCTCACATCACTTGCTTCATTATATCTTTCTTCCGGGAGGTCTGCATGAGCAGAGGGATACGCATAGTCGTCATCACCCGTCCTTACTCCTCTAAGCTCTTCTTTTGAATAATCCGAGGGAGGACTAGTGTCTCCATGATGCGCAATATATCCCGACTTTTCTTCGTTGACAAACTTCTTCCACAACGACGTATCCCTCTCTTCTGCATAGGAAAAGATTCGCCCTTTGCTCGCAAGGCGCACCAGATGCCCGAACGTCGAATCTCGGATGAGATCCCAAACCATTATGGCAGGGCAAAAAAAGAGCAGAAAAGAATATTACCTGTCACAAAATGCAAAAAGGCTTCACAGCGCGAGTAGTCCAGGTACCTCCTAGGGTTATATGTCTGGAAACCGCCGCGTCATACATCATCGGAGGCAGAAACCCGCCGACCGAGAGCGACCGACTTTCGGTCCTCGGACGCTAAAGAAGCGATATAACACTGGGCGCGACCATACTCTGACATATCTTTTCGATGCAGAGTTGTAATTGTAACAGGAGGCTTGGCGAAGTCCATGACGCTACTCTCCCGGCGGATCGACGCTAAGATATCGCCCATCCGCAGAGAGCCGCATGGCATCGAACAGGCCGTGCGCGAAGAGTCACAAGGTCCGAAGGCGGCTGATAAGGTTGAAACTCTCTTCAACGTGGGAATATAAACTGCTCGCGCACAATTGCTGTAAATTAGCTTAGCTTGTGGTTGCCGGCTAAGAAATGTGGCAAGAGAGTATGAGGATTATGTGGAAGGGCCGCGCTTCTGACAGAGCGATACAATGCGTAGTTCGATGGTGTTCCTCCCAGTAGCCCTGAGTGGTCGACCGGGCGAACTGCGTTGGCAAGAATACGTCCGGGTGCGGACGAGACGCGAAGCTTTCGCGAAAAGCTAACTATACCAAATGGACTTAGTCCCATAAAATTATACTCTCGCCTCCCATCTTGCTGACACCCTTCTCGGCACTCGGTTGGACTGTTGGAGCGAGCAAGGGATCTGGACGCTCAATGAGAGCCTGCGGGTTCTTCCACCTCCATCGTTCTTCGGCGCTTGAACGTTGTCGGAAAGGCAGATAGGCGTAAGTATGCTGAGGTCGGACCTTGTGAGTGGTATGCTCCGGTTGTATGGTGGGACGCGGAAGGAAGCTGCACAAGCAGTTGGCAAGACTGCGTTCCCGCCTTAGAATGACGAGGAGCGAGTGCGACCTTTCCGAGCAACGCCATCTAGCGCAAAGTATTTCTCACCCGTTAGTACTCGGTTCCCGGTGGCATTTCTCCGAAGGTAAATCCTTTGTGCGAGAACTTCTCCACTCTGACTTCCTTTTACACCCTCCGCCTTGCTTTCCTTCTCCCTCCGCCGGTCGTCCCGGAGTTCCATCATCACTCTCATCTTTGGTGCCCAATTTGCAGCTACCAGCATATCCCTCAGAGTCCACATCTTCAGCTCATGCCTAGGCTCATCGAAGCCGTGCCATACACAGAAGCCTAGGCCACTGAGCATGATTACAAGCAGCCAGAAGGGTACCAGCAAAATGGTGCACTGATAGCGCCGTCGCGGTCCTGAAGCGTACACCAGGTAATGCATTCTCCTCGAGAAAGTCGTTTCATTGGTGGAAATAGAGGGGTCCTAGTGAGCTATAGTGAGCATGTGCTGGGCCCAGAAGGCGAGAAGGCGCGCGATGTACGGGATATCGTCGTCGATGGACTGAGCCGCGTTTTGTTGTTGGGTTCGCATGCGCCGAGCACGCGAGACAAGGAAACGAAGGTATGCGGATGGTATTAGCTCAAGCGAGGGGTTTGTGTTATTCACGATTCCGGGGAATGCTAGAGCGGAAAGCGTTTCAAGCTCAGACATGGTGGTTTGTAGCGCACTGTGGAGACGTTGCAAGAGTAGACGATCGGTAGGGTAAGGGCTCGTGTATAGACCGTTTTCGAACGGGCCTAAAGTCACGCCTGGCCATGTGTGATCCGTACTCTGTAGCGTCCAGGATGTGAGCGGAAAGAGCGATTGTTGGCTAGAGTCTATATTAGCAAAGTCACATTGTGCTCCCAAATTCGCGGAACCGAGGCTGGACTAATCCAAATATGAATCCCATGCGCGCAATAATCTCAGACGCTCTAAATCTGATTGGCAGGTATACGTACAGTGATATGTTGTATCGCGTAGCGCTAGAGTTCATGCTGTTGACTTCATCAAGATGAACGGAAACAAATGGTGTCCGCGACGAGCTGTCGTCTATCTCAGAGATCGTAATGCCAGGAGGCGTATTCAAGTCTGAAGTGCTAATAGCGCACCGTACCTCCACTGATGGCGTTGTGACATTGATATCTCCCAATTTGCGGACGCTAAGCTTTGCGAATGGCGGTCCATAGGTATTGCTGGCCTCGAAGAGTTGCTCCACATCCACCGTGCGCACCGAGGCCGCTCTTACAGAGTACGCGTCCAGGTGCATGTACGTAGTGGAGTACTTCTCTGGATATCGCGTTGCTTCGTTCCACCCGGCGTGGTAGGACTCGTTGAAGTCGAGGAAGCCTGAGTAGATCAAAGACGATAATCGCCCTTGGAGTGCGATAGCCATAGTCCCATTCATGCTAAATTCATGCGCCGATTGCGTATCGTCCCAGTACACATCGTCTATAACCACCCTTGGCGTGTATAGATGTTGCTTGGCTAACTCTTGCGGGTACCCATCGTTTGGGCATAGAGGGTGATATATCAGCTTCGGTATCAAGAGAGTGTTGTTAGCGATAGGGAGCAGCCATACGCATATTGCGGTCGTAAAAGTAATGAAAATAACTACCGCTGTGAACACTTTCGATTTAGCTCGGCCACTATGTTTGCCTCGTCGAAACCCGTCTCTGAAGGCCTGAAGTGGATTGTACATCGCCTCTTTGAGATCTAGGTCTAGCAAAGCTATACCGTTAAACTGCGGAAGACTGAGCCGAATTTAGTTGATCCTGTTTGCGAGCGCTGCCAGGGAGGCGAGGGCAATGACATCGAAGAATTTGTTGAGGCCACCAATAAACTGCAGGACAGCTTCCGCAGTGAGGTTCAAAACTTGATACTCGCTTCTGATAGGGTATACTGGACAAGTCAAGCTGATGGAAATTATGCTAGTACTGTTCAGCGAGTTACTAGTGGTACGGACGTCGTACTTACGCGATCATGCAGCTCGCAAAGAATGCTGGTAAAAAAAGTGCAGCTATCCTTCTTTGCTTCAGACTTCTCTTTTGATATACTCTTTCAACTTTATTCAGGAGTTAAGGGATCATCTTCCCTTGCGCCTTCATCATAGGAATGATGCCTGGCTTCATTCTGATCGCCTATGAAGATAGTGCTTAAGAGCACAGATATTGCAGGGGCAGTATTGAGTTTAAAAACCTGATTAACCTCCTCTTACATCCAGGCTCCAGTGATGGGGCGACGAATAATTCAGGCGAGTCGGACCTAGGTCGACAAGGCTGAGGAGCCTCATCCCGGTACCGTTCTGCGGAGACGGCGACCTGAAGCCCACATATCGGTTTTCTGATTTGACCGATAAGCCTGAAGTACGTACGCGGTCCTAGAGCAGATGCTCAATCGGTGGCACCGTATTGGGCCGAGATGAGTCGCCAAGGGCATAGCCGCGCCCACGTGGGAAGAGTCCTGCAACTTGCAGCGGGGGTGGCGGCCAGCGCTTTTCACGATAGGCACTTAGAACCTCAAGTGTAGGCTTGTATCACCTCGCCTAACCAATAGTTGAAGATATCGCATATTCTTTCATCCGAGCTTATTCGATGGCTTCGCCGATAGATGCTAGGAAGAGCGGCCTCACTCCTGAGCCCTCTTCGCGCGAATTAGTGATGTGTGGGTAGGTCAAGCGCGGGGTGACAGTTCAAGGCTGAGACAGCCATGCAATCGCTTAAGTAATGCTATACCGAAAGACCTCGGGAAGATAAGGGTGTGTCGTGGAGGGCAGATGACGTTAGGAGAATGTCGGAAGAAGAGATGAAGTTGACGGAACGCGACCGCGTCTATCTCGAGACGCGGGCTATACCTATTTCAGACTAGACCATAGGTGGACTTCACCCATTGATCTCTCACAAGCCCACCTCTTCTTTTCATGAACAACGTATCCGAAGTACATCGGCTGCGTCTCGTTAATTAGTGCTTCTAAGTCCACAGACACTCCAACCCTGGAATACGAAGCAGGGCGTACACGAAGCAGACAGAACCGAAGCCCCAAGCGCGTCCTTTTGGCGTACCGATTGAAGGGCGTCCCGCAAACTGACGAGACTTCATGTGGAATCCTCACCCCGCTGCACGCCGAAAGGTTGCAGCTATGCCCGCTCGTCCTCGAGGCTTGAGACGCCCTATTTTCTCAACCGGCCCCCATCCATCAACTGAGTTTGAGGGCTGACGAGTCCCGAGGCCCTCCATTCCCAGATCGGACGGGATATAATCCAATGTCGTCGAATTTACGCCACCGTACATTGCTTATCTTCGCGATTCAGCCACCGCCTCTCCTCGGCGACCATGGGGAGAAATGCGTGAAAATTTCAATGCCGGCTACATTGAAGTCCCTACGTGCTTCAAGATAGCATCTTTGATGTGGTTGGCAATTTAGATATCCGCGGTTTTAGGATCGGCCTAAGGCCCGGAGCGGGAGGTATAGAGCGTACATGCGACGATTGCGCAGACGCGTAGGTCGGAACGTAGCCTGTACTGTACATATCCGTACAGACCTCGATAAACGATGTATGCAGACATACGTTTTCAACGTGGACTTGTTCGCCGACTCTTTCCAGTCTACAGGATTCTGCTCGCACGCCCACATGGGAGGGTTGTTCCCCTTTTTTTGTAGTGGCTCTGATCCGCATTCGCTTCCGTCACTGGAAGCGGCATCCTGCAAACCACTTCTCCTAAGAGCAGTGCTCATAGAAGTAAAGCATGAGGATTTTGACATTCCGGAGCCGGCGCAAACTGGTAAGACGGAGGTCGCACGAACAGACATCGGCGTTGCTGTTGCTATATTTCGTAGACAACGTGGCCTATCCATCCATCCCTCCATGCCATCGAGATGCCAAACTTCTCCAAACATCAGGTAGACGTTTCAAAGTTTCGTATCCACGAGAAAAGCCTCGGAAGTCCCTTATAACACCAACCGCCACTCTGTTTGTTTCTTATTGACCAGGTGAGCATTGAGGAACCGTAGTCCAGGTCCAGAATCCGGCCAAGTACCTCCACCATTGATTCCCTGGCATGCCGAAGTCGCTCACGCAATTTTTGGAAATTCCACCACGGTCCCAAAGCACAACATATATAATACAAGCGCTTTTCAAAGTGCACTCCGATGTTTACGCCGAGAGTGTAGGCGAAGCGGGGGGAGCGTCGAAGGCGCATATCTCACTTTTCATCTTCGAATTTTCGACATGCGTTCGAAGTCGACAATCGTTTAGAATCCGTGCCTGAAAAGCATAGCTAAAAGCATAGATCGTCCCAAGTTGCTTTTTCAGATATCCATACGCGCCCATCCCCACAAAACTCTAGTATCCACTATTCGAAAAAGCCGCCATCCCCATCAATGTCCACTACGCGCATTTTGGAAAACTCCCAGGCCGGTTTTATCCACGGCGTGAATTTGGATGTCTGAATAGCCCTCCCTCCATCCGCCATCCTCCTCTCACCCAACCCATCCACACTCAATCCCGCTATTCCCACCAGCCACACCAGCCACAACAGTACAATACAACACAAGCCCGCCGAAACGCCACCTTCAGAAAAAGCCATGAGATCCACCTCACCGTTATTTTTTCCTTGCTCAGGAAGCGCAGGCGCGCAAGAGCAGACGTACACGCAATCTAGGCGTCTTTTTGGCGGTGGCTCGAGGTAAAGCACGAAGAAGAGTGAGGGAAGGAAACGGAGACAGTTTAGAGAGACGAACAGGATATTTATATACCCACAACCTAGCGGTCAAGCCCCCGACGGCTGGAGACCGGATAACCTAGCTCGCAAGTGCGCTGTTTGCGTGGAGACTCCAACAACCCGCGTGTGTCGATAACGGATTCACAGAGATACCTCGGAGGAGCAAGGGGATGATAGCGATGAACTTGAACACTTGTTTAATCTATCCGCAAGTCAAAAAAAGGCCCTCCGATGCCCGACCGCCTCAATGGAGAGCCAAAAGTGTGAAAGGTTCCATTTTCCATCTCCACCAGTACTCATACGTTCCCCTCCCAAACCCCAACTCCGACCCCCCTACTTACTGAACCCCCAACGCTACCAACCGTGACCTTGACTAAGCAACCTGATTTGACCGCGGGTAGAGCTACCACTGCGGTCTGCGGGGAAAAAGGGATTACAACGGGTGTGCTCAAGAAGAAAGAAAGACGAAGAAAAGAAGAATAAGCGGGCAGAGAGCAGAACGGCAGTGACTGTGCAAGGGAATTTTGCAACGCCTTCAACGCCTCGAAGCAATCTTGCCGCGGCCAGGAGCAATGAGATGTGCCACATGCGACCTTCAAACGTACCTTATGCTTGCACCATGCGACAGTGTCGTTGAGAAGAACCTAAAGCTGAACTTGAACATCCGGGGTATCCGAAGGAAAACATCCTTTATGCGAAGTCGGCCGAGTAGGAGAAGCCTCGGAATTCTTCTTGCATGGCTTGCGAAAGAACAGATTGCACTGGAGTGAGTACAGGCGTTACGCTCGTGAACTCCGTGTCGAAATTGCTTGTATCGGTCGGGCTGGTAATCTGAGGGATGAAGGGGGCTGGGATCCTCTTGTGGTACACATCATCCCAGTTGATGTTCCGGAAGAAGGCGTGACTCATGATTTCCTGCGCGTCCGTCGGACCGGACCCGAGTCGCAGTTCCGGCTCGCGGGTGAGCAATTTCTGGAGTATCGAGACAGAGTCGCGAGGCATATGGATGGGATAAAGGGGTTCGTCCGCAAGAATAGCGTCGTAGATTTCGTCTTCATCTTCGCCACGGAACGGTGATTGTTGGAGAAGCATCTGGTAAATGAGGACGCCGAATGCCCACCAGTCGACTGCGCGACCATACTTCTTGTCCAGGAGAATCTGCAAATATGGTTAAATCATTGCTGTGAGCACAAAGGTTAGGCAGGGGATTACCTCCGGAGCCATAAACTCGGGTGTACCGCAGAATGTGCTCGTAGTCGAGCCGTACCACATCTCTTCCTTGCACAACCCGTAGTCCCCGATCTTGATGTGCCCGTCAAGCGTAAGGAGTATGTTATCCAACTTCAAGTCTCGGTAGATGACACCGTTCTCGTGGAAATACTTTAACGCAAGACAGACCTCGGCGGCGTAGAACCTATTCACATGTTAGTTTGACCCAGTTTGGGCGTTTGGAATAACCTACTGGGCTCGCTTAGTGCCGAATTGGCCCCTCTGGATATGCAACATCAAATCACCACCGCTGATGTACTCCATGACGAAGTAAACCCTAGTCTCCGTTTGGAAACAAGCGTGCAGATTGAGCAAGAAAGGATGGCGCTCCTTGTTGGCAATCAAGAACACCCTCTTCTCCGACCTAGTACTCTCGACTTCATCATTCTCAATGATGAACTCCTTCTTAAGGACCTTGATAGCATAGAGCTGCTTGGTGCTCTTCGTTTCGGCCAGCATGACTTTTCCGAAATTGCCTTTACCTAGAACAGCTAAGAAGTTGAAATGGTCTAAGCCAATTCTCCTTCCCGTGCCTTGGCTGTTTGCCGAAGGAGTGACCTTGTGCTCTGGAGCCTTGGTCATCGCGGACATTGGTTGAGCCGGCTGAGAAGGCGGCTGTGGTTGTTTCATCTCAGGCTGGTGTGGAGGTGGTTGTGGTTGATGTGGCTGATGTAGTTGCGGCTGCGATTGTGGTTGGGGTTGAGGGAATGGATAAGATGACTTCTGCTGCTGCTGCTGCTGCTGCTGATATGGCATTTGCGCAGTCTGGTGGTGTGCAGGCGGGTAGCTGGGTATGTTTGCATAGTCCTGAGGGTTATATTGTTGAGGCATCTGCTGTTGAGGAATGCGCTGATCTTGTGGATAACCGCCCGATGATCGAGACCCTGAGGGCGGGAAATCAGACTGCGCGCGATGGTACCCAGGAGCAGGTCCCTTAGCCATTGCCGTACCAGCGGCTATAGCTGCAGTCTGCTGGGATTGCGTCCGCGGTCCTGATGGGGGGCGCGTCTGAGAGGTTGGCGATGTCGGCGTCGGAGTCGAACTTGATGTGGAGTATGACACACGGGCGGCATCCACGGACGTCGCGGACGGCGGGTATGACTGTTGTCGGGGCGGAGCGCCATATTGTTGATCCTTGCCATAGGAATATCTGTCGGGCTGTCCTTGTGGCTCCTGTCCCGGTGGAGGGGGGTATTGGGGCTGAGAAGCGGGCGAAGGAGCCGGCCTTGGTGGTTGATGTTTGCGAAGGTCACGGGAACTCATGGTTGATCCGGCAGCGGATTGGCCTCTTTTAGTTCTCTTGATCTCCATAAGAATTTGGTTGGCAACTTCCATGGACATGCCACAGAAGTCCGGAACAAAGTGCACGCATCCGGCGTGGCAGGTAAGCCCACATTCTAGAGAGAGTAAGCAATCTAAATCTCGTCCGGTGACGATTAGACGTACCTGTGCACTTTTTGGTCTGCTTGCGACCTAAAGGAAGAATATATCCGCAGTGACAGCACCAGTTTGCGCCCATGTTGGAGAAATTCTCGAATCGATGCGGAATGCGATGGTTCAGCTTGGCTTCGTCGGGGTCCGTCTCTGCATTGGACTGCGTGATGCATTTGGTCACCACCTTGGGGTAGCATTTCTTGTGACACGTGTACTTGCAATCCGAACACTGCATTCCAGCAGCGTACTTGAGGAACTCTCCACAGAGAGCGCAGCGCATAATATTGTAAAACTGCTGCTGGACGAACTTGTGGCCGTATTGCTCATGTACCTCTTCTTTGCGCTGACGGATGGCTCCTTTGCGACCGAGACCGGCATCGAATGGTTGCTTATTCCGAGTATGCTTGACTGATGGTTGTTAGCAAGAGAGACAAGAGTTCTGAAAATGAAGACCCTACCAAAAGACATGGTCAGGTGTATGCGCCCCACGGGCTCCAAAGAGAACCAAGCGTCTATGAAGATAGGTCCAGTCTGCGGGTGAGGGGCACCTGCGCCAGCGGGTCCCTGCGGCCTCATTCCCCCAGGAACGGGACCGCCAGCACCTGCATAGCTCTGCCCAGGCGGCGGCTGGAACTGTAGATCTGGCTGAGGACTCGAGCCTCCTCCCATCTTGTCCGCCGACACCCATCCGGAGTTCTGAAGTTCAGATTCAATTTTCTTACGGCGCATCTCTTCAGCAATATCCGATATGCGCACCCACAGCATACCGATGGGCAGCGGATGGTCGCTCGTCTTATCGTACACGGTGATCTCGATCTCGTTCGCCTTGTCGATGTCAAATTCATGCAGCTCGTCTGCCCAACGATCGTTTCTAGTTGGCTTCGTGCGCCCTTTGATGGCGTCTTCGACCTTGATGTTAACAAAGGTTTCCGGCCCGCGGCTGAAGCGGCCCGTTCCTGCGTGGTCGACGTCGGCGACGGCGTGAATTCGTAGGGATAGGTGACCGCTCAGAGGCTTCCTCTGGCTCGGTACGCTGAGACTGTCGTCTGAAGATGGAGTCAGCGGGCAATATGCGGCGAGCACGATAGAATGACTCACCATCGCGGTCATCGGCGCCTTCTATGTCTACATGGAGATCTTCGTATCGCTTCAATGACTGTTTTAACAGCTGGATCTTCTGGTTGCTCTCAATGCGCTTAGCTTCGGCGTCTTGCTTGCTCTTGCGATCTCCCTCCATCTGATATAAGCGGACCATCTTCTCGATGCCGTCCTTGTACTGCTTCTCGACGCTGAGCTTGAACTCGAGCTGCGACAGCATGAGCTGGATGCGGGGGCCCAGGTGCGGGGTATCATATTTGATGAGATCTGACAGCAGTTAGCAGTTAGCAGAGGAGCGTGAGAGAGCGGCATTTTCGATACATACCGAGTTTGCTATAGTTGGGGCGTTTGGGCTGTTGTGATCCGGGCCCGGGAGGGGCATACGGTGCCCGGGGGGGCATCAGGCCCTGCCCGCCGCCGAGGTTGCTGTACTGACCGTCTCCGTAGCCCCCCTGGTCTTGTCCCATGTATTCGTTCCAGCCATCCTTTGGGGGAGGCGTCAGAGGATTGCCGGTCCTCCTCGAGGCACCGGGCCCTAGGTTCATGTTCCCCATGTCGTTGGCTGTCCTCTGCATTTCCAGATCTCGCAGCTTCGACTCGAAGTATTCGATGTTACGGCGGCCATCTCGGATCTGGCCGTCGAGACGCGAGAGGACGGCGGGGTTGTTGGTCGACTGGCGCATGGCATTGGCTGCGTTGATCAGGGCCTTCTCCCTGTCAATTTTGCGTTGCACATTGGCAACTGTCTCGTCAACATTCATGGTGGCGGTGGTCTAGCGGTGTCCAGCGAAGAAGCTGTCTGCAGCGGGGTTGCGCCGATAATGGCGGCGAGGTGATGGTGTGCCTGGCGAGCGCAGGCTGTGTGGTGGAAGGCGTCGATGGTGCCTAGGTCGCTGTCGGAACCGCGAGCCTGAAGGCCTCCGGAGCGCTACAGCTGGCGCAGACGGAGGGAATGAATATGAGGAAAATGTGTGGAAAGCTGCTGTATAGCGAGTAGCAATGGCGGCCGTCGGCGGAGACGGAGGCGTGATGTCAAAAGGTTGACGGGCTAGCTCTGTCCAGGAGCGTGTGGCTGAGCAGCCCCGCAGTCCCCTTATTCGTGCAGCGCGCGCGGCCGAGGTGGCTAGAGGCGTCTGGCCGGGGAGCGTCGTGGGCGACAGCGAGGACGACCAGGACGGGTGGAGGTGGAGTGCGAGTGGCAGTGGGCAGGAGATTATGACGGAACTGGGCGACGATGCGTGTAGTGGGGTGAAAGCGTTAGCGGGGCGACGGGCAGCAGCTGCGCCAAACAATCAGCGCGGGCGCGGGCGCGGGTGCGTGTGGCGCATGCCCTCCTGAACGCCGTTGCGCTTGGTGATGCCTCTATATGGATGTGGCAGCTCGAGATGGACTGTTCTACGTGGCAGCTGGAAAGACCCAGCCATCCTCCTACTCCTTTGCTATCTTTTGCTGGCCTTCACTAGGCCAGGAGCATGCGACACCCCGACGATCGTTGGGCAACACGCATCTCACTTGTGCAACATGCTATGGAGTGCTCGCAATGCTTGTTTCCACTCTCAGACAAATGCTTCTTCGCATTTGCCTGCGCATCACATCTCTTGAAACCACACCTCACGCCGCATTGTGGACCGCGTGAGGCATTCGTCATCACGCCTGCCTCCATTCCTGGTGATGCAGACGTGGGCGCAGGACACTTGCGATGCGGCGCCCGCAACTGCCCATCTTTTGCGACGGCCCTGAGCATGCATAGCTTTGCTGGAGACGGGCTGTCCCTCATTTCTGTCAACGGGTTTTTCCTACCCGTGCCATGTCGCGTCTGCAAAGCATACCTAGGTATAACGTGTTGTCGCATATCTGGTTACCCCACTCAAGGTCGACGATAGCTAGGATCTAATGATAACAATTAACATCTTCGCCTGCTCAACTGCCTGTGGTGCTTCGAATTCCTCCAAGAGGCGTCCTGCTTCGCTCTTGCGACCGAGGACAGCAATTCTGATTCGTTGGCCGGGTGGGCTGGACAGAATGCAAGTGAAGTTGGTGTGATATTTCGAGGGTGGTGTCTAGAGTGTTGGAAAGGAAGGCATTCGAAGGCCCCAGCCTGAGGTCAGCGGATCGATTGTGTTCAAGGGAGGAGCCTTGGACTCAACCCAGGATGAGGTCAGACTGCTGATGATGAAAGATTCTGGCGTGCCTGTGCAAGGTGTTGTCGAGGAATGGATTCAGGCAACCTGCATCGGCATCCGAAGCTGCACTGTCGGCATGTTGCTATTCGCCGAAAAGCGCCAATTGGTAGGGAACTCAAGGAACAACAAGAATATCACTCAGCCGGCATGGGACAGCGCACCGGCAGAGGGCATGCTGGGTTCGTGTGAAGACATGATGAAGATACCTTCATCGCTTGTACGATTCCCTAATCGGGTGGTTCGGCTACACAAGTCCGTGTGCCAAGTAGGATGGCAGAGCCGAGGCGCGGAGGCTGCATATTTATCTGGCAAGCTGGGCTCACGAAGATAGGTCATGGTGGTTAATTGCCGACGATTAGAGCTGTAACCGATTCGAAACGGGCGCCCTCTCTGCTGGGCTCGCCCTTGGCAAGTCGTTGCTGGATTCGGCGCCATGGCACCTGGCCTGCATGCGTCGCGGGATGCAGCCGTCAGAATCGGGCCAGCTGGAGCTGTGAGCCAGAGTGCTCAATCACGGCGGGCGAGGAAGGGGCCAGAAGAAAGGGCGTCGCCAGTCGGACGAGACTCAGTCCGGAAGCCCGAGAGCCAGCGTCGGGCCGTTCGCCCACTAGTGGTAGTAGGCCATCCCTAGGGGTGACGAGCGGACGGCGAGGGATGGGGCTCCCATATCGATAGCGGCAGGGCTGGAAGCGATGCGAGACGGGCAGGGTCGAGAGGCGAGCTGGCGCAGACGCCGCGGCGATGAGGTGATGTATGGGCTTCGGGCGTGGAATCGCGGAAGAAATGGGGTGGCCATATTTGGCGCCTCGCGGAAGCAAGGGTAGGGGTGCACAGACAGGCCGCTGGGCATCCGCCGCCGGCCTTCCGACCCAGGCGGGTCTTCGGCCTGAGTATTTGAGCGCGCCCTCCCGAGCCCGCCCGCCGCCAGCTGGCAAGCCGAAGCTCTGCAACTTGAACACAAACACAGACTGCGCCCGCGGGTCACGAGAGACGCCCAGCCCCCGTGCGCCTCCCTTCTCCGTCTGGAATCGGCGTCCTGAGCGTGCCCAACAGCCCCCGGCACATCACACATCGCATCCGTACCGTCCGCCGCCACAGCTCCTCGCCGGATCGGCATCCGTCGCCCATAGCGGCCGGCACGCGCGCGCGTTTCTTGATACACAGCCAGACGGCCTACTACCTCTGCTGGAACCCGCAACACCGCCAAAATTAGTCCCTCTACGGCAACGGGCGCCGCCCGCGCGCCCTCTCCTCCACCGCAGCCATCGCACAGTGCTCCACCGCCGCCGCCGCGGCTGCCCGCATTGCATGCTCAGGCTCCTCCGCCTCCACCAAGGCTGCCGTCGCCTTCGGTGCAGGCGTCCCCTCTGACCGCGCAACCATCGCCCTCCACCGTGCAGGCGTCTCCTCTGACCACGCCACACTCTCTTCCTGCTGCCAACGGCAGCTCGGAAAGCCACAAGCGCAAGTCCGACCAGCCTCGCATGAGGTCCTCCATCGCATGTACCAAGTGCCGCCGTAGCAAAGTCAGGTGCAACAACAACGGCGTGCACACGACATGCGAGGCCTGCAAGAAAAACGGCAGAATCTGCGAGTATCCATCAGGTGCCGGGGAGCCGTCCCAGCGAAGAGGGAGCATAGCCGCCCACCAAGATGCTTCTGGTGACCGACTGAATGGAGAGGTAAGTGAGCTTGATTCGTTACTCGTCCAATTTCGTTTGGTGTATGACAATCCATGCTGTGGGTGTTCGCTGTGGAGGCCGGTGGATGCACATGGATGGACCGGTCTGTATGTATAATGCCGGACCATGCTTCCCTATGACCAGCGCTAGCCTACTATCTCAAGACTGTCGACTCCATTGCTCCACCATGGGAGTGGATACGCGTCATTAGTGCTAGATCCAACAGCCCCCCGCTGTACACGTCGTTGCTCTTCCATGGCTTTTGACAATTCTAGCGCGTCACATTGACAGCGGCCGTACTGACTACGCCGCAGGTGCCTCCTAAAAAGAAGAAACTGGCTCCTTCATCGAGTGCTCGCGATCATCTGAAAGACAAACCTGCAACGCCTGAAGATGCGCTCGACCCGCAACTATTCACGCCGCAGATCTGGACGCAGTTGGTAAGCTACCTACCCTCGAGTGCTCGGGCCTAGCTCACCCCTTTAGTTTTCCATTTTCGAGCAGCACTTCGCTACAGACCTGCCTTTCCTGCATGCTCCCACCTTTCTCGAGAAACTACGACAAGTGGATCTGTCGTCTCCGCTCGACAATTCATTTGCGGCATTGCTTCTCGCATTTCTCACCCTCACTGCTCCCTTCCATGACGCCCTTGTCCAACATTCGTGGCGGGGTTCAGGACGTCCCAAGACTCCTATTGAGGTCTCCAAGAGATATGCAGATGCTGCTCGTGCACGTCTCGACGATAGCACGTTGAGCAAACCTACACTCGAATCGACGCAAGCGCTCTTAATGCTCGGCCTCCATGAATGGGGTCTATGGCAAGGGGCTAAGGCTTTTTTGACAATCGGCACAGCTATTCGTTGCGCCCAACAACTTGGCTGCCAGTATCAAGATGATCTAGACGACATGCAGGCATCCTGCGTAGAAACTCTCGACGCCGGAGACTCCGAACAACTATCCAGAGAAGAGCGATTCATTCGAGATGAGATCAAACGCCGGACCTTTTGGAGTTGTTTCATCATGGACCGTTACTTGGGTAGCGGCAAGTATCGCCCTCGAATGGTCCATGTCGGGGACCTACGTATACAGCTGCCTTGCAGCGAGCGCGCTTTCAATTTCGGACTCAATGTGAAGACGAGGAAGTTACGCGAAACCGACGAGGAGTTTTGCAAACGGCGGGAGAAGTATTCCCAGTCGAAGCGGCTCCGAAGCCCTGTTCTAGAGAATGGAAATGGGATCCGGTTTGGCAACACTTCGGTACACAACGATGACGCCGACGTTAAGTGGGAAGATGAAAGTGACCAAGAGACTCTGTCATGGTTTATCAAAGCCTTGGATATCTGCGGGGACACTATGCAGTGGGGTTGTACCGTCACCCGTCGGTAAGCTAGGACTTGCTCCGCCGACCTTGCGTTTTGATCGCTCATACGTGCATAGAAACGAAGAATTTGCACCATGGGACACCTCGTCCAGCTTCTACAAGTTTGAAACGCGGCTTAACGACTTGATCCGACATCTCCCCGTCGATCTTACCTTGAGCCCGTCCCGGACGAACGTCCACATCAGTTCGCGCACGGCGAGGAGCTACGTGCTGTTGCATAGTGCTATCACACTTTGCACCATCGCACTCCACCGAGAGTATCTACAATTCCTCCCATTTGGCTGTTCCAAGCCTGAAGGCCCTAAAGACGGGCCTCTGCCGCCTGGACGGCCGGACGAAGGCAATAAGTATTGGGAAGACCGTGCGGAAATATTCTTCAAGGCTGTCAGAGACTTTCTCGACATGATGTCGCTTTGCAGACAGCGAGGTGTATTAGTCGAGACCCCGCTTACCGGATTTTGCGTGTACCAAGTCGTATTCGTCGGTTAGTTTAGCTATGTTGACCCACAATGGGATTTTCGTAGGCTAACATGCTCTAGTGCTGTGGTGCGCTTTTTTCCCAAAGATGGACCAGCACAACTACTTGTGCACAAAAGGCACTCGGAACGACCAACTTCTTGGAGACAACTGGGAAAGAGCTTGGGGGATGTTAGACCATATGCGAGACAGACTACAAATGGCCCGGGGCTGGTGCAAAACCATTCACAGATTGTTGGAATTTCTCAAGAACGCGAAGAGGGATTACTCTGCGTGGGTGGGCTCGCCGAATACCAGCAGCTCCATTGGTAGTGGACGCAGCCTCAAGGATGGACTTACAGAGTATATGCCCTTTGAAAAAGATCTTAAGGAGTTCGGCAATCATCAGAAGGACGTGGATAGTGAAACCGGGGACGGCGAAAAGATCTCGATCGATCTGCGACCCCACCTTGACGAGGCGAGCGAATGCGGCAGCCCCCATGCTTTCAAGAGCGAGGACGGAGAGACAATCGAGGGTACTCCGGAGTCAGCATCACAGGCTCCAGGCTTCACAGCTGTCAATGGTAATGGCTCCATGAAGGCAAGCTCCGACATTGGAACGCCAAAACCGACAATCAGCCACTCGGGTGCTTATGGGCCAGGAACTCATGCTCCAACTCAAGTACTTCTGCACGGATCCTACAGACCTAGTTTCACATCACCCTCTGGTGAAGGCCCGCATTATCTACCAATGGGCTATCAACCGACCGCTGCGGAATCCGCGCAACGAGCTACGGCGCACCTGAATCACCATATACAGGATCAACCTATGGAAGACGCCTCGCTAACCGCGTATCCCCAAATGCGAGGACAGGAGCGTTTCGAGGCGTCCTATGGATATGTGTTTGACAATATGGATATTGCCCATTGGACAGGCGCCAGCGTGAGCCTTCGCGAAGGCATACCCGGTGTGCGGGCCCAGCCGCAGTCATTCATGTATGCCGTTCAGGAAGGACCACATTCCTTGCCGTATTATCAGGGGGACACCGGCCAGTAGCTGAGCATTCCCAAGCTGGTAAGTTGCATCGCCCTCGACTCCAGACATTTTCGGCCCTCACGTCTGGCCAATATGTATTATTATTTGCAGCATCCGGTACCGTTCGGTTTTCATAGATGTCCTCAATATCGGCGGTATTCAAGCTCTTGTTTTCTCATCTTGCCATGACGAAGGCAGCAGTTATTCCGGCAGCTGTTCTTGCACCAAGGAGGACTTTCTAGCCCAGGCTCAGGTGTACTCTCTCATGCGGGCGGCCACTGTGGAAGAGAAATGTGATTATGGCGCTATGAATTGCAACGATTTTTTCTATATCACGACAAGCATGGAGGTAGCCTCAATATTTGGTAGCAAAGAAATTCGGATTTTGTTTCCCGCGAGGGCTAAAGGACTGCCGTCTCGTCTCCTGTGCATCGTTTGCATGTGGTGTAGCTAGCTCCGGACTGAGTGGCACGGAGACGCTTGGGACCTCCCCTCCATACGATATCTTTGAGATGATGAGAATACCAAATTTCTCTGCGTTGACCCCCCGAACAGGCATATGTAACGGAAGACATCACAGAGAAGGCGGAAAGCTAACCTTCTTCGGTTAGACCATGACTCGCGCCCATCCTCCACATCCGCATCGCGTGGCTTCCATTCCGTCAATAACTTCATCCTTCAGAATCCACACACAGGAGTACCTCGGTCCGCACCTTCCACCCTCCCAGCCGGCACGGAGCTCAGCTGCAAAACCGTTCTAGAGCTTAATATACGCCAGCCGGGATGCATGCTCTAAATTCCCGGTACCACCCCCGCCGATCACCGCGGCTAAGGCATTTCTTGATTCCTTCGGGCCCATGATCCCCGCCTTTGCCATCTACGACCTGCGCGCTCCGGACGAAGGCATTGGTGGAATGTAGAGTGTTCCTGAGTTCCTGAGAAGAAAGGCCGGCGGGAACCCTTGCGGGGCCAATATGGAGAAAGAGCTCGGGCTGCATTGTCACGAGTGGAGCGCGGCACCTGGCGCGCGTCATGGTGCCATAGTGGAGGGACGAGATCCGGGTAGCTTGCTGCTTTGGTGAGTGGATAAGCTGCGGAGGAATTATTTTTCTTGGAGCTTAGCTACTGGGGAGGCTATTTACTACGTGCCGGGCCCCCCGAGTTTTCTGGGGAAAGCTCTGTTCGCGCTCTCTTCACTGACGTCTGCGTGTTTTGGGCAGGATGAAACGGCTTTTGAATTGTGTGAGCGTGGTCGCGCTGGCTTGTTTGGCAGTTGAGTCGGCGGCAAGAGCGGTTGGGTATTCGCCTAAGGAGTGGATCAGGCCGTATAAGAGGGAGCCGTTGCAGGATATTGTGAGTAGAGACCAATTGGCGTGGATGGGGACGGAATTGACGCGTTTTGCAGGTTACCTGGGATGAAGAGACCCTTTTCGTGAATGGAGAGCGGATCTTCTTGTATAGTGGAGAGGTTCACCCTTACAGGTACGCGTTACACTGTCTTTGGCAATTGGCGCAATCAAGCTGTGTGTGGACGACGCCGCTAACCGAAATGCAGACTCCCAGTCCCAGATCTCCACCTCGATATCTTCCAGAAGATCAAAGCTCTTGGATACAATGGCGTCTCGTTCTACGTCGATTGGGCATTGCTTGAAGGAACACCAGGAGTATATCGCGCTGAGGGCGTATTTGATCTGAATCCATTCTTTGACGCAGCCAGCAAAGCTGGAATTTACCTCATTGCTCGCCCGGGTCCTTATATCAATGCTGAGGCTTCTGGCGGAGGCTTTCCAGGGTGGTTACAAAGGATTAACGGCATCCTCAGGACCAGGGCTCCCGATTATCTGAATGCGACGGACAAGTAAGTCTGGCACTCGACGGGCGCAAATTCGAAGACTGACTTGTAAAGCTATATGGCATCCCTGGGCAAGACTCTAGCTGCGGCTCAGATCACCAACGGTGGCCCCATCATCCTCGTGCAGCCTGAAAACGAATACACAGGGGCAACGTCTAACGTCCAGCCCTTCCCGGATCCCGTATATATGGGCTACGTGGAAGACCAGCTGCGTAACGCCGGCATCGTAGTCCCGCTCATCAGCAACGACGCTTCACCTTCAGGACACAACGCACCGGGTCAGCCCGCAGCTGTTGACATCTACGGCCATGATGGCTATCCTCTTGGCTTTGACTGCGCCAACCCTACGACTTGGCCAGACGGTAAGCTTCCCACCAACTGGCGCAGCTTGCATCTGCAGCAGAGCCCAAGCACACCGTACTCCATCGTCGAATTCCAGGGCGGCTCTTTCGATCCATGGGGCGGACCGGGCTTCGGCAAGTGCTTGGTCCTCGTCAACTACGAGTTCGAGCGCGTGTTCTACAAGAACCTTTACAGCTTCGGCGTCACGATCTTCAACATATACATGACGTATGGAGGAACGAACTGGGGCAATCTTGGCCACCCGGGCGGCTACACTTCGTATGACTATGCGGCGCCTATTGCTGAGGGTCGGCAGGTGGACCGGGAGAAGTACTCGGAGCAGAAGCTTCAGGCGAACTTCTTCAAAGTTTCTCCTGCGTACTTGACTGCTGCACGCGGCAATGCTTCGAACACGGCCTGGACAACATCGACCGATCTGACTGTCACACCGGCGTTTGGCACGAATGGCACGAGCACGAAGTTCTATTTTGTTCGGCATGCGCAGTACAACTCGCTTGCTTCGACGAGCTACAAGCTGAAGATCCCGACGTCTGCGTTCGGAAATATCACGGTCCCGCAGATGAACGACACGAGCCTTACCCTCAATGGCCGCGATTCGAAGATTCATGTGAGCGACTACGACATTGGCGGAGCGACACTCGTCTACTCAACTGCTGAGGTTTTCACCTGGCACAAGTACGCGGATAAGACCGTGCTTATTGTGTATGGTGGACCGGAGGAGACGCATGAGCTAACGCTTGCTGTAACTGGCCTAGAGATGATTGAGGGAGAAGCAAGGTCGACTACGACACGAGGTTATACCCTACTTAACTGGAAGACGGATGGAACGAGGAAAGTTGCTAAGGTCGGCGTTGAAAGCAACTTCATCTATGTCTACATGCTTGGTAAGATCCCTCTACCCATCTCGTTCGACCACAACTGACTTCTCGCAGATCGCAACTCAGCCTATAACTACTGGTCCATCGATCAAGCGCCTCACGATTCATCCAACCCCGTCATTCTCAAGGCAGGCTATCTAATGCGCACCTCAAAAGCCTCCGGCTCCACGCTTGCCCTCACAGGCGATCTCAATGCGACAACGCCCATCGAGATCCTAGGCGGCGCCTCCAACATCACAACCCTTACCTTCAACGGCCAAGACTTCGACTTTAAGACCTCCAAAGAGGGCGTCGTAAGTGCTACCATCGACTTCCCCAAGCCGAAATTCAGCGTCCCCAAGCTAGACGAGCTCGACTGGAAATACATCGACTCGCTGCCCGAGATCCAATCCTCCTACGACGACAGCGCCTGGACACCCGCCGATCTCGAAAAGACGTACAACAGTCTGCGCCCCCTAACCACGCCCATCTCCCTCTACGCCTCCGACTACGGCTACCACACTGGCACGCTGCTCTTCCGCGGCTCCTTCACCGCCACCGGCGCCGAAAAGACACTCTACCTCTCCACCCAGGGCGGCTCGGCATTCGGCTCCTCCGCCTTCCTCAACAGCCAGTTCCTCGGCTCCTGGCGTGGCTACGACGCCGCCATGAACGGCAACTCGACCTTCACCCTGCCGAACCTCACCGCAGGCAAAACATACACCCTCACCGTCGTCATCGACAACATGGGGCTGGACGAGGACTGGACCATCGGCACCGAGACGATGAAGAACCCGCGGGGTATTCTGGACTACGCGCTCGACGGCCACGCGCAGGCCGACGTAGCCTGGAAACTCACCGGCAACCTCGGCGGCGAAGAGTATAAGGATATCTCGCGCGGCCCGCTCAACGAGGGTGGCATGTTCGTCGAGCGCCAGGGTCTGCATCTCCCCGGCGCGCTGTCCGCCTCCGCGCCCGCCAACTGGCAATCCAGCGCCGGCCCCGTAGCTGACGGCCTCACTGGCCCGGGAATCGGTTTCTTCGCTGCGGAGTTCGACCTCAGTCTGCCCTCGGGCTACGACATCCCGCTCAGCTTCACATTCTCTAACACGACGACGAACAGCACAGGGTCGAGCGTGCCAGCGTATAGAGCGCAGCTCTTCGTCAATGGCTGGCAGTTTGGTAAATACGTCAATAATGTGGGCCCGCAGACTGTGTTCCCCGTCCCCGAGGGCATCCTGAACTACCGCGGGACGAACTATGTCGGTCTGACGCTGTGGGGGCTGGATGATGGGCCGACGAAAGTAGGGGGGTTGGAGTTGACGGTTGATGGGATGGTGTGGAGCGGGTATGGCGAGATTCGCGTTGTGGAGGGGCAGATGTATGAAGAGAGGGAGGGCGCGTATTAGCAATTTTCATATGATCTAGTAATAGTAAAGCATTGCTATTCGTCGTCGAACTTTTCGTAAACACGTTATCTATAACCACGCAAGCCAAACGTCCCAGGGCAAAACATAAGTGTCATGAAACCATACCGCCCCCAAAACTCGCCGCCCGCACCCTCCGCCTCTCCTTCTCCCTATCCTTCACATCTCCCTTACTCCCGCTCTTCCGCAAACCGCCGCCGCTGCCGCCGCCGCCCACAGGATCAAACGGCTTGCGTCGCCTGACCAGCTGATAGCCGCGATCCAGCTCGACCTCGATCGCACAGCGCACTTTCAGCGCGCCCACCGCCGGCCAGACACTCCGCTCGCCCCTCAGAATCCAATAATCCAGCGCATCCTTGGTCGGATTCTCGAGTAGCTTGAAGAAGTCACTCGGCGTAAGCTCTGGGACCAGAGTCAAGCTCGCCCCGGGCACATTCTCATCGAGCAAAAACCGTCTTATGCTCGGGGGCAACACGCCCAGCTCGTCTAGCTGTCGCAGCCGATGTTGGATCTCCATGACAATCAGCCTCAGCACTGGCATACTCAGTTTGAAGCGCCCGCCATCCTGCTTCGGGTTCGGGTGGTGCAGATCGCTCCTTAAGAAGGGGGCTAGGTAAGGGCGCGCCTGGGACACGATGAAGTGGTTTACGTTGAAGAGCTCGGCGATGCGGTGAAGGGGGCTTTCGCGGTCGGTGTAGGACGCGTGGGTCCAGGGGCGGAAGGTGGTTTCTATAGCGGGGGACCAGGGGATGATGGCGCCGGAGTCGTCTTTGCACATTAGGGTTACGGGGTGGTAGAGGGTTGTGGAGGAGGCGTTGGAAGCGAGGGCGGCGGACCAGATTAGCTGGTAGAGTGTGTTAGCAGAGGATGGAGAGGGGAAAAGGGAAGGGAGGAAGACGTACGACGTTGGGTGCGGTGAGGTAATTGAGCAGGTTTGGCACGCCTCCACCGCCGGTTGTGGAGACGGTGATGTTGAGCACACGCTTCGTCTTGATGTACGCTTCTTCGAAGGTGAGGTCCTCGACGTTCGCGCGCACGACTTGCTCCAGTATGCCGACATCCAGAAAGTATCCTTCTTTTATGAAGCGCTTCACGCGCCGCACGAGCGTCTGGAACCAAGTGCTTTGTCCATTGTTCTCCTGTCCTTCCTTCCCCACACTCGAATGTTTCGTGAATGCCGTCAAGTTGATGCTCGACCCCTTCAAGAAATCCAGCAGCTCATCTTCCGTGTGCACACCTACAAGCGCTGCGATCAGTGCCCCGGTAGCCGTGCCCGCAATGATTCGAGGAAGCAGTCCGCGAAGATGCAGCGCCTTCACCACCCCCAAATGGCACAGTCCGAATATCGCACCGCCCTGAAGCACCAGCACCGACCTCCCAAACGCTTGTCTCGTATCGTGGAACACGTCTAGCTTCTGCTGGTTCGTGAGCCCGGAGTCCGGCGTCGTGGGATAGCTCGTCACGTAGTCGATTGCGAGGGCGACTTGCGTGATGTAATCTTCGATGAGAAGTTTTGTCCCCGCATACGCGCGATTGAACAACCGTGCTGCTGTTATATTGCCTAGATTCCGTACGAGACCGCTGCGGAGGAGGCTGACGAGGGAGAGAATGTCGTCTTCTTCGCGGGCTTCGATGATAGCTTGGAGGCGCTCGTAGATGAGGCGGTAGTCGTAGAATTTGGAGGTTGGATTCTGGCGCCTGTGATTCCACGCGTCAGCAGTGTGGTTCTAGGAGCGCGAAGTGTGTCGAGGACGGGATGGGGAGTGCTTTACCAGAGATCATATCCTAGCACCTCATCGAGCTGGAACGCCGCAGCCTCCCATTCCTCAAAGATGCGCGCCTCGGCAATAGTTTCGAGCAGCACATCGCGCGTGCTCTTCTTCGTCCACCAGTTGTAGAGTCTCTTGAACATCCTCGAATCAGCTCACATGCCAAACAACACCAATCACAACTGCCCGATTCAATCCACAACTAGAACCTTGCGATAGGTCGCGCGACAGCGATAGACGGGAGACGTACCAGCTGCCAGAAAAACGCAACCTCAAAGAAACAACTGTAGACGCTCCTCAAGACGTCGGTTAAGCTCCATCCCGGCGACATGTCGAGCGATCATCCGGTTGCGCTGCCGAGCAGGCGGGCATGTCGCATCACGCTGATGCTATTTGTTGTAGGCTTCGGGGATATGGTGGGATTGAGCATGGGGGGCGTTGTTGCCCGCTTTGAGCCCGAGCTGCAGGCTTTCACATGTTCGGGGTTGCAAGCTTGTCTCGGGGAACGGAAAGGGTCGCGCTGGGGTGTGGCGGTGCGGGAACGGGCACTAGCCACGGTATGTGGAATGCGAAGGGACGTCATTTCTTGGAATTCGAGACGCTTGTCGTCGTTGAAGAGGAAAGGCAAAGAGAAGGACTAAGACGATCAAAATGCCAGGGTCCTCTCTCTGGCTTCTCCTACCCGCCTCTCACCCCCTTTCCGCCGTTCTCCCACCGCTCATCCAGCAAACTGCCGCTCGCTTCAACTCCCCGCACACATTCATCCCTCACGTAACTCTAACTTCCGAAATTGATCCTTCCGTCTATTCCTCTGATCCTCAAGCCTGGCTTTCCAGTCTCAAATTCCCCTCCCGAGAGGACGTCCGGGTGAAACTCGGCAAGCTTGAAAGCCAAGATGTCTTCTTTAAGAAACTGCATTCACGAGTGGAGAAGGAAGGGGTAAAGGAGGCGGGAAGGGTTGCTAGGTCGGCGGTGGATGGGTTTGGAGAGGAAGCGAAGGCAAGGGAGTGGGTTGAAGGGGAGTGGATGCCCCATTTGAGTTTGCTTTAGTGAGTTTTTTCGGTGAGGGAAGTGATGGCATGTGTGCTGAGTTCTGCAGTCATGATTGCCCGAAGGTTGACGAGAAGGGCTTGGCAGAGATTGAGAAGTTTGTGAGGAATGCTGGAGTGAATCTAGAGGGCGAAGGTGAATTGGGTGGTTGGGTCGGTGGAAGAGTTGTGCTTGTGCCTACGGATAAGCCGATTAAGGAGTGGGCGCCTATTGCCGAGAGGGAGCTGTGAGGCTTCCTTGGAGAGGGGAAAATGGAACTACAAGCAAACAAGAACGAGCGCAGGCTCCTAGGCTACTCTGGCCGGAACTATCGACGGTGATGGCCTCAATTGGAGCGGACGGGAAGTCATGAAGATGTAGAAGCTACGGAGAGCTTCCAGTATTTCATTTATGCGGAAGAAAGCTTCGCCGCTGATGCTCATGTATACTGTAACCACCCAATGCCGTACCAATTCAAACCGGTTCATGCTGTCATAGTCGCTAAACGCCGCCTTATGCAATCGCCAATAGATGGCACAAACGTTCAATTCTTCAATAAGACATCGCGACTACCTTTCTTCACCTCAGTTAATGAAGGCCTGCCCCTTCGCCCTCCAAATGTCCGGCAAAACTCGGACTAGCTCCGCGGCGTCATGCACCCCGTTACGGTCTCTTGATACCCTGTTCGGAAGATCGAGAGTCGCTCGCCGTACGACCGCCATTGCCGGAGCTCCATAAAAGGCAAGGAACTTCTTGACATAATCCCGCAGAAGCCCTTTGAGCACCATAAAGTGCCCGGGATACAGGGCCTCAGAAGGCGTGTTGCAGATGGATACAACCGCGCGCCAGTAATCGGACATTGGAATAGCGGGACTCTTCCCGGAGAACTGGCGAAGAGAGAGCGAAGCATACCCAGAACCATAGCCCGTCATGGCTTCCCCGTAGTCGTTCTCGCTGTCTGGATTCAACCAGCCCAGACGCTTTCGTCCTTCAATTGTTGCCATGGTGCCTCGAATACCAAAGAGGATGGGGCAAACGCGATGTAACTTGGCCAAGATGATATCCGTCATCGGTATTCCCTTCCACATGTACCGTTGATCGGCGAGCAAGCTAGCCGATATTAAGCCAATCTCCTGGGTAACACCCCCGTCTTCACTGGAGGCTTCTTTATGGAATTGCTTCAGGACTGACTTTTCGAAGCATATCCAAACGTAGAGGAGGAATGCGGGGTATTGTGCCTCGGCTTCATTGGATAGCGCGGGTATCTGATGCGAAATGATAAAGTGCCGGATATCTATCGTAGGGCCAGGAGTCTCAAGCGCCTTATTAAAGCATTCTTCTCGTAGCTTCGCTATGGCTGCTACGCTGTCGCGTCGGTCCACGGTGATTTGGCCAAGCCTCTTACGCACATTTCGACGTGCGTCGCCGACAGGTTCTTTGAGCGGGTCGCCTCTCTGTCTGTGCTTTTCGAAGAAATCTATCCGGAACTTCTTCATCCGCATGTGCAGTTCAAGATACTGGGCGTGGAGTTCTTCTATGCCAGGTCCGGCGGTAGATGCAACGGCAGCGTGCGTAGCCGCGGCTGATGTCGATATCGTTGGTGTCGAAAATAGCTGTATAGCTTGTGGAGCCTGCTGTGCCCGAGTCTTCTCAGCGGCGGCTGCCACCTCCATTGCCTTCTTGTCCGCATCCGCCTTTTCTATCTTCTGCCGTCGGGCTGCCTCTTCTTGCTCCTTTTGTGCCTTCAGTCTCGCTTCTGTCTCCTGGATTTGCTTCTGGTTCTCTGCAGCCTGCCGTGCCGCCTCTTCCTCGCGCCTCTTCGCTTCCAATCTCTGCCGCTGGGCCTCCGCTTCCTGGCGAGCCCTCTCATGGTTCAAACGTTCAATTTCCCGGCGCTGCGCCTCCTCTCGTCTTTGGCGTTCGTGCTCTTGCTCCAGTAATATGCGTTGTATCTCGAGCTTGGCTCCTTCCTGGACTCTTTGATGCTCGTGCGCGGCTTTGGTGAGTTGTTCGTGGTGCATCTTGGCGCGCTCGGCAGCGGCTTGATCGAGGCGCTCATTGAAGTCTCGATCAGATCGGCTGAGCATGAGATTGAACTCGACCTGGATCTGCCGCGAGGGGCTGTCGTAGGGCTCTTTGATAATGCTTCCCCGGGGAGTGCGGACGCCATTTCGGTTGGGGGATTGTCGTGTCGGGGAGCCATCGAGCCAGCTGGAGCTGAGGGACGCCGCGGTGTTCATGCTGGACGACGACGCGCCCGATTTAGCGGGCATCGCGGTCGCTGGGGGGAATTGGTCTCGACAAACGGCGTGGTAGGAAAACCGGGGAGGTTGGTGAGCGCGTCGACCTCAAAGACTAAGGTCGGGCGGAAAAACGATCGGCCGACGAGGGGGCCTGAGCGCTATGCAGAGGCTCGGCACAACTTCCCCGCGCCTCTCACGGATCTATCCCGCGCGATTCTGTTTTCACTCCTGCAGTCGCGGCTTTCACTGGTGGTGGCTGTGCTCTGCTTTCACACGCGCATTCGCCTACCTGAAGCACCTCAGAGCCTGATGCGGCGTCTGCCAAGTGGGATAGTCCAAAGCGAGGGTAGTGCGACAGCGCCATCCAGAGAAAGTCGAGACGAGAGCCCAGGATACGCGGCGGCGCAGACGGCGGATCACCCAGGGTCTAGTGACCCGAGTACATAGCCTGGCTCCTCCACCAACCTCCTGCATCCACGGCCAGTCTCGCTGGATGACCAATGGCGCCCGCCTTCTAGACGAGAGGGCATGGCACGCACGACGTTTGACAGAACGTGATGGCTGGGATGAGGTGCAGTCGAGGAAGGCCCGATTAGAGAGCCCACGCACGGCGCGTACAGTACTCGCAGTGTAGAAGACAACTATGAAAGGCATTGTACTGTGCAGCTCGCGTCCTCGAGCAATAATGGACCCGCAGAGCTAGTTGCTAATTGTACTGAGCTACTGGCTGTCACTGGTCTCCAGCACGGAGTCTGGACGACCCCCCGCCCACGCCTGCGGAAGACGCACCCACGCCGGCACTGCAGCTCCCAGGTCGAGCATAACAAACACAGACAGCCGAGTGTTTGCGTGCCGTCGGCTCCCCGAGCGAGCGAGCCTGTGCTGCGGCCGTGATATGCGAGGAAACTGACTAGCAGCTCCTCGTTGAAACGCGGAGGCCAAACCGCTGCAAAACGAGGTGCAGTGCTTCACCTGGCCGGCGCTGAGACCTGGTCCCCGCGCGATGCTTTTGTTTCCTTGCGCGGGCCTGTATTTATAGCCTCGTCGCCCGCAAGGCCGCATACTGCGCTGCGCCTGGGGCTGCTTGACTTTCGCTGCTTCTCCTGTGGTGCCGTCTTTCGTGGGACTCTGACGTACGACGGTTGCGGCTGCCGATCGCTTCCCTATAGAAGCTGAGGCCACTCCGTCCGCACTTGCGCTCTCCTCCTCCTCAGCGCAGTCTGACCTCCCCATTCACCACCCGCCCTTTCTCTCTCTTCCTCTGCGCTGCGGTCGCTCCCTCTTCGCGCGTTCCCTCCATCCTCATTTGGTTGCTTTTGCCTGCCTACAGCCCGCTCCCAGGGAAACCGCTCCTTGAACTCGGTCAACGCCCGCCCCTGCACCCCCGATCCTTATCACCACCACAGCTTCGACACCGTCCCCCAGCCGCTCTCGTCAGTCACTTTGCAGAGCTTTACCTGTTTGCCAGCATCGATTCTAGACATCATCTTGAGTGCGCACCCCGCCTTTCCGCGCCTTCGCCAGCAGCAGTGTGAGTGCTCCCACGCTAGCATCCCAGGCATCCCGCCGTCCAGGCCCTTGCCACGGGCTCCCCCGCTCTGTTTGCTTCTCTCCCGCTATCCGCTGCATCGCCCGCCGCTGTGCCGTTTGCGATGGCGAAAGGCTAACTCGCTCCAGATAATCCACCGAGTACCTTTTCGACCAATTCGTGTCCTTAGCGGCCTCGACTGTGTCGACCGTCACTTTCAGTGTACAGCTACAGTACATCTACACCTGCGGGCACGGGCTTGAACCACCACAACAGTCTACACCATGGACCAGCAAGGCCAGCCAGGCCCTATGGGCCCTGCCGGCCGTCGTCTGCACATCGCTCATCGACGTAGCCCGTCTGAGCTGACTCCGCTGATGAGTGCGTGCGCCCTCCCCTCTCCTATCGGCGCAACTGCTGACAGCCCGTGTAGTGGAGCAACTGGCCATCGCCCAGCAGATCGAGGTGTTACAGCAACAGCAGCAGCAGATCGCTGCGACGCATCAGCAATATGTTAACATGGGCATGATTCAGCCTCAGCAGCACCTTCCCGGCAATTTCCAGATGCAGGGACAGATGTCCAATGTATCGCCACACACAAACCAATTTCAGTTCCCGCAGCAGATGCCCCAGCAGCATCTCGCGGTGCCAATGAATGCCCCCTCCCAGCCGTCCTCCCACCGCCGCAACCAGTCCGCCCTCCCCAACGTCATGGGGCCTCCCCCGGCTCCGTCATCGGGCGCTTCAGGCTTCGGCGAATACGGCGGACAGCAGGGAAATCAGAGCAGAGAGAATGTCAACCCGCGCGGCCGCGGTGGCGGCGGCGCCGGGTCGGGACACACCCGACGACACTCTTTGGCTCTTCCCGAAGCCAAGAAGGCGGCCGAGCTGGCGGAACAGAAGAGAAAGGCTTCTGGCTTCCAGTTCCCGCTTCCTTCTGCTGGCGGATCCAGCGCCAATCGTGATCAGAGCCCCAGCGGCAATAGCGCCACCGAACAGACACCTTCTACGCGTGGCCGAGGCGGTCATGGCCGCAGCCAGAGCATGGCTGTTGGGCGCGGCGGTGGCAACGCCGGTCGTGGTGGTGGGAGCTTCCAGTTCCCAGGCCCACAAGCGTCGAATGACACCAACAACGGTTCTGGGCAGTCCGACTTCCAGCGACGTGGCAGCCAGGGTCACGGGCGGTCTCAGTCTCGAAACTTCGACGGCAATTGGAGGCAGCCCCAGAATCAGCAGCAGCAGCAACAACAACAACAACAACCGCAGGACAATCAAGCTCAGAACATGGGCAACTTCAACATGAATCAGACCGCCAACGCCGCTCCTTTCCAGCCAGGGCACCGAACGCGTGGCTCTGTGAACCAGTCGATCGGTTCTATCGGCAACTTCCAGTATCCTGGCCAGCCCCAGCTCGTCCAGCTCCCGCAGGGCCAGGTGCTCCTCCCGCAGCAGATGTTTGGCGGACAAGGCCTCAATCCCCTGCAAATTGCCCATCTGCAAGCTCTCCAGGCTGCTCAGATGAACGGTGGAGGTATGGGAGGCCTCGGGGCGAGCCAACACGCGCAGCCGCAGATGGCTATGCAACAGCAACAACAACAGCGAAAGACGCTATTCACTCCTTACCTGCCGCAGGCCACCCTGCCTGCCCTTCTTAGCGACGGACAGCTGGTCGCTGGTATTCTTCGTGTCAACAAGAAGAACCGAAGTGACGCCTACGTTACCACTACCGATCTGGATGCCGACATCTTCATCTGTGGTAGCAAGGACAGGAACCGCGCTCTTGAGGGCGACTTGGTCGCTGTCGAGCTCCTCGACGTCGACGAGGTGTGGGGACAGAAGCGCGAAAAGGAAGAAAAGAAGAAGAGGAAGGATAATGCTGATCCCCGCGGCAGCAACATTGCTGTCAACGATGCCACGACTCAGCCGGAGACCAGCCAAGGTGAAGGTGGTATCCGGCGCCGAGGCAGCTTGCGCCAGCGTCCTACGCAGAAGAAGAATGATGACGTTGAAGTCGAGGGGCAGAGCTTGCTACTTATGGAAGAAGAAGAGATCAACGATGAGCAGAAGCCATTGTATGCTGGCCACATTGTCGCCGTCATTGAACGTGTCGCCGGTCAAATGTTCTCCGGGTAAGTCTGGCAACGCGATGAATGTTGGATTGAGGCTAACCAGGATATAGTACGCTTGGACTTCTGCGCCCTAGCAGCCAGGCTACAAAAGAGAAGCAGGAGGCCGAACGGGCAGCTCGCGAAGGCAGCAATTCTCGTCCTGAACCACAGCGTCAGCAAGATAAGCCCAAGATCGTTTGGTTCAAGCCTACCGACAAGCGTGTTCCTTTGATCGCCATTCCTACCGAACAGGCCCCCAGAGACTTTGTCGAGAAGCACCAGGATTACGCCAACCGCATCTTCGTCGCATGCATCAAGCGATGGCCAATTACCTCTCTACACCCCTTCGGTACCCTTGTGGAACAGCTAGGCGAGATGGGCGACCTTAAGGTGGAAACCGATGCTCTCCTACGGGACAACAACTTTGGTCCTGATGACTTCTCCGATGCTGTCATCAAGAATGTCGGCTTCGAAGAGTGGTCTGTCGCCAACGACGGCGAGGCCGCTCTAGAGAACCGCCGCGACTTCCGAAGCGAGGAGACGTTCACGATCGATCCGAACGGCGCAAAAGAGTTAGATGATGCTGTCCACTTCAAGTACTTGGATGACGGTCGCGTCGAGATCGGTTTCCATGTCGCCGATGTTGCCCACTTCATCAAGTCGAATTCGCTTGTGGACCGCGAAGCAAAGAAACGTGGCACGGCCGTTTATCTCATGAACCGCACGGTCAACATGCTACCACCGCGTCTCTCATCTGAGATTTGCTGCTTGAGCCCCGGAGAAGAGCGCTACACCGTCAGCGTGGTGTTCAAGGTCGATCCTAACTCTGGACATGTATACGAGGATGAGACCTGGATTGGCAAGTCTGTAATCAAGAGTTCAGGCAAATTGTCGTACGAGGAGGTTGATGCCGTTATCAACGGTAATGACCTCGAAGTTTCGGCTAGCCGAGCCAAGGACATCAAGATGCTCCACCACATCACCCAGAAATTCCGACAGGCACGCTTTGGTGATCGTACTACGGACATCCCACCTCTGCGGCTCATGTATCAACTTGACGATGAGAACGTCCCCGTTGAGGAAAACATCTTCGACTCCTCTCCTGCACACGAGTGCATTGAGGAGCTTAGCCACAAGACGAATGCTTTCGTGGCCAAGAAGATTGCCGCTGGCCTTCCGGAGAAGGCTCTTCTTCGTCGACAGCCTTCGCCCAACTCCCGCCGCTTGCAGACAATTGCCGACCGCATGAATGCGATTGGCTACCCGATCGATACTACCAGCAGCGGTACGCTGCAGAACAGCCTGTTCCAAGTGGACGACGACGATATCCGGAAGGGTATGGAGACGCTTGTCATCAAGTCCATGATCCGTGCGAAATACTTCGTGTCTGGAAAGCTACCAGAAGATCAGCATCCCCACTACGCTTTGAACCTGCCGCTCTATACACACTTTACCAACCCATCTCGACGATATGCCGACATCATCGTCCATCGCCAGCTGGAGGCCGTCCTGTCCAATGGTGCGACTGACTTCACCGAGGACATTGAGGTCCTGGCGAAGACTGCAGAGATGTGCAACACCAAGAAGGACTCTGCTCATTCGGCACAGGAGCAGAGCGTTCACATTGAAGCATGCCGCAAGATGGACAAGATGAGGCAGGATCTAGGTGGCGACCTGATCAGCGAAGGCATTGTTCTCTGCGTGTACGAGTCGGCGTTTGATGTCCTCATCCCCGAGTTTGGTTTCGAGAAGCGTGTCCACTGCGACCAGCTTCCTCTGAAGAAGGCAGAATTCGACAAGAACAAGCGCCTCCTCGAGCTCTACTGGGAGAAGGGTGTCCCGTCCTCTGCTTATATTCCCGAGGACGAGAGGCCCAAGCACGGTTCAGCGCGTGCCGCTACTGCCGCCGCCGCCGCACGTGACGCCGAAATTGCTAAGCAGCGTGCGAAGGAGCAGGAGGAGGCCCAGCGAAGGCAAATGGACACGGGCACGATGTCGACTGATGATGTGGATGCGTTGTTTGATGATGAGGATGACGACTCGAATGATCTGACCGGGGCTATGGCCGGCGTTTCCTTGAACCCATCGGGAGCGGACCGCCCGACGCAGAGCATGCCTCCATCACCAACCCGAAACGGTCTGGGGTCGGGCCAGGCCCCGCACCGCGTCAAGTCGGACTCGAAGCTCGCTCAGAGCGCCAGTGAAGCCCCAGAAGCCAAGCTCACGAACAAAGAGAAGTATCTAAGCTGGTTCACCCTGCGAGAGGAGAACGGAGACTATATCCAAGACGTGCGGGAGATGACTCGCGTGCCAATCATCCTTAAGACGGATTTGACGAAGAGCCCGCCGTAAGTGGTTCCCTGCAACTCACATGTTTCGATCTGCTGACTTGTTTGACTAGGTGCTTGACCATCCGGTCCCTCAACCCCTACGCTCTCTAAGAGCCTTTCCCGGTCCGCCGAGGCGGCCTCCATGACCGTCACAAATGATTGATGTCTCTGCATCCCGGCATCGCTTTGGCTTTACGCTTGCTGTCGTGTCTCTTTCACCCGCAAGCACCTCATCTACCACGTCGCGCAGTCTGAGTCATACCTATGTCTTCCGGTCTGGGCGTTGCCAGCTATTCCTTACCCCATTGATCGATTGCCGCGGCTGTTCCTGTTTCCGGTGGATTTGTGTAGAGAGAAATTGCATGGCGCGAACATATACTAGGTTGAGTGGAGTGGGGGAGACAGACAGAGGAATCTGTATTCTTGATGTGTGCAGTGGTTAAAAGTACGAGACCGAATATCTTAGCAAGTCAGCAGGAGGAACAGTGGGTATTATATTAATGTGTTCTCGAGTGTCGAAGCCCCTAAGTAGAGTCAATATTGCCGTTATGCGTTCATCTTCTTTAGCCGTCCTCGTCTGAATCGAGCATGTGCCTTTGATCCACAAATCTCGTTTGCGTCCGGCAGTGCTGGATGCTCGTTTTGTGTCCGGCAGACAGTGATGGAGGATCCGGAGGCCTATGCTTGGAAGTTCTGGATTGGTCGCACAATGCGAAACGTCCTCCAAGGCTAATGAGCGTTCCGTCGGATACGCACTTCGCAGTTGGTTCCATGTTTTATCCGCTTGAAGCTGTAGAACAGCCTGCCGGCATCCGAGGAGGCTCCTTGATGCTTGGCTGCTTGGACGAAGCTTGGTGGATGGGGCAGTTAGATCTGCAACCCTTCAGGAACGGCTAGCCCCTGTCACAGCGCCCCTATCAGTGCCATGCGCAATCCGGGGCTCTCGTCTTTTTCAGCCTGAGGCACGCGAAATTGGACAGTGGATGTGATCGCCCGTCATGTGCCTTGGCGGGCCTTGTGGTGTTTTGGATGCCTCCGCCACGAGCGTCTCCCAGCCTCTTCGCCTCCGAACTCACCTGGGCATCACCACCAGCGCTCAGTATCCTCGTCCCAACGACAATGTTAACCGCTCATCTCTCCGCGCTTTCGAAATCTGCGCAACGCCTCGGAAGAAGCGATTGAAACATTTCATCGAGTGTTTGACGCCTGCGAGACCCGACGGAGCATGAAAAGCTGACTATTCGCGCGTCCGGCAGAGCACTGCTCAACCACCACGCAAGCATCCGTCCGGATACGCAGCCAGCCGTCACTTATCAGCCATGCAATGAAAAAAATAAGCCCAGAACGCAGCGCCCGACGACGGCTGCACCTCCTCCGAGTCGCGAGGGGTGCGAGGTCGTGACCGGTACGGTTTCATGGCGTGGCCTAAGCGTCGCAGCACCCCGGTCCTGCTACACCTCACGTCCTCAACCTCAACCCCCATCATACCGCCGCGAACTCCCTCAGCGGCTGCCACGGCACTACCAGGCCGTTCCTAGCGGATCAGAGGCCCTTCGGCCAAGCCCAAAGCTTGACTGGCCACAGATTCGGTAGGTGGACCAGGCGTGGGCGGGATCGCTGCAGTCCGCCATCCTGCCACGAGCGCGCATCCGTCCTCCGAATTTTACTATGGCGTCTCAGGTACAGCCCTTGAGTCGCAGTGCGGGCTATAAGGTCCATTGGCCGCCCACCTCTGTTTCCCTCGAACGTTTTCTGTTGGATATCAGCTAGCAGAGGCCCTTCCATCCAGTACTCTCTACCTAATATTCCACCACACTCCTTACCACTTCTCTTCTCTACCTCTGTCCCTGGTTGGACCTTAGGAAGTTAATACTTATTCAAAGCGAGACTTTGCTGGTCGTCCTTCACTCCCAAATTCTATCAATTTCAACAGCACCAACTTAATTCAGCACAATGCCGAGCGTACGAACACTGATTACCGGGCTCTTTGCCCTGGCGCCTCTCGCGGCTGCCGCTCCCACCAAGGTCCGCGTCCGACAAGAGTCCTCATCAGCGGCGGCTTCATCAAGTGCCGCCCCGGCAGCAACAGGCGCGGCGGCACCACCAGCTGGTGGCTTGAGCGATGTTGACATCCTTCAATTGTGAGTATGCAAGAACTTGTATCTGATCCAGCCGGACTAACACGTATCCAGCGCCCTGACCGCAGAGCACCTCGAATCCGAATTCTACAAGCAGGGTTTCGCCAAATTCCCCGCAAGCGACTTCCAGGCCCTTGGTCTCACCGATGCGCAGATCAAGTCTCTTATGGGTGTTGGACAGACGGAGGCTACCCACGTGTCGACGCTTCTGAGCGCAATCTCCGGAGCTGGAGCTCAGCCCGTGGAGGCCTGCCAATACAACTTCGATGCCGCCCTCGCGGATGCGAAGACCATGGTCGCAACCGCCCGTGTCCTCGAGGCCGTCGGTGTCTCTGCCTACCTCGGAGCCGCTCCTCTCGTCAACTCATCCGACGTCCTCACTGCTGCGGCAACCATCGTGACCGTTGAGGCCCGCCACCAGGCCTTCATTCGCGTGGCTTCCGGAGCCGAGCCTGTTCCCGCCGCTTTCGACACTCCCCTAGGGCCCCGCGCTGTCTTCACCCTAGCTGCTCAGTTCATCAAGTCCTGCCCTGAGGGCTCCAACCTGAACATCCAGGCTTTCCCCTCCATCTCGCTCCAGAATCCCGAGCAAGCCACCGTTGGCCAGAACCTCAAGTTGGCAGACGCCGCTCAGCCCTCCGGCGCCCAGTTCTGCGCATTCGTTGCTCCGTAAGTTACCTCGCAGCCTCGCAGCAAGAACGTAGCTAACAGTTACTTAGTGGTGGCAACCAATTCTCGCAAATCACTGACGGCAACTGCGTCGTTCCCCAGAACCTCCAGGGTGAGGTGTACATGATGATCACCAAGTCGCAGTCGGTCGCCGATGCTGAGGTCCTCGCCGGCCCCTCCGTCATCCAGCCCTCATAAACGCCCATCGCTCACCGTCATGGCCAGCACCGCCGCCATATTTTTTTTCTTGCTATTTCATCATGATTATGAGCGTTTAGAGGTCGCAGGGGCTGCAGCATTACGGACAAGCGAAGCGAAAGCGTCGAAGCGTACGTGTACGACATCATTTGCCTTCACTACAGTCGTTGAATACAAGCGTTGATCTCAAGAATTCTTTTATTACTGTTCATGTTCTTCTCTTTCTTTGTTTTAGAGGCAGGAGGTTACTGCACCATTGTGGGCCTCTCTTTGCAGCAGAATACCCCAGCTGTTGGATTTGCATGTAGGTAGTGTATTGTGGTGATTACTAGGGGGGAAAAGATTCAGGAATCTTTGGATAGGATGGTTGTGGATAATCGAGAAAGCATGGAGTCACTTTCGGATGGATCGGCACGTAGCTGAAATTCGATATGATAATTCTTCAAACGGCTCTGGATGCAGAATTTGAGTTCGTGACGACGGCTGGAATGATTGAGGCTGTTTTGCCATGGACTTTTTGCGACCAGGAGGGTTTCAGCCCTCACTCGATGCTTTCCCGCTAATTCTCCGTCCATTCGGAGATCCTTGCGAGTACGGACAGCACGTGCGGCTTGAGTCCTGCTCCGGCCCGGCATGACGCCAATCGCAGTTGTATGCGTGCCAAGAGCTAGATACGAAGATCCATTTGCCACGGTCACATCAGTGCAATTGTCAGCGCCCCTCTTCCTGCAACCAGTCAACGCTCTTTTACACCGTTCGCTGCCAGCTGACCTTGGCTTTATGAGATAGCCATCCAGTCTCTCTCGAGACTCGGAAGCGCCTTCAGCTGCGGTGGATTTGCGGGCCGCGGAGCCTGAGAGAATACCCGAGGTTCTACCGCCCGCTTTCGTGCTCGTTCAATGTGGAGCCGAACCCCAGTTCGTGGGTGAGCTTTGCCGGAAGAGGAAAGGAGGGGAGCTGGCGGCATGCATGGCAGATCGCGCTGTGGAGGGCGACTTTTCTTGACTCCACGTATGCTGCGTCTTTCGCTAGGCTCTTTTCTGACCGTGAGTCAAAGGAGCTGGAGCGGCCTGATGACTTGAAGAGAGGGGTATAAAGCCGAGTTTGCGTTGAGCGGATTGAACGAGGGCAGGCTGGCGATTATCTGAGTCTTTCGTCATATCCCCAGTTCTTCTGCATGTTGATATCGCAGTTTCTCTCCCACTTGCGTTGAACTGCTGAAGAGTTATACACACTTCTGCCATACGCAGCAGCGCGAGAGGACCTCATCAAGGCCATCGAGCACCTGCTGTACCAGCTGCCTTGTGGAAGGATCGACCCACCAAAGAAACCTCCTTCACACACCACAGCCATGGCATTCCGCGAGAACGGCGGCTCATCAACCTGCATCATGGAGCCCACCATCGAGCTCCAAGACGTCTCTCACTACATCACCAAACCGGACAACGCCCGACTACCCCAATCAAAGTCGAACTTACAGCTCGATGAGACGACGTCTCAGAGAAGCCAGCAGGAGGACGACGATCCGGTGGAGAGTCTCCCTTCTCCGACCACGCAGGCGGCTGTGCGGCTGGAAAGATGGAATACGCCGAGATTGAACTTCTGGAGGACCTTGGCCGCGTTTTGGAGCTTCGTGGTTATGGGGAGCAATGATGCGGCTTATGGTGTATGTGCCGAACATAACCTCTCGTTTGGAGTAGAAGCTAACGAATTGTGATAGGCATTGATCCCATATGTATGGCCATTGAGCAATCAATGCACTTATATATATATATATCAACTGACACCTTCCACAGCTCCAAGAATACTACAACCTCACCTTCGTAGTAATCTCGCTAGTCTTCCTCTCCCCCCTCGTAGGCTACACCGCCTCCGCGCTCCTCAACAATGCCATCCATCTCAAGTTCGGGCAACGTGGCGTCGCCATCATCGCCCCTGGCTGCCACCTCGTCGCCTACATCGTCATCGCCGTGCATCCCCCTTATCCGGTCCTCGTCGTCATCTTCATGATCGCCGGGTTTGGGAACGGCCTCGCGGATGCGGCGTGGAATGCCTGGATCGGTAATATGGCGAACCCGAATGAAGTGCTGGGGTTTCTACATGCGTTCTACGGACTGGGCGCTGTGTTGGCGCCGCTGGTAGCAACGACGATGATTACGAAGGGGCAGCGGTTGCCGTGGTATTACTTCTATTATGTCATGGTACGTTACCTTCCGCCCCCCCTCTCCGCCCAAACACCTAGAACAAATAACCCTAGCTGATAGACACACACATAGATCGGCATGGCCGCCATCGAAATCCTGACCTCCATCTCCGCCTTCCGCGCCGCCACCGGCGCCATCTTCCGCGAGAACAACCCGCGCACCACAGGCACCAAAGATCACCGCATGAAGGAGGCGCTCCTGCGTCTGCCCTTTGCCCGTGTGACCTGGATCTGCGCGTTGTTCCTGCTGGGCTATGTGGGCATCGAAGTCGCACTCGGCGGCTGGATCGTCAAGTTCATGCTCGAGGTGCGCGACGGGAATCAGTTTGCCAGCGGGATGACCGCGACGGGCTTCTGGATGGGGATTACGGTGGGCAGGATTGTGCTAGGGTTTGTGACGCCGAAGTTGGGGGAGAAGTTGGCTATTGCTGTGAGTTTTGATTCGCTACTACTACTCCTTAGCTTTGCTTTCCCCGTTAGATACGTTCTTCTGACATATATTCGAACAGATCTACCTCCCGCTCACCATGGCCCTCGAGCTCATCTTCTGGCTCGTCCCGCAATTCTACGTCTCCGCCGTCGCCGTCGCGCTGCAGGGCTTCTTCCTGGGGCCGCTGTTCCCCGCCGCCGTCGTGGCTGCGACGAAGCTGCTGCCCCGGCATCTGCACGTCAGCGCTATCGGCTTCGCTGCGGCGTTTGGCGGGAGCGGCGCGGCGATCTTTCCGTTTGCGGTCGGGGCTATTGCCCAGGCGAAGGGCGTGCAGGTGCTGCAGCCGATTATTCTGGTGCTGCTAGGTGTCATTTGGGTGCTTTGGTTGTGTTTGCCGAGGATTCATCGGAAGGTGGAGTAGGGGGTTGGTGGAGGAGGGGAGAACGAGGGGGTTTGTGATTGATTGGGGAACGGAGAAGAGGAGGTAGGTTGAGCGTGGGATGGGAAGGGGACAAGCTGGTTTACTATTTGGTCTTGCATTACTAGGCGTTGTGGGTCTAAGATGTCTTGGTAATTGTGCAGATAGTGTGGTTTCATCGCAAGTCAAATGAGCAGGTAATTGATATCTAAAAGCGCAATCACATGTCGTTTCTTAAAAGCAACAGTAGCTGCTAATCCTTGGTAAGCAAGGTCACTGCACAGACTATGATGTTCAACAATTCATAAGTTCAATTAATTTCAGAATATATTTTAGCCTACATTACAAAGGCCGACTCCATGCTAATGAAAAGAAGTTCAAGGCCTCGAGATAATTATACCTGATGAAATCGTCTCCTAATAAGACACAAATAACTTCCCTTAATCCATCATACCCTTCTTTCCATCGCCATCAGCATCAACTCTCGGGTTAAGCTTATCCATGAACGACACCTTCGGCTTCCCACTGCTCGACTTATCCAAACCACTATCATGATGCCTAGCCGTATCATGAGTCCCATCCACAGAACCCTCTTCATACCCCCTAACATTCCCATTCCTCTCTCCAGACGTCAGCCCGCTACCTCCATGCCTCACTCCCCCATCAAGCGGATCATGGTCACCATGCATAGCGCTCTTCCGTACCTGATTGTCGGTGTGCGCGGAATCCCGCTTCGACGTCTTGCCCTCCATCATGTGGCTCATGGTGCCGCCGATGTGTTTCGGCTCGCCGTCGAAGGCGTCGTAGCGCTCCTCGCGGCCGCCGAGGACGCCGCCCTTGTTCTTGAAATCCGACATCGACATGGCGGGCATGGTGGAGGCGGAGTGGTGCTGCGCGGCGTTGTGGTGCGTCTCGTGGATGGGGACGGTGGTATGGACGACGTGGGGTTCGACGGTTTCTTTCTTGACGACGGGTTGGATGGTTTCGTGGATGTGCTGGTGGGCGTTAATCATATGGTTGCACGTAGGAAGTTGTGGAAGGCTGGAAAAACCTTACGTGGTGGACGTGCTCGCCGCCAATGGTCGGCTGGGCACTCTGGCTCTGCGTGGCATCGTGAACCACCCTCTCGTCCTTGAAGCCGGATTGCTCAGCGCCTAGGGCGTGCTTGATACCCTCGTGGTCGCGGTGGTCGAACTCGCGGTGCTCGACAGCGCCTAGATTGGCGTGGTGCTTCTCTGGGAGGACTTCGCGGTCATGGACCGGCTGGACGGTTCGGTGGTAGTGGTCCTGGTGGACCTCCTTGTCAACAGCAGTCGTTACGTTCTCGTGCTGGTGTGGCTTGATAGCTTCATGTTGAACGCCAGGAGCCACGCTCTCATGGACGGTGGTGTCATGTTTGCCGGAGCGGTGCATGAAGTCGCTGACTGCGGCTTTGGCTTTGTCCATTGTGATTGTGGAGATGTTGTGAAAGGTTCGAATAAAGGTGTGTATTAGAGAGTAGGCGACCGAGTTGTATGGAGATAAGAATATTTAAAGTTGGAATGATGGGAGCATTACACGCTTCATGATGATACTTTATACACAAGGACGTACACACCGACGAGAATCGACGTAATGCTACAGGCGAAAGCCTGATCGGGACCCACCTACGTCTTTTCTCGGCTTTCGACCGTGTCGCGACACACCCATCCCGTCCTAGATCTGATGTACGAACGAGTTCATTGGTTGTTGTGGGACGTCAGTGGGCTAGAGGCGGGTTCCTTTGGCTCGGAGAATTTCCGGCGGCTCACTCCACTAGATTCCTGGTCCCAAGAGACAGGTGTGCGTCAGGGATAACTCAGATCACAATAGATCCAGGCTGTCGTCTCTGGGTCGCTCCACGTCAAGGCCCAGTGGCGATACTCTACGTTTTCCGTCTTTCCGTCTCTTCCTTGCCAATTATGCCTGCCTCTCTCCTCGCCGATTCAACTGGTAGGTCGTCACTCGATAATTGCTTGTTTCTGAAAGAAAAGCCAGTAATTGAGATGGAGAAAGTCCCGACGGACTCAGATGGAGTTGAAAGAAGAGCGATCAGCCCTGGGATGTCGCAATAGATCGAGACCTAAGATGGTCTGTGCACTGGCTAAGCGAGGCGTAAGAGGACGCCGCCGACGGGCTATTGCGCATCGTAAACTATCGCCCACGCAGCAGACGGGTCAATTCTATTCGACAAAACTCCAAAGTGTTCCAGCTCCGTGGCAGAGGTCGAAGATCGTCGGCGCCCCTTCACTTGGGGACGGGACCGCCGTGATGGAGGCCCGCCCCCTTCGTCATCCCATCTTTAGAGGTCCCCATCCGGGCATTGAGAACGCGCTATGATGACTGTTTTTACAGTTGTTCAATTCCGCGGCCTGTTTCCCATCAAATTCCTGTAGGCGACCGTGCGGAGACCACAATATGACGACGTCATACCGGGCACGCCGTGGACCGCTATGCTGAAGACGCCGAGAGGATTTGAGAGGATTTGGGATATCCACGCCTAGCACGGGATCTGGCCCAAAGTTGCGGCGCACGAACGCACTCTGGGTCGGACTAGCTTCTTGATCACTTGAGTCATCGCAAATGTCTTCGAGGGAATTCGCGTCGAGCTTGAGCAACAATGCATCTGGGCCTCAACCCCGCGGCTCGCTACATTTCCCAACTCCACCAACTTGCTTCAAGCCAAGCGCGCAATCTTTTCGAACTTAGTTCGCCAGTGAAGCTATTGTGCTTGCCGATTCCACTCTGCACGACACTGCGGTGATTGGGCAAGACTGTAGCTTCCAGACTAAGCTCTCGTGTGCGTCAGAGCTTCCTGCCTCACGCACCACATCGCCAATCTGCAGGAAATACCGTTGTGTATTAACCGTGGTCTGGTAGTCCACCCCAAAACGTTCCGAGGTCGTCAGATCCCCTACGGTATATCCTAGCCAGCTTATTCCTAAAACCCTTGACCGAAATTCACACGCATCGTCCGCATTCCGCCCTCCATGCCGGGCAAGTTGAAGGCATTCTTTCGGAGAACCGGCTCGAGTAGCTCAGGTAGAACGTTGACCCAGCCACCACTTGCGGAACGACATCCCGAGTCAGCACAGGCAGCACCACATGCAAAACATCAACCAAGCACCCAGTCCACACACGAACCTGCGCGATCGGTAACACCCTCGAACGACGAATACGGCAGAGTCATCAGTAGTCCCCCTCAGAGCAGAAGGGATTCGCCCAGGCCCCCACCGAGCCACAAACCGCCCGTCGCCGCCACAGATTACGGCCAGCCCGATCCTGAGGACAATGACGAGTCAATTACAGGCCGACATAGTTTGTATACACCGGAGGTTTCGCCAGACGGTGGACCTACCGGTACGGGGCACATGTCTCTTGGGGGGGATAGAAGACTTATAGAAGGAGTCAGCGAACAGAAGCATAGCGAGGATGTCGCCGATCGAAATATCGCCCACTATGGTAGCGCATCCCCCCGACACAGTTCCATTCCAACCTCTATGCAAGGGGAGCCGCAGCTCAGCAAACGAACGTCTGGTAAGTTTCCTTTGAATTTCCGTAGCCAACGACTCTCCTCGCGCTACGCGGGATGCCTCCAGCGAAAACCGTGGCAGACAAGCATCTAATGGTATATTGTCTGGACGCTGACAAACGACAGACGTCCTCGGTTCGCACCAGATTTCTCTGCGAAAGGGTTCCGTCGGGGGCAACTCTATGGGCTCGGTCGGTTCACCTGGTTCCTTCAACTCCGTTGCGTCCAAGTATACACTAGGTACGGGAGTGGCCACCGAAGGTAGTCTTGTTGATGGCATCCTACCCCACGTCGAAGGTTCAGAGTCACGGAAATGCAAGCCAACTGATCGGCCGTCTCGAATTGCGCGCGATGAGCTCCGTCTGAGCTGGGGGAGACGGAAACCCAGAGGAAGCAGTGACGAGGACGCACCACGGATTACAAGAGGATCTCCAGGAGACTCGGCCGAGTCTCCTTCTGAAGAAAGGCCGCCTGCTTCTAAAGAAGGGCTTATAGACCTTCGGAAATTTGTTATGGGCGGGCAGCGCGATGGCCCCAGCGATGAAGGGCCTCCACTTGATGGGATCGTAGACCTTAGGGATACCGAAGATGTTGACAAAGCCACGCACTGGGCTCCAGGTGCGTGTTACACTTGTGCAAAACTTGCAGCATAGGCGCAGCAGACTAATCCCAACAGCGGTGACACACGAGGTAGTCAAGCCTACGGAGCATCATATACGGGAAGAGAAGATCTACCGGGAGATCCATAACCACGATGTATACCATCGCGTTCAGCCTGTCTACGAGACCGAGATTCTTCCCGCTCGTCACTTTCTCCGCGGTTCCAATAATGAGCTAGTCGAAGTATCAGAAGAGCAATTACCTTACTGTACAGGAGCGAACCAAAGGTGGTTTATCGCCGAGAAAGAGCAGCCCGCAACAGAAGTCTCTCAACGCCGCCCAAGGCTAACAGAACCGAAGGTCGTTGCTGATCAAACGACTATGACTCCGGCGGGGTTCGAGCGAAGGGAGATAACTATCGTGCATTCGCCAGAATTGGAAGACATGTCGGATTACGCCAGTCCAGTCCTACCTCTTCATTTCGTCCACGAAGCCGTAAAGAATCCTGAAGAGGAGCTGGAAGAGACGGACAGAAGGTTGAATCGTCGTCCGGTCACACAGTCCCTGACGCTGAAAGAACTCGCGGACACCCTTCCGGCCACAAGTATCCCTGAACGCACCTCTAGTCTACGACATTGAGAAGATGTTCTGTGATTAGGACGTTAACGAAGACAAGGCGTTCAAGCGCTCATCACTCATACTTCGATTTCCTTACCCCGCCAATGCACGACGTAATTTGATTCCACCTAGTATACACGTCAACGCTACCCACGAGCATCCCTGCTGTACCTGCCGGAGACCGGACCGCCCTTGCACTTCGCATGGCTGTTAGCCGGTGTCGTCTTATCCGGCGAAGTTATTCGCATAATCTTCGACACGGGCCTGATCCTTGGGAGGGAAGGGTAAAGTAAATTGGGACGAAGGGACTACTGTCGATAGATCAGGTTTCAGCATGTTATTTTCCCTGTCCTCTGAATATACCTCTTCCATCATGAACCTTCTTTCGTCTTCCTGCATTTCCTTGCCTTTTCTTCCCGAAATCCCAGTGAGCCTCCCTAACCTGTCCATCTTCCTCGCCCCGATAACCGACAGCACTATACCCCTACTGTTAATTTCTATTGCAGTATATTTTCCCGTCTTCTTCAAGCGATTCCAGGCTATTGCGTCGTGGACTACCGGATACGGCGAAACATTCCCGTGGGGATACCGTGAACGCGAATGAGGTTTTGAGGAAATGTCAGACGAGCCAGGTCACGGCTGAATGTATCCAACAACGGACCTTTCACCAAGATATGTTGTTCCGCCCGAATTTACACGCGATTTGTGCATGGGAGGCCTGCAGCAACAGGCCCCGCTCGTCAAATTCGGGAAGTACACTGGAAATATCAAGCCCGAGAAAGTCGCAGACATGGGATTTTTATTTAGGTCTTACACCACGGATGCTGCTATCGCCGAGAAGCCTGAAATCGTCGACGCTGTCAACCTGACAGGCATTGTAGTGAACATGACTTGGCATTAATGGCAATGGACTGATCCACTCATTCGCCCCTCGCATCGCGAACGTGGAGAAGCCGGTACTGTATCGCTCTCCCCACTGAGTCCGCCAAACAGCCCCTCTCGGCCGGCGAATTCCTCGCCCTCGCAGGCTCCACCAGCATCTCCGCCGAGGAATGGGACAAAGCCTCCCTCCGCGTCACAGGAGAAAGGACCATATCGTCTGCAACGGCTACTGCCTAGGCATGTAAGACGAGCCGGCAAAGACGTACTACAAGAATGTGAAGCTGTTGCTGTAGGTGATTTATCTGGGGGCGGGCCATCATTCATTCCCATAGGGATGCAATGGGCGAGTTTGAGGTTGTTACAGACTTTTTGAGTAATAACGGGGTTTGAGGTTTCGCCACGATGGGGTGGAAATAGTAGGGCTGGGAGGGTTGGTGGCAAGGTCGGTGGAGGGGGAGTAATGAGTTTGGTTGTTAGGAGAGAGAAATTGTCCGTTCTCCTTTCGCTCTTTTGCTGGATTGCTGATACAGTGTACCTTTGTCTGACGATGGCTTTGGTTTCCCTTCTATGGAAGATCTGATCTCCGGTGGCATCTCCGGTCGCAGACGTGAACGCGTTCGAACTCCCATCAGGGGCGCCTACAACGAGAGCCTAATCTGACTCCATCCTGTCCACATAACCGACTCGTGATCCGCCGTTAAACCAACCAGCCGTCGAGCTATTCCGGCAGCAGCTTCTACAATCTTGGCCGGGGCTGCGAAAGCGTTAGCAGTGCAAGACTACAGTTCAAGCATTTCCACTCGGTTCTTCCTTCATTCGAGTGATAGTGATATTCGCCTAGAGTCTGGTTGGTTTTCGGGGTATGGCAGTTGCCGGTAATGGCTCATTCGTTCCTTCCTTGCAGACGCCTCGTCGCGTAATCCTGAGGTCCATCTGCGGCACGGTCAACTTAACTCCTCGACATTCCTGTCTCTTCACTCGGGAAATCTAATCGCCACGTCTCTACCAGTCGAAAGCATTTGTTCTCCTCCTCCAAAGCACCTCACCGTACAGCCCGCTCTCGGTGGGCCGAACCGACCCTCACAACTTCGCCTCACCTCCTCTGCAATAGCCAACGTCTTAGCTCCGGGATTCCTCTGCTCCCTGGCACTCAAAGTGACCCTCGGCTTCGAATCTCGCTCGAGGTCACGCGGAACCCTCAGAAGTGGATCCAGCGGCCTACAGCATTTCTTCAGCCTCTGGACGATGCATTCCAATCCCCTATGCACCTCATGCATGCGCTAGCCAGGCCTTGAACCAGGCGAATGGACTCCGACTACATTGCCAGCCTGCCGGACCCTTGGCGCTCTACATTGTCCAGATAACCGGTGTCTGGATTAAAGGACACCGCAAAGGAAGCGCAGACTTGGGCGCAAAACGCGGGTCAGCGAAAGCGATGCGGCGCGGCTGAATACTGAACTCTAGATGCAAGAGCCTAGGTAGTCGCGCAACACGAGATAGAGGCGATGTTTGAGTCGTCGATGTCCGCCTGCCCTCCTGAATTTGTGGTCGGGTTGGAACCGAAGTCGTGACCCTGCCAGCGTTTGCCTGGGTTGCACGGATCGCGCAGTGCATATAGCGTTCGACGACCGGTGAATAGAAACCTTGACCACGCGTCAGCTCCGCGTGGGGTTGACGCCCCCCAAGCGGACGCATGAGGCTCTTCAGGTAAAGAAATCCGGGGGCTGACGCGCGATGCAGATAACTGTCTTACGTTCGCCAGCCTGACGACAGTACGCTATCCAGAGGCGTTCAAGCGTCACGCGGGAATACGACCCTAGACGCGGTGCTTCCCCGAGGACTGCAGGGATTTCCGTGCGCAGATCTTACCGCAGCTTCGAAGGCGAAAGTTCTGCGGCTTTGGACGTCTCCCGCCGGACCGGAGCAAACATCGAATTTTAGAACCGAGATGGTGTTTTCAGAGGCTGCTCAATACGCTAACTGAAGTCAAGACAAGCTATGGCGGCGAAGAAAACCAAAAAGAAGCCTGAAGCCAACCGTAAGCCCAGCCATGCCAAGTGGATTTCCGCTCGGCGGGAGACGCCTTTAGAGGCGGCGATTGGGGGGACGTCTCGGCCAAGATAAGTAAGAGTTGGAGTGGCTACTCGGAGCAAGCTGGGCGAAAACCGGAGTGCCCGACAAGAAGATTGCCGCATCCTCTGCGGTAGTGACGTGACTATGTAACCACAGCGGAAGCGATAGGTTAGACCCGAGAGAAAGAGTTCGAGGCAGCAAGCGCAGGCGCGAGAGAGTAAACATTTGTGTGTTTGAGAGGAGCCTCGGAGAAATAGACTGAGGCAGCAGGTCGTTTTCAAGCCCCCGGCTGAGCGGGGAACCCACAACTCCAACCAGACACGCGACAATTCGAATGAAACTGCGCGCAGCAAGCAACCATCTGACAGCGCAAACAAGCCTTGTGTAACCCCAAGTCGATCGGGAGGGGAAGATGGTGTTGCCCACCGCGCAATTGGTGCGCTTGCAGCTCCAACATCCAGACGGGATGTGTTTACGATGGCCAAGGCCCTGGCCTTGAAATGCCTGCAGGCTAGTTCCGCTGATTCTGATAGGGCCCGGTCCCCTTACCCTGCGCAAGATCCGCTTGAGGGGTTATCAACAGCCACCGCGCCATTTTCTCTCCACCAGACGCTGTGTGCTGCACAGAGCTCGTTATCTTCTTCCTATCATCGAGCGCCTTTGTTTGCGACCAGGATAACTTCTGGGCACATATATTACAGCCGGAGCTCAGCACATGCAATTCTTTGCGCAGTTTTTCTCACTACTCCTCAAAGGCCTATACTGAATCCTTGGGATTCGGCGGGAATTCGGTCACGATGGCCTCCACCGGAATCGACTATGCTCCCTTCGACCCTTACAGGGATGAGAAGAAGATCAAAACCGATGCGGAGAAAGAGATCGGCTACGACAACGACGGTCGACGTGCGTCTATATCTGGCTCGGTGAAGACGGTCTACGATTCAACTCATCGGAAGCTCAAGCCACGTCACATTCAGCTTATAGGCATTGGTGGTACTATCGGCACAGCGCTATATGTACAGATCGGGCGTGGATTGATGAATGGCGGTCCTGGCAGTTTGTTCATGGCGTTCACAATCTGGTAAGTCACTAGATTTTTTGCAACGAGAACCCTGGTCCTCGATTTATATAGCTCTAAGAATCGGCGAGACACAGATACATCTTCAGTGGGCTGACATTTCTAGGTGCTCTTTCATCTTGGCCGTAACACTATGTGAGAAACCTTTTCCGAAACCCAATGCAACATGCCCAATCGCAGCATTGCCAACGCTCTTCGAGCTATCCAGAGCAATTTTCTCCCCCGCTCAGACCCCAATGCGATCTTGCTGCTAAAACTGAACCCCAAGGCATGGCTGAGATGGTGACTTATCTTCCAATATCTTCGCCCTTCATTCGATTTGCCGGACGATTCGTCGATGATGCCTTCGGTGTCGCTGCTGGATGGAACTTCTTCGTTTTCGAAGCTGCCTTGGTTCCCTTCGAGATTGTGGCTTGCAACGTCATTATCCACTTCTGGAGCGACATCGTGCCTACTGGTGCTATCATCGCTATCACCCTCGTTCTCTATGGGTAGGTCGTGCGCCCATAGCGCCTCGTCATCAACTAACAGCCCTCAGCTTGATCAACCTTTTGGCGGTCAAATGGTACGGCGAGACCGAGTTCTGGGCCGCGCTTGGCAAAGTCCTGCTCATCATCGGTCTCATCATCTTCACGTTCATTGCAATGCTCGGCGGCAATCCCATTCACGACCGGTACGGATTCCGCTACTGGAAGAATCCAGGCTCGTTCGCGGAGCTCTATTACACTGGGGATTTAGGCCGCTTTCTTGGCTTTCTGCAGTGCCTGATTCAGGCCTCGTTTACTATTGCCGGACCAGACTACGTCTCGATGGCTGCCGGAGAAGCCGAGAACCCCCGGAGTATCATGCCACGCGCGTACAATGCGGTATTTTACCGTCTGACGACCTTCTTCGTACTCGGTAGTCTGTGCGTCGGTATTAATGTACCTTACAACGACCCCGAGATGATGGCCGCGTTCAAGGAGGGAAAGCCTGGGGCGGCAGCCTCGCCCTATGTCGTTGCTATGAATCGTCTCCGGATTCAGGGACTTCCGCACATTGTCAATGCCATGGTTTTGGCGTCCGCTTTCTCGGCCGGAAATTCGTACGTGTACTGCGCGTCCCGCTCCCTCTACGGTCTTGCGCTTGAGGGCAAGGCACCGCGGTTCCTGACAAAGTGCACGAAGCAAGGCGTGCCGTTCTACTGCGTCTTTGTCGTGCTAGTCATTGCTTTGCTCTCCTTCCTCCAACTTGGCGAGAATTCGGCGGTTGTGCTTGACTGGTTCGTGAGCCTGGTCACTGCGTCTCAGCTCATCAACTTCAGCGTCATGTGCTTCACGTTCTTGCGATTTTACAAAGCCTGCCAAGTCCAAGGAATCGACAGGAACCTGCTGCCGTACAAAGGCATGCTCCAGCCATACGCTGCGTACTATGGTCTCACCGGCACATTCATCATGACATTCGTGGGTGGCTACACGGTATTCCTGAAAGGCCAATGGGACATCCCCTCATTTCTTTTCTCGTAAGCTGACACTCCTGGAGCGCATCGAACGAGCTACTGACTAGTGCTTAGGTACATGATGATCTTCATCTTCCCCGTTCTGTTCATTGGCTGGAAAATCCTCAAAAAGACCAACTTCAAGAAGGCGCACGAGATCGATCTGCAGCAAGACCTAGATGAGATTGAGGAGTACACGAGGACTTTTGTGCCCAAGGAGGAGACCAACGTGTTCAATAAGTGGCTGGATAAGCTGTTTGGGTAGAGAGCAGTTTGAAGTGCTTCGATACACTTTCAACTTTTCGGGTTTCGTCGGGCAAGGGAGGTGAACTGAGATTCATACAACATATATCCCGGGAATTTGGCTAGAAATATCGTCATTCGTTGAATAATATCGGAAGCTTCATGACTAAGCCATATGCCTATGCATCCAAGCCCTCATGCCATATCCATCCACCGTGGACTTTTCAAGACCGGGTATCTAATAAACAAACCAGAAAACACCGAACCAAGCAAACACTCATCATGCCACGTTTTTATAGGAAAGTAATTAAAAAGGTTAGAACAAGAATGTAGGTATATCATCCAGCTTCACCGACTTTCTCTTCTCCTTCTGCTCCGCTTTCTCCCTTTCCGCCTTGCGCTTCGCAAGACGCTCAGAGTGCTCTTTGGGCAAGGGATCTCGCTTGGGGAAATCAAGGTCGTCGAACAGGTCCAGAGACCGTCCAGGTCTGCGGATGGATTGAGAAAGTCGGGTGGTGGAAACCTGAGACGGCTGGGAAGGCCTGCTAGTTGATGTTTGCAAGGATTTGGGTGGTGATGAGGAGGAGCTATATGAAGTTGCTGGAGGTTTGAATGGCTTCGCAGGAGAGGGCATCGGAAGCGATGTATTGGTGGGAGTGGCTTTCCGGGGCGACGTACAGCGTTGGGGCGGTGTGTAATCATCCCACAGGTCGAATGGGGTTGCGCGGCTGGATCGGGAAGCTGCGGGTCTGGATTTTGTTGGTAGGGCGGGTTTGACGAAGGAGGTAGGTATTGAGTTGGATGTGTTGGAAGGAGCCTTTGTTGGCTGTCTGGGCGCATCGAGATCGTCGCTGTCCGTGCCACTTGCGTTGGGTTTTCCGGGTGATAGATGAGGAGCTTTCGAGGGTCTGCTAGTCGTAGTTGTAGACGCGGTTTTGCCTATGGACGCGCGCTTCGGTTGTTCCTCATCGTCGTCGGAGGTAGAACGGAACACATCCCTAATTGCCTTTTTCTGCGCCTTGGCCTGCTCTTTCGCCCGCGCCTTCAGCTGCCGCTCAAACGAAGGTTTCGCGTTCGGGACAACGGGTCTTGGAGTTGCTGCTGCGGCTTCTTCCTTCTTTTTCTCTTCGATGCTCTTCTTAAGACGCTCGTACTCTGCCAGATGGAGATGCCGTGTGAAGAGCTTGGCGGTTTGGAGGAATTCGTCTTCTACCATCATCCATTCGTCGTCGCGAAGATCGAACTTATCGACGCTCTTCTGCATATATCTGGCGCGGTGAGTATCGATGCATGGGAGGGTGGAATGAGAACAGAGGCTTACTCTACTGGTGGTGGAGGTAAAGTAGCGGAAACTGGTGGCGGAGACGAAGAGGGCAATCTAGAGCGTCGAACGGGCTCCTTGCCCTTGCGCGATGTCTGCGCATAGCTGGTTGGGAGCTCCGGAAGATCGTCATCGGACACTTGAGAATCTTGATGCGTGGTCAGTCCCTAAAGTTTAAGTTTTATGGTAGAACTTGTCACTTACCGGCCCGTTGCTTCCTTTTCCCGGAGCTTTCCAAGGCAGTGCCCGCGAAGAAGTCATCGTCGATATCAGACTGAATTCGCGACTTAGGTGGTGCTTTCCGAGGTGGCTTCACTTGAGTCCTGCTTCCGCCACCTTTGTTCAGCCAGGGCAATTGTCGCGGCATGGTGTGGGCGATCGAGATATTGTCGGAAGAGTGAGCTGCAAGCCTGAATATAGTGGCCGCATCATGAGAAAGATTGGCCGGTTTGCATTACTGCTTCGGTATTTCACCCGAGCTGAAGTGTGAGCGATGTCAACTCTCGCGTTCACGCACCTGGGCAATGAAATAGCGCTCTCACGTGGCACTTTGGCGCGAACGCCCAAAGTGTGCTAGCTTCCTCGCTAGTGGACTTGGTGTCAAGCCAGGTGCGCCCTTCCGCGAGCGCGAGGCAGCATCACATCTTTTCACTCAAGACAGCGAGGGGCCACGTTTAACTTCCGCGACCTTCTGTTATGTTCCGTGTTCTGGATCACTCGGCGGGCTCCATGGCAACGTTGCTGCTGTCAGGACGACGCCGAGTTAGACTTTCCAGCTCCGTCACCGACGTCGCTGCTGCTCTCGACATCCAACCACTGCGTTGAACACCGCAAGCAACAGCCCTGCTACCGCCAAGGGTATTACTGGACACCGTCAATCTGGCTCAATTGAGGTCTTTCTGAGCTTGCTGCGCTCTTTTGCGGGATTTGGGGGCTTCACGCTGTGTCGCTTGCTGCTGCTTGAGACAACGCGCCTTGAACCGTCTTTGCTGTCAAGGGTCTGGAACACCGTCCGCCTATTTCAATTGAGCTCCCTTCGGGCTCGCAGCGCACATCTCAGGGTCTTTGACTGCGCACCGCTGCTGCTGAAGCCGGCACAGCTTGCACCATCTGAAGCAGCCCATTTGCCGTCTGGGGCCTGCCGAAAACACTCAAGAGGTTCAGAGATCTGCTTTTCTCGGGCTAGTCCATCACAAAAACGCACGCAGTTGCGCCGCCGACATGTCCTCTATGTTCTACAGGCCGGGTGACAGCTCCTCAAGCGGTGACGACTCGTCCGACGACCGCGAGGAGACCAGTGGCTCTGCGCAGGACAACTTACTCTCGAGGATTAACACATTGGACGCAGCTGAGCAATCTGCAGCACGGTCTGGAACGCAGTCACAGCAACAAATGCCGTCGGCCCGCCCAGCTGCCACCCCTGCTGACACCAGCCAGTTCCGCGACCTCTTGCTGCATACGCTCCTTGAGGAGAGGACTGCAGCGCAAATCGCAGAATCTCTGGGCAAGGATAAGTCCGACCCAGAAGTCCAGGCTCTTGCTCGGCAGACGTATCAAGACCTTGCAAGCCACTTATCCCAGGATGTCGACCATAGCTATGCTAGCGATGGGATGCGGTCTGCGCGCGCCGCTGCCCACGAAGGTATCACTCGATTCACCCAAGCTCATCTGAACGTCCTCACATCGGTGCCGGCCAATCCTGCGTCGACTGCTGGACCTTCTCAAGCCCTGGTAGCTCTTCCTATGAACCCGATGTCGCTTGAGGCACCTCACACGGCCTTGAGTCGTCTAGACCCTCAGCTTCCCTTCCTGTTACCATTTAAGGACCAGCCGGGTTTCTACAGTGACAGGTACGCGCGAGAGTTCGAAGAGCTTGGTGTTGTCGGCAAAGGTGGTTATGGCAAGGTTTACAAGGTCAAGCATAAGCTTGACAATCACTTCTACGCGGTCAAGAAAATCATGATAAGCGCCGCCAAGCTACAGAAGATCAAAGAAGGCGGACATCAAGAGATGGAGAGGCTGCTCGACGAAGTCCGGTCGCTCGCTCGCTTCGATCATGGCAACATCGTTCGGTACCACAATTGTTGGCTGGAGTTCACAGGCGGACCTACAGACTCGACTACGCAGCCCACGGCGAAAGCTATCCACCGCGATCGGCTTCTTAAAGATGCATCTTCGCCGACTTTCAGCACCAGCAATGCAGACGAGCTATACTCTGGCCTCAACAACCTGACCTTTGAGGAAGACTCCGGTGCGAACATTGTCTTCGAGGCGAGCGATGCCGGCGCAGGAGCCGAAGAGGTCAAGGGTGATGCGAGGACGACCAAGCGCAAGGATCGACGCGGAAGTCAAGCGACGATTGCCACCATCTCATCTACTAAATCTCTCATTACCAGCATCGAAGACGCGGTCGACAAAGAAGACGGAGATATCGAGACCATCCCAAGGACCCACGAACCAACCTTCGAAGGATCTGAAGACGCTTCCGAGAGCATAATGTCACATAGCGATATGCCCGCCCACCTCATCTCAGCACGCACGACCGGCCCAATCCTGACACTCAACGTCCAAATGTCCCTCTACAACACCAACCTAGCAGCATTCCTCTCCACCGAGCAAGATCCACCCACCCACTGCTTCCACCCCTGCATCTCGCTGGAGCTCCTCAGCAACATCATCTCAGGAGTGGAGTACCTCCACGAGCAGGGCGTCGTCCACCGCGACCTGAAGCCAGCCAACGTCTTCCTCTCGCTGAGCACCAGTCGCAGCCCGCCGGCGGGTTCGGTCGATCTGGCCAGCTGCGGGCCCTGCCCAGACCGCGGTTGCCTGCACGTCACGCCCAGGATTGGCGACTTCGGGCTGGTGGCTGCGCTGGGTGACAGCTGCCTCACTGATCCTACCTCTGCTAGGCCGGTAGGGACTGAGTTCTACCGGCCGCCGGGCGGGGGTAGGATCAGTGAGAAGCTGGATGTGTTTGCGCTGGGCGTGCTTGGGCTGGAGATGTTGGTGCGCTTTGGCACCAGGATGGAGAGGGTGCAGGCGCTCACTGAGCTCAGGCAGGGGCAGTTTCCGGTGGGCTTTGCCGCCAGCATTGGCGAGTTGGGCGGCAAGGTGCAGCAGCTGGTGGGGGATATGGTGCAGGCCGATGAGGATGCCAGGCCGGGGTGTGAGGCGGTGAGGAGGGAGATTGGGCGGATTGTGCATGGCATGAACGAGTAGGCGGTCTGCTCTTCTATGATACCCACACCTGTATAGTAGTGTACCGAGTAGCAATGGCCATCAACTAGAGCATCTGTCTACTTGTGTAGAGGCAGTGAAGCACATCAGGCTCCCTTTTCCAAAGTATTCAGTTCACCTATTGAAAGTCTACCAAAGCACTCCAGGCGCCCAGTTACCGATCTTCCTTATCCGGCTTCCTCCGCTGCCTAGTGGACTTCTTTCCTGCCGCCGCCGTATCATCCTCCTCCTCATCCCTCCCTTTTATCAGATCCTCATCCAGAGCCCATTCCTCGCGATCATACCAGTCCTCCCCGTCGCTCATCTCGCCAACATGGCCTTCTGCTTTCGCCCACTTGAAGACATCCTGGCGCATGCGCTCGCCTCGCATCATGCCTATGTATAGATCCGTGGCTACGCGCGCGATCTCCTCCTGTTTTTGTACATATGCCATGAGGAGCATGCGTGTTTCTTCGGCTTCGGCGGGCGGGAGGCCGAAATCGCGGTCGGGAAGGGAGCCCGTAGAGAACGAGAAGAGGGGGTGGACAGGGTTGACGACGCTGGAGGGAGAGGAAGGTGGGGAGGGCGTTGAGGCTGCTTGCGCTCGTGCGCGGGTCGTCATCCGGTGCGATGTCTGCTGGGACGCGGTTTCGGAGGCGTCGTCGGCGCCTGGAGAAGGCGGTCTCTCGCCGTTCTGCTGCAGTTTGTCCAAATCTATGCCATGAGATGTGCCGTTTATAGTAGGTTCAGCGCCGTTTTGCGGGTCTGTCTTCAGGTCGCCGTTGCTCCCCTCGGTCTTGGGCGGGGCACCGTTGCTCTGCCCCGCATCTTCCATTTCCACGTCTTGAGTGGCATTTGATGCATTCTGCGGCTGTGTATTATCCTCAGCCTCTGGGCGCTCTCCTTGGTTGGAGTCTCCGTTTGCTCTGCGACCATTGGTACCATTGGCCCAGCCGTCCTGGAATGGCTGACTTGCCATGGCGGCTAACGCAGCTGGTGCAAACGTAGAGTCGCCTTGGAGCTTCGTGAATAGGATTTTCGCTTGGGAAAGAGATGTCTGTTCCTTCCGCGAGATAGCTCCGGCCTCATTTGTCAAGTTCGTTAGATGCTTGGAGGTATAGGCTACGCTGTAGGAGGGGTGGTTCGGCAAATCGGCAGCGGAGGTCAAAGGCGCAAGGAGAGCTATTTCCAATTGTCAGTATTCCCCCGCCGGTTTAGGTTAATTTGGCTGTACGTACTCTCAAGGTGTATGTCGGCGTATGGATTCTCCTCCACAGTCGACAGATCGTCCTCATCTTCGTACTCGTCGCCAACCTCGACAATGTCGCCGTCGGGATCGTATCGCGGAGGGTTGCGTTGGAGGATGTATCTCTGGTAGCCCGCATGCTGGATTCTCTGTACCGGCCGACTCGTTAGCGTGGACCCTGAGAGGTAGGGTAGCGGAGGCGAACCTTCTTATATGGCCGGGGGTCCGACAGGAAGTCTGGGTCGCCGGAGCGGGTGTACTGCGCTTTGCGCTTTAGGCTTTGCTTCTGGTTGCTGTAGGGCGTCTCGGTCTCTTCGGACTCAGACGCTGCAGTGGTTAGCAATGACCTGACATAGGAAATTGAGCGACACTTACAATCCTCTGTCCGCACAAGCCTCCTCTTCATGGAGAAGATGGTGTCGACAATCTGCTGCTGCTGTGAACCTGCCATACTGACGACGGCCCTCTGACCAGCCCAGCGTAAGGTGGGCGGCGGTGTAATTCGCGCTGCGGATGAGGGGAGCTGAGGCGCTTGAAACGCGAGCGCTCTCGCTGAAATCGCGTGCAGTAGCGTAAGCGCGGGGGAGAGCTGAAGCGTGCCGGCGGACAGGTGGAGCGTGAGGAAGCGTGGTGATTGTGCGCGGAGCTGTCAAAGTACTGGGAGAGCGGAGAACCCTGGCAGAACGAAAGCACGTGCGCGTCGGCGGCGCCAGCGCGGAAATGCCGACATCATCGCGAGCCCACATGCTTCCCGGTAGCAGTGCTCCCAGGTAGCTCAGCCCTTTGTGGACAATGCGCCCTTCCGCGTAACAATATTTCCTCCAGAGCATTGATACGCTTCCGCGACGTCAGGTCCTCCTATATCATCAGTCTCAGTCCTACTCGACCTTCATGGAGAGGTAGCTCGCGCCCGCAGCTATGGAAGCGTATCCGCCCGAATACGTCCTCCACAATCTGCCCTTCGTGGTACTTTCTGGCCTGGCAGTCAAACAAGAGCCTGAACCGCCCCGACCCCTCCGCGATGTCCTGCCCGGCCGAGCAGTTACCACCATCAGCTCCGAGCTGCCCCCCGTATCTGGCGAACGCGCGAACCAGCTGCTCCAGGAGTTCTTGAGCTATGACGGAACAGAGGCGCCGTGGAACACGCGTGGGCTAAGTCGCCGAGGAAACTTGTCTGGCTTCAGAATACGGGCAGTAGGGAGGGTAGGTCAGGCGCCTGGAATGTATAATATGTGCCAATCAAATGCTCATGGTCGTTAGGACTTCCAATTTCCCCCAAAGAAAGCTGATGCTCCCACCACCTCCGAGACTACCCCTCCTGGTAGCCCCACGATAGCTGCCGCGACATCATGGGTCCTTCATTCTCCCATATCGCCGCTATCGCCTGGCTCCTCCATCTTCCCGGATGGAGTCATGGCGCCGTCGTGGGTAGCGAAGCACCAGGACTACATTCCCTCGGTGTTCATATCCTTCTTCGATTTCGGCACAGACCCGATCACGAATAGTCTGCATGACAATCAGCTGAAGACAGAGTACGTAATACTGTGGTACAGGTGCTGGACAGTCCGAGTTCCGAGAATCTGTTGAAATCATTTGGGCAAGGCTCTTAACGGCAAGAAGGCCGGAAGTATACAAGTTCCCATCCGGATGGCCTCAACAGATAGCGCGGACGGACTCAGTATTGCGACCTTAATTCCTCTATCCCTCTGTATTAATAGCTACGCTAACACTTAAGCCACCTCCAGGATCAACAAGGTCAAAGTTCAGATCCAGAAGTCAGACAATCGCACGAGATACGCCGTAGTACTATTGAGCGACAAATCGATTTTAGAGGCACCCGATATCGACGACCGTTTGAATACAATACGGCGAGCTACCGGCCTTGATCACAAGATGCTATATTTTCTACCGCCTAGCTCCCAGGTCGAGCAGCGTTCATTTGTACAGTCTGTTCTATCAACTCTGCAACCTGTCTGCGTCGAGTACTACAGAGACCTTACGAAGCATGCACGGCGGAAGAAGGGAAGGGGTACGATCCCTCCGCCCACCGCTCCGCCTACTAGAGGTACCTCTCAAACGCTATCGCATCCTGGCTGGGCAATACGGTATGATTTCAAGCTAGGTGTCTTCGCCGAGTTCCGGCAGGAGATGGATGCAGCGCAGAGACACTATAATATCGCCCTGGATGCTTTGTTCGGTCCTGAAGGCCTGTTTGAGACCACTGCAAGTTGGTCGCCTAGGTGGGAGGAAATACGACTACTAGCGGATGCCATCGCCCTCCGGCACATCCGCTGTCAGCTGTGGAACAACTACCCGACTTCGGCAGTACAGACCTGGCTCAAGTACAAGACAAAGCTTAAGGATGTATTGGATCGGCGTGGGAAAGGGACATCGAACTATGGGTGGGAAGCTTGGGAGTCGACCTGGGCCGAAGCCATGGCGCAAGTCATACAGCGCACTAAGCTAGAGGTCTTTAGGATAACGCAGCCTATCTCCGACGCGGATCCCTTGGTCGATGGCGTGAATCCAATCTTCGCCCCACCTGAGAAGCAGTTCCCGATAGGCGAACGGTTACCGCCCTGGGAGCTTCTCCACCATGCGGGCTATTGGTATAAACTCTCCGCCGATCATGCAAAGAGAAGGTATCTTCTGGCCAGGGAGATTCCCGAGGAAGACCGCACGCCGCCAGGAATGTCACCTGCGACGAAAGTCTCCCATAGGAACCAGATCTACGACCATTATCTTGTTCCTGAACCTCACGTGGAGTTCCCTCTGCAAGGTGCGCCTGGAGGTTTTGAGCACTGGAAGGATATTGCAGGAAAATTGCATGCTGCAATCACCGAGTTCGAAATCCGTGGGCAGCCTCGAAAAGCCCACCAGCTGCAGCTAGAGGCGGCCAGGACACTACTACACATGAAGAGATTCACCGAAGCTTTCAAAGTGCTACGACCATTATGGGAGACTATGGCGTGGCGACGCGAAGGCTGGTGGAACCTTGCCTCGGAGGTGCTTTGGGGTCTTCATGAATGCTCTCTTCATGTTCGCAATGCTGAAACGTACGTCGCCACTGAATGGGAGCTCTATTCGCGAGGTCAGTATCGGTGTCCTCATTGATATCCAGTATAATTTTCTAACCGTTCTTAGTTTTTGGCGGCAAGGTAAGATACAGGCATGACTTGATGGCGTGCTTAGATTCATTTCCACGAGAGAGTTCTTCCAACGAAAAGGTCACTGTCGCCCTTAATACTAGCGACTTCGTCTCCTTCTGTATGGCCCCCGAACCTACGCAAGGACTAGGCTGACGATACAGTGTCTGTCACATTTACATTTGAGAAAGGCGAAGGCAACGTGGGCGAGCCACTTCTATCACAGATAGCCGTCACCTCAACAGCAAGACAAGGCTCAGCTCCGATAACCTTATCTAGCTTAGCTTTCCAATTCGAAGGCTGCTTGAGCGAGGTCCATTTGACCCATGACGCGGAGGCTTCTATGTCGGAGCCTGAGTCTCAACTCCACCAATGCGTCCTCGACGAACATACACCCTTGGCGCCGTCCGAACAGAAACCCCGCTGGGCTGGAAGCGCCGACCTAACGATACACCCGGGCCAGACGAAGGTTTACAGTTTTCCCATCATCTTCCGAGAAGCTGGTGATGTGGAAACTATCGGCAATGTCCTTAGGATAGACACAAATCGCTTTGATCTCGCCTGCTCAGATGGTAACATGGAAAGCGAGACTCCACCGTCGTGGTGGCTCAAGTCTGGACCCAAACTCAAGTCAAGAAAGCTTAATAGGCTCTCTGGAACACTTGTCAAGGTGCTCCCCAAACCTCCAAAAATGGAGATACGGCTTCCTAATCTTCGTGATCATTACTACACGGACGAGCCCGTCAAACTTACGATCGAGGTTTGGAACGGGGAAGAGGAGGATACCGAGGCTGTTCTTGAGGTGAGATTATTGGGCCGATCGAAAGATACCCTAGGATATTCCTGGGTTGATCGGGATGCTTCCTCACCTATGAAAGAAGTACTTCCCGCGCTGGACGATTCTACCGATGTCGATCTTCCGGGCCATGTGGTGGGCCGTCTTGCACCAAGCGAGAAAACTATGGAGAAGATTCGTTTCAATGCGCCTATAGAGCCGTCGGACTACGCCTTGGAAGTCAAAGTCCTCTACCACCTCCTCAGCGACCGTGACATACCCATCTCCAAGACCATGATCGCTGATCTCATCTTCATTGGACCTTTCGAGACGAGCTACGAACTTACGCCCCGAGTGCATCCTGATCCATGGCCCAGCTACTTCGAGCTTGGGGACGCCGAAAGCAAGCCTCATGCAGACTCAATCGATGCATTCGGCATTGCGCAAAAGTGGCATCTGAGGGCAAAGGTTGCATCTTTCGCCGAAGAGGTGCTTCTCGTGAAAGATCTTGCCGTCGAGATTCACTCTGTTCATGGAGGTGCAACATGCGACGTAGCACGGGAGTTCGACACTGTCGACGTGTCTATGCAGCCTTCGGAGATCAACGAGTGGTCGTTCTGTATAGACTGCCGGAAGATTAACCTGGAAGAACGTCGGGCAACAGCACTTGACACGACTCTAAATGTCCTGTGGCAGCGATACGGCGATCCAGGCAATCCTGTGGTCATGACAAGCCTCCCTATACCTCGCATACACATTCCCAGCAGCGAGCCTCGCGTGCTGGCAACGGCTCTACACTCGGCTTCAGTCAGCGGCCTCGTCTACATGGATTACACGCTTGAGAACCCAACTATACATTTCCTCACCTTCGAATTGAGCATGGAAGCTAGTGAGGAATTTGGGTTCGGTGGACCTAAGCTTCGTACTTTGCAGCTTCTGCCGATGAGCAGGCAGACTGTCCGATACAACATCTTCCCCCTAGCGACTGGTGCTTGGATTACGCCACAGCTGCGAGTAGTGGATCGCTATTTCAACAAGACTCTAAAAGTGCAGCCTACAGATGGGTTGCAGTTGGATAAGAAAGGTGTGAGCGTGTGGATTCCGGGTGACGAGCGAGGAGGGCCGAAGGAGTGAGGACGGGGTTTCGTAGGCTGTGTGTGCTCTGCTTGGTAGCAGAAGCTGAGCGCCTTCACGACCTAGAATAGCTTGGTAGCATAATGCTATGTGACAAAGCCGTAAGTCGGCGGAAAGATGATCGTATCCGGCCAACGTCGGGATCCCGAGCGCCCGGTCACTCGGGTCGTCGCGGCTCTCAATGAAGAACGTCATCCAAATTCTCCGCGCGTGTTTGTCAAAGCGCAGCGAGCGCGAACTTTCACTCACCTGAGACTTTTCTGCTCAACACCATGCAGCTGCACCTTCTTGCTCGGCATCCTTCATAGCAATTCCTCAAATTGACCGTGCGGCAATGTCAGATGGCTCGACGTCGCGCGCGTCGTCCTCCTGTGAGTCTGCTTCTGCTGGAGGAGCCGCATAAGCCTCTCTTAGCTGCATCATGACTATGCGAAGGGGTTCGGACGCCATGCTGACAGCTTGAGGAGTTCATTTCTTCGCCGGGCTAAGCTCAGGCATCCTCTCCGCCGTCCTCCTCCAGCCTGCCGATCTCCTCAAGACCCGCGTGCAGCAATCGCACCAGAACACGCTCCTCGCAACGATCAAGTCGATAGCCAGCGGACCACAGCCCATACGCCAGTTCTGGAGGGGTACACTACCCAGCACATTACGCACAGGATTCGGGTCCGCGATATACTTCTCCAGCCTCAATGCGCTGCGACGGAGGGCAGCACGCGCGGCGTTACTCAAAGCTGGTGACCGCGCAAGAGCGAGGGATGGGCATTCGAGTTCGCTGCCAAAGCTCAGCAATACGGCGAATCTGGCTACGGGCGCGGTGGCGCGAACATGGGCGGGTTTCCTAATGATGCCGATCACGGTGCTGAAGGTGCGGTACGAGAGTAACTTGTACTCTTACTCGTCGCTGTTCTCAGCATCAAGAGATATTTTCCGCAGGGAAGGGCTGAAGGGCTTCTTCGCTGGTTTTGGCGCGACGGCCGTGCGCGACGCGCCGTATGCGGGCCTCTACGTGCTTTTCTACGAGCAGTCGAAGAAACGACTCTCGCGCCTCGCCAACAAAATCGAAGAAAAGTCCGGCGCGAGCTCGACCAGACTGTCCTCCAGTACCTCAGCGGGTATAAACTTCTTCTCGGGAATTGCTGCAGCGGGCTTGGGCACCTCGGTCACGAACCCGTTCGACGCGATCAAGACGCGGATACAGCTGATGCCGGATCGCTATCACAACATGATACATGCGGCCAAGAAGATGCTGGCAGAGGACGGAGTCAGGAGTCTGTTTGACGGGCTGGGGATCAGGATTGCAAGGAAGGCGATGAGCTCTGCGCTTGCGTGGACGGTGTATGAGGAGCTAATACGGAGGGCCGAGGGACGGTGGAGAGCGGTGGAGGAGACAGTGTAAGAGTACGGAATGAACGAAGGGTTGTACGATATGGATCGGACAGGCGTTACGGGAGGATTTGCGCACTCTGCGCGGCTGGGTACTTTTACTCTCCTCGTAGCGTTTACCGCTCGGGCTTCAAGGGGCTTTGGAGCGTTTAGATGGTCGTTATAGGGCTCATCGCTCAGCATCACTTCTAAACCGGAGGTTTTCACACTTGCACGCAAAGGGCTCAGTCCAGCGGGAAAGAGTGAGTAGGCACTCGACGAAATCATGGGAGCGGAGAGACGTCCCCTCCTGGTCTCCTCGCCAATGCAACCACGCTAAACCCCAAGTTCCCATCCGCAGCCCTCATGAATCTCCTCACTCCTCTCTCCAACGACGCCTCGCTCAGCATATCCTCCCTCTCCCGCATCTCCCCGCGATCGATAGGCCCGTCCGAGCTGCCCTCTAATTCCCACAGGTGGCCATCCCGTCCCTTCACAAAGGCTAGAAAATGGTGTTCGCAAGGGTCCTCTGCTCTAGGTGCTGTCGTATCCCCCAGTCTCGCAGCCCGCATATGGGCCCTCTCCAGTTCCTCGCTCGCATGCAGCATGTCTGCCCTCGGCCGGGGCTTCAATGGCGCGGCTTGCTGGAGCAACCGCCCCAGCGTTGACCCCTCCCGCACAAACTCCCTCGCCTCCCCGTTCGCTACTGCATGGAGCAATGCCATCAGCCCGCACGCGTTGTTAATTGTCTGGCGGAACCACATCACGGGCTCCTCGTCCCCGCACTTGTCATAGGTTAAGCTGTCCAAGCCGTCCTCGACGCTGGGCGTGCCGTCTATAGCACGCACAGTGTGATACGGGGGCGCGGGCGTGATGAAGATTAGCGCGAGCGCGGGGCGGGGAACGAGTGAAAGGAGATCGGGGTCGTCGAGGCTGTAGACATCGTGGAAGCAGAGTTCGGCGGAGATGCCGAGGTCGTGGATGAGGGAGGTGAAGACTGAGGGGTTGTTCTCGAGGGGGATGAAGGCTTTCTGGCCGGACGGGGAGACGTGGACGCCGTCTGTTGGCATGGGTACTGCTGATTCAAGTTTGACTGACTGACTGACTGAGACTGTAGTGGGCTTTTTATTTTGCTAGGAGGGATGATGTGCTTGTTTGTTTCTTTCTTTCTGCGGGGGGCCAGGCAGCTGCTGCGAGATCGATGTCCCTACCTAGGTACCACCCTACCAACCGAATACCGGTACAGTACTCAGGCCTCATCCCGGCTTCGTCATCAGGTTTCTGCGCTGAGTTGGCAGAGCGCGTCATGGGGATCCCAGTCGGATGATTAGATTGGGGTTTGCGAGAGAGCCTACTGCGGCACTGCTGCGAGTTGGACACAGTGGTTTACGAGACGTGTCTGCCGCAGAGAACAGTTTGCTGCTGCACGTCGCAAGATGTCAGACCAGAGTAGTGGCCCGGTCGGCGGCGCGAGCCGGCGAGGGGCAGCGCGGGGCTGAAGAGGCTGTGCGGCGCACGCGGTGAGGACGAAGGAGTCTAGTAGCCGTGTTCGGGGAAGCGCCGCTGCGGTCACAAGGCGCGAGCAAGCAGCGCCTCACCGGCTGCTCTGACCGACCGAGTTGCCCGTGTCGTGGCCCAGTTCTCGCGTGCGCGCAGCCTTCTGCGGCTCCCGTTGGGCAGAAAGCGCTGCTGCTTTGCCTTGGATCGTGCCCGCCGCGCAATGACGTAGCCGCCGCCCCTGCCGACCAAGAAGCCGCCCACCGCACCACCAAGCCCCAAGCATATCCACGCCACTTCACCGACCTGCGCCCGAGAGAAGTGGACAGTCATCAGCCCTCCTTCCTTGCCTGCAGGCCACTCTAGATAAACCCAGCCTGCGCGCCCCGCCGCCAGACCCTCAACCTTCTCCCTACCCACCTTGTTCCGTGCACTCCGGCAGAACTCATTCTTCGTTGCGACAGCCCACCGTCCCCAGTGTCACTCCACTAGATTACTCGAGTAATCGGTACGCGCCCCCGCCCTCACTTTGCGATGTATCCTCTCGTTAACTCTTGGCGCAGAACGACCGAATCGCCGACAAACACCTGCTTTGCTGCTAGCACCTCTGCGATCAAAAAATCCTGCCGTGCTGCGGGGCTGAGTGCGCACCATGTCCGACTACACCTACGAGGACCGCCCGCGGCGCCACCGCGGCGTCCGGGAGCGCGAGCCTGAGTATGTAGAGACGACCTACGTCGAGCGCGGCGGCCGAGGCGCCCCAGTGCGCGACCTCGTCTACCGCCCAGCCCGCGAGGACAGCATCGAGGACATTCCGCGCGACTTCCCGCCGCCGGGCGCCGAATTCAGGCAGACCAAGTACCGTGAGAGCTACGAGCCGCCGCGCCGCGCCCGCTCGGCGCGCGGCGACCACTATGACGACGACTACTACTACCGCGGACGCCGTGGCCCCCGTGAGCCGGACTACTACTCTGACGAGTACGAGCGGCCCAAGCGCCACCGTCGCAAGTCCATCGTCGACAATGTCAAGGAGATTGGCGAGGGCCTTGGTCTTGGGGGCGTCGTTGCCGCAGTCACTGGAAAGAGCCGCTCCCGCTCCCGACACCGGAAAGATCGCGGCTATGACAGCGATCGATACGCAGACCGTGGATACTACGACGACCGTCGCAGCCGCCGCTATAGCGACAGCTCCAGCGACCGGAGCCGAAGCCGACATGGGGGGAAGAGCGACAAGAAGTGGGAGCAGGCCGCCAAAGCCGCTCTGGTTGCCGGGGCCGTCGAAGCCTTCCGCAGCCGCAAAACTCCCGGTCCCTGGACTGGCGAGAAGGGCCAGCGAATTGCCACTGCTGCCCTTGGTGCCGCCGGTATCGACAGCCTTGTAGACAAGAACCCAGAGAAGCACGGCAAGCGACACGTTGCCGAAGCCGCCCTCGGTGGCCTTCTCGCAAACCGTGTTGCCAATGGTCCTCGCTCCCGATCTCGCGATGGTAGCCCTTCCGGATCCCGCTCGCGCTCTCGATCCAGGTCTCTCTTCAGTCGCTCCCGATCCCGTGGACGCTCTGCTTCTCGTGGCCGTGATGGAGGTGGTGGTGGCGACGCTCTTGGCAAACTCGCTGGTGGTGGAGCAATTCTCGCAGCAGGCAAAGCCCTATACGACCGCGTGCGTTCAAAGTCGCGCTCCAGGCGTGATCGCTCCCGCAGCGCAGACAGCGCCGACAGCTACGACCCGCCTTCCCGACGCCATCGCGCACACAGCCGAGGCCGCAGTATGGACGACACCTATTCCAACTCCCGCGGAGCTAACTCAGATCGCAGAGTAGCTGCGAGAGCAGGCGCAGGCGCAGGCGCATTGAGCGCGCAGGGCGCATCGAAGAGGGACGGCAGCGCCGACTCTGAATCCTCGACGGACATGGAGGAAAAGCGCAAGAAGCTGAGAGGTAAGGAACTTCTTACTGCCGGGTTGGCCACGGTCGCGACGATCCACGCCGCCCACGGCGTCTACTCGTCCATGGTAGCGTCGGAAAAGCGGCGCAAGCTGGTATCCGAGGGTGAAATGACACCTGAAGAAGCTCGCAAGCGCAAGTCGAAGAACATGCTCCAGGATGCTGCAGCAGTCGGTATCGCAGCTCTGGGAATCAAATCGGCCTTCTCGGAGTGGAAAGAGATGAACGAGCAGAGGCACAGCGTCAAAGAACTGGAGCAGCGGCGCCGCAAGAGGAGGAAGGCGCGCGAACGCCGCGAGAGGGAGGCCCGGCAGAATGCCCTTAATGGACTTGGTCAGAATGGTCAGGCTAATCCGTATGCCTATCCTGTAGCTGCACAACCCTACCCGACAATGTATGCCGATGCGAACCCATATGGCGCTGTCCCGCCGCCGCCTATTGGGGCACCACCGGGTGCGCGATATTGATAGACTGGATTTCTTCTCTCTTTTGGTTGCTTCCTTTCCTTGGCCAGGGTATCTACCTTTTGAGCGGTTTCTCTTCTCTTTCTTTGCCTTCTTCCTTCGACGAGAGAAAATGGAGAACATGGTGGATGGTGGAACTTTTGGTTTATATCTCTTTCTTCCTCAGATGGATTCCCTTCATCTTTTGGTGTGTCTTATCCAGTTGCTGGGAAACCCTTTCCCGTCCGTTCGTTTTGGAATCTTGACGGCCCTGTCTTTTTTCCTCACACGAAGCGAAGATCATGTCAACATTCTTGGATGATGCGGGGGTAATTCGGAAGGTATACCACTACTTGCTCAAATGATGGTTTGCTAGGAGTTTTTTTTAACGATGTTATGAATTCAATGAGATAGATTGGTTCTCTAGTCAAGTCGTCTTTATATATTGTGTGTGATTTGAGTTTTCTTTGTTTGGAGTGACGTGTGTGACTGGGCTGTTATGCGTGGAATGCTTGGCACTCGGGCGGGAGAGCAGGCAGCGCGGTATTTTGAAAACTTTGAGTAGCTTTTGGATGAGCGAGGGGTCGGTATATGAGGGATTAGGGGCGGGTATGGACTGCGCTGCCAGAGTAGTGAAAGTAGAGTGGAGTGAAGCACTTCATTCATGCTCTCCCTTCTGCTTTCTGCGCTGACCGACGGAGAAGCGAGCTGATCAGACGTTTCGAAACTTGGTCGTCTTGCTTGATTGCATCGCTATATGTATGCAATGAATGGTATGGTGCCCTTCCTTCCTTCGTCACCCTTACTTATATCTTGAATCAGAACTAGGACTGGGAATGTAGGGAGTGGGCTCTGGGTGAGAAGGGAAGGGGAAGGGGAAGGGGAAGGGGAGGGGGATTTTAGGCGGGCGGCGGTGTTTGCATTAGATTGGCAGAGTGCGTGGGTAGGAGGAGAGAGGGAGTGGGTTTGGTGGGTGGGTGGTCGGGTAGGTAGGTATTGTAGGTAGTTATGTCGGATAGATTGTTGGGGGGGCGGGGGGAGGGTGGAGGATTGTGTTTTGCTTTTAGAGGATGGATGAATGATGAGTTTTGTAACGCTATAGGCTGAAGCAAGGTTGGATATTGTGTGCAAGAAGCTGAGGTGGTGTAAGTACTATATTGCATTGCCCTTTGAAAAGGGAAGAAACCGGGAAGATGAAATCGATTGGTTGATTGATTGAGTCGCAAACCTACCTTGGTATATGGGTTATGCTAACTATTTAACAACAAAGCAGAGCTTCTGCCTACGCACGAACGGACTTAAAGGACGGGAAAATAAGGATATGAGAACAGGGTACTATAGAGCTATAGGGAGGGAGTATAAGTTGATAGAAAAGAACGATGGTTAACCGTTAGATGGAGTCTCCAGACTCATCAGTGCAGCATCCATCCTACATTATCAAGCAACTTGTCTCTGAGTTATACTGAGGACGTCTGCAAACCAGCACATGCAGCCCATCGTCTGCTTGGAAACCGTCTCCTACCCCACTATACTCTCGCATATCGTCTACGCCCTCTTCGTCCATGGGCGCGCCCTCCTCTTGCGCGCCGTTCTCCAGTCAATCGACCTGCTCCTCGTAGTCGTTATGATCCTCGCCCTTCCCCATAGTGAGCTGCCGCATCCCGTCGGTGACACCATTTGCATATCCCGGCAGCGCTGGAGGAGCAGGTGGACCCCTTCTGGCAGCCTCCTCGGCCGCCCTCTTCAACGCTGCTTCCTGAGCAGCGTTTGTTTCTGTACCGTCGGGCCTAACCCACAGGCCGTTCTGATACTTGTACATGTTATCCGCGCCCGCCCAGTAGTAGTATTGCCTCCGGTGCGGATCCCACTCCCACTTTGCGCTACCCTCGGCTTGTTGTTCCGGCGGGATCATGCCGAGTCGCCGGAGCTCTTCTTCCATGTGGTCGTATACCTTATTCTGAGCGCGGTATACCGCTTCCCAGCTCCAACTTCGGAAATTCTCCACGATGTCGTCCACCTCCTTAATAAGCGATAGTGCGATGCCTCTGAGCTGAATGCCCTCGTAGAAGCGTTGGAGCACGCCGAAGTCCTTGACGACGTTTTTTATCTTATCTTGCCTCTCGCGGAAATATCGGGCTAGAATAATGCGGGCCTTAATTTCTCTGGCTTTCTGATGCTGAGAACGGCCTGCAGGAGGCACTTACCTTGTGAACTAGACGCGCGGTAATCAATCATGTATATTACAAGGTCCAGATGGAGTAGCCCGTACGCGATTCCGATGCCAGCATTGACGCGTTCGGGGGCACTCATAGTTGCAGTTCAAATTCTTTGGTCGCTCTGTGGGCTGAGGAGGGTGATAAAGCCCGAATGATGAGGGATAGGCGGGAGTCGGAGCTCGAACAAGGTATCCTAGCCGCGCGCAGAGGCTATCATCGCGGTTAAATGCGCCTTTTGTAAGGCGGCAATGAGAGAGGAGTTGGGCATCAAACTATGTGTGGCGCTACCTTTGAAGTTAGCTTCAGCCTGCTACACCTATCTTTGCATGCTCGCTTGCACTCACCGGTGAGGGGTCAGCATCCCTCCACTAGGCATGGCAACCCGCCCTCTCTCAACCTCGTAGTAGATGGCACTCTCTAGCAAGAAGGTGCATGCAGTTCTCTAATGAACCACGGGTGGATAGGGCGAGTCGGAAAGAGTACAACGCAAAAGCTGAAGTCAACCGATAGCTGTTACATATAAAGGCATGCCGTCGAACATATCCATCCGCATCATATAGTAAGAAAATGAGGAGGTCCTCATACCCTGCCAATTGATACCACGAAAGATGCTTCGTGTTCTAGATATCCTGTCCTCCGTCTTACCTTTCTTCGATTCTAACCGTAGCTTCCATGCCCTCGATCCATGTTCCCACCGACCTGGTTCCCGGGATGATCTCCACTTCTCTCATGATGCTATTGAGCGCAGGCTTCTCCTCTTCAACGTCGCTTTCAGAGTCCCAGTCTTCCTCGTCGATGTCTTCGGCACGAGGGGCATGCATCCAGTCCCCCGTTTCCCAGATCAATCTGCACTTCATGGGTTTGATGTCGAAGTGCTTGCTCACCATGCCGAGCAGCGTGTACGCAGTGAAGCTCACTGGAATCTCTGTCTCGAAATGTTTCCCTCCTGCGCTGTAGAACTTGATACGGATAAGGCGAGCGGCGAGCGAGTTTGGGTTGATTTGGTTCGCGTGGTGGTGGAACACTGGCTCGCCATATTCTTCGCAGAGATATGCGTAGCGCGGATGTGAGGCTAGAATTTGTGCTTCGAGGTTTTCGGAAGCGAAGCTGACTTCCTTCGCTATGAGCGAGAGATAGTACGATTCTGCGTTGAGCCGTTCTTTGGGGGTGATAGGAGAGTAGTTGAGTGTTTTGAGGTTTGCGAGTCGTGCTAGTGTGAGCATGTATCCGTCTTCTGCGGTAAGAGCGCGGCCATCGGGCGTCTGGAGGTTCTGGTACAGAGGGTTGTGGGAAACGCGGAGGGAAGTTAGACCGGGGAATATAGTTTCGAGGGCGTCGATGAAAGGCCAGGTTGTTATTTCGTTGTACGAGAGGTCGACTTCGGTTACCGTGAGCGAGAATATAGGAGGAGTTAAGCCAGAAGCGGTGGTTGATGATATTTTGTTGGATTTGAGGATTAGGCGCTGGAGGTGTGGGAGATTGCAAAGTGGGGAGAGGGAGGACAGGGCGAAGATGAGGTTGTCCTCGAGCGAGAGGTCCGTTATTATAGACAGAGGGATATCCTCCGGCGAAAGGGTGGTGTATAGGTTAGAAGAGGCGACTAGACTCGTGAGAGTGGGGAAGAGGTGGGTTATACGGGCGAGCTGAGATAGCGTTAGTTCCAAATTATGGAGGTGTTGAGGACCCGTACCTCTTCCCACGTTAGGAGCGTGCTCTCAAGTTTGAGAGATTTGATGTTAGCGAATGCTTTTTGGCACCTTGCCTTTTCAGCGTTGGTTAGGGTTGTGTCGCGGAAGCGATTGCCACTAAGAATGATTTAGCATGTACTTTGCACGATCTTGGGATCGTTCTCAGTAGCCTCGATGTTCTCTGAAAGGGAGGGCGTACTCTGCTCTTAAGCTTTTCAGCTTCTCTAGCTGTTCGCAAATCGACGCAATTTCCCTCCACTCCTCGAATAAGTTCCGGCTGAGATCGAGCTCGATAGCTTTCGGGCAAGCATCCTTGACATCGGTCAAGCCTTCATCCCAAGCATCATGTCCCTCTTTCAATCTGGCAAGCGGCCTCGCCATGCGCAGCCCATCTAGAATAACGATCCGCAGCTCACTCAGTTCAGCGAGCTGCTTGCGAATCTTATCAAAGCCCACTTCTTCCACCTCTTTCCCGCTAATCCGGATGGGCTGGTTCAGTCTGGCCAATGGATCTTTCTTCTTGTTAGAACTGTCGCCTTCCTGGGTGATGAAGACGATATGGACATCCGGATCTTCGACATCATCTGAAGCGTACTTTGCTTTCAAGGCTTCCACGAAAGACCGTGGAATGTCTGGTTTGCGTGTTGGGCGGATAAAGGAGCCAGCTGTGGGGTACCTGCTCAAACCTACGGAGCTGTTAGTCTGCCCGAACCCACATGGTGAAGAGGAGTATATGTTACAATCGAAGTATCTGATGCCTCCATTTTCGCCAGAGTGCTTCCCTCGGGTGGGGTCGTCCCATTCCACGCCTAGCCACTCCCCCTTGGTACCCTTGACTTCTCCACGATATCGGACCGTGCAAAGCTGGCCATCGTAAGAAAGACGCTTGCCGATATAGAACTCCGCGTCCATGTGTGTGCGGTCTGGTTTGTGTGGACAGCCAAATTGCTAGATTTCAATCGCTGCTCGTTGGGGTGCTGCCTCGGCGATAATAGAATACAAGTTCCAGCCGGGTCGAAATTCAAGGATCAGTACACGCAGATTGGGCGTCGGATGTTCTGTTGTTGAGATGGAACCGCTAATTCACGGTGCAGATGCCTGAATCACGTGCTGCCAAGGCGCGCTAAAGCTCTCACTAGCGCGGTTCCTGGCGGTGGCTAACAATTTCTGGACGACATCACTCCAACCCCCAGCACCACTACAACTACCTGTATCACTCCGGCCTCAGTTTACAGGGTAGAAACAACACGCCAAACCGCATGACTCTCAGTTTAAAGTTGATTGCTACATCCTAGGATCTTGCAAACATGGACTATCAGGTAAGGCCCTTCTCCCCTCTCCAACGGCAGGTTGCTGACCCATACAGAATCGCGCAGGTTCCAAATTCGGTGGTGGAGGTGTTGCCTCGTCATCCGCGACCAACGCCGATCGCCGAGAGCGTCTGCGAAAGCTTGCGCTCGAGACCATCGACCTTGACAAGGACCCGTATTTCTTCAAGAACCACGTCGGGAGCTTCGAGTGTCGCCTGTGTTTGACAGTACATCAAAACGACGGATCATACCTGGCACATACACAGGGAAGGAAACATCAGACGAACCTAGCGCGCCGTGCTGCCAAGGAGCAGAGGGAAGGCAAGAAGGACGATGTTGGGCAGGCGGGTCTGCTCGCAGGCGTCCAAGTCAAGAAGAACGTCATCAAGATCGGGCGCCCAGGATACAGGATCACCAAGGTTCGCGATCCAGTTACGCGTCAGAATGGACTGCTCTTTCAGTTCCAATTTCCGGATATCACTCCGGGCACGGTCCCACGAGTCCGCTTCATGAGCGCGTACGAGCAGAAGATCGAGGAGCCGGATCCCAACTATCAGTACTTCATCGTCGCTGGAGAGCCGTACGAGACGGTGTCGGTCAAGCTGCAAGCTCGCGAGGTGGACAGGCGTGAAGGCAAGTTCTGGACATGGTTCGACGAGGACAACAAGGAATTTTGGTGCCAGGTTCTCTTCAAGACGGAGCGTGACGAGCGTTTTAGTGCAGTTCCTGGTCTGGCGCCTGGGCGCAAGTGAGCGAACGAAGGGGTCGAAAGCGGGTATAATGATATTGGGGTGCCGACCGAAGATGTTTTGTCCACTTCACTAGAGGTAAACTCCTTGATTGGCCTAGCAATATCTTTTCTGATCTCGGCTAGGAAATGCGTCAGATGGCTGATTCCTCAAGATATATTGGAAAGCGCTCAGTGGTTGGCTTGCGGGAAACACACTTCATGGCCCCCTTCGAGTAGGTAGTGTCTTACACAGTGTAATGGTTTTAATTGACAAGACCAAGCCCCACCAACATGCAGAATCCGTCTGTTTTGCTTGGACCTACTCTTTTCGATCTCCAACGACTTTGGCTTCTTCCCTCCCTCGAAGCACTTCAAGAAGCTAGTTCCTAATCCATCATCAACTGTACCTCCGAGCCCTAGTACAGGCCCCGCGGTCAGCCTATTCTGCGAGCGAAATCGGCCTGGTCGTTGTCGGCTTAGAGCCCGGTGAGGTTCTCAATCAACGTTCGCTTTGCTATGCTCCAGAATCGCAGCCTGCTCGCCAACTTCCGCCTTCTCCGCTTTCTAGACTCGGTAATGGGATGTGATGCTGCTTCCAAGTGCAAATACTCCCGAATGCGAATGCTCAATAGATTGCGAAAGATAGAGGCGCTCTATCCATGTTCGTCAGAATCAACACCGATTTGCCACCGAGGCCAGCAGAAGTCTCGACCATCGCTGATAACGAGTACCGAACACCCGAGTTCTCGCTTTGCTGTGGAGATGCTGCTCGAGATGAGGGCATGGTCCGTCTCCGGTAATAGTGTTGGAGAGTGCTGCAGCGACACCTCGTCCAATCATTTCGTTGCCTCTCGATGGGGTCATCTGACATGTTTGGAAGGCGCGATACGGCACCCTGAAGGACCGAAGACGCAACGGGAATCCCTTTGCACCTGACCACCGGCGGGGATGCGTCTACGTTTTGATTCGCTGCGATGGCTCCATCCACTTAATGGCCCTGTTAAGGCTTCCGCCACACTGGGTTGCGTTCGGGTGGGATGCTACACACCTTTTCTGGGTGCGGAAAGCCACTCCTGAAGACCTTCAGCAGGTGAAGACTAGAGCCATGCTAGTGTCAAGTTGGCGGGACATGTATGGATGTGAGTGTGGACAGATGTTGCAGCTTAAAGCCTTTTAGCCGACTATTACACAAGCATGTGTCCAGGGATAGCTACTGCGCTAACGGATTCCCCCAGTGTACTTGATACTGAGCATAGGCGGCCGCTTTGAGATGAAGGCCAAGTATCCGCTACATTCAAAAACAATGTCACTATTACCTCACTGTCGGCGGGCGTAGGTCCTACGGAACGAGCCGGCCAAAGCAGGTTGCTTCACCGCCGAAACTGTACGACATCGTCTACCGAGTGCTCTACAGAGGTCAACCCAGCCATAGCTCGGAAGACGTGCTACAGCCTCCACATCTTCTGCATATGCCGGTGGTCATACAACACGCCAAGCACACTTCTCCCGCCCTTTGGTACTTTGAAACAATCCCCGGTGGCAGGCTTCCTCCGACTGGCCCAGTAGAGGCGAACTCGTTTCTCTTCACTCTTTAGCGGCATGCCCGCGGTATCACGCTCTCAAGCTCCTGAGGTCGCAACCCAGGCAGCTGGCTCTGCAACCCGGCCGTTACCTTGGTAGCACCCATATCAGATGACCAAGCTGCTGGGGGCATGCCGTCAATCACAGTGCTGCGCCAAGTGGCGAAGGCTATCCATCCGCGGGATATACGGTCGACCGTTTCAACCGCCCATCGACTAGGCTGCAATTAAGGTAGTGCGGCAGTAAACGGGGTAAGTAACGGATAAGAAGCAAACATTACGACGCCTGGCGATGGAACTGTGCACAGCTTTCTAAGTTTACCGTAACATCACAGTTCCGTTCAGTCAAGCATCCACTTGCGGAGGTCGTCTTATCCAGCCGAGAACATGGAGGATATGCCCTCCATTGAGCGACGTCCCCAGGGCCTATCAAGGCACGATAGACGGAGGAGCGATCAACACTGACTCCTTCCATTCTAGCAAGGATGTGAAGAGAGCCTCTGTGGCTATCCTTGCGACCCTTAACCGGCCATCAGTGGCCATGGCCTCTTAGCACATCACGCGGCTTTCATCCCAGTCTATCGGTCCGTTTAGCAGAGAAACTCGTCTCTATAGCCGCCCAAGTTAGACACAGAAGACGACTACTTTGGCTGCTTTGATGGGATCCAGAACCCGCCCACCCGCAATCACCCGCTAGGTTCTGAAGGATTGACTTGACTCTAGTCTATCTGCTTGCGGTCGTTAGAATTGTCCGATGCCCACCGGGGTCTAGCGGCGTGGGCGGCCAGATTGAGCTTGCTCGACGACCCTGCAGACCAGCATATGCGAAAGCCGAGAACTGAGACATGATGTGGAACCACGGTTGCACAGCCCCCCGCGAACGCGTCCCGATGCCATGACGCGCCCGATTGTGGGCGGGTCTGTACCGTATTAGTTGCTTGAACAGTAGTCTAACCTCCGTTTAGACATTGGATTGAGCGTCGAAGGACAGGCCCGGTTTTCGTCGCGGGCCATGGCTAGCGGTGCTTCAGCTTTCTAGTCAGTTTAGGGAGAAAGCTTCCTCGATGCCGACCTCCTGTTGTGGTAGATCTGTCCATTTCTTTGCAATGGCTTCGCCTTTTACGTTTCTTAACTCTCTTTCCGCCGGGCAAGGTCGTCAATATTGGAAGGACACTAAACCTACAGGGCGGCATGGCGTCCCAAGCCCCTACGGTGGCGCTCGCAGCGGAAGCGCTGCAAGGTTAGGCATGATGGAAATCAGCACGGACACTCCAAGGTTCGTGATGGACCGCGGGGAACGGGACGTCTTGTGGAACGGATCGCCCTCTTGAGTTCAAACCTTGTGTCCACACAGAGCGGGATTAGGTAGTGAAGGTCTTCTGTGGTAAATCCAGAGCTCTCTGGCGGGCAGGGTATGAAGCCCGGAATCACGGAATCGCTTCGACTGCCGTTCAGCTGCACCGCTCAGTCAGGCTGGCAAGCTGCTATGACTGACGGCGGCGCCCTGCAGCAATGTGCCCAGCCAGGAAGATGGATTGCGCAGCAACCGCGGGCGTAGATTGGCCGGCATCGCGGGGATCGTCGCCGTCCCCCAGAAGGTCGGCAAGATGCGAATAGGCAGCGGGCCTCTCAATCGGCCAGGGCTTGGTCTTCCAGAATTAATACAGCCAACTGCTCCATTCGGCTGCTGCGGCAAGCATCAGCGGGAGGAGGACTGCCCAGCGCCATCATTCCATTGCTTCGGCGCGGAGCTGGGCTCAAGAGCAGTCAGCCGATACGAGCGCGCAATGGTCGAATGCATGCATTACGGCCGCTTATCCACTCTGTCGTAGGCTTCCTGCAGGCGGAGGGCAAGGCAGTGATTGATTCGACGGGATGCGCGCTCAATCAGCATCGAGCTGTGCGCGTGAGTGGTGGACATGGGAAGCAGACGCGACGGCCGGCACGCCCCCAGCCGCTTCTGTGCTAGGGGCGCCCGAAGGGGCATGGCCGGGGAGGAAGCGTCAGTGAAGCAGGCCTGGCATCGTTTCTCGTGGAGCGCATGAAGCAGCAGCGGAGCTTGGACGCCTCTATCGAGATCCGAGCCAGCGGTCACTATCTGCTGCACGTAAGAAGCTCGTATGCAGTCAAAGCCACCGGGGGCCCAGCAGGCGTGAGTCTTGCCCACACGCCGCTCGTGCGCGTGGATCAGCTCCATACAAGCCGCGGAGACGCTCCTCCAGCCCGTCGCATCACATTGCAGCGTGCCAGCTCCGCCGTGGAGTGCCATCGTCGCCGCCCGCCCATTTGTTGGCTAGGCGATTGCAGCCTGCCGTTAGCTGTGCGTTTGCGGGCCGAGAGCTGGGGGGGGCAGGCCTTTTATCGCGCGTCCCCAAGGCCTGTGCCCGCTGCCCAAGCCCGTCCCGCCGCCTGCTCGTGAGCACTTGTACAAATCTACTACTGGCTCGTCCGGGCTAGACGGCCGCCTGCCACCAGCCAGAGCGCCAGCTCCCAGAGGTACGTCGCTCCGCACTCCACGCGTTCGTTCTCCGACCCAGCCCGGCCTCGGCGATCTCGCAGCTGTCGCCTGCGCGCCCGCCCCCAGGCCGCTGACGACTAGAATCCCTTACAGCGGCTGCCAGCAGCGCTGGTCGTGCATCGTTCGGCCGCCCTGCGCTCCCGTTCGTCATCCATCTTATCACCACCACTATATCGCCGCCGCTCACGTGGCGAGCCTTACTCACAGTCCGCTATTGCCATGGGAGCGTGCGCTCGCCCGCCTTCGACGTGCTGACTTGCTTTGGCGCAGCCTTCCCGAGCCTTACCACGGCGATCCGCGACCCATCACCGCTGCCTCCCACCCACTACTCGCCCTTCCGCTGCGCTGCGCCGCCTCGTCCTCGCGCCTGTGGTCGTGCTACCGACCCTGCCGGCCTTGCATATCGCACCGCGCGCGCTGCCCGGCACATCACCGGCCTCGCTGCGACGAACTGGAGTGGACGGGCGCCCGGATCTCGCTCGGGTGCGTGCAGCTCGCCTTCGCGTCGACGCTGCTCCCACAGCCAAACCGACCTCACGTCCCAACCCACCGCATGTCCGCGCCGCACCCCGCCACTGCCACTGCCACTACCACCCCAGCCTTGCGCTCTCGCCATTAACCCAAGGCGCCGCCGATTGGCCCTCCCGCGAGCTTCACGACCGTCTCCGGAGCTGGCCGCCAGTTCGGCCGCTCGCTCGCTCCTTGCGACGGTTGGAATGTACTCAATGCATCCAGTCCCGGCCTTGTCAAACGGCGGCATCGCGAACGGCATCATGGACCCCTCGGGCACCATCAATCCGGCTGCGCTGAACTCAGCAGGTACGCGAATAGCTTCCCTAGGTCGCGGGCGCAGGGCCCGCCGCCGTCGCACGACCCCATCAAAAGCCGTCGCGGGAAATAACAGTGGCCGGCTTGCGCATCTGTTACATCCGCCGCAACTGCCCGCTGGTATGGATTTTGCTAACTCGTTCTGCCAGGTGTACTCGTAAGCCCTCCGCAGGCCGTCGCACAGCAACAGTCGCGAGGCATCAAACGCAGCCGCTCGCCAGAAAACAGCTATGCCGAAGTGCTGCCCGGAGAGAACGGCGACGGAGGTATGTATATCATCTCGGGGGAGCCCCGACGCATCGCAAACCGGTGCGTTTGCAGAGACGATGCTAACGGCGAAATGCAGATGAAGGCAAACCCAGAAAACGCGGTCGACCGCCCAAGACAGCAAAAGTCGCGTACACTGACAGTCCCAACCGCACATCGCAGCAGCCACCGACGCCCTCTCGATCAGTAGCAGCCCCACCAGTGCAAACTCCTCAATTGCCGAACGCGCCTCTTCCCCAAACTTCCCCATCCCAGGCGTCTCCTACAAAATCAACCCCCACCAAGTCTACAGTGATCAAGGCACTACCGACCGTCCGAGACCATACGACCGACCAGCTAAACGCGGAAGGCGACGAATACATACCGCGCGAGACAGACGAGGCAGGAGAGACAAAGGTGACGGCAACAGGCCACCCGCTTGGCGGAAGAGAATACCGTTGTCGCACGTTCTTCGTGCCTAACCGAGGAGACAAGCTGTTCATGCTCGCAACTGAATGTGCTCGCGTCCTAGGCTATCGGGACTCGTACCTCCTTTTCAACAAGAACCGTTCGCTCTACAAGATCATTGCTACCCAGGCAGAGAAGGACGACCTGATCCATCAAGAGATTCTGCCGTACTCATACCGTTCTCGCCAGATCGCCATTGTAACAGCACGGTCCATGTTCAGGCAATTCGGAAGCAGGCTCATCGTAAACGGGAGACGAGTCCGCGACGACTACTGGGAGAGCAAAGCTAGGAAGCAGGGATTTACCGAGGAAGACGCGGCAGGAGAAAAGAGGCCCGGTGCGGCGAGAGCAAGAGAAGCGGCAGCAGCTGAAGCCAGCCACGCCGGTGGGCATATGACATTTGCGCATACCGGATCGTACACTGGCAGAATAGACCCGGACTACCTAGGGTCGTCGGCCGCGAATCCATTGCACCCATTTGGAGGCCTAACTCCCGCTCCTGGAGCGATGCCGGCAGCAAATGTCGAGCCATTTGATAACCGCACCACGACGGATTTGCAGCCTCGGGATTATAGCAGCGTGCAGCGACCACGACACGAGATATCCGGTGTGCCCTATCAAGACGTCACCCGGCCCACCCCTTCCGGCGAGATTATGAATCAAGCATCCCAGACCGTGGAGTTCAACAAGCAGCTTGAGCAGCAGAGGAAGAATCGCAAGGAATATCTGGACAATTACTGGGCTCGACCGCATGAGCCCGCTCAGGTTGACCGCCCAGGAACGGCAGAGGCGAACAACGTGCCACCTGTCTCGCAAGCCGTACAGTCTCCTCGCGTTTCCTCCACAAATGCAGTTGTTGGTGCCGGACAGTATTCCATGGCGGCTCAGACCCCGCAGCGACCAGGCCAAGCAATGGGACCCCAGTCATACAGACCCCAGCCTCATCCCCAGAGCGCTATGGTGCCTTCGCCCATGGCTCCCCAACACACCCCTCTACGGTCCGATCAGATGCACCGACGACCACCAAGCATGGCTATGCCCCAAGGAATGACGCCAGGAATGGCCCCGGCCGGAATGCTTCCCACGATTGGTCAAAATCCGGGCCACGGCTACCCTCCCCCACACATGTGGGCACAGGGTCCTCCGCAGCCATCTCCACTATCGCAACAACACAACATGCAGCAATATGCTCGACCCCCGCAGCAATCCCCTCATCCGCAACAGTCGCCTATGCACGCTTCGCCACAGCTTCACCACGTTCAAAGCAGCGGCTCGATGCACGGTACGCCTGTACAGCAATACCAGACCATGGCCGCGATGGGAGATTCAGGATACCCAGCTATGGGTCAAAATCCGTATCAGCCGAGCCCAAGTCCTCATCAGTTCATGCAACATCAGAGTACCGCCGCGCAGCAGCCCGGTATGCCGGGATGGGCGCCGGGGCAGGCGCCTCAGCAAGGGTGGCAATCATACTGAAAACCTAGCGATCAACGCCGTCGACCTTTTATCACTTGCGGCCGCGAAAGTGGTTGAAGCATATCGGGCTGCTCGTTCCGGTCGCCTTTTACGGCGACTGAGTCCCCTACCTAGGCGCCGTGAGAGGCGCAACTAGCGACTGCGCTGCCTGCGGGTCTTAACTGACCTAGGGAACGCCGTGGGACATACAGGCATTGGTTGGCCCATTGGAAGGATCCTCGGCCCGGCACATTTCCCATTCCCCTTTCTTCATACTGTACACTAAGCTCGCATTCTACCCTCGCCTTGCCATCTTCTCTACGGTGTCCTTCACTTGCGACGGAACAGCGTCGATCAAGGTCGGCTTATTCCCCGCTCTCATCGAAACACAAGCAACGAGTACCCTCTACGACGCATGCGAGATGAGCCGACTACGTCAAATTAACGAGGAGCGAGTGGACATGCGGGCACCGAGTACGTCTTTTGGCACACGGCGGCACACGAGGCACACTAGAGGTTTCATCCTCTTATACCATTTCGGTTGGACTTTCCTTCAGAGTTTCAAGTCTTTGCTACTTTCGCTGCGCACGCATGCATTGCATTTACGCCCCGATTTACGCCGTTCGCTTGCTATGTTTTGCATCGTGCGGTTCTTCCCGTGTTGGAGTTTTGCATTGCATGGATATGGCTGCGGGCTTTGGGCCCCTTTGGTACCCTTTCGTATTTCGAGTTCTGCATGGTCGTTTCGAGGCACTTCATGGCACCTTTTCGATTTGCGCCAGACTGCAGTTTGTCACTACCCCTTTCGTCATACCCCTCATCTCATTGGTGGCTGGAGCGCTGTTTCCCCTGATTCCCCCAGAGTCCCCATTTCCTTTCTTTCCTCATTACATTGCTGTTCTCCCAGCCTTTTCTTTGCTCGGACAGTTTTCATCAACACTGCATATCGGGTTTTGGGCGGCACACACACTATCCAGGGCTGTGCGGGCAAAGGTCCTGGATAGCATACAGGCATGGTTCAGAATTTGTGGGAAATCACACAGTAGTATGGTAACAGCAAGGACATGGACATGCATTGCTGGAGGTTTCTTTAACCTTCCCCTAATATTAATACTATTCTTCCCCCTTGGAACCTCGCATTTCAAACATATCCTTAACGCCTTGGACGTTATACGTATATCAGGCTATAGTATAAGGTTTGGGGGCCGTCTGGCGGGTTTCGTATCTCGAAACCAGCGGATGCTTGCTTGCTGCTTGCTGGGCTGACTGCGCGCGTTCGCAGCGGTTCGCAGCTTTGCGCGTGGCAGCGTGGCAAATGTCTTGCCTGGTGGCCGTGGTGGGCGGCTGAGGCCAAATCTGCAGCTGCCTTCACACAAAGCTGGGGTGCAGCAGCATATGCAACACAGCACGGTCGTTCGTTCGCTGCTGGCCGCAGCTCGGGTCTGCCCTGTCCTGTCCTGCATGCTTTGACGTGACCTGAGTGACGTGACGTGACGTGTGCGCAGGGAACATGGGTCTTCAGCTTCAGCAACCAAGCAACCACAGATCTGAGAACGCTTGGGCCATGGACTGAGCTCGCGTATCTGGGCCGAGCGGAGCGGAGGAGGGAGGAGAGGAGACGGGGTCTGGCCCGCTGCGGCGCGCTGGCGTCGAGTAGAAGCGCTTTTTTCTGGGGCCGCCCCCCGGGTGATGGGCTGAGATGGTGTCACTTTACTTCGCCGACGCGCGGTTGACGTTTTGACATCTGCGCTTTTGCCCTGCGTCCGTCCGGTCGGCCCAACATGGCTGCGAGCGGGGTGAGAAGCGCGCTAGAATCCCCTCTCCCTCCAGCCAGACACATGGAAGAGCAGTTGCTGAATTACTTGTTCTCCTCTCCTCCCGTCCCCGCTAAAAGGGTCAGAAGATGCTTCTCGCAGCTTCCATTCCGCGGTACGCTAGCGACCATCGCATCGCATCGCTTACACACGAGATCCCGAGCTTTCTTGCTCAGGCGCCCCGAGTCTCAATTAATCCTCTTTGCGAAATATCACTCGCAGCACCAGTTCTCGCGATGCAGGGAAAAAGTCCTCGTCAGGTGGTGGAATAGCACGAGTGCTGGCTTAGAGGAATGACTGCTTTGGGTAGGGCTGTTTGAGCCTCAGCTCGCTCGGGTAGGTGTTCCGTCCATACACAGACGGCTGTTGGCGAGAAGACGGCGCAGAGCGGGTCGGTAAGGCAGTGTTTGAGGCTTGTGAGCGTGAGGGAGGCGAGATGGGTTTTTAGGAGGTATGTAGGGTTAGTGGCTCGGTATGTTGGACCGAGCCGAAGTGATTCTAGAAGATCTAAGATCTCGCGAGCACATCTTCATTGTTTAGTGGGTGAATCATTGGGGTTCCGTGCGCGGACTCAGGCAGCAGAAGCATGGCTTGCTTTGCGGGAGCGGAAAAGAGGAAGGAAGGAAGGAGCAGACCTCAGCTTAGGTTGGAAGGATGCCGAGGCTGTGGCCGTGATGGTTCATCAGCTGTAATTTACCTTCGTCTGGCAGTACTTCCGAGCTGCGAGATCTCACCAGGGGGTCTTTTCCAGTCCAGATCGAATCTTGACTCTTCAGAGGCCCGTATGTTGATATTGAGCGATTGATGCCGAGGACTAGGTATAGAGTTCAGGGCAGTGGCTTTTGTTATGCAATGGAAGTAGGCAGGAGGGCAAGCACTTAAGGTTTGATTCCGTACAGGGGTTCTCAGAGCGGATATTCTGTGATTACCTGGGGCGTAGCTATTTACCCTCATCATAGGAGAACCCCATGCAAAGCCCGAGCGCGCAGCTAGGTTGGCGGCCGTTCTGCGAACTCCGGAGTACACACCTATGCGTTGGGCTGCGAGATTCCGATTCGGGCCAGGGTGCGAAATCGAGGCTAGGGATTTAGAGTTTCGACATTGACTCGAGCAGGTACGCGATGCTTTATGTATGCGAGGGGATAGGCTGTCGTCACATTGCATTGCGCAAGTAATGCGCCCGACGAACGTCCGATTTGCATTGAAAGGATTCTTCAATAATGGAGCTTTTCGAATGCGAACGCGAGGAATGCAAGATGCAAGAAGGATTATCGTGCGACGGAGATTAATACAGGCTGGTGAATGGGAGAGCTACCTAATGCATGCTGACACTTCAGAAGGTGAGAGATGGGATAGCTGAGGGATTGGGTGCTGGGGCGCTTCAGGATGCCAAATGCTTGGGAAGAATTGCATCTTGTTTAGTACCCTAAGGGACCCCCAGGCCATTTCTACCTCGTGCGCTATTTGCACGCTCAGCGAACGATTCTGGTCATGTACTAGATTCTCCTATTCACCATATATCGAAAGCCCTCTCTCTATGTCGGGGAAATACAACCGCAAGGGCGGGACATACAGGCTCATGCTAACAGCTGGAAAGAGATACACACATACAAGCTCACGGCAGGCTCAATCGCTCCTCGAATTTTGAGTTGGGGCGACGTTGCCTATCGCATAGGCAGGTCGCTCTTCGACTCGAAGCTGTACCTCAGCCACTCGCCCACAGCCCTCAAGCTCTCCCACCTCACGCTCTCATCCGCCTCCTGCATGAGCTCCATGACCCGGCCCTTCAGCCCCAGCTTCTCAAGTTGGTATCTCTTCTCCGGCACCTCCTTGACCAGGCATGCCACGTCATTGCAGCCAATAGCCAGCACTTGCTTGTCGTTATCCCAGCTCTTGGATAGGATCTCGGCGAGCTTGCGGGGTAGTTCGCCCTTGTTCTCTTCGAGGATACGACGTGCGTTTTCGCGCCAGAAGGTCTGGTTGCGGTGTGGCGGGGACCAGCGGAGGTGACCGGAGTGTACTTCTGCAGCGTACTCGTCAAAGGTCGTTTGTGTATTTGTGTAGTCCTCTAGCAGCTCGGTGAGGGCTTGAAGATCTTCAAGGGCATCCTGATCGGCTAAGTGGCGCGATTTCAGGCTTCCAAGGAGGGAGGGAAGACGGGCGAGGACGGCGGCGGGTAGGAGCGTTTGGCGGTTGCTAGTGAGGAGGTTTAGAAGGGTTGAGAGGAGAAGGCGGGTGGTCTTCTCCTTCGGCGACAGACGCAGGAGGTGGGTGTAGAGAATTACTATGTCGTGCTCACTGTAAAGGGTCAGCGATAAACTAAATGCGTCTGAAAAGAGCTATGCGTACTCTTGCAGACCGTCTCCCACAAGCTCGCCCTCAAAGCTCAGTTGCCAAACCACTAGTAGCACATGGTAAAGAAGCTGCAGGCCAACACCTCCAGTAAGACCTTCAGGCACGCTGCGGATACTACCTCCCCCACTCCAAAGCGTTGAGTCCTGGTCCTTGCTTGCGCCGGATGCGGCGCGGAGAATGTCGAAGAGGGGATCCAATGTCTCTTTCCTTTGCTTCCAGAACAACTGTCTCGCCTTCTTGGTCCGCAAAACAGCCGAGTATTCCTGCACCGCAATGTCCTGCAGACCCGCATCGGAGCTCACGGCAAGCGCCGAGAGATACTTGTAGAGCTGGGGTAGAGCTTCGTCGATCTGGGACACGTTCTTGATAGGGTGTGTGAGGGTGTAGGCAAGGAACTTGGAGAGGACCGAGGATGCGAGCAGCGGGATAGGGTCTTCGGGGTTCGGTGAAGCCTTCAGTAATGGTAGGAAAGGCTTGAAGGGCTCTGGGTGCTGTGCAAGAGCTGCTGTGAGGCTGGGTATATCTGGAGTGAGTTAGCTCTGAGCTCCGCAAGGCGCAATGCGTTGGAAGCAGCCGCATTACCATTAATGAGATCCTCCATCAATACCAGCATGTACTGCACGATGTCCTGGCGCTTGGATGCAGCCTCAAAGATGCTCTGTGACTCGTTCCCACCCACCAACAGCGTCACGAAACTCTGCACGTCGCCCTCGATCCTTTGTTTCCGCTCTTCTTTTCGCACCTTGTCAATGGATTTGATCTTCTGCAGGTCTGCGTCCGTGATGGTCTTGGCCCGCATTGCGCCCTCCCATGATATTGGCCGGGTGCGAATGTTGGCCTGGATGGTGAAGAGGTATGCCGGTGGATCGAGCGACATAGCGGCGGAGCTCCGCAGAGGGTGATGCTATGAGAGGGGAGCTAATGCGCTATGGTGCGGGCGGCGGTGGTGTTGAGGCTGGACGTGTTGCTTCTTCGTGCTATCAGAGCTGCACCCTCCGTCGTCATCTGAAGCTCGGGCTAAGCTATCCATTTTGGGACTAGCGCCATTAGCGGACTGATATCTTGGCGTTGATTCTTCAGATTTTCGACAACCCCCGAGCGAAACACAAACACCGAGCCGTATTCGTGGGCCGGACATCCGAAACGATGGAGTACTTTAGTCTCAAGAGATCTAGCGTTGCCGACGGCGGCGCGCCTAATCTGTCCAGCAAGGTCTACGTACGGTCGACAAAGAGTGGCAAGGTGCAAAAGATCGTGAGGGAACTCTACTTGCGGCAAGACATTCCATGCTCGTCAAATCTCTGCAGAGCATGCCTGCAAATTGCGCCTACCGATTACAGCAAGAAAGGTTCGAAATCCCAGCTCACGTGAGAAAGCACAGCTAACTCGAGCAGTTGCGCCCTTCGTGCTCTCAGATACCCCGGCGGGGTCAAAAAATTTCCCAAATGGACAGTACCTGGTTCCTGATACGAATGCTTTCCTCACTGGCATGGATTTGTTTGAGGTGGAGACCGCGTTTCACGACGTTATCGTCCTACAGACCGTTCTGGAAGAAGTCAAGAACCGCTCATTACCGCTCTATCATCGCTTGATTGCCTTGACCAAGAATGAGGGAAAGCGCTTCTACGTCTTCTTCAACGAGTTCCGTCAGGAGACTCATGTAGCCCGAGAAGCTGGAGAAACCATCAATGATCGGAACGACAGGGCGGTTCGGAAGGCGGTTCAGTGGTACAACCAGCATATCAAGCAAGCCATCTCTGCGAGAAGCAGGAAGCAGACACGAGTTCCTTCGGTGGTCATGATCACCGATGACAGGGATAACCTGCGAAAGGCAAAGGCGGAGCAAATTCCGGCCATCACGCGTAGGCTCATACAAGTATATTCTATGGACATCACTGATTATGCGTAGTGGTCGACTTCGTCACCGGTCTCGAGAATGCGAACGAGCTGCTGGACATGATCAGCGCCGCGCAAGATCAAAGAGAAGTCAGGTCCAGGAAGACGGAGGTCTTCTATCCGGAATATTACAGCATATCGAAGATGATGACTGGAGTCAAAGCCGGTACCATGCATCAAGGCATCTTCAACGTCTCGCCATACAATTATCTGGAGGGTTCAGTCCATGTCCCAGCATTCGACAAGTCGCTCCTCATTCTCGGTCGAGAGAACGGTAATCGAGCCGTATCTGGAGATGTCGTCGTCGTCGAAGTACTTCCACAAGACCAGTGGAAAGCGCCGTCTACTAAGATCATCGAAGAAGAGACGTTGAACAAGAACGACAACCCCGATGTGGAAGATGGCGAGAACATCGTATCCGAGCGGGAACGAAAAGCTCTTCAAGAAGAGGTAAAGCGGGCACATGGCCAGAGCTCGGAAGGTAGGCCACAGCCGACTGCTCGGGTGGTTGGTATTGCCAAGCGAAATTGGAGACAGTACGTTGGGCACATCGACCGAGATTCCGTTCGGTCAACGTCCAAATCGAGCAGACAGCAGCAGATGGTTTTCCTGGTTCCCATGGACAAGCGCATACCAAAAATTAGGATACGAACTCGGCAAGCTGGAGAGCTCGTGGGACAGCGGATTTTGGCAACAATTGACTCTTGGGAACGAGACTCACGATATCCAGTGGGGCACTTCGTACGGTCACTCGGCGAGCTCGAATCTAAGGGAGCTGAAACTGAAGCTCTGCTTCTGGAATGGGATGTGCAGTATAAACCGTTCCCCAAGACGGTATTGGACTGTCTCCCAACTGAAGGACATGACTGGAAGGTTCCAGCTAGTCTCAACGATCCCGGATGGAGTGGCCGCAAAGACCTCCGAGATCTCTTAGTTTGCAGCATTGACCCACCCGGCTGCGTTGATATCGACGATGCACTTCATGCACGAAAGCTGCCGAACGGAAATTTCGAAGTTGGCGTACATATCGCCGACGTGTCGCACTTCGTCAAGCCGAATAACGCCATGGATAAAGAGGCCAGTCAGCGAGGAACGACTGTTTATCTTGTCGATAAGCGGATAGATATGTTACCAATGCTACTTGGAACGGACCTATGCTCGCTAAAGCCATACGTGGAACGATATGCCTTCTCTGTCCTTTGGGAGATCACCCCTGATGCGGATATCGTATCGTCGCAGTTTACCAAGTCTGTCATTCGTTCAAGAGAAGCCTTCAGCTACGAGCAGGCACAGATACGTATCGACGACAACTCCCAACAGGATGATCTCACGGCCGGCATGAGGACGTTGTTGATGCTCTCGAAGAAGCTAAAGCAGAAGCGGTATGATGCCGGCGCACTCAATCTTGCCTCTCCAGAAGTCAAGGTCCAGACCGAGTCTGAGACGTCTGATCCAGTGGACGTTCAGACAAAGAAGCTCCTCGACACGAACTCTCTCGTGGAAGAGTTCATGTTGCTTGCCAACATCAGCGTCGCAGCAAAGAATTACGAAGCATTCCCTCAAATGGCTCTCCTGCGTCGCCACGGCGCACCTCCGAAGACTAACTTTGAAGAGCTCGGCAACCAGCTCAAAGTCAAAAAGGGTCTTGAGCTGCGAACGGATAGCTCGAAGGCGCTTGCGGATTCCTTAGACACATGCGTAGACCCAAAGGAGCCGTTCTTCAACACGCTCGTTAGGATTATGGCGACGCGGTGCATGATGTCTGCAGAATACTTCTGCGCCGGCACCCAAGCATACCCAGAATTCAGGCATTACGGTCTTGCTAGCGAGATCTATACCCACTTCACATCGCCAATTCGCCGCTATGCCGACCTTGAAGCTCACAGGCAGCTTGCCGCAGCCATTGACTACGAGCCGCTTGATGCCTCCCTCCAATCTAAAGGGAAGCTTGAAGGTGTCTGCAAGAACATCAACGTGAGACACCGCAACGCGCAAATGGCCGGCCGCGCGTCTATCGAATACTACGTTGGGCAAGCGCTCAAGGGCAAGGACATTCAAGAAGAAGGCTTCATCATGAAAATCTTTTCGAACGGCTTTGTGGTATTTGTGCCACGGTTTGGTGTGGAGAGTTTGATAAGGTTAAGGGATTTGGCGACTCCAGAGCCGGAAGCGGATTTCGATGCGGAGAACTACATGCTCAAGATCAAGGGGGACGTGGGTAGGACCGTGGAGTTGTTCGAGAAAGTCATGGTGCGCATCACGGATGAGGTGGAGAAGACTACGGGCAAGAGAAAGGTTAGGTTGACGCTGGTTTGAGGGGGGATGAGCATGCAGTCTGGAGAGGGAATCGACCGCCGTGCTCATGGCTAGCTTCCTCCGGCACGATATGAGCAATATCCCAGAATGCAAAGGAAAGTCGAGGCTGAGGACTTTCACCTATCTCACATGGCCGGGTTCGATCCGAGACATGGCTTGCTGTTATCATCCATCCCCATACTCTTAAGCTCCCGAGACGTACACCCTTCATTCTCGTGCATTGCTCGCCATGGCTTCAATCCCTAAGGATCTCCAAAATCGATGTCGCACGACATAGGGAGATGATCGGACGCAATATCTGTATCCGCAAGCGAGCGTCAATGTGCAAGCCGTCCATCCAATGTTCTCCGCGTTTCGTAGCGTCATACAGGACGCCTTTGGGACTAGTCACAGGCATATACCGCGTGATTCAAGAAGCAAACCCACTTTCCAGGATCTGGCCCGCAAAAGGAACTATGGATCGCGAATACCAAGCCGATAGATCGCAGCGCCACTCGGGTGGGAAGCGACCGTTGGATGGCGAGATGTCTGCTGTTGGGTCGCAAATCGCTTCCTTATTGATTGAACGGCAGCCTTTGCGGTTGTCGCCGCCGAGGTTACCTGCCTTTTGCGGTGATGCATTCATTACTGCTCAGCTCAGACTTGACCCAGGAACGAACGGTCAAAGAGTACGCAATCCACGGGTTGATGCGCTGGGAAGCTACTCGGCATAGAGTACCTAGGCACGAAAACGCAGACGATCACGCGCCGAGGGATAGACTTCAGAGATGTCTTTGTTTGCTTTTGTGTTTCGGCGCGCGCGGCGCTTGGATACTTGGGCGTCAGTCGGAGATGCTCCGAAGTTGGGTGACACAGTAGACGGATCGGGTGGCACAGCGCTTGGCTATTGATCTATTGATGTATGCGGGTGCCAGATGTAGTCTGCATTGACTTCTCCAGTTGGAAATGATGATATGCAGTCGTAAGGGGGAAGAAGAGTGGCATTTGGTAGCGGAGATAGTCCCAGACTGAAGAATTGGTAGGGGCGAGCCACTGCCAAAGACGAAAGCACATCCGCTTCACTCCGAGGTTAGCAGACCACGCGAACGCACGTGTCGAACCCAATGGTGAGCGCTGACTGTATCCAATATTCCATCCGCATATCGACAAGACCGCGTGAGTGTCGCTAAACGCAATCATGTCTGACATGTTGGGCAACAACCTGATAGCTCGCATCCTATCCGACCTCCACGCCCTCTGGAGAAACTCGGTCTATCTCGAGACGAACTACAGCGAGACCTCGCCATCGTTCCTAGCAGCCGAGAAATTGAAGGGGCGGAGTAAAGACAGGTACTCTATATGAAAGGGCGCCTGGGATATAAGACCTTGTTGAAGGAGCAGAAGCAGAACCACAGAACGACAGATCTGTGTGTAACGGGGTAATTCCGGCGCAAAGGGACGTCAGATCCGGCTGCGGTCGCACTGATCGCAACGGCTTACCGCGACCCCACTTGGAACCTTCTGCAGCAGCTGCTGCAGCAATATTCATCTAATGGTTATTTGCCCGATGGCGGTTGTACCGCAGCTGCGGACGCGGTTATATTGCTGCTTCGTATGACGCCCCCCACGCCGAGTTATTGAAGGAGGGGTAACACGAACGTGCAGGATGTGATGGAATGTCTGGCACGGCGGCTGGAAGAATAGGAAGAGAGGAGGCATCAGCAGACCCTGAGGTTGATAGAAGATACGGGCGCACCCGGAAGCGGGGCGACGTAGCGCTCCGAAGAGAACCGTCTGGTGCCGTAGGTGGGTTGGATACCTAATAGGGAGAGTCAGGGGCTTGCTTGCTTGCTGCTGCTGCTTCACCGTCCCGCGAACGCCCCGGTCAGCGGCGGGGACACCACCTCCAACACGAAGCGAAGCGCATGTTACACAAGAGTTCGTATTGTAGCGACTCCCCATCGGCATTTCAGGAAGAAAGCGCACTTGACGATGTTAATTCCCGGGATCTGTATACTGGCGCGGCGCCACATGGTCCCTTGCGGGTGCTTTTGACCGTTTGATGCCGGGAACAAGGTAGAATTAAGGTCTGGGGTATCGTATCATAGTCTTCCGCAGCAGCAGCCACGAACACACCGATGAAGAATCCAAGAGGAATATCAAAGGAGCTTGCTTATTATTGCAACTGCCTCATCCGGCGCTGTGAACGAGAAAGCGAGACCTCGGGAGGTAGCGCATATGGTCGGCTGATGTGAGAGGAAACCTGAGGAGCTTCATCACGTCTTGACCCGTGACGGTTCGCACGGCAAGTATATAGGATAGAGTACGTAGGCCCTGGTGTGCTTTGAAATGCGCATCGGATTTTAGACTTGGATTCGGCTTTCGAGGCCGGAAGCGAGCTGAAGTCCTTGAATTTGCCCCCCAGGCTAGACATCGTGACGCCAGGCCTCGAAGCTGGAAAGGCTGGACGTCCTGAGGGATGAGGGTGAGGGGCCCCATCCGCGGCGTGATTGGCGGAGCGAAGATTTGCTCCTCTGCACGTCACAGCATAATTTCTTGACGACCTTCTCTTTTCTATCTAGCCGGGGACGACAGCGCTGAGCTGAGCTGAGCTGGAGAACAGCGCATGCGCTCTTTTCTCCTTCCCCAGCAAAAAGCAATGCTCTCCGCACAGTGACGCGGGAAAAGCAAGCCTGAGGGGTTTTCTCAAGAGGTTTCGAGACTCAGCGCTTCGCAGACGAAGGATTGCGAAGCAAGCAAGGGGAAGATGCGGAGCAAGGGATCCTCGTTTTGTGGCGTTTGACGATCATGGTCCACGTGCAGCTTGGACATTTAGCCGTTTTACAGTTCCTCCACCTAAGAAATCCAGGGACGGAGCATCACGGATGCGCGGCAAGAGCGTGCTTTTGCGAAATTCCATCATGGCGATACTGGCATTCCCCCAGCTCGCTGTCCACACTACTTCCACACCGTCGACATCATGACTCCTAGACGAACGGCTCCAACCGTTCGTGAAACTGACTCGGAAGCGGTCGATGAGCGGCGATCGGAATGTGTGTGGTTATGCCATCGATCGCCAAACAGCGATGGGCATGTTTCAGTGCCGCTTCGGTCCTGGCCGTCCGCAAGTTTCCATACGCCGACAATCTCGGCTGCGGGACGGTTATGGAGATCATGGAGGAGCGGGGGAGATGAAATTCTGCTATTTTCGCTCCTTGCCTGGCCGTTGTCGAAGAGCTCGTGAGGTTGCTTCAAAATTGCTTTGGTGCTTTGGCGAGCTCGTTGAGAGATTGCGCTCCCGTGATGGGCCTGATTGTTGGAAACGCAGCTATCCTGAAGCAGTGCGTGATGATGCAAGCAACTAGGCCGCACAGACCGAGGTCGAGATAGCGAAGTGCCAGCATTTTTGCTTGAGCGCAGGAAGCGCTTCGGAGAATTTCTAAACATGCTAAATGTTGGTAGTGGACTGGATTCCTGAGGTCCAGGCCGGTGCTAACCATGACTAGTCCGACCAAAGAAACAACGTCTGATGGAGGGCCGACAGCGATGTTGCTAGTACCTCCGGAGGTAGCGCCAGCGATGTTAACCCCATCGTGACACTCACCGCAAGAGTTGGCTCGGATATGAGAATTGCCATGGACGAGCGCCTCAGTTTCATCCGCGCATGCTTATCGAGCAGAGCCGCACGCTCTGTCTGCAGCTGGTGACAGTCTCAAGAATTCCATTGGGCCCAGAGGGAAATAGGCTTCGAAGTTTCCTTCGTGCTGGAATGCAGTCAGCATCTGTGACATGGCAGCATCGCAGCCAAAGAACGACTTGAGGCTTGGAACCTCTCGGTGCTTTGGGGGCGGCATTGTGGTGTCCTGCAGTAGAGCAACGGACGGAGCCAGGATATGGATGTCGACGCAAGGATCAAGGGACGTTTTTGGTCTCTTATGCCGTGACCTGTCGATATAGGTTGTGCCGCTCTTACTGGCGGCCAACCTTATTCTGCCCCTTGAGCTTAACCTTAGCGGCAGCTGCATCTGTATCGCGGTTCCTGAGAGTGACAGCAAACACTTTTTTGCCTCGCCAGCTGAGATATCGCGATGCCGCATTGCGGTCGTCCTCCGAGCGGAGAGGATGCCATGCGGGACGACGCCGCCTAGAGGCCGCGGTTCCGTGGATAGCATTGGCCGGTGCCGCACAGGAGGCCGTGTCGTTACCGGCATGGTGTGCGCTCGCGTCTGCCGATCGTCCGTGTCAGGGGCACACCACACCAGGACCTCAAAATTTCCAAGAGTGCTCAAGCTGCCGCGCACACGCTCCGTGCGGCTATCAAAGCTCCAGGCTTGTCCTTCGTTTCGACGGGCGGGCCTCGTCACCTCCAAGAAGCAAAGAAAACAGGCCATCGAGGTGAAGGCCTTGGACGGCGTGCGCGAACTGGTGTGCTGCCATTGACTGCCATTCGAGCGCCTTCGTCAATCGACGCCCCTGGTGTAGGCCGCGGCGTCTCCAGCTCATAGCCGGCTGCTTGCTGACCTCACCAACGCCACGTCGTTCACGACATCAAGTGGATCTCGGAGTGGAGCAGTGCGTGGGAAAAGGTGGAGCGACAAAGGATGCCCCCTGCAGTGCTGCCCTCCAGGTACCCTAGCCGACGCGGACGGACGGTGGAACTACCTATCGTGGGTGATACGCTATGATCTTAACGGCATGCGTCCCAAGGCTCCAAGGCAGGTGTAAAATTAAGCTCTCTCACCGCTCTCTATACTTTTAGCACTTCCCGCCCACCAGCAGGTACAGTCTCTGTTCCTGCATGCATTTGCCTCCAAGCCAAGGGCGACGGTGTCTATAAGCTGCAGGTACGTGGCGCCTCTCTGCTGTCGCTGCCGAGCGGCTCCTCCACATTCCCCTCGTTTGGCCTCGCTTTCTACACACTATCTGCACCCGTCCGGTCTGGGTGGAGCGAGGCTGGTTGCGCATGACCGTCGTCGTCCTGCTGGACCCCTCCGCCTTTCCTGCAGTACTTTATCCTTATCTGCCCCTCTCATTCATATCGGCCTGCCTTGGCTCTCTCGACCACCATCGTTCCTTCGTCCTGTGTTCGACTGAGTATTGCAATGATGGTCGACTAGCTGTCACTCTCGTTGGTTGTCAATCGGGGCTTCGTCAAATCTCTCCTTCCCATCACCGCCAGCACCTCCCACTCCAAGACCCGAGCTCCTCAAGGACGGCCTCGCGCCCATCGCTCTTTCTCCTCTCGGCGCGCTACTCCACCGCATCAGCCTTCTACGACGGATTCTGTCGTCCAGGCTTCCTTGGGACGCAACATCATCTACACTGCGAACGCCGATTCCACCACCCACCGACACCATGGAAGAAAAGAAGATCTGGATCATCCTCGCCGTCGTCCTTGGCAGCCTCATCCTCACGTTGGCGGTTGTCCTGGTCATGTTCTGCTGGAGACGGTCTAAGAGGAGGATACGGGGTTTCTCGCTTCGGGCTGTTACCCCTCTAGACGACGCCGAATTTGAATCATGGCGCCGCCCCAGCCAATACACTAAGCGCCCGCAAAAGTACGGCATCAGACCTACCCAACCAGCCGTGGCCCGTACCGTGAAGACGCCAACCATGTTTGAGAAGGAGCTCAGCACCTACGAGCCTCCCCGAACGCCATCACCCCACGATCATGTGGAACCCAAGTCTCCGACTTCGATTCAGAAGCCAGAACGTGCACGGAGGAAATCGAGCGTCTCCTCGTCACTCGCAGACAGGCCACCGACGCCCTACTCGCCAGCTTCCACTTCGAGCGAGTATCCGAGATCGTCGTACACGTCTCGCAAGTCACTTAGCGGTACTCCGCGTATCCATTATCCTTCCATGTCCGAGGCTTCCGCCTTCCGCTTCGACTTCCATGTCGACTTTGACTCCCCAGCTCGAGATCCGGTTCGTCCATCGAGCCAGTCGGATCGTCCGCTCAACCTGTCCTTCGGACATGGATCTCACACCGACAGAGTGTGAGGAGGGAATAGACCAAAGACTGCATCCATTCATCTACTCTACTGGGACCGCGAAGAATGCGGCCCAGGAATATCCGCCTTTCCATTAGGCGCGGCCCCACCGGCATCCAGGGACACAGGTCACCACGAACCGTCTGTCCCGCCCCTTAGCACAGACCCAGCCTGCCGAAGCCCTTCCCGGCCGGCAGCCTGCTCTCATCACAGACAAACACGGACACCACTTACTCATGCCCCCACACGGCCTCTCATCTCTCGCTCTTTCTCCATCGACTACCATTCTTATACATACTTAACGACCGTACATGAATTAATCGCTTGGCGTTTTGGAGGGCAGCTTCATTCTAGTGATACCAGACATTTGTCACCTACACAAAGGCACCCGCCTCTCTCTTTTATCGTTGTGGCTTGGAGCATATGCAGAGGGAAATGGCAGAACGAAAGGAGAAACAACAAGAAGCAATCATGTATGCATCCTGAACAAGCAGCAGCTTGGGATCCTTTGACAGGTGACATAATGCAACGATACATTGCTCTAAAATGTTCCACTGCGGTGCCTTTCGTGATGCCCTCAGTTGAACGAACTCCCCGAGGTCAATGATAATGATTGACTCTACGCCCGGCTGCGGCAGACTAAAACGTACCGTTCGGCCATGCCGTCCTGCAAGTCTCTCACCGCCATCTCTCCACAGACTCAAACCCGCAGGGCCCATCGTCCGACACTACGTTAGTCCCGTATCCGGTCTTCGCACAAGCGCAATGCACGCTCCAGTAGAACGAATTCCACAATCCGGGCAGCCAGCGAGCGAGCCGCAGGTGTCGTGCATTGGTGTTACGTGATGGCATGCGTTGGCGAGCGAAGAGGTTGGGGCTCGGTGTGCTGTGTCGCAATGGGTGCCAAGGCCGATGATGTGCAGCGGACATCCTGGCGCGTGCTTTGTGCTCGTGAAAGAAACACCGAGCACGCTCGCTCGCGTTTCCCTTTGCGGGTATACAAACACCTGGCCACAAAGCGCATTGATAAAGGTACAACCGATTGATCCTGCCGCTCTCCGCATCGCCCTACCGCCCCGAAGCGCATACAACTCCGCTGCTGAAGCTCACGCTACATCAATCAACACACCGCCCCGCCGCGCCGAGGACACGCGCATCGAACCAGACAATGGAATTCGTACAAGGTACGCTCCCCCAGCCTCCCCATGCGCTTCTCTAGCTCTCACCAAATCTAACACCCACTTAGACTACCTAACCCTCCTCCCACGCCTCCTGCCCCCGTCCCTCGCGAACCCACTCCTCACCCTCGTCACCACCCTCCTCGGCATCTTCAAAATGCTGCAATCGCACCTCTCGCCGCTGCTCACGCGCCTCGTCACGCAGCCCGACGTCGCCTCCATCCTCGCGCTGCTCGCCATCCTCTTCATCTCGCTCAAGATCCTCGACATGGCGTACCGCGCGGTGCTGTTCTGGGTGAAGCTGGTCGTGCGGCTGGTGGTGTGGGCGACGGTGCTAGGGCTAGGGCTGTGGCTGTGGAATAGAGGCGTGGACGGGTTTGTCGCGGATGTGGGGGAGTTGGCGGAGTATTGGGGGAAGGAGTATAGCAAGTATGCTGGGGAGGTTAAGGGGTGGAGCGAATATGAGAAGGCGCAGATTCGGTTGCAGGCGTATCAGCAGGGGGGACGAGGGGCGAGGGGGTGGTGGTAGAGGGTGGAGAAGGTGGGGATGGGATGGTGGAAGAGCTTGGATAAGGGGATTTGGGGAAGGTGCAGTGGTGTAGGATATGACTGCATATACGGCGTTATCTAGGTTGGACATGCATTTCTACGGGCGTATGATTGTGTTTTCGCATGGACCTGGACGTTTTTGCACCGCGGTCTGGTAACGTCTTGCTTCTAAGGTGGAAAGGAGTAAGGAAGCCGGGGCAGATTCGTATGACACACGGGCACCAATGCGGAACTTCTGAAATGGCTTTAGAGAAAAGATAGTAGCATGTGGTTACGATTATGAAAGTTCATGCCCCTCGCAGCAAGTCCCATATGAGCATATATTTGCTCTCAGCTTGCTATGCTCTACAGCAGACATATGGGCATAAGTTACTCTACTGCTCTGGCCTCCTTCCGACCTTCGTTCGCTACGTGATGTCCATGAAAGCGTTCAAAAAGCATCGCGGAAAGATAGAAGATCGAACGACCATTAGAGCTTCTTGAAGGAACCACAATGGCAGCAGGAAGCCTAAAAGCCCTGAATCAAACACCTCATAACTAAACTCCTCCGAATAATCCATGAGCATCTCCCGGCCTTCGACTTCGCCTAGTATAGCACCATCTGCAAGTGCCTGAAGAACGCTCGTGGCCGGTGCGCTTGCGTAGACAGGCAGCGCAGCAGAGCAGACCAGAATACTAGCACAGCGAAGCACTCAACGAGAAAGAAAGAGGAACAGCAATAGGAACACTATACCATCCCTCCATCGCATCTCCCCACATTTCCCAGCAACAATTCCCACCCTGCACACTAAACCCACTGCGACAGCATTTTGTATATATACTCCATTATTCTACACTTCAAACAAAGAAATCCAATACGGTCGTCGGTTACGGAATCGGTTGGCTGGGCTGATCTCAAGTTCGTTTCATGTATGATAATTGCGGATTTCTTTTTGCATTGTTTTGGGAAAGTTCGGACGGGGCGTCGGTTTGAGTGCGGTACTGGATGGATTTTTTTGGGGCTGGAAAATGGAAAGGGAAAATGTGATTTTGGAAAGGGGTATCGGCCTATCTGATGTTGGCGCCGGCATCTGGGGCGACTATAGTATAGGAGGGTGTTGTGGATAAGGTTGGGAAAGGTGATTAAGTGTAATGCTGTGCGTTCGATGCAGTGGTTTACTTCGAGCCCTCTAGGTGGTGTGGCAGCGCAGACATAACACCGTAACAGTACTGATTAGACTAAAGAGCTTCTGGGAAGTCTAGCTGAATATGCTTCTACAGGTCATTTGCGGGTCTATTCCTCCAAAAGTACTCGCCTCGGTGGTACTTTGAGATGACCCAAATGGAAGAAATTTGAAGAAGAAGCACACTCCGCTTCAAGGACGACGACAAGGTCAGTCCAGAAGCCCCAGGTTAGTTTCATCCCCTACTTTCGAGGTGTCACCGCCCCCTTTGTCCTTCTCTGGCAGAGAGCTTTCGCCGAGGCCAAGGCCAAATGGATCACTGTTGTCGACAGGCTGCTTGGCATCTTGATCTTTCTCTCCTTCTGTTGGTTTTGATTCCTGAGCCGTACCTGACTGAGCCTCCACCGCTTGTTGAGCAGCAGGCTCAGGGCTCATCGGCTGCCACGGCGGGCGGTACGTCCGTCCCTGAGCAGTCGCCTCCGCAAGCTCGACGTGGTACTCAGCAATCGCCTCCTTGATCGCTGCCACATCCCGCTCGCTCAGATCCAGCTGCCGGTAAATCTTGAAGAATTCGCCGGCTCGCGGGACCCAGCACACGAAGAGCTGGTTCAAGCGCTGGCGCTCCGCTTCCTCACGTGCCTGGCGAGTCTCTTCATTCACTTGTTGTTCCGGAAGAAGCTGGGAAAAACTACCAAAGGCCGGGACTGAGACATGCTCCTGTCCTCCATAGTCGAGCTGGCCTTCGGGCGCCAACCTCAGGGATGGATCAAGGTCGGAGTAGTGGCCGGCTGGACCAGATCCGCGACCACGACAGCGACCACGGCCTCGTGCTCGTCCTCCGGGCCCACTAGGAGGCAACTGGTCGCTGCTATATCTAGAGGCTGCGAGACCGCCCTGACCCTGGGTTAGCTCAGCCATCCTGGCGCGAGCTGCTTGACCGGCAATCTGGGCTCTGCTGGGCGTCTGCTGGCTGGGCTGGTTTGACGGCGGCGATTGCTGCTGGGGAGTGGACTGGCCGGGGATAGTCGGTAATGCGGGGCCGAGTGACAAAAGCGATGGGAATTGCAGGGGAGTTGAAGACCGCGAATCCGCACCCTGTGGACGAGGTGCATGATCTGGTGCGTTTGGGGGAGAGTTAAGGCCTGGATGAAACCTAATGGGACTGTCAGTATCAAGTGTGGTATTGCAGCGCGGAAGTACTTACGTTCCAGTGATGCCAGTTTGAGGGGTACTCCCCGGGACGTCATCTCCTGAGTCAGCCCATTTGCTACCGAGTAGACCTCCGGTTGCCGACTTCGGAGTCAATCTAGGTATGGGGTTAGCAAAGATCAGTTTGAGCTAAGTGAAAGCTCTTACCCTTTTCCAGTTGTAGCGAGACTCGAGGCAATGAGCGAAGGAGAGCCAGCATTCGAAAGAGAGGGGGCTGGAACTGGAGTTGTGTCGTGGGAGGGCGCAATGGCTTGAGTGGGAGAGAGGGCAGAAGTTGGTGGAGCTCTGGTGTTCGTGTTAGTACGACTATTTCCGTGTAATAGTATAATAGTAGAGAAGTACGTACGATTGAGCAGCAGCTCGGCGCTCTAGAGGAGCGTTCAGCAGCTGCCGCCTAGTGAGAACATCGCTGGCCTGCCCACCAACACCTCCAGCTTGCGGAGCAGGCTGCTCGCTCGCAGGTTGCTGGGTTTCCGTCTCCTTGAGGTACTCCTCAACTGACATGATTCCCGGCGATGGTCCCTTGGTGATTTTCTTTCCGGCTCCTTTGTCAGACATTGTGCCAACTAGTGGGTGCGCAAAGATTGAAGTTAAGTAGAAACGGAAGTAGGAGGTTGAAGGATGGGAGATGACTCGTTCCAGAAAGAGCGTATTTTTATAACGGTAGAAGAAGGATTTATATACCCAAGAGAAAGAGTGCTCGGACCTATCGACTGCACTCTACGCCCGTTACCCAAGCCTTGGCTTTTCCGAAATAAAAGGTATAGCAATTAGGGTGAATGCTGCTGGCGGGCGTGGTTGCTGTGGCGAGCCTCTATGCCCGAGTGAGAGTGACAGGGGAAGTCTTAAGAAGGACTTCGGGAAGAGCAAGGTTTCGAGGAAGACTAGAAACGAAGAAGCTATTAGAGAACGTTGGTTCTGTTAATGGTAATTAGGGTGGACTCGATTTTTCGAATGCCTTGCGTGGTATATAGTGAGAAGCCATGGATGCTTGCTATTATCGAGTGTTCGGTCGCATTTCTCAATTAAGTTCTTTTCGGGGCAAATATCAAGTATTAGGGAGGAAACAGGACGGCGCATTGGTCGGAATGCGAGTCCTAATGTTTCGACGATACTAGCTTTCTAAATCTAGCAACACACTCAGCATCGGTATCAATAAGTAATGAGTGATACTTACTAAACGCAAACAGTTTCTCGAGGCCCGGTATCCCATTGCTCAGTGCATAACGTTCTCCCGGATGCCCCCAGAGTCCGCAATGCCCGCGACATAGTCCGAACCTTCCTGCGGAACCACGCCTGGAAACTGGATAACGCCATGACCTCCAGCTATACCCTGGCTCTCCGGCTCTTCATGACCCGCGGCGCCCATCGACGGCGTGCTCTGAGCTATTCCACTCGCAGGCGTCGTCGCACTTGGCTGCCCAGCAAGTGCCTCCACCCCAAAGCATCCTCTCACCCTCTCCACCTCGGGGCAGAACAAGACCTGGCAGGGCGTATCGCATGCAATTCCAGGATCCACATACACTGTCAATGCCTCTGGCCGACTCCGTCCCCGCAATGCATTCCCGCTATCTCCTTTATACCCCGCCGGACACGCGCAATAGCCCTTGGAACATCTCGCACCTGGGCCACACTCCGTGCCCGCCTTACCACCACACTTTCTCAGCGGGCACTGCTCTTTCTTCCCGCCGAGGTTTCCAAAACCCACAAGCTGTGGCCCCGTGAGCGCGTTGAACTCTTCGCCCTGTGGTGGTTTCGAATGCGGGGTTCGCGTCGCGCTGGGGACTGATGTTGAAGACGATGAAAGGTGACACCGAAAGTCTCGAGGGCACTTATGACAATTAAGATAGCGGGCCGGACAGTTCACCCAGAGGGGTTGGAAGTCCATCATTTGCGAGCGGCCGCTATCGTCCCATGGTGAGATGCCGCCATCGAGGGAGATGGGTTCGACATTGTCGGGATCGGGAGACCAATCTGGGTTGAGGTGGAAGTCTGGCTGTGCTTGCGGATCCCAGTTGGGATCGATACCAGGAGCCTGTCGCGGAGAATGGTGGGCGCCAGATTTTGCTTGTTCGTGGGGACGACGATCGTGCAGAAGGCTACCTGAGGCGGCGGAAGTAGCGAGGGGAAGCAAAACGGCGAGACCTAACATGGACTTCATGATCTAGGATAGTGAGGAATTGAAGCGAACGTAGAATTGCATGAAAACGAGACACATAGTATATGTGTCAAAAGGCAAGGAGTGAAGGGCAAGCAGACGCGTGGTCACATTTCCCAGTGACGAAATTGCGCTACCTGGAACCGAGATTCTGGAATGTACCTTGGTACAACGACCGCTCTCCTTCGGGCAGCCTCAAGTAGCTTGCAAAATTAATTGGTGTCATCCGCTGGTTGATAGCCAAATTTGTGTAGCATGTCTCTGAAGACAGTTTCACCTCGCGTTGTGGACTTCACACCTGGGCAGGCTTTGCGGAACATGCACATTTGTTTACTTCGCTGAAGTAGCAATATCATTTCGGGGCACCACTCACGGTTGATCCCCCTATGTACGCACGTTATATGCGCGCGGCTCTCATTGATCTCGGCTCGACCTGCTGAGCAGTTCCGTCCCTCCCCTTTTAGCAGTGGACCTTGAGCGGAAGTGAGCCTTTACCATTTCTCCACAGCTGGCCTGAGATCGATCTCCCACGTAAAATTTGTCCGCGGCTGAGTATGTAGCCACCAGTAGTCGTTCGCAATCTGTACGGAGTCAGCTCAACATCCTCATCGCAGACAATCATTATGCGTACCCCATCAGCACTCAATTTCGCCTCAGGTCCCATATCCTTCAGCCACTCCTTTGTCCTTGGGATATCAATCACACCATCAATAATCGCATGGCTGACATGAATACCCTGTGGTCCGAACTCTCTCGCCAGCGACTGGCTCAAAGCGCGCAATGCCCACTTGCCCGTCGCAAACGACGCCATCATCGCATTGCTCTTTACGGACGCGGTTGCCCCAGTAAAGATCAGAGATGGCGGATACTTTGACTTCTGCTCTACGCCCTTGAGGAGCAGAGGAAGCGTTGCTTGGGAAAAGAGGAAGCCACCTTTGGCGCTCACATCCAGCGACTTGGAGAATACCTCTTCAGGCACTTCGAGGAAGGGTTTTCGCAGAAAGCCGCCGCTGGCGTTGAAGATAGCCGCCTGTTCAACATTAGCTCTGAATTATCATTCCATACTGCCGAGGGCTCGGGCTTGTGCTGTTTCATGACCTACCGCGGCGCCAACATCCGACCCGAACTCTTTCTTAATGGCCTCAACTGCGCTCTTCACGCTTCCCGAATCCGAGATATCAGTGCTAATACCGATCGCCTTTCCACCGCTCGAGTTGATCTCTTTTGCGAGGTCATTGAAATTGTCTGGATTCCGGGCAAGGAGAACGACTGGATACGTGGCAGCGAATTTTCTTGCGACAGATGCTCCTGTACCAGGGCCGACACCCGCAACGATGGCAATCAACTTGGATGCCATGATGAAAGTCACGTAATGATATTGTGAAAACGGGACAAGATTGTTGAGAAAACAGGTAGAGTGGGCATAAAGGCAGATGGAATTAACAATATAAGCGCTCTTTTTGATTAGATATTCTTCCCCAGATGTTTAGTAAAAGCAAGTGGTGGTGTAATGTTGGGGTCAAATTGTGCGAGAGAATGCGGAGCGGAGCTTTCACAGGCCGAGCACGTCATGATTAATAAGCGCGTAGGCTTTGGAATCGTCGCGCAGACAGAGCTCCGATCCGCGAGATATGATTGAGAGGGGAAGTGGAGGTGCGAATGCAGCCATCGAATAATGCATGGCGTTCCTTGTACTTTAAGAGACAGCCTCCTTGCTTTTGCTGCGATTGGCCATGCTCTATCGTACTATGCCTACCAAACTGTATAGTCCATCCGATAGAGATCGAGCAGACTGCGCGAGGCCTTCTGAGTGCGGTAAGTAGCCGACCTACGTTGCGTTTCTCCAAACACGGAAGAGAGGTTAGATAGGTGAATGTATCTCACTATCAAACCGCCCATTTCATCGAAATCTCATGAGCGGTCTGCAGGCAAGCATGACACGAGTCATAAGCTTCACTCTTCGCTAGTCGTATAACTTCATGCAACCATCGAAGGGTTGAAGAGTAGATAATCTAGCGTGGCAGGACGTGCGGGCTTCTCTTGGACGAGACTCCGACGGTGGCAAAGTGGGTGAACTTCACGTATTGTCCAAACAAGAATGGCGAGTTCCAGCTGTTGCCCCGGATCGTTCATACAAGCCGTTGCCGGCGAGTCGATTGATCGAGCTGGAAGTGGATATAATGCCCTACTTTTCCATGCATCTGTAGCATTTTCGGAAGTGGTGAAGAGATGTTATGCATTCCGTCCGCTCGATGAAAGAGGTACAGCCCGCGCCAATTCCCCGGGCATCCCAGCCATGAAATTGTCGTCAACCAGAGAAAAGCACGCTATCGTTTATGCCTGCGACCTTTTCTTCACCAGCTCCCGGCCCTGGCTTATCCGCTCCAGAATGTTTTCACGGTCCTGATGTGTGTCAGCGTCTATCGCGCCCCGGATCCTTCACCGGCGTACCTTGTCGAGCTTGAGCTTCGTGACGACGACTTTCGAGGCGGCGATCGGGATAGGGACGGACTGGCCGTTGCTCTTCTCACGGACAACTGTTCGGAGATCAGCAAGGTTCAATTGCTGGGTACCGGAGAATGCGAACCTCCATTGACGTGGATGCAGTACTTGAGGCGGTAGACGGAGGAGACTTTGCCCTCACGGCCCTTGTGTGTTCCGCGCACGATCATGATCTCGTCCTGCAAGCGTTTAGTTCCGGCGTGGGGTATATTCAGAATCGTGAATGCATACGTCTTTTCGGACCGGGATGCTGCGCACATTAGCATGGACGCGTTGCCAATGGTATAGGAAGAGTGTACCTTCGCACATTGTGCTTCTCGCGGAGCTCCTTGCTGAGCGGCGCCTGTGCAGTGTGAGAAACGTCGGCTGGAGGGTTTCCTGGGTCTACTAACCGACATGATAACGCGGCGCACGCTGCTCGGCGCACCGAAGTGCGCCTTCCGCGACTTGCGGCGCGAGCTCGAGACGGAGTTCTTGATCTTGGTCATTGTGGTGGTGGTGCCGACGTTGATGTTCTGTCTCGATCGCTCTCGTCACTGGGAAATTGTGTGTGGATTGCAGGGTGAGGCTGTTCGCTTACTAGCGTCTGGGCGCGGAGAAAACTTGATCCCTCCGACGGCAAGAGCAGCCCAGCATCGGTACTTCCTCTCCACGCTGGCGCGCTGGGGCAACGCGTGCTTTCACTCACTTTCACTCGCTCACTTTAGCACTTTCCTCTCGTGCACGCGTCACGGACGCCTCTCCGCATTGCGCTCGCAGGACAGCCATACGCCATTAGCGCAGCCTGCTCCACTCGCCGCGTCGTGCGCGCCTTCGTCTTCGAACTCGAACGCCCCCATTTATCCAACTCGGCTTTTAGCCAACGCGATTCACGATCCCAATGCGCTCCCTCGACTTCGCACTTAAGGCGGCACCGCATGGTGCTCTGGCTCTTTAGAAGGTTGTCAAAATGGCGTCAGGAAATTACAACCCGTACAATATCGGACAATACCCGCAGAGCTCTGCCCAGCAGTACCCGACATACCAGACGGCGCCGCAATCCTCGCGCCAGTACCAGCCCAACCCCTCTGTTGCCACGACGCAAGCGACGGACTATATGTCGTACCAGGCGCAGTCCTACGGCGGCCAGGGGAACGCATATGCTGGAGGGCAGGGCGGTTCTTGGGGTGGGAGCAGTTATGGCGGCAACCGGGAGACGACAAGCCGTGCCGCTGAAGTGCTCCGCAACATGAGCAACACGGCCTACACGCCAAACCCCGCAACAGCGGTGACTGCGCCGTCCTTCACTCCGACTAATCCCTCGGCAACCAATCCTACGCGGTATTCGAGTGCAGCCCCGCAAACGCAGCACGTACATCAACCTCCACAGAGTCACACGACGCACCCCTTATATGGACAGTCTCAGGCACGCCCACGCAGCGTAAACACGAACCGCACGCAGGCTGCAACATCGCACGGAATCCAATCGCCTGCAATGGCCGCTGGCTATCCATCTCAGCGGACAGCGAGCCCAGCGCAACCTCAATATGGGCAAAGCACACAGACACCTGTCAGCACGGCCAGGACTGCGGCTATGACTGCGGCGACACAATACAACGACTATGGCCGTAACAGACAGCTCCCCAATCCTGATGCATCACGCAATGCGCATAACACAGCCGTCTCTGCGTCGTATAGCTATGCGGACAACCAGGCGACAGCACCAATGGCACAGACAACTTCTACGAACGTGCCGGAATCCTACAATCAGAGCACGATCACCGTGGATCCGATGGCCGTGTATGACCCTTGGCCGGAATACCAGCGCAAGCAGGAAACATTACGCGCCCAGAAAGCCGTGGAAGATACAGCCCGCGCCGAGGAGGAAAGGAAGGCCGAGGAAGCGCGTAAAGAAGAGGAGCACAAGAAGGAGGAGGCACGCAAGCGGCAGGAAGATGAGGAGAAGGCTAGACAAGCGCACTCCAAGCAAAAAGCGCGCACATCACAAACACAATCCAGTGCCACTGAAGCTAATGCGCCATTTTCTGCCCGCCTAGCACAAACTTTGGCTGGCGAACCGGCTATGGAAGCAGAAATCCGCGCACTGATGGCGAAAATGAGGGAGTTCAACAGCAAAGACCCCGCGCTCCTTGCCCGCATCTGGGAGGAAGAGCGAAGAGCAAAAAACGTCCAAAACAAAGCAACCCCCCAGCCAGCTCCAGCCCAGCCCGTTCCGACCAGCGTCACACAGGCTGCAAATCAGAGGAAGAAGGCAGCTTCGAAGGAGACGGCCACCGCAAACACTGCGAAACCGGCACAAGCTGCGGCGCCGCCTGTCGCCAAACCACCAGGTCTGGGTGTCGCCTCAGCTCGACCAGGAGGTAGCACGATTTGGCCGCCTGAGAAGAAAACGCAATTGGCAGCCGCTGCTACCACATATCTTAATGGTCAAAACCTGGCCAATCCATTAACGTCGGACCAGATCCTCAGCATGCTCGACGGGAACCCATCGTACATCGAGTTATGCGAGCAACTTGAGGCTATGAACCTGAAGTTGGACCGCGCTGCGTTCGCGAAGAATCTTCTGACTGCTGTACCAGATGCCAACTCCGCGTCTCGGCAAGCCAAGCCTGCTGCCGGTCCTGTGAACGGCGCAATCGCGCAGAAGGCCCAGGTTGCGCCTCCGGCCGTTATGAAAAGGGGTATCGCATCGCCTGCAGCAGCGAGTCCTCACCATATGCCGGCTGCGGCGGCCTCGCCAGCAAACAGGTCGCCGTACCCATCCTTCCCGGACAACAGTGCCTCAGCCCCCCCCTCACCGGTTCCTGTGGCAGAAATGGTTCCCATCAAGCCTGAATTGAAACCTCCGGCAAATAAAGAAGAAGCCGCTAGGAAGCGGACCTTCAATGATCTCATAGACCTAACCCAGCTAGAGGACGAAGATGACCTGGAGCCGCCACCGAAAAGGGCCACTATCGGGTTTATGTACTCTTACGGTTCCCCGGGGCAGAGTTTCAACGACGCCATGGATATTGACGAAGGCTCTCCTGTTGTGAACAACTTCCCCATCCCTGCAAGGGCAACCCCTCAGCCAGTGCACGAATCTGCCTCAGCTCCCCCTGTCAATGAGCTAAGGTATATAAAAATTGTGGAGCCTCTGGACCGCAGGAACGCGCTGCGAAGAAACACCTACAACATCAAGACGATAGCGCGGGATGTGCTGATAGCGTGCGGAAGGCATCCTGAGACGCGACAATTGAACCAGCATCTGGAAGTGCTCAAGGAGCATCTACCGCATGTGACGAACGATTCAGACCTGAGCACGTTGAGATGGGATCTCATAGATCCCGGAAACCCTCCGCCTGGCTACTTCAAGGCTGGAGTTCAAGCCTTAGCTGAAGATGCCGATGACGAAGAAGACTCCGAGGACGAGAGAGATGCTGCGCGACGGGCGTCGACGCAAGCGATTGGCGGTGACGCGCCTACAGCCGAGGCAAGGGTCTCAGCTTTACCTGAGGCGACTAACCCATTCAAGCAAAAGAGACGCGGTCGCCCTCCGCGACACTCTTATCCCGCGGATTCCACAACACCATCGACCCCTAAACGTGCGACTTCTACTGACATGAGCGCAAGCGCGCCCCGCCCAGCCGCAGCCGCAGCTAGCGTCGGCTACAGCGCCTTCCGCTCCGCTACCGGATATGGACCTGATGGAAAACCACTTCCCAAGAAGAAAGGGCGACCCGTCGGCTGGCGAAAAGCAATCCACGGGTCTGCAGCGGCGCAATCTCGACCATCTGGAAACAAATGGACTGGCCCTCTTCGCCATGTGCCCTCTCAGCCGAGCTCTCTGCGCAACGTCAGCACCGGTCCGAACGAACCCATCAGGATCGGCTCTAGTTCGCCCGGCGTTCCGAACAAGACCATGCGATATCAGTCCTTCGCATGCAAATGGCAAAATTGCAAGGCGGAGCTTCACAATCTGGAAACGCTGAAGAAGCACGTTTACAAAGTTCACCGGAAAGAGAGTCTTGGAGGCACGGGAGGCACGCTGGAATGCCTCTGGAGTGACTGCGGAAACGAACTCGCCAGCCATGATCTCATGACCAATATGAGGATTGAGCGCCATGAACCTAAATCGTTCGACAACGAAGACGGCTGGCGGGCACACCTGGAAGAAGCGCACTTCAGTCCGCTGTCGTGGAAACTTGGTGATGGGCCCGCTGGCGGACTTTCTGGTAAGTGAACCCCTTGTGTAGTCGTACACACACTGAGGTTAACAGACTGAGCAGATGCGAACGATTCGGAGGCATACCTCAGCGATGCCCAAGGACGTCGTGTTACCCCGCGAATCACCCCGCGACCCGAATACCTAAACGACGACAGTTCTGGCGCTCCGGATGGCTCTGCCTATGCCAATCCTTCGTCCGCCCCCCGCGGACGGGGAAGACCGCCGAAGAACCAGCAGGATGCTCGCGAGGTGCAGAGCCAATTGGTTTCGCAGAAGAAGCGTGTCGGTGGACCAGGAATGGATCGCGGTGGAGCGACACTGGTGAATGAGAAGCGCAGGAAGGGTTTCAGCGACAATGATGAGGCGGAGGAGGAGCTTGTAGATGCTGAGGATTAACGGGATGAGCAAGGGTTACTAAGTGTCCGTGGTTTGACTGGGTCTTTTGGACGTAATTGAATCCGAAGAGTTGATCGGTCAACAGCCTGGGCGTGCCCATTGCGATTTGTGATTGGAAGGCCTAGTCGTAGTCTGGGCGTGCTCGAGTTATACCAAGCATAAAGAGAAGAGAAAGTCAACTTTCAAAGCAAAGACAATGCTAAAGGTAGTCTCGAAGCACAATACAGCTCCTGTAAATCCGATTTGTATATGCCCTAACTCCCTGGCGAGTATGAGCTCCCAGATGCCTGCATTCCTTTTCTTTGTCTTCTCAGTCTGTCGATACCTTGAGCTCCCTAGCAATCCACATGCTGGACCGTACGCGACCACGCCGTACTGCACCTCCTCACAAGTAAAGTGTATCCAGCTCAGCCCTTCTTATGCCTTCACCTTCCCTGCAGCAGCTTTAGATTTCTCCGCCGTGACGTGGTCTTCCGAATTGACCTCAAGGAAGTGGTATAGTATTATGAGGAGCATGGCGGCGCTTCCGAGGAAGATGGCGAGCGTGTACAACTGGTTGTCGGTTATCATTCTGGCTTTGACCGCGCGTCGATGGGATCGAGGGAAGAGTTGAGGGGGTGGTGAGCTTTCTGGGGAGCAGTTAATTTGGCAAATTGTTCGCTCGTGGCCTTCTAGAGCCTTACTATGGCAGACGTAACCGCAGGAGGGGAGGTCGGTGGGCAATGCAATTGGAGTTGGCGTCGCAATCGTGAAAGCTCATGTGAAGCCACCTAGGGCTTCCGCGAATCTCGCTTGGCATCTCGTTGGCACGTGCGCGCTTTTCCGCCGCCGCCGCCGCCGAAGTTCCGCTCCACCCCTCCATCGCACATCCGTCATTCTCACTTTGACACCCCACAGCCTCAACTGCCACCCTTGACTCAACGCCGTCAGGCACGCGCAACTAGAACACAACCCATTCACTCGATACCCTCGTACATCTAGTCTTTGGACATATAGAAAGAGAAGAAATCATCCATCATGGCGCCGAAAGGAAAAGACCAGCCGAAGGAGAAGAAGGTCGCCGTCGACAAGGTGTGTTCTTGAAGGCTGAGCTGGCGATTGAGGATGCTAACTTTGTACAGTCGTTCGGTATGAAGAATGTACGTTTCTTTTGCCCTTCTCCAAACCAACTCCCGCGCCGTTCACGTCTCGTACACGTCTAACGCACACTCTTGCCTCGAGCCCACGAAGACCGCCACTGACTGAATTCTTTGAACAGAAAAAGGGAGGTGCCGCCCAAAAGCAGATAAAACAACTTCAAGCTGCGGCAGCGGGCGCCAAGACACCTGACCAGAAGCGCAAAGAGGCCGAAAAGGCACAGCGGGAGAAGGAAAAGGCGGCGGCCGAACAAGCGCGCAAAGAAGCCGCCGAACTCTTTAAGCCCGTCCAAACACAAAAGGTGCCCTTTGGCGTCGACCCCAAAACTGTGCTCTGTCAGTTCTTCAAGAAGGGCACATGCGAAAAGGGCAAAAAGTGCAAGTTCAGCCATGACTTGTCCGTGGAGCGCAAGACGGAGAAGAAGAGCTTGTACACGGATACCAGGGAGGAAGAGGAGGAGGAAAAGAAAAAAGACACCATGGATACTTGGGACGAGGAGAAGCTGAAGAAGGTAATATTGAGTAAGCAGGGCAATCCAAAGACGACGACGGATAAAGTATGCAAATACTTTATTGAGGCCGTGGAGAATCAGAAGTATGGATGGTTTTGGACATGCCCGAATGGGGGTGATAAGTGCATGTATAAGCATTCGCTGCCGCCCGGGTAAGTCGCTATGCCCTCTAAAACGGACATCAACATGGTGCTAATAGGTTCTAGTTTCGTCATCAAGACCAAAGAACAACGCGCCGCCGAAAAAGCCCTCATGGACAAGTCTCCGCTCGCAACCCTCACGCTCGAAGACTTCCTCGAATCAGAACGCCATAAGCTTACCGGGACCCTCACGCCAGTTACTGCCGAAACCTTCGCGAAGTGGAAGAAGGAGCGTCTAGACAAGAAGGCCGCTGAAGAACAAGCTAAGCAGATGAAGGAGGCTACTGGTAGAGCCATGTTCGAAAAAGGCGACTGGCAAGACAGCGAGGATGAAAGCGACGAAGAGGCTGACGGCGCATGGAATCTCGAGTCGCTGAGGAAGGAGACAGAGGCTGCACGAGCGCGGAGAGAGGAGGAGAGGTTGGCAGCAGAGGCCGGCTATGAGGTCTCATGAGAGTCTCTGAGTCTCCAATGAAGGGTGAGGTTACGTTGGGGAGGGGAACCGGTGCGCACATCCACACAACGCTGCAAAAGCTTGTGGTGCGCCGCCGAGGCGGGAAGGAAGAGACTGCACAGCCATACAAATTGGCGACGGTACGAAGGCACAATTTGCTTTACGTCTAGCGATTATGCGACTAGCATTCCGCCATCAGTACCACCTGTCAAGGACTGGTCATGGTGTCTGGCGTTGTCTGCCTCAAGTTAGGAAATGCAAAGCATGGCAGCCGTATAAAGAATATATGAGATTGGCACTATCTTGACTTTACTGCTTTGTTGGAGAGCTTTACACACGTAGAAATCTTGCCAGTGACATCCGTTGTTTCTCCTGCTTACGGTTTACTGGCGCGGAATCTAGTGCGAGACAACATAGGTTTGTTTTCGTCTTTATCATAGAGCAACCGGCCAGCGAGAGGAATCCTTCACGTTCCATCTACGTAAACATTCTGACATATTATTCCCGTGGGGAACGTTCCACCCCAAAGCGTAGACAGGGAAACGACAGCCTATCCTTGCGCCCACTCAACATTCTCTCCACTCCGGCATCCCCAAAACAAATTTCCCACTTCAAGCCTGCCCAGCAGGATCTGGTCTGGGCCTCAAATAAACGTCAATGTCTTTCTGCTGGACGAAAAATCTATCCAAGCGTATCAGTATTTCTATTCGCGTTGTCAGGGGGGGTGGAGATATATATGCCACTTACGTGCACTCCTCGGACCAGTCTTTAGAAGGATCAACGAGCTCGATGGTGTAGTTTAGGAACAGCGTGGGGATGAGTTTGGACATTTCGAGCCAGGAAATGTCTTGGGTGGGGGATGTTAGTAGGGAGGATAGTAGAGGAGGGATGGAGGAATAGGAGGGCACTTACTGCGTCCGATGCAGGCTCGTGAGCCGGCGCCGAAGGACATGAAATATCGCACTAAGGAGATGATCAGCATCCTAGGGACAGTGGGCGCACAGTACGGGGATAGGAATCGGTGACTTACACATATCCCCTGTATCCCTCTCCAGCCACCGCTCCGGGCGGAATTTATCTGCGTCGTCCCCGTAGATGTCTTTGTTCAAATGCATCACCCATGCATTGACACCGACCACATTCCCCCCAGGGACATAGTAACCTCCAATCTCCGTCCCACCAGGGGGAACGACTCGCGGAAGATTCATGCCAACAGCTGGATGCATGCGGAGGCCCTCGTGCATAGTGGCTTGAAGGTACTTGAGCTTCATCGCCTCATCGAAGGTTACCGGGTTGCTGAGTTCGCCGCAGCTCCTCGCATCATCAATCTCCCCAACCAACCTCGCTTGCGCATCCGCATTCTTCAGCAAATAGTACAGAATAGCGCGTATAGTAATCGCCGTAGTATCGCTCCCCGCATTGATATTACTCGTCGCCATGCTCACGACGTCCGCGTAGGTATACTCCTCGGGCTGCTTCTCGTGCGTTTCGAATAGTCGCGAAACTATGTCGCGCTTGCCGCCGGGGTTCTCCTTGCGCTTGGCTGTCTCGCGCAGAGCGAAGTTGCGCAGCCCCCCATGCCGCGCGTTGACCCCGAGCCAGCTGCCGATGTAGGGCTTGAGCAGCTCGTGCAGGGTGAAGATGTAGGGGACTTGACCGAGCCAAGCGCCCGACTCGATGATATCGATGATGGTGCTGAAGGTGCCGTCGTCGCGGGCGGCTTCGAGGAAGCCGAAGGAGGTGGACCAGGTGACTTCGCCGATAACGTCTGGGCGGTGTCCTGATCAGCCTGACTTCTATGGCTTCTGAGGGATCAAGGAGGCTTACCGAATGCGAAGAGTTGAACCCATTTGGCGAGATCTACGCTCTTCCCCATACCGTCCTCCATCTTTCGCCGCAAAACCGCAATGCAATTATCCACGTACGGTTCCAAATCCTTCAGCGTCTCCATCGTATACGCCCTGGCCACCATCTTCCTCTGCTGCCCATGCACCCTCTCATCCCGTCCCGCAAAGAGGTCGAACTTCCGTCCACCCTGGAACACCGAATACCAATCGCTCTTCCTGAACTTGTTGCCAGCGCCATAGATCTTGCGGATAGCTTCGGGGTCCGCGACGCTCACCTCGTCGGGCGCGATGCGCACCACGGGGCCGTATTTGGCGTGCAGATGCTGCGCGGTGCGGTTGTAGTGGTTGGCGCGCGTTTGGTAGACGAGGTACCAACGGGTCAGGGAGGCGAGGAACGGGCCGGGGATGCGAGAGAGCGGGGAGAAGAAGCGTTGGTAAAGGGTATAGGAGAGAAGGAAGGCGATGGGGAGGAGGTAGGAGTATTGGAAGAGTACGGTATGTAGTGGAGCACTTGAAGACATTGCTGGAGAAGTAGACATATTGGAGATCAAGGTGGATGGGGGAATGTTCACACGAAAAGACCGGCGAGTTGAAGAAAGGTCTGCGGAGCAAGCTTACCCCTCTGCGCTCCTCTCCGCCCGTCGCTCAAGGCAGTAACTACCTCTATTTATCTCCTCCATTGGACGCATAGTGCCCCATGTGCGATGATGATGGTGCGGAGAAAGAGGCTACAAAAGCTGGACGTGAGAGCCAGTCGTCAGGGATGATTTAGTGGGATTGGAGATCGACGACGGCGAATGCTTGTTTCCACGCTTTGCTGACATCACCTTTGCAGACGCGGTAGCCCGTTCAACGTGTAAAGATGGAGCTGACTGTCCGATGCAATAGGCATGATAGTGGCCGTTTGGTTGCTTGCTCCCTGAAGGGGATGCCTGGGGCGCCTAATCGTTCATCGCAAGCGACTTTCCCATTCTGGATGATTGTTGCGACGGCGAAGACGGAGTGTTGGACCATGGTGCCTTGCGTGTGAAGTTGCCACCCTACAGGTGAACGGAATCATACCAATTGCCCGATTTGCCATCTTTGCATGACTGCTGAGCAGGGCCCCATAAGGCCGTCCTTGATGCTCATGGTGCTGAATAACATCGCTTCCGATGCGTTCTGCAATCGCTGACGGTCACTCACCCCATTCGTCACCCTAATGCCGTCCATTTCAACCGCTTCAAAGGCAAAAGCCTCGATGATGCTGCTGCTCAAAATTCTGAGGTCAGCATCAGTACGCTCGGCCGAGCGTGAGGAGGTAAGATGTCGGATGTCGGAGAAATCTCGCATCGTGTGGGGAAGCTGTGGAGGAGCATCCGAACGGGCAAAGACCACGCGGCACGTGACCCTCCCCGAGTCCCCTCGCGCTAGGCCCCTCTAGGCGAAGTGTAGCTCCACCAGCGGCATCCCGACTGCCGCTTTGCTGTTCCGTACAGCCTCCCCGCCTCCACTCAGCAGTGACGGCATCTGAGCCAACACAATTCGGCGTCGCTCGTCACGCTCGTCTCTTGCATCGTGCCCACCACCTATCGCCGAATTTATTACCGACTGCCTTCGGCTTCTAAAAATGAGATTTCGGCTTCTCTTCCAGTTTCCTGGAATGCAGGTTTTAAGTCCACCTATCGCGCTGTTTGGTTGACCCATTTCTTATATTGCTATCGTGTCTTGCCTTGACTACCTTGGTTCGCATTTCACATAATCTGTTTCTTTTTGGCGCGTCATTGCCTCTTCCAGAACTGCTTGCCCGTTCTCTTTCGGTGACCCTAGCTGTTCAGCATGGCGGTAGAGAAGTACGACATCGTAATCGTCGGCGCTGGACCTGTCGGCCTCATGTTATCAACGTGCCTGGCAAGATGGGGATACAAGATAAAACACATCGATAACCGGGCCGAGCCGACGCCCACCGGACGCGCAGACGGCATCCAACCCCGCTCACTCGACCTGCTGCGGAACATGGGCCTCAAGCGCAAGATCATGTCGCACGACCCGGCAAAAGTGTACGAAGTCGCCTTCTGGGATCCAAATTCGAAGGGCATCCACCGAACGGGCACATGGGCTAGCTGCCCCAGGTTCATCGACGCGAGATACCCCTTTACGACGCTGCTGCATCAGGGTTTGATTGAGAGAGTGTTTATTGAGGATATTGAGAAGAATGGGGTGAAGATTCAGAGACCGTGGACTATTACGGGGTTTAAGAATGATGGGAAGGATCCTAACTACCCGGTTGAAGTGAGTATTGCGCACGTGGATGGAACGCTCTCGGAGGCTGTGCGGACGAAGTATCTATTCAGCGGCGAGGGGGCGAAGAGTTTTGTGAGGGATCAGCTGGGAATAGGAATACTGTACAAGGACCCCATTTCGCATGTTTGGGGAGTGATGGACGGTGTAGTGCGAACGGACTTTCCCGATATCAAGGTATGTCCCTTCCCCTTTTCCTCCATTTCAGCAATCCTGACATATTCCAGATGAAATGCACCATCCACTCCGACGCCGGCTCCATAATGGTGATCCCCCGTGAAAACAACATGGTCCGCCTCTACATCCAAATCGCCTCCTCCACCGACGCAGACTGGAACCCCCGCAAAACCGCCACCGTAGAAGAAGTCCAACAGCACGCCAAAGAAATCCTCAAACCCTACACCATCTCCTGGGACCGCGTGGAATGGTACTCCGTCTACCCTATCGGTCAAGGCATCGCAGAGCGCTACACGCTCGACGAACGCGTCTTCATGGGCGGCGATGCATGCCACACGCACTCGCCCAAAGCAGGCCAGGGCATGAATACCGCATTCCTCGACGCCGTAAATCTCGCCTGGAAAATGCACCACGTAGAGTCCGGCTTCGCCCCTCGCTCCATACTCTCAACCTACGAATCAGAACGCAAACTCATCGCAGAAAGCCTGCTCGACTTCGATGCCAGATACTCCAAACTCTTCTCCGCGCGGATCCCCTCCGCGGGCGAAGTAGCAGGCGCCAGCGCCGACCAACCCGCCGAAGAAAACGAATTCGTAAAAACCTTCAAAGCCTCGTGCGAATTCACCTCCGGCTACGGCGTCGCCTACCTCCCCAACGCCATAAACTGGGGCGCTGAACACCCAGCCCAACACCCACTCTTCCTTCCGCACGAAAAAGGGACAAAGTTGCGCACCGGCCGAACACTAATCCCCGCAACCGTAACCCGCGTCGTCGATGCCAACGTCGTGCACCTCGAGCAGGAGATCCCGCTCAACGGCTCCTACCGGCTGTACCTCTTCGCCGGCAACCCCTCCAAAACACGCACCGCGTTGCACGACCTCGCAACGCACGCCTCCGCCCCGTCGTCCTTCTACAGCATCTTCGCGCACAAAGACACCTCGGCTGATCGCTACCACGAGCGCCACAACCCGCACACGTCGTTCCTGAGCCTCTGCACCATTTTCAACTCCGTCCGCTGCATAGTAGACATCGACGCTATGCTCCCCGCTGTGTTCGCGCGCTACAGAGATCACGTGTACGCGGACGACGTGTGGGACCAGCGGGTTCCGGACGCGAAGGCTGCCGCGCACGCGAAGATAGGGTTTGATGAGGAGAGGGGCGGCGTGGTGGTTGTGCGGCCGGACGGGTATGTCGGGTGTGTGGTGAGACTAGAGGAGGGGCGGGGCACGTGTGAGGCGCTGAATGCGTATTTTGGGGTTGTGACGGGGAGGAAGTTGGGGGACGAGAGGGCCGCGTTGTGAGGGTGGAGGACGGTGCAGGCTGTTGGGGGTTGATGGGGAGAGTGTCTTGGATACCATTGCGTTTGTTCGTTGTTGTCTGATGTAGATTGCGTTTTTCTATACACCTTTTTGCAAATTCACGCAACAATTGCCGTACTATATATCATCCGTCAGGTCAATCGTCGCCAGCACATTATCTTCAATCTCTGCTGCGGGCACCGTCACCAGATCATGTGCAACGAAGTGCATTTCACATCGTCGTGTTTAGACTTTGTATTCTACCAAGCACTCCCGCAATATAATTTAACGATTCGATGGTCATTTGGATTTTCTACTTCCGTGCGGCCTAAAAGGGTATCACTCGGGACTTGCGGCCCAATATGCACAGGTATAAGAAAAGGACCCTTTCAGCCACTCATTCCGCGACCCCAGTATCCATAACGCGGTGTGAGTATGATGCAGAAAAGCGTAGCACCCCTAAATAGGCGGGGCGCATATATGCTCCAAAAAGACATAACTGTGTCGTAAGACCCCATTTTCTGCGATTCCGCCAACGCCCGTGGGTACCCAGATTCGCAAACGCCTTCCTCTAGAGATTGTCGCCCAAAGATCAAAATATGCTAACGACGTACGCCGCCGACTTCGACCTGATGTGATGTTCGTTCGAAGCCTAACCTCCTCTTCTTTGCTATGCCGCCTTGTGCGTTGTCTTCTCCGCCTGTTGATTCCGCGTAGTCGTCTGCGAAGCCTTCGCCGTAGCCTTGGAATGAAACATCCGTGTATTGCCTCTTCGACCCTGCCCTTTCTGGTCGTGATGGCCTCGGTTGTGCGGAGGGAGTATGTGGGATTGGTGTGGCGGAGGCCGATGGTAGCGGTCGGTGGGGTGGTCCATCTTTTGGCTTTACCCCCTCATCCGTACCAAGATATGCTCTATATTTCGCGGAATCGGCAGGAGGCAGAGGGCCGGGAGCCATGCCGCCAAATGCGCTGTCGAGAAGACTATTGAAACCCGGTGCCAGGGCGGTCTGTTCGGTATTGAGGGCTTTGTGCATCTCCTTTCCATACACCTTGAGCTGTTCGAACTCGAAATCGGGCATCATCAACGGCATCGTTAGCGACCCATCCATCTTCACTGCTTTCGGCTTGCCGGCAATCTGTAGGGTCTTGATGTGCCCCTCGTAAGACTTCCTCAGCTTATTAATCTTCTCCCCAGTAACCGGATCTGTTCTCGCCACAGACCGAGCAAGAGGGTTCAGTCCGTAGAGCTCGAACAGATTTTGTGAAGCATGCGGTCGGGATACCTCGTGGGCTATCCGGCAATCCGTGTCAGCAACACAGAGCAAGATGGCACTGCATAAGAGGGAACCTACTGCTTTGGCAGACCTTGAACAGCTCGCTGCCGCACACACCCTTTGCCGCCGCAACACCCCCGTCGGGCGAGAAAATGCTTCTGTTTTGCCGGTTGTGGTTGGAGCGTCTGTGACCGCCTAACCGCACTGCGTCGTCCTCCTGGCCATCCTCCATCATCGCATCACCATCACTGTCGGTATTGAGGGTCGTCGAGGGTCCTGCTGTGCTCGCTGGCGTGGGGAAAGGCGGCGGGTTGGTGGGCAGGTGGCCCGACTGGGAGACTTGCTGCGACATGGACACCGAGGACGGCGGGGTCATTTCGGACGACGGGCCAGTCGCAGTCGTGGCAGGGCCGCCATTTGACTGCGAATTCATCGAAGGATACGGCGGCGAGGTCGGGGTGTTGGGGTGGATGATAGGCGTCTTTGTCTCGCTAGTCTTGGCGTAGAAGGGTGGTGAGGCCGGGCTGAACGAACCCGTCAAACGTTGGCGCTTCGCGCTGTGATCCGACATAAGGGCCAGACGCGCACCGGGGGAGGTGAGGCGGGCGTAGGTGTGCGCGGATGCAGCGTCGAGGGCCGTGGGCGGCGGGTGAAAGCGCTCTGCCGTCAGGCGCTTGGCGGTGGTCGCGGAAGGACCGCGGCAGCTGGAAAGAGGCGCTCTAGCGGCTGCGCATGCGATGGCTTCGTCTTGTGCGCGCGGGTTCGAGTGGTTTCGCGGGTGTCTGGGGGTGGACGGCCGGTGTGGGGGGAAGCGCTGGTGGGAGGAGGGTGGAGTGAAGGTTGGAAAGGGCATGGCCATCTCGCCGGCTCTTTGGCGTCGAGGGCCGCGAACTAGCGGCGCACGTGATCGCTGCCTTTGGTTGCCCAGGCGCTGTGACGTCTCCCAGTCACGGCGCCGGACACTCGGCCACCACGCTGCGACTCAATGCCGGCGGCGCCCTCCTCCTGCGGCCAGTATGGATGACGCTGGGCCTCGCGCGCCTGCCCCCGGGCGCGCTGCTCCCGCCAACGCATCGACAGCGCAGTCTGCGCAAACATCGCGGCCCCTCGAGACCACGAACGCGAACCCGAACGCGCCCAAAGTCCAGCAACCCAAACCGCAGGCTCTGCCGTCACGCTCCGGCCCAAGCTCCATCCTCGTCTCGCCGCGCCAGAAGGGCAATCCGATCCTCAACAGCGTCCGCAGCGTGGCGTGGGAGTACTCAGACATTCCCGCCGACTACGTCCTCGGTGCGACAACATGCGCGCTATTTCTGTCGCTCAAGTACCACCGCCTGCACCCCGAGTACATCTACAACCGCATACGAGACTTAAAGGGCCAATACCAGCTGCGCATACTGCTCACCATGGTCGATATCGAGAACCACGAGGAAAGTTTACGGGAGCTGTCGAAGACATCACTGGTCAATAATGTCACCGTCATGCTGGCTTGGAGTGCTCAGGAAGCGGGCCGCTATCTAGAGCTGTTCAAGACGTTTGAGCATGCTGCGCCAACCAGTATCCGAGCGCAGCGATCCTCTACATATTCAGACAGCCTCGTGGAGTTCATCACAGTACCCCGCGGCATCAACAAGACGGATGCGATCGGCCTGGTCTCGAACTTCGGAAGTGTTCGGACGGCGGTCAATGCTGGGCCTGAAGAGATCGGCCTCATTGCTGGGTGGGGGGAGAAGAAGGTTCAACGTTGGTGTAACGCGGTCCGGGAGCCCTTTAGGATTAAAAAGGCTGCGAGGCGAGGCGTCGCCCGCGACGACAGTCGAGCAACGCTATCAAGGAATGTCTCTAGGGCAGAAGGCGAAAGTCTGATACCAGACGAGGTCGCTTCTGAAGTGATTGCGCAACGCAGGGTGGAAGATGCATTGCCAATGGCTGTGAACATGTCGAGACCTGGTCTTAACCCAGGGAAGGCAGACGCAGACAGACGGCCTTCGCGCCGCCCGGCGGAAGACCGAAATGCATTTCAACCTGGCGGACGTGACGAAGAAGCCATGCGCCGAGCCGAGATGAGCAGCCGGAAGACCAGTCAAAGCCAGAGCCATGACTCCAGTGCAGAAGGTCCCGGGAAGCGGAAACAGGACGATGAGGGCATGAGTGAGGGAATCATGGCTGCCTTAAATAAATTACGGAAGCAATAACGAGATGATGGTTGTGTCTACCAAAAGACCTGAATAGTTGAATCGCATGGAGATACCCTGTGTAGCGAATATGACTATCAGACAGCCTGTGGATTGACCTCGCCTAGGTTACTATATCCCTTCAGATCAGGCGATACCATTCTGGGGGTAAAGCACCTGGGCAGTGAAGCGGCCGTGGTCGTGAATCGCGCCCCTAAGACTAGTAGGTACTCGCTAAGAATTGCCTCTCTCTTATTGGTCAACCCACCGTCTCCACCCCCCAACCTCACGCGTTCTCGCCTTCCTGCAGCCTGCCGCGTACGGTCTACAGCAAACTCTGCCCGCTCTGAATCTCAGCTACTCGGCTCCCATCCCACATCTACCTCTATGTGAAAATGAGCTTCTCTCAACTGCCGGCAGAACTCCAGATTCAAATATTCAGCTATCTTCGAGTGCCGGACCTCAAATCAGCACGGGGAGTCTGTCGGAGGTTCCGCGATCATGCATCAGTATCGTTGTTTCGGAGTATTGTAGCTTGTGCTCGGTATCAAGCTATGGGTGCTTTCCAGAAGGTCGCGTTGCACTCCGTCTATCCGACCTATGTGAAGGAGATCATATTCGACGGCTCGATGTACGACGGTGGGCTTGCGAACAATGAGTATGCGTACCAGCAGCGTGCGGACGATTTTGAAGACCTTCGCGGCGTGGTGAGTTGGGCAAGGCGTTCTAGGTAAGCAATCAAGCGCTCTTATCCTTGCCAAAGCCTACTTACCCTCGGAAGGTTTAAGCGATATCAGGAGCTATACAAGGAACAAGAAGACATCAAGAACGGGCATGTTCTTCTGCAGACCATAGCCCGAGCACTGGAGTGGATGCCGAACGTATTCTCCATCGTCTATTCGCCAGGACCTCACCACATTCCGGGCGAAGCTAAACTAATGAAGGAGACAATCCCACGAGGCGTAATCGCCACACATTCGAGCTTCCTCACCCCACGCCGTGGAAAGCTACAGGATGGCATTCATCATGTCATTGGGGCAGTGTACATTGCTCAATACACTGGCATCCGCGAATTCAAGGTTGAGCCAGCCCGCCACAACCCGTCAAAACCAGGGACAGAGTTCACTCTCTGCGCCTTCGACTTTGAAGAGCCAGGTCACTTGGAAGCCGGCAAATACTTCTTCCGCCACTTGCACAAGCTGGAGCTGAGCCTATCACTTTTGTCGCCTCTAGGTAGAGGTGCTGCCCCCGTAGGCCGGGAAGCGCTGGACTGTCTCGCGAATATGGCAGCTTTACTCCTTGAAGCCAAGGATCTGCGAGACCTGAAGCTCCATCTTGCACATTACGATGTTAGCCCGCAGCGAATGTACGGTCACATTATCCCGCACGGCCAGCCGATATACCCTTTCCTGGGCCTAGGAGCGAAGTGGCCGAACCTACGCTCTCTCAGTCTGGAGGGTATCTATGCGGAAGAGGAAGACCTGAAGGATCTAATTTCGCGGCACAAGGAGACTCTTGTCTCCCTACAGTTCAGTTTTTGCAGCCTATTTTCAGGAAAATGGTCAAACATTGTCGACGACGTCGTCTACACCACGAACATTCTGCCATTTGTCCTGGGTCGCGTCCACGAGACCACCATCCGCGATGTGCCCTTCTCCAATATACCAGACGATGAGGCTGAGCGTTGGCAGTACGAAGGTCAGGTCCAGGTGAATGCGGAGGGCGAGCGATACTTTGTAGGTCGAAAGATGCCTTACCCAATTTCTTGCTGACGGCGTCTAGGATGAACCTCCGGACAAATCGGTTTATGCATGGCGTAATCAAGGTCAAGTTGAGGCCTGATTTGGCGCGTCGTTCGATCCCCGTAGTTTCTGTGCGGTTACTATCGCATAGTTGACAGTTCAGAGCACTCTCGGAGGCTCTTCACGAAAGGGCGACTCAGCCTGGCTCAGCTGGCGTTTGGCTCGTAAGGAGGATACAGATAGGACGGCGAAGACGTGATCTTGGGAACTTTGGCATGAACTCATCAATGGACTCTCCATCATAGCAACTAGGGTGCATATCTCGGTGAGTGCGAAGCCATCCATTTCCGATCTATTTTTATACGCTCCCAATCGGGCGCCTCCGCATTTTAGACATCTTACGGACCCACGTCAGCCTTGCCGAATCGTACACCGATCCTGCAGCCCTACGGCGGATCGCTACGGCGGATCCACTTCGCTTCTAATTCTACACCTTGGCCAACGCCTATCATGACTGCAGCCGAAGTTATAGTCGCTAGCACGTTTCTCACGCCTATACATGTTCACCGCAACTCTCTTCAGCAAATACAGTACGACTTCACAGGCAACAACGCTGTTTCTCTTGTCTTTACGGCATGAATTTGGCTATTTTTGGAGCTTTTGCAAGACATGACGGTCACATTCCCCGCGTATATGCACCTTCACCGAGTCGAGGCATAATTCATTCGCTTGCGCTTTTGAACCGAAGCTTTTATTTTACTATTTCTGCTATAATTCTATCTTTGCCTTTCTTCCAGCGAAACGAGAAATTCCTAGTCAGGCCTCCGGAAGGTCCGCATGTCGTTCCTTCACCGTTCCTTCACCGGTTTCCGTCGGGGAAGGAAGTGGCGACCAATCACCGAAGGGCGCCACAGACCACGAATCGCACAAGCTAATTTCTCCCATCTCTTCTATCAGACTCTACGAATCGCTTCTCATGGCGGCGACCTTCCCGCTCAGGTGCCCTAGACGGGAAACTGTAGTCGCCCCACCAATTGCCCCCCCGGGCCACGTCACGGTTCCTTCCGATCTCGTCGCCAATCGTATGACCGCCCTTCGGACCCACATGATTGAGACATCCGCGCCCTCTACCATCCGGAATAATGGTCAACACCACAGCGCAACGTTCGCCGCTTCGTTGCCCCCTCTGGCTGGCTCGAAAGGTCTCGCTTGCATGCGAGTGGTCCACGTCGAAGGACTGCTTCCAATCCTGGAGGAGTGAGTCGCGGGAATCCAAATGGGTTCCCGCGGGATGCGGAAGGGACACATGACTCACGGCTATCATTGGAGCATTACTAGAGTTGGCGACTGGAGAAGAAGTGCAAGATGGGACGGCGCATTTCGCAACCGGGACTCGGTTGCCTGATGCCCAGGGCAAACGCTGAGGTGAACAATAACACAATACCCGAGACTCGCCATATTGTGTCCCTGGTCCCTTTATTGTTCTCTCTGATCTTCAGTCTTATAATGCCTAAGCTTTCCGCCCAACGCCGCCCTTTTCCCTCCACGATCACCTCTCTTCCAAACTTCGACTTGATCCCCGCCAAAGGCAGTCACCCAGCCAACACCATTCAGTACTTGGAGCCTACCATCGTTAGACCTTGGTCCCTGCTCAAGCTATCGTGTGGGTCAGCCTCCCGCTTCCCGCTACATCGTCTCCAGTTCGTACCTGGATAGCCTTGCGCTCCGTCCACCTTTCTTCCCCTTGCAACCACAGCCTTGAAGGCCACGATGCAGCGTCAAGGCAACCACTCTCAAGCCCGCAGTAGCGGCCATAGCCGCCGACACCAGGGTCGCGAAGAGGTTTACTACTCATCGCCTGGCCATACCAGCACAGTCGCAAGTCATCACCATCCGTTGAACATGTGGGCCGCAATGCTAACATCTCGCAGTCTTACGAACACCATCAATCAGCGAGTCGGACTTCCTCTCGCCGAAGCGCGCAATCCGATGATACTTCATACTCTTCTTCTCCACCTTCGCAAGACGCGTGTCAATCCGAGCAAAACGGCGCACCGCAACACTGGCACGCAGTACCCCGCTCCTGGAACACCATCAATCCAGAAGCATACCGAGCCACCGAGAATCCAGCCCTACAGTACTCACCGTTTGCTCCTCCCCCACAGTACCACAACTCGCACAGTCACACCCCCATGAGCCAATCCTCGCAACCACACCACCCCCAACCATCCCACGACTGGCGAAGCTCTCGCGATACCTCCACGCCCCGACTCACGCTGTCAAACCTTCAGGAACTGAATGACAGGCGTACGCCGACGACCAATATGGGGATGTGGATGGGCGAGAGCCAGCGAGACGGGCCTTGGGATAATGTCGGGTACGTGCGGGCGAGTGGAGACGCGAGCCACGGCAGGAGCCACGGGTATTGAGGTAGAAAGGAGAGGGCAATGGAACTTTGGAAGGCCTGGCGGAAATAGAAGGAATGCAGGTGGTCGACTTTATAGCAAGCAGAGTGCTGTTTAGGCATCAGCTCGGGGCGTTTGTGGGAAGGCTGTGTGCCAGGCATCAATGATGGGATATCGTAGTGGCGGTCAGAGTTCGTTCGTCATTTTTCAGAAGGCTGGCGTTTGGAGTTCAGCTATCTCCCGCGGCGAGCCCCAAGGCTGAGTTCTGCCTTGCGGTTGAGTGGTATCATTGTTACGTAGAGCACGGCGTTATGGGCGTGTATGGCTCTGCGGCTGAGGCTGCGCTTAATAGATGCAATGATCTTCATGCTGATTATGCAATTTTCCATGTGCAGCTTAATACAGCTGCTATACACCTCCGGGCCGCACCTTCCATTCAACAAGTAACTAAGATGTGAGCACATGCAAGTGGTGGATCTCCCTCCACCCACCAAAGCGACATTGGAAACGCCCACCACAGCACTTCCGTCATGAGACGGGGGAGTAGCGTAGACTCTGAAAACCCGCGGCTCAAAAGTCCTCACCGGAATTCTCGGACGATGCATGACGTGGCGCGTAGCGCACACAAGAGGTCATCTGGGCGAATATTGGAATTCCTGGAGGACCGCGAATTCGAGGGTTGTGGAGCTGCCGGGCCTGGAGGACTCTAGTGATTTGCCTCCGGGGCTGCAGGAGGATCCTTAGCGCGGCGGGGAGCATGGATACGGAGCCGGAAAAGCAATAAGGGTTGCGGCTCTGCTCCTGTGTGGTCCGTACTGCCTGCCGTGTTGCCATGTTTCACCACGGCGCTTATAGAGCGGTTACTACTGGAGCTAGAGTTTGGTGGTTGAGGCTCTGCTGCGATTAGGCCGACTCTGCTTGCACGATCACGTCGGTGCTGCTAGCTCTGGATACGAAGCTGAAAATGGAGGTGAGGTTGCGGCTCTGCGCATCCGTTTAACTTCCCGTAGTGAGCAGATACTGGAAAAGGAGGCGAGACAGCGGCTCTGCTCGTGCTCCCATACGTCAAGACGCCGACGAAATCCGAGGACTCGTGTATGTATGAAGCTCTGCGTATCCGCTTGGTATCGGGGAGCGTCGTCGTTTTCCGAGCTGGCGTGATTCCATATCATAGATATGTTTACCATCTGTGCGCAGAGCGTGTCCTGCAACAACGGAAAAGCAGTGAGGCGGCGGCTGCGCTCGGGTTCCACCGCGCTGGCGCTAGCGAGGGCAAAGCTGCATGTGGAGCGGATGGGCGTGCTGATTGATGGGGCTGACGTTGCCCAAGCTATCCGAAGAGTCTGAAGGAGCCTTGGGTGTCACAGGCGCATACTGTGCCCTGTCATCCGCAAGAAATGATTCTGCCCCTGGAGGACTCTGCACATTCATCCAGATCCAGTTGGTAACAGGGCCGTATGGGAGGGCAACTCGGGGCAATGTTTGCGCATTTGCGCAAGGGGGAATTGGTCCAGGAGGCGGCGCGAAAAGCCTCAAAACATCGTATGATGCCGCCCGCGCACTGGAGCAATTCTCAAGAAGGTTTCAAACGCCGAGATGCAATGACGTTTCCGACCCCGCTCTCTCGGTGCCCTAAAAGGGCAAAGGGCGGTATGCCACCACCTGTAACATGCGGCTCTGCACTCGATGGCGTGCTGATTTGACGGGGTGATTGCGCAACGTAGGGCGAAAGTCTAGACCCGGAAGCAGGGCGCTTAACCTGTGCTACACACCGCGTGTGCTTCGAAAGCTCACCTGCAGGGGCCCAGCGTTCACTTGCAGGGAGCACGAGCCCCCTTCGCCTTACGAGATGCTGACGGCGTAGGACGGCCCGCAAGGTGGTCAGATGGTCGGAGACTTGGAGGGCGGGTAGATATCCATCCTGTCGGCGGATCTCGTCGGCCTGTGCTGGACATGATGGTGCTGGGCGAGCCTCTTGACGGGACGCGGAGAAAGCGAGCACCCGTCGAAGTGAGATGAGACGCACGGTCCTCATGACCCGAGCGAGTGGTTCCGAACTGGGTCTAGCCGACGACGAATTGGTTACAGCGGGGCATCGATGGCCCGTGCTGAAGCCTAAACACACCGTCACCCAGCCCCTCGGCGGCATGTTTTGCGAACGCATTGCGACTAACCAGAATTCTGATATCGAGGGTGGTCAAAAAACGAGGCGGACAAGAGGCAACCGGGCGCCAACATCACGCCATTGAATGCAGGGCGTGAGAGGAGGCCGGCCACAAGGCAGAAGGATCGGACGATAGGACCGGGGTGAGTTCGGATTGAGGAATCGCAGCGACGATCGAAAGCTAATGTTGGATCAGGTCCTGGAGGACTTCGCAATTAGCTATGAGACGCTCGCGGGGCGGGATATGCGAGTCCTCTCTCCTTTCCCCCCGCGCCGGTGTGTCAATTCATCCCGTTATCTTATCGCCACTACGCGCCGCAGGCGGCATGAGAGATCATGTGTGACACTCCATATCGGACCAAGCCGGCATACGTCAACCGCCGACATGAGGCTTCCCATCTAACGGTGAGCTGTCCAGCGTAGCACTGAGATGCAGGTCCAACGTTACGCATGCATGCCCAATTTGCGAAGCATGGGCTTCAAATCTCCCAGTGTCCAGTGATTCGAGGCGCAAAGAGCTCCAAAATTCCAACGAGATCGACAAAGTGTTGGCTACCACAGACGTGTTTAATGAAGCCTGGCTTGCCCCGAAACGAAGCCTAGGGCAGCTACAATGAGGGTCTGACATAGCCACACCGGTCCAGCTCTCGAATCTGCCTTGAGTCTGCCTCCCCTACCAATGAGGTAACCGTACTGGGCACGGTTTTGGGGGCTGAGTTAGGTTGAAAGATCCCTTTAATCGACTGCGCCTCGTAGTCAAGATATATGGAAGGTTATGCCTCCAACATCTCTGATGGAGAGAGAGGTTTGCGCAAAGTCCATGAAATCCTGGCCAGTTTTTTTCCGCGAAATCAACGCAACAATCCCCAGCTCTGCGATCTTCGAATACCGGTCAGCACGAACGATCCTTGCGAGTCACAGAACGAGCCGAATATTCCTCCGGGCCCCTCAAAGTTTGTCAGCATCTCCAAGCACCGTCTCGATCTTGGGCCTTCGCAAGTACACATCTCGCTAGCGAACTGGTCGGTCGAACGACGTAAGCTTCATTCTGGCAACCGGTATGCCTCCTGTCGCCGGCCGACGAATTCGGTTACCTCTCCAGGCCCATGCATCACTCGCTTGACGAAACCCGTCGGCGTCGACACCGGTGAAGACCTCCCGCATACGTTACCTAAATCGGCGCCCAAGCCAGCATGTGATTAGGCGACGGCTATTGCAAGGTCATTGGAGTGACATCGCTCGGTATGCCTCAAGTCCTCCTCTTCTCTCATTGCCCAACTCACTGTGTCCTCAGGCAACAACTCCAGATCCCAACACTCGCCGCCCAACCATGCCTCTGTCCTAGCTCTTCGTTGCTGGGGAGACTGCTCGGGTAGTCCTCCGCCTATACAGGGCAACCATTCAGATCGTCGAGCGCAATATACCCGTGCCCTCAAGCCGTCGTCTCCCCCGCCGAGGAGATGTATTCGTGCCACGTTCGCCCTCCGCCCTTTTCCAGGCGAACGGGCAACCTGGGCGGCGCCGTCTACCGCACGTCGAGATTAGGATCGCGCCGAGTCCTCCGTCTGTGTACCGAAGCATGAGGGCGAGTGCGCGTCCAGGCCGCGTCGTGGTGCGGGTTAATCATACGGTGTATTCCTCCTCCTTGGTGCAGACAGTCCTGCTGGACTGTACGCGCGATACCCCAGCGACGGCACCCGACTTTTTCTATGAGGGTTAGAGCAGGATAAAGAAGTCCTCCACGCTCGCTGCTCTCGACCCCTCAGATATCAGGACTGGCTCCCCTCATCGTGGCAAGATGCGTCTGTTAATCGAACGGCAGAATTGGACATTCGAGTATGAACATCTCTTTGCTCGGTGCACCATTAGAGACGTCCGCTTACCCCGCTTAGACTCTCGTGCTCCAGCCACAAAAGCAAGTGTACTCTTAATACCGGCGGCACCCATCGGCCCGGTGCCCACGCGCCCGCTCTTCCTTTCTTCGCGGCATCCACCTTGCCTGGCGGGTCCGAGCTGAGGCTCAACTGGTATCCTCCGAATTCGCTTGGTGACGAGGAGGATAGTTCTGCTGTACCGGCCGATCAGCATAAGCCTTCGCGTGGCCGCAGCTTCCGCAAGAAGATCGGCAGGATATTCCTCTCCTTTTCCCGAACACAACCTCCTGAGCTTCCCCCCGTCGAGCAGCGAGCATCGGAAGGACGGTTATTGCCAGAACTCTCGGAAGATATGGCCGAGCTCCCTGGCAGCTCTGGGCGGTGGGAACTCCCGGCCGACCAAACCTTCAATGTGTTGCACTCAAGGCCTGTGCCCGGTTATGCACAAGCTCAGCAAGCTTACGTGCCGGTCGTAAACCGTAGCGGACTTCATCGTCGCCCTCTCCCTCGCCAAAGCCAAAGCCAAAGCAACGCTTCGTTCAACTACCCACCTCAACCGCCGACGCAAATGCCGAGGCGGGCCTATAATCCTGCACATATCGCTCCCCCATCAGCTTCAATGCCGACATCTCCAGTCTCACCGATAGATGAACACTCCGGCTACGCGTACCAACCATTGATCGCCAACAACTCGCAAGAGGCCGTGCTATTACGTGAACAGCCCAGCATCACCCCTCCTACGACGTCCACTTCTACTTCGATGACAGTGTCACCGGTTAGTCCAACGGATTCTGACAATGCCTTTGGCATCGAACACCAATACGGGGCCTGGAAGGGCCCCATGAGCGTCCATCGAAGCTCATTCTCGACGTCAACGGCGTTCCTCGCGGACCCCTTTTCTCCTCCGTGTGGAAACCAACGGCACGAACCTGACCTTGACGCCACGGTCTCCCCTGTTTCTACTCGGCGTAGCTCTCTCGCTCATGGCCATGGTGAACCCACCGCGGCGCTGCCAACTCCACCTGTAGCCACACCGCCCAACCCAGCTGCGGATTTCAGTCCATGCAAACCATCTCCTCACAGCTTTGATGCCGGCGAGCATCACCCCTCTTATCCATCCTCGCAAGACTTCACCGGCTTCGCATCGCCGGCTTCTCCACCCCCGATTGGTCACTACAATGTCGCTCAATTCGATAGCTTCCACCAGCAGCTGCAGGGGTCCGAACAGTCTTCGGCCTGGGAGCGTCGTGGCCACATCATCAGTCTCTCCCAGATGGGGCGACTCTATGAGCCCGATCTCTTCATGCAGCTAATGCAGGACCAACCTGTGGGCTCTGGAAACGGCTTCGGTGAAACGTTGCCGTCCTACACCCCACAGAGCCCCGGCCTCACGCCTCAAGCCGACCAATATCAGGCTCATCCCGCCATCAATCCAACACCGGAGATGACAGCGAGCAAGAGAAAAAAGGGGACCTTCACGGGCGAGGGTTGCATCAAATGGTTCCCTCCTATCAGGTGTGATTACTGCGATGCCGAATTCAAAGGGACTTATCAGAAGGGTAACAAACGGAGACACATCAAAAACATCCACACGCCTGATGCGGGCGACGGCGAGGAAGGCAAGAAGTGTCGTGCTTGCGAAAAGATCTACAAGCGCCCGGACGCGCGGAAGAAGCATGAGTGGAAGAAGCATCGCATCTTGGACGCGCGTCCCGAGAAGAGACGCAGCGAGAAGAAGGAGAAGCGGATCTACATGCCCCGGATGCCGGAGCTTCCTGGCGAGGTGGTATACTGATGCCCACTCCCATTGACGAGAACGCACTGTTGTTCTCAACGTCGTGGAGTCTGCGACTCCCCTCATCCTCAATATCAGATTGATCTTGCTGGTCGAGCTGGATTCATTCGCTACTCGATTTCGACAAGGCTGGCGCTTGGTTGAGATTGATTTTGCTTTGCCGAGCAAGGTGCCGCTATTAACTTCTTCTTGTATATACTTTGGGTATTCTTATGGTTTTTCGGATTGTTGTTGGACAGGAAACCGGGGCAGGGTAATGTTTCTACGAGTTCGCTCGTCTCGTATGTATCATGGTATCGCAACGTCGCCATAATGAAAGTTCCGCTTCTGCGGAGCTACGCACTTGAAATGCGTCTTCAAACATCTTTTCCTCGCAGTGCCATGCCACACCTGAGCACCCGACGACACCTGTGAAAAGCTCCGTGGTATGCCTCACCCATCGGCGTCTCTGCCCCAGACGTCATCGGCTCGAGTCTAGAACTGTCCGGGCAGACTTAGTTGGCGACTAGGCAGCGCCAGACCGTGCCCTCCGAGCCGAGCCACAGACGACTGACCCGTCAGCACGGTAACTGTGGAGGACGCGCTATAAGAGAATCTCCCGGGACCATCCCTGTAGCATCCGTATCTCTTAGTCCGCGCCGCGGATAATATCTCGTTGCTGATATCGTGTGTTCCTCGAGGAAGTAAGTGGGCTTCGCCCGGCTGGCGGCCACGCTTTCCGCGATAGGAAAATATAGTGCAGTGCAGTGCAGTTGGAGAGGACGCCTTGCTGCGAAGAAGTGGGACCAGGGGGCGGAGCAAAGGTCGGAGCATGGGACGGGGTGAGGTAAAGTTTAAGCATGGCATGCATGCAGTCGCCCGTGCGTTGTGCGTGCAGCACGAGGCGATTGCGGACTGGGCTCTCGCGTGGCCCGGCGGCCCAAAAGGGCGCCAGGGCGTTGGTGATATGCAGCCGCAGATCGCATATAGGGGCAACGGGCATTTGCATATGCTGCATGAGGTGCTCAATGGGGGCAAAGGCTCCGCTATCTCTTCACGTGCGGCATAATCATTGGACGGTAGAGCCTCGTGGTGAGGCTGAGCGATGGATACGGGCTCGGTTGATTTCCGTTTCGAGGGTGATGTCGTTGCCCTACGGCAGGCATATGTATTTCGGATCTCCCAGTGGGTCTGGACAGAGGCGTGGTGTTTTAAATTTAGGAGGGCGAGATCGGAGGGCGGCGGGTCGCTACGGATACGAGGGCGCGTTTGGCGGATAACGGCTGGGCTGGTGCTGACGGTTGGAGATGGGAACTCTCCGGTGCTGAGTGGCTTGGAGGAAGAAGGATCTGGATCGGGGGAGGGGTGGAAAGTGAGGCGGACTGATATTTGGTTTGAGAATGCAAACAGCATGCTTCGCCATCGTCGCGGACCAAATAGGAGGAGGAAGAAAGTCGGTGAGGACCTCGGGAGCCTCAGCATGTATCTGGGGGGTGGAAGGTGGCCCATTCGGGCGGAAAGAAAGTGCGTTCTTATGACTTTAGAACCTGATGTGCGTGCCTATTCACGTTTCCCCAATCACTTCTGGTCCGCCCTGCTCCTCGCACCAGGCAATCTCGAACCACTCACTCTTCTTTTCTTCAACGGGCGCTGGCTGCACCGAAAGGTACTCGTGCTCGCCCAGAATATCACCACGATGGCAAGTATTCCATAGGGGGTATAGCGTTCCCTTCCATTTTGATCCCGCAAAACACTTTGTACCACTGGTCAGGTCAGTGGGCTTCTTCGCGCCGACCATAACTCGCCTGCAGCGGAATAGACTCTTCCGGGCACGAGCCCGCTGGGCGCCTGACGCTTCTTGTGTTACTCGGAAGGCCGAGGTGACCGCTGTAACAGCTGATGATGCCGCGCTGTGAGCCTCCACGAGCATTTCGGACGAGTTGCTTAATGCGGTTTGTTTGCTTCCATTATTCTTGGAAGTTCCCCCTCTTGTGCAGCCTCCCGCGGGTTCGGGGACCAGCGGATAGTGCCTAAGTTAGATGCTGACATTTAGACTAGGGTATGAGTTGGTCGCTGGAATAATCCCGGTCCTCTTGTCTCTTACCTGGACATAGGGTGACACAATAAAATCCCCTTGGCGGATCCAAAGCTTGCAACAAGCTTCTCTCGAATCATAAGGGCCCTCATTAGAAGATGCATCTGCATTGGAGATACTCGACGCAGGCGCGAGCGCCCTGCGATAGCACCGACTGCATCTCCGAACTCGCGCACGTGAAGCTCTTCGTCGGGGCGAATATCCTGACAGGTATAGCAGCTTGCAGCGAATCTTATTTTGTCAGTTACCACGAGTGTGCCTAGGGTCGGGATCATTCCTTTTGCCCTTTCGGCGACTTGATAGCCTCGTCTTGAATGCATTTGAGACCATGCTAAATGAGGAAACTAGTACGAGAAGGACGAAAGTCGGTGAAGACATGTAGGCTCCAGGAGGCGCGTGGTTCTGTTCGAGAAGGCATTATTTGAAATAGATCGCTGCGCCATTATACTGTTGGTGTTGGATAGCGGTGTCTATGCGGCTCTGCTCTTTGTTGGCACCACAGGATCTGTGATATTCGCGAGGATCGGTGATTATATCTTGCTGCTGACGTCTTCCTTCCCAACTGGGCGAAGGGCAAATGCATGTACTGCATGGCCGGAGCATTGGCCGCGATCGTAGCAGGGGCAGTCGAATGGCTGCACGGGCTTGTTGCGACTTCAAAGTGCGCCTCGCGGAACTCGAAACCTGTTTTCCTTGTCGACCCGTTGATCTCGAATGTATGACTGACGCCCCTGAAGTGCATCTCCCGGTGCCGTCGTGTGAGGAAGTGGTTGGTCTAAAGCAATGGTGGGCAGGGATGGAGCAAGCCCCACTCGAACCGGTCAATACCGTCCTGTCCGTCTGATGTCAGCAAGAGCCGCATCATATGGCCGCAAGCGAGGCGTGTTGGAATTAGTGGAGCTGGAGACGCAGATGTTGTGAAAGGCAAGTTCCGGAGTGAGAGTTCAGGATGTTGCGCTTGATGGCTGAGGGAGTAGAGCGCCTTCGACGCGTCGTTCGAATGTTGCGCAGTCTCCCACGCAAGAGTAGAGCTAGATCGGGTAGAGATGACATCCCAGTATCAAGCGCTGTTATTCCGCCCGGCAAAATAGTTGGTGATATAGTGGAGTCGAATGGTCCAACATAATCGGGGATGTGACGAGCGGGACTAATCATAAGTCTCGCCCAAGCCTTCGCAATGCTCTTAAATCCAGGACCGAAGGAGTTGAGCATAGCGGAGCATACCCTGCCTAGTGGCCAAGCAAAATTCCATCCGAGCCACATTAACAGCTCGAAATCACTGCTGATATCGAAAGGAACCGTCACTTGCACTGATCCTTGCCTGCTACCCACGCATGTACGCCTTGATTTCATCCATATATCAAGTGGGTATGGAACCGTACGGCTTCTAGGTGATCGCCTTTCGAACGATTTTCGATCTTCGGATGTGGTGGATTCGTCCTGGGGCGGGGCATGGTAGAGATTCAAGACGAAGCTGCGCGGTGACGCTCGTGTTGTGGCGGTCGCGGTGGTCCCCTGCCATGAACATATATCAGTAATATGGCAGCTAAATTGAGGATAGAATCCAGTAGTATGCAAGAAGTAGGCGACTGTCTCCATGGTTGGTCATAGCCATCCTTCGAAGCTTGAGAAGAAGCGCATATGTCGAACCGACCGCTGTCACAGAGCCGCGAGCTTGCGGATACTACAGGTCGTTATAAGATGACAAGCCGCGCTGCGTAGAGTCCTGGTCCGGATGCAATACGTCTAACGATATGCCGCTGTAGAAGAGAAAGTATCGACCTTGGTAGAGAACATCGATGCTGCAACCAAAGTTTGCAACCCATGATTGACTTGGCAACCGGCAGCGCCTGTTCGTCCCGACGCTTGCCGCAACCCCATGCCCTCATGGGCCAGCGACTCTGCGTGGTACCGCGGGTGGACCACTCCTTTAGCAGCCTCGAGAGTGCAGCAATTGCGCGGTATCGCTTGACCAGACGCAAGTTTAGATCTGTACATTATCCTCGATCCGCGATTGCACAGTTCTCTGGTACGAACGTCGCAAACATTGGAAATAGTGGTTGAATCCTAAATCAAGCAGATGGAGACATGAGCCGGGAGGGGGAAGTAATGTTCGACTAGCCTCCCACACCATTCGACTGAAGTTTGAGTCCGCCACGCCGGGTTTCGGAGAACAAGGGCTTTGACAAACGTTTAGAAACGCTGACAAGTACTCGAAAGCGCAATGGCCGCGGAAGAAGCCGTATCCCGAGGCTACGGTTTTATCGGCAGATGGGTCCTGATTGCGCAATCTGGACGGGGAAGAATTGGAGGGGCTGGTGCATCCGCTCCGACGTCCGTGGCAAAATGAAACGGAAACATAATCCCTTCGCTTACAGAATCTGGTGGCTGGCTGAACTGGGAGCTGCGATGTCTTGTCGCGGGGCGGGTGGGTGTGGAGCTGCTCCCTCTGCATGCAGCTGGGAACCACTTCGTGGGACCGTGTCCCAGCCGCTCGCGTTGGGAGTGATAGTGACGCTGCAGGCGATACCCCAAGCGATATCTGCTTGACGATAATGGTTGGCCCATATTGTTTCTTACGGATTGAGATGCTCGGACCCCAGGCTGACAATAGCTGCGCTAGACATCTCGTGCAGCGGAGGGTGAACGTGCTGTGGCTTCCACGAGCCATGGCGGCCAGTACTTTCCCCAGCTTTCAATCGTCGGCCCGGTCCTTTAGGAAGAACCTTGGACGTGCGCTCCCTCGGCAGGTAGTATTGCGCAATGATAAAGGGCCGTGGACCAAAGCTTCCGGACGATGGTCGAGGAGCCATCTCGAGATGAGGCTCAACTGAAACATGATCCGTCCCTTACTAGGAAGTCCATAAGCAGCATATCTGTAATTGCTTGTCAGTCATTTTTTGACGCATGCCGTGCAAGGCGTAAACCCTGGAGATGGTGGGATGAGGTGCAGCTTGAGCGGAGGAGATGCAGGCGCCCCGGGGTTCATGCGCGGGTGCTGCAGCTGTTGGCGGGGACGGCAGCGAAAGGCGAGTGTGGATGAGATGAATTCATGCGACACCAATAAGTGGCTGGCTTGGCGGGCCCCAATCCTATCTAGGATCGTCTCCTGGGCGCGAACGGGCTGATCCTCTGCGAACCATCTTCTTTCGCTTATTTCTTTGTGGGGTCAGACCCCCCTCGCATCCACAAGAAGCAACGTCTCGCTCAACCTTGGGCCGAAACGCGGATGAGAGTCAGCGTCTGTGGTGTCGTTTCCTTGATGGTGGTCGCGTTTATGGTTGAGAAACGATATGGAGGCGCCACCCTTCCGCGTCCCTTCACCATCAGACCATCGCATGATCAATGCGCCGACAGTCGAGTTGCTTGCGCCGAGAGCAGCGGGAGCAGGGGTAAAAGCCCGTGCAGGACTGAGCGACTGGTATTTGGTCCGTATCGGGCCTGCTCTAGTGGTATGGACGTTGCGTAGGCAATGCAGCCGATGCACGACAGCAGCGTCCGGACGATCATGTCCGTTTCTGTGATGAACGGCGACCATGGGCTTGAAATCTAGATGCAAAACAGGCAAGAGCCTCCGTGCATCACATCTGTGGTGGATGAATCCCTCGAACTGCTCCCTCCTCGACGGGAACTCTTCTCTATGCGTGGCTGGATCGGTCATCCGCCGAGCTCACCTTCATGCGATGTATGGAGACGCGCGGTGTAACCCAAACGGCGCCTCTTCTAGCCTTCTGCGTGCTGCCTGACACGCTGAAGGTATAACTCGCCGCAGCCGGTAACGTCGGTTAAGGAACCGGGCGAGACTGCAAACAGTCGTGGAAATTCTGATCTGGGAAGAGCACAGTATGACTTTTAGACGTAAAGGTGTGAAGGCGGAGGTTGAAAAAGCCCCAGCTGGGAGCGACCCACTGACTTCCTGCTACCCGACACCACTTCAGGGTATGCGGGCCACTATGAGCGCTTACACGCCATGGCTGCTGCACCTGTACGTGGGACTGCTAATCCTGCCCTATTGTGTGGCGCCTTGACGTGCTCGCTAACCCCAAAGCTTCTCCGCGAACGCGTCTTTCCGCGGCCTTTAGCGCAAACAGGTCGTTGTAGTTGGTCATCATCTGCAAACTGTTCCGCGTCCATGTGGCACCGGTTGGGATTGGCCGGACTCCTGCAATCCAAAAGCAATACCGCTCAACAATAGGGTGTGGCACCCTCGTCGCCCCTCGGGTGGCCTCACTGATTGGCTCAGAACGGCCAGTGTAGAGGTCGAGGAGTCTGTAGGGCGCCGCCACCCTTTCCGCAAACTGCACCCTTCGGTCCCTGGCCTACTCCAGCTGTGCATGATCAAGGCTCGCACTGACGAGTGACTCGTGTGAGCGGGGCGGCGCAAGAGCGAGGGCTGGTGCAGGCATGAGCGGCTGGTTTTTGGGTCGTATCGCCGGATCGAGCTCTTTTGGCGGTGCGGGCGATGATGCCGATACCACGCAGCACTTGAAGGCCGATCATGCCTTGTTCGTCAGATATGGAGACGGAGAGCGTTGGTGGCCCGCTCCGATTTGGTGGGAGGCTCTTTTCTTGCTCTATCATTGGATTGATTCCCTGGAGAACGGTAGAGTAAGGACTATCCCTCATCGGAAGCTGATCCTAGAAAGGTTCTGCCTACTCAGCGTAGGCGCGGGACGGTCTAGCTCAGAAAGCGCACGCACTTTCCACCTGCCCGTCGCCCGATCGGCCGCTTCTGTGCGTGTAACTGGCGCCAGTGACACTGGCGCAGAGACGGATAAGGTATCGAAGTCGTGCGAACTCTGGTCTAGGATAAGCGCAAGTTGCCCTGCGTGTAAGAAAACGCTGTCGTGCGCGCAATGTGATCTAACGTCGCGGTCCTGTGGCGGGTGTTTGGGGAAATAGCGCACTCAGCGCTCGAAAGAATTGATACCGCCCACCCACCGTGGGTAAGCGGCTGCAGGAAATGTGCCGTCCGTGAGGGGTGTCTGCGCCATGGCTTGCTCACCTGTACGCACAATGGACAGGCCCGCCATTACCGCACCTTGGGGCTGCAGCTGTGACCCGCGTGGCAGGGGCCAGTTGAATGTCGATTCAGAACAAACATATTAAAAGCCGATTTACTTGTCGCTTAAGCCCGTAACATGCTTGCGGTCGCTCGTTGTTAGACCTTAAAACATTGAGACGCCTAAGGAGTGTGACCGTTGCGACCGCCCCAGCATGCTCTTCTGCCATTTTCATCCTTCTTTCGACCTCTTAGCCTGCAGCCTTTGATACCTTGCGACAACTTCTCCTTTAAGATGCAATTGGAGACCAGGGTATTCCTAGGTCTGGCCGCTCAGCCTCCCATGAAGAGGGACTACAAGAAGTCGACACAGCCTCCGCAAACACATCCAACGGCCACGCTCTCCCAGTCTCCGAAGTCTGCCTATTCAAGTCATGGGACAGACGCCGCAGATTCACGACTGATCCCTCGTTGGGTCGGCTGGACAAGCCTATGTGGATACTGAAGGGATATCGCGTCATGATCGCTGTCAAGGCTCTCGCGGAAGTTGAGCGCAAGGCGACAATGCGCGTGTAGGGCATCGCGGCGTAGGCCTACGACAGCAATGTCGCACCATAGGTCTGACTCCTTGTAAGCTTCTTTTGCTCAGCCAACATGGGCGACCAGTATTCTCTCGAGTGGTAGGGGTGACCTTACGATGTGTTGTCGACTGGTCCATGATATAGATGGTACCACGCCTAGTGCCGCAGCGGAAGGAAACCGGACCGCGAGGGGCTCACGCCAACGAAGAGCACGACCTCACCGCCAGAGACAGCTCGAGCAATCATCCTATGCCGTCTGAGATTACAACATCCAAATGGCCTTGCCGCTTTAGCCGCGAAGAACATAAAGACGTCTTTACTCTGCTGTCGGAACGCTCCGCTCACTCAACTCGAAGCACCTGACTCATCTTGCTCCCCGGCCCTGCACCTTCTCGCTTCTCACGCTTTCTCGGAGAAAAGTGAGGCAAGGATCCAGGACGCCAGTATTACGAACATCTAGGGTAGCGTTAAGGAACGTTCGGCACGACACTTTCGAAGCTTCCGAGGTGCGCCGTCCCGAGCGTTGGTAAGGTTCTAGCCTGGTGCCCTTCGACTCCACGTTAAATATCACAGGATCGACCACATATCTCTTTCTATCGCGGAATCATCTGCAACGCCGCTGCCAGCCCATATTGCAGATATCGACCGACCGTCGCGTTCTGAGTCCTCCAGCGCTATTCCTGTAAATCGTTAGCAACTTGGCGTCGCCCTCAGCCTAGGAGAACACGTCGACGCACCTTCTCTCTCGCCATCAGCCAACATTGAGCACCCAACTCGACTACGGCATCCCCCGCTTCTCACTTGACATTTATCCTAGCTCTTGTTCTCTTTCGCACCTCTCCTCCCCAACAGCAGGTGCGACAGGTGCATCCCATCGCGTCAAGACCAAGTTCCAGTCCTAGTCCTCCACACTTTTCATCAACGGCCACGAGCAGTGCATCCGGTCATCGTCGAGTGGACAGCGCGCACTGAGCCCCTTCTGTGCTATCATCGCCAGTTTGGAGAGGTACCGGAGCACCGACGCAGACTTGGTCCAGAAGCATCCAGGGCTGCGAGTGACCTCTCTCCATGGAATCCGAGGAGTCCTACGAGGGCTACGAGGGCTACGAGGCCCAATATTCAGATGTGTCGCGGTCGGAAACAGACCTTCACAACGACGATGAATCTGATCTGAGGCAAGACGGTGCATTTCTGGCGCAAGAGGAAAGGCCCTGCATGGATGGACACGCATGGGCAGGGCAGCCAAATGGCAGAGAGTCCTTCGATAGGGCGAGCAGCACGTTCCCTCCTGCACTTGCCATGGTCGACACGGAGGAAATAGACGAGCAGCAGCAGTCAAACCGTGACTACTTCCTGTCGAATCTGGGCGTTTTCACAAATAACCGTCCTTTAGAGGATCTTAACCTAACGGCCCACCATTCGGACTACCGACAATATCCTGATCCGCTACCGGGGTTGCCGCAACCTTCTGTAAACGATGAAACCAACGCGAGACCGCCGTTGATCGTGGCCGAGGAACACCAGCCCGGACAGCTGCAGGCGAGCTTTGGAGACATTCCGCAGTACTCTTTGGATAGCTACCAAGCTGTTAACGTGAATGGATGGGGCGGACAGGACGGACTTGGTGCTTTCTCAGCGGGAGGTGCTTCGGGGTACAATGCTCAGCCTCAGGCTTACCAACCCCTATTTCGTGGGCAGCAGCACTTTGGAGGGGGGCCGCAACTGGCTCCGAATGCCATTACGATGTCCCAAAGGCACCGTCCGATGTCTACGGCCGAACACAACATGCCCGACGACCGCCCTTATGTTCCGCAAGCGGGCCACCCACCACCGCCGGTAAGACTGCCCTTATCGCGCGACGATCCTTGGTCGCTCTTAAATCCGAGGGCCGCGCCCAGTCGGATTCGGCGAGAAGCACCGCCGGGCCCAACAGAAAGTTATGAAAGACGGGGGCGTGCCCTTAGCCACGATCGATCGAGCGCCTCATCGAACTTCAGCCTCGTATATTCTGGGTCTTCCGTCGGGCTGGATACAAATGATCTGAGTGCGAGCACCGGAACGGTTAGGCAGGGCCCTGGTAATGGTTATGGTAGGCCACCACCCGCCCTTGAGCATCGGCCTGAGAGGCAGCCGTCACATTATGACGCTCCCGGCAACCAGAACCCAGCAGCGGCAGGGAATGCGCCCATGCTGGATAGTTACGTCCATGGTTTTAAGCCACAGGGCCAACCTGGTCCATCTGGACTACCTTTTCATTCCACGTGAGTTTTTCGCCTGGAATTCGACTCTTTTGGATGCTGACCCAACATAGAACACACGAGACCGACGGTCAGCATCTGTCTATCCCCTCGAGTCACATGGTAGGCTCGGGCCCTTCTTCACCCAGCCCTTCCAACACATCATCGTCGACTCCCCTCATCTTGGTTTGCAGCCATGACGGCTGTGACCAAGAGTTCACCGGAGATTATCGAAAAGGGAACCTGGCGAGGCATCTTAGACTCAAGCATGCTCCTGGAGGAAGGATATACCCCTGTGAAGGTGGCTGCGGCAAACATTTCAACCGTCAAGATGCGAGGTTGAAACACTATCGTAAATATCATCCGCGGCTTGCCTCGCCTCATGTTCCTCGAGGGGCCCGCTCTTAAGTCGCCGCGATATGGTTCTCAAAGGCCCCCCCCCCAAAACCAACGTCGACTTTTATAACCCCTAACCTGGACAACGGGGCATTCTCCGTGACTGGTGTCCACAAACGGTGGTGGAATCCTTGACGGCACTTATTCGACGATGATGATGTCCCTCTTTTCAATCCTTATGCTCTTTCTGTTTGCCCACCTTACCCGGCGCACGGCGGTCAGAGTCCCCAGAACAGCTACCAAAAAGACTTTTCCCCGCTGTATAGCTTTTCTTTGTTCTTTATTATAACGACGATGACGACAGGTACTCCGAAATTGTGTTCCTTTGTTTTTCCTTTTCATACACAGGTCCGCAGCGGCCAGACGGATTTTGGGACGCGGCAGCAGAGTCGTTGGTTTACTCATTTGGATTTCTATTCGGACGGTATCCGGCTGGCGTTGGATGGTTTATACGTTGACGGGAACGGTGCTTTGATGATCAATCGTATGCCGGCGGAAGAAGAGACGGGGGTGGAGCGTAAGCCGCAAAGCAGCTATCGGGCGCTGGTTGAGGTTGAGCCGGAGGTGCATCGTCTATGGAGAACAGCGGGGTGCTTCAATTCCCTCGTTCAAAGCGTTCTGGACGGTGCTGGTCGGAAGATGAAGAGGGGGTTGCTCTCGGCGTAGGCCGTGTCGTCGGGCTAAGCAACGGGAGCTATCGATGGGACCCATGGATGGAAATGGAACCGGCGGTGGGCTAATAAACTTTAAAACAGCGTGGCCCGCACAGACGTCCTTCTTTCGACAACGTCGCCTCGACAGCCACCTCCAGAACGTCTTTCGGTAGGCCAGACGACCTCGCCTCTGCCCTCTCTTACGCGTCATTCGTTTTGCAGGGGCCCGCTGTACAAGCGTGCCACCTTCCACGTGTCCGCGAGACAACCACGCCGCCCGACTTGAGCCCCCAAGCTCGACAATGGCTGAGCCACCTCGAGCGGCGACAAGACAATATGTGTGCCGACCACGGGGGAGAGGCGGATGGTGAGACGCATCGGCCTCATGCTACGCCGTCCGGAAATCACACCTGCCGATTCGAGCAGATGTTTTGTTGTTTCAGGCCGTGGCTTCCTGGAAGCTCAGACGGAGTCTTGGCAGAGATGAACATTATCGTCCGCCGGAGAGACGCCTAGTTCTTTATTTCTTTCACTTGTTCCGCGCTCTGCTTCGATAACTCGTCTCCTCGGCGTGTGATGCAGCTTCTTCTTGTTTATTTTATCGTTGGTGTGGTGTGCAGGAGCTGCTGGGATATTGGGATATATAACGAAGAGTCGTACTCGACCGTCGTCCTCTCTTCATGTGAGAATCTGAGTCCCACGAATGGTGTAGTGAGGAATTACCTGATAGGTGACTGGCTGTTCGCCACCTGGAGAGGCCGACCCCTACTTATAGGCAACCTGTCTTCGTCGACCACTCAGAGTACTCCCTATCAACAGAACAGGCCGACCTGAAGACAACTCATCCATTCCACTTCACCATTGGAAGGCGCTATGGTCCTTATACTGTGAGAGCATCAGGGGTCAGAAGACCACTCTTCTCAGCTAGAAGAAGGCGACTGGTGCTTATGGCCTTGCATTCTTTGTCCCGTCACGAACCGACCTGACCCTCCATCAGCCACGCCTCCGATCTTGCTCCAGCAATCTGAGACATATCTGCACGTCACTTGCGCATTGCTAGTGCTTCCCTCAGTCCATTCGGGTGGACCCGGCCCTAGGTCTTATATATTCACGCATCAGGACGCGTACACACCTTCCATTCATTTGAAATCAACTTTCGGACATATCGAATTTCACAGCCTCCCCCACGGACTCGGAAGTGCATCCTTCAATGGGAAGTTACAAGATGCCACTTTTGGGTGGCAATATTCCCAAGATTCTTGCATGTCACCGCCACCACCATTATGAGTGATTTTGCCAATGTCCGCGAACTGAACCGGAGGTACGCGAAGCTTCTTTGCCATCACATGTCGATCAAAATATTATAGAACATATCGTAAGGCGTCGAAGCCTAATGAAAATTTCTAGCCAACGACCCCGTGCTCGAAGAGGTCGCTAGAAGCATCCTGCTTCGGTTAGACGGGGCTTGCAGGCCCACGAACGTATCTCGCTTCTCGTCTGCCTATCGCTGAGTCAATGCGCGCAGGTCCTTCAAGCTCAAAGGGGCTACCGACCAGTAGTGAAGGGCAGACCAGGCATTTTCTCAGCTTTTCACCCTACTGCACGTCAACTTTTCGTCGTCTCCTGCAATGGACTGGATGGACGCTCCCAGCAAACACGACGTCGATGCAACAAGAACTTTACCACGTCGTCGGGCTCCTACACCTCGAGAAATCAGCGCCTAAGGCATGAAAAGCCAGGGGGACCATACAAACTACACCGGTCGATCTTTCCGCCCCCACCACCTGCGATGCAGTACTACTTTCGACGAACGCCCTCCAACGCCCTCCCGACGATCCCCGATTTCCCCTCGAACCCAATGTATCTCGGCAATCCTTCTATTTTGACTCGCAGCTTCCCAAACTGCAGAACTCCTGCATCGACACCCGAGGCGTCTACACGGTGGAAAGTAGCCCGTGCCCAATACTCTACGCCGTCCTCTTGAAAACCTAAACTTAACGTCACCGAAACAGTTTCCGGCGGTCCGTCTATTGGGCTATCAACGCCCTTCAAGCCTACAGCGGACCGCATTCTTCAACTGCAGACTCCTGCGTTAACACCTCAGGCTGCATCCTAACGCGCGTGTCCGTCAATACCCGCATCTCCTCTCGAAGCGGCAACTGAAAGCACCAGAAAAAGTCTCCACGGTTTCGGTTAACCCATCATAGCCCCTTCCGTCTCCCCGGCTGCGGAGTCCCGAGGCTCCGCAAAGACGCCCTCCTCCACATACCCACAGAGCCCAACTCTCCCGGTTATCCCAACTCTTTCTCTCAATCTCCAAACTTTATGCACCAGAACACTCTCCAGCGCTCTGGTTGTTGGGCCCCAGCCGCTCCCCCCTACTGCACGCTCCTGCATCGACATCTGATGCCAGAGCGACCAGAGCCCAGCAAAACTCGCATCCCCCGCAGATACCAAACTTTATGTACCCCAACTAACTTCCACAGCTTGGCCTAGCCCATTAGGATCTCTTCCGTTTCCCCGGGCTGCGGCGTCCTGCATTGACAGCTGGCGTGGCTTAAGGTACGCGAGATATCGTTCAACGTATACCTATGTCGAAGCCTTACCTTTGCCCTTCCGCGACAGGTTTCGATGCCCTTTGCAGCTACCTGCTTCCTTTTGCGGTATACACCCCTCTCCGATTCGAATGGATCCATACCTGAAAGGCTCTTGGACATGCAGCCTGATGCTTCGTTTCCGCGTTTCCGCACTATCGGTCCGATACCAAAGCGTATAGGAAGGCCAAGAAGGGAAGAAGACATCCCAAGATAATATTCCGGGCGCGGGGTTGAAATGCCCTCTAATACCTCACCGCAACTCGGGTCCCCTCTGCGAGCATGACAGGCGTCGAAGATCTGACATACAGAATTGTATTACGTTGAGATAAGCTTTCATCGACGCTGACGGACTATGTGTATCACATGGTGTACGATGTGCGGTTCCGCAGCGCCATAAAGGTTACACGACCTTCAGTACGTCTCCAAAAAAGGACGGATGACCTCTCGTACCCCCCTTCAGTCTTACACGACCAATACACGGGACTCATGCATCTACTACGGTCTACGTCCTCCGTTTTCACCGATCAGATAACTTTCACTGGTTCATCTGCCCAAAGTTCCAATATTTGCACTTCCACCACCTCTCTTTGATGCCTTACCCCCAAAGGCGAAGCTGCCCAAATTGCGCGGACCTGCACCACCTCCCAAAGGTTGTCTCGTCACCGGTGAAGGCTGGTAATGCCCAGCATCGGGGTTCAAAAAGGCGTTCTGACGACCACCTAGGACGGGCAGTCGGCTGCGGTGAGCTTGGCTTTGGGACGGAGTACCGAGGGGAGCTGATTCTAGACATGTGTGTCAGAGGCTTGGCCGATGGAAGGGAGTATACGCAACACCAAGGAGAATGGGCACTTACGACCGGTGTGTAGTTGGCCGCCTGGACCACGCCCTTTCAATTGAGTGTTCCACTGGAAACCCAGCCCAACGCCACCTCTCTGCTGTCCGCTGCTACCCGAGCTGCCACTGCCATCTCGGTTGTGATGCCTTCCCCTTCCACCATGATGTTGACTCGCACTGAGCTGGCTGAGGTTTGCAGTGCCGGTTCGTGTACCAGGAAGCCGGTCTACGAATCGGTCGCCGCGAGCGGTGTGGAGTGTGAAGTCTGCTTCGTCGCCGGCGGCATTCGCAACGTGGGTAGCCATGACTTGGGCCTTGAGCGATTGGTAAAGCTTCTGAAGTTGCTGTTGGGCCTTGCTCTTTTCGCGGAAGGCATCAACCAGCTCGTGGTTCTTCTGCTCGAGTGAGGCCTGTTCAGCTTGCATCGCTGCGGAAGGTGTCGGTTTCAGCCAGCCACGACGTTCTTTAGTGAAGCCGACCCACCTTGCAATTTGTCCTGCAGTACCTTAATCTGTGAGTTGGCGTCGTTGATGAGCTGGTCCATCTGCTGGCTCAGGTTCGAGTACTTCTCGGTCAACGACTTCGCAAGATGCTCTTGGTAAATGATCTCCTGCGATGCTTGGTATGAATAGAACGCCAGTCCTCTGCTGGCACACTCCATGATGATCGTGGGACTGAGTCCACTGAGCACACTAGTTTTGTAATCCTCGGACGGATTAAGCCCAGCGACCACGACATCGTCAGGGTTGATGAGCTGCGTCCCGCAAGCAGGACACTGTCTGTTCGCATCGGAAGATCTGGAGAGTCCGGAAGTGTCGGCACATTGGCTGCAGAAGACGTGACTTGCCAATCGAGTCAGCGTTCGAAGAACGAAGCTTAGCGAGGGCGAGTCACCTGCAAGTCGTCACCACAGCTCGCTCGTGGAGTTGCGAACGGCATTTGAGGTTGTTGCACTTCAGGACGAACTCCATTGACGTGGTTGTCGAGAGGGAATGTGAGGCCGGAGCAGACTGATCGAGAAACTACGTTGTGCGCCAGACGTGTTGGGGTGTGACCTAACGTGTGAGGTGAGGAAGGAGCCATGGCAGCATCCTAACCCAGCAAGCTCTTCGAGGGCTTCTCGTTGGGTTCTCTTCCCCAGTTCTGCTCTCACCAACGGTTTCGTGGTGTATACCGATCGTTTTCCTTTGGGGTCGAATGAAGGAGAGCTTGTTGCTGAAGGGGCGGGCTCATCTGAACCACCAGTTTACTGAAGCATTTGCACCGCTTCCGATGCCACGCACAGCATGCCACCATCCTAAGGGCACGAACAGTGCATCGCCGCTCTCAAGTGTCGCTTCTATTCCATCCACGCAACCACTCGCCTCGCTCCCATTATGCCAGACAACACTCTCTAGTCTTTCCAGTTCCTCCCCAGCCATCATTTCCTCGCCTCTCATATTCGCATGGCCTCTTCCTACCCTGGAACGCTCGTATACCGCCTTTCCATCCTCTGGCTTCATGAGTCGGATAACCTTGCGTCCAGCCAATTGTACAAAGAGGTTCGGGTTCGGATCACGATGAAGCGGTGTTCTGGTCGGCGGTCGTCCCATCCACAGGCTTGACGCGTAGATGTCGCCGCGACCTATTCGAGAAACGAGACTGGGCGTTGGAAGGTCGGCTTGCAGGTCGGACGGTAGGTCGGCTAGGGAGCACTGCGCAAGGTAAAGGGCCAAAGATTTGTCTGAGCTTGTTATATGAGAAAGCAAAAGGGACAACGGCGCTTCGAAGCGCTCGAAAGTTGATTGTTGCTTGGCATCTGAATCGTTCGCGTGATGGCGAGTTAGCTCTAGCGGCACAATCGTTGAGCCATATTGCTCCAAGTACGAGAGCTTCAGCTCATGGAAGCCTTTCTCCTTACTCGACGGTACGAACCATCTCGCAATTGCTGGCATGTCGCTGAAGCGCTTCTTGAAGACTACCGGCTCGTTCGGACTAAAATTATCAACGTCTTTCCCACAGAGTCGGCCGGCGATCTTGACTGGTCGGAAGCCATTGCCGGTGGAGATGAAGCGGGCTTGGGTATTTCTGAACCGTACACGAGGTGTCCGCGACATGGGGAATGATAAATCTGCGGGGTGGGTTTGAGGTGGCAGCGATCAAGCTGCCACACATAATTGGACGAGCGCGGTGTCACGTGCGATTAGCTCCCCACCTGGGCACAGTTTGGAAGATCGGGTGGCGTTACCTTCGCAAGCTCCACCGAAGCTCAACGATTACTGCGACAACCAACCATGGCTTCAAAGCAGGCGCAGAAACACCCTGGCCAGAGTAAGTCCCTTCTCTGGCTTTGCTATAGGGAGCTTTGCGGGCAAAAGAGCGGTGCAAACTAACGGGCCGCAGTCGAAATAACCTCGCTGCCGGTTCCGCAGCTGCAAGAACTGAAGACGCAACTGGACCGCGAGCTCGAGCACCTCACAACATCGTTCCAATCGCTACGAACAGCACAATCCAAGTTCCGCGACTGCCTCAAATCCATTTCTCAGGGCATCAACCCATCCACGGCCGACAAGCCGCTCCTTGTGCCCTTGACGTCCTCGCTTTACGTTCCCGGACGCCTCACATCATCCACGCATGTTCTCATAGATATTGGGACCGGCTTCTTCGTCGAGAAGAGCACGGAAGATGCGACAGACTTCTATAACCGAAAGGTCAAAGACTTGGGAGACAGCCTGAAGGATCTGGAGCAGGTTATCAACGGGAAAGCGAACAACGTCAGGATGGTCGAGGAAGTGATCCGGGTCAAGGTGCTGAGCGCACAGGAGGCTAGCCAGAAGGACAGTCAGGGGAGCTGATAAATTGGGGGTTTGCAGGTGACACCGGAGACCAGAACCTTCAAGGAGAAAAGGTTAGGTCCTTACGCGACGCAATAGGAATAGCAAGAGGAAGAAGGTTCAAAGGGCACCGCTCGGGTCTGAGAGATGCACTCTTCGGCGCCGATGGCAGAGCAGGGGGATATTCCGGCGGGGTGCCGGTACACTCAAAAGAGCCATAATCTAGCCTTGGAATGCTAAATGGGTACTCATCAGCCAGCCATTGATCATAGTACAGATACACGTCACATTCATGCTAACTCGACTGATTAGGGATCATCAACTTGAGCCCCGGCGACCATTTGGCGCCGACAAGGTGGTGAGACTTTTACCGAACCTCGGTGCAGGGATTGGTCCTGTGGCGTCACTGAGGCAACCAACCAGCGACCTCCAAAACCTCAACCCACGACACACGACAACACCGCAACTTCACCATTGCTCATATTCACGCTTCTCCACCGCTTGTTTGAAAGAACCATCATCTGATAGAGCCTTTTTGCCTTGCATGATAATATTCTTCTGTCCCTCCGCTCGCTCTGTCCGAGTAAACAAAAGTTAGCAGGCAGTAAACACTCACATTCCAGATGCACAAGGGGGAAGGTGCTTCGGCACCTAGCTCGGTGTACATGTCGCCGCAGCAGATGAGTATGGAAGAGCCATGGAAGCATTCCTGCCCTCATTCTGACAAACACGTCGTAGCGAACTATTTGCAAGAGCTTCGCACCAACCGTCCCGCACGCCCGACCGGATCTCGTCCTCCTCCGGCACACTTCAACACATGGTCTAGCAGGTCATCCTCTAGATTCGCCGAATCGCCCGCCGTATCGCCGTTCTCTCATCCTACATTCAAAGACGCCGGCGTAGACGTTGATGCGCCGCCGCCCGTTGCTCCCGAGTCCAAGTCGCATCGACGAACAACATCCAACATGAGCATAGACGAGGTGCTGGCAAGTTCCGGCCGACCTCTTGTTCAGCCTCCGCGTGGTCGAGATATGACACCATCGACGACCTCTCGAGAGCGCACGCCGAGCGTACAATACAGGGAGAGTAGCCGGCGTCAAGCCGAGCGGGATGAAGCGAGGGCTCTGAGAATAGCTATGGAGGAGCTTGAGTTCAAAGACGAGAAGGGTCTATACGAGGCGGCAAGAGACGAAGCCGCCGAGTTGGTCTGGAAGCATCGGAATCCGGATGCGCCGGGCACGAGCCCTAACGCAGCATATCCTTACCCTGGTCTGGACGGCAACGGGAGTAGTCAGAGGAGCCGTAGCTTGGGGCGGGCTGAGCAAGACCTGCAGCGGTCCAATTCAAAACTGAGGAAGCGCAACTCTATGGCCACTTCCGCTTCTGGCAGCAGGAGCAGCAGTTTGCAAAGCCGTCGGGCTCCAAGCGGATCTTCCGTGACGGCGAACGCGGGCTTTAGTACATCGCCAACGAAGGCGGGCTTTACTAGCGACAGCTCAGAAGAGCCAACGGCTCTGCCCAGGGCCTCTTCGGACCCGACCGACCCCAAGCACAGACGGCGTACCAGCAGCGGTTCGCGACGGAAAATCAGTGCGAGCTTGTTCAAGAACCCAGATGATCAGATATACGAAGAACCTGAAGAAGAGACCCCTTCCGCTGCTCCTGCGCCGGCCGTTGCCAACCCACCACCAGCCGTAAAGCTGCCTTTAGGAGTGAGGCGCAATCCCTTCGCTCGCGTTCAGTTCTCCAGGGACAACAACCTCGTGAGATCAAACACAGATCCTCTTGTGGGAACGAAGAGATTCGACCGTTACGAGATTCAAAACAACCCTCCGTCCCAGTCGCGGAATGCTGCCTACACCCTCAACCCTCTTCTTTCCAAGCCCTCCGAAGATGGCAAGTCGGATGCGGAGAACGATGCCGAGGTGAAGACGAAAGACGGCAAGGAGGTTCGAAGCGATGATATTCGAGCTGCGACAGGGTTCAAATTGAAAGACAGGAGCCCCAAGCTGCCTACTCCCACCATGGTCTCGGATAGCCCCGGCCGTCCTATCGTCTCGTTCAAGAAGGACTGGAGGCTGAAAGAGGTTGAGCTTATGGAAGAGATCTCAGCCCTTCCGGGAACGAACCCCCGTCCTCTCAGTCAGACTGCCGCAGGGCCTCACCCTCTGTCTAAGGCTGCGACTGCTCCCGTGGTCCCCACCATGAGCATGCCAGCGGAGCCATCGAAGGAGACTAAAGTTTCATCTCCCTCTCTGCTTCCTCAAGTCAGCGTTACACCGACTCTACCTGCTCCGTCGATGAAAGTCAACCGGGCGCAGATGCCCACTATCAGCGTGTATGAGGACCCTCCAGCGAGGCCACTCCCTAGCGCTACTACGTCAAGGAAAGTCAACACTCCTCAAGCTGCGACGCCTCCTGTACCAACAATAAATGTCTCCCAGGCCCCTCCAGCGCGCTCTAAGCCATCTGCAGCGCCTCCCATTCCGACGATCTCTGTCCAGGAAACACCGTCGATCTCAGTCAGCGGCCCCAGTGGAGGTGCACACGTGAAAGCTCCTTCGATATCCGTGACGCCGTCTATCCCGACCATCTCTGTCAGCGAGTCTCCAGCACCGGCACGAGGTCCGAAGATCAATGTCCCTTCTATCGCGGTCACTCCTTCAGTACCTTCGATTAATTTGGCGGGACCGGTGAGCTCTACGCGCCCATTGCCCACTCCAAAGACTGGTTCCAAGTCGTTGCCTCACAATGCCACAGCAACAGCCAACTCTCGCTCCCACTGGACTCCCACCAATGTCCGCAACGGTGCCCTGTGCGCACAGTGCGCGCTCCCCATCTCGGGCCGCATCGTCTCAGCGGCAGGTGTCCGCTTTCATCCTGAATGCTTCCTTTGCCACCACTGCGGCGAGCACCTCGAATGTGTAGCCTTCTATCCTGAGCCTGACAACAAGCGCGCGGAACGCCTCTCCCGGATCCATGCCCGTCAACGCGGCGAAGACATCGAGTTCCTTCCCTCACACCCCACTCTCGCCGATATGCAGCGCCTAGAGGCCGAAGACGGCGACGAATCCATGCGTTTCTACTGCCACCTCGACTTCCACGAGTTCTTCTCGCCGCGATGCAAGTCGTGCAAGACGCCTATTGAAGGTGAGGTTGTGGTGGCGTGCGGCGCGGAGTGGCATGTTGGACACTTTTTCTGTGCACAGTGCGGCGATCCCTTCGACTCGACAACACCGTTTGTTGAGAAGGATGGGTATGCGTGGTGTGTGGATTGCCATACGAATCGGTATAGCACCAAGTGTAAAAAGTGTAGGAAGCCGGTTACGGATACGGTGGTCAAGGCGATGGGGGCTGAGTGGCATGCGGGGTGCTTTTGCTGTGTGGTAGGCTCAACATTTCTCCCCGATACGATGGCAAATGCTAATTATGTGTAGGAATGCTCAGGTCCGTTCGAAGACGGTCGGTACTTCCTCCGCGGTGACTCGCAAGATCCGGTCTGTGTCAAGTGCGAGGAGAGGCGGTTGAAAGCTTAGCTCTTCACGTTGGCGTTAGTGTTTGCTCAGGCTGGCCCTGGTGCTGCTTAGGGGTTGAAGTTGGATATGGCGGTGGAGGTAATGCGAAGATGTTTGTTGCATATTCATCTCTTCGATGGCTTCACGTTCAAATGCATGCATTAGAAACGAAAGGCATAAGCATGGTCTGGAGTAGAAATGATGCGTCTGCGTTTAGTCTTTGGCTTTTGGGTTCGGGGCACGGAGGCGCTGGTAGGCGCCTAGAACACATGTCAGTATTTGAATTCAATGCATCATCGACAAGTTGCTGCCATGGTTTTGCTCTACCCCCACCCAGGTATACTTCAGGGCTAAGTGAGACGTAGGTAGGTCTGTGCATATCACATCATGTGCCCGCATACGTAAGCACCAGGATTATCATTACGCGAAACCCTTTTCCTTCCCTGCCCAGGTGCCGAGGAGTTAGATTTTACCACCCAGCGGAGCGACCATCCTACAGGAAGCTGTGAGACGTATGTGTGCCCGATGTAGGGTTTCATGTAAGCGACAAGGCCTGCATCTTGCATACTTACTCGCAGTCATGCTCTTGGACGCAAAGATGACTGAGAGTCCTCTCATATCATAAATTGGAGTAATACGACGGGTTTGTGTCCGCCCCCATACGAAGCTGAAAGAAGCTCACGCCTCTTTATTAGCCTTCATCCTCAGCAGAACCTTCTGCTGATACAATCCGCTTCAAGGTCCATCTGTAGACGGCGGACATCCACAAAGGCACCTTCCAAAGCGGCGCGACTCTGCCTTCATCGTTGGTATGCGCCCTCTCGACAAAATCTCCATGCCCGACATCAACGGAAGCCCGACTATCTCTCTCTTCATCTTCTTCTTTAGCAAGTTCGCCGTTCAAGTCCTTAACATACGTCCCGCCCATGTTGTGGGCTGGAGCCTCGCTGGTGCAGCTCCTGACAGCGACAATCGAGTCTTCCATAGACGCTACGGAGCAATCACCTGGATCGTGAGATCCCAAACCGTTATTGCTCAGATCAGCGGGCAGGCTTGACGCGACTCGCAATGCCGGGCTCACCGAGCTCTGCGCTCTTGTCAGATCCTCCCTTAGGAAAGCTCGCATCAAATCCACAGGTGAATCATCAGTTGGCTTGAAATGCCTTTTCACTATTCAATATTAATTACATCAACGGATAAACAAATAGCTATTAGGCGCTTACCGTAGCGCTTCCCGAGCAGGTCTTTCAAGAACAAGAGGAGTCGGTCTGAATCAGCGCTCCCAAACGTTGCGAGGTCTCTGTCGATCTTTTCCATGAGCCGCGCTGTCTGCGGCTTCACGACGCACACAAGACATCCATATGCCTGCAGCAATTTGCCAGCCAGGCGAATAGCTTCCGCCCTTCGCTTGTCTGGGAGCACACCGCAAGCGGCATCGTCATATTCCTCCTGGTATTGGACTAGTGGACATATAGGCTGTCAGCAAGCCGAATTCGCCCAGCGCACAGGAAGGTCCACAGAGGTGCGTTATGCAAGGATGGAGTGGCATCCTGAGCAGCTTGGAACACCCCTACATCTCAGTGGGAGATACTCACGGAATCTAGAGTATTCGGCTTTCCTCTTCAACTGTTGAGCTATCTGGACGGCTCGGACTGTTTTCCGCAGTTTGTTGGAGTTGTTATCGGTAGACACGGCGAGGGTTACGGCATGCTGAGGGTCCTCAGGGGCAGCAGGATACCGGGATGCAGAATCTTCAACTGGTTCCATTTTTATCTGGTGGGCTGGAGAGCTGCGAGACACGACTATCTGTCGCGGATCCGGGGCTTGGCGAGGGATGGCAGCTATGGCTTCGGGGGCACGTCGAGGGCAAAGGAATAGCAATAGAGCGATAGCGATCCCTTAAATGATGACATGTGCAGATCCACGTGCATCCACAACTCCTGTATAGCATGAAGCGGTGTGCAAGTAGTTCTTGTGGCAATTCCACGAGAGATTTGCCGAATGAGGTGGTGATGGCAGATGCTCTCCTGTATTCTTTTACATCCTAGTGACAGAGGCGCCCGTATCTGAGCCAGAAGCGCAGTGAATGCGTGGTGGCTAGTGGCCCTCGCCTGAAAGCACGTGAATTCGTAGCGGCCCGCGGTAGCCCTCGCCTGAAAGTACGTCGAATTCGTAGCCAGTGCTGGTGGCCCTCGCCTGGAACCTTCCTCTCCCGTATTCTAGTGGGCCCTATCCCGAACCCTAATGGGCTCTGTCCCCAATTTCAGGAGGCCCTCGCCTGAAATCTGGTGCCTCTCTCGAATTTTGGTTCGGCCCGGCCTCATTCTGGTTGGCCCTCGCCTGGTTCTGGTAGGCCCTCACCTGAATTTCTCATAACGCCAGATGCCAAGCGGCGACACCAATCCTTCAAGCGACGTTCAGAGTCCAAGCAACTCCTGCGCTCACTCTAATAGAAGCTCGCCCCTCAATCTTCATGAGAGATACTGAACAGAGTACTCCAAGGTTCAGTCGCGCTTTCTGTTCTTCTTTAGTATTGAAGCTGACAAGATGCAAAGATGGATACGGGTTCAATTTCCTTATCAAAAAGTTCCGTGGCTATTGGTTCTCCATCAAACCGCCTCCGATGTACTCGAAGTGACAATTCAACCGATGGCACACGTCAGCCCTGTCAGGAGTTTCGACCCGCTCGTTGGGGTACGTCGATGACTATACCTCCATTCGGGGAAGGTTTGAGAAGCAGGCCGCCCAGGCCTGACCCTTTCATTCTGGGTAGGAGTTGGGTTCGGGGCAACCCAGGTCCCTTTTCTGGACAAAGCGCAATGCGGAAGACTTCTTTCCCCGACTGCCCTCAGGATGAACCATTCACCACGCAAAGCCTGCAGACGCTAGGCCAGCCTTTCGTCAATATGGATCGCGAAGTGAGTCGGTACACGGGGAAAGGAAGTAACATAGGCGCTTCGATGGAGTCTGCCGGCTGTCGATCGTACGCTCCCGGGGTCTGGATGACCTTCGCCGATCTTCCGGTTATTGAAGAGCATGGGTCCCGCCCTTGCGGAAACTGGGGCCCAGATACGGGAGTCCTGGGTGGAGACATAGAATCGTGGGCTGAGGCGGCAGTAAGTACATAGGCCAACGGCAGGTGATGCTCCCGCTAACAGCGAGTATGCTCCCCGTTATTTCAGCAACGCCCAGACGTCGATATCTGAAATCAACTCAGCGAAAGAAGGCAAAGTCGAAACGGACACATCGCATTTCAGTGACCCAAGCCAGCACACTCCCACGATTCTCTGTCGAGAACCCGAATGTCTCGAATCGTTCCGTCGGTATTGTGATTTGAGGTTCGTATATCCGTCAACGGTCGCTATCTCTTCCTGACCCACGTGACGTAGAAAACACGAGAAGAGACACCAGAAGATGGAGGAACGAGAATTTCCATGTGATAAGTGCGAAAAGAGATTTACTTACCGTAAAGACTTGACACGCCACCTTCTCACACATGCTAATTACGGTACCGACGCGACCCGGTACAGTTGCCTACAGCCAGAGTGCGTAAAGAGGAATATCTCGTTTCTAAGAAAAGACAAATTTGCCAGCCACATGAGAGCCGTACATCAACGTCTTGGCTGTAAAACGCATACGTGCGACAGTGGTGGGGAAGGTTTCAGATCCATGTATGACCTGCGAAGGCATGAAGCGAGCAGACATGACAGGGCGGAGAAAGTTTATCGATGCCGTTTTGCAAACTGCAAGAAGAAAAACAAAGTGTGGAAGCGGTGGGACAACTTGAAATGCCACATTGAGAAGCAACATGGCGAAAAGTGTGCCAAGCATTTGATGGAAAGGTCAGCACTTTTGAGGCTTATCAGGACTCACTGTACATCATGCTGATGATCCAGTTTCACCTATACCAAGGCTGAGAGTGTCTCCATATCCGATGGGAACCTTAGCGACCCTTCGATACCATTCGTGTTCGCCTTCCACTCGAACGCCCGCCAAGGCAGTTCTGCCCGGCCGTCCGTCGGCAAGGAAAGCCCGGAAGGGTCATGAAGAAACAAGGCTGGACACTCCGCTTTATGCTGCAATGCTGTATTGGTGGTGTAAGGCGTCGGGGTAAAAAGGGGGAAAGTCATGAATTCACGGATCGTGATGGTCGATATTAGGTTTGGGGTTATTCAGTTCAAGCTCACGCTAAATCTCCAAACCGGGGTTCTCGCCGAGGGGAAGCTAGCCATTTTGGTTTGCTCAACTACATAGCTGTGCGTCGTTCAGGTGGGGGAAGCAACTCCCTGTACTACCGTGGCATCTGAAGAGGCGGTGATAGGGCAACATATCGCATTCCTCAACCACTGAGACTGTCCCACGTCAACCTTGAATAGCCGCCATAATCGCCTTTCGCGCATGAATCGTGAATTGGTACTATACTGTACAAGGATACCCCTAAAGTGAAAATCTCCTAGGGTGCCCTCGCTGCTGCGGAGCTTGCAACCCAAAAAATAGCCTCACACTTCTCCTCTGCTAACACGCAATAGCTTACACCTCCGTCTTCATCAAACCCTTGTGATCAATGACGTTCGTCCCCTGCGCCGATCCCCTTCGCCATCGCACGCAGCACGTCGCTCTTTCAAGCATTCCGAGCGGCAGCTTCGCGACCAAAACAACGGCGACCGTGAGAGGGATTGCCACTACAAAATAAACCCAAAAGTAAGGACCGCCTGGTCCCAGCTGTTCGCTCATACTAAAAAGAGAAGATATGTAGGCCAATGGCACAAAGATCAGAGCCATGATGGTCAGGCGACTGACATTTGCGGTTTCATCGAAGGACCTCCGACTATCGATGATCTGGACAAGAGATGTGACAACCGGCAGCATGCTTTCGAGATGGCGGCCAAGTTTCTGCACTGTGGCGAGAATATACTCGAAGTCTTCTATTAAAGAAGCTGAGTCGCTGCTGGGCGGAACTCCGGGTCTCTCGGCCTTCAGCATGCGTATAATCGCTTCGATCTTATGCTCCGAGGACATCGAGCCACGGCGCCAACGTTGCAGAGCTCGCATGTCCGAATTCAACTTCTCTAGCTCGTCTCGGATGTCCTTTACTGAAGTCGAGTATTCGAATTGCTTCACAGCGCGATACATGATACCTGCATACTTCATCCACTCTGCAGCCACTATCCTCAGCGGATAGTAGGCGAGGGCATGCAAAGATGGGTTGGCAGGATTGAAAGATTCAGGGACCTGAAAACACCAGTAGAAGCGGAGGTCGTTGAGCAGGCCAAGGCGGTTTAAAGAGCGACCTCCCTGTGCACCTTCCTGTCCTACTGGTGGCGAATCGAGGAAATCCTCATAACCGCCGAGCAATAATCTCGACGGTAAGCTGATTGACTTGGACGGTCCACCTCTCTCTGCACTGTACAGGTACTCGTCGTTGGTAGGTCGATCGACTAGCACAAGTCCTGGTGGTTGTTAGTGTGCCATTCTTGGACCTTGCATCTATGTGCGGTTACCTAGCCAATGGGTCTTACGCCGGCGCAGTAAGACAGAAGCGCAGTGTCGGACAAGCCCAACGTATCGGTCCTTCGATATTGGGGTGACGACGACTTTTCGATCCACATTCATGTGGCGTGAGAGTTCCCCCGTGGGTGGCATACTATCGAATAGAACAGGTCTGTGATAGTGAATATTCGTGAACGATTGCCGCTTGACTTGGGATGGCAACGTGCATTCCTCAGGTTCTCGATCTTGGATATCTCTCCACGGCAAGTGCAAGTGGCTGGCGAAGAACATGGGATCGATGTCCAGATGCTGACCCAGTAGCTCTATCGTTCTCTTATCGAGGTCTTCAACAAGCAAAATCCGTCCTTGGATCTGTTCCCACTTTTCACTGCTCGTAGAACCCTGGTCATTATCGCAATCCGCCAGCTTGCCGATATCATCTTTGAGAAGAGTTGAGCAAAGACCGCCGTAATCGAGTTCAGCTGCAACAGGCTTTTCTTTGCCCTCCAAAAAGTCTAAGCGGACGATGCGACATGGCCCTTTAACGGTGTTGGCATTGGACAGGAACTGACATAGGGCGGCAAGGCTGGGTTTGCGTTCCGAAATCCTGTCCACGTGCTGGTGGTAGGCACTCTTTGAAGCCATTTTCTGTCTTCCTTGGTTTATGTTCTTCTACTGTTTAAGAATGGTCTGCTAAGAAGCTGTTGTAGTTACCAGCTGTGCTTCGAGATTAACGCCGGCGAAAGTGAGGCGGCTGCTCACGAGGCTGACCAATGCGGCAAGGACGAGTGTTGGAGGACTGCATGGGACACGGCAAAAAGGCAGCCTCCATCAGCGCTCACATTGTGGCTTAGACTTTGAGGCGGAAATGAGAAAACGGTTGCCTTGTTTACCTTGTCGTGTTTCGGTCGGTGAGCGCTTGGTCGAAAGGCTGATCGCAAGCCTTACTGAGAAGGCTGAGACATCGAGAATAAATGGCCAGGCGCAGTATAAGAGTGGAAGGCAAGGATGCTGGAGACATTTGCATGCAAAGGCATTGGCTCTTCCATAGCCGCACTTCTGCATTATAAATCTGTCGACACTCCCGTTAGAGCTCTTGAAGCCTTCCTCTGGCCTCCTCTTATCCTGCAGCAGAGGGTGTGCTTTCCAATTGTTTTCCGGCTTCGAATACCTACTAGCAATGGCAACTGCGAATGTCTGGACTATGTCAGAACCATTGGGTAATGGCCTTGCGGTCATAAACGACTTCGTAGATGATTACCACAGGAACAAGAAAGGGTACTACAAGCGACTCGCAAAGCGCGTGCAGGTCATATGCAGGAACAATACAAGAGATATTCAGGCACTGATTACCTATCGAGCGAAGAAGAAAAAGTCCCTGCGAAAGAAGCTGGAAAACATGAATGAGAAACGGCTGCGGGAGGGCCTGCCTCCTTTTCAAACGCGTCAGGAAATAGAGGAGCAACTGGTTGACCTCGCCGGAGTCCGCATCGCGCTCTATTTCCCACAAGAGAAGCAGAGAGTCCAAGAAGAGATTGGAAATTGGTTCCCATCGGTGGTGTGGAAGAAGAAGCCGGGATATTCCAAGAAAACCGGCGAAGAGGGTCAATACAGGTCCGGTCAAGGCCCACTTGAAGACAGCGACTCATGCAACGCCGACGCATCCACCGGGACAAACGAGAATGGGAGCTACAACCGTGTCTTCGCAGGTTACGTGGCAGATCACTTTCATGTCAAAATCTCCAAAATCCAATCGGAAAGGCCTAAAAAGCTTGAGGAGTGGATGGAACACCATGTCGTCGAGATACAAGTCGTCTCAGTCCTGTTGCATGCCTGGGCCGAGGTAGAGCATGATATCGAATACAAGCAGATTAGAGCCAAAGCAGGCAATGAGGAGAAAGTAATCCTCGACGCGCTAAATGGGAGTATCATGTAAGTATCTGACCCCCTTCACTTTTCTCTTTCCAGTACAGAAGTACAGAAGCCAATGGGTAAACCAACCCTCCTAGGTCAGCTGAGCTACTCCTAAACCAGCTTCACACCATCCACACGAACCGAGTGCAGAGTATGAAGGAGCCATTTCCGGACAAGTTCGCTTTGGCGAGGTGCCTCGATGGGTACATTGGTGGAGTGCTGGACGATTCCGAGAAGAACAACCTCGAACTGAAGATGCTCTTTGGTCTTTTGAAGGCGCTCCAAAAGAATTCCCACCAAGAGCTGCATCGGGTTCTCAAAGAGCTTGGGTTTGAGGAAAACAATAAGCTCACCGACCTCCGTAAGCTCGGGAACGGATTCTCAGACCTCGTGGAGAGTACCGACCCCTTCCTCCTGGCTCGGCATATGCATATCCCATTTTACATCATGAAACGAATCGTATCCCAGATGACGGCCAGAGAAGAACGTGCAGCACGGAGAAGGTACGTGAGCTCAAGAAACTTATACCAGACCCATTCGTTCATTCATCATGCCCTCTTCCTGTACTCTGAATGTCTGCTGACTTGGGACCCGCCGTTCAGAGCCATCCAGGAAGAGCGGAAGGCACAAGAGAGAGCCGGAAGAGGCGGGGAACCTAACACCTCGTACAAATGCCGCGTCCTCCTAAGCTGCTTCGTGTGGATGGGGCAACTATCCCTAGGAGGAAGCCTCGACAGGGTGATGCAGAAGGTCCAGCTCCGGCTCGCCGATGACGAAGAGAGAAACGCATTCGAATGGCCCTTCAGCGCACCTGCAAGATTCAACATTCTAGTCAATGGAGAGGAGACTAGCGAGGAAGACGCAAACGATATGGATGTTATCTGGGACTGGTTCGAAAGACAGGAGGAACATTCGTTGTTCTCCTTTGTCTTCAGGATCTCGAGGCTGGGCGTTGTTGGTTCGTTTCCCGATGACCTTACTCTGCTGAGGAAAGAGGACTATAGTAGACACGAGTCTTCATCGTACTAGACTTTATCTACTTTCGGTTCAGGATTTCGAGATACGCGATTATGAGGAAGGTTTGGTGTCGGTAATTGGCTTCGCTTTGATGTAATGCGCTTTTTGGTAGAACCGGGACGAGACCTTGTCTAATTATCCGGCATCTTCGCGTCGTTTCTATCGAGGAAAGATTTGTGGATCTTGATGTCTCCTATTGTACGGGGCCTGCGATACTGCGATGCGCATACGTGCACTGATGACGCGCGCCACGCGTCACGGTCTTGGCGCTCGCCATCTCTTTTTCGGTGCAGATTACGGTCATCAGGATGAGTTCCGATAGCTGCACGAGTTTTTATGCACTCGCACTCGAGAGTTTCGCCAGCTTACCACAAAGACATTATCATCTCTCACGACGATGGACCCAGCCAGTCGCTCCTCCCCCCGCCGCCGCCGGCGCCCGAACCGAGCACCTGCGATTATACACTGAGTCCAGCGTGACGAGTTGCCCTCAAAGAGCTCCGGACGTCCATCGATCGCAAGCGGAGGGTCATGAACCCAGCAGCCAACCCCGCCGTTCTCGCCAGTGCCGGGCTGAGAGGAATCTCGTGCGGCTCTTTGAAGCAGCCGGCCCTGTCGTACCGCATACGTTTACGCCGTCCACGATCGCCGACCTCACTAAACGACGCTCTTCACGATCGGCAGGATTATAGGGGAAATAATTCGCGGTGGCGGAAATGGAACAGCTTTTTGGTTGTGATCAAAAACTATAGAAGTTATGCAACAGAGATCTCCGCTACAGTGCTAAGGTGACGGCAGCGGCCAGCGACGGAAGTCCAATAATGGTACTCGAAAGGCTCGGTATACTACTCGTCATCTTCCTGCTCCTCCTCCTCCTCCTCTTCTTCCTCCTCGTCATCCATTTCCGAGAGTCCATGAGGCAACTTCGCCTGATTGGCGGCAATCAGCTCTTTGGGGAAATACTTGCGGCATAGTAAGGTCATGTTATCCTTCACCCTAGTGGGCTTGACGTCAGCTTTTTTTCATAGGAAGGTATGAAATTCACGACTCACACGTTGCGTTGATTGCACCCCGGAATCAGAATCGCGGTTCCGAGGTCGAACCTCAGAGAGTAAAGTAAGTTACGATCGTCCCATTCGTCCTCTGGGGAATTCGTTAGCCAATCATCACATAGCATTCAGTCTGCCGTACCAGGTTCCGAAACAGGGAAGTTCCGTTTGTAATTCCTCACGTAGACCCGGTTGCTCAGCCGATGACGAGCCGCTCTCCAGTTACCGATTTCATACTCGTTATGAGCATAGAATGACCCTGCGTCGAAAATGAAGGGTTCTCCGGTATCCATATCCGTGGCCGTGTTCTCGTCCCACAAATCGCCTTGGACCAGACAAGGCTTGATGCTACGTCCTCCGGACTGGAGGGGTTCTAGGAGACGGGGGATGACTTTGTCAATTGTAAGCTGGCAGACGTGGCGAAGCTCTGGCCATACTCCGTGTTTGTCCTCGTCTAGCTTGATCATATGAGCGAGTTGCTTTCGATAGAGCTCGGCCCATGACTCCTCCCATATATCCGTTATCTGCGGCAGTTTGGCATGGCAGGTCGTTATATGGAATCCGAACTTCCCAGTCGGGGATACCGAGCGCTTGTGCATATCCGCAAGCCGCGCAGTAAACTTGACAGGATCTGGCGGCTGTTCACCCACCTCCCGGAATTGTGCCAACAGGAAGTACGTCTCCGGGGATTCTTGCTGGTATCTACCCCATGCGTATGGTTCTGGCGCGAACTCCGGTGAGACGGCGTGGATTGCCTTCAAAGACTCGAATTCGCCTTCGATCATCGTACGGCCTGTTTCTCCGAGTGACATCGACTGTCGCAGGCACGTCAATATCACTTCGGTTCGTAACATGGGCGTAGCAGCAACTGACCTTCAAGAAGTAGCGTCTGTTTCCACCACGGGGCAGCCGGGTGAAGATCTTGGCTGTTTGTCCCCATAACGACATCCCGTAGTTGCGGGCAGAGGTTACCTTCGTACCAGGTACAGGCAACGCTGCGTACAGTGATTTAGCCGCATCGTTCCATGAACCAATGCAAAGTTATCAGCTTTTACCTTTTATGACAGCGTCATCAAGCTGAAATCTGCCTCCAAGGCGAGGCTTCGGAACAGTTTCGGCAGGGGCTTCTTCACCCCCGTGTCGGCCGACATCGACATCGACGATTGGAGCCACCAAGTGAGACATGAGTGTGTTCTAGCGTTCGAGTGCAAGTGGATTTCCATACACGGAACGGGAAGGCTATGTGTAGTAAGTAGAACCCACGCGCCGAAATGCTTTAAATACCATATGCCCCTCACACGAAGATTGCTAGGCCTGTTGAACATATGCGTGGCACCTGCATATGCATCAGAAACTTTGCGGTGTATCGCACCCGTCTTTGGGGTTGTGTTGGCAGTTGGGCAGGCAACCGTTGCCGAGGGGGTAGACTCGCCGCTTTAAGGTGAGATGGCGGTAGTGCAGCCCCTGCCTCACGTAGCACTCAGCTGCTAGGACTTGAGCTAACTCCTCTGCCGCTCGTTCTTCTTCAGCCTTCTCTCTATCGTCTACTCAGCTATCATACCCTAGCTTCGTTCATTCAAGCAAGAGCGCTAAGACATTCTGTGGTTCCATATGCGCTTACGCAACTTGCCGATTCGTGATGGTACGTACCTTGCCCAAGAACTATGCAAGAGAAACCGACTATTTATCACTCTCCAGTTTTCTCGCAAGCGTCGTACCGGGAGTCACAATAACGACGAGCTGACCGAGAAGAGTCCTGCCACACTACCCCCTGAAGAAAGCGAAGGCCAGCCCTACGATGGCCCGTCAGAGCTCCCCATTCAAGCTCATCGCTCTCACTCAGAGCCTTCGACGTATTCTCTCGCATATCGCGATAGTGCCTTTGTTCGTTCGAACTCTACTTCGACGAGTACCCTCTCGAGTGTTGGAGGAAACGCAGGACCGGATCCCTTCGGTCTGCATATCGTCAACGATCCCCCTGATGCTGCGGCAGATATCATATTCGTGCATGGGCTCGGAGGCTCTTCCCGCAAGACCTGGTCCTGGCAACGGAAAGCTGAACACTTCTGGCCGGCATGGTTGCAGAATGAGCGTAGGCTTCCGCCATTACGCGTCTTCACGTTCGGTTACAATGCAAACTTTCTTGGCCAGGATACCCCGCTGAGCATTTTGGACTTCTCAAAAGATCTACTCAACCGCATGAGAGGTTTCTGTGACTCTAGTACAAACACGTATAATTCCATCGGCCAAGTATGATTCACTGCCTTGGGGTTTACACGGACATGGAGCTAATGCTGACGATTCTCAGAAACCGGTGATCTTCATAGCGCACTCGATGGGAGGCCTTGTGGTCAAGCAGGTGAGAGACCCATCTCTTCTCTCTGACAATGATACTGAACAGGACAACTAGGCATACGTCTTGGGCCAAGCTGACCCACACTATTCCGACATGTTATCCAGTGTCTTCGGAATTCTCTTTCTTTCCACTCCTCATCAAGGCTCTATACATGCCGGTGTTCTCAATAGTGTTCTGGCTGCTACTCTTGTGGCATCACAGAAAGCCTACGTCTCCGAACTCATGAACAACTCAACATTCCTTCAATCCCTCAACGAACAATTCCGCGGAGTTTGCGATGGACTACAGCTTGTTTCCGTCTACGAAACGTTACCGACGAAGTTAGGGCCGGTTAAGAGAATGGTAGGTTTGCTAGCTAATGGTGAATCTTTGCTGCCATACTCACAGCACCTAGATTGTCGGCAAGGATTCGGGGATCTTAGGCTACCCGAAAGAGATATCCAGCCCGATGAATTCGGATCATCACACAGTCTGCAAATTCGAAAGTCCATCCGACGATAATTTCAACCTCCTTGTCACGCTGTTAAAACGACTGACCGAAAACCTCGAACCCCAGAGTACGCTATTGCATGATTGTTGTGAAATGCTGCCATACTGACAAAGTGTAGCAACCCGTAGGCCGAGCATAGGCAATGCGAATAGGATCAAGAGATTGGAGGATATGCTGGGCATTTCGGAAGACCCTCTCGACGATCTGGCACAGGTCGTGGGGCAAGGGATGAGTGGTTCTGGATTGTGGCTTCACGACCGGCAAGGGTTCAAGAACTGGATATCGACTTCTCAGACTGGGCCCAAGTTATATTGGCTTAGCGGACTTCCCGGGACAGGAAAGTCTGTTCTCGCAGGCATGACCATTGCCCATCTTCACCGGAGATTCCTTCCTCGCAGCACGCAGCACCACTTCTTCGTCCACGCCCAACCTACGAAGCGAAGCTTATCGTACTGTCTACGCTCTATAGCCTACCAAGCGGCGTTGACAAACGAGGTCTGCTCAAATCAGCTGTTGCGACTGTATGACGAGACTGGAATCGTGTTCGCCAATTCTACATACCAATTCATTTGGGACAAAATCTTCGAAGGTGTTCTTTTCCAACTCGACCTTGGATACACTCTCTACTGGGTGTTCGATGCCATCGACGAGTCCGAGAATCCTGCAGCCTTAGCAAAATTGCTGCTAAGGGTACCAGCATCGAGCCACGTCAAAGTTCTTATTCTCGGTCGACCCAACAAGGACTTCGCCAACCTTACCTCGCCCCGCTCCGACGCGGTGCAACACGACATCATATCGATCACGGACACGCAGACTGACATTGCGGCGTATGTTAGTAACCTTGTCCAAGAATCTCTCCCACTCGACGAGCGAGTTCAGAGAGACGTTATCTCCCAAGTGCTCGGGAAGGCCGAAGGGTCTTTTCTATGGGCAAAGTTAGCTCTCCACACATTGCGAAGTAACTGGCATACCCAGGATGATATTCGTCGAGCGCTTAATGATGTCCCAAAGGACATGGAATCTCTCTATACTAACATGATTCTTTCCATCCGGAATCAGCCCCATAGGCTTCAGCAGATGGCTTTGCGCATATTGACCTGGGCCGCCTGCAGTTTCCGCCCGCTGAAAGTCTCTGAGCTTGAGATGGCTCTTCAACCTGAGTTCCGCGATTTCATCAGTCTAGGTGATACCATAGTCCAGATTTGCGGTCACTTCATTCGTCTGGATAATGGTACACTAACGCTTATCCACGCTACTGCACGACAGTTTCTACTCGAGCACTCCAAAGGAGATGGTCCTCTTGTTCGATTCAGTGATGGCCACGAGCACCTAGCCTCCGTCTGCCTGCGATACCTTTCTCATGAACGGTGGCGTCGCCTTATAACCCGCGCACAGGATGGCAGTGATGGCGCCACCAAAGTCGATAGGCTCCTTCCTCTCTACGAATCGTACCCTTTTCTGAGGTATGCAAAGGACCATTGGGCATACCACTTCAGCCACGCGAAGGTTGACTCCAAAGATCTTATGGGCTGCTCCCGAGTCTTTTTCGACAAATTTGCTCTTTCCTGGATTCAAGCCATAGCATCTTCGAACAGGCTCAGGACTTTGACTCACGCCGCTCAATACATCAAGATCTTTCTCCGACGACGACGTTCCAAAATATCGTCGGAGCCTCTAAGAAGCTTCAGCTCCGAACAACACCTACGCGAAGAGCACATCGTTCTATTCTTGGAAAAATGGGTTGTCGACCTCATCCGCGTCGTCGGAAAGTTCGGTTCGGAATTGGTCAAGTCACCTGTCGCCATCCATCGCCATATCCCCCCGCTCTGTCCCAGGGATTCCATCATTCACGAAACGTATGCCGAATGCGATGATCCGGTAATCTCCGTGGATGGTATTTCGTCCAGTGGATGGGATGACAACCTGGCAAGGCTTAATGTCGGACAAGACCATATTGTCTCGAAAGTACTTGCCACCGGTATGTATTTTATCACACTCATTTCGAGCAACGGGACCATGGTGGTATGGCTGGCAGACACTTTCGAAGAAGTGAGGAAGCTAGCCCACGGGGAATGGGTACTGGAGATGGGGGTAAACAAGAAGGGCAATCTCCTCCTATCGGCTGGACGCTTCACTTTTAGAGTATGGGACATTGCCACCGGCAACCAGTTGTGGTCTATGCCTCAGGACAACCAGGCAAGGACCATGGCGATCAGTTTCGGTCACCTCCCCTCCGAAATTATTGTCGGCTATGACGATTGCTCCGTAGTACACTACGACATGGCGTCTCATCAAGAACTGGGCCGCTTCTTAGCCGAAGAGACGGATGAAGTTGAGCATAGCTGCCCACGGCTCATGGTATTCAGTCCCGATAAGACAAAGCTCGTCATCGCCTACAGGGGTCGCCCGGTCTTCCTTTGGGACTTGCAAAAACCAACCGATCAGCATCCCATCCGTTGTATCAGATCGGAAGACCAGGACAAGTGGGATAAAGAGGATTCTGAGGTCTGGAACGCGCCTGAAGTTGTAAGATGGTTACCCGATGGCTCATCATTGTTCATTCTATACCAAGATGCTACGCTGGTGGACTGGCGATTCATGGAAGATCAGCAATGCGAATACGGACACACAGGCGCCCGTGAGATGGTCATCAGCCCTGATGGCACATTCCTTCTCACTAGTGATCGCGATGGTACCCTTAGCGTCTGGACAATTCCAAAGTTGAATCTGCTGTATCGATTACACTATGAGGAATTCGTCCGAGACCTGGCCTTCAGCCCCGATGGCCAGCGCATATACGACACTAGAGGGTCTCGATGCAATGTGTGGGAGCCCGACGTTCTTGTGCGACCGGACGAGCCCGACAAAGACGAAGGATCCAGTAGCTGCGACGGATCGATCGTGTCCGAACCTGTGATCTCCCAGGATGATAATCAGCGGAGCCAGATTACTTCTCTGGCTTGTGAAGATTCTGATCAGTTCTATTGTTGTGGGAAAGACGATGGATCCGTAACACTTCATAGGATGGACAGCGGTAATAAGTTGAGAAAGATTTGCAGTCATGCAGACTCCGTCGCCGTCGTCACTCTGGGATGGTCGCCTTCGGCAAGATATCTCATATCCGCGGATGACTCCGGCAAGGTCATTGCAAAGCGGCTAAGGATCAAAGAAGACGGCAAATGGGCCATCTATCCAGTGTTCGACTGCCGAATCGACGAGACGGTCAACCAATTTCTCTTCAACGCGGACGAAACACTCGTCTTGATCAGTACAGCATCTGCTGATCGCATATGGAGCCTCAAGTCCAAGAGCCACATCTGTCAAAAGAAATGGCAGTCAAGATCGGGACGCAAATGGGCCGATCACCCATCGGAGAATGGGTACATCTTATGGGTCGACCCCGACCAAGTACATATTCATGCATGGCAAGATCTGAGACGTATTTCTTCCCGTCGGACGTCCATGGTAGAGATACTGCCTGAGGTAGACGAAGGTAACGAAATAGCCCTTCCGCCGGTACTCGCGATGCCTCCCATGTCTTCACTTGAGAGCCAAGAGAGTGTGCAGACTGTTGCGCAGACACTCAACCGCAGATACCTGGTCTGCGAAATTCTTCCCGACACTGGTCAAAACCGGAGTAATTCCACGAAGTCTTTGAGACTGGACCTGGTGTTCACGGCGGACCTGGACATCTACAAACTTAATCCAGTCCGCCGTAAAAATTTGGTCTCTCTCGTGGGTGGCGTGCAACTTCTCCTTGGAACCTACCGCGACAAGATTGTCTTCCTAGACCACCAGAATTGGCTGTGCTCTTGCGAGGTTAGCTGGCCAATAGAGGCAATCAAACGACACTATGTTATTCCCAGGGATTGGCTCAACTCTTCGACTCTCCAGCTTGTGACGCTAAACAAGCATGGCACCTTACTCTGTCCGAGGAATGGGGAGGTTGCACTTGTGCGATACAAGAATCGACTGTAAACTATAGAGGAGTTCATAGAGCAAAGGTGGTTCAATTGCAGGCGTTCTGGGAGTTAGGGCTCAGACGTGCATGTAGAAAATCTTGCTTCGTTGGCTGTGGTTGCAATGAATTTCCGGTGAGATTTTGCGCTGCTGCTTTAACTTTGCTTGAGCGAGGGCCATGTCGGGCGGACCGCTGTGTCGCTAAGGTAATGTACGTGCACGCATTCGTACTTTCAAGGCTGCCAATGGCTATCTCAGATCCCCACGGTCAGATCACCAACCGTCGACCCCACCGGGCCCAACGCCAGAATCAAGCAATACAGTCCACCCCCCTGCTCGGATTGCTAGCGCAGTGTGGCTTTCGGGGCTGGCACGTCCCCCTTTTGGTTTTTGACAAGAGACTCGCTATACCGCGCTAGCAATCCGAAAAGGGGGGGCGGGAGGACTCTATTTAACCCGACACGGAGCACATTGTAGGCCAGTCTATTTTCCTAATCGAACTTCTCGTATGCGCTCAAACATGCCTCTACCGTCATCGTTCCCGCTCAAGAACACTCCCCTCCGAATACTTTCCCGCGGACTGGGTACCTTTCAGGTCGATCCGAAGCAGTATCCCGATGGCTCGGTGAAGGCATCAGTTCTGCACGCCTTGAAAATCGGCTATCGACACCTAGATGCAGCACTAGCTTATGGATGGGGCTCGGTGGAAAGAGATATCGGCGAGGCCATTCGCGAAAGTAACATTCCAAGAGAGGAGCTCTTTGTGGTCACGAAGCTGTAAGCGCGCCTTTTCCTTGCAGGGTATCTTGATGTCCGTTTAATAACCTTCCCTAGGCACAACTGCTTCCACGCTCTAGAGGACGTCCCCGTGGGGATGCACATGAGCCTCCAGAATCTCGGCCTTGATTATGGTGCGTCAAATCTTCGGTCATGCGTCCTTTGTGTCCTGGCTTACTTGGACAGTGGATCTGTACCTCATGCATTGTAAGACCACGCCAGCCTTTTCTGCATGGCCTTGCTAACTGTGCCAAGTCCCATATGCGTACGCCAAGACGGGAGGCTATGGCACACAGCGTACGCCAGACGGGAAGGATGGTCAACCCCCACCCATCGCTTTCACGCATGAGCTTATCATTGCGCAGCCCGTCATCGACGTAGAGCTCTCCAAGGCCTTTGATGTGACTTGGGCAGCCATGGAGAAACTTGTGGACGCAGGGAAGACGAAGCTCATCGGTACGGCTTCTATGCTTCTAGACTATGCTCAAACTTACATGCCGAGCTGATGTAAACAACAGGCGTCTCGAACTTCTCTACTCCGAAATTGAAACGCCTCCTGAAAACGTGCAGGATACACCCCGTTGTCAATCAGGTGGAACTGAATCCTTACTTTCCTCAAAAGGGGCTTGTGGAGTTCTGCCAAGTGCACGAGATCCATGTGACCGCTTATGGTCCCTTGGGCTGCACGCCCGTGCCCTACCTCATCGGGCGCACCGGGCCCGGCCCGTTGCACGATGAGACGGTAAGTCCAGGCCTTGGAGCATATTTGGACGGTTTTTCACATTGGCTAGATCAAATCCATCGCCGAAAAGTACGAGAAAACCCCCGCCCAGATCATTCTCTCGCATATGATCCATTTGGGAGTGTCAGTCATTCCAAAGAGCAATAGTCTACAGCGGATATCGGAGAACTTCGATTGCCTGTTCGAACTGGAGCAGTCAGATTACGATCTGATTGCCAACCTGATGGGGCCGCGCGGAGAAAAGGGCGTGCGTAATTTGGAGACGAAGGAGTATCTTGGATTCGATAACTTCAACGAGGAAGTTGAGGAGCCATGAGGTAAACATTGATAAGGTGCCTGACACAGATCTCGGCTTAGCAACGCAATATGGTAAGGGGATGGGAAGGACGGTGCGGATAGGCCCCCCCAAATGAGGTGGCCCATGTGGACTTTGTCGCGCCAACCTGCATTATGAGCGGTGGAAGTTATGAAACCAATCCCACGGTAACGGAACTCTCCTAACAACTCCCCTCACATGTGAACGTTAGAGAGGCGCTGCTCTTATGGGCTCAACGCATTTGCTTGAAACTTGCTGCCAGTCTGTCGGTCCATGGGTTGGGCAGTATGCGTAACCTGGGAACATCCGGAGGAGTCTAACTAGGTATCTAGCATATCGCAAAAGGGGACTCACTATCCTTCACTCTTCACCGACGAGACACACAATTCCTGCCGTACAACCTAAGCCACAACACAGATCCGGCTTGTCAAACAGAGTTGAGCTGGACTTTGAAGGACGATGGGAAGCACTGCAGATAAGGAATTTGTATCTAATTGGAAACTGAAGGCTTGGCATGTAGGCAAGAGAATGAGACATCGGAGCTGCAGCTAGTGTTCGGTATGAGAGTTCCCGCACGGGAGCCGTGCTCGGGCCAAGCTTGCTCTGATGCCGATGAGGCTCCGATTGTACGCTTCTCATTGGCTGGATAAATACTTGTTGAGAACGAGAATCGCACGGCTCGGATATCAGCGCACCCGCCTGTGCGGGAATGCTGGCTGCAGAAACACCTCGTATATGCAACTGGCCGTCCGGTTGTCTTCACATGTGGAGCAATGGATCAGCTCAGCGTCAGGATGAGGGACATGGACGCAAAAGAAATGTTTCGAGGTCACGAGGTTTTGAGCCGCCCTATGCGCTGTTTCGCAGCCTTGTCGGGGTCAGACCGATCCCCGCCAACCCTCAGGTCATACGCGAGTTGGATTTTTGTAGCGTTGCTCGATAATGGCGGTTTAGAGCTGCTTCTTTATAGCTTCTCACCGGCCTGTTGCATTCTGCTTCGACAATGGCACGAGTGCCTGAGATGAAATGGTGCCCACATGGCAGTCCAGCCTTGCCTACACTAGAGGAATCTACACTGCACAAGGGTGTCGAAACGCGCTTCTCGTTGAAGGGGAAAAACGCGTTGGGTAAGTATACCATGCTACATAGAGATTATGCGAAATATCTGATGTTGTGCGTAGTGACAGGCGGTGCCCGAGGCCTGGGCTTGACAATCGGGCATGGCTTCCTCGAACACGGATTGAGCAAGCTAGCCCTCTTCGATCTAGACGAAGATGTTGGTAGCAAAGCAGCTGCAGACCTTTGCTCCATGTTCCCGCACGCAGGGGTCGATTTCCGAAGAGTCGATGTGACGGATGCGGTAGCTCTCACTGCTGCCGTCGAAGAGATTGCAGAGACATTTAACGGAATCCATGTTTTAGCTACCTTCGCAGGCATCGTGAACTCAGTTAGCGCGACGGAATATACTCCGGAAGGGTTCAGGAAGATCGTCGACGTCAATACCATTGGCACGTTCTTGACAGCTCAGGTAGTGGGAAAGTAGGTGGCTCCCATCACCAAGCATCCGAGCAGAGTGTGATTCAGGACAGAGCTGTACTGACAACTAAATAGACAGATGATCGAGCGCAAAACGGGTGGCTCTATCATTCTGACTGCCTCCATGGCGGGCCACATCGTGAACTACCCTCAAGTCCACGTCGCATACGGCACTTCCAAGGCCGCTGTCCTTCATATGGCAAGATGCCTGGCAGCAGAGTGGGCGATATATGGGATTCGAGTTAATTCGCTCTCCCCAGGATACATGGATACGAGGCTGAATGCCTCCGAGGATTTGGTGGATGTACTGCCTACGTGGTACGAAAGAACGCCTATGGGCCGGATGGGGGACAAAGAGGAGCTAATTGGCCCGGTCGTTATGATGGCGAGCGCAGCAGGAAGCTTCATGACTGGTTCTGACATCAAAGTTGATGGTGAGTTTGCTCGAGATAAGTCTCAGCGTGGTGAAAAGTATTAACATAATTGTAGGCGGCTATACCCTGACTTAGAATAGTCGAAGGCTCAAAAAGAAAGTAGCCGAACCTCAATGTATGGGAGCAATCCAATCCTTTCCGCTCAACCACTCCTTACCGAGAGACTTACGGATGGTCGTGAAGAATGAGACATTCCACAGCCCCAAAGGCAGCCACACCGGACAACGCCCAAAATGCGACACCAATGTAGTGCATATGCAAACCCCATCCGAATAAACGTCCCGCCACTAGTGGCCCAACGGACCTCGCCAGACAGCCAAATGATGCAGCAGCCCCGTTTATCCTAGCCAAGTAGGCTTTAGATGGTGATGTATTCGTGATGCTAGAGACCAGAATGGTTAGGATTGTAGCGTGAAGTCTATGGCAGAACTTACAGAATGGCCGAACATGTATATCCAGTAGAGGACAGGAGCACCTTAACCCACAAGTCAACCATTACCGTAGCGACCGAAACTGGGTAAGGAAGCTGCGCCGTGAAAGGAGTGAAGAGATAGAAGAAGGGATATAGCCATAACACATAGCGGTAGATACGGAGCGCACCGTATGTTCCGACGATCCGAGGTACGAGGAAAAACTGTCCTATAACAGCGATGAGTGCTTGCGAAAGTAGGATGGGCCCTATTTGACGAGTGCTGAGGCCAAACCCATCGTCAAATTGTAAGAAGTTTCGAGCTTTGATGTGTTCAGGTATATGTGAGGTTGTGCGGTTTGGCGAGGCCAGGAATACTGGCATAATGATGTCAGATGCGACTTTGTGAAATGCAAGTAGGGAGACAGAGATGATTTGCAAGATGACCTGAGTAGTATATATCTTGCCTCTCGTCTCTCTCTCCGTAGCCGTCAAAGCATCTTGGTGATCGGCTGCTTCCTGGTCGAGGGGTTCTAAAGCGAATGCGTCCTGAGCATCTCGGCGGTCAAAATTTTGCCTATTGAGGGATTTCAACTCGACAGCGTCTTGCGCATCGTCATCTGTCGGAGATTGAATCGTAAGCTCTGTGGGTGGTAGTGATTCCGGGTCTGTGATATGGCGGTATCCCGATTGTTGATGCCGTAACCCGAGCCACGTGAATAGCTTCCCAAACCGGGCTGCCATTGTGGATGCGACGGAAGCATCCGCTTCCGTTCGGGGCAGAGTTTCTCTGAAGAAGAGGAAGCCAATGACGAATGTGACGACTAGTAAGCAGACAACGACGAGATTCGGGAGAAGATAAGGGTACTCTGCCCAGATAGACGATGCTTTGAAACTCGACGGGTAGTGTTTAACTGGATCCGCGAGAAAACCGCCGATGATGGGACCGACTAGGTTCCTTAATGTCGCGTTAGCGGAGACCACTGCGTGAACCCGGATTCCGTCTCACCCGAGGCCGCGAAGATAGGGGACGACGGAGAATGCGTTAGCTGCCATAGATCAGCCCATTTGACCATGTGGGACCCTTAGCTATCAAGGCGCACCTTGCTGCTCTTTCCTTGTAGCCAGTTCGCCAATGCAGGTTTGCACCACCCCGACATTTGGGTTCAATAGGCCACCAATGGCCCTCGCAGCGATGGCTTGCATGAGGTTTCTAGAGAAACCGAATAGAGCTGCGGAGGCAATCCCACCAATGATGCCGATGAGCAGGGTAGGTTTCCGCCCGATAGTGTCCGCTATGCGCGCCCATAGCATGCCACTCAGGAACTCGCAAAATGTGAAGACCGATATCAGGACGCCAGCGTACAAGGCAACGTCTGTATCGTTGACAGAGTCAAAAGACCCTATCATGAAGTAGACATACGGGAAGATACTGGTCCACGCAAGAGCTTCGGTGAAGCGAAAGAGGCCTGGACGTAGAGTCAGTCGACATGCGGGAAACAGAGTCAAAGCATTAGAAAAGCGGGTTCAAAACTTGCCCAGTATATACAGCTGGATCCGAATATCGGAAATAGACTGGTGCTTTTCCAATCCTGCCATGGCGTATCTGAGGCGTGAAGATATCGATTACACCGTGGGCCGGACACATAAGGAGGTTCGAGCGGGAAGTACGACCTGTTATATACAATCAGGATCTCAGCCCAGTGTGCTGGGCCGGTGCGGGGCGCGTCCCCGAGCCGGACACGCTTTTCTGTGCTTCTGAGGCTGGCGTTGCATATATGTGCACTGATTACTCGTTGACAATTAATTCGCCCGATTGCTGAACATCTACCGTGTTGCTGCGCTGTCGTCTACCAAAGCCGGACGCGGCGCTTTGATCTTTGTTACAGCATCTTGCGGACAGGTAATTCCCGTTTTGCGTTATCTAACAAACCGCTCTGCTGTGATGCTAATCGCCTTATGTAGATGTGGATGTGGATGTGGAAAGGTAAGGGTAAGGGAGAGTGGGATCGTGAAGTCGTGATGATCCGAAGTGCCCTGCCCTATCAGGTGCTAATGACGCGCGCCAGGTCTTGGCACCCGCCATCTGTTTCCGAGTTACTTCGAGACTTGTGCGCCAAACCCCACAATGCCCGTCCACATCATCGCGAAAGGCTTCTCCGAGGGCCTTACTGCTCTTCCTTATGGGTGGACGGTAGCTAAGCTAGCGCCATGCCTGGCAGTGCTGTATCTGCTGAAATGGTACTTCAATGGAGCCACTAACACCTCGGAGCGCAATATGCACTCCAAGGTGGTTATGATGACGGCAAGCCTCAAACGTGCGCATAAGAGGAGCAGAGAGCTAACGTTCGCAATCAGGGAGGCACTTCAGGCATTGGAGCTGAAGTAGCGAAAGGACTCGCATCTCGAGGCGCCCAAATCGTCCTCCTCACGCAGCACTCTCTCACAGACCCCTTCCTCGTAGACTACATAGAGGACCTCCGAACGCAAACAGGCAACGAGTTGATTACCGCCGAGCAAGTCGATCTTACATCTCTACATAGCATACGAGAGTTCGCGACGAAATGGGTCGACAATCTGCCCCCACGGCGTCTGGACATGATCATACTGTGTGCAAATACCCTGACACCGCCTGGTGGGAAGGCGGCCATGACCGAAGATGGCTTAGAGTCTACATGGGGCCTGAATTACATGGCGAACTTCCATTTGCTAAGCATACTGAGTCCGGCGCTGCGAGCACAACCCCCAGACCGCGACGTTCGAATCATCCTCGGGACATGCAGTTCTTACATGGGCGGCAGACTGCCGGACTTCGATGCGCCGGCAAAAGTAGATAAGAAGTCGAAGAAGACTGCGAAGCCCGCCTCCGAGCCCATCGCCTTCACACCCGCCGGCGTCTACGCAACCTCCAAACTCGCCCTCATGACCTTCGCCATCGCTTTCCAGAAGCACCTCTCGTCGTACACCCGTCCCGATAAGAAACCCATGAATGCCCGAGTCATCATCGTTGACCCGGGCTGGACACGCACACCGGGTATGAGGCGCTTTCTCACGTTTGGCAGCTTGTGGGGTCTCGCGCTGTACCTCTTCATGTGGCCCTTATGGTGGCTGGTGCTCAAGAGCTCCGATCAGGGTGCACAAACATTTATGTATGCTGCAATGGAGGCGCAGTATGGGCGGGGCGATGGAGGTTACTTTCTGAAAGAGTGCCGGCAGTTCAAATTTTTGAGGAACGAGATTGAGGATGAGGCGGTGCAGCAAAGGTTGTGGGAAGGAAGCGAGAAGGCTATTCAGGCGCTAGAGAAGGAGGGAGCGAAGAGGAGGGCTATGGAGAAGAAGAGCGAGGGGAAGAAGACGGGGAAAGAGGAGAATGGCGAGGCAAAGCAGAGGAAAGGAAAATGAAGCATGAACGGCGGGATGAACACCCAGGCATACACATGATACAAAGGAGAGCGACCAGCATATAACGGAAACTATGGGACATGATCAGAACGGACCAGCAATTTGAGCGGATAGGCAAGCTAGTGCTTGTTCTGCATTCCGAATGAGAAACAGGGTGTAAGACAGGAAAGAAGAGCTGGACACGGTAATAGGGTGGAGACCATTTCTGTTGAAAGAAGCGTATGTCTTCGCACTCTCTACCTCCGATGATATCCTACATTCTCGGGCTCCTTACGAGTAGGCTACGACTATAACCGCTCTGTGGCAAGGCATTACTCGACGACACAGCTCAATACCGAAACAAACTCGTCGTGTATCTTCGATCCTCTCCCACTTCTCATACTCTTCATGCTCGCCCCACATACGCCGTGTTCTGCTCCCTCGCCTCATCATCCAGCCTCTGCATCTCTCCACCACCACCCCAAGCCTCCTTCTCCTTCAGTAACCTCGCAATATCCGCCGGATGCACCACATTCATAACCAACATCGCGATAAACATGAGCGTGGCGTCGAAGATATACAGAAACACCTCATGACTATACAAATACCCATCAATCCCCTGCGTATACTCAACAACCCGAAAGATAGACCGAATAAGAATAAGAATCGAAGTAACGTAAAGCACATAAAGATGCTTCGTCCATGACACCTCTGCCGGTATCTTGCGAAAGTGTGCGCGCCCCCGGAACTGAAACAGCACGGCGACGAGCACGAAGAAGCCGAAGAACACGATCTGGATCCACAGCCCCAGCAGGATGATCTTGCGCCCAGTGTCGACAACGTCTTTGTCCTTCTTGTTGCTCGTTATCATCCCGCCGCCGACCCCCTGCGCTATGAAACTCAGCACATCGCCCCCGACGAAGATCTTCGTCAGCCACGTGCGCCGCACGAGCGCGTACTTCTCGCTGCTCGTCAGCAGGATCAGCCGCCCCAGCACCATGTATATGCTCGCGGCGAAGAGCGCGGGGGCCAGCAGGATGGTGAGGGTTTGCATGATGAAGGGGCTGCGGACTTGTGGGTCGTTGGAAGATTGGATCCGTCCGATGTAGCCGATTACTTCGAAGAGGCCGCCGATTAGGAAGGGGATCAGGAAGTAGGCGCGGCGGCGGCGGTGGAAGAGCGATTGGTAGATGTGGGCGAGGGTTGTGAGGGCGAAGAGAGTGACGAAGAGGGCGGCGGCGGGGAGGGAGGGGTCGTAGTGGTATTGGACGAATTTCTTGGGTTGGGCGGACATGGCGATGGTGATGGGACGTAGATGCGGGTTGGCGTTGGAGGTGTTCGTCGAGTTTTGAGGAGAGGAGAGGTTTGTTGTTGGTTAGAGTTTGAAACGCAAGGAGAGGTTGAAAGAACGATGGATAGATAGAAGAGTACTCTGATATTAAGAGGAGAGATGGAAGGGTAGTTGGACGCCGCCAGCCGGACGATGCTGGATGTTTGGGGTGTTGTACTGGACTATAAGTCCTCCTCTTTATGCCTCGGAGGCACCGTCCTTCATCTCGCTCTACCGCAGCAAAGCCTTGCTTGCCTACGCAAGACAGCATACTCTTAGCGAAGATATATCCATCGCCCAAGCTCCTGATTGGCCCTTCTCCAGCTGTTCCCCTCCGCACCTCGTACATTAAACCCAAAGCGTCGCTCCAAGCCCCCTATGCTCTTTCTATGCGTCCCTCGTCAGGCGCTCTCAGCCCTGGGCATCTCGAATTCCCAGTAAAAGTCGACCGATTTGGGCCATCCCGCGAGTTGTGGCGCGCAGTGTCCCGGACTCCTGGTCCCACGCTCCCACGATCCAAGAAGTCTCGAAGCGACGGGTGTGGTCGGAGGCTTTTAAGCGCCTAATGGAGACGTTCGACCGTTTTGGGGCATGCCGCGAGAGCCCAGCTGCACTATCCCTCAACTGGACTAAGGCTGGTGCATCTCGCCTAACGGGCCAGTCAGACGGCGCTGTTTACGACATTTTCCTATTGCGGCCGTAGCGCGGGGCTATCCTGGCGTTCTTTCAACGTCAGTCGAGCACCGCCTCAATGGACGAGTGTGCGGTCGAAAATGAGTAACGGTCTTTAAGGGTGTTGGCAGCGTACTGAGGATTTTGTCATTCGATGGATTTTCTCGTCGGTCGTTGCTCTCCTTCCTTCTGCTGCTGCCGTTGAGCTGAGCTGTGCCCCACGCCTGCGGCTCGTCTCGCTCCTTTGACCGCATTCGACTACTCTACGCAGCGGCTCCCTCGAATGCGGTAAGTGGTGCGATGCCGACGGCGACGAGAAAGGCGCATAGTAAGTCGAGATTGGGCTGTGGTCAGTGTAAGAAAAGACGTATCAAGGTAAGCTATCCCTTCTCTTTGATGGGCAGGGTGGAATCCAGGTACTCGGAAAGCTGCACGCGCCCGAGAGCTAGGCAGGAGTGGCTAAGGAGAAGTACCGGCGTATCCTAATTCAATACCATAAGCATAGTGGTATAAGCGGTTTTGCCCAGGGTTTCATGTCCCCGAGGGGTCCCTTGCAGTAGCCTGCTCATCCCACGCGTGCATGCGGCTGAGAAGACGGGTCTCCTTAGGCGAGAGGACAAGCTGACTTCGAGTGCAGTGTGATGGCAAACATCCCATCTGTGCCAACTGCGAGAAGCGAGCGCAAGAGTGCACTTTCCTCGCACTCGTTCCTTCCTCACGACTGTCGCTCACATCCACGCCTTCCGCCTCCAGCCCAACGGCAACAACAACATCGTCTCCCCATTCTCCAGTCACCCCATCACCTCCCTCTTCGACTCACCCCTCGATAGCACCGAAGACACCCTACCAGATCCAGGTTTTTCGACATACTCATGATCCAACCCCGAAAAGAGAAGCCGCGGTAGAACTCGAAGTACTTCCGGTATCCAGCATTCCCGCCTCTATACGGTGCATCGACCTGTGGAAAGACACGAGGGAAACGCTTACGCCTCGCCTGCGGTACCTGTTATACCACTATGAATACGCAACCAGTCTGACGCTAGCCAACGACGACCCGGCTAAGACAGCATGGCAGTCCAGCGTCCCTGAACTTGCATCGCGCCACCAATTCCTCGTTCATCATGTTCTCGCCGTCGCCTCCCTACACCTTGGTCGGCTGCAGGAGGGTACTCCAGAGAAGGGGGCGTCCACTGCCATAGCGGCGGCGCTGATGAACCGAGCTCTATCCCGGTTTCGACCCGAGATCGCAAATGTGAACGCCGATAATGCGGCGGCGCTCTTTGCGAGTGCGACGCTAACAGCCGTGTACTGCTTTCGAACGTCTACCATGGACATCGACGAGATCCGTGCCAGTGTTCCCGCCGACACTGTCATACCTCCTTCAGACGTAGTCGATAGAATGCTACATTGCATCTTGCGAACATTCTGGGGTCTTCGAGGGCCCTGGGCCGTCCTCGCGCCTGGCTGGCACTATGTAATGCGCGGGGAGATGGCTCCTGTCGCGCAGCGCAAATGGTGGCCCAGCCCCAAGGATCGTCTACCGGCCACGCTTCGAGCAATGGAGGAAGACGGCAGACTCAGTGAAATCGAGAATCTGTGGATTCATCCCGACCGTGCATACGAGCCCCACTTCCGACATCTGTCGGACGCTCTGTTATACCTTCGCGAAAGCTTCGCCCTCGTCTCCCAGCTAACGCTGCCAGAGAACGAATTCCCACCCACGACTTCCATCAGCTACTCTGTCGACGATACAACAGTCGGGTATCTGAAGGACCGCGGTGCCATGTTTCTATGGGCGACACTCATATCGCGAGAGTTTCTCCAACTCGTCGAGCAGAAGAACCGCGATGCACTGGTCCTAATAGCGCACTATGCCGTATTGCCAGGCAGGGTGCGCAACGTGTGGTGGCTCGAGGGTCTCGGTGCCGATATGGCTGCTACCGTCGCAATGGCCTTGGGACGCGAGAATTGGCACCTGATTGAGTGGCCTATTAGCGTCCTGGGTATCGACTTGGAGAGCTTGTTTGGAGCAAGGGATGACAGTCTCGTACGGAGACCTGTGCATATGTCATTGGAGATTATGTGAGCAATTTGCTACTCGTAAGAGTTGTCGAGGAATGTATCACGGAAGCGAAATGGATACCGTCGTTCCGAAGGTGTGGTTCCGCACGCCTACTCTCTACGACATGCCAAAGAAGTCGGAGGCAACCCCTCGGCGTCGCGAGATAAGGGCTTGAATATGATCGGGTGCTGTAGTGAATGAAGGACAAGCCGAAGATTTTTAGAATCGGGTGATGCACAGTCCCTTGCCGAACGATTCACATCTTCAGCGTTGCAGCTCGTCGCCGGAACCACGAGACCAGAAACGGAAACCTTTGTCACCGCTGGAGCCCGCCTCGCGGTGAAAGGAGTTGCCCATGGCTCTAGCACGCGACACTGTGCGCCTCTTAAAGGCCTTCGTCGCAGCACCTGACTCTCAAACGTAATCGCACCATTCGCAACACCGCCAGGTACGTCCGCAACTCAGCTACGGCGCCTTCTTCAATCCACTCACCTCTCGACGCAGGAACCGCAACTATGTCTCTAGAAGTACTTCCTACCGAGGTGGATGAGAACATCATCCGTCGGCTCTCTAAGCCCGAGCTAGACAGCTTATCCCGCACCTCGCGCTACTATCGGAATCTCACGGAGCCGTTCCTCTACAAAGATCTTACTTTCTCCACCCATCACGACCACAAAATTAAGCGTCTCTTTCTAACGATTCTCGAGCGAAAAGAGCTGGCGGTTCATATATAAAGCTTTACCTTAGTCCGCGAAAAGGGACGTTCGGGGTCCGATGACCCCAGCGGCGAGGACTTCTACTGCGAGTTTTGGCGCAAGATCCCGGACATCCAAGATACTATCGACTTACTCGCCGCAGACATGGAGACGAAGTTCGCGTTGCACTGGTTCGGTAGCATGTTCCAGAAACGCCCGTACTTTGACGGCGTGCTGGCTTGTATCCTTTGCATGGCAACCAACCTGGAGCACCTGAACCTCACGATGTCCTCGTGTGATGTGCTGCCGCTAACACTCGAAGTCTTGGGGGGCCCGTGCGATGAAGATGAAGGTGCTGCAGAACAAGAAGATGATCATGATGATGTCGAAGGTGGAGACAATGTGGAAGATGAAGATAATGCAGATGATTTAGATATTGCAGATGGTGGAGATGAAGGAGAAGATGGAGCTGGTGTCGGAGACAAGGATGAAGTGGTAGATGGAGAAAACGCCGACACTCCATATCCATTCTGGAAGCTGAAGACCTTCAGCATTCAAGGGAGCGACTACTATGGAAGCCCTCTCCAAGCTCCCGTACTGCCAACTCTCGAGAAACTCCAACTGAAGCAATGCGCATACGACAGGGTTAACACGCTCCCTCTCTACTTCCCGTACGCGCCGCACGCCTCAGGCGCGAAGCTACATACTTTGGAGATCGACCAAGTCAACCTCGATCTCCCTTGGTTTGCAATCACGCTATCTGAACCTGACTTTAGTGCCCTTAAACAACTCATCGTCAGCGGCGTTGGTTGGAATTGGGAACACGGACCGTGGAACGAGTACGATTTTCGCCACCTTAGCGACGCAATAACGGCACACCTCCCAGATCTCGAACGCCTAGAATGGACTTACAACGAATTAGACCGCGAATGGGGTTTGCTGAAGCCCTTTGGCAGCTTCAAGGCGCTCTCCAAACTCAAGCACCTAGCCGTCGACTACGAGTTGATAACATCGCAGTCGCATGGTCATGACCATTACCCTGATCATCTGGTGAATCCCCACGCTTTCCTTCCCGACAGCCTGAAGATGCTGCATCTTACTGATGTTCATCACGCTCTCCTCGACAGGCTCTGTGATCGATACGCCAAATTCTCTACTGGACGCTCCTCGGCACTTCCCTTCGTCTCCGGCCTCTTTTCCACCTTCGCGCTCGAGCACTTTAACATGCACATCAACATGGAATTCTGGGGTGACGACGAAGACGGTACCAGTGAGCTAGAGAAGAGTACGCGCAAATTCTTGCGGGTGATGGTTGAGGAGCTGGATCGAATGGGGACGGAGATGCGTGTCTGGCGCCAGGGAGGTCGATTACCGGAGAGGTTGCTCATGGCTCCTGGATTTGCAGTGCCCTGGCCCTATTGGGGCGACGTTGACCAGGGCCACTGGTGCAAGAAAGACCGCGAGTGGTGGGAGATCAAGAATGGGTTAAGAGCCGGGAGGAGGAATGAGTACACCCATCATGACGAGGATTATGCGGATAGCAGCGGTGATGAGGACGATGCTGGTGATGATGGTGGACAGACTAGAGCTGGTAGGCTCGATTATGTGGATGCGAGCGAGATCTGAGGGACTGAAGGCCTGAGGAGGTCTGCTGACGTGACCGGGACGATAAGCGTTTAACGGCGTTGAGCCTGCTGGTGGTATATGGGACATGGACAGACATCACGTACGATCAGAACAAGAGCTAGAGAAAATAAAGAGGTCGCCCTCATTAATACTAACAGTTTCTCTTTTCTATTCTTGCGTTTCTCTTCTTTTTTTCTTTGGCCTTTTAGATGGCTATTGGTTATGAAACTTAGGAAAAATTGGTGATTAGGGGGTAGATGCAGACAGCGATTCAAAGAGACAAGGAAAAGTGAGTCCGATTCCAGAGGAACAAGGGCGGGGAGACGAGTAACGAATAGAAAGAAACTGTATAGGGTCTTGACTCCGCAGAGTCGGAGTTGGAGTACCCCTTCCGCCAGCTCAGCGCCTCGCATCTATCCCCCAAAGGGATGCCGCTTCATACCGCCGCCGCAGCATCTCTCCACGAACCACACGCACGTACTCACACACACGCAACGCAGCTCTCCCATTCACGCTCACGCCCAAGCTCCCACAAGACTCATCGCCGCCGCGCCGGCAAAAACAAGCGCGCACGCACACACCCTCTTGCGCCCGCGCAAGACGCTCCAGCTCTCGTCGCTCAGCAGGTCCTCGGACAGCAGCTCGACGAGCGACGCGAAGGTGAGTAGGCCTGCGGATAGCGCGTTCATGGTGCCGACGAGCAGGAGCCCGATTTCGGAGTCGGGCGTGTAGAGCGTGTGGATGGCGAGGCCGAGAGCTTGGCCGAGGGGGGTGCTGTGAGGGTTAGTGTGGGTGGATGGGATGGGGAAGGGAAAGGGAAAGAAGGAGAGAGAGGGGGGGGACGTACGTGCATCCGTAGGCGAGGGCCATGAACCATGGCTGGAGAGCGTTTTTGGAGGGCCAGATGATGGCGGAGATGCGGGAGCCGAGGGCTAGGCCTTCGAAGGTTTCTGGTACACCGCGGGGGCGGCGGGTTGGTTAGTCTGGGTTCTGCTGCTGCTGCGGGGACTACCTCGCGCGAAAGATAAAAGGGTTGTGGAGACGGAGACGGATTACGTACGATGGAAGGCAATGGCAATGAGCAGGATGATGAACTCGGTCCCGATGGACACGCTGAGCGCCATGCCGATGAAGACGCTGTGGAAGAGGATCCCGACTTCGAGGAGTACGCACTGCAGCATGTCCTTGCGCAGCTTCTGCTCGGGCGTGAGGTCGGGTGCGACGCTGGAGTTGGAGTTGGAGTTTGTGCTTTGCGCTTCTGCGTCGAGCTGCCGGGGGTGCTTGGTGGGTTGCTCGTCTGCACGGAGGATGAGGTCCGGTTCGTCGTCACCGGTTCCTTGACGCTCAATCCGGGACAGGCTCCGCCCGATGCTGGTTGCCCGGCCGCCGAGCGGACTCATGTCTCTCACAGGGACCGGAGGGGCCTCAGGCTCAGTCTTAGTTTCAGTCTCGCCGCCGCTGTTGGCAAGCTCAGAGCCTGCTACTCCACCAGCACGTTCCTCGCTCCTCTCCCCGCCCACAACGCCAACGCGTCTGCAGGGATGAAACACCATCTCGACAACAACAACCAAAAAAATGCCCGTCAGCGCAATAGCGCCCGGCATAGCGGGATAGTCAACCGTCCAGAAGCTCGCCAAGCAGGGATCGCCGAGCAGAATGAAAGCGGTGGGCAGGAGGTGGACGAAGGCAGTGGCGATGAGGACGCCGGTGCCGAAGTGGCGGACGGCGAAGAAGAAGCGCTGCGAGAGCTGCAGGCCGGGGAAGCGGGTGGCGAGCAGGGGGAACGAGCAGGCGAGGGTGGAGACGGTGAGGATGATGAAGAGGGCGCCGACGTGGAGGGGCGTGTTGTAGAGGGATTCGTCGACGCTGTCGCCGGTGGGGCAGGTTGAGCCTGCTCGTTTGTTGTGATGTCGGCGTGTGGAGGTTTGAAGTGAAGAGTTCACTGGGGCTGATATGCGTGGTTGTGTTAGCAAAAGTTATGTGGGATGGGAGTAGTAACATTACCTCCCTGCTCGGCTTGCGAATGCCACACACCCTTCTGGACCAGCTTTGAATTCCACCTGCTCCCAAGCAGAAAGCACAATGCCGAAGAAATCGCAAGAGAAAGAACCCACGCCACCGCAACCTGGCTCCAATTCTGTGGCAGAACAGGACCAGAGCGGGCGTGGGAGAGCGGAAGACAGAGATGGCCAGCACCACCACCAGCCGTCTTCATGCGCGGGGTAGCAAGTCCTATACACACATATTAGTCTCAAAACCAAACCATGAAGCTGAACTCTCCATATGCGGCTCACCAAAGGACAAGCGCCCCACGCCCGCCTCTTGCTCACGCAGCTGAGGCGGTCTGGCGCTCGTGTCGCGAACAGCATCGAGCTCCCCGCCACCACAGCCGGGAGGTATACAATCACCACCGTCATCCCGCTCCCGCTCATTCGCCCTGCCGTTTAGATCTTCGCGTGTCGTGAGATCCGCCGCTAGGAAAGGCGGGTTCTGGTTCCAGTCCGGATGCAGCAGCAGGGCCTCGTCGATTCTGGAGGGGCAGTTCATCTTGGCCAACGAGTTTGCGCGGCTACCTTGGTCGTAACAACTAAGTGCGCTGTTTGTTTGTTCAGTCAAAAGAGAAAGGGAAAAAGGAGCAAAAGCAGGCGTTTAGTATGAGAAGTGGCGGAAAATTCCGATAGTTCCTCACCGCTTAGAAGAGCTTCCGAACGTTCGGGTAACGACGGACCCGATGCATGGAATTTCAAAAGAGGCATGCGGCGCCGCGACTTCGGATAGGCTTGGGTTTACGTCAGGTACTAAGCAGGGCGGCGGGGCTATTATTGGACGGGGTAGTGAATTCTCTCTTTGAGAGGGGAGTGCCAAGCGGTGACCAAGACGTCCAAGTAAGAAGCCCGACTTGGCGGGCCGAGAATGAACTCCAGTTCCTGTTGCGGTTTGTTCCGGCATACTGCGTGGGTTCTGAGAGAGGACGGCTCTGGAGAGAAAGAGAGAGACGAATGGAATATCCAGGCCCCTAATTAAACTAACGCGTAGTTAGCAAGGCCTTCGTTGGCGAGCTTAAGTATAGCATTGCGTAAGGCTTCAATTTTCAAAGCCAGGTCGTGATGATGTATCGGTCCATGGGCTGCTATTGGAGCATGAAGAGTGAGCAAGACTTGCGTAGCCTATATGCCCCGTTAAGCATTTACTATAAGGAAGAGATTCAGGGGGTACCGCTAGCCATTCATATCCACCCACTACTCGAATCATGAGCTGCCCTCCCATTCGTCTACCCAGAAACCGGTATAACCTTTGCGCCTGAGAGACCATCCAACCCCACTCGTTTACGCGTGTTGATATCTAACGCCCTTCCCTGCGCTTACACATGCCGCACCTTTTCCCTTTTGTGCAACGTGGCTATTCGCCATGGCCAGCCAACAAGACCTTGTCAAACCAAGGCGATCAAGGCCAAGCACATTGTTTGTCTCCTTCCATCCGCCCACTTGCACTCGCATCTCCTCGCCAGCCCGTCCCCACAGGGCGGGCATGGGAATCCGTGCCCGTACTTAGCTCGCGCTCTCCTGGAGCCTTTGCCTCTCCTCATCCGTCAGCGCCTGAAATTCGGCTGGAAATTCTTTCGTCGCCGCGGCTCGCCCGAAGAAGTCGACGAGGAAGGCTTGCGTCTCGTCATCCTTCTGCCTGCCCATACCGGGCCCGTCGTCCGCGGCGTAGGCCATAAGCTGCTCCTTGGTGAACCCGCTACCGAGATCCAGAAATGGATTCACCTCGTCTTCCCAATCGTCATCGTTAGAGCCTTCCTCGGCCAGCTCTGCCGCAGCGGCAGCGTCCAAATCCCGCGCAGCTCCAGATGCGGACTGCAGCTCTACTATGAGCACTTTGAGGATCTTGAGCGTGGCCGGGATGATTGTATACTCGTCGGGTTCTGTGGGCGCATTGGTCAGATTGTTGTACTAGTGAATGCCGCAGCCCAAACAAAGCTTCGGTAGGGCAAGAAAAGTGAAATAGCTTACTCTCTCTGGCTCGGCTCCGCGTCATGATGCGGCCGTCCGTGTTTGGAATGAGGTCGCCGTTGACGTGAACCTCGGCTAGGCGGGGATCTTTGAGGTCATAGAGCTTCGAAAGAGCGATGACACTGCAAGAGTCAGCCTGACATAAAGGAGAACAAAAGAGTGAGGTAGCATCCTGGCGGGTGTTTTTCCGAAGGGAACGATGACTTACTTCTGCCTGATCTCGTCGTAACCCGCAAAGTTGATCGAGTTCTCCAACCACTTCGCCAGCACAATCTGCAGCCCGTTCTCGCCGTCAATGTTCTGTCTAGCCAGGAACTCTACAACTTCCGAGGCATGGTTAAGACTCAGTCTTGCGAAGACCGAAGTCAAACTCTGTATGAATTGCGCCTGTTTCGCCTTGCCTAGTCTCGCGGCCACAGTCCGCAGGAGCTCTTCGAGATAGGGACCTAGTCTCTCGTGACCGGCTTTCTCCACGAACTCGGCCGCAAGAGCACCAACCTCACCGGCAGCGTGGTCGGTGACATCCGCTGAGAGAAGACGGGAAATGATGAGAAGCACGACTTCGAGGCCGGCCTTTCCAGACTCATCTCGCCACTCGAAAAGCTGCTGGTGGTCGTGCGAGATGATATTCTTCAGTGCTGTGGTTGCAGACTTGAGGAGCTCCTCATCACTAGAGCCAAGCAGCAGCCGGGTGAGTTTCGGCATAGTAGTCTGTACGAAGCCAGCGGGAAGTGGTTCTGTCCCGCGTTCGGCAAGGACAGAGAGCAGGTCAGCGGCGAGGTTAGTTAGGTTGTTCTCCTCAGTGAGATTGCCCACGTCGAACGCTCCGGTGAGTGAGGGAAGCACCTTCGCGCAGAGCTGAACATACGCATCACCTCCCATGCGAGAAATACTTTCTGTAGCTTCTTCGAACGTCTCGTTGACCAACATGGTTAGCTGGAAGTTGTTCGCACCGTGACTAGCAACCGTGAAGAGTAGATCCAATCCATTACCGGTGATGCATATCCGTGTGTCGAGAAGGATAGCATCGCGAAGAGTCTCGACGAGTGTGGTCATGAGGTCATCACTCTCAGCTAGCTCTTGCATATCCTGCGCTTGAAGATAGTTGGAGATGGCTGTGATAATGGATTGTTGCAGAGGCTGAGTGACTGCGGGTGGAAGAGCCTGAAGGTAGTATTGCAGCGCGCGGATGCACGATACTTGCACCACGTCCGACTGATCACTGGGTATTGCTTGAAGACAGGCCTCAAGGAAGGACGGCGCGAATTGTTGCAGGGCGTCCTCGGATGTTTTTGTAAGGCTGCCAGCAACCAGATAGCCGCGTGCCCTCAGGAAAGCGTCCGGTTGCTGCATCGCGTAGCGAATGAAGTCGATGAAGCCACTAGCAACGTCTGCGCTGATCTTCTTGTCCACATCCTGGAAGTCGCTGAGGAGCTGGTTCAGGATGTACAGAGCAGCCTCCTTGGCTTTCCAGCTCTGGGGTTCGGCCATCGAGTAGAGCGAGCGGGTGTAGGCTAACAGTCCCTCCACTGTTGGTCGCGTGAGCCGCTCGCCAAGCTTGATGACTAGATCTCCGCAGGCTGTCCGGGGGGTGTAGTTTGCTGTGACGCTGGTCTCCTCCGAAAGGAAAATATTGACATCGATATCCCATAGGCCCTCCTCTTCTGTGGTGATCTGCGCGTAGGCGACCGCCAGCTTCATGACTTGAAAGACCCATGTTGTACTGGCATCTCCATCCTGACTCTGATTTCGCAGCTGCTGTTCGAGCTCGTCACGTACTGGCGGCGCTCGAAGACATGCCTGCATGAAGTCAAGCTCTTCGAGGACGAGGAAGTCTAGGGTATACGGCAGTCCATCAGCGTCTTCAAGCCTGCTCTGTCGCTCTTCTACTATGTACATCTGGTGGTATGCCGGCTGTAGTGTGGAGAGCTCGTCCCACGTGGCTGTGAATAAGACGGGACTCTGTGGTGAGAGTACGGCGGGAAAGACGGATCGTATGCGCATCAGGGCCTAGATATTTATCAACCCGCGAGGTGAGGTTATGGGCGGACATTACGACCTACCTTGACAACCTGCAGCTTCAAGGCCACGAGACCTCGGTATGTCTCTGCATTCGGCGTGTCTTCATTCTCCTCCTGTTCCGACGGCGGATTGGGCAAGATTGTCTTCATCACGTCGATGAAGAAGGGATTCCACTCTTGCAGCACCTCGTCCGCAAAGCCCTTGATGGCGGCCTTATGGTCTTCCATGACCATTTCCAGGGTATCGAAGCAGCCGCGGAACACGCTGCAAGCCAATGCTCTCAGCGTCGGCTTCCTCGCCTGATTGACGGCGACATCGTGCACCACCTTGATGAGCTGCTTCGCAACGGCAAAGAACTGCTTTTCGTTGAAGCAGTCCTCGACGAGCTCGCCAAGCACCTTCAACGCGCCGTGTAATTGGCCTTCGGAGGCGTTCGGGATGAGGTTCAGTAGGTAGTCGAGCAAGTCCGGCCATTGATCTGGGAAATCGGCGGCGGCAATCTTGCTCACGACCAAGCCGGCGGCGGCCTTGAGCTTGCGGTCGAGCTGCTCGGTTGTTGCGAGCTCCAACAGGGTAGGGCGTATCTTGGCCTTGTTCTCGTCCGATATTAGCACTTGACCCTTCCACTCATCCAAGCTTTCACTCCATCCCGCCAAAACTAGCTGCTTGAGGGATAGCAGAGCAGCCTGTCGAATATTGAGCGGCACGCTCTCGTGGCGGGCGACCTCGACGAGGGCGATGGGGAAGTCTTGGTGTCCGTAGAGGCTTTGCAGTTGCTGCTCGGCTTGTTTTCGGGGGCCCTCTTGGGCGGTTTGGGTAGCTGATAGCAGCTGCACTAGTTGGTCCTCCATGGTTCGGGGCGGATAGTGGAGGCTAGCGGGATTGAGGAGGGGGGGCGTAGCCTGGTGGCCTTTAGGGTAGCCGTTGCAGCGGGCGACGCGTGTGCGGTGAACTGTGGGTGAGAGGAAAGTCGGGTGCGGAGGTGAGGGGCACCACCGAGTTGCGGCCTGAGGGTGGGGTCGAGGGCCTCGGAGATGCTTCTATACGGGAGAAGAGGAGAGGCAGCGGGCCGACAGCTGGCAGTGAAGCCGTTTGCTGAAGGGGAGGGAAAGGTGAGAGCAAGTCGTGACGGATCAATGTTTGGGTGCGGGCGAGGCTGGGCGAGAGCCAATCGAATAAATTTTGGTCGCGTCGTTGCTCGTGTTGGCCGTGACGCCCGTTTTCCCGAGCCTGGAGAACTTCAACCCTCAGTCCCCTGGCCAGCGAATTGATCAACAAGCGCGTCGAGTCTGCCCGACAATGCAGAATCAGGCAGCAGTCCGCGAGCGCGTGCACAGCTATCGGCAATCTCGTCTCCCACGCTGACCCCGCGGGATCAGGCAGCGGCGTCCCACCGCGCGTGGCATGCAGCCTCGGCATATACACAGTCTGAGAAGGAAAACAACAGGAGCGCCTCGTTCCGCCGGTCGCGAGAAAATTACGCGCGGGTACTGATTCCACGAGCTAATAGCCCTCTGAAGACGACCGCCCAACCTCGAATCCAATCCACGCACGCGTCCACAATGCCGCCAACCTACCACTCGACCCTCTCCGCATTCACCCACTTCCTCACCGCCTACACGCACACGCTACTCTACCTGCGCACGCTCTACCCAGCGATCTCCTTCCAGCGCTCGCGCTTCCACAACACGCCCGTCTACCAATCGCGGCACCCGCTCGTCTGCGAATGGATCCGCGACGCCATCAGCGCCGTGCGCGAAGAGCTGCTCGCGGGAACCGTCGCCCGCATCGGTATCGTGGTATACAACTACAGCCCCGACTCGGCAGGGGGGAGCGCAAAGATCATGGAGCGGTATATGTTGGATGTGAGCGCGTTCCCCGTTGTGCTGAAGGGGGAGCGGAATGCGGAGATTGAGTGGGAGGAGGAGGAGGTGCCGGAAGAGGTGGAGGGGAAAGGGAAGGGGAAGCAGAAGGCGTTAGATGCGGATGTGGAAGTTAACCTCTCAGAGCAGTTCCGCGCTGCGCTTGTTACTCTGACGACGCGCTGCTCACGGCTCACACCGCTGCCGCGCCATTGCTCCTTCAACATCACCATGGAGCTGAAGGACGAGGCGGACGTTGATCCGCCGCTCGGCCACCCGCAGCCCTGGATACCTGTACAACCGAGTCTGCAGAAGACAGGGAGGAAAGGAGGGCGTGCTGATGACGAGGATGGAGAGAAGAGGGGAGGCGAGGATCTGGGCGGCGCAATAGTAACGCCTATACGGACAGTGGAGGCAGGTGTGTTCAGGTTCGAGACGTGGATTGAGGAAGGGAAGGCGAAGTTTGAGATGCAGGATAGTACGAAGAGTAGCTTTGCGAGCTCGGGGGATGAGGATGCGGGTTGATGATCATGGGCAATGATACAAGCACGGAAACACCACCACGCTCCTGAGTGTCTAAGCAGCACCACCCAGTCCGGTTACTGCTGAAATATTTCAGACAGGAGACGCACCTCGGACCTTCGACGCATCACCGAAGATAGGGAGCATGTGTCCGCGACGTGCGAGCGGAGCGGCTTGAAGTGGAGAGGCTCGAAGCTCATTAGACATGGACATCGCTTAGTCGAGCGGTTCCTCACTGTACGCTATTAAGAGGAGTCTTGGAATGCGTATTGAGTCATACTTTTCACTACATCAATTGAACTATTTCGACCCTCTCTCACCGGGTATCAAGAATGCCTTTCCATGCAAGTGCCAACCATATACTCCGAAAGACGCCCATCCTCCCGCAATGCCATGCTATGCTAAGCTGAAACGCATTCTGATCAAGGTCCGAGACTCCTAAGTGCAGATATGAAAGGCAGTGTCGCCGAAAAGAGAGAATTCAGCCGCCAGAGCCTACGGCCCTTCTAGTCAGGCTGGTGTTGGTATGCCCCTCGTCGCTGGGCATTCGGCGCCGGCACAGGTGCTGGCGGATCGGCGTTGGCCGCCGGAGCTGCCACGGGTCGCATGGGAAGATGAGCTCCCATGTCAAGCAGGTTGGCGGGCGGAGGGACCGGTTGGAGTCCGGGTTGTTGTGGAGCGTTCTGCCCGCGACCTCCAAGCCAGTCGAAGACGGCCTGGAACCGGTTTCCGACAAGTGGTCTAATGAGGATAGTTAGCTTACTGTTGATCCACATTCCCGCATTCTCCTCCAATACTGATGAAGAGGTTAACATACTGCGGCTCGTATCCCATGGGTACTGCACCAAAGAAGTCAAGCGGGGGATGGGGATGGTAATGATGCGGATGCAAGTGCGCATGAAAATGAACATCCGGCTGCCGATAAAGAAGCTGATAAGGGTATGGGAGGTTTGCGAGCGGAACGACGTGAAAGGGCTGAGCAGGTACATACTGAGCTGCTAGTGCTAGATTCGGCGGAGGTGGTGGAGCTCGTGCCATGCGACCCGGCATGAGGACGCCGCCCGCCATGTGATGTGGGAATGCCGCGTTGACGACTTCTGCTCGGCCTAATCGGGCTTGCTCTGCCTGTTTGACGCGGTCAGAAACCTGCACCATAAGGTCGGCTTCTGATATCTCTGGGTTCTCGGCCCGGACCTTGGCCATAGCTTCTGTGGCGGCATTGTTCACCTCCTCTTTGTGACGAGCTTCGACATTGTCGTGGAGCGGGCAACCACGACCCCGGCCGTCGTTGAAGTGCTGGTAATCCCTGACGTCTTGCGAGCAAACATAGCTGCGGGCAATGAGTTAGCTAGCTTCTTAATATCAGAAGAGAAACGGGCAGCAGCATACCATTGGACGTTCCGACAGTGTGTGCACGTCATTTTGTTACATCCTTCTTCCTTCACGAACGGGTGTTTGCAGCGATTGCATTGGCGGATTAGAGCGGCTGACATTGCTTCCTCCACGATGTGCCTGACAGTGATCTGCTCGTCTTTCTTCGCTTCTTCGCAGTTGAGGGGGATATGCGTCTCCTTCTGACACAGTCGGCAGCTCGTCTTTCGGCATTTGGGGTTTAAGCAACGGAATTCCTTGTCTTCATCGATGGGCGGGCATTCGGCCTTGTAGTCGCAAAATGGGCACTCCGATAAGAATTCGAGCCCTGCGGCGGCCAAGTCCTGCTGTTGTTGCATATGCTCCAGTCGGTCGAAGGATTTGTCACCTAGGAACTCCTGAAGCTGTTTGCGAGTAAAGATGCCACCGCAATCTGCATCCGCAAAACAGACTGGTCGGCATCGGCCCATGCCCATTTCCCCCTCGACGTACTTCTTCGCGCATGGGATGCAGAAAAAGTGTACCGTGTCGCCATCGCAGCTCGTCATGCGGTTAATCGGGACGTCATCGAAGCAGCAGAGGCTGTATGTTACAGTTAGCTTTTTCACGAAGAGCAGCGTGTCAGATAGCTTACCATTCGCCCATTTCGCCCCTCAGCTGTGCTTGTCGTAGATTATCTTCTTCAGCGCGCGCAGCATCTTCCGCTTTGCGGCGCTTGGCTGTATTGGATCAGTATCTCCCACAATTGTGGACTGGCGGTCGAAGGTCTTCCAGGCGCACTTACCATCATCATTCTCGCTCTTTTTCTTCGCCGCGCGTAGCTCCTTTACAAGCGAGCTTCCCCTTTCCACCATCACGAATAGAGTTCCGCGCTTTGGACGTGCTTTGCGAATTTTAGTAAAGCTGTTGGCGACGTTACGATAGTCGCGCAACTGTTCCTCGACGATACCGTAAGCTTTGAACAGGGTTTTGTGCTCCCGCAGAACGTTTTCGAGGTGCCGTACTGGCACGTCCAGAAATTCGTCTTTGAGCAGTTCCAGCCTAGAATATCGAATTGTTAGTAACAGTCGTTTGCCGTAGTGGGAATAAACAAAGGTTGGAAGAGGTTTAAAAGTGTTAGAGATGCAGCGCGTGGAACAGTTGATGCGAGAAGGCACTTTAAATCGGCGAGCGCTTCAACATCTCTGTGAACTCAACCCATGTGCTGGCACTTTGTTGGTTCCTGCTGGCTCGTATCATGGAACAGAAGAGGAACAAACACCCAATTCAACTGCCGACCATCGCCTCCTAAGAGGTTTCAGGTTATGCGGCAACTCACGGGAAATAACATGATGTCTTCACCTCGCAGGTAACAGGAATTGAAGGGGGACTTACGCATTCGGTTGATAGTCAGGTAAGTCCGTCTCCTGCTGTCCATTCTCAAACTCGCTCAGATCATCATGGTCGTCCCGCTTCCTCTTGCGGCTATTCATCTCATCTTGCTCTTTCGGATAGGCGCCGCCATCAAGGAGTTGGGAAATGATTTGCTGGCACTCGGTCGGAGTTCGCGTGTGGTCCTGCGTCTTCTCTTTAATCAGGTTGAGGACATGGTCTACCGAAATATCGGGTAGAACATCCAAAACCATCTGTAGGCACGCCGCTTCGGTGATCAGTTCGCTATCCATAAGGTCCACATCCTGAGCAGCACGTGACGGTCCGCCTCCGAGATTTGGGCCTGCTGGGACATCGATATCTGGTATATCGGCAAAAGCGGTGAGGTCGATCACGTTGGGATCATCTAGATCATCTGAGTCGTCGAGATCGAGGAAATTGTGCGCAAAATCATCGGCTCCTGGGATGGCGTCGAAGGCGTCATGGTATTCCATGAAGTCGGCGTCGTCATCATCGGATAAAAGGTCGATCACCTCGCCATGGTATCGCAGTGCACCCCGGTCCATTTCGTCTTTGCGTCGCAGTTTCGTTGGGGAGGCGTTCCCAGATGTTGTCGACGAGGCTGGCTCTGCAGTTGCTGTACAAAGAGGGGCGGGGTTGCGGCAGCTTAAGAGCCCTTCGCATAGGGTGAAATGGCGGAGAGCGGCATGTTCTATCTCTACGACGAAAAGCTAACGAGCGACTGCGAGTGAGTGTGAGAGAGAAAGAGGTGGTAGAAGGAGCGCCAGCTCAATCCGAGAAGTAGCGCTACTGCGGTTCACAAAACAGCCTCGCCGGTCAACGCAGCGTGCGTGCGGCCTCCAGCAGCGCGCCAAAATTGAAAGAGTTGGTATGGAAGAGCGCAAGGGGGCGTACAAATGCCCAGTACCAGCCGCGATTCGGGGGGTGAAAGTAGCAAGTGTCTCGCGTTGGAGACGAGCAGTCGTCCAAGCCAAGGAAGGAAAGCGCGATAGCGAGTCGCAAGGGCAGGCGCTAGGAGAGACAAACACTGTGCCACAGAAGTGACTCCAGGCCTGAATAATTCGACCCCGCCGCATGCAAAGACAGCAGAAGTCAATGCGGCGTATCAGTCCACCTTTAGGTGTCAGTGTCACCGAACCATCAATCATGAAGCTCCGCAAGCTCCGCCGGAGCACGAACCATCTCCGAACAGCCAGGTGCAGCAGACGCCCATGCATTGTAGCGTCCTTTCCGGACCACATTTCGTAGCAGGCATAGAGCAAGTCGCAGATCTTTAAGGGCACTAGATAGGCTAGAATATCGCAGCTGTGGTCTGCATTACTATTCCTGAGGCGCTTCGGAGGTTTTCCGCCTTACAAGGGAGCGCGAACAACCGCGACTCGCACGGTCCACGGCCGACTTCAACAATGACATCTTGCTGAACTGTGCATGTGACGCCGTGCTTCGAAGAAATTGAAGCTATCGGCCTCTTGGAAGGCTAACACGGCATCCACATTCCTGCCTTTATGTAATAGCTGTTCCGCGCATGACCTGCCTAAGCAGTGACATAGTCTCGCTTTGCTACGGCCCGCATCGGAAGTTGCAGGAGATATTACATACGCGCTGTCCGTTGTAAGGCTTCAAAGCCGTACATAAGTGGAGGTCGGAGTTGCAGAGCTGGCATTGAGCTCGTGTGTGAAGGGGCGCGTCTACTTCGAATAAGGTCGGTCTGGTATCTCGATCCCTTCACGCCCTACGCCCTACGATTAGCATTCACGAACAGGGTCAGAACGATTTAAGCTGATATTGCTGCCAGCTCAACAATCGATTAGAGTTCCGAGGGCTCTCAGGAAGCTGTTTCTCAATCGCCGTTTCTAATAGAACTATTCGGAAGTCCCTAACCTAGCACCTTCCATCTCAGAGCATTATCGGCTCGAAAATCCACAACTTGGCAGACACGAAAGCGATTCAACCTTCCACCTATCTTTCCGAACGAATACTACTGCAACCATGGGCTCCCTCGTAGACCTTCCCCACGGGAGCGCCCCAAACCTCGCCCTCGTCCACCCGACCGAAGAAGAAAAGCTCATCCAATTCAAGCACAACAGCGCCGAATGGCGCGGCGCCCTCACCAGCGAAGCCTACCTGCGCCGCGAAAAAAAGCTCTCCACGCAAGCACTCACTCGCGACGGCGGCATCACGTACTGGATCCTAATTGACAAGACCGCGAAAAGTAACCCACTGGACCCGACGTCGTCAGCACGGCTGCCGCTCGCGAGCTGCGAGACGTATCACAAGAAGGCGCTGGTGTGGCAGCATGGTGAGGTCAAAGAGACGGTTTGTCATGGGATTGGGAGCGTGTTTTGCGCGCCGCATTTGAGGGGGAGGAAGTATGCGCAGAGGATGATGCGGGAGCTGGGCGAGGTGTTGAGGACGTGGCAGACGAACGAGCAGAAGGAGTGCTTGTTCTCGGTGTTGTACTCTGATATTGGGAAGGTGCGTCGACCCGCTCATACTCATGGTGATCATGGTGCTGATAGCAAAAGAAATTCTACGCAGATTTTGGCTGGGAGCCGTTCAACTCTTCGCACGTATCGATCCCGGCTGGCGTGTCAAAGGCGGTTGATACAAGCAGCCTGCCGAAAGCCCGGCCACTTTTCGCAGAAGACCTAGCAGAACTCTGCAAGATCGACGAGGCGCTCGTGCGGAAGAGTCTCGTGTCGCGCCCCAAAGGCAGCAACACAGCAGTCGCCCTGATCCCCGACATCGAGACGATCCAATGGCACCACGCCCGTGAAGATTTCGTTGGTAAAGAACTGCACGGGAAGACGCCCAAGGTCAAGGGTGCAATAGTCGGTACCGAGGAAGGAAAGCGCGTGTGGAGCTACTGGACGCGAATGTGGTATAATCAGAACCCACAGGAAGCCAAAGGGAACACGCTGCACATCCTGAGGATCGTCATCGAGGACCAAGGGCACTCTAGCTGGGAGGGGTCCGGGACCAGCCACGCTGATGGAAACCCGACCGATCACAGTCACGTTGCTGCTATCACCGCACTCCTCCTCATGGCGCAGCGAGAGGCGGAGGAATGGAGAATGGAGGAGGTTGAGGCCTGGAACGTGTCATCGGCGACCCTAGCTGCTGCCCGGAAGCTGGATTCGAGTGCGAAGGTGGTTGAGAGGGATATGGAGAGCATCGCGAGTCTGAAGTGGTACCCTCCGCACGACGGTCCGGTGGCAGAGTCTGTTGACTGGATAGGGAACGAGAAGTACGGATGGTGCTGAATCAGCCCAACGCTCTCTCCTTGTAGAGTCCTGTAGATTGGTAGAGAAATCCTGAGCGACGAAGCGATTCGTCCTGAATACTGCCACTATGCCCTGGTTGCGGCTCAATCCAAGCGCGCCTGAGACGAATCCGCGCAGAATTTGCACGGTCGTCACTCTTCGGTCTCGAAACGCGGAGCCGAAAATTTTCTTCCTCAACCATCCAGCAGAGCCAGACGAATCAATGAAAAAAAGCCTGTCAGATTGCACTCAACGTCCTGCCGTCCAGACCGGCCGAAGCACGAGCCCAGTTGGCTGAAGATCATCGCCACGCTCGCCGAAGCAAACGCAATAAGGCCTCACTCCGAGACATCGAGGCTGATACTCATCCACCAGGGTGAGGATTCTGTGGCTCCTGTAGGAGACTCAGAAGAGGACGACTACTATAGAAATGACTATTTCCATCGTTAGCACAGGATTCGGGTTGGTTGGGGCAAAACATAGCACTTACTTCCTAGAAGTATCGTCGAACTTAAGGAAGAGAAGAGGGTCGGGGGGCGGACTGCGTTATATAGCTGGGTGTGCGCGCACGGGCCGCTCGCTTGCGGCTGACTAACGCGCAAATTTTGCGGCTCGTTCCAGGGTTTGTCGGCGCCGAGGCCGGGTGCGATTTCGCCAGGCCGTTGCAAATGCAGGAACTGTTGGCGGGGCAGGAATTTTAGCCGCGGGGCTCTGGCTACACCGGTGTGAAATGTGTATAGCGGGGTCTGGAGGCCTTCAAGGGACTTTAGGAGCCGTCGTGCATTGGGCGTCGTCGAGCACACCGTTGGCGCATTCGCCCTCTCTACTTCCTTCATCTGGCTTTCCGGTCGCAGCTTCATTTTCTGTAGGGCGCTAGGGCGTGACTGGTAGGGCAATCAATTTTTGCGAGGCGCTGCGATCGCGGGCCTTCTCATCCATCCGCCGGGTATACAAACCACTACTTTGCACCACTTATTGACATTGAACAACATTGAATTACTCATTGATTCGAAGCTTTCGTCTCCTCAATCGCTCCCAATGGCATCGCATACCGCGTCCCAACGCTATCTCAGCACTCGAGGCGGCTCGTATGATGTGAGCACTCCCGACCCAGGAATGCCCTTATCTTCCCTCTTGCATTTTGCTGATGTGCTATAGTTCTCTTTCGAAGAAGTCGTGCTCAAGGGCCTAGCCTCCGATGGCGGTCTGTTCATCCCAGAAGACATCCCCACACTCCCCAGTGATTGGGCCTCGAGATGGCGGAATCTCTCCTTCGAAGACCTCGCATATGAGATATTCTCTCTATACATTTCGTCCGCCGAGATACCGTCCGCCGATTTGAAGGACATCATCCGCCGCAGCTACGCCACGTTTCGAACGAAGGACGTCACCCCGACCGTGACCCTCGACAAGGATAAGAACATACACCTGTTGGAGCTTTTCCATGGCCCGACATTTGCGTTCAAGGATGTGGCTCTGCAATTCCTTGGGAATCTCTTCGAGTACTTCCTCGTGCGGAGGAATCAGGGCAAGATCGGGCGCGCCAGGGAACATCTGACCGTCATCGGCGCGACGAGCGGGGACACGGGTTCTGCAGCCATCTATGGCTTGCGTGGGAAGAAGGACGTCTCGGTCTTCATCATGCACCCTCATGGAAAGGTTAGCGCCATCCAGGAAGCACAGATGACTACGGTCATGGACGCAAACGTGCACAACCTGGCTGTTGATGGCACATTCGATGACTGCCAGGTACGCCTCCACTTGGTGGATCAAGGACCGACAAGCAGCTGATTGCATTCTAGGACTTCGTGAAAGCTCTGTTCGCCGACCCTGAGATCAACAAGACACACCGCCTCGCTGCCGTAAACTCCATCAACTGGGCTCGTATCCTCGCGCAAATCACCTACTATTTCTATTCATACTTCAACCTCATCCGACAACCGTCCTTCCTTCCCGCCTCCACAGTCCGATTTGTCGTGCCGACAGGTAACTTCGGCGATATCCTCGCTGGCTACTTCGCGAAGCGCATGGGGCTGCCGGCCGAGAAGCTTGTCATTGCTACGAACGAGAACGATATCCTTCACCGATTCTGGCAATCAGGCAAGTACGAGAAGAAGCCTGTCCACGGCAAAGAGGCGGAAGGTGGCATACCTGAGGACGGAGTCAAGGCACACGAGAGCGGGGTGAAGGAGACGCTGAGCCCAGCGATGGACATCCTCGTCTCGTCAAATTTCGAGCGGCTGCTCTGGTATCTTGCTTATGAGGTCTATAGCACGTCTTCGGATGCTATCTCCCAGCGCCGCGCCCAGGCTGGAGATCATGTGCGGTCATGGCTGAACGATCTCAAGTCGGAGGGTGGCTTCAGCGTTGACCCGAAAATACTTGAAGCAGCGCAGCAGGACTTCACCTCATATCGTGTTAGCGACGACGAGACCGTCGATACCATCAAGAGCATTTTCTCCTCCCCTTCATCACAGAGCTACGTTCTTGATCCGCACTCCGCTATTGGCATCTCAGCGGCGCTCCGCTCCGCGGAAGTGTCTAAGCCGCCTTCAACACATCACATCTCTCTGGCAACTGCACATCCGGCAAAGTTCAGCAATGCCGTCGAACGGGCGTTGCCAGATGAGAAGGCTTATTTTGAAGAGAAGGTGCTACCCGCTGAGTTCAAGGGTCTCGAGGACAAGCCGCGGAGAGTGAGTCTGGTCAAGAAGACAGATGGCTGGCAGGGTGTGAGAAAGGTAGTTATCGCCGAGGTGGAGGCAGAGCTACAGGCTGCTGAAAGGGCGAGCAAATAAACGCTTGTGCAGGGGCAGAGCAGGTTTAGGCGTCTCATCGGTAGACTGGTAGAGGTCAAAAGCGTTACGTTTGTATAGATTCCATTTTGTTGCCAAAACACGGTCGTCTTCTTCAAAGTCGTTCGATATTTCAGTCTCAATATTTGTACGTGACCTTTTTCGTCTCCAAGCAGTCATCGTATTTAGCAGGTCGATAAAGATGGACCGAACGCCGCAGGCTGAATCCTCTTCTTCCCGTCCCGCATGAGCTCGAAATCCTCTCAGTATACTGGTCCTTATTCTACCTTCCGGTCACAGAATCGAAATGTGCCCTGCTTTCGTCAAACGAGGTGGTGTGTTGGCTCAAGGCAATCGTTCGAGTAAGCCGTCTCCTGCACCAACAATTGCTATCAGGAAACACATGTGCTAATCAGTCCAGAACTACTGCGAGTCACTGATTTATCCGGTGTACCCCGAAGCGAGTCGCATTCCTTCCAGCTGGCATTTCGGCTGCGAGATACTCCTACGAAACACTTCAAGCTCGGTGTTAAGGCAGCTACACTGTTCGGCGGAGCATTGTAGCAGACTGCCGTTCGCCTGGTCTTGTTGAGGGAAGAACTGGAAGCTCATTCAAGCTGGTGATGTGCTTTGAAGATGCCTAGTTTTCTTTTATAAGTGGCTAACGAACTGGGATATAAGACTAGTTATGCCTCCGGTCGTTTTGACAGATGGGGGGCTGCGCTGTGCTCCTTCTATTATGGGCTTTTCATGACATTTCTTAGCAGGGCTGTACTTTCGCTCAACGTTTCCGAAGTGTATGGCATTGACGACACCTGGGGCTGCAGGATCAATGATGTGGAGGAAGAGGCCAGGCAAGGATGCCATTACTTTCAGCTCTTGTCGCCCAATCTGGACCCGCAGCTCAATCAAAGGAGGCGGAAGGAAGGAGAAAAGCATCATGGCAACGAAACGTGCTACAGTAATGTGCAGGTCGACCTTCGCTTCGCCTCGATCTGGATGAGGATTCCTGCCTCATGTGGCTTCACATTTGGTGGGCGAGCGGGTAGGTCCGGGTCCACGTCAACATGGCAAAGTGGCGCTTGTGTTGAAGGGTACAGGTAAGAAACTGGGATATGAACTCCGGTAGTCGCGCAGCTATGTTCGTCCGAGCATGTATCAAGCTCCTTCTCGGTCATAGACTTCTGGCAATGGCGGAGCAGGCCGGCGGGCAGTAGGCAATAGGCACCCGGATATTGAGATCGCTAGTACTTCTATTGCCTGTGAGGTGAACGGTGATCTCTTTGCGCGCGCCCGCGAGGGCTGTATTGGACTACGAAGGCTATTGAGACGGATGACGGTTAGTACGGTCTACCTGGATGAAGAGTGCACGCATCGGCATCGCCGCGACGGCCGTTTAGTCACTATGTCCTTTCTCCAGTTTCTACCAACTACGAGACTCACTATGGAGTTTGCCAGAGATGCAGCGGGCCCTGGGTGTTCTATCTGCGAGGTCCACGAGCCTTTATTCACACGGACGAGGGTCACGGAATCAACGTTTTTGGGGAGCAGCTGGAGAGCTGTGAGTACGGAGAGTATATGGGTATTAACCAGTCTGACAGACTACATCGGTATCAAATCTTTATCGTGTGAGGCGGACAAGGTTGGCGGCATTCAGTTCGCGCGACTCTGCTTTCCTTCTTCCCCTCTGAGAGAGCTATTGGACTTCTTTTGTAGCTCTATTCCCTCGAGCTCATACTCATCCTTCATCGAAGTCATCGCCACGGAGCCCGGACGAGTGGGATACTTAGCTTTTCAAGACGACATGACCCGGTCCAAAGGTGTTCGACCGCATTGCACCGCGATTTCACGGCATATAAAAGCCTCATGTCTCTTCAATAGCTCGCCAGCTCGTTCAGGGTTCCGCACACTCACCGTTGTCAACTCTCACCACCGGCCTACCGCCCGCGGAACGTGGTCGTCTTGCTTGGAAGTTGCTCTGACATGCGGACACGGCGCCCCTTCGTCCAGGTTGAAGTAGGTGAAGGCACGATATGGACGCTGCGGTCAACTAAGCTCCCGTTTGATGTTGCGGCTACATATTGGGCATGACATGCTACTTCTGGCGTCGACATCCGGTTCTCTATACGGTCTCTTCTCTGCGATGAGCAACCGTATCACGAGGTGGAGCACATGGATAGAGGAGCTGCGCAGGGTGGGAACAGAGGAGCGAGCTCACGTTCCCCGAAATGTTGCTTGACAAAGCGATGTGCGCTGTCAGCCGCTGAAAGGGAATGTAGAGTCTCCACCGTCGCATAAATCTCAAGCCGCCCGCTGTCAAGGCCTGCCGGATGAGAGGTACCGTATAGACAGAAATCTTGGTCGTCTTTGCGAGCTTTCTCCTACGTCGGGCTCCCCACGGCCGCGCAATGAACTACGTTCACCACATGAGATATCACTTCATACGCTGAGCTCTAGGAAACCCGTTCGGCGGACTGATGAGAATACAGTTGCGGCTTCGAAGCCATCCAACCGTTTACTCACCGTCTGCCTACTGTCAAATATTACTGAATGCTCATAATACCTCACCAGTGGCCCGATAACACTGCCCAGGTTCGACGTTGCCATCGCTGCTTGACTCTCTCCAACTATAATGCATGCCTACCTCACCTCTACGGACACTTTTGCCGCAATCTCACCCCAATTGCCTCACCCAGTCGTCCTCTCCCGCCTCGACTCCGTCACCGCCCTGACAGCACTTTCCACGCTCGGCACCGTCTCTCAGGCTAATCTCTCGGGCCTCACGCGCCTGATAGTCGACGTCACCTTCGCTGACGCACGGAGGCTTTCTGCCGCTCTGGCACTTTCCAAATCGACTGACCTCGCGCGCCGCATGAGCAAGTTGCCCCACTCGGCGTCACCGTCCAACCTATCAGCACGATCTGGCCTACTCGAAGTGAGGGAGAGCCTCAGTCCGCCGTCACACAGCTGTGATGCCGTCGCTGCCCGCCGGTAACCGGTGTTGATCCCGCGCTCTCTCACCTGCTCTTGGCACCCACCGCCGACGCAAACGCTGGTGTGATCCAGGCAGCACGACAACAGAACGTTGATCCAGCAACGCCTCGCTTAGCAGTCCCGTGATCCAGCGCCCTCTAGGGCCTTGGCATGGTCTACATAAACTCGCCCGCCCCCCCGACTCCGTTACTTTTTCTTCCCACTCCACTCACTTCAACGTTTCTCACCCACAACCATCGTCTCAACTTTCAAACCACCTCGAAGTGGCTCGCATCGGTCACACACATCAAAAGTCAGTCACCTTCGTCCCATTTTCCACTTTTCATTTTCTGACTCAACTTTAGAAAACCATGACCGCCAAGACTCACGATACGTGACGTCACTGTCAACAACCAACCAACATCACCCAACCATGCCAGGCCTTCGACCTCCACTCAACATCATCATGTCATGTCGGCCTTGACCCACCTTGACCATCGGTCCATCGCATCTCACCTTCACGTCGAGTCGGACCTATCCTGCCTTCACCTCATGTCGGCCTTCCATCTCCATCAACATGCCACGTCGACCATCACATGGTACCATCATACCATGTCGACCATGCCATACTATCTTCATCTCGTGTTGAGCCCAACATGCACTCATCTCCATGGTAGTTCATCATCCTTCCTCTATGTCGCCTTTACTCACAGTTGTCTTAGCATGTCTTCATACCACCTCGACTTCTTCTATCACCTCGAATTCATCCAACCATACCGACTCAACCATCTCATATCTTCTCAACATCGACAATCTACCCCTCCCACCGGCGGATTCGACGCCCAGACTGAAGTCTTCCGAGTAGGCCTCGATACGTTCCGATTTGGTCATTCAGGGTTCGAGCGGATTAGCTACAGCGCAAGCTGTAGGGGAGTTCATGTTGTGTAAGCCCTGCGTGGAATCTGAGGGTCTTCGTACCTGGCCTAGGCAGCAACCTCTCACCTCTTTCCACGTGTGTTGGACCGTCCGCTCGAACCGCAAGAGTTATCTCGTACAGGGTGTGGTTAAAGGCCACAGGGTCCCTTTTGCTAGGAATGTCGCCTCACCCACCACCCACATCATACCAACACCTCCCGCCTCTACATCCGCTCAACACTCTCACTAAACCTCACCAAACCTCACCAGCTCACAGCTGTTCAACTTGTAAGCCCTCGCCTTCCTGTCATACTCGCGCTAACATCTCCCAGAGATAGCCCCCAAAAAAAATTTCGACCGTAAACAGGTCACCAAAACAATCTTCGGCCGTAAAGAAGCCACTACTACAAAACTCAGACTGTAAACAGGTCACCCTTCCCCCTTCTGTCTTTGCTTTTTCATTTTGTCTCTGCTGCCACAGAGACTTATCACCACCTGTCGACAATAACTTCGACGGTATCTCCCAATTCATTTAGCCACCCTTTACCAACAGTCGACAATAACTTCGACACACGGTATCTCCTAACTCATCCAATCTCTGCTGCCACAGAGACCCCTCACCGATAGTCGACAATAACTTCGACACGGTATTCCCCAGTTCATCTAGTCTCTGCTGCCACAGAGACCTTTCACCAACAGTCGACAATAAATTCGACATAGTATCTCCCAATTCATCCATTCACCCTTTACCAACAGTCGACAATAACTTCGACAAGGTATCCCCTAATTCATCCAGTCTTTGCTGCCACAGAGACCCTTTACGCCCCCTTCCCTTGTCTTCTTCATTCTGTTCTTTCTTTCGGGTCATACATACTTGGAGGTTCGGTGGTTAGTCTAGAGTTTGCTGGTTTTCAGGGTTTCGGACTTGGTTCGTCTTCGGTTGCTAGATGGTTGTTGGTTAGGAGAGCAAATCAAAAAGGTCGACATCAAAGTCGTACATCAATCAATCAAACAATCTTCTCATCATCTCTTCCGCTCCTTTCTTTCTATGTATGTGCCTCGCTACCTGTGACCGCAATATCTCTCCAACCCTTCCTCTTCCCTTGACTCATCCTTTGTGCCTCTGAGCCCCTTCGCCGTACACTCCCGCCGTACGAACTGTTCGCTCTCGCGTCTCTTCTTACAGTAAAACTCAGCTCTCCACCAGATCTCCAATCGTGCGATAGCAAAGCAACAGCGCTACATCCCGTCATGCCCTTAAGGACGGCCTTCAACTCTCCCTTCCAACCCCCCCAAGCGAGCGGGAAACATCCCAGTGCTTGCGCCTCGAACCTTAATTGATTGCCCTGCCCATTGTCGCTCCGGTATTATTCTCTTCGCTTACGATGATGCGACGGCCCGCGGAGAGCAAAGACCCGTTCTTAGCAAAGCCACACTGCGCCCTCCATGCATTTCCGACCGGCGGAGGAACCAGAACAAGTCTGGCGAAGCACGGATGTACACAGAGCTTCGTGATTCGAAATATCACCCGAGTCTCAGGAAGCGCGGCTTGGGGTCCGCCGTTTCTAGAGGCCTTCGATACGCTGTTCGTTGCGAAGTACTCGAGAGTGCAAATGAGGGTTTAGGCGATCCGGTGCTGCGCTGGGGAAGAGCGTGTTGGAGTCGAAGAGCTGCGATGTATGTAGAGCGCCTTAGGGTTAAGGACGAAGGAAGGGAGCAAGACAGAGAGAATGGAAACTCATCGTATAGATTCGGGCTATGCAAAACCCAGGATATCATCTCACATCCCAGCCTCCATCCAACCGCCCAAAGGCCCATGTCCACACCAACTCAGCCGTTCCTTTCCATCGCGCCCCCTCCATACCCAAACTCCCCTCCCTCACTCAATCTCAATAGCCGTCTCCTCGCTCCCTCCCTTCACATCCCTACCATCCCTCCCCATCCCCATAGCCACCCACTCCCTCTCCAGCCCCTCCCTAACATACCTCCTCCGCCCCTCCTCCGTCAGCATACTCTTCGCCATCCCCCTCGGTCTCCCCTCCGCACCGCCCAACCTCCCCGCCGCAACCCACCTCCCGACGCCCCCGCGCACGCGAAACTCAACATCCATATGCGCAACCAGCCGATCATGCGCCGCGACCCTCCGCCTTAGATACCCTTTATCCCGCGCTTTCCCGGGACCGAGCAGCCCATGCACATGCGCCTTGCGCGTGAGGACGCCCGGCGCAGCCAGCATGAGCGTCTCGCCGCCCATGCAGAAGTACGTGCCCAGGGAAAGGGGCGGCAGCGCGGGGTGCAGCGCGTTGGGCGTGAAGAGATCGAGCTTGGAGAGGTGGTGCGTGGTGATGGCGGCGGTCATTGTCTGCGTTGGAGGGGGGGAGTTAGCGGTGTTCTTGGTTTAGACGGGTTGAAGGTATTTGGGAGGTGGGCGGAGGTTGGGGAGGGCGTACCATCTTCGCGAACGCCTTCTTGTCGCATGCTGCGCAGCATGTCAGGCTGGGGTCGAGGATCGCTTTCCGCTTGCTGCTCTTGCCGCAGAGATGGCACGTTGTGGTTAGCCAGCGGAGCCATTTCCGGTGGCATAGGAAGCTTTTTCCGGTCTTTGGGGGTGTGATTTGCGCGTAGCGCTTTAGGAGGCTGCGGCAGTATTCTTCGACGACGGAGCGCAGGTGCGTAGACGTTGCGGCGAGGGCGCGCAGAGGATGGTGCCGCGGGGCGAGAGAGGCATTGAAGGGCGAGCTGTAGGAGAGGATGGCGAAGAGGATTTCGGGGGGGAGGGTGTCGAGAGAGGGTGGCATTGTGGGTTGGTGTTGCTGCGTTGGGGAGGAGAGGTTGAAGTGAGGTTCTGGAGGTGGATGGTGATTGGTTGGTGGGGTTGGTATGGTTTGGGGCTAGCGCAATATTTTACCCTCGATAACGACGATTGCATCACATAGTATAGGAAAGTGGATGAATGAATATCATGCTATAAATCCTTTCAGGCAGGCGGTTGATTTCTGGCCCCGATTATAACGATACCGCAAGCAAAATGCAGCAGCGTCCACCGGGATCATTCAAGCATCTGTAGCCTAGCAGCATGCATGCTGCACCGAGAACATTATCCGCTATCCCTCTCAGCACTCGAGTTACTCGATGATGGGAAGCCAGCCTTGAAGGCTTCCAAGGGTCAGCGTATTTCTAATCTTCGGCATTTTTAGCACGAAGTTCGAACCCATATTCACGATTCTAGCACCAAAGCCTACGTGACCGTGCGTTAGAGAGGCCGCTTCAACCAGAAGACAAGGATTGATTTTTACGAATACATGCCGCAAAACGGATCGCACGGTGCAGAGATGTTCATCCTGCACTATTAGTGGAACTTCCCGCGGAAGACCCATGCTCTGGTCCTCGTTCCAGTGCTGCCGTGCAGTACTCATAGATCTCCTTCGAAGCCACACCTCTATCTTTGTAGCGAACAGCCCAGTACAACGGCGTGTGCCCATCGGCGTCGACATGTTCTAGGTCCGCGCCGTATTTACTGACCAGAAGCTTTAGAATAGATGGTGCTACAGAAGAGATAGCAAGACCTAATGCCAATTGCAACGAAAACAGGCCGCCTCTGTTATCTGAATCCAAAGACGCATGAAAACTCCTTGCGAGAAAGAATTCAACAATCTCCACAAGCTCTAGTCCTACGGCGAACCCCATCGGTGAGTAGGCATTCGCTTCCACGACAGTAGGATCTGCCCCGTGCGCGACAAGTAGCTCGAGCATATCCTGGTTACATGTCATACGAGTGTAGCTCCTCATAGCATAGCAAAGCGGCGTGCGCCCTTCTGAGTCTTTTGAATCAGCCTCTGCGCCATGCTCAGTGAGAAACCTCATCGCAAGCTCGACAAGACCACCCTCTGCAGCACACGACAGCATTGAGCGACCGTTGATAGCCTTCTCTTGAAAGTCCCCGGTATATTTCTCAAAAAGGGCTTCCACGATCTCCCTGTTCCCTATTCGGAACGCCTCCATCAAAGCTCGGCTAATATCACACCCAGTCTGGTTACCGCTAGTGCAATCTGATTCATCTCTTGCAAGGATCCATCGCACCGCCTCCTTCTGGCGCCAGAATATAGCCGTCGCTAGAGCATCGCGTGGCCCCATGTCCCCATCACGCGCGTCGTAGCCATTGGATACTAACAATCTGTATGGTCTTTTCGTTGAGCCGAACGGGGGTGCTTCTGCATGGTCATGCACATCTTTGAGGTTGGTTCGGGAATGGTCCAAGATTGTTCGAGCTGATGCCAGGCTTCGATTCTTAAGAGCGAGAGACAATGGTGTTCTCCGATCATAGCGCGCATAATTCGGATCTAACCCATGTCGATGCAAAAGGTAATTTACCGTGTGGGCGTGGTTCCTAAACGCTGCATAGAACAATGGGGTCTGTGCCCAAACGTCCTTAGCATCTGGGGTCTGACCGCTTTCGATCATATTGTCCAAAATAGAATTGAGACCATAGTAAGCGGCCACGTGCACGCCTAGCATCTTGGAACCGAATTTTACGCCATTAGGAATCATCGACCCTCGTTCGACTACACAGCGATGCACCTCGAGTGCGTTCTGAAGTGAGATAGAAGAACTTTTTAAAAAAGCTATGGCTGATTTGGGAATCGAGTTTGAAACCCCGGCGTGACAGCTCCAAAATCCTGCAGCATAGAGGTAGAAAGCATGCGGCTTCAATAGGCCCCACATTGGGAATCCAGCGATGGCGAGTTGAGCGGAGAATGTATCGAAGGACAGATAAGCAGTACATGCCGCTAAAAGAGCCGTGTGCGCCCCTGGGAAAGGATTTTTTTGCTGAAAATACTCCTGTGCGGTGTAGTGAACTAGTCGGACCATTTCCGTGTTATGGTCCACGACGACTAAACCAGCACACAATGAATCCAGATCCTCGGGCTCCGGACATAATTCCACGTTGAGTTGAGTTGCTCCGGGTTCAATGGCGAGGGCTTCAACCAGTTCCTGGACGGAAAGAGCCCGTTGAGCGTGGATGACCTGCAAACATGGCGGAACACTTAGCAGATGTCTCAAGGGGAGGCGAGGGGCAAAAGTTAACACTCTAGCATGACTTGGATCTTTCCATGCTAAAAGCCTCCAAGGGGGCAGGGGGCTTTCCGCAGTGAGAACTGAAAACATACTAGAGTGTGTACGGTGAAATACGTACCCACATGAGAATGTTCCTCACAAGTGCGCGATTGGCCTCGCTTTGGCGTTCTATCCGCTCCATAGCCTGGTCGTAAGTCTTGTGGAGACCTTCTCCTCCTTTTGGTAGATCGTGAACAGCTCGCCTAAGATCTCCTCGTCTTGGAAAACCCTTCAGAGAGTCCATATGTAAGTGAGCAAGTAGGAACCTAATACCGCCATCAGTACTGAGTGACCCTATTCAAGGCGCTCGATGTAGACTGACTCACATTCCGTCAGTTGCGTGAAGCACCTCGGCCTTGACTAGTTGCTGCAGTTCGGAATACTTCACTATATGGCCTCGCAGAAGCTCGTGCATTCGAGAGTCAACATAAGCCTCAACGTCGTCCTCGTGTGCTCTGATCTCCTTGACAATATATCCACGGAACTGCGAGGTGATCTCTGATATGGGCCGTGAAGTAGCAACGAGGTTATAGGCGCTCGTCCGCTGTTGATGTAGTAGATTGCTCACCATGAGTTTCAGCCCTGTATAATCCGTTACGTCATAGTCGTCCAAGGCATCCAATGCGATGAAAGTTCTGGTGTAAGTAGCGACAGTGGTTTGGAACGCAGCCAGTAGGTCTTCTAGTGAAGGTCTAGAGGGGACTTTCTCATGCCGCCCGTAAAGATCCAGGATCTCAGCGGGCAAGATTTCAATATTCTCGAGGAGTTGCCGCAGGAGCGAGCCTACTACAGCCTCATGACCCTGCTCTTGATTGCCTTGATAGTTGAAGTAGAAATGAGCAACACCGATGGCCGGATCTTCTCGAAACATCTCGTGCAGATGATTTATAATGATGGCGGAGAGGATGGTCTTGCCGGCTCCGGGGATCCCAGGACACAGCATCGTGCTGCTAGGCTCGGTGAGCCACTTCTGGAACTCATCAGAATTGAGCAACCACAAGCCAGTGCCTTCTTGTCGTTTGGCGAGAACATCTCTTTGCTGTGAGGCATGGTCGGCCTTGGAAAACCAGTCAAGGATCTTCTTGCGCTTTTCTCGCTGCTCACGGTCATCTTCGCGTTGATTCAGTCGAGATACTTCAGCCTTAATCTTGAACATTGTATCACTATTCAAACGTTAGTAGAGTGTCGAGGGCCGGTTGAGGAAGAAGCACCTGGTCAAACACTGGACGAATGCGCTGAATCCACTGATGCACAGCGCAAGCCGGTTTCGAAACCCATCAAGCTCATTCTGATCCCATCGGAGTCTCTTCCATGCATCGCGCAAAGATTCGCGCTTGCCCTTCCCTTCGGCGCCTAAGCCAGGATATTTTGCCAGCTCTTGCTTAAGTTCTTCCAGCACCTCCAGACAGCGGTGCTGAACCTCGTGCAATTCTTGCTCTCGCTGCGTCGAAAGCTCGCGGTGCGGCAGAGTATCCTCGATGTCCATGAGCAGAACAGACAAAGATTTTATGCTGGCGTACCAAGAGTTAGCGTTGTGGATCGGGCATGAGCATGGCACTTACTCATTTCTTATCGCTCGATACTGGGAAGGGGCATCGACGAAGCGTTTGCGAACCTCGTCTGCGAGGCGAACGACGGCCGCGAGATCACCTATCCCAAATCCGAAGCTCATGGTGCGGTATGGGAAGTATTGAAGAGATGATGTGATGGTGGAGCAGGAGAAGAAAGGTGGCGGGAAGGGCGCGGTAGGGAGCAGTTAGGAAAGCGCACCGGAACACACTTGCCGTACCACAGCATCATTCGATTGATCACAACCCCACCCGTGAGTAACTTTCTATTCACGATTAGGATCGCTGCTCACCTGCCACGAAGACAGTCAGGAGGCCGTGCGTACTCCTTTGTCATGGTGGCTCCATTGGATCCAGAGATCGGGATTCTGTAAGCGCTCTCTACAGGGCTCTTGGACGACTGTAACCCGGTTGTCCTACAGTGCTGTGCATTAAGGTGGCGCGTAAGAACATGCAGTGTGCCCCATTCCCCAACATCGTGAAACGGCTCTAGGAGGAGTTATACTCGCCAGAAGCTCCCTTCAATCTAATCGGGAAGTTACGCCCGCGGGCGCAGCTGTGCCTTTCCCGCCGAAGTTGAGCTATGCTGGTGTGTGTACCACGATCCACAGATGTGTGGAACATCTGCGCGAAGCCAGCTCTTTTCAAGAATCAGACAGACGCAGGAGGACGAGGTGAATACGACTCACATGCTCAGTGAGTGCTTATCTAGAAAGAGCGTCGAAAATATCATCCGCTTCAGCGCACTATCGCTGTTGACGGACTCATGAAAGCGCCTTCATCGGACGCACATATGCACGTCGGAGCTAGAAACGACTTGCACGTGAATCTGCTCTTGTTCCGAGGTTTCGTATATCTAGCGGCGGATTCTGCATGTCCGATGCACTGCTGAGAAGCACGGTGGGCGCGCCACGGATCGCGTATCGTCTACGCGTGTTGAGGGAGTAATGTCATGACTCCATCAACATCATCCGTTTAATCACATGCTCCCGCCAAAAAAGCTAGCTGTTTCTTCGTTAGCTCCTGACTGCACTCTCCCGGCGGTGTAGAAGACTCACATTTTCTCATCGGCCTTTCTTCAGCCAAGTCCTCAGCTCGTCTGAAACCCAGCAAGAATAGTCCTCCACTCTTCTAGCCGAGACTGCTGCCTACATTGCCTCTTCGCCTCGTATTCTCACACGTCCTCCCTGATAGATCGCGATCGCCGTTAGTCAATTCACAGCAGCTCGTCGTCAAAACAAACTCTAGGCAACAGCGACGTTGAGCGCGGGCGGTGAAGCTCTATCCATCAGCCTCCAAATATCCAAATGAGGAATATGATCCGGGAAAGCACAGGACTAAACTGGAAGAGAGTCAGACGGCGATATTGGTGAGCCGGTGGCGAGATAGATATCCTATCGCAATTGGTGCAGCTGCCACAGTAGTCATCCGGGCGCGGGATGAAGACGACGGTCGGTGAGGCTGGAAGATGGACAAGGATAGGGGGTCTTGGACTCCATGTCAAAAGAGACCAACGGGAAAAGAAAAGTAAGACAACATTGTAATGAATGAAGATAACGGTAAGATTGAGAAGTCAGAATGTTGATGCCTGAATGCAAAACTCATGAAGAGATATTGGGCTTGCGTCGTGAGAGGTCGATATTGGCTTTGAGCGTCAATGCAAGGCACACGACCAAATCCCTGAGTCTTGCCTCATAGAACAGAGAAAGCGCATAGCTATGACGCATACAAACTCCGCCTACCTGAGATGTGGTCCTATAGTACGCCTTTGTTGCCGGGAGAAGCTTGTTTGGACGTCGCTCGCTTAGCATGCATCCCCTGAGTGGATGACTCAACTGGTATGACTCCCCATCGATATATCTGGTAGCGCTTCGCTGTAGCCGGCCTCAGCGAATATCTCTTGCCTCATATCCCCTTGAATGGACGACGCGGACGAGGCAAAGCATGGCAGCTGATGCAGTCACCGGATCAGACGTCAAACGTTTTGTTCAAGGACCGCGCTTAGAGTCAGAGCACGAGGGGCAAATCCGGGGACGCTGTGGTTTTGGGTCGCTTGGATTCGCGGAGGTTTCGTCGCAGGACGGCCGAATCAAGAGGCATTAAAGCCGGTGTTGCGCGTCACATGTTCAATTTGTGGGCGACCGAATTGATCGCAATGTTGGGAAGCGTCGCGGCGACCGCAATGTTGCCTTCGGAGTGAGCGGAACTATCAGAGCTCCGACCGATGATTTGAGGATAGACGTGTTCGCAGGAAAAGGAAATGTGGCCACCTAGAATTGGAGTCACATGTTGTTCGCGGCAATTCGTCCGTCGTTTTGAGGCGGTGCTCGCCACAGAAGCTTCTCGGCCTCTTTCCCGCTTACGTCCGCAATGAGTAAATTGTATAGGAATCATGTGATTCATTGAGCTGACTCAGTTCCAAGCAGCACCGCCACAGAAGCGCATGGCAGGAAATCCAATCCGATGTCAGTGATGACGATTCGGCTGCGCTGAGGAATATTTTGGGATCGCGAGGGCGCATATGCAAGCTAAGTGGACTTGCATGCAGCGCTCAGCCAGCGCAGCAAACGTGGCCTCCCGGGCGCTCCGCGAAGCTGCAATCCGTTCCTAGGGCTGCCGCTGGCGATGGCAATGCTGCGTGAACCAGAACAGGCTGCGTCATTGCTCGGGTGTCTCCATTCGCAGCACCAGTAAAGCTGTATTTGGGCTAGTGAGTAGTACTAGCCGTACGCGAAATGATGAATGTTTTTACGCGGCCTACAGTATCCGTCGGGAACAGATACTACCGCTGATATGACATGCCAACAGATAAACAGAGGAGATATCAGCCCGAGACAAAGCCAATCGTGTCTGAGACAGAGAGTGGAGCAAACAGAGGTGAGGAGTCAGAGCCGTGCAGCGCGGAAGAGGGAGCGTACGCAAGATGAGTTGTCGTCGGCAGCGACAGAATTTCGAATTTCACAAGCGTATTGTGCGCTCGGTAGGCAGGGGAGCCGTCGAGCGCCACAGGGATAAAGCCAATAGGGGTAGCGGATGCGGATCCAAAATTCGAATGATTGTGTGGCCAAGATTTCGAGGAGAAATTACAGGGGGAAGAGACGGCAGAAACAAGTTGAGCCCTGGAGTATTCATGCGCGAAGCGGGTGGTGGCTTTCCGTTTTAACCAGTCAAAGTGTCGCGGCCTGTGAATTGCGGTTCAAGGCTGCTTCTTCCGGCAAGGCCTGGCAAGTGGGCGGGAGATGGCCTTGCCATGCAGCGACGTCTGCTGTGTTGTTCGCCTTTCGTCGTCGAATCAGCGCTGCGTTGCTGCAGAGAGATGCAGCAGTGGGCCGTTCGTCATCCATACACAGTGCTCTGAGAAATAGCATCGCAAGACTTGGAGAGTAGCGGTAAGAAAACAGCTAGCGAAAGCATAATCCAAGCAGCAACACTACAATTTGTGAGACAGGATGGAGAGAAAAATTTTCACGAACTCGGAGATTGCTGGGCGGGCCTACCGTCTGCGACGAGAGGCTCAGCAGAGGCTCCGAGCGGGCTCAAAACAGAGTGCGGCTCAGCGCACAACGGCAGGGCATCCCGGCAGCCCGAGACGAGCGCCGTTGAGTGGACGAGTGCGCTCGCTTTCCAGCGCCCCGGCGGAAGCACTGCACTCCAGAGAGCCAGCCGTTCCGCGACGCCGGCCTCATCGTAGCCCCCGAGCTAGGGCGAGGCGAGAGGACCAGAGGAAGGGTCGCCGAAGCTGAAGGCGACGGTACATAGCGCGCTGCAGGCCAGTTGGATTTTGGCATTCTCCCTCGGCAGCCGAATTGGTCGCCGCGAGGCCCCTCAGCGCCGTCCCGTGTGTGCGACGCCCATGTGGGAGGATCCAGCCGGGGCCAGAGAGCGCACTGCTGAGGATGCAAGTGGGTCGCCGGCTGCACTCGCTCAATCTGCCTGCATTGACGAACCGCCAGTCTTGCCTGACGCTGGACGGATCTCCATGAGGGGCGGAGCGGACACAGGGAGACACGCTGTCGGCATGGCTGGCCGGAAACGGAGCAGAGACGGACGAAACGGCGATACTGTGTGCTGTGGAGCTGGTGGGTGGCACGGTAAAGGGGGACGGTGCACAATAATGGGGAGTGTGCTTACCACAGTGCCTCGCGAGCGGGATCGCACCTTCCACGCTGAGCAGCGGGCCAGGGTTGGGGGTATATAAAAAGGACGGATATGTTTCCAATAATTACCCATCCAAACAGAACAAAATACAGTACACAGGACTGCGACGGCCAGCGAGCGCGAGGCTGCCCGCCCGTTCGCAGCGCAGCCGCGGTCAGGCGTCAACGGGGCCCGCGAGTCTTCTCCAGCGAGCATCCTCGACGGGGAGTCAGAGGCAGGCCAGGCCGCGTGGAGGCTGAGGTCCCAAGCGTCCCAGAAATACCACGGCCAATATCGAGGGGAGTCATCCTGGTCGTCCCGTAGATTAGGGACCTGGTGGACTGCGATTCGGGGGCGTCCAGGGGGTCGCTAGCGGTGACTGGGCTGGCAGGGTGTGGCTTGCCTAGGGCAGTCGCCTTCTCCCGTGCGCGGAACCCAGCCTGTGCTGGCTGCATATAACCTTGCCCACCGCCCGTCTCGCCCGCTGCTGGCTTTGAGGGCACTTCACGACCACAACACCATTATTCAGCATCTTGGACGGCACCGTCACCATCGCGCACCTAGGATCCCCCTTCTGGATCCTTCTGGCACACTCCATCGAGCGAGCGAAATAACACCAAATGTGTAGCAGGCAGAATCGCATTCCCTTCACCTCTCTCCCTCCTGCTACATTCACATCCACCACCGCGGACCGCGCGCAAAGGCACACGCACGGTTTGCAGTCGCCACGGTGAGCGGGCGCGTGCCTGAACTCCTTTCCTCCCTCGTCGCTCCAGGGCTCGCCCCTCCGTCTCCTTCCCACTTGTTTGCTCCCACCACCCGCCCGCGACCGGTGCCGTCATCGCGAGCATGAACTTCGTTCCCCCATACCCGACGCCGCCCCCGGGCTACATGCCCTACGAAACATACCACCGCAACACGCCGCCAATGTCGCCCGGCCCCGCCTACTACTCTCCTCGCTACGGCCCGCAGACGGCAACGCCCTCCCCCCGGCAGTCGCCCAAGGTCCAAGGGCACACGCGCCGCGCATCGCACGCCGTGCCACCGCAGTACACGACGTACGCATCGCCGCGCGGAGGCATGCCCCAGCACATGCCAGACTTCTCGTCTCCGCGCTACTTCGCGACGCCGCAGCGCACGCCCGAATATGTAAGTGGAGATTTTGGTTACACTCGGTCGAGCCGGCACCGCCGCGACTCGGACGCAACGCCTCTCAAGCGCTCCCATCGCGAGAGGAAGCGTCGCCCGTCGCAATCGGCACGCTACGTGCACACCAAGGTCGTCTACGACGATTACGGCAACAACTACTATGACTACGGCTTCGACTACGTCTACGACAGTCCGCCGCCGCCGTACGAGCCGTACGCGCGATACGAAACGTACGGGAGTGCTGATCGCTATTACAATGGTCAGGTCCCAATCTACGACCAGGAGCCCAAGTCGAGCCGCCCACGTCGCGCGTCTCACAGCAGCCGACCACAGCCACCACCGCAAGCGAAGCGACCTTCCACCGCGAAGGCCTCCTCGCCGAAGGCGACCGAAGAAGACGCGCGCCGCGCCGGAATCCCTGCTGGCTACTCTTACAAGAACTGGGACCCTACCGAAGAACCCATCATGCTGCTGGGAAGCGTCTTCGACGCCAACTCCCTCGGCAAGTGGATCTACGACTGGACCGTCTTCCACTACGGCCCAGCAACGCCACTGTCTGAGATGGCGGGCGAGCTCTGGCTCCTCCTCATCCAGCTGGCCGGCAAAGTCAAGAGGGCTGAAGAGATCATGCCCAAGATCCGCAAGCAAGAGAACCGTGAAATGGTTGAAGATTTCCTCGAGAGCGGCGAGCGCCTGTGGATCCGCTTCGCCAAGCTCCTCAAAGTCTGCGAGGACTACATGTGGAAGGCCGCAAAGAAAGAGACGGGAGAGAAGAAGCCCGTTGCGATGGGCAAGAACAGCGGCTGCGAATTCGTCGACTCCATCTTCGGGCGCGACCGCGAGCTGGAGAAGACGGAGAAGCTTATGACGGGCATGCGTCTGTGGAGCATGCGTTTCGATGCGAATTGCGAAGACATCCTTCGCTACCCCTCTGCCTAGACGCTCTGGCGCTGGCGTTTTGTCTGGGTTCTATCTGGTCTGTCGGTTTTACTGCGCTACCTGCTCTTACTGCGAGATACCCATCTCTCAAATTTTTGATTCTAATTGTAATGCTGCATTTTCTGGACGATCCAACTGTACTACTAGGACCGGAGGAATTGCATTGGGCGGGTCACGGCAAAAGTTTTCTATCACGATATCCCCCTTTCGATCATTTTTAGTTTCCGCACGGTGTTCTGTCTGGGCTGGCTTCAGATCGATTTTCTTATCAGTTTTGGCTGGTGGTGTCTTAGATATTGGCTTTACACCATGGTTGACCGCGAGGTCAAAACGATACCTTATACCACTTTATTTATCAATACCATTAGCTATTTGCCATTATCCCCCTTCGGTCTTGCCGGTTTGCTCAGTGCTTTTGGCGGCGACTTCCCTTCGCATCCCACGCCTTCTCGCACTTGCCTTGACCCCCTGCACCTTCCACATGGCATGTGAAACACCGCCGGGAAGACTGTCACCGCTGTACCTCACTTTTGTCTCAGGCTTCACTCCTACACCTTGATTTTTCCAACATTTCGTCCCCCGTCCTCCACACCCTCAGTGCACCCTTTTCCCGGTGGGCGTACAGGCCCAACCCTACCCTCCCAACCCGGGGCTACGCCTCGCGCTGTGAATCGCGACCAACGCGCTTTGCAATCACAGTCACCAAAATATCGTCATGAGCCAACGGGCGCTTGCATATCCATCCCAAATTCGCTATTGGTGAGCGGCTGTGCCCTCTACCATCGCAGCGCGTATGACTACGCAGCGCATCAGCCTTACGCGCTTCCCTGCTGCATGGAAGGCTGCGTGGAAGTAGCGTGGCGGCGGCCTTCTCCATACCTATGGTTGCTTTTTCAGCTTGCGATGCGCGGCTGACGAGAGGAGCTGAATGGATGCCACTCGCGGGTGCCGGAACCCAATCGATAGCGGCTGCGCAGCACGCGCATGGCCGTTTATTTTTCTGCGCGAGCCACTCCTGAGATCTTACGGTGTGCTGATATGAAATGATAGCGATAGCTGGTGTTGCTTTTCGTCGCGTATGATCATTTAGCGGTTTAGGAGGTGGAACGAGCACGGGCGGGACACCGAACAGAGACACATGCAGGCACGTTGCGAATGCGCGAGATAATTGGTGGTGAGATATCTCCCGTGCCTTTGGTAACCCGGCGGGCATCAAGACTTGTCTGGTTCTGTCTTACCAGCGCCTTCTTCTCAGCCTTGCATTTTACCAGCTATTTCGCAGGCATCCTAATCTAGTTCGACACCCACATCACGGGAATCATATCGGGCTTTACGAGTGTTGAGGCTCCCAAGGCCCCTCTTTGGGTCCTTGTGGACGCCAGACGCGAAATTACCAACGCCAATGGATGATACTGCATTTCCCGAACCAGAGTCTTTGATATTACGCGGCTCTCGCACACGAATCCTTCGATCCAGTAAACGCGTTTGATGGTGGCATCCCCTTACATGCCTCCAGGCAGCAGCGTCCTGAAGGACAAGCATGTGAACTTTGTTCCTTGCAGCCCCCAAAGCACAAATCAAGCACACATCGCAGCGGCTGGGACGGGCGAACGGCGGTTGGAGTCGCACAGTGTTACTGTTGCACGACCCGCTGGCAAGGACACCATCTTCTCGTGCGGTTTTGCGCGCTGGAGGGTGTCACGAGCTGATCTGGCCTCCCTGAACGGTGTATTCAAATGCCGCAATTCGTCCTTCTTTAATCTCGATTCGTCAATTCAAGATACACCTCCGAGGCCCATATTCATGCCCTGGATACCTGCCCTCCAAGCGTTCCTGTGGCACGTCGTTTGTACTGCGCAGATGATCTCTCAGTGCGCTTCTCCGTACCCATTACAGCTCGCTCCGAAGATGCCTCCGTGCAGCTCTGTCCCATCGAAGCACCACTGCCAATATCGCATCTTTGCCTAAAATCGCGCCGAGTTCGTTCCATTTCGAACGCCTGTCCCTGGTGCCGGCACACCCTCAGGGTGCGCCACCCACGCGACGCCTTTCATCCAGGCGGTTCGCAACTCGCGTTGAGCCGTTCATGCGCGGGTCAGCCAATCGAGAATGGTCTGTGGCCTGTGTTTCGAAACGCCGAGCCCAAGCCCGCTCAAGCCATGTGTGCGTGCATGCTCGCTCGTCTATCCAATCCACAAGAAACCTTGCTGACGAAAGCCAATCGATTGCGAAATCCACCCAGCCCACTTTTACCCCGCAGGCAGGGAGCGGTTCGCTCGACCCTGATCGTGATGAAAGGAATTGAGATGGCTGGAGGGAGAGGTCACAAGCGCGTCATTTTGCTTCGCATTCCCAACCACCTCCTTTTCTCATTGCACAGCATATCCGATGGAGTTCGCATTCCATTCCTCGGGGCCGGCCGACCATCATCGTTGACATCCAAGGAATGCGGACCAATCCCGGCCGTGGCCCTACAGGTCGCAGAAACGGTCAGCAGGACATCGCAGGGGCACATCGGCATGAATTGCAGCGACTATTCTTGCTTTTACCATGGCAATGACGGAGGACGCCGTAAGCGCCGTGCCCTGCACTCCTCGATATCGCTGCTATCGAGCGATAGGCTTGATATTTTGAGATGGAGGGGCAGTAGAAAAGCTGTGTGATGTGGGGAGCATTCATGCATCTGGCGGTTGCTTCCCCACCACATCGTCATATCGAAACGCCGAAGCGTCTCATCACACTTACTCGGCATATGCTCAACCTTGGAATAACCAGCAATGGCGCAAAGTCACCAGAGTCAGTCAAAGTCTAGCCTTTGCCGTCGCCGCGGTACTGATTGTCAGGACGGCGTTTTGGCTGATACGCAAGCCGCATAACTTGCTACACATTCGATGCGATCCTACTGTCCCTCATCCCAAATAGGCAAGCGAGCCTGGACCGACGAAGCGGGGTTCCTTGCTTCGCTGCAGTCATCCACGTGCCGAGCGATCAACTCCGCCGTCATCGATAGGCGCCCGCGGCTGAGCGTCCTGCATCTAATCCCCTAGCATCCTAGGCCGACCCCGCTCATCTCACTTCATTCGCTCGCCGCAAAACCCCTAATCCCGAGCGAAACGTCTTCGGCCTACGAACGGATCTGCCAATCTCACTCCCGCAGCCGCCGTGGCCGTTTATCGATAACAGCACATGTACGGCGTGTGCAATGGCGGGATGGCGGCGGCGGCGGGGTGAACGCCTGAAGTCACCTGCATGAAGACGCCGCGGTATTCTATTTTAGGAGGCTTTTCATGCGGAATGGGGAGTACAGAGACGAGGCTGCAGGTGATGGTACAGGCTTACATACGCGGAGGAGACGGCTCCTAGCCGCGTATGGTAGGAGTGTGGTTGCACGGCATGTATTAGCTGAGAGGAGGATGCGAAGGTGTAGTCAGCGGGAACGGCAGCGTTTCGTGTTTCCCGACATGGGCCGATATCTAGATATCGAGAACAGAATCGGGGTACGGGCACGGAATTGTGGAGCTGTGCAATTTATTGGGTGCTGCGGCGCCGTTTAGCAGTACCTGAGGTGGTCAGATGGGCGGGGATCTTCGGGTTGAGATCTACTTTGCGATGTACTTCTCACCTGACGAAATACTGACGGTGCCTCGCGGCTGTAGATCACGGGGTTGGCACTGCAAAGTACTTCGGTTAAGGTAAGGAGTACAGGTAAGGTGAGCGGAGCAGTAGTGACATTCGAGGTCACGCTTCGCAGGAAAGAAGTCGCTGATGATCAGGACCTTCGTACCACCGTTGTTGGTAGGCTGACAACGCAGTGTAACGCGACGTTCGGGATCCTCCCCGTGATTGTCCAGCTGCGGCCGGATGGGTACGAGATTCACCGATGCACGAAGCGCGTACGGTATTCCGCGGTTTCTACGATACAATACTTTCGGTGCTGCGACCGGCGGTCTTCTGACGTCCAACTCCGGCATCTCTCTCACGACTTTCCTTTACGTTTCAACGACGTCCGTGGAATAGTAGCACAGCGTCTATCTAATCTCGGTGCTGTTGGTGGTGTTGGGAATTGTGGCGTGGCTGGCGCGTCCCGAGGACCAAGCGAAGTATATTACACGGCGTTTAGTGCGGCGTACGGCTTTTGGGTAGGCTTGCATGTCGCTTCGATTTGTTGGGCGTGACCAATTGAAGGTGTGTTTCAGCATCGCTATTTCTGGGAGAGAGGATATTAAGGAGTCGGTTGGCGGGTTCGGGATTTCGTTTGGTGGAGGAGGCTAGATGGTGAGGGTAGGTATTTTGAGATTCCGTTTTTGGATATGGGCGGTGTTGGAGGTTCTCCAGTGGGTGTGGGTGCTTCTCTGTGGGTTTTGTTTTCGTTCGATGACTCAATTGCAATGGTCGAGACCACGTTCGCTTCGAAAGACGGATTGGAACTGTCACCGACCAGAACGCTTCCTATTCCGAGAGCTGCGATAGTCCGTTCACCTTCTTAGAGGATACATGAACCGAGTATTCGGAGCGGAACTGGAGCAGTGGCTGAATCACGATGCGGGCGGCCTAGCGATGCCTCAGGCTGAAGAGGCGCAGCTGAGGCATCTATACCGTTGTGAGATCAGATTAGCGAGAGCTTAAAGGCACGTCTGCGAAAGAGCCTCATGGCGTCACGGTGTTTAGTCAGATGAATCCCGCTTTGAGTTTCAAGATGCGACCTTTTGTGCGTCATCGACGACGCCGCTGGTGCAGTGATGGCGGTGAGGCATACATATTCCGTGGAGCAAGGTGGTTTCACAGTGGGAGCCTTAAGAGCAGCGGTGTGTAAAAAAGAGATGCGATTATTGGAGGCTTCTGGCTAGGAGGGTATGATCCCCCTTATACATTTGGGCAGATCGTGGTTAGGGATCGTCGAGTTCATGACTAGTTCGAATTTGGGAGCTAGTCCCTTTCGGACTAGATTCGCATTTTCGATCTCTATTCGGTTCGAACGTCACAGCCTCACGACCACCACTCTTTCAGCCCCAGGCACATCCTGAGAGCTCTCTTCGACGGACGTAACGAAATCGTTCAGCTTGAGAACAGAATGGGGCTGCAAAACTCCTCAGATTCCTTTTATTGCGGCCCGTGGCGCCTGCCTGCCGCGCCGCTTGCCTGTCTTCCCGTTTAGTCACCACATACTCTTGTGGAAAGCCAATTGATACCAAGAATTCGTTTTAAATCCAAAAATCGGCAATGGTTGGAGCACCTTCGAGTAACCGATGCGGGACCTGCAGACGCCGCAAAGTTAAGGTATGGCGAGTGCCTTGCTCGCATTTCATATATGCAGCCCAGACTAAAACGCGACGTACAGTGCGACGAGGCGTGGCCAATATGCGGGCCCTGCGCAAAGGGGAGAAGATATTGCCCGGGTCCGCCAGTGACGCGGATCAGATTCGTCGAGGACGATACGCGACCGCACGAGCTACCAATCGGAGGCGTGGGCCAGACGTACCAAGCTCGTTCTTTGGATGGATCGGTGGCTGGCGGCTCTGGGCAGTACAATTCTGTGAGGAATCTGCACATGATTACTGTGCGGTCCACTGCGAAAGATGGCGGTACGTTCCAGAAGTTACGCCTCCTCAGAACCCGAAAAGGCGGCCCACTGTCCAGTCAGATGGCGGACGAACCCTCACCTATGCTCGTGTGTCCCGGGTCTTCAGCCGGTGAGATCTTAGCACGGAGACTGTTCACTTTTATCGACTGCAGCGACCATGGGGTTGGTGCTAGGGTCCGCATCCACGGCATGTGGCTGAAGGAGCTTCCCCGCAGGTTTGGTTCCAGTCCTGCCCTGGACAGCACGGTCGCATGTTTAGTCTCATCTCACGAGGCTGTCATACGCGGGGAGGATCACTCTATGTGGCTCGACTACCAACAATACGGCAAAGCGATCAAAGCGCTCCAAAGCGTAGTCGACAACCCTAAGGAGCAGCTCTCAACCAACACTCTGGCAACTGTTGCTCTGATGTGGCGCATAGAGGGCACTTTTGCTGCAGCGACTGGCCTGATAGGCAGACAGACTGTTCATGCCCAAGCCCTTGCGGATATGCTCAGGCTGAGAGGCCTCGGCCCGTGTAAGGATAATTTGGACTTTCTCCTCACTGTGGACTGCCAGGTCGCAGCCGTTCAAAGTTGTCTTGCGAGAGATATTTCCCAGCCCTGCATCTTCGATTCTGAGGAGTGGGACCTGGTCTTCCAGGAGCGCCACGGAAGATCCGACCTTTCCATGCTCTACTGGAATGTTTTCCGGGAGTTTGTACGCTATCCGGGGTTGGGCCATGACCTCTATATGATCTATCTGTATCCTGACAAGGCGACGTCGACAATCCAGGATGTTGCGCATGCGGCCCTTCGCATCGCCACCAATCTCGAAAGGATTTCGCACTCGATCAAAGCCGCGCTCGACGACCCGAAGGTTTGCGTCACGAAACCGTCCGCCACCGGCGACCCTCTCATCCCTATCGTCTTCGAGTTTCGAGATACCGAGGCTGCGCCTTTACTGGGGTACTACTGCTTCTACAGCATCGCCATCAACCGTATGCTCATCTACCTCTCCTACCTACTACACACCGAAGTCAACAATGACCTCGTTCGTATACGAGGCCATCCCCCCAGATCTGCCCTCGACCTTCCCTATTTCGGTTGAGTACGACATACCCTCAACACTCTTCTCCAGCGACCCGCCTCCCTCGCTTCCCCTCTCCAAGTCCATCATCGACATCCTCCGACTCCGGAACGTGCAGCTCGCCCAAACAATCTGGATGATGTACGAGCAAGCCCGCACCTGGAAGCCCGTAGGCTGTCTCTTCTTCATCAACGCGCTGAAGGCTTCCTTCCCCTGGGCTAGCTCACCTGAAATGCCGGCCTGGATCCTAGCCGCTGCGGCGGATATCGAGGACTTTCTACCCGGGACGGGATGGGACCCCGAGAAGCTGGAGTACATAGGCCGGGTGATGAGTGGAGAGAAGGTGTCGATAAACGAACAGTTCTGACGGCGGCAGGGGATAGGGCGAAGCTGGGGGAATGGCGGGTTGGGCGAGGAGGGGTTTTACTGGACAGGAGATACAGTGGAAGAGTGGGATGATGGGGAGGAGGATGGCGTGTCGCCGGTGGATATGGGGGATTAGGGGAGGAGGTGGAAGGAGATGGTCGCTCTGTCCCCGCGGTCGTCTGTCTCTAACATGTTACATCGAAACAGGAGCCTTATATTCTTCAGTCGGGAGCGCGGTGCAATCGTCGGGAGGTGTGGCGAAGTGCAGTACTATGGAATCGATGGTAACTCTTTCCTTTGGTCGTCAGAGTGACAGCACTGTGATCCAGAGTGTGATAAGAGATGTTTGACAACATATCATGTAGGTCTCTAGATTCGGAGCTTCGAAGAAATCAACCCGGATATTTCCTTCCTGGCCTTATAGGGTCTGCGTGTTTTTATTCTCCAGCTGGTTATCCGCGCCTATTTCCCAGCCGGAAGAGAGTCTCGTGCCCTTCCAATCATACCGGTGATGTTGGCGATAGTGCCCCCAAAGCGGATATGCCGACAGGTAAGAAACGATACACTGCGTAGCATGAGATCAAGCGCTAACATTCCGGCTAGACTTCAGGATGGTGGCTGGCATCGTTGTAGGCTGCGTGGGACTGGCCGTAGTCGCCGGTTTCCTTTGGTGGTAAGCCGGTTTTTCAATGTGTCCAATCTTTGCTGACATCCATCTGCACAGGTTGAGATCAAAGAAATCGAGAAACAGATCCAGACATGCTGAGACCAAACAAAGCCAGAACGCTCTTGAAAAGCCTGTCAATGCGCTAGCGGAGAATTTGGAAAGCTCTACGGCAGACCCTAAGACAATCCAGTGTCGAATGGGGTCACGGAAGGGGAAGAAGGACACTCAACGGAACAGTCAACAGAACGTTCGACTGAAAATTCAGCAAAGAGAGGGTCCACATCCAAGAAGACTGGGACGTGGTAGAGATAGCGAGCTCGCCCTCTCTCGTTGATTGATACCGGGTTCCTTCTTTTGTCGGTTGCTCGTATTTGACCATGTCTGCGCTTCAGTCCTTTCGGCGATCATGCTTGGATGTAAGAGATGTGGTGAGGTGACTTGAAGTGGTGCTTCAACATGGTGAAGCTTTGCGGTGCACCCTTCGTTCTATTCGGCAAGCCGACCATCGCCATTAACATGGTTAATCCATTACGTGAACTTGTGGCAGCGGATAAGGATTTGTAAAAAGCGTCGGACGTTCTGGAGGCGGTGAGATAGATGGACGGATACCGAACTTCCGCGCCTTTTGAGACTCTGTATCTGACGATGCTTCATATTAAGAAATGAACGAATGAATTTGATCCGTTGACATAGGTTACCAAGATGAACAGGCGGGCACCACTCAATAAGAAGGAGTAAAAACAACTTTTCTCACTTCTGCCTTTTGTCTCTAAATTCAGTGTACATTGGGGGGGGGGGGGGGGTAAGGGCTGGTACCCCGCTATCCAGGTAATCTGCCTGGTCATTCGACTTTCTGAAAGAAAATCTTTACCTTCTAAAGAAGGGTTATCCTGACACGTTTATTCTGCAAGGTAGAGGCAAAAAGTATGGAAGGGGATAGGCTGAAACGAAGGTATATTACAGCAACTGCGAACGGAGTCTCCATCGAGTATACAATACACTATCTTCCCCATCTTCTTTCTTGTCCCTCATCACAGAGAAGCACTCGTCTTTTATGTTCTGTTCGTTGATATGTTACTCCTGCGGGTCCGATAGCCCTCCCATATCCGCTGGCATGAAAAAGATATCCATAACAGCACTCCGCCGAAAGTAACGAAGCAATCTACCCAATTCACCAAGCAGAGAACCTCCAGCGCCGCGGGTATAAACACTATCGCTCCTACGATCTGACCAAAAGACCAGTAGCTATCCAGATAGTCTGCTCCTACTGCGATTGTCATTGCCTTTTGTAGGCTTCGTAATCGGAAGAAAGTCCATAGTAAACTCGCCGAGAAGAACGCAGCGATGGCGCAAACGATGATTCGCCAGTATGGATTCAAGAGAGCCCGTTCCATTGCACGAACAGATTCGGCGACGTCTTCTCGGGTCGATGCGAGAAGAATCAGGTAGGTTATCATTGTGCAGGCGATAGTGAGGACGAAGAGCCAGGTTCCGGCTGTAACCGCTGTCATGAAAACGTTCTGGCGGTTGGTGAGAGGATGAAGGCCTTGGAAGCAAACAGTCGAGATCTTTTGCCAATCTGCGCGGGAGATGGCTGCCTGAAGCTCATTTCCAATTTCCGCACCGCCTGGGAGGTACTATCAGTCGATGATTCCGCAATCAAAGCATTCCACGTACCCAAAATCGTTAGAGGAAGACAAGATATCGCGGACGGGATTAAGCAAAAATAAGCAAGCATAATGCGAAGTCTGTCTCGCCGATGTATGGTCCTGATGGACATGAATTTATTATCGCTCACACTGTCGCATCCAATACTAGTGTGTTCACTTGTTTCGGTGGCCACGGTAGATAGGTCGGCGGCCCGGAGACGTCTCTCTAGCAACAGTCTGTTCCCTATACCGAGAAGGAGTGCCGGCAGAAGAAGTGTCAGGCTGGAGATGGCCCAGACAAGACGAAGGGAAAATTCGCCCCTTTCCCCAATATCGCGACTGAGGCCCGCGTTGAGAGTGACTACGACGCTCGCCAGTTGGACGGACCAGGTAAAAAACAGGGAGGTGTCGCAGAAGTTATTCGCGGCTCTCGAGAGTGAGACCCAATGCCGTTGCTTCCTTGATGTCGCGCTCAGGTCGATGCACAGCCAGGGGACGATGATTGCGAAAGTAAGGACGACCTCAAACACGTAGCCGATCGCCATTCCAGGCCCTGAGACATCTGGATTTCCTGATCCCCATAACGCGTTGCAGACCTCAGCCTTGCACTGTTCAGCCCTCACTGAAGTTCCCGGCGGTGAGATTTCGAAGTCTCTCGATGTATAGCGTAAAGTTCGTCGAAGGAAGCTTGGAACAGTCCATGGTAGTCCGATCCGCAGTTATCTGTGCGTATTTGATGGAGAGTGAATCGAAGTTTCTTGGACGAGGCAGAAGGGTGTAGGCTGTATTTTATCGCTTGCCGGCCTGGCATTTAGCCTTGCCCAGAAGCAGATGGGAGAAATCGACTCAACCAATAGGAAAGGCCAGCATCGCCACTGGATCTACATCCTGCATACTACGTAACCACCACAGCCGCAATACTATGCATATCGAATAGAAGGCGTCGAACAACAGGCGACCGAAGAAAATTGTGTATTGGCGTTGGGCTGCGATGAGGGTGAGCAGCTGGCGCTCCCTCGTATTTGGTTGACGCGAGGGAATTATTGGCGTTCTCAGCAAAAGGAAAGCCCCAGCTTGCCACATCCTTTCTCCGCCGAATGAATGACTTCCTGCTCGCTCTTCATCAAGGGACAGTATTATCCCACAAACTCCTCACCGTTACCCCGTCCACCCACTTCCCGCCCGTCGTATCGCTCTTGACCCTGTATCCAATCTCCTTCTCCTCCCCAGGCACCAACCAAAATGAATTCGCATCAAAGTTCAGCACCGCACCAGATGGATAATCCAGCCACACCCACGCCGCGACCCCTTTCGTTGCCTTCACCGTGAACTTCGGCGTTGCGTTGGAGTAGCTGAGCTGCAAGCCAGGATCCATGAGAGGAGCGTTTGAGAGTGCGGTGGCGTGGAACCAGTTCGTGTGCGTGAACGTCTGCGTCGTGTTGGAGTTGGGGAGTGCACCCTGCGCGGAGACCTGCATGGCGAGGAGGACCTGTGAGGGGTCGTACCTGGAGAGGAGGGTGTCCAGGTTGGAGGAGAGGATTTGTGTGCCGTTTAGCGCGCCGACGGATACGTTGGTTGAAGTTGGCGTGCTGATATTGAGCTGCTTCCCGGACCAGTCGTACCATGTCAAGTTGACGGATGCGGAGACAGGTGACCATAGATCGGATACCACCCAGACCTCAAATTCGTGCGTCGAAACATTCAAGTATGATGATATGATGACGGGAGAGTAGATATCCTTCGCCACATAATGCAGTACCTTCCACCTCCCATCATACTCAATCCCCGCCCAAGTAGGCGCCTGCCACTGATCCTCGAGTTGCCAATATAAACTCCCCAGTTGGCGTTCCGGCCGCGCGCTGCCTCTCCTGTAAAACTCAATCTGGCTCTTATAGAAATCCGCCTGGAAGATCTGCGTCGTGTGGCACCACGCTGAAAAGTTCGCCAGCGAGTCGGATTTGTTGGGGACTGGATACCATTCCTGAGCAGCCATCGTCATTTGACCCTGACCGATGGACGCGTTGTAGAAGTTTGATGTGTTGAGGCCGCCTGCTGGTGGGTGGTGATCGCGGAGCATGACGATGGAGGAATTGAAGTGGAGATCTGAGGGGTCGACGGCTTGCTGCCAGCTTTGGAGGGAGGGCATGGAATGGAAGCCGAATTCGTTGGCGAATCTGCCGATTGGATATGTGGAAAGATCGAAGGCTTCCGTGGAGTTGTAGTTGTAGTGATCTGATTTAGTCAGCATCCTATATCGCTAGCCTCATGTACATGTCTTACCTGTATTGCCGTAGACCGATCCGGCTGTAAGATTCTCGTATCGCTGGGCGATTGGCTGTTGTTTCGAGAAGTCTAGCGTGAGCCACCCGTTCGTCGTGCTCGACGGAGAGAAAGAGATACTTCGGGTGTTCTCAAACACCGCCACACCGATCGTGTCCAGGAAGAGCTTCTCATACTCCGCTAGGTAACGAGGATACTCATCCGGCGCAGTCTCATTGACCAGATACAGCTCCAAATTCTCCAACTCATTGCCGCCCGCCCAGTACGTCATCGATGGGTGATGATTGACTCTCCGCACCTGATACTCCGCCTCTTGTGCAACGTTCTCTAAGAATTCTTGATTGACAGGGTAAAGCGCGCAGCTGAATTCGAATTCGCTCCACAGCAATATGCCCATCTCATCCGCGAGATCATACATGAAGTCGGGTGGGTAAGCACCGGACGACCACACTCTCAGCAAATTCTGATTACCATCCACCACGCTCTCGAATAATTGACGAAGACGAGGTTCGGTAACATTTGGCCAGAAAGGATCAGGAGGGATGAAGTTCGACCCTTTCGCATAGAATTCGTGTCCGTTGATCTCAAAGTGCCAATTGTTCCCCGGAGCAACGCCAGCATCCAGCTGGGCTTGTGAGACTGGCGTCTGATTGTTAAAGATCGTGCGGAACCCGATGCGTTTCGTTACCGTTGCTATTGTCGTGTTTCCGCTGCCAACGACATCTAGTGTCAAATTGTACAGGGTCTGAGATCCCATGCCGACGGGCCACCATAGATCTACGGCGTTACTGGGGACAACAATGCTGCCAGTAAGCCTCCCGCCCTCGGAAGTGATGTTCATAAAGCTTCCGCTCAAGATCGTAGAGTTCTTTCCGCTCGTGATTGCATAGTTCAGAGTTGCGCTTGAAGGAAGCGATCCGAGATAATCAACACTGGCGTTCAGCCTCCAGTCCTTCGACTGATCCGGAGGAAGCAGGTTTCTCTGTCCTTCGCGATATACGTCCACCAGCGTATTGCGGACATACACGCTTTGAGATGGTAGCTGAACAACATACGCCGGTTGCCAAATGCCAGCAGGTGCGAATGCTGGGCCCCAGTCCCAGCCAAAGTCGTTTTGCTCCTTGCGAATTTGTTCACGATTGGTGAACTCAAATAGCTGCTGGACGCCATACGGCCATGCTAAAAGACTGAATTAGTTTTTGATATTGAGATCTATTGCGTAGCCACGTACTCTCTGCGCCGGGCTGTGCGGCAATTGCATTTGCTATAATTGGTGCGCTCCCGAAGTTGACGCTCAAGAAGGGGTTTTCGCACGATGCCATGATGTTGGAGACTTCGAAGTAGTATTGTCGGAACTGATTGTTCGTGGAAGCCACATGCTGTCCGCATAGCTCGATGCTGGTGAAAGTATCCAGTCCATTGAACACTAGCCATGTCGAGCTAGCATTTGCTTTCCTATGCCGAGTCAGCCTCCCTGCTTCCCTTCTCACATTTCTGGAACCAAAGCTTACAGCGAAGTCAAGGGTGCCGAAGTATACGTCCAATTCGAAAAAGCCACCCAACGTAGGTTGAAGTCGTTCAAGCCATACAACGGGTCCCCGATAACCTTGAATCCAGTATCAGCTCCGAGTTCCATGCTAATAGGGAGACTTCCTAACCTGCGCAGCATGGAGATCTAGGTGCGCATGCGACGGTACCTTACCACGCACGGAAATGTATGAAAAATTCGGACTGGTCAAAGTCCAGTCGACAGTACTCAGATCAAGCACCTGCTGCTGACCGAAGGCCAATGAAGCAGCCGAAGCCGCTAAGACGGCCTGTATACTTCTCTTCATTTCTGCGCTCTTCCCAGGAACCTGAAATCGAATGAAGGGAAAGCAATCAAGGTACCAAAGTGCCGCCAATGCAGCGCACGCTGCAAAATATACCGATCGATGCATCCCGTCTCCACCGTTCGCTACCTTCCAAAGGATTCCCTCCGATGACGTGATGGGTACCGGAAGCCCATTCCTGCGTGCTACTGTTGCAGAGCTAGGAAGCTCCGGCTATACCGGAGAGCCTGGGGACCTGCAGAAGATGAGGGGAAATGTCCGCGGTGATCGACCGGATGGGAATAGCCAGCAGCCAAAGAGAACGCTGCTCGGAGAGTTCGATAGGAGGTGCGGTCGGCATATCTAATGCCGATGCGGAGTTGAAGCTAGGCTGTTTGGGGTTAGTCTCTTTTCAACGTAAATCTCGTAGGTGTTTTAGGCTTGTGAGCATCTGCATAAACTCTTTGCTTTGCTCATCTGACACCTGTCGCGACGTGGCTCTTGTCCCGTGACTTCGCGTTAGGCACCAACGCGTAACCGAGCCCCAAACGCGCTCTCTACACAAACATCATCGGCCCAAACGCCATTTCCCTTCCTTAATGAAGACAAGGAAACTGCGATAATAAGGTTTGAGTCCTGATGTTGCCTTGTAACATAATTCAGCCCAGCCTCCTTCTCTAGAACCGCAACTTTTATCAATTATTCAATGTTTCGCGTACGTGTGCCACTCGAAGCACTGGCCTAGTTTCTTTTCCCCCGCAGTCATTCTCCACTCTACTAAAGCCTCAATTGGATCAACCATATCGCTCTCAGCCCCAACTCATCTTTCCACCAATCAATCACTCTACCCTTCAACCCCACCATGTCTTTCAGCAGTCCAAGCAGCAAAGAAGATGAAGCTATGGCGAAGCTGCATGCGTTGCTCACGAAAGGTATCTAGCTCTCAACACCTCATTTCTCTCCTTCGAGGCGCTTACTCACATCGTTCAGACACTTCCAAATCTCGCCATCTCAAGCGCGCAGCGACCGAGGCTCGCCACCAGAAGCGGTATTACCGCCAAGCGACTCAGATCCTCCAGGACCACGAACGCGATGTAGCGGTATTCCCCTTCCTCGCGCTGCCAGCAGAGATCCGTCTCGAAGTGTACTTCGAGCTTCTAGTCTCGGACGACCGCCTCGTGCTGACGTGGCGCGGGCCGCGCAAAGCGAACAAGCAGCAGAAGCGCATGTACATCAGCATTCTGCGGACATGCAAGCTGTGTCGGGACGAAGGACGGGGCGTCTTGTACGGCGAGAATGTGTTCGACTTCGGTGAGTCCCCCACGCGACTCATTTAGTGTAGAAGTAAACTAATGAACAAAACAGAGGAGATATGTGTCCGGCCCAACATCGCTAAACCCCTCCTCTCCCGCATCGGCCCGCACAACGCCTCCCTAATCCGCATCGTCCTCGCCGAATACTCCGCCGCCGCGGAAGAGCTGTCGCAGCTCGCGCCCCACGCCACGCACCCTCCCATCACCCTATCTTTCGTCCACACCCTTCTTTCCAGCTTCAACATCTCCATGGCCCAACTCCGCGTCTTCGCCATCAGCATCATTCCCTACGGATTCGACCAAGCAACTAGGGACCTAATGAAGTTGCAGGCGAAAACCATCATGGGGATGATGCCGTTGCGAGTCAAGTGGCTAGATGCCAAGAATGAGCCGGAGCAGTTGGAGAAGGTCATCGAGGGGATTTGCGCGCGGGAGAACGGGTGGGAGAAGGCGGATTACTACGAGGATGTCGATTCGAAGATTGGGCTGAGGTGGGCGTCGCCGTTCTCGGGGAGGTTGTGGATTAAGTATGGGGCGGAGTGAGGAGTTGATGCTCGCGTGACGGGGGTTGATTCGCGACTGGGCCGGGAGGGAGGGAAAGGCTAGCAAGGGAAGCAGCTGGGCTTGGGACTGTCGGAATACGTGCGAACGCGCCTAACGCAACAGCCCGGATGGGCACGACTTCAAGTTTCACAGTAACGTCCCTCCCTAAGTCGCGCAAAATCCCCAGCCTGGTAGCTTATCTCTTGTCGGTAAGAATTACCTTCTCAAAAGGGTTGTGATGATAGATGCAGCTTGCTTTTTTACAGTATAGTGGCGTGCAGAATCGGTTTCCGCTCAGCGCACAGTCCTCATGGCAAGGGAGTTACCTAGTCTGTGTTAGTGCATAACAGGGATTGTTTCATATTCTGCACGTGACTATAATAACAGGGCTAGGGGTGTTTTAGGCAGCAGCCATACCACAGTGGCTCTGAACACCACACCCGAATATAAAACATGCTATCGCCCGATGAAGACCTTTTCTATCTCCTGCTGTTTCCTTGATCCATCTCTGTGTGATGTTTCTTCACACCCTTCGGCGGGCTGCAACGCGAAAATCAGCAATTAGCCCATTCAGACCATTCAGCCCACGGTGTAAGTAAATCTACAAGCTCTTTGATTCCTCAAACTATTATCACTGCACATCTTCTAATGATAGCCAACAGCTACTGTGCAGGTATCTTGGCACTTAAGCCAACTGGCTTCTACCTATGCCGGAACAAAATCATCTCCTCTCACAGCGGGATCTCATACTTTTATCCTTCCCTGCAAACACAATTTGGGATACCATGTCTTAGGCTACCACATCAGCGGCAAAACATCAGGACAGCCTATTTTCTACTTCCATGGCTGTCCTAGTTCCCGTCTTCAAGCCGATGACTTTCACGAGATTGGCGAAAAATTGAATCTCTGCGTAATTGGTGTCGACCGTCCGGGAATTGGTCTTTCAACTTTTCGACCTGGATACACACTTCTGGACTGGCCACAAGACATACAGAAGTTAGCAGCGTACCTTGGTTTCTCGGAATTTCGCGTGTTCGGAGGTAGTGGAGGAGGACCATTTGCGCTGGCGTGCGCACGAGAGTTACCTGGAAACGTACTAAAGGGTACTGGAGTCCTTGCAGGACTAGGGCCGCCTGAATCCGGTGTCAAGGGCCTCAGTTGGGAAAGGTGGTTCGGGTTTATCATCAATAGATGGCTGCCACGGTGGATGCTACATTTCGTTATCGAGCATGGACTTGGACGACACGCTCGTGATCCGGACCAGACACAGTGGCGAAAGTTTGTGATCAATGGGATGATCAGAAAAATGTGTTCTAAGGATCAAGCGCTGCTTGATGAGAAGGAGACGGAGCGAATGATAAGTGATATGAGGAACTCTTTAATAAGCGGCTCAGATGGATATGTTCTTGACGCAAAGACAATCCTCGGGCCGTGGCCATTTGACTTGAGAAGTGTCAAGGCAAAGGTACTGATTTGGAACGGAACGGATGATACAGATACGCCTATTTATATGGCGAGATGGACGGCGAATCAATTGCCGAACGGGAGTCTCAGAGAGTTCCCTGGTGACACTCATTTCTCAATTTTCTTTTCCAGAGGTGAGGAAGTCCTGAAGGATCTAATCGAGATGTAATGGCTTACTGTAAATTACTACGGTTCTTGTATCTCTCTACTCTAGACAGAATTCGCACCTCTTCTTCTGCATTACTCTACATAGTGAGCAGCAATTCACATACTTCAAATATGTTTAAGGCGGCAATTCTTTACAGCCAGTATGAAACATGAAGTTATGTGATATAAGATCTCTAGCGCAATCTAGGAAATCCCCTTGCTATTAGGACCGTGCGCTGAGAGTAAATCGCTTGCAAAAACCGGAAACCAGTTCTGCACGCCACTGCAGGAGAGGTGCTTTCCTTGCGATGCGCCCGTCAGCTCTTTAACTTGCGTAGTCATACAACCGTTCAGCTTTTCCGTATAATATACATCCTCTTCAATCGCTCAGCATATGAAAGTAAGTAGGCCAGCGCGAGCAGATAAGCAACCTTGGAACCCAACTAGGTCATCACTCGTATACACTCGGCTTATAAAGCCTGCCTATCGACGTCTTGTTGCTTTCTTACTAAAACAACCTATTTTGTGCGCTGATGTCATTTAGAAAGGGTAAATTTTCAAAGGTTTTCGACGGCTAGCTCGTTAATGGATTCTTCCGCCGATGCAAGAGAAGGACATGTCGCTGAAGAACGCGTTCTAACACACGACCCTGGATTCCGTCGTCTAAGCCAGGGAGTCCTCTGCCGGTGCGATGCCATTATTTTTGATGCGATTAGTTCGAATTCGCACGTGCCGTGCTGTTGCATCGAGTCCGTGAGCTTGAACGGGGAATTTGCGATCTTGCAAAGGAGCTAACTGACTTTAAAAGGAATTGAAGAAACAACGCCCTAGTATCCGCTCGGTAGTAAAAGAAGTGCGTTCCGAACAGGACTTTATTAACAAAAGGCGAGCAAGTAATGCTGGACTACAGGAGCTAATTGACTTCCTGCACGAACGCTGTCGGAACCTCGAGAAGGAGCGTGGAGCGGTGAACGAGCACTACGGTTCCGCTTCCTCCTAAATCAGGGGGAAGGCGAAGGCTCCTATTTAGGTGACTCCTCCGGGCCTATTAGGGGTATAGGCTCTATTTTCTAATTAGCTAAAGAGCTCTAGCCTTTAGGGGGAGCCTTAAGGGGGAGCCTTAGAGAGGGGGGATAGTAGAAAGAGGGTAAATTATAAGCTTTAGAGGCTCTCTACGCAGGGGAATAGCTAACTTACCCCTAAATATACTAGAGCTAAATACGTAGTATTAGTAATAGCTACGTACGCTAGGTAGTAATAAGAAAGCTTAGTAGTAAACACTAAGAATCTATAATATAGAGTAAATTTACGTATAGAGTAGTATACTCTTCTACTTAGAGTTCAAAAAATCAAAATATAAACGCCGTCCTAAAGTGAAAACAGCTCATCTCGCAGTCCTCCGCTTCAGCACCATACAAAACAGTAGTGAAGTCAACAGGCGTGGAAGATGGCAGGGGGTATACGACAAAATATTCAAAAGGCGAATGGAAAACACCAAACCAGATAGGTATCCCTCATCAGCGGATCACATCCAGTGAGAAGAGACTACTCTAATCCGCACCTATTGTCTGAGCCATCTCGCGGAGAGCTTAGAAGGACTTGCGCTGATGGCGATGCACAAACCCACGTCGAGCAATCTTGCCGCCCTGGCACTTTGTACCAGCAGCGACGGCCTGCCAGACGACAGAGCCGTGATTGCAAATACCGAACTGCGTCTCACCGTTGCAGAGGATTTCGCCGTCGGTGGTGCATGTCGTGTTACCACCAGCACCGGCACCCGGAGCCGCGGAGGGTTGGGCAGACGGAGCGGGCGCCTGAGAAAGCTGAGCCGACGGGGACGGAGTAGCAACGGGGGCCTGCGAGGAAACGCCAGCGGTTGCGGTTGCCGGGGGCATGCCACCGGGAGCGGTGACAGTGATCAGGGTGCGGACGGTCGAAGTCACGGCAGCACCATCTGACCCACCACCCGGAGCCTGTGACGAGACGGCGGGTGCCTGCGTTGGAGCGGCAGGAGCCTGTGTACCGGCGGGCGGGGTGTATTGACCGTTGTTCGGGGCCTGGCTAGCACCTCCACTAGGAGCAGCACCAGAACCGCCGCCACCACCACCTGGGGAGGCGGCACCACCGCAAAGCGGTACGAAAGGACCAGCGCCGACCCTCTCGACGCTGGCGCCGGGGTTTTCAAAGCTGTAGTCGCTAGACTCAGCGGTTTTGCAGGACGCGCCAGTGCCGACCGCGATGTTGGCGAGGGCCATATCGGGGAGCTGATCGAAGGCGGAAGAGTCGTCAGAGCCACCAGAGACGGTAATAGGAGCACAGTTCATGTACATCTCCCGATTGCCGATCTTGTTAAACCAAGTCCAAGCGAAGGTAGCTTGTCCATTCGGCAGTTCCTGAGGGACGCCAAAATTGAAGGTTGCTGGCCCACCAACTCCAGGGCAACCACCCTCAATGGAGTGAATGACTTTGAACTTGGAGTCCTTGGTAGGCTCCTTGTCGAGAGTGACGGCGAGCTGGCACGATCCACCGCCGTGGACCGCCGTACCAGTGAATGAGAGGGTCTGGTTTTCGCCGACCTTGAAATCATTCATGGTCGTGATATCGTAGCTGCCGGAGCCACCGTTGATCTTGCAAGGATAGTCAGATCCGGAAGGGCTCAGCGGGGAGTTGTTCGGCGAGCCGTAAGGAACGGGCTTTGCCATGATCATGTGAGCGCTGGCGGAAGGGGCCATGGCTAGCATGGCGCCTAGCAGCGAGAGGGAGGTCGTCGTGAAATGCATGATGGATCGAGTGGCTCGAATGGTGTTGTGGTGTGTTGCTCGAATGCGCGTTTCGGTTGTCGTAAACTATTCGCTTTGACCGGAAAGTTTGTAGTTGTTGTTGCTGTTGTGTGATGCTAGTTGCTGTCGATGGAAGTAGGAAGGAGGATGATGAGAAAGCTTCAAATATGTTGGAGCGCCGGTTCTGGAATGACTGTAGAGTGCAAGTTACAATGGCTTGCGAATTCACAATGAGACTGTTAAGACAAAGCCTTAACGCGTGAACAAAAGTGCACCAGGCAGAAGTGAAGGGAGTGTGGAAGGTGACGAGATGGAGGTCGTGTACAATGCTATTGTTCTACAGCTCGAATAAAAGGTCGCGCCCATAGGCGCCGGCAAGGAGTGGGCATGAACAATGAGTTCAGCCGGTGCTCCCGGATCGGCGTAGTTCTGTTGGAAGTGACAATATGAAATTGTACGGATGATGGAAAACGGGTGTTCTAAACAGCGCATCTGAACAAAGTTTCATGAGGTTGTGTAGTTCGTGCGATGAGTGGGTGAAACAGAAGTAGCCAGGCGCGACCTGAAACGTGATGAACATGGAGCAAGCGCGGAGTCTCTTTTGGGAGCCTCCAGCGCCTGGGTACCGCGCCTGACCGTGGATACAGTCATATGTATCGGTTTCACCGTCGCACGTCTTCCACATCCGAGTGGTGCATGCAGGTACATCTGCGCGTCTGTTAGCTCATAGTAGCGGAATTTCATGCTTCCGGAAGGCGCAGCATCGGCTCCGGTGACTTGCAAAGGCATATGATGCGCTGAAGGCCGTCTCCAGTGACCTGCGTCCGCCCAGGACAGGAACTGTGGTGGTGAGGCTGATGTTGGGGAAAGGGAGTGGCAGGGCTAGCGAGAACAGGAGGGTCCATCCAGGGCTTGTGAAAGGCGGGTCTCCACGCTAGCACCGAAATGAATTAGTGGCTTGGCACTTTAGCTCCGTGCAAGTGAACGGGCCGCAAAAGTCCATCGCATCGTCAGGAACGCGCAACGCAGCAGTCACGCACTAGCAAGGCAGCTAGCAAAGGGGCAGCCTGCCATCAATCTCGCCTTTGTCGCAGCTCGGCACACTTTGCGCGCCTGTGACTGCCTTCTCTCCCCCGTGCACGCCGCTGCGACGCGTCCAGCGCTCGCGCGCCCTGTTGAGCTTCCTCACATTTCGCAGACCAGTCGGCGCGCATCCCAGGAAGCATGTTCACCTCGACGGGAAAGACAGCGCCTCCCCAGGCCTTCGTCTCCAGCTACGCGCCCCGCCTGCGGTCGTACGGAAACTCCCTGATATCGCCCATTGTCCCGCCTTCGAACACCCTCCCAGCGCCGCGGACGACGAAACGTGGAACAGCCATCATCAGCTACGCCGAGGATGGATATGACGATGAAGACTTCGACGACAGTGAGGGCCCGCGACGCGCGACGGGTCTGCGCAGCTTGCGGAGGGACGATTCACAACTCGACAAATCTGCGCAAATAGCGGCGCTGGGCAAGGAGCTCACCGCACCCGTCGAAATCCAGGGCATATGGCGAGATTGGATGGGGCGACCGAAGCACTCGAGGACCGAGAAGCAAGTACAGGTGCAAGCGGCGCTTCCAGTCACCCTTATTCCCATACGGATAGACATGGACATTCAACCTTTCCGTCCAGACGCTCCCCTACCGAAGCCCTCCAACGCCATCGAGTACGGCATCGACGAGAGCCACCCAGCCTACAAACAGCCGGACATGACTCCGGCATATCGGTTGAAGGATGCATTCCTCTGGAACCTGCATGAGGCCCTAACTACCCCAGACCAGTTTGCGAAAGTGTTCGTAGACGAACTGGACCTCCCGGCCGACCGCAAGCCACAGCTGATTCTCGCAATCGCAAATCAGATTCGACAGCAGCTCGAAGAGTACGCAGGAGTCGCTCTGCATCCTCTGTTCCACTCAACAGCGACGCCGTCCCTCCAAGGAACTGCGACTAAACCAGCGCCGCCCGCACAATCTCGAGACGGAACATCGACGCCCGCCGCGCCAGCTACGAACGGTGTATCGACGCCTGTACTAAATGGCGCCCCGCAGACCGATGGAGCACCAACACCGGCGGCTATTCCTAACGGAATCAGCGCTACAGCCACAGCTCTGCCCTCTGGAGAACTCCATAACCCGGACGATACGTACCGCTGTATTATCACCCTAAACATCAACCTGCTGAATCGGCTATATAGTGACAAGTTTGAGTGGTCATTATTACATCCTCCAGGGTTCGCGGAAATGTTTGCCAAAGTCACTTGCGCAGATCTGGGACTTGCAGGCGAGTGGGTACCAGCTATGACGCACGCCATATACGAAGCAGTCTTGCGGTTGAAGAAGGAAGCTTGCGAGAACGGAGGTCTAGTCGGAGATGGCGAAATTGACAATGACGCCGTTGATCCCGCAGTCGGAGCAGGCTGGCGGTATGACCAGGAGCACCTCTGCGATGAGTGGGAACCAAAAGTCGAAATCCTTTCCAAAGAAGAAATCGAGAAACGTGAGGGCGATCGTGAGAGACAGATCCGTAGACTTCGGAGAGAAACAGCTCGGTTCTCCTCGACAACGAACATGACGGGCACACCCCAGAACGACTTCTACGCCAATATCGAGCAGGCAGAGAACATGGGGCGAGGGGAGCGCAGTAAAAAGAAGAGGCGATTTAGGAGTCTCAGCCCGGTTGGACGAGAGACTCCTGAGTCTGGCGCTGGCTATGGAGGCCAAGGGAACGGCTTGCAGGATTGGTGGGTCTTCCACATGCTCCCGGTTTGGACTGCAATGCTAACTATCGCTTAGGGAACGACAAAATTGGCGATGTGCGCACTGCTATGTATGGGGCACCGCCGTCTGGGCTGTCCGCGACGGACCAAAGGGCCCACGAACGCTCTGCAACAATTGCGGCTATCTTTACGAGCGAGACAAGAAACTACCACCTTGGTCCGAGAATCTATTTTTCAACGACCGACCGCACCACGAGATCCGACCGTACCAGCCGCAAAGGTAGCGTTGACACAGCGCTGTGTCTTCCCTATCCTTTTCGATGCCTCCTTGGAAGTTTTCTTTTTTTGGTTGACAGTCTCTAGCGAGAGCATGAGACTCCTCGCCCATTGGCGGTTAACACCTTATTTGTGGGAAAGGGGATATCAGTTCACGAGCGCAACTGGATTTCACGTATGAGGTTTTGAAGGGATCTACTTATTTGTAGCATTATCAGCGATGGCGTTAGGTTATCATGTTGGCAGGAAGGAGCTCTGGAATGGAGGATTTTACTTCGTTGTACTGTACCACTAAGGACGTCCTCCGAGTGTACGAAGCTTGGCCGCATGTTAGCTGCGTGTTTGCGACATCCTCAGCAATGAGCAGTTGAATAGCAAAAGTAATCACACCTTGCTGCTTGCGTCCGCTCTGAACCCAGCTCGTCCACGGCGCAGAGACGCCTCCGCCGCAAGTCGCACAAACCAGAATCGTTGAAACCGCCACCCAACAGGTGGACAATAGGAAGAATAGCCCGCTGTTACACCGACGCATGTCGATCCCGACCCCCTCGCTCGCAATGCAGGCCCCCATTCATATTGTCCGCCAACCCAGGGCTAGCTGCCTAAACGCAGTGTGATAAGCCGCGGTCGGCCCCGTTGCTATTGTTCTTTGTCCCCGCCGCGCCCCTATTGTGCATACACCAACACTAGCGACAGGGACAATAAGAACACTGCTATTGTGTCCCCAAACAGGTATCACCATCCTGCGTCTGCGTGCCTTACCAGGCCCCACCCACGCACCGCGCAAAATACCCACAGAATACCCGCCCAACCACAGCTCCGCGCGTGTGTTTGCAGATTTGGTATTTCCTCGCATGCATGCGCAATGCGTGCGTGAAAGTTTGTTTGGCGGTGTGTTGCGAGGCGAGCCGTGGTTGAATTGATGCGATGTTGGTGTTTGCAATGCAATGCGTTGTTGGTGGTGGGAATGATGTGCGGAAGGGTGGCTGAAAGGGGGATAGTGCGTGTTGGCGGCGCTATTGTAGTGGGTGGTACAATAGGGATTTTGCGTTTTGCAGTTTGCGTTTTGCGGTTACCGCATGATGGTGCCTGCGGTTCCGGGGTTGGGAGGCTTGCTATTGTGTGCGGGTTTCAGAAACTGTCAATAGAGGGGTGGTGGTATTTATAGTAGACTTCGTGCGGGCACTTCAGGTATCTTTCGCTCGCTGTCGTTGAGGACTGCACAGCGACTACTGAGTACTGCAGTGCGTGTGAAGAAGGCTGGAAGTCTGGTACGTATTTTCCTAGGGGAGGAATGTGTGTACTGACGGCGCAAAGCGTCAAGCCACCTGTCTCCACACTGTTAGCATTAAACCCCGTACCAAATAGAGTACATCGCAACACATCCACACCTCTGTGGCGCCCACATCACCACACATCACGATCCACCATACAACAAACCTCCCGACGCGATCTACCGACATAGCCTCACCTACCCGTACCTGTTCGCAGATCACCGACAGCATCGGCCACCACCACTGCACCCTCACATGATCGCAGGCCCATCCCTCGTTCCCTCAGCTCAGCATCACGCCACAACTCATCAATCACCGCCCCATCATCCCCCCATCAGCCATCCAACCCCGGACGTCACCCTTTTGGCCCCGGAAACCGTATTGCTTTAGAACCGCATATACCCACATATAGAAAATGGATCCGTCGCGGAATTCAGCGCTGCAAGACGCCAAGATTCAATCCCTCCTTCCTACACTGCAACAGCAGCTACAACAATTTCAGCGACAACAGCAAGAGCAGGCGAATTCTGATTCTGCTGAGAGGACTCCTGGTTCTGAGGATATGCCACCGCCACCTGCGTACCACATGGTTGTCGATCCCGCTGCGCCGATTCCCAATCTGCACAATCCGTACGATGCGGATGATGAGGAGAAAGACGACGATGACACGCCTGAAGTCAATATCAATGCGACGACGCAGATCCGAGGTCATGGAAACATCATCAGTATCGCGCAGATGGACAGCGTGCGGATAGCGAATTTGGTCGCCATACTATTGCACGGAGGCATACCGCCCACAGTCCCATTAGCGCAAGCAGCGGCGCAAGCAGCCCATCAACCCGCTGGATACCGAGAACCTCCCCGACACAGACCACTGAGGAGAGACCCGCGCCACTTCCCCAACATCAACATCAATGTCAATTGCGGCGCAACGGTGATAGGAGATCGGAACATCGTGGGACCGGGTCTTGGGGATATTGCGCGCCACATGCAGATGGCGCAGCGAAGTCAGGCAGCTCAACAACAACAGCAAGGCCAGACGAGCCCCCCGAATCAAAGAGCCGGGTGTGCTCAGAATCCGGGTTTGGGGTTTTCTGTCGGGGCACAGGGGCCGATGGCGACGCCGCCGATGAGCAGGACGTCGAGCTTTGGGAGTGAGGGGTCGAACAAGAGGAAGGCTGAAGAAGGCGTGGGAGAGAGACCTGCGAAGAGGGAGTGTTGATCTGTTGGTGTTTCTTGACGGAGTGGAGATGTTATGATGGTGCGGAGGTGGGACTTTTCTTCTGTACAGTAGGGTATATTTACGACCATTGGGCGGCATGTATGCTTGTTTGAGGAGTTGGGGTCATGAGGATGATTGTCTGGTTCTTTGTTAGCATATCCGGCTGCCTCTATGCGTAGAGAAAGGACAAGGGATATACACCTGGTAGATGAATATCTATTGATGACCAATGACTTCGGGAGAACGGCGTTAATAGTTCAGAACGCTTACCACACGTTGCTGGCTGAGCAGTGCCTGCTTCCCACTTCTGTCTTCGGTGCAAGCCAAGAGGATCGACGTTCTAGCGTAACCCTATGGTAACTGCGGAGCAAAGTAACGGTCCATCGAACAAACTCCATAGGCTGGATTTCTCGAGACTATGATCAACTTACCGAAAGCGGCGAATGGAGCAACAACAGTTCTCTCGCAGCCGCTTATGGCTCCGTGGATGTAGCGTGGTCGCCCGTGATGTTGTCGCTTGTGCAATACATAATGCGCATCGCGTAACGGCGATCTGAGGGGCCTCGCTGATCGGAGTCGTAGGCCGTAGTGCTGTACTTGTGCAGCTGAAGACGACGCCCAGAAAACTAGTCGAATGAAGGCGGAAAGAGGGAGCCAATGCGTGCCAATCCCTCGCGAATGTAAGAGACAGCACCAAGGCTTGTCGGTCATCTCGCTCTGCGCCTTGAGACGCGTGGTGTAACCGCTCGGGCTTGTCGATTGATAGCTCTTTCGTAAAAGAATGAGATTCGGCAAGTCAGCGTGGGTGCTCGCCAAAAGCAACCCCTATCCAGCAGCTGCTTGCGCGAGCGACATTTCGGTCGAGACCAGGCGATATCTGGAAGCTGTTGAAGAGGCTGATTAACTGACGTCTGCAGGTGCGTGTGGGGACCTCGTGGAACGGCGCAGCAGGTGCCGGATGCCGAGAAATCAATCCAATAGTAGTGTTCCTGTTTACGGTCAGGGTCCGCGGTGAACGAGCTTCAGCATCGAGCAAGGTGGCCTCTTCGCCACCGGCGCGCCGCCGTCGACGCATCTCATCTGCGCAGACGAGCATGCAGCCATTGGCGGTGAGAGGGGAACGGCGGCGGAAATTCCGTATAATTCGTGAAAGCACCCGACAGGAGTTGCGCTCGCAATTGTCGCGCAGACCCTCCAAGCTTCACGTTCGCGCATCAGTCGATCCGGGGCGCTGACGAAGCTCCCACAAGCGCACTAGCCCGCTTTGAGGGAAGGCACGCCCATCGCAGCTGCCCAGCCCTGGGGGTGCTCAACACCTGCCCGCGATCTCTCACATTCCCTTTTCCTCTGACCTCTTTCGCTCCTTGTTTGTCTCATTCCCGTACCCACCCTCGCAGTCACTGCCTCGAGGTCAGCTTTACCTCTCCGCGGGACTGTCTGCATTCTTCCGTCGGCCACCTGCCTTCCCGAAGCGGTCCCTCACCTTAGCTGGGCCGCACCGCCCGCTGCGCTCACTGTAACCACCACCTCCTCGAATATCAATTCCGCCGGAGCAGAGAGCGCAACCAAAGTCGACAAGGAGGCATTGGCTTGCCCTACCAATTGACTCCACGTCTACGCGCCACTCCCCCTCGACAGCGGCTCCCCTTGCTTCAGCCGTCTCAACACTCCCTCAGCGAAGTCAACGGCCGGCGCCCGCTTCTCAAGCAGCAATTGCATACGAAGTGGGCCCTGAATCTAGCCAGCGCCCGTTTACCATTCGGCCGTCACCACCACCCGCTACGCTCTCGAGAACACGCCTGGCCCTGGGGGCCTTCAATAAGAGCTATCCAAACTCTCCCGCAACCAGTGCATCGCCTTCGTGCAACTAGACCGCCATCATGGAGGCCTGGCTGAGCTGGGCCCTTGTGCTAGCCATCAGCGGAGCTCTCTATTACTATTACAGCCAGAACAGCAACCGTGGCAAACATCGAGGTCGACCACTTCAGCGAGCGGCCAACACCGCTACCACAAAAGAACCCATTCAGTGGGATGAGGGAGAAGCGAAGTCCAAATCGGCTGCGAAGCCCGCAAAAGCCAAGGCTCCTCGCAGGTCGGTCAAGAAGGCCGTCCAAGAGGTCGGTGACAAAGCCGAGTCGTACCTCTCCGCCGCTTCGTCCACTGCGGGCGCCGACGCCGACGATGATCTATCGCCCGTCACATCTCCCTCACTCGGGGCGACTACGGCCGTCACCGCCCCCAGCGGAAGGGACGTCTCGGACATGCTGGAGTCCCACGCCACTCCCTCGGTCTTGAAGATTAGCGCCTCCGAGAAGCCGGCGCGCCCGGCTAAGCCGCAGCAGAAGCGGTCGGAGACTCCGCAGGAGACAAAGAGGCAAAAGCAGAACAGGGAGAAGAAGGAGAGAGAGAGGGCTGCGCGTGAAGAAGCCGAGAAGGAGCGCAAGATCCTCGAGGAGAACCAGCGTCGTCGTGCCCGTGAGGCCCGTGGAGAGGCGGCCCGGAACGGCCTTCAATCTGCTCAGGCTCCGACGTCAAACCCTTGGAACCGCCCTACTGCTCCGGTTCAGCCTGTGGGCGGCCAGCTGCTCGACACGATCGATGCCACCTCGACCGCCAGCTCCAGCGAGGCTCATACCAACGGTACTGCCCCGACACCCGATTCGATGTCGTACGCAAACCTTCCTTCCGAGGAAGAGCAGATGAGACTGGCTATGGAGGAGTCCGCATGGACCACCGTCCCCAAGGTTAAGAAGCAGCGCAAGAACAAAGCTGGAGGGGAGACCGCAGAGGAGGGCAGCGATTCCGGAGCTCCACAGGAGCCTACGCCCATTCAGCCCGCCCCCGTCAAGGCCCCGGTCAAGAAGACGGAGAACGTCAAGCCGGCCTCTCGATTCGAGGTTCTGTCTGAGCCAACCTCGGACGCCAGCCACCCGATGGACTCTGACTGGCCAGTGGTATAAAAAAGCCATACCGTTGAAGCGGGACTATCCCCTGAGGCGGGCTCGAATTTTCTGGTACGTGTCACATTTTCTCGAGTCTTGGGCAGCACGGCCCACATTTTCTTGACACTTATTGGAGGTTCAACGTTGGAGTTTCGGCATGCCTCAGCCATGTGTGTCGATGCAATGATTTTCTAGCCCCACGAGGTCTTTACTTCAGAACAGACTGCATAAAATGGACTGGACAAGAGATGTACAACAGCAGTGCTCATTACAATGCTTTTGTGGAGGGGTGTGGGAAGCGCTCCATTGCATCGGTTGGCTGCCAACAGCCTCGTTTGTTTTCTTTCTCCAAAAGGGTACTGGTGTCTAGGAAATGCACGGTATTCAGGATCTCCATCTCCATCTTCTGTTTGCATCGCCATAGCCCGAGTGTTGTTAAAATCCTCTCCCCTTGCATGAGCGCCTATGATCGGCATTCCGCTGGGAGCCTGGAGGTTGTAAGGCTCGCAGATAGCTCATCAAGCTGAAAATAATATTTGACCATATCAGACGAATTCTTTTTGCATGCTGTCGTCATTGGATGTCTTGGCGTCACCGTTAGCTCACAGCCGGAGCGCCACGACGGGTGGCGCGCAAACCGCGCCAAAAATACTCGTGCTGAGTGCTCACGTCACCAGCAGCCGCACTGTGGTGGCCGTTAGCCAGCTGGGCGTGACGGCATCAGACAAAGCCGGGCAGGAGTTGCTGTCCGACGCAGAAGGTTAGAGCCGCAAGCACGAGCTGGAGCAAAGAAATCTGGCATCAATAGTCTTTGTCACGACGCGTGATGAGCCACCATTCGGCCACGGTAGCCTATATAATATAAACGTCGATTAAGGCCGTGAAGCGCATCTGGCTATACTGAAAAAACCGCTAGGACAGGGCGTTTTAATATCTGCAGTGTGTGAATCGGAAGTAAGTGAACGGAAGACGCATCACCAGCCCTGAGGTCGGCCAGGCCGCTGACATAAGCCCAGAACCAGAGGCCACGGTTACTTCAGCGGGAAAGAGCTTCAGAGCGCACTAAAACCCCGGACCGCCCGCCAACCCAACGCCTCAATACTCCGAATTTCTCTTTCTTTTTCCTTTCCTTCGACTACACTCATGGCGCAAATACGTGGAACTGCGGGTTACCATCTGGGCAACCAGAGCCCTTTCGGCCAAGCTGGACGCAGCGATGCGGACAATAGCGACCCCAGCCCGCTCGACCAGCTGAGGGAACAGACGAGCAAGATTGAGGATATGCTGGATATGCTGTCGGACCCGATTAAGCCGTGAGTATTCCGTCAGGAGATCTGGGGCCCGTGAAGCTGCGGCCGGCGCACAAAGAGCACCATGTGAGGCGTGATAGCTAACGAGGTCTGAATAGGTATCTGCCCGCAATTGGACGCTTCTTAATCGTCGTCACTTTCCTCGAAGATGCGCTGCGCATAATAACACAATGGAAGGACCAGCTCACCTACCTCCACGACTACAGACACAGTACGCTCACCCGCCGAGCTCCATCGTCTTGTTGAGCAGCCGCTAACCTGCTCTCTTTTGCACAGTTCCGACCGGTCTCACGCACCTCTTCCTCATCGTCAACGTAATCGCCATGACCGCCTGCTCGTTCATGATCATCGTACGGAAACACTCAGACTACGGCGTCTTCGGCCTCATTGGTGTGGTAGTCCTACAAGGAATCGGATACGGTCTCGTCTTCGACCTGAACTTCTTCCTCCGCAACTTGTCGGTCATGGGCGGACTGCTGATGGTGCTCTCGGATTCGTGGGTGCGTAAGAGGTTCGCGCCCGCCGGCCTGCCTCAGCTCGACGAGAAGGACCGCAAGATGTACTTCCAGCTCGCTGGTCGCGTCCTGCTGATTTTCCTCTTCGTCGGATTCGTCTTCCGTGGTGACTGGAGCTTTTGGAGAATTTGTGTTAGCTTCCTGGGTTTCGTGGCTTGCGTTATGGTTGTTGTCGGATTCAAGGCCAAGTTCAGCGCTATCATGCTGGTGGTCATTCTCAGCATCTTCAACGTCTTGGTCAACAACTTCTGGACGCTACACCCGCATCACCCGCACAAGGACTTTGCGAAGTACGACTTCTTCCAGATCCTTTCCATTGTGTAAGTCCACCTCCGTCGCTAGGGGAAATGCTTAGCTAACAAGTATCTCAGCGGCGGTCTCCTTTTGCTGGTCAACATGGGCCCGGGCCAATTCTCCGTCGACGAGAAGAAGAAGGTCTACTAGGCGACCTCTCGTTTCACACCACGTTTTGGAAACTCCGCATGCGAGCATGAACGAATAAAACATGTGATATCCGACATTTAACATCGAAGAAACTAGCGGCGATTAAATCGCTCATGAGTGCAAGGAAGGGAGGAAAGACAGCACCAAAACCTGGGAGCTTAGCAAGGAGTCCAATGGCTACGGCTTTGTGTAGACTATGACTGTCAACAGTGGCGTTAGTAACATTGCAATTGGAGTTACCGATTGCATTTTTGGGGCAATCTGAAATTTTCTCTTGGCTTTCAAACAATGACCAGAGAAGACGGAAGCATTTGCTAAACGAACAGCGTAAGGACGCTCGACTAGACTGCTACTTATTTGATCCGCGCTTCGGGGAGCTCCGCTTTACTGCAGCTTTTCCACGATTATTGGACCCTGCAGACGTTGCTCTTATCTAATCAGCTTCCGATTTCCGATCCTAACTCTTGACCTCCTGTTTTTGCGCCAACCGAACATCAACACACTTCTATACATTCTTTTCTCTCCCGTACCACTACTCATTTATTATTATTTGGTCTTTCAGGTAGCACACACAAGATGGCACCTAATCGTATCATAATAGACACGGATCCGGTAGGACTTCCACTTTCCCCCTCCCCTCTCTACCGCCGCTTTGCGTCATGACTAACGAGGTGTTCAATTAGGGCGTAGACGATGTCCTCGCGATGCTGCTTGCTTTCTCGGCGTCGCCGGAGGAGCTGGAGGTGCTGATGCTGAGTCTTACGTTTGGGAATGTGGATGTGCAGAAGTATGTCTATTTTCTTCGCTTCTTTTACTGGATGGCTTGTTGCCCTTCCTTCGTCGAAGAAGAACTACATCACTGGCTTTTTTTTATCGTTACCGCTGGATATATTCTCACCTTTGTTCAGTTGCCTAAGGAATATTGTCACGCTGTTCCATTACATTGAGAAAGAGCGCGCGTGGCGGAAAGAGAATAGGAGGCCGGAGGGGTTTGAGACGCTGATGAAGAGGAAACCAATTGGTAGGTTCATGGTGGTGATTGAAAGAAGAACGGCTGCTGATGCGGGATATGGTAGTTGCGGTTGGAGCGGAGGAGCCGCTGGCCGAGCAGATGATGGTGGCGGATTTCTTCCGTGAGTGACCCACGCGTTGCGTATGATGCGGGAGGAAATACTAACTCGCGCAGATGGAATTGATGGTCTAGGCGGCATTCACCACAGCGTACGAATGCTCTCTCCAAGCCAGCAAAGCAAAACAAGTCAAACTGACAAATGCCAGCATCCGCACCTCACACCCGCCGAGACGTGGAAATCCCTCTTCAAACCTAGGCCAGATACTCTCTACCCAGAAGAGGCTGCGGAATTGCAAGCTGTCAAGGATGCTCACTCGCTCTTCACGCCTTCGCTGAAGCCGGCCCACGAGGAGATGCTGCAGATGCTGCGCGAGAACGAGCCGGATACGATTACGATCGTGGCGATTGGGCCGCTGACGAATTTGGCGATTGCGGCGGCTACGGATCCAGAGGCGTTCTTGAGGGTGAGGGAGGTCGTGGTTATGGGCGGCGCGGTGGATGCTCCGGGGAATGTGAGTTCTGCCCTATTCCTTCTCTTCTCGTATTTCGCTCCTCGTCTATTTCTTCTGTTGTCGCTTTCGCTTTTCTGAGCTGCGTTTAGCCGCCCAATCTTTCTCGCTTGTACTCCCCGGACGTCTTGTCGATTCCAGTCCCGCATTTCAACCTCATCAAGCAGCCTGATACTCCTCTGCGCAGAAGGCTGAATGAGAGGAACCAGATGACGCCCGGCGCTGAGTTCAATACCTATGCGGATAGCGTGGCGGCTGCGCGAATGTACGCGCTCACGAGCCCGCATCCGAAGACTACAATGCCGCCTGTGATCAGCAAGGAGGGAAAGGGACAGCTTCCCGCGTATCCAGAAACCCTATCGAGAAGGCTGAAAGTGAAGATGTTTCCGCTCGGTGAGTCCTTTCCCTTATTTACGCGTTGCGATGCTTGAGCAGCTCGGCCTTTGAAGAGTCCGGAAGAAAGATGCATGAAGGGCAGCGGAAGCTAACTTGCGATTGAACAGATATAACAGAGCCCCACCTCATGCCGCAATCCCTCTTCAACACACACATCTCTTCCGCCGCCCTCAGCGGCTCACCGCTCGCCGAATGGGCCTCGCTCTTCCTCGAATCCACATACCGCAAAGTCTTCTCCCAAGACCCCGAGCAAGACCCCGCAAAACTCGGTCTCCAGCTCCACGACCCCCTCACCATCTGGTACTGCATGTCGCCCTCGGACCCTATGTGGAAGTTCACCAAGGACGAGGATATCAGAGTGGAGACGTCGGGGCAGTGGACACGGGGTTGTTCTATTGTTGATAGGAGGGGTAGGAGTGTAAAGGAGGGGACTGGGAGTGTGGATGTGGATGTTGTGGGGGATGCTGGCGGGTGGAGGGATTCGAGAAGGGGAAATAGGATTCAGAGGTGTGTGGCGAGTCCGGGCGAGGAGAGGTTTGCCGGGGTGTTGTTGGGGAGGGTATTTGGTGCGGTTTAAGGGGGGCAGCTGAGGGAGGGTTGGAATAGGGGACTAGATGCACTCCAACTGCTCAGGACACTGTCAAAGTTTTAGCTCGCACTCATCATATGCTGGCAGGTCTTCTGCGGTCGTGGAGATATGCTAAGATACTAGGCCAGAAGTTTAGAAAGCGCGCCGTCTGTCTCGAGAATCTCGACGAGCTGACGGGATATGATATGGTGCAGCCGGGGAGGCACAATTTCGCGCGGGATGCAACCTTGGAAGAGCCCAGGATCCACATTCATCTCGTTCTTTCCCTGCTCTCGTCCGCTCCCAGATGCAAATATTAAAATCTGCGTTTGTCTTAGTGTAGTAGTTTTCACCACCATTTAAAAGGCTAAACTTTCCCTCTCGCCCTCGCGTTAACATGTCACAGCATCACAGCTTTCACTCAAGCCCCAAACACTCCACATTCCCTCGCCTGTCGTCCTCCACCACGCATATCCCACGCTCCACCACTACCCTCACCGTCCCCTCCTCAAACTCCATTTCCAACCAAAAACACTTCACAATGGGCAACTGTCTCGCGTCCCTCTGCCCGCGCGTCGAAATCTCCAAAGACCCCGCCACCCGCAAAGTCAGCGTCAAGCTGCAGCAGCACGGCGACGAGAAATCGCCCGCGACCGCTAAAGTACTACCGACTCCGGAGCGCATCGGGGACCGCACGCTAGGCGACCCGGAGGAGCGACCAGGTTCTGCAAGGAAGACGGATGCGGCGAACGCAGAAGATGCGGCTGTCGCAGAGAATGGGAATGTGACTAGGAGTGGGGAGGTTGAGAGACCGCCAGTGAACTGGAGGGAGGCTGCTGCTAGGGCTGCGGAGGTATGTATGATTTTGTGGCATGGGGAGAGGGAGAGGGAGTGGATGCTGATCCAGTGCACAGGCAAGGGCCGAGGCGCGCGAACAGCAGGCAGGTTCGATGGGCGCGGGGCTGGGTGGACGAGAGCGCATGACGCTGCAGCAGATGCTGCAGCAGACGAGGCGTGAGGAGCGGAGGGGCCGCGAGTCGGAGGTTAGAACGGGTGTTTGAACAATAATTCGCAAGAGGTGGGGGAGCAGGAGGGAGCAGGAGGTGGAGGTGAACGAGACCCCCCTTCTGCGACATGATCAGTTAGCTCTACATTACTGTGATGCTTTCTTTTCTGTAGAAATGAGCGCGGCTCTGTGATGAAGCGGGCGGTTGAAGGAACGTTACGAAGGACGCATGAGAAGGGCTCGAGAGTGGCACGCTTGAGGACCGCGATATAATGTTTATGGAAAGAAAGGCGTTGTTGGCATTCTAATGCCCCTTTTGATCAGCATACTCACTCATCTCATGATCCTTCCCGCAAGCATGGAACCTTCTCATCCCCCGCAGATCGGTTGGATGCCTTAACGGTCGGTTGGTCGAGAAATACCATGGCACGACGCAGTCTCCCAGCCCAACGCCCCTCGACATCCATCCACGGGCACCATACAAGGCAGCCTAGAAAAAATATTTTTTATCTCTGCTGCGCTGCCTTGAGCCCACGCATCTCCTTACACCAAAACACCATCCCCACCCCCTTAGATACCCCACAGCATCCACCATCTCGAAGAGAGCCAGCCCTTCAGCACCTCCAAGCCGTCCAGAAACCGGAGCGACCATGGACAAACGGCACTCCTCCCAAGCCCAATGGGACCGCGCGATCGCCGACCAAAGCCCACCCTCCGCCTCCGCCTCCGTGCAGCACTACACGACGGAGCAGCAGCCATGCGCGCCCTGCAGACAGAGAATGGCGCGCTTCTCCTCCGCCGCCTCTACCACCACTACTACCACCAACGACAACAACAACATCCAAGAAACGGCAGAAGCATTTAGCCACCTAACAGTCCGGGAAAGCAAGCAGGAACAAGCGCAGGAGAAATTTCTCCGACAGCTGCAGATTTTTGCGCGGGAGAAGACGGGTTCGTATGCGGATATATTCAGGGATGCGATTAGGGAAGAGACTAGGGGGAAGAAGAACAACAAGAAGGAAAGGAAGAATGGAGGGAAGTAGATGACAATTGTGTTGGGGGGGAAGCAAGGAAGAAATGCGATAGGAAGGATGGAAAGTTATAGGCATAGTATTACAAAAGCTAGGAAAGTAAGAAAGATAAAGAGTACGAATAACTGCGTACACATATATACTAACGAGATTAACTCTCTCTACACCTATAACTGCGCCCTCTGAGTCCTAGGTGAGCGTTGCACGGGCGCGTGAACGTATTAGAGCCGAATATTAGTGCATTCTTCTATTTTCTGCAGTGTTCCATACAAATTTTATCAATGCGGTGGTACTCGGCTCCAATCCGTTCATGACCGGCCTCTTGTACTTATGACCCTGGGCTGCAGGGCGCCTTGGTGGCTTGTGGATGCGTGATTCCACAGCCCTATGGTATGTGCGCATTGTATTCCGCGCCATCCCAACCTTAAGCCTTTCAGAATGACTGGCGCACCGCAGAAGGTCCCAGAAGTTTCTATGGCTAGCCGCGCCTAGTGCGCTCAGATGCAGTCATTCAAATCGCCTCAATTGTCCCGTCTCCCAGGATATAGATCGAATCATGCAAAGCCGTTCTACGCAGTAGCCTTGACGGCATACGTGGGCGCACCAAAGTTCAGTATGTCTTCGCCGCGAGTGTATGGGTCTAAATACACTCTCCACTGCGGCCGGTGTCCCGCCCCATCTTCCAATGCATCCAAGCCCGAGATGCGCAGAACGACGTAGACCTCTGACGGCGTCGCCGAGGTAACGCGCAGCTTCTTTGCCTAGTTAATGTTAGCCCCAAAGGTCTGCTAACTTGCTGCGCGACTCGGCAAAGCTTACCAATTCGTACTGATGGCCACTCATATAAAAGGCAGTAGTAGGATCTTGGCTCGTTGTGCTCTTGACCTCTAGCCGGTACAGAGGCATATTACCATTGTCGCAAGCCGTGGACAGCCACTCTGGCGTCACGTACGGGTGCTGCATCTGCAGAAAGTGGCGGGTGAGGGCGCCCTGCCTATCCTCATAGGTAAAGTCTGATATTTCGCGACCAAAGGTCGAGAAGCCAGCACGAGAGCGCAGGTTGCTGGTCCAGTTGACCTCGCCTGTGAAGTCCGGTAGCTCGAGCGTATCGTGTAGCAAGGTGTATACCTAGACAAAGAGTCAGCTTCTGACCTGGCCAGATGGGGCAAGCCAGGCTGTCTAAGGGACTTACAAACTGTTCCCCCAGAAAGCCGACTTCCAAGTCACGGGCCATTTCCTTCTCATTGCGATTCGGAATCGGCCCTGCTCTTCTGTGCGGGCTCATCGACACGGGAGTAGGCTCAGCGGCCTGGAGTGTCTCCCTCAATGTGCTCATGTCAAAAACGCCACCTCCGTCGCCAGACTGCCCGCTTGACCTCCCAGGTCGCGAGCTTGATGCGGGATCCGCATTTCGGGCGAAGCCTTGAAGCCGCTCCCTGTTCCGGTTGCGGTTAACTGTGCTGTAAATACCAGCAGCCGTGGGGCGGGGTGTGACCGGTCGCTCCCGTGGGCTCTCGTCAGAAGGTACATTCAGATGATCCTGCGGCCGAGGCTCGGGCGTGGTCGGCCTAGAGCTAGGTCGATGATCCACATGTGGTCGCAGAGTCGTGTTTGCAGCCTCAGACCTCGCAGAAGCACGCGTAGACTCAAGGATAGCCGACCCTGCGGAATCCGAGCGAATACTGCTTGCAGTCGTCGTCCATGCGTCGTCACTATTATCATCACAGATGCTGTCACTTTGGCTCTGCAAGTCTTCGTTGACCGAATCTGCCAAAGTCTCTTCGTAATCGTCTGCAACGTCCCCGCCAGTGATGCCTTTTCTGATCAGCAAGGCCTTCAGCGAGGCGAGTGACACCAGCAGGAGGGGATGAAGATCTGGGAGATCGGCCGGTTCAAGCTCCAGTGCCGCTACAAGCTGCTCCGGAAAGTCTGTTATAAGCGCACAATCGCGCGTGTGCTTGTTCGCCGAGACGTAAATCTCCAGCTTGTCAGTCTCGTCTTCTGCAGTGCTGACATTTACACTGGAACCGCCCTTTCTCTTCGTCACAGTAGTGCCTCGCAATGTATAGCGCGTCTTAATGTTTGCACTCCTCCAGACCTCGACATTTTCAAGAAGCGGACGAAGCTCGTAAGGTGAGTCGCACTCGGCGTAATCAAAATATCTATACTAGTGTAAGCATGAAAGGCGCAGCGTCCAATCGGAGGATGAAATTGCGTACTTGAGAAGTGCATCTGCACGACCTCGAAAGTCCTGCGTGAGGTCATAATCACGTTCAAGCGGTTCGCGAGATTCCGTTTCTATAAAAACTTCCTCGGACAGAAACGAGTCACAGCCTCGATTACGAAGCAAATCTGCAACCTTTTTCGAAGTGTCGAAATCGAAATCGAGAAAGGTGTGACTGTCAGAGAAGATGTCGAACAGATCCTGCCGGTCGTTGACATAGAAACTTCCAATCGAGCAAAGCTTACGCGGGCACGTTGACGTGCGGCACGGCCAGCATTTTTTGTTGTTCAGTTGTTTTAGCTCCTTGTTGTTCTGCTGAAGACGGGCAATTTCTTGCAGAAGCTCCTTTACGTACTGGTATCCGTCCTCGTCTTTCATGGGGTCGTACATTGACGATTTCAGCAAGTCAGTGACTAGCATGTCCATGGTTGCATTCGGCACTTCCAACGTGTCTCGGAACAGACCGCGATATTGATTCAACGAAGGCATGAGGGCATGCTTGGACCGCAGAACGGACCGGGTCCAGATGCAGTCCTTGAGTGACAACCACTGGCCGCTTTGGTCGTTGATACCACGGAGAAAGACGAGGGGGCCATTCTTGAAAGCTTTCCTATCGAAACGGTCAGCCAGTTGTCACGCTCTTGGGGTGGACACATGCGTTATTGGTTTTGGCCAGCTACGACGATGGCTCTCAATTCTCTCATAAAGCCGATACACTCGCTTCGGATCGTCGCGCTTCTTACTCTGCATCAACGCCAAGTCGGCAAGCAGTTCGTCGATGCCAGCATTTGGGAGTTGGAGAACGTCGGTGAAGAAGGCTTTTGCTGTCGGCGCATGCTGCTCTACGGTGCGACGAATGGCGGTCTTGCTCTCCAGCTCGAGCTTATTCTGCGAAAACTCGTCGTCGTCCCACACGCACTGAGCTGGCGTTTTCCATTCGAGGGCAGACCCCGATAAAGGCGGCAGCGCAATGCAGGCGGTTCGGTCATCGACACTGAACCTGTTCTCGATTAGCAACATTTCATTTAGCGTGCTGTACTCTTCTCACGTCATTGCGCGGTATTTTTGTATGAACACATAGACTTCAGTGACATCTGCCATGGTCGTCAACTTATCATCCCTAAGATGTTCGAGATATTCTCGAGCTTCGGCACCCGTCACGGTTGGGACTTTCAAGATCTCTTGAAACAGCGGCCCTAGTTCATGGCCGTAGACTGGCTGTAAGGCCTTTTTGGACGAGAAGCCCTTGGGTCCATGCCAGACACAGCTTTTCAGACGCTCATACTCGTAGTTCGGAAGGTCGACAAAAGCATTACCAAATGCGTTCCTGTTGATGACAGTTAGCATTATCAGGCGGCCTAGGTTGTTTCAACGCCTGGAACAAAGACCGCCATTCAAGTAGCTGTGTACACTTACTTGACCTTCTCCTTCTCAGCAGGTGAGAAAGCTTGCGACTGGATCGCTAGATAAAGCTGTTTTGACTTGTCGACGTCCATGGAATCCTCGATGCCCGGCTGGTTGAGAACCCACAAATAAAAGTCGAGTCCCTCATCCAAGCCGACATCAAAGCTGGACAAGAATTTCCAGTCCTCCGGGTCGCCGCTAGGCAAATCCAGGAAATGGCAGTCGTCGGCATCACCAAACGTTTGTGTCTTTTCTACAAGTTTAGGAAAGGGGATGTAGGTTTCGCGCAAAGCAACTAGATCTCCCGACTTGCACATGAATTCGTGGCCTGCTAGTGTGTCTTTCGCCGTGTTCGTCATGTCCTTGTTGTAAAGATTCCAGTGCTGATGCAAGATAGCCAATACCTGGTCGCTTTTATTAGCCAACAACCATTCGAAGTCTCTGTGGAGCCGACAGAAATCAGTTGCGATGAAGCGAGGGGCCAGCGCCACGCTGGCTGTCTCACCCAACCATTGTGCGAACTTGTCTCTTTCAGAAGGATCAAGTTCTGCAAAGTAGCGGCCGTCCAGAAAGTGTGCCTCGCTGTAACCGGAGAAAAGTTGTTGCAGCTCGCTACCAACAGAAATATCGGCATATGTCGAGGTGCCCTTTTGGAAGTACTTGCTGGCGGGACACACAAAGTATATCTTGTTCATGGCGCCGGGCCGCAGGTGCTCTCGCATCTTGTAGAGGTACTTGAGCTGGGCGATGAGATGAACAGGATTTGCCGAGCTCAGTTTGGCGTGGTAGTCGAGGATCCGCTCGACGACGTTGGGAACGTCGCAGTCCTTTACTCCAAGGAGTCGAAAGAGCTTTCTCCTCTTGGGGCAAGCGCAAGCTTCTCCGTCGACTAGAGACAATGGCAAGCCAGGGGGAATGGCCGTCCCCAAGCTCGCCGGAAAGTAGATTGGATCATCTTCAGAGGGGGGTCGCCGCCAGGTGCCGTTGGCCAAGGGGATCAGGGGAATCCTTCTCAGGTCTCTTGCATACTTTCCGTCGCCCCTGGGCTCCTGTGGCTCGAGAATGAGCTTGGCAAGATCCGAGCACCACTCCTTGCTTCGCATCCTAATGTGAAGCAAGCTTTGATTGTGCAGCTCCTGGAGCTTGTCGCACACCCAACCCCAGTTAGGGGCAGTGACGCCCAACAACAAGAGCGCCTCGCGGACCGAGTCGGGATAATCTGGGGAGACGTAGTCGCACATATGCCCAAACATCGGCTCACCATTGCGATCGTGCGCCCAGTCCAAGAATAGGAGACGTTTCGGCTCTGAGACCTCGCCGGTTCTGTCCTTGATGACGAGCGCTGCGCTGAGGTGCTTATTTATGCCCTCTGTTATGTTGCGCCAGTATGCGCTCAGGCCACTGCCGGTAGTATTGTAATTGAGGTAGAGCGGCCACGTTTTTGCTAGTTCGTCCAAGTGTGAGTTCCCGATACTGAAGTTGAAGTTGTCGATAGCTGTCTCAAAGGCGTGCGGAATCGTGTCTGCAATGTTTTTGTTCCAATAGTTGTCTTCGTCGACTGATTGCCGATTCGACGTGGTGAGGAAATCTGCCTGAATAACAAACTGTGCACAGCATTAGCAGGAGTGTTCGAGCCATCATAACATATCGGACCTTGAACCCAAAGTCCCCAAGAGGCAGATATGCAAAGGCAAAGTTCTGCTTCCGTATCCAGGGCATATACGTGCCCGATTTCTTCTTCACCGGAAAGGCTAGCACAATGTCGGTCTCTGTAATGCCTGGTCGTCGGGTTTCAGCCCCTTCAAAATCAATGGTGAATCGATGTTTGTACAGTCGGCGTCTCGTGTTGGAATCTTCGTCCTTGAGCGACACGATGCCAGAATCGGGCGTCCAGTCGAAGCGCCGAAAGCGTTTTGAGATGGCCGGCGCGTCATCCGAGGAGGACTTAAAGAGCGTGAGATGGAATCGTTCTATGCGCCGCAGGAAAAGAATGAGGACAGGGTCGATTGCGTCAACTTCCTTTTCGAGCGCGGTTGAAAAGTCTATCGACTGGTCGCAGATGCGGTCCAGGACGATGGTCGTCTGATGTTCTTCCTCGTGGTCGTCAAAGAAGTCTTCATCCCACTGCGGCGTGATCATGCCAAGCTCTCTCGTCTGATCCAGCTGAAAGTAGTAAGGCGGAGAGCGTATGTGTGCCCGATTGGCGAGCTTAAAGACGGACTTGAAGCCGATGCCCTTTTCGCCCGTGTATCCTTGGCCAGGTGTTTTGGAACTCCGGCCCGTCCGACATAGCGCCTGAATGTTCTCTCTGGAGAAGCCCTCTTCGTTGCATTCAATCTTGACATATTTCGGAAAGACGGTGACGGACACTGTTGGCGTCTCGCCCTCGGTATACTTGTTGTCGTCGGCATTCTGAATGACTTCCATCAGGAATCGCGCACGGCTTGTGTACAGGTCGGTTGATATGCTAAGGAACAGTTATTTCCATTACATAGCGAACGTCATGGAGAACCAGGGCGGGGCTCTCACATTTTCAGTGCCCTTGCCAAGTCTTCACGATTCTCCTCGCTGCCTTCGATCGCTTGCAGCATGCCCTTGCGGCCATATTTTGCCTCCTCTTCTGCTTCTTGCCTGAATGCATCCGTAAAGGTCCCTTTGCGCCGCGCTAACTCTTCGACGACTGCGCGTGCGTCCTCTGTGGTCGTCACAGGACGCGAATTTTTCCCCATATCGCCACAGCTTTGGACGTGATAAGCGTGCAAACAAAAGATATTAAAGGAACGGACCCAAGGAAGCCAGAAGCGACTGAACTATAAAGCGTCCTGTTACGACGCATCTGCGTTCGGTCTCCAGCCATGTTGTTTCAAAGGGGCGTGGGGGCGAACGCCCCTGCGGCGGCACAGCGTTGCAGCAGCTGCAAGGCTGAAACCTACTGTGCAAGAGCACACGCACCTGGAGTAATTAGCCGCTTCAGCTCTTTCTTCCTGCTTCATCGCGGTGTTCGACGATCTGTGATGGGGAGGCTGCGTGGAGAAGGGAAGAGTGCGCAGCGAACGTCAATAGGTCTATCGCATGTTGTGCGTTGCGGGCAGCGCCGCCGCACGCGTCCAGCAGTTGGTGGGCATCGAATGGACTGTGCGCACAGTTGGAGACGCTCTGCAGTGGCGGTGGGCATCTGAACATGTTAGCATTAGGGGTGAGTTTTATCGCCATCTCTCAAAGTGTATGAGCCTTAACCAGCATCCCGTCTGCGCGCTGAGAGACCCGCCAAGAGAGGATAACGCACAGCCACCAGACCGGAAGCCACAGCTCATCCACTGTTATCATGAAGCGGGACGTGCGGAGTTGTCTTATTTTGGACAAATAACAATAAGTAGGGGTTAAGAAAGGAGGAGGTGGGAGCGGACAAGATCAGATACCTCGGCGTAACTGTGGCGCTCTCTTTCTTTCCCGTCGAAATGAGCGTGGCTCTGTGATAAAACGGGCGGTTGAAGATGTAGGAGGAAGAATAGAAAGGTATAGGCATAGTAGTACAACAGCTAGAAAAGAAGGAAACATGAAGAATGTACATATACATGCAGACGAGAACTCTCTCTACACCCATGGATGCGCTCTCTCCCTCTCCCTCTCCCTCTGCCTCACCTTCTCCGCCATCTCCTGATCCGCGATTGTATCTAACTCCCTTCTCTCCGTCTTCACGCTCCCCGTAACCAGGGCATACAAATACGGCACGCTCATAACCATACCCTTCTTCTCCTTCTTCCTCACCGTGCCATCCTTCTCCACCCGTGCATCCCTACCAATCCACACGTTGCCCAAGAAAACTGCTGCAACGATGCTGATACCCATGAAAGGCAGGATAGCGATGAACGCCCACATGACTGCTTTCGCGGCGGCGTTCTGCACGGACTCGAGCGCGGCAGGCGGAAGTGAGGAGAGCGAGTTCAGATTCGCGGGGCCGGTGGTGGTTGTGAACGAAGTGCCGGGGCCGAAGTCGATAGTGCGCAGATAGAGGGACAATTTGTTGGAGAAGACGGCGCCCATCATGGAGATGCCGATGGTTTCGCCCAGGGGCATGGTAAAGCTCAAGACGCTTTGAATGGCGGCGATTCGAGAGGGCCATATACCCGCGGCGTGAAGGACGACGGGCATGAAGCGGAGGCCAGTTCCTGCGCCGGAGATGGCGAGGAAGACGTTCACGAGCGTTTTCTGGCGCGTCGCTACGGCCCAGGTAAGCAAGGAGAGACCGGCGGCTTCCACGATAGAGCCCCAGAATAGAGGAAAGAAGGTTTGCCGCGGCCAGGCGTTGCAGAGGAACATTGCGGAGTACACGCCGACACCGAGGCCAGGCGTGTAGTAGAGGAGCTGGACGCCGGCTTTCGAGGCGCTGTATCCTTCGGCGAGCTGCCAGTAATACGAGATGAAGTAGAAAGCTGAGACGATAGAGACTCCGGACGCGAAGTTGATGACCATGAGGAGTGAAGTATCCCTTTTCCGGAAAAGCACGGAGGGGACCATAGGCACTTGTTGAGCGAATATGCGCGACATGAAGCGGCCAGGTCCGATGAGGTACTCATACAGGAAGAAAGAGAAGAAGAGGACGCCTCCGATGACGAATGGCGCGATCGTAGCTGCCGAGTCCCAGCTGTATGAAGTGCCGCCCCACTGAACCGCGAGGATGAGAAGACCAACGCCGAAGATAAAGAAGAAGATTCCAGGCCAGTCGATCGTTGCCAGACCGCTGATGTAGCCTGCCCTCCGGGAATCGCCGGGCTTGAACGAAACGCGGCCTTTGACGAGATCTTTACGCATGAAAAAGAAGATGAGGAGGTGAGAGATGAAAGCGACGGGAATCGGGACGACGAAGCAGTATCTCCAGCTGGAGGTGGCTAGGTAGCCACCGATGACGGGGCCAACAGCATAACTGAATGGTATAGTTAGTATGGGTTCCTTACCACCAGACGAAGCAAGACAGGCGTGGTAACAATAGACTCAACATACCTGATGCCGTTAATCAATGAGAAGACGGTTTGATTCTTGGAGCTGTCGGCCAAACTAGCTCCATCGGATAGGACAATGCGCGTTAAGTTCAAGATCCCAGCTGCACCCAAGCCTTGCAATGCCCGGCCGAACAAAAGCATGCCCCAGGTAACAGCAGATGCGCACAACACGCTACCAATCAAGATCCAGAACATCTGAAACTGGAGGGCGAAGTGACGGCCGTAGATATCGGCGAGCTGACCCGAGGCTGGGACGAAGGTGGTAAAAGTGAGCGTGTATGCCGCCACGATCCAATTGAAGCTTCCACTGAGATGGTCTGAGGAGGTTAGCCCGTGTCAATAACGAGATAACGGCGATACGTACTGAAATGAGAAGAGATGGTTGGAATTGCAGGTGCTACAATAGTGACGTCCACCGCAGCGAGGAAGTTGGGAAGTATCAAGCCCACTATCATCCTCCACCGATGTTTCCGTCTCTTGGAAGTTTCTTCTTTGGCTTTCGCGTGTGCTTCTTCGCGTCTTTCTGTAATAGGGTTTACGGAGTGTTCATCGACGAGGCCATCACCACCCACAGCCTCTTCTCTTTCGGGCTTCGGTTCTTGCCCCTGGTTGGGCTCAGGAACTAGATGACTATCATCTGCGGTGGCTGGGACATCGTTCTTCTCCTTGTTTTCTTTGACTTTGCGGCGAATGTACTTGTATAGCAGATAAGCCATATCGGTGGGAAGCTATATGTGGAATGAATGGTGAAGCAGTGCAACCGAGGGCAGTGACGATGACTACAATGGAAGAAATAGTACTCGACGATGAAGAAGAAGAAGAAGTTCAAACTCGACTCGTGCATGATAAATCTTATACCTTCTGTCTCTTTGTCGGCACCTTACCTACTTGGGATATCTGGGCGCGAAGGAGGCTGAGGCTGGATGCCGCGGGGCGGATTCTAGCCGGCTCATGGCTTTCAGGATTACTCGGGAAGTTTTGGGGCTATGCTTGCGAGAGTGGGGCGCTTTCTGAGCGCTTTCTGCGAAGAGGAGTGGTGGGCGACACTGGGTTCAAAGAACGACGCACGGCCATTCCTCCGCGAAGCATGCCCAAATAGGTAAGGCTCAGCCACCCGTCGCCGCAAACGGGCACCAGGGGATTCAGGGTGCGAAGCTGGGTAAAGATCCATACGGATGATCATAAGAAGGTTGAAGGATTCCGCTACCCAGGCGGGGGTTAAATGACTTTCCAGGCTACCATGCATCTTTCAATGTTTCTGTAGCCTCTGCCTGCGGACTGGACGACGCGCTTTACCGGTTCTCGGGTCGTACTTTAATCAAGCGAGAAGGGCGTCCAAGATGTGGTTTGCAAGCGAGAGTCGGGTCGCGATGAGTATGATTTATATTAAGATGGCTGAGACGTTTTCTAAGTGTACAAATGTATGGTCGAAGGAGAGAAAGCTTTGCCAAGCAATGCTGACGGATTCCCACTGTGACGCAACTGCGAACCGACTTCCCGCCGGCTCACTCCTACACTTCAGTTGCGGGCCAAAATGAAACCCGCGATAGCTGTACCAGCAATCGCTGCGCTGATATACCGAGCGTGGTCCAGAAGGTCATTGACGCCCGTCGGACTTCTCGCCGCTTTCCTCACAGCTTTCATCCACGCACTACATCCGTGGAGTGTGGGCTTCACGCTGCTTGGCGTTTTCTTCCTGGCTGGAACTGCCGTCACGAAGGTAAGGTGATGAATCTGCTTTCTAGAAGACTTGAAGCATTGCTGACCAGATATTTAGGTTAAGCACGACATCAAAGCGAAGCTTACACAGTCTGCAACCGGCGCTTCCGGCGGAGAAGGCGCTCGAAACCACGTCCAGGTATTGGCCAATTCGCTAGCAGCTACGGCCCTGATCCTGCTCCATATTTGGCACTTGAAGAAGGAAGGGACATACTCGAAGGAGAATCTGTGTTGGGGACGGGGTAACGATGTCTTGGTCGTCGGAATAGTAGCGTATGTGGGATGTACTGGATCCCGGCCTGTCTAAATGCTCACGGTGTACAGGAACTATGCCGCCGTGGCAGCCGACACATTCTCCTCTGAACTTGGTATCCTCTCGAAATCCAAGCCTCGCCTTATCACCGCCCCATGGCGCGTCGTCCCTCCCGGAACAAATGGCGGAGTAACTCTGGCTGGCCTCAATGCAGGGCTGTTGGGGTCATTCATCATAGCTTCTACCTCTACGCTTCTGATACCGTTTTGCAAGGATTGGGACGCTGCTGGCAAGGCGAAATATACGCTGGCAATGACACTTGCTGGCTTCAGCGGAACACTGCTGGACTCGTATCTGGGAGCGGTTCTGCAAGCGAGCGTCATCGACGTTCATTCCGGAAAGATCGTTGAGGGCGAAGGCGGGAAGAAGGTCTTGATCCACGGAAGCCATGTCAAACCCATAGCCAACCTCCGGAGTCACGCAATCAGCTATGAAGAAGGGAAAGAGGGTGTAGCAAAGACGTCTGCTGTGGATTCTAAGTTGAACGAGTCCGTCAAGACTTCGCGGACAATGCAGAAGGGTGGAGCAAGTGGGGCTGCAGTTACTGATGGACAGCATGAGAGCCGGAGGGTTGAAGTCGGGCATGACATACTGGATAACAACGCCGTCAATCTTCTGATGGCGGCTTTGGTCAGCGTTGGAGCTATGCTGGCGGCTTGCGTGGTGTGGGAGTTACCGTTTAGTAGCATGATTCCTGTGTAGACTTAGCGGAGATACCCGTAGATCGATCTAAAGCTTATAAGGTCATGAAATGAATATAATGGATCTAGAATTGCTTCGGCTTGTCCTGCGTCTGCTGCGATCTATCGCGCACTTCTTTCCCTTTTCGGTGTAGTCGTGCCAAGACGCTTAGGTAAGCGGCGCGTCACCTCGTAGCCTTGAGCTTGAACAGCTCGAACCCCGACACCCAGCTCGAACCGCCTTCATCACACCCAGAGGATCACATAATCCCGCTGTTCTTGATTATAGTACTTCCGCCGAAGCTCAAACCGACCTGAGAGATAATTCATACCTCGTCACAAAGCGACAGGGCCTCTGACATTTCCTAGCGGCCTGCTTATCCCTTCGGAACAAGCCAACATGGTACGTAAATGCCTATCACCAGCTTCAGCACACCGCACCCGTATTGGTCTTCATGAGCGTTCATATGCCTGACAAGACCTCCAGTCTCTCCGCTTCGTCCCCCCGAAAGCGCACCCGACGCACACCTCCCTCGAGACATCTGCGCCCTCCGCACCCGGCGTCCACGACACTCTCCGTTCCCGGCTCGCGCAGACTTCAGCACCCGCGACCGCTGCCTCGTCAACCAAGCCCGTCGAACTTCAATCAGCGCATCCACTAGAGGCCCGCCTCGTCCAATGGCGCGAGACGCAAGACCGGCTGAAGATGGAGATGCTGAGGCGTCAGTTCGGCATCGCGGAGCCTATTCGGAGGGGTATGGAGCTCAAGATTGCGACTGCGGGAGAGTGGAGACCGGCGGTACTGGGTGGAGCTAGCGGGGTGCATAGGGATATCCTCGAGGGGCGGGATTGCGAGATTGGCTGGGAGGACGTGTTTGTCGGTAAGTTGGGGACTCTGTTCGCTCAGAGATATCTTCACGAAACACCAAGATACATGGTGGCTAACCATTCATATCCACAGGCCACGAGCTCCGCGAAGTGCCAGACTTCCACACCGAGATGGAGGCCAAGATGAAGATGAACTGGTAAAAGAGCTAGGAGAATGAGAGGTCGGCCATGGGAAACACAAAGACGAGAAGCGGGAGGATTAGAGTCCGGAAGAGAACTGTCTCCCTCAACCACAGTCTTGATTCCCGGGGAGGTGGCCTGTATTATACTTTCGGCATGGCATGCACCTCGGCCTCGGGCGTGCAGCTCGACATAGAGTTAGGATATCAACAAGGAACCAGCTTAGTCTGTTTCTGGGATGATGATTGGAGCCGACCAGCTTTCGCAGCTAACCACTTCAAAGGGTTTTTTTGAAATGTTCAGAGCCAACATCTTTTCCGCTGGTGTGCTGACTAGACATAAAGCCGGTCAGTACTTGCGTCCGCCAGATTGGAAAGGGGGCGCGTTTTGCAATAGGGTCATTTCGTCCAAATGGCTGACTGGATCCACCTATTAATGCTTTGTTGATGGAGACCGGAGGGTGAGGACGTGGGAAATACTCAAGAGGCCAGGAGTAAGCAGCGAGGCTCTCCAGCGGGCGGTCTCAGGTTGCGGGAAGTGACTGTGTATGCTCGCCATTGTGAGGAGCCGGCATCTTCACAATCCTTTGTTCACCCATGCATACAGCAGTCGTAGCTTTCCCATGTATCCTCGGAATGAATGCTCGCAGTCCTGGCTGTGCTTTTCCCCTCCAATCATAGCGCGGGGCGCATGCAGGGGCAGCCCCGTTCAAAACCTGATCGGTTCCAAATGCGCTAGGACGAGAATACAGAGCGTGTGTCTCTCTTTGGGGAAAAGGAATACAGATGCTGACTGATAAGGAAGCTGATCGCACGCACACCACCGGGACGAGCCAAATGCCTGCTGTCCGCTGACGTGCCATACTTCGTATGTACTGCCCCAAGCTGACACCTGGGCAGTTCTTGGATTATTGTGGAGACGGGGTCGTTCTTGCGTTTGCGGAGAACAAGGCGGCGGCGACCTGCCCAGAGCCGAACTCCCGTGCACTGATCCTCTCGGAACTTCATTCAACCTCCAACCCCATCACACCCGCTCGCTGCACCCACCACTGCGCTGCGCCCAGTCTTAATCTCTCATTGAAGCACGTCAGGTGCCGTAATCCGCCATTCCCTCGCTTGCCACCCGCCATCCGCCATCCGCCATCCCTCCTCAGCGCTTCCGTCGTCCTGACGGAATAGCTCCCCGCGAGCCATGGCTTCCCCGTCCGACCAGCCCTCAACGACCCCCTCGCAGACTGCTCCACAGCCACAACAGACAAGTTCGCGGCCCGCCAGCGGGCACGACGTGCTGTCGTCGAGTCCAGTAGAGATGAAGACGCTTCCAGCATCCTCGTCATCAGAGCCAGCGGCAAACATGCCCAATCCCGCATCAATAGCGACGTCAACACCTCAGGTACAGGCTTCGCAACCAGCAGAGAGCGCACAGCCCACAACGGCGCCCCCAGCGCCTGCGAAACCCGCTCCTCCCGTCGACCTGAATCGCAACGAGACCGAAGCAATCGGCCCGTCGACCGACACCCCGGCCGCGAACCCAGACAATTCGAATGGCCCCGTCGTCGTAATCATGCTGCTGCTTACGACGGGCGCACGGCACCCATACAAGATAGATGAGAAATATCTCAAGAAGCGCAACGTCGCTGTTGACGACATGGACCCATACAACATTAGCGTCTACACACTGAAGGAGCTGATATGGCGGGATTGGCGCGAAGGTTTGTACCACCTTTCATGCGCTTGCTCTGTTGCATTTCTAAGAGGGGGAACCACATGGAGCGCTTGACCCTTCATTCTCTACAGGAGAGCCTGTTGCCTGACAGTAGAGCCTAGTAGCCGGCTAAATGGGACTATCTGTCGTCCTTCCTCTTGTACAAGTCGTTGAGCACATGCACACTCTTAGCTACTCCATACATTGCTTTCACAAGGCTGACTATCTTGGCACAGAATGGGAACCGAGACCGACGTCTCCCAGTTCGATACGACTGATACACTTCGGCCGCATGTTGGACGACAAATCGCCTCTGAGAGGTAAGTAGCACAACTCTCGAACATCTCCAATGTCTTGGCGTGGCTTGTCGATTGCTGGGCGCAAGCCACCGATTGGCTGGGTGCAGCGAGCCAGTGGCTTTCTCTGCATCGCCATGGTGTTCTGGCTCGCGGTTAACAGGATTTGCCTGCCTCCGCCTTACCCTATTCTACCCTCCAGGCTGGGCGTTTTCGGGTGGCTGACTTCTTGCAGACTGCCGATTCCAGACAGAAGCCCCCAACGTCGTTCACATGACAATCAAGCCCCAAGAGGTCGTCGACGAGGAAGATGCTAAGACTGGGAAGGGTGGCGCCAGGAGAGACGGCGATGACGAGACTCATGCTGGTTGCCGTTGCGTTATCCTATAGACGCAGTAGCTTACTAAGCTAATGAGCTACGCTATAGGATGTACTCTCTGCGATGGCTCTATGGACGGCGAAGACATGGCTATTATGGCGCTGGAGGATCTCGTCACTCGAGGAAGAGTCCCGGTTCGCGCTCCGGAATACCGTCATATATTCAACGGCCGTGACTGCCGAGGTAGAACTCTCTTCGAGATCTCCTACGCTCCACGGGTTCCAGTCGCCGCACGCAATCGCTGGAGTCTGGACACCAACCCCTACCAGAGGCTCGCACAGTCTCTACTTCAATAGTTGCCCGCACTTTTCTCTTGGACTCCTTCTCGGCCAGCGTTTTGGCTACGGCGTATATGGCATGGGCGGGGCCTTGATATTCTTGTTTATCTACTTTGCGTGTGCATACTAGTCCCGTCATTTTCTCATAGTCTGGCTTTTCTGAAGACGCTAGACAGCAGGGTTACCCCTCGCCTGTGTGTACAAGTAGTTTTGCTGGCTTGTGGGGAGGCAGGACGTTCTGATAACCAACTGGAGGTATGGGGGAAATAGAGACTTGATTCATACCCCTCAATCATATGCTTTGCACGTAGATGTACAATGCTAGCATGAAGGCCTCCAATATGTATTTTGCGATTACCGCAGCAACCTTATTAGTCTAGCTAACTTACCTCGTCCGCTTCTACCCCTCTCTTAGCGCTTCTGCAGCTGGAGAACTGCCTGGCTAGATATACAACCTTCCACTACAGCTTCTACTCTTTCTAGTTAGTCTTCAAAGCAGGGAATACAGCGTAGTCGCTTTATAGAAGTTTAAAGCGCAGGTCCTAGTCCTCACAAGCCTCCCAGCAGGCCTGAAAATCTATCTCCGCTGCCCTGGTACGAGCTTCGAAGAAATATGGGATTATTATACTCTCGGCGGGCTGATCCCTTGCTTAGACGAAGAGAAGGAGATGTATCGGGAATTTGTCGCCCCCTTGAGCGGCTCTAGCGGCAAAGACAGCCCCCTTGGTTCCGACCTACGAGGCGAGAACGTAGGCGTTGAGACGGCGCTAACCCGAAAACTGACGACAATGATTCCTACGCCACTTCGCGCCCATCGACGTTCACATTGCGCAAGGGCTGGACCGGTGGTTGCAGAAGTATGGGTGGGACGATGGCGAGGAATTTCTGGAGGAACAAGTGCGTAATGTTTTGTGAGTCTCCTGCATGCCCAAAACTGTTCGAGTTTTCTAAAAATCTGGAAGAGAAGTCGGGCATATTCACCTTCATCGGACCGCCACGGGAAAAAAACTCCCCGCCAAAAAGGACTTGAGCATTCAGGTGCATCTGTGTCCTGAGTTGTATGGCACTCCCAGATCCGTGGGCGAAAAGTGAGTCTGCACGGGATAAGTCACTTATTAGACCAAAAGAGCTAGCTGCTTTAACATTCTCAATCCAAAGTTTCTTGTCATCGAGTGGCGTGGCGTTTGGAGGCCATCTCGGGTCTGTACTCAAATTAATGTGGCGGAGGCAAGATTATCTTTTACGTCTGCATTTGCTAATGTGGGCGTATTGGCCCTTTTCGACGACATCTGCGCGGCCACAACGGCAATGAAAGGGCTTGTGGGAACTGTTTTTCGTCCCGCATGCCCGAAGTCTCCTGTAATTGTCCTTCCTCTATGGTAATGGCCGCCGCGATACCGAAAGAGCGCGGAGCCCGCCAACCCATGAGGGCCTTCTATATGGGCCCTCAGATCAAGATGTTGTCAATCAGTTCATTCCTGATCTTCGACGCGGACCATGGATCGTCAGATGGGACCAGGACCGGCCCGGCAACAGTTGCAGGGGAAAACTTTTTCAATGTTGAAATGGTGGTGCCTTTGTTGATCTGGACTTGGAGGTTGTATTCTTGGGAGCTTGTCATCTGTACAAGTCAGATGGAGATGTATCTGGCTCATGTGGAATCTTACTTACACCCTGCATGTCCAGCCTGAAATTGTCGTCAGAATAGATGGTTCCCGCTGACGTCGGCAGTGCTTCCAGGTCACTATCTGGGATATTATCGATGAATCCTTTGAGAGCCTTGCTTGCTTTGCCCATGGTGAAGGAGTGGTGGAACTAGAGGGTAGAGTGATAAGGTAGGTAGATGTAGAGTAAAGACGTTGTGCCCGTGGATGCTTTTGCCTGAAGTTAGTGCCCTGGCAAGCAATGGATATCATATTCCATGGACAATCGAAGCTTCCCTTATATATCTATTCGAGATCTCAAGCAGCCCACCTTGGGGCCATCACCGAGAGCGCCTCGTGTTCCAGGCCTCCCATGGCGCGTTCGAACGAGCACTGGCTAATTAATCGACTGGACAACGGGTCAAGGCCGCTTCGGTCCTGGGTCCGCCCATGATCGGCCGCGTAGCATGATTTCGCTCAAGAAGAGTTTCCATAGGTCATTCATGCTCATCGTGTAGTGGCCAGTTGTGATAGCCCTGCGCGTGTCGCCCGTCCTGTTTCATTGGGTTGCACCAACCAATTAGATGTCCTTGACGGCCGTGGTTGGCGCACAGCGGGCACGTCGAAGCCCCTTGACGCCTATTTTGGATGACTCTGACGCTTGACGGTACATGTCGCTATGATGCATCATTTTCCTGCCTTGTTCCTGTCTTAAATCCGACTCATCCTGTAGCTGTCAGATAATACTACCAACATAACTGAAACCAGCCAAAATATCGTACTGCACGATAAAACGATAAAATCGGTCAAAAGGCGCCAATTGTGGTGTGTTGCAGTGGGTGAGTTGTACCCCATCCTGCTCCTGAAGGTGGGTTTTCCCTAACCGAAAGTGGCTGTGCGGCCCTGGGTTGCCTGGCGATCTTTCCACGGAGGCACGTGATTGGGCATTCGCCGCCACACCATCCCCAATGCCAGAATGTGGGATCCACAGCCAAATTAAGTCAGCAGACAAATGGAAGTTATTTAGTCTGCGGAGGTCACAATACATCACCGGCTACCCCACGTTTGCCCATTCTATCCATCCATTCGTCGTTGTACCTGATCAAGGTATCACAGGCCGTATTATCCGACATTTCATGACTGCTGACCGGACGACAGAAACATCAACAACAAAGACTCTCTTGACTTATGGCAAGCATGCCGCGGCCAATCCAAGATGGGTTAGAATGGAAACAGACACTGTTTGACCTCGTGCCACAATGGACGCGAGAAGTTTTTATCCCCGCAATTGAAAGCGTCTGTCGCCAGCAATTGAACATCCCCCCCGAGGATCCCTGCACCGTCGCCTTTCACGCATCCGGCCTGTTCAATAAACTCTACATTGTCAAATGTACCAGATGCCCTCTCATAATGCGCGTCTCGCTGCCGGTCTACCCACGCCACAAGACGCGCGCCGAGGTAGCCACCTTGCGGTGGGTGCGCGAGAACACCAAGGTCCCGGTCCCTAAGGTGGTCAGTTTTGACGACAGCAACGACAATGAGATTGGGTACGAGTGGATCTTGATGGAGCTTATGGAGGGTGCATCGGCACATAGACGGTGGCGGACCATGTCGATGGAGCAGAAGATCGCGCTCACGAAGCGGATTGCGACATTCCAGGTGGAGTTGTCGGGACTTGGGAAGCCAGAATCCATATTCAGGAGCATAGGGACGTTGGATCTGCGGGAGGTCGGTCAAGAGAACGACGTTGAAGATTCGGAAAAGGTTGTTCCTGGCCTGCTGGTGTCCCACGAGTTCTTTATGGGCGATCACCTCCATTACGACATTCCGCGGGGTCCATTCCGCTCTAGCCATGACTGGCTGAGCGCGGAGTTGAACATCATCCTACTACATCAGACAGCAGTTCTCGAGAAGACGGAGGATGAAGACGACAAAGAAGACGCCGAGGAGGTCTTGTTCGTAGCACGAAAACTACTCTCTCTCGTTCCTAAGGTCTTCCCTTCAACCTTGGACGAGTCAGAGACAACAGGACTCTACCACCATGACCTCCATCTAAACAACATTCTGGTGAACGAAGAAGGCGAAATTACGGCCGTTCTGGACTGGGAATGTGTCTCGGCACTACCTCTCTGGATGTTGACCAAGGTTCCTAAGTTCCTTGACGAGCCAGTTCGGGAGGAGGAGCCGCAGCGGGATACGTATGCGGATAAGACACCCGAGGAGTCTGCCGCCGCAGCCGGGAAGCACAACGACCCGGGCTACTTGGACAGTGATGGCAAGAATGAGCTGTACTTCATTCACAGGATGGAGTACGAGGCAACGCAGCTGCGGAAAGTCTACAAGGCGAAGTTGAGGGAACTGTGGCCGGAATGGCCCCTCGAGGAAAGCTATGTGAAGATTGACTTCTTCCAGGCAATATCCCAATGTGATGGGATATGGGTGAAAAAGACGCGCAGATGGGCCGATTATATGGAGAAGGGCGAAACTGTACGATTAGAAGACGCCTAGGGAGATGGACTCGCAAGAGGCGACAGGTTTATTGGGCAAATCACTGGTTCGGAAAGAGTTCATTCGCGATAAGGCAGTTGTAACAGACCCTACACCACAATGGCAGGGGATGATGAAGGAGCCGGTCAGAGGCTCTTCTCCTCCTCCTCCTTCCTCGCAATATTCGCGCGTTATCATCGAAACGGGAGCCGGTGCGTGAGCCTCCAGTTGACGCTTACTGCGCCGCGGATTTCGAGGTCAAATGGGATCGCTTGTGGTATAAGGGCGAGCCGCTTCGAGGTTCTGTAGACTCGGCGACTAGCACGCAGACGGCCCTCCATACCAGAAATGTTTCTGCACCAGCCCCGCATCAGCATAGCCAACCGTGCTAAAGCCACTATCTATTCCATCATGTGAATCTCCTTTCGCGCCAAGAGATATGTCGATCGATATCCCGGACATTAGCCCGCTTTCGCATGCGTCATCGCTTAAAGCTCGCATGTCACTCCACAACCTCACCTCAAGCCTCAACGTTGCCCGCTACACCCCAAAGCCTTCGAACCACCTTCGAATCCTGATCTTCCGGCTCAATTGCAGCTGGAGAAACTCACCATGGTTCTTCAGGACTTAGACGACACGCCACAGGACAGCTTCAACGACACCCCGTATCCCTCCGAGAACGACCCATACTCGAGCCCGAGCTCGAGCTCGACCTCTGGGGGCCGCTTCGATGCCAGCTCGCTGCCACAGCCGATTCCCATTCTAGGGCCTTTTCTAGGCTTTTCCGAAGCCGCCGTGCGCTTCAAGACCGAGTCGACGATCAAGTTCGCCGAGCGCCGAGTCCATCGATCACTGTACCCCGAAGAATCGCAAGCCCTCGCATCGCACCTTTACCAACTCGAACAAACGAAGTCCTACTTCACAGCTGTAGGCGCTGGGATAGGGGCTTGGAGATGGTATAAGACGATGGAACAATGCCGGTACCCGCTGTACCTGCCGAAGCCGGAAAACATCAACCCGAACAAATTTTTGTTCGTCAAGGGTCCAATGGCGCAGTATGCGCGCCACAGCTGGAGGCTTCTCTTGTATATGTTCGTCGCGGGCGAGCTGGGGAAGCTCCTGGGGCAGATTACGGGGCAGCCGATCGCCGCCCAGAACACGGCCAACGATCCCAAGCTCGCGCAGTTTGCAGCGGACTTGAGGAATTCGATCGCATCGGATACTACGCGTGCGCGTGGGGCGGGCTCGCAGCAGAAGAAAGAGTGGGACGATATGATTACAAGAGAAAGAGCGGCGAAAGAGCATGCTAGGAGGGACTCGCCTTTGCCTGGTGCGCAGCAAAGGAGGCCTTGGACACCGCCTCAGAAACCGGCTGCGAGCGGCGACGACGATATGTCGCCGATTGCAGGCAGCGATCCTTGGGCGCCTATGGGAGATAGTTCGTGGGGAGACTCGGGCTACTCTGATCAGACACAAAGCACCCAGCCTCGGCAACAACGTGCTTCGCGCCCGAGTGATGATGACGCATCACCCACAGGAGGGATGTTCCAAGACGAGGTAAGGGACCGATCGAGGCCAGGTGAATCAGCATGGGACCGGCTTCGCCGGGGTGGTGCTCCGGGATCGGCCCAACAGCGTCCCCAACAGGGCGGGCGTGAGCCTCCGCATCGCGAGCAGAGGGAAGGTTCGACATCGGGGGATAGCTTTGCGTTTGCGGAAAGTGATGAGGAGCGGAAGAGGGCACAGGAGAGAGCGCGGAGGGAATTCGACGCTAGGATTGCGCGCGAGAGGCAGGGCAAGGACTTCAACGATGACAGTAAGAAATGGTGATTCTGCGACGCATTCTGGTACGGGAACGCCATTAATCTTGTAAAACTAGCCACACGTGTGTAGTGATGTGAGTAGTGAACCAAAATTGCGACTGGCTGACTGAGACCAGAGGCCAGAGTGATTCAAGCCGACTCGCGAGACCTTGACTTTCACTGTTTCACGTCACCACGGATTCTGACAATTTCACGCCTTATCTTGCAGAAAGCATAATCCCTATTGTTTATAAGTTGCTGCCTTGACGAAACTCTTCTACTCACCACCACTTTCGAGGAAACCGGACATTCGCTTCTACTACCTAACCATATCTCTAGAGGCGACGCAACCACGGTCGAGCAACGCAAAAATTTTGCCCCGCTTTCTTAAAAGCCTCGTGCCCTTTCGCGAGGCCACTTCTGCCGCACTCTTCACGACACTTTCGAGGCACAATAGGGCGGATAATAGCTCGCCCAACCATGCCCTCTCACCACAAGCGCAAATATTCAACCAGCGACGACGACTGCACTCACCTACCTTCCTCTGCGAATCGACCGCGAAGCTCCGACATGCGCGAGCTTAGAGCAGAGGGTCTCGAGATGCCGGCGTCGAAGGAGAGCCTTCTGGAAGCAGCGATACAGAGCCGGATGGAATTGGCTTCCAGGAGTGGCCGAGGTGAGGTGAGTAGGGCCGCGATGCTTGGTCATCTGCTTGGAGATCCGAAGAAGCAGCAATCCTTGGTGAAGAAGGGGTCGCTCTTTAGTCACCTCGTCGACCCGGCGCTCCTGTCTCCTGTTGGGGGCATGAATTCCAAACCGCAAGTGAGGTCAACTGCTGCCAAGCCTTCGTATCCAATTTTCCACGCCCGCGGAAACTCGAAAACGAATCCTATCGACCTCACCGACGACACCATGAACACCAATAACCCGTCTGGATACACAACCGCAGCAGCCAACACCAGCGGTATGTATCACGGCTCCCGGGCGAGGCCCCACCGTCCTCAGCCCTATTATCCGGGCATGGGAAACCTTCAGGTGATCAAAGACGACGAGCAGGCGCCCCACGCATCTCCTGCGACAGCAGGTATGAGTGATGGTCCAATCTACCCTATGGCTGGTGGGCCATGCGTGAACCCGGGGTTCCATGGTGTGGATAGCGGGATGTTCGTTTCTGCTCCGTACACTCCGTCCCCCTTCGCTCCTGCCGCTTCCGCTTCCGCCACGGGGAATGGCAACCATCCGGGGATGCCTTACGGAGCGCCATTCTCCTGTCCGCACACTTCTGCTCCTTCCGGCTCCGCGATGGGTTCTGGCATCCACACGGGTATCTCTTATGGGCAGACTATCTCTTCCCCGTATATGTCCAACGCGCGTTCTTCCGTCATCCTGCAACCCTCCCACACTGTCACCGCTTTCGGATTACGCGGCGGGACGTCGTTCGGATTCTCTCCGCATCCTTCCGCCCCACCTAGGCCTTCCGCTTCTGCAGCCGGCAATGCCATCTACAGTGGTACACCTCATCGAGCAGACAGCGCAACCCCACTCTCTGAATTGTCTACTCTCGCTGTCGATGCGAAACCTTATCGAGCTCCCGGCGGTAACGCTCTACCAGCTAACTGCTCCTGCGACGAACCGCATTTCGGTCCCTGCGGGGACAACATGGACGAGGGTGGGTTCGCCTTCTCCTTCGACGCTGCAGATTCTGTTGCGAGTGAGCAGCCTTCGCCGGCTTCCAGCCCCTCACGCTCAGGAACCCTAAACACCAGGGCGAAATTCCGGCTCTTGCGTAACGGTCGCCCTCCGACGCCTCCTACGTTGGACTCTCTCGTAACGACGCCCACCACCGCTACTACCACGGGCAGCACAGAGCCACGGACACCTACAAGGCCAAACGGAATCTCTGGAGCCATCGACCAAGAAGACCTAGACTTCGCCCGCTCTCTTCAGCAGATGCACGACCAGTCGCCACCTTCCACCCCCAAGTTCCATAAGTTCCTAGAGCTCCCCTTCGAAATGCGCGAGCGCATCTACGCCCACGCCCTCGCCTCTGATAAACCCATCCTGCCGCACCTCTGCGACGAACCGCGCCGCGGCCCCGCCCGCATCAAATTCCACGACGAGAACCATCCCGAGCACAACGCGACGTATCACCGCATGGCAATCACCCGCGTCTCTCGACAGCTCCGCAAAGAGAGCCTGCCCATCTTCTACAGCGCGAATGTCTTCGACACCGGCCCCGATACACCGACGTACTTTGAGCGACTGGAGCATCTGGGCCGCTTCCACATGATCCGACACGTCAACTTCACGATCAACTTTGTCGATCCGAAGTGCAAGAGCTACGGGCCGAAGGTGCTGCGGGGCGTGCTGCAGAGCGTAGCGGAGGGAGAAGCGTATGAGAAGAAAGTTATCGAGGAGAATTTGGGGATTCGCGAGAAGTCCGAGGAACCGGAACCGGAACCGGAACCGGAGCCGGAGCCGATGCCGATGCCGCTATTGCGGTGGCGTGGTAGAGTGGGTTATCGGAGGATGGCGCGGGAGCCGCCCAATCTGATGGATGACGATGAGGATTTCTACCGCTGGCGGGCGGGACCGAAGTCGGTGTCATGGAAGAAGAAGCATATTGGCAACAACGGCGTGTCCCTTACCAACGGCTTCGAGCAGATGCTCCAGCAGATCAACACCGGAGAGAAGCACACTGCGATGCTGCAACCAGCGACCACTCCAGCCCACCAGCAAGCCGTCCCAGCGCCTACCCTCGCAGAACACCCAAACCCCCTTCAACAACCCTACCCCCCTCTCCAACCGTATACCCCGGATCCCCAAAAATTCCACACCGCCCACCTCCGCACACTCAAAAAACACCCGCAGCACCAGGCCAGCGGCCTCTCCTGGATGAGCACCCTGCTCGTCCTGCGCAAGCTCTCGTCAACCTTCACCTCCTCGTCTGCGTCCAACCCCAGCCCGTCCGCCTCCGCCCCCGCCTACTCGCACAACCTCGTCCTCTCTGTCCCCTCCGCCTCGCTCTTCACCGCCTACGACTCGCTCGCCTACTTCCCCAGCATCTGCGCCGGCCTGGGCATCCAGCTGCGCCTCGTCGAGGGCCGGGAAGTCACGTGCGGCCGCTTCGGCATCGAGCTGAGCTGGGAGCAGAGGTTCCAGAAGAAGGACTTCAGGTCGCATGATCGCCGCGCTGGGCAGGGGCAAGCCGGCGCGGAGAGGGAAGCGCAGTTGAAGAGCATGGCGGAGCGCGCGGTTAGCATGTTCCCTGAGATGCGCGATTTGCCGCGCGGGAATCGGAATGTTTATTATCGCAGGAATTGTGGGGGGTGGGGCGTTGAGTGGTTTGAGGTTGATTGGAGGGGGGAGGGGGGGATTGAGGGGAGATGAGATGGATGTGGATGGGTGAGCGGGATGGGGATAGTGAGGCGAATCTGGATACGGGACGGAGGCTGTGATCTTTTCTTCATGGTCCAGCATCTGGCTGGGTCGGTGGGGGCTTTTTCTCCCTTTATTAGTTATGCGTGCATTAATAGTTTTAAGGTTGCTACATCTATGCCAGACAGGGCGTGAGGATCTATCCGTCGGGGGTCTGAGACCTGCCCTCCCTCCTGGGTGGATGGATGGATATATGCGCGACGCGGCCGCCGCGCGAGAGAAGTATATAAATAGAACGAATCGTACAGCGTTGAAAAAACGAGCTCGTCCTGCTCTCTACTCTCTCCCTGTGCATATATCCTTTCTTACTTACAAACAACATTCTCTTCAACTTAGCTCAACGGAGCGAGGATAGTGCGAGAATATGGGAGGGGGGCTATGAGAGAATTAGCTATGATTAACTGCTACTTTGTGGCGGTGCGAGAGGGTCTGAAACGGAAGAAGTGGATTTGTAGCGTCTTGTGACGCATTATACATCTGATTACATTACTATGGGCAAACATCCGCTTTGGACAGCAAAGCCAGCTAGCTGGGAGGATAGGAGCGTCCGGTTCAGCGTCTGTGTGTAGCACTATAGCGTGCTAACCATGCCCCCTCTCAGCATGATATAAAAGAAATGCGCGGGCTCTCTCTTTTGGAGTAATCCTAACACAGACGCAGGCAGAGCAGCATAGACCATCGCGCTTCGCCTTCCTTCGCGACTATATGCTTATAGAAAAGGTATCGAAAAGAATGGCGCAAGAGTTTCCTCCCACGCACGCACTGCGCTCAAGCTACCGCAAAAAGCAAGGTAATAAGAGTAGAGATAGAAGCGGCGACAGCCGGCGCGTACCCATTATACCATGTGCCTGTGTATCTAAGAGAACCAGACGTCGCGTCCTCCCCGTGAGCCTGAGATCCCGTGGCCGCGGGCGGCGCCGTAATGGAAGCGAGGACCGCCGTCGCCAACGCGAGCCCAGTCGACGAGCCCTCGGTCTGGTACACCAGGCACTGGGTCGCCAGGGGGAAATCGGCCGAAGCGAAGGTAATGTCGGGCAGCCAAAGCGGCAGGTCCATGCCGCCGCCGATTCCGATGTTATATTCCACGTGCGTGAGGTTGGCGAAGGCGTCTCGGAACGCGTCCGCGCTGTTTGTGGCGTTGGAGGGCTCGCAGTCGGCGCCGAAGTCGGCGGCGGCGAGCTGCGTGACGTTCATGTTGAAGGTGGGCAGCGAGAGAAAGGGACCGATGCTGAGGGCGTCGATGCCGAGGAACTTCAAGCCGACGGGCAGGCTGGTCTTGAGGCCGGCTAAGAGGAAGACTTCGACGTCGGAAACGTTGGACTGGAGTGGCTGAGCGGTGATGTCGGGATTGAAGCCGTAGATGCCCGAGTTCTGCGTCTCTGCTAGGTCGGCACGAATATAGGAGTCAGGAACCTATTGTGTGCATAAGCGCGAGTAGTGAGAAAATAAGGGTGCCGAAATTGAGAGGGTCTACTACTGACCACGACGTCAAACCCAAAGCCCAATTGAACTGGTCTATCCAACTCAGCTTTGAATTCTAGCTCGAGTTCAAAGCGCAAACCGATAGATGCAACCCCCGGAATCTATAGGAGCGGGTGAGCAAAACCGTATGCACACTTGGGGTGTTCGTCCATACCTCGGCTCCGATGATAGTTTTGGAGAATACAGGAATGGTCCGGGTCTCATCATCCTCCGGGGCTGCTCGCAAGCCAATAGACATCTCAAAGCCTTTGAGATCTATCTGAGCGGCTCCACTCTTGACCAGATCATCATCTGGGTTATTGAAAACGTTGTTGAACTCGAAGTGTACGGTTGAAAAGATGACTTCGCCCTTGCCGCTGCAATTGTTGCAACCGAGGTCGAAGGGCAGAGATACGTTTCCCGGCAACAGGAAGGGCTAGTCGACCACTTCGAAGGCAAGGGACCCATTACTCACGGTGTCGTTCGCTAGCCCCTCAGTAGCTCGCGGAGCTAGGAAATGTGCGACCGGCGAAGGATTCGTGAGTGTTCGTCGGGAAAGTCGGTCGTGCCGATGTACGATGAGGGCCTCTTCACTATGTCCGAAATCTAATGTCATAGAGGAGAAGGCCTCTTTCAGCGTATTTGTTACGAGCTGAAGGGTAATGCTCGAGGTGCGATCGTCGAAGTGGACTCCCAGGACACTTACATGATGGCGTCAGCCAGGTCGTTTCGGAGTTAAAGGCAATCCCAAACATACCTAAACACGGCATGTGATCCTTTGTCGCTACAAGTCGCGTGTGATGACACGATCAACCCACCAGCCAACGACCCGCACGCTGCGCGTGCTTTAGTATAAGATTCAGCGTTTCGAAACGTGGCCATCATCATCGACTCGTTGCATTCAACCTCATCTAAAAGGTGATCGAACTCTTCCAGAAACAGCGTTGGTCGATCGGCTTCTAGGTGAAGCTGAGAAGCGAGTCGGGGGCCTGTGGCACCATTCTCTCCTTCCAAGACGAGACCGTCAGTAAGGTATCATGCAGGTTGGCACAGGACGGTCAAACCTTCAGCATACAGCAGACTTAGTCTATGGCTCAAGTAGATATCATCGCTTTTCCTCGCAAAAGCATGGTACCTTCTGGCGGCTTTCAGAATCCGAGTTGGAGAGGGTCCATTTGGAAAGCTTATGTCGGTTGCTGCGAGTGACAGTACTGCGAGGCAGACGGAAAGAAATAAGGGCAGGAAGAGGTACATCGTGAAGAGAAGTTAGCGAGTAGGTTTTCAGGAAGGTGAGACCTAGAAAAAACTGGCAGTGTATCGCCAGTTCGATGACTTACTATTTCTCAGTCCGGCATCAAACGACACTTTATGTCAACTATCCACTTTACATCCCATGGGTCGCCCCCACGGAACGCATGTCTGTAATTTTCACGAGGACGGCGTCGTCCTACACTCCCCGCACGCATTTGCCTCAGCCTTGCGCCCTGTGAGCAATCTGCATACATTCCATTGGATCTTTGGCGCTCCAGCATAGAGGAAGAAATTTTGCTCTGCATGCCGCGAGGAGGAGGCGTGATTCTGGCGCTATACCCCGCTTCTAGGATGGCAAACATTGGTGCGGTGTTGAGTTCGGCCCCGGGCTGTGTAAGGCTGTAACACACTTCGGCACCAGCAGGCCGTCTTTAAGTGACGCATTAAGAGATTGTCTCGCCGGAAACGGAAGTGGAGGACGGCGCAAGTGCTTGGGCCACGCAATTCTGTTAGTTGCGGACGGAGCTCACATGGTGAGCTGGCGGAGCTGCGTCCTTCACAGCGCATGGAGCCATGCGTCTCTGCCATGTCAGCCTAGAAGGAAGAGCGCAAAACAAGTCTCTTGCACCATCTTAATCTTGTAAAGTTAGAAGGGAACAGAGCAAGATGCGTCAGGTGTTGGCATGAACCTCATGCCAGAATTCGAAGCAGTCCGGATCCCTATGTGATACGGTTCGTTGCTTTTTGGGGAGAAATCAATCGGCTAACAAATCCGGAAGGTCAATACTTACACTACCGAAGCAAACATTGATTCGCTACCCGAAACAATTCGTGGCTTGCAGTAAGAGACGGCTCCAGTGGACAATGAGTAACTCCACTAGACGAGGCGCAGGGAGACGGGACGAGACAGAAGGTATGCTGATCCTGTACCTTCGCAATGACTTCTGGGCTCGAACCAACGATTAAGTGGATGGTCCGCTATGCATGTCAAGGCAGGAGAGCGCGAAGTAAAGATAGTGCGCGGTAAGTGTTGAATCGCTGCATTTGGCCGTGAGGACTCTGACGCTGAGAGCGAGTGAGCGCTCGTTCGCACTGGTTGGCGGGTTAAGGTAGGTGTTATTGGACGTGGAAAATTGCCGTTTACGACCTAACTTTCCAATAATACTCGTGAAGTTCCCTAACCCAACGAGGGTCGCTGCAGCGGATGCTATCGCTCCGTCAAACGAGGGCGGCTACTATTCAGAGAATAGCTTTTACCCTGGGGCTAGTCTCGACTTACGGCAAATTAATCGCTGCTCATAAGAAAAGCAAAAATAGTCCACCATGAACAGTCCTATGTTCGTCCTACTTGTAGTGGACATGCTTCCGGCTATTTTTCATTCCGGTTGATTGCATGTCTTGGCGGCGGCTATCCAGAATCCCGGATGTTGGAAAACCAGTGCAAAGGTAGTTTGTAGTTGGAAAGCTGAAGCGGGGACGAATGTTGCATGTTTAGGGTCTTGCCATATGGTCTGTTCCAAAGTCGTACCAATCTCGAGCGAGACGGTCCGTTGCAATTCGAGCAGAGGAACCAATTGGTGGACTTGCTGAAGCGCTCGAAGTTGCGCCCAGAGAGGTCAAACGTACACATTTTTGGCAAAAATACCGATCCATCCGTTCTCCTTGTGGTCGGTTATCTTGGTTCGACTGGTTTCATAGCTGACAATCTGCGTAAGTCATTCACTTCGATTGGCGGCGGTACTCGCATGTACTCATGCCTAGGCTTGGGCATTTTGTAGTGTAGCATGTAACACGCAGCACATAGATTAATCCTTGAGAGGGTGAGGCACGAGCTGACGTGGTTCCTCACATCCGGATTCGGCTTAGTGTACGATTTGCGATCCGTTGTCGAGGATAAGTTTCAGTTCGCCGTCACCATCCGAACGATTCCCACGTGGATCCGGTGGACGATGGCGGCCCCAGCTCCTGTGGCTGTTGGCTGCCGTGGTCACTGTCTCATGTTGGAGGGGTCGTCCTAGTTGGCGCCCGTACCTGATTCCTTGTTCGAGAGTAGACTTGCTCTGCGTTGTGTTCCTTCTGTCCTAGATGTCATTGCGATCTCTCCCGCTCTGCACGTCAGAATCAAGGTTGCGGGAGAAGATGCGCGATGGCGGGCTAGATGACGCAGGTGAGGAAGTGGCGTATTCCTATGGCCGGCCTGATCTCGTGTAGGCAGTTCGGAGACCCCGCACTCCATCAAACCGCAGGTTTCAGCGGGTGGCGGTAGACGGAATGATCTGGGTTCTATTCGTTTGCGGGAGATATAGCATCGCAGTGGGACCATGAAGCGGGCTTGACGTTGGCTAGCACCTCTAGATCGAGTTCATTGTCGAACCAAGTTTGGTGGCCTTAGTCACAAGGCCTCGGCCTAGCGGTGGGTCGGAGCACCGGTCGAATGTAGGAGCTGGCTATGCGAACGGTGACGCCTGAGGTCGCTATCTGCTGCGGTCAGATTTTGTCAGATGCATCTAGTGTGGGGCTGTTCTTTGCTCAGCTCCCGCCGCACGGCGTGCAATGGACAGCGGCTACGTGGCGGGGCTCCGTTGCTCCGCTGCTCCGCCATTACATCCTAGCTAGTTGCTCCAGGCTTGGAGATGTTCTGCTGCTTGCTGTGTGCGCGGGCTCAAACCGAGGACGTCTGAAGTCACACAAAACGCTTCGTGGTGACGGCGCATCCTGAGCAATTGCAAATAGCGACTAGGTACTATAGCAGGGCAGACAAAAGAGGGGCAACGATGATAGAACGGTTGATATGGATGGCGATGAGGGTAGCTTGCGTGGACTTTGGTGACAGAAAGGTGAGGGGTCAATCCAGGCGGATAATGTTGGGAAGGCGCGATGCTCCCGCTTCGGGTAGTCGCAGGCGAACGGTTCGGCGAGCGCATGAAGCGTGATGGGAACAGCAGTTCGGCCAAAAATGGAGACAGAAAATCGATACAGAAGATGCGCCAACTTACGTATACGCCTTCATCTATTCGAGGCCGTTCCTGGCTCGCGTGCTTGTGCACATCGCTGGGCACGGCAGGGTCCAAGCAAGCGCATGGAATGCATGAATGGTAAACCCAAAGATCTCAGAACAGCGGCAACTGTTTACACGACAATCGGCCCTCCTCCGTGCCTGAAAGGGACGCTCGGTTGCGATCTCTTCTCAAATCTCTGGTGCCAGTGTGTACAAACATGCAGCTGCCAGTGGCTCAGTGGCGAAGAGACTGCCTTGCGGTTCAAGCGCGATAACAGAAGCGTCGGAGAATTAAAGCGCATCCCCACCGCGCTCGGTCCTTCGCCCTCCTTCACCGTGCTCAGCGTGCGTGGCACAAACAGCGGCATGCAGAACTCGATTCGCTGAGACAGCTATAAGCTTGATCTTATGCTCGACGATTGGGATGCCAGATGCGGCGAGGAGGTCAAGCCACAGATGGCCGTGGGCCTGGGCGAGGGGTTCGGAGATGGCGTTTGCGCTCGGCGAATTAGCGTCGAGCCGTGCTCCGAAGCTTTGATGACGAGGGACGCCACTCGTCGCGGCGTAGCGAGGCTGATGAGAGAGGTCCGGATGGCCAGCTCTACCGCGAATCTCTACATCTAAACATGGATTCTCCACGGCTGCATGCGTGGCCACAAGATCGCCTGCTGACCTGCGGCACAGGTACATCATCGAGGTGAGGGGCGATGCGATACGATAGACGGCTGCACCGCCGACGTTGCGCAAGGGTTAGAGCTCGCATGAAAACCAGAGGCGACATGAGCAACGGCGGGTTTGTCGCAGAACCCTGCCGCATCTACCTCCCATCTACCTAGTACCGCGCACCGTGGACACCCTCAGAGATCGAGAGCCCTCCAGGCACGAATGCGGAGTCATGCATACGGCGCGGCGAGCGTGCGCTCATTGGGGCGTCGCAGAAGACGAGGCCATCTAAACAAACAAGCTGCAGCCGGGTATGCACTCAAGCGCGCAGTAGATTAGGCGCACAGCGTGTGTTATTCTTGGTCGCTGTTGGTACGGAGCTCCGTATGTACAGTAAGTACATCTGACTGTGTACCCGTCACCCGTCAACCCGTCGCCCGTCGCCCGTCGCCCGTCGCTGGAGACGAAGGGCCGCCGCCCCCAGCCCCGACTGCGAACTCTGAGCCGCACGCTGGCGGAGGCGCGCGACGAGGCATGTTGCCAGGCCTGAAACGCGAAGTCACGAAGATGAAGGCTAGCGGCGACGACGAGCGATAATTTTAGTTGGCCGCCCTCATTTCCCAGGGCCCGCCGCCGGCCAATCACGGCGCGGCGTGGCGGACCCTGGCCCCTGCGCGCCATTCCTTCCTCGCTGCAGCGTCTTTGCCGAGACAGCCTCTTCCTGCGCGCTCCCCCATGCTCCTTCCTCCTCTCCACGGCCAGAGTTGCAGCTTCCTCACCCGGAGTCGCTCATTCAATTGCACCCTGAGCCGACCACCCTTCCCTTCTCAGCCCGCATCTTCAACCGCCGAGGGCTCGCCGTTTGACTGACGCTTTGTTTTATATCCAGCACCGCCCGGCCCCTTGTGTACGCTGCCCGGATGGACTTGTGAAGCTGCGCGTCTGTTGCTGGCCGACCACTCCTCCGCCAGACGTGCTCAATTGCCACTCACACCTCGCGCCGCCCTCATCTCTCGCCCCCGCCGACCCGCCTGCAGCCATCATGGACGACGACGCGTGCTGCGACCGCTGTGTCGACGCTCAACGACCGCTTGACTGCCGTCCGCCTGCGAGCGTCCCCCGTCGCCAAAAGCAACAGCGCATCTCGAAGACCTCGCTCGCCATCTCGCTCGTCGCCGCCTCTCTCCCTGCGACTACAGCGCAGAGCTGCGTATCGCTGCAAGGCTCGACCGCCTGCCCGGCCTTTACCAATGCTTCCATCAGTACCGGCTTGACGGGCGACTTGTACGTGCAACCTCACGTCAGCCTCGTGCTGTGCCTGCATGCATGCTAACGACAGCTGAACAGTTCCTTCCTCTCATTCGTATCAGACGTGCAGACCTTCGACAATCGATTACGGGAGTATATCGCCACAGATTACGCAAGGACAAAGTGAGTAAACCGTGCCTTTGCGTGTGGGGGAGCTGCAGCCGCTGACGGTTCCACAAGGTACCAGCAGATTCTGGGCTGCTCCAGCGTCGATCTGACCAACACGACCGACATCTATGCACGCTATACGACTACATTTCTCTGTAATGCCATCGTCCAGGCCTCGGTCGAAAATTGCAGCTTGGACAGCGACAATTCAACGCCGCTATGTGCAGATTCCTGTGTATGTGTTTCAAGTTATCATTTCGCGAAACCACGCTCGCCCCAGTGCTGATTGGTCGACAGGCTCAATTTGCCATCAGCGAGCAGGAAATAACCGCCAGCCCTGAATTATGCGGCACGCCAGGCACCAATGCGATTGATCAAATTCGATCAGATTTCATCAGGTGTTCGCTGCCGTCGCGCTCGCTCAGCGGCGCCTGTGTCACCGCCGTGGAGAACGAGCCTGATGAATGCGGCTATTCGTCTAACCTTCAGGGCCTCTGCTCCTTCTGCGCTTCGAGCTCCCCTAACTCCACCGACTCGTGCTGCGTCAATGCGAATGTCGAGTCGCGCTGTCAAGGTGTGCATCTACCAACGACCACGTCGATGCCGCCCCTTTTCACTTCGACGTCCTCTGCCGCGCCAACGGCAACATCAGCCGCAGCAGGTTCGGGTTCGTCTTCCGGTCTTTCTGGAGGCGCAATCGCAGGCATTGTCATCGGATCGCTTGTCGGCGCCATTATCCTTCTTGGAGCCATTATCGCCGGCTGCGTCTTTATGAGGAAGCGGAGACGAAGCCAAAACGGCAGTGTCTTCAACACCCCGTCCCCAACTCGCCAGTCTGTGCCTGCACCACCCATGACCTACGGCGGAGACGGACATTCTCCAACCACCATCCTCCCTGGCGCTCGTGTGGCACGCATGTCGGCACTAGAAGGATCGAGCTCATCGGAACATCACGACTCTCGAGCAGGTGGTGCTCTAGGAGCTTATCGTACTGTTCCTGATGATACTTACGAATCTCCAGATTCTGGCCGCAGCCATCTCGGAGGACCCTTACCCAAGCGCGACGGATCGCTATCGAGCCATTCTGCTCTTGCAGCTGGGAGTGACCATTCTTCGCCTCAGTCAGGATCTAACCCAGATCGAAATTTCTCCAGCCCTGAGGGCGTCGCATCGGGGCAATCTGAGCAATTACAGTTTTTCAAGGACTATTATTCGCAAGATGACATCCACCCCAACGACACGGTCGCAACGCTATGGGCGTATCAGCCCCGAGCCAACGATGAGTTCGAACTTGAGCGAGGCGATATGCTTAAAGTTGTTGGCATCTGGGACGACGGGTGGGCCACAGGCGTCAAGGTTTCCGAGACAGCCGAAGAGTGGGAAGCACGAAGAGCTGTGCAACGCGACTCTGGCGTTAGTAACGGCAGCCGACAATCACGCATCGAAGCAGACAGCGAGATTAAGGCATTCCCGTTGGTGTGCGTGTGTTTACCACAGCACTGGCGGAAGACGATTGAGGGAGACAGCACGGACACAGGGGGAGGGAGTGGAGGTGATCGACCACCTCCCAGCCCTTAATGACCCCTGTTTCCTGTTTGTTGACCGTCTTTAGTCGTTTCTTCTTCGTCTCCCTCTCCGATCCCATCGGTCGACCCTATTCCGATGGCGCCTCCTGCCTTGTCCATCTCGAGAAGGCCTAGAAAATCACGACCTCCTCCCCACCCCATGACTCCGCCGGCCGGCCTACACTCCTCAGGCTCGAGCACTCTGATCAACTCACCACACCGAATAATGCGACACGATGATGGCTAGTTATGCTATGCCCCGTTGATTTGGATTCTGATTTCTGATTCCGACTTTGGATATTTGAGGCCGTTTGATACCCGTTTCGGATTGCATACCTCTTGGGACCTCGCATTGCATTGCTCAGCGCGCACTCCTACCAGCACCGCACCTGGTCGTCCCATCACATCGATCGACCGAACGTAATCATAATACCTCAGCCCACCACCTTCGACGTAGCGACGACACATTTCCCTTTTCGCGCTTTCCTTTTGTTTCGGCGAACCGGTAGATTTTGGCGGGCGGCTACTGTTTAATACGCTCTATCCACACCGCTGCACACGAGGTGCACCCTCCTTCGCGTAATCGACCGATTGCCGCTAATCCTGCGTCTTCATCACTGCCACCAAAGCCAACTACCATCACGCTCATTAATCCCGCCGAACACACTACCGAGTCTCGACATTTCTTACCTGCCGTTGGCTTCCTTTTTCCGTTCTATACCCGATTCTGGCTTTCGCCAGGTTACGAGTTTCGATTCTCCGTTTTCCTTCTGCTCTCTCCTCACCACGTGCCCCGTGGGCGAGGATGACCGGGCCTTCTATATAATCACGGTTTTCAGAAAAAGAAGAGTATATGCGGAGGTGGCTTGGAGCGAAGCACTTGTACATACCGAGGCTGAGGAGGGAGGAGGAAGAAGGGACATAATCTTAACCTTTGATATTTCTAAGATATCCAGCTTTGTGGATGCTGTGGTTTTGGATAGCAGCAAAGGTTTCCTGTTCCTGGCTTTTGCTGCTTCTGTCAGAGAAGCTGTTGTGTTGGAGAGGGGCAGCCGATTGGATAGATAGCAATGGGATATGGTTGGATAGTGAGCTCGCGCGCCCCTTCACTCCCACACCCCTACGTTCGCTTGGCCGGCCGACAAAAGCGTTCAGTCACCAAACCCTATTCTGGTCTCAGCTCATAGTTTGCAAACAGCATCTCGAGTCTGTCCCACCCCACATGTTCCTAAAGAAACACGGTGCAGGGGCTTCCGCGCAAGCACACACGCGGGACGTTGTTAGGCTAGCGGGCATGATCGCGAACGTTTCTGTGTAGGCGGGTATTGGAAATATCTCGTACTCCTAGTACCACCGCCAGGCGGGTGAATCACGCAAATCAAATCCTATCGAACGCACGAACGCGCATGCAACGCACGCAGCTTTATGCGAAACATAGTATCCAGCAGCCCGAACCGTGGTTGAGCGAGCGGGGAATCGTGCAAAGGTATTTCAAAACTTCAGACCGTGCGGTGCTGCTGGTACCTGGTACCGCTTGTCTTGAGCTGGGCTGGGATGTGTCGCGCGCGGCTTAGGGTGATTTTTTGGGTGGGAGGGGGTAGGTGTTGTGTTGTGTGACTTTGGTATTTGAGAAGTTTATTTTTGAGGGTTGCGTGCGTGCAGGTGGGGGGGAGAGGGTGTGTGGGGGAAAGGCCTGGCCGGGTGGGTGCTACTGCAGCGTTTCAGATCGATGTTCTGCCGGTATACTGTGTATGTATAGAATTAGACTTGTCGAAGATGGCGATGATGATGATGATGATGGTGGTGAAGAATCGAGAATCGAGGAGGGGGCTTAATAAGACGCGTATTATAGACAAGACGCACGGCTGACCGGCCGGCCGGTTGGGAAATAGGGGGTGGGCTTTTCGGGTTGTTTATTATGCGTGCGTGTAGGGGCCACGTGATCTCGGCCCGTTTGATCGCCCCGGCGGTAATTAGGTAGGAGGTGGAATAGGAGGTGTATGCGTTGGCGAAGTTGTTCGGGGGCAGGTAGGCGGTTTTTGGACTGCGTGGGTGTTCGCTTGATGGTCGTAAGGTAGGTGTTGTGTCGGCGAAATAGTTGTGCGTTCTGTGTTGGTTTAGTGTTGTATCGATTTTTCTAGGCGGGGATATTGGACGCCCCCTTTTTGGCGTTCAGCGGCCATGGCCTGGCTGATGATATGGCGAATGCGCAAATCACCCCTTTTACCACTAGTATGAACTATCTTCTTGCCTCCGCGGCCCGTAAGGCTGATAGTCTATTAGCATCTCTGCTTTTCGACTGACAGCTCTCCGCTATGTTAGCGTGCCGCCATCTGATACTGTTCGTTATTTATCCTTCCAGGAAGTCGCAAACTGTACTCCTAATCGCTTCTAAAACCGAACAGCTTGAGTTCATGGGGAAAACTGAGCGGGGTTGGGCGGAACAGCGGCGCTGGGACGTTGTGATGTCTATCTGAAGTGTGCGCGTGGGTGAGGTGGTGGATAATTGGGTGCCATGCGGTGGTGGCGCATCTCCTTGGACGTGCGCGATTGTCTTCACTGGGTGAGGAATGCGTAGGTGCACTCACTAGTCGAGGAGGGGATGCTGGGGGCGACGCCTTCTGCAACACAACACGACGCATGCACCGACGTCAGTACAGTACAGTATATCCTATCCTATCCGCTTTTTCCTTCTTCGCCCGAGCGGTAGGTATTCGAAAGTTTAAACTCACGACGGTTGATGGCTTGTAACGTCGTGTCGTGCGCTTCCTTCTTTGGCACACTATTCTCTAACACATCACGTTACCTTGATATCCGCCTCATTCACACCATATACCCCTCCCTGTCTTGCGTCGCCTTCGCTTCCTCGCGCTGCTGCATAGATTGCATGTGGCCGCCTTGGTCCTCGGCACATGGGGATGGTTTCGGCTACCGTGGCGTGGAGGCGGCGTTCAGCGGCCCCTGGGATGGGATGGGGTGGAATGGAAAGGGGGATGGTTGGCAGCTGCGTCGAAGCCAGTAGATTGGAGCGAAACGGTCAAGATTCCAGACCTCCATTTCTACATCATAGATGCATCAACGTTTGTTATATAGCCTTGGAAAGCTGATTGATAAGGGCGCCTAATACTTACCGTGCAATGATGCAGAGTAGCACTCACTCAATCATCGGAAGAATAATATTCCCGTATCTGCAACCCATAAGCAGCTTGCATGTCTCGAAGAAGTCGACCAGACTGATGGACCATGTATATGTACCATAACGGGCCGAGGTGGAATAGCGGCGGAAGCTATCTTGGTGGCGTATCTGCAAGGCATAAGCCGCATGCATTGCGCTAACCAGATCCGCTCTATAGTGGAGTGGATCAGGTACCACAAAAAAACCTCAAAGACCTTGACGTGTGAACAAAACCCAAGGAAATCCGATTTTCTTCGGAGCGCCGTTTCTAATCCGCTTCAAAGACTCCGGGCATGCAACTGGCTTAGTTGCGGGTCCTGTGCTATCAAGCCGAATTTGACCGAGCCAGTCTCGTACGCTGCTAGATATCCACGAAGGGCCGCATTTTTTATCCAAAACCTTTGCAAAACATGGAGCGATTGCGGTGGCGGGTGGACGTCGGCGGCTTCTGTGCGCTTCCTGGGCGACTTCCTTTATCACCGCAAATGCCGACCAGCGGGGGCCGCGAGTATAAATCTGAGGCTGGCGGACGCAGGACTGGGCTTTCTGGAGCTACTTACTTACTTCGCTATTCACATCTCCAGCTCTTCGCACCGAAGTTGAAGTGCTTCGCCTACCTTAAGTCATCCGTTCCCTCTGATCTGTTAAGTCGTCCACCATGGCAGACTACAAGTTTGAAGGCTGGCTCGGCCTCGACAAAGATGCAGATAAGGGCAAGATGGTCTGGGGCGAATTCGAGCCCAAGGCGTGGGAAGAGACGGACATCGATATCAAGATCACGCACTGCGGCATCTGCGGGTCCGATCTCCACACTCTCAGGAGTGGCTGGGTAAGCCAATCCCGCCTCAACCCCCATAGCAGAAACCGAAGACAAAAGCAGTAGACTGACGGTTGATCCAAGGGCCCAACACCCTACCCATGCTGCGTCGGCCACGAGATCGTCGGCACCGCCGTCCGCGTCGGCAGCAAAGCAGAAGGCGGCATCAAGGTCGGCGACCGCGTCGGCGTCGGCGCCCAGTGCGATTCTTGCCGCGGCCGCCTGGGCAAAGCATGCGAGGCGTGCGCATCAGGCCTGGAGCAGTATTGCCCGCATCTGGTCAGCACGTATGCAGCAACACATGTGAGCGGGGACAAGTCGTATGGCGGGTACGCGCTGTACAACCGCTCGCCGTCGCATTTCGTGGTCAAGATTCCGGAGGCGCTTCCGTCGGCCGCTGCGGCGCCTATGCTGTGTGCTGGCGTCACGACATACTCCCCGCTGAAGCACTATGGGTGCGGCCCAGGGAAGCGAGTTGGCGTGCTCGGGATGGGTGGACTGGGGCATTTCGCGGTGCTTTGGGCGAAGGCCTTGGGCGCTGAGCGCGTTGTTGCTATCTCCCGGTCGGCGGGGAAGGCTCCGGATGCGATCAAGCTGGGAGCTGATGCGTACATCGCAACGGAGGGTGATTCCTCTTGGCTGGAGAAGAATGCTGCATCTCTTGATATCATCATATCAACGGTATCTTCGTCGAAGGTAAGTTACTTCCTCGTGTCCACGAAACCTTAAACACCACCGCGGCAGCTGCTGAAATTCCGAAATTTAGACGCCCCTGGGCGACTACCTTGGTCTTCTCCGAAGAGATGGGACGCTCGTTCAGGTCGGCAATCCCGATGACGGACTTTTCCATGTCCCTGCTCCTCGGTTAATCATGCAGAGGACGAAACTAGGAGGCTCGGTAATCGGATCCCCGGCGGAGATTCGAGAGATGCTCCAGCTGGCTGCGGACAAGAACATCCGTCCAATGGTTCAGGAGCGCCCAATGAAAGACGCCAACCAGGCCATCATCGACATGGAAAATGGCAGAGCGAGGTATCGATACGTCTTGGTGAACGAAGGTCATCTGTAGGCTTTCAACCCCGCTTCTCATATCGAATAGATTCAACTTGGCCATTATTTGCTTCGATCCACTGGTGTGTAGAGGATAAGAGGACAGAAATTCAACTCTAGAAAAGACAGTCCTGTTACTTTGTTTCACAATCCATAGCATATCCGAAACTCCTGGAATCAAGTCTTCACTTCTCAAGAAGCGACAACATCATAACTCTCTGCAGCTCATCTGCATCTGTCCCAGTATTCGTCCTCTGAAGCCCCAGCAGCGCCTCTCTCTCGCTCCTCTCCAGCGCCTGTGCCAACGCGGCATCGTCCTCATCCTCATTCAGACCCACGTCCTGCACCGTCGACCCATAAAGCTCGAACACGCCCTGCGTTTCGGGTAGCTGTTGCACTGGTCTGGGCGGCGCACGCCGCGCCTCGAAGCGGCGTCGGACCCAGTGGCTTACATCATTCGGGTTCTCTGGGCACTCAAAAGGATCATTGGTGCTATTGCTACTGCTGCTGCTGCCGGCGCTTACGGTGCTGAAAGGCCGGTCGTTGGAGAAGCGTGGGCGCACGCTACGTTTTCGACGGAGAAATTCGCGCTTTTGAGCCATTGAGGTGCGGTCCGTCTCGGATTGAGGGTAAGCCGGCGTGGCTGATATGAGAGAGATGTCAGTGAACTTTGTTCTACAATGTGGGTGAACCATATACTTACTGGTTCTCTTCAGCGGTTCGCCATCAGCCAGACTACGAGGGAAGCCACTGATCGGGAAGCCGCTGAATGGGTGCGGATTCCTCTTATCGTTGGTTAGGTGAAGATCAATGGACACAACCCCCGTCTGCTGAGATACTGGTATAACAATGGAACCGACGTCGAAACAGCCTGTTTCAGTCATCATCCTTACTATCCCCCGCTCGATAAAGATGCGCTGCTTTCTTTCGCTATATTGGGCCTCTTGAACGAGGAAGTAAGGTTGGAACAACTGCAATTGATGCCGTTACATGTACAGACCGAGGCTGCGGAGGTTGTCGGAACCTTTTGCAAATCGACAGCAGATAGTACCTACAAGATCTTCTTAGCATATGATCACAGCGTCATGTGGTCTGTCAGGTAGATCTCTTTTCTGGCGAGGATGTATCTCGGTCATTTTGTGGCTCACCTTGTACCACGAAGTGGTCGTCGACTTCCCTAGCTGGTCCCGTCTTCTCGAAATAGAAGCAACTCGCGACAAGCCTATATGGTATGCGTACAACCTTGTCTCGCATATGGTGTGCCTCTAGGCGTGAGCTAACATCCTCGTATTGCTTGTCGATCTGATTCTTTTCATCCATTTTGGGCGTTTTGAATCTGACTTGGGGATTGAAGCGCATTTACCGACGCGCTCGGACGGGTCCAGAGCTGCCGATGACATCATGTCGAAAGCCCTTCCATATAGCCTCCGAGTCTAGGAGGTTGTCCACGCGCTTGAAGAGTACATTAAGCCAGGGGTTTACTTCTGGGAAAGCCCATAGCGCAGGGTGGTTGCGTTGTTCCGGTCGTGGTTTCTTCAGAACGTTTCTGTTGTGGAATCGTCTCCGGTCCGTCTGGGTGAGGTCTACGAAGCCCTCAGTATCAGCTCCACTGTGTCCAGTGCCAATAGATAGCAGGATGTCCGGATGATGGTCGTCGACGTCTGGCTAGAGAAGTTTGCCTTCATAGTTCGCAATCCGGACCGGGTTGTTATAGAATACAGCCCCTTTAATAAAGCCTTACTTAGTTATCTAAAGGCGTTAATTACTTGATTTATTAACTTTAAAAATTTTATACACTACGGTTCTCTTACCCCCTATTTTAGGGGTAAGAGCCCTAAGTAGGGGGGTATACTGCTCCGTAGGAGTAAGATTACGTGAATTTATTCCGTATTACAGATTCTTAGTGTTTACTGCTAGGGTTCCTTTTCACTACCTAGCGTACGCAGCTATTACTAACACTACGTATTCAGCTCCAGTATATTCAGGGGTAAGTTAGCTATTCCTTCCCCCGCGTAGGGAGCCCCCAGAGCTCGCAATTCACCCACACTGCGGGTTCCCCCCCCTCCTCTCTCTCCTAGTCAGCCCCGTCTCTTAAGGCTCTCTCTAGTTACCCTTCTAGCCAATCAGAGAATAGAGCTTATACCCCTAATAGGCCCGGAGGAGTCACCTAAATAGGGGCCTTCGTCTTCCCCCTAATTTAGGGTGGAGCGGAACCGTAGTGTATGCTATAAACCTGGTCCCGCAGGGTACGGCCTGCTGCGATCGCCCCGCCACCAGCCTGGTAAGTATTTTCCACCATTCCATTGCATTGAAATGGCCGTAATGTCCTTATTTCTAGGCTTGCAGTGACTTCTCTTTAGATGGCTTGGATTCTTACCTTTGACCAAAGCTTCGCGACAGCTCGAGAAAGGATAGTATGTGCAAGGGCTGACTTTATGTTTACAGTTTACTCTCATCCAAGCATTTTGTTACCTGCTGCAGCCTTCTCTGCGAAGTTCTCTAATACCCATAATGGATGATTTGACAGAACACGTGAATCATCCTTCAACGCAGCGCGATGAAGTCACCGAGACCGATGCGTCTTCGTACTGCGATTGTTCGTTTTTGTACTGCGAGTATGCTTCCTCGGACTGCGATTATCTTTCCGCTCAAGATGAAAAGCTCTGCCACTCGTGGAAAGAATGTGACCGACAGTTTGAATGTGGTGGTCGTCAAACTCGTCACTGGAAAGCGCGGCTTCGGAAGCTGCTCATGGCGGCCGTGCACAACACGTAACTGCACCAATCATTCTGGTGGGCTCAATAGCTGATATCAGTGCAGAAAGTCATTTAGTGTCACCGCCGTATTATGCGGTTGGCCAGCAGGAAAGTTCTCATCGACCATCTCGGTCGCAACGGCCGCCAGAACTACATCCACATTAACTTTGGTAGCAGAAAACAGTAAGGGCCGGCTGGAATACTCTCTATCTTCCAGACACGCACCACACTCTCTTCAGCATAGCCACGGACCTCTGCAACCCTTTACTCCAGGACCTTGTCGGCCCCTTGCCATTCCTTCATGTCCCGCCAACCCGTCCAGTCATGATCCGCAGCAGCAGCATCAAGTTGATCAGGCGCTTGCAACTCCCCAATAGGGTAACCCTGTACATTTTCTTTTCGTTCTCATAGCTTTTTACCTTACTTTAGCATATGCATTGCGCTTTCGGCGTCTGGCGAAGTTACATCTTCTATAATCGGTACCATCTCTGGTAGATTCCGTCAGGTGTCTTCATCTTGCGTTATATATCCGTTCAGACCCTGGGTTTCCAACGCATTGCTTGCTCCATATACATTGTTTCGAGCTTGATGATTCGCTTGAGTCAATAGTGTAGCCGATTGTAAATGTCGGGACAAGTGACGCAAGCCTCAATCAGACTCTACGCCCAGACATTCCTCCAAATCGTTTAGATCTGCCTCTAGATCATCCGTCTGGTAATACTTCCATTGATCTGGACTAATCAGACTAATAATCTAGGGAGTAAGATCAAAACATACCCGCCCACTGCTCACTAGCAAACTTATCCGTCCGCTCCGCATACTCCTCAGCCGTATCATCCTCTTCGGGATCGCCCGGCCTCCTCACCCCATGGACCCATTTGAAAACGTTATTTGGGTCCCACCTCTGCTTCACCTTTCTCAACTCATCCTTATTTCCCCCAAAATACCGTTCCTCATGTAACTTTGTCGGAAAATCCCTGTCAGGAAAATTCATAAACGCCGCCTTCTCGTTCAGCGACAGCGAACGGAGCTGCTTCTTGACACTCGCCAAGAAGAGCCGCATATCCAGCTCCATCCACTTGTCGACCCATTCGACTGTCACATAGGCATGGAAGAGCGCGTCGCGCCAGAAGTAGGCGGTCTCTGTGCTTTGGAACTCCGAGGCCTTCCCGCCGGCGTGGATCCACGTAACGAGGAAGTTGACCTGTTCGCCGTTGAACTTTTCGCGGAAGAACTTCATACGCTCGCAGATCACAGCGGTTATCTTCTCAAAATCAGACGCCTTGGTGAAGATGAAGGAGCTGTAGAGCTCGTACGTTTTGTTGGAGGGGTACGCGCGCTCGGCTTCTTCCAGCCACTGGGCAACGAGCGTCTCGTAGAGGAAACGGCTCGACTCCTCTGCGAGAACGCGCCGTTTGAGTTGAGTCTGCAGGCCTGGATGGGCGATGTGCGTGGTGATGAGGCGATCGTACTCGACCTTGTTGCCGTCGAAGGACACGTTGAAGCGCACGCCGCCCTGGTTCGAGGCCTGCCGCAAGTCGCAGATCCAGGTCGTATCGATGGTGAGCTCCTGCGGCCATGGGGTACGATAGAAGGCGTTCATGGTGGCGACGACGTCGTCGGTAAAGCCGGATGGGGGGAACCATTGGTACCGCCCCGCGACCACCATGCCTCGCAGGTTGCGGAGTTTCTGGACGCTGAGTTTCATCTGCACGACAACGCCAAAGTTGCCACCACCGGCGCCCTGCAGGGCCCAGAAGAGACGGCGTTCCCACGAGCCGGGCGGGTCGGTTTTGCGGACGGTGACGATGCCGTCGTTGGCAGTAACTATCGTCGCCTCGGCGAGGGTATCGGCCCCCATGCCGAAGCTGCGCGTGAAGGGGCCGAGACCGGCGCCCAGGATGAAGCCACTCACGCCGACGGTAGGACAGCGACCGCCGTTGATGATGTAGCCGTCGTGGCGGCCTATGATAAGTTTCTCGTAGACGTCACCCCATTGGCAGCCGGCACCCATGGTGACCGTCTTGGGTACGGAATTACTATCGAGCTCAAGCACAGCGTTCTTCATCCGGCGTAGGTCGAGAGAGATGCCGCTGAAGGCGGTCGAGTGGCCGGCGTACGAGTGTCCATTGCACTTAATCGTGATTTTGAGCTTTCCAGCTATTGCTTCTCTGATGATGGTTTGGACTTGGGCGGGGGTTTCGGGCTGGACGACACATTCGGGGCGTGAGAAGCGGAAAAGAAGATTGGCTGTTGCGATGGCATGTCGGTACTCAGCCTCGCCGGGCACCAGGACGGAGATATTTTGGCGGTTGAAGGCTTGGATAGCCTCCTGCATTTCAGTCATGGCAGCGTATGACGCCAGAGAGTCACGAAAGTTCAAGAAGGTGTTTCGTCCTTCTGCTAGCAGCCAACACACGCTTCTCGTGGAGCATATGTATAAGCCATACTTTCTACGACATACCTCGTGTGAAGGACCCCGCATGCTGACCACGCCACAGCCTTCCACCCCAGAATAGGGTATGCGTGTCTGCCCAACCGACACTGCCGGGAAGCTGGTGGCTTGCTCGTGCATATAGGTGCATTCCGGCTTGCAGGAAATTGGTCCCTCCCCGTTGTCCCCGAAGTCCCGTTGTGGGTTCTTACACCCAGCGTTCCGCCACCTTGAATACTGTGAAAATACTAAACTCCCAACACCTCATATCAAACATCGTTGAAAACCAAAATTGTACCATGGCCACCGCAGAGGAACAGCGGACTTCTAGCAACTTTTTTTAACTCAACCTCAACACGGACGCCATCATCAACAACGCCCTCGAATACCTCAAGCCAGAAAAGCTCACTGCTCTCCTAGAAGAGCACAAGAGTCCGTCACCACCCACTCACATCCCCATTATACCCCGCACTTACAAAGCCGTACAGGCGGTTTCATCGTCGCCGGCCTCTGGCTGACCTTCTACCTCCGCTCCTGGCTCTCCTACCTCTCCATCCTCTCCCTCAGCACACTCCCCCTCGTCCTCCTCGCCCTGCTATCCTTAACCCTGACCACCCCTTCCCGCACCCTCACCGGCCTTGGCTACTATGCCTACACCGAAGTATCCTCCTCCATCATCTCCATGAGCAAAAAGAACCTTCCTACCTGGCTTCCCCGCGCGATCCCCGTTGTGTTACTCTTTCCCGTCACCCGCGCCGCGATGCTCCTTTTGGTGCTAGCGGTCTGGGAAATTGTGGCCAAATACCGGAGCGGTGTTGCTCGTGCGACTGAGGGTGCAGATGACGCACTCCGCCGCGCGGTAGCGGCTGCTGAGAAAGCGGGTGAGCACATCCGCGAAGCTAAAGGGCTGGAGTGGCAGGCCATGCAGCTGGCTGCCGCGGAAGTGAACCAGAATAGAACGGTGATGTCGGGGGCAACTATTCGGGCGGCGGAGGGGGTGAAGACCGAAGTTGAAGGAATGGTGAAGGAGGCGCGGAGTTTGGAGGCGACTGCGGAGAAAGTGAGGAAGCTGGTGGAGAAGGCGAAGGCGGTGGCTGAGGAGGGAGATTTGGATACGGCGGATGAAATGGTGGTCAATGTGGAGAAGTTGCTTGCGAAGGTTGTGCGAGGGGAGCAGGAAGTTGGGGAAAAGGTGGAGGTGTTGAAGGGAAAGCTTTGGAAGATAAGTTTAGGCCATGGGTCTGGCTAGGCAGAGATGCTTCAACATGTATGTAGAGAAGTTGTTGGCGATGAGCCCAAAGGCGGCCGGTGGCAGGTGGGAAGCTGTACTTTACAGCGTGGATAACGATAGAAATTCCTCAGAAACCTAGAGTCGGGGTTTTTAGTGTTGGGCTTCGAGTGGCACTTAGAAACTTGGCTTCCGCCTGAGAGATTACTGCGTTAAGCCGAAAAGGAAGCCAAGAGCATGACTACCCCTTCATCTGAACTGAACACTCTAACCCAGCTTTAGGGGCTCGAACAACGTCTCAATAAGCTGCAAGAAATTCATTAATCCTGCAAAACCAACCACCAGTGGAGAAGAAGTACTCACCCATCGGTCCAGCTTTCGCTCATCATGCAACGATTGAAATACCTCATCTAACCTGCCTGTCTGGTTGTCAGTACTGCTGTTTTGTTAGACACAGCTCCAAAAGAGTACTTACCGGCAAAAATATGCAATACGCTAGCAAGCGCCGGGTTTTGTTTGCGTGCGTTTTCGAGTTTGCTCAAAAAAGCCTTGGCTTCGTCCGATGACCCAATTTGGCCAATCAAGAACTTGACACCTGCAAAACATACTCAGCAAACCGAACACCACCAACACCACGCAATTTAAGGAAACTGGAAGCATACCGTCTCTCGGACGTCGGTAATCTTCCAATGTATTTCCACACTGGACAATCACATTCACCAGCTCTTCGTCCTTTTTTGACGGGGCACCATCGGTAAGAATGGATACAAGCAACGGCCGCTTCAGCGTGCCCTTCGTAAGCGGTTCATATACCATGGGCTGGAGGATGCGCTCTCGCAGCTTCCTACCAATATACGTACCGCCTCGCGCAGGAATTGAGTTGAGCACTCGGCCGATGTCTTCGAGGCGCAGGGTGGAGGACTCATCGGTTTGATGGTTGATGAAGCGGAGGGCGACGCCCTCGCCGTCAGGGAGGATCCGGGTTGTGGTCCTCGCAATACGAAGGGCTAGGCTCCGCTGGCTTGGCCATCGGCCTTCCGCCGCGCCCTCCTCGTCGACCATGGAGCCGCTATCGTCTTCTGCTTGTCAGTGACATCAAAATGGAGAACCGGGCTGGCTTACCGCAGTAGATGACCTGCTGATGCATGGTCACTTGAACAGTCTTGGGAAGGACTTCCTCGCTTCCTAGGTCTGAGCTGGTGTCTTTAGCAAGGTCCACTGCCTTCTTCACTATGTCTTGGATGAACTTCTTGTTGTCCTTGAAAAAGCTGTTTAGCATAGGTTTTTCTTGGACATAGGCGTCGACGAGTTTGACGAATTCTTGGGGGGTGGGCTCCCCCGGGCCGGACTGTCTCTGCTTCAAAGTCTGCTTCATTATCAGCGCATCTCGAACGTTGTGTTGAACTGTATGTTCACGCAAATCAGTACCTTTTCAGTGCTCTCATCGCGCTCTCCCTTGAAGCCAAATATCTTGCTCATGGCGCCCTGAAATTTGTCGTTGACCCACGAAACAACATGACGCATGAGTGTTATGACACCGGACGCAAGGCGCATGAGATTCGTTTGCTCTTCCTGCGGCTTCAGCGCGTTTTGCACTGAGCGCTTCCCAGTATTCTGTGCAACCTGAACCGCATTGAAACCATCCTCATTCTTGATATGCAACCTTGCTCCAGCCCTCGCCAGCAGCCGTACAGAATCCACATCCAGGTTCTCAATCGCGCACATCAGTGGCGTGTTGTACTCTGCGAGCTTGCACGTCTTGTCAATCTCGTTAATGTCTCCCTTGAGGGGGCGAAGAATCTTCTGCAAGATCAGCGCACGCTCCCTCGTCGTCTTCCAAGCCGCAAGAAGGAGTGGCGTCTCGCCATTCTTGCATTGTAGGGTCGCCTTTGCACCTTGCTTAAGGAGCTGCTCGACTAGGTTCGGAAATCCAGACACCACAGCGGTTGCAAGCAGTGTCCAGCCGGTGGTGGGGTCGTTTGAATCAAGTTCGTTGTCAGTCAACCCGGCCACTATCAAGGTGCCTCTGCGTGCTTCGTCAAAGATCGTCATCTTTACGGTTGTTGGGTTCCGCACTCAGGTCAAATTGCAGAGCAGAGTAGAGTCAAGCAATTCCCCTCACTCATCCAGCAGAGTACGCACCCCACAGTTTGGCAATGTGCAACTTCTCTGACAATTGATTGTATCGGAACACTTTTGCAGGACATGGCGGTTATCGGGCAGCATTGCAGCAGTGCTGTAATCCCGGTGAAGCAACATGCAATCTCTGGTAGGCGAAGCCTAGATCGGCGATGCCATCATTGAAAGTGCGACACGGAGGTGGGGGATCATTGGATGTTCACCAGAGTCTCGCCGAAGCATAAACCAAATAGACTCTCCCGCATATCGCACAATATCCCGACGAGGATTTTGTCGGACACGTCGTCCAATCAATTGTTATCCAGCGCAGCAAGTAGGACCAGGGGCCATGTTGATCGGCTGTTATAACTCGAAACGTCGAAAGGCTACGAGAAATAGCTTCCGTGAATACGAAGCTGATGTTACGCAGGGCATTGCGATTTCTTGATTGGTGCTGGCCTGCTTACCTGAAGCATAATTCCGCCGCTCTGATTCCATTGCAAATCACTGACCACTCCACTGGTACCGTCGTCATGCGTTGCGTGACGGGTTCAAGTAGATGAATTACATGTTTCTCTTAGCATCAAAGAAATAAATGTCTCAAGAGACTCTTAAGGCTACAGACCATTGTAGAGACAGGGCAGCCTAGTTCGCGAAAAGAGCAACAAGCTGAATTTTAATCGAGGACAATTCAGCACCATGGTAGCCATACCACGATGGTATCTTTGCTGCTACTGGTGATTCGTTGAAGTGCTCTGCATCTTATGGTTTGGTATTGAAGCTCATTGGGGTGTCAGGCATTGTCGCAGCTGCAGCTGATAATGCATCACACAAAAGCAAGATCAGAGAGGGGAAAACAAAGCCGGAAACGGAAAGTCGGGATGGACTCAAAGGGTCCAGCCACTTGTTTTCCTGCAGCGAGAAGCAAGCCATATTGTCTTCTCAGCTGGTTCCGGAACGGTGGCGCAGTCCTGGGCCAGCGAACAACTATGCCGCTGACACATTAGCCGATGTTATCCCGAGAGATTCCGAGGGGGGGCTACTGGTATCGACACCGCAGAATAAATTTCCGTAAGTGAACTCTCACACTATTGCGGGGACAAAGCGTTTACAAGCTGGTAATCGGCGCGTCGAAGGCAGCAGCCTTTATTAGGGTCCAAGCGCCTTGCTTACGTCACCCGGTGCTTCCATAAAACAAATCCCACCTCGCCTCTTCTTCCTTCGCCGCAATCTTGTCTCGGCGTGCATCAAGTATCCCCCCATCGCTTAGCTCCAGCTGATTAACAACCTAAAAGTGTCACGCCGTTGGTTCACGCCGTCTACATCCGTATCTTCCGCCAATCTCTTCAAGACCTCGCTCTCGGTCGCCTTTACATGCGCCGATGCTGTGCCGCAGGTTCTGAAAGTATCGATACTACAGCCCACGTCACCGACTCTGGCAACCTGAGCGCGTTGCACATGCACCGAAGCGAGGTCCTCTGTACTTAAACTTGTTTTGCTACCACATTCTCTCTTCTCTAGCTCGGCTTGCCATTCCAATAGGAGCCTGACACGCGTGTACACCTTCAACCAAAGACTGAGGCCTGTGCCCAAGGATCCATAGCATCGGGTATGTCGATCACCCTTCTTACGAGCAAACAGCGTTTCAGAGACTCATTCTCAGCGAGCGCCTAGTATGCCATTGTTGTTTTCTATTACATCTATCAGCATGAAATTCTGGAGGGGCAAGCATGTGATATCCTCCAGGTCATCTAGAACTCTTTCAATACTCTGCCGGGGTAAGAACCACCCGTTACCTATTCGAATTATTAATTAAGCTGTTATAGGCGAGAGAATTAGTCGCGAGGAGCTTTTCAAATATACGAATGGACGCTTCTTGGTCAGGGAGAAGGAATTATGCGACCAAAGATATCTGAAATTCGACTTGGACCAGCTCTGCGCTGTAGCCGCCTCTGCCGGCAGTAGCAAATCGCCTATCCGCACAATTGAGAAAATGGAAGGCGGCTTCAGCAAGGCATTACTCATGAGCAAAGAAGATGGAACGGAGGTCGTTGCTAAACTCCCCTTCTCTATTGCTGGGCCCCCTAAGTACCTAACAGCATCTGAAGCAGCCGTTCTGCAATACTGTACGTCCTCCGTGTTTTAGAACGGAAAACTTGTGACTGATTAATGCGCCAATAGTGCATGACCACACCACAGTTCCGGTCCCCAAAGTCCTGGCATGGAACGCCGACTCTTCGAACCCGGTCGGTGCCGAATACATCATAATGGAGAAGGCTGTCGGCTGCCAACTGGTCAAGAAATGGGGAGAGATGGAAGATTTGAGTCATTTTGAATTCATCAAAAACCTATGCAAGGTTGAAGCTGATCTCGCGGCGATTGCTTTCCCCGCGAATGGAAGTCTCTACCTCCGTGAGTCAATGGGGGCCGGCGACAAGTACAAACCTCTAGCGCCCGAGATGGACCCTTCTGGCCATTTTTGCATCGGGCCGTCTTGCGAGCGGTCATGGTTCGGCAAGGACGAAGCGGAATCTGTACAGGCCCGCTTTGACCGAGGGCCATGTGAGTAATACTGGGCCAACTCCTTTTCCTAACTAATAATTATACGTTATTAGGGCCCACTCTACCTGCTTTTGGCGTTGCGCTTGCCGAACGAGAGATCGCACGTATCGAACAGAATCTCAAAGTTGTGCCCTACGGGCCACCACGAGGCTCTACTGAGGAACAACTTGCCGTCTTGAAAATGGCTAAAGAGGTCTTTTTTAAGATGGACGCGAAGACTCTTCCCGGACGCTTGCCGTGGCCGACCTTATGGCATACCGACCTACACTTGGGAAACATCTACGTTTCTGATGAAGAGCCTACCCAAATCGTCTCGCTTATTGATTGGCAATCTATCGTGGTCTCGCCTTTGTTTTACCAAGTTCGCTTCCCCGAATTTATAAGCATTGGCGAGGACTACGAGCTTGGGTCCGAGATACCAACGCTCCCGGAGAACATCGACGAAATGGACGACGACGATCAAGCGATTGTCAGGTTCAAACACAAACAAACAATGATGGGCAAGGCTTACGAGGCTGCCAGCGGTTTCAAGAACAAGAATGTCTTCAAATCTATACGTCTTCCTCCCCTTTTCCGACAACTCTTCCTCCGTTGCGGAGAAGCGTGGGAAGAGGGTATTGTACCTCTTCGTGTTTGCCTGATTGCAATAGCCGACGTATGGAATGAAGCTGGATTTTCCGGCGACTGTCCATGCAATTTCAGCGAGGATGAGATTGAAAAGTATCAGCAGGAATTTCAAGAATACCGGGACCACCACAAGATCTATGAGCTTGCCCGGGAATATCTGGGTACCGATGCCGACGGCTGGATTGCCCCTGATGATGACTTTGAGGAGAAGCAGCAGCGGAACAAGGAACTCCTTGATATTTGCATAGCTCACTGTGCAGAGTATGGTAAATCGGCTGAAGAGATGCGGAAGATTTAGCCGTACTAATAAGGGTCTGGGCGTTTCTCCCTGTTCATGACGCAAGCTCAAGAGCTCATCAAGGGCAAAAATGTGACAGTGCTATCAAGACGTCTCGAGTTATGACTGGAAATGATTTCACATAGGATGTTAACGAAAGATTCATATTCCTTCGACTACAATGGACCGCAGGTGCAAGAGCACTACATCTTACGCTACATACACTAAAATCCCAGTTCATCCGTCAACCAGCAGCGGGGAAAATATCGCTGTAGCTTCGTCAAAAGAAAACTAAGATTAGAATTTAGAAGAAAAGCCTATAGGACTAATTCTATTAGTTAGAAACGAGGGAGCATATGCAGGGAGAGTTGCACCTGAAGGAGAGCGATAACGGAAATTGCTTACTGTAGCCTGTCCGCAGCAGTAAATAGGAGATGCTGGCGTCGCTCTGTGGAGGAGCAAGGCTGAAGTCTGAGCCGCGCAAAGGCGGGATGACGGCGTGGGTGGAAAGCGCGATGCATGAGGAGCTTCGGCGGGAGACCGGTTTAAGCTAGCGGCACCCTAGTGCAAATGTGGTTTAGCTTATATAATGCGCCGGGCAGGAGGGCCAAAGCATCGCGTCTAATAAGATTTCTGAATTTGAAGCTACATGAAGCTACATACTGCTAGCCCTACTATAGCTATCATAAGGAAGGGTATCGTCATATATGTGGCGTAGTGGTGCACGCCATCCATGTCCCCGTCGCAGGCCTCATCAAAGGTCGTCCAGGGCATCCATAATCATTACCGTCGCCTCTCTTGCCCTTTTCTAATTCCCTTCCAGAACCGTCTCCAAAACTTCCTGGAGCATAGGAGATAAAAATGGTCCGAATGATCAACCGCCCCGTTTCCTCCTCGTGATCCTCGTCGAGCCGTCCTCATTCCTCTTATGCCACTCGTCAATCTCACGCCTCACGCTCTCGCGATAGGCTTTATACTCATCGCTGCCCTCGACAAGTAGCTGCGAACAATGACCAGAGCGGCGGAGATGGCGTTTTAGGTTCTCCCAGCGGCAGTCCGGTTTGAAGGTGCAGTTGGGATGTGGGCAGCGGTAAGGACGAAGCGTCTGCGACCTGAGTCAGCATTTACTCTAAATAGGATTGCAGATTGGGAAAGTTGACTCACCTGATGCGTCCGCTCGTGCTTGCTGAGATTCGAACTGTCGGCGCAGGAAAAATCGCAGAAGCGGCATTTGTGTGGCTTCTTCCCTTCGTGCAGCGCCGATATGTGCGTCTGCAGTTGGGTATGCGTCGTCGTTGTATAGCCGCAGCGGTCGCACACATACGGACGGTCGCCAGTATGTGTCCGTTCATGGTTGTCTTTTGCTTGATTGGTAGCGAAAGTCTTGCCACAACCTTCGAAACTGCAAGCGTAAGGGCGATAGCCGGCGTGGCCGAGCAGGTGACGAGACAGTTTAGAACGCTGTTTGAAGTCTTTGGAAGAGGCATCGCAGCCGTCCCATTGACAGAAACAGCGCGTGCAGTTGTCCACATGAGCAGACTTAACGTGCTTGTGAAGGTCTTCGGCACAGCCGAAGACGGCAAGGCAGAGCACCCCGGGGCTATGCTGCCACTTACAGACGCTGCTTTGCGAGGGGTCTGCGGGTGTGCGGGCTGTCGTAGAATTGCCGAAGCCCGAGCTTGCGTCTAAGTGCGGTGTATTGGTTCGAGCAGCCGGAGTTTTGAGGATATCGTCTTGGATCGCCGAGGCAAGAAAGTCCAATTTGGAATTCTCCGGCACCGATGATTGAAAGGCACTTGAGTAGTGTGACTCGGGGAGCATCCAGGAGAAGTCGTTGAACCCGAGCATAGGGTTGTGCAGATTACTGTCGAGGATGGTTGCGTTGGTGCCGGAAGAAGCCATCGAAAGAGTCCGGGAATCCTGGCTCTGCTGTAGGCCAAAGTTCATGAAACTACCCGCAAGACCATTTCCGGAAGCCATGGATGCATTCCAAAGATCAAGATGCTCCTGTGGAGCGGTCGGACAATCTCCACAAGCTCGTGAGTCTCCGTGGCAGCACGAGTTGTCGATGTGACAATGCTCCGAAGCAATGTTCAGGAAACACGGAGATGCATTTCTCCATCCCGGCGCCGGAGACGGGTGACTGCTGAAGGCACTCTCCAAAGAAGTGTAGTTGCCGGGCGATAAGACAGGCGTAGGGGCGCTCGATGCCTGGGTGGTAGAAGGGCAGTGGGCGGATGCTCCATGAGACTGAGAGAAGCACGGATACGATTCGTACGCCGACAAGGTGGGATGGTATCCATGCTGTCCTTCTTGAAAGTGACAAGGCGCGTTGTCGTAGCAGAAGATGGTTCCCGCCGCCGTTGGGCCAGAGTGAGCGATGTGGCACTCGCTGTTTGGATCACCCAAGGGGCAAGGTTGCGCTTCGCACTTTTGGCAGAAGCACGAATCGTCTGTGTCTGACGTCTTGGTACACTCTGGGTCAACACAGAGATCCGCGCACTCCCCTTCGTCACAATGAGGGTCCCAGCAGGCGTCCTCCGGGGAGCACTGAGTCTCGCCGGGACAGGGCAGTGGGCAAGGGGAGGTACACAGGGCATCCCAATCGCACCCTTGGCAAAACTGCTCGAAACAGGTGTCCGGGAACTGCTGGCCCGTGTTCGGTTTGGAGCTGCCTTGCTCACCGGCCACATTGTGGTATTCGCCCACCTTGAGGGCCGAAGCTCTGCGTTTCGACGGCCGCGAATCAGACCCTGTCTCGTGGCAGGCCGCATCCTCACAAGTGCGGCAAGTGAGAACCTGTGGATCGATGTGCTCAGCTCGGTGCTCCTTCTGCGCGGCCCTCTCCGGAGCCCCAGATTGGGCATCAGATGGTGTAACCTGATCCGCGTCGCGCTTCGAACCTGCTAGCGGCGCGGACAGTGAGGTGAACATGGGATCGGCCCAGAAGAAATCGTCGTCGCCGAAAGCCGAGTCGCGGTCGTTGTCTGGGAGGCTGTAAGCCATTTTGGCGGCTGCGGAGAGTAGAGAGCCGAAAGGATATCGACATTCGAGGTCATACTGCTGGGCCATCAGGGTACTCACCATGTCTTCACCTGTGATGCAATGCGCTCAGCGGGGTAGGCGCGGAAAAAAGACAGGGTGAGGGGTAACCGCGTCGCAACATTCACTGAGAGGTATTGCAGGACTGAACAGCATCGGTAATGCGCCAGGACACGGTACCGGCGCACAAGAGCGAAGTGTTGGAGGGCGGAGTGAGGGCTGCTTGAATGCGATAGTTCGCCATGACTAAGCGACATATCTCATTGTTGTCATTGGCCCACTGTTTCACGAGCCCTGGAGGGCATCGCGTCACGCGCAGCCCTGATTTGCTCCCGGTTTCCTTCCACGATTGTCGCATCGGGTGTCAACATGCCTAGATGCGCTCTACTCTACTAATATGAGCAATGCGGTCGTCACTTGATGGCTTCCGCGTCTGCTCGCGATGCCACCTGAGCCCGCGCTCAAAGAACCGGGCCCTTGGCGCCACCTCAGCCCGGCAAACGGCAGGCCTCCGTGCGCAGCGATCCCCCACCTCCGCGAGGCTGATATCTGATGCCTCTCCCGGCGACCCGTCACCTCCGCTCTTCGCCCATTCGCCGCTCCAACCTTAAAACCAGCCCTCTTCATCGCACACACCCCACCGCCATTCCAGATGGGTAACCTCTGTGGGAAGCAGTCGAAAGACAACTTTCAGGGTCCAGGACGGACGCTGAGCTCGGCTCCGACGCCCGCCACGAAGGCTTCCGTCCCAGCGCGAGCGACAAATGAGGGCAGTTCAGCGTCGAAGCCCAAGATAACAGGGCCGGGCAGAACCGTAGGAGGTCGCGGAGGCGCTGATGATCCTCGCTCAGCGGCAGCGGCAGCAGCAGAGGTGCGTAGTGCGGAGTCGCGCAGGCAGCAGAAGAGGGGGTGGTTAGGCCTATGACCACCACAGTCTGGATGCGAAGGCGACAGAAGAGCATGATAGCTGACGGATGGATCTTCAGGCGCGAGCGAACAGAACGGCGACGGGAGACCTAGCGAAGAAGCTCGAAGCGCAGAAGAAGCAGACGCGAAACCAGACGCTGCAAGAAGCAGCCCACGAGAACCGGGCACAGCGCGAAGCGGACGCAGCGACCGAAGCGAGGAACTATAATTAAGGGCGTCGAAAAAATTTCTTGGCTATCGTCGAGGTTGGATATCCTCTGCATAGTAGCGCATCTGGGGCCTTTGGATATGGAGGCACGAAATCGCGCCATATCAAGACCCATCGACTACTGGATATGCATGACTCATGACTTCACGAGGGTCACGGGCAGGTTGGCGCATTTGCATAGGCACGGAGTTTTTAGGCTCTTCATTCACCGGGGCGGAGCGGTGCCACTGGTCGGATTCCAAAGCGTATTAGTTTGGACGCACGGTGACAGCAGCTCATCACATGCGGTCCGAGATGCGCTACAAGTTCGAAAGAAACCCTCAGTTATCACGGAAATCTACTTTCAACCCCGCCATTCTTATACCTTTCCATACACAAACCCTACACGATCAACCTCATCTCCGCTCCGTCCACCAAACCCGACAATGCCCCATCCTTGCTCCGCAGACCTCCCCACACAGTCACTCGTCCTCGTTCCCGCGCTGACAGTCCTCCCAGCACTGCTCACAACTTCCATATAAAAGACTCTCGTTTGGTCGTTATATTTTCCTTGGCAGATCGTTGCGCTCACCAAGCGCTCTCCTTCGGTCAGCGTTAGTGTCGTAGCCGTGCCACCCGTTCCACCGTGCGTGAACGTCTCGCCTGAAGACAGAGTAAGAGACACCGTGTCGAGGCGATTCCCGCCCCGGAGCGTTATCGACGCAGCTTTCGGCGAGGAGATATCCGCCAACGCAGAGAGATCGTTGTAAAAATCTCCATGCGGTCCACCATACGGATCCGAAACCCGCAAGCTCTTTCCCAACGTCCACGAGAAATCCACAAGCACCGGATCGTGATCACTCAACACACTGCCATTCGCCTGCAAAAACATCTTCCCCGCATACTCGAAACTCGTCGCGTTCAGCTGCAGCGCTGGACTCCCGCGATACCACACCTTATCCACGATCTCGCATTCCGTGGTATTGGATGGATTGTCGCAGACTAGAGCAGCACTGCCTGAAGCAGGAGGAGTCCCGGACTTGACGAGCTGCACCCAGACGTCGGTCATGCCGTTGTCGGTGCTGAAGACGGTCGGGATGTCGCCGACGCGCGTGTAGCGCGAGTTTGTGTCGCCGAAGACAAGCACGGGGTTTCCGGCGCTGTAGGTGCTTATGTGTGAAGATACTTGGCGCAGGTTGGCAGCGCGCGCCGTGATGTCTTCTGCTTCGATGCCGGCATCCGCATGCAGGTTGTAGGCGTCGATCCAGACCCCCTCGCTGACTCTGACGCGCATGAAGGTAAATCCTTTTGGAGTGAGACAATCCGCAGAACTGAGGAAGTACCAGAGGAATCAGCTTCGAGTCTCCCATCGCATCTCGAAAAGTTCTTCCCTTATGAGAGAATAGGGAATACCACATACCTAGCATCACTACACACGCCCCACTTCGTCCTCTCGAAATCCACCCAATCGAAATTACTCAACGTATTCAACCCATCGCCAAACGGTACGCCACCGCTCGTCGCCGTACGATACGGATGGTTGTCATTCGCGTACAGCGTAGCATGGTAATTAAAGTCCTCTTGTACGTGGATGAGGGAGAAGTTGTAGGATGCGAACTTCTGGCCGATGGATGCGGTATTAGTCGTTTTGTCACCAGGGACGTCGTTGGAGTTGAGGATGGCGGGGAGCCCGGCGACGTTGAAGGAGAGGATGTCGAAGGTGCCGGATGGGGTGGGTGCTGCAAGGGCGGAGGAGGGGAGAAGGAAGGTGGTCCAGAGGAGAGGAAGCATTTTTGGGGGATTGCAAGATGGTTGTACGAAAGCCGTGTCTTCTCAATTCTGAATGCTGTGGGCATGTTGTTACTATTATATACACATGACCACTGTGGACGTTGACGTCGGGGAATTACCCTGCAGATGCGCGTTGATCAGGGGTGTAGTCAATAGTTCGCGCGAGATCATGTTCGATCGGCTATATACCTCAATCCGTCCTGAGCAGCTCTCTAAGAGGCCAATTGCATCACAAACCTCCAGCGCGTGTAAGCTAGCATACTCTATCCATGCCGTTTACCTCGGCCAGCCCAGCTAGAAAGAGCAAAACGCACGATCGGTGTATTCCCAAGGTGGTGCGGGGGAAAGTAGTCGTCACTACGAGCATGGAATAGGGCAGCCCGACCTACAAGGTTAGGATAAACAGCGAATTGCGCGGGCACATATTGGCATGCGCTGAGCGGGATATTCCAGATATTATATTGAATGCATAAACCGGTTGCGGGCTTGTTACTGGATGGAGGTGAGGACTACTGGGCATAGTGGACGGTTGTGGTTAGCGTATCCGAGGGATCTGCACCTCGGCTACACATCCGAACTTGGAGACTTTCAACAACCTTGACACGGTCACTTACATGCAGCGTTTTCCTACTTTGCATGCTGGAGAACTTGATATACTCAAAATGAATCACCATCAAAACCATCATGCGCCGTTCTCCTCATCCCGTTGCAGCTCACCTCCACCGCGGCCTTGCACGAGCACTCCGGTTCAACATCCAAACCCCAACAAATAACGTAGCCCCAAGTACAAGCAGCGCTCCAGGAGTTACATGCACAAGGAGCTCCCCATCCCCAACCCTTCTCCTTCTCTCTTGATACCCTACCTCCTTGCTCTTCTTCTCAACACTATCTCCAGCTGCCAAATACTCCCGCACCAATGGGTCGTCCGAGTCACTCAAGTCCACCCACTCCCTCTCCTTCTCCCCATGATCCACCGGAGCCGCAATATTCAGCCCGCCGAACCCGCCCTCTATCTTCACCCCATTCGGTAACCACTCCCCCAGCGTCTCATCCGGCAGACTCCGGAAAACAAGACACATCCACATCTCCAGCACATTGAGCAGCAAATCCGGACAATCCATCCCGGGCAGTGTATGATTCCCCATCCCCGGGCTCGGCAGCGCGCACAACACGCCGAAAACATTGTACGACGAGTGCTGCAGCGCATGGTAGTGCAAGCTCGGATTGTCGCGCCGGTAGCGAAAGTTGAAGTGCTGCCCGATGCGGAGGCGCGTGTTGGTCGATTGCCCGATGTAGACGCGCGGGCGCTTGTCCAGGCCGAGCACGCCGTCGAAGTAGATGGCGCGGCCGGGGAATTTTATGTCGCCGCCGATGGCTTTGAGGGCGGGCCAGGTTGGGGCCGCGGAGAGGAAGGTCCAGACTGAGGGCCGCACGCAGCGGAAGCAGAATTCTTCGAGCTTAGGGTGGCGGGTTGTCCATTTGGCATACCGTGTGTGGTACTTTGAGGCTGGGTCTTGTAGTTTGGTGAGGAGGTGGGAGAGGATGGCTTGCGCTTCTTGTTGGGCGGGTGTTGGGTGTTGGGAGTATTCTTCCATTCTTGGTGCTGGTGGAGGGGAAGAAGAAGGGCGATGCGAGATAGAGGAAGGGGAGGCGTAGAATGACGCCTGAGTCGTCGACATTTTGTCTTTTGGTTATATATGCGATGGGATGGAAGAGTGGCGGATATATGTCCTGTCGCTAGGCAGCCTACCCGTTTAGGGCTAGCGTCGAGGCAACAAGGAGCGAGGAGAGGAGCTGCGTCGCTCAACCCATGCACTTTGAGTGTGCTGCCTGTTCTCGTTACAACTGCATTGCTGGACAGTAGCATGCAGACGTAGACTGGGCTGCGAATAGATGGAAAGGAGGAAAGCTGAAGGGTCGAGGAGGCTGGGGGGCGAAGACGTGGTTAAGCGCCCACCCACCGTTCGCGAAGCGAAGATACCCAATCGAGCAGAACCCCTAAAAACCATCGATTGCAGACGTTTCGCCTCACCCGTTCGCCACTACGCAACGCCATAGTCGAACGATGCGTCCCGAAATCGCGAAGTCAAAGAACACAACCGCAGTGGGAGTAACTTAGATCCGCCTTGCTCTCCGCAAGGCGTGAATAAAAGGATCGGCGGTCTTGCAAGGATGGCCTGGACCGTAAGATCTTAGATCGAAGCTTAGCCGCTTTAGACTCCCCTATGAGATGGTTAGGAGAGGTCTACCTTGCGTTCTACAGTCACGGGCGTTATTAGCGCTAGCGGATGATTGGTGCACAGAAGATTGACGCTAGTATCGCTGAGCTAGGCTAAAGTCACTCAGCCAACTCGTTGGCTTGTCGACTGTGTATCTCCACATTGCCTCACGACGCCTTTCTAGACTTTGTATACTCCAGCGTGGAGGCCTTCAGCCAACTATGCCTACATCACTAATACACACCAGGATCATGAAACTGTAGCGCGTCGTCGTACACCGCCGTCCCGACTTCCAGGCATATTGATTGCTCCTCCTCTCATTCCTTCTCCGGAAAGCTATACGCCCTTCCTAACATCGACAACCTTCTCAGCGCCGTAGGGCTGGTTCCCAGGAAGGGATCCTGCGTCTCATCGTTCAAATCGTCCTCGAACTCGTTCATGGCATTCAGTACAACGCCCACATGCTCCATAGTAAGCTTCGTCGCTTTCGACCTCGCCAAAGTATTGCTTGTTCTCACTGCATTCTTGATCTGCCGCCCGTTCAACCGAGCGGTAGATACTTCCTTGATCAGTTCCTCCGTCCAGTAAGTCTCGTCGATATTCTTTGTACGCTTGAGGAATTGGTCCCATAGGCTTTCCTTCTGGGATTGGTCGAGGTCTTGGTATTTCAAGGCGAGGTGGATGCGCGATTTGAAGGCTAGGTCGAAGGAACTGATACGGTTGGTTGTGAGGAACATTACACCCTTATAGTACTCCAGATGTCGGAGAAATACTGCAGGGGTCTTGCGTCAGCTTCATCAGGGACGAGGAGGGCTCATAGTACTTACATGATACGAGACAGTTGCGGGTCAGGTCTTGCGACGTTCGTTGTTCGAGCTGCTGAAGTTAGACTGGCTTCGCGATGCAAAGTCATATAGTTGCGGGTGAATACGAACAAACACGTCTGCCTCGTCGATGAGGACGATGGCCTTCCAGGCAGTCGAGAGCTTGAGTGCGGCAACTAGGTTGGTTTCGACCGTCTGGGGAGTATCGCCAAGTTCACCTGAGTTGAGGATATAGAGTGGCCGCTGGATGTCATCCGCGACAGCTTCCGCTGTATACGTTTTGCCCACACCGGGGACGCCATGAAGGACGAATACTAGCCCTTTCCCCTTTCCTTGGATCAAGTCGTCGAAGTCGTCGTCCGATGAGACGTAGTCTTGAACCAAGGCTCGTACCAAATGCTTTCTGTCGGGAGGAATGTGTAAGCTGTCGAAAGCGTCTGCGTCGAACTTGATCTCGTCAATCAGGTCCACGTAGAACCAACACCATCTTTTGTCAAACAACGAGAAGCCCGGCACCCGTCTATCGCACACGAGATAATCGTCATCCGTCAGGTCGGCTTTCTCATCCCCAAACGAGGAGGGTGATTTATGTTTCTCGAAAATTCGGATGCGGTTTGGCGCCTTCACGACGCCGAACATTTTCGCATCGACTATGATTCGCGAGTCGATCTGCGGATATGGTTAATCTTTATCATGAATGCCAGAGCTTGCAATCTCTTACCATCATGTCTTCAGTAGGATAATCATCTTCTCTCCGGTCGATTTCATGACCAAGGGCGGTCGTCAACCCCTTATAGTAGCGGTAGTGCATCCCCGTCAGGCTCCAAAACTTCTTTCCACGCGCGATCAACTTTTCCCGTATTTGGTCCTTCCGAGGGTGAAACTTCAGCGGAAGGACAGACAGCTTCTTGATCTCTTTCAGTCCTTCATACTGCGACTGTTTATAGCAGTATTGAATGTAGCCCGAACTGGTGCCATCGTGCGTCAGGGCCTTCCCCCAGACTTTCAGCTGCGGAGGTCCGCCAAAGAGTCCACCTTCGACATACTCCAGGTCCGTGCACTCTGACACTTGCATGTCATCGCCAGCACCCGAGACAATGAGAACACCTACTGGAAATATCATCCACAGTTCCCTGTATGGCAGCGACGGCTCCGCTGGAGTAGACTCCACCTGCGCCGTATGCGTCTTGATGGATTGCTCAAGCTCCTTGTTGAAGTATTGCAGTAGTAGAAGCAAGTGCAGTTTAGCCTCTTGATTCTCATGTGCTTCAACGTACTCCTTCAATTCCTTTCGATAATGGAACAAAGGACGGTAAGGAGCGTACAGGTACACTGGGCATGCATCGAAATTGTTGCCGGGGTACGACTCGATCACGGTTCGCAGCGCCTCCAAAATGTACTGAGAGTAGATCTCGAGGTATGAGACTTCGGTTTCGCCGCCGCGGTCGTACCACTTGTAGGAAACAATGGCGTGCACAGATTCGTTGCTTTCGGCAGATGCAGGCTCTTCTTTGCGTTCGACGACTTTCATCGTTCGCACGCCTTTCAAGTTGTACCGAGCCTCGCGTTCCTGCACTTCGCATTTCATCGCAGGCTCTTTCTTGCTTTCCTTTACAGTCTCGTCCTTGTTTTCTTTTGCTACCTCATCTTTGCTTTCCTCTGCTTCGTCTTTAGGGACGGACTGCTGCTCATTTTTGTTTCCCTCTGCTTCGTCTTTAGGGGCAGACTGCTGTTCAGCTTTGTTTCCCTTTGCTTCGTCTTCGGTGGTGGACTGCTCGTCATCTTTGGCTGGGGATTGGACTGGCTGATCGTCGTTATTGGCTGAGACTTCAGAGGCTGACTGATCATCATCGTCGGTCTCCTCCTTGAAAGGTTCGATTTCGAGCTTCATGTCTCAGGTCTTTCCGAAGAGTTTCCGACCAAATAGGCCCAATGTCTCGGTTCGATAGCTGTCGAGGAGAGTATGAAGTTGCGACAGGAAATTGATTGATACAAGGGCATCGAGGCTGCCATGCTTGACGAAGCCTAGCGAGATAACGCGGGCGGCATCGAGGGCTGCGTTTCAGCCTTGCGCCCGCCCCCAAAAGTTCGGCCGGTGTGCTGGCCTAATCGTATAGCCGCATCGCATTAGAGAGGTTCCCCACCGATGAAAAGAAACGCGGGAAATAGCAGGTCGTGAGGAGGACTGGACTTCGAATGACGTTGGGAACAGCTGAGCACGTGCTGAGGCTCCGTGCGTTTTCATCCCACCAGGGCACTGGAGAGACTACTTTCCTCCGACTCCACCTCCGATAATGGCCGGTTTAATTCGATTCCTTTCCCAAGATGGCCTCTTATGGCGCGCCGAGTACCCTTCCAATCTGGATCAGCTTTGCATCAGCGAGATCTGGAGCGATCCGGTTGACTCTTGGCGGGACGTTCACGAAAGAAGAATTCGCATCGAAAGGGAGAAAGAATGGCTCCCAAACATTTCACCAAAGGACGAAGATGGGCGACACGTAGTTTCCAGGATCATCTGGGTGCCCTGCGAACTAGTGCCGCCTTCTGAGGGCTCGGCGGCGGCAACCATTCTATCTCAGCTTATCCATTCTGTTGACCTGGAAGCCGCTTACGCCGTTTCAAGGACAATGTTCGCAGGAGTCACAATCGTCCCACGTAAAGATGCTGCGATATCAAACGTGCGGAGCTATGCGCTCTCTTTCCATCCGAAACTGGCCATGATCTGGAGCTTCGACAGCAAGACTGGTGTGACACAAGGGGTTTGCATGGCGGAACCATCGCAGATGCCTAGCTTACAAGATCTGTTCCGAACTTATTCGAGCATGGAAGGATATGGGAAGGTTCCCGTTGTCATTTGCGCAAGCCTTCTGAGCTTGCAGATCGACCTGACACAGTCGAAGCTCAAGAATTCCGTCCGAGAAGTCGAACAACGGACTGGATACCACCAGTGGGCAGGTCGGCACGAGCAACCAGCATCTGGGGATCTATCAACACTGTCAGCGCGGATGAGCGGCTGCGAGACAAGAGCAGCATCGATCACCAGAAAGATCGAGGTTGTTCGAGTTTTGACTGAGTTTGCTCTGAAAACTAGTTGTCTCTCTATCAACCAACGGTGCCCACCAGGGCTCAAAGAGAGTACGGTCCTCGATGATGGAGAAAAGAAGTCTTTCGAAGCGACAGTGGCTCTGTTGCAAGACAGGCTACGAATGCAGAACATCGACACCCAATTCTTTTACCGACGCATCCAAGTACAAATTCATGCCGTAAGTACTCCGCCACAACAGCTCATCTCGTTCCCACGAAGCAAACTAACGCATGGCAACAGCTCTCTACATTGATGGCACGAGAAGAAGCACGCTCCAGCATCCGGTTGACTTCAGAAGCCAAAGCTATATCGCAAGCGACCCGCGACGACTCCATGGCTATGAAAGCGCTCGCAATTATGACGATAATTTTCCTCCCCGGAACGGCCGTAGCTACCATTTTCAGCATGCCGATGTTGAACTGGGAGACGTCCACTTCAGCTGTCAAGTCCGGGTTTAACCTGTACTGGGCGATCACTGTTCCTTTGACGACGGTAACCGTGCTCTCCTTCGCTTTGTGGGTTGCTGTGGAACGCTTGCGCCGCAGTGAAAATTCAAGCCATCTAAAGTGGTGGTCTAAGTTAGAAAGAACTTAGAACGAGTTGTCCGGTTTTCCCCATTCCTTTTCGTTTCGTTTACCTGAACTCAATAGCGAGTTTCTGCAGCCGTGCCACTCTAGCGCCCGATGATGCATGATGTCATCAGGCTAGCAACATCCCCTTTAGCAAGGCAGACTCGTCCTAAAGCGAAGCCATCCAATGGAGGACGCATCAGTAGCTGCGGGATTTGACCGGCGCGTGGCTGTGGCGGCTTCAATCATCATGTGCGTGCACCATTCTGGAAGGTCAGGCAGACGCTCTGATAGTGACCGGTAGGCTGGGCCAATCAGCGGCGTGTATGAATGGGGCCAGAAAGACATGGGGCTCCAGGTGCAATCCGGTCGCTTACAATGCCCTGTTATGAAGCGAACGACGCACCCAGCCACCGCCCTGCCGAAGGCTAGAATGCAGTCGACTGAAAAAGAGTATCGCTTTAGATGTCCCAACGCTAGAGCACAGGGAAATCATATCAGGCTACACCATCACAGAACGCAGCCTTGAACATACGGGGGAGTTTGTTCGCATCTATCCAAATTTCGCTCCCGTGCAGGCCATCAGTCGGGGAACCACGCGAGATGGCACCGAGGCGTCTGAAACTTCTCTCATTAGGCAAGTCCAATGGTTCGGTTGTTACGCTGATCATGCTGAATTGACAACATAATTAGATGGGGGAGGAATTCGAGGCTTATCGGAACTCGTCATGATTGAAGAAATCATGAGCCGAGTACAGGCTCGCCTTGGTCTGGAGAAGATGCCAGTTCCAGCTGACTATTTTGACCTCATTGGTGGAACCAGTACTGGAGGGTAATGGCCGCCCCGCTTATCGTGAGTCGTGGATCGCTGACTTTATAGGTTGATCGCTATCATGCTTGGGAGGCTCCGAATGTCCGTGCAGGAAGCGATCAAAGCATATAGTGAGCTTTCAGAAGCCATTTTCGGCAAGACTCAGTCTCGTTTCCATGAAGGGAAATACGACGCGAAGAAATTCCAAAGAATCATCGAAGATGCCGTAGCTGAGAAGTTGGGCCACGATCAGCGGCAGGCCAAACTGCGGACATCCGAGGTGCAAAATTGTCGAAGGTAATGTGTTGTACAGTCGAAATCTCATGTCTAATATTTCCCCACAGCTTTGTTGTTACCGTCTCCAGCATCTCTGTAGATGTTCGGCTCTTCCGATCGTACGCTCTTCCGGGCATACCTGAACATGACTGTACTATTGGGGAAGCAGCAAGAGCAACCTGCGCTGCTCCTACCTACTTCTCAAGCATTGAAATCGGGCTTCCCGGTCAGCAAGAACGGTTTTTTGATGGAGGGGTTGGATGCAACAATCCAATATCTCAACTTCACCTCGAAGCGGCACGACTCTTCGACGACTCTGACGAGGTGGCCTGTATTGTGAGCTTAGGAACGGGCTTCCGCCACCCTATTGTCCTAAACAGGCCAACCTTACTCGAGAAGGGAACAATCCCGGTCAATCTTATTAAGGCATTCAAGAAGATGGCATTGGACCCGGAAAAAGAGGCGGAGTATATGGACCGCAAGTATTCGGGTATGGAGAAGGTGTACTTCCGGCTCAATGTTGCACAGGGGCTGCAAGACACTAAGCTTGCAGATTTCGAGAAGCTTGGGAGTGTACGTTCTGCGACAGTGGCATATCTGCGTTCAGCGGCTGTTTCGGCGACAATAGATGCCATTGCGGCACGATTATGCGAATCCAAAGACGCGCCCACCCCGTCCCCACTACTAGGTCAAGTCTGTGAGTAGTAATGTCCAACGCCCCCAATCTTCATTAAAGCTGATAGTATATCTAGCGCTATCCAATGCCGCTGTGATCAATGCTACAAGCCGACGAAAAGAGTTCGTAGACCGAGCTACATTCCTGCAGAATTGGTTATATCCTGAAGAGTTTTGTTCTGTTTCTCCAGAAGAAGACTTCGAAACATTGCTTGGAAAGCGGTTTATCGACGAGAGAACTAGCTACAAGACATGCGATTGGTTCTTCGATAGACAAGAGTACCGGCGAGTTACAGATTACTCCAGACCAAGCATTCTTTGGATTAAGGGTCGCCCTGGTTGCGGGAAATCTGTACTTGCCGCCGCGCTAGTCAATCGCCTCCGAAAAGAGTCTACGGAATCCCACGTCCTATATTACTTTTGTCATCGTCACCCCGAACCAACGAAGTCCATGGAACTGGTCCGCTCGCTGCTTGCCCAAGCTGCCTCTTGGAACGATGATGAGGTGCTCGCCCTGCTAGAAGAGATCAGGGAAAGACAAAGCAACCTTGATAGACACTCTAGAGGTAGCAACCTTATCGAGATCCGACTTTGGGCCGTGCTGCAGCAGCTAATCTCCCTGAGACCTGGTAAACTTCAGGTCGTCGTGGACGGAATCGACGAGTGTGCGACAGGTTTTTCAGCAATCACGGCTCTCCTCGATGCTTTTGTGAAGGCAATCCCCTCTTCAGGCCCCAGCCCGGAGAGTAACTGGTACGTACATATGTCCATATTACTGTATGCGCTTCCTCTGACGGCGGCGCAGGCCTACGATGTATCTGACGTCGAGATCCGACGGCGGAAATTATGTACCTTCCCACATTTACGAACACCAATTTATCCGTCACATTCACCTTGACATCAGCACCAGCATGACCTTATCCGATGTCCAGGCATTTGTGAGCTTCCGAGTCAACGAAGGCAGCTCTCCCGTTTCCAGATCACCCGAATCGCGTAAGCAGGGAATCACGGCTCGGGTGACGGAACAATCTGAAGGCCTGTTTCTCTATGCATCACTGGTTATGGACCAATTCAGCAAAGATATGGTGTCTTCCGATGCTGCCGTCGATCGCACATTGAATCGTCTCCCCGAAGGCCTCGACGAAGTGTACCGACACGCCCTCAACATTCCCATGGGATCAGACCGCGGCACAGATGCAATACAGTGGCTCATGGTTTCTATGCGCACTCTCAGTTGGGAGGAACTGAGGACAGGGCTCTCTGTTATCGATGGCAAGTTCCGCGAGGATGAATGGATTGACGAATCATGCGAGTCTTTTATCGGACACTCATGCGGGCCCCTTATTGAGGCTGTCGGAGACATACCACGATTCATCCATACAACCGTCAAAGACTTCCTTGGAACTTGCTCAACTGTATCGTTCACCGTCCCCAGTGCGCATACGTACGTCTGCAAGACTCTTCTCGCTATTCTGAAGTGGCGGCTTCCCCGACGGAATAACGAGGAGTCAATGAGAGCTTATATTGAGCGTGTCTCGGAGCAACGGGCCTGGGCATTATATCAATACGCTGTCTTCAACTGGTACAAGCATCTGAAGCAATGTAGCACCAAAATCGAGGACGAACGAGAAAGCGATGGAGAATTGGAAAGCAGCGTGATGGAGTTTCTCTTCTCAAACGACTTCCTCGAGTGGCTGAAGATGGCTACGGCCGCACGGCACTTTCAGAGAGATGGAACCGATATTGTGACATTAACAGTCGACGTGACAGACTGCTTGACATGCTGGGTCAACACTAATAAGTGGCCGAAAGGAACTACCAAGGCCGACGAACTGCGAGCATGGACTTCCCATTTCGCAGCCTTGATGCTAGACTGGGGAGAAATTATCGTCCTTCATGGATACGACCCGCACAACATACCGCAAAAGTTCCTGCCGCCTTCCAACCATTTCCATGATCTGATCGGACCTGGAAACGATTTTATGGTTCAGTTTCGGAGCACCCAGCTGGATACAAGAGGCTCGATTCGAAGGCCCGAGTGGCTTAAGCAATGCTTCGCGGTCGACACCAGGCGTGGCCTTGCCTACTCACTTCAGGATCGGCTCAATCCCGTTCTCAACTGCTACCATATGGGTACGGGTCTTGTGGCTGCCAGGATGAATCTCAGTCTGCTCGGACTTCATGCCCCAATGAAAGGAATACTGTCTCCAAACGAAAGGTTCCTTGCGCTTGTAATCGAGGACTTCAGCCCAGAGAACACTGATAAGGAAAATGTCACTCACATTCATCAAGCCAGGCAGGGCCTCCAGCTCAAGGTCATTGAGAACGAGCGAAAGGAACCTGTCCTGGCTTGGAGGCTGGAGTATGCCGTTGAGGATGACGAAACAAGCGCATACAGCTCAAAATTGGGAATCAAAGGGAATGAACGCAGAGTCTTGGTCGTGGAGCTTCGTTACGAAGGTCTATCCCGGACGAACTTATTCAGTACCCTAGCTTGGACCACCGATCCCTTAGTAACGTCGTACGAGACAGGTATCCGCTGGTCAATCGACGAACCAGACCTTGTCAGCTTCTCTCCAGACTCCACTCAACTGTTCTCACCTCATGGAATCTTCAATCTAGATACTGGAAACCTCCAGAAACTTGGAACTCTCATTTCCGATGGCGCGCTTCGAAGTGCTAGGATCTCTGGGGACCTCCAGACTTTGGCGTTCATCCGAGGCCGGAAGACTCTGGAGGTAATCTCGCCACTCAACAGTAGGGATCCGCAGAAGATAGATGTCTCCGACGCGGCACACCTGCTTGCCATTAGCCCTGAAGGGAGATTCTTTCTCTTGCTCACCTTACATCTATCGAAGTCTACCAAGGCTCTGGCGAAGAAGAGTAATACCAGGGGACAGGAGGGCAAGATCTCCATCTTTGACATGGACTTGAAGAGGTGGTCCGTACTGCTAAAGCTGGAACCAAAGACTGCACGCAGGCAGCACTCTTGGAAGTTCCATAGCGCGCCAAGTAGCCCCGAATTTGTGACTGGCGTCAAAGACCAGGTACCACACAGAGTGGCCTTGTTCGCCCCGAAAGGCTGGAAAATCGCAAAAACTGTTCAACTGGCCACAATGCTCAAGGACGCGGCATCCGCTGACGCCGACCGCATACTCGTATTTGAAGGAGATAAGGGAGGAATCGAGTTTGGAAGCAATCCCACGTTAAAGCATGCCGTCCCTGTCCAAGAACAGCGGATCGGCGATCTCTTCAACCCTTTCAACGATCGCAGAATCTTATCATGGGGTACGCACCTGGAGTCAGCAATCGTCGCGGTCGAAGACCGAATCGAGGAGATAGAGGTCGGCAAGATGGCTTCCATGTTTGGCTCGTTCTCGAAACCAAGGAGCGAAAACAATGGGACAATAACTGACGCTCCGTCAAGGTCGTGTGCTCCCGATGTGGAAGCTTTGCTCTTCTCTAATGATATGTCTGATGCATATCGGATTGAAATTGGTAGTAGAGACACAGCAGCTGCGAAAGCTAGCCCCCAATGCTCCGCAGGTCTCCAAAAGATCAAGACCGCAATCAGCCGAGTTCGCGGGGATGATACCCTACCCTCGGAGTGGAACATAGAAATCACCGTGCCACTATATGAGTATCTGGCTTTCCTGCGGCGACCATCGATATCAATTGACGCGGATGGCAGGCTCGTCTTCGGGCAATTGCAAGTGGGACTAGAAGGCGATGAGGAGGACGAAAACCCTTACGAGCTGGACGAGGAGAGTTTTGGAGCAGCCTGGGAAACTCTTACTCGCCAGTTATCTCCCTTCTCAGCCGATTGCAGTACCGCACAACCCAGCCCGGATGGATTACTGAAGAAGCTGAGCGTATTCGACCGGACATCACCGTCGGATTTTAGAACGGGTGTTGACCAGGAGTCGTGGATCGCGAGAGCCGCAACGAGCCAAGAAGATGTGGATATGTTTATCCTGATGCGTCGCCTGAACCTTACGCAGGACCAAAAAGCTCAGGGCGAGACATCCCAGTGGGAGACAATCTTCGGACTCTATTCTAATAGCTTATCAAAGTTCACGTGGACTATGCACACTACCACCGGCGGTGCGCGATCGCAACTCTACCAGGCGGGGCCAGAGATAGCGTGGAGATTGCATCCAAATCTTCCCCTTCTTGCTTGGTTTCTACCAGGCCACTCTTTGCGCATTTCCCACATTGCAAGCGAGAATCCTTCAATCAATATTGCAGGTCAGTAAACTGCACAGCCCATTCGAATGAAAACTGAAAACTAATGAAAATAGACCCACCGCAATTGGAAATCGACCCATCCTGTGCCCTTCTATTTTCTCCAAACGGACACTACCTCCTTCTCCAAGGACGAGACGCTTTCAAGAACGACGTCTGCCAGGAGATCAGAAGGCCGGACCGGTGTTCGGCCATGTTGTTCGACCTGCGCTATGGACTAAAAATCGGATTGTCACTCCAGAGTCATCTCCAACTTTCGCTCAATATCAAGAATGAGCAACTCGAGGTCTACCGACTAAAACGAGGAGGCGCCATTGAGATGAACTCGTACAGGCTGCCGTATCTGACCGAGAGTGAGCGCTTTCATATCGCATTTCTACCTGCCAGCTGTCGATGCGCAACATGCGGTCGACCGTTCGAGGAATCTTGCCATATCACAGTGGTGGAGCATGAGGGGGCGAAATCAATCTATCTCGGCCATACACCCTTTGGAGTTGGCCATACGGACGCCAAGAAGGAGGTCTGCGAGCCTCTCATACTGCGAGTCAAAAGCGCTCCTGTCCCAGTGGAAGAAGGAACCTCACTCGTAGAATCAAGATCGCACGGCGTTTTCCCACCGATCCTTGAGATCAATGGAGATCAAGTTGCTGCGAGTCACTTCTCCAGCGCTGACATGTCAAAATTTACCGACTCAAGCTTCCTCGCCCTCATCCTGATTGGCCTTTTCCACCACCTTTTTGGAACAATGCAACAAGCCAAAGCAGGAGGTGTCCCCGGAGAGCCAAAAGTCGAGATATCCAAACCCGACAAAGCGACCGACACAAACTCTGAGACTGCTCACGAGCCTTCCAAATCCGAGGCTACGTCAAAACCAGATCCTAAATCGATCCCAGGTCTCGACGCCGTAGTCGGGGCTTTAAAACCACTCCTGAGGAACCGCACCCGTCAAATGGTTTCCCACATGCGCAACTACGTGGACACCAAGGAAAACAAACAAGTCCCCGCTCAGAACATCGAATCGCACTTCCACCAGCTCGAAAAAGACGCCACAGAAGCCCTCCAGTTCGGCGAGCTAAACGACACCATGCAGACAATGATGAACAAGCAAATGAAGAGTATGCTCGGCGACGACTTCCCCTTCGACAGCATGCACGAGATGATGGCTGAGATGCAAGAGCTAACAGAAGAAGATCTGTCCGGCTTTTGGTCGGGCTTGAGTCCGCTGCTGGAGTTCCATAAAATAAGCGGGATTGGGTGCAGCATTCCGATCTTCATATACAGCTTCTACCATGGAAATGAGCCGTCGGAGTCGGAGGTCCAGGAAAAGGACATCAAATGGTCCCTGGCTTCTGATAAGGGCTGGATAGAAGAAGACGTCGCCAGATTCTTCGACAGGATGATCGGCCGATATCGCAATTTCGAAGACGCCCGAACGTGGTACGATTTCCCCGCGTACGCACAATTTGGTTCGTTCGTCCGAACCGACAGCGTCGCCAAACTCATGTTAGAGCAAACACCGAAAGCGGAGCGCCTCAGACGCATGTTTGCCCCCTGGCTCGATGATATCCGCAAGAACACGCCTGCTCTAGCAGGAGCAGGAAGTAATGGAGGCGAAGAACAGACGAGCTCAGACCAACAGCAGAAGAAGGCGGACAGGGAAGCGAAGGCGGAGAGCGGATGGCTGAGAGAGGCGGTTGAGGCCGGGGACGAGGATGTGATGCTTTATCTGAGGGATCTTTCGGACGGAGTTAAGGATGTGGTACCGGGGCTGGGCAAGATGGCGAATCTTCTAACGCATATGATGCTTACGAAGGCTGCCGGGTCGAGGACTATGCTAGAACTACCAAGTACGACTGCGCTGGAGGATGAGGAGGTTGCGGGCTAGCTGAGGCACATCTATAATGTTCTACCCGCTCCGCCGCTAGCAGTGGAGATAAGCAAGTACCCAGTTGCCAAGTTGAAGCTTACCTTCACTACGGCAGACCTAGGCCCCAATGATGAGGATGAGTCTAGATTCATGGTTACCACATGGAGCATTTTCGTTCTTGGATCCCCCAACCCAGTCGCAGCGTCGTATTTGGCTTCATCGCAACGCCTAAGCCGCAGGCAAGAGACACCACTTTATAAAGCCCAAATGACATTGCCCAGTATTAATGTATATCTACCAAGTAAAAATGTTCCATAACGAAGCCATTAAAGAGAGTGGGGAGTAAGAAAATCAGCGGTGACTGTCCCGTACACTCCGTTTCCAGTTCCCGATGAAGGACTTCTCTTTGCAAAGAGATGGGCCAAATCGAGTACAGGATTGAGGGTACAAAGAGAGTGCAACCAAGAGCAGATCAAATACAAGAAATGAGTGTAAGTAGGAAAGAGAACCGAAATGCAGCTGCACTGCCCCCACAACACCCACCACCTATCCTTACTTCCATGAAGTAACTCGAACAGATCCTACGATCTCGCGCCCCATCGGCCTCCCATCCGACTCTGGATGTCACCAATCTCACTTTCCCTCAAACCCCCGCCTAGCGCCACTCATCCTTCCCAAACGTGAGGTCCTTCATGATTGGATTATCTCCATTCTTCCGTACAGCACTGCACCATTCCACGAACTTCTCGGGGAAGATGTTCATATGTCGGAGGTACCCGCTCTCGTGTTTCATTATGGGATAGGTATAAGGTTCGATGAAGTGGTCCTCCCCAAAGATTTCTTTGAGTTGCGCGACCGTGATGGTGGTCTCTTCGCCCTTTTTGCCGATGAGTTCAACCATCTTCTCGACGGCGCCTTCGCGGACGGGGATGATGGCGGTGGCTATGGAATTCAAATGTCGTAGTGAGTTTGAGTGTGGTTGATTGCGTGTTGCTTGTTGCTTGTTGCTGTGGATGTAGAGTGGTAGTTCTAGAAAGACTGCAAATTAGGAGCCTTTTATACCCATAGATATCATAACTCTTAGATTTTATACTCAGCCTCGCGCTGAGTTCTTACGTATTCTTTTCTTCCCTATGAGAAACTCTCACGAACACACGGCATCCCACTCCTCCGCACTCCCCACCTCAATCGTCCCATTATCCCTCCCCAACAGCGCCAACGTGTTCGTGCCCACCTCATACCTCGGCCACCCATACACCTCCAACCCATGCACCGGATCCTTCGCGAAGGCCGCCCAGGCACCCTGCATATACATGCTCAACTTCTTCTCTGCCTCCGTGTCCGGGCCACTGATATAGCTTGTTCCGAAGACGATGGGGATCTCAGAGGCATGGTAGGCGCCAAGCCAGGGAAAGGGGTTTAGGTTGGGGAAGACGCCAAAGTAGCGGTAGCGGTAGGTTGGTACGCGGAGTTGTTGAGCGCGGAAGTTTGAAGAGATTGCTGCTGGGCAAGCGAAGACAGCGTTTGAGAGCTGGTCAATTTCGGTTTGGTTTGGGCCTGTAGATGTGAAGGGCGAATAGAGGGATGTGTATTCGTCGTTTGTATTTCCGATGATAACGGGCTGAGACTGGTTAGTATCTCTAAGCGTTTTCCCCGGCTCTTTAATGCGCGCTTACCAGCTTCGCAACAAGGCCCCTAGCCCTCCTATCAGAGAAGTTCGAAAAGATAGTCTCCTCATCCACGCTCGCTCCAAACCCCAAGCTCCTTCCGCTATTCTCCGTCGCATTGTACGCCTCGTAGACCTTCAATATCGTTTCCGCATTAGTGGCTTGCATACACTTCAGCTCCTCGTCCTTGCCCAGGCCTCCACAACCGACCTGACTCGCAACGTAGGAAAAGTTGCTCGTCCCTTCGCTATACGTGACCTTGTTGTTGCCAACGGCGCCAGACTCGATTATTAGACCACTGACGAGTGGATCATACCACCAGGCGTACGAGAAGAAGTCCGTCGAGCTAGCTCCTGCCGACTGCCCAAAGAGCGTCATGCGTTTCGCGTCCCCGCCAAAAGCATAGATGTTGTTGTACAGCCATTCGACCGCCATCCTTTGATCCAGCAATCCAACATTATGGTGGCTCCCATCGAGCGCAGCTGCAGCGGGAAACCCGAAGATATTGACGCGGTAGTTCATACTCACCAGAAGAACATTCTGATTCTCCACGAAACTCGTCCCATCGTAGTTCGGCGCCGAAGACCCGCCATTCAGCAACGCACCGCCAGGGATCCAAATCATCACCGGCAGCAGCTCGCCACCTTCTTTCAGCTTCTGCGCCCGGGGCGTCCAGATATTGAGGGTGAGGCAGTCTTCGCTTTGTCCGGAGTCGGGGACTTGAGCCGGGAGATAGTCGCTGAGGCCTGGGGCGCCGGTGTCATATTGTAGACAGGAGGGACCGAAGGATGTGGTGTTGAGGAGGTCGGTGTAGGGTTTCTTGGTTACGGGAGGGCGGAAGCGGTTGCCGCCAGTGGGCGGTTCGGCGTATGGGATACCTGCGAAGCGGCGGACATTGGAGGTGGATAGGGAGCCGAGTATAGAGAAGGAAGGTGTGCGAATGGAAAGATCATCGTCATGTGTGTTATAGGCAGCTGACGCGAATGCCAGCAGAAGTGGATAGAAACGATGAAGATGGAACAGCAACATAGTGAAGACTGCAAACTCGAGATTGCCGAACGATACTTTGGAAAACTTCAAGACATGTCTGAGCTTTAAAGAGACGTCGCGCTTACCACCCTGGCGGGTAATACATGCCTAAACGTTAAGGCAATGGGGCCTATGATGCGACTTGTGTACAAATGTTCTTGCAGCAGTTCTCCCAGAAGCAGGGGACTAACCTCCCAACCCCGCATATGACCTGCATATACCCCAGAATACCATCTGAAAGAGTCTTGCTGCGCCTGGTGGAGAACACGGAAAAGAGTACGGATCTCGACTAATGAATCATTAGCCCGGAAAAGCATTACCCAGCCGAACTTTGGAGAGTTGGAATTTTGGGCCGGTGGGACTGTATTGGCTGAGACTCAGGGCGAAAGATGACCGCCTTGTCGGTTGCTTGTGCGTATGTAGTATGTAGGCCGGATGCTGGTCAAATTGGGAGAAACAGGAAGGCAGTATGAGCCCATTCTGACCCCGAACGGCCAATTACAGGCTCGCGCCGCAGCTCATCGGATGCCATTAGCATTGTAAGCGGGAACACGATATGAGTCCTCCAATCCTCTCGCAACGGATATCTAAGACGAAGCGGGTGCGAGGTCAAGGGGCTTGTGGTCGTCCTATGCGGGCCTGGGTAGAAGGGCGCTGGAAATGAAAGCCAGTCCGAAATCAAGTATCCACTCCGCCTACCTCAATACTCAAGGCAACTTCAGCAATCTGCTCGTCGGGCAGAACCGCAGAAGCGTGATGCAACGGTCTGCCCACTTAAGGACGTCAACATTTGCAGGCTTCAGCCTTACATAATCCCCCACCACCGACAGGGGTCCGATCTAATCTAATCTCATCGCCGCTCGGGACGCGGACCCCTGCAACAAGAAGGCCACAGCAGCATCAAGCTCCAACACCGAACATCACCGTCGCGCCTTCCCGCAGCAATTCCCTCCCTCTTGCACTACCACCACCACCCCAAACAAACAAATCTCAAAATGGCAAGCAGCAGCCCCACCCCACAGCAACGCGCGCCTTCCCCCGCTAACGCGCCGCTCCATTCCAGGCAAACGTAATAGCGAATTCCGGCCACGAGGAAATGATTGTACGTCCCCGACCCGACTGCTTTCCTTCTTCTTCCCTCGACACACATACACACCACAGATCCTTTCGCGGCGATTGCGATTGGGAGAAAAGAGAAGGACGACAACGACATGGCGAAGAATACTGGGGGAGGACCGGTCGTCGATCTGCTGTCCCTTGAGGCTAATGACGAGCAGCATGATGCCGTGCTGGATTACTATGGCAGGCGGTTAGCGACGTGCTCGTCGGACAAGACGATCAAGATCTTTGAGGTGGAGGGCGAGTCGCATCGGCTGGTGGAGACGCTGAAGGGGTACATCTGCCTCTCCCACAGCTCTTCGTTGCTTCGCTAACAGCTGCATAGACACGAAGGCGCGGTCTGGTGCGTAGCATGGGTAAGCTCTCCCCTCCCCCTCGCTCTCGGCCACACACACTACCACTCCACCTTTGGAGGACACACAAACTAACACTCCATCCCCGACACAAGGCGCATCCCAAATACGGCAACATCCTCGCCTCCTCCTCCTACGACGGCAAAGTCCTCATCTGGCGCGAATCCGGCACCTCCTGGCAAAAAATCTACGAAGTAAGCCTACACACCGCAAGCGTAAACCTCGTCGCGTGGGCGCCGCACGAAGCAGGGTGCCTGCTCGCCTGTGCCTCGTCGGACGGTAACGTCTCGGTGCTCGAGTTCAAGGACAACGCGTGGACGCACCAGATCTTCCAGGCGTGCGGCAGCGGCGTCAACAGCGTGAGCTGGGCGCCGGCGGTGGCGCCGGGCCAGCTGATGAGCGCGAGCGGCAACGCCGCGGGCGCCGCGCGCCGCTTCGTCACCGGCGGCAGCGACTGCCAGGTCAAGCTCTGGGAGTATAGTCCCGAGACGGGCGGGTATCAGAACATGGCGATTCTGCCGGGGCATACGGATTGGGTGCGCGATGTGGCGTGGAGCCCGACGGTGCTGTCGAAGTCGTATATTGCGTCGGCGAGCCAGGATAAGACGGTGCGCATCTGGACGTCGGCGGATCTGCGTAAGTGCGATTGATGTGGGGCAGGAGTGTACAGGGACAGGACAAGTACTAATGAGACACCGTAGGAGAGTGGAAGTCGACCGTCATCAGCGTCGAGGCCGTCGCGTGGCGCGTGAGCTGGAGTCTGAGCGGCAACGTGCTCGCCGTCAGCACGGGCGACAACAGGGTCAGCCTATGGAAGGAGAGGCTCAGTGGCGGGTGGGAGTGCGTCAAGACGATGGAAGAGTAGACGGAGAAGATTACTCGCGATTGGGATCACGGGACTTTGACGGACATCGAGCACGGAGGCCACGACCCGCCGACTTGCTCTTCAGGCGCATTTAGTGGGCTGGCTTGCCCGAGGATTGGCGACGCGCCGATTGAGCGACTACCCATATCTGAGCAGGGAAATTTAATCTTTGCACAGACCTAGGGAGCGGGAGCTACTACTCGTGCTTAGAAAGAACACCATCAGAAGACTAAAAAACACCACACCTTCATCCCCATGTCTACCTCAACTCACCCTCCCTTCATTACTACACCGCAAACCCAATCATATATCTAATGTACAGACAAAAGCACAGTTTACTTGGGCGCATGACCCCTTTTTAGACCCCTCTTTGCTGTCCATGCTAGCCCTCCTTCCTTCCGAGGTTCCAGATAAAATATCTACTTCCCACAGTTGTTCCCCCTTAATGACTGGCCGTGGAAGCTTCCTTCTCTCTTGCTCCCTCCTACGTTTACGAAGAGCGAGTAGCAACACGACCTATGCAGTTTTCTCAGCGCGGACAAGGAAGCAGCTTTATGAGTTCAGGTCCTCAAAAAAAAAAGCCTGGCACTGAACTCCTCCATGTCTCGCAGCCAGGCACACCGCCCGTCCCGACGACACTAAAGTGCACCTGCCATCAAGCCCGCAGTTCGGCGCAGCTAGTAAACTCCTATATCGAAAGGTGCAAATGGGCTCGTGGTGATTTTAGAACGCATTCATTTTGCTGTGCCTATCCAAGCCATATATGAGTATGCGAATTCCCAACCAAAGACTCCAAAGCTGAAGAAGATGAAAGACATGTGCATGACAGAACCCATCCTCGAATCTCGGCCCAAGTACCCATGACCCCTTCCATGGCTCCCTAAACCGATCGTCGCCATCCGTTCAAAATCCCTCAAATGCACATATGTGCCACGGCCCTAGTTCAGCAGGCAAGCAGCGACTGGACCGCGACCATACCGTAATGTTGTCAAAGGAGTGAAACATGTGAGATGTAAGAAATATGGAAGCCGACAGAAAAGACCGAGACGCCCATCGCTATGTGCGAATATCCAATGCCGAAATGGAGGCTTAAAGGAGTTCAAATTGGACCTTTGTAGGTGTATGGGGACCGGTGTGCAAAGAAACCCAGAACGGAAGACATGCCGAGGCGGAGGGAAGGGAGAAAGGAAAGAAGTGCATGCGCACAGCGCTTCATGGGAGATCGCGGGGGTGCGGAGCATGGTGTCGACGCGGTGATAGTCTTGAGTGAAGCGATAACGTCGTCATGCGTCGTCCTCGGCTTGCGTCCCCTCCTCATCTTCAAGGTCAGGCTCGTCCACAGCCCAGAGGATGAACGGCCCGTTGTAGTCATTGTCGAAGTCAACCTCGTCAGTGGCATACCACCATCGCCCAAGGATGATCCTGCCACCGGGCAATACGACACCCTCATAGGCCCAGAGGTTGTCCTCTTCGATCTCCTGCTCGAATTCGTCCAAGAAGTGCTTCATGAGGGTGATGCGCTGCCAGCCTGGGATGCCGCCTTGCTCCGGTAGAGGGTTCAGCCAGCCCAAGGAGTAGAAATCGTCGTCGTAGTCATGGCCCCATCCTGTGAGCTGGATGTCCTTTGAGTAGTCTACCTCTGAGTCCGGATTTGCCTTGGACTTCTTACTATGCTGCGCACGCGTGCGGGTGGGGTGATCCTCGTTGGAGATCTTACGGAGGGACTGAAGGCGGTCCTCGAAGATCTGCGGCCATTTCATTCCGCCCTCCTTGATGGAATCAATCTGGAGTGACTGCTTCTTATTAGCATCACTAATGGAAGCGCACGTGAAGAGCAAGGCATACCTGAATTTGGCCCTCCTCAACGTTCATGTCGGCGAAGTAGATATCCTCGGTTCTGAGGGCCTTCTTCTTGTCTTCCGACATCCTGCGAAACTTCTGGAGATCCGGATTCTCAAGGTACGCATATGTACCTTTCCAGTACTTGCCTAGCGGATGGGAACCGTTCTTGAGAGGGCCACGCCAAACGGATGGCTTCTGCGATGCTGGCAAATCGCGCATCTTGTCGCAGAGCTGAGAGGCGTGTTTGTTCGTCATGTGGTGGCGGAAAAAGTTCAGGCAATGCAGAACCCACTCCAGATTCACATCGGTCTTACTGGGCCCCGTGTAGATCGGAGCCTCGTTCGTGGGCGCGTAGACGGCTTGCTGGGACTCTTCGACGGCGAAAACGTACTGGTTCAGTCCCTCTAGATCAAACAAAAAGTGAGCGCACATCAGCTTCACGGCAGCTAGGCGCTGGTCGACATAGGTAGGCTGGCCCTTCTTGGGCGGCGGTGGACGGCTTTTGTCAAGCAGGATTCGTGAGTCCATGATGAACTTCAGAAGCTGGACTTGGTTCGGGCAGCGTGGGTGACCTTCTTCGTCGAGCTGGGCCGGGCCTTGGAAGGTCTCATTGATCATCTCCGCCAGGATTTCGACGACCTGGCGCTCGTCCTTCCCGTGGCCGCGAACGAATTTGACGCCCGTCCCGCGGTACAGCCACTTCGAACGCAATGTGTACTTCTGCTTGAGGTCCTTGTTCGGTACGCCAGCCTTGCAGGCGTACTTCTCGCGGAACTTGGTGCGCCAGAACGAGAGGTTGTCGCCGTCGACAGCATGACTCGTGGCCCTGCACAACTGACTGTAGTTGGAGATGTCTTTATCCGTCTCGAGATAGTGAGCTATCGCTTTGTTGAGCTGCGAGGGGGTCAGCATGGATGCCACCAGGTGTTGTGGACGCTATACGTGCCTCAATTGGAAGCTTGTTGAAAGCCGTGGTTGTGGAAGGTGTATCGCGACCCATGATGGTAGAATGGCTGGCGTTCGCGGGACAGACGACGATGGTGCTGCGTGAGATTGGATGTGCTGGAGGAATGTCGGAAGAGAAGAAGACGTCGATTCGAGAGTTGAGAAGGAAGGATAAGAGCGCTGGCGGGAGGATTGAAGGAGCGTCGTCGGTCTTATTTTGTGAATAAGCGAGCGGTGAGGTCGCGAGCGATGGTGAACAATAAGAACCTTCCAATTGTTCAATGGCCTGTATCGTCAGCGGAGTGAGCGGCGGGCCCGGGCAGTGAAAGCCCTCGAGCAGTACCCTACCAAATGGATAGCGGATGCACACTTCACTTGAGAGCGACACCCTCACCGACTAACTGCATCCAATTTTCCCAAGTCATTCACTAGGCGAAGAGTGAGCGGCGGTGAGAAGGTGGTGGATGGGAGGCTTACGGTCGGGTTGACGCTGCGCTTTAGCTCGGGCTCTGGGAGGGAAGGAACCTTGGGAAGAGCAAACGACCACACCGCTCCCAGCGCTGGCCCAGTGCCCAAAGCTCCCCATCCAAACTCTAGGGCTGGCACCGAAGTACTTTAGCATGTGGAGTTATTCGAGGAACAGAAACACGCAGAACGGAGGAAAGAGGTCTCAAAAATATGTGCAGCCAATGCAAGTATGAGCCACACCTTCGCAAAGAGATATAGAGATGACGGGAAACCATATACAGCGAGCTGCACGTACGGCAATGCAACGGCCTCAATTTCTTGACGCTGATTTCCGATGCCTCTGATGCTTAGCCCTTCCATCTTTTTCATTGACGATATAAAAAACAGATGAAGCGACTCAAAAAGGAGAATTCGCTAGGCGAATGCGACACTATAGTAGCTCGGCATCAGAAAGAAAAAGTATTCTCTATTAGTGGCATAATCGTAGCTTTTCATATCATCGTACCTACCTACCCGAACTCCCTTCCCTCTAACCTACCTCTTCATACTAGTGGCAACGCCATAATCCCCGCCCAAGCCACTGCAAACTCTCCTACACTCTTCCATCCCAGCAGCATTTCTCCACCCACCGCCACCGCGGCACCCGTCGAGCTCTGACTCGGCGCCGCATCCGTTTGGCTTGGCGGCAACCCACTCGTCGGATTCGCATCATTCGCACTCCCGCCATCATCCCTCACCACGACATAAATCTCGCCTGTCGCGTCACTGCTCATGAACAGCCTGCCCTGAGAGTCCCATGCCAGACCCACGGGGCGGAAGCAGGAGTCCGGGCATTGGGACAGGTCCGGGTTGGAGACGACGTCGATGGTAGAGGTGTTGCTGTTCGAGGGCTCTGTGGGGGAGCCGTTGCCGTCGAAGGCGATGACGGAGAGCTTGTATCCTATGGGGTCGTCTCTGTCCCTGCCCACTGTCAGTAGATATCTTAAAGAGGGGTGGATGCTGCAAACCAAGAACCGTGGAACGACACCCACGCGGCAGTGCCGTTACTGTTGAATTTCATATCCAACGGAGCCATATGCGCTGAAAAGGTCAATCTCGGGCCCACCCTATCCTGCTGGCAAAACGTATCATTCACAGTAGCATTCTGGTCACCGATCGCAAACTGCGTGCCGACTTCTAGGCCATCATTACTCGGGATGACTCCCGTATCCCAGGCGGCGAAGCAGGACGGATACCCGTAGTTGCCTCCCTGCTGCTCGGTCTGTGTGCCGTTGAGGTAGCCGTGAAAGTTCATCTCCTCTCCGGGATTGTCCTGATGGATGTCTGTTCCCTCACGTTGCAGTTGATCGACGCTGTTCTCCACGGAGTAGATGCCGCCTGTGATAGGATCTTCGGCTACGCCAACGCTGTTGCGGAGACCCCAGCCGAGCAGCATACCATCTTCGGGGTAGCTGTAGGCCGAGTCGGTCACGTTACTGATGTTGAATGCTTTGATGGTTGACACGCCTGTCGAGATGTCCAGAGCCGCCGTGTCTAGATTCGACATGCTGCCCCTGCTGACAAGCAGCAGGCCGGGTACTTTGCGGGACAGGAGCAACGTGCGAGTGACATGACCGTCTGCGTCGCCCATATTGCCGACAACTTCTCGCGGACCTGAACTATTCTTTCCGGTACTGGCGTCGTAGTCCCATGCGTAGACGCCGGCGGGTGAAGAAGCGTAGAGCGTGTTCCCGTCCTCCGATAGTTCGATCCCATGGTTGAGCTATGAGACTAATGTTAGAGAAATCTGTAAGTTGCAGAGCCTCAATATCCAGGCCCACCGCCCTTCTGCAGCCCAGCGCACGCCAGGATCTGCAATTGGGCTTCGGGGGGTCGAGACTCACACTTGTGTCATCAATAACCACCTGCGTATCCCCATCCTGCCGCACACACGGCCCGTCTCCAGTAAGCGTCAGCCTACTGATCCCATGCTCTTGCTCCACGACTAACAAGGCCCCCTCCTCGTCAAACAAAATCCCCCTGGGACTCCTCAACCCGTTCGCCACCACATCCGCCCTCCACCCACTCGCCACGCTCGGCGCCGCATTCTTCGGGGCAATCGTACTCGAACAGGCGGTCGCCGAAGCGGTCGCAGATGTTTGAGCTCTGACGCCCAAGGCGAGTGCATATGAAAGCACCAGTAGGCTTTTAAACGCAGGCATATTTTTATATTATCGGATCCGCCCGAACAGCTGGATGCTGCAGAAGCCGGCCTGGACGCGACTGGAGCTAAGCTGGTACCGACACGGCGCGAACGCTCAACGCGGGGTGAGCGGGGACGGGATGAATTTGGATGCAGGTACAAATTGACCGGTGACTGGGTAATCGAAGAATCCCGGACGAATCAGCTGTCGGTAACGGCTCCTTTCAGGCGGACGCGTAGTGCTCGTGTTGTCTCAAAATCGTCAAACAGCTCCGGAGCGGAAGGAGAAGGCTGGAAGACAAGTCGAGCATAGCTTCGGTGGCGCCCGCCGGCTCCTACGCAGTACTTCAATGCCGCATTCTTTCGTTGCTTGGCTGCGTGCGTCATGACTTCGGGGGCAGTGCTACCCCGCCGTCGACCAAAACGCTCAGAGTCTCATCTGGTGGCGAGTCAAGAAAACGATGGCTGGTATTGGCAAGGAGCCGGTGGCTTGGGGATGCCGATGAACGGGCGTTTCATCGTTCGCAGGGCTCGATAGCCGAGGGTGATGGGGCGATGCGGATGCGTCGCGTGTTGAGAGGTGGAGGATTTACCGTGGACATGCACGACGCGTCGGCTTTTGCGGAGTGCGTGCATGAGCTGCAAGGAGCTGGCGGAAAGCCCGGGAGTGGAGTTCTCATGGAATGATAGGGAGCACGTCACGTGAGCTCAATATTGATAAACAAAGCCCCCTTCAAGCTTCGGGAAGGTGCAACTGACACAATTGACACCGTTTCCTTGACGGAAGATCAATTGTGTGACATGCACCCCGCCCATGGTTCAACCAGCTGTCAAATGCAGCCCCGCATGATTGCTTTGCAGTGCTACCATGGCCAGACGCGAATGCGAACCCATCAATAAGCCGCACAGATGCCTTTCAACTAACCGTAAGGAAGGCCAAACTCTGCTCCGCGGCCCAAGCTTCCAACGGCATGGCATGAACTCCCAACCGCCTTGTTAGCACGCCAGTAGTGCAGCAATAAATTCTCCACACATCGGAGGAACTACTTGACACAGCACACACATTCGGCCCGCCAAACGACCCCCTAAAGCTCCCTCCCCATCACCCTTCCTTCCGCCCCCCAATTCATCCCGCTGCTTAAACTCTGCGCCGCGGTCCAAGCTTCCAACGGCCCGGTCTGAACCCCCATCGAGTCTCGTAACGAGAAACCATCCATATTAAGGCACACCGTCCACCCACAAGGAACATCCGCCAACCCGCAAGGAACACCCTTCAGCCCAACTATAACAACCGTCGCATCAATATCATAGCATCACCGCCTATAGCCCAGGAGCGGCTCGGAAGGAACATGCCACCTTCAACATCACAGCATGTGAACGTGACCGCATCGTAAGACATATTCATGTTCTGTGTTTCGTCGTGTGTTCGCCCAGAGGGATTAAGCTCTCGTGAGCAGTAGCAAATGCAAAAAAATGCAAGGTTTGCTGGTTGGCTGGCCGTCTAAAGCGCACCATCATTGCAGAATAACAGGACCGCAATTCAAATCAAGATCCAATCCAATCCAATCCAATCCCTTTTTGTACACATTCCTGAAAAAGTTGCTCCGTCACGGCCCGCGGGGAAAAAGAAGAGAACTTCCGCGCGGCCTGCCGAATCCGACCGGATATGGAAAGAGAAAGCATTGCCTCTGGCCAAACGTAACTCCTGATGCACCTCCGGTAGACAACGAGGAAATAGCTGCATCCAACATGGAGAATCCACCTCTCTTCCGTTTCCGCGTGTGTGCGTGCGGCGAGATGCAAGCGGCTGATGCTGATCGATGGAAAACGAGATATGCAAATCCGCTCCAGATGCAAGACGCTGTCCATGATAGCCAATGGTGGCAGCATAAGAAATACAGGGTGCGAAGCCAAAACGATCCCGGGTCTACCGCTCGAACGCTATCCAGAAGGGAAAGACCTAATAAGAAATCCTTTTTGTTGCCCGCCAGAACTTTTTTTGTCATTCGTGGACAGACCGTTACTCGGTACGCTCACGACTCGGTGGCTCCGTCATGTCATAGCTTTTGCATCTACATGACCGTCATTAGTTTCATCTGCGTCGATAGATCGTTCTCTGGTTGAAAAATCTTGCTGAACGGAGGCTCCCTGTCTTTTGGGCTCGTACTTGGGCTTGAATAGAGCCCCTCCGCTTCCCGTAGCGCATCCTTCACTTTTCGCGTCAACGTGTTCACGTAAGGAACGATGCGTCGGAGAGTCGCAGTATCGAATGGCACCTTCTTCGTAGTCGGACTGGGCTGCGAATGCGCAAGTGGCTCGTGTGTGCTCCTTCTCTTCTGTAGCGCCTCGATGACCGAGCGCGCCTTGGCTTCTGAGTCCTTGCGAGGTCGGTTGACGACAGTCTTCCGATCTACAGGAGTGGCCGGCGATTCATACCGAGACTTGGAGGGAATCGGTGATGACTGGGGCCCAAAAATGTCATGATTCGGAGGGAGTATCGACTTTCTCCGTAGGCGGCTAGCATGGGCGACATGATGGGTGGTGGTCTTGCCAAGCGCCTCGCTCGCCAACACCGACCTGCGTCTTTCTCGACCGTGATTGGGGCTGGAGCCCGACACGTCATCAAAAGCGTCCTCGTCAAAACCAGGAGACGAGGGCGGAGATAAGCGAGGAATGCCATCGTGTTCCGCCTCCTGATCTGCAAGCTCAATCATGGCATCCACCTCCTCCCACATCGCGGCATTGTGACCGTCGAGGATACCTAGCGAGGCTGCCCGGACCTTCTGCTCTTTGAGCTCTTCAATCAGCAGGCCCCACTCCCGCAGAAGGCCGATGTTCGCAAGTACGTTGTTCTGCTGCTCTTGAATGTGGTTCGGTACCACCATTGCTGTACCACTGTCGATCCTCTGCGAGTCGGCTGCACCCGCTGTGGTTGGTGCCTCGGCCAGCTCAGAGAAGTCAAAATCGTCGTTCCAATCCTCGGTCACGCCTTTGCTTCCCACCCCCCAGGTGCCAAATTTGTTGGTGACCACTGTGCTACGTTTGTTTGTAGCATCCGGGACAACAGGCACACTTTGGCTGCGAGCGTGCAACCCACTGGGAGCTCGTCGCCCAACTGATCGACTCCCTCGGCGGTCTGCATCCTTCTTCCCATGTACTGTGCTGGGACGTGGCGGTGTACGATTGCCCGAGCTTTTATCAGCGGGCTGCTGCTCCGACCAATCAAATATGCTACTGCGAGCGTCCCTATCGCCGTGGTCAACGGTAAGATGTTGTGGGGTGGCTGGCTTCGGGCTCGAGCCTAAAGCGAGCGATCGCGAGTTGTGGCGTCCGAGAGACGCTGGCGTGGCGGCTAGCGTGGCTGGCGGACGCAGAGGGAAATCACCCCATGAGTCTTCGTCTTCCTCTTCATCCATTGACCAGCGGCTGCTGCTGTCATCTTCCTCGGCTCTCGAGTCCCATTCGAGCGTTCCAAGAGAGAGCGGTTTGGGCATGTCCGGGGGCGAGGAGGATATTAGACTAGGAAACAGAGGAGCGCTGTGCCCTCTAGAGAAGCTCGGAGAGTCGTGTATAGATCGTTCGGGAATGATGGTGCGCACCGGTGTCGAAATGCTCTCCTCTTCCTCGGCAATGCTCTGCTGTCCGGGAGCACCGTCGAAGGTCTGCTCCCGGAAGGTGCCTTTGGGAAGCAAATCTCGCAAGGCAGTTACTTTGACCTTTGACGGGGGACTCTCGTCAAATATCGTCTCTATGCGAGGGCCACGGGCGCCCGAAGTGCTTCTTGTTGCGCCCGTGCGTAGCGAATCAAAGGCGGTTTCACTTTGAAGATCCGCGTCGTCCTCTTCCCCGGATCCCAGCCCGCGAGCCTCGTTGTCTGAACCGACCAATGTAGATGCTTGTTCGGACGGGGCCATAGAATGACGGGACGGTCGACCTCCCGTCTGGCCCAGGCTCGGCGATGGCGGCGTGTGATTGGTGCTTGCCGAGGTTGAGCTTGACGGCTTAACGTCGCTTTGATGCATTGACACGGCGGTCCGTTCTACCATGACAGCAGCACGCCGCCGTAATGCAGGTAACGGTGGGGATGAAGCTCCGGAAAGTCCATGTCGTGCAGTTCCAATTTGGGTGCGTCCGGCAGAGGTAGAGATGTCGCGTCGAACAAGAGCGGGGTCGGTCAGGTCTCGCCGTGCGGATGCTGCAGCGGGTTCTCCGTGTGCTGTATTACTCTGCCTCCTGGCCATCGTGGGAAGCGGAGCTGAACTCACCCTCTTTTGGCTCGAATTGCGTGTGAGCTTTGCACCGGGTAATTTGGCAGTCCGCTGCTTCTTGGCGCTGGAGCCCGGCGACAACAGGTCTGTGATGGAGAAAGAGCGTCTGGGCCGCGTGGCGTCGTCGGCGTCCATGGACAGTCGGCTGCGCGATGCCTTCCGCTTCTCGTTGGATTTGGGCGCCTCGGTTTGGGTCGCAATGACGGCGGTAAAGCTTAGCGGTGTGCCCGGCCTGCTCACGAAGAAAACGCTTTCACCATCGTCGCTAGCGGAGTCATCAACCTCATCTGCGCTTACACCCGCCGTTACAGACTTCGCGAGCAGCAGCGTAGGCTTGTGCTTATCGTCTGGGTAAATCCTTTTCATGCTTTTTGCATTTGTCGATGATCCTTTCCTCTTGGACAGCGTCTTCTCCTTTGCAACTCTCGCCGTGAAGAACTGGGTGTACTCTACCTCACTATCTGTACTTGGCGGTAGCGGTACCGGCTGCTCGTCAACGGGTGGATCCTCGGCCGTCATCTCAAGGAGGGCTGTTTGATGCTGCAGCGTGGCGGATCGCTGGTGGCTTGTAGCTGGGCGGCGAAACGATGGGAGGCGGGACCCAGAACCCTGGGCAGAGGGGTCTCTAGAAACACGGACCGACGAGGAGCGTTTGACCAGCTTGTTGGGCGGCAAAGGTGAAGGATCCCGTTTGCCAATTATGGGAGCCGTGGAGCCGTCGTGGGAGAAGGCCATAGAGCCATTGGAGCAGGAGACGGACGGAGACAGCGGGCCAGGACTGGTATTTCGGCTCGAGTGCTGAGAGTTCGAGATGGACAAGCGCTTTATCCAGGAGGGTCTCCGTGCCGACAGGTGCGCGGCAGGATCTAGCTCGTCCGCGTCAAAATCACTGTGCGGCGTATATCCATTGACTACAGCGCTGTGCGGCCGCGGCGGGTAGTCGGCGCTCGTCATTCTTCTTACGATGCGGCGCTGAGCGCGGCCATCGTGACTGAGTCGAGTCGCAACGGGGACGCGAGAGGACGGCAGCGGGACGGGCGAGCTGAACGACTGGGCGGTGGTCGTCGTCGCGGAGGTCTGCACGGCAGCGGGCATCGGCCGGTGCTCCAGCTCTCGTGCTGGGGCGGCCTTCCTCTTGTTCGAAGCGTCGAGGGGACTCTCGCGACCGAAGGACAGGCCGACGGCAGACGCACCAACGACAGTGGCAGTAGCACAAAGCTGTGTGACGGTAATGCGTCAGTCATGGCACTCTGTGGGACGCAGACGTGCGGTATATCAGACTGGGTTGGGCAAGCTGGCGCCGCTCTCGGAAGCAGCGCAGCGGCGGGCGTCTGAGGCATCCAAAACAATGCAAGGGCAGATGACGAAGCGGGCCGCTGGGGTGGCAGCACGCAGGAAACAGAGAGTAGTTACCGTTGGAACCGTTTTCATTCTCGTTTACAGACCGAGCCGCCGGGCAGGGCTCACTCGACGAGGCACTCGTGACAGCGCGGTGAGCATTATGGCATGTCGAGGGGGGAGGAGGACCACGGTTCGAGTGCTGCACGCGGGCAGACGGGGCAGCGGAGGGGCTCAATCAGAGGCTCAGCAGGCGTGCTGCATGGCAGAGCAGGACGCGCGCAGGTGGAGGAGGGCTGCGGTAGCGGGCAGGCAGAGGAAGCGGAGTCTTCGAGGCAGAGGCGGAGGGAGCGCGCAGAAGAAATCCGGTGCTGGTTGCTTCTGGGATACGCATGCTAGGGCTGGCACCGCTAGGGCCATTAGCGAGGAGGCCGATGAATTGGTCTGATGGCGGAATGAGCAGCACCACAGCAGCGCGCGCCGGCCGTCGACTCGGCCCATTATTCTCATTATTGTTCTGCTGCCATCGTACAGTATGTACAGTACATTGCTCGTTTGCTGCCTGCTGGCTCGCTCGCCCATCGCATCACGCTGCAGCAATATGTCCGGGGCTGCAGCTGCGGTCCTCCCTCGCAACATGCCATGCGGAGCTGCCGTCAGTCGCTACACCACGCAAGCTGCGGGCCACTACTAGACTACGACTACGACTACGGCTACGGCTACTCGGTTTGCAATGGCGCCGAAGCAGCAATAATCAACAATCAGGGTCGGCGCAGAGCCCCCCTCGCTGCCAGCGCTGCACCCAAAATAGTCTACCACGATAGCAGCCCGGCCTGCGTAACGCACGGCGGTGATTCGCGAACGCGGCGCTGGGAAGCTCGCGGGTCCCCTGCACAGAGGTGGAGATTGTTTGTTGATCGCGGTCGCAGCCGGTCATCCCCATGGGCCACCGCGTGTGTTCTGCATTTGCCGCGCACTCAGCGGGCCTTTTAGCCAGCGCTCCCGTGTGGTAAGCTCAATTACCATCAAACGCTTGCAGCCAGCAACGAGGAAGACGAGAGCCGGGCGATTGACAGCACCCGCTTACACAGGCGCAATTGCAGAAAGTGGGCAGACTGCAGACTGCTCGCCAACATCCTGGCCGGCCGAAACAGCGAGCACGTCAGCCAGCGAGGGCGGAGAGTCTGGCACAGAGCGGAACCAGGGTCGAGGGCTTGTCGGGTCGAATAGCGCTTCTGCGCGCGTTACATGAAGCATGGCAAACATGTGTGCCGGCCTGCCAACCCAAGCGCGCCATCTGATATCTGCTCGACGACATCGACGCGGCGCCGTGCTGTCTGAGATGCGAAGCAAGACGCGGTCAGGCGTGCCGTGCGGTGGAGACGCTGTGGACACGGCCGCGGGCATAGACGCCGCATGCAGACGCCAGCGATCAGTCCTTTTGGCAGCGGGCGGCACAGAGCTGCTGGGCGGGCGCTGGATGAGGTTACGATGGTGAAGGTTCGGCGGCGTACAAGGCACGGCCGCAGATGCGCGTTGCCGGGAGATCCTGGGGGCAATCGCGTAGCGCTAGGCCGCGTCCGGTAAGAGGGCTTCTAGCGCGTTTTCTCGGTCCCAGCCTCTGAGCGGCGGCGGAGATCTTCTGGAAAGAGACATCCGCTCGCACACGCCGCCAACTCCCTCGCCGTCCGCGCTCGCTGCCGTGACACGCCAGTAGTAGCGAGCCTCTCGCCGCACTACGCCATAGATACGTACCAGTCGCGCTGTCGGCGGCACGCCGTGTCCGCTGCGTCCCTCGGAGCCAATTCGGGCGACGCCACATTCTCAAATTTGAGTCGAAGCGACATCGAGCAGCGTGGGACAGCTGCTCACGCACGCCGGAACCATGGAAGCTGAAATCAGAGCCCAGATCCCTGACATCGACCCCATCCTGTCTGATTACTCGGTCGGATATCTGACCCATGCAGCCAATGCATTCACCCCTGATGCAGACCCCAACGCCGCCTCTCCGCTCGAGGAGGCTGCCGCCGCCGTGACGGAGCTGCTCCTCTCTGCCTCTGGCGATCTCTCGACACAGAACGAGACGAGTATCCAGAACCTCGTTGAGAAGTTCATCTCCCGCCTCAATGCAGCACACGGTAGCGACCCCGAGCGGCGCCAGATGGCCCCCTCGGCCAAGAAGCTGGACCAGGCCATCCACGTGGGCTCGCAGAGGAATATGTCCTCCACCCTTGGGCTGGCTGGCGGCGGCGTCGACCTCGAGTCTGCCAACACGCGCAAAGTAGAGTCTAGAGTCGACCGCAAGAAGCTGGAGAAGGCCGAGCGCAAGCTGCGTGCAAAGCAAGACCGCAAAGTCTTCAAGAACGTCGAATATGAAGCATCCAAGCTACTCAACCAGCCCACCGAAACCCAGAGCTACGAAGAGTTCTACATGCAGGTTAACCCGCTGCAACTGGGCTCTGATGCGAGCTCCAAGAGCAAGGACATCAAGATTGACAGCTTCGACATTTCGATTAGCGGAAAGCGGATACTGACGGACAGCACTCTGACCCTAGCGTATGGCCGCCGATATGGTCTTGTCGGTCAGAATGGTATTGGTAAATCGACTCTTCTGAGAGCACTCAGTCGCCGAGAGGTGGCCATCCCTACACATATCTCGATTCTTCACGTCGACCAGGAGGTGAGACAAATCCTGCTTTTATGGATATCACCTATACTGATCGCGGCACAGATTACTGGCGATGATACTCCGGCTCTGCAAGCTGTCTTGGACGCGGACGTCTGGCGGAAGCATCTGCTTAAAGAGCAAGATGTATGTCGTCCAAGCCATCCCCACATCATAATCTGACCCTCTGCAGAAAATAACGAAAGAGTTGGCTGATCTGGAAGCCGAGCGAGCGACCATGGCCGATACGTCTGCCGACGCCGCAAGGCTGGACTCCCAGCGCGAGGGTCTCGACATCACCCTCAGCGACATCCACTCCAAGCTTGCGGAAATGGAGTCCGATAAGGCTGAGCCTCGAGCAGCGAGCATTCTTGCCGGTTTGGGTTTCTCGCCTGAGCGGCAGCAGTACCCAACCAAGACGTTCTCTGGTGGTTGGAGGATGAGGTTGGCTCTGGCAAGAGCCCTGTTCTGCGAACCCGATCTTCTGCTTCTAGACGAACCGTCCAACATGTTGGACGTCCCATCAATTACCTTCCTGTCGAACTACCTCCAAGATTATCCGAGCACTGTCCTGGTGGTTTCTCACGACAGGGCCTTCCTAAACGAAGTCGCGATGGATATTATCCACCAGCACTCAGAGCGCCTCGATTACTACAAGGGTGCTAACTTTGGTATGTACCCCGTCAGCTGCGAGCTCACGATCGTGTCTAACATGCCTAGATTCGTTCTACGCTACCAAAGAGGAGCGGCGGAAGACGGCTAAGCGAGAATACGAGAAACAGATGGCCGAACGAGCACATCTACAAGGTTGGTCTACGCACGGGCAATGCTCCATATTGTGGCTGACGTATTTGTAGCCTTCATCGACAAATTTAGGTACAATGCTGCGAAGTCATCTGAAGCCCAATCCCGGATCAAGAAGCTCGAGCGAATGCCCGTGTTGCAGGCGCCCGAAGCAGAGTACAGTGTGCACTTCAAATTTCCCGAGGTCGAGAAGCTGTCTCCTCCTATTATCCAGATGAGCGGCGTCACCTTCGGCTACACCAAGGACGACATATTGCTGAAGAACGTGGACCTTGACGTGCAGCTAGATTCGCGGATTGGCATTGTCGGCCCCAATGGTGCTGGTAAGACTACGGCGCTGAAGCTTCTCATCGGCGCCTTAGAACCCACGTCAGGCCTCATCTCCCAGAATCCTCGTCTAAGGATCGGCTTCTTCGCGCAACACCACGTCGACGGGTTGGACCTCAACGACAGCGCCGTAGGATTCATGTCCAAGAAATTCCCAGGTAAGGCCGACGAGGAGTACCGCCGTCACCTTGGCGCCTTCGGTATCACGGGCATGACGGGGCTGCAGAAAATGGAGCTATTGTCGGGAGGACAGAAGTCGCGTGTAGCCTTCGCATGTTTGTCCCTGACAAACCCGCACATTCTAGTGCTCGACGAACCGTCGAATCACTTGGATATCGAGGCCATGGACGCGCTTGCAGAAGCACTGCAGAAGTTCCAAGGCGGCGTGCTCATGGTCAGCCACGACGTCACCATGCTGCAGAACGTCTGCACAAGTCTGTGGGTGTGCGACCACGGGACGATTGAGCACTTCGATGGCACGGTGAAGGATTACAAGCGCCGGATAACGGCGCAGGCAAACGAGGCGGGCGTCGTACAGAAGCATTGAGGGAATCCTCAGCGAAGGATATAGAGATGTAGATCTACATGTGCTTCTGTACATGCGCTTTGCACAAGGGCTACTCTGTGATAGTGCGAGCATCCGTCTGTGTGCCGTTCAACCTTGGCACCAGCATGCATCAGACCATATCATGACCGGTGATAGAGTGGTCTATGTTCTAATGTTTGCTTGCTGTCGGAGATGTCATGAGATAACGCTTCACGTCAACAATAGCTTCGAATCAAAAGCGAACATACTCGCCCTCGGACACCCAGTCTTGCCAAGAGCAAGTTATTGCTGCATTGTCCCCGACTGCATCTGCTCAGCGAGCGCGATGCCGCACCCTATTCGGTATGCGAATCTGAGCAGGCGCGCTAGGCCCGAAACGCTTGGACGCAGATCCTGGGACCAGCCTCAAGCACGACTGACTTCACCGACCTCATCACACGCGAATATCACGCCCCAACCCACCACAACCCACGCATTCCGCCCGCAGCGCCGCTCTCCAATGCTTTTGGGCCGCCAGTGACTCGCGCGCGCGCAATCAACCTCGTCGGGCCATCACCCAGCCTGACGGCCGCCACACTACGTTCCGTCCAGATCGCAGCGCAACCGGCACCTTGTCGCAGACGCAGGCTCCCAGTCCCCACGGCTTGTCCGTAGTCGCTCCTTTGCCTCGCAGTTCTCGTGATAACGACCCCCGCCCGCCTTACACAGTCACAGCGGCCGCAGACGAGCAGAGAGTGCTGAACACTGCCGGCGAATCACCGTACCCCCCTCCCTTCTCCTCCCTCTACTTCCCGTCCGAGGACGACGCCGAGGAGCACAACAAGGCCGTCGACGACGCACAGAACGAATCTCCGCCGGCGTTCGCTCCTGCGCCCCCGTTTACAGAGTCCTCGTCCTCTGCTGCCGCTGTTGCTGTCGCTGAGACTAAGGCTGCGCTACCGCGCGACACCAAAGGTACGTAGGCCGCGCCTCACAAACCGGCATGCCACAGTCGTGTCTATCCGACCCGGCACTGCAAGACTCATCCTGAGAGGCTTCAATGGATAGAATAGTCTAGGACTAGTGTGCAGACACTTGCGATCCAAGACTTGCTAACGTGTACATTCGCAGACGGTTCCGGCAGTAAGGATATCGACGACGGAGAACCCCCGCCCCCGTACAGCGAAGGATCAAGCCCGCTCGAGTCGTTCACATACGTGATGGCATCCGCAGGAGGTCCAGCGAGCATCATCACTCAGGTGTCACAGCAGAGTGGTGGGCCGCCAATTAACACACTGGGAGGATCTGATGAGAACATAACATTGGAGCTGAGGTATTGACGCATCGCCCTGGAAGACAGTGCAGCTTCACTGACACTGCGCAGAGGAACACGGTTCACCCTCTCGCGCGACGAACTCCTGACGCTCCCCGAATTCGTTCTGTTGTCGCTGTTCCCCAATGGCCTCCTCCCTGACGGCCATATGAACTCATACCACGATGGTGACGTATACCCAGTCGACGTTGGTAACCCCGATCTCTCTTGCCCCCCGAACACGCGCATCAACTCTATTCAAATGATTCTGTACCACCTCTCCAACCCCGCATTATATCTATCTGACAATATCTATTTTTCCCAGTACGACCCTAATTCTCTCCAATACATGCTGGAATTCTTCCGAAATGTAGCTCAGACCATCCCTGCCTCGCCTCCATCTCCCACAGCGGCGCCAGACCATCCCACCGAAGCGCATGCCATCGAGCCCTCGCACGGCTCCGCGAGAGACATGCTACAAGACCGCGCCGGCATAATCGTTCTTCGCGAAGACCTCGACTTCTACGCAATCCCGCCGCATCGCGACATATCTCAGCCAGAGATGATCGAAGTTAAGCGCGCCGCCGGCGAAGCACTGTTAAAGCAGGACGGTATCTTCTCCGGGCTGCGGAAGAGCGAGGAGCCGGGCACGACCGAACAGCACCTCATTGAGATGTTAACTGCGGGGTAAGATAGAAATTACTATACAACACGTTTCCCGTGCTGACCACAATCTTTTAGTGGTTTTAATCACGACGACCGATGGGGACACCGCGCCGGAGAGCCAAACAAGGCCGTCATCTGCAGCATCGCGCTAGCGCGCCTCCGAACCGATATAAAGGGTAATGACTTGGCGAACAGCAGCGCCGTCGGAATGGCACAAAAGCTGCTCCTCTTCTGGAGGAAACCCGCTCGACGATGCTGGTGGGAGGGCGTTGAGCTGGACAACGTGAAGGGCGTAGAGGGCAAGCTAAAGGTGTGGATTAGGAGGGTTTGGACGCTGGAAATGGTATGTCTAGAACTCCTCGTCATCTCATCGTTCTGTTCTCACTAACGCTGCCCGTAGAGCGTCATCGGACTGCGCTGATGTGATACCCGCGCCTTTTCCTTTGTCAACGGGCTGGTCTGCTTCTATTCGACACACCACCCTACATATTCTCATTCCCCTCACCGATCATCAGCCCCCGAATTTGGAAAAGCACGGCTTGCAGGTTTTTCAGGTTAGCGGATTTCCTTCGTTCTTCAGTTTTGATACCTCTCTCCCCAGTCTCTCTCCTTTTCAGATGAGACAGGGTAGATGTCAGATATCCACAGCTGCATTGTGCCAACGTAGATAGCACACCAATTCCGGATAGGGGGTTTCGATGGGCGGATGGTGGAGATGGTGAAGTACATACTGCTTTGTAGACTACAGCATACCAATCCTAGGGAAAATTATAATACTGATATCAATGCGCGCTCTGCCCTATCCTATCCTGTCTTGTGCATGTGTGCTTGCACACTTAGCTAATTTTCCCTTTCTCAATCACATCGCGCTTCGTCTCCGACCTCTCCAGTCTACTGTGAGTTCTCATGCCCGCTTCTCATCTATCGATCGTAGATGAATGAGCCTTCCGAATGTCTCAGCGCCGCCCCCAGCCCCAAAGTCCAGACCCTACCTATCCACGCCATTCCCACCCATCCACCAGCTGTCTCCCTCCCTTACCTAACTCCCATCTATTCTATTCTCGTACCTGTCTGTCACTTCCCGGTACCGAACCCGACCTCCACCTCTGTCACCTACCTACCCACGATGTCACCCTCGCCTCGCCTTGTCTCGCCTCGCCCCGTCCACAGCATGTACACATGTGGCTGAAACCGCGGATCCTGATACTGCAGCTACCTAGCTGCATGCAAGCAAGCCCAGCCCAATACTGGCAGGCGTCTGCCGTGCTACCATTGAGGCTGGGGCCTGGAACCCGGCGTTGCCGGGGCGCGGAGCGATCGAAGTACGGTACGGAGTACGGTAAGTAAGGTTCTCGATCCCGACATGTCAAAGGAGGGGATGCGGATGCGGCTCGCCGCGCTGTGCAACGCGACGGGTGCGAGATGCGGCTTTCGCTTTTGCTTTTGGGTCGGCGTGCAGATACGAGCGAGGTGTGGAGATCGGGTCGGAGGGTTGTGAGTCAGGGGTGAGGTTGAGGAAGGAGGAGTAAGGAGTGAGTGGGGATGTTGTGCAGCAATGCTATACGATACGGTGCGATGGCGAAGCGCAAGTGGGTCGGAAGTATCCGCACAGGCTTGCGGAGTGGTGAGTCAGGAGAATGAAGGGAAGCAAGTTGTTTGGGGTGAGCAGGGTGAAGTGTGGGGAGGCTGCTGATGCTGTGTTCCCCTTGTGCTGTGCTGTTGCGTTGCTGGAAAAGGCGAGGGGCATATACGAAGTTCCAGACACCAACTTGAAGAACAATAATGGAGGAGTCTCGGAACAAGTTTGGCAGACAAGACGTGCGAGAGTGGGTCAATGCTAAGACATATGCAGACCGAGAAGTATTCACTTCGGTTTGCAGTCGAGTTGGGGTGCAGACATTGACACCAAAGGTGCTGTGGACAGGACCTTTACCGACGGGCTCGCAATTCAGATAGTCGGAGTGACATGGGTCAGTAGGTTGAACATCCGCACGCTAAGTGGTAACCATTTTGAGCTCTTAAGAGTGTGGGTGTGGAACCCTCTCTTATCTTGATTACTCGACCCTAGGGTACGGCCAACGGGTCTCTACCGGCAAGCCGGTAAGAACGTCCCTTCATTGTTGAGTCCCTCCTTGTCCTCCTCCAAGACTCTTACCAAAAAAACGGTCACCTTTTGTCTTGACCAAGGTTGAAGGGTCAAGCCGGCGATACGCATCAAACGCCATGTAGCCCAGATAAAACCCCAGATCCCCGTCTTTTCAAATGCTATGCCGTTGAAGACAAGAACTTTTCTTCGAAATGGTATCATCCCAATTCATAACGTCGTGTTGAAACTTCTAAAGTAGACGCAGAGAAATCTAGTAACGGTAGATGTCGCTCTTGAACGGACCCTCGATTGGCAGTCCAAGATACTCAGCCTGGACCTCGGTGAGCTTGGAGAGCTTAGCGTTGACGTGGTCGAGGTGCAGCAGAGCGACTTGCTCGTCGAGAATCTTGGGCAGCACGTAGACGCCAATGTCGAGCTTGCCGGTCTTGCCAAACTCGATGTACTTGTTGCCGAACTCCTCGTCGTCGGCCTTGTACAGCATGATCTGGGCAAGGACCTGGTTGGTGAAGGAGCAGGACATGACGAAGGAGGAGTGGCCTGTGGCGCATCCCAGGTTAACGAGACGGCCCTCAGCGAGGAGGATGATGTGGCGGCCGCTCTTCATGAGGTAGCGGTCGACCTGCGGCTTGATGTTCTGGACCGACTTCGCGTTGGCCTTGAGCCATGCAACGTCGATTTCGATGTCGAAGTGACCGATGTTGCAGACAATGGCGTCGTTGGGCATGGCCTCGAAGTGCCTAGCAGTGAGAATGTCACGGCAGCCAGTCGTGGTGACAAAGATCTGGCCCTGAGAAGAGGCCTCCTCCATGGTGGTGACCTGGTAGCCAGAGACAGCGGCCTGGAGGGCGTTAATGGGGTCGATCTCGGTGACGATGACGCGGGCACCCATGGCGTGGAGAGCCTGGGCGCAGCCCTTGCCGACATCACCGTATCCGGCAACGACGGCGACCTTGCCGGCGATCATAACATCGGTGGCACGCTTGATACCGTCGACGAGCGATTCTCGGCAGCCGTACAGGTTGTCGAACTTGGACTTTGTGACGGAGTCATTGACGTTGATAGCCGGGACGAGCAGGCCGTGCCCCTTGCCCTTGTTCTTCAGCATGCGGTAGAGGTGGTGCACGCCGGTGGTGGTCTCTTCTGACACGCCGTAGCAGTCCTTGAGCATCTCCGGGTACTTGTTGTGTACCAGCGCGGTAAGGTCACCGCCATCGTCGAGGATCAGATTCAGGCTCTTGCCGTCCTTAAAGGCGGTGAGCTGCTGCTCGAGGCACCAGTTGTACTCCTCCTCGGTCTCGCCCTTCCAGGCGAAGACGGGCACGCCCGAGGCGGCAATGGCAGCGGCGGCGTGGTCCTGCGTGGAGAAGATGTTGCAGGACGTCCAGGTGAGCTCGGCACCGAGCGCCTTCAGGGTCTCGATGAGGACGGCGGTCTGGATGGCTGCGTGCGGGGTTAGCGAGAGCTGGGTAACGGCCTCCGTGCTGTACATACTCATGTGCAAGCATCCCGCAATGCGGGCGCCCTTCAATGGCTGCTCCTGGGCGTACTTCTCCCGGGTCGCCATGAGCCCGGGCATCTCATTCTCAGCGAGCTCGATCTCGCGGCGACCGAAGGCCGCGAGGCTGATGTCGGCGACCTTGAACTTGTGGGCGGGAGCAGACATGACGGCGGCTGCGGATATGATGTGAGAAGGAATAGGGCGGTCTCTAGAGAAGGAATTGAGAAAGGAAGAGAGAAGTGGGAGCGTGGAGGGGAGAAAGAGCTTTCAGAGTTTCGGCAGTTTTTCAATGCCCCGCCACCAAATCGAGCCTGCCCCAACTCCGCTCGGACCGTTTATGCTGACTTCTGATTGGCTGCTCGGACTTCATCCCATCCCATCTCAAACGAACAACAATGCTTTCCCAGTCCATCAACCTACTGCCCGGATCCCGTCTCGCTATGTCCCGAAGCTGTTTACTCTTCGCGTTCTCTCCCCAACCTTGGGAGCGGTCTCCAATTGGACTTGAGGCCGATGCTCAAGCGGCATCCCGAGCCCCCTTTGGCACCTCTGAAGCCTGAGAAGATAAGCTCCTGAATACCACCTAGGTACTAAAAGAGCAGAGGCGACGCAAAAAGAAGAGTACTAAAAGGTTTAATGCTGATATCCTCTTTCATCACTCTTCCCCCGCTGTCTTCTTGCAATATCAGTCCTCGTCTTGAGATGACGTGTTCTACAACACCTCCCACGCCCTCTCACTCATGTAAGGGTGCCTATGCGCCCTGCCCTGGTCTTCCGAGTGGCTCAAGTTCCTTAATGCTGAACTTTAGAACGGGCTCGCTGTTTGCATTTGTGACAACGGTATCCAATGTACTTCAACTCTCTCTCAATTCATGTCATCAGTTATTTCCCTCTGCATAATCTCTCAACACCGCGATATCAAGGCGAAGAGCAGGATCAAGCAAGCCCATCAGCACAGGCAACCAATCCTAATACACAGCCCAGACAAGCTTCGCACATTAGTCCTACTTGCAACAGCTTTCCGGCGTTCCGCATCATCATCATCAACAACCGCACAAAGCATTTCCAGGCAACAACCCACCTCGCTCCTTCCATAAACACACCCGTCCGCGCCTTCCTTCACTCGCTCGACCACGCCACCCCTCCCTCCAGGCCCCCGCTCCACTTCTCCTCTCCCCCCTCACCACACCACAAAATAAGGCAACACCCACACTTTTCTCCCTATAAATATCCAACAATTCTCAAACCCTCTCATCAGCAAACACAACAGCAGCCTGGGTGGGCGATCTCTAAAAGGTAAGTTTGGGTTGCACAGAGATCGGGCGACCGAAACCGGTAGGGAGTAACGTCGTTGGGCAATAGAAGGCTTGCTTTTTTGCTTCTGCGCTGTTGTTTTGGATGCCCTGGGTTCGAGTCAGAACGGAAGCAAGCTATTTTATTATCAGTTCAGGTTAGCTTGGCGTCTCGTCTCGTCGCCGCGATATGCATTGTCTTGGCCTCTCGAGTACTCAGCTCGCCCATGTGCATTGTCATCACCTCTGCTTGCTTATCTTCTCCTAACGTATATCTCGCTACTGTATACGCAGCCTTGGAGGTCTTCGTCTCGGTGAAGCGCGAGACTCTAGTGCTCCACCTTTCCATCCGCAGGCATGGCACCACCGCCCAAAGTCCAGTTTATCAACACCAGCGGAAAGACTTCAGAGGCTACGCGCGCGCGAGACCAGATCGAGAAAGCGGACGATCTCGCGGTGGTCGGTCATTGGCAGTATTAAGGGCTGCGACGTGTGAGGAAAGACGAGATAGGCTAGATTAAAAGAGAGGGTGAGGGTTTAAGAGAACAGCAGAATTAATACTGCTCTCTGGACAGGCAAGAAGGCCTGAAGCTTTATGCTGTCACTCACGGCGATGAAGATGAAAACGACGAAACATGGAAATATAGGCTTAGGCATACGGGTGAGCCTCTCGAGAGTATGAGACGCTGGCCTAAGAAGACCTGAGGTTACAATTATCTATCTCAGTGTCTGTGGCTCGGAGAAGAAAGGCGGAAGGCTTCTTCATATCCACTGGGTCTTTAGGTAAAGGGCTGGACGGGTACTTAACCTTTCGGTGCTGGGCAGTATAATGAGGTCGCTTCGTGATGCGAGCTTACAAGCACCTCCTTCAGAGCCCCGTGTCCAGGTTGCAGGATGAGGCTGAGCGCCACGAGTGCAATGCTACGCAAGCTGGGGATGGTTGGGACCGGATGCAAAAGTGTAGAAACATCCAATTAGTCTGTGCACGTGCTTGCACATTTCATGGTAGGGCACCTTGATAGTGAGATTCTCCGAGCTATTCAAGATAATTAGACCCGGAAGGGTATATCAGCGACAATTATGATCACCCACTTGTCTCACCAGGTAAGCGTCGCACTGCTAAATTAGATACTAAGAAGGGAAAATACCACTGAACGAAATGCCCACCTACGCCGCCACTGGCTTGACGCTCTGCGGATTATGAAAGATGTCCTTCGGATCCACAGCCGCCTTGATCTGCTGCAGCCTCGGCAGATTGCTTCCCCAGTACTCCGACGGACCGTTCGCACCCAGCGCTGGATCCACATAACCAGCATACGCCCCAAGATGATGGCCGGGCAGTGCATCCGTGATGACCTTGCTCAGGCCCGTCAGGAAGTTCCTGATTTTGCTGTCCACCCTGCCAAAGAGGTTGACGGCATATGCTTGGTGGTAGAACAGCGCGTCGCGGTGTCCGTACGCCGTCGCGTCCGGCGCGTAGTCGTTTATTTTCCCGCCTTCCAGGTCCCAGATCAGGAACCAGACCGGTGTGCCTTTGTCCGTTGAGTCGATGAATTGGAAGAGTTTGTCGACCGCGGCGTCGGGGAGAATGTCGTCTTTCGTGTAGGCGAGTGACTTGGCGTAGAAGTTGCTCTGGATGCCACCTGCGAGCTCGAGCGCGACGTCCTCCGCCCAGTGGCCTACGACGCCAAGCCAGTCTTTGAGTACTACCACCGACTCGTCCTTGTTAGGGAGGCGGCTGGAGATGTTGAGGCTGTCGAATTCGGCCTTTGGACCGAAGTAGGTTCCGGAGACGATGACACCAAGCTCCGTTAGGATGAACTGGCTGGCGAACTTCCGCGACAGATTTGGATCTGCAATTAATGCTTGCCATTTCTTGAAGGCATTCGCCTTGTCCTTCGCGCTCCCGGCCTGGATGCCGTACGAGTAGAGGACTGATTCGCCCGGTTCAGCCTCGGTGCGCACTTTGAACTCGGTGATGATGCCGAAGCTTGCTCCTGCTCCTTTCAGGGCCCAGAAGACGTCGGAGTTCTGCTGCTCAGATGCCCGAACGATCGATGAATTTGCAAGCACGACCTGGACTTCTTCGACATGATCCAATGCCGCTCCCCACATTCGAGATGTCGGGCCCAGGCCGCCAATGGTTGCATGACCGCCAATACCGACTTGTGGACACGTGCCGTGTGCCATCGCGCGCTTTCCATTGTCGTGAAGCCGTTTGGTGACGTCGCCCAGCAGGGTCCCTCCGCCAATTGTTGCTTGCCAGGTATTCGTGTCCATGGAGAACTGCTGGAAGTTCTCGAGGTCAACGATGATAGCGTCATTTTGTCCGCCAATACCTGTGAAGGATGTTAGAACAACTGTCGTTCGGTATCAAAGCTGGCGCATACCGTAGTTTGCATACGAATGACCACCACAGCGCGGTTGGACTTTGAGATTGTTGTCGGCGGCGCATTTAACGATCGCAGCGACCTGTTCGGTAGACTTGGGATAAGTGACAGCTGCAGGCGCGACTGGTATATCAAGATTGTAGGGCTTGACGTGCGAGATCTGATAGCCAACGGTCGCATTGGAGGCTAATAATGCATTGTTACCTCCCAGGGCAGCTAACAGGCATTTCTGCACCGCTGTACTCGATGTATTCCCCATAGCGCAGGTCTATGGCGTCGGCCAGCAGAATCTACCCAAGAAGAGAATATGAGAAAGCGAGCGGAAGGGAGAGCCCAAGAAATTCGAGCTCTCGTGAAAGTCGTGCATTTTGTAGAGTACATGTACTCGGTTGCCCCCGCCGAGCCGATCCTCCTGGTACAGGGGAGCCCAGCAAACGGACTGCCAATACGGAAGCTACGCCCGGCCCTTGGCGTTGAATCTGGCGCACGCGCGCGAAAAACATGCGAGGAGAAGCTGGGGACGGGGACATGCGGATGCAGGTCACTCGAGGACGTTGCTGGCGAGGTGGTGGTGAGGCGTGGCAGGGGTCCGGGATAAGGTCTTGGGGTGGCGATGTCGACCTGTGAGTGGTTGGCAACGGCGCGTCCGTGTTTGTTTAAATTGCGAAGGTCCAGAAATCCTGGCGGCATCCTGGGGTAGTGTGGCGCATGCGGAGCGCGAAGAGGAAGCGTTTCAGTGTGACTTTCCTGCAAACGTTATGCGGACTGCCATCTCCGCATACGAGTGTGCACGACCGTTCACGTGCATCGCACAGAAGGAGTCTGCTGCCACCCTTCCTCAGTATTACCAAGTCGCTGAATGGAAAGGTGAATCCTTCAACGGCAACACCGTGTAAAAAGGAGGCATTCTGCGGTCATAGGGTCGGACTGCGCCACGCATATTTGCTCTCGCGCCAATAAGACCCCGAGCGGATGGTCCCGCTCCAATCCTCAGGATATTTGTCGGCTAGTGGAGAGATTTTCTGTCGAGCAATGTCATCCGCGAGCCTTTCAAAGGTTAGGAGTGGATAAGTCCCTATATATCGTCCTGAAAGTCGTCCTCCACGTCCTCGACTAACCCTGCGTCTTCAAAGTTAGTGTTGAGTCCTCCTCTGCAACGCCTGACGGGAAATGACCAGGGAGAGTATACACAGCAGAGGTGGGTTTAGCCTCCGCAGGGACAGCTTGCCAGGTGCTTGTGGACGCCGTCACCCGCGAGACATTCTTATCGCGAATCGAACACCTGATGTTCATGTGAGGGCTCCGGATCCGAATTCATGGTGTCGGCAGTAGTCCGCGGACATCCAGGCTTCTTCTCGCGAATGGATGGTATGTTGTGGGCGCTGATTGAGGTGGAAGAACGATTCCCGACTGAACGGAGGTGAGTCGTTCTTGATGTATAACATCATTGCACCAGCTCAAACTCCGAACCGACGTCCCAACTCCCGCCCTAACTCCAAAGATAGCGCATTTCCACGTTGAACAAGCATATCAGGTGTCCACAGCCCAGCTTTAAGATCGGTTTGCCGCGAATCTGTGGGACGTGGTGAGGTTCCAACACCGCCTCTGACGCATCTTCAGGCCACCCGCTGCACGCCAACTGAAAGAGGCAATATCTTCAAGGCTCCGCCAACCGGATTTCCTGAAATAGAGCAGGCATTGCACCAAAATGTTTCACAAACTCGGTTCTTACCGAGCGATGGAAAGCCTCAAAGAGCTTATTTCGACGTTTTGAGGGTCTGAGCGACGCTGATCAATGCAGGTCTTTGATGCAAAGCAAGGCTGAGGATGGTTATGGGCATGGCTATGACGACGCTAGGCATCCCGTTCGATGGTACAGTGGTGAGGGTTGAGGTGGTATAAAGACTGAGAAGTCAGCGAGCATTGTGATTCAGACTTCATCCAAAACCTCGCCTCATTACCACTCACATCTCTCCACATTCAAAATCCTCGAACAGCCAGCCAAACCACCTGCTACTACACCTCAAGAAACTCCCCGACCCCAGACGAGTAACGATCACAATGGGTCTCTTCAATCCCTCCAAAGACCAACAATACGACCCCAACGCGTATCGCCCATCAGCACCTCAACCCGCCTACATGCAGCAACAACCGCAATATGGCCAGCAGCCGCAGATGGCATACAGCCAGCAACCTGCTGCATACGAACACCAAGGGAACCCCGCATACGAGTACGCGGCGAAGAAAGCGATGGAGAAGCAGGAAAAGAAGAAGAAGCACAAGGGACGCCGGTGCTGTTTGGGGTGCTTGTGTGATTGCTTCGGGAGCGGACTTGGAGGCTGAGGAAGACGAACCCGGTGATGCGAAATCATGTTAGAACAGTAGTGTTATCTGAGCGTTAAGCAGATCCACGGCCTCGCGTTGAGCAAAACCGAATGCACCATTTTGAACCTTGTCGAATCTTGTATTCTACGTGTCCCTGGATTTGTTCATTGTGTCGTTGTCTGTCCACAGTATTCGCTAGGCAAACCATTGCCGGAAATCAGACTTGGTAAGCAGATGCCTCAATGGTGAGTATCTTTGGGTATGAATGTGCGGGGAGAAGCTTAGGCGAGGTTGAGCTGGGCTTCATCTCGTCTCGTTCGAATAGTATATCTGCTAAGCAGATGAGTTAACTATCAAAAAGGGATTTTTTGGGACGATGTGAGGAGTGAGAAGGCGAGGCCAAGGTGAGGGTATGGTAGACGCTAAGGTGCTTACTAACCGCCAGCTGTGCTTAGGCCTTGCACCATGCCGCGACTTTCTACACGCAAGTGCTTTCTGCCTACAGATGATGACTCTCACAGACGGCCATAAAATGGACGTCATCTATTTGATTAAATTGACTAACTTTCAGTAAACTCACATACTCGCAGAACGCCTCTCGAACGCCAATCGACCGTCTCCGTCACGTCGACGCTCCCGAATCCTCGCAATGGCTATCACCGAGATGGCGCTCCTCCACCTTTCCGAAGGTACAACCGCTGACGACGCGTCCCTCCGCTCGAAGTTGACCAAAGCGAAGACGGTCATGCAAACCTACACCGGCCGCACTTTCTATATCATGCAACAAATCGAAGACCCATCATTTCTGTATGTCATCGGAGAATGGGAATCGCTCGACCAGCACATGAATGGCTTCATACCCTCAGCAGACAACCAAGCTCTTCTCGAAAGCCTGAAAGACGAGCTCGCGGTCGACTGGCTGCTGCACATCGACGCCCCGCACACCGCGCTCCCACTGCCCAAGACGGACGCGGAGAAGGAGAAAGCACTCAAAGGAGAGCTCATATATAGCATTGGGAGGCACTTCATCAAGACTGGGGAGAAGGACAAGTTCCAGGAGACGTTCGACGCCAACAAGAAGTACCCGATGGAGTACGTGACGGAGGGCTCGATAGGCTATGGATGGCGCGTAGATAAGGAGGAGCATAATGAGGAATTTGTTCTCTGGGGTCCTTGGAAGAGTGTTGACCAGCACCTTGGGTTCGCGAAGACGGAAGGGTTCGCAAAGTATGCGAAGATTCGGGACCACTTGGATGGTGCGGATATCAAGCATGCGAAGATTATGGATGTCTGAATGGTCATGAACGTCTTAAAAGGACAGCAGGTAGGGCTTTCTTGGCCAATCAACATATATACTGCCTCCTACTCCCTCCTTCGCTCTTCTAATGTCTCTTCGTTCACAACGCCATCGAAAATCCCGACCCATTCGTTAGATTTCCCTCCACCATAAATCTCGCATCCTCGCTCTACATATCACGGAATTGATTCAGAGAGCCGTCGCTATTCTAGACGCGTTGCACGCGTCGGCGCAAAAGTGGGAGTTCCGATAAGCTGCAGCCCTGCTTCCGAGATAACGGAACAGGAAGCGCGATGCGACCCCTCAACAGCGGCGGCCACTATGGGATCAGACGACCAGCGATCTGATATGCCCGCCTATTCGTCATATCTCTCCGAATGCATACGTAAAATCGTGCATCGAGCATATAACGTCCTTTCTCGCTTTTTCCCTTGTCTTTCAATTCACCACTCGTTTTCGCTCCCATCATGGATCTTCTAGGTATAGTACAATCCTGGATTGTTCGGATACAAAATGCTCCCTTGGGTTATGGGACCACAGCTGCCGGGCTTGCAATTCTGTGCTTTCTTCTATACAAGGTACGTCGCCATTAGAAAGTGAAATTCCGTCACTCACACTAGGCAGCTCACAACTCGAACCGACATCCCCTACATCCGCAATCTGCCCGAAATACCCGGAGCTCTTCCCATCACTGGCCATCTCCTCCAACTAGGCGACGACCATGCCACTGTGTGCGAGAAATGGTGGCGCAAATACGGCCACTCAGTCTTTCAAATCCGGCTCGGAAACACTCGCGCAGTGGTCGTCAACTCCTTTGCGGACTGCAAGAAGATGCTCGTCTCCAATTCCCAAGCCCTGATCGACCGGCCTACTTTGTACACGTTTCATGGCGTCATTTCCTCTACCAAGGGTTTCACGATTGGTAGCTCGCCGTGGGACGAAAGCTGCCGCAACAAGAGGAAGGCTGCGAGTACGACACTAAGCCGTGCAATGATGAAGAATTACTATCCCATGTTCGACCTCGAATCGTACTGCATCCTCCGAGATCTCCAGCGAGACAGCAAAGGAGGTGAGCTTGAAGTTAGCGTTCGACCGTATATCCAACGTTACGCACTCAACACCACATTGACCCTCTGTTACGGCATTCGCATGGACGAAGTGTACGACACACTCCTCCGAGAGATCCTCTACGTTGGCTCAGCAATCTCGCTTCTTCGCTCTGCGTCCGAGAACTATCAGGATTACGTCCCTATTCTGCGATATCTGCCGAACAACGAAAAGACCGCAAGGTCAAAAGAGCTCAGGGAGCGGCGGGACAAGTATCTCGACCTTCTTCTCAATAAAGTCCGCGAGATGATCAAGAAAGGGACCGACAAACCCTGCATAAGCGCTGCTATTCTCAAAGACGAAGAGACGCGTCTCACCGGCGTAGAAGTCGGCTCTATCTGTCTCTCCCTCGTCTCTGGAGGCTTCGAAACGATCCCCGGAACGCTGGTCTCTTGCATCGGTTCGCTCTCCACGCCAGCAGGTCAAATCTTCCAAGACCGCGCATATGAGGATATCAAGCGGCATCATCCGGACTTGAAAGAAGCATGGGCGGCAGACTTTGAGAAAGAGAACGTTCCATATCTGAATGCGATTGTGAAAGAAGCAGGACGCTACTATACTGTCAGCAGTATGAGTCTGCCCCGGAAGACGGTGACCGATGTGCGTTGGGGCGATGCGATTATCCCCGCGAAGACGATGGTGTTGATTAATGCTCAAGCTGGGAATCACGGTATACTCTTTTATCTATCGCGCACACCTAGAGGAACTGCTAATGTATAGTAGATGTCGACCATTTCGGTCCCGACGCCGGTATATTCAACCCCGAGCGCTGGCTCTCTACCACAGAAAAAGGATACGAGGAGAAATCTGTTTCTGGACCGGCGCACCTCTCCTTTGGTGCAGGGTCGCGCTCATGCCCCGGCGCTATCATTGCGAGCAAACTGATCTATTCGGCGCTATTTCGTTTGCTTTCGCTGTACAAGATTGAAGCGAGCGAGAAAGATCCGCCGAATACGGATTATGTGGATTATAATGCGATTAAGAGTGCGCTAGTGGCTATTCCGAGGGACTTCAAGATTAGGTTGATCCCGAGGGATGGAAGTGGAGAGCTTGCGAAGAGCGTTTTGAAGACGGGAGAGGAAAGGACAAGGGAGTTTTACAAGGAGTGAAAGGCTTTTCGGGCTGAATTGAATCGGATCGAAAAATGCTGATAGGTGAGCGAGGGCTGAACGGAATGCAGCTTATCTCCGAAGCGTGCAGTTGCGGGGCACATTCACCCCACTTTCCGTCTTTACTACGGGAATCCTTCACGACAGCCCATCACATAGGCCAACATGCTATGGAGACTCGAACAGGCAGGTCAGGCATCATGTCTCAGTTGTTCCTGCATAGTGGATCCTTCGCTCGAAAGCGACTGATTGATCAATGTGACTCATCCATGAAAGTTTACATTTCAGCCCTCAACCCTTCCATCACTCCTATTCATCACACATTCCCTTTCATCATCAAATATCCTTCCTCTTCTATCTTGTCTTAGTTGAATCCATTTATCGTCTCGCATCTCAGCCTCCACATCCCCACTCTGGACAAATAATGCCGCTTGAACTCCACCCCATCACAACCTCAGACACCCTCAGCTGGACCCGCATCCGCATGCTCGCCTACCTCGGCCCCACCCACGAGCTCATCCACGGCGGCCAGCCCATCTCCGAATCTTCCATCCAGGGCGTAGCACGGGACCGCGTCAAGGAACTCGGCAAACGCAACACCTGGCACTGGAAGATCGTTGACACCGACTTATCGCCCAGTGGAGACGATCCGGAAGGAAATAGCGGCAGGACGATTGCGATCGCCGTGTGGAGTGCGCATAATCTCCCGGCGAAGGAAGTGGAGGGCAGCAGTAACGAACCGACAACAAATCCCGCTGAAACAGCTAGTGAGGAGAGAGCAGAGGAGGAAAAGGAAAAGCCGTTCCTACCGCCCGAGCTGAACCTAGAAATTCTACTCGCACTGCTAGGTCCTTTAAACGTCGCGCAAGCCGAGATCATGGGCTCCGCGCGCCCGTACCTCATGCTCAACAGCTTGGCCACGCATCCAGAGCACCAGCGGCGCGGCGCGGCGAAGATGCTGCTGGACTGGGGGCTAGAGAAGGCGGACGAGGAGGGGTGGGCATGCTATTTGGATACGAGTCAGACGGCGAGGGCGATGTATGAGGGAAGGGGGTTTGAGTTGGTGAGGGGCGTGGAGTTTGATCGGGGAAAGTGGGGTGGGGAGGGTGTGGATTGGCATGGGTGTATGGTTAGGGAGCCGCAGAAGGGGGAGGAGGGGAATGCGCAGAGTGATGGGAGGGATTAGATATGCGTTTCGTGAAAGAGAGTTAAAGCTCTTTCCGCATATGTACTTTCTTCAACCCCTAATACATTCGACTCGCTAAACGCAGCATAGCCCAGCCTCTCAAAGTACCCTCGCTGCCACGGCACATCATCATACCCCGACAAGCGTATCTCGCCAACCTTCCCGTCCCTTCTTAACACACTCTACGTACCGCAGCCGCCTGCCAACGCCCTGTCTAGCGTGTCTCTGATCCACCGCAAACTTCCGCACGGACAGTACACGACGAGAACGCGTCGTAGGATCGGCACCCATAACAACTAAGGCGACGGGTTCCATACTATCCCGCGATACCGCGACCCAGATCTTCCCCTCTTGCTGGTCTAGGGAGAAGAGGCTGGGAGGTGGTACGGGAGCGTCAGCTAACTTGGACAGACCTACGATGTGGAAGAGTTGCTTAGCGGAGTACTCGATGCTTGGGAGGTAGTGCACATCACGGGGTGTGGCGCGGCGGACGATGATGTTTCCAGTGGAAGGCGTGGAGAAGAAGCAGCCCATGATAGAGTGGAGAGTGGATGGAGACGCTAGGTTGAATGATTGAAGAAGACGCGGGGACCTTTATACTAAGAAGGACAGCGCAGGCTGAAAAAAAAAAAAAACCACTACTAAACAGACGGTCGATGCTGTGCTGGACGACAGGAAAGTATAAGGTGGCATGCAGATGCTTGCATACGTAGCTTGGGGCGTCGTGTAAGCGTTCAAAGATACTTTGTTGTTAGGGTGTGCGAGTATCGACATGGTTGTGGTGACTTACGGAAGGCCAACATGAACACACTCATAAACTAACATTAACTACGTTGAGGGTGGAAGCTAAGATAAGTTCAAAATGGTGGATGGACCCCGTTCCCGAGCCCTGGCTCTCGGTTCCCAGACGGGGACCGTTCCTCCAGACCGTTTCAGCTATTTGAGTGCATGCTTAAAATACATCATTCACCACGGCATCAATGTCAGGATAATTGTGTTGTCTTGTGCAGTGTATGAGCTTGCGTTGGTGGGCCATGGGGTCTGCATTTAGTGCATCACTAGCCACGATTATATCATCAGCCTTGGCAATCGCGTGGCGGTGTTGTATGCCGCATGGGAGCGACCAGCCTTCGACCTCGCGGATTGAGAAGCCTGTCGCGTTCCTCCTCCCGTCATAGCAGTCACTACATGGTTTCCGTCAACTATATCCTTCGCTTCCACTGCATCATTTCCGTCAATCGCATCCTCGCTACTGCGCTATCCCCTCATTGTCAAAGGCGCCGTCGCATCTTCGCAGCCAACGTTCCCCGCCCAGCTCGAAGCCATCCAGACGTCTTCATGACATCCCTACTACTATGAATGATCATCAGTCTCTGCTAAGGGACTGGGACTAGCGAATTCTTGGCGTTAGAGGTACTGCTGTTGTGTCTTTGTACGATGATACTACTGTATTAAAGGGCTATGTTGCGTGTCTAGATAGCCGAATAGCTGTCTCCTTCGAGGAGTTAGCCCTACTAAAGCGCTCGCTAGACCGGGAACGCTAAATTTACGAAAGGTTGGGGTTACACAAAAACATTTTGTGATATTATGGCCTGGTCGAATTTCAACCATGCATACATTCCCTCTGTCTAAAGCTAGCACTACACGGCAACCTCTGATCTTTTATTCGAGCGAACGATCTAGGCCTAGTTCCATTGTCACAGCGACTCATGTGGGCTGCAGACCTAGCGGCGGGCCTAGCCTACATACACTCCAAAAAGGTGTTTCACTGTGACTTCAGTTGTCGCAATGTTTTCTTAACAGGAGACAATGTTGTCAAAATAGGCGACTTTGGGGGTGCAAAATTGGACGAACAAGATCCCTATGACGCTGAAAAGCCTTGGTATGAGCTACCTCTCCGTGGGAGATCTTGGGAGGAGAGACCTTATATCAAACGAGAACTTTTTGCTCTGGGTTGCCACGTGAACGCCTGACCGGCGGAAAGGCGTCTATCAAGCACATTCACCCTTTCGGCACGAAAGCTTTCATCTACATACCTGTCGAGGTCCGCAATAGGCCATGCATCAAACAGGGCAGACGGGTTCATGCTCTTGCTCCCACTTACGACAACCTAAGTGTGGCTTCTCCACAGCAGTAGCGGCACCAAGCAGCTGATCCGCCTATATCAAACCGACGCAGATCTCCGCCTCTACAACAATCCATCCCCCGCCGTCAACATGTGTGACTATACCCAAGTACCCTACAAGTGTTCGCATCTTCGATATACCGTAAGGGTGTGGTGCCCGAAGTACCGGCAAACCCAAAAAGATGTCAACCGAATGTTGTCGCTGTGTGAGGAAAAAGTCTGAGAGACCTTCGCCAACAAGGGCACTAATATTAACTAGAGAGTATAGACTGGACGAAAATTGTGGAGACGCGGCGAACGTGACTTCAATCACTTCAATAACGGGACTTCGACGCAAGCCATGCTATAGATAGTTGTAGAACCCTTCTCATTAGCGGAACATACTGTCTCCGCTTCCACAGCACGCACAGCTATCACATACACTAAGCGCCAAGCCAGCGTCGGGCTCTTGGCCTTGGTTCCTCCGTGCGGGATCCTTGAAATCTAACACGCAGGATAGGGTGAAAAGGAAATATTGGCTGAGCCCTCATGATTATTGACATGCACGGGCAGCGAGAATCTGAAACAGCCGGAAATGGCAAAGTGGTTCCATGGGTGCATGCTGACTGAGCCACAAGTCATTCTGACCCAATACATTGATGCCTTATTCCACAGCCTTACGCCTCTCGTTGCCCTTTCAGCAGCGCTGAGTGGGTTGTACAATGCTACTGTTGGTCCGTTATAAACGCCACAGCGCCCTGATAATGGTGGATTATTGCACAACAGACGCCTTCACCCTACGTGGCTCATTACGGATAAATAATCAGGCCACAGAGGTATCCTCGTTGAGCCCCAACTGGGGCTCCTCGCGTCGAGTCCTAACTCCGGAGCACACCATACTCTCGTCCAATTCGCTCCTGAATGCCCGATGGCTACGAATGGAACTATATGGAAGGCCTATAATTTTCTCTTCAGAATGACAGCCTTTCCTCCCCTCCTTCTTCCACTCCAACATCCGCTCACCGACCCAAGCTCTCATTTCTAAGTTTCCACACGCAATGCCTTCAGAGGGACCGCAGTCGCGTCGAGACGCTACTGAGTCCGTCAATACAGTCAGGTCGACAAGCAAACCCCTCACATTGGAGCATGTCGATAGCCTGCTGGCTTGCCTAGCCTGTGCCCAATTCCGCCACGTCGATTTCACTGGCATCTCTTCGGTCGAGGCTCAAGGCAAATTAGGGGCTGGCGGCCAAGCCAGCGTCATCCAGACTAGAGCAGACATAGGGACTGTCCTCGCTTTCAGGAAGCACACTCCACCTCCGAAGGGCATGTTCGGACGCCTCTCCGAAAAAATCGCGAGCATTGTTTCAGGGTCTGTTGTCTCGATCCACCGTGGCTACCGCCAAATTGCCTGCGAGATACTAGCCTTGGGACACCCCGAATTGCGATCGCATCCCAATATTGTGCAGCTCGTCGCGATCAGTTGGGAAATACGAGGACAGTCGGAACAGAAGTTCGAGATCTGGCCAGTGCTCTTGTTCGAGAAAGCGCCATACAAAGACCTGGAGCATTTCATCCGAGACCCAGAAGAGGACCGAAAGTCTCAGTCCGCCAGCGTAGAGTGCAGGGTGAAGATTTGTGCAGAGATTGCGGATGCTTTGGCAGCTGTACACCGGAACGGTAGGCACTCGACCGCACCCCCTTATTGACAACGGGTTCTAAATCTTCTCTTTACAGACATTGTTCATGGCGATGTGAAGCCTGGAAACGTCTTGATTTTCGGAAACAGCGCGAATGCCATCGTGGCGAAGCTCGCCGACTTCGGGTTCGCCACTATTGGCTCCGAGAACAACATCGAGGTTGCAATATCCGCTCCTTGGACGGCTCCAGAAGTGGGCGATCGTGATGGCTATACCTTGGAGCAAGCGAAGAAGACAGACATCTACTCATTTGGAATACTCTGCCTGTGGGTCGTCTTCATGGAGAAGCTGGCAGAGATTGGATCCAAGAGCGGCCATTCCGTGGGACACTCGTCATCCCCCGATATTCGCATCCTGAGCGAGTACAACGTTGCCGATACACGCAAGAACTCTGTGCAACAGCTCGCCCTTGATCTTGTGGAGACAGTTGCCTCAGACGACTTGAAGCGGGTTTTGGAGAAACTCTTTCGAGAGACTCTGTCTGTCGATCCTCGTGAGAGAGCCGATGCCATAACCATCGCATCGCACTTGACTCATAACAAGCAAGAGTGAGTCAAAGCATACAGCCAGGGAAATGGCACTGACATTCCGTAGGGCACCTCTTGAAGACGACCGAATCAACGCTTCCACGACATTCATCCCCCGTGCCAGCGACTTCAAGGTGTGTATAGATAATGGCGACATATCCCCATCGCGCCTGGATTGTCTTAGCTGAACTAAAGGTTGATGATATTGCAGGTCCCGGATGCGCTGCAATCCCTTTGCCTCGCCGATCAGCATGTTCGTAAGGGCGTCTTCGGCGCTCTGAAACTAGCGTATAATGCGTCGGAAGAGTCAGAAGAGAAGTCGGATCTTGCAGTACAGCTTGCCTTCTGCAAGAAAGTCGGCTTTGGGACGGACAAAGACGTTGATGCAGCGGCCCTCTACCTCCGCGATGCCGAGACTTTCATGCCTGATCGAAACCTCAGCGAGTATTTGGACAACGCTATCCTTTCAAGCCGGGATAAAAAGGAGCCGTCGAACCCTCTGCTGAAGAGACTATATGATACCGGGGTTATTCTGCCAGTCCACAATGCGGTGGACTTCCGGCGGTATTCGGAGACCCAGCAAGAGGCGATGCGAAAGGCTCGCAAGGAGGAATATGAAAACATGCAAATGTCTCTTGGCCCAACCCACCCGGCCGTTCTGAATCTCAAGTGGACGTTTTCGACAATGTTGATGGAGAGCGGAGAGTTGGAGCCTAGTGCCGACCTCAGGAAGCGAAGCGACTTCCTCCAGGCTATTCTGGACGACTTGGCCAGAGACGCTGCCTACGGAGAAAATCACATTGACACAATCACGACGGAGGCTTATTATGCTTTAGCTCTTAACATCACACCTTCCTTTGCCGCGCGGGAAGAATCTGTAGACCGATGTCGGAGGATTCTCCGACGCCTTCGGGAAGTTGGGCGCGACAATCACGTGATAGCAGCCATGACCTGCCAACACTTGTCGGCTACCTTGGGATCCCTGCTCCGTTTCAAAGACGCCGAAAGATACCTTGCAGAGGCTAAAAAGCGCACAGGAGTCATTTTCGGCGAGCACCACGAGAACACTGTAAGGCTACTCATTGACGAGGCCAGGAACTTCGCGATGCAAGGGAATCTCTCCAAGGCAGAAGCCAAACAGCGCGAGTGCCTCAACAGAATGATACCGCTGACAGGAGAGAATTCGAAGGCGATCCTACCATTACAGGGGGGACTGGTCGACTTTTTTGTTGCATTCAGCGAGTTTGAGAAGGCCAACAAAGAACTGCTGTGCGCTAAAGAGATTTTGAACCATCATGGGTTCTATGAGAGCCATCCAGGATACATGATCGCCCATCGATCGGCCGTTATTATCAACATCGGGCTCGGGAAATTCCAAGCGGCATGTGAGGACGCCGACAAATGTCTTGCAATCATGAAAAAGGTCCCATGGCCACCGCCAACAAATTTCACACTGCCAGACATTCCTGATCCGTCCGTCTTTCCCCGAGACCCATCTATGATGGTGATTGAGGCCTTCCGGTCTGTTGCCCTCGTGGCTCTACATCATGAGGCTGTGGCCGCCGGCCAGCACAAGGAGGCGGCTAGCGCGGAGAAGATGGCAGAGAAATGCCTTGAACAGTTGTTGCGCGAGATAAACCAATGTCGCGGCCTGGGAGGCAAGACCTCCGGCAGTGCTTCCAACGCAATGACACCCAGCGGCAGCCATGGGTGGGCGAACAGCCCCATGTACCGGGCAATGGAGGAGGGATGGTACGTTCCAATCGAACTGCTAACCGTCGTGGGCGCCGACAACGCGCGTGACGGGCTGCATTACGACATGGCTATCCGAGTAGCCCGCCGACTTGGAATGGACAGGCCCGCAGGTGTCCTTGAGGAGCATCAGGCCCTCTGCAGCCCGCCATCGGCGACCGTCCCGCGGGTTAACCATCCATTTGCGGAGCCGGATGATCTGGCTAGCTGGATTACGGGCTATTGGCGAGGTACGTACCTGTCCAAGCAGGGCGGTCCCCGTAAGGGTCTCAAGTGGAAGCGGACTTTGAGCCTGCAGCGATGCGGGAACAGAGATATGGAAGTAGAAGGGGCAGTAGGAAGCGGACTCGAAAGGACGCTGGGGATAGAGGGCACCGCCGACGATGAGGAAGCGGGTTCTTGGACGATTCGGGGCAAGGTTTCAACATCGGGAAAGATCTCACTCTTCTTCCATCTTACCAACGTTGGCAAAGAAGAGCATGCGTGGGAGTACACGGGATTGTTGCGACCAGACCATGCGGCGTTCGGTGGCCATTACCGCGCCCAAGGCCTCGACCACACACAAGCTGCGGGCACGTTCTTTTTCTATAAAGATTGATGAGGATGATGTGGCTATTCTTTCTACTTGGTGGCGTCTTATGAATGTAAACTGAGAAAATGAAACTCATTAAGGCATGCAATCTAGAAGGTTGAGAAAACTTATCAGTCGTCACAGAAGACAAAACCAACCTGTTCAACTATCAGTCTTTCTGAGGCGGCGGGCCGCTCCACATAGCTCGCGACAAGGTCTCCAGCGGTGTCAATACCAGATTCTCAAAATTCCTATCCACAGCGAGCCTCTCTGCGTCCGAGTCTCCTCCGGGACGAGATCCGTCAAACTCACCACTGCTCAGCAAGAGTGTATCATCAATGCAGACAGCGACGGCCGCTGCATACGCATCCCCCATGTAAGCAGCGAGGCCGGGAACACGGCGACGGCGGAGGTGCTCAGCCTTCTCGAGCCGGGTGAGTTCCGGCCCCTCTTTAGGTTGTTGGCGCAGCAGCTTGCGCAGTGGTTTCCAGTAGCCGATTTCTAGTAACACAAGACCCAAGCTGTAGTAGTCGAATGCAGTGCGGTAAGGAGCGCGATGGCTGTCATTATCGCCCAGATAGCTCGGGTGTTGATAGGCGCGTAGCGTCCGCATCGCCTCGTCGCCGTTCCCAACGCCGGCACTGGTCCGGTTCGAATACTGGTTTTCCTCGTTCGGCCGTGCGTGTGAAAAGCCAATTAGGTAGGGAGATGCTAGTAACAACTGCTTGAACCTTGTGTATCCTTCCGTGTTCGGGTCAACGTTCCCCTCCTTACTGTGATCATCTTGGAAGAACAGGATGTTGTATGACGAGATGTTCTTGTGTATCCATCCGGCCTGATGGAAGGCATAGACGGCGGCGACGAGTTCGTAAGCGAGGCGATATCGATCCCCAAGGGGGATGATGAGGTCCTCTTGGCTGTCTAGGACTCTGTCGTGCTTGTCCATCAGCTCAGCAAGCTGCACAGTCTTCTTCTGCGATGAATCTGTTGAGGTATTTGACCCTTCCGGAATCGGGTAATCGTAGACGAGGCCAAAGTATCTTCTGGCCTCCTCGTGATAAAATCCGCTGCACCGGAGCGCGCGAAAGTTCGCCATTGGCTGGTTCTGCCTACCCAGCACATTCACCATACGGTCGAACAGTGTGCGCGCCACCGTTTCGTCGGCGACGTTTCGGTTGTACTGCATCTCTTCGACGAGAACATCCCGTTCAATCCCGATTTCATGCTTGGCTTCGCGCAATTTGGCCAGCCGGAATGTTGGGACGCTGCCCTTTCTCTTCTGAGGCAGCGGCAGCAGCTTCACAGCTTCTTGCGATAGCTTCGGGATAGAGCTATTGTTGGACTCATTCATAAGTTTCGCCATGTTGGCAATCGCAACGCGGGTGGCATAGCTCAGACTCGCTGTAGAGGGCACATCAGATACCTGTGGTTCACTAGCATGGAGTGCCAGATCATGGACCACATGTGACTGTCCGAGCTCTCCTTCATCCTTAGCACTCGACTCTTGGGATAAGAGTTCGAGCTCAACACATCTGTGGACACTCATCCGAGTCTCCCAGGCTAACGATGAAAGCAGGAGCTCGTTTGAATGCCGCAGCCGCGTGAAAAGTGGTCGGTCATTTGTAGTGATGTCTGAGAGCAGTCTGAGTTCGTCATAGATATCGCTTAGGGCTCGTCGAAGCTCGATAAAAGACTCCTCAGTTCCTAGGACTCGCGAATCGTCCTTCGCTATGGGGCCAATACGATCCAGCCACTGTGAGAATATATGTTTCTCTACTAAGAACTCAAGAGCATGCCCGTGGGCCGATGTTTTATATGCTTCTTGAATTGGTTCCGCGATCTTATAGAGAGCGATGCATCGCAGCCGCCGGAGTACTTGCCGAATTTCAGGTCGATCCTTCGGGTCAATGGTCAGCATGTCGTGGATTAGCTCAACCAGGGCAATTTCAGCTTGCTTTCCGTCGGCCTTGGCCTTAGCTAGCTTGTCGGCGAGCCACTTCTCTACGCCGGGGTTGATCTGTCCACGTCCTGCGTGGAAGCTTTTGAGCGTTAATGGACGATTTCGATATGCACGGAACGTGTGTGTGCGCTGCTCCTTGAAGGCTTCGACGCCTTTGGGGCCACCGTCCTTCATGTACGCTAGAAGGACCGCAAGGATGCAGCCAAAGGACCAGACGTCGCTCGGAGGCCCAACCGGGTACTTCTCAAAAGTAAAATAATCCTGTGCCTCTGGTGGATTGAAGTAATGGTCTCTGTCGCGGGCCAATGTCTCGGGATCAGCGATAGAGTCCTTCATGGTGGAAAGGCCGAAATCTGCCAGGATGAATTTGGAATCGTGAACCAAGATGTTCCTCGGCTTCAAGTCATGGTGACAGCCGATCAAGTCAAGCTTCAGATCCTCGTTACTATAGTAGTGAAGCTTTTCAAGGGCCGAAGCAAGTCCGCATGCGGCTTCGTAGAAAGCCTCCTCCTTAATCTGTGAAGCGGAACTTGCTGTTCCACGACTAGAGTCGGTCAGAAATGCTGGTGGCGGAGCATGCTCGAGGAGGTCGTGAAGGTCGCCAAGGTTTGCCATAGGAAAGAGGAAGTTGTGAGCGCCGCTGTAGGTGTATGAACCAAAGAGCTCTAGAATGTTTGGATGGGATAGCACATTCAAGAGCCTCAGACATCTTTCTTCGTCCAGGTATTTGTTTATAACCCTCGACTTCAACTGCTTCCTGATCACGCTCAAACTCTGCAAGGCATCTTATGTTAGCTTGTTGCTCTATGATCGTAGTAGAACTAAGGCATCACCTAGTACCTTTTGGCCGTCATCCCCAAATATTGGCGGTGGTAGCTTTTCTTCGGATACTTCCCCGAAATGGCCCTCACGACGATCGGTATCGCTCGGCCGCGGACGTAAGAACGGAAGCGGCCTCTTGTCGAATATCGTCCTGTGTGCTCGCGATCGCGAGAAGTCTGGACTGAGAAAGATGAATTGCTTCTGCACAAATGTCGTTGCCCAACCGTCGATCGGTGCGATGCGTGCTTCCAAGTCCTTTATCTCCTCATCATAGCTGCCGTCCTTCTTTCTACGCTCCGATTGCTGCTCCTCTCTAATCTCTCTTAACCTTCCCTCGAACCTTGGCTTTCCGAGGATCTCTTGGACGCCTTCTATGTTCATCGGAAGGTATCCATCCGTGACCTCACACGTGATGAAGTCGGACATCAGATGTGGTATCTTCATCAAAACTAAAGTTCCGAAGATCCTCATAGCGTCGGCCCGAATAGCGGCTGCAAACACCGGCCTGCGCCATACTTCGATTTTGGTTTCGTCCAAAACTTTCCGGATTCGCTCTTCCTCCAGAAGGTCGACCAGCCAACAGTAAGGCACGAAGTCCTGGTCGTCGCGGTTTTGTAGCACCCTCTGTCTGATGTCTTCCTCCAGGTGATTCAGTTCTTCAAGCGTCATAGTGGCTACGAGTTGCGGGGTTGTGAGGTTGGTGTGGGTCTTTTTGCAAGGAGGCTCGGGCGAGAAACGAATTAACTTGACTCTCGATACAAAATCCAAGTATGAGGCTCGTAGGTCAGCAGCCGGTGGGGCTAATCCCACCAACTTGGTCGCGAGCCCTTGCGGCCCTTTGTGTCAGTGCCTCCGTAAGCCTTTCTCAGTCCGTAACATCCTTCATCATGGCCACCTTCTCTTCCTGTATATCTTTAGCTTGATACATTTGAGGTATAGAGACTTTTTAGTAGGAGAGCAGGCGGGGCACACCTCAGTGAGCTTTCGGCTAGATGATACGATACAGCCTTTCTCTTTTAACTGCGGTGGAGGTTAGCTGACAGGTAGACTCTAGGAAATGGCGACTTTGGGCCAACAGGCCACCACGCCGTGGACTGGGGAAAGCATGGCTAACCTCGACGCCGTATTCGTCCTCTTGAAAAATCGCCTCAAGCTTGTCGTATATCTTCTTCAGGTCGTAATACTCAAAATCGAAGAACTCTTTCTCCATCTGATTCGCTGTGGAAGGCTGAAAGGCTGGAGTCTCTGCAAATTCAAGGAGCTCACGGAATTATAGCAGCGGCGATCAATGGGCGCTTGCTGACCGGCTATATCCTATGAGTCACCTCTGCCAAGCCTCGCGCTTGGATACACAACTTTTCTTCGATTGGCGGCCGCTGTAACTGCAGCAGCGAGTAGGACCGACATTGAGGAAGGACTTGGCCCGGGTTGAAGCACAGCAGCCTGCAACAGGATGCTTTCATCGTTGACCGGAATTCTTGCGGAGCATCTCATTGGCTGCCCCGCCATGCCTGCTTGGGTTGTGCAAGCGCTCCAGGCTCCAGCGCGAGCTCATGCACGTCTTGCCAACCACTCCAATGCACGTTGAATGCGTGTGTTGATTAGTAACTAGGCGGGCTTGCATTCCAAGGTGGCACAGGTGGAGGGGTAACTCGGGGTTTTATTGGAGGAAGGTGCATGAGATGTTCCTAGTGGCTGCGTCGGATCGAGCTGAAATTCCAGGTGAGGTGTCGAAGTGTCCGCCTCGTGGTTCCTCAGGCGCAACGAGGCTGGCTATGGTGGCGACGTGCAGCGAGAACAAAGATGCTCCACGCCCAATGCGGGGAACTTTATCTGCAGAATCCGTCCATGAATTCGAAAGGATCCTCGTCCGTCCTTTCATTTCGATGTCCCTCCCGCCGCGATGGGTGGTGCTTGCTGTTGCTGGTCGGAACCACTTGAGGAACGATTAGATCGAGAGTCGGGAAGGCTGTTTTCAAGTACGGTCGATCAAGTTGAGAGATGGGAAGTCGCTGGCGAAGCAAAGGATGGCAAGTATAACCCAGTTTCGTATGGTCCCACTGTCCCATGAAGAAGCCAACAGATCCAATAGGTGAATTTGGGAATTTATAAAGCGATGTATGGGTGAAATTGGCACATTCCGTAAAGCCATCCTCGAATGGCTTTGTCCGGCTTTGGCGTGGTCATAGCACATGCTAATTAATGGGCAGTCATTACCAGCCAGGTACTAACTGGGCCAGAAGTGACACTTCTTCACTGCCCCTACGTTCGCCGATGCGACGTCCTATAGTATGTAACATCGTCCAAGTGGTATTGCCGGCGAGTGTTTCAGAGCTAAATATGGACGAGCATGATCGAGCAGCTTCACTCCCGAGACCGCCTACGAGTCAAGAAGGAAACGCTTATGAAAATATTATCCAGGCTGGACGTGTTTCCATATTTTGTGGAAACGCTGTTTGAGTTTGGATTGCGCACGAAAGCCAATGATGATCTATCGCCTCACTTCCACTGGAGACACTCTATCAAGGATCGGAGCATAAGTAAGTGAGATAATGCTATCGACATCAATATTAGTACTCACTGCCTAACTCTAGTGGAAATATCGTACATCTTTAGATTCTTCGAGAGGAACTTGCGGGGCGAAGGGGAGCCCTGGTCGCTGAGACAGACAGCGGTTTACCACCAACTACACCTCCCATCAACAGACAGCACCTGGATTTTCATCAAGGCATCACCATGCTTCAAAGGCCTTTTGAAAAAGAGGATAGAAGCCTCGCGTTTCATCATAAATCCGGCTGGCCATCGATATATCGCTATTCATCTTCTTGCACTGAATTTCACACTGGGGAGTTGGCGCGAGTTCCTTACAGACTACACTTCTAGACTGTCCGCAATTGTAGGTTTTCGACGTTGTCGGGTACACCATACCATCTTCTGAAATCGTGCTGACGCATCTTTGAGTCTAGGAAGACAAGACCATCTACTCACACGCAGACTACTCTCTTACAAACGACTATATCCTCGCATTCGAAGACAGACAAAAGGTTCAGATATTTCGTCGCAGCATGATCCAGGCCTTGACATTGATCAAAAGCTCGCTGGATCTTGGCAGCAGGGTTGCATCCTTCTGGTCGACGGTCCGGGGTGGTCAGCCGAGCGAAATCCAAGAGGGGGTCTCTCAGGAGCTTGCGGACTACGAATCCGAGATGGTCTACAACCGAAGATGCGTAGACAGCCTTCTCCAACGGTCGTCAGAGACAGCAGCCATGGTTCGACCCCGTCTTCTGTTCCCCTTTCACCCCGATCTCCATCCGCGTAGCTTCCGTATTCTGACAGGATCTTAGCTTGTAAACATCCTCGAACACCGTCGGGACATCTTGTCTCTCCGAAGTGCACAGGCAAACGAAGCGTCGTTGACCGCAAACAAACAAGTTCTAGAGGCAAGCAGGAGCTCATTATCCACGCTGAAGGATATCGCTGTGCGAGGGAAATTGGAGCAAAAGATTGATCAGGAGTCTGGCGTGAATATTCGCGCGCTGACAGTTGTGGCTACACTTTACCTGCCCGCCACTCTCCTAGTGGTACGTCATACTGCTGACCTTTCGTTTGGCTCATTCAGACTATCTAACTGAGCGTAGGGGGTTTTCAGTTCACGTCTTGTGGGCGGCGAAGGCAGTCATTTGGTTCTTTCGGGCGAATTCTGGAAGTTTGTCGTAATTTTGCTTGCTATGGTCATTGCTACTTTTGGGTTAGTTGCTGGAGTTCAAGCATTGTCAGCTTGGAGCTATGAGCGAAAACTCCGGGAGTCAGGACAGAATAGTAGTGTATAGTCCATTTCCAATGGAAATATAGCCAGATCGGTTGCCACATAAAGTACACAGACCTTTCAGTAACCTTTTGCTGCTAGCAACGACTATTGACGCTAAGTTGATATTCGGCTCACTAGGCGTAGATCTGGTTGCTGTTTACTCAAGGGTCAAATTAAGCGCTGCTTAACATTGACCTAGCCTTTGCCAGCTTCCCTTGCCCATGTTGCGGCTCTTGTTTAGCGACGAGGGTGTGGTCCTTGCGTGCTCCGTAGCTTGCTCTTGTTGGAGATGCCCATTGGTCGCCTGGTGGGCGAGCTCGTCGTCCTCGAGCTCATTGTAGCCGAATATGCGTCCATTCGATCGTCTTATATGGGTATGGATTGGGGCGGCAAGAGAGAGCGCAGGGGGGGGCTAGTCAGGTAGTCAGGCGAAAGGCGAGAGGGAAAGAGACAGGGAAGGGTTGGAGATTTAATGGTACTTTTGTGGTTCCACGTGGCTCAGAAACTTCGTCTTGTCAGCAAAATGATGGACTATGATATGGAAAGTGAGAGACGAGACCAGACATCTTATACCAGCTCCAAAGTGAGAAACCCGCACCATGAAACAACGAAACGAGCAAACCAGATTATAACACTATCATCAACGAAGTTACAGCACGTGTTATCCTGCAAACGCTCGCGACGGTGGAGGATCAGGAACCTAGGGAGGGACCAAAACGAGAAGCAGAGGCGACTCAAATCAGTGGGACGGGTGTTGGAAGGCCTTTGGCTAGAAGCACCTTGTGCGGCGGTAACGCGGTAGGCTGCGGGTTCTCTGTTCGAAAGCCCAGTCGTTCGAAGTAAGGTCGCTGCAACGGCACATCGTTATACGCGATACCCAGCTCGAATTGTATGAAGGTGATAGGAATCATGATATCCAGTAATATTGCTACCCAGGTATTCCCTTCTCGTATGCAGTTGGAGAAGTAGGGTTCTTCTTTAAAGATAAGATCGTCCTGGGAAATGCGCGCTTTGATGGACATGTCTAACTCGTGGAAGAGTTGTTTCGATGAGCGCTCAATCATCTCAAGATATTGTACGCCTTTTGCCTTCGCGGGGCGGATAACGACGTTTGGGCGCGCATCAAGGGAGTGGAATGAGAGCAACCCATGGTGGAAGCCGAGGGAGTGTGGGATGAAAGATTCGAAGAAAAGAGGTGAAGTATTATACGGCCTGACATGGCTGGAAAGACAAACTGAAATCCATATCAAACGCACAGTAGGTCCCATGCTTACGCCAACTTAATTTGTTGGCCCACAAACGCTCGCATACGTGACCGCAAGCTCAGTACCAAATACTTCTCGTCCTATGATGCGGAATTGCTTCCTCGTCCGCCGTCTCTTTCTCCTTTGCCAGATCGTACAGGAAGAAGTCGAGCAGGATAGCATTGATCTTCGCATCGGGTTGAAGTTTGAGGATCTCACGGCGGAGCAGCTCGATGGCCCATATACTGCATCCTAGGCGAACGGTCAATTCAAAATAGAGATGGAGAAGTGAGATACGTACCCCTGATCTGCAGCTCCCAGGAGTGCCCCGATTCGATAATCTCGCGACGTCGGATGCGGGCATCGAGGGGTGGGCAGTACACTAGTACGCCGAGAGAGTAGAGGATTTGCGGGACGCGGTAATCTGGAGGCGAGTTAGCGTTAATGGCCATGTGAGGCATGGTGTGCTTACCTGCGAACATGGTGATCTTGTCGATGTCGTTGAAAGCTCCATAACCTTCGCCCTCGAATGCTGCCCACAGATCCGCGACGAAGATCTGCGCCCGCTTCAAGAAGCGCACTTTCTTCTTTTCGAAAATTGCTTCATCTCTAAAGCAGGGGAACTTGTCGGCGAGGAGATTCACCAGCCTGGCAGCCGAGCCTTTCGCGTCTTCGATGAGCGTTACTACGCTACTATCGAATTCCTGTTATGTTAGGCTATGGACTTGATGAAATCTGTGACATTTGCGTTTGGACCGTACACACCTCTTGCAGAATTCGACCCGCCTCTCTTAGACACTGCACCCGCTCCTCGAACAGGGGAATCTCTTCTTCAGTTTCTGACCGAAAGACCTTCCTGAGTACCTCATCGGAGCACTTCTCCTCATCGATCCAAAAGTCGGGGCTCGTGATTGGGATCTCCTCGCCAAGTGCCCTCTGCAGGGCAGCTACCATGCTCCAATAACCGGTCCATCTCTTGTCCTTATAGCTGACCGTAAACCTCTCTTCCTCGCCCTTCTCGCTCCAGAAGCTGAAGTTCAAAAGATCCATAGTGAAGATGAAATTGACGGTGGCCTCATCTTTGGACTTCGGATGAAGTTCGTGTTCAGCCCACGATTTGGCGCTGTACTCTCGCTTCTGCATCTCCTCGTGAATAGCGATGGCAGCAAGCTTCGTATGCCGCATGTCGAGCGCCACATCTATGCTGTTGTAACAGATGCGCTCGGCATCCTGAAGGACCTTTGTTTCCGGCGGTGCATTAGGATCTACTGTGCCGATGCCGAATTTTTGGCGTAAAAGGGCGAGCAACTCGTGGTCTACTTCATCGTCGGACATGTTGGCGGCGGAGGGCTGATCCCGTCCGCGGTAGGCAACCGATCGATTTCGGGAGGACACCGAGAATGCTTCGAGGTGAACCCGAGCCCTCGAAAGTTCACCCCACTTCTTGCAGGAGGTTCAGCAGGTCGGTGGTGAAAGGATGTCGCAGCAATGCCTCGGTGGTTGAGTTCCCCCATGCGTTTCAACTTTGGAACTCTGATTCACCGCTAATCCGCATACGGCTGGCGCGCCAAGAGATGAGGCTGATTGGCGCTCTCACCATTCCCTTTCCGAAGCTCTGGGGCGAACGAAGGGCACGGCCCGTCGCTGACGTCCTGCCGCAAGCTCTCTCACCTGCTGGACGCCGTCTCTCTATCCCTCTCTACCCCTCGCATGCGTGTGAGCTCCGCAACACCACAACAGCCATGGCTACCGGACGCGACAAGTACGCCCGCCAGAGCCTAGGCACCCTCCACTCACGCGTCAAGCAGGTACCGCTCCAATCGCGCCGCAGACGAGCCGCAGGGACTGACTGACGGGATTGCAGGCGCGTGTGTTGATGGTGGGCGCTGGTGGCATCGGCTGCGAGCTGCTCAAGAATCTGGTGCTCAACGGTTTTGGCGAGATACACATAGTGGACCTCGATACGATCGACCTGAGCAACCTCAATCGCCAGTTCCTGTTCCGCAACGAGCACATCAAGAAGTCGAAGGCATTGGTATGTCGTGATGCCATCAATCTGAGGCGATGTGCGCTTTCTGATTCTCGAGGCTGCAGGTTGCAAAAGAGTCCGCTGGCAGGTTCAACCCCAACGTTAGGATCGAAGCCTACCACGATAATATCAAGGACCCCAAATTCAACGTCGCCTTCTTCAAGACCTTCGGTGTCGTCTTCAATGCGCTGGACAACCTGGATGCACGACGGCATGTGAATAAGATGTGCTTGGCGGCCGACGTCCCTCTCGTTGAGAGCGGCACGACTGGATTCAACGGACAGGTCCAGGTCATTCGCAAGGTGCGCAGCAGTAAATAGAAGGGGGAGGGATCTCCTGAAAACTCACCGGCGTGCAGGGCAAGTCACAATGCTACGACTGCAATCCGAAAGACCCGCCAAAATCGTTTCCCGTCTGCACGATTCGAAGCACCCCGTCGCAGCCTATCCACTGCATAGTGTGGGCAAAATCATACCTCTTCACCGAGATCTTCGGCTCCTCCGAAGATGATGCGCCCGAGCTGAATCACAGTGAGGACTCAGAGAACGCAAAGGAGATTGAGAACCTGCGGAAGGAGGCACAAGCCCTGCATCGCATACGGCAATCTATGGGATCGGAGGACTTCCCGCGTCTGGTTTTTAATAAAGTGTTCAAAGAGGACATTGACCGGTTACGGAGCATGGAAGATATGTGGAAGAGTCGGAAGGCCCCCGAGCCGCTGGATTATGACACTTTATCTCAAGAGGCGCTTGGCGTTGGATCTGCAATCGCACAGAAAGATCAGGTCGAGTGGACTGTGTCCGAGAATTTCGCAGTCTTTTTAGACAGCCTACGACGATTGAGCGACCGTCTCGAGGAGACGCGAGCAAATGCGGACACCGGAAATTCGCCGCCAATTCTCAGTTTTGACAAGGATGATGAGGACACCCTAGACTTCGTGGCTGCGAGCGCCAATCTCAGGTCTGCAGTTTTTGGTATTGACAGAAGGTCGAAGTTCGATATCAAGCGTATGCGTCTCTGTTTTCGCGTCTTGTGAGTCGCTGCTAACCGTCCTAGAAATGGCTGGCAATATTATCCCCGCAATCGCGACTACGAACGCCATGACTGCATCACTTTGCGTCCTTCAAGCATTCAAAGTCATGCGCGACGACCTAGCAAAAGCCAAGATGGTCTTCCTCGCGCCGAACGGTACGGAGCGGCGATTGACGACCGAACCTCTGCAAGCCCCCAATCCATCATGTCCGGCCTGCAGCGTAGCACAATCCACGGTCATTGTCGACCCATCTCGAGCGACGTTGAACGACCTAGTCCAGGATCTCCTGCGGTTACAACTCGGATACGGCGAGGAATTCAGCGTGAACAGCGAGGCCGGCATCCTCTATGACCCGGAGGAAGATACGAATCTCAATAAGACGTTCAAAGAGCTGGGACTGGTTGACGATAGTTTCATCACTGTGATTGACGAGGAGGACGAGGACACTAAGGTCAATCTAGTTCTGTCCATCTCCGCGAAAGAGCTGAAAAAGGACACCAAGCCAATACATCTACCCGAGAAGCTCAAAATCCCGCCGAAGCCGAAGCCGGCAGCCCCGACAGAGGCTGGCGGTTTCGTACATGCGACAATGCATCCCACCTCCAATGGAGTCACCAATGGCCTTCAAAATGGAGACCGCAAGCGCACCGCTGACCAAGCCGGGCTCGAAGACGAGCTGGTCCGGAAGAAGGGCAAGGTGGCTGCGAAGCCTGACGACGATGATGTCGTGATCGTCGACGATCCGACCGATGGCGCAATCGTCATTGACGACGACTGAGAAATATGCTTCTACAGCACTTCTAACTTCTTCGATCCTATCTTTCGAATCGTCTACCCGGCATCGTCACACCTTGGTTCATCCTCCATCAGCGGCATCTTGACAACTTGGTACTACCTCTGTACCCACATAGATCTCGTCTTCCTCACTTTCTCGGCGTTTTTGGCGGCTATAGGAATATACCATAACTTTGGAGCAGGGGATTTGGCTTTTGAGGGGGGGGGGAGAGGGAATATCTGGAGAATGTGGAGCATCGCATGCCATCTACGAGGCAGGGAAACAGCGCGTCCTTACATAGCTGAAAGGCCGCCGTCCAGGTTAATCACGCAGTTATGCGCGTATTGGTTCTTGGCCAGGAACAGAGCTGCTAAGGCAATTTCTTCGGGCTTGCCGAAGCGCTTCAGTGGAATGCGGTTTATCAGGGCGGAATGGTCGAGCCCTATGCGTAGTGTACAGAAGTATTAGCTAAGGAAATCACAGTTCAGATAGACAGTCCTTGCTTCACTAAACCCCAATCCGTGAGGTAAAGCGTATGGCCGGGCTGAGCTTTCAATCATAGCAGAAATCGTCGACTTTCACATCTGCAGGGGCTGGCGGAGAGGATGGGTCCCTAGAAGCGATGATGGGAGTTGGTCCGGCGTTTAGGCCCCTATGCTCTCGTGCCTTCGCTTTCTGCGGTTTCGCGACTGCAAAAAAGGGAGAAATAACGTACCTTTCGTCATGTCCGTCTCCACATAGCCAGGCACAATGGCATTGACGCGGATACCCACAGGACCCACTTCTGCCGCGAGCGCGCGCGTGAAGCCCAGCACGCCTGCTTTGCTGGCAGCGTAGGCGACGGCTCCCTTTCCCCCGTGTAGTCCCAGCAAGCTCGACATATTGATGATAACAGGCGTGGACACCTCCGCCTCCCCTTCCGCAGCTGAGGGCTGGTGCAGCGTACTCTCTGCCAGCGAAGCGCCCTTAATGTATCTCTTCCGGAGCAGGAACCGCGTCCCGACCATCAGCGCCGTGAGATTCGTATCAATGATCTTCTGGATATCGGCAATGTCGGACATGATGAAGGAGGAGGATTCGGACACGCCAGCGCAATTCACAAGCACGTCGATGTGTCCGAGACCTTCAGTGCGGCTGGGCATGGAGCGCTGTGCGGCATCGCGGAAGGACTGCTTGGTCCAGAAGGAGGGGTTGGAGACGTCGGCTGCTATGTATGCGTGTTCGAATTCGTGCTCGGCGAGGGAGGGGGCGCGGGGTAGGGCGGGTAGGGAGGATACGGCGGCTTGGAGGGCTGCTTCGGAGCGCGAGAGTAAAGTGCAGCGGTAGCCGTTGCGAGCGAAGAGGTGTGCGGTTGCGCGGCCGATGCCGCGACTGCCGCCGGTTATGAAGGCGTGGAGGGGTCGGCCTGCTAGGTTGCGAGGCATGGTGGGCAGGATGTGAGGGGAGGAATCATGGGAATAGTGGGACTAGGCGGGAGAAATAAGACGGTGGAGAAGTTACGTCCAACCGTATCTAAAACGAATGTTTGTAGGTCGGCGTGGAAAAGTTCCCTCCAACTCTACTTACGCCTCGTGTCCGTGCGCCCACGCGAAAACTCGTGATCGCGCGATTCAGCATCTATCTTCCCCACCCCGAGCTTCCCTTCCCCTCCTCTCCCCTCTCCCACCACTACGCCTCTCCGTTCCCACGCCCAACCACAACAATGTCTGATGCCAAGCCCACAGAATACGTCACCCTCGTCTCCAACGACGGCTATGAATTCAAAATCCTGCGCTCCGCCGCCTGCATCGCCGGAACCATCAAGAAAGCTCTGGACCCACTGTGTACTTATCCCTATCTATTCCCCCATCCATAGACCGCCCAGCCGCTAACATGTATATTTTACAGCTGGCTTCCGAGAAAACACGCAGAATCGCGTCGATTTGCCTACGATAAAGTACGTCCGCCGCCGCCGCCGACCCAACGAAGGAAGAGAGTGCGGATGAGGCATAGGAATATGGTAGAAATGGAGGCTGACGTTTATCCAGCGGCGTCGTTCTAGAAAAAGTCTGCGAATACCTCTACTACAACCAGAAGCATGCGGAGAGCAAGGATGTACCGGATATGGAGATACCGCCTGAGCTGTGCCTGGAGTTGCTGATCGCGGCCGATTATCTGGATGGTGGGTGGATTACACCTTACACGAGATGCGAGCTAATACTAGAGTCAGTGTGAGAGACTGTATTGCGCTCGGCACGTTTCTTGTGTCGTCGTCCACGGATTCGCCATAGGGTGTTGGGAGAAAGGATAATACGGCGGAGAGCACTGAAATACCCAACCATAGAGCTTTGCCTGTGGAAGGATAGTGAAACGTAAGTAGAGACGATAGAGCGCACGAGTAGTATCACGATAGCCAAAGCCCAGGCTTCAATGCATTCGTACGATAAAGAGACGACAAGATCGTGCCGAGAAAGAGGCTAAAATGCGTAGGGCGCTCAGTTCCACTTCTCCTCAACTACGTCAATGTTAAGTAACACGTCACCAGGTACTATATAAGTCTGCTTTTGCTGGCCTCATTCGAGTACAAATTCTTCCAAGGGCTTTTGTTCTCTGCAGAATTCTCCATCCATGATACCGTGAACGTAGACTTCGCCAACGAGTTTATAGTGACGACCGTCCCGCCGGGGCCGAAGAAGGAAAGGAGTCGCGGCGCCCTGGAGAAGTACCACGATGTCGTTGGTCCTGAGGCTCTGCGGCCCCATCCCCAAGTATCCAGATCTAGTCGAGAAAGGACGGCGGCCGAGCATCTGGGCCCTCATCATGCGTGGGTACGCGGTGATGCTTTCGAAAGCTTTCCGATCAGGAAATTTGAACGCCTCCTTGATTTGCGTTAGGAGCATTAGAAATATGTCCTTCAAATCTAGCGCTCCGGATTGTACACCTGCTCTGACCTCCTCTTCGGAAGTGAAACCCCAATTCGCCAGTACGCCAGCTTTGAACAAAGCAATGGCGGTCTCTTCCGGAACGAAGTCAAAGTCACAGGACCCCGAGTCACCGGCCTTGTGCATCTGTCTGACTTGCTCGAAAGTCAAATCCTGCATCAGCTTCTTCTCTGTCAGTATGGAGAGCAAGTGCTCAACCATTGGTTCATCCTCTTTCGAAATTATACCCTCAAGGCCCGGGGCGCCTTCACACATCTTGGCTCCTAAGCGGAACAGGACCGCGACTTTGGATGGTCGGATGAAGGCGTGAGAGTTATTCACGTCTTGGTCGTTGATCAGCGTTCTCCAAATGGCATCCTCCCGCGCCCTTCCCGTTCTGTATGCCTCCGAATGCGGTGGTAGAAGGTCCCTCACGCTGCTGATGAGCTTGCCGACCAGTTTCAAGACTTTAATACACAAGTCTGGTGTGATCATTTGTGCGGTGAGAAAGGCGCGCTTCTCTGGGTTCTCTTCGTGGGGATTGGGAAGAGGGGGGAAAAACATGGGCTCCTCATCACCAAATCCAGCATCTGTTACGTTGCTCGCGGGACCGCCCTGTGGCGCAATCACGAACAAGGACTGATTATCAATCCCAGCGCCTGTTACGTTGCTCGCCGGACCGCCCTGCGGTACAATCACGGGGACGGCCTGGTCGCCTGACCGAAATGGCCATCGGGCTGGTTGTCCATCTCTTTCACAATTATGCTCGATCAACTGGTACGGTTCATCCGGTGATGCGCGAAAGAAGGCCACGGGCTCGAGGGAGGGCAGGATTGGATCGAAACTCCGGTCGAACGTCATCTTTACATCATCTTCCAATATGGAAGTGACAACATCAACTTGTAGGCCGCGAAGTCGAAGAAGGTTACTCGTGACATCTTCCTCCCGACAGGCGACGAAGTCTCCCAGGCTTTGCGCGGCATCGAAACGTGGCTGCACGTTGGCGATCGATTTGTCGCTTCCGAATTCAATTCCATTGCCATCTGGACCCTGCCCGTACAGAAGTCGGCGACCGACGGGTTCCGCTGACCAGTCCGGTACCCATGACGGGAGCTGTGACTGGGACTTCGGGAAGAAGCAGTGACGCAACAAGTCGAGGCCGCAATGGTCATTGATGAGCGCTCTTGCCGTATGAGTGAAGACTTGGGAACAGTCCTCCATGTAATTTGGCTGGATTCCGAGGCTGTCTGCATCTCGCGACAAGCCGCACAGAGCAAAAATGACGTCCCGCGGGTCCGTTGCGTTCAGACGCCTATGTTCTTGCATGTAGGGGAATGCGGCCCGAATTAGATGCAGCAGTGGCAATTTGGCACGCGTCATCATCCGACTACCCAGCATGAGGTAGGGTCTGGAATCAATGCCTGCGGGAACGTGATCCCCAGGTGTTATGTACAACGAACCGTCTACAGCCTGCAGTGCAAGGCGGAAAATCGTCAACGCTGTGGACATGCGGTTGGCGTCGATACTCCTGGAGCCGCACATGAAAATGGCCTTCCGCGCCGCACCCAGCTCTTGCACAACCCAGACACGCTGCCACCACGGTCGCTGGAGAAGATGGTATATAGCGCCGGTCGGGAGTGCCGCTTGAGTCCCGTGTTTGTTGGTCACTTGAGAGAGTATTTGCTCGAGGGTAAGTCCATCGTCTTCCTCGTCTTCCTTGTCGTCTCGGAAGTTAACAAGTAGATGTAGCCACCTCGCGCAAAAGCACCTAAATTCCCATCTCTTGATAACGACACTCTTCGCGTATTGTTCTCCAATTTGCTTCAAACTGTCCATCGCGACGTCGCTTTCGTCTCTAGCAGGACCAAGCCAGATAAGGACGAGTTGGGCTTCTTCATAGATCCTCTGCATCTGCTGAACCTGATGACTCTTCTCTTCGTTGTCTTTCTGATTGATGCAAACTGCATCGATCCAAACGACTACACTCTCATGCTGCTGCCGCAGATGGAAAAGCGCACTTTGGAGATTCTTCGTGACCCGGAAGCAACGACCGTTTATGCATATACTCTGCGTGAAGTTTGGAGCACCCCAGGTGTACGAGAGGGCGTTATACGATGGCTTGTCCGCTAGGGACGCTCTATCCATAGAGCAATGTAGCTGAACGTCTTGACCGCAGCAGTCGTGATGCGTCTGCGGCAGGATGGTGAGGAGGCGGATCTCGGAGCGCTCCGGACGCAGAGCGTCGTGGTACTTGTATTTGGGCATGTCCAGAGGGTAGAGACGTATCGTGTCTCAGTCAGCGGCCAGAGAGTCGAGCGTCGTGGGAACTAAGAAGTGCGTAGTGGAAAGGCTCAGCCTTGCGCCGACCCGCCATCCCGAGCTTCTTGTAGCGTTTTATGCGCTTCCTGATGCAACGGGGACTCGTTGTACCAGCTCTGTCACACTGTAGCACCGGGTAGCCGCCGCATTTCTCATCCAATGCCGACCCGCCACGTAGGCTCTCTAGAGCTATATCTTCCGCTGTTATGCTACTCAGCCACCAAGTCCAACGCCTGCTGCGTCGCTCGTGGGACTGCCCTGTAGTGCAATTAAGAACAAGGTCTAATTATAAAATTTAGCGCCTGCTAAGTTGCTTGCAGTCCCGCCCTATAGTACAATCAAAGGGAAAGGCCTGAGGGTGTAGGAAAGGTGCTGTCCCACAGTCAGTCGATGCTCAAAGGGCGTAGGCGTATCAAGCAAAGGCAAGATAAGACATCTCCATCAGATCCCAGATAACCAAGAGCCGTCACAGCAATCCTTCTCACATTCTAGCACACTACTCCACTACCATAACCATCCCTCCCTCCTCCCTTCTCGCATCTCTTAACCAAACCAAACCCCTACCCGCTCCTCCCCCTATTTCCCACGCACCTCAACCCCACCCTCCCCCTCCGCCCACGGGCCCCCAAACAGCCCGCTCAACCAACCCCTCCACCCTCGCAAACAAAAGCTCTCAAACGCCGTATCCACTCCCTCAACCTTAATCCTCCCCGTCATCCTTGCCGCGAGTTGCTCGCCGTCGCGGCGAAACTCCTCACTGCGTTGTCCCAAAAAAGTCATACATCAACTAGAAGTCCTACTTTTCTTTCTTTGCACAGCTACGGAGGGAGGGAGGGGGGAGAGGAGAGGGGGAAAGGAATTCAAACTCACACCGTCGGCTCATAGTCGCTGATCTTAGCGCGCCACGCGGCGAGGCTCTTGATGTAGTCGGCGTATGCGAGGCGCTGGCCGTTCATCACGTGGTAGTGTATTCCGATATTGTGCTTGGCGCGGAGGGAGGAAGTTCAATGGATGTAGGGTTGGTGATGGAAGCACAACACAAAATGCGGAGTAGGCTGTTTCCTACTACAAAGGGAAACCAGATATGTAGGGATACTTTTTTGAGGACAAGGCAATCAAGCGCTCTCGCGCGGGCGAGCTTATGAAAGACAGTGGACGTCATGGAAGGAACAGGAACTCCGGTTCCGTTCCGGAATTCCGTGGATTCCACCTAACTCGAAAGTGCTGCCTATCTATTAACAAGAATCAACCCTACGCCAAGTAGCTATTACTCTGGCCATTCGAATTTGCCCTTAGAATCATCCCCAGCACTAAACTGCGCCATGTACCCTCAAATTCCTACCGGCCAGGTTTCCAACCCCCGGATACTATCGCTCTTCAGACCTCATAGGCGCCAAAGATGTCAGCCAAAGTCCTGCGACGCACTCATACTCGAGCGTCAGTCGCTGTATCCATGAACGAAGTCCCCAGGGGATCTGACGGTTAAAGGTGGGCACGCAGCGTATGGACCCTAACTAGATTCCTTGGCCCGCTCCAATGCGGCCGTACGGCATCGTCGGCCTCGGCCTTCTCTGGCTTCGTCGGGTCTTCCGGTTCTTTCTCGGGCGCATCCTCTACGTGGAAGAGGAGGTCTGCATTTGCGATACTGACGGAATCAGCCACATTATCGTTGCCGATGAATACCGTGACTTTCGAAATCCACTTGTTGCCCAGCTGGGCCTTGTGCTGCGCAAGGAAGTAGCCAAAACCGGCGCCATTTGGGGATCCTGTCGCTGGCGTTAGAGTTTCAATATCCCTCCCAGGCCCAGAGTATCGTACCTAGAAGTGCTTGCCCTTCCTTGGAGTTGAGATCGAAAGTTGTTCCAGGCCATCCCCTCAACTCCTTCTTAGCGTTCTTCAGAGCACTAGCGATGAGTTGGAGGGTGTCCTCATTCGCTATTTGTTGCATCCAGAAGTAACGAATGTTGCGAATATTGGGATTGTCTCTGTTCCACCAGCCCCACATGACGTCGGACATTGCTCTCAACTCTGGGAGCTCATCGACCTTTGGCTTACGATACCAGTATTCCTCGGCAGCATGCGGTGCACTCAAGAGATACTGACCAAATATCACTGCAAGCAAGCCAGGTTAGTTCTCATTCGAGAGACAGCCTCAAGGCAACTCATACCTCCACCAACCGGATTTACGGCCCCTTGGAAGTGTGCGCCCGTAGCCTAATGTTCAGGTAAGTTGGGGGATTTCAAATCTGAACACATCTGCAACCTACCGTGTACTCTTTGTCGCCAACCTTGTACGTTTGTTTGTAAATCGGGACTCTGTTATCCTTGTCGTCCTTTTTCTGGGTATCACCGTGTTCAACGCGATAGCAAATGTTGTCACCACCCTCCGACTTTGGGCGCCTATTGAGTCCGAGTGCTTCCATCGAGTCGACCGTATGCCAGTACTCGTCGAAATCGGCGCAAAATTCTTCATCTGCGTCGGCATTCCTCCAGCCCCATGTCTCCAACTCCTCTATACGTCAGTGTTAGTGTGCGCCCTCATGTTCGAAAGCAACCATGCAGGCTTACGTTTCAGGTCTCCTTGCCACCTGCTTGCCAGCGATGGGGGTGTCCTCTGGTCCTGATACATCTTTCCCGCCTCCTCATCCGAGCCCAGCATCGCGGCCACCAGCTTGGCTCCGGTACAGCAGCGCTTGTCCCAGAGCTCCTCGGAAGCGGTGTCGTCTGGCTCGAAATAGACTCGTCGGCGGGTGAGGCGGGTTCTGGGTGGAGAGTCAGAGGACAGCGTGAGGTTGAACAGCAATGAACTGTCTGATCGCTCTGAATCCGAAATGTGCATTTCAGCCTCCATGTTTGGTGCGTGCTGTCGAACTCGATCCAGAATACGACGATGCACTACGTGCGCATTGTCTCCATGCATCTCATGTATTCGTCGGACGTTCGTGTATCCATCTGCAAGCACTGATGCTGGGGGAAACTCGCGGGTGTCGCGGGCGCTCTTGCCGCTTGTCGGGCCAGTCAAGGCTACAGCTGCTGCAGGCACAGCAAAGCAAAGTGCAATACTCAGCGCGAGAGGAATGACGAGAAGCGTGGATTTCATGATGCCGGTAGATGGTGTGGGAGGGAGAGCGGTTGAGAATGGTGCTACGTTGTTAGCTGTACTGTGACGAGATGAGAGAAATTGGAGAAAGCTTTCTGTGAGGGGTGAGCGAAGGAAACTGTATGGCATCTTATCAAGTGAAGGAGGAGCGGTTTCGCTATTTACGGCAACGGCGATCGAAGCACACATCCTCCCAAGGTTTCTGTCACCACGCTACCATTCATCTCACAAGACCGCCCATCATCCAAACCTTGGAAGTTTTCATGTATCAAAATTTTCTCACATTTTCCTACCATGAGCTATTCCGCGCAGCTAAGCCAGAAAGCGCCGATGGATAGGTGACGCTGAACGGACGTGTATCCGGATACGAGGACCGACGCCCGCCATCAAGCATCAGTGTGCCCAGTGATGCTCTCGCAGGTCACCCTTGGCCTCAAATTTCAACGGGATACAGAGCATGAGCCGTCAATATGTTCTTGGTCCCCTTCGCAGCCACCTAGCACCTCTAGCGACGGTGGCACCGGACCAACCCAGTCGGCAGGATGGTTTCCACCAGGTCCTTGCGGGTCGTCCGGATCCTTTTTATTCTCGTCCTCTGGGACAGGTTGGACGTGGAACGCGAGACACGGGAGCTTAGTCTCAGTATCACCATGGAAGACAACCACCCCCGTGACGCGCAAGTTGCCCAGCTCTGGCTTGTGCTGAGCGAGGAAATAGCCCAAGCCCACCGCGTTCGGAGTCCCTAGAAGAGGTATCAGCGGGTCTCGACAGATGCTTGTCCTCAGAAAGACATACCCAGGATTGCTTGCCCATACACTGTATCCATGCCAATCCATGTTCCGGGATAAGGTTTGAGTTCTTCGTTGAGCTCGTTCATTGCGCGAATGAGCACACTACGCGTAGGGTCGTTGACGATGCCGACCACGAAGTACCACTTCAGGTTGTTGATGGTATTAGCAGGAGCGTATCTCTTCCACAAACCCCACATGACATCGGAAGAGGCGCGCAAGTTCGGCAGCTGATCAAAGGGAACGGGCGGAAATCGCTCCGGAGCTGTGTAAGACGGACCCTTCACATTTATCGTGAAGATAGCTAAGGATATCGTTAGCAAGGTTGAAAGGGGCGGCGCCTGCGCCAAACGTCGGCGAAGTACCTCCTTCGTCAGCGTTGATTCCGATAACGAAGTACGCCCCAGTTACCTGAAGCTCTGGTCAGTGGCCGAAATGTAGATTCGAAGATGCTTTGGCGCCGCTTACCCTCCTAACTCGATTATCAGGTCCCCGATAGGACTGCACATCTTCCGGGATACGCTGGTTGTTATGCGGATAGCGGGCCATGATGTCACCATGATGAACGTGAAGGCACCTAATCCTCCCCCCCTCTTCAGTGGCCTTGTCCGACATTCCGAGCTCTCTCAGGGCGCGATCGAGCCCCAGATTGTTACTCGTGAAGTCTCGGCCATGCGGGTCGCAAAGGTAAATATTGTAGCCCCAAGCCCCAAGATCGGCTGGATAAGTTAGCAAATGGTGGTCAATCTATGGGTATACAATTTGACGTACGCCAGGTGTATGAGCTATGCGCCGATGGCAACTTAGGCTTCCAGAGACTGCCTGCCCCTTCGTCTGTGTCCGGGAAGGCATCCAGGAAGTTTATGCCCTTACACACGACGTGGTTCATATAGTCGTTAGTGGCGGGTGCCGGCGGGGCTCGTCCCCATCTACGAACTGGCGTGGCATGTTCGGGAAGGTAGGCGACGGTCGGCTGGGGCAGGCGCGGCGAGAGCAGAGAGATGTCGACAGCCGGCACACTTTCGACAGCGGGCCTGGGGCCGAGAGCCTTGCTGGCGGCAAGACCCACAAGCATGAGAATGCTTGAAACTAAGGAGAACCTCATCGTCGGGAGATCTTGGGAGGGCGGATTGAGGTGCGGGCCGAGGTGCGGGGGAGGTTGAGTAGAAGGAGCGATGGGGTGAACTTATCGTCGAAAGTAGGAGGCACGGTACGGTTCATGACGCACAGGGAAAGAGTGGCGAACGATACAATATTCGAACGCGATGCAGACCTCCCCGCAACACCACACTTTCACCATGCCACTATCGTCGCTTTCCCATTCCAGCCACTCGCGAGCACCAGCTCTTAACCATGACGAATTCAGCATGGCGGTAACAAGGAAATAACAATGAAGTGACGTCAAGTATGGGGATCCACTTACCCGAGCCTCAGTCCGGTGAGAGAACGGGAACTTAGAAAAGACAGAATGACCGCGCCTCGAGCTGCACATTTCGACGATGACATGACAGAAGGTATGCGCACTATCTTCTCTTTTTATGTCCCGCCCCAAGACTGACGAAGATAGATGAAAAGGTTCTGCCTACCTGAATCTTGATGAATGCACCTCTAACCTCATATTTGACCTACGTGCGATCGAAGCTACGAAGTCAACCTTCTGGAGGTGCAATGAGCTATTCACCCATTCGAAGGGCACAATCCTGTCCTCCGATCTGAAGGTACACTATGCCCATGTATGAGGCATGTCTTCAAAGTCAAAGCACTATCTACAATGGGTCATTTGTCGCCTTGCGATCATTCTATGCACCAATAGCTGGACTTAACACACGATAGCTGCTTCCCCGTCCTATGGTCTCTCCGGATTTGTTATCGGAAGTAAGTTATAGAGTTGTTTAGGGCATCCATTCTCCTTTCCTGTCCAAAGACGCGCTGCATCGGCGGAGACTGCGGAAGTATAGCCCAGCGTTATCGTGCTCCGAATAGGGCTGATCGTACGGACCCATACAACAATTCTCCATGGGACGCGCCTCCATGGAGCCGGGACTCCCACACGTGGGCGAGGATGTCCGACAGACGTCCGCGTTATTCACCCGAAAGCCAGCTCCGACGCTGCCTAAATTCAATACCGGCGTGGCTTTGCAGTTTCCTCCGGCATTCGTGACGCGTATGTGCATCTCGGTCGGCTGCTGCGGAAAGCCGCCTGCATTTCAATCACGCAGTCGTCGTGCGTGGACGAAGTGGCTCGGATCCGAGCGTGAGGTGTCCGCGGCGACGTCTCGAATAGCGAGCGCGTACGATACGATACGAGACGATCGGTAACCCCGCAGGATCCGGATAAATCAATCGTGTGGAGAGACTTGCATTGACGACGAGGGCGAGCGAGTGTGGAGTTCACGAGCTCGTTTGCACAAAGGATTGAAGCCGTACTCTGGTCGTACGCGGTGCTCGTTCATCCATGGATCCATCTGTAACGATACGATTCGGCCCTGTAGTTGACACTGTATTAGGAAGACTACCACACACCAATCATTGCAACTCACCTTCCTCATGCAGTATTCCTCCGGGGGGAGTACTTACACCGAAGCCGATGTACGTACCTCGCAAACGCTTCCTCTCGGGAATTGCTCCTACGCGGTGCTGCACAATCGATTCACGCTACTCAACTCAACTCGCGCAATGCCTCCAATTCAGTATACGCTTTGCGAGCTCCACTGGCGGAATTATTACAGGGTGCGTACGGAGAATCACACGCTGCGCCATGGACATTGGCAAATCGCCAATTTGCATGGCATTCCTTCCTTCAGCCTTTCCTTTCGCGCATCGCATCTCGCGCTCGACTTGGCCTCTCGCACCACCGCAACGAGCAAAGCGCTCCAGTCGAGGCGGCCGGGGGGCCAAAACGGCAATGATGCTCGCGAGCATCGGGGCTGAATAATAACTGAACCGCAGGGCATGCGAAGGAACAAAACGTGTTGCGCGTGTAGCATGCAGGGAGAGCCGAAGGATTCAGCCCTGTCGTTTTGGGTTGGCGTACGGAATCCTGCGCTTGCTTGCTTGGGATTCGCGAAGGAATCCGCCTGAGCCAAGGGGTCGTTCCTAGGTGCAGTTCTGGGGGTGATTTGGAATTGGAGATTTGCGATGCGAGGCGCCATACGAAGAGGAGAGGGTCCAATGATTGAAGAAAGGAAATATCGGAGATACCGGAGCAGCCCGCATATACACGTAGTTGACGGAAGACTGCGGAGAGGTCACACATGCGCGTCGCACGTTTCGAAACACAAATCGTGTTTCCAGATATGCCGTCATGTTTCTGAACGAGTACGAGTGGGCAGCGAGCGAACACGAGCTAACAACGACGTTGATGGCCTCAGCCGCGTTCGCTGAAGCGGTCAGGCTCGTCCTACACAGTACACGGCGACTGGGAAGCTCCCTGGGAACCCTGCGTTATCGTCCGACGGTGCGACCATGGAAGCTTGCGCGTTGTAGTGCAGACTGATCATGAGGAGAGTTTGTTGATTGCGCTGGCTTTTTCCGAGCAGCAGCACAGCACCGGTGAACAACCCATGGAAGAAGGATGCGAGCGCCGCGCTACCACCCTTTTCGGGGTAGCTATGCGATATTAAGGTATCAAACTAGCATTGATTCACGCCGTTCCTCCTCTCGAAGCAGCGGCAGAAGCAGAATTGCGAAGAGGGCTCGTGAAAAGGAGGAGGCACAGTATGTTGGCAACCCATGCAGGGCGAAATGAATGCGCTCTGATTCTTTTCATGGGGGCATGAATGGGACGAGAGGCAGCGTTCCACTCGCGCGAGAAAGCAAAGCGCGAACTTTCCAACACCAGCTGCAACAATAATAAACCTACATCACAAATCACATATCACCCCAATCCTCGCCATTGCCCCAAGGCGGCAAGCCATCGCAAACAAACAACCCTGGAGTCGTGGCATCCCTAGGGCCGCACACGGAGACCGACCAGCAGAAGCTAGACAAGGAAGCCAACCGTGCCTCTCTCGTCCTCGAGGGCGACTGCACTTGCGTGACAGCGCGACGTTTCGGACCCCACAATAGGCATTATTCTCAACACCCGGCAACGCACTAACTCACCGATGGCTGTCTGTTGCTCGAAGACTCACTTTGATACCGGCGGTTTGCGTGATGAAGCCCGTAGCGCGACGCTTGAGCGCGGCATTATTGCATTGGCCGCTGGTGCTGGCTAGGCTCCTGCGGGCACTTTTGCGATGTTACAACGCCAGAGCGGGGAGGCTGCGGAGATGCCACCCGGCGCTATAATAATAGGGAGAGACAGACAGGCGGCGACCGCTGGATGGAAGAGCGGTGTCGACTCTCGCAAGTGACGCGGAAGGCTGAGCAAGCTGCGATGCGATGCGATGCGAAAGCCGCATCGTCCGGCGCCGTCGGAGTGACTCACGTCCGTCCGTCCCGGACGTCTCTGTCGCCGCAATAATAACGCCAGGATCGCGACTATCAATATCGCGAAGAGCGACGTCCTGCTAAACGTCTCATCTCATGGAGGAGCAAGAAACGCCTCTAGCCCAATCCGCTCGAAGCTTCTCACATCCCCACGCGGCGGGCGGTGAGATGGAGATGGGCTCATCAGTGTCAGCACTCTCTTCCAGCCCTACGAACATCCCTCCCTTCCGTAGATATGTAAGCAGCACCACGAAGCCGAAGCCGAAGCCAAGCTTCGGACGTCAGATCTGGGGAAGCGAACACCCACCAATCTTCTCGAAGCACGAGAGCACAGTAAGCACGCGTGCTTCGATGCGATGCTGATGACGTAGGTACGTCTCTCGTAGGGCTGCCCACTCACTTGCATGTTTCAAGGCGTCCAGCAGGCCGCTTGCCGTTTGCGGCGGTGCGTACGAGGGTAGAAAGGGAAGCTTGTGGATTACCGGTTTGGGAAGGGGATGCGATTCCGCGTATTCTGAGGGGGATGCGCGGCCGTCGCGCTCCTATTCGCGTGTCGATCAGAGTGAGTGATTAATTATTCTTGTCTTGTCTTGGACCGGTCTTGACGGACCAGCACTCGAGCGAACGAACGAACGAACGGCCTCGCGCGCCCTTCCGCACGTCCAGTCATGTGCATTCATTTGAGACTGCCTAAGACTAGACTAGCCGTGGGGTGTGCGACGCGACGCGACGTGGAGGTTGCATCTCGAAGGATGAGCAGAGTGCTTAGGGCCATCGGATGGTTACCGGCGCTAGCGACATAGCGGGGGATGTCGATCCGGTGCGCACTTGATGAATTTGGGGCCATTCCGCGAGCGGAGTTGCTGCTTCGGGAGAATTGGCGACAATTATTACACAGCTATGTGCGTATCCAGGCTATGCTGTGCCGCAACACACACTGAGTCGTGAACAGCAGCAGCAGCGTGGCAAGTCGATCTCCAGGGCGTACCACCGGTAGGCGCAGTTCCACAGACAGAGCCTCAACGGCAGGTCACCTCTGAGCCTCATCATGATCGCGAAAAGTCTGGGCGGCTTGTCTTTCCCCATCATGGCGCCAAGAAGGGGGCCAGGAATAGAACGATCGCCTTTGCGGTGCGAGGAACGACGCTCCGGCTAGTCCCGCCATGCCGTGCCACAAACCCAGCCTTGTCCTCTGCGCATTTCAAGCCCGTCTTGCGAGCCTGCACGTGACGCGCCCGGACACCGCGCGCCGGCACGCTATCCAGTTCGGCGGTGATGGTGCGAAAGGAACCCATGGTTTTGCGAGATTGAGAAGCTTTGGGCGTGGGAAAACGGCGTCCCGCGAAGGGCCACCGACCGCTCTTTGTTTGAGCGCACGGGTGCGTATCGTTTCGCTACTGTACATAGCTCTCTAATGACGAACGATCGCGCGCACATCCATGGGATACCCAGCCATCGACTTTCGGAGAGAGCAGGGCTTGGTGTTGGAATAGTGATGCTAGACTAGAGTGCAAAAGCCTTGGTTGCGGCGCGATAGTCTGTCTATCCCCTTGTATAGGCGGTCTACGCACGTTGTCTTGATTATCGATGGTTGCGCGCCCAATTGCGATGCAGATGGGGCTTCCTGTCGTCTTTTCAGGCGCGCTCTGGCACTGCCGATTGGAGCTTTAATTCTGCGATTTGGCGGCGTTGTGACGGCGCCGCAGACGTGGGTGGGTGCGATTGGGGGGCCTGATGGACTGGAGATGCTGGGGGTTGGGGAACGGCGAGGATGCCGCAGGACGGCGACGGTGGGGAGATACAGTGGTCGGTGACGGGAGGCGCGGATGTTGGAACGGTGCCGACGGCTTGGGTTATCGGGCCGTATGGACCTGGGGTGGGAGTACGCTTGCGAAGTGTAGTGTAGTGGGATGACAAAGTCTCCATTCGGTGCTCTCGGTCGCGCGCTCTCGTTCCACCGAAAAGCGCCGCAGGAGCCGAAATTTTGTCAGCATGTCGCCGGAAAAGCCGGCCGATATCGTGAGCATGAACGAGGGTTTCCGAGCTTCTTCACATCTGCCGACTACTCGCCTCGATGCAGGCACCGCTGCGCATGTCCAGTCGACGACTTCTCTTGGCCGCACATGTGCTCTAGTCGCAGCGATGCTACGACTATCAGGCGGCCCAGCTACAACTCGCAAGCTAGCAGCGTGCAGCAGCTCGAACATCGACAGCCATAGGCCACCCGGCGTCCGACGCGAGGTGAAGGGACCCATTTCCTTGTTGCGAGACCCATTTCCTTGTTGCGAGACCCATTTCCTTGTTGCGAGACCCATTTCCTTGTTGCGAGACCCATCTCAACATCCCAGACAGACGGGAAGAGTAGAGAACCAACACACTTGCTGCGGCAAGTGCGCGCGAAACGGAGTTCCGACTGCTGGTGTCGCTCTCGACGATGGGATGCTCGATTGGGGATTCGCTGAGCCGATGCGGGACCCAAAAAACGCCTGGAACTTATGCCAACCCGTTTACGCCACAACGCCCCGCATGGAGCCCCACGAGGATAAATTTACTGGCATTCGAGGGGCCTGCAAGTCGGTATTCAACCGCAGCCGGGGCAATTCATTCGCACTGTTTCGTGCGAGTCCAAGAGGGAGGGGGCACAGCAGGGAAGCTTGAAACTGGGGACCTATTTCGACACCCTTTGCTGAGCTCAACATGGCGTGGCCGAAGCAAGCCGTCGGGAAACCAGTTCATGTTCCGAAGGCTTCTTGAGTGCTATATTGTCCTGATTAGGCAAACCTCTTTTAGCGACTTCTACCGACCTTCGAGAAGGGAAGTAGGTACGAGTGGCTTGCGGGGTGGCTGGGATGAATAATCCGCGTGCGGGCGCAGGTGCTGATTCTCGAAAGGGCCGGTTGAAAAGGCGGTCTCCGGACCCGTTATGCCCGCTGCTGGCGTCGCATAGAAACGGTATACCTAGGTACCATAACGGTGCAGGGTACAGCGGAGGGCCATGAATCAACGAGGCCCAGTGGCGCGTATCGCCCAAAAAGGGAATTGCTGTCTCGGCCCCCAAATCTACGAGGCCCTCGCCTGTTCCGGCATCGCTTCGTCGTTTATTAGTAAACAAACCGCGGCATTGAAGCAATCTCGTTTGCGAGCTTGCGAGCCGTCGGTGATAGAGATGGGAGATAACGGTGCGACGATCTATGCAGCGCTGCTGTGACTGGCAAGGCTGGGTTTGAGCGAGGTGCGCCTTTTGGGGGAGTCAGCAATCCACAGATTCGGCAAGTGTCCGCGCAACACGTGGACGGGATGGCTAGTGCGCGCGTAGGGCGCGATGCCCGTCGCCATGGGCCCCGGTCCCTCTTTCGTCGAGCCGCAGTTGATGATTCCAAGGTTGATAGAGAGCGACCGGAAGAGGAAACAAATCGAACGATTGCTGATGCTTCAGCCTGCAATTGAGTCCGGCTTCATCACTAATCGCGCGACGTCGCAGCTCGTTCAGCGTCGCTATTTTTCGAAAAGGGGAAATCCAATCCCCTCAATGGCCGAACAAGGGACGTGATAATCCACTGGGCGTTGCGTAACCCGACCTGGCCCAGCCGACCGCTGCATCTCCCCTTAAAAGTCGAGATATTTTTGAGGGTTCAAGCGAAAGTGCATCGTAGTTGGCATGGCCGGGCGCTTCGACAGCCGTTTCGTGTGGAGCGCTCAGCGAAAGGATTCTCAGCATCCCCGCAGAACCAGTTAACCTTAAGCAAAGCGTCGGGCGTAAGAAGGGAAATCTCCCGCTTGGCGAACGCCTGGCAAGGGCACAGAATAAAAGTGCAGCAGTAAGCGATAAGGCTGGCCGGAGCTCGTCTGCGACTGCCTCGCCATTTTGGGGGAGTGGAAGGATGCACACCCTAGCTCCGTGAATTGGAGATGCTGTGCAACCCCAATGCGTGTCTCAAGGAGATAAGTGTAAGCGGTTTGAGGAAGGTGCTTATCCTGGAGGGGGTAGAAACGTGTTTCCTGAAAGGGGCCTTACAGAAGGGAGCAACGTCGAGATTTGATTGATCGAGTGTTTCGAAACATATTTAGGTGGGTGGTGATGCGGCCGTTCAGGGAGGCCCTGTCCAACCCCGCAGGTGGGATTCTGCCTGACGGGGCATGCAGGATGACGAAGTGCTGTGATTGCTCAGATTCGTTTGAAAGCCTTCGGGGTCGAGAACCTGCCACGAGGTCTGACAGCTGCTTGTGCTCCTTTCCATGTCGCCGGCGTACGGATGGGTGCGCTAGGATGGAGAGGGCTGCGGGTGCGAGCAGGGCTCGATATTACGGCGCTTGCGTTTCTGCAGTAATAGTTTTGCGAATGCTGCAGGGCGTTTGAGTGCATAGCAGGCTGTATATCTGTGATTAGAGCGGAGTTGGCGGGTGTTTGTTTTGAAATGCGTTAATCATTGCTGCTCCCGGAGGTCTGCTGGCCCCCTGTCATTGGGCTGCCACACTCAAGTCGACCGCATCGCGAGGTTCGTTCGAACCGTCTCATGATAAGAGGACCGGGCTGCATGCGGATCTACCCATGAAATCCTTGGAAATATCGGTGAACGGCAGTTCCACATGTGACGATGGTGGTGTGAAGTAGCACCAGAGTGGTCACGGAGCGGGGCCTGGGGCGTATAGAGAGGGGTTGAGGCGTCCATGTGCGCCGCTGCTGTGCAATCATCGTTCGTGGTGAACTCACAGCCAAGGCTATAGGGCTGTAGGGCTGGAGGGGTGCGACAGAGCGTCAGTCCTCGTGGCTCGTAGGCTAGCGCCGGAAACGGACTAGCGCAGCCGTGGCTGCCAAAAATAGGTTCGTGCGTCCCCGTCAAGATCAAGTGCTCGAATAGACGCATCTCGCAAAAGCGTTTAAAATTGGAAGTGTTGGCGCTGGCGAGCGGCTACGAAGCGAGCGAGTCTCGAGATACCTCGAAAAACAGCATGTTACGTTGTATTGAAGGCCGATAATTTTGGCCGTCGTCGTGTTGTTGGGCGGCTATGTAGGCTGTTTTTGCGTTCGATACGGGACAGCGCGGGGCGGACGCCGTAATCCCCGTCCCTTCTAGAAATGAGCGGATAGCCTCGTATAGCGATGATGCAAGCGGTCACAACCCAAGACGGTATTGCGAGGACATGTGATGTGGATATTAGATTACTATGGCCGTGGTTTACTAATGCACTTGGAGAGCAGGAGCTGCTGCCTCCGCGTTGCGGTGAGGGCTGCAGCACATGCACGGCGTGGCCGGAGCTGCATCGCTTAACGCTCCCAAACAGGCAGCCGATCTGGACGAGGAACGGAACGACCACTCAAGCTGAACGCAAGCAGCCGGCAGATTTGCGAATGATCAGTCATGGCCAATCATCGTGCACGCATCATATCTGCAGCCCTATGGACTCACCGCAACAGCTCGCAACATGTAGGCTTCGCAATACTCTCGTCGTCGTCGAGTCCACACCACCGTACTGCAAGCAGTAATTGCGCCCGGAGGAGTAGACCGATGGGGTATCTGCATCGCAGTGCTAGTTGTCAATTGCGATGTGCGATGCGCGACGCTGGAGGAGGTGGGTTGCAGACCCTCCACCGACCCTCCAAGGCTCGTCCTCTGCCTTGCAGTTGTGGAACCCGTCGGGTTCTCTCTATTGCCATAATGCGACCGTATTGTATGTGACTCGGGCTCCGCAATGTTGACGCCATAGTCGGGTCCTGCTGCTGCCTCGGGAAAGCCCTGGCGCGCCCACCGGTCCACCATCGGTTGGCGAAGGACTGCTTGCGCTCTCCGGCAGAGATTAGAAGTGAAGCAAGGCATCGAGTAGGGTTAGTCGAGGTATTCGGATTCTTCAGAGCGGATTGTCGTTGAAGGCGTCCTGCTTTCAATTTAGCTGAGACAACGTCTCTAGTCAGTCACTGCGGCCTGGACGCATGTGTGAGGACGAAGACGACAGAGATAGGACACTTCAGACTTAGAGATTGCCTGCGCTTTGCGATTTCCCCCTTCGAGGATGCTTGGGTGACTCCCCCCCTGAGCCAGGAGACTTTGAGCGTGTAGCCGTCGCGAGACCAGCTCTCCTCTATGCTTGCAATGGCGACCGTCGTGCCTCAGCGAAGAACGAGCTACGAGGCATTCGATGCCTCATCCAACGTAGGGAGATGGAGCGGGTCCGTATCGAACTGCCTGAGGTTGGAGAGTGAAGCACGTAGTCTCCAGACCTTGGCAGTCGCAAGGAGAGACATTTCGCTGCTGCTTGCCGAGCCCCTGTACTGCAACTCAGCCATGCCGCTGCCAGCACTATTCTGGCTCAGGGGGCCTTATAGGGCGTAATTGCAGCCTCAGTTTAAGCATACCAAGCTCTCAAGATAGCACTCTGATGACTCCTGTTGACACCGCTTTGTCAACTTCTTCTTGCTAAGCAGGATCGACTGGTGATGTGGAAACTTCGTAGCGCTGTCTCTTGGTCTGGGCCCCTCAGAGAGCTATTGCGATCCGACTCTATGGTACACTTTGATAGTGGATAATGAATCAAGGACTCTATCCTTCGAATATAGTGCTTACTCAACGGCGGGGAAAATCGAGCCGATTGTGGAATCCCTTACGGATGGTCTCGGGATGCAGCCATGTGAAATGTTGGGGTATGCGACATTTCCAATAGGAATTGCATGTTTCGCTTTGCCACCGTTTCAGCAGATGCAGGAGCAGATGCGTTGTACAGTCGGAAGTATGAGACATCTCAGAAAAAGACAACTCCAGGCCACGCGTTCCAAGTCACCGATATCAGAGCTGGCCATCAAAGACCTCTGCATGATTTTCGCGGGTCTGCTCTTTCTGGCATTCGCGTCCCCTGACATTAGGAAGGCCTCATGTCCAGGGAATCGAAGCTATAGTGAAACCTAATGTTGGGGAAATCAAATCAACTGCCCATGAATCTCCCATTTCCATGTGCTTGCAAGGGCCTTTAGGCGGGCTTAGTTGTCATGGACACTGAACAGCTATTCCGTGCTGCTTGGTTCCATTGGGCGGCCCGTTCATTCCCTGGAAACCGGCCCCCACGATAGTGCAAGTGGCCTCTGTGGGTTTGTGGAGCGTTCTCGACGGCGGGAGACGGTCGGGGCTCCAGGGGGCTATGGCCCGGTTACTTTAGTTGGTCTGGCGGGGCGTTTTGAGGTCTGCATCTTGCTTCTGGCGGCAAGAGAGAAGAATCAAGTGGATGTTGGTTGACTGCTGCATTAGCCAGAGCCCCAGTAGCTCAGAGCAGGGCGAGGAAGCTAGGGAGAAGTATCCGAAAAGTGGCCGCCGCGGATAAGAAAGGGGTCATAGCATGAATACCGAATTGCGATTATTTCCGGTATGGTCTCCAAGAGCGGTGATCCTGGCGCCGGGGTAGGTGAGGTCCTGACCCAGTCTGGATTTGGACATGTTGGAAGTGGATGCTATAGAGGCCGTCTCTCTCGTGCGAGCGCGGAACGCATGCAGCTCTATACCGCGCCTTCACCTGCCGGTGGTGGCACAGCGACGAAATGAAGGCGCAGTCGGGCGGAACAATGGGTGCCGAGCAGAGCGTCCACCGCCAGCCCTGGGCATCGCCATGGGCGAAGAGGCGGGTGAAACGTTCGCACCATAACAACCGGAGTGCACTACATTCCGTTCGTCGAGGGGTCAGCAGCCTCTCCAACGCTATCCAGCGCGTGTCACACAGACAAGCTTCGCTCAACGCTGCGACTAGGTCCAGTTCAGGTCGCTAGGCGGGGGTGGGTGCCAGAGGGCTCACCGACAGTCGGGCGAAGGTGCTGATGGCCGGGAGTGCTAGTGGAGGAGCGTGGGTTGGGCGTGCATGGTAGGGCTGGTCGGTCAGATGCTTGTGTGCGATGCCCCTGGAGGCTCAAGTGCGTGGCTCGTTCGTTCGCGGGCGTGATGGCGGGGAGGGATTGGCGCATCTGTATTTAGTTCTGCCTTACCAATCACGCTAGGCCGCTCTGAGCAAACGCTCTGGGCCGCATACTCTCCTCTCCACTCGCAGCCGTTTCCCCTCCGCCGCCGCCGCCGCAGGGCCCGTCCGACTCCGACGACTCGATGTCGCGAGGAGAGTCGAGCGTTCGTCGTCCGCCAGCAGAGTGTGCGGGATTTGGAATCCCGGGTGGCTCTCTCTGCCCTGCCCTGCCGGCCCTCGTCATCAACCGCGAGCGCGACAGCCCTAGCGGTGTGCAGCACTCGCCGGTCGCACGCAGCGCAGCACAAGCTCTCCTCCCAGTGTCTCCCTCTGCGGCCGGACGTGCGAAGAGCGAGCGCGGGCTATCTTTGCGCATCAATTTAGCCAGGTGAGGCACACTGCTGGCCGGCCCCCAAGGCGCCCTCGCGCGGGCGAAAAGCGGCTCCAGCGCGCGCAACACCTCGTGGCCCGTCTCGCGCGCGATGATGAAGCAGGCCTGCCCGCTGGGAGAGTCTCGTTGTCCCGACGCCGAGCGTGCTGTCGCGCTCTCCAAGGCTGGGCGCGGTGCATCTGCTGGGGCCGCGCAGACCGCCTCGCAATACAGCGCTTCGGCGGCCGCCCGTTTCAATACGCACTGCACCACCCGCGCCGTTGAGGACCCGCTCCTGTGGCTCTGGCACGTCCGAGCGGTGCGTGGGACGTGTTTGAGCGCCGTGCTCAGCCTGTGCCCTAGCAATTTTTGGCATCTGCCTGCAGCCTTGTAGCCCGCGCCGCCATGCAGGGATGCTCGCCGCCCTATGCCTCCGAATAAGGAAGTGCTGCTTGTTCCTACGGCCGACGCCAGTAACTCCGGTCTGTGCAGGGCGTCGCTGGACCGGGGCCCTCGCGCAGGCCTTAATGCACAGCTCGAGCTCTGAGGGATTGGCTAGCAGGGGGGGCGCTCTCTGGGGACTTGCGGGAGCAGTTGATCGATAAATATAACATGCTCGCGGCATCCACCCCATCTGTATCCCCCCATCAGCCTGCCCGTACATATATCTACCTGCTCCCTCCAGCTTCCGCATCCTCCTTCTGTACCACACCTCTCCACAGCTGCTCCCACCACTGGCACAGCTTCACACTCTTCCTTCATTCACCATGCATCGACACGCTTCCTACCACTATGCCGCTGCGGCACCCACCACCACCAGATACTCCGGCACCTCGAGTGCCTTCTCAGCCTCGGCCAATCCGAACGAGGACTGGACCAAGATCTCAGATCTCGCTGAGCGCAGGCGGATACAGAACCGGATTGCTCAACGCAACTACCGTAAGTTCCGCTGTCCGTATCTCGCATACCTCGGGACGGCATACTAAACGCGTAGCAGGCAAGAAGCTAAAGAAGAGGCTCGAAGACCTCGAACGCCGAGCTGCGTCCTCGTCTGCGTCACCTGAACAGAAGCCGGCTGAGCTGCAGCCACCGCACCGGTCACCCCGCCAGGATTTCCCGTCGCCAGCCTCCTCCGACTCTGAGTTCAGCCGTCGGACGCCCGAGGCTCCGGCGCACTACCTGCCCACTCACGAGGAGCACGGCATGTTCTCCACGCAAAACTACACTCGCCAGCTGTCCACCTCCCCTCCGCCATTTTCGTACTCGACGTATCCGGATCCGGCGCCTGCATATACGAACCTGCCCTACACCACCACCCAACCTTACCACTCAATACCGACCACCATCACTCCCGAGGTCACCTACGCTCCCTATCTCCCACCGCTTTCTGCAGCCTACCACACCACGCTGCCCAGCCTCGCTCAGCCTATGAAGAGCGAATACTACGAGAACGACATCAGCCCTTTTGCCAGCGGCTACCAACTCATGGGCGGTAGCATCGAGATGCCTCCTCCCCACGCTTACGCCGAGCATGGTGCGCAGGTAAAGCTCCCTCCCCGAAGACCGTACTACGCACATTGAACACCCCCAACCCTTCAACCACGCGGCATCTTGTTCGACGAACCACAGCTGACAGTCTCCGAAGACCCCGCCACTCTCCGACTCTTTCGAGCCACAGTCGCCCGACTCCACGGTCTATCCTACAACTCCGAACTCGATGCCGCGGACTCCACCTCTTCAGCCTGTCCAGCTTGTGTGAATAACACGCTGAGACGGCTTACTCTCATTTCTACTACTATGGGAGGCCACAGCAGAGAGTCACCTTGCACCCGCCGTGGGCGGTGGGGAGGCAGCCTAAGTCACTCGACGGCTTGCTCAGGCTAGCGGGCTCTCTGCTGCGGGTTTCCATAGCAGGACGCGTCGTCTTGTAAAGTACTTCGTCTTGTGTTTATTTGTAATGCATTTCAGCGAACGGTCGTGAGGATACGTGTGACGGATTTCCCTCGCTTGGACATGGACGGTGGCTGGTGTTTGGCGTTTACAACAAATTCTGGAGGACATCTGAGCTTTGGATATAACTGGGAAACAGAGACCCAGTGCAGGCCATGATGCCTGCTTCGCTGTACCATCGCCAGTGCCAGTGCGCGCCTGGTCGATGAGAGCTACGAATATTACTATCGATCTTGACTTTTGACAATCCATTGAACTACTTTCTTGCGATGCTTTGTGATGAATTGAAGTAGAAGTGAAAGGGCATCTACGAGCAATAGTGCGCTTGGGTGGAGGAGGGATGCCCTTTGAAGCGAGCGTTTGAGGTCACTGCACATCGCGTTCGCCAAGAAACGCGGAACGCGTCGTCCCTTCCACTTCCTCACCCAACGTAAGCCGCTCGAAACTTAATTCCAACCACAACCACAGCCCATGGCCCCTATTCGAAAACGCTCGAGACTCGAACAGGCGCGGCAGCATCTCTCGGGGGGAGCAGTGCCGCGAGAAGACAGCGACGATGAGCTCGGCTACGAGGACCATCCGTGGGAGTGGGTCTACGCCGACGGTGACGAGGCACACACCGCACAGAATGCTACACCGAGGAAGAGGAAGGCGGCGCCGTCTTCGCTGGGCAGGCGCATTGTCGGTGCACACATGGGCAACTTCAGCTGCAGACGGGGAGACATTGTTTTCCTCAAGGCAGAGGGGAGCCAGGCATGGGTGGGCCTCATTTGCGACTTCTTTGAGGACGAAGAGGAGGGCGAGAAGATGGCCAAGTTCATGTGGTTTTCCTCTGAGCGAGAGATCCGCAATAAGAGTACCAAGCGGACCGACTTCCTGCCGGTAGGTTCAGCGACCCATTCCTCCCATGTCACTGTGGACTAACGGCGACCAGAACGAGCTATACATATCGCCCGCCTTCGACGACAATTCCCTCGCAACTATCAACGGCACCGCGAAGGTTGTATCGTTGGAGGAATTCCAAAGGCTACACCCGACCGGCCAGGTGAAGAAGTCGTCGAGAGACTACGGCAAGATCTTCGTGTGCCGGAGAGGCTGCAACACTCGCACTACAACATATACCCCTGAGTTCAAGTGGGAGGACGTCTACAAAGGCGCCGAGGATATACCGGCCTTGACTGAGCTGGTTGAGAGCCAGACAAAGGCCACCCGAAAGCGCGGGCGTCCAAGAAAGGAGGCGGAAGACCTGGATGACTTTGTGGTGGCCGATTCGGACGAGGATGGCGTTCCCAAGACTCCCAGGAAGCGGCGTAGATTGAACGACGCAACGACACCAACTTCAGCAAGGAAGAGCCCGGCAGCGCGCAAGTTCTTGACCCCGACGCACAAGCGCATTGTCATTAAGAAGCCATTGGAGTTCACGCCACTTGGGACCCGTGTGCTCTCACCGTCTGCACTCTCCTCACCGTTCCAGATTGCGCGAAACCAGCTCCATGTTTCATCAGTGCCTGCCGCGCTTCCCTGCCGCGAAGAAGAGTTCTCGACCGTCTACAGCCATTTGGAAGCAGCCATTACAGATGGTTCGGGCTCCTGCATCTACATCTCCGGTACGCCCGGAACGGGCAAAACTGCTACCGTGCGAGAGGTCGTGGCACAGCTGCACGCCTCAGTTCAGGCTGAGGAGTTAGATGATTTCATATTCGTCGAGATCAACGGCATGAAGGTCACGGACCCCCACCAGTCGTACTCACTGCTCTGGCAAGCTTTGCGGGGAGATCGCGTCAGCCCATCGCACGCGCTCGAGCTCCTTGAACGCGAGTTTTCGACACCAAGTCCGCGGCGCGTGCCATGCGTCGTCCTGATGGACGAGCTGGACCAGCTGGTCACCAAAAACCAGTCGGTGATGTACAATTTCTTCAATTGGCCTGGGCTGCGGCACAGCAGGTTAATTGTGCTCGCCGTTGCGAATACCATGGATCTCCCCGAGCGAACATTGAGCAACAAGATTAGTAGCCGCCTTGGTAAGTGCAGGCATGCAATCCTTCAGCTACGCCCCTCAAACGCATCTGCGTTCCCCCTCAATATGCCGCCGATGCAGCACCACACGGACATCTGCTGTCGGCCTCTTGCAGCAAATTGAAGCTGCAGTTGCACGCAGGCGGCATCCTTCGGATACTTTTTTGGCAAGGCTAACACGCGTTCTAGGGCTCACGCGTATCACATTCCCGGGCTACACGCACGACCAATTAATGTTAATTATTCAATCCCGACTGGAAGGTGTGCCTGGCAATATCGTCCAACCCGATGCCATCCAGTTCGCCGCGCGAAAGGTCGCAGCTGTGAGCGGCGATGCACGGCGCGCTCTCGACATTTGCAGGCGCGCAGTCGAAATTGCAGAGACGGAAGCCATTGAGCGCGAAACGGAGGGCGAGGACGGCCAGCCCCCAACACCGAGTCGGAAGGGCCGGAACAGAGGCAAGGCAGCTGGTCGGTCCTCCAAGGACGCCGGTGAGCCGGATGAGATATTGCCAAAACGTGCAGGGCCCGGCGGTCGCAAAAGCGTGGTCACTTGGACGACGATCAAACAGGCTATCAATGAGGCCACGAGTAGTCCCCTGCAGCAAGCACTTCGGGCCCTGCCGTTGGCGTCCAAGGTCTTTCTTGCTGGGCTCTTGGCGCGTATCCGGCGGACAGGCATTGGTGAAGCCGTGCTTGGGGACGTGGTAGACGAGATCAAGAAATTGGGTCTCATGAGCCAGCTGCAGTCGGTGCACGACCACCTACTCGTAGCTGAAGACCAGGATAGGACAGAAGGAGGTGCGGGTGCTATGGGCGCCGCCCAACAGGCTCAAACGTCGACTCCGCTCAAGCATAGAGATGGCGCGTCGAGGCAGAGCGATGCCAAAGCTGCGCGGGCACTAGGAATTGCTTCCGCCGCTGCAGAGCTCGCAGAAGCGGGAATTATAGGCGTGGAGGCCCGCCATGGAGAGCGCGTCGGACGCGTGCGCCTAGGCGTTGCGGAAGAAGAGGTGCGGCTTGCGCTGGGAGACGACCAAGAAGTCAAGGGGCTGGGTGTTGCGGCTTGACGCTCCATTCTCATTCATCAATCCTCCATCCTTAGGATACGCTAGGGTAGCCTTCTGGCTAAGTTGTTCGCGCACCGGCCGTGGGGGATGCCTTCCACCTGCAACGCGGCTATAATGGAGGGGTGCTATAGCCCCTCCTTTGTCCCGATAGAACACCTGATATACGCTATACAGATGTGCGATACGCCTTCTACCCTACGAAGCTCGAGCACAGCGCACTCTGCGCAGGATCAAACACGCTCCTTCCACGCTTCGCGGAAGGATGCATTACTCAAAAGCGTACAGTGTACGCTCCTCGTGACACTTTCTTGCATCACGAACACTCCATGCTGTTGCGTTCGTGTTTGATCCAAAGCTGGGAAGAAAGATGCAGCTGAGAACTGCTACCCACGCCGGCATTCCATCCCAGCGTCGCATCCCGTCCCCGCCTGAGCATATCGAGCAGGGCTTAGCGAGCGCGAAACAGCTTCCCAGCTGGCTCGTGTGGACCGTTCGTTTCGCCTTCTGGAACGTCTTGCCCGAGCAGGATCGGTGCTCGTTTTCGATGCTGCGGGTTTGATACGAGCCGGCCCCAACAGCCGGTTCATCCAGCCCATCCTCCTCGCGCACTTGCATTTGCATTTGCACTTGCACTTGCACTCACGCATTGGATACGAAGAAGGCGTCGTTGACAAAGCGCTTAGTTACCCGTACGCTTTCGTGCTTCCTTCGCTGGTGCAGCCAGCCATTCGGCGAAGCCGGCCGCGAGGCTGGATGGATGGAATACCGTAGAGAGCGAAGCTTGGTTCACCGGTTGAATTCTCAGCCTTCCTTTCCAACTCTCCAGCTCTCTTCGGTAGACGAGCTGCAGGCCTCTCTCTCGCCTTTTCGCATTCATATCCCGAACCATCCTTTGCGTTCCATCCCATCCCATCCCAATCTCCGCCCAGTATCCCCAAGACCCCCAGCACGCGCATACATGTTCATAGCCGGCTTGGAATCCCCCCAAGCCAAAAACCAAAAGCCAACCCGCCGTTCTGGCCCCTCTCCCCTCGCTCGATTAACACTTTCCCCAAAAAGCCGCAAATTCACGGCTTCGGGAAAAGAGCCGTTCGTTTTGGTCAGTCAGCCAGCCGTGCTTGGGATTCCCAGCTTTTCTCTCCCGCGTGGCGTTTCTCAGTCAGCATTTTGTTTGCACGTCGCGTCCTCGGACCCCAAGGGACGGCGACGGTGACCGGTCGGTTGCGTATCCTTCCAACCAGCCAATCAACTATGTAAGGGGGAAGGGGAAAACGGCCCCCAAGTACAATTACAAAAAGGCCGCTTGCGGTCGAGGAGGAAGGCTGGACTGCCTGCCTGGCTGCCACTGCGACTGCGACTGCGACTGGCGGGTTTGGGTGCGGGATGCATGCATGCATGGGTGGGTTGAACGCCGGGCGCTTAACGTAATGCAGAGGAAGGTTTGGGATTGGGAGGGATTTTTGGGGGGAGGGCAAGCTCCAGGGCTTGAGGTGGATGTGTAGAGGCGTACACTAGCGTGGATTGGGAAAGTGGGCTGGTGTGACTGAGTGCAGCGCCGTGCGGCGGGGTCATTGTACTGTATGTATGTATGTATGTATGTATGTATGTATGTCTCGCGGTTGGGTTCGGTCGGGGCTTCTAGAAGGGAGGAAGGGGGTTCTGGAATATTACTACTTCGAGTGCGGGTGGGTTGATGATGGGGTGAGTGGAAGTGTAGAGTGGAGTGTGGTGCGCGGTGAAGGGAGTAAGGGGTAGGTATTTTGCTTGACGTGCGCTTGCTTGCTGAGAGAATATCGTGTGAATCTTGGTGGGGGGTGGCATCGTGAGGCCTTGTTACACTAAAATTTCTACAGAACGCTTCGCCTTAGACGATATAGATGCCGATGGTTGGACGCTTGCACTTCTAAACTCCTCCACCGCATCGTATTGTAAACCTCTAGCTCTAACTCCGAAAACATCTTTCATCGTAGCCCGAGCTGCTTGCGAATTCTAACTACCCACAGCAGAGTGAGTGATCTATCTAACGAAACTCTCTCTATACCTACGCGCACACACCCATATTCTCCGACTTTTCCTCAGCGTACCAAGCTCGGGTCCCCGCGGCATTGGAATCGCTCGTCCTAAGATCCTATTTATTAGTTTGTAGAACGAACGGAAGTAGAGATCCGCTTCTGCTGAAGTGAAGTGCTTCACCACCCTATCACTTATAAGAAACGAAGTTGACATTCCCAGCCCTGAAGTGCTTCATCACTCTATGAGTTCTAAAAGCTACGCTAGATCCCGTATCCTGAAGTGCTTCATTACCCAATGAATTGTGAAAGCCGCGCTAGAATTGCTAGGCCTGATGTGCTTCACCACCCTATGACTCGTTAGAACCAGGCTTGCATCCCTCTGTCTGAAGGGCTTCGTACTCATATGCTGTAGCAGTGAAAGGACCATGTCACTGGGACCGGACATCCCATCGTGTTAGAAGAAGAATATGGTGGATTATAAGGGGTATCATGTTCTCCAACTTTTGTACAGTTTACACATTCCGTACGCTGTCATCGTGACAGTAGCCGACCCTGAAGGCCTTCGTCCATATAACGCCAGATGCATACATTATACCTCAAATGCTGTCCTCCGCGGCGCTCGTGCCCTTAACAAAAATCCGCGCTGGGAACCAAAGAATCGACCCGGCTTCACGTGGTCTCGCGGAGCCACCTGGCTCTATTATGCCCGTATAACGACTCTAGAACTTTTGGCGGCCTAGAGTCGGTTTCCAGTCCAGAGGGTGTGTCTCTTCCGTCGCATTCTCGTCCTCTCTCCATATCTTGATCGACTTGTCCGACTCGCCGGTGATGAGACGCAGCCCCGTCTTGTCGAACGTGGAGCACATGATGCCGGCTTCAGCGTCGAGTGAGCCGGGCTGTGCGATTGATTCGGAGGCCTGGAAGCGATGGCCTGTTTTCCAGTCCCAGAAGGAGACTGTGCCGTCATCGCCGCCTGAGAAGAAGACGTTGTCTTCGTTGACGGAGAGTGTGTTGATGATGGAGTTGTGGCCGGAGAAGTTCTGCATGAAGGCGCCTTCGGGGCACTTCCATTGCTTGATAGCTGGGCTACTGTTAGCGTAGTCTGCTGAAGTTCGGTGGCTAGACTCACAACTCGAGCTTCCTGACGCAAATGTCCATTCGGTAGGGTGGAGGGTTAGAGCTCGCACAGCTTTCTTATGATGCGTCAGGACCGCCGAACATTTCCCAGCGGCTAGGTCCCATAATCGAACGTGGCTAGAGAAAGTTAGTAGGCGCAACCCGTCATGCTGTTTGGGGCATAAATTACCTATCCATGGAGCCCGTTATGACCTGCGGATCGGCCTCTTGACACTTGACATCGGAGACTGTGCCTTTATGGCCGCTCAGGACGTGGATATTCGTGCGTGTTCTCATGTCCTGTAAGACGTTAGGACTTGAGTTTAGACGAGGAGCCCGCACCAGGATTACTTACCCATACTCTAGCGACTCCATCTCGCCCTCCGGTAACTAGTACATCGAGCGTGGGGTGTACACTTAGGGTATCTGTGAGGTGGTTAACAAAGGCGTTCTAAAGTAGGAAAGGAACCGGGAATACTCACAAACACCGCTGAGATGGCCGTGGTAATGCCGGATGACTTTATTGGTTTCAAGATCCCAACATTTTCTGTATGATGTTAACCTAAGTTTGCGAAGCGCAGCGAGCTACTTACACTTGCTTATCTTCGCCACAAGAGAAGAGATAAGGATGCCTGGGAGATACGGCGAGACCCCTAACAGCTGATATGTGGCCGGTTAATGTCAGCTTCAAGGTACCGGAAGCGATGTCCCAAATCTAAACAAGAAGTTAGGGATATTCAGGTCTGCGGTTGCAAAACCAGCTCACCTTAATCGTTCTGTCTGCAGCACCGCTAGCAAACCACTGGTTGTCCGGCTCGACCGCTAGTGACCGCACCCAGCCCATGTGTCCGCTGATAACCCTCATAACCTTCCATGGTGCATGCCATTCGGGCCGTGCCGGCCTGACGGTGTCCTTCCTCACCAGCGCGCTAGACGGGGTGTCGCGCATAGGTGTCGGTCCCTGCGCATTCGGCGCAGCGCCCTTACCACCAGCCCTTAGCGTCAACGCCATCGACTGCGCGTCCTTCGCCTTGTCCAACTTCTCAGAAGATGCCTCGATCATCTTCCGCATCTTGGGATCTGAGGCCTGCTCTTCCGCATTCGCCGTCTTTATTTTCCTGCGCTTCTCTGCAGCAGTGGACGCTGCGCTAGCCATCTTTGCCGCCAGCGCAGGCGGAAGCTCGCGGACGTGTTCATATTCATTTCGTATTCGTGCTGCGACGTTGATCTGCTCGGCGAGGTCTTTGGATGCGGTGGATGGCGGTTCTATGGAAAAGGCGGGATTAGAGGGGTGTTCGAGGGCTATAGGCGAGGCAAAATCGGCGGCGAATATCTCTCGGGTCCGTTTCGCGGAGGCGCGTGCAAGGTTGTCCATGGTGATGTTCGTTGAGGTTGAGGAGGATGGTCGACTTTGTAAAGTTCACTAGCGGCCTCGGCTCGGATAATGCATTTCTCCGGTACTCGGAGACAACGCCCGCTCGAACCCAGAATCTTTCACCTACAACGCAAGGCCCGAAGACCGACAACGGAAGAGCAGAGCCGGAACAATCATCTTTCCTGCGCCTAAGGATTTACACTGCTTCTGTAAAGTTGGCACAGTTTGATAGATCATCAAATGATGAGGCTTGGCTCTCGTTGTAGCACCCTACCCGTTACGGCCTGTGGCGCTAGGAGATGCAGACGGCACGTGATGCGCAGTATCTCAGCCGTGCAAGTTGTGGAAAGTTGTGTTTCTCAGATATAGCCAGCCCAGCAGCTAGAGTCTTCTCCCCGCATATCATCACGAACCTGAAATGGCGGAACCTCTCAGCATCGTAGCGAGCATTATTGCGCTTGTAGAACTCTCGAACGGTGTCCTCCGGCAGACCCTCGATATATATACCGCTGGACGGGTCCAAGACTGGGATCGTTGTACGGGGATTTCCCTTCAGATCGTCGATCTCAATTTCTCCCCAGGCATCGGGTCGAGACTTGTAAGGAGCTTATACGAAGACCAGAACACCACAGAAGCCACTACGGATGCTCTCAACAATCTTCCCCGGCAACCAGACGATTCTTGTCGACTATACATCGAACACGGCTTGGAGTCACACGATTGTTTTAGGGAGCATGTCGATCAGTTAGTCCGCAGAGACGGACCAGTGCGGCTGTTTCGAAGATTCTTTGCAGAGACAAACCTGGCGGAGTCGAGCCTGGTGGCTGGGTCCTTGTTCAACTTTCGAGCTCGATCTGGAGCAACACCATGGTTGGAACCTGGTGTATACATTTTCGGTTATCCCAGTGTGTCGGTCGGGCTCTTCGGGAGCGTTATCCGGTGCAAGATGAGGCTTCGATGCGTCTGGCATGATGACGGACGCATGCTCTGTTTGTAGTCCGTCCCTAATATCCTGATGCCCTATGCTTACCTTTCGCAGGCTTCATCTCGTTCAAATCTGAAGTACCAAGATACGGAGCCGTTCGCAAGATTATACCGGCGGAGCGAATCAATGAGGTACTTCGTGGATTAGCTCGTGCAATTGTTGATGGAGACGATTCTTACGACGATAACAAGGCAAACATCACGACTAGGCCAATGCAGTTGCGAATTGTGATGTTGCGCATCTGTCACGTCATTCTGCTGAATTATGCGGGCTTCCTCTCATCGGTCGAGCGACTTCATAGCACGTTCTTGCAGCACCTCTCGGATCCGGCGAATACAACAATCACTGCGACGTTGCTCCAGGTGATCTCGAAAGATTCCTACTTCTGGGAGCAGATCCACCACATCATTACCATCTTCGTTGCGGCTGTTGGATCTTTGCTGGACATATCACACCTGCTCGACGACCTACCTCAGGTCAAGAAGTTCCAGGGACTCCTTCTAGAAATCCGTGGTATCTGTACGGAAGTTGAAAGGACGACCACATCAATATCGAACCGCCTCGAGGGCCGGCTGAAGTTTATCGAGATTGGTCGGAGCTTTCATGAGTCTTCCAGCGTTCGGCTTCTGAGTTTACTGGCTGTCATATTCCTCCCACTGTCACTTGCGTCTTCCCTTCTGAGTATGTCCACTCGGTTTGCAGACCTGCACTATCTGCTGTACGATTTCTTTGGAGTGATCGTGCTCCTAGGTACCGTCACTATCACCATAGTAATCGTCTTGAAACTCCTAAGTCGCGCTTCTGAGAAAGTCGAGTCCAAGGTTACCTCTGATACGGGCCGGAAAATAGTCAAGCAGGGCATCGTCTTCATGGTAGTGGTTCCATGGGGGCTTATCCTAGCTTCATTCTTAGTCGGCATGATCAAAGATGTAGGCTTAGGATTGAGGGTTCTCGGCTACGGTGCTGCTGGAATAGTGGGTCTGGGAGCTGTGGCAGCTTGTACTGTTGGATTGATGGTATTCTTTGGGCTTATTCTCTCTTTTTGATTTCATGAAGCCTTTGGTGGCTTGATGACGAGATTCACCAGGGTATGTCACATGGACACCAGCATGTGCCCAACCGGCTGACCAGTCTAGCTTCGTACATAACTTCGGTAGCCCTTAATGGCACAGTGCCGCTAGCTTGACCAGCACCGGAACACATCTTTCTGGGAACCAAGCGTTACTGATGGCATGCCAGTAACCCCATTAAGGAGTTTTATCCACTGGGTCCACGACTCAAAATAAGACTCAAACTTCAAGGGGTTATTCGCGGTGCATCCGTCGCCGGTGCACTTTTGGGTTGCCCTTTCGTGCTGCAATGAACTCGAGTCAGAATGGCACGGATGCAACGGAAGAATGAGTTACTGTGTTAGATGTTGTCTGTACTGACAGGAGGTAATGGAGGGGAACTGTAGCTAGGGCTTTTCGTTATAATTGAACAGCAGCGGCTTGGTTAGCCGATGCGCTCAGAAGCATCAGAGTTCCCGCCGCTGGTCAAGAGAGCCTCAGTTCTAAATTATTGTGTTATACGCCCTAAGCCTTAGTAAATACGATGTGTAGTTGAGCTTGTTACTCCAAATGATATATAGCAATGAGATCGCGAGGGCGTGGAATGTGCTCTCGGCTCGGCGTTACGTTTTTTTTATTTTATTGATCGAGTTATTTCCATATTTGAACGGTGCCCTGCGATTTCTCCTGCTCATCTAGAGACGCTTGCTTCATAAGATGATGGAAAACGGAAAATCGAATCTAGAGAGCAACATTCTGCGTCCCTCCGGGCTTTCGAGGACGCTACAAGCCTGCAAACTGGACTCGCCTCAACGATACCAAAAAACCCCCGCTTTACAGGGAGCTGTTCAATCATTTTCTGAGGCGCTCCAGCGTACCGCTAGTGCTTTTCCACAGCGGGATGAGCAGCAGGTGGAGATTCCTAGTGTCAGCCACCGAATTCGGCACGTTACCTCACGCACTCGTTAACACGAAGCCGGGACACGAATATAGCAAAGTGTGTCTTTGAACGTAGTCCTGAAACAGTTCGAAGAGATGTCAGCAGCCGCAAAACCAGCCTCCGGATCGTTGTGGTTCCAGAGTGGCTCTGATCAGTGGCTGTGCCAGGCCAAGCGCGTACAGCTCGGATACGGTGTCCACCAAAGGCAGTTGTATGCTCCCGCCCCCGCGCATTTCACAGTCCGTATTGGAGGTCCACCACTGCGAAACAGGTCGGATAGACGACGCGCAAGACGCTGAGCCACGCCCTGCAAACCGAGCCGTATGTCGCAATCTATATTCCGGATCTCCAAGCCAGCGATTCGTCAGGTTGCTTGATATTGCTTCTGGGAGGCCGTGGGCGATCTGTCCTCCGGCCATTGACACATCTGAGTCGAAGTTAGCTTGGAAAAGGACCCAGGTGGAGGCTCATTGTCGTCGTCAACACAGCCATTGCTCTCGGGTCCTTGTTCTAGGGTCAAAGGCGATACCGCACTCCACGGCGTATCGACATCAGCTATGTGTCACTGCTTGAGCACAGCCTCGATTCGAGCCGCTCGTGGCTGCGGGCCGCATCGTGAGGTTTCGGCTCCTCTCCTCCCGATGAGCTCCCGGCTGGTCCCGACGTCGTCCTCGATTCTTAACAGCGATCCTGCAAAAGCGCTGTAGCAGACCTGCGGCGAGCGAGGATACGGTTACCAACACGGCGCCTTCCGCAGGTAAAGATAGGACTAGCATTCGTCAGCTATCCATCGCATTCGAACAGAGCAATAGACTGCCTCGTCCAAGGTTGACGGGTGGAGCCTGCGCTTTAAGCCTGGTCGTCGTGCTTCCATACTCTCTTCGCATGCCTCTCACCGACCCCTTCGTCTTTCGCAAACATCGTTGAAGCACATCGCGCTCCGCCATCCGGAGTTGGGCGATCGGATAATCATCTCAGGGGCCAGTCCTCAGTACTATCCTCATATTTCTGAGAATGAAGGCTCTTCGGTGTAGCTCTGTCTGTGCTGATCATATTGCCCGCGCCCGAACGTAGGACCGGAATCTGGAAGGCATGTGGCGAGTCTTGGACTCTCTGGAAAGAGCTCCCGCTCAAGAGAAGTCAACTCGCAAACCTCGCTCTCTATGCGGTTCTTCCTCATCATGCTTCAGCTTTCTCCCGAGGATCTTCTCAACGCTGTTAAGCAAGCGATGCGCATTCCTGGCGCGATCAGTGGCCGGACCTGGGACGCGATACGACAACAACTCCTCAGGGCAGTGGTTACTATGACGTCTCCCGAATGTCGAAAACGACAGCTACCGCGTTGTCCAGATGTTCAGGTCGTATATGTCTACTCTTCTGGGCAACCGGAACGGATAGGCAGTGATGATAGCACATTCGTTTATCCTCGGAGCGAAGCAGAGTGCGCCTGCTTGCGAGGTGTTTATCGCGCAGGAAGCCAGCTGCTTCCTCCGCCCGGCATACCGTGTTCGACAACACTGCAGCTCGTTCGACCGTGGGTTGGCTGCCAAGCGGGATCCTGCTGCAAAGGTTGGAAGTCAAGCTGAACTCCCGCCCCAGACCTCTTGCAACGGCGCCGAGGGTCAGCTGCCGCCTCTCTCAGGCTCTCTCCAGGCCGCCGTTCTGACCCGGACCGTGAGGATGAGGAAGATGATGTCGGTCCTTTCCGCTCTTCCTTCATTTCGCGCTCGTTCGACGACGTTCTTTGCTGCTCGTTTCCCCAGACGATCATTGACAGCTCAGTCCCTACCCTGTTTCCCCAGATTTATGCGCCGACCAGGATATTGCTGTGGGCACAGGCACATGCTACCGAGGAACGTCCGCATGAGCCGAGCCGTTGCTCATCGTGATCCGGGTTGATTCTTCCGACGACATGGCCTCCGTGGAAGTCGATTGCACCAGCGTCCCCACGGGGAAGACGTCTATATTTCTACTCGGTGGGCAGGCGCATTCAGCCTTGCCAACCCCCGGAACATCGTGTGTCTTCGACCTCTGACCCATGCTGCACAAGCAGACGCAGGTACCCCTCTTGTGCACGAACCGGAGCACGTCGCCGGACTAGCCGAACATCGTCACGCTGGACCCTCGTTGGCTCAGGCCCGCCGAGTGCAACGTCGCGGCTTGCCGCTGCGGTGCCCCATCAGGTGGTGAGTGGACGATGTTCCTGCGCGATTTCTTGAAAGAAATTGGCGTCCATCCTTCTGGCTCTCGATCAGCCCACGCCTTCCCGGGCTAGGCGGTCCAGTCGGTCGAATGACCGGGATGGGTAAGAAGCTTTGCGGGGTTTCAAACGCTGTACAACATTGACTCCATGTCGATTTCCGCCTCTCGTCCTCATTTCTCGGTGGCCTTTCTTTCGGGGAGCCTCTCTTCTTCCCACTTCTTTTCTCCGCGAGATTTTGCCCTCAGGCTTGCGCAAGCGCGCATTGAGGACCCGGCCAACGGTCGCGCTTGGAACTTCCAGTCTCCCCAGATTTTCCGACACGAGCCATACCTATTGCAGTTCGCTTCCGAGAGGTGCTGAGCGATCGGCGCCACCAGAGGGGCGCCCAGCCAATGACGCCAATGCAGTGGCGTCCGGGGCAACCAGCCTGTCGCCCCATTGAGGCCACGTCCCGCTCCCTCCTCAAAGTTCGCCGACGGCGAGCTTTTCAACGTAACAACATCGCATTGTAGCCAATGGATGCTTCGCTCGTACCCTCGCTTCATCCGAAACAATAGAAAGCTTGCATCGCCAGCCAGAGACTTGGTCAACGATGGCAATTGCTCCTTCTCGATCCTCCGTTCTCATTTGCGGAGGCGGAAGCCTTCCAACCCCTTATGGTTATTGCCGCGGCTGAGGTCACGCCTCCCGGCGAGCATTCTGGATGCTCCGAAAAGTTGGAATGCCTGCAAGAGCTCCGCATGTGACGCCGACGGATGGATGCCCCTGGATTGATCTGTTCCTTGCTGGGGCTGGGGCCATGCAGGCAATCCAATATTTAAAGCCTACTGCAGCCTCCTCGCAGAAAACAGCACGTCTCATAAACACAATCGTTCGCCCTCTGCACCAAGATCCACCGACCGCTCACTACCTCTAGCCAACCCCAAACACCACTACACCAGCCAATATGAAGACCTTCGCTGCCGCTACCATCATCGCTCTGGCCTCCGTTGCCACCGCCCAGCTCTCAAACATTCCCTCTTGCGCCGTACGTGCCATTACCACTTCTCGGCCGTTTCAATTCGCTAACCGTAAATGCAGTTGAACTGCTTCTTGGAGCCTCTCTCCTCGGACGGCTGCTCCGATCTCCAGGACTTCGCCTGCCACTGTCAGAAGGCCGACACTCTCTTCGCTGCCGTCACGCCCTGCGTCCAGGGAGCATGCTCTGCTGAGGATCAGGCTACCGTCATCTCCGCGGTTGAGGAGACGTGCGCGCAGGCCGGCGTCACCATCGACGTCCCGACCCCGGGTGGCAGCAGCACTCCCGCGCCGTCCAGCACTGAGGCCGCATCCAGCGCCCCTGCCTCCGAGACCCCGGCCCCGACCTCTGAGGCTACCCCAGAGACCAGCGCCGAGGCTTCGTCTGCTGGCTCCAGCGTGATCCCTACGCCTACCGGCAACGTCACTACCCCCACTGGCACTGCTTCGCCGACCGTCTCCGAGTTCCCTGGTGTCGCTCCTCGCATGACCCAGGCTGCTGGTCTGCTCGGCGCTGCTGCCATCGCTCTCTTTGCCTTGTAATTCTCCTGCATGGGATCGTATGGTCACGGCCGTTTTATGCATGGCAAGGGAAAAGGGCAATGCGCTTTGGCTTTTGAGGATGCGGTAACGAGATCTTTAATGTTGATGCGCGAACGAAGAGCGATCTCGTGTATTATAAAAGGATGGTTGTTCGTCATCGCTTACATAGTAATGCATGCATTCGTGCTCTACCTTTCTCTTTGTCCTCGCGCACTCCCGATGATGCGAAGCTTCAGCGCGCGGAGACTTCAGACACCGCGCATTCAACATGGAGCTCTCCGCTGTCAATTCGAAGCGCAGCCATGTCAATGTGATGTCAGACGATCGACGCCTGTTGGTTTCGTGTTGAGCGCTCTTCAACAGCTGTGGTCATGCTTGGTTCGCGAGGCTTAATGTCACCTTATTAAGGGGCCGTAAGCGGGGCTGGGGTCCTCGGCTGCTTTACGTCACTGCTCGTGTTTGCGAACGATGTCGTGCGAGAGATTGGTGAGCGGCTCGAAGGCGTGAAACGAGGCCTCGCCGAATCATGAAGAGCGGTGTGGGATGGAGCGTGACTTTTGTCGCGTCGGTCGGTGGTAGGGGGTAGGGGCACAACTGACGAGAACTTCGAAGCGTATGGCATGCTGAAGGGAAAGGGAATGTCGTAGTCCCGTAGCCTGATGGCTGGAGCGAGGTCTTCCGCTGTGTCGACTACCTTCACGTGTGGCTGGTGCGGTGGCTGGACTGTGGCTCGGCCGTGGTCCATGCGTTTTCCAACATTCCACGCCGGGGCTTCCCGTCTTCCATCTATATCCACATGCTATCTCACCGCTTGGGATAACAAGATTCCACTGCTGATGTTTGCCAACGTTACCAGGCATGCCTTCTCCGCGAACGCACGAAAACCGCGGCCGGTGTAGCATCGCGCAGTCTGCCTCGGCCCGTTCCTAACTCAGCTGAGGTCGTTCGCCAGCAAGGTGACATCCGGGACACGAGCATACTCCGCCATCATCCTTTTGATGAAGGATATGTTTACTGGTTACTACTGGATAGATGAAGCCCTTAGCATTGGCGACTCCGGCGTCTGTCAATTTTCTCCTCATGGTCTGCATTGCGCTTTGCAAATATATCGCGGATGCTTTTACCTTTCCAGGAGAGAATTACAAAAACTCCATCGAGATATGATTGGCTCACTCAAGAAAGGAATCATCCTATGTAGACGCCTTGCGGGCCACGCCCGCATGCAAGACATCTCCCCCTACACCTAACGCCGTTTCCGTCGCAGACAGCCCAATAATACGACAAGCCAGATCTTGGGGACTGCTTTGGACCCCACCAGACTTGAATCGAACAGTGTCCTTTTCTGGAACACTGCGTCAGCCTGTCCAATGCCACATAGTGCCTGCATCGGACGACGCGGTTCCCCACGCAGAGTTTGCCTATTCATAGCTAGCAACGCGTTCACGGATTTAAGCTTAAAATAAGGTACACTACTGGCCGTTTAACGGATTAGTATTCAAAAAACCGCCAATGCCAGTCTTTCCCTATATCTCAGCTCCAGCGTCCACGTTGGTTCCATACTCCCGGGTCTGCTAGGCAGATGCGGTTCCATTTCGAGCAAATGCTCCAGTCTGGAGTGTAGCTATAGGGCTAGAGGAGCTTCACTCAGTGACCTTCCCTAACAACGGTACCTGTCCGTCGATTTGGCGCAGCCCCGAGGCCTTGCAGATGCGATCTCCTTGCTTTGCAAAGATGTCGGAGCGAAATGATCTTGGAATGCCACTTCTCGAGTATTCCAAGCATGCTGAGCCTCAGCGGATGCGGAGTCTGGGCATGCTTCGATCCCACTCCGAAAGCTTGGGATTCGGGATCACAGACTGCCTCGCCGTTCTGCTTCCCGCCAAGTACAGGGCTTAAAGGCTGTGGTTGGCCCGCTCGTACTCCACTTCCTCTTCGGTCCTTAGCTCGTGATGAGTAAGTCCAAGATCAACCACTCAGCACGTCTTTTTCCTTCTTACATCTTGACAATCAGCCAACGCCCACACCGCAGGATACTCCGCATGGCCGGCGCATGGCTGCGGCTACCTTTCCACCAACATGGCATCTGCGGCCACGGTAGACCCTTGCGGCCACCGGGCGCCCCGCCCTCTTTTTCGCGGAGCCTTGGCTGCGAATTACCTCACTTAATCAGCAAGCTGGAAGTTCAATGTGCGGTCGTCTTGAGACTCTCACGCCGTATATAATCAGAAATTCTCATCTTATCAGCTTCAACCTCTTTGGATTTCCCGATCGAGCATTCTACGGAAGATGCAGCAGAAGAAACGGAGCCGGGCCAGTCATCCGAAGGTTAGGACCGGATGCAATACATGCAAGTACGTTGAGTCCCATAAGTCTATATTGCGCCACTATAGGCTAGATCGTACTAACATACCCATTTGGAAAGGGCTCGACGAGTCAAATGTGACGAGCTACGTCCCTCTTGTCAAAAGTGCTTGAGTACTGGACGCACATGCGAAGGCTACAAGAATACCCGCGAGTGGGTCATTATAGTCGCGCCGCCGCCTCCCGTGACGGACGGATTCGAAGATGACCGAAGCCGGCGGCATTTTGACTACTTCCGGACACATGCCGTCTATGAGCTCTCGTGGTTCTTCGATGGAAGTAATTGGGGATCACTGGTCCTCAAGGAGTCCCATTCGTCCGCAGCAGTTCGACACGCCGTTATCGCGCTGGCTTGCTCGCATCAAGACTTCAGAGACAACCTCACCGTCGCGGCGCAGGCCCCGCAGTATGCTTATGCGACCCAACAGTACAGCAAGGCGATCCGAAATCTGATCAAAGAGACATCGCAGGACGTACAGGAGTCTAGGTTGAAGGCTCTGATGTGCGGTCTTTTGTTTATCTCAATAGAGATATTGCGAGGCAACGACACGGCGGCACGACACCATTTGGATGGATGCCTCAAGATCGTGAGGGAAGCACAGACAAGAATGGGTACGCTCTTTCGACCTACCGAGGTCCACCCTCTTGAGCGCGATCGGCTTGAAGCAGAGGCTCATTTGTGTGAAGAGATCATCCCCATGTTTAGCCGCATAGACGTTCAAGCTTCCGCCGTAGGCCTCTTAGGCGGAGAACCCACGAACGAGGCTTCCGACTCCAGCTCGCGGGATTCACCCGCACCTACCGAAGATGAGGTACTCCTATTGTCGAGCTTTCAGACAATTAATCAAGCATCCTACGCAATGCTGTTGCTAGCGAACCGTCTCCACCGGTAAGCATGGACACTTCCGATTGAGAGCTAAGACTCATCACATACAGATTCCTCAATATGTACTCGGATATTTATCGAAACCAGTGCGTTCGCCCCATTCCGGCTGACATTCTCGCTGAGAAGTGCGTCTTGTATCACCAATTCCTGCGATGGGAAAGCGCTATTCAACCATTGCTTGCTACAACAGAGCGACAACATGACTACGACAAGCTCACGATTATGCGCCTCCATAACAGAACTGGCCTTTTGCTGTCAGAAAGCTGTCTCGATATTGAAGAATGCGTCCACGACAACTACCAGTGGGCCTTTGAAGGCATCGTCAACTTGACCGCCGAACTCAAGCACCGCACGAGCTCGAGTGACGAGGAGGGCGCAAGTGAGTCTGGTTCTTCTACAACATCTGAACGTGGACAATCGTCCAATTCCACAGCCGACCCTTCGAACACGTCGACACCAGCGCTAGAAAAGGGGATGCCCAGGCAGTGTCTTCGTCCATTCTTCTGCCTTGACAGCGGCGTCATATTCGCGCTCTATTGGACGGCCCTCAAGTCTCGGGACGGGACACTTCGTCGGCGCGCCGTAGCATTGCTCGAACACCCCGCACAGGAAGGCGTATGGGTGGGTCCCATTCAAGCGGCGATCGCAAAGCGGGTCATCGAGATCGAAGAGGGTCAGCTATACGAACAATACCCTCCGCCTGCGAGGATCAAGCGACCCGAGGATATACACGAGAATATGAGGGTACATAGTGTCACTCCGGATATCGATAAGGCGAGGCGAAGAGCGAAGCTAGTCATTCTGCAAAAGCCGCATGGACTGGAAGGCGAGTGGCATGAACGCGTCGAGTGCGCGAGATGGTGAGCATTTTGGTTGCGCTGGTAGACGGTGCCGTTTCCGCGGGTTCAATGCGCCTCATTTCTTCGCTCTCTATGCGTTCTTGTTCGCTTGCAGTTATCATTCTACTTTTCTTCTCTGTTTTCCTAGCCACGGCGTGTTTTCTTCTCGCCAAGCGACTCCACATTTATCTTGCTATTCGTTTGCGTCTACGATGCTCATGAAACTCGAACCCTGCATTTTTTGGCGCTTCTTCTCCCGGGTTGTGGCTTGCTAAGCCATGAGCAGGCAGAAACCGGATTGACGTTTGAGCTCCATCAACAAGAGCTATACGGCATCAAGTCCAAATGCCCCGTGGTCTTCTCTTATCTTTCCGACACATGGAGCTGGAGTTGTTGTTTCTATTAAGTCGGCCCCCTCTCTCGCGATCAGGAGCGCAGCTATTGTTCAAACGCACAGTGCAACAATACAGTTTCGTACCCTTCTAAAAAATGGCTAAATAACATTCTAGTTTCATGTGCAGGCAGCCTAAAGCGCTACAAGAAGCAAACCCATTAGATGTGTAACTCTATAAACGCTAGCAGACGTTATAAGAATAGAAAGAGGGATAGTGCGTATGCCGGAAAGGAAAAGGAATGGCCTATACCTTGCAAACTTCCAACCCCATATTATCTCCCGCTCCGTCACGTCGAGTATTGCCGAGAAGCGCGACGCGAGGTACGATGAGCAGCTCGTGGCGTCCTCTCCTCCGTACGGTCAATCATCATCTCAACATCTCCTCGTCCGTTCGAAGCAAAATCCAGTTTCCCCACATACCACATCACGCAAACTGCCATGACGATGGACATCGGTATGAAATCAAACACGTATACCGGCCACTCGTTGCTCAGAAGGTATCCATCGTCTGTGCGTTAACGAATTAGTAAACCATTGTGTCGACGCCTCCCATTTCGTCTGCCTGTGGAGGAAGGAAGGAGGGATGGAGGGGGGAAAACTTACCACCCAGCGCATACTCGATAACGCGAAACAAATTCCTCAGCGTAATGATGACACTAACCGCATACAGACTCATCATATACCTCTCCCAGTTCCAGTCCAGCGCCGCCTTCGGATCGTTCTTCCGCATGCGCAGGTGGAACACCAAGCCCACTACCATAAACCCGCCGAAGATGACAATCTGCGCAGACAGGCCCACAAGCACGATCGTGTTCGCGAGGTCCAGCTTGCTTTTCGTGGTCGCGGACGAAAGCATCGCCGCGCCGATCAGCTGCACAAAGAAGCAGAAGATGTCGCCGCCGACGAAGATTCTCGTCAGCCACGTCGGCCGGATCAGCGAGTAGGACGCGCAGCCTGTCGCGAGGATGATGCGGCCGAGGAACATGTAGACCGAGGCGGCGAAGAGGATCGGCGCGAGGAGGATGAGGATGGCTTGCATGAGGAAGGGGGCCATCACGTCGGGGTCGGCATTTGAGCGGGCTCGGGCTGAGTAGCCGACTACTTCGACTGTGGGTTGTGTTAGTGACTGGCATGGGTAGAGAGAGCGAGACGTGGAGCATCTTGTGGGAAGAGGGCGATGGAGGAAAGATTCGACGTACATAGTCCTCCGAGGATGAAGGGGATGCAGAACCAGGTCCGGGTTTTGTAGAGGCGGAAGACGTGGGCGGAGGTGAGGAAGAAGTAGACGATGGCGGCGATTACCGCGCCTGCGAGCGAGGGCGTGTAGGAGTAGTATTCTTCGTCTCCTGCCATGATGGAATGAGGCTTTCGAGTGCGGTTGATGTCGAATAGGGTCGGTGGTCTATATGAATGGTAGTCGTAGAGGGCGAAAAAATGAGACTTGAGATGTGCGAATGAGACCTAGAATGAAATAGTAAGAAGATATGCTGTGTGAAAGAGATCCGGAATGCAGTAGCGATGGGGTTTCTAGAGAGGGAGAACATGTTGGCTTTAATAGGTAATGTATAGCTTCAACCTCGCGACATTCGACAAAAAGGGATTGCCTAAGGTTGACGGACCGAATGCGGCGCTGGCAACAGTCGTCATGGAACGCGGCTGAGGCTCTTATTTTGATATGTCTGCATTAAGGGGTCCTCGTTCTAAAGGCTTGGTTCGTGCTATCGTGAGGCATCCGGGCATACTTCCATGTTGGGGGCGGGTGATTGGTTGCGTGGCTTAGACCTGGGAACGAGAACGAGAACGAACGGGAACGAGAACGAGGACAGACGAGCACAAGGACGGACGAGGGCGAGGGCGAGGACGAACGAGAACCAATGCAAAACGCGCCACGTTCATGATTTCCTACACAAATGTATTCCTTCATTGCTCTTTTAATTCTTTCCATTCTTTAACGCCAATGGACATGTTGACATGCAGTGGAGTTGATGCGGCGACTGGGACGTGGGATGGAGACGCGCACAGACAAATTACAAGAATACAACATCTCTTCAGCTACGAGCAAATCATGAATACTGTACGCGCCCCTAATGCGCATTAAATAAAGCACATAGGACAAAAACCAATATAGAAAATGAAGAAAGACTGCTGTTGCTGAGATGTGCATACCTTGACTCCTACTGTCTCGACAACATCTTCGACGACAAAGTCCGCAAGAATGAAAGACTCTATTCACACAGTTCAACCTGTTGCCGACACCATATTGTAATCTTGTCCCACTCTTCACTGCGTCCGAGGAGCACAGCTGAAAGCTCATCCACAAGCCTCGACCCTGAATACCGTTTCCACCACATATCATCAGTGATATACAGCAACACACCCCAGTGCATAAAGATCATCATCGCCAACGGCTCACCTCCTCGCAGCTCCTCCATGAACTCCGAGTCGACTCTAGTCACCCACACAACGGCACAGTGCTCCCTCCTAAAGGCCTTTTCCAGCGCCTGTATTGCGCGTTCCAAAACGGCATGTTTATAGCTACTGGGGCAGACAGCTGTGTCCATCAGGCGGCGCAACTCTGTGGCTGCAGCCCATTCGTCCATGGATGACGGCATCGGTTCGACAATGCCGAAGACGCCAGAGAGCGGGCCCTGCACGATCCAATGGCGACTGAGTTGGACGATAGATGCAATGGCATTGATAAAGTCGGCTAAAATTAGGATAGACTCTGCAATCGGCTTAGGTTGGTCGTCCCCCCCCGAGGGTAGAAGTGGTGATACGACGGCGCACACCATGATCAGAACGGAGCATGTGAAGACAGCGTCGCAGTTCGAGCGTGAGATGTGATTGAGATTTGAACGGAGGCCCGAGACGCTCCGATTCTGGTACTGGAGGGCGGCGCTGACCAAGGGACGGGCAGCCGTGGCGTCTTCCATCTCGCTTGCCATGTGGAGCAATGTCAATGCCAGGAGCGCTTCCATGAGATAGTCGTGCCGCAGTGCTTCTTGACCGACGTGCTCCCGAAAAAGTTCCGCTCCTTTTGGCGTAAAGCTGTAACAGGTTCGCGTACACCAGTGATGCATGAGCGCCACCTCCGAGATTCCGATCGCGTCGGCAGGTACCACAGAGGCTGCATTGAGCGATTCGGCCTGCGGACCGGTGGCGTTAGGAAGGTCGGATTGCTGGAATAGTTGGCGGGAAAAGCAGCATTCGTCGCCGCGCTTGGTGCAATTCGTGCACTGTGGTAGCTTTTCATCGCACTTTACGCGCCTCTTTCGACAGCGGTCACATCCGTATCGGGATTTGTGGTGTGGACGCTTTTGGGGCATGGCCGGTAGATAAGCGGGATCGTTGAACGAGAACGAGATTCAGGAACGAGATTTTGCGATAAAACCCTTGAATGTATAGAGCCGTACTCCTTTTTGCTGTCTCCTCCTATTTTCAGGACCGGAGTTTCCCACACACTCAGCCTCGAGTAGCTGACGTGTCGCCAAGAGCACAGAAAACCGAATTAGCATATATTTGGGGCTCCTCGCAAACTTCCCCTAGAAGGTCACTTGCAGTGGCATGATACACGACATTGGTTGAGCAACAAGCTTTTTGGCAGCGGTACAGTCAATAGGAGGAGGGTTGAGAGTGCTTGGCGCGGGGAGGGGAAGCGATTCACAAAGCGCATTAGGAACATCGCATAAGCACATTTACGATACAAAACCGTCAGATTTCAAAGAGTCAGCAAGGAGGAACCACAACGCTGCAGCGCAATATTTTACTTGCTGTATCTTTGATGCAGATGCCGAGTATCAGACGATCGAGGAGTGCGTCGATACGATTGAGTAGTCAGCATTGTTCGACTAGTAGACGAGGTCGGAGGGAGGAGAAGGAATAAAGAGTATGATAAAGCCATGCGAGACGGACGAAAAAGAGGTCCAATCACTGCCCCAAAACCGACTTCTCCAATACCACAATTCCGTACTATTCCTCCGATCCATCCCCCAATCCATCCCACTCACCTCCCCCCTTCCCCACCCAACGTAACATTTCTCTCGCCACCCCTCTCCGAAATCGTCATCCTCATCGCAATATCAATAGTAAGCTCTCTCCCGCCTGTCGCATTCGTCGAAAACCCGCGACTGATACCGGCTGCAAGTATCTCCGACATATTAAGCGGCAGGTTGATGTTTGTAATCCGGTCGCCGATTTCGAGCGAGCTGTTTGGAGCGAGGGTGAGGTTGCCGTCGCCGATGTCGAAGTCGTCACCTAGGAAGACAGGGGGTGTTAGCTGACTGGGTGGTGAAGGGGTATGGTGAAAGAGTGTGGTGAAAGTGTGGATGGTGAAAGAGCGTATAGTCAAAGAACAATAATAGAAGGAAGGAGTGTGGATACCTGTATCGATATCATTCCCCGTCCCCGCGTACCCAACGCCGTTCCCGTCCTGGCCATTCGTAGGACTAAACGTCCCGTTCACATTCGTGTTATTCCCTTCCACCGTTGAATTCTGCTGTGCGACTTGTCGACCCACCAGCTGTGGCTGGAAGAACCGTTTCCAGAAGTAATCAGGAGGACGAAAGATTGGAAAACACAGCGCGGGCGAGAGAAGGAGGAAGAAGAGGAGAGAAAGAGTGTGTATGCGCACCATTGCTCTTGGAAAGGAAAAGAAAAGAAAGGATTAAAGAGACTACTGTGGGAATGAGCGTAGCTCAAAAGGAGAAGCAAAGACAGGTCAGAGCCGGTTGAGCTGCGGTTGGAAAGTGAAAGCTTCCTCTGCTCTATATGTAAATAGGGGTTTGTCTAGGCGCTAACGGGTCTATTGCAGAAGGGCCCACCGCTAAGAAGAAGAATCCACGACTGCTTCTACGCCATGCATGTGTACTGCTCCACTCTCGCACAGCCATATCGCATCGAGAGGAAACATGCTGGACAGTGTGTAAGAAAAGGGCCGCCAACCCCAGCATATCCGGGGATATCCTGTGTCACATCGAGCCGGAAGTAAAGCCATTAGAAGGAACCATCTATTTTTGAATCCGGATATGGCCTCGGTGGTCAAGGTTCGGGGTGTTTCCTACAAAGTGTTTCGCGGATGCTTGGCGCTTCGAAGTTTCGAACGGAACGGGGTGAGTTTCAACCTGCGCAGCGATAGCATGTATTAAACCCGATGTTATTGATTAGCGGGTGGAATTGCTCACTGTTTGTTTTACGAGGGGATGGCGGAGAGAGAGGACGCTTCGTGGGATTCGGTCAATGAGCCAGCAATGTGCAAGAAGCGCTCGCTCAGTGAGCAAGAAAGCAATAACGCTCTATCGCGCAAGACAAGCGCTAGAATCGGAAGCCTGCAGCGGATCAGATCAAAATTGGCCTTAGAATTATACCTAGAGGAAATATATGTGGAGTGAAGATGTGGCCTGCCAGCCAGCCATGTTTACACCATCCTGGAGACACCACCAGCCCCTCCTAAGCACTTGCCGCGCCGCTGCTCGGGTGCTCGACACTTTTCTACCCCTTCCGTGTGCATATTATACACATCCTCCCTCCCCTGCTCTCCCCCAAGCATATTATCATACACTCCCTTCTACCCGCGTCCTCACACCTAGTGTATCGTACATACAATCCTCTGCCAGCCACTCACTCTCTCCATCCCCCTCTACCTCGCCCTCGGCCACACCGGCCTCTTCGTAACAGCCAACGCCACCCATCCCCCAATCAAACACAGTCCACCCAGCGGCGTCACGGGGCCCATAAACTTCCACCGCTGCGGGTCCAGCGTGAGCAGGTACAAGCTCCCGCTGAACATGGTCATGCCGGCAGTGAAGAGCGACATGGCGAGCGTGTTGCCGGGGGCGGCGACCGAGGCGAAGGTTAGGGCGGCGGAGTGGATGAGCTGTGTGTGTTAGCGACCGGTCCAGGTAGAGGATGGCAGAGGGAAGGAGGGGGAAGGAGAGAGAGGAGGGTACAACGCGGAGGAAATATAAGTGAGAGAGAGAGACGGACCTGGTACTGCGCCGCCGTACTCCAGTTCGCTATGCGCTGGGGATCTGCGATGCGTTTCTTCAGGCCGTGCGCACCGAATGCGCCGAGCATGACGCTGGAGGCGCCGTAGAGGCAGCCGATTGTCCAGAAGGGCAGCATTTTCGTCAGATCTTCTCAATTGATATGCAGGGCGGGAGTATAAGGATTTGGCTGTGTGATGTGGTGGGGAGGGGAGCTGACGTTGGATGTCAGGCTGTGGAGGGGGAGCTTGAGCGCTCGGGTTGCGGAGTTTCGGAGGTGCGAGGTGGTCTGTGCGGTCTTGCAATTGATGGACTATTTTCAATTCAGCCTTGACTGGAGGTCAAGAAGACAATAAATATCTCGTCTGCTATAGCACAGAGGGCCTCCCATTGACAGCAGGCAATGCCGACTATTGGCTATGCGCCGACCTGCCCAACGCCCTACATCATGCATCCATTCGCCTTGCTAGAATGCAGATCAGAGACGCCCAAGTGCACTCTGTGACCGTTGATCGTGACGAAGCTCTCGACAAGCCATTCGTACCATACCTTCCGGTCGTCTGTTTGTCGCCACATGCTGACTTCCATCTCAGAGTTTGCTGGAAGGTGGATTGGTGTCTGTAGGCATTCGTTAACCACTGTCGACTGCGGAACTGGTAAAAGAGAAGAAATTACCTTCAAAGGGAAAAAGATAGGGAACCAGGAGATCATATCCTTGCTCTTATCATCCATAGTGACCGGATTCGTGCTTAACTCCACAGCACCTTCGGACCCGCTGTACAAGACGGTCTCAAAATAGCCACCCAGCCCATGGCACACACCCTGCTCCTGAATCGGGAAGATGACCTTACAAAAGCGCGTGTTATGTTCATTAGCACCGTCTCCACCAGTGAATCCGCCCCCGCCACCAATTGCGGAGCCCCCGCGACGTAACGAAGATTGAACGAGGACGGTGGGAGGTAGTGGATGCGAGAACTCCCATGCGGTATGGATAATCGGCGCTAGCGGCGGTTCCAGCTTGAAGTGATTCATCTTGGTGCCGTCCGAGAACTGTTTAGGGACATCTGGCTGGTTGGGTTGCGTGGAGAGATAGTCGATTTGCGAGAGCATGACGACCCAAGGTATCTCAAACGCGTTCGCGTCAACATTTGTACTCCTGTGGAAGAGATCTGCCCAAATCTTTGGCGTCGAGAGAGGCGTGAAGTGCGCTGTATAACTTGCTGGTATCGAGATACCATGCTCGGGATTTAGCACATGCTGCACACCGTCCAGGCACTCAGGAGATAGCTCGTTGTCCGCGAAGCTTCCGAGCAGCTCGCTGACCAGAATGTCGACCTTGCCAAAGGAGCCATCTTCCAGCGTAGGGCCCTTCCAGGCTCGCATATCGGTCTTCACAACCGTGACCTGTCCCCCCCAGCTCTCTGCGTTGTGGCGAAGTAGAAGTACGTATGCGTTGGGATTCTTCTCGATAGCGTAGACGCGCACCGGGACACCGGTGGTCTCGCTTGCGTTCAGGGCACGAGTGACGAGAGGGCCGCGGCCGGAGCCTACTACGGCAATGACAACTGTGCCATCTTCTGAGCTGGTGGACTTTTGTTGATGCTGCCAATCTCGCAGCGCCTGAGCAATAGCTTCCTCATACCAAGCGTACTTGATCGGATCCTTCTCAAACACTTCGTAGGTTATCGACTCGAGGTTGTCCGTCAGCGGCTGCAGCGGGCTCTGTAGATAGTCCTGGAAGCCGCCGCCAAATCTTTCGATCTGGTTTTTGGGAGGCTGATTGCGTTGTAGATACCGGAGGTAGCTTAGATGAGGTGTTGGATCATTGTTGCTGCTCTTCTTCCCGATTTTCTTCGCTATCTGCGCGGCTTCGGCGGGAGTGGGCGAGGCTGACATGGAAGAGCGGGGGCTGGGCGCATCGGCTGCGACGCCGGGTGAGAGGTGACCGGTGGAGAAGGACATGATCATGTCTGGGTCATCTACACCGGGGATTGGGCCTATGTCTGTAAGAAGGATCCATGGTGCGTTCTTCAGCCGCATGCAGCGGAAGATGAAGAGCTGGTGTGCCTTGGAGAGGACGAATGAACCCCGGCCATTGACGAGAAAAGATGTGGCGGGGATGTTCACGAGGCGCACTGGCTCAGAATACCACCGTGACTGAAGCGCTGATGAGGGAAGCCTACGGGGTAGTTCGAGCGCTAGCAGAAGTTAGAACCCAGACGAGGTACCAAGTAATTCGGACCAAGACTCAAGCCGTAGAACTGCAAGTTAGGTTCGGCGAATGTATAGAGGACAAGAGATGGATTCCAGGCTTACCCACTGACAGCCTGTTGTGGTATTTACAGATGGACCGGATCGTGTTCCATGCATCCCATGCGCTGAAAGGGGCCAAAGTCCTTGTCTGAGTGCCTCCTTGTTGGTCATACTCCGGTCGAGCAAAGCGTGCGAGATGTCCCAGGCCCTCTTCTTCGCGAGCAGCCCCGGCTCCGTCCATAGGCATCAGTATGTGAAGCTGGATGTAGGCTCCCGTCGACAGAGCCTGCTTGATGGCTCGAGCATATTGAGAGATGCCATTTGAGCCCTGCGACAGCCGTGGCCCTGGCACAACTACTGTGATGGCCCCACAGAATGCGGCATACGCAATCTCCAGATTAAACACCTGCCGCGATAGGTATGCTATCACAGGATCGGGCGACCCTAAATCTATCCAAGAGCTTGTGAATGCGAGGAGCTGCGAGATGGTATCACTGGGTATCAAAGGCGTATCGACATTCTCCAGCGCAGGTATCAGCGGCCACGGCTGCGATTGAGGGGTTGCGTCGGAGATTGCCTGGCTGTAGGAGCTCAGAAGGCTCAGGACGCGCGAGTGGAAGCGGGCATTCGTGATGGGGGTGGTGAGCATGTCATACTGGGGCAGTTAGCGCAGTTCTTTGAAAGCTCGCAATACTCACCCCCAGATCCTGGGCGTGCTGGACGAGCTCCGTCGACACGGGCAGCGGCCGCTTCGTCTCGTGTTCGCCCACGTAGAACATGGGCAACACCTCGCCCATGGCGCGCGGAGAGTCCATGGCGCCCTGCTGGGGAGGTAGCTGCTAATCGGGCGCGAGAGCACACACACAGGTTAGTAATACCGAGTGGAGAGGAAGAGTGAATGGTAAAGGCGGAGTACATTGCTACATGGTGCCTGGCGACGAAACTGTCCTCGTTCGCCGCGTGTCGGTGTGACCCCAATCCGCCAAGGCTTCGGCGCGGTGAAACCTGCCCCGGCGCGTCAACTTTTTCGACACCAGCCATCACCGCCGCCGCCTCCCCGCAACAAACGCCCGCCATGGCCACCAAACGCGAATTCGACGCCGACGACACCTCCAGCGCAAAGCGCGTCAAGATGGAGAACGGGAACGGCAGCCTGGACCCCGCCAGCAACCCGTACCTTGCCCACTGGAACGAGCCGATGGCGAAGAGTAGGCCAGCTTCCGCTCGATGCTCGCGCTCGCCCGCAGTGCTAACGACTTCCGCAGAAGATCCCTCCAACTCCGCCGACCGGCTGCACTCGTTTAAGCGCCATGCGACGACGGCGAAGCAAGCGAAGGCCGCCGAGGACGGCCCCATCAACCCGTTCACCGGCAAGACGCTGTCGAACAACTACTTCAGCATCCTGCACAAGCGTAGAGACTTGCCTGTCCACCAGCAGAGAGAAGAGTTCCTGAAGCTTTACCAGGAAAGCCAGATTCTTGTCTTTGTCGGTGAAACCGGTTCCGGAAAGACGACCCAGATCCCTCAGTTTGTGCTCTTCGACGACCTCCCGCAGCTGAATGCGAAGATGGTCGCCTGTACGCAGCCCCGTCGAGTCGCCGCAATGTCCGTTGCCCAGCGTGTCGCCGAGGAACTGGACGTGGAGCTCGGGGCCGAGGTTGGTTACAGCATTCGTTTTGAGGACAAGACCAGCCCGAGCACCATCCTCAAGTACATGACGGACGGAATGTTGCTACGGGAAGCCATGCACGATAACAACCTCACGAGGTATAGCACCATCATTCTCGACGAAGCCCACGAGCGCACGCTTGCCACGGATATTCTCATGGGTCTGTTGAAAGAGGTGGTTCTGAGGCGCCCGGACTTGAAGCTCATCATCATGAGCGCCACCCTCGATGCGACCAAGTTCCAGAAATACTTCCACAATGCGCCGCTGCTTGCCGTGCCTGGACGCACCCACCCCGTCGAGATCTTCTACACGCCGGCGCCAGAGCGAGATTACGTGGAGGCTGCACTGCGCACCGTGTTGCAGATCCACGCTACGGAAGAGGAGGGCGACATCCTGCTGTTCCTTACCGGAGAAGAGGAGATTGAGGATGCCTGCAGAAAAATCAACCTGGAGACACAGGATCTCATCAGGGAAGACGCCGCTGGACCTCTTACTGTGTACCCCCTCTACGGAACACTGCCCCCTGCGCAACAGCAGAAGATCTTCAGCCCGGCACCGCCGCCGCTCAAACCGGGCGGCCGACCTGGACGAAAGTGCATCGTCTCTACCAACATCGCCGAAACGTCGCTCACCATCGACGGAATCGTGTATGTCGTGGACCCCGGTTTCAGCAAGCAGAAGGTGTATAATCCGCGCATTCGAGTTGAGTCTCTGCTGGTTTCGCCTATTTCAAAAGCCTCTGCACAGCAGCGAGCCGGTCGTGCCGGTCGTACTAGGCCTGGCAAGTGTTTCCGGTTATACACCGAATCTGCGTTTAAGAAAGAGCTCATTGAGCAGACGTATCCTGAGGTGCTCCGATCGAATCTAGCAAGCACCGTGCTAGAGTTAAAGAAGCTGGGTATCGATGACCTGGTCCACTTCGACCTCATGGACCCACCGGCGCCTGAGACGCTGATGCGCGCGCTGGAAGAGCTCAATTATCTGGCTTGTCTGGATGACGAGGGAGAGTTGACTACCCTAGGCAGACTGGCCTCCGAGTTCCCCTTGGATCCTGCATTGGCTGTCATGCTTGTTACATCCCCGGAGTTTTACTGCTCGAACGAGATCTTGTCCCTGACCGCACTGCTCTCTGTGCCTCAAATCTTCGTGAGGCCAGCCAGCAACCGGAAACGAGCGGATGAGATGAAGGATCTCTTTGCGCACCCCGACGGCGATCATCTCACCATGCTCAACGTGTATCACGCATTCAAGAGCGACGATGCGCAAGCGAATCCCAAGCAGTGGTGCCATGACCACTTCCTATCCTATCGAGCCCTGCAACAAGCCGACAACGTCCGCCTGCAGCTGAAGCGTATAATGGAGCGCGAGGAGCTGGAGCTCATGTCGACGCCGTTCGAGAATAAAAAGTACTACGAGAATATTCGCCGAGCGCTCGTGGCTGGCTTCTTTATGCAGGTCGCGAAGCGGGAGGGCAACGGCAAGACTTACACGACCGTCAAGGACGAGCAGAACGTCTTGTTGCATCCGAGTACAGTCCTGGCCCAGGACAGCGAATGGGTCGTTTACAACGAATTCGTGCTCACTACGAAGAACTACATCCGGACGGTTACTGCGGTGAAGCCAGAGTGGCTATTGGTAAGTTCCCACAAATCCCCAACACATAGTCATGACGCTAACGATCCACAGGATATTGCTCCAAATTACTACGACCTTGCGACCTTCAAAAAGGGCGAGATCAAGCAAGCCTTGCAGCGAGTGGTCACTAAGATGGAGCGGAAGGAGGCCGAAAAGGGCAGACGATAGTGCTTCGTAGGGAGCAGTTCCCCTCCTGCACTACAAATGCTTCCCGTTTCGATTGTCATATGTATTTTGGTCAAAGAACACGAGACACCCCACCATGGTATCTATGAACCATCGCGAGGGTAACGAAAGGACTGGTATTGGGATTGGTGTAGGTTAGGCGACAGACGGTTTCGGTGTATGAGTAGGGCTCAGGTGTCCCCCTCTGGCGGGATAGATATAGACATGTAAAAGGACATGCGCAAAACGTCCACCTCGCGGAATGCATTTTCGCTTAATAATCTTTCCTAACTCTACGAAGCTCTGCATCGTGACGCTTCACGTGCTTCTCCGCATGTGCTGACTAACCACACACCCGCGAAATCGGCATCCTGTCGGCGTTTTGTCTCTCCTAAACTCCGACATCCCGAACTTTTTTTGAGCTCCATCTCGTCGCGACCGCAGAGTCGCAAACGCTCCCCCCCACCCGCTCTCTTAAAATCTCCTATCAAAATGGCACCAATCGAAACGACCCATGACGATTACTCCCTCCTCCACATCGAACGCATCTCCCTCTACGTCCCCCTCCCGCCCGCCTCGCTAAACAGCCCGCTCCCCGCAATCTGCGCCTCCGTCTTCTCACCGCTCCTGCTCACCTACTACCCAGCCGTAAAAGGCGTGGTGCTCGCCTACGAAGACGTACAGCTCAGCGACGAGCCGCCGCGCGCTTCTACTAGCACATCTACATCCACACAACAAGCAAAGTCGTCGTCGTCGCGGAAATCTCGACACCACCACGCAGCTGCTGCGCACCAAGACGCGACTGCAAGTGAAGACTCAGACGACAACCTCCTCCTCCTCCAGCAAATCGACGAATACGCCTCCCCCTTCCTCTGGGCCACCGCCTCGCTGCTCGTCTTCCGCCCCGCGCCGCACGCCTGGATCCCCTGCGTGCTGACGCACGCCTCGGCCTCGCACGTCACGCTCGCGCACCTGAACACGTTCCCGATCTCCATCCTGCACGCCTCGCTGCCCGCGTCGTGGACCTGGCATCAGGAGGCTGCGAATAGGAACAAGAAGGGCTGGGACGGGCGGATTAGCGACGAGGGCGGCTGGTGGGTCGATGGCGACGGCGAGAAGGTGCATGTGGGGAGGGAAGTTAGGTGCAGGATTAGGGATTGGGATGCCAGGGGTGGGGCGAAGGGAAAGGGGTTTTTGAGGGTGGAGGCGAGTTTGCTGGGGGAGGGGGAGGAGAGGGAGCAGATGAGGGGGGCGGTGGAGATGGGGGCGGCGAGGAAGGGGAAGAGTGCGATGAGGAGTGGGGCGGGGGCGGAGCGGCGGAATGCGCAGGGGGTTGTAGAGCTGGATTGAGAGGATGCGGTTGGGAATCGATGATGAGGTTTGAACCGCGAGTGCTGTGGCTTTGGATGACCACAAGATGCGCGCCGGAGGAAGTAATGGAGCAGGGAAAACGGGTCCATTGATGCTGGGTCAGCCGGTGGTGTGTGTTTGTGGGGAGGCAGACGTATCGCGCTGGCGATACTCGATGCTGGAGAGGGAGAATCACAAGATTAAGAATTTATACCCTTTGAATTTTTGAACGCTGCTATCACTCATCCGAGCCGCATTGCAAGCTTCCCCTACTCGGGACATATGCTTTCAACGTGCTTCTGATTATCGCTGCATCTGCGACTTGCGTCTCGAAGTGGTCCCCTCGCAAGCTTCATGAGGGCTTGTCGATCCTGCGCATCTGATTGTAAACGCTTCTTGCCCAGTGGAGCAAGCATCTGCCCCTATCTAAGCAGTATGCCTATGTATCCACCACCCGCGCGCCCTGCTTTCAACCAGCCAAAGCTCCACATTTAACTCCCACCACCACAGCCCCTCAAAGATAATCCTTCTTCCGACTCGTCCTCGTATACTGATTAAGATGCCACTCGACATCCCCATCCTTACTATCCAGCGTACCCGCCCTAATCTCAAAAAGCCGCATCGTCATCCTCGGCCCGACCTCCGCCAGCTCGACACTCTGATACCCCGTTCTCACATAAACATGATGCCGGACCTCAATCGCGTCCTCGATGTTCTTGAAGGTGACGACTCTGTTGCCCGTCTTGGCCGCGCTCTCGCGCGGCGGGAACAGGTGCTTGAGGATCTGCACGACGCGCTGGCCCAGCTTGGTCGTGAAGTTGTCGAAGATGAGGTGCGGGTAGGATTCCGAGACGGTGCCGCGCAGGGCGTTGGGCAGGTCGGCGCGCAGCACGACGTTGTGTAGGGAGAAGGAGGCTGTGGGGCCGTGGGGGAAGTGCGAGATGGTTAGCGCGGTGGGCGTGCCTCTGTGTTCGTGGAGGAGGACTACGGAGCGTAGTTAGTACGATCATAGTAGCGAAGGAAAGGAAAGGAAAGGTGGGACGAACTGATGTCGCTTAGTCCGCTGGACAGCGCGCTGCCGACGAGATTCTGCAGGATCAAGTTGCCGCGATTTAACCGTATCGCTGTGGGCAGGAGTAATCTGATCTCTTTTGCGAAAGTTCCCAGGCGTGAACTCGGGTCCTGCATTTTCATTCCATTAGCAAACCCTAATCCCCTATATTCTCAAGGCATACGCACCCTACTCGTCGTCACCAGCACCCTCGGTTCCACCACGCCCGACAGCGCCGCATACTCGTCATCCAGCCCCAGCTCTTCCTCGACCGTCCTATCCGCTCTCGTCTCATCGTATTTCCAATCGCCCCGCAGCTGCTCATCCTCCGCTAGGTCTTTGCTGAGCGGTTTCCCCGAGGCAATCGAGGCCTTGAGCGCGGCGCGTTTGCTGGCTAGTTCGGCATCGCGAAGGGTGAGAGCGCGGCGGTAGAGGTAGTCGCGCCGTTCGCGAGCTTGGCGGCGTATCATGGCTTAGAGATTGTGCGCGGGAGACGGCAGGTATAGGTATGCGTTGTGGGTTCGGAGAAAATGTCGTTCTGCAGGTGGGTCGAAGTTCGCGATAATTTTTGTGGGGCAGGATGCACGGGCCTATTCCGTTATCTCCGGTGTTAATCCCCGCGTAGGGCTGAACCATGGGGCTGGCGGGATAATCCGACCTCATCGCGACTTCCATTTGAAGATTCATCAACAACAGAGCTTACCTAGGTATGAAATGCCGATGGTCATCTATCGCGGCTCGTACAGTGGGCACTGGCTCCGCTGTTCTTCTTCCCGATCTCTGTATTGCTGCCTCTGCGTCTACTCGTGTGACGTAGCGTTGAGGCACGGGCAATGCTCTTCCCGCTATGACCGCTCATAAGGCTAAAGATATGATAAAAGATCCATGTATTGGGGATGTAGATAACCCTGCAAATCAAGTATTCTCGCCGGTACTTCCCCTGCACCGCGTGGACGCGTTACTATGTCCCGGGATACCGAAGAGACAGGACCCAAAACGAGGATAACCGGCACCGGTTGCGCCCGCCGCAATAGTCTTAGAAGAAGTAAAATGCAAGAGATAGAGAAGAACACAATTTTGGTAGCCTTCCAAGGTTCCTCCCCTTCGATATGCCGTTGGTCTGGTTACGCGCCCCGGTCGATGCCCGATGGTGAGCTTGAGGAGTCCACGCTAGGTTGATGTTGGCTGTGTGGAGTGTCGCGTATGGCGGATTAGAGACGGCGAGAAGAAGAACTGTAGGCATATAGACGTTCATAGTAGGTGCGGGTGGAGTGAGGGTAAAGAAGACCCGCTAACCGCACAACGCAGAATGCCCGTTTAAATCGAGGGAAGCCACTTCACGAGTAAAGAGCGCGCTAGAGATTGAGATGCCATTTCTAGCAACCGTGTCTACCTCCTTTATAACCCGCATGTCTCCAGCCGAGTCTATATAAGGAAGACATGGAAAAGCGAAGCCGCAAGGAAATCCGCTCAGATCCCACCATCATATGCGCCGTCTCGATTTCCCAGGTCTCGAAACATTGCCACCTTACACTTGGTCAGCCTATCTACGAGTGTGGTCAGGGAGAATGGACCGCTTACCCCAAGGACATGCCCTCACGGCTCCTCGTTGATATAAGGGTGGCACCGGTAGGACTTTGCCGTGCCCGTGAGCCAGGAAAGCTGCGGTCCCAAGAGGAGCCCGACGCGACCCTGGCAGTTGTCGAACCTGTAGCCACTGTGTCAGCACACCCGAATATGTCGAGACGTCGAAGACAAAGGCCTGGAACGAGCCCGCAGTCACAAGCACCGCGATGGTGCCAGGGGAAGCTTACTCGAAGAACCAGCAATAGCAGGCATTGCCGATCTGGTAGTCTTGCACCGAGTGCTTGTAGTTGACGCACTCGTTGGCGCAGAGCGGGCCGTCCTGGTAGAGCTTGCCGCAGCTTGGTGGCCACCTCGTCTTACAGCCGAGAGCGGCGCCCGCGAGGGCGGTGGTGAAGAGCATTGACAGACGCATAGTGGTGCCGGGAGGTGCGGAGCCGGGAGGTATCGAGGACGCTGAGGTGTCGAGCGTGCAGAGATTTCGGGCACGCAGGAGAAATTGAGACAGTAGCAGAGGCGAAGACGGGGCGCGTTATCTTAAATCCGCCCGCCTGACCTTCACTCTGGCCATTTACGGACCAAAGCGATCCTCGTAGCCGGTTCGACTCGACCAACAGAACCCGGCGTCGCACACGGCAACTACGAGACCCACTTCGCTGGAATTTACACATTCGATTACGCTATCGTCTCGTATGCAAGGGAAGAAAGGGAAGAGATGCAGTATCTGGATACAGCTGCAAAAAAAAAGCCGTCACACGCTCTCAGCGCCACCGCTCAACCCTCCTTCGGCCAGCAGAAGTAATATTTCCCGCCCTCGAACGGCTGCGGGTCCGGACTTGGTCCAAGAATATACTTGGACATTTTGTGGCAGTCATGTTCTCTGTATATGATACATCAGCATGCGCAATTCCAGACAGCAGCGCAGGCAGGCACGCCATGAAGTACATGAAGCCGAAAAGTACTCACCTGTAGAATGCGCAGCCGCAGATGTCCCAGACCATGTAGCTATTGACTGGTCCCTCGATCGCAAAGCAGTCGCCTACCCTCATGTCTTGAGGAACGTTGTAGTTGAGGACGCCGCAGCTCTTTGGGAGGGGCGGCGGGGGAATGAACGCCCCGAGTGCGGCAGTGGCGAAGAGGGTGGTGAGGAGTATTGAGGGGTGATGCATGGTGGTGTTTGGTGCTTGGATCTAAAGAGTCTGGATTTAAAGAGTCTGGGTCTAAAGAGCTTGGATCTAGAAGCTTTGTTATGAGGGTCTTCGTGCAGAGGTCTTTCTATATCGAGGAAAGAATGACGGTGCGGGCCTGCCAAATATTTATACATGCTCATCGCGACTGCCATTTGAATGTGGGCAGTGACATTTGCGGCTCGGCTGCCCGGTCACACGCCCCGTCTCTACATACGGTGAGTTCACGAGCAGCATCTGGGGAATCTACTCACTGGAGTTTGAATGTTCATTCCATTATCTCCTCGCGCCTAGTCGGATGATAGGCGATGCAACCGCTTGCCTTTGTTGGAGGTTGACTCGGCGATTCCGCGCGCCGCCGAGGGAAGCACAACAGGAAGAGGAAGGCGGTGGCGAGGGAATGGAGAGACTCGTCGTGGTTTATGATGCTTGGGGTTGAAGATTTCGTGCTTGCTAAGCTCGAGGATTCGGTGAGGAGTATCTGTCTGGATTTCAGAAAGGATACGGTGGTACTGATCAGGTGGAGAGGTGGGGTTGACGAGTCATATATGCCCCCATCGCGACTGCCGTTTGAAAACGGTCAGCGGCCTAAATAGTCACGTATTTGGAGTTAGTAAGTTCATGAGCAGCGCGGAAGTGTGGGATATAACTGGGTGGATGGTGAACTTCCATTTGCATTGCCAGGAGAGTAGGAGGTTGTGGTTGAGGGAAGAGGTTAGGGTGTGTTGACGGAGGGTGTTTGTATGCGCGCGGGTCGTCACTGCCGTCTGGACGTCAAGAAAGATGCTAACGGCTTGGCTCAGATAACAACCACACCCGCAGCAAGCACGCGATCCGATCGGAGGAGGTTAGAATCTCATTTCCAGTATCTACCTAGTCCTGGAAGGAGGAGTTACGGAGAGTGGCCGTCAAGCTGGACACCTGGCTTGCTCCCACCGACCCCGGATACCCATAGACATAAGTCGCTCCTCCATCAGCGCTACCGGCTACTAGCGGCGAACCAATGCCGCGATCCCGGCTCCCATCCTCGCTTCCCTACATTGGCGACAGAAGGCAATCATACGACCAAGCGTTCCGGAGAGGACCGTCCGTTGGCCCCGTGGTCGCGATAATCGGCACGCCACCGCAGTCGCTGGACCTGTTTCCCGTCTGTCAGCATTCCTGCTTTTCCAAACAGCGCATCGTCTTCCTAAAACTCAAGGAGATATCCGAAACACGGAGTACATACCTCCAGAATGAGCAGTGGCAGGCCTTCTTGACATGGTACATCGACGTCGGGGCGGGGATCTTTGTACACGAGCCCTTGGTGTAGATCTTGAAGATTTCTTTGCTGACCAGGTCGATGGCGCCGCAGTCGGGGAGATTGTCGGCGGACTCGGGGAGGGCGGCGCTGAAGGCCATGATGGCGAAGAAGAGGGTGAGGAGAATTGTGAAGCGCATGTTGGCGGTGATGGCTGAGTCCTTGGGTTGTTTTGAGTGGGTTTGAATGTTGAGAGCGGAGAGGCGTGGAGGAGAGGAGCTATTATAGCGGTCGGACTGGCTGAAGGCAGCCCACGTGAAGGTCAGGTGGGGTGGGTTCATTGCCTCAGAAGCGGGGGAAAGCCAATCCAATGGTGAACGGACCGCAGCTACGATTCCGGGGGTGTGCGACTATCCGGCTTCAAGAAGAGTTGCCTTGCGTAATGCAACCATTTCCCTCGGCTGCGAGCGTGTTGCTGCATTCCCGTCACGCATTCCAGCCAATCTGTCTTATGCTACCTTCAGCGAGCGCGAACGATTCCGACGCCAGGCACTCAAGCCTTCCAGCTTCCAAGGAATCCAAGGACCACGGTGTCCCTCACTTGCATTCAAGGCATCAAGCACGCGCACATACGAATAAGGGGATTGACTACTTCAATAAGCACCCATTCAGTTGAAGACTTTCAGTCTTCTGTCAGAAGGGCCCCAGTCCAAGGGAACCTATGATACAGGATCGTAAAAGTCCCCATTTGCCATTCCGGCGCCACAATGCAACCAGACCGCCAAACCCATATAACCCCATGATCGAAACCCGCGTGCAGAGTCAGGTATCCCTTCCAGTACCCCAACCTCTAGCACCTCATCAGCACCCCTCCCCCAAAAAATTCCCAATCCACCAACCCACCCCTAATCTTCCCCAGCCTACCCCTTCACCTCGCAGCAATACACGCCCATGATATTAAGAATAATAGCATCATGAAACACCGTATCGAGAAGGTACTGCGGTCTGCCATCACAGACCGCGCTATTCACTCAGTCAGCCTTCTCTACCCTCCCTCCTATCAGCGCGAGACGGCCACTTACGCCCAGTAGTTGCACGTGCAGCTGTCGAGGAAGTCGAGGAACATGTAGCCCTCGGCGATGGGCGTCGTCTCGCACGTCTGCGTAGCGTAGAAGGGGCGGTCGCCGGTGGTGTTGAAGTCCTTTTTGAAGGTGCCGCAGAGCGTGGTGTTGGTGTTGGTGGGGGAGGGGAGGGCGGAAATGAGGACGGAGAGGAGGGCGAGGAGGATGGTGGGGATGAGGGAGTGCATTTTTTTTCGGGGGTGGGAGGGTTGTTTGTTGTTTGTTGGAGGTTGGAGCGTCTGAGATTTAGTGTAGAGGGGCGGATAGAGGAAGAGGTCGAAGAAGATGCGAGGGCGATCAGAGGAAGTGGGAGGAGTATATGGGTGCGGCATCTCTCACCGACTCCTACATTGCCAAGGCCCTGATCAGCCCTGGAGGTTAATTTGCTCCCGCCTCGCTGCGCGGTGTGGAAATGCAGCGGTCTGCGGAGCTGCTCCTTTACCGCGAGTCATATCAGCCAATCATGGGACAAAGGTGGGTTTGTAGACATTTCATTTCTGATTAAGGATCCCAGGGCTTCTATCGAAAGGTAACCGCGCCATGGTTACCTAGATGCCCGGTCATGTATGTAGCATCCCGTCCATTTATAACCCGCATATACCCGGGGCGACAAACAAGCCGAGAGCTGGGTGTCCTAACCTAGCCAAAGACCGGTTGTTTCGCCGCCGCAGCGGGACAATTTGAGCCTTTTCGAATACAGCTGCCGATTTCAGAAGCAAAACCAAGCGTCACTTCACCTCTAGCGGCACGCGTACGTGTTCATACCACCCTCAATAAAGCGAACCCTGTTCTGGACCTCGGCGTGCACTCTACCTGCGCACATCTCCCTGTGCACTGCGTCAGCCCCGACCGCTCCATTCTATCACCAGCTCAGCTGCGTGACACTTACTTCTCCCAGAACGTGCACTTGCAGTCTGCGTTGACTTCGATGACTTGGTAGCCCTTGGGCGTGACGCCGCATCCGGACGGCCAGTACACCGGTTTGTCATCGAGGTGGGACTTGGTGCGGTCCTTTTTGAACTTGCCGCAGCGGAGCTTGTCCGTCATCTGGGGGTTGGAGTCGGCTGAAGGGGGTGATGGTGACGGGACGAGAGCGGCGACGATGCTGGAGAGGAGGGCGAGGATGAGGAGCTTCATTGTGTGCCGGCCGAGAAGGCAGTTTAGTTGGTGGTTGAAGTAATCTGACTGAAGTTGGAGATCTTCAGAGATTGTGTTGGAGAAGGACGGTGAGAGGTAGATGGGTGAAATACGGCGTGGATGTGAGTTTGTTGAGGCGACGAAGAGGCGATCAACCGGGTCGCTCCTGCCGCGGAAAACGCGGTGACGGATGTTGTAAACGTTTGTACAGTGAATGCAGAAGGGTACTGGACCATGATTCTGACTCCCACATACACAATTCTTAGCACAACGAAGTTGAAAAATAATGAATGCGTCTAGAAAGGCTCTGGGATTACTACTGTATAAGAGTACCGGTTTTTGATTCGGCGGAATTACGACACGCAACAGCACATTCCTTGCAAGAGAATGGGAGAACTTCCTCATTGTCATTTCCTAAGGCCGAATATCTTCAAATCGGCGTCCCCATGATGCATTGGACCCACGGTCCTCCGTGGTCCCCATCCATAAGCCCAGTAGTCCACCACGACGAAGTCCGCCCGAGTAGGGCCGCGAGCGTATAGCAGCAGTGCCGACCACATGCTTTCCGCGCCCGCCGACATCACGTCCTCTTAGACTTTGAGCCCGAAGCAGCGAGCGCTGCCGCGCCCGATATCCAGAGAGGCCTTCTCTCCCTGATTACCACTCGTAGCCGGATCGGTCTTGCACCGGTCATCCTCCCTTTTGCTAATCAGCCATGCAGAGCGAGAATCCTGTTGGAAACAGAACACTTACCTGTAGAAGAAGCAGTGGCAGCGGCCCATGATGTCGTAGTCTTTCGGGTTGTCGACGATTTGGCAGCGGGTTTGGTGAAGCGTCTTGACATGGCCGTTCTGGAGATGGACGATGCCGCAGATGCCGAAAGCGTCTGACGGAGTGGCAGCGGCGAGGGAGAGGACCGCGAGGGCGAGGGTGAAGAAGATGGTGAGGTGCATGGTTGTGGTGGCTGGTTTGTTGGTGGGTTGAGAGTTTGGGGGTTGTTGAAGAGAATGGAGCGGAGTGGGAGAAAGCGGATGGGTGAGGGTGTGGGGGAGACTTATATAGGCACGTGCATAGGTGTTTGCCCAGGCGGGGCGGAGTCGGTTATTGGTGGGGTTTAGATTTTGTTCACAATCTTGCGGCTACTGGGAAGGTGCTTTGTCCCTCTTGGACAGAACGGTTCTCTTAGAGAACGCCACCGAGATAGTCCATCCCCCATATACTCATGAGCTCCGCCATTCCTGTGTTCTGTGCTGACCTTTGCCTTCACCCTGTGTGTATGTAAAAGGATATCGAGTCCATTCGCAAGCCGCATCTCACACCGCTATTAGTCCCCACAAGGCACAGAGCAGCCCCCGGCCGCCTCGTCATCTAGTATTGGTCCGTTGAGTTGCTAGTGTAACTGCAGGTGTACCGCGCGACATCGTGAATGCTCCCCTCCTCCGGGCCAAACACCACAAGCGCAGTCTCGGGAGAGGACTTGCACTGGGAGTCCGGCTCCCTCCTGACGTGTGTCAGCTCAATGGCCCCTTCATAGCTGCTTTGTGAAGAACCTACGTGAAAAGAATGCAGACGCAATCTTTCTCAATATGGTATGTGTTCGGATCCTTGGAGAAGCCGCAGCATGTAGCTCCGTCGAGCAGTGAGGTTTCGGGGAAGGCGACGTAGGATACATTGCCGCAGACAGTGGCGTTTGCGTCGTAGCACGCTGGAGTGGGAACAGCAATTGCGAGAGTGCTGCTCGCGAAGAGCGTGGCGAGGTGGATGAGAGGCATGGTTGATCGACGGCGGTGTGACGTTCGAGATTTCGGGGGGATAAGAGAGGAGAAGATAGAGCAAATTCAAGGCCCGGTGAAGAAGATTGCGAGGGAGGATCAAGAAGCAGAGTAATGGACAAGTAGCGGTAAGGCCGCACGAGGAGTCTTCTCGCTCGCAGATTGGTATTAAGCGGCGGCGGATCGAATATCACAGTTTGGCCACCTCGCTTCACCATAGGAACGCTTGGAGCACGCAATCCGAATTAATTGTCGTATATATATTAAACAAAAGAGCACATCCTTCAACAAACGAACTACGTCAGCAGCTGTTGGACTCGCCGGGACAGCGCCGCGGATTGGGAAGTCTGACTGCCCTTCCGTTTAAGCCGCAGCCTATAGAGCGCCAAACCTTTAGGATTGACCTAGTTCGGAGTTCGAGTATGGCCGTAACCATAGTACAGCAAAACTCTATAGGGGTTTTCTGGGCCTTTGGGTTTCTTTTTGCTATTTCTTTCTTTATTCTTTATTGCTCTTTATTTTGCGCTATATTTTTTGCGCTATTTTTTTGAGCTTTATTTGGATGGACGCGCACCTATTTTTACTAGACCTCATCTAAACCACAAGCATACCACCACACCTCCTTCACCGTCCTCGACATTGGGCCGAATACCATCGCGCTTGGATCGCCCTCACACGCTCTCCGCTTGCGAAAACTGAAGGCATCACGGAGTTGTGGTCGTTCTGCGTAGAATAAGCACCCGCAGCCAGGGTGGACGAGGAAGGCTTTTGCGGGCTCGGGGAGTGGATGGCAGAGTTCGTCCTTGTGGAGCTTGTGGGGCTTGTTGGAGCGCAGGGTTACGGTGCCGCAGGTTTGGAGGGTGAGCGCGGTGGGGAGAAGGAGGAAGAGGATGAGGTAGCGGGCGATGCGCGTGAGAGCCATGAGTGGATGCTTGAGCCGTGTGCTGGTACTGTGACGTTGCAAACGTGAGATGCTGAAGAGTAGACAAGGCGCGGTTGGAGAAGCCTTGGAAGGAAAGCAGCGGACCGGCAGTGAGGAATTGCAGGGGAAGTGAATGCTGCGGTGATCATTCCTTACAAAAAAAATAATTTCAATACAGTCTCTGAAATAGAAATTCATAAAGAGTGGATCGGGCTCCGCATCTTTCGCAACCCCAGAAAGGAGATTCGGATTCTAGATCCCAGAGCGAGGGCTTGCAAAGCCGTTGCAGCATTTGCACCCTAACCCACCAACTCTGCACCCAAAGTCCGCCAGACAGACCGTAGCCTGCGATCCAAAATACCCAAGCCTCTACCGCCTCCGCACCTCCTACTCCTTCGTATGGTCCCAGCAGTAATAATACCCCACCTTGCCATTATTGAACAGGCCCCGACTCGGACCCTTAGTCACGTCCGAGAAGTAAGGAAAGCGGCAGCCCTTGGAGTCACTATCTCGCAATCAGTCACCGGTTCTTCTGCGCCGCCCACCACTCATCTCACAGGCCGGGTTGGGTACAGTACTCACTAGAAGAAACTGCAGGTGCAGAAGTCGACGACCCAGTAGGACAGCGCGGAAACGTGATGATCGTAGAGATCCATGTGGGTGCAGGTTTTCTTGCCGCGGTTCTGCAGAAGGAAATTTGGGCCAAGACCATTGAAGATCATGCCGCAGGAGCGGCGGTCCGAGGAGGTGTCTGCTGCTTGGGGGAGGGCTGCCGCGACGATGGCGAGGGCGGAGCCGAGGAGGGGAGTGAGGAGCATGGGAAGACGCATGGTGGAGGTTGAATTGTCGATTGGAAGTGGAGAGTATTTGTGTGGTGAGGAGAATGGTGGAAAGAGAAATGAGGGAGTGGGGGGTTTAAATTTGTTTACTGACGCGATAGCACGAGTGCGGCGCACCTCTCACGTGATGATAAGTAGCCGGCCGTGTGCAAGACACACTCGGTAGGTTGGTGGTTCAAAACGGGTAAAGGACACGGTATGTCGCACGCTTGGTGTCCTAGGCTCTGCAACCTAATCTCTTCGAAACGCAAAGATGCAGGACACGTTGATTGATTGATTTTAGTGAGTGGGATTTATAAACAATCGCCCAAACCCGCGACATGAATGCTTCCAGCAAAGCTCATGATTGTGATGTGGTCATCGAGTTATTCTGTCCATCGGCGCACCAAGTTAGCGCTTAAGAATGCGCCTCCAGGGCATCTGTTTCCATACGCAAAACCCCATAATGCATCCTCAATCACCCTGTGCCAATTTCCAAAAGGGTGAAGATGCCGTACACAAGTTTCACCGCCCTCCCTCAAAACGCAAACCCCCTAACCCCCTTTCCTCCCGATGCATCGCCTGCTTAACCACCAGCTCCGCAGGCACATCATGCTCCCTCAGCGCAACACCTCTCCTCAAGCTATCCGCAGGCTCCACGCAAGTATACGACACCGCATTCGGAAGCAAGTTCCCAAAGTTCGGCCCCGTCGCCTTCGCAACCTCCTTCTCGATAACGCAGTCGCCGGACCAGAAAATGCACGTATAGCCCGCTTCGACGAGGTACCAGGTCGCCAGGCCAGAGAGCCGGTTGCATGCAAGCTTGGTCGTGAGCTCCTCGACGCTCGCATCTGTATCTCTGTGTTAGCAGCGAAGGCGAGCGCGGAAGGGAGGACTTCACGCACCTTGAACAACCACAAGCCCGATTTTAGGAGGGATTTCCTCGTTGACCGCCGCGACTCCACGAGCCTCTTTGTCCACGACGCGCGAGCATTCGTACGCCACGGCATGAGGCGTGGCGTAGGCGTATGCTGGGCCAGTCGCCTGGACGATCTCCTTCTCCGGAATGCAGCCGCCGGAGTAGAAGCGGCACACGTGGCCTGCGTTGAGCATGTAGGATATGGCCTCGGGGTAGATCGGGGCGCATCCGATGCCGGTTCGGAGCTCCATCATGACGCGGTCTGTTTTTTTGCTGGATTAGCTAGGAAATTGAAATGGGAGCGAGGGGGAGGACTCGACTCACCTGCGCGGTAGACGTGGCCGGAGATTTCGACATCTTCGGTGTGTGCGGTTGGATCTTGGGATGCTGGGGCCGCGGCGGTGACGCGGCTAAGGAGGAGCGTGGTGGCGAGGAGTAGGAGATGCATTGTGAACTTTGGAAGGTGAGAGTTGAGTGTGCTCGAGTCAAGGCTAATTCAAAAGTAAAGGAAACAATAAGTAAGAAAAGAATGGTGAGACATAAATTGCGCAGAAAGATGAGGTCAGAGCCTCGCCGCAGAACTAAAGTGTGCAGGAAATTGAGGTCAGGACCTCGCCGCAGTGAGAGCGAATGAGGGGCTTGGCAGAGACTTCGGCCCAGGGGGGCGAGCGAGAGTCGCGGGAAATTCTTGGGAAAAGAGGATGCAAACGAACTCGTCTTCATGCCAGCACAGGTAATAGTACGTCCCATGGAGCGGTGAACCCGCCAGCCAGAAGACCCTAACTGATCGATCGCATGGACCAACCAATTACCTACAAAGCGGTCGGCTTTCCGCGAAAAACCTAGGCCGACAATATACAAAATGCATAGCAGCATGCATCAACGAGAAATTTCCCTTCCCTTCGCTTTCATAACAGATAGAGGAAGCAAGCGGACTCGCAAACAGAGCAGGCATGACCCAACCTACGCCCCCATTCCACATTCTACGCCGAACCAACATCAGACGAGAATTTCAAGTCGCACAACGGCACCGAAGCGGATATCAGCACCATCACGTCTAAACGGTGAGAAGGGAATGCTAGGTCCCTGCTATTGTTTCTGTTAGAAAACTCCTGGGTTTGTCGTGTATGGACACCCCGTGCGATCGCGAAACGGCGAAATGAATGGAGCGGGCGAGTGATTGGCGGGCCTCGTATGCGTTTTGTTGGACGGTGTTTTTGAGATTGCGGGATTAGTCGCGCAGAGTGGGAGAACGTGAGATAATGCGAGGGTATGGTGAGTTTTAATGGGATGGTGGTCCGCTCGCTGAAGAGTTCGTCAATGCTAGAGAGAGAGAGAGAGAGAGTAAGCTGTTGTAGGGACAGAAGAAAAATGAATAGCCTCCTAGCTTTTACATACGGTGTGAATCTCAAATCTCGACGCAACTCACAGCGTCATATATCCAACAGCGGGACGTCGGTGCTGTGCTATGAGAACCTTGTCCAAATCGCGAAACGTGCGCAGGCCGTGCAGCTGCACTGACCTGAACACCAAGAACGAGACCGTCTCCCAGGTGGATGGCACATGGTGTCACCTCGCGCGTTTTGTATATGGGGAGAAATCAAATTAGAGCTCTACATCTCCACCCGGTTCCCGTGATGCCTTGACCGATTTTATCTATCACAGATACAAGGTAAGCAATCCAACGGCATCGCCATACTGTGGATCAGCCTGCCTTCATGAAAAGGATACCATAGATTTGTTACACTGTCGCTGCCCATGTATGGATGCCTACCGCTCAAACGGTGCCTCGTTCAGTCCAAGCGAGCCAATAGCGGCGCCCATCCGCCGCGCCACCCCAACTAAGAACACTTGTAGCTCAGAAATGTATTCGCCAGGTTCGCCGGCACGTCGAAGTCCTTGGGGCCGGGGCCACCCATGCCGTCCAAGAACCACTTCGACTTGCAGATGCGATCGCTGCGCACGGTTAGCTTCTGCATTCGTGTCCCCATAGAGGTACTAGCTCTCTTGCGCTGACTTACCGAGCAAACCAGCAGGTGCAGCCGCCGGCATACTTGATGTGCGTAATAGCGCCGCTGCTGGAGAACACGTTGCAGTGGTTGTTTTTGAACAGGCCCTCGCCGGGGCCGTTGCGGTAGGCTGTGCCGCATCGCGTTGCGGAGGCGGCACGGGCCTCGAGTTGTGCGGGTGTGGAGTCCTCGATCTCGGGCTTAGGCTCGAGCACAAGCTTGGCGGGAGCGGTCTCTGTGTCTGCAACGGCTGGGAGGGACGCTTCAGCGCTGAGAGCTGCGAGGTCGCCGTCTTCGCCAATCCAGGAGGGCCGGCACATATATGCGCGGAAATAGTTGCCTTTCGTATCGCCGTCGTGGGGTCCCACTATGCGTATCCCGCCCGTCTTGATCGTGCAACCGTCGTGGCTGAATGTTGTCAGTCTCTGCACCTTAACGGGGATCTCGCAGCGTTGAAAGTTGCTCTTAACGTAAGAAGGAAAATACGGGACTCACCGGTACCACAAGCACGTGGATCCTTTGTGTACCTTCCAACGCTGGACCTGTCCTAGAGTGTTGAAGAGATGACAGCGGCTATCCTTGGGCATGAAGGCGGGGGGCCCGAATTCCAACCAGTACAAGCCGGCCTTCTCTACGGCTGTCTCGCGGACGGCTATGTTAGCAACGTCGCGAGCGGCTGGAGCACCATCGTTCGTGTTGGCTTGCGCAGTCGTCGCATCGGAGCGTGCTTTAGTGACGAGCGCGTCATTTTCTAGAGTTGGCGCCGAGCAAGCGAAGCCCGCAAGGGCAATGAGAGAGAGAAGGGTGGTTGCAAGACGCATGGTGTAGATTAAGAATGCAAGTTGAGCAATGAGGTCCAGTAGAGGGGATTAAAGGTGGAGAAGAGGATTGTAGGGTTGAAGGTGTGATGCAGTCTTTATGGTGAGGACCCTGCGGGCCTTGATATATGACCACGAGGGCACGCGGGGACGGGTATCACCCTGTTGGAAAGGCCCGGTAGACCGTTTTTGGGTTACACGTGAGCTTCGCTTCTCATCGGTCGGTCCGGAGGTGGCTCTTGCTAGCAGCATTGACGTAGTTTGTGTGGTTCGAAGCGTGGAGCGCATCGATTTCACTGCACTCAAGGCGCTATAAGCACGTAGATATGAGCATAGATGAGTGCATTTTGCCATTATTTTCCTGAGGTGAAGAGTTACATAGAGGTCACTACTACTCAGAGACGTCATATCCCGATTTTGCATCCAAAATCAAGACCTCAATCCATAGAAAGAAAATGAGCAGCCAACCCGACAGAAGAAGGTGGCCACTAGGTTGCTTGATTCTAACGAGGCCTCAGAATATAAGATAACCTCGGACCGGGCTCCTTCCTGACACCTAAGCACCAGTGAAAGAGTGCTTAATATCGGAGGAACCTGGACCCGCGACTTGCACTTCGACGAACTGGCCCGGAGAGCCGGCAAGAGCCTTGTTTCTGTCCACGTACCCACATGCCCAGCTCTTGTAGTCGGACCACTGGGGGGTGTCGAGCCATAATGGGTCGCCGCCCCATCCTCTCAAATATGCCGCAACCTGTGCTTTTCCGTCACAATAATTGCTAGAAGTTCATGTCAGCACTGTGCACAAGCTGAGTCTAGTGCACTCTTACCTGTAGAAAAAGCACTCAGCGTTGGCATGCACCCTTATGTGATCAACTCTTGTGCCATGCTCCTTCCGAAGGTGAAAGATATTGCACTCCATGGGAGGAGATGGATGCGGCCGAAAAGCGAACGTTTGCCCCCCGTGGTATGTATACAAGCCCAAGCCGTACAAGTCGTCCGCAGCGACAGGAGAGTTCTCAGATGCACGGCGTTCAATGTCCGGGGTACGCACGAAGGAGGGAGTTTCCAGGTCCTGCGGGTTGCCAAGCTGCGGCGTTGGTCCGTTGGCGAGGGCTTGGTTATCGCTATCCGGGCTGCGCTGCACAAACTCCTCATCCGTCTCACTAACAGGAGCAGCGACGGCCCCAATCGCCACGGCGAGGAGGGAAAGGAGAGTAGAGAAGTGCATGTTGAAGTGCACTTGCAATGAATCTGTTCGGGCTGAAAGTGAGAAGAAGCGGAAGAGGGAAGGGCGGGGCCCCTATGGTGGCAAGCGCGTCCGAGCGGTGTGGCGGGGAAGGCACGTGAGGAGCCCGTGTAAGTGAGGTGGAAATTGCCATGCGATCGTTCTCCCGTGAGAACGTTTGCCGAGAAAGAGATTATAGGGGCGTCGATTGGAGTGGCGCTAAGAGTAAAGGTGAGAAAAAATACTTTGGTGCAGGTAGTAGAAACAGAAGAAGAATAGCAGCGTTTGGCGAAACGGTATCGATTAGCGATGGAGCCCAGTCTATTCGAAAGTCTAGCCGTACAGAACCCAGAGAGACATGTTACCTATGCCGTACCCCATAACGCCCCTGCAAACCCATGCGAGGGATAAAGATGATCAAACGGTGAGGCTATCCAAACGCTCATTCAAGATCGCCAAGTACCCTAGTCCTCGTTAGTAAACACATCCATCCATCCATCCAGCAGGGTTATTACACATACCAAGCCCACAATGCCTCTATCCAAAGCAAGCGTAGTATTTCGTCGGAACGCGCAGCTTCGCCTGGACAGGGCCCCACTGGAAGTAGGTGACCGAATTGTCGTTGCAATTTTTAGAATTGTAAGCGACACATAGACAACCCGGAGCCACTTCCCATTTGTTGCAATGGATCTCGAGCGTGTGACAGAATGCATCGCCCTGCATGGGATACCCAAGAACGTCGCCATCTACCCAGATACTGCCGCAACCGCGGCCTTCGGAGCCGGCGGTGCTCGCTTCGACAGAAGGAGAAGACTCATTTAGAGGCTTTGCCTCGAGCACGTCGGAAGCGGCTGCAGCAGGAGCGGAGTCGGGCAGGGACTTTGCTTCGAGCGTGTCTGAAGTCGATGCTGGCCACTCTCGGCAGGCGTAGTATTTGGACGGCGTCTTCAGGCGGCCCTGCGCGGGGCCGGTCATGAAATCGTTCACCTGGCCTTGGTCGAGGAAGTTGCAAGTCGGCGCGTTGTAAGCGATGCAGGCGCAGCCCTTGCCGACCATGTAATTTGTTGCGACCACGGGAAGAGTGTGGCAGCCAGCGTCGCCTTGTAGGCCGTAGGAGATCTGGTCACCGAGCTTCCAGATAGTGCCGCAGCCACGGGCGGCGTCAATAGCGGTGTCCGGGTCCAGAGGAGGCGGAGCGTCAGATGGCGAATCAAGTGGGATGGCCAAAGTAACGCCGAGGAGGAGGAGAAGTGAGAGGAGCTTCATGATGATCGTCGCTGGTATGTGCCTGTGCTGTGGGTAAGTTGTTGACTCAGGTGATGAATTGGTTTGGTACCTACTTGCGGTAGGATGTTGTAGGGATAAGGATGCTGCCGGAGCGGAGAGGCTAAATGGTCGTGAAGCCTATGTTGCGCTTTAGTCAGTGATCCGGACGAGGCTACAGAACTAAATTGATGTTTTACCTTCACTAGGAGTTGTTTGGAAGGTGTGGTTGAAGTAGAGCTGAAGAGCAGCGGGGCAGGCGAGTTTATATAGAGGCCGAGGAGGGTGCGGCTTGCGTACGCGTGGAGTGACTCCCAAGTCCTAGGTCTTGTATTCCGTCATCGATCCGGTGCTAGCCTTTTCCAGGCGAGGGATATAATTGCCTCTTTCTGTTCCCCAGACGAGCGTCCAAGGTTCCGCTGGTCGTATGACGCGCTGCCCACATCGACGCTAAGCCGCGTTCAGGAGTAAGCGTGAAAGAATGGACTCGGTCATCTTAGGCTTTGCAGTCAGTCATGGGCCTTGAGGTTCGGTTGATGCAATCAAAGTTAGAAGAAAAGCCTTACATGATGGGCTGGATGCATAAGAAGGGCTCGAACTTGCTTCAATTCTTGATGTCCTTACGATGTAGCAGACCCCACCCTTTTAACACCGTTCTACCGTAAGTACTGTTGCTGCATCCATGGATTCATCTCCTTCTGCTTGTGCCACCATGTATTCTCCCTCTCCTGTATCAAGCCTTCGACATCATATATGTGGAGCTGAGGAACCGCGACTGGCTATCCGCGTGCATGCCTGTGGAAAAATGTCAGTGACTGAATCGCGGGGAAATGGACAACAAACATACCTATCGACTGTGGCACTTGTACGACTTGGAAGCGACGTTGGTACCATGGGACGGTCCCACCCAGCGCGGGCCGGCCTTTCCACCGCACCCGCCTTCCCTATCATTCCAAATCAGCATCGTCAATTATCGAGCGCATCGCTCGCGAGCTGCTCCTCCAGCATGATAGAAACAATAACTTACGTGTAGAACACACAAGCACAGTTGGAGTTAAGCTGCCACTTCGCGAAGCTCCTCCTCGCATCGTGGCACTTGTCGTTGCCCAAGATGTTCTGGCTGGGAATGGGGTATGGGCTCATAATCGGGACCGCGTAGTAGACCTTGCCGCAGACGCCGATCGCCTCATCGAGCTGGTCACCCAGCTGGGTCATGTCGTGCATGTCGGTGACCTCAACCTCGTTGGTGGTGGTGTCGGCGTCGGTCATGCTGAGGGACTGCTCATCGACAGGCATAGCCATGACGAGAACCACCGTGGCCACGAGGAAAGCGAAGATGCGAGTGAGGCGCATGGTGATGGATGAAGCGTACGCGGAAGGCAAGAGTCTTATTTCTGAACACCGGGTGGAGAGATGAGTAGTGTAGAAGATGGAAGAGAAGTGTGCGGAAGCAGATGAGCGGTGGGAAGCAGACTCTGCCCCGGAAGATAACAGGCAGCAAACGAAGAGGTGAGGAAGGAGCAACCTTGGAATGGCAACTTCGTGCTTGGCGACAACAAATGATAAGAGAAGACCTGAGGAAGGAGCATTGGTAAGATTAACTATCTGAGGAAGGTACACCTGGGCACGTCCCCTCCCACCTGGCCATCGTTTTGATCCACCGAGAAGATGCTGCATTCATCTTGATGAGATTGACCTACCTAGGTACGATATACCGGGAGAGCCCCGGGAAATGTACGTCGGTTGCCTGGGCCGATAAGCATGCTTCGGTCAGATACATGCATGTTTATGAAGGAAAGAGCGTACGATGTAACGGCGGCGCATCAGGGGGCAAAATTCAAGAACTAGACACACGTAGCAAACAGCCCTGGAGCAGAGAAGGCAAAGAGAACGATCTACATTAAGACGGTAAAGCGATTTGGCTGTCTACCTCTTACTGGGTCCGGCACCCTCCAGATCTGTGGCCAGGACATTACACACCGCCGTGTGCGTATCAAGCGTCTCTGATGCTCTGCATCTGAATGACAAGACGATTTCATCGACCAACCCACCCACTCTTACAGCCACCTCCACCCCATTGAGCATCTGCAACCGGGTCAGCTCATCGACGCAACACAGCGCACAGACAATTCGACTCACACGTTTGAAGACCATCTCGCATGCCACCAAATCAGACCTTCTCACAGAACACATACTTCGGCTTCGTCCCCGTAAACGGGCTCTCGTTCCAAGTCGGCCCGAAAACCGTCGGCACATTAACCCTGCTCTTGCAATCCTGCTCCGTCCTTGATCCTTCGTCAGCGACTACCCAGTACGTCCGTCGACTAGGGAAATGCTTACGCATAGAACCTGCAACCGCATGGATCCCTGTCCATGCTGTAGACCGAAGCCTCTTTCCCGTGGAAGATCGGTTCGCAGGTCGCTGTCGCGAAGAAGCCTACGATGAAGCCGTCGTAAGGAGTTATGCGCACGTATCCGCACATCGGGGCATCATCGGTGCCCGCTTGGATTCCCTCTGAGTTAACAGAGTCGATGGGCGCGGCGGTAGTGAGAGAGTTGGTGAGGACCAGGGCTGTGGTGGCAAGGAGCTTGAGGAGCTGCATGGTGGAGGCTGGTGTTGCGGAGTAAATTGCAGTGTGTGGACACGGGACGTAGAGATCAAGAAGAAATCCTTATGCTAGGTTTGTGGGGGATGATGGTGTAGGCCGGAGGATGAGATGGGTGTCCGGATGTTTATGTATTGCGATGAAGTCGGATGAGTAAACCGGCGATCAGCTGGAAGCTGCGATGAAGAGAGAATCGTGAATTAGTCACGTTATCCGGCTGAGAGAGTCTGAGAGTTGAGATCAGCTGGTGTTGAAAGCTGATCGAGTAGCCCTCTCGCACCTCTAAATACCCCATCGCAGGCCTCGTCAGCTGAGCGCTTTACCGCCTTCCATGGAAGCCTCACCGACACATCATGACGAAGTCTCCGTCAAGGCGTCGTCAACGTCTCTCCGATAGCTTAGCTCTCGCTCGACGAAGTATCGACGTGGCAACTTGTACCCTGGTACCATCCAGTTCCTGCCCTCGCTGGTGCAACAACAGAACGAGTTTCGCGTACCCCTCGGCTACCTTCCGTAACATCAATGCCATCACCTGTCCTATCATCGTTAGTACCGTTGGGCCGGTTGCGAGGTGTTTGACGTGTACCAAGCTATTGTCGATGTTCTTCTGGCCGGTTTCCATATATTGATTCTCACCGCTGGAGACGGTGTGAGTGTTTGGACAGCCACAGTTGTTATAGGCGAGCGTTGTGTACGATCGGGATCGCCGTGAGATGGTTGGCGCATCTTTGAGATTGTAAATACCGCTCTTTTTGGTGAGTTCTGCACCGCCTCCTTCGTGTACCGAGGCAACGCATTGCGTGATATCATAATAGGCGCGGGAAGATATTGGCCAAACACCTGGGACAGGAGAGGCGGGCCTCGCAAGGCCTCGGGCGAATGGATAACTGCGGATTTTGTTAGGAGAGCAGCAGTGAGCTCCACAACTTCCCTAGAATTCGTCTATGCATGGTGGAGGCCGGAGTCAGCGCCAAGACGGGGATAAAGAGCGGAGCCATTGAACGATCTGAAGACTAGCGTCTGCATAGTGGTCACTGGAAGTCAAGACTGGGGTTGGGCTGCGTAAGTGGTGCAATAACATCGAGAATTGAGTGGATGCAACGAAAACAGCGAATTGATTCGCAAAAGCCGTGCATGAACAGAAATAGAAAGAGCGAAGGAGAACCAGGTCTTAAGAAAACATGTGAAGATCATGCGGCACTGATAAATCATTGCAAGCTTCCACAACACACGCGAAAAGCAAGTTCCTGTCCTCGAATGAAACCATTCCAATATTAGCAACCGCGTGACAGACCGAACCGGTCGCGTGGAAGGCGGAAATGTGCAGCGTTTGTACACTCCGGCCAACAATAGGGGAAAAGACAACTAAAAGAGGAATGTAGTGGAAAGCGAGGTGCAAGGATGCAGAAAATGCGGAGAATCATGCAACATAGGAAAGGTGGCCCGCCTTCTAGACAAATAAACAGAAAGTCATTGGAAGAAGAGACCCGCCCTAGGTTTAGCTTCCAACGTCCGTGCAATTATACCACTCGAAGCCTGGCCCGCTGAACTCTGTACGGTTCTTCTTGCCCTTAGCTTCTTCAAGGACGTTCTTATGCTTCGTACAGTCATTCTTAGTCCTGGCCTGGGCCATTAGTCCATTCCATGTAGAGGAGGCCCCCGGGCTCCGGCCCGCGAATACTTACCTGTAGAATGTGCAACTGGTGCGTTCATCGTCGACACTATATGACTGGAACGTGATATTGAATGACCCAATATTCCCACCGAGGGCGAAGCATTTCGCAGCTTGGCGGAGGGTAATATTTGTCGGGCTCATGGTTGCTTTGACGAATGCGTGGCCGCACATTGGGTCATCAGCGGACCGTTTATGGATGACGTCGGGCAGTCAGTTTTCATTAGAGATTGCTGGTAGGAGGGCGTAGTGGCCGAGGGCGCATGTGCCCGCGAAGAGGACCGACAGACATCCAGAAATGCGGAAGATGCGTATTTGGTCGTGGAGACGTTGTCTCGGTAGCTCTAGGAGCCGAAAGTTATACTAGAAGTGAGGACATCGGCCTTGTGCAGAAGTGGTATGTAGCAATATGTATCATGACAGAATCTAGGCGTTGGTTCGGTGTCGTGGAAGTGGAGGAAAGTGGAGGATTACAACAAGTGAACCCAAGGTAGATGTCCATGGTACTACAATGAGTCAACCTCATTCAGAGCTCCGAGTCAGAGCATTGGAGTTTGATCGCAGCGCGAGAGCTTCGTCGAGTGTGTATTATAGGTTCATACCTCCGGCATCAGGAATCGTCGACGGTAGCCGCATCTAAGAAGCGAGGAAGTTCTTCTCTAGTACATACCGGCGTCTTGTTCCCGTAGAAAGAACATGGCACAGGTTCATGAGCACCTGCGACATAACATTGTCTAGATGCCAGATCGAGAATTCCCAGACGATGCCTCGGAGCTGGACGATTTACCATGCCGCCTCCACCCCGTCTTTGGCCACCTTAAAGAGCTTTTGTGAGAGATACGCGCTAACACCATTGGCGCATGGAGTAGTTAGAGAGAGGGCAAAAGGCAGAATTGCCTGCTCATCGACAAGACCGGACAGTGACCGAAAGAAGGAGCAGAACGAGGAATGAGGGATGACATCATAGCCGTGACACGTTGGAGGGTTGGAGGGTCCGAATGCTCGTAGAATACTGCGTAAGCCTCGGATGCAGGCACAATAATCACGTCGCGGCAAACGGACGTGGATGGCAAGAGAGTAGAAGGGTAGTGACGGGAACGTGGAGTCACGGAGCAGCGGCGCCGGCGAGTTGAAACAGGAAAAGGAAGCTAATGCATATCGGTACTAGCCGCACGTGATCCCGCGATGCATGATTCGACGCGCCGAAACACCACTCCGCCTCTACGCATCGCAACCAGATCATCACCCAGAATGAGCCGGGCAACCGCCGAACAGGCGCTGAGCAGCCTCATTCCCACTTTGAACGGGCCCCTCCCGCCGGAGCTTGTCGAACTCGCCGCTTCCCTCCTCGCCCGCTCGCGAAGCGCTGCACACTCCCTGAAGCAGGATGAGGAGATTGCACGGCCGTATGCGTGCGCACAATTGGCATGCGAAAGGTATATGCGTATGCTATGGGCCGTGCACCGTTTCTGACTGTGTTTAGGTTAAAGAAGCGACTGAACCTCCCTACAATTACGCCCCGTCCACCTTGTCCACCGCGCATCTACAAGAAGCTCTACCAATACCTCGAGAGTGCCCTACCTGCATCCACAGCCCGCGAACCGCAGACGCCACGAAAAGCCGCCGGAAGCGCTCCGGCGTCTGCGCGAACAACGCCGAAAACGCCGCTGAGCGCAAGGAAGACACCCAGGAGCAGCAGGAAGGATGGAGACAAGGCACAAGAACCACCGGAATGGACAATGCGTACCATTCGCACCCTGTTGAAGGCCTTTTCGTTCCCTAATGCGGCTCCGCATATTTACACGGGCGTCGAGTCTATCGTACCCCTTCTTGCACGAATGTCCGCTGCGGTGGCCGAGACGCCCAGCAAACGACCCCGCCGAGCTGCTAGTGCTCTTCCAGCGGCCAATTCCGACCTCTCGAACAGCCGTGTATTAGGTCTTATAGCGGTTTTACTATTCTATGTGCTTTCGCGCATGATGGACAAGGACATTACTCCAGAGCAATATCTAGAGTGGCGGAGCAAAGCAGTGTCTACGCTACTCAAGTCGCCCCCAGGAAAGGACATCTCAGAAGAGGATTTATCCGTGGAGATCGAACAGCTGATGCCCATGGCGCAGGAGGAGGGGTGGCTCCAGATGGAGTGGTTTCTGAACGTCCTTCCTCCAGACGCCGGCGAAGAGATGGAAGGTGTTGAGATGACTGATGGGCATGCCACCATGGGTGCAAAGAGTAGGGGCTTGAAAGATGGCGGAAGCGATTACATTGGGCTTGGTACGATGATACAGGACGCTACGGATTACCTGAGTGAACGACAGCGCGAAGATTACCGGATATGGAAGGCGGGCATTCTGGCTCGCGTCGAAGAGATCGAGGCATCGTGACGCTGCTGACCACCGAGTCTCTTCCCGACAAACCTCCACTTACTTCCGTTGGAGACTTCATATAGCGAGTATCCTTCGAGAGTAGAAGGATGCGTTGCCAAGCGAAATAGATCATGGTCTCATCCTTCTTAATAAGTCTCCGCCACACTACATATACAATACGACGAACCTGAGCACACGGCTAAAATGGGGATTCTATGTCCTAGGTTTCTACTCTTCCGGTAGTCTGCAACCTTCTACGACCATGTCCACACTAGCTTTCATCTTCGGCTTTCTGGTGCTCCTATACAGTAGCCTCGCACACGCTGCCTGTCCGGCTTTCAACACCAATGCTACGCTACCGAACAGCCAATACCCTCCAGATCCATTCACATTCCTCTCCGGCGCCAAGGTATCGTCGAAAGCGGACTGGCAATGCCGCCGAACGGAGCTCGCAGCCTTGCTCCAGGATATCGAACTCGGCTCGCTCCCGCCAAAACCAGCCGTCGTCAATGCCACTTTTGACGGACGCAGACTTACCGTTACCGTGGGAGAAAACAACATGTACTCTTCTTTCGGCGTGACCATAAATCTCCCATCAAATCGCTCCATTGCCGATGGCCCCTTCCCCGCGATTATCGCCTACGGCGCGTCAAGCGTGCCGCTCAACGGAACGGGCATCGCAACCATCATTTACAACAACGACCAGATAGCATCACAGACCTCCCAGAGCACTCGCGGCTCAGGCATATTCTACACCGTCTACGGCAGCTCTCACTCCGCCGGTGCGCTCATCGCTTGGGCCTGGGGTATCTCCCGCGTCCTAGACGCGCTCGAACTCCTCGGCCCCGAAACCACCGGCATCGACCCCAAACACGTAGGCTTAACAGGCTGCTCGCGCAACGGCAAGGGCGTTCTCGTTGCCGGCGCCTTCGAGCCCCGCATCGCACTCACCATTACGCAGGAAGCCGGCGTCGGTGGCCCCGCCTGCTGGCGTCTGTACAATCTGCGCTGCAAGACGCAACGCTGCATCGGGATTCCTGAACCTACTGACCCGTTCGACTCGCCCTGGTACCGCCGCGACTTTCCGCGTAACATCGCCCAGAACTTCGCCGGTATGCCGTTTGACCAGCATGAACTCATTGCGCTGCATGCGCCGCGTGGTTTGCTGGTTTTGGAGAATAACATCGATTGGTTAGAGCCTGTGGCGAGTACGGTGTGTGGGAAGGCGGGTGGAGAGGTGTATAAGGCCCTTGGGGTGGGAGAGGCTTATGGGTTCAGCTTAAGTGCGTCGCATAATCACTGTCAGTTTCCGAGCAAGCAGCAGGTTGTGCTTGATGAGTATCTAGGGAGGTACTTGTTGGGGAAGGGTGAGAGCGGGACGGGAGAGGGCGTGTTTGAGAGTGAGGCGGGGACGGAGGCGGAGAGGTATGTGCACTGGGGTTGGAGTACGCCGGCTCTGGAATAGGGATAGCAGAGGTAAGGCCCTTCGATGCCTATTCCTAGGTGACATCCCCAATCGCCTGCTTATACTAACTAGCAAGCAATACAGGCTAGCTGTGGCGCGGGAGGAAGAATTGAGTTGCCGACCATGGAGTCCAACGATTAAAGATGTGCTATTTCAACGAAAAGGAAGTATTCGGGCGCGCATGCCTCATTCCCACCACTGCTTCGCGCTATTGCTGAGTGTTCTCAAGATCGATGTTCCATGTACTTAGCACAGGCAGTGAGCGTGTGTTTGCTTGATCGATCATGCTTTAAGTGTTTGCCTTTGGACATTTGTTTCAACAATCCATCCGTTAACATCACTCGATTGTCATCGAGCCCCCCTTGTTTCCCCTGGCGTCGTTATAAATGAAGTACCATGAGTGCCTCCGAAGCTCTTCCACCTTCATCTTCTGCTTAGCCATTGCGCAGGGACAACATGTCAGGGACCCAGAGCCCAGCTGGGAGCTTGTTGGCTTCTAGTCACAACTGTACGTCATCCATCGCAAGTGCAAGTGCACGATAGGAAGACTGACCAGCACAGATGCATCGGACAATGGAAACCTCACTCGCAAGGGCCACATCGATCAAAAGGGTTCCGGGCTGATAGCCAGCGCCTCCATACCCGCCGGGACCCGCATCCTCGCCGAAACCCCTCTAATGCGCTTCCCCATCGACTCGCGACCCGCACCCGGAGCCATCCTCTCTGCATACAGATCACTCACGGACGCCCAAAGGGAGGCGTTCGACAGCCTTGATTTCGATCCCCCCGATTCAGAAGAAGAACAGGGGTTGAACCAAGAAGAGTTGGATGACTACTCGGCTAGCGAACCGTACATCCTGAAGATGATGCTTGCGAATTACACCGCCAACCAGATCGGCGGCTGTGTATGCACGAAAATCAGTCAGTTGAACCATGATTGCCTGCCAAATTGCCAGATTGCGTGGAACGCGGGCATCGGGAAGGTAACGGTCCATGCAGTTCGGGATATTGCGAAGGAGGAAGAGCTCACCATCTCGTACATTGACGGCGCGAACATGACAAAGGACAGCCGGCAGGAGAAGCTGAACGAATGGGGCTTCCAATGCCGGTGCAAGGCATGCGCCGACACGGAAACGGGACGAGAACATGATGCTGTTCGCGATACTCTCGAGTGTCATCAGGAGTATATCAAGACGCAGTGGGAGAAGGGGTCGGCCATGGATGTCGATAACTGCCACAGGAATGCGGTCGAGATGGCGGACTTACAAGAAGAAAACGGGATTCTGACAAAAGAGCTCGCGGACTCGTAAGTTGTCTTTGGAGAGCTGCCCAGGTTTCGTGTTTAGGACATTGCCGCTGACTCGGGGATAGATACCACTTGGCGGCAGCGTTTAGCTGGATGCTCGTGAATCCAAAGGAGACGCTCGAATGGGCTGAGAAACAATGCGAGCGCGAGAAGCTCTGCCTGGGCGACGACCATCCGGAGTACAAGCGCACGGTCGACATCATCCCCCTTATCCGCTCCGCCATCACGGGCTATGATGACTTCCAAGCCGCAAGGCGAGAGAGTGACCTAGCCAACCTAACGGCCGTCGTCATGAAGAAGGCTAGGCCTAAGAAGTGCGGAGACTGGCGGGCGAAGAACCTGGTCAAGGCACGGTGGTGGACGAGAAGGGAGATGGAGGTCAAAGAGGGGGATGAGGAGTATGAAGAAGTAGAGAAGCTGGAGCGTGAATTGGAGTTTCTGGAGGAGAGGGTTAAGAAGAAAGGGGGGAATGAGAGTGACGGCGTAACGGAATATAGGAAGATTGAGGCGTGGTTGGAGAGGGAGTAAATGAAGAAGGATGAGGAGGCTGAGTTGGCTGAAAGCCCTGAAGTGAAATTGTCTCTGTAGGAAAAAGACCAGGTCGGGATGAATAGAAGCGTGTCTTTCGAAACAGCACCCCTCACCACTACCATTGACGAGAAACAGGAAATGACCTTTGCACTCGCGAGTCCCGGCGCCTGATGTCCAGGCAATATCCGCTCCTCCAAAAGCAAATCTAACGACGTATAAAAGTTTGCACTACACTCAAGGAATATAGCTTCTCGAAGCATCATCGCGACCCGAGTGATACTAAAGAGCGATGAAACGTGGACTTATTGCGAACAAAGAACTTGGCTCTTTTGTAACAGAGGGTTTGTTTTCCCCTATCAGACAGACAAAGGATGCTATACACCGACCACGTGAGTCACTGTATGCTAACCCATTTTCTAGGCCTATGCTATATAATCCCAATTTCCTGCCTCGAGGTCGCTCTTCAATAGCACACCTAGTCATTTCAGGAAAGTATACACTTATATTCACCATACTTGACAAGCGCCAACTGATCTTCAAGCCAGAAACACCTCCAGAGAAACCCCCCAACATCACCATGAAGCTCCTCCCCACTCTCCTCTTTACCCTCGGCGTCGCCACCGCAAGTCCTATTGCAGAACCGGCTGCAGACGCAGAAGCCCTCGGCCTCGTGAGTGACGGTGTCACTATCCAATCCCGCGGCTGTGGTACCATCTCTGCAACCGGCAGCAACGTCGCCTCCATGCTGCAAGGCGATCAGCAATGCCACACTCTTTCTAAGGCTATCAAAAACTATAAGGTCGGCCAGGGATGCACATGCATGTTCTTTACAGCCCCAAGCTGCGACATGGGCGGCGATTGGCCGAGGTGGCTGGTGGGGCCGCAGCAGGGTCAATTCAGTGTTGATGGGACGAAGTCGTATACGTGTGGGGTTTCAATCGCGATCGCGTAGATGAGACGAGTTAGTCGTCGGCATGTATCTATCTTTGTCAAGTTTCCTTTAGATCTTTCGGTAGCTTGGATCGTGCATTTGGAACTCTACTCACAATCGCCCTGGCTCGGGACTCGGTCCCAAATCGGGAATGTTCTTCTCTCCTGTGGGTTATGCGCGAGGTAACGTACATCCACCCGTAGCGCAACCACTTCCTCTAAATAAGTATTTTAAATCTACCAATATGATTTTTAGGGAATACAGCCCTTATATCGCTGTTGCTTGGCTATTTCCCTATAAGATGTCAGGCTCTCAAGGAAAATACGGCGGTGTTGAGGATGCTGTCGATGATTCTATTCGCGGCGTTCGTTCGCGCCTTAGCTATTGTCCCCTGTCCGAGTACGCAATTCGGCATGTTCTTTTACTTCGGAGCTGTTGGGTGGAAGCTTAATCAAGAGAGTCCAAGTATTTGGGCTTTAAAGACACTAAGCGCCTAGGAGCAAGCAATCCGAGGGGTCCGGCGAGATTCACGCGATATCCCACGTGACATAGTGTATAAACCAGCCTGAAAGGTCGAAGCGTCATCCTGTATTGAAACGACACGATGGGAAAACGCTCGCCATCGTTGCGTCCGCCCTCATTATGCCTTTCGTTCGTGCCCGCCGTTTCTGTGGCCCCGTCGTTGTGTGTTGCCGTGCCCGCCGTGCTGACGGTACAGCCGTGGATGACGCTGAGTGTACAGCTATCTCTGGGTCTTGCTATACCTCAGCTACCTCGCCGTTTATTCTCCTTCGATCCTGCGTGCCTTTCTTGACTTGACAACACCTCGGTACGGCGAGGACTTTCTTCCCTGTGTATTCCGTCGGATCTACTGAGAACAAAAGGTGCTTGTTTGCGAATGCGCCTCCGTCATTATCCACTTCGATGATGCTGATGGCTAACACTTCTGGGTTTGGATCATTGGCCGGGACGAGGTGGTCAAAGGTAACTCCGTAGTAGTCAATGTAGCTAAAGCGACAAATATCAGTCAAATGATACCATATAGCGTGTTTCAGTAACGCATACTTACTCTAGAGGCCTTCTTCCGTCCATTGCCCATGCTAAGTACTCATGCCGTACAGGCAGATCGCCTTTGGAAGAACAAACATCATCCTCTCCATACAACGCCTGGTGTGTAAGGCTCGCAAGAGCCCGGCCCGCTGGCTGCGGAAAGGGCTTAAGCGGGTGCCAAGCTACGTCAGGAAGAAGCTTCTGTATAGTCTCTAGCGGTCCCTGTATCTCAATCCGCAGTGGCTTATGAGGAGGCGGAGGATGATGCTGATGAGGCGGCTCATGGATGCAGGGCGGAATAAATAGCTTGAGAGCCATCACTGCTGGTCACGTCTCGCTTGAGCAGTGGGCAACAATATTGCACGTCGCCAAGACTGTGGCTAAAGCATAAGTCATGCTGCCACATGTGGCGGGTAAATGCTGATGTGTTGTAACCTCATCATCATGTTTGAATAGCGCGTGCTCCGCATCGACTGCGGTGGCCATCATCGTGATATGCGTACAGTGGGGAAAAGGTCGTGGGACCTTATGCTGCAGACATCGCATGCAGAGGTTCGGACGATACAAGATATGGAAGGTGGACTGGCGCCCTCGCCGCTTTGCATAGTTTCCTCGGCGATAACGCATACAACATCGCTTGGAAACTTTGTCAAATGTATGCCAACTGCCAGCTAGTCGTGTCACTCCCTTTACTCATGGGCCACTCGCGCGTGTTATAAGACTACCGCGCATGCTCCATCTTTTCCTGTCTCCTCTACAACACCCCGACGACGCAAAACCGCTCTCATAGCAATCTCCAGAAACATCTTCAGGCATGGCGCATTCTATTATCCCATCAAAGGCCGCACCGTAGTCGCCAAAGCGGATATCCCAACGGGAACTCGCTTCTTCCCTGAAACGCCCCTCCTCGCGCTCTCCAACTCCCAGACCTCTCTACGTGAGCTCATCGAAGACGTCAACGGCCTATCCTACGAGCACAACTACCTCTTTCTCCAGCTTTCCCGTCATGCATCAGCCTCGATCAAAGAGCAAGCCTTCAACGAGTTCCAGTGCAAGACCTAGGACTCTCGGAAACTTTTTAATTCTATGAGGAGGGTGTTGGGGATCTGGGATGCAAATGCACTGGGACCGAACTTGTGCCTGCTGGGTAGCTTGTTCAATCACCCTTGCACGCCGAATGCGTACACCACGTTCAACGAGGCGCTCGGCGAGCAGACGTTCCACGCGACTCGAGATATCCGCTCCAGAGAAGAAATCTGTATCTCATATCTCGACGGCCCTTCATTACTGCTCCCATACGATCAGCGCTAATTCGCGCTCCAGAGTCGCGGATTCAAGTGCATCTGTCGCGCTTGTCAGGACTGCGAACTAAATGAACAGAATGATGCTAAGAGTCTTCAAGAGCGGCTGAGGGCTGTTTGGTGCGACCTGAAGGATATTTACCAGGCAATGGAAGGCCAGCTCATGAAGGCATTCTCGCATGGGGGCGGCGCCGTGCCTGATACAGATTGGGTGGATGACATGAGGGACACGGCGCAGAGGATGGCACAGATACAGGAGCAGTTGGGGTTGTATGATCTGGAGCTGAGGGAATGGTAAGTTGAGGGATCAGTTGTGCATGGGAGGTATTGCTAGCTAACACTTGAGAAGGTCCTGGAAAGTAATCGACATGAGTCGGCTTCTGGAAGACGCGGATACTGCACGCAGCTGGGGCGAAAAAGTGCTTGAACTTATTCGGACATGCGAGGGCGACGATCATCCGTTGTATTTTAGCGCTCGACAGGAGGTTTCAAAGCTTTCGGCATGAGGAGACGGTAAGGACAGGAGGATGATAGACGAATATAGAAACAACGACCAGGCCCAATAGACAATCTTAAACCTCGGTGAAGCGCACAATCCACAGGAGTTCTAAAACTTCCACCCAGCAAGCCACTCCGCCAACAGCTGCTCGCTGAGAGGTATCATGCTTACCTGAGATATCTTCGAAATGTTCTCAGACTTGCACCTCATGTCCTCTCTTCCCTCTCCCATAGATCGCAAGAAGTCGGAGTACTTCAATGCGGCATACTTCTTCTGCTCCGTAGCGTCCGCTTGCGCCTTCTCGTCCAATCTATCAAGCCATTGAGGGAGGCTAATGCGTTGCCCATCGACACCGAAGCGGCTACGCAGCGTATCTAGGAACATGCCCCAAGCAGCGACTTCAGGGTGAACCAAGTTGAAAATATGGTAGCCCGATGTGCTGTCTGCGTTTGCCACGGTGTCGGAGATTTGCATAGCAAGCGCATCAACTGGGATCCAGTCCACGGGAGAGACATGGGTTGGAAGCACACCCAAGGCCTTTGAAGTTCGAATGATACCCAGCAGCCACCCTTGGGCGGGCCACGTGCTACCGGAGGACGTAATCGTGCCGCCAATCTGACCGATGCGTATGATATTGACGGGTATCCCACATTCCCTATGTGCAATCTGCAAGACTCGCTCGGCGATACCCTTCGATTCGCCATAGCCCATATGCATGGCGACATTGCCATCTTCGATCGGCGCCTCTGGTATTTCAGGTTCCTTGGGGAAGACCTTTGACCAATTTCCAACAGCAGCGATGGAGGAGATGAAGGTGATGCGCGGCCGTTTAGGGCTGTGTCTCGACCAGTCAATGATGTGTCGTAGACCCGATAGGAACGGCTTTTCGAAGGAAGGAAGAGGGAGGCTGAAATTCGGATTCCAAGAATTATAGACGATCGTGTCGACTTCCGATGAGAGCAAGTTGAAGTCCCTCTCGCTTAGTCCGAGATTCGCACTACCGAGATCGGCGGCGAGAAATTTGACGTCTTTGAAGTGCTCATTCGTAGGAAAGCCAGCGCTCTCTAGAGCTTTTGCTGTCCTATCGCCAGCATCAGAGCCGCGATTGAGACAGACGATCGATGCAACACTGGGGTTTTCCAAGAGAGCCGCGAGGATCTGAGGGCCAAGGTAGCCCGTGGAGCCTACCAGTGCTACGCTTCGAGGACCAGCGTCTTCCTTCGCGGGCGTTGATGCCTTTGTAAGGCCTTGAGTGTACTTCTGGACTAACTCGTCCATGGCGGTAATCCGGAACTGCGTTGTTCCTTCTGTTTGGAGTTCTCCAGAATTCAGGAAATGGGCGAGAACATTCGATAGCCTCCGGATCGATGAGTTTCGGTACACGATGCGAGTGCCAAGCCACGACAAGTCGCTGGCGGGTGAGCTTTCTTTCAGCCCACCCTTCAAGTTTCCAAGAAGTTGGCCTATCATTACAGAGTCAAGCCCAGAAGAGAAAAGATCGTCGTCGTCTTCGATACCTGAAAGTTCGGGAAATGAGCTAGAGATGATGCTCCGGACATAGCTTAGGACCGTACCTATCTCGAAGTGGGGCTTCATGGTGGCTTGTAGGCGAGGAAGCTCCTGCTGTGGTGGAGCGGCGGAAGTAGTCGCATACAGCTCCTCTATTTCCAGGTTGTAAAGCTGCTCCGTCAGTTTCCTGACTATGGTTCCCTTCCCTGCCCTACTGAAAGGCTTGTTGAGCTTGGCAACGATGATGTTTCCTCGGAGAATGCGACCTTGGGCGGGCACTAGACGATTCGCGTCTTCCACAAGAGGCCAAATGCTTTCGGATAACCCATTGCGCTTCTCATCAGCTACATCAGGCTTAGGCTCGATCAGCAGCGTGGCGCGTGATCTCCCTTGGCCAATGACTAAGGCTCCGGCCAGGGCCGGATGGCCCTGAATTGTCAGTTCTATTGGTACGGGATTGAACTTCTCGCCATTGGACAGAACGATGATATCATCCTTCCGACCGTAGTATCTCCATAGGCCGGGCTTCTCCGGATGCTGCTTGAAGAGATCTTTCGTATGGTATTCGGCTATACTACGCATGTTGTGGTTCAGAGCGGATATCGTCCTGGTGCTCTCGTCGGCAAAAAGGACCAGCTCGAAAGAATCAGCCTCATCCTCTGATGGCTGCATCTCGACCTTGAAGTGTGGATTCCATTCCATCCATGCCCAGTCTTCAGCAGATGGCGCGAGCTGCGGGACTTGAAAGGCTTCTGTAGATCCATAGAGAGGACACAGCTCAGTGACTTTCGACAATTGTTCTCCAGCATTTGGCGAGAAAGGGCCACCGGTGTAGCACAGGAAGTCAAGCTCTTTGAAGAACTCAAGCCCGCCTGGCTCCATGAGTAGCTGCTCGGCGATCGAGGGTGGGAGGTACAGAGCACGTAGTTTTTGGTGGCGCATGACCTCTTTCAGGAGCGCCCCACTTGGGGGCATGAGCGGCGGACCCAAAACCGGACTTGACGACTCCGTAAAGATGGGATTGATGAGCAGGGACAAGAAGCCAGCAAGATGGAAATACGGAAAGACAGTATAAAAGCGACCCCCGCCGTTGAAATCCCAGATCGAGTAGTCTCTATTCCTTCGTCCGGGGACCTTCGGAAGGTAGCGTTCGTTGTCGAGGACGGCAAAAGTCGCATGGGTCATGGTGATAGGTTTCGGGAGTCCTGGTCGCTGTTAGGTACATTTGGTGCCATCACACAATCGGAGCTTACCAGTAGAGCCAGAGGAGTGAAGTACTACGATCGGATCGTCCTGAGCGTCTGCAAAGGGCTTCTCGTAGGGAAATGGCTCTGGGCGGCTACCGAGCATGTCCCGAAAGGAGGGGATCTCCAAGCAGACTAAATCCTTGCGGAGTGCGACCAAGGGTTTGATGACTGGTGCAACTTCTGCAGCGTGCAATACCCTGGTGCAATTTGTCTGCTCCATCAGAGACATATTGGTGGCTGGTGGATTGCGCGGCGAGGGGAGCAGAACCTAGAGCGTTAGCCATCATACTTGTCGACCATGCTTGAAGGTGACTTACTCTATAGCCGCACTTCACAGCTCCAAGGAAGACTGCAGCGCTTCTGAGATCTGGGATCCCGATGTAGGCCAACGTCTCGAAGCTCTCGCTCCTGCCCAAGGTGGTCGAGATCCAGTGGGCCGTGAAATTGACACATCGAGCCATATCACCACAGGAGACATCGGCAAATCCATTAGAAAGATCGCGGTCCCTAGGAACAGAAGCATAAAGACGATCCGGAATGGAGGTTGCTAGGTCGTCAAGTGCTTGAGGTAGAGTCCTGTTCCCATGAGGGGTTGTTTCGTATGTGACCGGCGACATTGCTTCAACTGTGTAGAGAATCTAAAGAAAATCGGCAATATAGATCGTATGGCAAGCGGAGGAGCAGGAAGGGAATGATGAGTTGGAAATGAGGGCCTCGCCGGAACTCTTACATGGCTGCCTCAAGCTGGTATCAACCTGCTTCGGCGGCGCAGCCTGACACCAAAGGCGGCGGGTTCCATTGTACAAAATACCTGGATTTCCTAATTAGGCATATGCTGGATCAGTCGTAGACGAATGGGTCTCCCCACGCGTGAGAGTCGTGAGTGCTGTGCCGCGCCGGTACTTACCCGCCATGACCCACTAACTGTATCCAGCTAGTCAATTGGTTTCCGAGGAAGAGGAACTAAGACGTGAATCCTCGAGGGTTCAACCAGCACGCGAACTCGTCTTTCTCCTCATCAATATGCAAATACAAGGGTGAGGTATGCGGCATGAGCTCCTGTCTCGATGGCCGCAGGTTTCGGAGTGTCTACGATCGCGTCTCCAACTCGTCAGGGTTCTTGCTCCTTCTCGAACAACAATATGCAACACAAGAAGCAGACCTTGCGACATGCAAGTCGGACTCCGAGTATCTTTTGCCGCTTTCTCCCCTGTTCCTCCTTCTGCTATGGATTCTTCCTCACGTGTCGCTCGCCTGATCGCCACAGAGCGAGCATCTGATACTTCAAGACCTGGAAGAGTGCTACACCATTCACCGCCTCCATCTCTCTCTCGAATATCCACCTTCAGGTAGCCACTCATGGAGAATCAAGTCGATATCTACAATACCCCAGCGTTGGAGGCACCGCAAGGTGAAACTTCAAATCTGGTAGACCCATATTCCACGCACCGTTATCTAGTTGTTACGTCCGCAGTATGCCTCGTATTATCTCTTTCGGCCATCGCCGCGAGGATCTTCACCAAAGTCCACATACTCCGGAAGATGCAGATCGAAGACTGTAAGTTTCCCCAACACCTAGCTCATCCCCAATACCGTCTAACTAAGCACAGATTCACTCATCTTCACCGCAGTGAGTCAAATACTTGGAGCGGGTGAAACCTGCGTACTGAAATCTTCAGGTCGGCTTTTCTGCGCTAACCGCAGTCATGCTTGCTGCAGGACACGCCGGTCAAGGAAGACATCAATGGAATGTTTCAATCGCTGGTGTTCAACGGATCGCGTTTGTATGGGCTTAGGACGAGTTTTTCTTCGTACCTTGCTAAGTATGGTGTCCAGCTAGCAAACATCTTGGAGATTGTGTATCCGCCTACCATGTTCGCCGCAAAGCTGGCAGTTCTGCTTCAGATCAAGAGGATATTCACAGCCCATCAGAAAGACTTCATCTATTGGTCTGTCCAAATACTTATTACAGCAAACTTTCTTACCTACCTCGCCTGCTTTTTGGCCTTCGTTTTTGCTTGCTGGCCAAGGGATAAAATCTGGAATCCTCATATTCCTGGAAAATGCATCTCGACAAATGCATCGATAATCGCCACGTCCGCCATTAATGTCCTCTCGGATATCACTATCCTTCCGCTTCCCATACACGGCGTCATGATGCTGCATATTCCATTGAAGAAAAAGATCGGAGTAGGCGCGATATTCGCTACGGGTGCCTTGTCTGTTCACCCCTTTACAATCACGGTAGCGCTGCTAACGCCTCGCAGTGCATGCATCTCCAGCATAATCCGCCTCGTTTATAGCGTTAATCTCACTCATACCCACGATATAACTTGGGCAATCGCTCCGGTGGGAATGTGGGCGTGCGTGCTCTACTACTTCTCGATATCAGCCTCGTCAACTGACGTTGCTCTAGGCTCGCGGAATTCACGACCGTTATTCTCGTCGCCTGCTTTCCCGTGTTCCCTCGACTGCTGCAATTCTTCCGGAAGCCGAAGAAAGAACTAAAGTACGTGTACAATTCCGAACCTAACAGCAAGCATGCACCACCCCGCAACGAGGACACCTCAACACATGGTACGGTGATCGAGGGAAGACCGCTATGGGATCGTACATCCCGCTTGAAGATAGGAAGGCTGGCTCCAGCTCTGACATAGGTGGTGAATCTAATGGAGGGAATTCATCTGCTCCTATTCCTATTTCTGGCATCTACAAAAAGGTTGAGATAGAGATGGTTAGTCAGGAAGGGTTAGCAATTTCCGAAGCACGTAGGCTATAGACTGTAGAGACCGATGTGTGCGGCACTTCGGCAGGATGTATCAATCGAATGTCAGCCTCCGAGAGCGCTTTGCTAGCCCTTCGAAATGGCGAAACGAGATTGCTGAGTGTTCCACCTGGGCAACGTCTTCAGAGTAAGGATCCGCTAAAGACGGAATAGGCTTAGCGCATACTTAGCATCTTGGCAGAACCCATAAATTTTTCGTCAGCTCACGCCTCAGCCTGACCTCTCTCATTGATCAATACTGTATACGCCGTTGTGTCCCACATTGCTTTCTTGGCTGAATAGCTCAAGCGCACGCGAGGCACAGGAGCGACGCAGTGGAACCTTACCTTTTTGACCATGAGCAGCGATCCATGTCCCTGTCAGCCTCCCTATCAGCGCGGGGGATATCTGTTATGCCCGTTGTTCAATCCTTCTCTGGAAACCCGGGAGGCCGATGCAACCCACGCAGGATAAAGGGCGATGCGCAGATGGCGAATGTGAGGAGGATGGATATCACGCAGAAATTAGCGCTGTTCTGCCTTCGTGTTCAATGGGGACAACAGGAGACCATTCACTTGGTTCCAGCAAAACCCCTCTTCTACAATTTCCGCAGCGATCTCTTTGGCGAGGCACACGTATAGACTTGCATGGACTTTGGTATTAATTGATAGATGTGCGCTGAGGCCAGCAATTGCGTCGCGAAGTACAACGGAGCGGTGTTAATTAAACCCCCTCGACCCGGACGTACTTTTCGCTGAAGACGAACTGCGTTATCGGGGGACTACCGGCATTTCAGAGGTTCCCATCGTTTGGACCAGGTATCCGTTTACCCGGCTACGCCGCACACGTACTTCCCAGCAGCCTTGCCTGCAGGCGCATTGATCCAGGACGCCCGCAGAGAACGCGAGGAAGGCCAGCCCGCCCATGAAGCCCTTGTTCTCTTGGAGATTAATGAGTATGAAAACGGCACATGCTCCAACCGGATCAATGAAGCAGCGAATCATATAGGAGTTTTGGTCGCCGTTCCAATAAGTAATCTGCAAGCCACTGCGGGAGCTAGGGCCGGCCCGCAGGGAGCGGAGCTCTGGTTGCATGCATTTGTCTTGGGAGGATCTAAGGTCAATTACGGGCCACCTCTCGCCCGAAATTCACCGGGTTTGGGCCAAGTGAGACGGACGGCACCCCACGTCACACAAATGGGAAGAAGAGCTTCCCTTGCCATAGAAGGGTGGAAAATTATTGGTTCGTCGAGCAGACAAGGATGTCCTCTAGGATCTCTCGACCTAGGGGATTTCGCGGGATCTTCATCGGACCCTAGGATTCTAGACGAAGACACTTCGGCCTTCCAAACCAGGTCTCCGCCTGCCAGCGCATGTCAAACAATCCCAGGGAGGCAAAGCTATCACCGACACAATGTCGCTGCCCATTATGGGCAGCGTCAGAAGCAGCACACCTACGCCTCGTGAATGCATAGCCGAGAAGGTCTCAACATGTACCCCTTCACTGCACTATCGGCGGTGGCCGGAACGGCATACTCCGACACGATGTATGTTCGGGGTGGTCTTCAATATGGGGCTTAACGGTCCCTCGAGGGAGACTGAGGGTCCCGTAAGAACCGCCGTTTGAATGCGAGATAGAGAACATCGAAATCGTATCGCGCTGCTCACGGTCTAGGAGATAATGCTTTACACCAAGCCACTCAGTGCTGCCATTCTTGGGTGTGTATTACACGTTTTGGTCTTCGTCCGCGGCGAATACCATACGCACACTCCTAAGATGCTCAGAGGCTATGTGGTATTTATCTTCGCCGTATTTCTCATTGAGCGCGAATACTCTACTTCTACTTCTTACGCATGGAATGCCATATTATCCACGGCTTCCCATCTGCTTGGTCTCTTTGGGAGCATAACAATGTACCGAATATGCTTCCACCCTTTGAGAGCCTTTCCCGGACCTCGCTCCTTGAAGGTCTCCAAGCTCTTCCACGTATCAAGGGTCTTGAATGGCCAGAACCACGTCTTTCTCGAGAAAATACGCAGAGAGTATGGGAGCTTCGTGCGCACTGGTAAGCCTCACTACCTCACCACGAGCTGGAGAGACAAATTAACCATCTTCAGGACCATCGGAGGTCACGGTATACGATCCAGCAATTTTTCATGCCATAAGTGGTCCGGGAACGACATGTATCAAGTCAGCTTGGTATGATATGCTCCACCCCTTAGTCGCTATCAATTCTATCCGCGAAAAGGATGGCTATGCTTCGCGCCGAAGAATGTGGGATCAGTCATTCAAAGTGATAGGTCAGCTCTCTCCATATGTTCTACGTTCAACGCCTTGAGCCCCTATCTCACGTTCCGCAGCCCTGAAACGAGATGGACCGACTATCCTGACATATGCGAATAAGCTACTCAAGCATATCGAGACCACCCTTGGAGAGCCCATTATCATCAACGAATGGCTTTCGCGGTTCAGCTACGCAGTTATGAGCGACTTAGCCTTTGCAAGACCATACGGAAGCTTGGATGATGAGCAGTTGGATCGGAATGTGGCAATGATCCACAGAGGCACGGAGGTGCTGGGTGTCGTATCTCCGGCACCGTGGCTCGCTCAGCTCCTCTTCAGTATTCCTGGAGTAACGTACCGTTGGAACCGCATGCTGAAGTGGGCGAGTGACAACATGAAAGAGCGTATTCATGTAAGCCTCCATCTACGTACTTGTTGTTCCTAGCTAACGAACAGGACGATACTTCGCGGCGAGATGTTAGTCTTACAACTTTCTTTTTGGGGAAGCGCAATTTGCTGACACTAGACTAGATTTCCTCCTGGCTGATAGAGGCCGCGCAGAGCAATGATGGACTCGTGGACACTAACGGTCTATATGGGGATGCGCTCGCCGTAGCCATCGCGGGAAGGTATTTCGCTCTTCGCGCAGACCATCTCGAATGCAGATTAATATGAAGTAGTCACTCAACGGCGGCGACCCTGACCTTCCTGCTCTACGAGCTATCGCGAAATGCGGGCACTCAACACAAACTGCGTTTGGAACTTTCAAAGATTGCGCAGCCTCTTGATGTAGACGCATTGACCGACCTCCCAAACCTCAATGCTTGCATTGATGAAACGCTCCGTCTCTATCCAATACTCCTCACCGCAGGCGCGAGGCAAACAAAAGAGACGGGCATCACAATTTCTGGGCGATACATTCCACCATGGACAACGATCATCGCGCCTAGATACTCCATCGGTAGATGTAAGCTAGAGATTCTGGAATATAGGTTGAAAGCTAATAGCTGCGACATAGTGGAAGCTTGCTTCGAGCGAGCCAGTGAGTTTATACCGGAACGATGGACTGAGAAGCCTGAGATGGTGAAGAATAGCCGTGCTCATAATCCTTTCAGTATCGGTATGTATATTACTAACTTCGTTCGAAGTATTTCACCTTATTGCCTGATCGCTAATCAGGGTTTCGAATGCAGGCCGCCATACGTGCCCTGGCCGATACTTGGGCTTGACGGAAGTTCGAATTGTAGTAGCTTTGTTACTCTCGAGATTCGAAGTCACTCTTGCGCCCGCCAAGCGAAACGAGACGGAAGTCGTTGATGGCATGAAAGATAACTTTACAGTTCATCCGGGACAGCTGAAGCTTATTTTTCGGCCTCTTTGAGTTTGCATGAGGCTGGGATATATCGCTAGAGTTCTGTTTTACGCAGGGAACAAACACAATTTCATTCTTTACGGTGAGGAAACAAACTATCTTCAGACGATCTTCTGCAACCACTCTTTAGAATATCATCCAACTTCTCACTCCTTCATCCTAGTCCACTCAAAACCAATGCTTCAGGATGGGAAGCATGTACACTGACGTGATCCAGCCATTCCAAAGGAGAAAAGTCCGCTTGTCTGCTTTAGCCGTTCTGAGCGCACATGTCCTAATTGAAACAACAATCGCAAGACTGCCAACTAGGACAAGAGCGAAAGCGCCGACTTCCCAGAACAGACAGCACACGACAGACCACAGGCAAGTACATACCATGAGAGAAATTCTCGCAGGAGCGTCTCCCATCACAAGCGGCACTGTCTTCCGGTCGCGGACACTGTCGCCAGCCTGATCATGCATGTCTTGCGCGTGCGCGGTGGTGATGACCACAGTGATCAAGAGCGCCACCCATTTCCAGAAGAGCAGGAGTTCCGGGCAGTCGAGCGCCCCGACTCTGTTGTAAGGGAGTAGAGACGACCCTATCGCAACTTCAGTGGCGCCTGGCGCGAAGCTGATGTAGCCCATCCCGTTGATGAGGTTGCGAACAATGCAGCTGTGGTCCGCACCGCCCATGTCATTATACCAAAATCCTAGGCGGGCATTAGCGACACATCGATGGAGCGAGCGGGAGACAACCTACCGAGCGCCATAAGGGCCAAGCACTGAGTCAAGCCTCCGATCTTCCAGCTAATGAAAGCGGCTACCACATACAAGCAGAACATCAACTTTCTAGCTTGCGCTGGGTTCATCCTTCCTGATGGCATGGTCCGCCAGGGTTTGTTCATGCGATCTTCGGCGAGGAGCTCGCATGTCTCTGGTTGTCGATAGCGAAGGGGAGGAGATTGATCCAGACCCAGAGTAGTGTTAAGGGAATCCTTTGGAGGACCTCAACCGGCGTGGGAGTGTAGGAGGCACTGAAACCAAATACTGGTGCTGCTAGTGCGCAGAGCGTTCCGAAAGTGGTTTTCGGAACGATGATGGTCTTTATGTCGCTGTAAGTGAAGAGCCAGATGGAGTAGAGGTGGTATCCAAGAGTGGTGGCTGTAGCCAGTAGCTCTTGTTGCAATCTCCAAAGAAGTTGCTCAAGCGGTAGCTTCAAAGAGATTGGGGGACTTTGGGAAGCAGACTTCGTAGTTGTAGACATTTTGAGTGAGGATCTGATGCTGAGGCAAAACAGTCAAAGATGCTGGAAGACTTGTAAGTTAACGAGTGCATCCGAGGCGAATGAATCCAAAACTGAACCTCGTTGTGAATCCTCTACTCTCCTTTTGAATCCACCAAAAAGCATCGTGCAGATCGCACCCTGAAAAGAATGGACCGCCGCGCATATCTTTTGCCACGTATACACGCAGTGTCTGTATGAGCATTGTCTCGACTCATGCATCATGTTCCCCGAAGCCGGGTCCCTGATCCATACTGACCGGCTCGCCGAGATTGATACTACGCTGTAGGAAACGAAGTCCGTTGCATAGAGCGGACAAGGGCGGCTACGATCCGGCTCGCACCGGTGAGCTTGACGGATGGTAAGATTAAGTGCCTTTGCGGCGTCGATGGAGTCTAACTGGCTTCTTCACCTAAATATCCGGGAGTACAATCTGCTCGATTTAGCAACGTGCATGTGTAGACGCATGGAGTATAACCCTCATCGCTCTTGCTGCTCCTTCCCAGTAGATAATGCTGAGACCGGCTTGGGGGAGGGGGGGTCTGAGAGAGGATTCTTCGCTATTCCCGGACCCTTGCTACCGCTTGCAGAAGCCTTCTCATCTAGCCTGGAGCCTGCAGTTAACGGCGAAGTCAAGTATAGCACTGTGCATGGGGACGAGAATCATGGGCTTGATGCACATGCATGTTTCAGAAACTGGCGAGTACGCAGTGGAGAACACCCTATGCACCTCTTAATGTTATCCCGGCGCTTGAAATGCGCATAAGTTGGAATGGCTCCAATCCCCTGTAGGATAAGGATTCTTGTGTAACGCAGTGGCGAATGCTCAGTCATGGCTCCGTCGATAGACTAGGGTGCAAAGCTGTTTCGGCTGATGTAAAAAAAATCCGATGCAGCTCCTTCACCTTCGCCATCAACAAGAGGGATACTTTCTCAATTGGTTTAGCTTCATTGTGGAGAAAACTGCAAAGTCCGTCTCGCCAACCATTCGGCGAGAGGAACTCCCGCCAACGAGATTTCATTAGCTTCCGTGGCCGCTATTGGTAATGGCATTTAAGCCATGCCAGACACTATGAACTAATTACAGTAAGAATTTTGATAGGAGAGAGTGGTGAGGGTTGAGTTGTACATCGTATCAAGACCTTGCCATGGAAACTAAGCATACGCTAATTCCAATCAATTTACTGCAAATGTTGCCCAACCTGATGCGTTCTCAGTAGCTATGTCTACTTTAAATTTTTATTAGCTCTACCCCTTTAGATACCGCCGCTCTGTCAGTAACTGACATCAGCTAATTTTGTCTGTCTAGCAGCGGATAAACTTCATATACTTGCAGTAGCATGGCACTGAACATAGACATGGTCGGTTGAAAAGGAGTCAGAATGGTCGGATGTGCGTCCAAGAACAACAGAAGACACTGCAGCGATCAAGTGCTTCATTGAAGGTATGCTATTCGTTTCAAAAACCATTAGAGCTGACTGCTCTGAAAGAAGGACTCTAGGAAACGACAAAGGCGGTGAACGCCACGCCACGCAGCCAATTTTGAAGGATTGACCAAGTGCTTTTGCCCAAAGGAACCGTAGAATGAGAGGAGAGCTGCGCTCTCATACCCTGTACTCCTGATTCCACTCGCACCATCTCACTTCAACGGCGAGCAAAACCCGCGATAATTCCAATAATACCCGCTCGGACAAGCCGAACTCGTCGCCGACGTAGTAGCCGGCGGAACGCACAAGCCGCGGTAATTCGTGCTCCATCCCTCAGGGCAGCTTGGCGTGGTCGGGGGTGGAACACACATTGTGCTTGTGGCCCAACCAACAGGACACCCCGAGGTCGATGTCGTAACAGGTGGAACGCAATAGCCCCTGTAATTCGTCGTCCAACCCGGGCTGCACGTCCCGATCACAGAGGTGGACGTCGCGGGTGGCATGGTGACGCAGCGGCCGCGGTAGTCTAGTGTGAAACCGGGGGAACAAGTTGACGAAGAGGGTGTGGGGGTCCCGGTGAAACGGCAGTACGAGTAGCCGCGGTAGTCCGGCGTGTAACCTGGTGGGCAGGAGAGCGTGGAGATATTGCTTGTGGTCGAGCTGACTGGTTGACACATGTTGCGGTAATCGGGCGTGAAGCCTGGAGGGCATGTTGGTGATGCGGTCGGGAGGGGCGAGGTTGTTAGAGCGGCGGCGAGGGGGGAGAAGATAAGGAAGATGGGGACGAGGCTGAGGAATGAAGCCATGCTGGAGGCTTGTAAAGCGAAGAACGTAGGAAGGGATGGTTCGCGATCGGCGGAATATGAAGTTAAAGAAAATGGGAATTCGAAAGTAGGTTGAGAGTCCTCATATACTCATAGACCCACCCCGTAGCGTAATCAATCCGGTCTAATAAAAAAGCCCGAAGTAACAACCGCTGCCGTATAGCCAGCAGGAAATAGCAGCCGCAAAAGTAGGGGCGTTGAGACACGATCCAATCAGCCTCTGAGATGATGTGGGACAAACATCGTATACAATCCCAGCTCATCGCATTTTGCGTATTGGCTGAATCGGTTGCCGATCCGAGCGCGGCAGGGTGCAGTAATATCGGACCATCGCTGATTGCAACGCATGTTCGCATGGGGAGATGTAGGAGCGAGAATTAGATTAGTGCAACGTCACAAAAGAGAATACGGTTCACTCGTTGCAGTTTGCCGACCCCGTCGTGTTCGCTGAGGACGCAATGCGCAACTGTGGCAGAAACACGAAGGATCGGCGCAGACGGCTTCAGGTCGCAAAGCGGAAGCGCCCCGAAGGGTCGCGGCTGGACCCCAAAACCGGTGACGTTCGGTGCTCTGTTGTAAATGCAGATCTCCCTCCTTTAGAGTTCGAGAACCCTAGATGAGAGAGTACAACTTTCGGAAACCGTGGGGCATTAGATGAGCCGTTACTCATCAAAGAACACATGACGAAGTAATGTAGCGGAGACTCCGAGAGGGGACGGAGAAAAGTCGCGGAGATAGAGCGGTGGGAGTGTCTGACTAGGCCAAGCAGCTATGACCGAATGGACATACCCATGGGCCAGTAATCTGCGCGCTGGAGACTCCATTAATATACTGTTGTCTTGTAATAATGTCGTCCTACAACAGCTCTCCAGCCCTCTCTGAGCTAGGCCCTCATCACCTCCTCCTCTTATAACTCCAATGATCCTTCGGGCCCCTCAACATCTCTTCCCAAATCTGCAAATTAGGCGTCCACGGTCCATCCTTCATTAAAATCAACTCTTTCGCCAGCTCCGCATACTTCACGGCTTTCTTAGTATCACCAACGGCATTATATGCGAGCGCCGCAAAGCCGTACGGGATGTCTAGGAAGCCTTCCAGCCCCTCTTTGCGATAGAGTTGGAGAAGTTTCTCGGCGACTTTGGGAGAGCCGGTTGATTCGGCGGACCAATCGTTGAGCGATTTTTGCAGGTTTTGCATTTCGCGGAGCTTGGAGTCGGTGGCGTCTGCGGCGGTGCAGCGGGCGCATGTGCATGTGAAGTGGAAGCCGGAGGATAGCTGCTGTTGGCGTGCTTCGGTGGGCTCCAACGGGGAGATGTCTGGATTGCGTTAGAAGATACTCGGGAGAAGAGTGCTTTGGATGGCGTACAGGAAATCGTAATCTCTTCGCCAGGTGCGATGGGTCTGGTGGCGTGCACGAAATGGGTTAGTAGAGCTGGATCGAGGTAATACTGAGCACTGAAACGATTAGCTGAATACACATGCCCACATGATTAACTCACTTTGGTGCGCAGGCGTGATTGAGCCTCGATGTTTCGGGGAATACTGAAAGGTGGTTTTGCCCAGCAACCTCAAGCTGGAACGTATTCGCCTTCACAATATCCTGGACGCGAATCTGCTCCAGACCATAGATATACGTCAATCCCAGATACGCCTGCCTCGTGGCTTCAGGCAGCTGCGAGAGAGCTATTCGAAAGAATTTTTCCCTTTCCAAAGTCTCCAGCTCGCCCTCAAGATAAGCGACTAGCGCAGGCGTGTACGCAGTCACTCTGTCCTTGAACTTGAGCTGTTTCTTTGCCAGCATCCCGACCCCTTTCCCTGGGATCTCTTGCGTGTGCCAGTTATCAGAGAAGACATTCACATCTTTGCTCTTCAGCGCGTCGGGATCCTGAAAAGGCGGCAAAGTAGCGATTTCCTCGGCTATCCTTGGAGTCGTAAAAAGGGAAATGCCTCGCCCGCCGCTGAAAGACGTATTCGTATACACGCATAACTTGTCGCCCACACTCTGCAGCACTTTGGTGCACACCGGTGGATACGACCACGGCCCGTAATTTAGCTCTTTAACACGATCCTGGCGAGATAGTCGTGGAGGCAGTGTGGCGAAATAGTTCAGCCTGGTAGCGAACACGAGCTCCCTATCGTGCGATGTCTGAAGATTGACCGTCGTAAAAGGGCGCTCATGCCAGCACTGCTGAAACAGAATGCTGACCGGCGTAGAAGCTGAAGCGGCGGACGCGAACGAGGCAAGCAAAACGGCGAAACACACCTGTGCAGAAACCATCATGAGATGCGAGAAGGGAAACGTCGAAGGAAAGAGGGGAGGGACGTCAAGACAAGCATTTTGACGCTGCTTGGGTTGGATTTCCAAAGATGCCTTGATGAGACGAAAAACGTGAGATCGCTGCTATTTTCGGTTCGCCAAGGGCCTGCTTAGTCACAAGCACAGCCGCTCAGCATCTCAGCCTTATGCTCCCAGAGATGTAGCATACATCCGATTTTGCAGCGACATTAAACACTCTAGATCTGCCTTTACTTCTTTTGTGTCGATGTCGTTCACATATTGTCCCCTCACGCCAGCTCGCAACGAGATCCGCCTCCTCCGGTACATCGCCCGGAATAAACGCCCTTCATCCACCAGATCAATCATCGAATGCTCTCTTGTGCATGTCTCTTTAGACGAAAACCCCCAGTACCATGCGTTGTCGTACGTCTGGGGTTCCCCAGAAAGACCTTTTCAGATCCTTCTCAACGGCTCTTTCACATTCGTCTCCGAGAGCTTGGGCGGAGCCCTTCGACGCTTGCGAAGCGAGAAGATACAATACCTATGGGCCGACGCCTTGTGCATCAATCAGTCAGACGTTGAAGAAAAAAGCGATCAGGTACAGAAAATGGGCATTATCTATGAAAGCGCACAGGGAGTTTTCGCGTGGCTAGGCTCCAACGAGCGTTTAGAGCCAGCCATGTCCGACATCGCTGTCGGTGGAAGGAAGCTTCTCTGGCGGGCCACTATCGATCACCATGCGGACATGTCAATGGCAGCACGAAATCCCGCGGTTTTGAAGAGAATAATGGGTTGGACTCTTCTTGAAAGTCGAGAGGCACAAGCAATCGCGCTCCAGGACTTGCATGCTCTAGTTGCTATACCAGAGAAGCGCGAGCTGTTACTCCGAGATATGGCCTGGGCTGGAGATATCTCCCCATCCTCTTTGAGTTCCTGGGCTGAATTCCTGCGGTCCCCACTATGGACGCGAGTCTGGATTGTTCAAGAACTCACACTCGCGAAAAACTGCTGGTTGGTGAGTGTCAACATCTCCACAAAGCTGGAATACTTCTCTGCCATCCATCAGCTTGTTTTAGCGACAACTGTTTTCTCGAGCCGTGCCGAGGACCCTTCTTGGAGCAGACTGGGCAACCTCTTTCTGGATAACGTAATGGCTAACCATGCCCTTCAAACGCAAATAGCTGGCCAAGCGAAGAGGGATACACTGGCGAACCTGCTGGGATTCAATTGCTCCTTGTCTGCAACACTGCCTCAGGACAAAGTCTTTGCACTACTAGGGGTCGCTTCAGACGCCCAAGCGCTCGGGATACGCGTGACCTACTCGAAATCCCTGGAAGACATCTGCGAAGAGGTTGTGAAGAGCTCACTGTGTCATCACGGATTCGATGTGTTTAGTCATGCTACCACCCGCCCTCTTCCTCAACTGCCAACTTGGGTGACTATTCATCCAGATAGCAGCAGCATAGCAGAAACCGGTGACTTTCCGATATCAACGAATCGTCGTCCGTTCTCGGAAGATATTCCGGACTTTCCTTTTTCTGCCTCAGGGGCTTCGATCCCTAACCTGACGCATTTGAACTTCCCAGAGCCAGGGAAACTCCGGCTTCGAGCGTTGTTCATTGGCGAGATGGCAGAATGGGGCTGGGTGGATTGCCCCACTGAAGTTGCATTCCGTGAGACGGGTTTAGGAAACGAATATAAAGTAATGAGACGGTGCATAGAAGAGATGGAAGCCCTGCTCTCCCAAAACGTGGCATTCCAGTCCACCAAAAATCCAGCAGCGCCTCCCTTTTGGTGGTTGCCTATTCTTCATCGGGATCCAAAAGCTGCGGATCCTGCCTTCAAGAAACCATACTCGAGTTCCAGCCGACAGCTCTACAAATCCTATACGGCGCTTCGAGCTGCATTAAAACCTTCCCAAGATATGAATGCTGCTCCAGATGACACGTCTCGACGGCTGATGGCGAAGAGTCAGAAATACTATCGCTTGATGGTTAAGCTGTTGAACTGGCGTTGCTACTTCTCCACAACTACTGGCTATGCTGGAATTGGTTGTGTGGCAGGACCAGACCACAGGATCGTGTTGTTTGAAGGAGCTCAAGTGCCCTTCGTAGTGAGCCCGACTGCGGACGGGCACTATAAACTGCGTGGCGAGGCATATGTTCTTGGTGCAATGCATGGCGAGTTAATGGGCAAGAGGCTTACCACTGAGTGGATAACTCTGGTATGATGGGAGAAATAATGTTTATTGACTTGCAGGGAACCGTGTAACGGGGTTGTTAACGAGCGTAGGGTTTAGGGGGGAGTCCACCAGACAGGCGGCGCGGTTCGGTCCATCAATTCTGGCACCCCACTCTTTCGTCAGTTTCTATGTACTGTGGCTGCAGCGAGAATGAGAACGCTTCTTGGCCATGATGGACTCCTGTTTTTTTTATCAAAGGCATAATCTAAGCCTTGACCTCCGTCAAAGCTCTTTATTCGCAATCTTGGGAGCCGTGCTTAAGCTCGCCTATATCTGGTAAAGCGTAAAGCTGAGCTATTTCGGTGCGATAGCTGTAAAAAGGTGTGATACGCGTTTGTTGAGAAGCTAGTTTTGTAAGCGTGTTCTAGAGGCTAAAAATACTGTAAGACGAGCCTGGGCAGGAAAGGGGTATATTGATCTATGGACATGCAGACGCCTTCGCTATGCTTTATCATCGTCCGCAAGTGGGTGAGCCGTGGCCAGCTTCAATCAGCACTGCCGTTGACCTCGACGTCTGACTTCCGCTTCTTTTTCTTCTTCTCCTTCTCCTCGCCGTCTCGCTTTCTCTTCTTTTTCTTCTTCTCGCTGTCTGCATCCTCAGCTGGAGGCACATACTCGCTCATACGCTCTTTCCGTTTGGCCTCCATTTTCTCCTTCATCTTGGTTTCCCTGTCCTCCCGCGTTTTGCGCTCCTTTGCCTGCTTGCCTAGGAAGTACTCCCCGCTCTCGATCTGCAGATCAATCTTGCTCTTCTCTTGCGGCGGAGGGAAAGGTGTGTAGACCTTCTTCGACTTGTCTGTGACCTTGTGCGGCATCCTCCGCTTGCTCATGGTGCGCTTCTTGAAGTTCGGGAGGAAGCGATCCCAGCTCTGGTCCTTCAACTCAGGATCCTTCTCAAGCTCCTTCTTAATCATTAATTCCTTAATGGCGTATATCGGATGGATGTTCGCCATCGTGTCTTCGATTATCCGCCGGGCTGTTTTCAGGCCCTTATATCCCCTGTGGCTTATGTTAGAGCCGCACGGCGCTCTAATGCGATTCGTACTCACCCCATAGTGGCCACGGTATTTCCTTGCACCAGGATGTACGTCTCGGTCAACAACTCCAGCGCCTTCAGCGTAGAGCCATTGGGGCCAAGTATCCGCTGTCTCCGCTTTACAAAACGCTCCTTGTTGCCGACAAGATTCCGTATCTTGATAATGTCCATGGATACGTCGTCTTCGAGGATCTTGACAGCTTGGGGAGCGGGCACACTCCTCGCCAGGAGCTTGATCAGGTCTCTGGCATTCAAGATGGCGGCCGGATCGTAAGTCTTCAATGTCGTAAAAACCGTCATGGAGCCCTCGGTCAGGTCGAGCTCGCATCCAATGCCATATTTCGCCAGCGCAGAGGTTATGAACTTCCAGCTGCCCTTTAGGTATGCCTCTCTGTACTTCGGAAACAGCGTGCTGAATCGCGACTCTTCTGTGAACGGCCCCGCGGGGTTATCGCTGGGCGTAAACGGCTCGACTTTCCACTTCTCTATATCGTCCGTGTCCCCTGACAACGCGGTGCGATCAGTATGCCTCCGTCGGTATTCATGCCCGGAGGTTACCTACATGGCTTGTCTTTATTGAAATCCGAGGGCATCTTGACGGGCACTGGGTGCGAGCGACGTGGTCGTGGGCGGCCTTTCGTTTGCGATTGAGATCTTCGCGAACAGCTATCCTTTATGGCTATACAGATTAGCCGTGGTGGAAGGTGGTGGGAGGTCTGCCGCGTTGTCGTTGAACATGCGTTCAGCTCTCCGAAGAAAAGTTATGGGTGAACGTTTTTCCGAGCCCCACACGCCGCTTAGTCGTCGGGTGGCGCGCCCTCAGCCCTACGAACCTCCCCAACTCCTAACCCTCGCCTTTCCTCTTCCTCACCACAGCCCGCGCAGAGCACCTCAAGCAACTCCCTCTTCACAACTCACAACCGGAGATCCTATCACCGCAACCGCCAAGATGGGGCGCGCCGAAGTAGGAAGCACGAAGCACCTCGCCAACCAGATGAAGTCGAAAGGGCTTCAGCGGCTTCGTTGGTGGGTAAGTCTATTCCTCCTCCTCCAACTAAGCTCCTGCTAACTATTCAGTGCGAAATCTGTAGTAAACAGTGTCGCGATGCCAACGGCTTCAAATGCCACGTCCAGTCCGAGTCACACGTCCGCCAGATGCAGGTCGTCGGCGAGAATCCCCAGAAGTACATCCAAGGCTTCAGCACCGACTTCCAGCGCGACTTCATCTCGCTCCTCCGTACCGCCCACGGCGAGAAGTGGGTCGGGGCGAATCGCTTCTACAACGAATATATTAGGGATAAGGAGCATGTGCACATGAATGCGACAAAGTGGTCCAGCCTGACCGAGTTTGTCAAGCACTTGGGTCGTGAAGGAATCGTAAATGCCAAAGAGGATGAAAAAGACGGCCTGATGATCGCCTGGCGGGACACGAGCGCCGCGGCGATCAAGCGGCGCGAGGAGATCCGGGAGCAGGAGCTGGCAGAAGCGCGGAGTGGCGCGGGTGAGGACAAGATGCTGAAGAAGATGGCGCAGCGGGCCAGGGAAGAGGCGGAAGCGAAGGCGCGGATGGCCGAAGCGAGGAAAGCCGCTCAAAAACAGTCGGAGTCGCCGCCTGCAGACGACAAGGCGTCGGGGACGCCAGCCGAAGAGAAGGATGCGCCGGAGGCGGAAGCAGCGCCGGTCAAGCTGAGCTTTGGACTGAAGGCGAAGGCCCTTCCTCCGAATAAAGCTGGCTTAGGCCAGATGAAGAAGCAGAGCGTCTTCAAGCGCGCCAGGGAGGAGAGCGGCGAAAAGTCCGTCAAGAAGGTCAAATTGTGAGCAGGATTTCGGATTTGGAATGCATAGGCCGGCGTTTTTGGGCGTTCCGTGTGCATCTATGGGATACCCGGATTTTACAGCATCATCTAGGAGTTTGGGTTGTATCGTCCATGAGCGGCATATCAAATAAGCCATATCTTCTGTTCACTGGATCCGTGGCGATCTCTACACTGGTCCGCCACTCATAGGGTCCTTGGGGCACCCCAAGAAGGGAAAATCTGGGGTCCGTCTTACGCATTCACGGCTTGTTCAGCAAAGCACATCGTATATTGGTAGCAACTACTAGGAGCCTCCAATCCCTTCAATAAGGATGTCGACTTACGACCACTTCGGATGCACATGTTCAGAAGGCATTCACCCCACACCCCGACGGTTGCCGCCCGGCGCCGTCTGAACGCGCCGTGCCATCTTCCATCCCCCTTTTTCCCAGAAGCTAAAGGCCCGACCACCATGAACATTCGCAAATTGTGCCGGAATCGGAAAGCCCGTTCCGTCGTTAACCGTGGAACGCATCACCCTCTCCCATAGCTATTCCTCGATCAGCTATGTAAGCACCGCACGCACAACAAAGCACTTACTTGAGATCCTATCCCCTTGCATGATAGCCGTCTGGGTGCTCTCCCACAGGTCTTGCATCGCCGCATAGTACCCGTCGTTGGCACGGCCATCCACGAGCACTTCCCAACCCGGGCCATCCACGTCCATGATGTAGGCGATGCCTTGGGCGACGTACTCGGTGGTGTTGTCGTAGTTTTGATAGTTGTTGGGGTTGATACGTCTGCAAGAGAGCATGACGTCGTAGCGGTCAGCGTCCCATTGGAATGGGTTTGGGAGGGCTCGGAGTTGCGCTGGTGGAGATGTTAGTCCGTGAAGAGATGCATAGGGGAGAGTGCAAGGGGGATCACGTGCGGATGATCAGGTCTCGGAGGTTACGCATCTCGATGATTTGGTTGGTTGCAAGACCTTGCATGGTGGTTTCGCGGTGCTGATGTTGAGGTCTGAGGATTAGAACGCTGGTGGAATGATGAGAGGGGAGATGGTAGCGCTTTGTGTAGGACAGTTAAAGAGGCTTAAAGGTTGAGGAAGGGCGAATGCTGTTCGCAATCAATTTGACGTTTCCTGCTTCAATTTGCGGTTTTCTTCTCTTTGCCATCGCAGATGGTTTGCAATAAAAAACACTTCTCCCTCTTCTCCAAACTTATAGTGAATAGATGTGTCATGGTGGAGTTCTGAGCATGCTTTTCCGAAAGAGGACGCGCTAAGGTTGTTAGTGTGAATAGAATCACCCGAAGTTTCTTCCTTCTACTACCACCGCAAGGTCATCACGACAATGTTTGTCTCGATTCAAGCACCCTTATGGGTAGTGGGAACTGCGTCTTTTTTCTGCTCAGTATGAGGTCGTTCGGGAATGTTACGGGATGATGCGCCCACGCGTTGAAGAGGCGGGTAGCAGACGCAGTCATCCCGCCAGTTCAAGACATATCAAACCAACGAAGAAATCCATTCAAAACTTCTATTCATTACAGAAGTGAGCCACAAAACCCGCCATCCTCTCCTACTCCTCTTCCGCCCCACCACTCAATCCTCCTCCTCACCCTGCATATCCGCCAACCGTTCCTGCACGCCCTGTGGATCCTCCTCGAACCGATCATACGAAGCCGGCAGATCCGCCTGCGTAGTCCCATTCACCGCCATCTCGTAAAGCGCATCCAGGAGGCCCTCCTCCATCCCCTCAACCCTATACATATGCCCATCATCCAAAATAACCGCATCCGGCTGCACCGTAGCAGTGCACTTCTCCCCCTCATCCACCTGCAGCCCTTCATCCTGGCTCATCGTTGGATCGCCCTCGTCCCTCTTACTTGCGGCGCCGCGCGTCCAGCTCGTCCCCGCGAACTGGCCCCTGCTCGGGCTGATGCCGATGCACTTCTTGTGCCCGGCGCCTGTGTTGGCGCGCTTCTTGAGCGCGCCGCAGTTGCGCCCGTCGCGCGTGCGCTGCCAGCCTGCGACGATGGCGTGCGCAGGGGCGCCGGCGAAGTGTGCGCTCGGGCAGCCGCGCGGCGGGTTGTGGCGCAGGGCGGAGCAGCAGGTGTTGGGGGCGACGTTGCGGTAGAGGAGGGAGCCGCCTTTGCAGTTCGACTTGAAGTGGTTGCGGATTGTGGTGGCGGAGGTGAGGGAGGCTAGGAGGGCGAGGGTGGGGAGGAGGTTCAGCTTCATTTTGGGGATGTGCTGGGTGGGGATGGGAGGATGAGATGGGCTGGTGTGGATAAGGTGTGATGAAGAAGAGCCCTGGTGGTTTTGAAGTGTAGTAAGGTGCTCTGAGTTTTAGAGCAAGATACACGGTATTTATACCAATTCTTCCCTACCTCGTTCCCTTCCAGCAGACGCTAAGATCAGGATCCTGTCCATAGGAACCGGAGCCCCATCGACACAAGGAAGCTTTCGATATTATGCCCAGACATAAGGCTGTCAGGCAGTTCAGCCTCTCCCACAACCTGAAGGCCTAATATTGCTCTTGATCTGTTCCTGCAGCTTCTTGAAGCTCATTGGGCTGTACCTTGCAGAAGCTGGATGTCAGATCTCGTCCGATTTGATCGCCACTACGAGGCCGCCCACGTTGGTGGTAATCTGGGGAGCATGTTCGCCTACTCCGGTCCTGTCTGCCTCCACATGTTTTGACCATTACCTTCCCTTTTCTGCTCGATCTGCATACCTGGATTTTAGAATAGAAACATGTTTACCAATGAGAGGCATGCAAATCGAGTAGTCGGCTCGGGAAAGCTAGCCTTTGTAGTAGCGTGCATGTGGTGAGTGGGAGGCCTTATCTCAGCGTCTAGTCGACTAGTTCAAGGGCGGCCTCATTTCAACCTCTACCCAACTTGAGGGTTCCCTACAGTGGTAGCTGCACCTGCGGATCAGACAAAGAAGGGTAATGTATTTCCTTCCCACTATCTTTCCCGTCGTGCCACTCCTCCCTCGTACAGACAGACGCCCCTTCACGCGGCAGGCTCCATCAAAATCGTAACCATACTTCTCGCAGGCACATTCGCACTGACACTCCCATCGCTCCCCACCGTCGCCGTCTGCACATCGCAGTCATGCGAGTTATCAGTCAAAAAAGCCGTCGCACTCTTAGCCGTGAACCCGTTCACCTTAACAGTGACGGCGCCGCTCCCCGTCCCCGTCTGCAGAACCTGCACACTAACCCTCCCATCCACATTTTTAAACGCCGTAACCCGTGCCCCCGACGGTCCGCCACTCGTGCCCACCCGCACCGCCCCCGGTCTAATCCCGCGACCCCAGTTTGCAAACGCCCAGAGCCGCTTGCTGGGAATGACCTGCTTCTTGTCGTCACTGATGCGGACGAGCTTGCTGTTTGTGGCGCCGCCTTGCACGCCGACCCAGTAGAGGTATGCGGAGGCGTTGCCGCGGACGATGGCGTCGTATATTTGGGTTGCCCAGTTCATGCCCTCGCCTGCGCCGTTGTTGCTGTAGAAGGTGGTGGCCCAGGGGCCTTGGAGGTCGGCGTTTTCGGTCTGCCAGACGGGGTGTTTGCTGTTGATGGGCGAGTTGGGCTGGGAGCCGTATGAACTAGTCGAACATTAGTATAAGATGCGGTAAGGAAGGACGCGGAAGGTGTAAAAGGAGGGAGAAAGAAGACTTACTGCGCGGTGATGGTCCCGAGTTGGTCGATGACGCCGTTCAGCTGGCCCATCATACCCGCCTGCGCACTCCACCCCATAGCGTCACAGCACGTAATCTTGACGCCTGTATAATTCGCCTTATCTAGCGTCGGCCGCAGCACTTTGATGAAGTCCGCTGCCTGCTGTCCGCTACTCCGCATACTGGCATAGCTCGTGGTCAAATCGGGCTCGTTCAAGAACCCCAGGTGTGTGATATCGACCCCGACCTCCTTGTAGTACGTGATATACTGCACGAGGTAATTCGCATACGCCTGGCGCCAGTCTCCCGACGAGCACGAAGCGCCAGAGACGCCACACAGCGAGCCACCATTCGCGTCGTTCCCGTTGGTCTTCATGTATCCTGGCGCAGACCACGCGTTTGCATAAAACGTCTTCACGCCGTATGTCTTCGCAGCCTCGGTGCTCAGCCAGACCTGACTATTATCATTCCCGTCCCACTGATAAGCCAGCTGCGCATTCGGACCACCCGGATTCTTAGGCGCGATGGAGACCATGTGGTCGGAGCTCGAGTCGGGCGACGAGCCGATGCCATTGCGCAGGATGGAGAAGCCCGCGCCGGACGTCTGGTTGAAGAGGAGGTCTAAAGAGTAGCGCTGGAGCTCTGGAGAGAGAGCATGCATTTGGTTTGCGCGTTGGAAGGTTTCGCTCATGCCGAAGCCGTCCATGGTCTGGTAGGTCTTTGTGAGGTCGACGGTTATGGTGGAAGCCTGACGGGACTCTAGGGCCGCTCTTGATTCTGCGGTCGCCGCGAGGCCCGCGAGGATGAGGTTGCGCAGCGCCATGGCGGTAGTTGGACGACGACAAGACGTGAATACGCTGCAACGCTCTGACTGCCTACGTCCATTCGGATAAGAGAACGGAGGTCTTTCTGTACTCCTCCTCATGCAAAAGCCAAGCCCGTCTCGAAATATCTTTTCCCATTTCATCCATTATCCAAATTAGAGTTGGCGCCTTGCAGAGGAGCCGTCCTGCCCCCACAATCGACAACCAGGTTCCCCACAATATCGTTAGGGTTCGCAGCGCTCATTATAGCACCCATGTGCACATCGTAGAGTTATGCCAAGTCGGTTCCTGGTAGAAAAGGAAAGAGCAGGTATTTAAATGGTGGAAATTCTCGAGCTGGGATCGGTTATTATATTTGCCGATACGTGGGCGGAACCTGGGTCAATATAGGAACGGGTATAACGGGCGGCGTGACGGAACGTACGCGGATGCGCATACGATTCGAGCTATGAGCTTTTGGACACTTCCGAGGATTTGGTCTAGAATCAAAAACAGGATATCTAGTGCATGAATATGTTTTACTCTGTGAACGTTGGCCGGCTCATTAGTCGTGGCTCGAATAAATCTAAATGGTAGGGTCAGCTATAGCAGAAGAGAACAACAAGCGCCTGACCGTACGTATAGGATGTGGTCTATGTAAAAGAATCGATGTGATTGGAAAAACAATGGCGTTTTCCACCTGGGTATTCATTCTGCCTTCTTTGCCTTAGCCCTGGCGTAACCCACTGAAACCGAACCATAACGCCGCGGAGAGGAGGCTCAGACATCCACCTGCCTCCTGAAACCCTGTCGGCCTCTTGCAATCGCATCGCCTAGATCCATGTTGGCAGCCTTGCCGCGGACGCTGGAGATGAACCGGTGGCCGCCATCCTTGTTCTTCTTGTGCTTCTCTTCCTCCACTGCATCCTCAGCCTCCCGCAGACGGACGCGCTGGATGCGCTGCTCCTCCAGAGATGAAGCATCCGCTTGCATCCTAGCGAGACGCTCAGCCGCGCTCTCCTTAGCTTCGGCCTTGTCCTCGGTTGGAGGTGAGCGAGGGCGACGCTGCCGGTCCTCATCCGAGGGGGGCCGAGGCCGTTCTTCGTCGGAATGGCGGCGGACATTGGGAGATGGACGCGGAGGTGTCCGGTCCCGCCGACGGTAGTTGTCGCGATCGTCACGATCTTCTCGCCTCCGCGGCGAACGCGAGCGGGAACGTCGTCGACGCTCATCGTGATGGTTTTTTCGGTAAGGGGAGCGCGAGCGCGATCTTCGGCGGTAGTCGTCCCGGTCGTCCCGGCCATCTCGCTCATATCGATCCTCTCGTCGATGCCGACGATCTCTCCTATCTCGAGAGTCGTAGTCATCGGATGGTGACCGCGACCGATCTCGTCGGCTGTGGTGATGTCGATGCTTGTGCTTCCTCTCGCGCTCCTTCTCCTTTGCCCGCTTCTCCTCGTACTTCTGCTGCTTCTGTGCATCCCTCGCCATCTTGAGCTGCATCTCCATCTTCTGCTTTTGAATCATAAGCAGCGGATCCTCCAACACCTTCTTCTGTGTGTCTCTCGCTGAGTTAGCGTTCGCGTTGCTGAGCGCGTCGATGCCGACAGTAGCGCCCTTCTGTAAGTTCTGTGTGTCGCCCTTCAACAGGCCGTCGATCCTGCGCTTGCCGAGTAGGTAGCCCTCACGCTCTTCGGTGACTCCAGCGCCGTCGCCGCCGGGTCCACCGTACATCCAGTCAACGCGCTTTTGTGCGACCCTTCCGCCCGCAGACTCTTGCAGCTTCTGCAGTTCCTCGATTTGTCGCTCTTCCTCGCGCTCCTTGCGAAGCTTTTCGATCTGTTTGCGCTCCTCGAGAGCCGCCTTCTCCTCTTTCCATACCCTCTCTTGATTTTTGCGCAAATGCGGATGCCAGCTTTTCTTGGTATTGAGATCGCCTCCCATGGTTGCGGTTCGTGAAGGGCAGTAGGCAGTAGGCAGACGTAGACGGAGAGGAGTCGGAGGGTTGGGCAAAGTGTGAGTTCCCGCCACCTCAAGTTCAGCCTCTGCCAAGCCTTACGTAACCCAGCCCCGCTAAAATTCACCTCCACGATTTCTCCGCTAAACTTTTTGTGCATAGCTGCGACAACGGCCTCAAAGATACCAGCAGCTAGGAAAATATCCTCCTAGTTTCTGCTCCCCGGTATCATTACAACCGGCACATAATCTCACGCCCCATTGACCGTCAGTGCGGCTTCGAATTCATATCTCTAGATGGCGACAAGGAAACGAAACGAATGGCTTGACGCCGAAGAGAGCGATGACGAGCAGCAGGATTACGATTTGGAAGACGAAAGCAGGGCGCGGATGCTGGCATCTTCCAAACGACAAAAAACCACGCATGAATCTGAGGACGAAGACGCTGAAGATGATCTTGAGGACGAGGACGACGAAGTCTTTGAGGATGCAGAAGATCAACTAAAGAAGGTCGACAGAGACGCCGAGCTTGCCCGGCTGCAGAATCTTGCCGCAAATCTCCCTTCCGACCTGAAACTCCAATCCGGCAAACTCAGAAAACCTTTACCATTGTCCGCGCAACCTAAGAAAGACAAATCTGGCGTCGTATACCTCTCCCGCGTCCCGCCCTTCATGAAGCCATCCGTCATGCGCTCGCTCCTCACTTCCTACGGCGAGATCGGCCGCATATTCCTCACGCCCGAATCTTCTACACAGCGGCAACAGCGCCTAAAATCTGGTGGCACAAAGCGGAAACTGTATCTGGATGGCTGGGTAGAGTTCCTGAGCAAAAAGGACGCCAAGTTCGTTGCCGAGAGCCTGAACGCGCAAACAATGGGCGGCAAGAAGCGCAGCCGCTGGCACGACGAGGTGTGGAATATAAAGTATTTGAGTGGGGTCAAGTGGACGCATCTCGTGGAGCAGATACAGAATGAGAATGCGGAACGAGCGGCGAGATTGCGGTTTGAGATTGCGCAGAGTAAGAAGGAGAATAAGAGGTTCTTGGAGAATGTTGAGAAGGGGAAGATGATTAGTGGGATTGAGGCGAAGCGGAAACGGAAGGGGATGGGTGATGATGAGGATGATGATGAGGACGCAGATGTTGTGGAGAAGACGGCGAAGAAGGATAAGCGGAGAGTCAAGTTCGAGCAAAATGAGGTCAGGACGAAGGCGCTGAAGAAGCCGGAGCCTGGGCAGGATGTGCACAAGGTATTGAGTAGTATATTCTGAGGCAATGGAATGTGGAGGAGGCATGATCGCACTAATGATATCCATCAAGTTATTTGCACCAAGGGCAATTGCAGTTGCACTCGTGACAGCAGCCGATAGAATTGCTTTTCAGGCGTCTCTCATACGTAGAGACACTCAACTATGATCCCGAAGCAGTGCTAGCCAAACCACCAACGCCATAAACCATGCCAGGGTATAATGCCATCCTCGCCCAATCCACCCGTCCTCAAATCGCCGTGCCCCTCTCAAAGCTCTCCCGGATCTCCGTCGTATACCTATTATAAAACCGGGCCAGCTTCTCGTTGAACTGCTTGTTCTTCTGGTTGATATACGTCACATCCCCACCATCATCATCATTAATCCCCCTCGCCGCTCTCGCCTTCAATCTCGCCCGCTCACCCTTCTCCAGATCATCCACCAACTTATCGACCGCCTCTTTCGTCGGCTTATGGTCCATACTATACGTCTCCTCGACCGGCGTATTAATCCGCCCCTGCTGATCCACCGTAAACACATCCCCCTCATCCGTCTCCACAAGCCGCAGCAGCCCGGACTGGACCTGCTTCTGCAGCCGCTCCGCCTTCTGCGCCACATAGTTCTCCAGATCCACCTTCTCCATCTGCCGAATCTGCCGCTTGTACACCTTGTTCGCCTCACCACGGTAGTCGGCAAACGCGTTGTTGTCCCGGTTCCGCGCCTTCTTCGCCTGCCGCTTGTCCCAGCTTTCGCTCTCTTCCACCGTGTAGTCCCAGTTTCGCTTCCGCTCGAAGTCTGGGTCGTCCGCTTTGAGCAGCTTGTAGGATGCTTTCTCGTTGGCTTCTTGCAGCTTGGCTAGCCTGACGCGCCGCTCTTCGCGGTCTTCGGCGTCGCGGACTTCTTTTTCTGTGGCTTTGCGGCCGGATTCTTTTTGCGCTTGGAGGGTCTTGAAGCGCGCCATGCGGGCGGCGAGGGCTGCTTTTGCGTCGCTGGAGGCGGAGGGTTGGGGCGTGGGGGGTGCGGAGCCGTCGCCGCCTTCGGGGGCGGGGGACTGTGTCTCAGGCATTGTGGGCGTGGGCTCTTCTGGTTTTGTTGTGTCGGCCATGGTGGAGCGTGTTGGGGAGGTGGTGGAGTGCAGTTTCCGAAGAAATGTTGGAGGTTGCGAGTTGCAAAAGCCAAGACGCTAGCGTCCGTAGCGCCCCTGTCCACTGGCACTTCACTCCGCTTGTTCAGCACCACACTTGCGTTTCGTCCGTGTAGGCGCCTCTGGATACAGGGAGTGCCAGGGGTCGACGAGCGTCCGCAACCCATCCCGGTAACAGTACTGCGGTTCTTCGACAGTTTTCCTGGATTGAGTCGTAGGCGGTCCTAGCTCTCTAGGGAAATCTCCGAGCCTCGGTATGTCCTCGACTGGCTGGCATTCCTTCAGCTCTTCGATGATGAAGTCTCCCCACAAACAGATTCCTTCTGTACGGTCTGTGATCTCTCATGTAACATCATCCCGAAGCTGTAGGCGTATGCGTGAAGCCGCCCGACAGCTCCATGTTGGTTTTGGTTCACAATCGAGGAGTCTCTGTGAGCGGGATGAGCCATGTTGGAGAAGCGTATACCGAATCCTTTCTATCCTGATCTCGGCTCTCAGCCGCATTTAATAGCTTCTAAACGTCTAGCTCCTTGCTGTCGCTCTCCGTGTTTTACAACTCGTGGGTATAGGTTCGGAGGAATCATGGGGCGTGATGGTGCAAGGCCATTTGTCTCTTGAAAGGGGAAACGTCTTACATGCTATCCATCACAGATTCGATGCCGAAAATTGGATAGGGGACGCGTCTTTAGCAGTACCAGCGGCAACTCAATCCCGAGCTCATCGAGGACCCGTCTGGAGCCAGTACGGATACGTTTATACTGGAATATACTTGCTTGAACGAAGCTATTCATTGTCACGAGAAGACAAATAGTCAACTGCATGAGAGCTACGAGACGATGGGTACCGTTACGGGGCCATCAAGCGGCGTGTTGACGTTCGTATACAAGACCCCGGCTGTTAATCCGTATGCGGGAAAAGCGCACAACAATAGAGATTAATCACCATTTCAATTGCGGTAGGGCCTTCGTTCATTGTCTGTCTCTAGCTGATCTAAGCATCAAGAATCTCATCTCACGATAAAGCCACATGATACAAGCCTCAGCCACACCATGTGGCTGCAGCTGTGATGAGCTTACCCCACATCGAGTGAGCTCTTCCCTTCCATCACCTCCACCAAGATGGGCCAAGCCGCCGATATAGCCTCAGCAGTTGGCACATGGCTTGCTGCGGGTCTCGCCCTTGTTGCGCTTTTAGGTATAATCACCCCATGGCTCCTGTGGCGGGCACTACGCTCCGAGCGCCACAATGCGCTCAAGGCCGTGGACGATCCTTCGCAACTCTTCGTCTCCCGTGGCCTCCGCATATGGCGCAATACGAGAATCCTGAAGCGGGTTCGCGTGCCTAAATTGACGGATGCTCCACAACTTCCACCGGGTTTCGTGGGACACAAACACGATGATTTGCTCAGAGATCCTCCGAGTAAAACCGGTTGGGTCACTTTTTGCTCGGCTTTGCGGGCCTTCTCCTTACCGGGCAGTAATGATAGGAATGGAGAGCTGGTTATCAAAAACTGGGAGACGTGGCAGCCGATACACAAGTTGTGGATTCTGATATTTGGCTTGTTGGGAAGATATGGCGAGCGGGAAGACAAAGGCCAGAGGATCGTGAAATTTAGCTCTACGAGGCTGGACCACGAGGAGGGTGACGAAGAGCGCGGAGTACTATACGGTAGCATTGGGGCGCTAAGGCATAGGAATCGTGAAGAAAGTGGAGATCTCGACAGACTCTACCTGGCTCCGTACAACCGACTATTGAGAGGCAGTCTGCGGCCGGATACTCTGAGTGTGGGCTGCTTGTTTTGGCTAGCCGCGGGGTGTTTGCCTCTAGGAGAGAAGGTGTTAGACCTGTGTTTCCCCGTTCCCCGATCCTTCAGTAGGCCACCACAGCGAGTACGGAAGAGTATTTCCAGCTTACGCCGCGCTCCCTCCGATGGTGCCAACTCCGAAGTTGCCGAAAACACCGGCAAGGGTGGCCCTGATGCCAGTTCCGATGTCTCCAAGATCGAGCAAGTTGGGGCAGATATATCCAGCCTCTCCGACATAGGACCGGAAGAGGGACGTGCACAGCAAGCTAAAACAGCAAACAGCGACCGCCTCATTCAAGACATCTCTCCCTCAGCACAGCTTAGACGCTGGGATTCGGAAAGGGAAGCATATCATGGCCATGATTTTCTCTACTTAGAGCCGATAAGGGACGTTCTCACTACCGCAAAATGGAGCGTCTGGGCTACGGCAATGGGATGCGACATGGCCACTGTTCACACAATTGAGAAGCTAAGCATTGAGTTGCTCGATGATATCCAAATCATCACCGAGATTATGGAGTCCGTACCAATCAGACCAATAGACCCGGATGAATTAGGGACCCTGTTGGACCCCGAGGACCGAGCTTGCGCCCTGGGAATACAGCATCGAATCGCACGAGCGCGGATAAGAATGAGAGAACCTGAAAACACGACCAGTTTCTGGGCCGCCACTAGTCCGCTCAATTACACCCGTGGTGATTTCGAAGAGGCGATGAACCCCATATTTATTCGCCGGATAGACATCCAGTCTATTGCTTTGGGTGCATTATCCCTGCCGGTAACGCCGCGGCACTTTCTATTCAATATCAGTCGAAGCGGCTTTATTTTCGATCTTCTCACGAATGCCCGTTTTCAGAAGGAAGGACTACTCCGGGCAATAATGAAGACACTACCATCCTGGGGTCTTGAGTTGGACCGAGGAGCTTTTACAAAGGTGACAGAAGCCATGTCCGGCGTTCTGCCTTTTCGTGAGCACAGTCGACGGGATTCTGAGCTTTTGTACCAGCTGGACAGCCACATTTGCATGATCTACCATGGAAGCACGATTTTTCGGCAGACGATCGGTATCTTGTATGTTACGAGCCCCAGATTCCGGACATTCGTCGAAGAAATGGCGGAATTGGACCCTACTGGGGAACGTTTCAGTGTCTATGTCGACATGAGTGCGAATGCAATATGCGCGAAATCCTCCGAAGAGGAGGAAACAACATGGCGGCTTGTGTTCCGGGAAGTCTTTCCTGGAAACAGCCTTTCGATCGTTTTGCCGCGCACCAAGCTCTCGGTTGCGGAGCTTATGCTTGCCTCTCTGCAAGCATGTGCACGGATCACTTGGGTTGCTCAGCCAATTGATTCAAGTGCGCTTGTAGAGTTCGTCGATCAAGTGGATGAAATCGTACACGTGTCTGCGAGTACGCAGCCGCCTTCTTCACGGGAATCAGCGGCAGAAAGCTGGCCTCGAGGACTTAATTCACGCCTTATAACCCGTTCTCGACGACCTTCTCTGAGCAGCTTTCATAACTCCGAGGAACGGAAATTGGCTAGTCCATCTTCTCGCCGCGAAACTAGAGAGGGCACATCGTCCGGGTCGCATTCTCGCCGGATGAGTAGAGGACGCGAATCAGTCCCTCCATCTTCCCCTCGCTATCGTCGGAGGAAATCATCCTCCTCTCAACCTTCTATACCCGGATCACGCGTAGAACCCATACCCAAAAAGTCCGTCAAAAGAGAAGTGCGGTACCTTCCGGACGGGAAGGAGGAAACTACGACCGAGTATACTTATGAGCACCGGGGCGGATCATCTTCATTGGATCACATTTCCACGGGAAGAGAAGGACGAGCAGGAGATGCAAGTATACCGAGGGCGCTGGAAGCAGACGGAGAAAAGGCTGGAAGGGTAGCTGAGTCGGAGAGCCAAGGGAAGGTGGACCAAGATGATTGAAGCATAAACTCGGAATTTGAATGCTTAGCCTATCGAGGTGCGTCAACCTCTTCCCGCATTTTTTGACGTTTCTGAAAATGCCGCCGCTCGGGAATTCGGGAATTGGCGGTTTCAAACGACAGAAGCCCTCGACGGAGTCTTCTAGGTTATGGTAACCTACGATCCCGTGAACCTGTAGTCGACTCAGGACGGGGCGCAATACGCAACAGTCAAGAACACAGTCCGATCTAAGTCCATCTAAGTCCCTCCAGCCGATTCGGAATATCTAAATGACCAGCACTTCGAAACGCTGGAGAAGTCATGAAAGGCACTGGGATTTCCAGGAGGAGCTTTCCTTCACCGCTCCAGAAGGAACTGGCAAAAGATATGGGTGTCATTTCTTTCCATCTCCTCGAATCAAAACAATCGCCCAACCCACTCGCATCCTGGGTCCTTTACCACGATCGCGGATATTCTCTGAAGAAAGCGTGTGGAGCATTCTCCGCCGTATGAAAACCTTCAACCCCAGATCCGTTCGGGTACTCTGGCACCGAAGATGATTTTCGACGTAAACGATAGGATCTGTAGGGCGAAGCAACGCCTTTTGAGTCACTAGACGGAGTATAAAACTGGAAGCGTTGTGATCGAAGCCTCATGACGGAGCCGCCACGCGTTGCAACACCCTTGAAGTCCTCCGCGACTCTGCGCGTGCGGTGTCCCACGAGGTTGAGGCTGCCAAAACAGGAGGTGTTTCGGAAGTCACAGGGGTGCAGCGAGTCCCACAAATTCGACACAAATTCGAGCGCGAACACGGAATTCCGGAAGAGACAGATTGAATCAACGAGAACTTGAGCCTACGAAAGAGAGAGACTGCAATTGACCGTGACAAAAGTGGAGAGTTGGAATAGAATTTCGGTGAGGAAACCTCGGGATGATAGGGCTGCAGCTCGCGTAACTGCAGTCCCGGGACGTTGCCGCCAGCGCGGGGGGTTTCGCGTTTGAGGCTGGCCTTAGTGCGACACCCAAGAGTTAGGCAATGTTAGGCAAAGTCGATTCCGAGTGCCTTCCGGTCGAATGCTTTATCTTGGCGGGCTGTCCTCCAAGCACGCCCAGCATCTCTTCGCCATGGCCCACTCGTACAAACCGTCTTCACGGACTCTTCGCTCACCCGGCTTGGCCCACTTCGTCGAACATCAGTTCGATTGCAGTGATATTTCTTCTGAAAACGAGGGTGATGAGGATGCCCCAAGCGCCCCGGAATTGTCAACTGCGCTCCTGGTCGCTTTGACGTGTACAATTGGAGGGTAAGCACGCTATAGCTGCAAGCCCGTTTGACAAATTTGCTCATACATGCTCAGGCTCCAAACAGTGTGGTTGACTATCTTCTCCCACGGCTCCTCCTACCTCGCATCGCTTGGGATTTCCGAAGTCCAAATCTCCCTCATATGGACGGCGGCTCCAGTATGCGGCTCGATCATCCACCCCGTCGTGGGCGTCGTCAGTGACCGCTCGCGGATATCATGGGGGCGAAGGCGGCCGTTCATCCTAATCGGCGCAATCATAATCATCATCGCTATCACTGCGCTAGCTTGGATAGAGCCCATCACACTGCTGTTATGCTCGCTTCACGGCAAGGTTTCGATGGCTGCGACGGTCACACTATACTGGGCCGTCTTCTGGGTTATTATCCTCAACATCGGAATCCAGACTCTGCTATCAGGCTCCCGGTCCTTAATAGTGGACGTTTGCCCTAGCGAGCAGCAGTCAATCGCAAGCGCATGGGCTGCACGTTTCACGGGTCTCGGCAACATCTTGGGATATCTAATTGGCTCCGTTCCGCTACCCTTTCTAGCGAGCAACCACGAGGCGTGGCGCTTCCGCTGCATGGCACTTTTCGCCGCCACCGTGCTGACGATTACGGCGGTCGTTACGGGGTATTTCATCCGGGAGGAAAATCCACAGCACCTACCCTACGACGAGGCCGAAGGATCAGTCTTTGCGCGCACATTCCGCGGTGTATACCAGGGCTTGGTCGCAATGCCACCGAAAGCCCGAAGCGTGTGCCGTGTCCAGTTCTTCACCGCGATGGCCTGGTTCGGGTTCCTCTTCTACAGCACGAGTTACGTCAGCGGACTATATCTCGACGAATCGTGCAAGCACGGTATGGTCTTCAGTTCGGCGCTCAAAGACCGCGGCATAAGATTGGGCACCACATCGAGCTTGCTCTTCGCTGTTGCCGCTCTGTGGACCAATGTGCTGCTTCCCCACATCAGATGCTCCCCGGAAACCCAGCTTCTTCTGGAAAAGGGATACGCGGTGACTCGGTTCAATCGCCTCCGCCAGACACACATCCTATGGACCGCCGGACTTATCCTCTACGTCCTTTTCACACTTTCGACCTTCTTCATATCCTCCAGCATGGGAGGTGTCGTGGCGGTCGCTCTCGTCGGTCTGTCTTGGGGCATCACCCAATGGGCTCCCTTCGCGTTGATTGGCGAAGAGATTGCAGCCTCTCACGACGAGGGTGCTTCCCTCTCTGAGATGGGCGGCAAGACGTGGGCAACGAATCAAAACGGAGCCATGATGGGCGTCCATAATGCTGCCGTCTCCGTTCCGCAGATCATGGCTGCGATGGCGAGCAGCTTTATCTTCTGGTTGACGGGGAGATTTGGCGTGCACGATGCAGTGGGGTGGGTGCTGCGGTTTAGTGGCATTGCTGGTGCGGTCGCGGCGTGGTTTGCGTGGCAGTTGTAGGTTAAACGGCATTGATACCCCAACAGCTGGCTGTAAATATATATCATAATGTGTAGATACTTAACGATTGAATATTTCTAAATCACTGCAGCGCTGAAGGTGATGCAGACTACACCAAACGGCACCACTATCTTGATGCATTGCCACCTCATAGAAAAGGAGTTGAAGAAGCTCACTCACAGCGTCGAAAACGGCGCAATCTTCCCCTCACACCAATCAAAATACCCCTTCGCCCGCCCCGTCCCACCCTCCTCCTCACTTTTCAAGGCCAACAGCAAATCCTCCCTCTGCCCCGGATGCCACCGTCCATCACACGTCGCATACCTCCCCGCAACCGCCTCATCCATATTAACTTCTTCACTGAACCCCATCCACAGGTACGTGTACGCGCCCTGCACAGGTTTCCTCAGCAGCGGCAAGAAGGGATAGTACAAGAAGCCCGGCGTGCTTCTCCAGACATTCGTCACGAAAGATCCGGGGTTCCCCGCGATACTGACCACGCCCGTTTCGCGGCCGGAACGCTTTGCGAATTCGGAGGCGGCGAACCAGTTTGCGGCTTTGGACGCGGAGTAGTGCTCGTCGATTTTCGGGGAGGGAGTGTCGAGCTGGGAGACGAGGACGCCGCCTGCGGGGGATGTGAGTTCGACCATGATGGAGGCGGGCCAGACGACGCGGGCGCTGTTTGGTGGGCTTTTCTTTGCTGTCTCCGATAAGATGGGCATGAGGAGTTTGGAGAGCAGCACGTGGCCGACGCTGTTGACGCCGTGGTGGTATTCGAGGCCCTGTTTAGTTCTCTTTTCTGCGGGGAGGTGCGCGACGCCGGCATTGTTGAAGAGCACGTCGAGACGCGCTTCTTTGGCTACGAATTCCTTCGCGGCGGATTGAACGCTTGCGAGATCTTCCAGGTCCATGTGGATGAATTCTAGGCCGCCTAGCTCTTTGCCTTCTGTGGGGTGGACCTCGGATTTTATCTTCGCGATGGCGGCTTCGACGTTGGATTTTGTGCGCGAGAGGATGTAAACTTTTCCGCCGGCGCCGTAGAGGATCTTTGATAGCTCGTATCCGATGCCTGAACTCCCACCCGTGACGATGAAAACCTTGCCCGATAGACTGGGTACGTTATTTTCGGTGATGGGTGGGTTCTTCGGAGGGAAAAACTGCGACCATATGGTCGCCAGTCCAACACCTAGGAGAGGCATTTTCGCCGTTTCTCTTCCGGATCGTCTTGCTCTATTTCGAAAGTGTCTTCGATATGTCAGTGTTTTCGCGACTTTGTCCGGATTTCCCTTGTAGCTCACTGCGACCCAGGAACTCATACAATTCGTCCACGAAATCCAGCGCAAATCGTAACGCGCAGACCGCGATACCTGTTGACGACCTCGGTAAGTCGACTAAGTTCGGCGAAACAGAATTGCCACGTAAATTGGCTAGCGAGATGGTTCATACGATGTTCGAAGGGCTGACGTGGAGATTTCAAGTCCGAGCGGCACAGCACAGCGTGGAGATTCAGGCTAACCACATGCACTAACCCTATTCGTACGCACTAACCATACCTAGGTATACACCTATTTCACATGACACGCCTTCCACTCTGCACCTTTCATTGCCGAGCTCATATATATTGATTTAGTCCTTCGGTACGGCGAACTAGGCGTAGGAATGGAATCTTCGTCGCCACTGTGGATAACGAGGTGTCGATTCCATATGCCTGTGAAGAGCTTTCAACTAAAGTAGGGAACGCAAAAAGTGCCTTGGTAAAACGCGTAACCTCTTGTCTATCGACTGATCGCGGACTCGTTTTCTTTTCTATGCATTGGCATATGCAATTGGAAGATTATCATGTTTGATTGGGGCGATGATGTCACATGGACTTCGGAGCGAAGATGCCCTGCATCAAATATATCCTTCAAGGGTCGTCATTCGGTGGGAAGGGAGACTCAAGACCAACATGCTTTCTTTTCTATCCACTCAGTCCATCACAATTACTTATGCAACGACTGATGAGGGCGTCGAGTGCGACCGTTCGACCACCCGATTATACATCGAGAAACATCTCACAGTCGAAGCAGCGCCATCACCATCCCGATGTGTTTAGGATACATGGCAGCCCTGCAGGAGGCCCCAAGTCGTTCGACTTGGGAAGGTGCCTAAGGTATCTTAGTCATCCACGACCGCTCAAAGTCAGAAAAGTAAGACGGACGATTACGGCCGAAATACCCCACTCTATGCCCAGAGGCTGCGCCGCACGGTGTCTGGGTTGATTCAGACTTGGAATCAGTGAAACTGGCTCGCGACATCTTGTGTCGTTGTCTTCGCGTGTGGTCAACATCGTCATTCTTGTTCGGAATCCACGTTTCGGAAAGGAAAAGGCGGCTTTCGGAGTATACTTTACCTTATCGGAAGCGAGCGACCGGAATAATCACCTTGTGAACGTTATAACCGGGAGAATGGATTTCGAAAAAGTGTACGAGAAGGCTCTCGAAGACAAGACTCTTCCGGGATACGCACTGCTAGCTGGGGACAAGAATGGTCAGTATACCTCTCTCCGGATGCCTCGCATCGGACTCAATAGCATGCAGGCAAGATACTGTACTCTGGAGCAAAGGGCGTGCAGTCGCTCAGATCCGACTCATCGCGGCCATTCCAACTGGATACGATATGTGCCATCGCTTCGATGACGAAGCTCATGACCAGCGTGGCGGCTCTACAGTGCGTGGAGGCAGGTCTGTTGGATCTGGACAAATCTGTTTCCGACGTGTTTCCGGAGATGGGCAAATACGGCATCATCACCGGGTTCGATGATGAGAAGAATGAGGCGACAACGGTGCCCAATCATACTCCAATCACGCTTCGGTAGGTGCAGCCCTGTGCTTGCGGGGAATGCGATGACTAAGAACCGCGTCTAGGATGTTGCTGAGCCATACGAATGGCCATGAGTATGACTGGTTCAATCCACTCCTCATGAAATGGCGTGCGAGTCGTGGTGAAGAGCCTTGGGTTGGTCCAACGGTCGAGCAAAAATCCACTCTGCCCTTGATCTTCGAGCCCGGTACCAGCTTCCGGTACGGCGCCGGTTCGGACTGGGCGGGTAAACTGGTCGAAAAGGTGACTGGAAAGACACTGGACGCGTACATGTCGGAGAAGATATGGGAGCCTCTGGGTATCAAGGATATCACTTTCTATCCGAAGAAGCGGCCTGACATGGAAGATCGGATGGCTACTATCAGCACTCTCAACGAGCAAGGTGAAGGTCCTGCGGCCGATGCTCCGGACTTTGATATCCTCTTCGGCGGAACAGACTGTCTCGGTGGTGGTGGCGCATTCGCGAGCTCTAAAGACTACTTCACCTTCCTTCAGGCAGTCCTCCGCCGCGACTCCATGCTCTTAGACGACGCTTCTTGGACCGAGCTTTTCAAGCCCCAGCTAAACGAGCAGTGCAAGAAAGCCTTCAACGAGTACATCACTAGCTCGCCCTTGCACAAGCAGTACCTCGGCATGTGTATTCCGACCGACATCGAGAAGACCTGGAGCTTTGCTGGCATGATTTGCGAGAAAGGGCAGGAAGGACGGATGAGCGATCGAACGATCTTCTGGGGAGGAGTGCCGAGCATGGCATGGGTAAGTGCTTTTGGATGAAGGGAAATGCGAAACTAACAAGAAGACAGTACCTTGACTTCGGGGCGGGGCTCTGCGGTGTCGCTGCTTGCCAGATCATCCCACCGATGTCGCCATCCATAATGGCTCTACACGAGCAGTTTCAACGCGGCATATACCAGAGCTTCGGGCCGAAGAAGAAATGAACGAACAGTATACGTTGGGCTGATGAGGTGACTGGTTTAGCTTGACAGCAGTAGGAACGGCCTGTTGGCGATCAAAGATTTGACGCTCTTTGCTGTATGCACCGCGTTTAGGAACACCTTAACGAAATACTGAGGCTTGCTAGCCTATTAACAGGTTCTAGAAAGAGTGTATCCAAGAAACAAAACAGTATCACGTGGCGACACGTTTTCTAAGACTCCTAAGGTTAGCGGCAGAAAGCCGACGCACAAAGCCTCACCTGTAAAGAAGTCACTTCCTCCCAAGACAGGGGTCGATTGTGCTAGAGATATAGAGAGACTGCTCAGATGAGATGAGAGGCAGATGAGCGAAGCGCGAGTCCAGCTAAACGTGCTCGAAATTCGACTGTGAGCCTCGAAACGCGAGGGGTAACTTTCACACGACATTCTGCACCTTTCCTCCTTTCTTTGCAATCGCCCAACTTCAGCATTTTCTTCATTCTACCCGAATATGTGTCAATGCTGAAGTGCTGTCTTCTGGCTCCCAATGTATCGCCTTTGCTCCCAGATCTGGCCCCAGGTCATGGCCGCTCTTGAACTCTATTGTCCCGGGCATCACAACGCACATACTACATCGGAAAGCTGGGAAAAATAATATGAATGAAGAGAACAAAGCGATATAGGGCACTGGAATCGACATTGCGCCTCAACTCCGGACCTTTTGGACTGTCATCTAAACAGTGGGTACCAACGTATCGAGCCTGATCAGCCAAAATCGTGGGTTGGAGACACGTGTATCTTACGGGTGCTGAAGATCAATCCCGAGTCGATTCGGCCCGTCGCAATGCCTTGTTCTTGTGGTATTCTTTTCTTGTACGCCATTTGGGACATGGGAAGGGGACTTCTCTCCGCCCAGGCTGGCTTTGCATGTCGGTCTACGTTGAGGCATATGAGGAGTATACAAAAACCGAGAAACGAAAGCCAGCTCTGAATCCTGCGGAAAAGCTGATGAGAAGGACGACGCCAGAGCAAAGAATCGATAGCGTAGCGGCGGAGCTAGAGTTAATTTTAGCATGCGCGGCCGGTCCGCGAAATAGATACCACCCCCCGTGCTGGGGTGCATTGGAGCAGTTGGCGTTCCGATACTGCTCCGAAGAAAATGGTTGGATTCTGGTGTCCCTTCGCTTCGCCCACCGTTCATCCAGAAGCCCCGTCCTACTTCACAGCCAGCCTCCCATGTTCCTCATTCCCTCTCTGCTCGCACAGAACTCCGGCCCCACATCAGGAACACAAGTCCTCTGCACACGGCTGTTAAGTCGAGCTACCTGGAGCTACCTGCAAGTGATGAGCTGAAGCCTTGGCATGCAGAATGGCTTTTTTCGTAAGAGATCATTGGTCCCAAGGCGCGAGCCTTATCAAACTCCACGGCGTCCGTAAACAGAAATCGTCATGCCACCACCAAAAAGTACGATCACCATATCAGCAGTCCACGCCCCGGCGTTGTTTGTCGTGTCCCCACAACAGAGCCTCACACTACTCGCGACTGTACCCCGTCATGGGAAACGTTGAACTTGCCAGCGCTATTGGGACGTGGGCGGCTGTACTTATCGCTCTTGTAGCCCTGATCGGCGTGATAGGGCCGATATTGGTTTGGAGGGCGAACCGGACCGAACGACATCAAGCCATCGTCGGGATCAGTGACGAGACCAACACATTCATCTCCAAAGGCATACACCTGGGTCCAAGCATTTGGCTCATGCAAAAGATACGGGCCCCGATTCTGACCAAAGAGCCGCTGTTCATCTCGGAGCAGAGCACTAAGAATCAGAGCAACTCTCATCAGCAGCTATCCTGGGAAACGTCCCGGTATTGCGAAACAAGAGCTAATGCCAACTGGGTCCAGCTTGCTTTCCTGCTGAAGGCTTATGGGGCTCTATGGGTTACGGGCGATACTCTTGCCATTCGACACGGGAAAGCGATGATGCCTGTTCATCGCATGTGGATCCTTGCAATCGGAATACTGGGTAGATATACAATTCGGCCAGACATGGGAAGACTGCGTAGGCGCGGGACATCAATGTCACTGCATGTGTCCGGCCTGAAGCGCGCAAATACTGGACTCTCTTCCAGCGCCACCGACGACAACGTGGAGTCTCTACCAACCGTCCGTCAAAGGCTTCATGGAATCACAGGAGAGTTCGTAATCTACAGTCGTACGGAAAGCAAAGACTCCGAGGGCGCTACCTGTGACTTGATCGGCTTTACACCCACTCAAATGGACGACTTGAAGGTTATCCAGCCAGAAGCTCTACCACTGAAAGACCTCTTCATGGTCGCTATGGGGTGTCTACCCTCATCCGGTGAATATATCCTGCCTGGTCGATCTTTGCGAGCTAGAGACCGGCAGAGCCGAGAGCCCAGACGAGGAGCAGGATATGCGCGACCTACACACTGTGACCTTCAAACAAGAGAACCAGGTGTCTACTCCAGGCGTTTCGTTCACCAAACCGCGACACAGACGGACAGTTACTGGATTCGGACAGCCTGAGGTTCGATCCGTCCAGCAGCTCGGCGAAGAGCCTATCGCTTTCGGGCTAGAGCCGGTGATTGACAGAGAGGAAAGCATGATTCGCGTGGCACGGCCCTTCGGTGCAAGCACCGTACCCATCCTATCCCTCGAGCCATTGCACATGGATCGCACACTTACTGCAGAGCTTAAGGAATATATGGACATGACATATGTCCCTTCGGAGTGTGGTTGGGTCCGGCTTGGTTGGCGGATCACCGGGAAGAAGGTTCAGGAGAGCTTCTTCGTCCGGCGAGCGGACGCTCAGAGGCTAGCATACAGCTTACTGTCTCTGAAATGGCACCCAGAGAGTTATCTGATTGGGGGCGCGAACTCTCATCGAGCCATTCAACTCCTTCTCAATTCCCAACGGATGCTAGCATACATTACAATGCGAGTCAAAGACGCCATCGACCTACTCAGCATATCGGCCACTGAGAGAAAGCAGCTCGCGGAGGCACTGGATCTCGGACGGCGGTACATCAACTCCCACAGACCAAGCCGATCTCTCTACGACGCCATATACAAATTAGACAAGGTCCTTGGGGACCTAGCGCACCAGAAGGAAGAAGTGAATGCCATGGTCAGCGTGCTCATGCTGACGAACGAAGAATTCGCCACTCTCCTGCACTCTTCCGCTCGGCATTTCGAATCCGCACTCAAGGGCTCTATCGAGTGCAACATGCGGGCCGGATCATTGAAGGTGCCGTTGCCGTTTGGAGGGTCCCAGGAATTTGTTGTGGACCTTGATAAGATTTTCCCGGAAAGAATGGTCGCAGAAGAGCAGGTTCTAGTGCAATATTCGACGATTTTGTTAGTATGCTTAAGGGCTTGTTTGAGAGCTTTCATGCTTGATATTACATTGAGTGGAGAGCCTTTGCTGGAAGAGCTCTCACAAATGGAAGAACTCGTATATGTACGGTAAGATTGAAGTGCATGACATTTCGCCCGTTCATCACGTCAGGTTCCGTTTTCTAAAGCAGTCATTGTGGGTATAGGTAGAGGAATACGAAAACCAAAGATGAAGAAGTAGGAGCACGTGGAGTTTAGTGCCTAGGGCTGATCCGTGCACGTGTGCCACATGAGAGCGGATTTCGTCGAACACCACTTCGACCGGACGCGCATCAGTACCTTAGGTATTCACCCCACCCAGCACATACAGCGCATACCGCTTCACGAATATTATCGGCAGAGCCATTGGTGGCGAGAGTGAGACTAAGCCACAGGGCCAACAGGTGTTGAACAGGTTGCAAGGCTGGCCCCCAAAATGTGCGAAACGAGCGACGTGCATGCATGAGCTGAATTCGACGGCTGCCACTGGAGCTGTCGATTGATGCATGTATTCAGGCCCGGAAGCATCTTCGAAAGATAAAAGGGCTCCGTTTCCCCCTCAGATCACTTCTCTTCCTTCGCCGCTTTTCCGCCTCGCCAAACTCTTCCAAGTCTTCCAAGTACAGAAAGTCCCTCAAGATGTCCGCACCAGTATGCGCGCCGTGCCAAGACAGCGCACTCTCTATAACTGGGAATGTTATTGGCATCGTCACCCTCGTTTACGTCCTCGCCGTCGGAGTCTTCTGGCGGATTTCCGTGGTAAAGAAAGCCCTAAAAGAGCTAGAGATTATGCATATCGATTTTATGTACGTCGAGGACGCTGCACGCGCGTTGATGGAGAGAGCACCAAAGGGCTTGGAAGGGGAATCGCAAAAACGAGTAACCATCTCGAGCGGCATGCTGGCCAGACAAATCGAAACCCTTCAATCTGTGCGACAGAATCTCATTGCCCAGAAATGGAAGGAGACAGCACTGTTGACCGGATTACTTCTCAGTGTCAGGTGTTTGATGGCAAGGGACCAGATGAAAGAAGCGGTGGAGAGGACGAACGTCTGGTCTGAGAGGCTCAGGATCGTGATTGAAGATGCCAGGTGAGTGTCACCTTTCCACGATCACCGCCACGCGGCTGCTAATGGGACCTCCTTCCCTTAGGGCTCCTAGGGCTCCCTCACTAGCCTCCAATTCGTCCCCACGGGGCTCCAATCCGTCCCCGCAAGGCCCCACTGCCCGTCACGGCTCGCTGAAAGATCTTCCCGATGCATCGCGCGATTCCGCAGAGAGGGTAGTAACACATGAAGGCTCCCTAGTCTAATAGAACCTCTTCGTTTGCCTAGACGCGTTCGCTTTTAAGAGACTATCAGCTCTAGCGGATAAAATGAGATAGGGAGCAAATTTACAAGAACAGGGATCCTTCGTTTATTCCTACTCTTTCCACGGAACATACAGAAAGAACTCCTTACAGTACTCTCCAAGGCATCCCTCCTGTGACGAGCACTACGAGCCACTCAGGCGTCTAATTGGGGTATTTGAAGAACTCGCGCAGGCGATGTCCTCGATATTCCTGGGAAGATTTGGCGAGGCAGAGAGCAATGAAGCTCGGCGTCGGAAAATCATTGCTATATCAATAGCCTACCACATACGCCTAAACCCAGCTAGGTTAATTCATCTACTACCCAAAACCTGCTTATCCATATCGCTCACCGACACGCGCGCAGTCGCGCAGTCATCGATTCGCTCGGCCTCGTCATAAAGAAGACGCGAGCATACTACATATACAGTACTAGCAGAAAAGCTCACCGACACATGCATATGCCTTAAATCTTACATGTCCCTTTCCCAACACTTCGGTTAACGTACAAACAGCGTTTCCCACAGGTTGCTGGAGCACACAAGTCATGGGCTTCTGGGAGGATCTATGGACGGCCCACTCATCGCTAATAAACGGTGGTACTCGTAGCCAGCTTAATAGTATCTTAAGTTGTGCTGCAGCCTAGAGTAACGCGGTACAAGCAAATCACAACGCTTCCTCCACGTTGTGTTATCTCAACAGTGTCCATCCGTGACACGATGTCTGTGAGTGATGATTGGGCAAGATTGAGGTAACGAAGGACTTGGGGGAACATAAAAGTCGCCTCAACCTGCTTAGAATATCGCGCCTGTGCCTACAACCTTTGTTCGTTCCACACACTTGAAGACAGCGAAAGAAACGCCCTACCAACCCGATGTCTGCCTCGGCTTGTCCACCCTGTCAAGACAGTCCGCTCTCCATTACCGCAAATGTTATCAGCATCCTTACATTCGTTTATATCCTCGCGGTCGGGTTCTTCTGGCGACTTTCCGTGGTAAAGGCCGGCATAAAAGATCGAATTGCGTTGTATACCGATCTTATTCTGGACGAAGCCAATATTCGATCATTGGGCCGGAGGGCGAATGAAGTTTACGCTCAAGATAATATTACTGACCCGGAACTTCAACACGCCAGGATAGCGGTTATATTAGATTGGAATACGCTGAGGCGTGAAAAAATGGCGGTTCATCTTCTGCAAAAGAGGCTCCGAAACAGACCGTGGGAAGAAGCAACACCGTGGTCTTCATTTTTCCGCCGTGTTAGGTACTTGGTGTGGAGGGATCGGATAAGAGAAGCGAACGAGAGGAAGAATGCCTGGGCTGGACGGCTTGAGAAGCAAATTGAACGATTCGAGTGAGTGACCTCTTTTATAGAAGCACTGCCACAGGCACTCTAACAAAACTGCCCCTTCTAGCTCTATTGCTGCGTCTTTGCAAGCCTCTCAAACGCCCAATGTCCAACAAGGAAGTTGCCAGAACACCAACAGCCAGCAACACCAGGAGTCTCCCCAGCTTTCTTGCCGGACCGTGTGAGCGCCTGGATGGAGCATCTCAAAAACCCATACAGCGGTTGTCCTCGACGTTCTTAGGATAAATTTGGGGGGAGGCGGAAGAGGAGGAGGCAGAGGAAGAAGAAAAAAAAGGAGAAAAAGAAAGAGAGCAAAAATACCCAGCTTCAGAAATGCATCACCATATTTCTATTCCAATAGTTTAGCGACTACACCCGCACACCTAACCTAATTCATCCACTGTGCCAACATCTCCTCATCCACATCCCGCACCAAAACATGCACATGCTCCAAACTCCTCACGCTCTGCAAATTCGTCGTATTCTTAAACCACTGCACCTTGCTGCCCTCCCGATCTCCTGACTCCCCCGCCTTAACCCTAAACTCCCTCCTCACAAAGTCCTCCACAATCCTCCTCCCCTCATCCGTCAGCGCGCCCTCGTCGTCCACGGGCAGCGGCTGCTTAGACCACACGACGATGTGCGCGATGCCCGGGCTAACCGCATACGTCCAGTCGTTCTTGATGATCTTGTAATCTTCAGGGTCGGCGAAGGGCGTCGGGTTCCTGAGGACGAATTTAAACGCGCCGGTGGCGTTGAGCGGCGTCCAGAAGAGGCGCTGCTGGAGGAGGTACTGCGTTGCGCTGCCGTACTTGGCTTTTACGTGCGCGGTCCAGGCGAGGTAGGCTTTGAGGAAGGAGGGCCAGCGCTTCAGCTCGTTGAGCTGGTCGGTGCTGATCAGGTGGTGCAGGTCTTCCCAGGTGTGCGCGGTGAACTGGTCGTCGGTGATGGAGAGCTGGTGCCAGTCGATGGCGGTCAGCTGGAACGGGGGATTGTCGCGCGGGAAGGGGAGGGCGGTGGGGTCGGGGTTGCCTTTCCAGGTCGATTGGAAAGTTACGGGGTGGGACTCGAGGTCTACTGCTGTTTGCTGGCCCATTGTGACGGGGCAGAAGAAGGGTAGGTTGAGAATGGGAGTGGAAAGCGCTGTGGAAGGGTTGGGAAGCTGGTGAAGAGGTGAGAATGCGACTTGGAGAGACATGTGGGTGAGAGCGGACTATTTATTGGAGGAGGATTGATCCTTCAAATACACCTAGTTTCGCTCGGTGGGCGATGCGGCTACTTTGCATGCGCAGCGAGGACCAAGTGGCTTGAAGGTCTCCGAATGTAGGATATATATGAGCAATATGTGGTGATGTCGGCAAACTCTAGTAGACCAACCGTTGAGTCGACAGAACAAGGTGGACGCTAGATTTCTCAGGGCGGGTTCCTCGCCTTTAGACCGAAAGTCAAGACAAGCTTAAATGTACATTTGTAGGGTAAATGTGGACTTTGTAGCGCGAAAGATTGTGGATGGTGGGGCGTTCTTCAATCGCGAAGCGGAAGCGATACCCCTTTGAGCAGTAGCTCCACGTGCGCGGGTACTGGAAAGCCGTTTCTCCATTGCGATGAATGGCTTCGCAAATTCCTCTCATGATAATGAATTGTTAGTATCCTAATCCCAGGTTACAAGTCCAATGCAGTGCTACCACTGTGGTACGTTGTTCAGCAGAACGTCTACCACAATAGCAGCGGCGTAGTTTGACGCTATACCGTATTTAGTTAGCGCCATATTCCTATCGATAACGCACCTCCATCCCGTCCCATCTCATCACCAGCAACCGGCGCTCATAACAACACTATTATCCTACTAGTACGATGACTACAAAGCCTGGGGAAGATCTCTCATCATATTTCAGAAACGCACAACACCCGCTTCCCCCGGCTTCAACGCAGCCCTAATCCCCCAACGGTCGATTATGCAGGTGTGTTCGTGTCCATCCGCACACCTCCCCATCCAACAAAGTGCAAACAATTGCACCTGAAAAAACATTTCAAAGCCCACTCACTGTCTGAAGAAGCCCGGGACCATGAGGGTTGAAGGACCGACCCAGGAACGGCAGTACGTTGGGTGGTGTGTTTGTAAGCGGGATACCAACTAACTTCCCCTCTCCACCTTCGCTCCTGCTATTCAACCCATGAAATATAATATCTTGATCTGAATCGACACCGTTGGACGTACCGACTGCGAGAGAGAAGACGGGTAGGTAGCCGCAGCGCACCACGTGGAGAACACATCGAACTAACGATCTAGCACGGGTACCTCTTGCGAACACATGTCCACTAGCGGAATTCGCTAACCATCTTCCTGAGGGAAGATGCAGTGTCCCCAGATCCCAGAGACGTCCTACATCACGCACGCAATTCTCTCCCCCCTCTACACTAACACAACGCAACTCCTCCCACATATACTCTAAACCCATCGTCTAAACCCTACCACCCACCACCTACCTCCTCTTCCCCCATCGTCCTCTCATCTCCCCACCCCAAGGCATAGCTTCCCTCCCTTCCTAGCCTACACCACGCGAAGACACAGTTATCAGCAGACTCATCTCTCCGATATCAGACACCACACCACAGTGCAGCGCCATCCCTTCTAGAACGCGCGACGCTCGCCCGCACTATGCTCAAGCGTCCGCATACCACCTAGTACCTATCTACCGGAAACTTGCATGCGCACACGAAGCGAGCGGGATGACGTGCATAGAAGAGCACGGCAAAGACCGCCCGGGCATGCAGGATATGAAACGGCCGGAGCGGAGCCATCGCTGTGTGTGCATGTGCGCGATCTAGCTTTTCTCATACAGTCTATCCTGGATAGCAGAGCGGAGCGGAGCGGCGGAATGAATAAATAGTGGCGATTAGAACCCCAGGAGACAAGCGAATGGGCGCGGTGCAATACTCTGCAAGCATCCCGTGGCGCATCGATCTCGATGTTTCACGAGCAAAACACACTCTCCCCTCAAACGCATGGACCAGCCGGGCAGCAGCCACACGCTTAAAACGATAACCAAGGCGGCTAAGAGCAAGCATCAAGCAACGAGCATTATCTACATTATCTATCTAATATACAAGCCATTAAAGTGGTCATGTCATAATCATATCCCATGCCAACCCATCCATGCGGTAGTCGTAACGGAGGCGTGATCATGACGCTCATCGAAGGCGTACACGAAAGCGAGGTATCAATCATCCATCTATACAAAAGTCAAGTCATCAGAGCCAAATCGCCAAACCAGAACGAGACTCGTGAGACTCGTAAACGCAAACAGACAGCCAAACCAGATTTTAAATCCTCCTCTTCCTGCCCGGGTATAGTGCGAAGCGACGATAACCTTCCCAGTTTTGTTCCTCCTCCTTTTGGGCACCAGACGCCTAGAAGTACGAATCGACGACGTCCAGTCCGGCACGGACCGCCCACTCGACGATCTCCATGCCATTGAGCCCGCTCGCCCAGTAACTCTTGTTACACCCTTGCAGCGCATTCAACTTGGTATAGGAGCCATTACGCAGCGGCTCACTGTCAAAGTGGGGAAAATAATCCCACTTCCTGAACGCCTTGACATTCTCCTGGGTAAACGGCTCGGGTGGCGCGGTCTCATTACGCGGATCCTTGTTGATTTCGCTCAAGGTCGAAACGAGCAGATCCTCAGCGGACTGGATCGACTGGAATTCCATATACGGCCCCCAAGACCAGGATGTCGAGATGTTGGAGGCCTCGCTGAGGCGCAGCACAGCCACGGGCTCGCCGATGTTGGGTGGCGGCACGCCCGGCGCCGAACTGTTAGCGATATATGATACGCCGAAGGGGAGTGCGAACTCTATGGCCGATGAGAAGTAGTTGTGCGTGCCGACGTTTGAAAAGACGTCGTACTCTTCTTCGGTCAAGTCCAGACCAGCCCTCTCGAGGTTTTCGATATTCGGCGGGAACGCAAATATCAGCGATGAGCACTCTTGCTTGCCCCATTTGTAGAAGTTGCCGTGCGGTTTGGTATATTTAATAACAGGATTCTTTCCTGAGCGGTCGATGCAACGAATCTCGTGCGAAAGATTAATCGGGGTCTCGCAGAGCCGCTTCTTCACCCATTCCACCCAAATCTTGTTGAAGTCCGTGTAGTACACATTGTGTTGGCCGACGAATCCGGTTAGTATGTCGGGTGTAAAGTATTGTAGAATGTAGAGCTGTCACGTGTTAGCGCCCTGCATAACATCCATGTAAGCCCCGGTTTCAGGGCGACGACGAAACTTACTGCCGGAACGATCCGAATGTCGCCATATCCATATAGCGCTAGCGGGTTGGTGAGCAAAATGGGAAGTGCGGTGAAATTGTTGTTCCTAAACCACTCCTCGCCGGAAACGGTCAGGTCGTCTGGAACACCATTCTGTCGTCGTATTAGCCTCGCATCCAGCAAACACCGTTCTTGCCAATCGCACCTTGTAGCTGATCACGTCGATCGGCTTGAAGACCTGATTCCAGAGCTGTATATATCGTGGTATCTCGGCTGCCACAGCCTGCAGAAAGAGGGGGGAGGGTGCCGGGACAGGTTCGGTTGCGCCGGTGGTGATGTTGAAGAAGAACTGCTCTCTTGCACCCGCGAGTGCAAATTCTTCGATGGAGACGCCGGATTCGTCGATGATTTTCAAGGTTTCGGGGTAGGTTGCGTTCGAGAAGAAGGCGGCACCAAGCGGGTGGAATATTCCTCTAGGAGGGTGGTCAGCCGCGTCTATGGCGCTTCCGCTCGATGTCGTGCAACACTCACTCTTCATCGTAATACACCTGGGATTTGCCGCCAACTGCATCCTGCCTGTCGAAGACTACGGCCTTGATACCTTTGTCTTGGAGTTTGCTCGCTGCTGTCAAGCCTGCTGGACCCGCGCCGATGATGCACACTGGTGGTTTATGCGGCTTGGTGGGCCACGCTGAGGCTGTCAGCGAAAAATATGTGAGTAGCGGTAGCACAAGACACCACTTTGTAGGGTACCTCATTGCGAAAAAGGATCAATTGGGAGCAGAAGGGACATGGCGACGTACCACCAGCTTATAATTCGGCTGCTGGCATGGCCCAAGAGCCTTCGAATCTGCTTTTTGGTAAGAACTGGCCTTCGGCTGCACGGTGCGTTGGCAATGATTCGGGATGAAGAGCGCTAAAGGCCGAATCTGGTTGCCGTCTCAACGCCAGCTCGCGGGTTTCCAGCCTCGAACGAGCGGCAAGTGGTCGGAAAAAGTACGGTCTGGGAAAACTGGGACGAGGGACGGTCGTGCGCGGGCGCTTTGGGCTTCGATCATGACGTTTGGCGGGCTGGATTCTGCTGCACAGGCGTTGCGATTAATTTTCGAAACCCCAGCCCCTGACCTTATTCGTAGCCTAGGAAACCGGTGCGAATAGCAATTGTGCTATTTTCCCGCCGCTTCCCTTGGTCCTGACCTCAGCAATTGCTGGCTGCCTGCGAGGAGAGGCGCGCAGAGCGCATGGCGTCGTAATCGATAAAGTTACGCGAGGACTCGGTGAAATGCGGTGAACAGCTGTCCTGCAGATGTCATGCTGCATGATGCGCTATGCACAGCGATGCGCCGGTTGCGTGGTGCCGAGGCTCGCGAGGCTCAGCCCCGACCCGACGCCACGTTTGAGGACCCGCCTCGCCCACGCCAACGGGTGGTTCCTGACTCTTCAAGAGCACCGCGTGCCCTCGAATATACAGGGCTGGAGTGCCCGTCACAGCCCAGCATAACGTCGATATGTGACTGCGGGATAGCGGTCCGACTGCGTGGTGGCCTGATTTGCTCCCAGCCTCGCGCAACGCAGGGCCGCGTCGTCATGCTGAGTGGATGATGCGTTGGACCTCAGAGCCAGCTCAGCCAGCAGCAGTGAGCATGACAACTCACCAACCTCGGCCCGCCGCCGACGGCTGCCTCACAACTGTGCAGGAGGGCGCTGGGAAGAGGAGATCCGCAACGACTGAGCAATGCGACCGAGAAGAGAAGTGGGAGTGACGTGACATCTGGAGCGCAGACGACGGAAAAGCGAAATGCAAACACGGGAGACGAAATAGAAAGGCTGGCCTGTCGCACCACTGTCGAGACCCGACCACCGTGGCGCTGGAGGCGTCGCAGCGACGTACCTTGGAGTCGATGGCGATTCGGGGGAGAGGGATGAGACAGGATGCGAGCGTTGAAGTGCGGAGTGAGTGATACCTGCTGTGTATGTTGGTGGAATGCTGGAGGCAGCATCGCCGGAGCGCGCCTTCCTCATCCCTACAGAGACGCACTTGCTTGTTGCGCGAAGGGAAGCCGCGCCCCTCGAGAACACGAAACACGCGCAAAGGAGATGGGTCGACGTGATTGCATTACCTGCGTACCGCTTGAACACCTTCGCTGACAGCCGAATCAGGGGGATATAGAGCGCCCGAAGCCGGAGAAAAGAAAGCAGAATGATGGAGGTGACGATGCTTTTGAAGGAAATGCGGACACGGTGTGCCGAGCAGGAGCGATCCGACAGCAGTCTACTAATAATTGCGGGTGCACCGTATGCCTGTATTAATTCAAGGAAAGAGCGAGGAAAGAAGAGGAAAGAGAGGCTCAGTACATGTACGACTTCTGCTGCTCAACGTCGTACCCGCTCTTGTCTGTGCTGCCGCTCATCGGCCGGACGCCAGAGTTGACGTGGACGTGCGCGCCCGCCGTCACCGGTCGCGAATCGCTGTCGGTCAACTTGCGCGTGTCCATCTCGACTTGCTCGATGACCGGCGTGACCTTCTCTCTGCGCCGGCTGTGGCCGGATCCGTTGGCGTACCGCGAGCCCTGCGAGCGCGCCCGCGACGGAAAGAGCAGCGGCTTCAGGGCGGGGATGCACCCGCATACCACTCCGACGTTCGTCTCAATCGCCGTCCACAGCCAGATCTCGTAGCCGTACCACGTCGCGTCGTACGTCTTGTAGAGGACGTAGTGGACCCAGTACGCGCGGAAGCTGCCGGCGACGACGATGACACCGCCGACCGAGAAGAGCACGGCGAGGCCGATGCGTTGCGACATAGGGAGTGAGAGGCTAAAGAGCGTCGGGATGGGCAGGGCATATATCATGAAGTCGGTTACCACGTTGATGACAGTCTGTACTATAAGAGGCGGGCCTTCTGGGATGCAGTCGCGGCTGTCGGCAAGGAGCGTCCAATAGCTGGTAATCGGCCTGCCATCGTCAGCACTCGGGCGAAGAGATAGGGCGGATGTACACACATGCATTGCAGCCAAAGCGCGATGAGGAAGGTGAGGAAGGCGGCAAACACGATCCCAAACGTCCCCCAGATGAGCTTTCGGAACAGCGACTTATCGGGCGCGATGCGGAAGTACGACACCAATATAGACATCTTCACGAAACTCGACGCGAGCACGAAGAGGGTTTGACCGGCCATTGATGCCTAGACGGTGTCAGAAGGAAATACTGAGCAGTGGTTGCGGACCACCCACCTTCCGACCGGTCTCCAATGTCGCAAGCTTCGCATCCCAGACATGGATGTTCCACCCGTACAATTGGGTCGCCATAATGACCAAGGCTGTTGTGCCACAGGAGAAGATCTGGTCCCTGTCAGCAATCGCCCCTGTGCCACCGGACTTCACAACCCACCATCGCGGCCACCATCAGGTAGTCGTCCCACCAACTCCTGTGGAGCCAACCAATTCGTATCCAGAGCCGCAAGAGTACGCATGTGAGAGCAATCGGGACCAGCGTCAACTCCACGATCATGAGACCAGGGCCCCGCGTGACGGGGTCGACGTAGTTTGGTCTCGGCCAAGTTGCCAGAACCTCTGCCGGTGGGAACCTCATGGTGAACGAATGGAAAGGTTGAAGTACAGTGCAGTACTTCTTCAATTGACTTTGGGATGAAAATGAGAGTGGAGCATCACCACTTCCTCGAAGCACGGGACAGGACGGCCAGATATATGCCTCTCCTCAGACGGCACAGTCCGCTCCTCAGCTACGCCGTGGGCCAGGGCCCATCTCCACAATGGCAAAGTGCATGCTGAGGGGTCTATGCAGAATTGTCCAGATCGAGGCACGAGTGGAACACCCGCAGCGACGCTACGCTGCGCTCCGTCGCGGGTACTGGATGACATGCCGCGACACCTTTTCAGGGGTCCCGGTACTTCGAGCCTCTCAGTCAGCGCGCCCGCGCCGCGGCCTCCCAGTACAAATATCGAGGTCTCATCCCTTTGGCCAGCCCGAGTGGGGCTCTACGCCGCCAGGAACAGGCAACTCGTTGATGCGCCTCGCCGTTGGACAGCTTCGGAAGACGCGATCGGGGTGGGCGGGCCAATCGCGTAGCGAATGCCGGGGTAGCTGAGTGCCGGCATGGGGTCGGCGCTTCTGGCCGCATTACATCCGCCATGTGATTTGGGGAGTCCGTGATGAGCCCATAATTGGAATTACGAGGCTTGCGGCCAGAATTCTGTTGAGCTCTGGTCTATACGATGATGGCATGATCGTCTGCGAGTTTTGGAACTGTCTTTGATGGTTTGGGTGAGGGGGACGCGACCCTTTCGAATCGGGCCCTAGCGGCAGCGGGTGATCGCCAATCAAAGCGCACGACGACCACCGACAAATCAGATCGCCCAGACCCGCCAACACTTGTGATATCTAATATCCCGAACTACGAGACCGTTCAGGCGGGGAAAAAGGAAGATGGAGCGGCGCCTGTCGCCTGTCTCCCTCGTGGGCTTGCGAACCCGACCGTCTCCTCACCCGTCCCTTAGGTCCACCACGGCTTGCAATGACGTCCGTATCCGGGTACACCTTCCCTGGCCACTGCGTCAGCATCCGCATTTCTTTTGTTAGAACGAACTGGGGGCCCGATACCGTCTATCATGCTCGATCATCCCCTCCAGCCATTTCGTGGCGTGGCAGACACGGCGTGGGAGGGGAAAGTCCACTTCCACGCCCTTAGCCCCTAGCTCGAGCAATCCCGGAGGCTGAAGAGCAAATTGTGGTCCCATCAGAAGCTGTAGACCTAGACTAGACTCCGCATCCAGGAACGGAGTTCAATTCGTCGCAAGCTTTCTAGGCGAACACGAGGTCTCGTTCCATCCCGGCTCGAACATTCCTACCCCCGCGGCACTCAAGTGTCTTCAATCAGGGCCTTCCTTTTGGCCCGGAGCCGATGTTCCGTCAGCCTTTGAGTTTGCCTTTTCGCCCAAATGCGGTTCGCACACCAATGTGCGTCCAACGCTCATGGAGTCTCACTGTCATTGAAGGGACGGGTTGCTATCTAGCGGAGAATGCGAGACGGTTCTCTCACATACACACGACGACGCCAGTGTCTCCGCCGTTTTCTTCAACCTTCGGTCCCCCAATTAGCGTCAGTTGCGATGGGTGGGGTTGCGATGGACGAGACCGCGTCGTTCAACCTCCGAGTCTCAACGGGACGGCTGCGGGACGGTATCAGTTCCCTCCTTGCCTTCCTGAGAGACGGAATACAGTTTGGAATGCAACCAGCCCCTCTCATAATTCCACCAACAGACCTTGAACGATTGCCTCGTTGCTGTGATGAACAATGCCACTGTCACATCCTGCCCCTGCTCGGCCCTTTCCACCAGGCCCGCCATTCTCGCCGATGTCCCGTCTCCGGCTTTCGGATGCAGGCCCCGGCATATCAGGGCTGTTGGAGTTGGCGGTCGAACGATCGTCTCCCTAGCACGTTCTACCGGTATGTCGTCTCCGCATTTGCCCCGGCCCAAGGCATCAGGCAGTGGCGGCCTGAGATTCAAGGCAACAGGCTTATGGCTAGCGAGTGGCAAGAAACCAAGACACCTGGAGCGCCCAACCGGCAAAAATATCAAAGCACGGCTTCGAGGGTAGGCTGACGTGAACAGCAAAGGCTATGGGGCATTCGTCTGATTGCCGGTTATGCAGTTGTGCAATACACCTCGAGGACCATTTCACGTTGTGGAAGGCGTCACGGCGAGCGGATCTCGCAGCTACCCCTAAAGACGAGAGGAACTTCTGCCTCCTCTCATCAATCTGTCCTGGTCGCCCAACTGCCAGACCAATCCGCACGGTCACTCGGACACTTTTCATTGGACTAGCTCCGATGGACTTTCCACGCCTCTACGGCCTCAGACCGATTCTTATGGGGCAGCAAGCCGTGATAGCCTTCGACGAGTTCGCAGCTCTTTCGAACCATAATGTGATGGGCTGCAGCTTCGGTCTCATGTCTTCCACTGAGGACCAATGCCGAACTAACCTTCGCCAACACGCTGAACATCGTCATGTCAAGCTCGTCTCAGATATGCCTGCTCTCACTTTGCATAGTTCCGATCATCGCAATCACAGCGTGCTGCGTTCTTGCATTGTCTCGTCGCCCCCCTTATCGCCCAATGCCCGGCCAGCGTCCTCTCTCCCAACCACCCTCTTCCGAACAAGCCTGCCTCAGGTATCCTTGTCGTCGCTCACGACCCACCATAGCCAGGTTTCTGACAAGGGAAGGCGAACGTTCAAATGCCGGATGTCTTCTGAGCGCGCAACTCCACTCCCTGATCATCGCCACCCATGCAATTTCCCCACGAGCTTCTAGTCGACGTTGCATCAAGCGGTACACTCGTTACTTTTCCCGTGGCAAGCGATGATCTCGCGACGCACAACATTGCGTACCCGGAGCGCACAACTTGCCTTCTCGCATTCACAACTTCTAATCATCAGTGGCAGCACGCCCATCACACCTCCCGAGTGGGGGCGAATATGAATAACTAGCTCGCAATCCATGCTTCGTAAGCGCCCCGGGGTTCTCAGCAAAGCAAGCCTGTGCTTACCATTATGGCTTCTTTTCGTGCCGCACAGGAGCCCTGTGGAGACAGAGAGGGCGGTGAATTCTTGTCGCCCATGGCAGGCAGATGAGAGTGCGCATAGTAATTTTCAACTGAGCTTGCCGTGCGCTGTCTTAGCGATACTACGAGTGCCTGGCAGATTAACGCATCAAAAGGCGAAGTTGAAAATCACGAAGTCATCATTATCGTCGTGTCTCGGGTAGCTATGTTCCCAGCTATGTCGCCAGACCAAGGAGTGAATTCCGAGTCACCGTTTTACCCAGTGAGAGAGGACCACAGACAGCAAGCACCTCTCTCCAACCAGCCTTCATTTTCCGGAAAAAGCAACTGACAGACCGTCTCTCCTACCAAGCCAGACTCGACCGAAAGTAGCATAGGTAGGTAAGTACGTACGCACCCATCGTGCCATCTAGCCCTGCCACTTCGTCCTCCTCTGCCGGAACATACTCACCATACCAATAGGCAGCAGCCCCGGATCCACCACATTCAACCCCCCAAACCGCTCCACCATCTCGGGCCCATACATCTGCGCCACCCACTTCCAATACGGCTCCATGCCATACAGCTCCGCCGTGATGCCGCGCAAATTGCTCTGGCCGCGCAGCTGCTCGATCTCCTGCCTCACCTTGGCGCTCACATCGATGCTCTCTTCGGCCGGCCGCTTCATCAGCTCCCGGTACACGCCGACCAGGCTCGCTTTTCCCGCGCTGCGGAACTCCTCGCGGTAGCGCGCGAATTCGTCGAAGGGGAAGAAGGTGTCTGGGTCCTGCGGGGGCTTAAAGTTGGGCTCGTCGGCGTCGTGGCGCAGGGCGTGGATGTCGCCTTTGTCGAAGACGCGCTTGGCGGCGGCGTAGTCGTCGCGCTCGGCTTCTTCGTAGTCGGTCAGGAAGGCGGTGGGGTCTTCCTTGACGGACTCGCGGATCTGGAGGAGCCCGACGAAGGGGGACTTGAGGTCCAAGCCGCCCAGCTCCACGGGGAAGAAGAGGAAGCCGTCGGGGATGTCTTTGACGGCGAAGCGCTCTTCGATGGTCTTCTTGAGGAACTGCACGACGTTGCCGCCGTTGAAGATGCTCTCTTGGATGTGCCGGTGCGTGGCTAGCATCTTGTCGACGTGCTCGCGCCCGAAGCAGTTCGCTGCCTTGCCGAAGTTGGAGCTGAAGAACGTCGCTGCATACGTGTTCCAGGCCTGGATCCAGTCGATGACGCTCTTCGACTTGCCTTGCAGCTGCTTGCGGAGCTCCTCGATGTGCGAGTCCACCATCTTCTCGTCAATCTCAAAGCGACCGCTGGCAGCGTCTAGGTACAGGAAGCCCCACCGAATTTCACCTGCAGGAAGACGATCATCGATCTCGAGCTCTACGCCAGCGTCGCGAGCGATACGAACGCTTCCCGTCTTAGTCTCATTCAGCTAGATAACATTAGCGGGAAACATGGCAGAAATTCGGCGTGTCGCTGCTGCTTACCTGCACACCCATGGCCTGAGTGAACTGAAGGACGCTCGCCCAAGCCTGCGCGCACTTCTCGTAATCCTTCGACCAGAACCAAATATCATCATACAAGCGATGCAGCATCCCCCCATCCGTAGCCTGATTGACCGAGAAGTCCAAGCACGCCAGCACAATCTCGCCAAAGACATCGCTCAGCGTGTGCGAGCCGGGTGTACCACGACGACGAAGCCGAGGAGCGGATGACTGGTCGTCCGTAAACTTCAACGGAGCGCGCAAGAAGGTGCCGAAGAAGGCCAGCCACTTCTCCGAGACACCGAAGAACTCGAGGGTAGTGAGGACGGTGTCGTGCGGAAGAAGCGGATTCCAAGACTCAAAGAAGGAGCGGAAGCAGGTCAGCTCGCCGTACAGGTGCCGGTTGATGACGATCTCCGTGGAGAGCAGATGGAGCAGGTTTTGCTTCGCTTCCATGGGCCGCTTTACCTGTTGATACTCGTCGTCTGCATCGTCGTCGTCGTCGTCGTCGTCGTACGACTCCTCGAATAAGGTCGGGCCCATTCGACGAGCCCTCTTCGGAGCCTGCCTGTATGCCACTGATGATTGACCCGTCTGCATTGCCTGAGCCCCGTAGGATTGCATTTGCATTTGCGGCATTGTCATCTGGTTCATAGCCATGGGCATCTGCTGCGTAGCACGTCGCGCCGTCTGCTTCGCTCGCCCGCGCTTTCGGGGTCGATCGGCGAACTCCTCGAACTCGGCTTCCTCTTCGCCCTCCTGTATGTCGACCTGCTGCATGTCGTGGTCGAGGAGTTGGTGCGCGAAGTAAAGATTGCGGTGGGTCTTGGCGCGTTTCTCTTCGAGATTGGGATGCTCCTCGGTGCCGTTAGGGCCAAGATAGTATTGCCGACGCAAGCGGTCCATCTTGGGCACGGCGGTATGGTTGGTCTTCCATGCTTCTTTGCGGAGGGATAGGAATGCGGACTTGAAGAAGACGGACCACTTGACGCCGATATAGTGCAAGAAGATGGCCTGCAGAAGGTCCTCGTGCATGTGGATGCTATAGCTGCCGTTGAGTTTGCGGCGCTGCTCGAGGGGCACGTGGTCACCCCAGGTCCATCGGCCCAAGGCAGCCATGCGCATGTTAAGCACGTCGGCGATCTCAGCCAGGATGATGTCGTTGCTCAGGAAGTCTTTGAGGACCTCGCGCTTCTCGTTGGAGAGGAGGTCAGAGCTCTGCAGACCTTGGATGACCCACTTCAGGGTCTGGACATTGAACTGGGTCGGGCCGCTAAGCCCGTTCTCGAACTGCTGGACCTTCTCGCGAAGGTCGCGCATGGCTTTGGCGACACTCTTCTTCTTGGCGATGAACAGCTCCTCGAGATAGCCTTTCAGCGCATTGATATCGACACGAGCAGGCTCGAAGACTACCTTCTCCCACTCGGCCCGCGCCTCCAGCTTCTTGGCACCAGGCAGCTCTTCAAAGCTCTCCGCCATCTCCACATCGCCATCCGCCGGCGTAGTCTTCTCCGACGACAGCCACTCCGTGACCAGCTTCCCGTACAGATCCGCATACTGGTACTTCGCAGACTGCACAGCGAGGTACTGAAGCAGCGACTTCTCCCAGTCCTCCAGCACCTTCGGCGAGACCGAGGGATCGTAGCGCGCCTGCTCCAGGAAGCGGTCTAGGTTCTTGAGATCGGTTTCCAGGCGCGGATTCCGCGTCGAGCCGACGAGGACATTGCCGCGGCCGCTCTTGGACGGCACCGTCGCGACGCCCAGGCAGCTCTTGGTGCCGTCGACGAGCATCAGGAGGCGCGTGAGGGGGTCCAGCTCTTTTTCTGCGCCGGCGAGCAGACCCGCATGCTGCTTCTCGAAGGCGCTGCGCTGCGCGGCGAGCTCCTCGAGCTTCGTCGTCGTGATGGTCTGCAGGGTCTCGCTGAAGACGCTGCCGGAGGACGCCATGGTGAAGCGCTCTTAGCAGAGCTTTGCGTGGGTAGAGGTAGACGGAGAGTCGCAAGGCTGGCGGCTCGTTCAGTCGATGAACTTGCTGGTACTATGAGGCACTTGATATAACTGGTACAGTACCCCACAGTCGACAACCTCGTAGACGGTGCCAAGTTATCAAGTATACAGCAGAACAAAAGAAAGCAGAGAGGGGGAAAAGTCCCAGCTTTATACCTGCGCGTGGCGTGAGTGCATCGATTCTGCACAGCAAAAGAGGGGGTTGAGCTCAGGCAACAAGCGCTTGGCAGGCGGCCTCCGCTGCAATCCTGCGGCGTAATAAGGCTGTCCCAAGTCTTCCCCCTCCTTTTTGTACTACCCGTAACGTCGCGCTTGCGGGCCGTTGCAGATTTGCACACCACACTTCACTGCATCTTCGATCACTCACTCGCTAGGCAGCAGCTCAGACCGGACTACAGCGAAATCGCTGTGCGTTAGTTCGAGTTCGTGTCTAACTAAACTAATTAATGAACGGAGGGATTGTGGCGCAGCGCAGTTTCTCCTGTCGCATGACTCGTCGCAGGATGTGTCCTCGATCGATGTACTTTCATGTTGTCGTGTCGTCGGCGTTCGTTGTGCTGGACGTCGACTAGCTTGGTGTTGCGGCGCACGGGCCGAGTGTGACGTCACACGCGTCGTCCCATCTTAGCGTGATTGACCGGGTGAATGCCTGCGGTGACTGTGAAAGTGAAGGTGAAGGTGAAAAGTAGCGGGCTATTGTGCAGTAATCTACACCTAAATTCGGGACTTGCCTTTTTAGGAAGGTTGGAATGCGCTCCGAAGGGGAAGGGGGCCGCTCCGTATCCGAGATTTACTGCTGCAAAGTTTCCTCGCGCACACACACACACTCTCTCCCCCCCCCCGCACACTTCCTTCACGATCACCTTGGTTATTAGAGTAGGCTTTGTTGAAGGATCGCTGTACGGCTCGCTTCTTCGCCGTGTGCTGGACGAGGGCGGATTATGCTCGTGTTCGTTCTTTTTTTCATTGCTCTTAACTCTGGTGCCTCATCTCGCATCCTACCAGACTAGACGTCATGTTGGATATTCTTTCCCCAGCGTATTGACTATGCGTGGAGTATGGATTTACTCTGTTTTGCGCGATCTGGCCCATCTTCGCCTAGGGGGTGTAATGTTGCTGTTTGGTTAGGTCTGCATTGAAAACCCGGCTGAGTGAATAAGGATGGCTGAAGGGGGATGGAAATGGGCACGGTGCGGTGTAGTGTTCGGGGCTTCTGGTTCTGGTTTTGGTTATGCCTGTTGATGGCGTTGAGATGGCTGATTCAAATCTGCCTGCATCGCCGATGAGACTGACACTGGGATAATTTCAGTAGCGAAAGGATCGTTCAATCCTTCTGCTCTTTCAGTTATGACACCTTATATATCCGCCAACAGATGACGATAGGTTGTGGCGGGTATTCCACCCGGAACGATTGCTGGTAACTAAACTGAAACTGAAGCTATTTAGGACCTCGGCTATACTAGTTAGTAGCAAGTGAATGTAGGTTGGGACGGACGAATGCAGTGAAACCAGACGCTGTAGGAAATCGCAAAACGTCATAGCAACTTCACTCCAGGCATACAGACTCAACCTCCACCCCCACCCCGCCTAGCCCCCCTCATCCATGGCCAAAGCCGACTCCGCCATGAACCGCCTCGACGAGCTGCGCCTACAGCGCGAGCTCAAGGAGGTACTGCTCGGTAAGCCCTAGCTCGGAACCCAAAGCCGTCCCATTCCCTCACTAACCAGAAAATCAGAGCACGTGCGCGCCATCTACGGCCCCTAGAACCCCGCGAACCATGGCTTCGACGTTATCACCTGCCGCAAGCTCGAACCCAAGGCGGGGGAAAAGCTTGTCGCTCGCGCTATCGTGTATACGCAGCCGAACTTCGGCGGGTGGAAGCTGCTGAAGGAGGGTACGACTTCGTGCTACGGGGTCGTTCCTTTGTTCCAGGAGTTTTCGAAGGAACTGGAGCGCGAGATGGCGGTTGTATCTGGTACGTACGTGGAACAGACATTGAGTAAGCTGAGTGAGCGCACGCTGACTAGCCCAAGGAGGTATGAGAGCTGGAGACTTTTATCACGGGCGGGAGGAAGGGAGTTTGATATGAGGAAGTCATGATGGAGTTCTTGACTGGAGCTCGGGAAGTCGCGATGTTGCGAATTGTGCTGGCAAATGGGCCCTAAGGTGCTAGGGAGAAGTGCTTACTACTCACGAAGTTTCCTCGTCAACAAATACTAGCCATCAAGCCTTCGCTTCTTTCTCCTCCCACGCCTTCAGCGCAGCGGCAGACTTCTCCGCCCCGAGATGGTTCCCCACCCCCGCAGCGGCCTTCAGCCCGTCCGCCATGGAGACGGTAACCTGCTTCATCATACTCATCGTATCGCCAGCCGCAAACACGCCCTTCACGCTCGTCTTATTGAACATCGGGTCTACGATCTTGACGTGCCCACCCATCGCGGGATCCACCGTCTCCAGCCCCAGCTGCTCTACCAGGTCCTGCGCTCGATTGACCGTCGGCGGCCTATGCGCGATGAAGCCCAGCGTCACCGGCTCGCCTGTTTCAAATTCGATGCTCACGCCCTCGACATGCGAGGGCCCGTTGTTAACAAGCCGCACGATCTTCCGCTCGTCTACTTTCGCGCCCAGCGCCTTTGCGACTTTCAGCGCCTGTTGGACAGGCGCGGCGCTGGAGATCGGCCCGTTGCTGAAGACGGTGACGCGCGGGTCGAAGTTCAGCGCCATGGCGACGTAGTGCGCATGCATGGGGCTGCTGAATTCAAGGATGCCGATCGGCGTCCCGCGCTGCTCGAAGCCGTCGCAGGCAAGGCACTGGTAGATATGTCGCGGCCAGTTCTCCGCGTAGCCGGGGATGTCGGGAAACACGTCGCGCGAGCCGGTTGCCAGGATCAACTTCTTCCCACGGTAGGTCTGGCCCGCGCTGTCCGTCACTTCGAAGCCGTCGTACTTCTCGCCGTCCCCGATGGGCTTCTTGGCCGCTTGCGTGATGGTCGCGTTCTGGAACCATATGGTCTCGTAGCGGGTCTCGATTTGCTCGCGCGAGATGCGGCGGAACTCGTACGGGTCGATGTGGTCTCTTGAGGGCACGGCGTGCATGTGCGTGATGCCTTCGTTGCGGTAGGACGACGAGTCGAATACGATGGCCGTTGCGCGGGTGCGGGCGAATGCTAGGGCGGCGGTGAGTCCGGCGGGGCCGGCGCCGATGATGAGGCCGTCGACGATGTTGGGGCGGGGCGCCATGGTGCTAAAGGACAATAGGGTGCGTGATTAAGAGGCTGTGATCGAGTTTCTGGCTCGAGGTGTGTGCAAGGTGATGCAAAGCAGATTGTGTTGGAATACTAGACTCAGGAAAGGAGGCCGTTCTTATGTAGCCTTCCACTTCGCTCTGGACGTCGCTGCAGGGTGCGTATAGGAATGAAAGACTCTTGTAAACACGTTAGACGGAGCAAGACCCCACTAATACTATGCTCTTCAGGCGCTGTGGCGCATCAGCTTTTAGCGTTCTTGCACCGATACTGTCCGGTAGGATTGCGCCCACACATACGAAGTCTCCGAAATGTCTCCATAACGATAGACGAACGGAGTGGATTTGAGGAATACAGTATATACTGGTAAGCGCACGTATGTAGAGAGAAAGAGCTCGTGTGAATCTCGCTCGGGGGCGAGGATTGATCCTGACGGAAAGTTTTAGATGTTTGGGATGGGAGGGCGTTGAGATAGGAGGCTTGTGACGTACCTAGGGAGAAGCCCGCTGTTTTTGACCAATCATATGGCGGTATGGCCTGGTGAGTGCGTAACGAGAGTCCGAGTTTTAGTGTTTCCAAGGTTTGGATGGGAAAGCGTGAGAATGAGAGGTTTGTAACGTAGCTAGGGAGAAGCTCGCCATCCTTAACCAATCACACCGTAGAATGGCCCAATGAGTCCGTAATGCTCGTCCTTCGAGTTTTTGGAGGTCATAGTATACCTTTTACCGGGGTTCTATTGGAATGTGAGAAACTTCTGAGGATCTGAGATATATACTGTTAGCTATCTAGCTATTTGCAACAACTTAGGGAACCACAGCTCAAAAAGATAAAAACAAAAACAAAATAAAAAGGTTCTAGTGCCTGGGCCGTTCGTAGCCTAACCTGAGGCAGAAAGAAAGCTAGTTTAATTGGCTGTCTTCGAGGGTTACGAGGTCCACCTCACGTCCATGGTGGAAGATTCCCATCCTTTGCATGGCATATAGCGACCACAATTTCTTTGTGGTTCTAGCCCGTTTATCGGCAGGTACAATCTCATCTGACCCCAGACCTCTTTGTGCAGGGGCGCTCCACCTTCGTACCTCGGGGTTGGCTCGAGCGGACCTGCGTCGCCCATCTTGAATCCTTTGTTGATGCACTTTTCCTTCCACTGTAAAAGGATGGGACTGTCGGGCTTACGAGTGACGGAGTAGATAACGCTGGAGGAGGTAACGCCAGAGTAGATCTCGTCGCAGAGCATTCCAGCGAGTCCTGTGGCCGTATGCGCTAGGATATGGGAGGCAAACTCGCGAACATCAATACCGACGCTGTTCGTGAGAACAAAGGTATGCTCGTCGATCTTCGCGAATCCGTCCGCATGGTCCACAACAACAACGCCCTGCTTGCCCAGATATTCCTTGCAGTTGCGGCAATACCTTGGATCCTGCGCGAAAATGTCGATCTTTCCACCACCACCGCTCCGGTCTTGCTCTTTTGCTAGGGCATTGCCGATGGTTATTGCAGTGAGATGCTGTAGATATGCCCTCGCTTTGTGGGCCATGATTGTGCCGGGCCCCAGATTTCCAAGCCCGAAGCACACAATACGGTCGACGTGTTTCATCCTTTTCGCATTCTTCGTCAAGTGTCCGACAAGCTCTTGGCAGAATTGTGGCTCCTCCCACTCTAGGCCTGCCTCGCGGAAATCCTCCTGGACAGCCTCGCAACAAGGCGGGGAGTCCACGTCATCCTCCTCCAAGATACGGTTCACCCAGAGGGCACAATGACGTCCGCCGCGAATGCTAGTGTATCTGGGCCCTTTCAGGCTAGCTAGCTCTTTACTAGATTGGAGCTGAAGCACTGTAGTTGTATACCGAGATTACGCGTATGGAGTCGGGTCGCGCCATTCTCTGGGCCGGATCGGCCCACTCTCCACCACTTTGCCGAAGAATGTCCCTTGAAGTGAAGGTACCTCCTTTTTCATTTATACTGTTGACCTGCTCTATTGCGTCCTTCAAGATCTCTGGTGACAATCCAGTTCCTATCGTCTGCATGCGCTGTCTTATAGAAGCGAGAGTTTCTGGCTCCGGCTCCGGCTCCGGCTCGTCGGCCATCGTGCTTGCGGAGCAGCGAAGTCTCGATGTGATTGCCGCGCAGCAGGTAGGAAAAGGGTGCCGTAGGAAGGACATTGTAACTTTAGACAGAAATGCAAACGAGGAGTAGGTAGGAGGACGCTGGGAATGCTGGGTGCTCGTGCTTTATACCATTGGGACCTTGGGAGTCATCGTGTCGCTGGGTGACTGATTTATGAATGTTAGTGTAGTATGAGCCACCAAGTCTATTCCAGAGTCACCCGAAGGGCAAAAGGGCGCCTGCTTCAGCGGAGGTTGGCAGTGCTGCTTGAGGTTCTTTGTGGAGTTCTTCTCGGTGTAGAGGTGAATTTCCCTAAGATGGCACTTCTGTATGGAGCGATGGAGTCTTGCAATCGAGATGGTGAGATCTAAGGGTCATCCGTGGCCGAAGATGGAGCTGGAGTCATAGAGTGCAAGACTCAATCCGACTTTGAGTTTTCGAGTGCAGTAGGTCGCTCCTATCAATAAATAACCAATGGGAAAAGACGATTCGAAGATGTAGACTCTATGCATAATACATTTAGTGCTCGCCGCATAGTCCCGAGAGATGCGGTGTCTCGTACAACGCCGTCCCGGGATGCCGATCGCCGGGACGTATGGTGGTAAGGTACGCTGGTGGAATGGCTACCAGAAGGATAAAGCCACAGGCGGAAGGGTTAGGAACAGCTTAGTGGCCCATTCGTACTCTTGTAGAGAGGCGCGATTTAGCCGATCACATGACTAGGCTAGTGGCTGATTACTCAGCTCAGCATTTCCCCCGCCCGGACCCAGTGCGGGTCAGGAATCATCACCATTATTGTCATCGCCAATATTATCATCAATTTCAACGTCTTCTTATCATGGAAATATGCTCGGATGACTTCTTTGACTCAAAGCTTCCAATATACAAGCCGACAATGTGCGAGAGTCATCGAAGCCCTGCCGCCCGCGCCTATCCGGTTGCGAAAGGCGTCTACTGGGAACGAGCAGGTCATACGGGGAAAAAGGAGAAGCGGAATGATAACTTGAATTTGTCCATGACTTAGCAATGGGTATGTACGATTCTATGCGAAGATTCTCGCCCCTCTTTGTTCATACGCCCAGAACTCCAGCAACCCTCATTACCAGCACCGAACGCCGCTTCCATTGTGCTCATTTGCAGCCCATCCCTTCTTCGACTCGGCGATTGCCTCTGCCTGCGTCCTCTCCGACGGCGAATTCCCTCACGCAAGAGGTGCGGGGAGGGCAACGTCATCTTTCGGCGTTGGGCAATGTTCAGACCAACGAAGATGCTGCTCCACGTGGCAACAGGCAGTGGCCTGGTGAGGACCGCAAACCTCAAATCTATGCTGGCGGTGGTGGTGGTGGCCTGCTGGCGAGACGCTTTTCCCGTTCCTCCTGCGGCAGCAGGTCCCATTCGGCGACATTCTTATCCCACTCCTTAACGCAATCGGGCGCCCAGTTGCACTTCTCGACCTCGCCGTACATGGGATGATTGTGTCTCGGATGGCGAGTCGGCCACCCTGAGGCGTGATAGTGGTGCTTGACGAGCGCTCCCCGAGAATCATGGTTGCCTGAGTCGGAGTGACCTTGGCCTGCAGCAAAAGCTTCCACGTTGAGGACTAGTATGCCCCCAATGAGTTTCGACTCGGCCAGGTTGTGGAAGGCGTCCCACGTCACCGCTTTGCCGTGGTTCTGCACCGCCATCTGGTCGAGCACCGCCTTGGTAAATGCGGAAGGACCAGTGCCGCTGATGACCTCGTTGAAATCCAGCTCCAATTGCCCAATGGGAACGCCTTTCTGCCGCGCAAGATCGTGGAGCCAGTCCTGGATGTTCTCGATCAGTCGCATCATTACCGGGAGCCGGGGCTTGGCCGCAAATGTCCATTGGCAGAACGATTGGCACTTGGAGCCCAGAATTGGATGATCCACGAAGGCCGGCTCGTCGATCTCGACACCAATGATCATGTCAACATCGTGCTCGTTGTAGCGCTCTGGTATGAATCGATTGACTGGTCGGAGGCATTCGACATCAATATCAGCGTAGACGCCGCCCTCTGCGTACATAATGAGGTACCGCAACAGATCGGCCTTGATGATGGTAATGTTGACCTCGCGGTAGAAGTCAACGATGTCGGGTCGGTTGAGGCCATGGACACCGTACTGCCACTCGACGTATTGCATGTCGTTGTCGTCGGTCAGCACTTCGTACCTCCACTTGGGATTCTTGGCTGGCCAGGTCTTCGCCGTCGTCGAATCTCGTTCCTCGAACTGGAGCGGTCCCGTCTTCCATGTCTGCCAAATCTTTCTTGGAATGACGGTGCCAGCCGTCTTCAGGGGCTGCTGGTATCTCAGTTCTCGCTTGTACTTGTGCGCGGCCCGAATTGGAGCGGTGAAGAAGTGGGTGTTGGCGAAGAAGACGAACAAGCAGATAAGCACAAGATAGGCGGGCAACACTCTCCGGACTTGGGCAGTCAGCTTGCCCTGAAAATGGGAAGCAATTGGAGAGTGTGCGGGCATCTTGGTGTCGAGACGGAGCTTGAGAGGAGGAGGCCTGTATGACCGAGGGCGCATGCTGAAGTTATCACGAAATTACAGGAGCCGCCCTTTCAACCAGCCGCGCCAGGAGCTACGATAAAATGAGCTGAGAGCTACCCCGGTCGCTCTCATCCCCCCATCCCTCGGCCAGTGGCGATCTCTAAGCTAGAAATTGGGCCTCGGCGGCGGTCCGACATGACGTCGACGGGAAGTACCATTGGGCGCCGGATCTACTCACGATACGTACCCAGACGGCAGGTCGAAAGAGGAGGTAGACAAGGAGGCATATTGCGTGTGCAATAGGAATTGGGTAAACTTGGACGAGCATCCCGGGAGAATGAACCAAGGAGGATCCCTACTCCGCCAAGCTAAAGCTTATCCGGGTAGTCTCCGAGAGCGCAGCGGCCGCCTATCCCTTTTAGGCCGTGACTACAACTACACCTGCAGGCTACGCCCCTTCATCTGCCAGGGACTGCCCAACCACATCCTTCACATGAGGCCGACAAAACAATGCACCGTGGCACGCATGTGAAGCCGACGTGGAGCGTTGGTCGATCTCCGCCCGTTTGTGGGCGGCTCCCACTAACCTTATCCCCGCAGCTGCAGCGAACCCCGCAGATCTAATCCTGCGCGACCACCCTTGGAGCTGTGCACTCATGCAGCTCGGGAATGAGTTGTGCTTCCCTGACCCGCGATGCGCTATCGCCCTCAAATTGTGGGCTGTTTTATGGAAGCACCGGTAGCGAGCATCGTGTCTCCCACCCGACGGGATTCTGCTGCCCTTCTTTCAAGAGCAGTCTCACTCCCCTTTGGCAATTATCTTCTACGCATCCCATCCCATTACGAGCGAGTCGCCACGAGGCCTTTCTGCTCACAATGCCGTCCAAGTTCGAAGGACTGTTGGACTGCGGTCGCCTGGAGGATGTCAACCTTAACTCGGCGTCCTGGAAGCCAATTCGGGCCTCCAGATGGAGTTTCGACCTGGTGCGACCGGAATTCCTCGCCCTGCGGCCTGGCAGCCCGAAAAGTCCTAGAAAGCCCATCAGACGGACAGCCTGGCTCGACGGGTTGAGGGGATTTGCAGCACTCACGGTCTACTTTCATCATCACCAGCTCTGGGCGCACAACACCATGGGCAACTCCATCTACGAGAATGCGTTTGGCTACGACGGAAAGCACTACTTCGTTGCCCTACCCTTTGTCCGCAACTTCTTCTCGGGCGGTCACTTCGCTGTGGCCATCTTCTTCATCATCTCGGGATACGTTCTGTCCGTCAAGTCGATGAGCCAGATACAAAAAGGCCAGTCCTCTAGCGTAGGAGACACTGTCGGCTCCGCCCTTTTCCGCCGCTGGTTGCGACTCTATATCCCCGTCATCGCGGTCACCTTTCTATGGATGTCCCAAAGCCACTGGTTCGGGATCTGGAGCGACTTTGGCGAACCGAAGAGCAGTTACCGGGAAGAAGTCTGGACATGGTACTCGAATTTCAAGAACTACAGTTTCGTCTTCCTGACCGGCAACGTGTACGAATTCCCTCTGCTGTACCATGCGCACGCCTGGTCCATCCCGATCGAATTCAAAGGCTCCATCATCATCTACACGGCGCTGTCCGCCTTCTCACGATGCACCAGGAACGCGCGGCTGTGGTGCGAAGCTGGCCTGATCGTCTACTTCTTGTACATCGTCGACGGCTGGTACGGTGCCATGTTCATGGCGGGCATGATGCTCTGCGATTTCGACCTGCTCGCTTTGGATGACCAACTGCCGAGGGCCTTCTCCTACCTAGAAGGCTTCAAGGAGCTCATCTTCTTCCACCTATTCATTGCTGGTCTCTACTTTGGCGGCGTACCTTCTTGGGACGGGCAAGAAAACATCGTGTCAAAATCTCCGGGCTGGATTTGGCTCTCGCACCTAAAGCCGCAAGCCGCCTTCGAAGCCAAATGGTTCTTCCTGTTTTGGGCGGCACTCTTCATCGTCGCAGCGGTCCCGCGCCTCCCGTGGCTCAAGCGGTTCTTCGAGACTCGCTTCTGCCAGTACCTCGCCCGCATCTCCTTCGCGCTATACCTGGTGCACGGGCCAGTGATATGGTTACTGGGCGATCGGCTGTACGCTGCCACCGGCTTCTCAAGGCCAGTGCACAAGGAGCACATCCCGCAGTGGATCGATGCGTTTCCCCTCTCCAAGAAGGGCGCAATGGGGTTTGAACTGGCGCTCTGGGTGCCGCAGCTGATTCTCTTTCCCCTCACCCTCTATGTCGCCGAGGTGGCGACCAAGTTGTTTGACGAGCCGAGCGTCAAGTTTTCGAATTGGCTGTTCAACAAGACGCTAGCGCCTGCGCCAGTGAAAGCGTGAGGGCGAATCAGATACTCCAAATCCAACAGAAGCGAATTCCATGGCCTTGTTCTATCATCCATCGCGATCCACGTCGTCATTTCTGCCAAACTTTTTGATGCGTGCTGTGAAGGGTGTGCGGCCTGCGAGTCATGTTTGGCTTCACATGAACCCTCGGTAGGCGTTCCGAACAACGGCGACGAACAACGCTCCCGATGGAGGCCGGATCGGAAGTTTATCGACGTCTGGATAGGGGTATCACTCCGACGCTATCGTCCCCACGAAATTTGGGCGGCTCCAGGGCGGGAGGCCCGTGCGGGGTAGTTCCCCATCTGTGCACGCGTGACGTCGATCGCCACGGAGAGCCCCCGAACCAGGAACCAACGCCGATAATCTTTGCCCTCACAAGGATGCCCGCGCTTTCGCCTTCCAACTGCTCGGAGCGGCCCCTGTCATGAGCAATATAACTCACACATGAATTTCGGTGTGTCTTTTGCATGGTCGCTGCCTCGGTCCGTCCCAGCCAACATCATCATGCATCGCGATCTACACGGCATCTTCCCAGTTGCTCCTCACGCGCGCCGCACGCGACTTTCTTATCGCAGGCGCACGAAAAGCTCAGCTCCCAGAGCTATGAGCTTCGCCGTCTCTGCTACTCCTCAGTTACTCGCCCATCATGTTGGTTAGACCCTTCCCCAGGCTCATTGTCCTCATTGGACCTCTGCTCGTCTTTGGGTATATGTTCTTCGTCTACTTTGATGGAGAATCCGCAGTAGAGAACTGGTCAAAAGCGTTCCGTAATCACGATGAGACCGCGCCCCAGTATGGGCCCGAAAACCGGCCCACGACGACCCAAGAACCTGAGCTCTTGCTACAGGAGGGTCCAGCCGACCCGACTTCTATACCGCAAAGGGTGGAGCTCGAGACCTCACTCGACGTAGCCGAGAATGCACCTACGACCGCTCACGGAAATCACGTCGACTATGTACCAACTAGCTCCGCTGTTCCAGGCATCTCAGCGCCCGCAACACCTTCACCGCAAGAGCCCCAGCCCGCTCCTGCATTTCCAGTCGACGACGCAGGCGAAGCCATTGTCGATTCCTCCCAATATCGAGAAGTCTTTTCGGTCTCCACCGCCGACCGGAAATACTTCACTATCGACTTCGGTCCAGATTACCCAGCATTGAACCCGAACATCATTCCTCACCCGCACGAGCCTGGCACTTGGATCATCGTGGCGCAGCGCGAAAAGGACGGGGACGCGATCTTCGAAGAGGTTGTCTGCAATGCAAAGTTCCAACCTGACGGCAAACTTGCCTGCGCAACCGAACCTGCTATTCTTCCCGTCACCACTACCAACTTCGGTAATTGCTTGGGCGAGCTAGATTTCTTTGGAAACAGCGTTGGCCCGCATGACATGCGTGTATTCTACGGACCAGACGCGCCCTTCGTAATGTTTGGCTCGCAATCTGCACATGCGTGCTTTGGTCTCTGGGCCCAGGATCTCCGCCCCTTAGTGCCCGACTTCGCGCTTGAAGCGCTCGCCACCACTCTCTTCAAAACGTCCACGGAGCTGCAGCGCCCACCGCCATGGGGCCAGGTCGAGAAGAACTGGTTCATGTTCTGGGACCCGCAGGGCAACGCCTACGTGCACCACGACGTGGAGCCCAAGCGCGTCTTCTCCCAGCTGTTACCAGACGGCTCTGTAGGCCCTAATCTCGCACCTCTCGCCGCCTCCAGCGACGACGCCTGCATGGCGAAGTACATGCCGCAGCCGGCGCCCGCCAACGAAAACCTGCACCAGGCCACCAACTCGCTCGCCATCACGCTCTGCGCGCGCAGCGACCCGGCCTGCCGCCCCTCCGCCGCCAACACCTTCGTCATGGCCCTCTTCCAGCACAAGAAATGGGCCGCCTGGCACGCCATGTACGAGCCGTACGTCCTGCTCTTCCAGCAATCGCCGCCCTTCGCCGTCCACGCCATCGCCCAGAAGCCCCTCTGGATCCACGGCCGCGGCCCGCTGACGAGCACCACCGACATCCCCAAGTGGAAGAACTTCGGCCAAGAGCTGCCCAAGGAGCACTCGGAGATGTTCTATGTGACGAGCATGAGCTGGAAGGCCGCCGGGCAGCGGTATCATGGGTATGTCGATGATGTGCTGTTTTTGGCGTTTGGCGTGGAGGATGCGAGGAGTGGCGGGATTGATGTTACGGCGGGGGATTTGTTGCTGGATTTGGGGGTTTGTGGGGCGGAGGGGGGTGCTTGATTGTGTGAGAGAGTTTTGGGGGTGGGGGGTAGGTAAATGGTGTTGTTTGCTGGATTTCTTGGAGAACGGTTGTGCTTGCATGATACCCGCGTCGGCAGTCCGTGGATACTGCCTTCGGCTTCGCGTATTCGTAGAGAATAGTGTTTTAGTTTTCTTAATCTAGATTTCGTTTATCGTTCGGCTCGGCAGCTCTTAACCGCTGGAATAGTGAGACAGCCCACCCGCATAGAGTAAGGAGCCGCATACCTACCCTAGCGAGTGTTAAACTTGTTAAAGTAGGAAACTAAGAAATACAGCATATTAGGGTAAGGGGTATTGTATTAAGTATATAAAGCTCCGAGAAATCGAAGAAATCTCTAAGGCGCTAGTACCCGATTAGGACGCTTGGCAGTTAAACTCTAACAAAACTCTTGGTAAATACTGTACAAACACTTTCTAAAACCTCCTTCGACAGCACTCCCGCCGTACCTTCTCCCCTCTATCCCCCCTAAATCCCACGCCTACTTCGCCCTCTTTGGCTCGTACATTCCTACTACTTTACTAACTACACGCATTCTCTCTTATTCTCTTGCTAAAACTCAATTCGTAGTTTGTTCAAAACCGATCTACAGTCAGGAGTAATCCGCGCTTCCGTTCCAGTGCAGGGCTCCTTGAACCCAAGGGTATCGTATTTAAAGCGGCGTCCATACGTCGCAATGTAGGCTCCCTCTGGATAGTGCTCGTTGGCTGAGATAGGATGGCTCGCTCGAGAATCCTCGTAGCGATGCAACGCCATGTCTTCGGCATGCCACTTGCTCGCTCCTGGCTGGGTGGTGGTCCGATCACCAATCACTCCCCACAGGCGCGGTGCCCTGCTTGGGCAGGCAAGCGGAAACTGTACTGCGCCCTGCCCGTGAGGAACGAGAGGTGCATCTTTGCAGCGGAAAAGGCAGCAGGCAGATGTACTATCCTCTTTAGGGGTAGGCCGACTGAAGATAGAGAAAGGCTGTAGAGGGAAGTGTACAGAAAGACGAAGAGTAGAGTAGCGTCTGCCAGAGAACACTAACGATGAGGATACTGACGTAGCAATAGTTAGAGGAGGAAAGGCTACTTTATACCACCGCATACTCTCCTATAGCCACGTTGCTCGTCCTCTAAACAAAAGGCGAACTGTGTATACGTAGACGGAAAGAAAGAGCGGCACAGGGGGCCTAGCAAGGAGTAAGGAAGCGGCGCGCACCCCTCCCCTCATACAACGGAGGCGGCGTAAGGATTTGGGGGAAGGGTACGGGTTTCCAGGGCGCGGCAGGATAGAAGGAAGAGGCACACGCTCTCTTTCCGTAGCGCTAGGATTAAGTCTCTGAAATAGCGGAACGTAGCGCTAAAAGAGAGTTACTCGTACACGTGTCTACGTCTTTGCTTGGACGTTTACCCCATAGCTAGGCTTTGCCTAGCGCGCGAGGCGCCTAGGTCCAGGTTTATATTTCGTCTGCTAGGCAGAGCGGACGCCGCAAACACGTGACCCTGGCGTGGCGAGGAAAAGAGAACACGTGTTCACAATGGCGCTAGTTGGGCTCTTGAAAAACAGAACCCCATCTCTTGTTGCACTGCAAAACTCAGTCGAAGACGTGAATACCCCGTTAAAGCGCAGCCCACCTTTATCCCCTTCTATGGTTAGGGTACTCTGTGCAATTCATACAGGCCCTTGGACAAGGCCGCTGAACTGGGACCTCCACGTCACCCACGATGGCGAACCCTGCGTTCCTTTCTTCCTCTACGTCCAGCCAACGCCTACGCCTACGCGCACCTCGTGCTCTCAGTTTCAGAAATTCCGCGACTTTCCCGCAGAGCTGCAGCTACACGTTGTCAGCTTCTGCGACGGCCCTACGCTCTTCCAGCTTATGCGAGTGTCATCTGCCACGCGCACTCTGGCCAAACCGCTTTTTTGGTCCTGTCCGGACGCGTGGTACTCCGTCAACGGCGGCTGACTACTCGCCGGAGGGTTCCCTGGCCAAGCGCACTACGCCCTCAGCTTCCTCGCCTACGCAGAACAGGTTGAGGTTTGTTTCGACGGTGCGAAATACATCTGGCACGACTGGGAAGCAGGGCTTCGCACCGGCGCAGCAGTCATGCGACCGCAGCGCGCAGAGGATCTGGTACGGGACTTCTGGCGAACCGTACAGCACCGATTCCCTCGCGCGACCCGCGTAACCGTGCGCGAGAGCTGGCTACGAAAAGCTACGGATCCGCCGCCAGATGAGTTTAGGATCCTAATCCAACAGTGCCCCGCTAGCATCAGCGCTTCCGCGTCCATCCTTCAGCAGGGCGTGGACTACCAACTGGAACGAAGCCTATGGCGACTGGCTCCAGGAGACACTACCGGCACTATAGGCGGATGGGAAAGGATCGATCCAAGCCGCACGCGACAAAGCATTCTTCCGCCCCCTAAGGAGTTCCGCGGCCCTGTAGGAGCGTTTGAGCGCATCCACTATCATTTTTACCACCACGCATTTCGGAAGTGGGCTGTCCGGCTGCTGCTTATTGAGGCGCGGGAGAGGCACCATTTCGACGGGCGCCACGAGTCTTTCCATTGCTTTGACCCAAATTGCGAGGTCCGGCTCCAGCAACCAGGGGAATGGACCTTGCATGCGATAAACAGTGGTCACGACTCTAAAGGGGAAGGCCCGATCCCGCCCGAGCAATACAAGGCCTCGTTTGACCAGCTCAAGAAACAGCTGAAATGCATGGAGCAGCAGGACGTCCATGGGCCCATGGAGAAGATGCGCCAGGCCTGGGGCGACGAGGGAAGCGAGGAGCGGCATAACGCAGAGCGGGCATTTCTCCATCAGCTCGAGAATGACCCCTTGTACGCACATGGCAAGCCAGCTAAGGAAACGTCCACCTGGTTTCTGTATGAGCGAGCCATGGATCCGGATAATTGCTAGTAGTACTAGGCTCTGCCTAGAGGAAGCAATGCTATCAGACTGCTTAGCGTAAAGTAGAAAGCAGTAATACACCTATTACTATACTGTAGCTAAGCTCTAATAGCCTAGCGTAGTAGTACTGTACCTCTCTCCCTCTCTCTGCCTTATTACCTCTCTACAGTACTGTATATAGATCAGAAGCTATATACCTACTCTAGTAAGTATTAAAGTCTTGCGAAATACTGTACAAATATTCTAAAACCTCCTTTAACAGCACTTCTGCTGTAACTCTTCTTCTCTACTAAAACGTCCTAACAGCTAGGTTTCTAGTCTGCCTTCCCCCTCGCACTACTACCAATGCCTGAACTTGTTAATATTAAGATTATTAAACAAAAAGCACAACTCCCTCATCCTTGGCACGCACATCCGCGACATCGATTGAGTGCAACGTGCAAGCTATCGTAGACATGTACATGCAGCTCGGCTCGCGGGTGAAGTGGAAGGCGCTGGTAGAGGGAGGGCGCGAAGGCGGACGGCGAGTATGGTGGGTGGGCAGTATGGAGACGCGGCGGTGTGTTGGAGGATGAGGAACGAGGGGGATTAGATGGGGGTACTGGTAAGTGAGTAGGGCAGGAAGGAGATGTGTATTGGGGGAGAGAGAATAGATATGCTGATCTGGGATAGGAGAGATAGGAGAGTGGTAGGTAGGTTTATACTAGAGAATTAGCGAGTAAGAAGGCATGGGTTAATTCATGGACATACGAAGGAAGTAGCTGTATATATATATATATATAATTAGGAGCTAAGGGGTGCGTGAGCTAGTAAGCGTATCCGGCAATAGTTTAGGATAGACGACGGGAGGGCGAGGGATGCGGATCCGGGTTAGGAAGCGGAGAGATGGGAATGGGGATGGACTAGGTGGGGCGAGAGGAGATTGTGGTGAAAAGAGGTAGGGTCTATCAAAGAACGCTAGAGTAATGGCAGTCTGGAGAAACATGAACGCTGGAAGAAAAGCTGAGATGGAAGTTCTAGATTTTCAATGGAGTTCTCTTTACATGCTCGAGACGAGACGAGCTGAAGAGAAGAAGGTTATGAAGCTACCGTGCCCCGAGACCAGCCCATCTCGTTGTCCGTAATCTCGTTGCCGATCTGCGGTGCCAGGTTTAAGCCCGAGTTCGGAGGGAGCGTGCTATCTATGTTCTGGTTTGCCACCGTACGTTTCACCCTGAGACAGCTCTACGATTCAATCAGCCCGTTTTCCGGCTCAGAAAAGCACGAAAGCAAACTTACCAGGAATCTCGGAAATCTTGGTCTGAATCTTGCCCCACAGGGCCTCCATGGCCGCGCAGAACTCATCACCGGCGCGGCCATCCATGAGAAGTTCCCACGAGGAGAAGCCATTTTCCAGGGCGTACACAATGAGCTGCACGACGTATTCGTCTCCGCGCTGGCTGAAGATGACATCGAATCGGCCGTCGTTGTAGGAGAACCCTGGGCCCCAAAGAGCTTGTGCTTGAGCTAAGATAGAATTGTTAATTGGGGCACTGTGAGGGATAAGGTGGGGCGTACTTACAGATGATGAGGTTCTTGAGGTTCGTGATGTGGCCAACTTGGTCCTGGTCCAATCCTTCCATGGTGTTCTGATGCTGGTTTGTGGCTTTGCTGATCGTGTGGAAAGGGAGAGTGCTTGCGGAAGGTGGAGGAAGAGTTAGAGCGCGGTTTAAGTATTAAGAGAAATTTTGAGGAGTCAGAGGAGCTGTAGGAGTCAGTTACCCTCCGAGTCACGCCAAGGCGTTGCATCCAGAGCCAGTGCACCGAGCTCAACGAGCAGGATCGAGAATTTTGAGAGCTTGCTCGTGAGGGAGCTTCACCGGAGCAGTGGAACGATGCGGCGAGGCGATCCAATGCGCTTAAGCGAGCCGGCCGTGAGTGCAGATATGCAGTCATGTCAGAACGATGGCTAGAGCGGGATGCGTACCAGCATCAACGCCGGATCGGTGAGCAAGACCAAGCTCCACCCGCCATCTACGCAGGGGCCCCAGAGCCTCAAGTACTACGCAAACACGAGCACCCACTTCACCTCCGTGCTCTTTCAGTGCTGCAGCGGGAAAATCGGGCTGCGAGACGCTCTATTCTCAATTCGCGCAAAGGTGAGGCATGCGAAGTCCTCGTCGCCGCTCCTGCTGACCGCCTTCTCTTTCCAGGGCATCCATGATCGGTTCTGCGACCTATGCTATGAACGTCCCCGTCGACGCCAAACGGTCCGCCACCTATTCCTGCACTGCACCCGCCTCGACAATGCGCGAAACGAGCTCATTTTCGACACCGGTCATCGTAACTTCGCCAGATGGCTCACAACCGATAGTCGTGCCGCCGCGAAGTGGGCCTTCAGGTACTTCCCCTTGGAGCAGTTCGACTGGATGCGCGAGTACCTATCGCTTCTCGACGAGGAGCCTGCAGAACAACTTCATGATGAGACTCCAAGGAGTCCTACGCATGTGAGTCGTGCCACACCATGTCTGGACCGTTCGGCTTAGCTGACGTTGTGACGATGCAGTGAGGTTTCACGGTTTGCCGTCCCCGCCCGCGGGCTCGAGACGGGTTGCTGACGTGGCCACAGGTGTTGCATTGACTGTAGATTATCACTGCTGGCCCGTCTCCCCTGGTGTCCACCACGCTGTCACCATCAAGCCACTGACCAACGCTCTTAGCAGATCTGTCTGTCGCTTCCTGTCTCTCGGTATGGTCTGGTCTCGCCCGTCTGCGCTAGTGTGATATCGACTAACGGTCCATAGCTCCCATTGTCGCCTCCGCTGTCCTTCCGCTGCGGCTCAGTCCAGTAAGTTAATTTGGTTCTGCGACTCGCCTTACGAGTCGATGTCGGAGCGTTCGAGATCGTGTGCTTACTCATGTTTACAGCATGGCCCATGTTGTCGATGTGGATCTGCCGTACTGGTGCGAGGAGGTTGTCGTGGTAAGTCTTGTGCTGAACAAGATGCCACCAGTCGCTAATGGGAGTCTCACCCAGGTAAACGGCCAAGTCGCGGGCCCACCGCTTCTCGACGGGATCGGGGTTGTTGAGTAGTCGGCGAAGGAGTCGGTGTAGTCGCCGTCGCTCCTTCCTGACGAAGGCTCGATCCTCTACGAGGTAAGTTCTCCCTTGCCCTGAACAAGATGTGGCCTGTCTAATGAGGTCTAGTAGTTGTCAATGAGGCCCTGTAGAGACTGTGTCGTACATACTCCACCTGGTGAGCTGGCCCATGAGGATGTCGCAGCGTACGAGCATCAAGCGTAGGTCCTGCCCCTCTTCGATCTTACATGTGACTAATGCTTCGAGCAAGGCACGTTCTTGATGTAGTCGTAGTCCTCGGCGAGCGCCTTCTTGACTTTGAGCTGGACGGCGGTCAGGGTTTGCGCCCCTGGCGGAAGAGCCTGAGTCCGTTTACATTATCGTGACGCCGTATGAAAGACTAATCGCCTACAGGTCCTGATGTAGTTGGTGCTGTTGGTGGCCGGGCCCCTTAGGAGTTGAGTTGCCATCTTGAGTAAGTGTACGGTGGCCTTTCTAGATCGTGCGCAAGGCCATGCTGACTAATCTGCCAGTGTTGAAGGTGATGAGACGGAGAAGAATGACAGAGGTCAGTTCAACCCGTTGCGTTTCATGACTTCCGCTAATCACGTGATGCCCCTCAGCAGAGCCGTTTTATCGTTCGCCGGTTGACTGCGTGTCTTCTTAGTCGAAAAGCGTTGGGCGTCAACGTTCTCCATTGCGTAAGTCTCCACCCAATGTTTCGCCACGGTCCAGCGACGGCAGCTAAGTGGTACAGTGGATGTTGCCTACACTGAACCGTGGATCCTTTCTGTACTAAACCGCTGAACCTTTTGATGATACCCCTTCTACCTGCGGATTTGGAAATATAGCGTCTTTTTTACCGGTACTGTATATGTAGTATGCTCGCATCTTCTTTATGACGAGGTCGAGCGAATCGATGACTGCGCAAAGTTGGTTCGCCTTGCGTGAAGTGATGGTGATACTGTCGTTCTGCGGCTTAAGCCGCCGGAGTCGCGTAGTGTGAGACATACAATAGCAATGCGGCATGGCGAAGGCATTGCGTCCGAATGCTCGACTTCGGGCTCGCTGTAACGGCGTATGATGAATATTTGTGTGGTGGTGGAAAGGCGAAGAGAGGGTCTTGGCGTCGCGTGCGCGCAGAAATGTGTGCCCGCTGCGGGCCGTGGCACCATCCATGGATACCGCTTACTGCCCGTCATCGGCTACGGCAGGCAACAGCGGCCCCTTTGTGCCAGCTTGCAATTTGTGGACAGCGCTAAGGCGAGTACACGTAGACGATTGAGACATCACCCAGGCGTTTACTATTAACCTCACCCGCTGCCAGGTCCTCAAGCTCTTCTTTTCATCTTCACCCCCCATCCATGCACCGCTTTCATACGCCATACTCTAGTTCTACGCAATGCCGACTACAGACCGCGGCTTTTTGGCTGTGTTCCCCCAGCATCAGTCATCCTTCTTCCGCCTCCCGCGCGAACTCCGATACCTGTGCTATTCGCACTACCTGTTCGAGGAGAACGGATACCACCATGTCTGGGACGGATGTGCAGGCAAGCTTCGGTGCTGCAACAACTCTATTGTTGCGCTCGACCTGATGTATACATGCAAGGCTGCGGCCAATGAGATGCACGGCCTCCCTTTCCAGGCCAACACGATCACGTTCACCGCCGGAGACTTGGTGAGCGAACATTCCTTGTGCTCAGACGCCCTTCGATTCAAGCGTCTCGTGGACTATGCAACTGTTGCTAAATGGAGGATCCTGCTCGCTGTGGCTGATACCGTCACACCCGATGATCTAGCCAAACTGATCCAACGATTCCCTCGAACAGGACCGAGTTTTGTCAACCAATTTCAGACGCTCCGTGATAGAAACTTCCACTCCGGCCCAGAAATTCATCGCATTGAGTACAACCTACATGGGAAGCACGTCGTTGCCTCCAGGGAGGCGCTAGAGTTCGCGCTCGAACTAGCGGCAAGTCATCCGGAGTTCCAACAGTTAGCAGCCAAGGCGTTACCTCAGTCACCGCCGCCAAAGGACGATCCCCTGGACCGGAATGTTGGTTTCATGCGTGGTAGTCACTGCTGGGTGCTAGATTTCAAACCCGAGGCATGGACCGTACCGGACGAGACGCAGCTCGACTCCCTCGAAAGCCTTCTTTGGTGGGATGAGGAATATCCCTTGAACTTAGAATTCGATCCTAGACCTTTCGGGTGGTACTTTTCTGCCACAGCTATGGCGATTGCGTTCCTAAAGCACCTAGGAAGCGACCGACGAACGCACATCCGCCGAATCATCATCGACGAAAAAGATAGAGCCGTATCTTCACCGGAGGTACATGCTCGAGGACTCATTCCCTTTTGCGTCGAAAATCCTCGTCTCCGAATCGAAAGGCGTGTGGATCTATGGGGCCACGTCATCCCGTCCCGTTGGGGAGCAACTGCCGACTTGAGCGGGCTCCAATATATCCAAGCATGGTGCCTTCTTCAATCACTCGCGGATTGGATCCTGGAAGCGAACGACTTATACTCTCGAGGCATGCCTTCAAATTCCTTCTCCCTCGTCTTCCAGGGCGACCAAGACCAGCACGTGTGGAACATGGCCAAGGAAGCAGCAGCGTTCCAAGAGACTTTTGTCGAATACTATCGTCGACACAACTCGCACCCTCCTCCGCTCTCTCACCAGGCAGAGCACCAGGTGCTCCCATGGCCATTGCCCTGGCATGCGCCCGCCGAATTCCCTATCGCTATGAAAGAAATCGCACGAGGAACCTCGATTGTTCGTACTCGATGGGCTCTTGACAAGGGCAGAGACATTGAAGAGATGATTGCGGAGCACGACGGCTGGCCTTTGATAAAGTGGAGACGCAAGTGGCAGTGGGGTATCATTTATCGGAAGGTCAGCCTACCGCCTGGTGGCGCAGGAACCAACAGTGGACCCCCCTCGGGAGAGTGTTAAGCGTATCTTGTTGAACCTCCCATGGGAGCAGTGGAACTATAGGCATTTCATTCCGCGCTTCTACATATTTTATCCTTCTTGAATCTAGCTTTCTCTCGGTCGAGCTAAAAGCAAAACGCAGACATTCCACACACCCCAACACTCCGCAACCCAGCCGCCCTCCTACCCACTGCTCATCCCGTTCTCAGACACGCTCGCCCCCTGGAACTCTCGGTAGCAGCACTACCACCCCCCTACCAGCAACATCATTTTCGCTCGATCAATCTAACCAGAGACATGTGTAGTACGAAGCGAAGTGCCCTTCCTCAACACAGCAGCCCCTACTAATATACATCAACCACTAGCCCGCGCCACCCATCCCCCGTCCACCTAACCTCCTCAAAGAGCAGTGCCATCTACGCATCGCGCTGCACGAACCAGTGTTCCCGCAGCATGGGCATTTGGGACACCCGCAAACACCACTATATCTACCTATCCTTCACTCAGTGCAGTTTCGCTCCCGCGTACAGTATAACTGAGTATGCCTGCGCGCCTTGCATCACCGCACTGCGCTGCTATGTACTGCACTCCTACCACTTCAGCTTCAGCTCCAACTTAACATCTTCTCCCACATCGTGTCTTTAAGACTCCTCTCAGCCCGCTCGTCTCGCCGCAGTCACCACTATCTACGGCGCTACCTCCCTTGCCCAAACCCCTCGCAGACGTTCCCCTCTCCCTACCTACCCTAATCCCCCTCGCCATCCTCTCCAACGCCTTCCCCCAGCCCGACGCCGGCCACTCCCCACCACCTGTACCAAGTTGCAAAACCCCCGCGAATCAATTCGTCGACCACCTACACCGCAGGCGACATCACAGGCGCCATTGCATACCCACTGCAAGGCTGCGCGGGCACATGCGCCATGTACGCGAAGTGCAATATTGAGTGTAAAACCTGCACGTTCGATGCAGATGTGGCGAGGAGCTATCGATTAATAGCGGGGCGAGTTGCTAGTTAACAATAGGGAAGTTGGTTGGGTTGGGGGGGAGAATGTGGATGGAGTGGGAGAAGTGCGATGTTAGTAAGGGTGAGATTGCAGGTAGGACGAAGACGGAGACGGGGGGACGGTGCACAGTACGAGCTCAGATGCGCATACCACGGGTAAGAAAAGCTGGACGTAGTGCATAGAAGCGTTAGATGAAGTTGCTTTACGCATTGAGTATTGAGCAAACGCTAAGGCACCCCGCAACCCGCTACTCTGCGGCGCCGACGCCCATGACTCCGCGACCGAACCACTCGCTAATGACGGCGAAACCATCCTTCGACCTGCGCAACGCATCTGTAAACAGATCGTGCCGCTCTGCACTCTCGAGCTGCGCTTTCCTGATCGCCCTAATAGTCTGATTCTGCCCACTGCAGAGCGGGCACTCGACGCTCTCATCCTCCACGTCCTCATCCGTGCTTAAGCACCGCTGGTGGAAAGAGTGTTTGCACAAGAAATGCACTACAGGTAGCTCTAGCGGGCCATTACAGACTTTGCAGCGCGCGGCCTGGAAGACGACTGGCTTGGTGGTGAGGTTCTGCAGCTCTGATTTCTTGGTTTCCGTGTCGGAGCGGAAGGTTTCGATGGTTTTACGGTTGGTGGCAATTTCTTGGCGCTCGCGCTCAATGGTTGTGGAGAGGTATTGCTTTATCATGCCCATTGTGGCGACGCCGTTGGCGGAAAGGGTCTGGATGACTTGTAAGGGAGCCATGAGGCCATCCTCGTCTATCTTTTTCAGCACCATGTCGAGATCGTCACCCGCTTCTGTGAGCACGTTTGGGTCGGAGGTGAAGTACGCGAGCGCTGCGGGATACAGGGCGGGCTCTTCGGGGCCGTATTTGCGAAGAGCGCGAATAGCGCCTTGGGTATCGTTGGCCGCGGTGTAGGAGCGGAATATGTCAAAGTGGAGACCCTGTTGCTCGCGTACGAGGATTGTACCATCGCGGAAGTTCGAGAGGTGGGAGAGCAACAGGACGTTTGACGTGTCGATAGGGATGTTCTTGCCTTCGACGAGCTTCTTGGCTTTATTTTCCCACTCCTGCCGCTCGCCGTCCTTCTTAGACGATGCGGTATGCAGGTACATCTCAAAGAGGGTGGTGTAGAGGTCGACCTTATCGTCTTCGCGAAGGTTTTCGGACTTTATGCAAGCCTCAAGAAACACAATGAATTCCTGTGGATGATCCACAAAGGCCGAGAATGCAGTTCGTGGTTTGGGTATTTTGTATTCAGGCGCTGGCTCGTCGGTGCTCGTCTCTACTATCTGGGCTTGGCTCATGGTCGACTTCGTCTCGCCAGGAGGCGGTGTGGCAACGGCGCTGACGTTCATGTATGGAAGTGGGAGGAGGGCGGCAAGATTCTGGACCGCATTGGATGCGGCGCCGAGACCCATGCTCATGCCGGTTGACGTTGGAGCGTTCGGTATGACAATTGCATCTTTCTTCGGCCTAAAATTACCGGTATAATAGTCGATGAAGAGTCGTGTTGTGTCTTTTGGACACTGCTCGAGGAGCACCGTCGCGTATTTCATGAGGTTGAAATAGGCGACTTCAGGCTCCAATCGCCAGATGTATGCCACTGCTTCGGCATAGCGTTTGGAGTCTTCGATGAGAATGTCCACGACGAGTTCGTGTTCGCCATGCTTGCGGGCGAGGTAGGCAGCTTGGTCATAGTAGCCTCCTTGACGGCACATGGAGATGGCGGTATCAAGGTCAAACTTGAGGTCACCGGGCGATTTGATGAATTCCTCTAGCTTCTCTACGTCCTTTAGTTTGGCATAGCAGTTCAAGAGGAGGGTGGTGTGATCTGACGTCGCTCTGTGGTGGTCGTGGAGTTCTTCGAGATAATCAATTAGGTTGTGAATCCTCTGGGTATCTAGGAACTGCACCTAGAGTTAGCGGAGACTATCCCGGGGATGGACACAAACACACCTTTCGAATGACTTGTGACGGCTCGGTGTTGTCGATTGCTTTCAGGTACTGCTGCATGGCGGTGTCGTAATCCTGCTTCTGGTAGAGGTAGTCACCGTACTTTCGTAGAATAACGTTCTGCTGCGACGGATCGACACCCGCCTTCTGTGCTAGATTAATAGCGAGGAGATACAGGTTCCTTTGGTATAGAATGTCGAGCTTCTGAGCAAAAGGCTTCTCATGATACCGGAAGATCTGCATTTGGGTTAGTTAGGGTCATAACAAAAAGACGGAGTCAAGTACCTTCCCATCCATGGTCAGAACAAACAAATCACCCCATTCAGAGAGGATTGCCTTGATTTGGGATGAAATCTGCTCTTGGTGTGCTACGAGTCGAAGCTCCGGGTTGAGAAGGGTGAGTGTGGAGGTATTGAAGACATCGTCGGTGCTGCTCATGCCAAAGGCTCTTAGCGGGCCAGCACGGGGCATGGCGCTCGACTTCGGGGGCGAAACCATCACGATATAATCCCTGAATATAGATATCATCGTCTTCTCCCCTTCGTAGGTGTAGGGCGGTCCTCGCCCATGCTGCCCGTAGTAGTAGAGGGCATCATTACGCGCAACAACCACCTCGCGTGTATTCTTGTCCACAGCCATGCATCCTACGCTGCAGCCGTACTCGTCGAGCGTCTTCGCAGGCTGCCCTTGGCCCCTGCCAGAGATGACCAGAGTCAGAATGCGCCCGGTCGTCGCGATATAGAGGGTCGTAATGTTGCCCTCGCGGAACTCAATGCCGGTAATGGGCTCCTCCGATTCGAAGACGGTTCGTTGTCTTGCTCCTCGGTCGTGTATGAGATCACCTCTGACCACTGTGACGCCGCCGTTGGCAAAGCCCACAGCGAGCTGCGATAGGTCGTCGAGCGCGGCGAAAGCGGATATGGGGAACTGCTTCCGGCCATTGTGGATGGTCAGGGTGCTCTGGCAGCGCGGAGTGCCTGTCTTCTTCTCCAGCTTGTCCAGCGCCCACACCTTGAGCACCGGTTCGTTTGACAGATCTTCGGCCACCGTGACTAGCAGAGCGGTCCCCGCGATCTGCTTCATATGCGTAATGGCGCCCGCATCGTGGGCCTTGAACGAGCGCACGACCTTGAAGGCCTGCGACAAGATGCGGACGATGCCATCGGAGCTGCCGAAGAAGATGCTCTCCGACCCCGATACCACGGACGTGATGTTTCCGGGCTGCGGCGTGTGAGAAGGAAAACAGTGCAGGCGGAGGGCGTCATACTTCGGAGAGGAATGAGCTCTCGCCGTCGGGGAGCTTGACCTGCGCGACGTCGAAGAACTTGAACTGCCACTTGGTGGGCGTTAGCGTCGCCATGGGGCCATGGGGTGCAGTGTTTCGTGATGCTCACCGGAGTGATTGCCATGGTGCTACCGGTCCATCGCGGCGACTGCTGGCGATATCGATATGGCAGGCGCTGTCGCGGTGTGCAAGCTCCAGGCAGGTGCGACCGGGAGCACGGCCAATGACGTTCGCCAGCGCGCCAAGCCGTGGCTGAGTCGCCGGCCCGTGCGCAGCGTCCCTTTTGTTTCTGCCTTCGCCCTCCCTCGCCCTCTTCCTCATCTCACCACCGCTTCACTGCCCCGTGGCCATCGACCCACGCCCTGCCGCTCCATCTTCTTTACAAAGCCCCCGCCGCGACTTCGCGCCCAACTTCGCAGTCTCTCCCTACGACTCTTCATCCGCCGAGTCCGCAACTGCGACACGTACCGGTTCCCAACCCGCGCGTCAGCCCAGCAGCGTGCCCATCTCCCGTCGCAGCGTCACCTTTAGCGCTAGCGCACGACAACGCCATCACTGAAACCACGAACTCTGCCATCAGCGACATTCCCGCTTCGTCTGCCCGAAGATAGCGATACCCGCTCTCACCTGCCCAACCGACACCACCAAACATCACTAAGCCCAGCCTTACCATGTCTACCGGCAAGCTCGACCAGTCGCTCGACGACATCCTCAAGAACCGTCGCCAGTCAAACCGCCGCGGTCGAGGCGCGCGACGCTCCGGCGTCGGCCGCCCTGCCACCGAGGCTCCCGTCGGCGGTGTCCACAAGACGACCAAGCAGACGAAGCCGGGCAAGCCCACTCCTACTGCCCCTGCTGCTACCGCAGGCGAGACGAAGATCATGATCTCCAACCTGGTACGTTGCCTCCACGCCCTCCGTCGTGAGCGAAGCTAACGCGCCGTAGCCGCAGGATGTGGATGAGAACCAGCTCAAGGTATGTAAGACCTACGACGGTCTTTGAACCTGCTTTTGCGTCGACTTTCGAGCGCACGCGAGTCCGACAAATCCGAGCGCCCCAGTGCTCCACCTTCCAGTATGGGTCGTCATCACCATGCTTGCGCTACAAGTCATACCATAGTCCGTGTTGGGCAGACGGGACAGGTATTGTACTTGGCAGCATGCGACACCCACGAGTGCCGCAGCGACGAAAGTTGGAGATTCCTCGTCCAGGACCGCATAGGTCCAGCTTCAGCGAGGACGGCAGAGCACAGGCAGCATGACGCATGACGCGTCGAGGCTAGCAGTGGACGCGCAAACCTCCAAAGCAGCGAGCAGAACCACAAGTACATGAGGGTTGAGATGGCTATTAGTGGGCAACGGCAGGGCACACGGGAACGAGACGAACCAACCCGCTGTGATGCTAGCTCCCCTCTCTCGCGCCGACATGCTCCACGTTGACGCTGCCTCCGCCTCGCTGAATGAACGCTACTGCTGCATATGGACATGCTCCGCTTTCTGAGCGGCACTCTTTTACCTGCGAACTTGGAAACGCCGTTTGCTGCCACCAACCAATCCGGACTCGCTGATCTTGCTTCCCTTTCTGCGATACTATACCCTGCGACGAGACGACGACTAATGCGCCTTGTAGGAATATTTCATCTCAGCAATCGGCGTCGGAAAACCCAAGCGGATCTTGATGCAGTATGGACCGTCTGGCCGGAGCCTCGGAAGCGCCATGGTCATCTTCAGCAAGGCCGACCACGCCGTCAAAGCCACGGCTGCTCTTGACAAGGTCAAGATTGACAACCGTCCCATTCGTGTCGAAATGCTGGTTAGCGCTGCGAACGTGCCCGCCCCAACGCAGCCGTCCCTCGCCGACCGTGTCACGTAGGTACTCCTATCCATCAAACTCCGACATCCACTTACAAGGTCCCAGTCAGCCCAAGAAGGACAAGCCAAAGCCAGCCACAGCTACCAAGGCCGCACCTGCCGGAGGTCGGGGACGTGGACGCACTCGTGGTCGTGGTGGTCGCGGAGGCCGCGACCGCGGCGGCAAGAAGAAGACTGTCGAAGAGCTTGATGCCGAGATGGCGGACTACTTCCCAGCCAACGAGGGTGGTAATGACGCCATGGTCACCAACGGAGACGCTGCTCAAGCCACCGCTGGCGGCGATACCGCCATGGACGACGAGATGCTATGAACGGCTGTGCGGCGCACGATATGGCGGACGGCACTTTTCAACCTTACTTTCATTCCATGTTTAATAGGTCGCAGAGCGACATGGGTTAAGGGTTTTACGGCGGTCGATTTCACACCCTTCTTCGGCTAGTCCTCCTTCGTTCCCCAAACTGATCCAACTTCGAATATTTTCCTCTGTTATCGGCGTCCAAGAAGGGATCGACATGGATTGTACAGTAGCACGGCTCGACGGTTTCTCCGGTTTCCCAGAATGCTTCCATCTGAGTAGGTAGCCCAATGCAAAGCGCCTATCGTCCGGAGTCAGCCTCTCTCGTTCCAATTTCTCTGTGTACCACCCAAAATCCCTGCAGACAGTGGCTTTCGAATTCGGTCCGATTGAATGCATCCAAAAATTGGTGCTGTACGATGGTGAAGGCGAAATCAAAGACCGCCATCTGACTCGGAATACTACCGCCGCCAAGCTCGGCCAATGAGTAATCCTGAACCATGATGTCTCTGCCGTCCGCACCTGGGCAGTCTGCATGTATCGGGACGGTTCCGTTCCCAGACACGAGCATCAACACCCCGCACAAGCCCTCTAGTTTCATGTTACGCGCCAACTCGCAACGCGGACAGGTTAGGATTCTAGCATGTGGAATATGGTAGCAGGTGGTGATCACACCACCAAGAGTCCCAAAGCTGACTGCGGCTCCTTACGCTCAAGGCTCCGTTTGTGCGGAGAACTCACGCCAAAACCACTAGCTCTCCCCGCACGTCGGTCCTAGGAAAGTTTTTGATAGGGTTGTGATCCTTTCCGGAAGTCCTTGGTGTTCTGTGGACCAATGGAGCGGTCATCCGATGCTATCCCGGCGCTCTCCGTGTGGCTCGGATGGCCGCAAATACGAAACGTACTCTTGAAGCTACTTCCTCTAGGTACCTTGGTGGTTAGCTAGGTACGGTCCGTGGCTTCGATGGAGCATTTAGCGTGCAGAGATAGGGTCTAAGGGCTGGGAAAGGAGCATGTAGACCCCTCCGGCGTTCGCTCGAATGGAAGCCGAAGGACGTAGGGATCCCTAGTTTGACCTAGTGTGGTGGGTAGGCAGCTCGCTCGCTCGGTTTGATGGTGGAGAGGGAGAGTTGCAGCTGCGAGCGCAACCACTCCCCGAGGAATTCGCAATTCGATGCTGAGAGAGACACTGATGATCACTAAACTAAGCTTTAGCCCAGGCTCGCATTGCAATGGCTTGCGCATTTTCATTTGAAATCGAGGGCGTGAGCGCCGAGCTTGATGCAGGATAGCGGCGGCTTTCGAGGCCTCGAGACGTTTTGTGGGGGAGGGGTAGCCACGCCACTGGCTGGCAGAGCGGGGCAGAAGCTCTCCTCCGTCGCGTCAGCGCCACTGGACGCCCGCGACGAACGACGCGATAGGCTGCAGACGGGCCTCACAACGGGGCTCCTGCTGGCCGAGACTGCTGGAGGGTACCCCTTTGGGGCGTTCGGCGACGATGGGCGCATTTCCCCCTTCTCGATGCTGTCATCGCCGGCACTACTTAAGGGAGCTTGCCCCTCACTCCGCACAAAGAACATCCCCTCTTCTTCACCCTCTCCTCCACCTCCTCTCCCCTGATACCCGTCAATTCCATTCACTGTCTCGTTTTCAACATGTCTGGTCTCTCGATCAAGCTCAAGACGCCGCACACGGGCGATTACGAGCAGCCCACCGGCCTGTAAGTGACCTCCAGCTCGGCCCGAAATATGCCCACCACCTTTGCCCCTCTTCCCGCCACGCTGCGGAGCCGCCGCCTTTGCCGTCATCCATTGACCAATCGCTGACAAATGAGACAGCTTCATCAACAATGAGTGGGTCAAGGGCGTGGACGGAAAGACGTTCGAGGTTATCAACCCCAGCGACGAGTCCGTCATCTGCTCGGTCCACGAGGCTACCGAGAAGGATGTCGACCTTGCCGTCTCCGCCGCGCGGAAAGCCTTCAATGGCGCTTGGAGGAAGGAGACTCCCGAGAACCGCGGCAGGCTTCTTGTGAAGCTCGCCGACCTCTTCGAGAAGAACATCGACATTCTCGCCGCTGTAGAGTCGTTAGACAATGGCAAGGCCATTAACATGGCAAAGGGCGATGTCGGCGCCTGCGCTGGCTGCCTCAGGTATTACGGCGGTTGGGCCGACAAGATCGAGGGCAAGGTCATCGACACAGCCCACGATACCTTCAACTACACCAAGAAGGAGCCCGTAAGTTGCACGAACTTCCATCAGTTGAAGCTCGCTAACGCACCTAGATCGGTGTCTGCGGTCAGATCATCCCATGGAACTTCCCGCTGCTCATGTGGGCATGGAAGATTGGCCCCGCCATCGCCGCCGGTAACACTGTTGTCCTCAAGACCGCCGAGCAGACTCCTCTCTCCGCTCTCGTTGCCTGCAACCTCATCAAGGAGGCCGGCTTCCCGCCCGGTGTCATCAACGTGTTGTCCGGTTTTGGCAAGGTTGCTGGTGCCGCCATCTCCTCGCACATGGACATCGACAAGGTTGCCTTCACCGGCTCCACTGTCGTCGGCCGACAGATCATGAAGGCTGCTGCTGGCTCCAACCTGAAGAAGGTCACCCTTGAGCTTGGCGGCAAGAGCCCCAACATTGTCTTCGACGACGCTGACATTGACAACGCCATCTCCTGGGTCAACTTCGGCATCTACTTCAACCACGGCCAGTGCTGCTGCGCCGGCTCGCGTGTCTACGTCCAGGAAGGCATCTACGACAAGTTCATCGAGAAGTTTAAGGCGCGCGCAGCCAAGAACGCTGTTGGCGACCCCTTCCACAACGAGACCTTCCAGGGTCCCCAGGTGTCGCAGCTTCAGTTCGACAGGATCATGAGGTAAGACTCTCCCGTGCATAAGAAGGCACGGCACTAACAATGCGACAGCTATATCGAGGAGGGCAAGAAGGCCGGCGCCAAGATCGAGACTGGCGGCAAGCGCATCGGCGACAAGGGCTTCTTCATCGAGCCCACCATCTTCTCCAACGTCACCGAGGACATGAAGATCGTGCAGGAGGAGATCTTTGGTCCCGTGTGCTCCATCTCCAAGTTCAAGACCAAGGAGGAGGCTATTGCGATTGGTAACAACACCACCTATGGTCTCGCCGCCGCCGTGCACACCAGCAACCTCAACACCGCGATCGAGGTCTCGAATGCTCTGCGCGCTGGAACGGTCTGGGTCAACACATACAACACTCTTCACTGGCAGCTTCCCTTCGGTGGTTACAAGGAGTCTGGTATCGGCCGCGAGTTGGGCGAGGCTGCTCTGGACAACTACACTCAGGTCAAGACTGTGTCCATCCGCCTCGGTGACGCTCTCTTCGGTTAAGCATGGGTTGAGATGGAACATGGTGGAACAGGGTGGAACAGGGTGGAACAGGGTGCAAAAAGGAATCGGACTGTCACGATACTGACGCGATATGATGAATCTGTGGGAGATGGGATGGGCGGCGGTTCTCTCATTGCAACTGTACATAATTAAGCATGATTGAGAAATTGAATAAGCCTTGGTGTCCGCCTGTCTTCCCGAAATGTCTGGTGAATTCGGTGACCGGTGTTAGCGAGGTGGTGCCACGTGGGGGCTCTCACATGCTCAGGGCTCAAGCTAAGCGAGAGGTTGCGTCAGAGCTCCCAGCGTTCCGGCGCAAAGAAAACGACATGCCATCAACACAAAACCCAGGCTGCCACTTTTGCCCCCCGTCTCGGTCCTAGTCCAGCCATGGGGCCACGTATTTCACATTCCTCAGAAGCCATGATATGAACGACCGCCCTCCCAAAACTCCATCATGCCAAACACTCGTTCCGACGAGCCAACCATGGCCTCTCCCGCCAACCAATACATCCGCGAGATCCTGCACACTGCTGAAGCCCCGCCTCCGATACCCGTTCGCTACTTCTATACATCGCCGCTTGCCATTGACGATCCGCTTTCGCCCCTTCCGCCGCCGCTAACGACCTCGTCGACCGCTCGCAGGCTGCCGCCCCGGCCCTTCTCCGAATACGATAATGAAGCTATTAATGAGACATGGTTGGATCTACGGAAGACGATACTGAAGCATAACGAAGAGCTGGGAGAGAAGAGGCGGTCGGACGTGCCGGGCACACCGACGATCCCAGCTGTAGCGCGCTTGAAGCGGAAGAGGGGCGAAAGTGCGTCCAGCGAGGCCGAGCATGGGGCTGCACAGGGCAAGGATATTCCACGAGCGAGGTCGTCCAGTCGAGGGCAATACTCCAGATCCGCAGAAGGGCTCGAGGGCCGGCCGCGCTCAAACAGTGGTGTGCGCGGCCCCACGCTATCAGCATCTCTCAAAGCACTGGAGCCCGGCAGCGTCTCCCCCTCGTTAGAGCCTACGACTACTGGAACACCGTTTATAAGAGCACCTGCCCGGGGGAAGGTGCCACATGCACAGCCCCCAGGGTCAACAGAAGAAAGGAGGCGGCCTGTACCGCAAGAGCTGGATAGCTACAAGTGGGACGAGGAAATGGAGCCCGCATTGCCAGGGCTGAAGGACAAGGCTCCCGCTCGCAGGCCAAAACCCAAAGCAGGCCCGTCTGCCAAGGTACCGGTCGGCGTGTCCAGACTCCACCACGTGGTCATGGATGCCGAATCCATCCGTATGGAGCCTATATACTGGGCGCCGGTCAACGACGTCGCCAAGGTGCTGCGAGGCACGTGGTTCTACAAAGACACGATGATGCCCGTTGAGGTAGATGTTGCCAATATGCTTGAAGCGGGCTACCTTGAACTGAGACCGTGGACCGAGACGTGGAAGGATGAGCTGAACAGCGCGGTCGAAGTGGGTGCCCTTGGAGAAATGAAGATCCTTCACAGACTTTGGCCCCAAAAGCCGAAGAACCTGGAGAGCAGACCGTCCACCGCACAGCAAATGCTAACTACAGGCCTCGTTCAAAGCACCCTTGCCGCAGGGCCTGAAGATCCGGAAACGGAGCGCAGGGATATTGTGGAGCATGCGTGTGACAACATTGACATCTCGACCGGCCCCGAGGGTCCAGACAACAAGGCCGGCGGCGACACAGAGTATGGCCACGGCGGGCGCAAGAATCTGTATCGCAGTGCGGGCGTAATTTACGCGACAGACAAGGAGGCGTACATCCTGCGGCCAGCTCTTCAACCTTCAGATTATTACGGAAGGCGACCACTGGCAAACTACATTCGCAAAGGTAGATCAATCGGCATCTGCGTGGTACGGGGCTTTGACCAGGCCATATGGGACAAGCTACATCCGAGCAAGAAGACGCCGATGGCCCAGAAGGCGCGGGAAGGTGTGTCAACTGCCCAGGACGGAGCGCCTCCGTATCGGAGGCAGAAGTCGGACCCGGCCCTGGCGCTTTCGGAGAGACCGCAAGTTACTGATCTGGTGCTTGTGATTCACGGCATCGGTCAGAAGCTGTCGGAGAGGATGGAGACGTTCCACTTCACGCATGCCATCAATGCGTTCAGGAGAGAGGTGAACGTAGAACTGGGGACGCACGAGGTTAAACGCCATCTTCGCAAAGACATGGGAGGGATTATGGTTCTACCGGTAGGTTCGGCCTTCGTCAGACCCCCCATAATTTTGTAGTCACTCACTGACTTATGTAGGTCAACTGGCGGCTTCGAATTTCGCTCGACGATGCGAATGGCAACGGCGAAGCAGAGGATCCTTCCGTCAACAAGTTCACCCTCAAAGACATCACCCCCGACACGCTTCCCTCCGTGCGTGGCATCGTCAGCGACGTCATGCTAGACGTGCCCTACTACCTCTCCCCCGAGCATCATCCCAAGATGGTATCCGCCTGCATCCACGAAGCAAATCGTATCTACCGCTTATGGTGCCACAACAACCCCGGCTTCTCCGAATGGGGCCGCGTCCACCTCATCGCGCATTCCCTCGGCTCCGTCATGGCCATAGACATCCTCAGCCAGCAGCCAAGTCACGTCGACCCCCAACTCGGTATCCCAGGCTACCCCGACGAAGACATTCCCAAAGACCACTTTATCTTCAACACCAGCTCGCTCTTCACCTGCGGCAGCCCCGTAGGCTTCTTCCTTCTCCTCAAGAACGCCACCCTCCTCCCCAGACGCGACAAAGAAAAACCCGGCGCGGACTCCTACGCCGCGCCCGGCGTCGCCGGCGAGCAGGGCACCTACGGCTGCATCGCCGTCGACAACATCTACAACATCGTCAACGGCTACGACCCCGTCGCCTACCGCCTCAACGCCGCCGTCGACGCCACCTACGCCTCGATGCTCAAGCCCACCCTCATCCCCTCCGCCACCTCCTCCTTCTTCGCCTTCGCCAACCCCTTCCGCGCCCACACCATCAGCCCCAGCGCGTACAAGCCCTCCCCGCTCCGCCTCCCCTCCAACGTCGAGCTCGAGACGCACAACTTCTCCCGCGAGGACATCGCGGAGAAGCGCGCCTATCTGCTCAACGATAACGGCCAGATTGACTACTTTTTGAGGTATGGCGGCGGCCCGCTCGAGATCCAGTATCTGACTATGCTCGGCGCGCATAGCAGTTATTGGGTTAGTAGGGATTTTGTGCGGATGATTGTTGTCGAGGTCGGGAGGGAGTGTGGGAAGGCGGGGACGGTGCAGGCGATGAGGGCGGTGAAGAAGAAGATCAGTGCGGTTTGATGTGATGGCAGGTGGGAGAGGGAGGAGGTGAGGATGTGGATGTGGATGAGGATGAGGATGTTATACCCCGTTCGTAGCGCCTTTTTTAAGTAAGGATGTTAGTCTTCTACTCGCCCCACGCGCCAAAGGAGCACCCTTGGCCAGTGTGGCGAGTAGTTCATGTGCGTGGATTCAGTGATGAATGAATACTTAGTCTTCGGTTAGAGGAGACTGGACGGGATGATATGTCAGATCTCTCCTCTCGCAATCTCGGCGCCACTAGTGAAGAGATAAGGCGCATTCTGTGACTTCAAATCTGCGTCGGCGCCTGGACGGGGCATTAGGTAGAGAGAGTGAACATTACTATCCTCCAACTCCGCGCTGCCAATGCAATTCTCATCCAGCTTTTCTAAACATACCACATAATAGCCAAGTCCTACATGCGCGTTAGGTGCGAATCGCTATCGCTCAGCGCCGATCTAAGCGTCCTCTCAATCCTAATCTCATGCTCGACATTGACCTTGATATTGGCCGGAGCAGCCGTAGCGGGCGACGATCTACGGAACCGTTCGCGCCAGACGCCGAGCGAGGATTCATTCACGCCGTAGATGAGGGCGTCCACGAAGCCTTGGATGACGATACAAGCCTAAAGCCTAATCAGCCATGCTCTGCGATGAGCAAGCGAGAACGTAAAGAGTGAGGCGCTCACCTTATCAACGGTCGCGATGCCGAAGGGAGCCGGCTTCCCCTTGACGCTCTGGTAGATGCGAATCGTCGTCGGAATCGTCCAGATTAACATGTAAGCCAGCGGGTAGCTCATCATCTGCCGCGCCATTTTCTTCAGCATGGGGTTCGGCTGGCGTGCATAGGTCCGTCCTGTTATTGTGCCGCCGCTGTGCTCGACGTCGTGGTCTTTGCTGGCCACATTCATGGATATAGAAGGCCGCCCGATGCGCCGGGTTGAAGAGACGGAGTCGGTATCAGGCTCGACGCTGGGGGAAGCGTGGTTGTGTGGCGACATCTGGTCGTTAAAGGACATGAAGCGGTTGTGCGCCTTGTAGATGATACGGTAGAGCCGAGCATATAGAGCGAGGATGAAGATGACGATGAGCCAGCGGGGGAGGAAGTTTACGAGGAGCCGCGTCTTGTCGGAACCGAACCAGCACCCTAGACGAGTCAGCTCTGGCATCCTAGATGTATTGATGGGCTTGATACGCACAGGCACCGATGTCGCTATAGCCGTCAAGGCCTAGCCCTATTGCCGCCCATAGAGCAGAGAAGCCCCAAGGGAGACACCATAGAACTAGCCGGTGTTCCTGGATCCAAGAGGACATGTGCTTGTGGTTCGCTAGAATGAGAAACGTGCATACAGCGATGAGTAACACCCAGTAGTCCGCTGATCATGATCAGCACATGTCGATCATGAGTATGCGTCGTCGGAAACTCCAACAGGGGACTTACTCTGGATGACGAAAAACTGGGTCATAAAGCCGTTGAAGCTGCAGAATCTCTTCTGGGAGGGATCTCCGATACTGCGGCCAGATAGATTCATAGCGCAAGACGAGAGAAAGTTAACGGCCATCCAGAAATCCGAGATGGCGAGACCGAGGATGAGCTGATGACGAAACGTTCTAACCTGCTTGAACAGCTGCGACGTGCGGTAAGTATCCAGTTCTTTGAGGAAGGGTGGTGGTCGCCAACTTACGCAAAAACTCATGATGATCCATCCTGCACCAGCTATGCTCAAGGCGGACACTGCCAGGATAACTTGGTTGACGACGCGAACCTCGTGAGCTTTCGAGGGTGCCGATAATACTACCCTCTTAATAAGTCTGCTATACTCGAGCGACGGCATGTTGACAATCTTTTGGAAAGTTGATGCGGATTGAGCACTGCGTTCGTATCGACATCTCCAACTCTTGAATTCGAAGACCAATTCAATGTACGGGAACACGTATTCGCATCTCACTTCGCAGCCCAATGCGAAGGCAATATATTCCCGTCGTCATCGCCAGAAGGGATGCTCGTGCATAGCCTTATCTTCAACGGCTTGAAGCGACAAAAAGTAACCACAGACCCCTGCAACGAAGTCGCGGAGTAGATAAAGGTCGGACGGAAACGGAAACGTGGGTAGTAGTGTAATTGAACGATTGGATACCTGCTGTTAAAGGTTCTAGGGTCGCGTGCTTTCCTGATGACTAGTGCGTTGGTTAGAGGTTTCATCCCATGGTGTTGGATGCATTCTCCTGCGTCACGTAGAAGGCGGCGCCACAACCGTTCCAGTCGATGGAAACGGTCCAAGGTAGGCGTGGTATACCCCACGCTACTCGCAGAAGCAGCAGGATTTGGATGTTCCTGGAAATTGTCTCATATCCGGTCTCAGCTGAAAACAGGACACGAAACGGAATACCGCAACAGTTGTGAAAGAACAGTCGACGCAGAAACCCAGAGGGGAGAGCAATGCCGGCGCCATATTTTGAAAAGCGCATATCTGAAAATATTATTCTCGTGAAGACATCTGCCTTCTCCGGTCTCCTAGAAAATTCGGTGCCACCGTTGTAGTTGAGGACCGAGGTATGCAGCAACCACCATGGCCAATGCAAGTCGCCAAAAGATGGTAGGGATGGCATCGCCTATGGAACCTGGAGAAAGATAGGACGACGAAAAGCATCGTGCCTGGTATCCGCTTGGCCATGATGGCTAGGGCGATCTCAGACCCTGGCACCGAATCTTGATACACTTCTTCCTTCCACGATACGATATCGTGGGGGATCTTTCATGCTCCTCGATCCCGATGAGGTTAGAATAAGCTCTTTTTAAAGCTGCTGGGGCTCGTGTGCACGGTGGATGTTGCTCTATTTCCGCGGCGTTGCGCAGTTGCACTTTCAGTTGCGGTCTGCTCCGCCTGCGGCCTGGGGATGCCGTGAATCTGAACTGAATCCCGATGAATTCCGTCTCCTCTTCTAATAAGCCTCGGGAGGGCGAAAATGCCACCACAGCTGGACATTCGAGACGGTGGACTGCTTCAGCGCCCGACTGCCAATGGCCCTGCGATAAGGTCGTTGAAGTTCCCTTGCACGAGGGTGCAGAGGAGATGAGGACTCGAGTCAAATCGTAATGCATGTAGCCGTACCCAGGCATGGAGTAATGATAGAACGGCTGGGGATAGGGAGAAGCTACTCCACGGTTTTGACGAGGGTGGCCCGAGCGCACGCACCCATGTCACCGCGGACGTCGTCACAGGCGCACGCCAACACGCACAACGTCGACGCCAACGCCAACGCTCACAAGATGCGGCATCGGGCGCGGCCCGCACGATTATGGCCCTGAAGCGCAGAGATGTAGTCCTCGCCGCCATCGCCGTCTTCATCGCCTGGGGCTACGTCACCCACTGGCGGCCCTCGTTCCGCTTCCTCCCCTATGCCTTCGTCGCCGGCGTCCTCGCGACCCTCGCCCTCCAAGCATGGCTGACCCTCACGACCGCCTGGAATAAAGAGCTGCGCGATGGCGGCGAGGTCGACTACGGGCCCCGGCATGCCGCCTTCCTTGCGCCGGCCAGGTGGCGGGCCGAGAGGGACGCGCTGACGAAGCGGTCCATGTACATGATGGAGCCTCTGTACCCCGCCTCATTTGTTATATCGGACAGCATCGACGTGCTGGTGGGGCTGGTACTGCGCGACTTTGTGAAGAGCTGGTACGGCAACATCAGCAAGAGCCCGACGTTCGTCAACGAGGTCGACCGCGCTGTGAGGGCTGCATTGGGCGAGATCCGAGACCGCATACTGGCTGTGGACATGGTGGAGACGCTTGTTTCGCGCATGATTCCTCTGATCACCGAGCACTTGAGGGCCGCATACGCAGCGGAGCGCGCCGTCCGCGGTCGCAAGTTGTCTCGCAATGTCACCGAGTCGGAGGAGCTTGACCTGGCAATCGCAGCCAAGTACAAAGACGGCCGGCTGCATCCTGCCGCCTCACTATCATATTCGAATACCAAGCTTATCCAGCAGCAGCATTTACGAAGCATTGCCACGCGATTGTTACCCAAGGTCATGCCCACAAACATGCTTACCAGCCCTGCTGTAAACGTTTTGATCAAAGAACTCGTCGCTTGCGCAGTCTTGTCCCCCGTGATGGAAATGCTTGCGGACCCAGATACGTGGAATCAGCTGATGGAGGGATACGTAAGGCTTTCGAAGTAATTATCAAAATCTGTGCTGACCGTGGTAGGGCCGATCATTGTTGCAAGAGCGAAAGACGGTGCGAAAGCTCCGAGCAGCGCTCGACGAGCATGCCCCTCCGTCCCCGAGGGCGCCAAGGAATGTCCAATTTCCTAAGCTTTCGCCTGGCGACAACGAGCGCAAGTTTGAAAGGTTCATCCGAGCAATCCGGCAGACGAACACGTTAGCAGATGCTCGTCGCTTCCGGAGCGAGGTATCGAGCCAGCTGAGGAAGGACTCCATGGTGGAAGGCCAGGACCCCGTCTATCTACGTCGCCTGGAGACAGCGAGGAAAATCCTCGATCAAAAAATTGCGAACTTGAGTGCCAGTGGACCGGTACGCGGCAAAGCCGCCGCGCAAGAGAAACCGAAGCACAAACGAACGGCGTCGCGATTCGAGAGCGCTTCGTTACGTGACGTGCTCTATGATGCAGCGGGACTTTCTTGCTTCATGGAGTACATGGACCAGGTGGGCCTCATGCGACTAGTCCAGTTCTGGATCGTTGTTGACGGTTTCCGGAACCCGCTGGAACAGGACACCGATGAGCCGGTCGGGCATCTCGCTTTGCCTGCTTGGTCGGACTCGGATCGCGCAGATATGGCGCAAATCAACGATGCCTACCTATCGAAAACGGAGCTGAACCTACTACCCCAAGCACGTCAAGCAGTCACAGAATTTCTCAAGGCAGGCCGAGCGGCGACACCCCAGCAATACTACAATGCGCGCCGAAGTTTGTTGCAGGCGCAGACGGCCGTCTACGACCAGCTTCAGGAACCGCATTTCCGGAGATTCAAGAAGTCGAACTTGTATTACAAGTGGCTCGCCATGGACGAAGCTGCAAATGCCGAGAAGAGTTCCGTCAGCACCAAAATTGTGGCTAAGACGCTCGAGAACCCTTCGTTGGTAGCTTCAGGGAAACTTGTCCGGTCTCAGTCGGCGCAGAAGACGCTCCAGGCTCCTGACCTTCGTCGAGCGGCCGTGTCGTCGTCCGATCTCAAGGGTCAGGGTAAGGTGAAAGACCTCGACCCTCCCCCACGACGCTCTCTCGATAGTAGCGCGCCTGTCCGGACGCCGCTTTTCGATGACGACTATGATAGCGATCCGCTCGCCAATTCGACGGCGAGCTTAGACTCGGATGGCGGCTTGTCCCGGCAGAACGGCGACAATTCTAAGGTCGTGGACGCAATGCAGGCTGCGTTAAACGACATCATGGGAGATGAACCTGAAGGCTCGCTATTCAACGAATCAAGCCTCAATTCACCACAAGACAACGACTCGCTCAGAGGTTCGGTGGACCTGCCCAGGGCGATATCGCCAACTCTAATGACGATGCAGAGGAGAGAAAGAGAGAAGCCAAGCATAGCGTCACTGGGCCTTGTCGGTGAGCCGCGGACCCGCGGAGTCTTCAATGACGACCTCTTCGGTGATGAAGAAAAGTTTCTGGAGGATGAGATCGAAGACCCTGATACTGACAAAAAGCTGGACGAGGATGAGATTCACGAAGCTGCCCCGGGTGATCTCGGCTTAGCTGAGGCCATTGACACGCTTACTGCAGATATCGAACGCCTCGTTACCCAGGAATCTATTGTGGACTCCCTGACGACCAAGGCCGAGCTGACGAACAATGCCGCCGAGCTTCGGATTCTGCGAAAGTCCAAAGCCAGTCTCCAGAGGGAGATACAGCGAAAAGAGCTGCAACGGCAGCAGTATATTGTTCAAGAAAGCGACAACAGCTTATATGGGCGCGCTACGGTATTCATACAATCTATCATGGTCGGCACCGAAGAAGACGGGAAAGAGTACGCCCTATGTAAGTGGTCAGCTCTTGCCTACGTTTCTCTTATGCTGATATAGTTTCTAGACGTTATCGAGGTCCGCAGACGTGCCGGCGACCAAATGCCTGCAGCGGCATGGGTCGTTTCCCGCAGATACAGTGAATTTCACGAGCTCAACAAGCGCCTTCGCGCAAAGTTCCCCCAAGTACGGGTCCTTGAGTTTCCAAGGCGGCAGATGGTCCTCAAGCTGCAGAAGGACTTCTTGCACAAGCGAAGACTGGGGCTTGAAAAGTATCTTAGAGTATGTAAGCGTCCGACGTAAGATAGACCTGATGATGCGCTGACGGCTTGATATAGGAGCTTCTTCTCATCCCAGCAGTATGCCGTAGTCGCGAGCTTCGAGCCTTCCTCTCGCAAGCAGCTATATCGGCTACCGACCCTTCTTCTTCTCAAGCGACCTCCAACGACTTTGTCACCCGCATCTACAACTCCGTTGCGGATGGCATGGAGGAGTTCCTCGGCAACATACCAGTCTTAGATCAGCTTTCTGTTGCGGGCCAGAACCTCATCTCCGCAGCTACGAATCAATTGGCTTCTTCCAATGGCACCACTACCCCTACTGGCCTGGGTGCCACTGTCTTGGCCGTGGAGCCAACCTCAGACGCCGAGGCTGAAGCAGAGCTGCTTGCGTTCGAAAACAAAGAGCTCGAGCCTTTCGTAACACCCATATGCGACCTTTTCTTAGAGACCTTTGAACTAAACCGAGAAAACAACTGGCTCCGCGGCCGCGCCGTGGTTGTCGTCCTCCACCAGCTCCTCGGCGGAACCATCGAACGCAAGGTCCGCGAGTCGTTCAATGGCCTCGTCTCCGAAGACAGCATCGTCAGATACATCGAAATGCTCAAGGATGCCATGTGGCCGAACGGGCTGCTTAAGCTGCCCGCTGAGAGGACGCCGCAGGAGAGGGCGAAGAGCAGGAAAGAGGCTGGCGTGGTGCTGGGCACGCTGGTCCCGGAGCTAGCGGCGTCGGTGGTGGGCCGAGCGAATGCGCAGATGGCGGCCAAGAGGTTGGAAGCTACGGTTAATAATCCGAGGTTGAAGTGAGTACCCCGCCGAACGCTTGCAGCTGGGGTGAGATGGTTAGCTAACGACGAAGCAGCACGCATCTTGCTTTTACGCTCTTCGACGAGATGATTCAGGTCTTGTTTCCGGAGGTTGGGATCAAGTGATGCAATGCATGGCTGGGGTGCATGGAGTGGCGTTTTCGGCCTGGCTTGCTGACGGCAGCACGCCGGTTGGTTAGGATACTTGCATTTGGTCCGGTGACAGGCACTTACAGACTTCGCAATGGAGCATTATTTCCTCCTTCCATAGCCAGCCCTCCTGTTTGTTTGTAGGATTAGGCCGTTCTTTATCATCCTCTCTTCCCGCTCCGGCATTCTATACCAGATATCCCGACTGTTTTCTCAAGGTGCACTATGTCCCCCAGAATACCCCTGGTCCTTATAACGCCCGTTTATCAAGTGTTACATCGCCAGTCAGCGTAAGCATAATCGACCCCCGACTGCTCGGAAATAAAAAGCCACAGTTTCCGAGAATGCGGGGTGTGTGGGGGTCGGCTTCACGACGCGTCCCGCTAAACTAAAGTTGATCGAAACGTCATTCGCTGACTCGCCTCGTCCTACTACACTTTCAACCTCGGCCGGCTTGCGACGACCCCTCCGTAAGCGGCCGCGGGAAGGGCTGGCTTTGCTGGGTGGGTGGGACGCGACGCGCTGCCGTGCTGTTCTATCTTGAAGTTTCTTTCTTTCGATTGTCTTTTAGCTGTTCGATGTGCTGCTCGATGGGAAATTTGTAGTTCGGAGGACGCAAGCTTTCTTTCTAGAACGTCTTCTCCTTCGCGCTCTTACGTAGGAGGAGGTACTTCATTCGGCATACGAGTGCGTGAGTGAGTGAGTGCAGCACGAACGGACGCGACGGATAGAAAGCAGAGACAGACGTACGACGGGAGTTCTCGTAGATTGGATTGGATTGGATTGGATTGGATTGGATTACTGTTGAGCATGGCGCGTAAGTCTTCAGTCTTCACTCTCCCTTCCCTCTCCTTCCAACTTCCCTTCCCCATTCCATCTATGCTCTCCCTCCATCCGCTTAACCAACCAACCAACCGAAACCCGTACCGTACCGTACTAACAGCACAGTCCCCATCACCGCCGGCGTCCTATCCACCGCCGCCTTAGCCCTCTACCTCAACGCCAAACACCACCTCATCCACGACCTACGCCACGGGCGCGGCGGCCTCGCCCCCTCTCCCTCGCACGTCTCCTATCTCGCCGCGCGCGCCGCTTCCAAACGCGTGCTGACGTTCCACGTGCTCGAGGAGCAGGCGGCGCGGCGCCCGGAGCACTTGTTCCTGCTCTTCGAGGGGCGGGAATGGAGCTACGGCGCGTTTGTGGACGCAGTGGCGCGGGTTGCGAATTGGTTGGTCGACGAGCTGGGAGTCGAGGCCGGCGAGGTGGTCGCGCTGGATGGCGGGAATAGCGCGGAGTATTTGATGCTGTGGATGGCGCTGGATGCGGTGGGGGCGTGTGTGAGTTTTGTGAATTGGAATTTGACGGGGGAGGGGCTGGTGCATTGCGTTAAGGTATGTGGGAGCGTCGTTTTTCCCGTTCTATCGTTGTTGCTTGGGGGTGTTAGAGGGCTGATGTGGATGTGGATGTGGTGTAGCTTTGCGGCAGCAGATACTTGATCACGGACTCCGACGTGCGGCACAACGTCGAGCCATGCCGCGCGCAGCTAGACGACCTGGGCGTCGCGATCGTATATTACGACGCGTCGTTCTTCGCGGCGCTTCCGGCCGGTGCGCCTATTCCGCCATCTCGAACGGAAAACATCACACTCGAGTCCATGCGCGGCCTCATCTACACCTCAGGCACGACCGGCCTGCCCAAAGCCGTCGTCATGTCGACGGGCCGCGACCTGCTCGTCGGGCACATGACGGCGCAGTATCTAGGCCTGACGCCCTCCGATCGCTTCTACACCTGCATGCCGCTGTACCACGGCGCGGCCCACGGGCTCTGCGTCACGCCGTCCATCCATGCGGGCTGCACCATCGTGCTGGGGCGCAAGTTCAGCCACCGCACCTTTTGGCCTGAAGTCGCTGCTTCGCGCGCTACCATCATCCAGTACGTGGGCGAGCTGTGCCGGTACTTGCTCAACGGGCCGTCGAATCCGCACGAGCGCGCGCACTGCGTAAAGGTGGCGTGGGGGAACGGCATGCGGCCGGACGTGTGGGAGCCCTTCCGCCAGCGCTTCAACATCCCCGTTATTAACGAGCTGTACGCTGCGACTGATGGTTTGGGCGCGACGTTTACGCGCAACCATGGTCCGTTTACGGCGCACACGATTGGGTTGCGGGGCAAGCTTTGGCATTGGCGGCACGGTGATGAGGAGGTACGGGTTAAGATGGATGTCGACACGGAGGAGATTATGAGAGACGAGAACGGGTTTGCGATTCGGTGCGGAGTGAACGAACCGGGGCAGGTGCTGCACAGGCTGGATCCGGAGCTGTTGGCCAGTGTACCGGGATACTACGAAAATGAGGAGGCGACGCTGAAGAGGAGGATTAGTGATGTGTTCGAGGAGGGGGATCTGTAAGCCGTTCCCCTTCCTCCGTTCGAACGTAGATTGGGCACCGGCACACGGCTAACAGGGATATCCAGGTGGTTCAAGTCCGGCGACATGATGCGCGTAGACTCGCATGGTCGCGTCTACTTCGTCGACCGCCTCGGCGACACCTTCCGCTGGAAATCCGAAAACGTCTCCACCAACGAAGTTGCCGACATGCTGGGCAAATTCCCGCAAATCGCCGAGACAAACGTCTACGGCATCGCCGTCCCCGGCTACGACGGCCGCGCAGGTGCAGCGTCCATCGTCATGGCGGACGGAGTGACCGAGTCGACATTTGACTTTCAGGCGCTGGCAGAGTATGCGAGGAGTGTGCTGCCCGGGTATGCGGTGCCGCTGTTTTTGAGAGTTACGCCGGCGTTAGAGTATACCGGGACGCTGAAAATTCAGAAGGGGAGGCTGAAGAGGGAGGGCGTGGATCCGGATTTGGTGACGGGCGAGGATAGGTTTTATTGGTTGCCGCCGGGGTCGGGTCGGTATCTTCCGTTTGAGAGGAAGGATTGGGAGGCGATCAAAGATAAAACTGTGAGGTTGACTTGAGTGATTTGAGAGTGTACAACCTAGAAGATAGAAGACCCAGAGCTAATTGCATGCACATGGTTCGAGCTGCTGCTGATGTAAGCGCCGTTATATTAGCCTAGCATAAGGACCGAGAAAGGCAGAAGTCGTAAGGTATCAGATTGCTCACTGCTATTTCTACATTCGGCGAGTCCAACATTCATACGACCGCGCCAAAGTACCCACAGATTGCTCTGGCATCTGTTAAGAAAGGGCTATACAATTTCGAACTCGTAATACACGTAGGCGGAATATTCTTGGTCGCCAAGGTGTCCGGTGGACTGCATATCGGTGGTCGTGGCTGCGTCGTCTTTCTTGATACGGCCTTTGCTGTCGCGGCCGAACGCATTGCCTGCAAGGTACGAGTAGTTGGCGTCCAGGTTTGCTTTTGCCTTCCTTGCCAACTTTTCGGTCGTCTGAGGCCGCATTAGCATGAGTCGAGAGTCGGATAACAAAGGTGGTGGTCCGTTACCTGCACCAGGCCGCACACAAAATCCAGCGGCAGTCCGTACCGCAACACCGTCTCGACGAATACTCGGAGCGCGAGTACGTGGATCCAGATCATGGCGCTCTCGCTATAACCGGTGCGTCCCAGCCGCAGCGCCTCGCCCCACAGCTTCTTCTCGTCTTGCGCCAACTGGTTCGCTTCTTTGGCCTCCTCTTCCTGGCCGCCCTCTTTGTATTTGTAGTCGCGCGGCGTCCACCGCTTTTCTCTGCACTTGTGCACAAACTCGGCGGAGTGCTTCTTAAACGACACGACGGCGAATAATGTGAACTCGTCATCGGCGGCGACCTTTATGGCAGAGCGGGGAACGACCATGGGAGCGAGCGATTCGTAGGTTTTGAAGAAGTCTTTGACGGCCATGTTCGGGACAGCAATGAGGTGGGTGTCGAGGTATTCGGAGTCTTGGATCAGTACTTCGGGTTTCACTATCGTAGTCAGGGATTTAGTGGAGAGATTCCCTCTACAAATTGGGTCAGCACACGGCTCCGAGACCGACAACCAGGCTTCATGCATACGTTCTCCGGCGCTCCGCGGCGGCGAGGCTAGTCTTGGTCTGGTTGTATTGGGAGAATTTCGCTTTAACATCGTTATCGATGCCTACAATTTCCTGCGTGATATATCAGAACGCGCGTCCTTAGCTGGCGGCAGAGAGCGCACCTTCTGCAGCGAGTCTATCAGATCCGCGATGGATTTATCTGCCCGGTACTTGACCTTGTTCCACTGGAAGGTCCGGAGATACTGGTCCACGGGCTCTACACACCCGGTCAGCCCACGTGCGCAGAGAGGCCCGCCGCGGAGCTTCTACGCACTATCGTTGATGGTCTTGTGCTGCTGCACCCGCTCCTCGTCACCGTCGAGGATGTTGCGCAGGCTGTCCCCGACCTTGCCCACCACCTGCTCGCATGCCGAGTTGAGCTTTGCGAGATCATCCGCCTGCTGTACCAGCGCATCTAGCGTCCCGATCTTGAAGTTGGGAATCGCGAACGGGTACGTGGTGCCGTTGTCGTTGCTAACTGTCGAGCGCAGTGCTGTGAGGGCGTCGTCGGCGTGGTTTGAGGGCGATATGGACGTCGGCAGCGACACGAGCAGATATTTCGCCCCTTTCGACATGGTTGCGAGGGCGGGATGGCGGCGTCGGGTCTGTTTTCCGGGAACGGGCAGGCGGTGATGTCGGGGTGGAGGTGAGCTGTGGTGGGCGGGACAAGAGCTCGAGCTGGGGCCGCGCAGTGACCCGGGCGGGCGGTAGCGTCATCGGCCTGGTATAAACTGCCCTTCCGCCGTCAGTACCCGTCGAGCAAGCCTCCACCTCCACTCCTCGACATGGCTGCAAAGAGGGCAGCAGCAGCGCTGCGGCCGGCTGCCAATGGCCTGAAGGCGTCCTCTACGCAACCTCGCTGCTATTCAACCCCTCAATTGTCGCCCCGACGCCTCTCCATCCAGCCTCCCCGACCCCGCAGGCCTGCACCGCTACGGCAGCCTTCGGTCCACTATGCCTCGTCTGACTCCAAAGGCGAGGAGCCGGGAAAGACGGGGCTGTATGAGCTTCACACCAGATATGGCGCCAAGTTCGTCCCCTTCGGCGGATATTCCATGCCCGTGCAGTACGGCGACCTGAGCATCGTGGATTCGCACAACTGGACGCGAGAAAAGGCGAGCTTGTTCGATGTCGGGCACATGTACGCTGCTCCCTAGGCTTGACCTCGCATATCTGTGGCAGCTGACAGCTTCAGGGTACAGCACGAGTTCTCTGGGCCCGGCGCCGAAGCCTTCCTCCAGCGTATAACGCCGTCCTCGCTCTCGTCCCTCCCGGAATACAACTCCACCCTATCGACCCTCCTCCACCGCGAAACTGGCGGCATCGTCGACGACACGGTGATTGCCCGCCTCCCAGACAAGTTCTACGTCGTCACGAACGCCGGCTGCAGGGAGAAAGACAAGGCATACCTGACCGCGGAATTGGAGTCCTGGAAGAAGGACCACCCTGACCAGCCCGTGGACTGGAAGGTCATGGACGGTCAAGGTCTCATTGCTCTACAAGGACCGCTGGCGGCAGACATCCTTGGTCGCGTGCTCGACCCCCAGTCAGCGCACGCCCTACAGACTCTCTACTTCGGCCAATCTACGCACGCCATGGTCAAAGGGACGGACACACAAGTTCTGGTCAGCCGGGCTGGGTACACCGGAGAAGACGGCTTTGAGATTAGCATTCCACCCTATGCAACTGAGGCTGTCACCCAGTTCCTGCTTGATTCCGCGAAGGACGAACTACGCTTGGCAGGACTAGGAGCACGAGACACCTTGCGGTTGGAGGCTGGCATGTGTCTATACGGCCACGATCTCGACGACACCATTACACCGGTCGAAGCGGCTCTGTCCTGGATCATCGGCAAGGACCGACGCGCAAACGGAGGCTTCCACGGCGACTCTGTCATCCTTCAGCAGCTGAGGAAGAAGTCCGAAGGCGGTGGCGTGTCCCGTAGGCGTGTTGGTTTCGTCGTGGAGGGAGCTCCTGCGCGCGAAGGAGCCGAGGTAGTCAACGAAGCCGGTGAGAAGATTGGTAATATCACGTCGGGATGCCCTTCGCCGGCGCTCAAGAAGAATATCGCCATGGGGTACATCAAAGACGGCATGCATAAGAGTGGGACCGAGGTAGAGGTTGTGGTAAGAGGCAAAAGGAGGAAAGCGACGGTGACGAAGATGCCCTTCATTCCTAGCAAGTACTTCAAGGCTCCGACAACGAAGTAACGACCGGATAGCTGAACAATGAAATTGCGATACCATCGGAGCTCGCCTAGGAGCTACTTACGTTATCTAGTTCTCCTGTGCGAAACCAAACTTCGAGTCCGCCGAATATCCCAGCGCAGTTCACGCCTACCACTTAATATTCTCCAACTTCTTCGCGTCACTCTGCTCCCATGGATACTCGTGCTCAGCCGCCTTGATCAAGTCCTCATGCATCTTTGACCTCGGCTTGATCGACGTACGATACGGCAGAGGGTGACTAATCGCGCCAGGTTCGAACTTCACCTCCGGCTCTACTATCTTGCCGTTCTCATCTACAATCTTCTCAATATTAAACACCGCCAGGGACTGAGCGATGGTAATGAACAGCGCGTTATCGGCGACGAAGCGACCTGGACAGATGCGGCGGCCATAGCCGAAGATGTAGTTGCGTGGGTCGGGCTCGGCCTTGTGAGTGGGTGTCTCGAGGTGTCGTTCCGGCCGGAAAGTCATAGGGTCGGGATAGACTTCGGGATCGTGAGTGAAGTACCTGGATCAATGTTAGCTGACATGCCAAATGTGCGTTCCAGCACCTCATTGAACGCACCAAGTGTTGGGCAGCAGCACAGCGCCCTTGGGAATCCTGTATCCTCGGCAGACATCCTCCTCGATGCTCGTGTGAGGCAGACCCATGGGCAGGACAGGGTGCCAGCGGTGAGTCTCTTTCATGATTGCTTCAATGTATGGCAACTTCTCAAGATCCGCGCCGACAGGCAGGCGGTTGCCTCCGATGACACGGTCCAGCTCCTCTTGGGCCTTCTTCTGTACTTCTGGGAATACAACCATGGCCAAGAAGAAGGTCATCAGCGATGAGACGGTCGTATCCGCGCCGCCCAGGTACAAGGAAAGCGCGGCCCACTTGTGGATGAATTCCATCTCCGCATCCGAGCCGATATCTCGAATAGCCTGCGATAGGAAAGACGTCTTGTGCTCCTTCTCCCGCATCTGCTGCTTGACGAATTCATAAGGCTGGTTCGTACATTGCCTCAGCTCGAGGGCCATGCGGCGAGCAGTTTTCTTGAATCCAGTACCCGGGCACCAATCGGGCAAATATTTCAGGAACGGAAGGATATCCACAGTCCACCGGCCAGGCACCGTGGCTTCGGCAAACTGCACCATAGTCTTGCCGGCCAAGTCGACAAGAGGGTCCCTACCGTGGGCTTCGGTCGTATACCCGTATGTAATCTTCAAGATTACACTGCCGGCTTCCTTTCGAATGTGGTCAAACAAATCATCCGGGGACTCCAAAACGTTGAGCAGAAAGTGCGCAGCCTCAACCTCTTGCGCGCGCGCAAACACAGACAAGGAAGCGTGCGTATTAGCGATCTTCGTGAAGTTCCGCCGGTGGATCTTCCACGCATCCGAGTACGGACTCATGGCCGTCGCGTTCCGCCAGCCGATCATCTCGCAGCTGAACACCTGGCTGGGTCGCGAGGAATGGATCGCCGACCGGTCGCGGAGTAGCTCGAAGGCTAGCTGCGCGGAGTTGATGATGATGAAGGTCTGGCCTAGCACGGTGACCGAGCTGAGCGGGCCTGGAGGAAGGAAGTGCGTCTTTAGCTGCTAGCTCTTGCTTTGTTGGAAGGGCGGATGGGCGCAAGAGCATACGCACCGTACAGTTCCTTGTGCGTGAGCCAGTGGTGGCATTCGAGCACGCCCGGCTTCGGCATGTCGTTCACATTGCCCAGGAATGGGATGCCCTTGGGGCCGGGTGGAAGAGGCCGGTCATCACGCGAGGATCGCAGACGCTTGATCACATACAAGCCGACGATACCGAAGAAAATAGTGAGAACGGTCGAGGACACGTAAGCCATGGTTTCCACCTCCCCGGGCACAAAACCAGTAGAACAGGGCTTGACAGAGGTAGGTGCTTCGGACAGCTCGCACTTATATACCGGCAGCTCGTGCTTACCTCCCAGCACCTCCCGCTTACCTACGCAATGAAATGCTTACAGCATGTGCGGGTACTCGACAAGCTAAATCTACGCCCGGCAGCGCCAAGACTATTTCCCCACCGCACTTCGTAGCTGATAACTGAACGCGACAGGGATTGCGATTGGTCAGCATACAGGGGAAGAGCCTTCTTTCGGCTAAGCGCCATGCAATACTTACTACTGATCGCTGCCCGGCTTTCCTAGGTTGGTGCGGTTCTACGGAGGTACAGTGGAATGGGTGGCGCCGCCGGCTGCAGGGAGAGGAGTGCGGTGTGCGCGCCTTTTGCTTTACATACAGGCTTACGCTTGTTTCCGGTGTCCTTGTCGATGTGGACACACGAACTGGCGCAGGCGAAATAACACTTCTCCACGTCGGAAGCCAGTTGAACGACACTGTTACACGAAGAGATGGAACTGCCTCAGTCCTGGCCAAAATGAGACGCCCACGCACAACTTGTTTCCAAACATTTCGCCTAAGAGCGATGCCAAAATTTCCAACCCCTTTCGAGTCTCCCTCGAAATGGAATTTTACCGTCTGCTCGAACCCCCAGTAAGTGACTCAAGTCACCTTCGTGACTGTTCAGAGTCATGGAGGAGTCAGTGTTGTGTACGACGCATTGGAGGATGTGTGACTCTAGTACGGGGTATCAGTCATGGCTGGACGGGGGTATAAAATGGTGCGAATACTCACTCGTATCTTCGTTCTTATACCTACACGGAAGACGAAGACAAAGACGAAGAACTACAGAAGAAGGACCACCAACGAAGAACCGCATACGAAGGGCTCACCACCATGAGCACGCAAAATCAAGCCGCGGAGAACTCGGCCACGGCCCAAGCCGCTCAATCTGCTCCACAGGCCCCGAACACTGGAGATTCTACGATGGGCCACCCCTCCGCAGAAAACTTGAATGCAAACTGGAACTCCCCGCCTCGGCTCCCGGGCACTGCTAGCCCTAAGATCGAATACCGTGGATGGGATAAGGAACATCGACACATGGCACCCCCCACTCATCGGCGAAGCAGATCGTTACGATATCCTCCCAAACAACGATGAGCTCCAGCAGCTCCACGACGAATTCCTAGGTAAGCTGCAGAAGTCCCCTTCATAGTCTATCTTTTGAACTGACCGTCGCAATAAAGCTAGGCTCTTGGAGGGGACCATCCAGAAGGCCAACCCTGATCTTACCGAGTACAGTTCTATGATGCACTATGACAAGGAAGATGATCTGGATTACCTCGACATCGTGGGCAAGGGGGATACGGGTCCATGCGTAGTGTTCCAAGTTAGAACTAATAAGGGTTCTTGGGCAATTGTCTTTGGAGATCTTCTTAACTATTTGGACTCGTAGGCTCGGATTACCGTTTACGACACTTCGTAATATCGGTTCTGTTCCCTTATAATAATACAACCGGTATACCTGCGGGAGAGATGCTTTCTCGTTGGGGGCGGGGTGGAGGATGTTGTTGCTAGATGGAGCGCCTGAGCTGCATGCACTACGCGAAGGAGAAGAAATAGCTCCGACTTCTTCTTGCCAAATAATTTGCGTAGAGTAGAGGCGATGCTAATTGACCAGAGCCGTGTCCAGGGTCAACCATCGTCTCCGTGAGAAGGGAATCTAATCGACATATTACTCCACGTACTTCAAGCCATCGAATACGTCGACCAGGTCTCGTGTACTATACACATCGCCATATTTTGCTCGAGGGGCGTGTCGAAAGCCCTACGTCCGTACGACTTTCCATACTTTTTGATGTGTCCGGGATGTCTGGATGAGCGGATCGAGTCACCTTCGTGACTGTCCGCGGAGTCGAAACAAGTGGCTCGAGTCACTTTTGTGACTGTTCAGTCATGGAAGAGTCAGTGGAGTGTACGACGCATTGGAAGGAGTGTGACTCTGGTGGAGGATAACAGTCATGGCGGAAGAGGAGGTATAAAATGGCACGACTTCTCGCTCGATTCTTCGTTCTTGTATCTACACGTAATACACGGCCGAAGAACTCGCTACCATGAGCGCGCAAAATCAACCTCCAGAGAACTCGAACTCGGTAACGAACGAGAACCCCCAACCTCATCAACAACCTCCAACAGTCACGGGTACCCTCCCCGACTTGAAAGGCTACGATAAAGAGCATCGAAAAGCGGGCATCCCCATGACCGTCTCTTCAACACTTTACAACACACCCGAACTCTACAAACTCCACTACACTGTTTCCGGTAAGCCGGATACATTCCCCCACGCTCTGAGCTCCGGACTAAGCACCGCGCGAAGACAAAGCCTGGGCCTTCTACAGCAAACACCACCCCGACCTTACCAACCCTCAATTGGTCGTGCGAAGCGACGACGATGGACACGAACATATCTTCCTCCAGGCCTATGCGGAAGGGCGTGCGTACAAGGTGTTCGAAGCTAATGGCGAGTATATGACTTGGGAAAAGATCTTCAAATGTGTACTTGAAGTCTTCGAGCACCCCGAACGCTATGCCGAGCAACTCGGCGTGTGAGGGGGACGAGCAGGTCGAGGATTGCATCCTACTACTTTCGGTTCTGTTGCGAAGGTAATCTAAATTGTATGCTGGGAGACGGGCGCGCGAAATGCGCAGATTGTGGGACTCTCTTTAATTGTCAGATTAGTGTTAGAATGTGGAATGAAGGCATCCCTCCTGATTACTACGCTCCATATCCCACCAATGTCTAACTGTGCAGCACAAGTCTTGAGCATCTTGCAACGCTACATACATCCTCATCTCATGAACAAATTGCCTCATGTTGACTCTCCTATTGCACTCTAGCGCACGGCTGTTACAAAAGAAAGCAATGCCGCAAAGACAGTTTCTAATTAACGTCAAGACATTCCACAGCTTGCACTTAGTAGCATGCTGTGATGAAGTCGAGCACACGCTACGGTCTGTTCTTGCAGGTTGCAAGGCGAGGATTCATACCCTTCTGCGTCCATCACTGCTTATCTTCCCGCAGACCATTTTTTAGAACAGAATCTTCATTACAAGAGGTGGGAGCCCTTGGGTCTTCCCCGCTATCTCTTTTCCATGTTGAACTTATCGTTCTCCTACAATAACACTAGCAGGTATACCTCCCGGCCTCCGTGTCAGATAGCAAAAGCGCTAGCTCATCTTCCCAAAGCTTGGCCTTGATGTAAGACCCATGCCCAATCGTTCCGTCAGAGACCGGCAACACAATTGCCTTGCCCACGCCCCGTCGCATTTTGCGCTCAACTGCCTGCTCCAGGATTCCGAGCTCGGGTGGGTTCATCATATCATCGGCCGTATTCACCGCGGTCAACGGCGCCTTGATCAACCCAAGATCGGGCTCAGGGTTGTAAAGATGAGACGAGTTCCAAGCGTATAGCTGGTCGTTGGCATCGTAATCCGGCACGTGGGGTAGAAGTTCGTCGACAAACTGATCCATCGCATCTCGAGTGGGGTATTGAGCCTGGTAGGAAACCGGCGAGGAAAACATCGTTTGCACAAGCGATAGCGCGCCTGCAAGGCTCACCAGTGGTTGGTTTTGATAATCGCCTCCGTTCCATGCTGCATCAGACCGGATTAACTCAATGATGAACTTCCTCCACAGTCGATTCTGGCCAGCGATTTGCGCAGGTAGGCAAGCGATGGGCATTAACGCATCCATGAAATCTGGGTACATTTCGCCCATCATCCATGTGTGCATCCCGCCCATGGAGACCCCGAGCACCAGCCTCGTGTGGTTGACCCCGAGATGCTCGGTGAGAAGGCGGTGATGCGCGCGGACCATGTCGGCATATTGATAGCTTGGGAACCTGGCGTGGAGCCCGGTGTTGCTGGGTTTGCTCGAGTTTCCATGTCCAATGCTGTCAGGAAGAACAATGAAGTATTTTTGCGCGTCCAGGGCCTGGTTGGGGTTGAATAGCGCGCCTGCAAAATCATCGTTGAAAAACTGCTCGCTTGATCCCGTGGTACCGTGCAGGATAAGGACGGCGTTGTTGGTGCCATCTGGATTGACTTTTAGTTCGCCCAGCGTCTGATAGTGAAGCTCGAGCTCATTAAGGATTTCGCCAGAGTCAAAAGCAAAGTCTGAGATCACGAAACTGTCGTGATCCGGGGTTGGCCAACTTAGCGTTTGGGATGCCTGGGCGATGATTGGCAGCGTTGCAATAAAGGGTGGTAGGAAGAAGGTATTGAATTTCATCGTGCACCTAAATATGACATATGTAGTGTAGATTTGCAGTCTTGCTGGGAAGAGAGGTGTAAAAGTCGCTCTTTGGGAGTTGTTATCCTCACTTCATCGTGGGCGCTCTGGATTTTGTACTCTTTCATGAAATACTACCTAGACCTTTAGATACTACCTACGCACGTACGCAGAGACGGTACGCACGTAATCGGGCACATCATACGCACGAATCTGGTCGGTGTGGGTAGGAAGGACAGAATACTACCCGTGGTACTGCGAAGGTCGTGCGCTTGGCATAAGTCTCACGTCACTTCATTACGTCGACTCGCGCAACTCCTGCCGTTCAGTAAGAGTGGAATGCAAAAATTATACGGGTGCGGCCGTATTTTACGGTAGCATCTAGCGATCGCTCTGCGTTTCGTTCGACCTCAGAGCGGTCGCCGGAAACCAGCGGTGCCGCGAAGCTCGCCAACGAGTCGAGCGTACGCACGGGTATCGGTCATAAGACAGTGGAATACCGTTCCAAGAGCGACAGCAAGTTCGGCTGCTGCTGCAAAGCTGGAAAATATTAGTACGCTATGCCATTATCGCGGCGCGAAAGGATGCACATACAATGTTTCAAAGAGGGTATTAATCGCTTCGGTATGCGCGAGAATCTTGCACATGAAAGTTTTGCCACATTCGTGTGGGTGACTACCATGTTCTCTGATCCTCCGTTCGATCTCCTCTATGAATTCTTAAGTAGGGTTAGAGAAGGACTGGAGCGCCGCTTGAATTTCATCACGGAGCTATTTGCCGGCGTCCGCGAGCGCCGTTCCCCCTTCTCCCCTAATATCGCTTCCCCGCTCGTGATGGTTTTAAATATATGAATCTATCTATTGCAGTCGCGGCGACTCTTCATGTATCCGAAGTGGCAGCCGAATATCAGCGCGAAGATAACATCGAAGGAGTAGAAGAACGACCAGTACGATACGTAGATTACTTCTCCTCGCATACTCCACATGCTCTCAACAAATGTAATAACCCTAGTTTGGATCTAATTCTGAAAAATTCTGAGAAAGGTTGGGAGTGCGCGTCAGATTGTTCATCGGCCCATTCTTAAGCCGTTTGTCTCGTGCGACATCTTGAGTAGCGACGGCTGTATCTAGCGGTTTATCGCGGTACACAGGCCTGAGGACGTTGTAAAATGCGCTCTAAAAAATCGTTGATCTTCTACGCAATGCTGGTATGGGTAGGGTGGGTAGCTTTGGGTGATGACCCTGGAGTTCTTGAAGTCATAATCCGATGAGTGCCCGGGTGGGAATGCAAAACGTGATTGGGCCCAGTCCTAACAACAGGCCGTACTTCCTGTGAAAGTACCTCTGCATAGTTGTCAGATTTCTTCCGTCAAGGAGCAACAGGATGCGGTACAATCCAGAAAGCCGATCCATAGTTGGTCCAGGGATCTTGGTGGGGTTCCACGCCAGGCGCCAGACAACGTCGCACAGAAGTGCCGCGGCGCAGCATATCAGAAAACACGGGAAAAACATGGCGAGAAGGTGATCTTCCGAGTGCGATATCTGCTCCCGGTTTCTTGACCATCATGAATATAAGGAGCACGCAGACGAAGGAGGACGCCGATGCCTAGTTTCCTGGCGGTGCCGCAGCAAGGTCGACGGTGCCGGTCTACGTAGCCTAGAGCTAAACAGTAACTGGAACCAATCTATTCGTAGGGTCCTAAATGCTGCGTTGGTTGACTACGCCGCAGATCGACCGCGCCCCGCCAAGTTCACACTTCTCTTTTTCCTCCTACCAATCTTACTTTGGTGGCTTAGCCTACCAGCGAACTATTCTTTTTGTTGATTATGTGCCCTCCCACCTTTATTTGACAAGCAGCTATTCGACCTTATTTGGCGCGACGATGGGTTTCGCTGTGAATTCTACCCTGGCGGGCATCCTGCTCTTTGCCGTTTACGTATATCGTCTCCAAGTCAAGCGAAGCACGGCAGCTCGCCAGCACGGCTGCGGCACCCTCGCTAAACCTTGGCCCAAAGAGCCATTCTACGCGTTCGACTTCGGAATGGCCATGCATTTAGATATTCCTATTCTATATCGCCATCATCAGCGTCGCGGACCGACCTTTCAAGCTCATGCCCTCCTCTCTCAACCATCTATCATCACGATCGCGCCCGCGAACATTCGTGTGGTCAATACCGGCAAGGATTGGGGCGTGGCGCCAATGAGGCTTGCTGGTATGGAATACTTCTGTGGTCGTGGCTTCTTGACCACAGACGGGGATCTCTGGAGCCGGTCGAGAAAACTACTGAAGCCGACATTCAACAAGGCCAACCTCACCAACTTGAGCTTCCTTTCGGCCCAAGTGGATACCATGTTGCAGCAGCTCCCGAAGAACGGAACAACCGTGGATCTTCAGCCTTTGTTCTATACTATGGTACGTATACGCCAGGCTTTCAAAAGTTCGTGTCCTGAGTAACTGCTGTAGTTTCTTAATACCTCCTTGAACTTCCTCTTGGGCATCGACCCCACTAAAGACTCGATCGGCGCGCCACACACGTCCGAACAATTCATCAACGCCTTCCATGACGCGCTATTTCTCACCATGTTCAAGATCTTGCTTGGCAAGGCATTCAAGTTGGTTCCGCAGACCAAGTACCTTAACGCTTGCAACATCGTTCACGAGTACCTGGACTATTATGTTGACCAAGCTTTGGTTGAAGCGGGAGCATCTAGTGCCAAGTCGGAGAAGGGCTTAGACAACGCCACGAAACTGAGCATGATAAGGTCGCTTTCAGTCCAAACGAATGAGCGCGAATACATCAGAAACCAGATCCTTCAAGGCATGATGGCCTCTCAGGAAACAGTTTCGGCACTCCTCGGAAACGCTTGCTTCCTCCTCTCCCGTCATCCCAAGTACTGGCAGCGGCTTCACAATGAAACCAAGGACAAGGACATGGCGTTCTTTACATTACGACGCTCTCATGAGCTTCAGGCTTGTGCAGAATATATTGCACGAAGGTAAGTCCTCACATCCATTCAAGATATAGGATGGTGTTTTAATGTATTGGTCAGTGCTCCGCCTATATCCCATCTTCCCGCTCATGTCTCGAACCGCTCTGAAGGACCAGAAGCTCCCAGTTGGAGGAGGACCGAACAAAGATCTTCCTGTCTTCGTGCCGAGAGGCATTTTGGTTGTTATGAGCTACTATGCTCTACATCAGGACCCAGCCGTCTTTGGCGAGGATGCCGAAGACTTCAGGCCAGAGCGTTGGGATAAAATTCGCCCCGGGCAATGGACCTTCATGGCCTTTGGTGGAGGAAATAGGGCATGTCTTGGGCAGCCTAAGGTGCTGGTGGAAGCAGCCTATGTGCTAGTGAGGCTTGCGAAGGCATTCGGTACTTTGGAGAGTCGCGACTCTCGGGACTGGAAGGGAGAACTGAAACTTACCTGCAAGAGCGCGAACGGGTGCAAGGTGGCTCTGATCTAGAAGACTGACTTGCCCAAGGAGAACAGTTCGGTAATAGTATATGAAGATGTGAACGAGTATGCAGGGGAGTTTGCAGATGCAGGCATCGGTTTAATAAAAGCTAAGCTAAAAGAGAAATGTCTCGATACAGAATGAGCCAAGTAACCCTAGGTTGCTGCCTCGCAAAAGCCTAACCTTCTGCCGTCTCTGGTTGCCAAACGAACTCGACAACCGCGAGAATGGAACCAGGCGGGACCACGATTCGGTTCAACTTGAACCGCTTGTCTGCAAGCTGGAAGAGGCTTTCCCACTCCTCGGCATCGCGCTCCTTGGAGTTGAACTCCTGCTTCATCGCAAGATCATACCCTCTGCGCTCTCGTCAGCACTTTGAATGCCCAGATTATCAAGCCGAACTTACCTGATGAGCTGGGAAAGGTAGAACGGCAGAGTGTTCGGCTCCGGCATGCAGACTTCGTTGACAATGACCTTTGCGCCTGGCTCCAGCGCAGGAATCAGATTCTGAATGATTTGGACTGCATACTTGTCTGACCAGTCATGCAGAATCGACCGCAAGAAGTAGACACCGGCTTTGAGAGGTTGCTCGGTGAAGAAGTCGTGAGCAACAAAGTGTAGGCGACCCTCAAACTGGGATGGGACTGTGGCTCCACTGATCACTTCTGGAAGGTCCTGAACATGGATCTGCAGGCTGGGATATCGGTCGAGCAAGGCTTGGGCAATTGCGCCATGCGAACCACCCACATCAACTATGGTAAGCTCGCAGTCCACATCCCAGGCCAAGGAGGTGAACAAATGACCGATGTCGAAAGCTGGGTGGTTTTGGAGGAACTGAATTCCCCGAGCAAAACGTTGGGCCTTTTGGGGATTCTCCTTCAGAAATTCCCACATGCCAACGCCGTTGGTCAGAGCAAATGCAGTTTCGGTGGGTTCCTTCGAGCCAGGCCATTTCTTCATCGCTGGCACAAGCTGTGGACCATTCGGCCACATGTCGTCGCACACGAGCCCGATCCATTGATAAAGGAGTTCGTTGTCGACAATAACAGCGGAGTTAGCGGTGTGAGAAATGAATCCCTTTCGCGGCTCCTGGAAGATGTGGAATGAGATGGCCATGCGGATGAGCCGTCGAGCGTCGTCAACGTCCATGTTGCATCGTTGACCGATCTCCTCGAAGGAGACTTCTTCGTCTTTGGCAACGTTTTTGGCGATGTTGTAGTGAAAGATGGCATGGAGAGCCATAAGTATATTCATCTTTGATATATAAGCTCCGACGTTATCTGTGACGAGTGAAGGATAGACTTACCCGAGGGCTTGTGATGCGCACAAGATTCTCCAAAGGGCCTTCCACCAGGGCCTGGAGCTCGGTACAGCACTCGAGTATAGCATTCTGGGCTAATTGAACGTCTGGTGAGCGGGGTAGCTCGGGTGAGGCATTCTGAGAGAAGGAGGGACTCTCGGCACCGAGAGCTTGAAGAGCTGCCTCCAGGCGAGTCACTTCGTCTTTGAGCTTGGTCGCGAGTCCTGTAATTTGAGAGGTCTTGTTCTCCATATTGAGGCAGGTGAGATGCGGTATGACCTCCTGCGGTTTTGTTGGAGAGTGGACCTCTTGTGGTTACATTTCTCGGGGGTTGATGTTCGTTCCGCGCCGCCCAAGCGGCGTAGTCAACTTATGTCACCGTTGCCCTCCTGAGCGTAGTGCTCACATGGATCCTTGCGCCTGCACTTCGTTAAACCGCCCCTTGTTCATTAGAAACTGTGCCACATTTTCCGGTCGCCGGCGTTATTCATCCCCTGGCTGGAGAGCTGCAGGCATCTGTTAATTAATATACGCGCGCGCGTTCTTCTCAGAATTGCTCAATCCCACATGTCTCGGAATGCGCCACGCAGTATACGCGCGCGTACATGGCTAACGCAACTGTTCCACCTCCCGGAACGGTGTGCATCGTCGGCTTTATACCCTTCCAGGCGTGGCCAGGTACAAAGGATTGACGAAGAGACCTTGTATTGGACATGTCGACCATCGATACGTTGGAGAGGATGAGAGCAGGAATGATACGATTTTCAGCCTCTGAGATGTGGAACTCTTGTAATATCATTACCTGATAGGAGACGAGGTAGAAACTACGTGGGAGAGGCAGGTCTGAACACAGATAAGAAAAGACTGCGATAAATATCTATTCCAAATCCCAGAAACCCCTCCAGCCTCTACAGACTTCGCGGAACCCAAAACCAACTATAGTTACCAACAGCTGAGAACATGCGAGCCAAAGCCATCATCCAAAACAAGTAAGCTTCTATGATCTCGACGCCGCCTACTCTTTTGGGTCGCACCTATCTCCAGGATGCTTCTTCCTCGGTAGCAACGCCCTCTTCTCATGAGTGAGGCCCCATTCCTCATGCTTCGTATACTGCTTCAACGGCACATCATCTCGTTTACTCGGTCCATCTACCTTGAGCGACTGCGTCCCCAAATCGAAGCAATCCTTGACATGCGTCGCATCGCACAACGGCCACCATTTCGCCGTCTCCATATCGCAATACACGCTCTCTTCAACGGAGACGAAGTCCGGGCCCAGAGACATCGGATGCTCGCACATTTCCTTCGCGCTATGCTGCGAGAAGTGGCTGACAACAAGGGTGCCGGACTTCAAGTTCTTGACGCCTTTGACCTTCGAGTGTTTGAAGTTCCGGGAGTGACGTTTGTCATTCTTGCCGATGTTCATGTTGGTTCCATCGGGATAGGCGCTAGTGTCTCTGTCGATCCCTTCATCCGGATGCTTCAGCGCGCCTGCCGTCGACGGCTTCGTCGGATCATTTGCGTTCTCGTTCTGACTGTACTCGAGCTCGGGACTGAAGAAGCCAATTACGGAATCCGGGACGATGGGCTCCGGCTGGAACGTCAAGCGCTTGCTGTTCTTGCACAGTCGATCTGTGTTGTTCTGGTACTGGGCGACCAGCCCGGGGTCTGCAGTGAAGTCGCGGATGTGCATACTGATTCCTTTCGCGACGATGTTGTTCGTATGATCGCGATCAATCCAGGCGCAGCGCATAGGAACGTTAGATTGCGTGAAGGTGTATTTGCTTTCCATCCATTGCGCACCACACGTATACGCCATATCGCCCGTCCATACCCACTGCTGTCCATTCCCCGAAGCAACAACACTTGCCACGCAAATCGCATCGCCTTCCTGCATCACAATCGACAGGTACGTTGGATTCGCTGGTTTCACGTCATTTTGTTTGTTGTCGGAGGTAGATTGCCATGTCTCGCCCGTGCAGATGTGGCCGTTCGCGTTGCCGGTGAATTGGGTTATGCGGCTGCCGTCTTCGCCCCAGACGGCGACGTGGGGGACACTTCCGCCGCTGCCTACGCCAATTGCGATAGAGGTCTGCTTTTCTGGGTCTGTGGGCTTGTGGATGAAGGCGAGGGGGACGAGGCCGGCGGCGATGCCGCCGGTGTTCAGGATGACGTTGAGAGCCATTCCTGGGTATCGGGCTTGGGTTGTGGAATAGGGGATATGATCAGATTGATGCAGTAGAGTACACTCCGATTTTGACAAGATAGTTGAATATGGAAGGAAAAAGGATGTCTGTTTATGTGGACCATATCCCCATATTCATGCACTCATACTTATACTTCTCAACCAGCTATCGTTCATAGTTCAATGTACACCATTCGAGAAAGACAGATATTCTTTCTGCAATCTCTAGACGACGTTGCAAAGACTGAAACCAGTCCCGATCAATACGCCTATTGGGGCAGTGCAGAGATCCGCAGTCTCATGTTACCGTTGTTGCACTTAGGATTTGCGGCATAGGTAGTAGGCGTTACGCCGAAAGATGTTTTAGAAGCCAACGCGATGCCATACAAAAAGGATTCCCTGTCCGGAGCCTGTGAAAGTCTGCCAAATAACCACACACTGTCGGGCGTAGCAAAACACTGCCCAACAAGTGAGGAAGTCTTCATCTCGAAGGATGTCTCCTGTGATGATGGCAACCCTAGCGCTTGCCACGTGTATGCAACCATTGCGTTAAACTAGCTTTCGTGGCCTGAAGAGACTTACGAGATTGAGGATCTAAAATCATGTTCCCTGCTTCTTATGGAATCTGTCATTAGGAGCGGTTGTAGGCCCAAGGCAGATTCTCTTCAGAAAATGTGGCCTTTGAACTTGAGAATGAAGAATAAAGTACCTACCGAATGTCTCTTCGTAGTATAAAGGTCGAGAAGAGTTCGTTCTCTCATCCATCATTCCAAACCATCATCTCAACCACTTCAACCACCAGTCGAACTTTCTACAGCTCAGCCTTCCAATTATTCATTATCTTCCTTCTTCTTCTCCCATCATGCGTCACCCTGTTCTCATCCTCTCGGCGCTGGCGGCTTTGGGCACAAACTTCGGAGCGCATGCCAGAGCCATTACCGACAACAACAAAAATGGCGCTCTTATTCATCGAGACCCGGCGGTCATTCCTGTAGCTCCGATCGTCCCCAAGCCAAAGCCCATCATCCCACCGCCAAAGCCAGCTGCTCCAATCGAGCCGCCCAAGCCTGTGGAGCCTGCGCCTCCGCCTGAGTCCGAGCCCAACCCCGTAACTCCTCCAAACAAAGGGGACGCAGAACCACCGACAGGCCTTCTCAAGGATCCAGATGCGCTCGCTACGCTCAAAAATTGGAAGTGTGGGAGGGAGAAGCGTGGTGAGGACCTGTTCAAGCGAGGAGGTCCCTTCAAAGACGAAGACACGGCTAATCCACGAAAGTACCTCGAGTGGCTTGAAACAATGGCCAAAGACGAGGAGGGTAACAGAATCCCTCGCGAAAAGATCGTATTTTACACCAAGGGCACGTTTTCCATGGCCGATGCGTTCGTCAAGGACAATCCGGGGTACACGCACTACAAGATTATCTTTGAGGACGGCGGGTCAACGTTCATGGAAGACTGGAACCAGCCACAGAACTTCGAGGAGGGGTACGTCGAAGCCCAGTCTTCGGCTTTGGCCGAATATTCGCGGAATCCGATCGTGTTTGGAGCTGACAAAAGTATGTAATCTGGGCATTTATTTGGAAGTAGTTGGTGTCATTACTAACACGAATTCAGCTATCGACCCGACCGACACGACCATGTGGGCTAAGGCCGAGTATCCTTTCATGCACAATGCAGGAACGATCACAAAGATGAAGGACAACGCTAAGAAGCCGGAGGATGTAGATTTCCAGATTGATCCTCCTGCAAATGCGCCGTGCTAGGTTCGCACTCCACACGAACTGTATACCGGTTCACGACTCGCTGATTCGAGGAGACTCTCTTGGGGACGGTTTTCCGCCTCAGTATAGATGTGTTTCCCCTTGTTCGGTTTGATTTTATGGGAATTCTACGGTTGTGGTGATTCGTGCGTGGTACCGAGGTGAGGGTAGATGACCCCTAGGCTGTGTGTGGTGGGCCAAAGTTATGGAGTTAATTGTTCATTTTAGAACGCAGAATAGACTGTCCGTTTTGGATAAATTGTATTGAGACATGTTCACACCCGCAAGAGGATGAGCGTGAAAAGCTTTTTTTAGCTAACTTGCTAAGCCTCGCCTCGCCTTAGCGGGAGCCGACAAGGCGGAATCGCCTGGTTTGGAACAACGTGCAGCCCATGCGAGGCAACACGCCCAATGCGGCACATCGGTGGCTTAGATGCCTAGTGGACACTTGGTCATAAAGCTTGATCAATTCGCCCTTTTCGAAAACTGTTACACCCTTAAATGAGCGGAGTCCCATTTACGCTTTCATTGAACGTCACGTTCACCATCTGCGGGATACACTCTGAAATCTGAAGGTGTCTCGCTTGCGCTGCTTACTCGGAATTACACGAAGGAGGATCCTTAACCAATCACAAGCGCCCGCGGACAATTACACCTTACTAAGGTACATGGAGACGCTTCAGCATAGTGAGAACATATTGACTAACCAATTATAGGGAGATCGAATAGAATTTCCAAGCCAATTTTTGTCATCGTCCTAAGGTCTCCGCCCACCTCATCTCTTCTTCGTTCGAATATCCAGAACAGCGCAACACAAAGCGTCATCTTACGAACCGATATGGCGACTTATTCGGCCCCAGCAGCGCGTCTACTCACTCTCTGTGAGAATGGAGAACATGAGCAGCTTCTCTCATTACTCCAAGACAATGCAACACTCCGGACCGTTTTCAGTCGCGAAGCCGTCGACAATTACCCAAACACGATCTTTGCCGGCGTAACACAAGAGTACCTCATCTTCGAGCGCATGCTTGCAGCCGCATCACGGGGTGGTCAAGTAGACCTCCTCTCGGCCCTCCTCGACTTCGGCCAGCGGCATGGCGTCGCCGCGCCATACATGGTTACTACAGGTGTCGTCTCTGCCGCACTCCACCAAGTGACAGACTCGCTGGGTCTTCTACTTGCCCTCCAGCGCGTGGAGCCCGAGGTCTTCTCCATCCGACTGCCAATGGGTCACCATATTCTCGAAACTGTGTGCCTTGGTTCCAAACGCGAGCCGCGAGTGCGTCTTCCTCTCCTGCGTCACATGATGGATATGGGGATTGACCCCAATATGCGTTTGTATCTTCATGGAAATAAACCTGGTGTGCTCTTGTACAAAGCCTCCAGGTTTGCGTGCGTCGAGATGGTCGAGTGTTTGCTGCAACATGGTGCTATTATCGCGAAGTCAAAGGCCCAGCGCGCCGCTGCGCGTTTTGGTCGTGTCGATGTGCTGGAAGCTTTGTTGCGGTATGGAGCCGACTTGAATGAGTGCTCTGAAGCGAAGGACATGGATGGCCCGGCAGGTGCTGCACTTCACGTTGCTGCTGCGAATAGTCAAGCTGAGGCTGTGCGGTGGTTAGTCGAGAACGGGGCAGATTCTATGCAGGAGAACTGCAATAGACTGACGCCTAGAAACCTACTCTCTAAAGAGATCAATAAGATTATATAGATGTTAATTTGTTGCCGGATATGGTTACTACTTCACGTGACCTGGTCATGTATATATATAGCTATATTTCTCGTATTCTTAATTAATCAACTCATGTCTTAATACTCTGTAATTTACCTAACAGTTATAAGCCTAGATTTACCTACTACTGTAAATTAAACCTGCTAAGTTTATTTAATACAATTAGACGATAGAGTTACTAACTTATACACCTTGTCGTCGCTAACAGATTCTAGAGTTGCTCTAGAAATACGCCGTACACGATCGAATTAGCCCTGCGCACTACGATTTCTACGATAGAGAACACTATTACTGTTACTAACGTTACAAAAGCTGTTAAAATACTTAGTACACTACAGGATTAGCCTTACTAGAAGTTTCTTGTAAAGGAAAAGGCTACACAATATAAGGTTTAGGCCTACTACAACCTAGATCTAAAAGAGATAGAACGTAAGAGAATTTAGAAGAAGCCTAAACGCCTAACGCTGTTAACAATTAAGCAAGGAGCTACAAAGATAGGGGATCTTAACGCTAACGAAAAGTTAGAGTACTAGAACTAGAAAGAAAGGCATAAGAAGGACCTTAAGAAGCACCTTCTTATATAGAAAGGTCTAAGAGAAGTATTAGTATATATTGCTATAACAATTAATACCTACCTTATACTATATATTATAGACAAGAATACAGCCTATAAAAGGTTAGTAAGCTTAAAGAAACAGGTTGTAATAACTAACGCGTTACGTTAAGACGTACTACTAGAACAATACAAGAAAGTTTAGAAGACCTAGAGGGGTAATAAACTAGATAACTAGCTTAATAAATAGATTTAGATTACTAACTATATAGCTAAACTTAATATGCTAGACGTATAGGGTATACAAGCCTAGAGAGAGCTACTTAAAGCTCTTTAACTAATTAATAAAGCGTACTCTACGCTTAGAATTACGTAGCTATTTATCTAGCTAGAAAATTAAGCTTCTATAGTGCTAGACCTAGTAGCAGAATTTAGATAGCTATAGAGAGCTACTAAACCTATTATAGCTAGCCTAGAGACGTATATAATACTAGATATAGTATTATAATAATAGAACTAGGGCTAGAGACGTAGCAAGTTTTAAGAAGAAATACTAGAGTGCTTCTACGGGCGTTGTTACTAGTTTAGCTAGTGCTTTTACGTTAACCTAAAGATCTGCCTAATAGGCTAGAAGCCTAACACGGAAATTTAGGCTAAGTTTAATAAGAAAAAGAAGAAAAAGAAGTAGGCTAAGAAGTTTAAACAAGCTACTAATTAGAGAACCTCTAAATAGCAAAACAAACCTACGCTAAAAGCAAGTACTGCTCTACTAAGCTTTAACAATAATAAGCTAATAAGTAGCACCTCTTCTGCTAACCCTGTATTCTACTTCTTTAGTGCGATAGCTAAGGTTTTAGAAACCTAGAAGGCGGTTCTAATAGCTCTACACCTTATTAATAGGTAGATCTATAACTCTAGCTCTAATATTTACGTCTACAACTTAGAGAATTAGAGCTAGAAAAAGATAGTAGAAGCTAACTTAAACGTTGTTGTATACGCTAGAGGGTAAGCTATAAGAGTTAAAGCTTAGAAAGAGGTAATTCTCTAGACTAATACCCTATTAGAACTAACTCTAATACGCCTTACCTATATAGTGTTAGTAGAGAGCTTCTTTACAAACGTTATAGAGCTTGCGCGCTCTTAAGACGTTAGAATTTACTTTAACTCTAGTAGAGATATCTTATATAAGAATAAGCCTAGTAATATAGTCTATAACTTAGAGTATAAATAGAGGTACTAGCTACTTAACGTAGACAAAAATAGTTACTCTAATCTATAGAAAATATTCGCTATATTTATAATAGTATATTAACTATTAAAGAACTTATAACTAGTAATAATCGCTACTAGAGCTAAGGCCTATTAACTATAGGCACACCTAAATAAGAAAGCTATTACGCACCTAGAAGAGGCTGTTACTAGCTTTAAGCTTAAGAAGAATATACCTCTAGTTAACTAGAAGAACTGTAACACCTATATATAGTTAAAAATAAATTATTAAGTCTTCTAGAGACCTAGATTAACGCCTATAAAGCGTCTCTTCTACTAAATAGAGATAAATTTAGTTTAACTACTACTAACAGAAGAAACCTATTTTAACAAGAATAAGTAGAGACTTTACGCAATTAATAAATTCTTAGGCTAGCATAAAGAACGTACGTTACCCGCGAAAAGTAGAGTAGTATTAATATCTACTATACGTAGAATAATTACTAAACTATAGCGTTAATTTAAGTACTTAGTTGTTATACTTAGAACTAATAACAAGAAGAGTTTTAGTAATAAGCTTGCTAAGATCTGCATTAAATTAGGTATTAAATATAAGCCTAGCTTACCTAAGACGCCTAAGTAGAATAGTTATATAGAGAAAGCTAGAGACGCGATAATTATAAAAAGCTAAGTAATAAGAATTATAGCTAGATTACTTAAGAAGCTAGCTTTAGAGCTGTTTATTATAGCTATTTAAATTCTTAACACTACGCTAATTAAATTAAACGGCTAGAAAACTCTATATAAGGTAGTAATAGGTTATAAACTATTAGTAGCTTATTACGCCTCTATTAGCTATTAAGCGTATATTTATAGAAAGAACCTTAAGAAAGCTAATAAACTAGAAGCACGTACTTATATTAGGTACCTACTAGAATAGAACTTCTTAAATATCTTTAGAATCTAGATACTCTTAAAGAATAAGGTTATCTAAACTTAAGACGTCTTGTTTATACGCGACAAGCTATATAAGAATAATAGTAGTAAATATAGGAAGTCTCTAGTAGTTAATATAATTAATATTAAGGTGTATAATATCTCTTATAAAGAGCTTATAGTAGAGGTTAAAGATCTACTACTATAGAGCTAATTACGCCTATTTAATATAACTTTAGACGAATAGACTTTAACACTAGAGTAACGTACACTAGCTAAAGAATTAGTAGAAGAAGACCTAGAAATATAAATCTAGAAGAAGTAACAATAAGCTAAGAAGTATAATAAGTCTCTAAGAGGTTACTTAATTACCCTAGCGTTGTTAAGACACTCTACCCTACATAAAGAGAGCTTAAGAGGCGTGTTAAGAGAGACTAACCTCTCTAAGCTAAGCTTATCTACTATTTAAGCTAAATCGCTACAAAGACCTCTTAGAGCTACAGAAGACCCTAAATATATGCTAGATAGGTACTAGAATAATACTCTACTACGTCGAAACCTTAATTCTAAAGACCTAAGTAATATAATATAGAGTAGACGCTATAGACGCTCTTACCTAAGACTTAAATATATAGCTAGCGCAATTAAAGCATAAAAGAAAGCTTAAATATTTAACTTAACACTATTAATAAACTTGTATAACTACGTATTTACAGCTTTAGTAAGCTACATTAATAAACTAAGAGTTAACAGAGAGCCTATAAGGTTAAAACACTACCGTAATTAGATGCTACCTCTATCTAAGCGTTATAAGAATATTAAAGGCTATATATTTAAAGCTAAGTTTAAAGAGGCTGTATAGAAGAAGTTTAGTAACTACTTTAAGAAAGAGTGCTTTAAGAAGACGTTAGTAACGCTAGCGTTAACTATAGTAGAGTACCTTCTACTTATATAGGTATTATTATATAAATTTAATAAAGATAGATATCTACTTAAGTATAAAGCTTGTCTAGTAGTTTAAGAAGACCTCTAAATATAATAGAGTAATACCTATACTACTACCTTAGTAGTAAGAACCTTTTAAGCTCTAGTAGCTATAGTAAC